AGGCCAGATCTCTGCTGAGAGATGAAAATGGCAAGGAGAGGAAGGCAAAGATGGCTTTTGATCTCATGCATGAAGTACACACGAAACCTCCAAACCTGAAGGCAGCAAATGAAAAGTCTGCTGAATTGAAGGAGGAACAGTTGCCAAATCCTTGGTTTCCATTTGAGAATCAGGATGAATGGGAGCTGGGGAGCTGGCTGTCGAAAAGCGGGTTGAGTCAATCAGCAATCGACAAGTATCTGAAACTATCAATAGTGCATTACTTACCTGTCTTTGTATCAATTTATTGATCCCTTCTTCAGTGGCTTTAGACATGTAAGCAGACATCTCCATTGTTCAAGAACAAGGATAACTTCTATAAGAAGATTGATGCTCTGCTGAAGGGCCCTGGTTGGGAATGTGAAATGTGGGAAGTGACAGATGATGAGCTGGATGAGAAGGACAATCATCGCAAGGAGATGATTGAATTATGGTGATGCAATCCTGTGAAGTGCGTATAAGAGCTTATTGGGAATCCGGTCTTCAAGAATGTGATCAAGTACACACCTGAACACCATTTTCGTGATGCCCTTGCATGGGAGCAAATGTTCAGTGAGATGTGGACAGGCAATTGGTGGTGGGGTCTACAGGTATGTTCATCGATTCTAGTGCTTCAGTGGTAGTACTAAAAGAACCTACTGCATAGGGCAAACTTCCAGAAGATGCTACAGTTGCTCCTATTATTCTGGTGTCAGATAAGATGCAGCTGTCATCATTCAGTGGTGATAAGTCAGCATGGCCAGTCTATTTGTCAATCAGAAACATTGAAAAAAGTACTCACCGTAAACCTTCCAAGCATGCCACTATTCTTGTTGGCTATCTTCCAACATCAAAGCTGGAATGCTTCACAAAGCAGCGCCATTCTGTTGAAGGCTACCAACTGTTCCACAACTGCATGCAGTCTATCCTCAACCTGCTCATTGAAGCAGAGTGAAGAGGTGTCGAAATGGTCTGCACAGATGGTTTTATTTGGTATGTCTTTCCAGTCATTGCTGCATATATCATGGATCATCCTGAGCAGTGTCTTGTGGCATGTTGCCATGAAAACACATGCCCAAAATGTCTCATTGATCCAAATCGGCAAGGTGAACCCCTGCATTCAACCTTCCAGGATCAAAAGAAAACCACCAACATGCTTAAAGACTACCTAACTGGGCAGAAGATCAAAGAATTTGATCAGTGGGGTCTGCAGCCAGTAATGACACAGCACTAAGACCTTCGCTGATTCAAGAAAGGCATTTCATTAGTCTCTCAGTGAACAGGGACTGAATACAAACAAATGAAGAAAGTATTCGTAGGCATCATCGTGGGCAGCACAGATGTTATGGTCCTCCATATCATGTGTGCAATCCTTGACTTCATATATTACACACATTTTGAGGTTCACACTGAATGCTCATTGCGTGCTATGGAGGCTGCATTGGCTACATTCCATAGTCACAAGAACATATTCATCCAGCTGGGCATTCGAGAACATTTCAATATTCTGAAAGGCCATTCAGCCAGTCATTACACACATTCTATCTGGTCCCTTGGAACAGCAGATGGTTATAGCACAGAAGGGCCAGAATGGCTCCATATAGACTATGCAAAACTGGCTTATAGAGTAAGTAATTGAAAACAATACATACAACAAATGACGAGATGGTTAGAATGACAAGAAGCCATCCACCATTTCACAGTATACTTGGAGTGGGCCATCAGATATCAAACACCTGAGCAAGAATCTTTGGACGAGACTGAGGTGGTGATGGCTGAAGATAGCGATGGTGAAGATGCAGAGGTCATGGATAAGGCGGGAGATAATGCAACTGGAGAAAATGCAATAGTAGCTGCTGAAGAAGAGGATTTGAACACAGAGGAGATGGTGAACACAGAGGAGATGGTGAACTTGAAGGATGGTGGTGGTCGAGATTATGTTATTGCAAAGGAGGCAGCTTACACTCGGATTGAGCTTGAGAAAGTCGAACGAGTGTTTGGCGCTATTGACTTTGCACACTGTCTTCAGGAGTTTATACACGATGCAGCATATAAGTCAACAGAATGTGAATGACTGCCTGTGATTGAAATTTCCAGCAACACACGAGTCAACTTGTTCAAACAAGTCAAGATTCTACTACCGCAACTCTCTCAAGTTACTAGAGATGTTATTTTTGATTCAATTTGCGCGATACCTGGCAAGCTGGTGGATGGAGCACAGGTTAGTGTTCCATCCCAATTCAGCACTGTCCTGGTGTGCAAATGAAGGTGAGACATTGTTTCAAGCAATTCGCTAGATGGTGAGCATTGTCTTCTATTACTGGTTGGCGATGAACCTTACAAAATTTTCTTTTCTTGACATGTAGGGTTGCGAGTGGCACGAGTGCATGTCATCTTCAATCTACCCAAACAGTATTCACAGTATTCAGATACACCACTCACATTCGTGGAGTGGTTCACGCCTTTCCAATGTTGCAACGAGGCTATTGGAATGTACATTGTGTCTCATTCCACTTGATTCCACCTGCGCTGAACTTCTATCATTTCAATCACTACACTGGAGTGTAGCTGCCATCTGATACCTGTGTGGGGAAAGCAGATGGAATGCACTTGAACTCGGAAGAATGTTCTTGATAAGTGTAAAAGCTTCTATGTGAATTCTTACCTCCGACACTATGATTTTATATTGTTTCGCATGCTCATAGATCAGTATTCCATAGCGAGATAGACACTGCATTTATTGATACTATCAATGATGACTGAGGTGCAGCTGATATCTACCGTAGCTACTGAACACTATAGTATCTTTCAAGGTGAGCTACTACAGCTACAGTGTCTATGGACTGCCATCCTTCACTACCAAGGAGGGGGCTGTTTCCTGATGCTATGAGCAGGGTTATTAACTGTTACTAATTAGGACACTACTTGATAGGTTATAAACTTCTCTCAAAATATAGGTTAGTAACATAGTTATAAATCTAAAATATAATATACTTAAAATTCTGACTAATCCTTCTCAGTCAATGCTCATTCTGCTGCCTTTGAGCTCTTCACCTATTTTACAACAGGTGCTGGCTTCACGGCCAGCATCAAAGACATCTTGAACATTATATCTTGAAGCTCCAATGATGTAAGAATGACACTAACATCTATTTTCACAGTGAACCTGCTATGTGCTTAACCTCTGAAAAAATTATGACCTTTAGAATGGTCAGCATGCCATCAGCTCGACCCTTAGGACAGAATGTAGTCTTCAAGGTCATAGTTCAGGACACCATCAGCACCACATCTGAAAAAAATTGCCTTGCTATATAGCCCTATATAGTGTCAGTAGATGAAGTAGCTTTGTAGCAAGGATACCCTCTACTGGAGCTATGTAGCTATCACCAGTAGTTATATAGTGCTACAGTAGCACTATGATAGCACTCTGTAGTAACTGTAGTAGCTCTATTTTGCCATCTTTTGCCAGTATTAAAAATGCTCAAAATATAAAATATTTATTTTTTTCTTTTATATTTATATATCTATTCTTATTTATTCAAGCTACTGTAGTTTTATGACTATAGCAGATGTCACAGGTCACTGAGATCAAATTGTCCACTATTTACCCTACCTGTCACAGCTCACAAGAGGTCTGTCTGCTATTGTAAGATGGGTAGAAGGCTGATGTGTACTGAGGTGAAATATGGTAGCATGAGAAGAGTGGTCTCTGACAACTCTTGATGGGGTGAAGTCCTACTCATAACAGTAAAAGGATTTTAGTTTAGTGCTCGAGGAGAGTACTATAGAGTATGGACAAAGAAATTGTAGACCGTATGCTCCTTCAAGAGCCAGTAGACTGTGCCACTGCCTAAGTCTAGTGCATTCAAGATATCACACTCTCAAGTCCTAATCCTTTCCATCTCTGATAATGCAACAAGTTCTCCAACACACTCCTTCAGATGTTCAATATACAAGAAGTACAGTTGAAGAGGTCTGAGTTCAGAAGGATGCATAGCAACTAACTCCTCTCTCACTGCATAGCTCTCAACCATCCCAATCACAGGTATGGCAGTCTCGACTCGAGGATCACCCTTCACAAGGTCAAGTCTATCTCTCAGAAACCAGGCAATAAACCTCTCTGTAACAACCTCTTTTCCTTCCTTTGTCTCAAATGTGATTTGACACACTTCCCAACAAGAGCCCTCAGGTATGAAACCTCTCGAGACTGGTACAAAGGGGATCTCGAAATGATTGTTGATGATACAAGGGAGACCTAACCTCATTGAAAGACTAGCCAGTGCACAGAAGTTTGGATGTGATGTGTATTAGAATAAGAGAATGAGAAATCTAACAAGCTGAGAGTAAACTGTTGTCGAAGCCACCCCATATCCGTAGCCACAAATAGAGGTTCGATGTCAGTTCATAATTGTAGGGGGAAAAGTCTCTGTCTTCTCTCGAAGTCCAGACTAGACTGCACTCTCTTGTTTCTCTCCTCTGCCATAGATACATCTGAGGCTGAGAAGCCATCCCTCCATTGCAGGTTGTGAGTGGCAAAAGTAGTCAAACCAAGATATTTCACCCTCGCGGGATGATATACTGTCATGCAAGCATCTCATTAGATAACCTTATTATCAAATAGTGAAGATAATATGTTAAGATTGTACCATCATGTTCTGCAATGAATATGAGTAGGACATATTGAGATCAAGCGCAACCTGCCAAGCAATGACATGAGACATGACACAGAAGATCCGGAGAGTGAGCACTCGAATATTCACTATTACATGTGTGGGTACATATTGCAAGGTTTTATAGTAGCATTCAATGAATCATTTAGGTGATGTCTGGCGACTCTGGCCCGAAGAATGAGGTTGGGGAATGTGAGCATTTACACGGTCATCCAGGATGGAAACAGGTTCAGACAACCCGAGTGAGTCGGCCCAGGTTCGAACTGAGGACCTTCTGTGTGTTAGACAGATGCGATAACCAACTACGCCACCGACCCGTTCTTAAGCGCTATTTCGCAATTCCCTTTTAGAATTTTAAGATTCAAATTCAGGCATTCGTTCTAGTCAAACAAACACCTATCAGGATTCAGTATCCAAATCCCGCTGTTGACCGTGCTACGATGTCCAAGGAGTATGAACGGGCTGCGTTGCTCGTAGTAGATGTTCAAGAGGACTTCTGTCCACCTGTACTTCCTTCTGCTTTTCTCCCGACCCGCTGAAGCTTACTATACTCTCCCGCAACCCTTTTATCAGAATGGCTCACTTGCCATCCCAGAAGGTCGCGACATAATCCCTGTCATAAACGAACTTCTTGCTCTGCCTTTCGCATTGAAGATTGCTACGAAAGATCATCATCCACCTGGTCATATTAGCTTCGCGTCCTCTCATCCTGGGAAGCATCCTTTCGTCTCATATACCACCATCGTCAACCCTGCCAATCCTAATGAGAAATATGAAACAAGACTATGGCCAGATCATTGTATTATAGGAACTCCAGGAAATGAGCTCCTCCCTGAACTCGATTTGTCCAAGGTCGATAAAGTCGTGGTGAAAGGTTGTGACCCTCGTGTCGAGATGTATTCTGCTTTCCGGTCACCTTTGCGAGATCCACCATTAAAGGAGGCCATCAGCGAACTTGCGGACCTGTTGAGGGAGAACAATATTACTCGTGTGTTTGTGGTTGGACTGGCTGGTGATTATTGCGTGAAGTATACAGCTATTGATAGTGAGGAGGAGGGATGGAAGACGGATGTTGTTGAAGAGGGAATTCGCTGTGTGAATGCGGATGACTGGGAGAATATTAAAGCAGAATTACGGGCGAAAGGTGCTGGCGTTGTGTCTTTGGAGTCGGTGAAGCAGGTCAGTCTATGTGGCGTTTACCTCACCTCGTCTTATACAGATGTTTTGCAGGGCTTCACGGCGAAGGCTGTTCATTGACTCACGGCTGAATTATTCTGTAATGTATTTCCACCTGCAGGCGTGTCAATTTACCATGGTTTCAGACATACATCCTTCTGCGACAAGGGAAAGTACGTGATGACACCATCGATCCCATTGCCGTTAACAATATCCCTTTCAAATATGAGATGCTTCTCACCGGATTCGTACAGATATAGATATCACGAGCCACCATTCCTAAGTAGGCTACTATACATCGTGGCCAATTCTCACTACCAGGCGAACATTGTCAGATATATACAAGGAAGAAAACCCTACTCTACCTGCGCCTCCCACCTACTCAAAGCACTCACATCCACACTGGGTTCCTTCCCCAGAACCATCTCACTCACCACATATCCCGTCCCCAAACTCAAACTAATCCCCCACGGACCATGTCCCGCGGCCACATAAACACCCCCACCCAGCTTCACACCCTCACCTAAATCCACTTCACGCATCTTGGCAATGATCGGTTTTCCCGTCGAAGTAACAGGTCTGAAGCACAAACCCTCACGAATAACTTCGACCTCGTTTCCACACAATCTCTTGGCTACGTCTGTTAATGTGCGAATGGAGCTTTGCGACATCATTCCTCGTGCGTCGCTGGGTAATGCGGGAAGATCAAGCGTGGAAGAGTTCAATCCACCCACCCAGATATCCCCTCCTGTCCTAGAGAAAATCTCTGGCGAGAATCCAGCTGAGTCCGAGGTGAAGACGGCATGGCATACGCCTGCAGGTACCTGGGTAGGAGTATTTGTGGAAATATCTTCGGACCTGTCCTCTTCGCGAATGGTCGTAGCTAATCCGCCTGATGTAGACGATCCAGATATTGTTGCCAGTGCTGCAACCCTAGAACGGCCCACAGGACGAGGCCACCGTCTGGATTTAAGCACAACAGAATATCCCGCCAACGACGATACCCGTGGGACCCTTATGGCATTTGGGAACAATGTCTGATAGACCCTAGGAGTCCAACAACCCGCTGCGATGACAAGACTATCACAAAGAATCTCTACAGTCCTAAATCGTTTTCCCAAGGTATTCCTTGCATGATGTCTTGGTGGACGACCCGCAGAAAAATCGTTTGAGCCGAACGAAGAGTCCCTTGCGCCCGATAAACTAGGGTGAGGCGTATTACTATGTCCAAAGCCACTTGCAAGCCAACTGCCGACGCTCATACCAGACGATTGACTAGATCCGAAAGATGACCCTGGTCCTCTGAAATATTGTGCCGAATATCCACCCGAGCCCCCCACCGAACCTAACTCACTTCTCCCAGTTGGATGGGGAGAAGGTAACGATGACCATTCCGAGTCAACATGGGATGATTCACTGCTTTGGTTTCTTTCGCCCGCGTCAGAGTAAGTCACTTCGAGTCTAATGAGAGTGGGTGAGTTGGGGTCTTGTGGATGAGCTTTGATGAGCTTCAGGGCTCTTGCAGGATGGTGCAAGATGACGCCGTTGGCAAGGCACCGTTCCAGTAAGAATTGACAAAGTCTCAGGGGATCACTAGGCGTGGAGAGTGGAATCGCAAGATGCGAAACATACCAAGCAGGTTGTTGCATTAGTACCAACAATCACGCATTAGTGAGTAAACCACCACTTACACTTGCCCCGTTGTCGACCTCTCTGAAATCTGCTGCAGCGCATCCCGTTTCACACGCAGCCACACAGGATGCTCGTCGTTTTCTCCGATGTCATCTGCGACTTCCGCCATGTCCATCCGTTGCGCCTGAGAATCGGTGAGCAGCGTGGTACGACTTGACCCGCTCATGAGCCAATCCAGATCTGTCCTAGGTTCATCCGCAATAATAGAAGCATCGCTTGTCGTACCACTTCCACTACTCCCTGCGCTATCGAGACTTCCACTCTGTATGCTCGTCGCCGTCGTTCCCTCGTCTGTTGCCTCACTGCTTGCACTGCTCCCACTCTCCTCATCACTTGACCGATCCAAACTCCACCCAACACTTTCCGACCAACCCCATCTCTCCCTTCCACTCCATTCCTCCGCAAGTTGTTTATGCAGATTAAAACTGAACTCGCCTAAAGGACTAACGGAGGGTGCGAACCAGTCTTTGGCAAGAAATCCAGCGGCGTAGCCGGAGGCAGAGGCGAAGAGTGTTGGTGAGGGTTCAACGATATGGATTTGGAGACGTGAACGCGAGGTGTCGTGAGAATCTGGGGGTGTGGTTGCGGTTGTGGTTGTGATTGTGGATGAAGGCGAAGATGTGTGTTGAGATTGTGTTGAGAGGTAGTATGCGGTCGATAGACCGATAATTCCGCCTCCAAGGATCACGACGTGCGGCATTGCAATCACTCTTTGTTTCTGTACGGCGTCAGACAGGGATATCCTGAGGTACAAGGGTTGAGTCTCTGTCTATACTGCCTGTGGGAGACTATTTGCGGCTTCAAGTGAACGGTTCGCAAGTCCAAGTCCTAGTGATGCCCGACGGTTCTAGTGTCGTTAGTATACAAAGTATCCAAGCACGATGCTCAAGATCGGCGACGCCTTATCTGCTCTGCAAGGCAGGGCGAGCCAAACCATTGGCAGAGACGGTCATCAAAAGGAAGAGAGACCAAGGAAGAGCCTAGGCAAGCGGAAAGTGTTTGTTTATATCCGTTCTCGGGATGTAAGGCGACATACGCTTTGCACTAATATTAATTAAGTACAGAAGCCCATAGACGTTCTCTCGTTCCCTGTATACGTCATTGCTCAGCGTTTTCGTTGCTTCTGAGTGATCCTATGGTCTGGTCTGGGAGCGCTTCGTTGGTATTTTGGTACAGAAGGACATGAGCACGCGAGTCGGAGCTATTACCATCTTGCTATTTTCATTACACGACGAAGGTGAGCTAAGATGAAATATTATGCTTACTGAATTAATTGTTCACGCCTCAGATTGTCGCCCTTCGCGCCAATACTTTGAAGAATACAGATACAATGCTTGCTGTAAAGCCCAATGCAAATGGATGTGTAGTGTTACAGTCAATATATGCGATATTTCTTTACACTTGTGTCCATTTCCTCTTCTGCTCAAGCAACGCCCATGAAATGGTGACTAGAGGTCCATCCTCCAACTCAGAATCACAGCAACCACCTGTGCTTCAGGAAGAAGTACCTGTCATATTCCTGGCACCACGAGTGTCGAGCGAAAAAGACCCCTTTGAGAGGTTCGTGCCGATAGTACTGGTATCGATCCCACTGGATGCCTCCAGCTTGCCTTTCTCAAGGATTTGAAGGGCGACATCCAAGTCTTTGTGCGTACCAAACTCATTCTCGAGTTGTTGATGTGATGGCCGTCCTAGGATACCTTGTGCTCCTTGGGTAGAGTGGAAGATCTCAAAGGCTGCGATGGGTGGGCGCGTGAGTAAGACGGCGATGAAGATGAGGGTATTATAGGCACATAGACATACAGTCGAGAACCTCTGTGAGTGGTATCGATCTGAAGATCCTCAATTAGTACGCATATAATGTCAAACGAATTCGGTGATATTTACGTCTCTGGAAAGCAGACGATCAGATCGAGGAGCCATCGCAAGCAGGAAACGAGCCAACTCACCTCCCTCTTTCCACTTCTTGTACTATAGAGACACGAAACACAAAGATCCATCAAGATCCATCCAAATGCCTCACAGAAAAAAGGAACAAGAAGACATACCTCGCTGGGATGTACAATGACTACGAATTCGTCTGTGCTCTTCGGCTCGGGCTTATAAACGACCTTGCCGATCTGCGCTCCAGTATTGCGAGTTGCAGGCATGATGAAAGGATATTATACCGTATGAAATCGAGTCGTGTAAAAAGGTGTTTGAAGTTGGTTGTTTGGAGAATTCTCGTGTGAGATGAAGACCCGGCTGGTCAAGTGCTCGTCCTTATGAGGGATGGCAGATGCCTCTGACGTCATTGCCCTCGTGCCACCGAGAGCGCCATTCATGAATCCTGCCACGTGGCTTCATGTTCCTTCCAGATCTTTCCCAGGTTAGCCGAGACATATCGCATGCAAACTACACCCACCAAAACGCGAGATACAATGGTCGGTGGCGTAGTAGAAGTGAGTTCTCTGAATTGCATCTCCATGATGATATATGCACTGTTGAAAGACCCAACCGCAGCGCGGGCGTACCATTATTAATTTATGACCTGCTAGCATCGTCCCTCCCACTAGCTGAAGTCGCCGCTATAGAGCCATCCATGGGTTCAACGAGCATCGGAGATGGAAGGGATTATTTGCAATGACAGAGAGCGAGGGAGTGAAGGAGCGTAAAACGCATTAGTACCCTAATGTGTGCGTTAAGAAACAATGGAAGTGCTATCGCTCATACGTATGTGGTCTTTCAAGATATCAAGGGTTGGCTCCTAATCCTACCGCCTTGCCTTTCTTCTAGAGGATGACAGCTGTGACCGTGGCTGTGGATATTTTTCGGTAAGTATATTGTTTTATGCAAGCGTGATTCGACCGGTCAGGTGTCAATAAGCGGAAAACTGATTGGCACGACAATATCGTTCTTCCTCAACAGGTTCGCAAGTTAGCTCATGGCCTCCTTTAATGGTGGATCTCGCAGAGGTCATCGAAAAAAGGATACATCTCTACCGAGGGCGACAACCTTTCACCACGACTTCATCGACCTTGGACAAATCGAGTTCAGGCAGGAGGTTGTGACTTTGTTCCGTATTTCTCATTAGGGTGGCAGGGTTGACAATGGTAGTATATGAGACGAAAGGATACTTCCCAGGATGAGAGGATGCGAAGCTGATTTGACCAGGTGGATGATGATCTTTCGTAGCAATCCTCAATGCGAAAGAAGTCCAACTTGACGCTCAATGGAAGGTGTAGAAGAACAACAACCCTGAGGACCGCATGATCCAGATACTTATCTCATCAGCATATATGTATGTGTCTTCTCTATCATTTGGTGGTCGATTTGGGCCTATCTGTCAGCACAAGTCCCGGGGTCTTGTATGAAATGGAGGACCCTGGGTTTTGCAAAGGTAGTACGCATTATCGCCTTGCCTAAACAAATTCACCATGATAATTGTATTCTTAGATTTTTCTTGTATGCTCTGATAGCATACTTAGTAGTTACGAGTCCGAAAACGGGTGGAATGAAGCTATTTGCAAAGGTATACCCAAAACAGTTGGTTTCTGTTGTCTATCATGTCATGTCGAACCTTGACGGTGGTCACTCGAACTCCTTTATCTCACACTGCGGCCGCATTAGTCGTGTTCTCGGTTCGTATATAGAACATCGGAATCGCTAGACGGTGTGTACCCTGGGATGTCGAACTCAGACACTTATACAACTTTTTAGGTATCATTGGGTCGAAATGTGCTGCAGTAGCTGTTGGGTTGCACACTACTCCGATCGCCGCTGAAGACCTCGTACCTTATTCACTCTGGCCCGAGTTTGCCTTCGATCGGCAGTGTCTTCTCTCCGTGATGATCTCTGTGCCCTGCAGCTCGATGTGATTCGTCCATTGGCTTATTGCGCATCACTGATGCTCGTCAATTTCCGTAGGTGACTATGTACCAATCCTCCTGCTTCAGAAAATACCTACGCATTGGCCGGCAATATCCTGTCTTGTTCAATCCTTAGAAAGGGTCTGATGCATCACGCAGTTCTACCATCTCCCTCCAAGACATTCTACCTCGCACAATGCTTTTTAAGGCTTACCCAGCGTACTCTGTCAAATCCATTGCCGATTCCTACGACTTCATCATCATAGGTACGTCTATGGCGGTAACAAAAACTCCTCGTTGACTTGAGCTGAAGTGCCTTATAGGCGGTGGGACCGCTGGTTGCGTCTTGGCTAATCGACTGAGCAAAGATAGGAATGTTACGGTTCTCCTTCTAGAGAAAGGCGGTGTCTCTAATGGATGGATATCACGTGTCCCTATTCTTTCGTCAGCCTTTGTGGGTGATTCAAGTCGTAGCCGTCACTGGAAGTGTCAGCCGCAACAACATGTCGATAATCGGGTATTAGAACTCACCACTGGTGAATCACTTGGAGGAACCTCCAAGATTAATGCGATGCTGTACACTCGCGGCTTGCCAGCAGAATTTGATGGGTGGAGTGCCGCAGGCTGCAACGGCTGGAGCTACGCTGAATTGAAGAAGTACTTCACGCAGTCGGAGCGGGCTCTTGATGAAAGTGTCCAGAATCTAGAGGCATTCCATGGTGTTACCGGTAAGGTGCATAAGACTTTGTTTTCCGTGTTTACTAAGTACATGATAGGGGAATGGGAGAACCGATCTTACGGGACGATGCAGTGGGAACATTCAAATCAGTAAGTGATATTCTCATATGTTGATGGTCTCAGTTTTCATCTGTGCATTTGCAGCATAATACGAGCTACCAGTGCAATGGGAATTCCATATGTCGAAGACCTCAATTCTCCTCTTCAACCTCCTCATGGATGTGCTAAAATGCACTATACTATCAACAAGACAGGCGAGCGGAGCTCGACTTTGAGTGCATTCTTGCCAGACAGTATAGTGCATGAAAGAAAAGGCCACCTTCACGTTTGCACTTTTGCTCACGTATACAAGGTATCAGTACAAAGCGACGCAACGAGTCAGCTGCGATGCGAAGGCATCTATGTAGAGGATGCGAGGACCGGCGACAAACCACGGTTCATAAGAGCTCGAAGGGAGATAATCCTCTCCGCTGGTGCGCTTGCCTCCCCCAAAGTTTTGATGCTTAGGTATTCTATTCCTCCCCTTGTTTCCTACATCTCGATCTGATTCTCACATGCGTAGCGGTATTGGCCCAGTTGACCATCTTCGCGAGCATCATATATCTCCCGTCAAAGAGTTGTCTGGCGTCGGGACTCATCTGGTATGCATCAAGATCGGTCAGGTTACTATTACCAATGCTAACAAACCTCTTAGCAAGACCACCTCGCAGTTCCCATGCAATACCAAGTGCCTTTGCACGATTCGCTGGTCAAGCTGCAACTTCAGCCTTTGTTGTTTCTTATAGAAATCGTCCTCTACTTGTTCTTCGGCCGGGGGCTCCTGTTATGCCCCGTTGTCGAGCTGTCTATTTTCATCCAGACACGATTATTCGACAAAACCATGCGCCGAATGTTCTCATCTGAAAAGAATTGCGATGCCTCCTTACCAGAGAACCTCCCCGACGTGGAGGTTATGCCGGTTTGTAAAGTCGTTCTTTGCGTCGAATCACTTGAATGACGTGCACACACAGGTTTCATACGGGAAGCCGGACGATTGCACACTTAGCAAGCAAGGAGGACTGGCTTTCTTGACTGCACTGTTGCGGCCGCTTTCTACTGGCACTGTACGACTCGCTTCAGGAGACCCGCTGGATGAACCTGTTGTAGACCCCAATTATCTCGCTAGCAAACACGACATGGAAGTCCTTCGTCGTGGGCTCAAGTTTGTGAAGCAACTTAAGCCACACATGGTTACACAGGGGTATCGGATAACTGACCATCTTGTCCCTCGGGATGACCCGGACGGTGACCTGGACGCTTTTATCCGAAAGCACTGTATGACGACCTTTCACTATACTTCAACTTGTCGTATGGCATCAGAGAAAGATGGCGGTGTTGTGGACAGCCAGCTCCGTGTTCATGGAGTTCAAGGCTTACGAGTCGCTGATGCAAGTATCTTCCCTTACATACCTGGCACTCACTTGGCTGCTGTTGCAGTTCTTGTTGCAGAAAAATGTGCAGATATGGTCCTTCAAAGCTTTCGAGAAGATCAAGCAAGCTAAAGTAGAGCGCATAGCGTCCGCATGATATGTACTGGCGTACTCGGACATAATACTCGAATAGTAGTGGTGCTTATAAGCTACTTGTTGAGTCTTCCATGACGAGCTAAAAGCTCTGACCGTATTCCGAGACACACGTCGCCTGAGTCGCATTGTTGCAAAGTCCGGTGACAAGGGTCACAAATACGAAAGATGACCGAAATGGAACACAACGAGTGGTGGGCAGTTCGTGGAAGCGCTGAGCCAGTGATTACTGTGCTCTCCTACTGCTGTTCCACTAGTACCATCATATCATGATGCGAGAAATGAAGCATTGTTCACCGGCCACACCTTGAAACATTCCACGGTGTCATACGAAACATTACTTCTTCAGTTCGATAATCAACCAGACCCTGGATGTATGACCATCACATCTTGATCTCGCCGGAGACTTTACTACATGACGATCAACGGTACCTTTTCTTTCAACTTGCAAATACCCTCCTCTGACGCTTTACGTAGCTATCAGAAGACATCCAGCATGGTCTGTAGTAGTGATGACTGTGTCCTGTTGATGTCCCACATCCAACGGGTGGATTGATCTTCTGAATGATATCTTTGCCAGTTCTTGGTCATAGGCTCGGACTTGTCTCGACTATTTGAGGAGCTCAGCTCAGGGTACGAGTATCCTTTTATCATTAAGGTTCTTAATCTATTGCTCTTATAACTTCCATAGTTTTCTGGCCGAATTTCCTTGCAATATTCATCATTTCCTCAATTCCATAAGTTGTATTTCACACAATGACTTCACCAGTCTATGTCTATGTCTTTACCGCGGTCGTGATAGCCTTCTGGGCGTGGAGATTTCTTTCTCGCCTTCGTCCTTCAGATGCTTCCCTAGAGGTAGCACCCCTTGTCCAACCTTATATTCCATGGCCCATTACCGTCTGCCGGTTTTTATGGGATATACAAGGATTCATGCGAAGATGCGAGTACGTAGCTCCCGTTCTCCTCTTGAGTACTGATGACTGAACTAGGCACAACCTCAGAATGTGTTACGGACCCGTCTTTCGCTTTCGGTTGGCTGGCACAACGGTTGTCGTTGTATCTCATGCTGAAGGAATATCTCATATCCTCCGCGACTCTCAAAAATGTCTTTCGAATGCTCTTAACCAGAGCATCTTAGACACTGTTGGAGGTGTTTCTCCACAGCCAGACATTGCCGCACATTCAGTACTACTAGGACGGTTAATCTCGCTTCTGAAGAAAACCTTTGCTACCCGAAACTCGAACCTTTTTGCGGCACCCTTTAAACAAAGTCTTATTCATACACTGGAGTCGTTTCCTTGTCAAGGCGACGTTAATCGGGTCTCGCTTGCTATCTTTGTAGGGCAGTGCCTGTACGATTCCCTGTGCATGTCATTTGCGGGTCCGACGTTCCCCACCGATACATTCGCCGAATTCTCTTCCATTGATCAATATTCGGTTCGATTCCTCATGCCGTTCTGGACGCCTCCAGCCAAGATTTTTCAGGCTCGACGATCGTTGAAGTCTAAACTTGGCGTGTTCATCGAACGAGCAGCTGAGTGCCCCGATGCGAAGGATGGATGTGCATTTAGCGGGATTGAGATCGCGAAGATGCTCCGAGCACAGCCTAATTTATCGCCGTCAGATGAGCAGGGAATTTTCTTAGGTCTCATGCTCGCCATGCATGCCAATACCATCCGGATGGTGATATGGTTCATGAGCTACCTGCTTAGCGACGTAGACGCCATGAACCGATTGCGTGAGGAGATTGATCACGCAGTCGATGTCGACTTCGGTTCACTGGAAAGTCTATTGTCTGCGCCTCCTCACCGTCTGGACGGGGAGGCCTTTCCTCTTCTTAATTCTGGCGTCAAAGAAGTTCTCCGACTTTGCGTGGCAGCTGTTACCGTACGAGAAGTGACGAAATCTTCCATCTTGCAACTGGGAGGCAATCACTTCACTTTCGTACAGAACGGTGACTATGTCATTGCGGACGGATATGGAATCAATGCCAACGACCGGTATTTCGAGCAGGCCAATACATTTCGTCTCGATCGCTTCGTTTTGGCGAAGAGAGGCGATCTAGCGAGTGAATATCTGGAACCACTCTCATCCTTTGGTGGTGGCGCACACATGGTAACTTTTCTCTTCAGAATTCGCAGCGGAAATCTGACTATCTTGTATCATTAGTGTAAGGGCCGTGACTTCGCTCTATACGAGATGAGGCTTTTCGTGATCATTTGTCTTCGACTGTTCAAACTTGAAGGGGAGACCTCAAAGGGCGAGAGTACGATAGGTCGCACGCCTGAAGCTGTGAGTCTCTGGCCCACCCCGGTATTTTTCCCAAAGGAAACCTTTGTGCGAATCCTCAGACGCGATGTCCTGGAATAGAAGATAGGATCACTACCCGGCATCCATACTCCTGACTGTTCAATGAAGGCTTATGATGGAAACACCGATGGGCCAAGGATGACAACCTAGTAATCCAATGTACATTATTCCTCACGTCCCTCGCAATACTATTTCTAGCTACATGAGGATAGAACTATCTCCACCCTGTTGAATTTAAGTGGTGTGAAGTCTGAAGCTTATGCCTCCAGTCATGATGTAGCTATTTTCTACTCCCTACGTGCTGCGGCTCTTTACAGCCGTCGGAGAGCCTAAGAGCCGATCTGCCATTAATCTCTCAATAGTTGATAGCGGCTGCAAAAGTACAAGAAACACCTCGTGGAATGTGATGATAACGAACTCAATCAGCGACAAGCACTGCGAAGCCATTATCCCATTAATGGGTAACCCTGATACCACTTATGAGGCTTAGATTCTACTTCGCACCTTGTCTTTCTGTATCTCAGTAGCGACTCGGACAACGCGGATAGAAGTAAGTATTGAGAGATTTCTGATCGCGATTCGGACCTATTGAAATAAGTATCTCCAATTCTGAAGCAATATCTACATCAACCCTACCAGTGCCTTGTGGTCATCATAATGAATACCGTGACTTCTATTGATCATGATTCGATGTTCTGGTGATGAGTTGATGGGGGGTTTTCCTAGGATCTTGGTGTGCGTTCAAAGTTCTATGATGTTACCATCCAGAGGGGGAAAGCTCATCAATCGCTGAGGCTGTCCTCGATACGCAAAATTCGCTGCCGTGTAGATCGTATCATATCCAGGATTGGACAAACAGGCTACGCTCGCATCTACTAGCTGGCATCTTCGAGTGATTCCGATGGGAAACCCTCAGTGTGACCCTATGTCAGGTCAGTTGGAAGTGAACATGCGCGAATAACGCCGCTTACCTTGTGCACCGTAGTTGCGATAAAAGTAGTCCATTTTGATCTGCATGCGACCGTTGTTCATCCCACTGGCAACAAGCAAGAAAATATGTATTGGGTCCTCATTTCTGCATTTCTCGTGCCTCTCCTCATCTTCCTCATCTCCAAGTATCGTACCTTTGATGTCATTGTCACGTCCGTGGGGCGTACGCCTAACGTTCATAGCTATCTTCCATGGCCGATGCTCGTCGTTGAATTTTTATGGGATATCCCGGCCTTTTTAGAGAGGTGTCGGTGCGTTTGTGGTTTACCGAACATATTGTACTGGTGCTGACATCATGCCACAGAGTCCGATATGGCCCTGTATACCGTCTTCGCATTGCAGGACAAGGGGTCGTGATTGTATCCCATGCCGAAACAATCAAATATGTCATGAAGGATCCTCACAAGTGCTTTACCAATAACATTAACACCACTATCTTCGAGGGCGTAGGGGGTGTCACGCCTTATACCATCAACTCGACACTAATCAACAACTTGCTGTCCTTCATGCACAAAGCATTCTCTAACCGAAACATCCATCTCCTCATTCCATCATTCAATCAGCAACTCTCCGCCAACATTCAGTCCTTTGCATGCCGGCAGACAACAGATCGAGTCTCGCTGGTCACATTTGTTGGACGAAGCTTGTATAGCGCTCTCTCATTGTCCTTCTGCGGTCCCCTCTTCCCCACTGACACATTTTCGGAATTCATGCTTGTCGACTCGAATACCCTCCATTTTCTCTTCCCTTTCTGGCCTTCATCTCAAAAGGCATACCGAGCGCGTGCATCTCTGAAGTCCAAACTTGGTGTATTCATAGAACGGGTGGGGCCTGAGTTGGCTGATGATGGGGAGAGTTCCTACAGCGGAATAGAGATATTAAAGATCTTGAAGGCCGCAAGCGTCCCGCCGTCAGATCAGCAGGGCGTCATCTTAGGTCTTATGCTCGCCATGCATGCGGCATCAATTCGTATGACCGCCTGGTTCATGGCATACATCCTGAGCGATAGCTCGGCCATGACCCGTCTGCGAGCGGAAGTTGACCATGCTATCGAAACTGAGTTCGGCTCTTTGGAATCACTTCTCTCTGCGCCATCTCACCGTCTTGGAAGCCACATGTTTCCTCTCCTTGAATCAGCCCTAAAAGAAGTGCTGCGTTTATCGGTTGCAGCTATAACTGCTCGAGAAGTGAACAAGGATACGATCCTTACTGTTGATGAGCATACTTCATTTGTGATCCGCCAGGGAGACTACCTCGTTACGAATGGTTACACGGTCAACTTCGACAATTCGATATTCGAGGATGCCCGTACATTCCGCATTGACCGTTTCCTAAAGACCTCAGCAGAGACTGTAGACCTGCCTGATCCAGTCTCTTCCTTTGGTGGTGGGGCGCATATGGTGAGTGTGCCCTCCATTGTTAGCTTCTGCCAATTCATACACCTACTGACACTCTCCCACAGTGTAAGGGACAAGACTTTGCCATGTATGAGATGAAAGTTTTTGCAATCACTTGCCTTAGGCTATTAGAAATTGAGGGAGAAACGGCATCCGGTAGGCCAACAGTCGGCTGTTTGCCTGAAGCAGTTCATGCCTGGCCAACTCCAGTATTCTTTCTCAAGGACACATTTGTCAGGGTGCAGATGCGAGATGTGGCAGATAATTGACTGGGTTTTAAATCTTGTTACCAGAATATACTTTTTTCCAGAAAGGCCATATTTATATATATCTTTAGCAGAAAGATATATGCACTGTAAGTAGACAGTTTTAACACTTTTCTATATTGACTGTCATATATTTGCCATGAATATGAGGCAAGTGCCATGTTCTTCAGCAAATCTGCCCAAGTGATTTTCCACTGCATTGATTTTATTTGTAGAAATTTGACAATAGTAATGAGACTTTGATATGTGTCTCTAGATAAGACTTTCAATAGCTGGATTCATTTTATTCAGTGAATAGCTTTTCTCAGCAAAGAAGCTTATTCTAACATTCTAAGCAAAAATATAGATTCATGGTTTGTATCATATGATCTATACATCCTGGTTCAAATCTCTGGAAGTATCCATTACAGCTGCACGCTCATGAAGATCATGATCCTTGACAAGTCTAATGCAAGATCTATCAGTAAGTTGATAAATCTCATCTAAAATCACCTACAAAGCTAACAAGGTTCCCAAGGCTGAAGTGGTTAAGACAATTAAAAAAACAGGGTTCAAACTATCCACTGATGCCTTTCTCACTTCAGATTGAAGTGGCTCAGGCAGTGAACTGATAATTGTGATAGTTTGAGTTAACTCTTTTATCAGATCTGGTGATAGATTAGATATTCTGCCAATATTGGTACTCAAGCAATTATTGAAGATTGCTCCAGCAATGCTATATTGAATCAATCAATCATGTGAATAGTTTGAATAGGTTGTACTATATGTTACTCACCTTAGGCAAACTAAAGGTCCAAAATTGCTCAAGAAAGTCTATATTATTTTATAAAAACACATATAACAGATGTTAAAAGATATCTTACCATAATTGATGAAGCACGAGTAGTTTCATCAGGTGTATCAGCCCATTCAGCCTAAAGAAAGATTTAGAATACATCTACTTAATACTGAGATTGTACATACCTGAATGGCAATATATGTTGTCTGAAAAGCACCTCCTTACATATGTATTGAGAATTCTTGAAGAATATTATAGAAATAATGTAACATACCTATGCCAGTCTAAAAAGGACTATGTTAGTCTTGGACATGTAGGATAAGTTTACAATACATACTCCTACCAGAATCTGATAACCTAATAACTGTGCAGATGAAGTGCTAGCAGAAACTTTGAATAGTAGTGCACTTCCTGCAACAGATAGCAAGGGACAGAGTACAAGTAGATGCTTGTAATGACCAGTAATCTATAATGCAGTTTATTAATTATATCTGTCTAAAGAAAGTAAACTGAGAAACACACCTTTGTTATGCCAGCAGAAATAGCAGCAGCTGTAAATTTGTTACTAATGTCAATAAAGATATTGATCATTTATACATTACACCTACCAATAACAAAAGATAGCAAAATAGGTAAGATATCAATTCCTGATTGAATGCTACTTCTACCATTGATTTGATACCTAGAGAGATGTTAGATAAGAGTAGAATATGTCAGAGCTATAATCATACCAAAGTGGCAGATAGTACTATTATATAGTTTAGTATTGTATCTATTTATATGCAGTATTTTAAAAACTTACCACAGCAACTATCAAAGATGTCAAGAGACACATCTAACTAAAAGGTTAGCTATAATTCAGAAAAGAGAATAAAATACTAACTCCTTCAAGGCATGCACCAGTATAGCTTTTTCGAAGAAAGAGAAAGTGAGGTACAAGAGCAACCTCTCCTTGTCTTCCTTCCCATATAATGAAAATAGCAAATAGCACACCAGCAATACACAGAGGACCTATAACAGCACCACTTGACCAAGGTTTTGTTGATCCTCCCCATGTTAGAGCAAGCAAGATACATATTGAGAAACCCAAACACATAACAAGACCAGCCCAGTCCAGAATACTGTGAAATGAATATATCAAACTTGAATATTGTAGTCAACAGAAAGGTAGCTTACTGGCTAAGCCTTGTAAGTAAACCTCTGCTTTTGGAAACATTGACAGGTTGATAGGAAGGCAGCCAAATAGCCATGGCAACAAAACTCAGAGCACCAATCTGTAGATAATGCATACTAAGTTCAGCTTAAAGTATTTCACTAAGAGATGAAGCCCACTGGTAAATTGATATAAAAGCACCATCTCCATGAGACATGATCTGAAGATCAAGCATAAGTGATAAGAGCAGAAGCACATATGCAAACATACCTGTAAATGCTCCTCCTGTGTGAAATGGCCAACTCAATATCTATTCAAATACTGCCAATTCACATAACATACCGAGAATTGGTCCAATAATACTTGCAAAGGCTACCAGTGCTCCAAAACCTGCAAAGAGAAGGGGACGATGTTCTAAGCGGGCAAACTGACAGCAGAGTTAGCATAACACATTAGATACCAGCCTTACTCACTGTAGCAAGAGTCGCAACTGAACAGATAGTCATTCTGAGAATGAATAAGGTTAGATGGAACAAAGAAGCACTGTATGATACTTGCCCCGCAGCTCCACAGCCAGCAATTGCTCGCCCAAAGATCAATACCTCCATGGAGGGTGCCTAAAAGCATTTCACATTTGATCTGATAATAATAATGTAGTAAAGTATGCTACATACGGCACCGCAAATTACAGACCCGACTTCGAACAGGGTGATGGCTGACAGATAAACTCCTTTGATCGGAATAGTGGTAATGAGCTGCCCTACGCCTAGCATCAGGCCGGCTTGTGTTAGGAAGTCTACGACGAAATTTAGTTGAAAAGTCAATGTGGTGTTGAGAAATTACATACATGCCGCAGCTACCCAGGTTGCCAAGTTTAATGCATCGAATATTGACACAATGCGGGGCAAAGCGGTAGCAACCTTCGAAGCTCGTTATGACGAACAAATACCGACTAAGTGCAGACAAGCTCACAATAGTCTGATCTAGGTTGACAAGAAGGCCAGAGAGCATCAGCGCACTGGCAAAATCGGTGAGCAGCAATTCTACCAGTTCCAAAGTCATGCGTACCCGAACACCAAGAGCAATTTCGACCCAGACAAGTAAGCCGGCGGCGAGTTGCGCACAGATACTGGTTCTCCGATGTCCAAGCCCTCGACCTTCGTTACAGGTGTGACGGGGATGGCTATTGCATCTTCGATGTCAGACATTACGACGAAAAGCACCAATGTATGTTTGTGGATGGCTGGTAAGCTGTAGAGTGTGTTGGATAGAGTCGACCGTAGAGCAAGGCTACGTGTACTGATTCAAATGTGCATCGAGGCTTTCGGTTGTGTACCTAGGGATGCCCTGTGTCCTGAGAAACCGCGGGTACTCAGAAGGATACCGTGGTCTAAGAAAGGACACATCAGTTGAGATGTCGACTCCAAGGAAACGTTAACCAACTTCCAAAGTCGCCCCATCGCATTCGTGGATTTGACATCTTCGTTTGAGGCGCCGTTCTTCGTACATCCATCTGTTCATCTTGGCAGGTCGCACGCTTACCATGCGCATGCGCCACTTCTATTGTTGAATCCCTCCATTCAACCTTGGGCGTCCGTCATATGAACAGTTCGTACACCTGCACTCACCGATCAGCATGAACGGACTATGGGTCTCACTATGCAGCGGCTACCCAACATTCAACGGAAGCCAAGGATCCTATGTAATTTCGGTAGAGGGTTGCTCGATGGGAACTCGCCTTCTTGGAAATCAAGACCTTATCTCCTCGAACAGTACATACCTCCAACACCAGGTTATAAATAGACCACAGACTTGATGATAAAAAGGGATACTATTGGCATACCAAAGAGATAACCAAACAGCAACTCCGTAAGTGCTCTAGAACCGTGAATCAATGCCTTGATCAACAGCTAGACCTCTGATGGAGGTTTGGGTCCAAGAGATGTACGGATATAAGGCTGGAATGGAAGTCAGAACTGAAGGTTCAATATTATGGTGAATCTATCCCGCATAACGGTTCCCCAAAACCGAATCGATCGAAATGAATCAAAAGATGGTGATAACTAATACATACCGCATAGTTCTTCGTGTTCATGTGAGTGTTAGCTCGGCTATGTCTAGCCCGAAGAACGCGGTGAAGGACTGATGATCACCCCTGCAGCAATCTATCCAGGGTTCACTCTATTCGAGAAGTTCAGAAGCTGGGCGGCCTACTGCCAGGGCTGAGGATATTTGTGCACTATTGTAAATATGTTCATCCATCTTTTATGGCAGTATAGAGTCTGGGCGAGGTACGTACTGGATAGCATATTCTTATGGATAAGTACCGCCGCAGTGCTTGAGGCCTTGAGGTAGAGGAGAATGGAGGACGAACTGAGCTTGAACGTTTGAACTCGCGAAGCATATAATTAGAACGCTCTAGCGCTCATGCGAAAAGTATGCGAAATACAGTGTTCCCTTCTTCTGTCTATGAATATGCAGCAACGGTAATCAAACATCGTCCGGCGTACGGTCTGCTGTGGGAGATGTAGCCTCGACTTTGACATGCACATCATACACCATGGTCATCCCGGACATCATGGGCCTAGCTCGTTGGTCCCAGAGTAAGTACTCGGTTCGTACCGAACAATGGAACGTGCTTATGCTAACGTCCGTTCAAAGCAGATGTTTGCATGATTTACGACCTTTCTACAGTACCGTAGTCATTGACAGCGACATCACCAACGCACGTCTGTCCCCCCTCTAATAATACTTCTCTACAATGCCGTTGTTTGGCGCACAGTATCCAGAGCATTCTGCAGAAGATGTGGGTGCCCCGATGCCGTACGACGATTTTAGTCTGGAGAAGTATACGTATGACTACATCATAGTTGGTGGTAAGTCTGCTGTCGTATTCTTTCGCGCTGCCCCTCAAGAGACTCTAGGGGGTACTGCTGGATGTTGTATTGCCTCGCGACTGTCCGAGATACCAGGAGCAACCGTTCTTGTTATTGAACGTGGACCTCTGGCGGATACTTGGACTTCGCGAGTTCCTCTCATTTCGTCCAATTCACAGAGGGCTGGAGCACCATGCGCCATATTTCCCGCCATGCCTCTCGCTCATGCCGACAATCGTGTCCTCCAACTCGTACAGGGCGAAGGGCTAGGTGGTGGCTCTCGAGTCAATGCGTGTTTATATACGCGTGGCAGTAAGGGGGATTGGGATAGTTGGGGGCGCCCCGGCTGGACGTATGACGATTTGCTTCCCTACTTCGTCAAGTCCGAGCACACTTTGAGTCATTCCGAATCGAACTTCAGAGGAAAGAAAGGTGCGTAGAATGTCTCGCCTTTCCTTTATGTTGAAATCAATGAATATTTCACAAAGGTCCATGGGAGAACCAGTCACTTAGCGAGATTCCCTTAAATATTGTGCGACAGTACGTCGCCTCCCCGTTATGTATGTCAAACACTCATATTTTTTGCAGGGCTAGAGATGTTGCACAAGCGCATGGCATTCCTTTCATTCCTGATATCAATGCCCCGGATGCTCCTGCTGTCGCCTCCGTTTCGCTGGATGTTACCATCAATCGACGCATGGAGCGTGCGTCAAGTGCTTCTGCTTTCCTCCCCAGGAAACTCGCTTTGGAACGAAAGGCTTTCCTGAAGATATGTACGAACACTCTTGTGCGGAAGATCGATGTCACGAACGGGTCCGACGGCCTTCAGGCTCGTGGAATTTTTTTCCAAGCCAGTGCAGGAAATGGCGGGGTTTACTACGCACGCGCACGAAAGGAGATCATTCTTTCCGCGGGCGCTATTGCTTCGCCCCAACTTCTTTTGCTCAGGTATGTCTCTATATATTGTCGAAGTACTGTTTTGAAGCCAATGACACATGAAGTGGAATCGGACCTCATTCCTACCTGGAAAAGGAGGGCGTCGAGGTTGTTCACGACCTGGAGGGCGTTGGGAATTACCTGGTGTGTGTTTTTTTGCCTCTACTTTGACGGGATCGCTGATTGCATGTTCCGTAGCAAGACCACGTTGGGCTATCCATGAGCTACCAGGTCCCCATGCACGATTCCCTCCATGTCTTACTCAACAGTCCAATCCGTGCTATTACCGAGGTGCTCAAGTATCTTATCTTCCGTACTGGCACATTTGCTTCTCCTGTCGTGCAAGTGGTGATGTTTCTGCGCAGTGCGCTAATTGGCGGCGATGGCCATGTGAACACAACCCGACCGGCCGAACTTGACTCGAGCGATCCTAGCAACATTCCCGACATAGAAATCCTACTATGCCCTGTACGCAGCGCGGATGGTACTACCAACGAATTGGACAAAGTAGGAGTATTTTCGTTCATACCGACCCTCATCAAGCCGAAATCTAGGGGAAACGTTCGACTCGCCTCCACAGATCCTCGAGAGCGTGCTCGAGTCGATCTTAATTTCCTCAGTCACCCAGATGACCTCGATACTCTCCGCTCAGCAGCAAAGTTCGTACGACGCCTTGCGAATGATATCCGTGAGCAGGGCTATCCCATGCAAGACTTACCAAGTAGTTGGAACCACAACGATTCAGACCTTGATCAATTCATACTGTCGCACATTCGCACTGCTCTGCATTACACATCGACTTGCAGGATGGCGCCGTTATCGGACCTTCATCCTGGAGTGGTAGATGATGAACTCAGAGTCCACGGTATTCGTAACCTCAGGGTTTGCGATGCCTCCATTTTCCCAGAGATTATAGCCTCTCATACGATGGCCCCAGTGGTTGTGGTTGCCGAGAAGTGTGCGGATTTGATCAAGGCGGCCTTGTAAAGGTCTTGATTTTGGAAGCCTACAGCGGTGCGCTATGGACTGTAATGTGTAGACTCGTGCTTTCATCGGGTCATTCTCCCGTTACAAGATCACCTTGTCGTTATTGATTCAGACATTCCACACTCTCACCCCGAGCTACCGAATTTGTATTTTCTCATCTGCATCAGTTCTTCACTTCCGTGGTGATTTGCCGGCGCTGTACAGTATAAAGGTTTCGGAGTGTGTTTTTCTGTCTTTGGAGCACTCGTTCAATTTGGACTTTTGTTTTCGCCTTTCGGGGCTTCGGCATCTTCAAGTTCTTTCCAAGTGGTCGTAAGTTTCCGTGTGCTTTTGCTGATATCATACACGTTGATATCAGAAGTGTTCTTTCGGAAGACCGAAGACAAAATACTCCCCAGGCGAAAGGCTGGGACCCAACATGAGGAATCGGTGAGCTTGATTAGAGTCCCATACCTGTTAAGAGTAACGCTGGCTCGATGGCATGACCTAGGACACTGCATCTGAACCACATTCCATCAGTTGTGATTATCTCGCATCATGGAGCGCAGAAGGACCAACGATCGGCGATGACCGAACAGAGCCTAGTATGCATGAATAGTCTCAGAGCTACAAGCTCGGCGACTTTTTATTTACAAGGCGATGACTTTGTTTATCAATCACGATAGGAAGACGCAGGCAATCGGAGCTACGTGAATATAGCTGCTGGAAGCTAAGGTGTGAATCACCATGCCACAAAAAAAAAATGATACGAAGATGTGTGGATGCGTGCTCGCCTAAATCATCTATGGGAGGATACTGAAATCTGGATACAGATATCGTTAACGAGGCCGCGTCATGTAATGGACCTGACTCTGAGGAAACCTTATTTCCTGATGCTTGCCCCACTATTGGATCTAGATCCCAATACACAATGCTTCATGGACGTTTACGGTATGTACATGCACTCGTGTTTGTCATCGTAGCCCCTCGTTCTTGATATGATGTTGTTGTATCATCGATCTTCCACGGCGGTTCGGACGGACTTATTATCAGAGAAATAATGTTCATTCGGTTTCCAACTTGCGAATGTGAATGCGGTCTGTTATGAACTCCGCTATTCTGGACAAGTCGTAATCACTATAAGACGCAGTTCAAGTCAAATGCTGTCGCCACCACCTATCGTAACCCTCAATCACTCATCATGAGCAACACCACTGCGGCAGATGCCTTTCCTCCTCCTCCCCCTCCAGGTTTGAACTACATTGCTGTCGTTCAATCGTCATTGAATGCTTTGATGATTGGGACGGTCTGGTCGGCGATGCTAGTTCCTCTACTCCTCACGCTTTTCGTATTCTCCACCCGTGAACTTCGCCGGAAGCCGATCTTTCTCCTCAGTGTATGCGCCATCCTGCTCGGTTTGGGAGAGGGCAGTCTAAATTGTTACATGATGGTGGGTAATTAGAGCAATAGCTGCTCTTTGTCAGAGCGTCCACTCATTCTTCTCTTCAGGTTCAATTGATGTTGAGACCGCTTGAACCCATGTCACCGGCCTTCGTCATGGCTTTCGGTGCTTTGGAGATCATGATTCCCATTCTCGTCGAATCCATCCTAGTTGTTCGACTTCTCGCGGTTTATCCTCCTGCGAGATCATCCTGGGCTCGCATCTTCATTGTTTTTGGACCTTTGGTCCTCATCAAGATTGGCCGTCTCGTCAACGTCTCTGTCGGTCTTGCCCAGATGTGGGCGATTGTACGAAGCATTGACAACCCGTTGGAAGCGGGTCAGGCCCAGTGGCGGCGGCATCCAGCGATGCAAATAGAGTGGATCTTTCAGATTGTCGATAATATGTAGGTTCTCGCATCACCCGGCTTCCAGAGTACTGACGACCACTACGCCCAGGTACTCCTCTGCTCTATTCCTCTGGCGTTTGCGATACGGCAGCAAATTAGCAAAGGAAAGTAATGTGAATCGGACATGTAAGACTTCGTCACAAATGTTGCATCACATTTAGCTGAACAGACCTTTGCTTAGCATCGCACCTCTCCAAGTTGCGCACATTGTTCTGGATCTCTGTATCCAACTTCGTTTTCCCAGTGTTCCTCAGCCTTGCTCAAGTAATTTTCGCAAACGTGGACAACGACTATTCACTGGCGGCATACGTTTTCATGACCAACAACTACGTGGAGATCATCGGTGTCCTGCTAGCTACTGTTTGGACGGCTGGAAGTAACTGGACAGAGCACAAAACCCAGCACAACAGTTCCAGTGCGATCTCAACTATGCTCTTCCGAAGAAAGAAACCGAGAAAAGACATAAGCACCCTCGGATCAGTAACGGTCACCAAGACCGAATTTACGCTTGGTGACAATGAGTCCACGACCAGTCACATCCAGCTGCATGAATTTGGGGGTTCTGTGACAGATATGAAGAAGCCGACGCCTGCCATTAACATCTAGCCGCGTGTAGCTGGGAATACGATGTACAGTATGTATTAACTGAGCCTTTACTGTGACTTCTGCTTCATTCCTTACGTCGTCAGTATCTTCGAAATCTAACCCATCTCATTCAAGAGTTATCGGAGCCATTCATGTAGATGGCCTGTATGATATCAGTTTTACGACCGTGGAGCATGTACAAGCAAAACCGAAAATCTTTCTGCTCGTTTGCTTCCATGCCCACCTTACAGTAACTTACTTAACACACATGAGGTCCTCAGTTCGAACCTGGGCCGACTCACATTGAGTTTTTTTCTGCAGTATTTATATACGATTCGATGCCGATTGGCCGAATTCGAAGCATTCTGTGTGAAGACGCGTCGAGCTTTCAAAGCCTTTAAGTTACGGACAGTAGTGAACGGTACTGAACGTTGAGGCCTGAACATTCAACGTTGGACACATCCATAACTTCTCAAGATCTCAATGGCAGGTGTACCATCAGTAGACAAGATAACAGAACTTCTCAAAACCTCACCAACCACGGTTGCTCGAGTTCTTCGAGTGTCGCAATTACGGCAAGATTCTCGTCACACCTCTCTGATGTCCAATTTCCATGCAGCTGTGGGCCGTGTGCCTGTCCATGGCGAGGATGCCATCTGTTCCAGCGAGCTGCCAGTTTATCTCTTCGATCTTGCCGTTGCCGAGGTAAACAATAGGGCTACAGCCGATGGAAATATGGTCGGTCTCTTAATATCCTATTGATTGCACCATATTTCATACAACATGATGGTAAGGCATATATTATATGCCTTCTAGATACCCTTGGATCATGCATCGCTCGATTGATCTCGTATTCTGCCCATCATCCTACCAATGAACCTCTCAACTATATCATTACGAACCGGGACAAGTTGTGGCGGGCCCTTTATGCGAAAAGGGCCTATGTGCTTGCAGAGGACTGGAACGAACCCCAGTACATCTATACAGACGAGGGTCCAAGAGCCTGTGTAACTACACAATCGATGGCTTACTGTATATGTTCTGTTACAGTCTCTCTGTTTGACCTAGTGAGGCTTTGCAGGTGCGATCCCATTTGACACATGTCTATAATACCTTGACTTGGATTATTAGTCACGGGGTAACCACCGTCCGAAATCACTGGAGTGCTGTAGTGCTCTTGCACGCCTTCAGTAGGACATTAGGTACTGATGCCACAGACAGCCTACCCTACGTCGCCTCGTTGTGCACGGAGTCTGGGACGCGCGTGATTCAAGAGGCTTTCGAAACGGCGGGACTATTAGATTCCTTCTTTCATACCATATGGTCCCTGCTAAAGACGCAGATTGGCATCAGTCTTTTACATCTTATTCGTATCATCTCAGCGGTTGTGACATGCCTTCCGACCGCTGCCAGTGAATTCATGGTATGCCCCATAGAGGGCGATGCCACAATCATTATGGAATATCTCGCTCTTGCTTGTCAACGACAGCTCTGTCACCACACAGTCAAAAGCACTCTAGAGCAGACTGAGACTATTGTCCTGTCAGCTCTGGTACCCATGAGGTGAGCATTTTGTCCGGGGAATTGATTGCGCAACTGACTCCTTCAAGTGTTATCATTGCGACACGGGGAGCGTCTTCATGGCGGAAGAAATCCGGTGCAATCGAATCTATCCGTAAGTTGGAATTACTGCCACTTTACGCCTTTGCTATGGCAAATGTGAAGAACTCTAGTGAAGTCAAACTACTCGGTACAGTTTTCCCGCCAATAAACTTGAACCCTCAGCTGAACTGGTGTTGTATGTCCAGGACGTTCATCCCGCATTGTCCTGGCTTATCTAGACCTGCTGCGTAGCTCATCAACAACTCCAGAGACGTACAAAGAACTTATAGAGACCATTGGGAAAATATGGTTTGAGCCCTTTCGTAAATCCAGCCTTTTCGGTGTCGACAGCGAGGCCATGCGAGCCTGGATGATGCTGGGAACAGCGGCCGGGTTGCAGGAAGGTATGGAGGCTCGCAGGTACCTCCCAGGATTTTCTTCCCATTATCGATGTTGTCAATGGAGAGATTGTCTCTGTTCTCATAAGAGGCCTCCGCATATGCACGTCTGTAAGGGCTGTTGGAGGGTATTATATTGTTGCAAATTGTGCCAAAAGAGGTGCGCCAGTATACTGAATTCCTTCCACGATTTTGCAAATAATTACGCTATATCTATGCAGCGATTGGATCGACCACCGGAGACGATGCAAGGTCTCTGGATGAGCCGGCACTTCTGACTGAACACGGCGCACCTGCCGTTACGATTGAATACTCTCCTTCCCCCTTCGAGTTTGCATTTCGCAAAGTTTCCCTTCAACCCAAACCTCATCGACATCTTACACCCCATTGTTCGGATGACAGAGACGAAATGAACCTCTGTACTTAGCTTCAGGCTTCCCGGCGCTCACCGTATTTCCTTCTCCACGCATCTATTCGCTGAACACCACGTTCTGTTAAATTCATACCCTCTGCTCTAGCCGGGTGGGATCAACAGCATTTGAATACTTCTTTCATCTTCATCTATGATATTTGTACCCAAAACTCAGCTTCGGGAGTAGTGTGGATTAACCCACTATGCCACTATAGCTAGCGTCACAACGCACGCAAGGACATGGGCGGCACTATCGTACACCAGAAGTCTCAGCCCACTGCTTACTTCCCATCTCCACTAATCGTGAACAACATCGAGCGAAAGCAAAGAGTTCCTCCTGGCCTGTGAACATGGAACTAGAGCCCACGACGTCACCTGACAAGCCCTGCGAGTGATGATCAGATACATTCGACGGGAGAGATGGAAGATACTTACTAGGTCATCCATAACACTACGCATGTGGTCTGAGATCCCGTCCTCGCCCTTCCCGTGCGGGTCGTCAGAGAATATCTTGTAGATGGGGACTTCAGAGGTGACGAAGAGTTTCGTCTGAGAGTAATTGAGCAAGCCACAAGGCATTAAAAGATGGAGAAACATACCTTGCTCTCGTAGCATGCATCAATGAAGGTGATGAATCTTCGGGCCTGAATAGATAATCAGACCGTGTTTGCGATAGCCTATGATATTCGAAGACTCACGAGATCCTTCTCACCCAACCCCATCTTCGGAACGTCTAATACGAAGATCGTCCCAAACGTCTTTGTGATCTCTAAATAATCCGCTGCGCTCAATGGCTTTCCACACAGATCATGAAACCGGAATTTTGCCACTTGACTTGTACTCTCTGGTACAAGTATTGTCCTTCCCCAAGTCTCCAGTTTCCTGTTGTATAGAAGAGGGTCCGAAGGATCTGAAGTAAAAGCGGAAAAGATCTTCTCGACTTCGGCTTTGTTCTCGGGTGTTAGCGGATCGTAGTATACGTGTGAGAGGGTACGAGGCATCCGACGATAATCTGTTCCTGAGTCAAGGTCGGTGACTTCGAACCGTGACTTCAGGAGTTCTATGCAGGGTATAAAGCTGGTACGTTGAATACCGTTCTTGTAAAGTTCGTCTGGATGCCGGCTGAAATCAAAATGTAATCAGTCTAGCGACGCACAACGTCGCAGAAGCCAGTCGCTCACTTGGAAGTGATCACGGAAATAACGCCGTAGCTTAACAGCTTCTCGAACAGTTGCCGGAGAATCATGGCATCTGCAATATCTGTCACCTGAAGCATGAGGCCAAAGTCAGTATCCTCATGTTCAAACATGCAATCGAAAGCACACATAACCAGTATGCTCCGCGCACCTGAAACTCGTCAAAACATAGCACATATGCCTCGCTCGCCAGATCTCTAGCAACAGGCCCTATGGGATCACCTCCTCTGGCTCCCAGCATCCGTTTCGCGGCATGCAAACGTTTATGTACATCTATCATGAAAGCATGAAAATGGACTCTCCGTTTCCGTTTTACATGTGAGGGTAGTGTATTATAGAATAGGTCCATAAGCATTGTCTTTCCTGTACCAACATCTCCGTAAAGGTATAGACCCTGAGGGACTTGTTCAGGCGGTACTGAGATGGCATGAGTGGGTCCGCGAGAGAAGAGCCGTGATATCTGTAAAGGAGCATGGGGGTGACATTAGGCTATGCAATCATTGATGTTACGCCCCTGAATGGAATAGAACGCACTAGTGTTGGGGATGATGAGGATGCTGAGGGGGGAATCGCAGGAGGTTTATAAGTTACGAGCTCGTCATGAAGTCTTTGTAGCTTCTGTACTATTCGTGTCTGGTGATCGTCTGGCTTTAATGTTCCAGACTCCACCAGCTTGAAATACTGTTCGAGGGGTGTGCTCGATGGCGCTGTTTGCAACGCGAAAGTTCAAAACTGGTTGCATGACATAAGACAGTTGCAGAACACACCTAACGGGACTCGCGGATTACCATTGGTATGTTTGTCTACCAGTAATGACGCATCCGATCGAGGCTCAGCACTCCCAGGGGAATGTTCCAAAGCCAGAGAAGAATTGAGTCGTTTGCGATCGGTGTGAACGGTTCTCCTCCATTGGCGTTGTCGCAGAGCCAAGAATCGTAACGAGGCCCGTTGATGAGTGTAAGGAGATAAGAGGTTCCGAGAGGGCGGTATAGGCACCCTCAAAGTTCTCATTATTGCGGGGTAAAAGTTGAAGGACGAGTACTTTACAGTGTGGTATGCTCTAGAGTGTGTTCTGGTATCCAAGAGATAGATGATATTCTTCAGCTGCGTTCCCCGAGGTGCTCCGACTTGCCCAGATTGCAGGGCAAGAAAGACAAGATGGTCGACCACGGGTTCCGGAGCTCCTATAACATGTACTCGGCCGAGTTAAGTCCATCAGTCCCGATCACTTTTGGCCTGAAACGGATACGAGTTGAATCGACATTCAATTCCAGTCGGATGTGTTATCGTAGTACTAGCCTACTATACACAGCTAAAGTACCTAAACTGAGGGTAGACATGGCGTTGATTAATGTAACAGAGCCCGTACAATTAACAATATCTTGCAACAGACGGAGCAGAGGGGGTATATCTACAATGTGCGGTTTATACAAGAGAATAGAAGTCCGAGATCAATAGAAGTCCGTGAATGAGATCAATGTCAGAGGATGTAAGTCCAAAGAGCAAAAACGAATGCGACTTGGAAGCTTGACCAAAGGGCTCCATGCTGAATGAAATTTGAAAGCGCGCCGCTCGTGGTTCCTACGTTGGTACCAGTGGGAATGGGCTGCGTGGACGTCGCACTTGGCGGCGACACTGAGGTAGCAGAAGGCAATATGACACCGTTGTAGGTCGCACGGATGATGTTGGCCGCCTGCTCAGCAAGACCGTAAATGGGAGCTTGCAGCTATACCCAAGAGGTAAATACAGATGCGGAGATAGGTCAAAAAAATACGCACATGAGCAGCAAATTGAATAGGATAGACCGCAGCATCTGCAATCCGTACGTTGGCTACGCGACTAATCAGCATCGCTGCAAAAATTAATTCGACGTTCAATCAGTTACTCACCAAGTCCGTACACCTTCAAGTTGGCGTCCACAACACCACCTTGCTCCTTGGGCAACATCGCACACGAACAAGAAGGGTGGAACTCAGTACCAATGGCACCAGCGAGCCACTTGTCCCAATCCTCGTCTGTGCTGACAGAAGATCCAGGTGATAGTTCATCGGTAATAGCGCTATTCAAAGGAGCAGTGTTGCCGATCTTTCGAGCGAGCTTGAGACCTTCTCGGAGCATGATCCTGTCTAGAAGAAATTCGTTCAATACAACAAAATTTACCAAAAAGTGAAAGTAAGCTTACCAGCAGAATGCGACAAATAGTTGGGGTCGATGATAGGGTAGTCGAAAGGATCAGATGTGTTGATATACAATCGACCTTGACTGAAAGGGTGCTGCAAAGCGGCCTGAATGGCGACACTCTGTGCACCACCAACAGCCGTACCAGTCAAACTGAGCAAAATCTCGACTTGACCAACAGGCGTCGTGAGGACATTCGCAGTGGTCTGATAGATCGCCTTGTATCCTGCAATAACAGTAGGATCTTGGCTAGGCACAAGTGAAGTCGATGACTGATCGAGTGCGTCGACGATTTGCTGATGGAATGTAGGCGTGAAGTCTGGGCCGACAAGGTCAGATATGTTGGCATAGGCTGTTGCGGAGTTGATGAAGGATAAGAACGGTGTCGATTTGCCATCTTGCTGTAGGTTTGGATCAGCGTCTGGGAGCGTCCATGAAAAAAAATTATAACATACAGAGTTAGAACCGGCAGAGTGGATCGAAGCTGCTGTGTCCTGAGATGTCTTCCAAACAACTTGGGTACTCTATAGCGAGAATGTTAGAAGACGATCCTCGCACTAATAACTCATGCTGACTACTCACGATATGATCCTGGAGGTGCTGTCCGACACCAGGCAACTCAAGGCTGACAGGAACACCAGCTGCGTTCAAGACGTCCTTGGGTCCAACACCGCTATGCAGCAAGATGTGGGGGCTACCAATCGCGCCACCAGCCAGGATGACTTCCTTCCGAACGTTGACCGTCTTCTTCGGTCCATTACGTGTGCTAGCAAACTCAACAGCGCTCGCTGTTAGGTTCCCTTGCGAAGAGGAATTTGAAAAGATTAGGCGTGTAACGGTCGCATTAGCAAGAATCGATAGATTTGGGCGGTTGGGTAGAGGGTCTATGTAAGCAGAGCGGGAATATGAACGGGTCCAGTTTGATGGGTTGATTGAAGAAGTTGCGATGAAAGCGCCCCAGCCTTCTCCACCGTTTGCATCAGCAGTTCGAGGAATACCGATCCCTTCAAGAGTAGCGGTCCAGTTGCCAACGATCGGCAAAATGCTGAAAATAATCACTTAACGTTCAAAACACCGTCACAGATAAATAGAACTTACAATCCGGGATATGATGAGTGAAGGGGTCCATCAAAACCATGACTACTCTTGTCATACATGATCGCACCCTCCGTTTTGATTTCAGCACTGGGCTCAGTGAACGTCTCAGACTTCTTCATGGCAGCGAAAAGACTATTCCAATTCCAGTCATCGCCACCAGGAATCATGCCTGCCCAGGCATCGACCTCGATTTTAGAGGGTCGCACGGAGTACATGCCGTTAACGGCGGAACTACCGCCGAGCAGTTTTCCTCGTGCCCAAGGGAGAACACGATTCCCAGCATTAGGCTGAGGTACGGTGGTATATTGCCAGTCATATGAAGTGCCAAGCAAGGAAGAGTAGTAGGCGTTGCCCGGAACGTCTGTAACGCAATCAACCCCATCAGTCAGGGAACATCATGTTCGAAGGGTCAAACGAACTCACCAACAGAATTTTTGACTGCATCACCGGTGTCGCCCGCTTCTAGGACAAGCACCGTAGTATTAGAGTCTTCGGAAAGACGAGCGGCGAGGACAAGGCCTGCAGTTCCACCCCCAGCAATTATAAAGTCGTAAGTGTCTGCGATCTGGCCATCGTAGACGATATTTCGTTTGTACAAGTCTCGTGAATGTTCAGGTTCTGGGCTAGAGAAGACAAGGGTTGAGAGAGATGCGACCGTCAAAAAGGTGAGGGACCGCATCAAGGTCAAAGAGTGTCTGTATCAGTCAAGCAAAAGAGCGGCAGTTTTCTAGGAGAAACGACTGAAGGATCAGGCGCAAAAAACACGCCGTTATATATCCCCACACCTTGCTCTCCGAGCCCATTCCTCGGTGAATACATGGCCGTACATGATGGGAAGTTATATTTTGTAGGCGCGCGTTTTGGGGACCCGCCTGGAAGAGTCTCGGCAAAGCTTGGCATTATTGGACAACTCTAGCTCTTGATATACGAGGAAATCATTCTCATTGCATATGGACGGGACGCGGTCTGCAGCTTTCTGGATGTTCATCGCCTTTGTTGCTACGTTGCTGCTGTACTTGCAGCTGGCCGCCGAAGTAGTCCCAATGCGTGCTGTTACAGCGAGGTAATGTATCTGAAGGAATTAATGCTGCGTGTGATACACTTTGCAATTCACTACTAAGGGGAACGTGGGGAGTTAATCATATATATTACAGAGGTAAAATATCATCCCATGCTAACTTCACATCCCAGGACCGAACAAGCTAAGCCAAGCAGACGGAGCAGGCCCACCCTCTCTAACCCTGGTCTGGCCGCAGTACGCAATAACATATTTTGAAGGATGCCACTGCACCGTTTGCGATGGGCCCAAGGCTGGTATACGATGAAGAGGCATGCCCGTCTCGGTTGCACACTACATGAACATTTCAAACATGAGCTATGAAACGACTCGCCCGAAATAGTAAGACTCTTACAATGTCAATGTAAGATCCGGTGTTTGCGATTGCGATGAACTCGCCGTCGTAAGAAAAACTTAGGGCCGTAATGGCATGGCTGAATTCCAGCGTCAATAACTGTTGTCTGAGCTCGTCGGAAAAGAAACACGTACTCGCAGGCAGTGATGGTTCGTGCGCATATCCACTCGTTAAGGTCAAACAGGTTTACAATTGAATCGTTGCCTCCCGTTGCAAGATACCTGAAAATGCGCAATATCAGAAGACATTCAAAATTACTTGCAAGATCCTATCTCACCTTCCCCTAGGATCCAGAGCTGCCGCCACACAACCGCCTATATGTGCAGGCAGACTGTGCACCAGTTCCAAACCAGGAAAGCTGAGTATCCGAACGCTGGACTCAGATGAGTGCGTAAGCACTATGCCGTCCCCTGTATGGTTGAATATCGCGGTTGTGGCAGGAATCTACACCCAAGTAATCGTCAGCTTTCAATCCGGTTGCGGAAATGTCATGAAGGTAGTGCCTACTGGCTGTGAGTCAGATAGATACCACTGCTCCTTCTCATCACCCTCTTTCTTGCCATACGTCAAATAGTACATACTTCTCCCAGTAGAAGTTACTAAGAGTGTTCGACCATCTGGCGAGTAAGTTGTTTGCACAGGCGAGAATCGGACTGTCAGTGACTGAACATATCGACTTTCTGAGACGAGGATACATCAAGCGCCGTTCATACATATCAAGGAGAAGTGCGTACGTCGAGCATCCCAGAAGATGATCCTTCGGTCCTTGGAGCTTGTTGTGCAGAACAGTTCAGGATGTGTTGGATTCCACGAGATGTAATCAACGTCGTCTGAATGACCTCCAGAGTATATTTGTGCTGAGCGGAGCTCCATCTGTATAATAGTTACAAGACTGTGAGTATATATCGCAGGTACGATTCACGTACGCTTTTTTCCGGTGTCCAAACCCTCACGACCTTGTCAATACCGACCGCTCCTAACCTTTGTCCATCGCAGCTCCATGCAACATGGGTCATGACCTGTGAAGATATAATCCTGATATCTCTAGGTCTAAAGGCAGAGAAAGTAGGGGCCTAAAAGCATCAAGATCAATGTATACCTCTTTGCCTAACATGGAGCACGCGTACATGTACGCCTCGGGCAGCAAATGTAGTGTGAGGGGGTGGTGAGGGAGGCCGTTGCGGTGGCGGGATCTCCTCCTCATCCTTTCCGTTAGCAAGATGACTAGTTGAAGCCATGGTTGCTCGTGCGTTATGAAACAAGGGAAGAGACTGAAGTGAGGTGATAGAAAGAACGAAGGCAAAACGCCAGATCCACGATACAACGCGATCGAGGAATTTGATCGACCAGTGACCTTTCCTCTCAAAATGGACAATGTGCAAGTTCATTCTCATTATGATAATATCATACCACTTCTGTCTCGGTTTCGGTTGAGTTATTGATGATCTTTGTAACTATAGAGAATAAGTGAAAGATAAGTTTGAGCGTCCTATGCGCTTGTAGAGTAAGAACATACGAAAGGTATCTACATGAAGGCGACAGAGCAACTTCAAGTTGTAAGGTGACTAGCACAGAAAATGGAAGAAAACAATGCAAGAGCGAAGAAAGCAGGGGTAAGACAAATGCAGAGTGACGTTGGACTAGGACTTTGAGAGATAGACAGAGCATAATGAGACATTTCGTCCAAGACCTAAAGAACAATAGAGAACAGCAAGATGACAGGAGAAAGGGGAAGCATAAAGCATAGAGGGGTGAGTAACAGCATTGCAACAAACGTGAGGGCGTTAGATCAGCACGACATGAAAGGCAAAAGCGAGGGAACAATATCAACATGAAACGAAAGCCAATGTCACATGAAAAGAAAACGTGGATTCAATCATCAGAATCCATAAGTGTACTCGGTGTACTGTGAAGGTGGCCGGACGACAACATCCGGAATGACTTCCCTTGCTCGCAATATCGCGCGCTGTTTGGTGGTTTCCGAACGAGAAAGTTTCAAGGGTTTCAAACTCTTCTTCAAGTTAGGATCTGATTCAGGGGCGTTCTCATCAACCACTGTCTTCTTGGATCCCCGTTTCTTCTTGCCAGGTGTAAGAGGACGGGTCTCTACCTTCGAGAGACCAACGCCCTGGTTTACCTCCCGATTTTGCAAGAGCGAAAGCGGGCGGAGACCCCCGCCGGGGGAGTTTTCAGATGAAGTGGGTGAAGTCGAAGTCTTTGCCTGAAGCTTGTTCGATCGTACTTTGGGTATAAGTGGTCGAACGCGCGAGGTCAGTTGTTCTAAGCGAGTAGGGGTAGTCGATGGTCGTGTCGTAGCAGCAACTGTCGGAGCTGTGTTTTCGTCAGATTTAATATACACAATGCTTGAGCGTCGGGAACTCTTGGGAAGTTTGGGAACAGGAGGTGCAGGTTCGTGTTGGCCGGAATATCTTGTGTGAGTACGTTGTGATTCGTGTGGAGTGCTTTCAGCTTGAGGTCCAGACCCATCGTTAGGGTTGAAGTCGAAGAGTGTTACCTCAGAATTGGCGGAAGGAGGAGCCATACGCAGTTCTTGATCTAAAGCGGTGATGAGCATGTTCAACGAATTCCGTTGGGAGGTCATGTTCTCTGGAACGTCGCTTGGGGGACATAGAGAACCAACGGGCCTTCTGGGAGCTGGATACAGACCAGGAGAGGTTGGTCGTAATGCCTCGTCCTCTTCTTGAACGACGTTTAAGTGGGATGAGCCTGAGCCGCCGGGAACAACATCTCCTTCCCATTGCAGTGTGTTCCTGCGGGTGGACTCGCTCACCGTGACGGTCAACTTGGTGTCAATTTCACGGTTCAATTCTGTACGCCAAGTTGACAGTGCATGGATGCCATCCTTTCCGAGGCTGAGACTACATATGATGCTAATCAGCAAATATTCCACAACATGCAAACAAAACCATACCTGGGAAGGCTGAAGTGATGCCTCTTGTGAGAGGTCTTTCTCGTCCTCGCCTCCTTCCTCTCAGCAGGAGTGGAATGCATCTCAGGAGACGAGAAGTCAGTCGAGATACCGCCCAGTTCTTGGGGAAGGATCTGCCTAGACCTGCGACCCCCCACCGTGCTACTCTTACCCATAGTCGTAGGTGAAGAGACCTTCCACTCCTTGCTAATCTTCATATCACTTCCCACCTTCAATCCAGGAACAAGCAAAGGCAATACACCGGCGGAAAGCGCGTCGATCTCCGCGGTGTTGTCGATAGCACCGAAGGAGAATCCGGATGAGTACGATTTCCTATGTGTAAGACGGGCTGCTTTGCGTTCCTTGATAGATGGAGGTGTGGGCGGAAGCGGGGAGGCAGGAGGAGGACTGACAGGGGGACCGGCGATGGACGAAATGGAACGAGCACGAAGATGGCTGGAACGGCGAGATGTGGGGTCAACTGCATCAGGCTCAACACCACTAACGGCGACATCCATAGACGAAGCGCGATGTTCAGGAGAAGGTGGAAGGACAACTGTAGTGGCCAAAGTCGAATAATGCCTTTGAGCAATCATGATCTGAGTAGCAAAAGCAACGGAGTCGTCTGCACCGGAATAGTACGATGAGGGTTTCGAATCTTTTCTTGGCCTGCCGTGACGACCCATCTCTGCACTAATCTCTGACTGAGGAGTATGTGGAACCGAAGGCAAGTTGTCGTGCATCTGGATGGGCAATGGGGGCGTAAGAAGTTCTTCATTGAGGAACTTGCCCTCAGGTGGCAATACCGAAAGCTTCGGCTTCACGGAAAGTAGACCAACAGCACGACCCAGTTTGTTCCTACCATCGACAGCGTTTCCGTTAGCAATCCACACATCACCACTACGGCGGCCCTCGACAACAGTCACGCTTCCACTGCGTTTGTACTCGTGAGAGAACATCGGAAGAGTACTCGCTGGAGAAGGGGCGCGCATGACCATAGATGGAGGGTCGCTGTGACTGTCAAAGAGACCAGTTGGAATAGGGAGTGGAGAACGGAGGAGAATGTTGAGCGCTAGGATAGGTGATGACAAGGTGACCGACAGAACGAGCAGTACGGAAGAAACGGTTGAGCTGAGGGGATGTGTGGGTCCGAGCATCAGGTAATAGGGTAGAGCGAAGGCCTAAAAATGTTGTTAAAATGAGGTGGCGTGAAAAGTAGGCTTCAAGCATACCAGAGGAACCCAAACTGTGATGAGCCATCCAATAGCACGATAAACCGAGATGTCAACCTCACCGCCAGTGGCGGCATTGACAGCAGCGATCCCCTTCTCTGCATGCATTGCCTCGGGAGAGTAACCATAACCACCAAGAACGTCCGTGCTAACCATAGCAGGTGTCAAAGGACGAGACACCGCTGTTGAAGGAAGTAGCTCCGTGTGCAAATCTGGAGTAGAAGGGTAAGCAGCAGGTGTTCCCGGACGTGTGGTTGGGAAAGACCAAGCGGAAAGAGTTGCCTGTTCCGAGAAATGCTCGGACAGCCAAGACGACTGTGAGCCCATACGAGGAGCTTGACGTCTGAATGGATCATCGTCATGGAACCCGACACCGTCATGAAGTGTACCGGTGGATGGAGCTGTGGATGGTCTGTATGGTGACGGAAGTGGAGGTACGGGAGGAACAGGCGAATCACGGCCGTTGCCATACGGAGTAGCAGGGTTGAACCAGTAGGACGACTTCGGAGGAATGGAAGGATTCGAGGCCATGGCCGCTGGCATCAGACGAACACTTCCATTAGATGGCTTCGCGGAATGGTGTGTATGATGCGTCGAGAAAGAGAATGCAGATATCGAGTCGTGACGTGAACTTGCGCGAGAAGTGATCCACGAGCTTCCATCCTTTATCGCATCAATATCCTCTGTGGCGAATGACGGACGAGGCCTATCGGCGGCTTCCTGAACAGGAGGCCAAGTATCTCTCATCTCATTCAAAGCAGCAAGGTTTCGCTTGATGATAATGAGAGTTCCAATTAGACAACCGAAGGCTACAGTGCTCATGACTGCAAGGGTGGTAGAATAGGCGGTCAATCCAATGAAGAAACTAGCAACATTTGTGCCGGCAAAGACGCCTGCGAGTGCGGTAGACGTTATGGCGAGGACCGCAGTGGGACCCCAGAGCATCCAATGCTTTTCTCCAAAGGATACAGGGCGGCCTAGGCGAACATGGAGGAGAGTGAGCGATGCAACGATGAGTAGGCAAGACTGTCTGAGGGTGGTTGCAAGCCACAGTCGAACAGCAGAGGCAGGGTCATGAACGACGCCATAACCAGAGGGGCCACCGAGGTATTCGGTGATTACTTGCCAAACGAAGATGGCGAGGGCCAGGATGTCACATACAGCGAGCCAAATGTGGCTCTTATCTGCGGGAGAAAGAGACTTGAAGTTAGGAAGACCAAATTCAGACTGTAAGACATCGTCAGTCCATGCAATCAGAGGGTAGGATGTGATACGTACAGGGGGAACCCGACGGCTTAGCGGATGAGGGGGTAAAATTGGTATTACAATGCGAAGTATCACGAAAGCTGAAGCAAAGAAGGATACAAAGGCGAGAGCAAGAGTTGCGATGATTGGCAGCATATCTGTAGCTTCGTAGGTTGGTATGCGTTACTGTTTCTTGAAGAGGTCTTGTAGGGAGTGTCGTGTGCGTGCGGGCGTATCTGGCGTAAGGCCTTCGTGGAGCCGTCAAGCAGGAACCAAAATGCGAGGCAAACGAAAAGCAACAAGCGTGAACGTCCAGGACAAGAGCTCAAAAATCCAACCGCGGGAATTTATCCTAACAGATGGACCCACAATGCCAAACAGCCTCGTAGCGACGCGAGGCTCGCGTACCAGACACGTGCTGGGAACCTCCCAACATCCAGCCATTTGAGCTTATATCATGCAATGCAACGTCAGATGAATGGGTATGAAACGAAGGGCAAGATACGAGACATACTTGTCGGAACGTTTACGTTGAGAGGTAAACAATTTCTAAATGGGGCGCTTGTAATATCATGTAGGGCCCCGTTTTGGTAGTTCCTCAACACACACCGTTTACCTTCAGACCCCCATGTAGCACCCGTATCCGCATTCTGGGATGGCTTCATCCATACCTACGATAGAACATCTTCCTCTTACAACGCAATCTAAGCTACGCTCGGCCCAAATTCTGACCACACTGAGCCAAATTGTCTCTGAGCTTGTGCAAAATTCTCTGGACGCTAATGCACGTCACATCGATATTGGAGTCAATTGTGAGGAATGGGAATGCTGGGTTCGAGATGATGGAATAGGTATTAGTCGCGATGGCTTGACGTCTTTAAGCAGCGGTCTGGAGGAACGGCGATACAGTAAGTGCCATTGCGTAAACTAGATTCGGTTTACTTTACAATGTTTATAATTCTACTCCAGGCACATCTAAGGCATATACGGCTGCCTCGTTAGATTTTGTCTCAACATTTGGTTTTCGTGGGGAAGGTTGGGGGAATCTCTTCCTAAACCACGCGCACGCTGACTGAGGATATGTTGTTAGCTCTAGCCTCTGCAGCAGTTGTATCTTGTTTGGAAATTTCTTCGCGTACATCATTATCTAGACAAAGCTGGTCTATAATCCTCAAGGTATGATTTTTATACCAAACCTCTGATTCTCGTCTAACGGTGCACATTCAGGGTAATGACAACCTCTATAATGGTCCCTCTCTGCGTTGGCGTAGGGAATCACCAGGAACTGTTGTTTGCATACGCGACGCATTCTTTAATGTACATTCTTACGAGGCTTATAACTTCTGGTCACTCATGAATGCCTCCACAGCTACCTATTCGCCGCCTTTCTCATCCGTCTTCGCAGCGTACTTTGGAACTCATTCGTCGGGACATTGAAGCTTATGCTTTGGTCTTCCCCAAGGTGTCATTCACTATGGAGAACACCCATAAATCAAACAATCTTCGCTCAGATCGTGCCAGAATACTGGCTATTCCAAAGGTCAGCGTAGAAAGAAAATGATGTGCGTCTCCTGACCGTATACATACAGACAACGACCACGTTGAATGCTTTTCGACATATCTACGGTCGTGCTCTGACAGAGGTATGGTTGTACGCGTAGTCATGGGCTCAAACAAGACTAACTCTTATACAGCACGTTGAGGAGATCGCCGAGACAAAAGGCGAAGTAAAGGTAGAGGGCTTTATCAGCCTTGATGGCGGGAGTTCGAAGGTCAGTTTGCTCACTGAGATCCTGGATAGTACTCTTATAGCTTCCCAGGCACATCAATTTCTTTGTAGGTTCTATTGCGCGGAATATCGTGAGAATGAATGCTGAGGAAAAGCAAACAGACCTCAATAGGCATCCGTTATCGGCTTCCGACCTCCATAGAGTAATCGAACAAAAGTTTGCATCAAGTTCCTTCGCGAAAAATGTGGGTTATTGTGATTCTCGCTGATCAGTCATTCTCACTTCACAACTCGACAGGCTCTCGATGAATATGGAGATGCTTATCCGTCAGGCATGTCAACTGTATTTGTCCTGATTCATCCATGCTCAATTCGCACCGCAGCTCTTCTTCATTCTCCACGCAAAACGGAGAAGAAACCAATCTATGTCCTGAATATCACTGTTCCTCCGAGTCAAGTCGACAATTGCCTTGAACCTGCAAAATCCGCTGTCTATCTAGGGGTACTTTCTGTATTCATCTGATGTGTCCCATGGCTACTCACACGGGGATTGTTGATTCTAGAATGGAGAATTTATAGCCAACTTCTTGGGTTCAGTCGTGCAATCATTCCTTGTTCGACATGGTTTCGCTGCGCATCCAACAAAGCCCGCCAAGATGAGGGATTCGGTCCCATCATCTCCTCGTAAGAGGAGGAAGATAGATATCATGGAATCTCCACAACGCCCACCTCTTCAAGTGCGTGCAAGTGTCAGCAGCGCTAGACCTGAAACACCTCTAATCGTGCGCGAAGTATGTGTTCAATTGTGTTGCAAAGAAGGGGGCTTACATATGTTCATCATCCGTAGGACATGTCAGAAGGGGAAGATGACAAACTCATATGGACTGATCCTCACACTGGCAGTAAATTCGTCGTTGACAAACGTACGGGTAATTCATACCCATTCAAGCAACCATCACCTCAGGATGACCATCACGAAGACGATATACCCAAGGCCTCTCGGATGAGAAGAACTCTGCAGACATCTGACACTTCTTTCGATACCCCGGATTGGATACGCAAAGCCCTTAGTGTAAGTTGCTCCCCGGATTTGTTAACTTCTAGGTCCTTATCTAGCTATTATACAGACAAACCAAGCATATGCACTGATAGAATCAAGGATACCGTCACTTTCACTTTCATCTTCGTTTGCAGACCAAGCACGGCGGGATCCTTGTCACGCCTGTAAGGACGGTTTGACGTCCAGCCAGGTTCTCAGCAGCTCTCAATCTATAAGATTCGACAAGGCGGACCTTCGGAAGGCACAGGTTCTCGGTCAGGTGGATCAGAAATTCATTGCATGTGTTGTAGACATCGATCAAGAAGGAGAGGACGACGAGCAGGTTGCGGAGAACGCGCGACGCACGCTGTTATTGATCGACCAGCATGCTGCAGATGAGCGTGTTCGGGTGGAAAGATTCTTGAGCGAACTTTGCTCTGGCTTCCTTCACCTTGGATTTTCAGATGCGGAGAACCCTGGCGTGAAGCAGAGGCGACTCATGCCGCCTGTCCCCGTGCTACTCACGACTCGAGATGTCGAATGCATTACTATATCCTCGGATATTCAAGATACGATGCGACGATGGGGTTTCACGTTCTCTGCACTTGGTCAAGACCATACGGCAGTAAGTGGTGCTGCGATCGGGGAATCCAGGGATGAGGTCGCAAGCGGGTATGGACAGGTCTTGGTAGATGGTGTGCCCAACCTCTTGGGTAAGAAGGTTGGTGATCAGTATTGCAATGCCCGTTTGGATCCTTACGAGTTCTTTCAGCTATTGCAGGGAGACGAACTGCGAGACGTAATCAAGGGATTCGTGACGCATTTCGAGTCGTGCGGTGATGCGGATAGCTTTGTTCGTCCAACTCAAGCATCCAGCTCAGGAACGCCATCGTGGCAAATCGCTATGCGTTGGTGTCCCAAGGAACTGCTCGAACTTGTGAATTCGAAAGCATGTCGAGGTATGTGCTAATAATATGTTCAGAACATGAGAGCATTATTTAGACTTATATAGGTGCCATCATGTTCAACGACACTTTGACCATCGAGCAATGCGAACACCTGATACTACAGCTGTCGGAATGCGCGTTACCATTTCAATGCGCCCATGGAAGGTACGATTTGCTTCACCAATCGTACGCACTGTACAGCTCACACATTCGTAGGCCGTCACTTGCACCTCTTACAAGTCTGAGTACGTCAAATGTGACACACAGATCGAGACATCTGAACGACGTCAATTGGTCGCAATATTAATGATCATTAACGTATTATAACTTGGATCTGAAAATGCTTTGTTCCCTATGACCAAAAATTTCGGTGGGTTGCTTAGAAGTGTAGTAACCCTTGGGTAAAGCCGCGAGGAAGTGGCGCACTCAGCGCAGCCCACATTCAACATGTCTTCCACGCCTTCAGACCTATGCTGTGTCACAACGTCAGTGGGGCCAGCGAATTTTCTTTTTTTGGCTGAGTGTTTTCATCGACGGCCATGATGACCCACGCTGTCGTAAACTCAAGAGATGCCTCTGGAAGCTACTCAGAAAGGGACTCCACATCTGGTGAAAATCATCTGTTCTACTTTAGTATGGATAACCGTCACAAGCGCGTGTTCACTTGACAGGGGAACTTTGAGCGGGTATCAGACCTGGTGAAGATGAGCGAGACTGGGGACCACGCCGAGGAAGGCTAGAAACGATTCACATGCCACCAAAGATATATGTGGAAGTGAAAGGCATTGCATTCGTTGGATGATGGCATAAGGGACTGCAACAAGTGGCTGACGCCACCATAAGGCATGAGGCACGTAGGAATTAAGGAGCTCACAGCAGTCCGAGCTTGAGTGGCTGACAGGAACAAGCCTCCATTGGATTGGAGGGGTTCAACCTCGTGCTAAGGGCATGTTACACGCCGGTAGAGTAGAATGGTCGGCTTGGTCAACAACCGCCGTCTCAATAACATCTAAGAGTGACCTGGGTGTGTTCCCGAGACCTTCAAAGAAACATGAATATGGAGTAATTTGTAAGAAATCTCGTACCTTCTAAGAGGGGCCCAGAGGTTAGTATGAGTCACTCGATAAGCTGCATTCCTGGTGAGTAGCTCCGTATACGCAACACAGTAGTAAGGGGAAAGAGAGGTAATAATTCGCCTGCAAGACATTGTGCGTATCGTTAGTAACCAGAAGAGAAACAAAACGAGGACAAGAGCACAATAGATGAGAGAGACAAGAAGGGAGGTGTCAGGCGAGGCAGGACAGTGCGGAAGCGACGGTGAGTCGTCCGCAGTTGGTATGCTTACGTGATCCTAGGCAGCGTTTTCTCCTCTCATTGTCACTCCCATCCTCCTCGTCGCCACTGACATCGACAGCGGCTCTTTCTCTCTCCCCACCACCCTGATCGTCCTACTCTATTCCTTTGTACCATTTTCTGCCTTTCTGTCCTTAATTACGGCTAATAGTTTTCGACTCGAGTAAGTTTACACGGAACATTGTTCGCTTACATTGCGCTCACATGCTTCTTTTAACCTAGACCATTGCCGTTCAGATACCCCTTATGCCTGCTACAGTCACTTCACCCGTTCGCGTCAAAAGTCTCAAGATCAAGGAGAAAGGTGTCAGTGGCCACTCTCGCTTAAAGAAGACCAGAATTGTCAGGCGGAGGGGTAAAGCACACGATGGAATCGACAGCGATGACGAAATTGAGCGGGAGGCTAGGACGGACTCTGACACTGACGAGGACCAATCCATTTCTTCCTCCGAGTCCGATCTCGAATCCGAATCCGACGACGACAACCATGCCACTCGCTCAGAGGTCGTTACACCAACCACAACACAAAGTCCTCCTCCTCTTTCTGTTGTTCCGACCAAGCCTACGCAATTGGAAACCACAATTGTGAATGGTGAAGCTGGCCCCTTTGTTGGCACTACCGATTGGGCACAAATGGTCGCAGATGAGAACGCTCACGGGGCCAGTGACTTGCCTGTCATTGACTTTGCTGACCTTAATGTGCATCCGATCAGCCATCCCGTGGCGCTTGAGCCTCGCCCCCGCAAGCAGAAGGCATCCAAGAAAGCGCCACGGGCACCTAGTGCTGAACCTGTACAAGCACCACCCGTTCTTGAGGCGCCGCCTCAAACAGGTGACCACCAGCCAGCACCTGCGGAGGAAGGGCCAATTGCTTCCACCTCCAGGCATTCATCACGGGAACGTCAAGGTTCATTCCGTTCCCGAGGCCAAACTTCAAGACAGGCGTATCAGCAGCGACTCGAATCTGATCCATCCTTTGTCCCCAAGGTTGGGGAGTTCTGGGGTCATGACGACCGACTTTTGGACAAGGATCTTCGCAGTCTCAGCGGATGGTGGAGAGGTCGCTGGCAATCCCGCGGCCGCGGGAGAGGGTTCCCTATACGTGGCCGAGGTGGCAGGGGAGGCTTTTTACCTGGTCGACCGCCTCACCAAGGTCAAGGCGACGAACTTATCAACAGCGCTCCTGTCGATGTCCCTCCCATCGAACGTCCTTGGACGCATGATGGATTTGAGGAGATGAAGAACAAGGAAGACCGCCGTCGTTCAGAGATACGGCAACGTGTCGAAGCAGAACGCCAGGAGCGCTCTGAAAGTCGACAGAAGCAGGGCTCACCTCATCCTAGTAATTCGTCCCAGCGAGGGTTACCTTTCCGAGGTCGTGGCGGGTTCGTTACACAGCGGGGACGTGGGGGTTTCACTCGCGGGGTTTCGTCACCAGCTGGTCGTCCCTTCATTTTGCCTCCAGGTCGGGTATGGTACGCGATGAAACCCGAGAAACCATTCACACAGCAGCATGATTCGTTCCTATACTTCGATCCGTCTTTGAAGCCACGACCAGGCCAAGGAGCCGGTTTGCGTATCAAGCTTCCTGGTCGCGAGCCTCTGGTGATCCGTACACCTCCACGATCTTCACATTCTGCCAAGCCGTCTCTCGCGGGGACTGATACTGCCAGTGTTACTACTGGAAGTGAATGGTCAGACCGGGTCTTCACCGTTCGAATTCCTACCCGGCCAGATGTTGAGAAGGCACAAGCTACGACATCTACTCACGTTAGCGATGTTGTAGTGGCGGAAGAGCTCAAGGGCATTCGAGAGGAGCTCTCGATTGATGAAGTGTTCACGGTTAGGCCGCACGCCGGACCTCAGCATGTTCCTCTCGAGATTCCGCAGTCTGTGAAGGCTGAGCAGCCTGCCGTTACCATGCCTGCTCATCGTCATACTCAGTCGATCGCCTTATCAAGCCCTGCCAGGCCTATATCGTTCCTGCCAGAACCAGAGATTCAGCAACAGCTAGAGACCATTATAGTTCAACCACCGGTTGAGTCTTCTGTTGTCAGCGTAAATATCGAGGAGACAGTGTTGCGCAGGCCTCAGTCAGCAGGGGAAATCTATGCGCCTGTCCCTCAGGCTTCACAGGAAGAGTCTCGACCGGGGCCCCCCGTTCTCCCTCCTATCCAGACTTCTTTCTCTCCCGTCCCCCAGGCCTCTCCTCCTTTCCATGGCTCTCCATATGGATATCCACCTGCTCTACCGCCTGGCGTTGCGATGAGCCAGCTCGGCTACCCGTATGAAGTTGCCACTGGTCGACCCGTCTACATCCAACCTACTCCTCCACCTGTCATGTACAATCCCCGTCCTATGATGCAAGGACATATGCAACAGCTATCCAACGGTGGCGTGCCCTTCGTGCCTGGCCATATGCACCATCCTTCATCCGTAAGCTCCCCGGACTTCCTTGCCCAACCTCACACCCCTCCTGTCAACGGATTCATCGACCCCTCTACTGGTGTCCCGATATTCGCACCTCCTAGACAGAGCAGCCGGGTTGAGATCCGCGCGCCTTCTGATCGTTCTGAAGGAAAGGGAACGTCATCAAGAAACCCACCAGGTCCCTCGTCTTTGAGGACGTCTGTAATTGAACCGGAGACGTTTCAGAATGAGAATGAGGTAGAACCATCGTACATCGCTCAACCTTTTGAGCCGGTCGGTGGTGATTCAGGTGCCGAACCTCGTGAGGAAGCCGCTACGGACGCAGAACAAAGCCAGACTCTCTCGCCTCCGATGATGCCCTACAACCCATACGCTCAACCCTACTACTACCCGGAAGGGTACGGCTACAATCCCTATCTGGACATGTCGCAACCTGTCATGCATTATGAGATGTATCCTGCGGATCCGAACAATCAACGTGGACAGTCTCAACCCATTCTCTATTATTAATCGCTGTTGTTTTTCTACATTCTCACTTTTTTCTCGCCCGTCATCAGGTTCATGCCGTCTGTTGTTTGTTGTTTTCTCTGCTGTTTTTTTCACTGCTCCATCATGTCTCGTCTTGCATACAATTATATCGTACATACAGACTTAGGTACATACGCTCCATACACACATCCCCTCGTCATTATTGTTCATGCTTCCTCAGGTTTATACTCGTGTTCCTTTTTGTCTCAACGAATTCTGCCTCGCATATGGTCGTGTTCGATGTTGTTCCATGATTTAAATTTCCCTTTGTGACTCACTGCATCATATTCTTTTCTGCTGGTCTCTTTCATGTTTGTTGTAGGCTGGTGTGTCGATTGTGATTGAAATTCTTCTATGAGATAGTATTCTCATCACTCATGCGTATATATAAACAGGTCGTCGAAGCAGATTTTTGATTCTTTGGTATACAAAATCTAGGGCGCAATCATCATGTAAGTTCGGGAAGAAAATGCAAGGGATCTATAAAGAAGGCTGGAGGACTATGAGAAAATCTAGGGGAAGCGCATGAAGACTAGGGTGCAAAATAAGAGGATGCCTCCCGCAGTATCTTGGATTCACTCTGATCTTCTGTCTGGCTTTGGCACCAGCCACCAACAAATACCTTGAGCACCAAGTAGAGCTACTACCGTAGGCTCAACGACCCAAATTCCACGCTTCGTGCTCATAATCCCAACGATGAGCGGCCAGAACGCGCTGCCGCTCTGTCCGACAGAGCTCATAAGAGCAAAAGCATCAGCGTGCATGCTCCTCGGAACGAGCTTAGCACCGGTTGTAATGGCGGAAGCGTAGAATGTTGAAATGGCAACGCCGACCAAGGCAGTACATACTGCAGTGGATGAAAGAATAGGAAGGAACCATGCAATGCACTCTAGGGCGATAGCGACTAGGATGTAGAGGAAGACGGCACGACGCTCGCCGATCCACAGATTCAAGGCCGGAAGTGCGATCCTGCCAATAGCGACACCTAAGTCAACCGATTCAGATAGATGAATAAGACTTTTGGGGCACTTGCGTACCGAGGTAGAATCCAGAAGCCACCCATGAAGCCCCTTCAGGGCTTCCATTACGGACTTCTAGGATGTAAGAAACGATCCAACCTCCACTGTTTGCTCCACATTAGGAATTGTCATTCATTTAGATCGATTGGATACACTTACAGGGATTCTTCGGCTCTGTGATCCATTTTATTTCTGATTAGTCAAGCTGAGATCTTGGCATGAATCTCTCTACACATACCCAACATAGAGCATAAGAAAAATAGCTAAGGTCCATACAGCCTTGCTCTTGAGGGTGTCCCAGAACGCCTTGTTCGAGTGTTCAGGAGTACCAGTCGCAGCTTCTGCTGGGTGCTGTGGCAGAGCATGCAAATCGTGGAAAGCAACCCAGATCAACGCAAATATGGGCACATTCATGCCAACGTTCGTGGTATAAAATAGATGGTACTGTTGAGATAGAACGTCAACTCAAAACTTCAACTTGGATGGGAATAACCACATACCGGAACTCCGTGAGTGACCATAGCGGTAGCAACCAACGGACTCGCGAATGCCCCCAAGCCATAGATTCCATGCAGAAGTCCTGTCCAGAGGAGAGGTTTATCCAGGGCAGCGAAATATGCATTGCATAGTCCCAGCTACAATGCGGAATCAGCCGTTATACTCGAGTATAGTAAGAAATTCCTTTCAACGCACCTGAGTCGCAAATGCTGAGCCCACAGTGAAAAAGCCGAAGCACATCAAAGGAAAGTTGACCTGTTGTGAACTATTGATGACATTCTGCGAGGGAGCCGGTGCCTTGTTAATTACACATTGCTCAGGAGAATAATGAAAAACTGTAGCAACACACCCCCAATAGCTCGACGACGACCGAGGTACATAGTGCATGACCGAACCCGACCTTACGGGAAAGAGTTCCGGCCCCAATAGCTGCCACAACGTACCCGATAAAAGTGCACACGAACAGAAGTGAGACGGTTGCATATGTAATACCATGCGCCTGCTCGATATATGGGATCAAGGCACCGGTCGAACCACCACTGGGAGTTAAGATTTCTATTCAGTACACGCAAAGAATTGTAGGACAAACAGTTAGGAATTGAGCGCGTGAAGTTGTTTCGAACAGAGGTGATTTATGACCGTGGATGCTATGTGCCAGGGAGTATGTTCAGGACTAAACACTTACTTCCAGCCAGCCAAGAAAAAGGCAATGAAGGACGCGAACATACGCAGGCGACGCTTGAAGGTGCTTTCCTCACGAAGTTCTGCAACTATCACTTCCTGAGACATTGCAGGTGGAGGATACGACATATTCTGGAGGACAACTGGAATGCTTTGATCAGGTAGAGCATTGATGAGGGTCAAATCATTCTGTAGGTCCACATCTTCAACAATTTTGGGAGAGTCGGTTGGACGGTTGTCTAGCACAGTCAGTGCAGAATCCGTCCTTTTGTACATCGGTCTCGCGGCTAGCCATTGCTGAGCGTCATGTCGTTGGTCGTGTTCTACTACCGCTGAGCGAACGGCCTCAACGACCTCGACGGTGGGCTCTGATACAGTCGGCAATGAAGACATGGTGGTTGGGGTGAGAGATAGCTGAGCAAGCCGCTCTCAGAAGGATGGAACTTGGTGATATGAGTACCTGATTATGTACAACAAGTACGGCTCGTCCTCCGAAAGAGCTTCTGACTCAGTGTTCTAGGCCAAATTGTGTGGAAACTGTGAAAATAGCAGTCGTAAACCTGGAATATGTATATTAGAACTGATGATCATGAAGTTTGCATGAAGTGCTTTGAACGTTAAGACGCTTATTCTGCAGAACTACTCATCCTGACTTCGTAGCGGTAAGTTGTACCACGTTATACTGTAGCTGTTCCAAATCATACATGAAATTATACGGGATCTATGTCATAGAGTCAGAGGCATCGAAGCTGCTCAAACGAAGGGTATTAGATACGAGCCATTCAAAGTCAACTCTCCTCTTCGTTCCCGCCGCTACTCGCACTCGGTTGAGGAGCCGCAGTACCGTTCGTCTTCGGTGCCGACGAACTTGTCCTGGGAGTAGGACTTCCACTAGGTCGATCCTTTGAGCTCAACAAGCTCTGGAAAAAGTTCTGGAGCACTTCGTGTTGTGTTTGTCCAGAGCTAGGAGAAGACGCCAATGTTGGAGAAGTGACTGGAGAACGTCCAGACCCGGATCCAGGATGAGGGACTGCGAGGGATGCTGTTGGGGTCCGTGCAGACGTACGACCTGAGCTTTTGCGAGCCGTCTCCCCGTTGACACTGACATTGAGGGAGCCCGACCCACCCACATTGACTCCACCTTCCATCTCAGTTAAAGCTCGCTCCACGTTGGGTAGGTTGAAACTACTACTGCCCATCGGACCCACAATACCCGCTGCAGGGTTTTCTGTTGGATTCCTGAATGCGCCTCTAGGATCTCGATCAGCTCTTCGAGCATTCTCATCGTAGTTCTTGGCCAGGAATATTTGTTCGGGAGTAGGATTATTGAAAGGTGGCAACGACGGGGGCTACAAATCATATCAGCATAAGGACAATGAGAAGGTCAGCTAAAAGAAGTACCTTGGGTCCTTGATCAGGCACGAGGTTTGTGTATAATTTCCTTGCGCCAGGCTCATCCGTTGATTCGTCTGAGGAGTTATCCAGATCGTGCTCCCAAGCTTCTCCCCAAGCTTTCGCATCGAAGCCTTCTCTCAATACACCGATTTTACCCCAGCTATCCCAGCCAGCTGGGACAACGATGCGATCACGGTCCAACGTGTTTGGCTTGTGTTGGAATGGGAAAGGATTTCGTACTGGTGCCGCCACTTCGCCCGACATAGTAGGTGATGGTGGCGGAGGAATGAAGAGCATATGTAGTGCATATTGGCGTAGTACATGCAAGGTCTGTGGTTGCGGGGTAGTGTAGAAGAGACCAGCACCATCTATACATGTGTGTGTTAGTGCCTGTATTATGAAATCGTTATGAGATCTTACACTTCAAGCAAATCGTTCGCAGTATTTGCATGACGGTATCTGTTCGCTCCTCCCATTCTCCGCCCTTTCCCTTGACCATACCACCCATACCAGACGCACCAGCACCAATCACATCATTGTTTTCATCTATCAGGTCGGCCTTGGTACATGTCACAATGATCGGTACACCACCAATGTTATGTGTCAACGTTCCGAAACTCAGTGGCAACAATGCGCCGGATAGAGTGGAACTTGCGGGTAATGGTTCAGATGAGGGTTCTGTGTAATGCTGTATATGCGACTGTACTACGCGTCCATCATAAGCCAAATCAATCTTAAGAGATATCACGAATGCAATAACACTCACGTCTTTCACGGGTTTCTTCTCTGGTGATTATCAGTTCTCGAGAATCATCGCCTTTCACCCATGCCTCTATCCATGTGAGCCACGTGAGCAGTTCATCAACAAAGGCCCACGGACGAGTCCAATCGAGGACAATCATGATCAGGGTATGAGGTAGTGACGTCCGAGGAGGAAGGAAATGAGGCAAGAGGGAGGTATATGAAGGTGCAGATGACGGTACTGTGTATACCGACAGTCTTGCGAGGGTATCTGAGCTCAATACGCGTAGTTAAGTCAACAGAAACGCGAAGAAAATATGTGACAAGAGTTCGCTGCCTACCTTCGTCGACTTCGTCTCGTACGTCCGCCCAATCGTAACCCAAAGCAAAGTCGGACCGCTGGTCTTCTTTGACTTCGTCTGCAGCAGCCTTCTGAAGCAATGCAGCTGCAAGTGTGGACTTTCCCGTCGAAGGTTGTCCTAGTATTACTATCTGTTTTGCAGGGATTGACCTAGAAGTAGAGACTGAGTCCAAGATCGAGGACCATAGGTCCTGTGGTGGAGCTTCAGGAGATGAAGGCCTTGAGTTGTCCATGGTTGACAACTCCGACAAAGAAACCGAACTATGTGGTATTGGAAGAAGGGACGAATGAAGGGTGAAGTTTCAGACGGTTGAGCAGACGTGATAACGGTGTTTGAGATCAAGACAGTTCATAACTCTCATCTAACAAAGCTACAATTACTCAATTAGGCCTATAGAAGTAGTTTGTATTCATCATTAGTATTGTCTTGATAGGCACACTAATGCCTACTACTAATGTGCGGCACGCTCTTGAACACGATCGTCCACCACGGCCAATCGACATTATACACCTTTCGCTCAGGTTGCAGCATCGATTCCTGTACAAGTACCATCCTTCGTGGATGCAATCATGGCTGCAGCAACGTCCATTCCGCAACACAAAATTAGTGAATCGCCGAACTCTCGTACCATTGAGATCGGCGACTGGCGTATAACTGCCCAAACGAACCCTATCTCAAATGCTGGTGAATGTGGTGCATTGCAAGCCGTTCTCACAGGGATGCCCCTTCCCGAAATGACTTTCGGTAATAATTCGTTGGAGTTAGAGCATATACCCAGTCAGTGGAAATACAGCTTTAGAGCGCAGGATGCCTTGAAAGCTGTAAAATTCGGCGAGCTCCAGGAGGGCGATGGAGGTGTGAAGGTAGGGTACTCGGAAGCCTGGTTGAGGAGCCGGTATGCGTCTCGTTTGAATTTCGGACTCTCTGAATACCAATCGAAGTAGCACAGGCCCATTGACCGATTTGCCAATGCCAAAGACAATGACTACCAAGCCCTATGATTGGACCTACACCACGACTTATTCTGGGCACCAAGAATCCTCAGATATCTCATGGCAAGCCGCCGATTCTGACAATACTTCGCACACAATACCACTGGCCGAACTAACTCGTCAGGATCCGATATTATTCTACGCCGAGATTCCTCTCTTCGAGGACGAACTTCACGATAATGGCGCGTCACATCTTCTGGTACGAGTAGTGAGTGCCTGACATCTTTCGATGTCGTGAATGAAACCCTAATGATCTGACAGCGGGTTATGCCTACATGTCTCTTCATTCTATTGAGATTCACTCTGAGAGTGGACAATGTTCTCTTCCGGACATTTGATTCACGGATATATCACTCTTTCTCGTCCGAGCCCCCTCTCGTTGTACGAGAAATTAGTGGCTGGGAGGCCCCTTACGATCGGGTTAAACGGGTATGTTTTTGGTTTTGTCGTGCACACGTCCCGACTGATTGTCACCGGATCGTAGCAACTGCCTAAGAGAGATGACCTTACGCCGATGACCGATCCAAACTGGATCGCTAAGGTACTTACTGGCATGCCTTCTGAGGTAACTCAGCGAGCTGGTGCGGGGACGAAGTGGAGAGGATTGGGAACAAAGCTTGAAATTGCAGTGCTAAAGCCTTGATGCGTAAAAGATGTACACTAGTTTGATGATTTCGGACCCAGAGTAGAATTATTGTATATGTTTGTGAACTTGGGGCGACTATTGTCTCCCTACGGTACAGTAGAGGCTGGAAATGAGCAAGTCATGTTATTCAACGTTCAACGTTCAACGTCCTGTCTTGGCACTGCAGCTGTATGAGTTGAATTGTGTAAGCGCTCGAGAAACATTGTCGGGCGCCAATCTAGGAACATTTGCTTCGATCACTTCCACCAACGCTTCGCCTTAACTCTTGCACATTCCCTCACCTTTTTAGCTGTGAAACGTCATCATAATGGACGTCTCAGCTATTTTAGCAGCCCACGAGGCCAAAAAGTGTGTTGCGATTGCACTTTGTTAATTGCTTGTCGGCTTATTGACGATACGCCAGGCAAGCCGTTACAGTTGAGAAGGAAATTCCTCTTGAACTTGATACTGGACTTCTGGCTGTAACCGACCTGAACCCCATAGACTGTGAAAGCTACAAGTGCGCGCTCAGTATTCTCCTAATGAGTTGACCGTTTTGACTTTGTTCATCGTTGTAGTGAAAATCTAGAAGATTATCTCACATCGACTGCCCGTGACGGCGTGCAAGCTCTTATTGCAGCCCTTTTCTCATTACCTACGAGCTCATCAGCGGACGGTCCCCTTGCTCAGCTCCCACCACCTGCAACACAACTACCTCGTGCGAAGCCCCTACCAAAGCCCAAGCCTTTGACGAAGTGGGAGAAGTTTGCGAGAGCGAAGGGTATACAGAAGAAGAGAAAAGATAAGAAGGTCTGGGATGAAGAGAAGCAGGAATGGGTTAATAAGTGGGGATGGAAAGGTGCGAATAAGGATAAAGAGGTGCAATGGTTGACGGAAGTGCCTGCCAATGCTGGTACGTCCTGCCAGGTTATGTCTGATTCACAATATTTCTCACTTGACTCCCATAGATGTGGACTTCAATCCAAGTCAAGCAGCGCGCGCTGAACGGAAGGAAAAAATGGCAAAGAACGAGCGGAAGCATCTGCAAAATCTTGCGCGAGCTCAAGCGGCGCAGGGTACTCCAAACGAAAGTGGAAAAGTCCCTCAGTCTCAGCGGAAACAACTGATTGATTACACGTTGGCAACTACAAGAGTCAGTACGGCTAGTATGGGCAAATTCGACCGGACGCTAGAAGGGGAGAAAAAGCTGAAAGGCGTCAAGCGGAAAGTAGGCCCAAACATATTGTTCAGGAGCCTGTGCCGATATTGATTTTATTTACAGTTTGATGCTGCAGAGGTGTCCGCGGAGAAGGAGAAGTCAAGTAATCTCACCATCCTCTCAAAACTGGACCGCGAACCCGCAGCCAAGAAATCCAAAAACTCATCTGGTGATAGTGTTCTTAATGTTCGCAAAGCTGTGAGAGCAGTTAGTGGGGGACGAGGTAGCGCGACATTGGCACGAAAGGCGGGCGGGAAGGGCAACAAGGGCAAGCGATGATACTTCTTTGTCATTCCCCCTTCTTGTAGTCTTTTTGTCTTGATATCTTCTAGTGCACTACTTTTGGACGTTGCGAGTTTTTTAATGCCGTCCAGAATATATAAATTTAGATTCAAAGCATTGTAGTCGTGGGTCGGTGGCGTAGCTGGTTATCGCATCTGTCTAACACACAGAAGGTCCTCAGTTCGATCCTGGGCCGACTCAGGGATTTACAGACACGGAATAAGCTTTTGCTACTTACCAGTGTTTTTGCAGATCCTAGCTGACACGAACCCTATTCAAAAACCTCTTGCTGTGTTGGATATAATCTATCGTCGCACGCCTTGTATTTGCAAGTTGTCGTCTATTGTCGGGGGATGGTGTTTCTAAGTCAAGTATCATATTGCGCGCGCTGCAGAGTTTGGCAATTGGCTTCTTGGTATACTTTTCGTAGAACTGCTTGTGTGTAGTTTCTTCCACAACCTACGAATGTATGGCGGCGACACATGTTAGGGGCCTGAAAGCTGCTCTGAATGCCAACGGAAAGTATCGCTACAAGGCGAGTAGTCTCTAACGGATCCACGACTCAGCCTAGTTGAACCTAAAGTGGAGTATTGTACAGACACCAGAGTCGGTCGTGGACTATCTGGTAATCGGAGGGGGTGAGCAAAGTTGTTGTACACCAGGAACGAACCTCGCAACACAGTATTGAACAACTCAACAAGGGGTTGTCGGACTTGCCGTTGCGCAACGTCTTGCTCAGCGATTCCCGTCCAAGTCCACATACTTAGTCGAGAGGCACGAAGGACCTGGACAAGAGACAAGGTGAATACTGCCTTACTCGCGTTCAATGAGTCGGCTCACTGCGTGTTTTAGTTCGCGCAGTTCGGAAGTGATCCACTCGGGTATGTATTGTCTGTATTACTTGGAGTATCGGGATATTGAGCGTTCTTTGGAAGGCCTTTATTACCCTGAAGACTCTTTGAAGACTAAACTATGCATTCGTGGTCGGCAACTCATGTATGAGAGATGTGAAAGACACAGGATCCCTCACCGCAAGCTTGGAAAGTTGGTTGTCGCACAGGATTCACAGCGCCCTTATATCGAACGACTGCATGACAAGGCTCAGAGACTTAAATGGCCGCCTCATTCCGCTCCTCTTGACCGTAGAGCACTACCCACAAATCTCATCACTGGTGACGAAGCTCGGGAATTGGAACCAGATCTTTCGAAAAAAATTGTCGCCGCTCTCTGGAGCCCAGAGACCGGCATTGTCGACTCTCATTCACTAATGGAAAACCTTGAGAAAGAAATCACAGAGTCCGAAGGTGGAGAGCTTGTGTACTCCACGAGGGTTGTCCGGGTTGATCCATATTACGGTTCGTCTCTAGTCCGGGATCAACCTAGCGGAGATGCCAGGGAAGAAGGTTGGGTTGTTCAGACGGTGACAGGTGATCAAGAAGAGAGCGATCCATTGTTGGCGAGGACTCTGATCAACGCATCCGGTCTATCCGCAAACGTGATACTCAATTCACTGGTGCCGCAGGACCAGCGCATAGCGATGTACTACGCTCGTGGTTCATATGCATCTTATAACGGTTCAGCCGTATCCCACGTTTCACATCTCATCTATCCTTGTCCAGGAACCGGCAGAGTAGAACATGGTTTCCAATCCCTCGGCACTCATCTTACGCTTGACATGCAAGGGAAAGTGAGGTTTGGACCAGACTTGGACTGGCTGAACCCGCTAGACGAGTCAAACCCAGACTTTTGGGAGAAGCATCTGATACCGGACGAGACGAGGCTGAGGTTGATGCACGAGGCAGTAACAGAGTATCTACCAAACGTCACTTTTGAAGGGCTTCAACCGGATTACTGTGGCATAAGACCGAAGCTCGTCGGCCCACAGGGCGGTTTCCAGGACTTCGTATTTCGCAAGGATTATCCACATTCCTTTACAGGCGCTGTCACTGGTAGTAGCACAAACCGCACGAACCCTATGATCAGCTTAATGGGTATTGAGAGCCCCGGGTTGACATCGAGTTTGGCCATCGCGGAACACGTTGTGGATGACATATTGTGTGATGCAGAAGGGCACAGAGACTCGTAGAGGAAGATGTAAATTGAGCTTGTTAACTACATAGACATCTACGCAGATGGACCTCCTCTTGACATGAGCTTTGGCTGCCACGGCTGAACTTTCGGCACTGTGGTGTTGTATGTCTTGAAAGCACCCGGGGTGCCGGTCAAGTTCTCAAGCCAGGGCTGCATACAGTGTTACAGCAGAGCATATTGACGATAGGCGCGAAATTACTTACGCCCTTCCACGGAGGTGACAGATTCTGCATCACACGGTCTTCAGGAGGAGGATCCTTGCGAATATGCGAGAGCCATGAGTGCCACTCGGGAGGAACTTGGGTAGCATTATAATCATGCTGCAAGGGAATGTATTGAATCATAAATGAAGGAGAGCCATTACGTTGTCCAGCGCACCTGAGCTAAGTCGACCCATCGGTGACGACCTAAGGCAGATGTAAAGCATTGTACGGACATACGCCACTGGATACATACCAGGAATTTCCTCCTCAGGATTCAAGTTCTCGTAGTAGCGGTTACCAAACCTAAGCAAGGAGGATTTGAATCCGTAGCAATGCAATTGGAGGGTTGTACTCACTGATCTGCCCCAGCAAATCTACCAGACTTAGCGTCTCCAATATATTGCAACTGCCTCCACCATTCCTTTAAGCCTACTCGCCTGATGCTACGTAGCGTTCGCGCAAGCGAAACCATGTTGGATGTAAGAGCGGACCTGGAGCGAACAAAGTGGGTGAATATTAACGCCCGTGCGCTCATGGGCGCTTCGGTTCCATCCACTCAAGTCTCAGAGAAACTCAGTGGTACAGTGCTCAAAATATTGAGACAGGCTGGCACGCATCAAGGATCATAATCATCGGCATTGAGAAATAACAGTCATCTAGAATTACACAGTATTATACTTATATGTTACCGATACATAGACCATTCAATGTCCCCTCATTTGCTCCATAGCCTCGGCGTTGTACCGTACGAGATCATCAAATTTAACAAGTTCTCCACCAAAGATATCCAACGCACTGTAATAAAACGTTATAATATGGTCCCATAATACAAGCACTATTGGCTCACCTCCCATATGTCAGATCAACCTTCCCACCAGACAGCCTATCAACGAGTCTGATATCCTCCAGAGCTTCGAACACATGTCAGTACAAATCAGTATCACAGGAAAACGTCGATGACTAACATTTTGCACCACCGGCGTAAGTCGTGGGAATGGTCACCCATTCACCAAGCTCTGGAAGATGCAATTGAGAACATAATCAGAATACCATTTGAGCACAGCTTACTTTGAACCAGTTGTTCGTCGATACCCTGACATAACCCCTCGACATCGGCGGCATGTATCAAGAACTCACTAATCAGACGTTGTCTTAACATAGAAGTTCAACCATTTGCGACAAACTCTGAGCCTACCTGCAATACTGGGCGAGTAGATCCAGCGACTCTGTAAAGCATGAGAAGAACCTACAGTTTAACTCGGCATGTAAACCTACCTTTACACACTTCCATCTCGGCTATTCTCTGCCATTTCTCAGTGGCTATAAACCACTTGTCTCCCACTTTCCGACAGCTACATGAAGATGACATCATTACGGCAAACTTCACGTCTGAGAATCAGGCACACCTGACATCCACGACAAATTTATCTTTCCCAATATAATTAGCGAGTCCTTGAAGCCTCTCCAGGGAGAATTTGCCATCGGGGAACAAGAAAGTTGTGACGATGACCTGTACTTGCGAACAATGTAAGGAAGACAGGGGGTTGGGCAGCAACACAATTCACGCACTTTGCTCGCACCGGCATTCAGCCATTCTAGACAATTTTGGTCGTTGATACCACCACCTACTTGAAGCCCTCCTGCGAGACGTTATGTTGATGATGATTGAAGCCTGATCGAATGCAATAACTGACCTACCCAAACGGCGAGAGCTTCTTTAGCTGCCTCCTTGTTTCCTGGGCCTAGCATTATGACATGACCTCCCTGCAGGTTCATCATCTTGTACAATTCAGCATAATAACTTGGAGAAAAGCTTCGTGTTACAGCCAAATTAGACAAGAATAATACATATATATATGAATGTCCGACACACCTTGCAACAAAGTTGGTTTTCAGAGTATCCCTTCTATCCGTCAATGTGGCTCCAACGATTTGTTTCACTTGCCCATCGTGCAAGTCAATGCACGGTCTGAAGAGGGACCTACGCCGAGGTGAAGCCATTACAGTCAAGTGGGAGGTACAGTACAGTCAGGATGTAAGGAGGTTCTCGATCCAAAACGGAAATACGTCATCTCGATTCGGAAAGTGACGAGGCACGTGTGGAAGAGGCTGGAAGAGATATAGACCTTCATGTGCATTATGCTTCAATGGTACACGAAGAAATTACATCAGTTGCTATAGCGACAACGCAAAAGGGTAGCAGATAGGATAAAGCAAGATATAGAGATACAATATCGCATTTTACATGATCCATAGAGGCAACGTTGAACGCCCCTAAATCTAATACTCCATAGACATCTCAATGATCTTCGTCAGATGCTCGTGACCGTCTTCTCCAGCGACGTCTCCAATACCAGGTGCCAAATCCAAGACCCTCCTTTGCGGCAAAGTACCCTGAACTAATTTAGGGATGTCAGCATTCGTATATCCGACAGCTTTGAGGCCACGGGGGACTCCGAGTCCGTCTAGGAACTGTGCAATAGTTTCGAAAAGATGTGCCCCAATTTCTGAATCTGGGATCGAAGTGATCGAAGCATCGGTTGGTGATGTGTTTCGGAAAATGGCTAGGGCTTCGCGATGACGGGAGGGTGCCGACGGGGCAGTGAATTGGAAGACAGCTGGTCCTGAAAGTGCCACACTAGTGGTAAGACAAATGACAGTGAGCAAATTATGTCCTCTATGAATTGTGGAAGAAATGAACGTACGTGACACCATGAGGAATGATGGGATGGTCGACGGCGTAGCCAGGGTGTTTCCATTTGGGTCCGGTCTTATTCAAACCAGATATCTGCAACGAGCGTATGAGGATTTTTGCAAGTTCGATCAGTTAGAATCGAATATACCGGATAGCTTATGCCGTGACACAAATGCACGCCTGCGTTTCCGAACCCGATGCCTGCAAATGACGAAGCAAGGCTTTCGATACAGACAGTCAGGTATGACACGATTTTCAAGGCAATTGTGATACTTACAGCATCTGTTGCATAGCTTGCTTATCACCTTGGTCCTTCGCGACGCGAGGCAAGTTCTTGACAGTCGCTCGCAGTGCCCATAGCGAGAAGATGTCGGCTACTGGGTTGCTTCCTTGATATGCCGGTCGCAAGATAGGGTTAGCAGGTCGAGGAGTTCGTTCGGTATAACTAGGAGTCGACAGGTTTCGGTAAACAGTCGAGTGCGAGATGGTATCTACTCACGGGATAGCAGTGTAACTCTCCAAACTGTGGAAGAGTACGTCCAACCCGGCACTGATGTGCAGTTCTGCGAACGAACCTGTTAGAAACCGAGTAACGGAGTAGAAACTCTGGACTCACCTTTTGGGCAGCTACGCGTGTTAAGGGTGTCCACGATTCCAAGGACGGGTTTCATTGCACGATTTGCAATGCCAGTCTTGAAGTTCATTGATGTAATGTCAAGAATAGCAGTGCCCGTGGTTTCTGAACCAGTACCAGCCGTTGTTGGTACTAAGAATGAAACGTCATAAGGATTACTTCAGTATTGCAAGATTATTTGCATTTGCATACTGGCAATGAGTGGTCGCAACGCTTTCTCAATTGGTAGTCCTTTGCCAACTGGTGTATTAATGAAGTCAAATAAGTCTGCATCTTTATACACTGTGAACCTGAAGATAGCAAATTAGATAGTCGCAGCTTCTGCGCGCAGCCGTGCTTACAAGTTGGCAGCCTTCGCGGTGTCAATTACACTCCCACCACCCACGCTACACCCAAGATGTCAGTGCTTGCACTTGGGGGGAATACGTAGACATACGCCAAGAAATGACTGCAGTCTTGCTGCCTTGCCCAAGCGATAGCGTCTCGCCAGCTGGCTTCTGTGGGTTCAGTCACGACGCGGTCATAGACTTCAAAAGGCAGATCAGTCTGGGCTTCCAAAGATGCAATAGCCTGTGTTCATGTAATTAGATGCGAGGGTTCCGCAGCATGAAGGTCAGGTCTACCATTTTTGCCGGAGGTAGCTTAGCGACATTAGGATCGGTGAACACAGCGACCTGGGCGAGAACAGCTTAGCACCTATTTATGTTGGATGCAGATGGTCTTAACATGCCTTACGGGCTTTCATATTCTTCAGGTCCATGCCCACCTCCCTCGTCACACCTTCGCCAAATCTGAGATTCGAAGCGGCAACCTAGACCATGCGCGCATTATGACATGATTCCAAGAATATGGAATCGCAGCCAACCTCAAAGGCGTATTCTTTCTCAATAGGCGGTGCATTCACCGGCGTAGCCAGCTTTCGCATTTGACTGATGACATGGAAAGGGTTATGAGTATTGCCAGAACGGCATCCATGACATGGGCAAGCGGTATGTTGAGCAGCATAGATGAGACGCCGAATGGCATTACGAGAAGCGACTGGAGCCATACTGAAAACCTATACGCGAGATGGGCGATGGACAAGGGGGTGGAAGAAAGGGAGTGCGAGCTATATACTCCTCAAGTCATGGTTATTCGGGATCCGGCCTCCCGACTTTCGGCAAGAGACAGGATGTACAAATGCGGGGTAAGACGAGGTGATCACGAGTGCCATTTTAAGAGCATCTGAGCGCGTTCTAAAATGTTGTGCTCAATTACTCAATACTGGCACACTTTAAACACCCAGTTTCAAGCAAAATGTTCAATGTGTTAATCGCTTCTCTCGATAGCCTGTTGAACTTGTACATATATCTTATGTAGTGGAGTGAATAAGCAAGTCATGCACCGGTTACTTTAGCAAACGATCGGGACACCGCCACACGGCCTCAGCGCAAACCCTGTGTCGACGTCGTTCGTTCTCCCATGTCGTCCAGCAAGACACAACATTGCCAAGATTGGACCTTCTGCGTTAGATATGAAATGCGGGGAAGAAACCCGTTATACCAAGGACTGGGCCGCAGCTATTCATGCACCAGCATGCACCTTTACCTGATCAAATTCCCACGATGCTGAAACGGGTGTCGCCAACAACATTGTTACTTGGAATCTCTTCAGGCCTCTTGAGCTTGGAGCCTTGTTCCCTCGGGCCCACCCCTGCGTCCATTCCTTCACCTGCACGAAGCTTGCTTCTGCAAGGTCGTCTCGTCTCCTTTTGGTCCAAATATTGGTCCTCTATACCAGTCTTTCCTCTACACACCTTCCCAAAGACACTCGTTTGACTTGAGCTGCTCGTCTTCACCATGCGACACTACGCATTGCCTCTTGTTCTTGTATTATCGACTTCACTTTCCAATGCTCTTAAGATTCCTATGAAACGCATCAGCTCGCCCGCCTCGTCAATGCAACGCCGAAGCGGGCGTAGCTCTTTTGCTCGACCCATATTTGCAGTTACTGACAACGGCGATGACAACAGTATGAAGATGACGTGAGTCTCTTATTATGTCTTCCCTGACTTATGCTCAAAGTTGTCCATCAGTAACATGCACGATCTGATTTATCTCGCCAACGTGAGTTCTATTTCTGACATTCCTGACATTGATTCTCTAACTTGCTGTCAGATTACTGTTGGCGGCACCGGTATGTTCTACTGCTCTTTTAACGGGTTAAGGGTGCGATCTGATGCCTTACGATAGAATACCCCGTACAATTGGATACTGGCTCTTCCGACCTGTGGATTAAAGGGCCTACATCTCCCTTACCAAACGTACAACTCACAGTAAGTTCCAGTGAATATATACGGGTGTATTCGTTAACCTCGATTTAACTCTAGTCAATGACCTATAACCTTACTGTGAGTACAATACACACCTTCTCCGCGCGACCGGGCCAAGCCTTAAGTTTTATGTCTTAGTATGGGATCGGCTGGGCGAACGGTACTATTGCTTATGCGCCAGTCGAATTTGCAGGGTATGGGCATTCTCAGTCACGTTGTCCACACTGTTGATATTCTGAATGTTAGCATCAACGTTTCGTCGCAAGCTTATCTCGACGTTTCTTCCGCTTCTAATCCTGCACTTTCGTATGGGGCCGATGGTATTGCAGGCCTCGGCTTTACTTCCTTGTCCACTATCGATGCGCTCGTCAACCGAACAAACACATCCACTGGCCGCAGTTTACTTTTCAGCCTATTTGAAGATAATCCTCAAGAGCCAAATTTCATTTCATTTTCTATGCAAAGGGGAGACGACCCCACAGCGGATGTGGAAGGTACCTTTGGAATCGGTATGTTTTGGTTAACAACATCGGAAAGTTGATTATCGTTCGTCTGACATATCCGAAAGGCGAAGTCGAGCCAGAGTTTGCCCAAGTGTTGAATACTACGGCCATTCCTACATATCCGCCCAACTCACCCATGCGATGGAACGTTCTGTTGGATGCAGTGCTTGTCGGGACTGGTGCAGTAGCAGTCTCCAGTGACATTGACGGTGTCCCCACTGGTAAAGCTGTGCGTATTCCTTAGGGTCCTTTTCCGAGTTCTTGTAAACGTTTTACAGGTGGCGCTTGTTGATTCTGGTACTTCCTACACGTATGCTACCTCCATATATTCGCCTTCGATCCTACTCAAGCTTTCTGCTTTAATAGTTACGCAAGTGTGGATGTATGCAACGCCATATATGGTAGCATTCCTGGTGCCAAATACGATGAATCTTTGGGTCAATGGGTCGTTCCTTGTGATGCCGAAGTCAACGTCGCTCTTCAGATCGCGTATGTCATTTCACATCTTTACTCTCCATCTCATTGAGACTCACATGAATATAGAGGACAAGTGTTCCCGATACATCCGCTTGACATGACGCCCAATAGCCTCACCGATCCATCTACTTGTGTTGGCTCATTTATTCCTCAATCTGTCTCTGTTGGAGCAAACTCATTGTACGTCCTGTCTCTCTTCATAGCATATGAAGCTAATGTCTAGTTCTTGAATACAGTGATTGGCTTATTGGTGACAGCGTCCTCCGCTCAATCTACTCCATTTACGATTTTGGTGATTTCGACTCCTCGGGTGTCATGGGTAACCCATACATGAAGTTCCTTTCCCTGGTGGACCCCAACGAGGCGTCTAAAGAGTTTCATCAATTACGAGGTGGCACATCGAACGGAAACATCACATTCAACGCCGCGAACAGCACCCTTTCAGGGGGCGAATCAACCTCAGTGAAGATCTCAGATGATCTTGTCAATACGTTGGACAAGATTAGCACGTACATTCCCGCGATGCTAGCCATTATGGCCCTCAATGCTCTTGTGATCATCCTTCTCCTCGTTGCCGCCGTCGTCTACATGGTACGAAGACGGTCAAGGAAGAGCAAGACAAGAAAGGTTGTAGGCAGGGCCCTTACCCCCATGCCGCCAAGAATGTCAAGAATGTCAGACTATGACATGCCGGCGGTAGGCGGTGACCATGTATACCAACCAGTGTCGATGGCTCTCACAGAGGACACCTTTGTCCCACCATCGCCTGCGTTCTCAAAACCTGGCTTCAGCGGGGGCATGGAGAGGCCCAAATCTGTGGCGTGATCTTGGATATGTGGACTATTTTGGGGCTTTCCGGTCGTCGTGGGCCCATTGTATTAAGGATCTTATAATCATCTTCGTATTGTACGGACATATGGTCTTTTGCTGTTGTCATTTATTGGACACTTCTTGCTTCATTTTGCTTTACCCTGAGTCGTTAGCACCGTTACTCACCGTATGTACCCACTGCGTTGCGTGTGGTGTTTAGTGCATACTATTCATTTTTGTGTTTCGTTGATATCTAAAGCGTGATGCGTCATTGCATTATACTCAGCCAAGAGTAAGCAGGACAATGTATGGTAGAGGTATCACAACATAAAGCATCCTAATGAAGCTTGGGAGCTGAAGTCCGGGCAGCGTATTTGAGGTTGACTTGCTCTTCCGTCTTGGCTAAATCACGTTCAGTACCTAGTAGCGATTCTTCTAAATCAGGCATGGGCAATTTCGACCCGGAAGTTTGCTGTAGCACCTCCCTTGCCCTCCCCTTCAACGCCAACCATCTGACAGCCTCACCCGGCCGAATCTCCGGAGCCGGCTTGCCCTTGCGCATCACTGCATCGACTAGTCGAATAGCAGACTCCGCACTTTTCCTCCTGTAGAACTCGCTATACTGTGGCCAGCCTACCCCATTGACGAAGAGGTGGTCTGCACCAAACCGCGTCAAGATGCGTAGACATTGACGCATGATAGCACGATCTTGTGTTGCATGCGCTGTCCGAGCTAATAGGGAGAGGGTTTGGCTATGTGGAATGATGTTCAACCCTTTCGACCGCTGTTCCTGCTTTATATGCCGTTCCATTCCGTCCATGAAGTCGGCTGCATGATAACCTGTCATGAGTTCGAAGACTCGCGTGGCAGCATTCCAATCTGCGCAGCGCCAACAAGCGGCCATGGCCCAATGGTATGCGAACTCGGCCGGCCGAAGTTCTGGCATGTCGTGCAAAGCCGATTGAGTGATCGCCCATTGCAAAATGTCCAAAGCTTGTTGTGATTCGTTCATGGACCCCATGGCGGCCATAGAAGCGTACGCAAAGATCATATGCTCTATATGCTTCGCACGGAGTATAGTTTCCTCGTTGTTTTTAAGCTGTTTATCCGTTATTTGCTGCCCCCAGTATACGGTTAACCGGAACTTGCGTGCTGCGTTGCAAGCTTCCAAAGCAATTGTGAGCATACGAGGATCGAGTGGCAACTTGGGTTCCACGGGTGGATCGCCGGGTTTGGACAAGCCAAAGTAATCTCGTATGATATCGAAGGCGAACAGTTGATCGCTTGGGCTACCCTTGACGAGTATGCGAATGACGGGAGCGACAACATACGAGTCGATAGTGAATTCGGGAGATCTTTCTGCAGATTTTAGCATCTGCTTCCACAATAGCCTTGTATCTGAGGCATTCTGTATGTCGACGGGTATTTTGCTGTCTATGTCGTCTTGCCCTCTATGCAACAAACCAGAGAAAATGATGCTATACGTGACACGATCCGGAGCCAAACGGCCCCTGGACTCTAAGGAGTTGTAAACGTCGAACATCTTTTGATAGCAACGGGCTCTTGCTAGAACGGTCATGTACGCATTGATGGGGGTAATGTTGATATCAGCGTGATTCGAGTCCGCTTTTCGGAGCGTTTCAATATACTGCAAGTAATGTTCATAGATGTTGTGAGCATTGGCAAGCTGTTTGGAATGAGTGTCCCAATTTTCGATAGATGATAGGCCAGTGAATATGGTGGTGTAGCTTCTGCTATTCGGATGAAACCCACGACGTTTCATCTAGGAGTTCAAATACGTCAACACGATTACCCCGGTGGATAACAACGAACTCACATCAATGTAAAGCTGGTATGAAGCTTGATATTTACGCTCCCGAAGCAGAAGATGCACCATAGTGTTCCAAACCGCTACAGTTTGGGCATCTTGTGGACTTGTTTTGAGCATTTCTACCGCCTCTTCAATATTTCCTGCTTCCACCAACTTTCGGAGCCTCTGAGAGAGAACATAGGGTCGCAGTAAAGGCTTTTGACCGTCAGCGAGAGGAGAATGGCGTTTTTGAGATCTTTGTGCGCCAGCTCGGTTCTTTGAGACATATCCACCTGTATTGGTACGCGGTGCATCTGAGTGAATCGTTGTTGTGGAAGACGATGTGGAAGACGATGTGGAAGACGATGCCTCGACTGCAGTCACAAAGAGGCGAGAGGTCAAACGTGAAGATGGAGTTCGAAGACAACGTTGGGCCGCAGAAAGCGATGGACTGACATTTCGCAACATGGAGGAATAGAACACGAAAACACAGCAGACAGGAAGCCTGTTGTGAGCCCGTGCAATATACTATATGAAGTTGGACGAAAGAGTACGAAAGAGCCTGAGGCCCTGAGCTGTCTGAAGACTGAAAGTGAAATGCAGTACAAGCGCCCAACAGCAAACTGTGAGGCAGAGGCGCCCTGCACACGATTTGTTCGTGAAAATGACTGTCAATAGTACGAGCAATCTAGCATACTCCCCATGCACATACAAAACCATCATCAGTCCTGACAGTCCTTGAGTTGAGATCAGTTATCTACAATCGTTGATGCGTCTATTGGCCTGCTTATCTTCGAGAATCATTCGGCCTAACGCCTTACCACACTGCTACCATCGCGCTCTCTCCCAACTATCAATGGCTGGAAGAACGTACGAATATGCTGTAGAGTGTCTCAACACATTGCAGTCCAATGCGGCGACGCTGGAGGCAAGTAGAGCTTCTGGTGGCCGACTAGTCAAGACCGCTATCCCGGAAACGATCGAGTACCTTGAAAGGATCGGCTACAACGTAAGAATACTACTCATTGCATTCAATTTGTCTGAATATTGTCTATGTAGCAAACCGATTTGAATTCTCTGAACGTTATACATGTCACCGGTACAAAGGGCAAGGGCTCGACTTGTGCCTTCACAGATTCTATCATTCGGCACGTTAAGCCTGAGCGGAAAGTTGGTCAGCCAGGCATCACAAGGGACTGCTATATTAACTTTACTCACTTCTCCTCAGGCCTTTTCACTTCTCCGCATCTAGTTGCCGTGAGAGAGCGAATTAGAATCAATGGTGTGCCTCTGCCTGAAGAGGATTTCGCAAAGTTTTTCTTTGAAGTGTGGGACAGGCTTGAACAGAACGATATCGTGAGTGGATGTAGTCATTTAATGCTGTCAAATACTGACTGTAGCAGTAGAGAGCTAATCCTGAAACGCTATCGAAGCCTATGTATTTCCGCTTCATCACTCTCGTAGCCTTCCATGCTTTTCTCTCGCTAAAGGTATTTCATACTCATATAGTATCACTACTACTTTTCATTTACGAATCGTCTTACAGGTCGATGCCACCATCCTTGAAGTTGGTGTTGGAGGTGAATATGATTGCACGAATATTGTTCCCCATCCGGTCGTTACTGGTGTCTCCGCATTGGGGATCGATCACACCGCCGTTCTTGGGAAGACGTTGAAAGAGATTGCGTGGCAAAAGAGTGGAATCTATAAGGTATGTTTTGTCGCATTCGATCTCCCGGTGATGTCACTTGTTTCCGCTTCAAGCGAGGTGTCCCAGCCTTGACTGTAAGTCAGCCTGAAGATGGATTGGAAGTGCTTAGGCGACGAGCAACTGAAAAGAAGGTGCGATTGCTACAATATACCAAGCTGCTTATTTATTCTTAGTTATTTTCGTAGGCTTCAGAGTTTATTGTTGTATCGCCAACTCCTGGTCTGTCAGAAGTCAAACTGGGTAAGATATTTTTCTGGGTCCAGGTGGTGCAAAGCTCACTACAAACTCAGGCCTTCCTGGTTCTCATCAATACCAGAATGCCGATTTGGCCATCAATCTTGCCAGAATATTCCTTCATAGAAAGGCTGGGGTTGAACCTGACAGCACCCTCTCGACAGTCTATGTAGAAGCTTTGCAAAACGCCAAATGGCCCGGTCGATGCCAGACTGTACCAGATCCACGGCATCCGCAAAGCACTTGGTTCTTGGACGGCGCTCATACAGCTGAGAGCTTGAGTTGCTGTGTGCAATGGTTTGTTAGTCCAGACGCTGCCTTACGAAGACACGAGTCAACGTAAGTATATTGAATTCATCTGAATATACGAGCTCACCCTTGTTTGAAGCACGCGACCTACGAGAATTCTGGTCTTCAATTGCACGAGTGGTCGCTCAGGGGATGCGTTCTTGGGCTCGATGCTTGTCAAGGGCAAGGAACAACTCAAGCAATACGGTTCCGCCGAAGATATTGACTCATTCTTCGATCATGTCATATTCTGTGCAAACGTTACATATGCTGACGGCGGGTTCAAGGGTGGTACGTGAATCGGTATTCGTGGCACCAACGAGTATTCTCATTCCGCTTACAGACTTAACTACGCGTGCCATCGCCGAGTCGGACCTGGCGCAGCTCAAAACTCAAAATGAGCTGGCCTCAGCTTGGAAGTCTCTGGTGCCATCTTTCCCCGAAGGACACGTCCATGTTTTACCTTCAATCGAGCACGCAGTCAACCTAGTGCGAGAACAAGAGGTGTTGGGCAAGGTGGACGTACTGGTGACAGGAAGTTTGCATCTTGTGGGTGGTACCATTGAGGTCGCGCAATTGGCCGACGTGGCATTGTGACACGATTCGTCTGATTGGAAGATTCATCTCTTACCTTCTTCTGGTTACCCTTAGACTATAATAATGTTATACATATTAACCACCTTCAACAGGTATTTTATCCAATAGGGAAGAATAGATATAGAGAGAACCACTACTAATGGAAGATCCTTATGGATGCCTCGTCTTCGTGCGTCTTCCACTTGGGTCGAGACCATAGAAATGAATTGCCTTCGTGACTCGCTCTGTCAGATTTTTTTCGGTAATCTGTAGCAACAGAATTACTCACCTGCCTGTCTAGAAATGCTCGGACTCGGAGTTTGAGACCCCGAGCAGGCACACCAAGGCCCACAGCAAGTTGAAGAAAGACGTCGAAATGCACAGGCTATATTGCGCGCCCATGAGGTGGACGATTTTCTGACAGCCAGACAGGAACTTACTTCGTAACGTAAGACACGATGATGCAAGGTCACGTCGCTCAAGATGCACTCCCTAAGTTTGGAAAAAAGTTCTTCGTCAGGCATGTCCCTTGCCTTGCTTGCTGGAATCTCAGGATCCTCGGTGTTTTTCTTCTTTCGTGCTTTTTTGATCCTAGGTTCAGTCATAGTTTTATCGGGCAGTGGAGAGTGAGATTGCAAGGGATGATGAGAGTTGGCGTTGTCATTGGGTGGGATATTGTATGATAAGTCTAGTCCGTCAGGGATGTTACCAATTTTTTCGCGCTGAGGTCTCTTGCCTTTGTCCTTTGTCCGTCCTGACGGTGGAAAATCAGGCATGTATGCCGATGGCTCAGCTCGGACGTCTTCATCCGAGATATAATGTAGGTAGGGATCTTCGTCATAGGGGGTATAATTCCAGTTATAGTCCTGGCAAGCGTCCTGGTACTCTTCAGTAGGACTTGGCTCAGCAACACATGACGGGTCGTGACGGCGTGTCGTTATGTCGAGTTGTGTTGGTGATGGATGGAGTTTCTCCTTGCATAGTAGCGCGCTTCCTAGGTCGGCGGTCGTGGAGAGAGGCCGCTGAGGATGATCGTTTAAGTTGCGACTGAGAGAAGAAAGAGACGTCTGCACGCATCAGTGTACAATCGTCCTCCATGTGCAGTCCACTTACGGGATTTGCGTTCGACTTAGAGGTCGACGCCGGATCGTCCTTCGTTGCGTTACGAAAAGAAATGTCGGCATGAGGAGACACCGGTGTAACACTTGGAGAGCCGTGCACATCTTCCAAATCCGAGCCGTCGTCACTCAGAGGGACGCTGGTAGGGAACGTTGATGGCGGTGCATACGCTTGGGACGGCATCATATCATCCAACTCGAGGATCCTTCTCGTCGCCTGGAATCGCCCTGCAAGGGCACTTTCGGTAAACGGCTGCACTTGGGATACGCCTTCGTCCTCAGAATCATCATGCTCGAGGAAAACGGGAAATGAAGGCGTTGGGTCATATGCGTGGGAGACTTCGGCTTGTTGAACGTGCAATGGGATGCCACCAAACTTGGTCGCTAGGTCGCTACGACCAAATGGTTCGGTGTCTAAAGGGCCTTCACTGGACGTGGGTTGTGCGTTGCTAGTGGTTGGGACATCTGCAGGGATTTCACTATCCAAAAGGAGTCTTGCTCTAGCTAGAATGTCATTGCGGGTGTCGGCCAAGCTTCGAATGGTCTTCACTTCTTTATCGGCCTGATTCTTTCGTCCCATCTTTTTGGGAGCCGCACCATCTACTGCCTCCGTAAGGAGTGTCTTCGGGCGTTGCACCTTCTTGTTCTCGTCCTTCTCGGAAATGGTATCTATCTCTTTGGCTATGAGATTGCGAATCGTCTCGTCGGAGAATTTGTTCTTCTTGCCACAAGCTTGTATGTGTTTGACTTTCTGCGCCGTGGACTTTCTAGCTGTCCATGCTAAATCACAGCAAACGCATTTTCGGAGTTTCACAAGTTCGGTGTCTAAAAAATCAGGAAATGGATGGGGAGAAGGGAGAGCCTTGTTCTTTTTCATCGTTGGTAGATGAGAATCCCCAATGCTAGAAAAAGATGACCGCCAAGAACTTGCAGTGATAGGGAGGTTCCTTGGGACAGGAGAAGCTCGTGAAGAACTGGAATATGCAAAACGCGCCAGGTTCAATGTAGGGCGAATCGGAGAGTCCTCTCCGGAATTGTCATTAGTAGGCTGTTCTGCTACTAACTTTTCACCTCGTAACGGACGCACGGACGGCGTTGTTGCCTGGCTGGTTCCCACTGTAACACAGTCATGCATGTTATCAGCTTAACCAGAGTAATACAGACAGTCGAGATACCTTGTTCGACGTGTGTTTCATTATTTTCAGCTTGATAGAGTGGTATATTAGATCCCGTGGTTGGCTGGCTCCTGGAAGGAATCACTTCGGGTTCCTTGGCATCGGAATCGTCTATGGGTCACCATGAGTGGTATCGAACTTCACCTTTAATTCACTGCATGCATCTGAGTATCATTCATCATACCTGATATGTATAGTATACTTGGAGCACGAGCTGCTGCATTATTTGGTCGGGTGGACTTGAACGGTTCGGGACTACTGTCACTTGACAGTTCGATGATACTTGTGTCCCTAAGTTTGTGCTGTGCCTTTCTCGATTTTGTACGTGGTGTTTTCACCCGGGATTTTTTGCTCCTTCGCTCTTCTCTTTCGGGTTCGGAATCTTCTATAACCTCGCAATTGGGTGTCACAATACGGATAGGGGTATAACGAGAGAAAGGCATTCTGTGCTGAACCAGCAATTGCTCTTGGATAATGCGAGATATGGACGCGACTTCTATAGGCAGCGAGCGGTATATTGAAGGGTTGGTGAAGAGCGGTGGCAGAAATAGTTTCATAGACAGAGTCGGACGCGAACAGTTTGTTTACGCGTTGCGATTTCGACGCGTTATTTGGTTCCGTTTCTTTATTCGGACGCGTGATGCGCGATCAAAGTCATTTCAGGATTCAAACTGCAGCGCGTTCTCTGCGTGCCCTTACCCACTACTTCGATCTTCTTGGATATCTTTTACTCTGTTAGATTCTATTTTGTATACTTTATCCCAGGTTTCTACTCTCGATTCACGAAAGTAATGAGTAGCGGTCTCGCGAAAGGTGTCCCAGTTGTTCATGTATCTCCAGAAGAGGTCTACCAAGTCATAACCAATGCTGCCTCTCAAGACCCCGCGAAGGTCAAGACTTCCTCCGAACGACTCAAGCAGTTGTTGGATATGACAGGAGCTTTTGATGCACTTTCTGAGATTTCAGTCCAACAGGCCGTGCCATTGCCGGTTCGCCAACAAGCGATCATTCAGCTAAAGAACAACCTAACCAACCATTGGCGATCTCGAAAGTATGTGCATTTAGAAATGCTACCCCCATGCTCTCGTATGCTCATACATTGATTAGGATTCTTCCAGATCAGCGAGAACGCATCAAAAGCCGTTGTCTTTCGCTTGTTAACGAGCAGGACGATTTGGTGAATGTTATGCCTACGAAGCGAGACTCCCTCAACTAATCATTCACTATCCATTAGATATGTGAATGTAATGAAATTATTACGGCAAAGATCGCCCGTTATGAGTACCCACAGCAGTGGTACGCTGTTCTTCGCATATATGAGAAAGCATGAAATTCATAGTACCACTTCGAAGGCCGAACGTGCTCCCAGACCTTGTTAACGTGGTCAACAGCAACATCTCTGCACGATACAGTGGAACTCCTTCAAACTTTCTTCAGCTTCGACGTGCTCTCGAGCTTTTGAACGCTATATTGAAAGAAGGTTCTGCCCAAAGAATGTTGACCGGCGTCAGGACAATGTCCAAGGTTGGTGAATGAACCTTGCATCGCTATATGTATTAATTCATTAACACTGTTTGGACCTGAATGTGTAGATCGTTGAACAGTTGCATCCAATCTTGCATTCTCACTATTCCACTGTTGCAGCTTCGTTATCGTCGTTGAGTCCGACCAGCGTTTCATCATTGAACACGGCAGAAGATCTTCTTCTCGCACATCTGGTCTACAAGTGTTTAGCAAAAGGTGCGGTATGGATGTGGCAAAAGATGAAAACTCCCGACGAACGACTGAAAGTGGACCCGTGGGTGCGTTCTCGTTCTATTCGTTGTTAGATCTAACCACTGTGCTCATCATTGATACAGCTAAATGACCTCGTTCAAAGCTCAGTCTTGCAATTGAGAACACTCTCGGAACTTCGCATCAACATAGTCATAGCGCTTCTACCCAACGACCGGCTGATAGAGCCCAACCCGCGACAATGTGTCACTACCCTTTATCGTCATGTCTATCTCATTGGAAAGTTCTTCCGACGATTGCAACAACTGGACGCGGCTCGTTTCGTCACAATGCCCCTATGCAGTGACCTCGTCCACTACTACTGGAGTAAAGTAGTTCAGGCAACAGATTCTCCAGCTGATTTCATCGGAGGTATGGCTCATCATTGCCTAGGTCTTACGCATACCCTTTTCTGACTTTATGCACTACAAGATTCACCGCTCAGTGTATTCCCTGTTCGTTTCCTCGTGCAAGGAATGGTTATCTTCAAAGAGAGTATTGCTCAATGGGCACCCGTACGTAAAGATGGCAGCTATAAAGAACAAGGTTTGAGACATACATTTCTCTTTAATGGCTTCCAATGAATATGAGCCCTCAGTCTTGCCTAGGGCCTTCGTCGAGGAGGCTGTAAAGCTTCTTGTGACCCGATTCATTCCGCTCAACCCAGCTGACCTTGAAGGATGGATGGCTGATCCGGAGGAATGGGTCAACGTGGAAGAGAGTGAAAACGACCACTGGGAGTATGAACTCAGAGTGAGCAACAATAACCTTCTATATGACTGTAGCACCACTCATACCTTATACAGCCTTGCGGAGAACGTGTTCTTATGACCCTAGCCAGTCAATGTGGAGTATATGTGCAGCCTCTGCTAGAGACGACATGGAAAGAGATACGAGGTATACCCCTAACTTTGGTAATCGTAATACATACTGATTACTCCGAATCAGGTCTACCTGCATCAGATTTGACTACTATCCTCCAGAAGGAAGCTCTTTACTGTGCCATTGGAAGGTGTGCGATTCGCATGAAAGATTCCATACCATTCGAAGAGTGGTTGCAAACCAATCTCGCACCAGAAGCTCGAGATACGAACCCTAGGTCTGCTTTTCATAACATAACACGTTTGAGCAGTTCTTAACGTTGACTTGCTCAGCTACCCTATCATCAAGCGAAGGATTGCCTGGCTCATTGGCAAGTGGATATCGAGTGAATGTTCTAGTCCCAACAACCCGATGGTATGGGAGGTTCTCGTCCATCTACTGCGAGATCGGGGCCCTGGAACGGATGCAGTTGTCAGACTTACTGCTGCCGTCGCCATACGTGAATGCATCGATGTGTGTATTTTCGCATAATTACAGAACTGGTCGCTAAATCCATACTCTTCAGACACTCCAATTCGACTTGAACGTCTTCCTTCCGTACCTTCAACCGGTTGTCACTGAGCTCCTACGTATCATGGCTGAAGCAGACACTCTAGAAAGCAAGAGGCGCATTGCCAATTGCCTTGGTTTGGTGATTGAACGTGCGGAGTTACATGTATGGCTCAAATTTTGCACTTTGTGAACGGCCATTGACATCGGAATATCGCAGATTGTTCCTCTGATGAGTGCGATTGCCACATCGTTGCCTCAGTTATGTCAGTCTGACGTCAGATGTAATTATTGCTTTGTACTGAGCCCACATTTCAGGGGTGGCAGCGGAAGAGGATTGGCTACTGAAGGCTTCCCTTCTTGAAACGCTTTCAAAACTCTGCGATGTTAGTGTTTTTCTAAAGCATTGTCAGACCACTCACATTTGATCCACAGTCGACCAAAGAACATTCCGCCCCTCTGTGTGCCCTTGTTGTGCCTATGGTTCGAGACAGCTTCACACCTTCTGTTTGTATCACTTCCTATCTACATGGTCTTCACACCTTGTTGATGATACTTTGACAGGCAAAAGCCCAGCTCGACGAGGATGCACTCAATCTTTGGCAAACAGCGTTACGACAAACTAACACCATCGACGCGGTCAGTGGTCAACCCGGATTGATTGAATTACTACCACTTGCGATCGACCTCCTGTCGAACAATCTTGATCTTCTCGGTAAAATCGTCGCTATTTTGGAGTCTTATTTCCTTCTGGACGCGACGCGTATATTGCAGGTATATCTTTAGCCATACATGCGTTTGTGCGATGTCACTCAACTTGTTGTATTCCTAGTTGGGCGCTCTGGATGTGTTTAAAGGGTTCGTTCATGGCTTGAAGCATGCACTATCTTTCAATCAGAAACACATGATGCAAGCCCTCGACTTACTGGTACAATTCACTCCCCCCACGTTGTACGCGGATGCTATTCATCAAAGTGGACTGCTACGATACATCGTCCAAGCTTTCATAGACGATCAAGTAAGTAGCTATCATGAACGTCTTGCTTGTCATCGTTTGACTTGTTTTAGGCTCCAGCGGTTGTGCTGACGGAGTTTGTTTACTTCCTTGCGAGATTAGCTATTGCAGATAAGCAAATATTCTTGCAATTAGTGTCGGCCACAGCCGCCGCTATGAACTTGATGGAGACGCAGGTCTGGGAACCCATCCTGAATCAATGGTGGACACGGGTAAGTATATATATAGAGTCTCCTTGTGTCCCGGATCCCGGTTCTGATTAGCTTATCTCAGTTTGACAACATGTCTGAACCCCGAAGTCGAAAACTTGTAGCTATGGGGATTGCGAATTTGGTCTCTACTGGGCGACCTGAGGTTCTCGATCGTCTCGCTACCGAGATATGCAATCTTTGGCTTGACGTCTTCGGGGAGATCAAGGAGGCTAGGGAGAAGGCCGACGAAGACCCGTATGTTGTTCCCTTCTACTCATAGGTCACTGTCTGACTAGCTACGAGCAGATCTTCATTGACATTGTACTGGGACAAACCAGCAGAGCAACTTTTTGTCGATTTCGAGGGTAGCCTGGAATTCGATCGTCGCAAAGCGGTACGTCCATGCAACTATGTATTTCTCCGCATGCATAGGATGATTTATGATTATTTGCGATAGGCATATGAGAACGATCCTGTGCGCACGACGCAACTCGTCACATACGTCGCTGCTCGCCTACATGAAGCTGAAATGGCTTGTGGAGGCCCAACTGCATTGCAATCACAATGGTTGGCGAAGGCGGATCCTACTGTGCTGAAGCAAATTCAGGATGCGTTGGCGGGAAGGTAGAAATTATCTTTCATTGATAGAGGAGACAAGAAGACGGCTTGGATACCTATTTTTCAACATGTCGGAAATCTATAGCACACATCTAATTTCTATAGCGTCTCATTGTTTTTTTGCTTGGATACAATGGTCAATCTGCATAAACGTATCATTGCTTATGCTCTTTTAATGCATTGAAGACTAAGGTTACACAAACGTCGAATGAGGTTTCAAGCTAGGATACAAACGCATAGTCCTACTTCTTTCCGAAGAAATCCATCAGCCCTCCAGACATCGTCTTTTTCACTTTAGACGATGTTCCTGACTTCGAGCCCTTTGTCGCAGCACTAGATTTGCCTCCTTTCTCTTTCGAGCTCACCTTCGATGATTTCTCTTCAGAGTCCGATTTCTTTCCCCTAGCAGCGGGTTTCTTCGCTTTTGGCTTAGGTTCTTCCGGCTCTTCCTCATCCACGGACTCGTATTCAGAGTAATCCTCCGTGACTGCAGAATGAAAGTGGCAGTTGAGAGCGAGCGTCTTAATGTTGATTGGAATAGTAAACGCACTAATGTATCCCTTCGCATCGGTTGTCATGCGACTCTTGACCACTCGTCTCTTCTTGAGCCCATTCCGGCCTACTGGGATCGCCTTCTTCACCTTCTTCTTCTTGGGTATAGGTTTTGGCAAGTCCTCATCATCCTCCATAGCAACATCTTCGTCTGGCTCGTCTGTCTGCTCAGTATCTGATGGAGGCGGAGGAGTGACTCGTCTAGGATGCTTGATCACTGAATCTATTCGCACGATTAACAAGCTAGACTTGTGAAATGGGGTTGACTATGCATCACTCACCATCGTCCATGTCCATCATGGCGCTCAGGCTTGGATCCACCTCCTTAATCACTGTCTTCTTCCTTCCGTACGACTTAGACACCTTACTTTCCTTGAGGTTATCTTCATCTTCATCGTCCTCGTCGTCTGACAATACGATGCCCTTCTTCACTTTCACTGCCGCTGTTTTAGCTTTACCCCTTGACTTAGGAACGGGAGAAATTGAACGTGAAGGTCCACTTGGTGCCGGTGTCTCTGTTACTGCAGACTGTTCGGAATCAGAGTCAATAGGCATCGCGGATTTGCGTTTCGTTCCTCGCTATATAAGATCCATCAGTTTACCATCGGACCATCGTATTGAGTAACAAGTTACCCTTGGGGGTGGCTCTGAAGGAGATGTCGCGGAACTGCTGCTCTCGCGCTTGACAGGTTTCTTGCTTGCAGTAGATTTCCCCTTTGTTTCTCTCTTCGCCCTCGACGGTGGTCCGATCTTGAAGATTGGTTCAGTCTTCTCCCGCTCTGAGGGTTCCTCCTCCTTGACAGTCTTCTTTTCCTCCTTCGCTTTCGCTTTAGCCTTACTGAAGTCAAGCTTTCCGCTGGGTTTGGGTTTCGAGATTACTGGAGGAGACTTCGAATCCTTTGGCTTGACTTCATCAGCCTTCTTCTCGGCCTTGATACTTTCCGCTTTTGGCTCTTCCTTGACTTTGGATAACGAAGCCGACGCTGCAAGACCTGGCTTTCGTACAGTAGTAGTCGCAGGTGCTTTGCCTTTGGATGAAGCAGCTGGCAGGGGTTGCACTTTCCCAATCTATAGAAAATGCACATTGTTTCAAGACCATACGAACATGCTTCAGATCTGACTTACCTTCACATCCGGGCCGACAACACGACCTAGCAGTATCGACTGTTCTGGAGACAACTTTGCATCCGCCTTGTAAATATTGGCCGACGGCGCACAGATGAGACTAGAATCCTGCCAATATCAAAGTAAATTAAACATCATGCGTTACTACTAATATTGAGTGGAGATACTCACGACCAAAGGCGAGGGTGATAGACAATATATGTGCTCAGAAAATATACGGGCGTATTGTGTCTTGGCCTCTATAAATAATTTTAGTAGGTCAATTCTTTGTAAGGATCCATGAACAGGACCCACGTTCAAGATCCTTCTCCCCAACCAATGTAATTTTCACTTGAGGTACAAGATCTGAATCGACCTCCGGCTCATCTTCCTGACCCTCCTGAGGCTCGTCCACGTCCATCTGAGTATCATCCTCTGTCGAAAGAGGTTGGGAAGAAGCTCTGGGGAAAAGTTCTCCAGAGATGATGTAAGTCGCGTAGGATTGTTCTGCTGAAGACTGTGGTGTAGCGTGGTAGGTGGCAAGTTCGCTATGAGATCAGAGATCAGCCTCTAAGACGTGTCTTTGAGATAGGGGAGACAATATACTTCTTTGCGACATTCACATGAATCTTGAACTGACGGCTCAGAGATCGATACGTAACCTATGAGGATCTGCGTTGAAAGGTTGCATACTTGCATATGGAACAATACGAGCTTACCACGTTCTTCTCAATGAATAGCTGTTTAGCTAGAAAGTCTGGTATGGACGACATGATAAAAACGCGATGTCTAATCGGGACTCGTATAACGTGAAGGTGACAGCCGAGGACGATGGCTTGAAGAGAGGATGAAAGTCAAGAGTGACAAGCGCGTCGCGTCCGACGCGTCGAATTAGCCGGCCACGCGTCTGTGGCTGATCGAAACTCACATCAGGCGAGACAAGGCAAACAATATCGCAAAGACAATGTTGCCTCCGAAGCGAAAGAATAGAAATAGTAAACACAAGCAATAAAACTATACTATTCAGTCCGACGCCTCGTTATAACTCGAGATCATACTCCCACTCATATCCGTAAACGTCATATTACTACTATCATACTCATCCATATAGCCCTCCTCAAAATCAGCACCTCCCATGCTGAAACTGCTCCCGAATTCTGAATCACTGTCTTCAATCCCTATCTCTACCCTATCCGCTTCAACCACTCCTTCTCCACATCTCAAACATTCCCATCGGGTCCCACCTGGACCAACGCCTGTCCTATCATCGGCTGTCCGCACCATGCGCGTTGTGACACAGACGTAACAGTAGGCATGACCACACGAGGTCACATATGGGGTGTTGACTGGATGAAGTGGAGGTTCTTCCACGGCATTGGTGGACTCTGTAGGAGGATCGGCTGAAGTAGATGAGTAGGTGGGCGCTGCCAAGGTGCTCAGGGTATTTGAAGGATCCGCAAGGTTGAGAGTCGCTGCGTCTTCATAGCAAATTGCACATTGATCCAATGGTAATGACCAATACTTCCCTTTGCGAACACGTTGTTTCTCGTCCGAACTTGATTTGGACAACCCCAACGTAGAGCGTATCGGTGGGGGAAGGATAGATGCGAGAGTAAAATTTGCCGCAAGGCGAGACAATCGTCGACGCGGAGCGCGGGTGTTGATAAGTGGCAGAAAGAAGAGTAAAAATTCCTGAAGAAAAAATAGGTAACATTGAAGAAGCGCGAAGTGGAAGGTACGTACAGTGAAGGCGTGCCAGACCATTTGTCGATTCATGAACTCGTAGGAGACCTCGCGTTTCGTCAGTCTTTGAAGAGGAACAAGGCGCAGCCCCAGTATTCGATCTGAAAGTGTACGGTATCTAACAGGCAGAAAGAAATAAAGTCAAAATATTAATGAAGCTAATCAAGAAGACGAACAAACCTGCCGTTCCACAAGAAAGCGATGAAATTCACTAGTGCAAGTAATCCGTGTGAGGATTCAAGTTTCGTCAAGAACTCCCAAGCCCTCCTTCGTCGATCATGGGAAGGCGCTTCTGGCCAAGCATTCGAGAGTGCATGCGCACGTATCCGGGTATGGATATATGGGACGAGCGTGGTTAGTGTGCCATGTATAAGCAGAGTGCGTAATGGGAGGCCTGAACGCGTGGTGGCGTCGGAAGATGCATACTTCAGGCCTTGAAGCCTTGCACCATAACTAGCACCACTATTCCACACAGAGAACTTATACAGGATCAATTGGATGAGCAGTGTAAGCTCAGGTTGATATTGAGATGTGAATGCACTCTGCCATAAATTTAATACCCAAAACCTGAGTCAAACGCGTTCGAATGCTTACACGTATCAGGTTCAACGCCTTTCCAACCGGTTCCTGCAATAACTGAACAAGTTCTTGGTCGAGTAACTCCGCATCCAGTTGGCCAACGCGGATCACTCGAGCGGAGGGAGTGTTCTGACTACTGAGAGCTTCTTGGATCGATCGAAGACGGGGCTGCGCTTCCTCCCAGAGCTGGTGCCACGATGAAGGAGGAGATGAGGACATCGTGGACGTCGGTGTCGAGAGGGATTCATGGTGGTCGTGGTCGTCTGCGAGGGCGGGAAAAGGGGAAATGTCACAATCACGTGGAGGTCTGTAAAGAGTAGAGATCTCAGATCTCCCTAGATTGACTCGATCATCGTAAGCAAATATCGACCGCATAACTTGTCTTTGCTTTCTTTCTGCTACCACGCGTTCCGCACTTCTAGAGTCTATACCACAATCTTCCAACAATGGCAGAGGCCATTCAACAACTCATCCTTGATACCCTCGATAAACAGGGTACAATCAAAGACACTCGTACCCTCGTCCTGCCTGGGCAGATAGATCCTGCGGCGACGCACGATGCACAAATCATCATCCTTGGAGCTCTCAACTCTCTTTCTAGTAGAGAGGTACGATAACTTGACACTTTCTTCGGAAGATTGATTCTAAATGTTATTCAAGATGATTACATATACCACCCAAGAAACCCTGTCCCATGTCCTCACACAGGAAGGTGCATCAATAGCCTTGAATGGCTCACATGAAGCTCGTGTATGGGCCGTCCTTCCATTGAAAGGAGAGGGAGAGCCAGTACCCCCGAAAGAACTGGAGAAACGAGTGGGTGCGGAAACGGCAAAGCTTGGTCAGGCAAATGCGTTCAAGAAAAAGTGGATTGCTAAGGATGGTCCGGGATTGGTCAAGTTGGTACGTCGTTTAGTTTCTCAGAGGTCTCATATCAATCCTGAACTTTCGATTATAGGTTTCTGAGATTGTCGATCAGACTCAACTCGATATGCGTGAGGTCGACTCTACAGGCACTCTGAAGGCAGGGGAGAAAGCACTTGCAGAGCTTCGTAGGCGAAAGCTCATTACCCAGAGGTAGTTGTCTCGCCTAATATTTGAGAGATCTCATCTCATGAATACCTATGCAGGAAAGGCCAATGGTTCACTGTTCACAAGGGTCCCCTTTTCAGCACATCAATCGCGAAGCCCGAGACTGACCTCACTGTGGATATGCTCACAAGGTATGACCTTCGCTGAACGACTTCACTTCATAACAGCCTCTCACTTATCGCTCTAGTGGATCTTGGAAGACCTCGACCTACAAGAGATATAATTTCGATGCGGAAGGAGTTCCCACTGGTGGTGGTTCTCTGCATCCATTGATGAAAGTTCGCGACGAGATTCGTAGCATCTTCTTGGAGATGGGGTGCGTACTGCATTACATTTTGTTCTGCCACATGTGCTTAGATTGGCCTGTAGCTTCGCTGAGATGCCGACATCCTCTTTCGTCGAGTCAGGCTTCTGGTGCTTCGACTCATTATACGTCCCACAACAACATCCTGCTCGAGAAGTCCAAGACACCTTCTATCTCTCTGGTATGTTTTGCTATGAAACTCGTACCTCTTCTGTGGACAACACTGATTTGACATCTTATCTCACCAGACCCGTCAACCTCACTCCCTCCTCCAGAAGCTTACTACAAGCGAGTCGCAAAAGTCCACGAGCACGGCGGATATGGATCCACAGGATACCGTGCTCCATGGTCAGATACCGAATCAAGTAAACTCCTGCTTCGAACGCACACTACCGCCACTTCAGCGTCCATGCTTTACAAACTTGCGGCCAAGTGTCGTGGTGAAGAGGTAGACGATGACGGTTTGGCTACCCATTCTGGTACCACTCAAACACACAAGGAAGATGGAGAAGAGAGCGATGCGTTCAGACCGGCGAAGTTGTTCAGTATCGATCGAGTGTTCAGAAACGAGACTATGGACGCAACTCATCTGGCTGAGTTCCACCAAGTGGAGGGTGTGGTCGCTGACCGGGGGCTTACTTTGGCTGATTTGATTGGTACGTTCTTGATAATAAGTACTTTATTGTCATTTTGTGCCCTAGAGCTTATGTGTTCGCCAATTAGGTTTCATGAGGGTCTTCTTCAAGAAGATGGGTCTCGAGAATATCAGATTCAAACCCGCATATAACCCATACACCGAGGTATGATGCTAATCTGTTTGCTGCTTATTCGTGATATACTTACAGTCATGTTAGCCTTCACTAGAAATCTTCGCATTCCACCCCCAACTAGGCAAATGGGTCGAAGTAGGCAACAGTGGCATGTTCCGTCCCGAAATGCTGGAGCCCATGGGTTTCCCCAAAGATGTCCATGTCCATGGTTGGGGTATTGGATTGGAGAGGCCTACGATGATCAAGTGAGTTCCTCTCTTCCCGTTCGAACGATAGTATATCATATTGATACGAATGGCAGATACGGTATCAGCAACATTCGTACGTTAGTGGGGCACAAGGTGTCCATTGAGAACGTAGAGAGCTCACCGGCTGTAGCTTTTCACATGTAGCGTAGCTTTTAGGATGTAGGGCAAAAATGTAAAACATGTATGTGCACTCGATTAGAGGGTTTTCTAAACATGGTCTGCGATGCTTACACGAAAGCCAGGTTTACTCGTGGTTCTTTTCCAAGTAATCATGATATGAGGATAGTTTAAATGATGTCTGTGCGGGGTACACTGAAGTAATCCACCATCCTAAACGGCTGACTATAGAGCGGTAAGATGATAGATAAGTAAGTGGGAGGTTGGATGAACAGGTTTAGAATGAGAAAATGGCCGCATTCTTCTTTGACCCAAACATGTACACGAAACTCTGACTCATAAATAGTCCGACAGTGATACCAATCGTAACTGCAACCATGGCATTTCCAATCTCGATTCCGTTTCCTTGAGCAGTGATGCCACCGGACGCTGACAGACCAGACTAAGAAGAGGGAGAAAACAGTTAGTATCAGAAGAACGTACAATGTAGACAACGGCACTTACAGGTACCAAGAACAGAACACCGGTAACCATAGAAGTGAACGCAGTACCACCCATCTTCCTCGAGTAAACGTTGCCCAGTAGTCCGATGACGAAGGCACCAATGGCAGAAACGACGTCTGAACGCTGGAAGATGAAGAAGTCTGCTCCCTTGTTGGCCGCGTACGAGATACAAGAGATCACAACCATGACAATGAGTTCAACGCTCCTCCAGGGCTGGAGGTTGGAAAGAGAAGACAGTATGGAGAAGAGGGGCACGATGATAAACTCTGTCCACCAAGGGAAAGGTTGGAGATACCAAGCGAAACTCGGAGGACGATAACAACCTGTGTTGATATAGTCTCGCTGCACAGGAATTGTGTTTGAGAAGGTGAACTGGCCGGAAAACATATGCGCTCCGACGTCGTTCAAAAGAGTTGAGGTATTATCCGCGATGAAGTTACCGCTGAGAGAGGCGGCAGCGACCATACCGTCTGAAATGCGTTTCAGCTCCTCTCGCTGAGATTCGTCGAAGAGCAGGTAGAAATCGGATCCCAAATTGAGACCGTATCCGATGAAGAGCGTGTAAATGAGGGCATAGACCATCTTGATACTACCGCAGACAATGTTTTTAGAAGCAAGCTCCAGAGAACTCGTCACTAGACACTGAATCAGAACGGTAGCATTCGAAGTACCATGCGTTACTTACGGATAAGGTACCCAGGTAGGATACTAACAATCCCTGCTGATGAAATAGCGGTATAACAGAATTTTTGGCTTGGGATACTGCTCAGTCCACGTGCCATGAAAGAGATGAAAACCGTGATGGTGATTCTAGCGGGAAGTTAGTACGGTCATCTCTGAGAAAGGAAATGGCATACTCGAAAACCGTGGCATAGATCTGACTCTTGCTGGCCGACCAAAAGTGCATGAGACAGAGTGCTATGCCCCCGATACCGGCAAACCACATGTCTGCGATGGAACCGCCGAAAGCAAGGGGACAGATTAAGGATGAAATCAGAAAGGCGAAGACGCATCGAGCATAAATGTTATAGACAGGGTCAGCCATGAGGATATCGTCAAGTTCCTTCGTGGCCTTCTTCGCACTGATCTCGTCATGGACGACGGCACGGTATATTTGATGTACTTGATGAAGAGCACCAAGAGATAACCGACCACCACACTTGACGAAGTGGGTATCGGAAGTCTTTGTGTCGTGGTCTCCGAATGAGCAGATCATTATGCCGGGAAGATTGACATATTCTGCATCGACTTCGAGAATTCGGGCAGCTGATAAAAGTTGAGATTCAATGCGATGCGACGGTGCTCCAAAGACCATCAACGCCTTCGCCAATTTCATGAGGAACAGCTGACGATTGTGCACAGCTGCAGATTGGATCGTCAGCCAAAGTGATCTCTGACTACTAAATGTCCTCACAAGTGATGTTCAACTCAATACGCATACGCTGCTTCTCTTTACGTCGATCCCTGTAGTTCATGCCGCGAAGAACGTTCTTTTCAATGTCTTCGGGATCGTCTTGAGATGCTTTGCGCGTACCAGTGACAGCAGGATCATCCGGGTCCATTATCTGGTCTGACTCCGACGCAAGAGAGTCGATGCGCCGGAAACCCCATGGACGACCAGAAGAGTTCGCAGCACCGCCGAAGGTCTTCACAACACTTTTTCCATCTTCATCGTCCTCGTCGAAAAGGTCCATGCCGTGTAACTGAAGAATGTTGGCAAAGAGACCACGCCGGCGTTCATCTGCAGGGACTGCCTTCATGGTCTCTATGTCTTCAATATCTTCAGCTGACATTTCTTCCTCGGGGCCGTCCTCAGTAGGGAGATAGAAGTGACGACTGTACTCGTCATGTCCCCGGGCTACAGCCGTAGGAGGGGGCTGGATATCGTATGGGTGCCGGTAGGACGAGAAGGTAACGTCGTCAGCTCCCCCACCGCGATTGTCCTCGTTGAGAGTTGCATTGCTATCGTCAGATCCTCGTCGGCTGTCGTCAGTATGGGGATAATCTGTCAGATAGGTGTTGTGGTAGACCCCCTCGGGCTCAGAACGGTGACTATAAATATTCTCGGGCGCGATGTACGCCTGTGGAATATCATTTCTCAAACCAGCCGGGGAATGAGGTAGTGCAGTTTGGGGTGCGACCTGCCCGTCACTGCCTATCCGCAACTGCGAAGTGCGACGAGTGTCCGGCTCGCCTCTAAAAGGATCGGCTTGAGAGCCTGCGGAAGGACGGCGAGATGAGCGGTCAGGGATGTCGGTGTAAGGCATAAGCAAAACCACCAATAACTGAAGTAAAAGCGATAACCAATGCAGGGGAAAGAGACGGTTTCTGTATCATTTTTGCGGCTGAGTGGTAGACTGTCGTTTCAATTCAATCCACTGCCCGCCTCCCGACGCCCCCACGCCGTGACCCCGCCTTGTTGTGTTGTGACTGACTACCATAACCGGAAGGTGTCCAGCTTCAATGTTCAACTTTATGATTCCAAAACTCAACCTGCAACACAACCGACGCATACCCAAGCGACACCCCTTGAACTTGGTTTTGCGATGAATACTTCCTCTGATGGACATGCTCATGTCTTGCTGATCGACGAGGTCTCAGCTCTGCGCGCACAGTTAAAGGAATTACGGATGGTCATGAACCATCAGTTCCACCAACTCCATTCTCTTGGGCGAAATTCTATCGTGGACCCTCTGGTTCGAGAACTCGATACTGCACGTTCGATTTCTGGAATACAACGTCTTCCTGTAGAGCTTCTCATCAAGATTTTTACTCTCGTCGTAGGCTCACCTCAATCTCAAACCTCCAGCGACAACATCAAGGCTGGCTGCGATGAAGCAATTGCATTGTCGCACGTTTGTAGCGGCTGGCGGGATGTAGCTATTGACATGCCGCAACTTTGGTGCAACATGCACTCTGCCATCAAGTTATCTGGCTTGAAAACTATCCTCCTACGATCCAAGTCGCGTCCCCTTAATATTTTGCGCACGATGGCCGACGCCTCGTTCTTAGACTCTGGCAAACTGCGACTCCATACGATGTATACAATCAATTCCGCGCACCGATGGAAGACTATGATTTGGACGTCCTCCGAGAAAGACATCCGAATAATAGTGTCTCAATTGAACTCTGCCGTTGGTTTATCTTTCCCTAGACTCTGTACACTGCAGCTGGCTGTTCAACATAGAAGTTCTTGTTTTCCCTTGCCGACATTTGCGGAGGACATACATATTCCCAAGTTCCCTGCGCTTGAACATATTCGTTTAGCTTGCATTTCTCCAGAGGAGTTGCCTCCCAGTGCGCTTCCCGCGTTGCAAACGTTCTACTTGTTCTACTCTCCGAAGAGGTTCTCTGCTTCAGGACAGAATCAAGCACCGCCACTTCGCATGTCAACTTTACTTCCCCTACTCTTCAGGGCTCCTGGCCTTACGGAATTGACCTTGGATGAGACCGTTCCCTTGTTAGATATTGAACTCGGACCTCTAAACGACACACTCTCCAACCCTGTAAAAGCATACTCTCGCAGGACATGCCGTGTTGTACAGCCGTTGAAAATGTCAAAGCTTACCTCGTTCAGCTGGTACCAATGTCCCGCGAAGGACCTTTGGCGGTTCTTCCACTTTGTCTCAATGCCAGCCCTGCGCACCTTACACCTCTTCATTGACCTGTCAGCTTCCCGCTGGCCCAGAGAACATGATGGTGTAATCTTGTTCATGGATTCAGCTATACCTGTCTCTCGATTTCATACCGATCCTTTGATACGCATGGACGCCCTCACAGACCTGACGTTGGAGTTCTCCGATTCCGATGGCCTCACTGCGGCTCTCAGAAAGTTCATTTTACCTTCTCTCAAATCCCTCTCCCTCATGTTTGTTCCAACCAAGGATCTTGCGACACTTCCCGAATTGCCCATCTCGGAGTCAATTTTTCGTGATCCCCCGATGCCGCACCTTACCACCCTATGCTTGTCGCGTCTTCGCCTTCATCTCGAGCATACAACTTCCCTGCTTCGATACACGCCATTGTTGCAGTCGCTTACGTTGGAAGGCTGTTCTGGTGCGGGTGAACTCGTACATTCGCTGCGCGGAAAGATCAGCACGTATGGCAGCGTCATCGTAAAGCAATGGGACTGTCTGCATCTAGAGCATCTCGCATTCATGGATTGTGCCGATCTAGAGTTTGATCAACTTGCGCAGATGGTGTTGAGTCGGAAGAAAGGCGCTGAAGGAAAATCTGAAGCAGACACTGCGGGCTCTCCCGCTCGGCCTTGCAAACCCTTGAAACGACGGGCTCTGACATCGAATGGCTCATCGTCCTCCCTTCCCGCATTATCCAGATCTCCACCTAGGATAAAACCTCTTAGTATCAAGTCGGTTCGCGTCGAGGCTTGCGATGGAATATTGGAGTTTGACTTGCACTGTCTCGTGCGAGGGTCATTTGGCGTTGAAGATATTCATTGGGAACCATAGATCTAGTGACCTTGTCGAATGCCTTGATACGCCTGTTCCTATTTTACTTTGTGTCTGTTTTTTTTCCTTTGTTCTGTCACATCTTAACGTACCCCACTTAAATGCGATACCTGCCTGATTCATCCAACCTTTATGACTTTGTGACGAAGAGAGAATCACTCAGAAACCGTAATGGGGTATGCCTCTTTGATTAAGAGATGATAACTGGTATGTGGCTACGAAGAGCACCAAACAACGATAGCGAAACGTTACATCAGGTCATAATTGTGAGTCCGTGTCCGTGCATCTATGGAGGTCGTATTCGAGAGCATGATGAAGGTAAAACATAGCGCAAAGATCTATTTGTCGAGCCGTCGTAGGGCTCGGTAGAACCGTGATGAAGGGATGTTAGGACTGCAAAACAGAAGTGTTAGAGGCGTCGAGACACATGAATGTAGAAACAACATGATGCAATACCTGTTGGGCTCTACGCTTGGTCCTGTATTTCGGACCGATGCGCATGATAAGAAACATGGCGGGAGAGACAGCAATGCACATTCCACCGAGGATAACATAGGCCCAGCCTATGCCAACAGAATTGATGATGATATCGATGATGGAAACAAGGGCAGCTCCCAGGGAGCAGCGAACCAGATTATTCTGCAACAACATCAGAAAGAGATGCGGGAAAATATGGTATTCGATACGTACGCAAGCAGTGATCGAGGACCCTTGAGAAGGAAGCAAGTCTACAATCAGGGTTTGTGTGGTGTTGAGAATGGATACGATGGTGTAGCCCACTAGCAGACAGATAATCAAGCGGCCAGCTCAAAAATCAAATTATACGTACTGATTATCAAAAGAATGAGTGGACATGCGATGTTCACCTCTTGCTGAAGGCTCCATCCATATCCCATACAAGTCGCGGTGAAGATCGCCAAGTAGATTGGCATCGTCCTAAATCTGGCTACCTCTATGGGGAAATCTTCATCTCTGACAACGTCCTCCGAACGAAGGGCTTCCGGGTCACTTGCGTTGGCTCGCGCCTTTCGAACGAGGCTCTCCTTTATATTTATATACTCTCTATCAAGAATCTTGCCGGTGATCACACCCCCAATGAGCATACCCCCACCGATAGACAGGAAGCATAGACCGATGTCAGTTTCGCTTAGGAAGGGGTATACCTGTTGGAACAGTGTCGAGATAGACGTTGTAACGCCATAAAACACAGAGTAGATCACGCCATTGGAGAACAACAAAAGATCCACATCCGGGTAAAGGAATAATCGTAGAGGATTCGCCAGCGGTTTGGGCGGGGGCCTCTCGCAGTCAGTTTGTGGGCGATTGCGACCGATGAGCGGTATTAGAGGACGTTGATATAACGGGGCGGGTATACTTCCATCTCCTACCATGGCGCGAAGCGTTTCAGGGAAGAACCTACAAAGCAATGGAGGAATAGTGAAAGAGTACACGGATGTAAAAACCTACAAAAGCATCACTAGAAACCACACCGCAGATGAGATACATAGGAACCAGAATATGGACCTGGAGATCATGAGCTTATTGCTTGAGAGAATCTCAGGAGACGGACCTCCATCCTAGTCCTTCAGCAAGTGCGCCGCCAATAACAGGTCCGATGCATGGCCCAAACTATGCAACAGTCAATTAAATATTGATAGGGTGGGTACGGAATATTACCATGGCGCCAAGACTATAGAAACCATAATAACCTCCGCGCTCATGTTGTGCAGCCACGTCAGCTATCACGCCGGCACCTGAGGAATAGGTCACAGTTGTATGCATGCGATAACTGACCGCAGGATGAGCCTTACCGACGGCAATTGTGCTGGCTGAACCTGCAGCTTGAATGCAACGCATAACAAGTAGGAGCCAGTAGGCATCTGTAGGTGTCAGAGCTACCCCGACGCATGAAAGTGCAAGAATGAATAAGCACGCTAGAAAAATAAGTCGTCGTCCCCAGCGGTCAGCCAATGGCCCCCATATCATAGGTGCTAGAAATTAATAAACATCACACGAATTGCTGTTGAAGGTGCGATATTTGAATACTTACAAACACCTTGCAATATCATGTAAACAGTGACTGTCAAGTTGATCAACTCGACGGATTTATGGAAGGCATCTGCAATAGTTGGGATAGCCGGGAAGTAGCTATTCGACGTCAAGGGGCTGATATAATAATTTGTTAGTTAGGATATTCTGAATGGGGCTAGATGTACTGTACCTGAATATGCCACCGATGGAAGTCATTCCAACAATCAGCCATATCTCGATTTTGGTAAATACGCTGTAAGGTTTCTCTGTCGTCTGCTCCATATGCTGAAGCTCAGCCTTCTCAGCCTCCTTCGACTTTGCTTCATCGCATTCAAGGGTAGTTGAGGGTGACTGATACAGAGACTGCTTGCCAAGAGCCTGGGTATCTAGATTGGGTTTCGTGGCATCAGGTTTGTGTGGTTCGTTAGCGCCGTCAAGTCGTCCGGATAAAGTCATGAAATAGAGGCTTCCTCAGTCGTGAGGAGGGCGAAATCAAAGGACTGTAGTTGGCTTCCAGAGCCCCCGCAGCTTTAAATACACTTCGCTCATGAGGAAACCTCTTGATCTTAGTAAAGTCACGGTTTGGAGGATTCTTTTGAAGCGAGTCCGAGGCCCCGGTCGGCCGAATGCGGTTAAGATTAGATTCTCCGGTCTCCTTTAAGCGATTAGATTAGTGTCAAAGATTAGATCTCAGTTAGTAGCAAGTTATCTGACTCGATCCTAAAGCGGGCTCAATTTCTTGCACTCACGATCGAAACACAATCGCTGCTGCTTAATCATGCCCACCGTAGCAGTGGACAAGGAGGACCTGTGGGAGAGGCTCGGACACAAGTATAGTGAGTCTGTCCCCTGAATCAAACACTTCATACTCTGATAATCCCTTAAAGCCCCGGAGGACTTTGATAGACTCTTATTCGAGTTCGGTCTTGAGTTAGATGAGGATGTGAGTACTCTTTGCATCTTGCTAGTCCTTTCCGTGTTGACTTCTACTTCTTTTTACAGACTACAGAAGAGGTTGAGGCACTCAGAGAGAAAGGTTTACCTGCTGATCGACCTGTGAGTTACATTGCATTTGCACCGATCACCTACTGAAACTTCTTGTATACAGCAACTCAAGATAGAAATTCCTGCAAATAGGTACGCGTTGGCATACATCAAGAATGATGTCCTCTAACGGAGTTTGCGAAAGATATGACCTGCTGTGTATCGAGGGTATCTCACGAGCACTCCGAGTTTACCTCGGGAAAGATAAACCACCTGTCTATAGGCTCGTACTTCCTGAGGGTGGAGAGAAGAATCTCATAACAGCGACTGTGGCTCCGGAGGTACGTTATTTTGTCATAGTTCACTTATGGCTAGTTCAGTGGGAGGTAGACCCAAAGGATTCGTCCATATTTTGCCTGCGCTATCCTGCGTAATGTCACCTTTACCCAACGATCATACGACTCTTTCATCAATCTCCAAGACAAACTGCACCAAAATATCTGCAGACGTCGACAGTTCGTCGCCATTGGCACCCACGATCTAGATACCCTTCAACCGCCTTTCTCGTATGAGGCGAAACCGCCGAAAGACATCAAATTTGTGCCGCTATCAAAAGACAAGGCGTACACAGCTGAAGAGCTCATGACTGTATACGAGGTGCGTTTAGCTAGTATACGAAATGATTGACGTGCAGTAATTTTGAAGCGTTCCATTGCAGTCTGAAAAGCATCTGGCGAAATATCTTCCTATTATCAGGGATTCACCGGTATACCCTATCATTTACGACTCAAAAGGCAACGTAGCGTCCATGCCGCCGATCATCAACTCTGAACACAGCAAGATTACCCTGAACACTCGGAACGTCTTCATCGATGTGACTGCGACTGACGAAACAAAGCTTGGGATTGTGATCAACATTGTTGCCACCATGTTCTCTGAATATTGCAGTGAACCCTTCACGTAAGATATCCCTTTTTTGTCTCCCCTCATGCTTTCATCTCACGTGAATTACAGCATCGAGCCTTGCAAAGTCATCTACCCCGATGGTACTTCGCGCATCACACCTGATCTCAAATACCGATCTATAACCGCCCACCCTTCGTACATCAACTCTTGCACGGGTCTTAAGCTCGACGGTCCTGAAGTTGCCAAGCTACTAGAACAGATGACGCTTACAGCGGTGGTCGGTGAGAATCCCGACGAAGTTCTGGTGGATGTCCCTCCCACACGACCAGACATCATGCACGAATGCGATCTCGTGGAGGACGCTGCCATTGCGTATGGCTTCAATAACTTGCCAGATACCTTCCCTCCTACGAGTACCGTTGCACAACCGTTAAACGTTAGCAAAGTATCGGATATCGTGCGGAAAGAATGGGCTTTGGCAGGATGGGTTGAGGTTTTCCCTTTCATCCTGGTAATGCAAAACAAACCATGCTTTCTTTGACTTCTGGATATCCTCATTTTTGATACCATTCTATCTATAGTGTTCACATGAAGAAAACTTCGACTGGCTCAACCGCAAAGACGACGGCACACAAGTCGTCCGGATCGGCAACCCCAAAACGCTCGAATTCCAAGTCGTCCGCACATCTCTGCTCCCAGGTCTTCTCAAGACCATACGAGAAAACCGTTCTCACCCACTCCCCATCCGGATCTTCGAATCCTCCGACGTAGTATTCAAAGATCCTAGACTTGAACGCCAAGCTCGTAATGTCCGACACGCCGCTGCAGTTTGGTGTAACAAGACCGCAGGGTTCGAGGTCGTACATGGGATGTTGGATAGGATCATGCAGATGCTCGAGGTGCCTAGGATCGCAAGCACGGATGCCAAGGCCCCGACTGGCTATTACATCAAAGAACGAGATGGTATGAGAAATGAATCATTCCCACCCACTCATACAGATCCTTCACAGAAAAGAAAAGAAAACTGACTCGCTTTTGCAGATCCCACGTTCTTCCCCGGTCGCGCGGCGACGATTTACTACCGTCCCCCGCCCACATCCGGTTCCTCTGCCCATCTGTCTACCGTCAAACGTCAGATCGAATCTGTCTTCCACACGACCGGTGACAAGGAGATCGGCGTTCTCGGGATCCTGCACCCAACCGTGCTGGAGAAATTCGAAATTGGGTATCCATGCTCTGCGCTTGAGTTCTCTCTGGAGTATTTCATCCCACCGATGCACCCGTTGTGGAGCAACGCTGATTAGAGCGTTTATGTTACTATGTGTAGGCTATGTGTCTATGTGCGTAGGTGGGAGCTGATTGGTGCGCTAAATTGTACGCTCAAAAGGGGTAGAGGATTTATTGTGTATAGCCATGATTGTACAATGCGACAACTTACTGTGTATGGCGGCGGCTCGCCTTCAACCGTATTGTTGAGGATGAACGAACGTTGTACATTATGACCTGTCAAAAACCAGTGCTTGCGTAAAGAGAAAGAATGACGGTAGCAGTACACAAAAGAAATAGATAGACAATACTGATGGAAGAATGAAAGGACAGTCGTCCGCGCATGGGAATGAATGACGATCGTCGACGACCGAGTTGGTATGTATGTGTGTGTATAATATGTATATAGTGAAAAAACCGAAAGCAAACAAGAGTGTATACCGTCCACCGTCCACAAGAACCGAAGACAACCAATTAATCATAATACACGCAGAAAGAAAGAACAGAACCATCACAAGACTACTTCTGATCTCAAGGCTAATGACCCAACAAGAATGATCACAAAAGCCCAGCAGCTCTAAGATCATTCGTCAACCTCGCCTCATCCTGGTAAGCTCTGACCAGTCGCTCAGCCGCTTCAGGGTCATCTGTGTTTTCTATAGGAATCACGTACTCTCCCCTCAATTCTGGTGGATGATCATCAGCCTCCTCACCAGTTTCAAACGACGCATCGAAAAGAGTTTGTGAATTATTCCCCGCAGTCGCTGAAGCCCCAGGATATCCACCTCCAATCCCGAGACCTTGGCGAAGCATGGCGCCGCTTGCGAGACCACGAAGACCGAAAGTTTGTTCGAGACGCATAGCCAGGGGGTTGACGTGGATGGCATCAGAGGATGAAGGGGACGAAGAGGAGGAAGAATCAGATTGTTGTGTAGAGAGAATACTGCGTTCCCATCGTTTGACTCGCCAGAACCCAAGTATTGAAGTTAGCAGGAGGAACCAGCCTACCGAACGGGAAATAAACCATCGACATCAACGACTTGATATACAGAAAACGAGAAGAAAGAGATAAAAGAAGACGTACCAACTGTCATCAAGAAAAAAGACAACCACTCGGCAGCCGCATCGCCAAGGAACCACCCAGAGTTGTCAGGTGGCGTCGGTGTCTGTAACGCAGCAGCAGTGGCATTGAAATTCTTATACCACTCTTCCGCATCAGCAGCAGTTTCAAACGTAGGTTTGGGATCCGTTGCAGGGACGCCCCAAGAATCCATATTTTGACCATCAGCACCATTCTCTAACCACTCATCACTCCGACTCCGCATCGCAAATCCATACTGAATAAGCGTAATACCCAAGCCAGCTCTAGAACCGAGCTTTGCCGCATGTGTAGTGTGTAGGAGGTAAGTGAGTAGGAAACCGACGAATTGGAAGGATATGGATACGAGCATGTTCCAAAGGAATGAAAAGAGGGAACCTGTGGGAAGGTTATCGATGATCATATCGCCGGGAGTGTTGGATGATGAAGGAGCATGGATGGTGGTCTCCCAGTATGGAGGTGCGGAGTCGGCCTGAGCTACTGCGTATGAAGGCGGAGCGTCTTTCTGGGTTTCTTCGGGAACAAGGTAGGTGCTGTCACCTGTGCCACAAAGAGATAACGTATCAACATCTCGAACAGCGAGAACGATAATAGATATTTACGTACCATCTTGCACTCGAACAGGTCTAGTAGGTTTCGCAGTAACATTCGCAAAGACACCATCATTGGATGTTCCCCCGCCCACTACTCCAGAAGGGACTTGGGGTGCCAAGCCTAACCGTTGGACATAATGACTTGGCAAGACAGCCTCCGCTGTTCGTCTAAACCAGCCCCGCTGTGCGGCCGCATCAGTACTGGAAGGCTCAAGAGCGGGCACCAGTCCGTTTGAGTTACCAAACTCGTTTGGAAGCGCACGAGCAGAGGGGCCAGGCGGTGACCCAGGAGGAGGCCGCGTATAATCGTAGTCGACGTTTTCGAAATCGTACGTCCCAGGCTGATGGTGTCGATCTTGCTGCTGTTGAGAATATAGATCGCCAGAAGTGTATTCTTCGTTCGGAAGCGAGTGGTAGCCGTTGCGAGAATTCTTCACGGAATGCTGGTCTTCTTCATCATCTGAATCGTCAAAGGCGGCCTCCAACTCGTTGTCTGCATCTGGGTCTGTACGTGGATTAGGGAGGGGAGCATAGCGGACAGACATGGAACAGTAGTAGATGTGAATAGATAGTAGGATAGATATCAGAGACGACAGAGGGGGTGTTGCTTGGTTGCTTGTAGCGGTGTGTATTAGCGCCCACTGTTGGGCGAATGATGCACTGCTTACAGCACCTGCCATTCCGAGATATTTCCTTATTGGGGAGCATACCTCCCCCATTCGGCAACCCGCAACGATTGGCCCTCACTGTGCTGTGGAGCATCATCCGCTTTCATTGGCCACGCAAGCTCTCATGGCGCACAAAGTTCTCATAAGGCATTACAACTCTGATGTATTACAAACAAACCCTGATATCGTCGAAAAAGAACCGTATACGAGACACATATCGCTACATAGTAATAGTAGTATGAGACCAAAACGCCCAATAAGTAAAACACTGCCGCCAGCTGAGCGATGCCTATGCATAGCGTAACCCTCCGGTATCCTGATACAGCATCCCCAGCCTCGCCGAATATCGCCTCCCTCTCCCTTTACTCCCGGGAGATCTCGTTGGTGGTCTATATCGTGCACGGCGAAGTGGCGGAACTGGTCGCGGGGACAGTCGGGTATAGAATCCAGAAAGTGCAAGACGAAGAAGACGCGTGAGATTCTACGAGAACGCCACATAAGCCCGTGTCCAATGAGAAGGGGTGAAGCAAATATAACATACAGTGCTAGCAAACACATTGCGCTGGTCGGCTGCTTGATTCTCGGACTAAACGCGAGACCCGCTGACAGCTTTCCATGCGAGCATCAACAAGCTCTGAAAACATCTCCAGCAAGCGAGTGCCAGGCTCGGATGGTGGTGCGCGATGAGGGCGTCGGCGGCGGTGAGTTGGGGCAATGCCATCAAGCTGAAGCTTCATGCCAGCCTTACGCCTCATCCACAATGATTTACGCGCAGGACGGTCTGATATGATAAGCGACGCGGAGTCGGGTTCAGACTTTATGGAGGTGTTTGTTGCGTCGCTGTCACACGATGAAGTGTCGGAGAGTGAAGAGTCTTGTGGGCTCGCGAGTTCGAGAACAGGAGGGGCATCAATGCCTTTGGCAAGGGCGAGCTCGAGAGCGGCTCTGGTATGGTGAACCCAATACCGCTCCTGCTGATAGAAAGCGGTAAGGTTGTCAAGGAGGTTTACAGCAGAATGCTGGGCCTCCACCGCCCCGGGAGAGCGGGGTGGAGTGGGTAAGGAGGCACTGGGAGAAGGGGAACGGTACTTCATTGTGAGCGGGAGTAGAATGGCGGGGACAGAGACGGTGGTGATGTGGGAAAAGAAAGGAGGGAGCTTACTGGACGAAGAGGCAGCTTTTTGAAGGAGGCTGGGTGGTCTCGACCAGAGGAATCAGCGGGCGTAGAGGGAACCCAGGCCAATAGCAGTCCAGGCCCGTCTATTGTGGACGTGAATCAGCGCAGCCAATAGCAGCCCTTTCTCAGACGCTCCACCACCCCCAGCCAATGGGAGTGCCGCTTTGCTCGATGCTTTTCCCTTGCCACCTGCAGTTAGTATCAGCCTGTAGACTGTTCCAGAGGGCCCTATGCGGTCTAGTTGGTGAATACATGGAGGATCCAACGGGAGAGCAAGGACCGCAACTGCAGATGGGAAGATCCGTTGTCTGGCCCGGGTCGCGATCGTTCATTGCGTGGCTCCTGAAGGCCTGACGTACCGCGCTCACTCAGCAACCAATCCAATTCCACCAGCCAATCTCCATGCAGCGCCTATCTCGGCGTCTAGTTTCCAATCACGTCCATCTCTGGTCCCAAATTGGGCATTTTTCATATCTCTACCAAGTCAAAGTTGACTCGAAGCCTTCAACCTCTAAAGGCCTCGGCAAACTGCCTTTGCCACTCTGGACTCTTGCTGGACTCTACAAGAAACCGCAGCAGCACCGCAAATAGGACTAATCATTACCGGCGCTTCATGCCTCTTGATCGTGCCCAGATCTCTGGGTTTGCTTTCTGCTTCGCGGTTCTCGAAGACAACTTCCATGTTTGAACCTTGAGTTCAGACCTGGAGGCATCCAGCCACTGTAGATATCATTTCAGGGAGTCAAGCGTTTATCCCTACCTCCCAACTGCCGGTAAACATACGCAATGAGCTCTCAGCCAACCAGAGCGAAGAGCTCCTGCTGTGATTGGAGGAGCCAATCCCGAACGGGCGCCTCGGCATTTGCCATGTGAAATATTTGGACAAAATGTCTTTAGGGATAAGCGCGCGCCTGGTTCATTGCTTGCAGCCACAACACCAGAAATGCTGCTCCTCCTGCTGTTCCTCCCGCTTGTTCTGGCTGCAGACACCTCGCTACGGATTTTACATCGTGTCTACCACCCTAAAGTACCTGGAATACCCTTCACAGAGCGCGGTAGCCTGCTCCTGTCTCGTTCTGGACCGTTCCCTCAAGTCAGTCTCGTGCCCTCTGAGATGCTTTCCACAGATCTCCTAGAGTTTGCACAAACGCTGCACGATGCCGACGCCTACGGCGACAGTGCCCTTTACCAGGTGGCACTAGAGCACGAGGGCGACAAAGACCAGAGCCAATGGGACGTTTCCTCGGTTAAGGCGGTGTGTAATTGACCTTCCTTTTTCTGTCGAGACCAAGTCTGGATATGATCGAGGTTGACCGACGCCCATTCCAGTGTCATCTGCAGCAGAGCTTTTCGGAGTCCATAACACTTCATGTTTCGTCTGGCGGCACGCCGTATGCTATCGATTACTTCGTGGGTCCTATACCCCATAACGGTGCATGTCCGAAGCATCGTCCGGTGTCAAAGACTAGTCCGGAGACTTTGGCTATCAAACCTATTACCAATACAACTGTATTGTTAAGTTCTCCACGGTCACCTCCCCAGTTTGTGTTTGCCTACTTTTAGCTCTGTCGAATTGTCTGACAGAAAGGGGACCCTCTAGGCCGCAGCTGCGTGCCCCACCACCTTTGACAACGGAGGGAAAAGTTGTTGAACCTGTACCTGAAAAGAACTTCCTCCAGAAATACTGGATCTATATCCTCGTGGCCGTGCTTGCACTCTGTTCGTAATCTCTTTGTAATTTGCCTTGCTTGCCCCCTACTGTTGGCTAATCACTCACCCCAGTACTGTCACCTGCACCGCCGGAGGAGGAGGCTGGAGGCAACGCACGTCCAGGCGGCCGATGATATCCGAGTCCGATCCAGGAGCTGGGTCGTGCTCTAAACTCTATGTATCATATTTTGTTATCCAATACGGACCGTGTTGTGCCCCGAGCTGCCTGGCCCGCTCGTATCACCTCAGTCAGCTCCCAGAAATATTCTCGCTACATTCCAAGATGAATTACTTGGTACACTTGGTGTACTTGGAACATGTCGCATCAGAACATACAGCTTCCAGGAGTACTAATGCAAAGCTAGGCCAAACTCTGCCTTAATGTCTTCCTGATCCTCCTTCTACCCTTTCCAGTCCTCAAACTCGATCCCTACAACCCCCTCAGGTGCACCCTCCAAGTCTCGAAACCCAAGCTTCTCATAAAACCTTCTCGCGCCTACATTCCTCTTATCCATCCCTAACCACAGCCTCTCCAACCCCTTCTCCTTCTTCAACCACCTCACCAACGTATCAATCAACTTTCGTCCATACCCAAGCTTCTGATACTCAGGTAAGATATCTATATGCATATGCGCCAGTGAGAAAACCAAGGCCCCCGGACTGGCGTGAGGAGGATTATGGATGTTATTGATATACCGGATATCTGCTTCCTTGGGTGCTGCCGCTGCCACCACCAGTGGTGAGCTCGTGGAAACAGGGACGGGGAAGTCGGGGAGAGATAATGGGTATTTGATGCGGTATTTCGGGAACCATCGTTTCTCTAATTCTTGCTCGAATCTAGGCGTGTCGAAGGCGGAGAGCGCATACCCTACAACCTCCCCTCCCTCTTCCTCGTTGTTGTCATCATCATGAAGACTTGCGCTGGAGCTCTTGGACCTGTCGACTAAGACGAACCCGCCTGCGAATGGCAGGTGCACGTAGGGTTCTGCGTATATGACTCCCGGCAGTTCTCCGAAAGTGTGTAAGTGTTCTGCGGAGACGCCTGCTTCTGCTGTGAGAAGACATATACGAGAGAGAGTGGCTGAATCGCTTTGACGGGCGGGTCGAATATACAGCTGAGACGTCATCGGTGTCGTTTTGCTTCGCTTGAAAACTAATAATAATCTCTGTGGGTTACGGCCTCTTGAACTGAAAAGGTGGCTACTAGCTGCTGAGATTCCGAGGGAATCCCACCTACCAGCGGAATTGCTGGTTGCCAGAGCCAGGCAATGGTAACACCGGACACCGATCAATTGCAACTCGAAAATGCCAACCTCAACTTCACAGGCCTTTCGAGGTACGCCTTGGTCAAGCTCGGTGGGGCCTGGTATCTTATCTATCGCAATAACGATTGTTCAAGGAAGAGAGCTGTAGGTTAAGCTTTATATGTGCGAATTTTCCACGTCCTTCCCACATATTCATCACCTTGACGCTAAAGGTCACGGAATCCTACTCATCTTGCCGTAATAGATGCAAGCCAGTCAGAAGTTCAATAGATGGCGATTCTTCGGATGCTCATATACACTACTACTAAGTTACGCCCAACCTCATGCTCTGCAGCCTATCGGTTCCTATCATCTTATACTGATTACATAAATATGGCAAGTATTCAGGAAGGGAACGAACATCGGCACTGATCATGTGAGTGCGTAACAATGGCTTACTTATCAGTGGTACAGTATGGGTGCTGTTTGATCACAAGTGTCCAATGGCATGAGGCCAGAAGTCCAGAAATAGTAAGGGGTTTTCAGATGGAAGAGTATCTATGAATTACAAGCGGAGATACATAGGGCAGCGAGTGGAACGATCACTTGCGATAGAACTGTGGACATGTGATCATCAGCATTCAATCAACGGCTTCTGAGCGGAAGTGAAGGTGTAAGTACTCACGTTGCGACGGAAATTGAACCATAAGGATAAACAGCCGCGATCGAAACTGCTCCTGAATCCTCTGCAATTTGAAGACGCAGTCAGTACGTTGAGGCAATCATGTGGAAAGAAAGGAAAGATGACTTGCCTTTTATGAGAGAACTCCCATTCACGATTCACGATCCGGAAGGCAATGTCCTCATATGGTGGTCCTGCTGTGAAGTGGAGCAGAACAGTCTCGTCATTGCCTGGCTCCTTGACAATTTTGTATGTCGGAGCTTTTGACTTGTCGATGAGATCAGGGTAGAAGATATTGAACTATAACGGTTGTCAGTACATCGAACAGAAGTTGTAGGCTGGCAAAGAGACGAACCTTATAGCCTTGAACGACCTTGGGAGGAGGATTGTCCGTACTAAGAAATTGTCAGTTACAGGTTCCTAGGTGAGTAGCGGTGAACTTTCTACTCACTCATAGTGGGTCTGATTGTATTTGTTCCATTCATAACCAGTGTGCACCCTATTGAAGTATCTCGGCTTGCGGGGACGATACTTGTCTTCCCAATTATATGAGGTTGGGTGAGCGATATTCTCTTCGACGTTGAATAGTTCTTCCTCCTCGTCGAGCTCTCTCTCGGCTTCAGCACGGTAAAGGGCCTCAGATGCCAAATCAGCGTTACTTGGGGCCTCGACGTCCTGCACTTCGATTGGCGCTTGCTGGGTCTTGGGTACGAATCTAGAGGCAGCCACAGATCGGCGCTGTCGCATCTGCATGGAAGGAGGGGTCAGTACTTGGCGTCATCTGGAACATGGGACTAGACACTTACCAGTTCACGCAGATCTTCGAGTTCAGTAACAATGTCAATCTGCCGCTCCTCATATGGAAGCTTTCTGATGTCGAGCAAAGTGGGGCTCATTGACCCGTCATATGGTTCCACCTCTTCAGGCGGTACGGCCTCTTGGCCTGAGCCGTCAACCTCGGGCATGACACCACGACGATCGCCACGAGCGGCAGATTTAGCAACACCTGCAAGCAGCTCTTCTTGAGCTTGCAAAGCCTCATCGCGCTGTCGCTTCCGGAGCTGTTCCAGCCGATTACGCACGACAACTTCATGCAGACTTTTGAGTTTGGCCTGTGAATGCAGTGTCAGCTACCCAATCGTTCGATGTCCGTAAGAGTTGTGAGCGTACCTTCGCCTTCCAGACGATCACTTTCTTCAGTAAACCCTCCCAATATTCCGCGTCAATAGGTTCACCGCTGCCTAACTTGGTTTGAATCTGCTTCTGCAAGGCAACCAGATGGTCATAGGTTTTGCCTCGAAGCAAGGCGGTAATGTCTGCTTCGACAGCGGCAGCAGCTTCGACTCCCATTCGCTTGTTCGCTTTGATGCGGTCGAGTGCGTCTTTGACAACCACCATCATGTTCTGAGAATGAACATCGTTAATTCGCATGCCTGCGGGACCTCTGACTAAACGACATACCGTCCAGAAGTCGATGTTTACTTCTGATTGTTCCAATCTCAAATATCTTTCAATATCGTCATGCAACTCCTCCACTTGTTGTGGTGAAAGACTCTGGAATCCAGTCAGTTCGAGACGTTTGATGGAACATAGTTTGTAAATTCAGACTCACGTCCAGAATATTATATGGCTCGTCGAGGTCGATCTCAAGCTCTTCGTCATCCACCTCTTCATTTTCCTCACTGATGGGATTGACATAACGAAGATTCAGCGCCAGGAAGTCAATGGCCTTTGCCCGTTTCTCCTTGATTCGGATTGCAGCGCGTGTTCGTTCCTGCTCTAGCTGAAAGTCTTCCTCCTTCGAAAGCCAATCAGCCATCTGAGCAGATTCAGCAAGACGTTGCATTCGAATTTCCTCTTCCTCTCGCAACCGCTGCTCGGCCTCCCGTTCTGCACGTCTTCGATTCAACCGCTCCAGTTCCTCCTTGGCTTCTTGTCGTCTGATAGCATCCCTTGTTTGGGACTCTGCAAGCGACAAACCCTGCTTCCTTTCTTTCTCGTTCTTCTTGTGCCAGCGGAACTGCTGACCGAGATTCACGTCGTGGAATGGGTTATCGGTTGCGCTGTAAATACTGAGCTCCGCAACTTGACGAGCCTCTTCTTCTTCCTTTATACGTTTCTTCTCTGCCTTCCGTGCTTTCCGTTCCTCGGACTTGTCTCGTTTATGCCTGCTCCTGCGGTCAGAATGGAAACATGGAAATTACAAACATTCAACGCACCTTTTCTTGTCACCCTCCCTGCTTCGACTTCTATGTCTGTGTAGCCTAGACGAACCCTCCTCTCTATCACGACTTCTGCTCCTGCCCCTGCTCTCGCTTCGACGTTGGCGTTTCCGTCTATCGTCATAATCGTCGTGTCGAACTGGCCGTTTCTCGCGAGACCGGTCAGGGTATGTTCTATCCTCCTTAGCGTATGGTGAAGCTGAGCGAGAATCGTGCCTTGCCATATTACTATGAGAGGGAAAGCTGCAAGAATTCCACTTACAATCCCAAGGCGCAACAACGAGTAAGTAGTAAGATCAAGAGAGGGACAAACACGTGTCAACACCTTTGGGGACCTCTATGGGCGTCTTATGGCAGTAATACTAGCCACCACTCTACTTCACCCTTGCCATCCTATACACACTCCCTTGAGTTCTCTTTTCCCCGTCTGGTATCTTCACCCGCAAGGGCAGCCTTCTATATAGCCACTGAATAGTTTTGAATTTTTGCTGCTGTTATGTCCCTCAGAGGATGTTTGCGACACTCCAGCATTGTCCGAACTCGGACCCGGACCTTACATCCTAGAATTCGATCTGTTCAGACACAACCACGATATGACTATGTTCCACCAGACGAGGACCCCGACAATTCGTTGTACAGTACCCCAGCAGGCATGGCAACTCCTCGACAGGTATATGGGCAAGTACTCTGATTATTGGCTGATCGTCTGACCGTCCGGCTAGCTGGTACGATACCTTGACGAGTATGTCATTGGCCAGGAGAATGCAAAGAAAGTGCTCTCTGTCGCGTTCGTATCTCGTATGTCACCCATCTTGTGCAGTGTAATTGAATCAGCATACAGCGTGTTCAATCATTATAACCGGGTGCGCGCGAACCTGTCAATGATGCAAGACGAAGAGGCAGAGCAAGGTTGGGATAATTTGCCATCCGAAGACCGTACGTTCTACAGTCCTGATGATGTTTGGACTGAGATACCGACATTCTCATCAGCACGCTACGCTGCGGTTGCACCGGCATCCATCCATCCTCATCCATACAGGATGCCTTTGCCCTCCATGCCGCTACGTTCGCGGCATGCTTTCCCTCTGTTTGAGAAAAGTAATGTTCTCGTAATGTATGTCATATCGCTATCTATGTTATTCCTGTTTGTGACTTGCAATCACATTTCCCTACCGCCTCAGAGGACCAACCGGTTCAGGTAAATATCGCATTTTGCATGTGTGTTAATACAAAACAACCAACTTGTGACAATATCTTAGGCAAGACCTTACTGGCCAAGACACTAGCCAGAGTGCTCGATGTGCCGTTCTCCGTGAGCGATGCAACGTCATTTACTCAGGTAGAGCAATTAGTCTTAGAACCACGAGATTCACGAACTAAAGATTTCTCAGGCAGGATGTTCGTTTCCGTTCATTTTCATTATAACCTGGGATTGCATATTGATATTATCTCTCAAGACGTGGGCGATGACGTAGATATGTGCATACAACGACTAGTAGGTCCTCCATTTCATGTGAGATAAACCATATAACTCAGCTCTCCGTAGCTCCAAGCTGCCAATTGGGATCCACAACGTGCTAGCATGGGGATAGTCTACATAGACGAAGTCGATAAGATCGCTAAGAAAAATGGCCCAGGGGGAACAGAGGGCAACCGCGATGTCGCAGGCGAAGGCGTTCAACAGGCTCTCCTCAGAATGATGGAAGGTTCCGTTGTGACCGTTCAAGCCAAGGGAGGTGCAGAAGCCTCACCAATCGGCGGAGAGAGTCGGTCCAGGCCACCACATCGTAACCTGAACGTGGGTGGACGTGAGTCTTCCTTGGTTCGCATCCTTCTCGACGTCATCGGCTGACATGTCACTAGCGAGACCGGATTCGTACTCAATAGACACCTCGAATGTTCTTTTCATCCTCAGTGGAGCATTCGTTGGATTAGACACGGTCATCAAGCGTAGGGTATCCAAAGGTGTAAGTCAGAAGCTTCGGTCTGGTGCGCTGCTACTGACGAATTCCGTGCACTGGGTAGTCCATAGGATTCACTGCCAACCTTGCCTCGAAAAGCGAAGATGATGAAGTCAACAGTTTCATGCCATTCTTCACTCCGAATAAACGTTCGATACCAAACGTTCTTGACCATGTGGAACCTTCAGGTGCGTCATCGTCTACGTACATCGAATTTAGAGTCTGACTTACTCGAGCACGATAGATCTCGTGAAATATGGGTATGTCATGCATTATCTCATCGATATTTTTACAATGGATGCTTCTAACGGATTTGATTGGACAGTTTTATACCCGAGTTCATCTCACGGTTACCTTCTCTAGCAACTCTCGCTCCGCTAACACCTGAAGATCTCCGTCGTGTGCTAACAGAAGTCAGAGGCTCTCTCGTGTCACAGTACACTGCACTTTTCGGATATTCTGGTGTAGAGATTCGATTCACCGGATCAGCTTTAGACGAAATCTGTCACAAGGCTGCCGAAAGAGGTGGTGGCGCTAGGGGCTTGAGAGGAATTATGGTTAGTTCTTGGTAATGCGCACAATCGCTGCAACTGATATGAATGACAATACAGGAATCGTTACTCTTGGAGCCAATGTACGAGGTTCCGTGAGTGTTGTCTGCTGATCAATGAGGCGTATGCTTGGATGCTAAATATCTTCATCTTCTTTTCAGTGGCTCGGTACGTTCATTGAACACATAATGCAATATTGTTTAGCTCACGTTTCCCCCCAGACGGTTAGGCACGTTTTGATCACCGACGCTGTTGTTCGTGGTGAGGAATCTCCTTTGTATTGGCGCAAAGGCGAAGCACCTGCATTTTGGGCTGCATGGGCGGAAGAAGAGGAAAAACGGTCATCACGTGCTCCCTCATAACAGATTTCCTGTATACTGTAGTAGCTGGATGATATCATTGTAGTAGTATGTGGAAGCCTGGAAGTGTATCTTGATATTGTCGGAACAAGGACGCTCAGGAAGCCAGTACAAGAGTTATCGGATGATGACGATTGAGAATGCTACAAACATTCAAACAAAAATGTGCGATGATGGTGTCGATACAGATCATTTATTCTGCCTTCTTCTCTTCCTCCGCCTTAGGCTCCTCCTTGGGCTCTTCCTTGGGCTCCTCCTTAGACTCTGTTACCTCCTCACTCTCCTTGGGCTCCTCGGGCTTCTTCTCCTCAGTCGTCTCTTCCTTCGTAGCAGCCTCAGCCTCGACAGGAGCGGCGGGGGCGGCAGGGGGTGCGGCACGAGAGAGCTCGGCGTTGATTTTCTGCGCCTTCTCGAACTCGTCCTTGAACTGCTGAGCATCTATTCACGCAATCTCTGGTTAGTCAATCATGAAAGAATAGGAAGCAGGACATGACACTCACTCTCGGAGTTGGCGAAACGAATGGCGAGAGTCTCAGAGGTAGGAGGTTCCTCAGAGTAATCGGCAGCGACTTTGTACACCCAACTTCTGTCTGATCCGACATTTGGTTGAAGCTTGATATCGGGAGTGACTATATGAAGATTCAATCGACAAACTTCCTCCAATCATAACGATAAGACGCACTAGCATGGTTGGCGCAAACTTTCAAAGTCTTATCCCGTCGCATGACAAGGCGAACCTTCTTGGTCTCCTTGTGCTGCAACAGTCGAACATCACCAGTACCTCGCTCTTTCCATTCTGAAGACTCTGTGGCGAAACGGAAGAGTTTGGCACGCCTAGAAGATTGCCAAAGATCAGAGTGGCCAGCGTAAGAAGATGGGTACCAACGTACATCTTGAACAGAACCTCCTCATCCTCTTCATGTGTCTTGATCTCAACCTGTTCAGTGAGCTTGATCACTGGCTCGAAATGAGGCTCGTGCTCCTCTTCCTGCTAATAGGCCAGTTAGCACGTTTCGTTCATAAATGCTGACGCCACTCGGCGATTGGCTCGACATGTACGTACCCCTCTAGGTGCAAGAGCGTCGACGTTTTCAGACATAATGGATACAGGTGCGTTAAATGAAGGAGATAAGGGAAGACAAGATGAGAGTAAGAGTGAAAGAAATGTAGAGAAAGAGCTCGCGTTTACTTATGGTAAACCCTTGACCAGATCAGATTCAATGGATCTGATCAGGACCCCATGCAGCCGCGGTTTCTCGGGTCTGCACTTGCAGCCACTACGCCAGACAGTGAGCTGGACTCTTGCACACTACCTCTTACGACGACCATGTCACGGATATTCCCCTCTTCCTGGTTCGCATTATGGACCCTTTTTCTCGCCGTACTACCGACGTTTGTTCTGTCGCATATGATCGAAGTCCCAGCGTCGAAAAAGGAATGTTTCTTCGAGGACTTGCATGTTAATGACAAGGTCGGTTCACATGAATCCTACTCACTCATACACTTAATTTAGACCCTTAGATGACCGTAACATACCAAGTCGGAGGTGGAGGTCATCTGGACATTGACTTCTGGGTGAATGCATAGTCCTTCTGCACGCGCCGCACGGATATTCATGTCTTTATTAGTTGACAGATCCAGAGGGACAAGCATTGGACAAGCGCATAAAGCAGACCACCGGAACGGCTTCCATGACTGCTGCCAAGGATGGTCGTTACGAATACTGCTTCTCAAATCAGATGAGCACCGTCGTAGACAAGATTGTCAGGTGCGCGGTGACCTAAGTGATTCGGAGAAGCCTTTTGCTTACGTTTGATGGGTTGTAGCTTCAATGTTCATGGCGTGATTTACGTCGACGAGGATGGTATGCTTTGCGCTAATGAAGCTGTACCGCTCATGTAGTTAACCGCTCCTCAGATACTATTGCACCTATTGAACGAGAGATCCGGAATCTCGCCCAGGGACTCACATCGGTGAAAGACGAACAAGAATATATTGTCATTCGTGAACGAACACACAGAAACACTGCCGAATCCACAAATTCCAGGGTGAAATGGTGGTCTATTATGCAGGCGGTAGTGTTGTTCTTGGTCGTCGCTTGGCAGGTATATTACTTGAAGGTGAGCCCTCTATTTGCTTCCCTTATGAATGAGACTGACGATCAAGTAGTCATTCTTCGAGGTCAAGCGTGCTTTCTAGAGGATACGTATTTGACAATGCATACTATTTATTCCCACCGTTCATCTAAAGGCAAGAATGAGATCGTGACATGAGACTTATTATGCTGTCAAGTCTGAACATTGACATCTACAGTAATCAAGAGACATATGATAGGGTATATGAAGAACACAACTACGTTGACGATGCGCTGAACATACAGAAAACATTGGAAGATCATACTCGTAAAAGTCGTCATAGGGAAAATACAAGGGCGCTGCCCGAATGCTCTGTAAGTGGAATACATATTCTTTATCGCCATGTAGGTCTGGAGGATGACCCTCTGAAGCTGAGTTCTGTGCTGCTATTGGGATCCAAGGCCTTCAGTCGTGCTGGGGCTGTCATTCGTTGCTGTGAAAAGGCCAACAAGGATGTCCTCTTCGCCCTCTTTGCAGGGGAGCGTTCCAAAGCCACCCTCCTGGGTCCCGCAGAGAGACTCTTCCTCATGGCTTCCCCCGAATCCCTGCGTTCGGAAGGAGACAATTGCGGAATCATGCTTGAACGTCTTCTCAGCCTCTCCACTCGCATCGGACCAATATTCGACCTTCTCCGGCCAGATTTGCTTGAGCCCAAGGTTGTCCTGGGTGAAGGCGGAATTCGTTTCCCGGGACTACCGTGTCTGTCACGACCTTTTGGCACATGTAGAGTCTCAATGCCATCACCGCTACTCGAGGAGCCCGCAGACGGCGATGGAATACGGTTCATGTTGCGATCACCTAGAGGGGAGATTCGATTAGGCGAGCATTGGTTTTCGTCGGCTTCTGCAAGGCTGCTCAATGTCGAGCCTTTTGAGCGTGACTTCAAGAAACCGGGATCCAAGCGACTTGGTCTTGAACGTTTGGCACCCACTCGAACCTCTCTTGCCGAAGTTGTGGATGCGGAAAGCTCACGAGATGCAGATAGGAAACTGAAGTTGACGCTATCATCCGTCTTTTCATCTTCCCAATCGCTCTCAGAGGCACCAGATGGTGTACTGCGGCCAGGTCTCGACATTGACGCAGATTGTGCTGGAGATTCGCCGAATGATGGCGAGGGAATGATGCTATTCCCTGGACTTTGAATGGAGATAACCGGTGGACTGCCCAAACCACCGTCATCGATGTCTCCTTGTCCTACTTCGTCTTTCCATTGCACGCCTTTCTTCTTTCCCTTGTCCTTATCTGAAACGCGTCGATACGGTGGTGCAAGACTAGACCGAAGGGACTTCCGGGGCGAGCGGTGCGATTTGCGAAGAGGTGATCCTATCGTGGATGAATTACCGTAAGACGAGGAACGTCGAGATATCTTAGCCTTCGCCTGCTGTGAAATCACAGGGCCCGACGTCACTCTAGTCATTCCTAGTGAACTAGGATATTTCTTGAAGTTGTCGAAAGCAGAAGGAGCGTGTGGCATTGGGGCAGGCTTGTATTGCTCCGTTGTATGGCCGAGCAGGGCTTTGAAAGCCTCATTATTACTTTCAGCAACGCTCTGCAAAGATGATGCCAACATGCGCAGGGTGTCGTTGGCAGCATTTCCGTCATTCTCCAAGGTGGGCTTGAGAATGAGACTGGCCTCGTTCATCATGACCGTGCACCTGCCCACAATACCGATCAGGTTCACCACTATCTCAGCTTGTGTGCCGACTGCTTCTCGCAAGGTATCCCGAATGGCCTCAGCCTTGCTGCGCTCCATTTCTGCCTTTCGCCAATTCGCGTGCAGCTTGACGTTGTCAACTGTGATTTCGTCCATCTTGTCCGAACGACGTTCGCTGACTGCACGTAGAGTAGCCTCGAACATTGCGTCGGAATTGTTCGAGCGCTGGAGACGAGTATTCAGGGCAGACTGAGCTTTGAGAGCTTCTTCTTCTGGGGCCGCTAAAGCTTGAAGAAGGCCACGCTCTGCCTCCAAGTCAGGCGAAAGGGGAGTCGAAGATGATGAAGCGCGAGCGTCGAGTTCAGCTAGGCGAGCCCGGATGACCTTCAGTTTGGCTTCGGCGACAGAAAGTTTTCCAGCGCAGGTGGCTCCATCTACGATGGCTGCTTGAGTTTGTTCCGTCTTGACTTGCATGTCACTCTTCGCCTTCTCCACTTCCAGATTGGCGTCTCTCTTCCGCCTGTTTTCTTTCTCGGCCTCTGCATCCCGCTTGCCAGCCAATTTGGCCTTCAGCTCAGCTACCTCGTCATTCAACCGTTTGATAGCCTCCACGTACTGTCCGACGTGACGATCGACATTCACGACGTTCCGGGTTACAACTTTGGTCTTGATTTTGGTTGCCCGTTCAGCATAGAGAAGCGTGTTGTGGGTATCGTCGAAGTGAATAGATGTCGGTGCGACGCAGACTATCATAACGGTCTTGCAGTTCCCACCCAATGAGAATTTGAGCAAACGTGTGAGCTTGCTGTTGCGGTAGGGGACGTGTCGAATGGCACCACCGCTCTCACAGAGCGCATTGATGCAGTTTCCTAGAGCAAGCAATGATTTGTTGATATTCGCACCTTCCACCATACGCTGGCCCATGTTGGTAGTAGCTGCTGCTCTCTCGCTACCTGCTAGGTCAATGATGGAAAGAGTGGCCATCGTACGTTGTTCTGTGATGGAGGCGGTTCGTGGAGATTGTGTTACATGGACTTGAAGAACGGCATGTGAACGCGAAGAGGTCTCATTTGCGTGAGTAGGCGACTGCGTCCTGCGCAAGTTCCCTTGAAGTACAATTTGTTTGACTTCATCAGCCGTGTTTGGCCGCAATTCGACGAGTCCAGCGACTTTTACAACCTTGTCTTCTCTGATTTGGAGGCCTCCTCGTTGGGTTGGACTGCCTGGTTCTGCAAGCAAGTCGCGAATTTCTTCATTGTAGATTTCAAGAAAAGTGACCATGACGTCGACATTGTAGTCTTCTCTGCGGTCTTCAATTTCTTGAAAAAGGTCCGCCATTGTCAGGTAAATGATGCCTGGATCGACATCTGTGCCACTGATAGTGTGTGTTTTACCGCATCCTGTGGCCTGTACCATACAACAACGAAATTAGAGAAGCGTGCGATAAATGTAGGGAGGGACGCACTCCATATGCAAAAATAGTTGCGTTGAACCCATCAAGGAGATTTCTCAACAGTGGTTTGGCGGTATTCGCGTACACGTCCTGTTGTGTCGCATCCTTATTGAATACTCGATCGAATATAAATCTCCTGTCTTTGTATCGTTTGGTACCCGGCGGGAGGAAGCCCCGCTCAACGAAAGCCTTTGAAGGATCTTTCTCATCAGGGTCGAAGGTCAGGACTCGATCGTCAACGATTTGGACGATATCGCGGATACATGATTGAGTGGTAACCCAACGCCCTGGAGTAGAGAGTGCGCCATCGCCACGAATGCAATTATCATAAACAGGTTCTGGTAGTCTTGCAGCCTCCCAAGACGTTGGCGGACGAACCCGAACTGACAGGTAAGGTACATTTGAGTGAGACAAGGTCGGAAAAGAGGCTACTGGGCATACCTGCCACTGTAATAGAACCGGCAGCAACCATAGTAAAGATGAACCCAGCTAGGCCGGCTGTGGGCGGGGTGAGGGTAGGATGGTCGTGAAGCTGCAAAGTCGAACCAAGAAGACACAGGCAGCTTTCCTACGCGTTCCTCCACGTGATCGCGATTTGCTTTCCCAGGCCATCATGTCCGCGACCACCATCTCCGTGGCTGCTCCTGCCGACTTTCATGTTCATCTACGCCAGGGCTCTTTCTCAGAATTAGTTACGAGCCATGTCAGACTCGGAGGATTCTCCCTGGCATATGTTATGGTGCCGATAATTCGCCTAACCTTCCATCGTATTTTTCTTCTGACTGGACCACAGCCTAACTTGCAGCCTCCAATTGTCAATACAGAGGAGGCCTTGCTCTACAAGGCACAGTTACAAGCCATAGATCCCACCATTGAATATTTGATGACACTCTATCTATCTCCCGATTTGACTCCCGATGAGATCCGAAAGGCAAAGCAATCTGGTATCGTAGGTTCGAGCGACAGTCCTGAGTTGCTTGGCCCTGGCTGATCCTGAGTTTCAGGAGTGAAATCATATCCCAGAGGTGTCACAACGAATTCAGAGGGCGGGATAGAATCCTATGAAGTCTATTACCCCATATTCGAGGCTATGGAAGAACAGGATATGGTTCTCAATCTTCACGGTGAAGTCCCATCCGATCCAACAAGCAACACCTGTGTATTGAACGCGGAAGCTACATTCTTGCCTCACCTCGTGAAGCTCCATAAAAGGTTCCCTAAGCTTCGCATCGTACTCGAGCATGCCACTACACGAGCAGCAGTTGAATGTGTCAAGAGTCTGGGCTCCACCGTCGCCTGCACAATTACTGCTCACCACCTGGATCTCGTAGTGGATGACTGGGCTGGCCAGTCGTGGAATTTTTGCAAACCTGTCGCCAAGTTTCCCGACGACAGACAAGCGTTGAGAGAGGTCATAAAAGAAGGTACTGTCAGGCAGAACATTATGCTATGGACTCAATACTCATTACGCGCAGGACATCCCCGTTTCTTCTTTGGGTCGGATTCTGCACCTCACCCACCCGATAGGAAGTCCGTCTCCTCACCCAAACAAGCTTGCGCTGCTGGAGTGTACACTTCACCCATCCTGCTTCCGCTCGTTGCGACCTTGTTAGAGTCATTTGGCGCATTAGATAAATTGGAACATTTTGTGAGTGGATTCGGAAGAGCGTTCTATGGTAGACCAGCTGCAGACGAGAGGGTCACACTGCGCAAAACATTGCACAAGTTTGTCGAAGACTCCTGGGCTCTGGGCGACGCCACCGTTGTTCCCTTCTGGGCTGGCAAACAAATAGGCTGGGAGATTGTGAGCGAGTAGATTAGCAAACTGGATGTACATAACAGTGTAAAGTGAAGGATGTAAAGTGTGATACAATCCACGTATTTGGTCGTCTCGCTATGAAGAAAACAGAAAGTAATTCCATTTTGACCGTATAGAGGACTCGTTGACCACACGACCCAATAAAGGAATACGCCGGACGGCTTTGCACAACACGAACAAGCATGCCCCAACAAAGGCCAAAGGGAACTCCAACCAATCGCAGCGTTCTACAACACGTTTAGATCTGTCCGCTGGTCAAGGAAGCTAAAATAGACGAGGAGTAAATACAAATGTCCAAGACAATACACTGAAAGCAACACAAATGGTAATATAATGATGCTACACTGATGTAGTCCAAAGGAACGATTGACTGAGTCATCCACTGTGGAATTGGATCACGACTAGTCGGAATATCGGATAGGCTGCTCCTCATGAGTTGGTGGGTAAGCCTCCTTGAGCCCTCGGTACCGCTTGCCACTAGGCGTCCGCGACTTCACGAACGTCACAAGGACCAGAGCAACAAGCATCAAGATAGCAAACCCAAGCAAACCAATAATGATGTACGAGTTTCGGATGAGAGCAGTCAAGTCCGACGACGAAGTACTATCATCATCTGACAGTGCGCCCGCAGCTGTGGTATCGCTAGTGGACGATGGAAGTGCGGGAGCGCCACTCGTAGTGCTCGTTATGGACAGGGGGTTTGATGCAACGAATTCCTGAAGTCGCATTGGGTTCATGGTGTCAAACTCTGCCCATGCCTTGTCGGCATCAGTAAGCTGAAAGGCAGTATGTCAACGACGATTAGGAAGTTGGCAGATAAAATGACCACATACGCTGATAATTTGAATGAATGGCTGAGAGTCGCCGACTCTAGCCCACTTTCCAAAGTCAAACAAGGTGTAGAGGTTACGAAGAACAATATCGCCGAATTGGAAGTCTGTGACCATACTCAATTAGTCAAAAGTGGTATTTATTGAGTCGTTCCAAAACTCACCGCCAAAGGTGGTCATCTCAGGCGCCGCCAGGAACCCTCCAAAACAAATAGGGTCGCTGCCATTAACAGCAAGTGGAGCAACGATGTCCATCGGATGGATGGGATAAACGTCATCCCTTCGTAAAGACTGTCAGCTTCAACGGCTCAAGTAGACATATGTTGTACTTACCCGAAAACCAAGCTAACGTTGACTTTCGCATCACAGGGAATCCTATAAAGTCCAAAATCATCATCAAACTCTGCTCCGGGGATATCCTTAAACATTGCATCCACGAAGGATCGAGGGGCAATGTCTTATAATGAAAGACATCAGGGATGCTATTTAAGATATCCAAGTAGTAGATACTTACCAAGGGTTATTCCGGTATCAAAAATAGCGGTAGTCTTCCCTTTAGGTACCTGAATACCTTGATACCTATACATATGCAATTAGCCAAGCATTGAAGCGAAGGGGATGCTAAACTCACCCAACGGACTCGCCTGTCACACGTTTACCATTGATGATCATGGCATCCATGAAAGTCAACCATCGGTCAGATTCAACAAGAAGTTGTGGTGCTTTTGAAATGGCCTCATAACCGGGTGTAATCTCACCTAATATCAAGTCAGTACATCTTGAAATTTAGAGTAGCGGCATACGAACCAATGGTGAAATCTCCTCCGTCAACAGTGCCAACAATGCTGCGAGAAAGGAGGAATGTGATATAGTTGGACTCATCAGGATACAGGCTGAAAATCTACACAGACGTCAGAGAAAAATGTGTTGTTCCATGCTAAGAACACATACATTGTCAAGCAAATTCATAGAATTGACAGTTGAACTTGCGTTTTGTAGGAATTGAGGCACAAAGGCTAACGAAGGTCTGGAAGGAACTTCAGTCAATAACCGGCTGCAGTCGGATAATAACTCCCAAACTTACGGCCCCAAACCCAATAGTCCGTCGAACTGACCACTTGTAGCGTTTGTTCCAGGCGCATTGACTGAACGAAGGTGAGGATACCTGGTGAGGACTCTGCTGACGCTATAGACATGGATGACGTACTGAAAACCTGATCCTTGACAGAGAAGTTGCCCCAGGAAATATCCACCTGCGTGATATTCCCTGCAACAGACCTGCCGTCCCTGCGAAACTGTCAGTGCTTGAAGCGCCTAACTTGCCTAAAGAACATACTCGTATATAACGCCTCCAAAAACGCCAGTATCCTTCACACCGGAGAGGTTCACACCCTTCGTATCCAACCAAAGATCGGTCGAGCCTGTGTCAAGAAGTACCTGATGGAAGAAGATGGAGGAGGATTCGTGAGAATGACGAAATGCCTTTGTGGCTATAAAGACTGCATACATCGAAAGGCTCTCCAGCAACCATTATCCTTCCTGAGTAGAAGGTGCCGTGGACGTTTTTGAAACCATATGGGTCGGCGTCCGTAGAAGCAATGTGAACTGTCATGGCATGGGGCGCATCTCTGCGCTCAACGGGAATGGTTACTGCAAGCCCAAGACCTGCATAGAGCACGCAGTAGGCTAGTGCGTGAAGGAACATATTAACTTGAAGGACGTGAGGTAGTTTACCAGCAAAGGGGAGAACTCACCATGCTTTTTAAAGGAAGGTAAAACAAGCGCGAGGCCATGCTCTGGTCGCCTTGGTGCCTCAAGGAAACGAAGGAATCTGAGGGTTCTCACAGCCACTCCTCCTCCGCCCTGGAGTTTTTGTGATCCGACGATTGAACAAGATCAGTATATCACAGCGATGTTCGCCCAGTACGAGGTTTGTCAACCTTAGCTACAGTCATGATTCAACCGGCGATAGAGAAATCCGGATATGGGTCAGCATACCGTTGGACTGGGGGAGAGAAATGAAGGTGTAACTACCTATGCAGAAATATTGAAGCCTGTGTTAGTGGGACTCACCTTACTTGCGCTGAATGCAGTGCAAGCGTAGAAGACGTGGTAAATTTAGCGTCTACTTGTTAATGTCTCTGATCTCTAACGACGGGCCCCATCTTACGACATGTAAGCCAAGTTCCTGATCCAAAGGTGAGGTCTTGGCCACCGACTCGGAGGCACAGCTACTAGGGTTACTTAGAAATGCTTTGCATGGCACGGTGTCGGCACATGCACAGGCGTTCAGAACGACGCGCAGACTTATCCAAGTTCAAGGAGCGTAGTAATGCCCAAATGCAGTGTGATTACCATTTTCTACCCGTAGACGGAGCAGAGAGGACCTTGGACGTGTAGAGAGAAGAGAGATCTGACGGCGTTAAATGTAAGCATATAACCATTATGATAACACGTCATACTAAATCGAGTTACTACTTATCGTCGTACAATATTCTAGGCCGGCCGTCCACCCGCTTCTCATTCGCAAACCGCTTCCAGATCGTGTCTTGAGTTCTAGCGTTAAGACGTGAAGTCTGAAGCTTGAAGCTTGAACTTGAACAGCAGAGAAGTGCTTAAGTACACCATCGAGAATATCTCATCGTACAGTACGTCTGGTTTCAACACATCCATTTCTTTAACTATCAACTACATAGCGACAACATTCACAGGATGTACACAGCAAATATACCAGGCATGGCTCCCCGTACTCACATTTCGATACGCAAGATCCCCAAAGATGTGATCCAGTACGAAAACATGCACGTCTACATGTCGATCAAGACAGCCACGACATTTGATCATAGACAGCAGCCGAACTTTGGAGAGTACATGATAGAGTGCTCCAAGTATTTGACCGAGAGCAAATCCGAAGATATTTTGGCTCCAGCTCGCGAGGGAGACACCGCGCTTCGACTTGAGCTTGCCATTAGGCACGTAGATACAGTTATAATGTGTTTCTAACATGTTCCAACCTGTATCAAATATTACTTACAGGTACCTGAGCGCATGTGGAACAAGACGCAAGAGTGCCGACGGCGCTCTATTCTTTCTGGATATGATTACAGATCCCAAAAACTTGGAGTACCTAGCTGGTGTAAGCAGGGATATCATGGCCAAGGCTCTATCATGCACAGCGTTCGCATACTATGACAAGTACCTATTTCTTCCCGAAGCTGCCGAAACCATCGAAGCGGATGAAGTCCAGTTCAACCGACCAAAGGCACCAGGAGACCCTATCCTTGGCAATCTTTACCTAGCCGCACGATACGCTGATGCTAGTGCACGCCGTGGATTCGTTTCCCCTGCTGTACTCGACATTGGCTTCCTCGTCCAGGGACTCAGTGATCAAGTCAGGATAAACCTCACTCAAGCACCTCGCTTCCGTGTATTTCAGAATCTCTGGCGTGTTTGCAATGACAGGCAAGCTGAAATCCTTGAAGAAGAACGCCAGAGGCGACGCAAAGCCGCGAAGGCCCCGAACGCATATATCTGTGCGGCTGAAGGATGTGGGATTACCGGCGAGAAGAAAGCGGTCTTGAGGGCTTGCGCGGGCAAATGTCCTCCTGATTTGAAACCACATTACTGTAGTAAAGCTTGCCAAACGAAGGTAAGCCCGCAACACGGTGACGGTATATATCTTGGGTGATGGACCTCACGATGACAGGATTGGCCACGTCATAAACCAATATGCAAGCCCGGAGCCAAACCCTCCAAGTCTACTGCCTTAGTCCTTTCCGATATGAACAAACTCAGGCTCGACGAGCCAGGTGCTCTTCTCACTTTGGAAGACGAAGATCTGGATCCCAGAGAAGGTCCCGGATGCAGCATCGACATCCCCGCTCCCAATCTACCCGGCGGGAAAATGCACATAATCTCGCAGAACTTGAGCCCGGAGTTTTTGAAGCAGTTCAGGAACGCGACTCATGATATCGTTTCCACCCGTGCCGCTGATGGAAGTGGAAGCCGGTGAGAAGAGTTCGACTCCTTGGTAGCCAGTGCCTTGGTACGATGGTGTAATAACACCGTCGTTACGTCGACCTTCTGGCAAGGCCGTTGTCTAGGAACCTTGGCTATTATATTATTTGTCCCGCCTCGATTTTCATACCTGCTTCATTGATAATTTCCCTTTGTCGTGTGTATACCAATATGTACGCCTAATTCATCCAAGAGTTTGAAGCAAGCGATAATGATTACAACAATATACATATGCAACAAGCATAAAGGTATATATGATACACCCCAATGACGCGATAGAATCCGGGTAAATCCATGAATAGATGTGTAGAAGATAATTATAAAGACGTGAACACCAGTATCCTCTCCATACAGAGAAAGCCGAGTGAGAAAGCCGAGTGTGAGCAGCCCACAACGGTAGCAAAAAAAAAGTCATGGTCCACTTTCGGTGGTGGCATTACTATCCCCGGGAAACGGATAGTCGCCGTCCCGAATGTACATCCCAATCTGGGCTTTCACGAAGGCAAGTGCAAGGACCAAACACGGGACATACCACCAAACCAACGTCCGTCTACCCAACCCGCCCAACCTCCGCAACCCCCTGGGCCATCTCCTTCCACCTTCTCGTCCCGGTGCCTGTGCCTGTTGTTGTTCTCGAAGCCCGGCAGCGCGCTGTTGTTCGCTCCCAGTGGCCGGAAACGTTGGAAGAGGAAGCACAGGCGGACGTGGGAAAAGTATCGGCCAAACGAACCAAAGGAAGATCTTGGTTACGAGATGACGCAACCACCAGAGAACCACCTGAGAGGGAGGAGAGTTCAAGGGGTAAGAATCCGTGAATGTGCGTAACCTTTTTTTTGGTGCGTTAAGCCACAGGGGGGAGAGGAGAGAGGGGGGAAGGAGAAGAAGAAAACGTAACGTACCATTGAGTGTTCAATTGTTCAATCCAATGGACGATGAGCCGCAAGCGTAACCTCGGGGACCGTATCGGCAATAACTTCGCTTTCTCATGTTCGTCGATGGGGAGCAGCTGTTAATGACGACCATTCAAAAAGAAGAGACATAAGCGGGTCTATTCAACAGGAGCGAACGTGAAAAGGAAACAACTTACCAAAGCCATCCAAAAACTAAACAACGCAGGATCCTCCGGCATAGGCACATACATTTGACTAATCCTCTGCTGAACGACCCACGGTGTCCCTTCCCGAAGTTGAACCAAAAACTCATGACAGACCCTCACGAGTTCCTCATTCGTCGGCGCCTGTATCTGTTGACGAGGTCGAGAAGCAGGAAGAGAATTGGATGTCTGACCGGTCGCGGAATTTTCATCAAGATCACCATCTCTGGATCCCGAGCTATCACCGACACTCCCTCCTTCTACACTTTCGTGACGTCCATCCCGATGCCGAAGTGATGTCGAGTTCAAAGGTTCGGTGATAGCGTCACCCGAAAGCGACTCGGAACCTCCTAGGATGTCATGGTCATCACGACGACCTGTAATCAAATCATCCAACGCAACGACCTCATCTTCTTCCGCTCCCTCTAAATCATCAACCCTCTCCACTTGCGCAATCACATACCCGTCCAATTCTCCCTTTCTCATAATCCTAAACCGATGCGAGCCCCACGCTTCCACTCGACATTGTCCGTCTGCTAACATCTGCACGTTGCGAATTTCCAACATTGTGCCGTATTCATGAGAAGGTGAGGATCGGGAGGACGTGGAAGTAGACGTAGGGGGAGGCGCTGCAGGACGAGGCGGTGGGATCATGCCGAATCGAGGGTGAGGAGTTTCGAGGCATCGTCTAAGCATAAGTCTAAATCTGAACATTGTAAGAACGGAATAACAAGGTTATAAGTCATTCAATGAAATAAGGACGCATAAAAAAGGCTAACCTCGGTTCATAAAAGTTAAGAAGAACAGGCATACCCGGAAAACTGAGCTGACACACAAACACAGGTGTATCCAGCCCCGCTCGATGTTCTTCCTCCTCAATAGCTATCCCTCTCGAGACATACGCCTCCGGAAACGCTTTCAATACTAACCGTCCAAAAAAAGAGATACCCATTAACACAGGCTTTAGGCGGAGAAAGAGAGGAAACGCTTACTGATAGCCAAGATGACTTTGTTACAAGGATGATCCTGAAAATAATTGTATCCAGGCAGGGGACGTCGGCACAATGGGCACGAGGGATTATGGTCTAAAGACCGGTGAAGACACTTGGTACAGAAGGTCTATTGAAAGGTTTGAGTCAGTTCCGCTCGTTCTCGTTGCCGTTCGATGTGTACATGAGCAAGTAGCCATCATACAAGATATATGGAAAAGAAAAGAACTAGATCGGAAGCAAAGGTGAAGTTGGGAGTGTGTATCACCAGCAGAGAGTCGAGACCCAATCAACCAACGATGCACGCACGGCCCAAGCTCGAGGTCGAACGAGCGGGACAACCCAACGAAGTCAATATCTGGACCTCCATGCACAAGCACTAGGCATGAACAGGAGGCCCCGTCTGTCGCACGAGAGCGGCGGGTGTTTCGATGGTGTGCATCGATGTTCCCGATCACGATCGACGATCCAGGCGAAACGGCACAACGGTACCTAGATCCCCCTCCAGGAAAAAGGCAAAAACGTGCGGACCCGCTCAAACAAAGGTTGAGCGGGAGTAACGAATGGGAATACTCGGCGGAGTCAAGAGCTTGGCAAAGGCGTAGACGGCCATTGCACAATATCTCCACGTATGTTCCGCACTGCGTAGATGGGCCAGGAAAACGGAAGACGGAAGAGAAAATGAAAGATAAAGAGATGAGCACTCACATGTTGGCATGGAGTCGTGACAGGTTGCCACATGAGAGCAAAACAAATTTCGCAAGTGACTTCAGCCATGAGCTCCTTCTCGAACTGGGCACCCGCACCGAGATGTGTGTCTTGTTGATGAGAAGCAGAAGCTCGATGGTGGTCATGATTGTATGCACAGGAATCTGGATGAAGAGACCGTCTTGGCCGTTTCCTCGGCCTGTCTGGTGAAGGCGATCTCGAAAGCGACCTGCGCCTAGATCTAGAAGCGGAAGCGGATGGGGGGTGATCGGGAGGGGAAGTGTAGTGAGAGGTGTGGGGTCGGCCGTGTATCCGATCGTCAAGGTCATGATCTGAGGTATACCGCCTGTCGTCATCGTCATCGTCACCTTCCGCGTCGGAATATTCGGAATCAGTGCGCTCGTCGTCGTCGCCGTGCGCAGCGAGGTGAAGGGAGGGGCCAGAGAAATCAGCCTGAGAGCGAATTAAGAGGGATATAATCTTGTTGATGGTAACGTCTGAGCGGGAATGGAGGGTATCATCATCGAGACTTGAACGCATAGAATTGTGATCAGTAGAGGGAGGAGGTATGACATTGACTTGAGCATCCGGGTGAACTGGGAGTTTTTGAGGAAGTACAGAGGACGATGAACAGGTTGGTATGGGACATTGTGGCGGCTGTTTGCTTGCAGAAGGCAGCAGAGATGCTAAAAGCGAAGAGGAAGAAGAACTGGACGGGACGGTAAGATGGTTGGAACAGATGGTGTGACCGCATCGAAGAGTGATGGGGTTGTGGAGGAGGGCAGTTGGACGGCAGATAGGACAACGCAGAAGAGGGAGGAGGATGTCTGGAGACATTGGGCTAGCAGAATATTGGGCGGAGCTAGTGGGGAAGCTAGAGCTAGGCACGTTGGGAGATGGGAGGGATGTCGCGCGGTAAAGAGGCAAAGGAAGAGTGGACGATGGCGGGGCAGAGAAAGGCAGGCGCGACGACTGCCCATCGGACGTAGCTGCGCACTCCGAGGACTCGTGCAAAAGATATTCTCTGCACGATCCAGGGCTCCCATCGTCTACCCGTGATCGTTCCTCTTGCGGTGTCCCTGCTCCAGACTGACCTTCGCTTCCTCTCCTTGCATCCGCCCAGTCCCTACACCGAACAGTACCGCGACCCGCCGAGCTCGGTCCTGCTGCTGATGTCTCTGCTATGGCTGCTATGGGCAAATGTGGCTCCGCATGCGTTTCAGGCGGCCTGCTCGCGTCCATCATGCTAGCTGTGTCGTCTGCATTGCGCTGTCGTTGTTTCCCTTTGTGCATAGAGGCGAGCGGCGGTGCTACGCTCACTCGCCCGCCGAGTACACTTAGTCCACTCTGCACGCTCGTCGATCACTCCCCGTACTTCACATGCATAGACGCTCAAGATCGATCATCCACAAATCTCTGTGCCTATCTTCAACTTCAACGTTCAACGTCACGCGTCAGCGTTCAACTTGTTCAGCAATTCGACGTTGTTTGCCAACTCTTCCAGCTTCTCGTAGACTGCTCTCTACTCTACTGCCATCTAATTTTTCTTTGGCACCCTGCTCACCCGCACAAAGTCCTTCATGTCACTGTCTCCACGCAACGTTCCCAACCCTGCCCACATCCCGTCCATTCCGCGCTACCTGTCAAACAGCCCCCCACTGCAACCCCGATCTGGTCTTTAGACTGACCTGATTAACTCACAATGCCACACCGCCCCTTTCGGTCCCTTCTCTCGGCTCCGATCGTTCTGTCTCCTGCTGCTCTTAATCTACTCACACTAGCTTTGAAATTTCTGTGTAGCCTCATATAACGCCTTAAGAACCATCTTAGGATGGCTGATATGGCAGATCCTCCCTCCACCAAAACAGCTCCGCTCTGTCACCAGGACTGTGCTCTGGTGGAACGTTCACGACTGCTGACGCTGCTTTCCACCATACACCGCAGATATATAACGCCTTCATCACACACGTTCCCACTACACTCCACTCTTGCCTGATAAATACTCATATATGCATAGCTACAGTATTATCTGCCCCCCGGCACGCATCGTTATATGCAGGCCAACCTATTCATGGACATCATCTTCAGCCATGATCCATGATACCTCGGCCGTTCCGGGTAATCCAGTTCATCGATGCATCATCGACATCACTCATTTTGCACAAAACGGACAGGCGAAGAAGTCGGTTCCGCACTTCCCGGCCAACGTCTAAAAGGAAATTTCGTCTGTTCAACGTTGGAGTCTATCTAGGAGAAGATCCGTGCCCATGAACATGCAGACGATCTCATCCCTTGCTTGACACCTGCCTCGAGGCTTCTGGGGGTATCTTGAGGCCTCTACTACTGGATGCGCGTTTACGCTCATCATCGCGCTCTACCCGAGCTGGGTGGTGGAACTTCACAAATACGTATATAGATGCGCAAGTATATATACTAGGCAACGATATCGAAATTGACAATGACATTGCCGTTATTGGTTACCAGGGTCATCATCATTGTCTTCTTGCGGCTTCTTGATTGCTTATTTGGCATTGGCAGCGATCCGAATTCGTATAAGTGGATATCCCACCGGCGGAGGAGATTGCTAGGGTTTTGCGAGCTTCATGAAGCTCGCGCCCAGTATGTAGGTTGTGGGTGTCCGATGACCTGACTTCAGCGTTCTTCAGCATTACACGTTACACTAACTGCGGGCGATTGGAATTCCTGGCCGCGTTGAATCGAGGGAGAAGGCGCGTTATATAACATCCTCTCAATTCCCGTGTATACCGCAATCAAACTTGCAGATCTTTTTCGTTGTTGTAATCGGCCGATTTCCAAGCTGGTCCTCGCGTCTCCCTCCATTCCAACCGTGCGGACTACTTATCCTCAGTCTGCCATTCTTCAATCCTCGAACCACGACCATTTACGCCACTTGCCCTTCACATTCCGGTATATACTATAATTCATGTGGTCTCGAGTTTCGTCCTCTCCCTACTTATCGCAATGAATCGAGACTCCGACTGGTCCCATTCCCGATTGATGTTGTGAAGGTCAGATAGGTCTGGGGATGACAACGTCAGTGTTCAGACGTTCAAGTTGGTATGTGTGTCAACCCTATGTTCATAGCTATATGCGTCATTGTATGCAGTTTCCGTGTATTATGGATAATGTCATATACATGACAATTTCTACAGATTGGTATGTACTTATGCGATTGATTTCCTTCTTGAAGACACAATGGACAATAGCATTTCCAGTCAGTGCCAGCCTGGGAGCCGACCTGTCCAGATTCTTTACATGCTTGTACATGTATGTGTCTTCGGTTCGACGCAATGGGATTACTTCAACCCTTGAAATTTTTTTCTTCTTCCGCGGGGTTCTTCAAGTTGTCAACTTTTGTGTTTCTATCAATTTACCTGAATAAGGTGCACACTCAGGTCCATAAATAATCATTTCTGATCGTTGTTTTGGTCCTCGTCCGAGTCGTTGTGGTCCCTGCTGCCAGTGGCGCCGTCACGGCCGGTTTATACGAAGGAACGATTGTCTTCCGAAAGTATCTAGAGGCTGGAAGCGAGCCTACGGCCGGTCTGCGATTCCGTGAAGATGGAAGCTCGAATCGGATCCATGGACATCCCCTTTGGGATATTTCCTCTTCTATACACCATACGTATACATACACTGCGCATATGCGAAGGCCCGTTGAGCAATACGATTACTATATCGTCCGTCGTCTTTAGAAACCCAACGGATGATGACAACGTGTATGCATAACGTAAATAGTACAACGTTTCTATTCTTCTTCTTGCAGTTCGAGTTGATCATGATACAAAGACGACGACAAAGTGATATTTATATATGCTAACAAAAAAGACTTCTCACAAAAACTTTCACTTTCACTTTCCCCCAAAAATGCAACAGCAATATGAGATTCCCTTGCACAACTAAGTCCGGTTACAAGTTGGAGACGCTAGTGATGGGCCATGAACTATGCAGGTACGTAACAAGAAAAGTCGTAAGCATAACCCGAGATTAGTTGACGTGGATGTAAGCTGAGCCGAACCAGCAAAAACAAGAACTCACTAGCCGACTTGAGACCGCTTGTAACCGTACTTGGTGATGAAAGCGTCGAGCTCTTTGGGACCGCGGGAACCATATGGGTATGGGACAGGTTTGGGCCCTGGGCCAGACTTGCCGTCGATCCAATGCAGAATAGGCGTGAAGATCTACCAACCGGACAAAGAAGTTAGTCAGCACGCGCACATAACAAGCAAGTTGACAAAATGTTTATTACCTTCCAAGCGACATCCAACTCATCATCTCGGACAAAGTTCGAATGATCACCCTTGAGTGCGTCCAAGATAAGACTCTCGTACGCCTCTGGAATCTTCGCATCCGCAAACCGACGTTTGTACGTCAGATCCATTTCAGTCGGGATAGCACGGGTATACAATCCAGGGGTCTTAGTGTTCAATTTGAGGTAGACGGCTTCAGAAGGCTGAATGCGCATGACGAGCTCGTTACGGGAGATATCCTTGAAGATCCCTTGTGTGACGTCCTTAAACTGGATTCGGATTTCCACTTTCGCTTCATTCAAGGCTATATTTTTCGTTTTCATAGAGATAGAGATTGATAAAAGTCAGTTGAGATAGACAAGTTCTCACGAATGAGAGATAATGAGATTACTGACCCTTCCCAGCCTTGAGAATGAAAGGAACGCCCTCCCACCGAGGGTTATTGATCCACAATGTTGTTGCGGCATACGTGGGACAGTTTGAGTTGGGTGGGACAGTGGAGTCGTCGAGATAACCAGGCTTTCCGTTCGCTGCGACGTATTGACCGAGCAGTGTGTCGCTTCGCTCCACCGGTGGAATGGCACGGAGCACTTTAACCTATAACATGCAGTCGTCAAGACTGACAATGACGAGATATGCCTATTCAGCTATTTACCTTCTCATCACGAATGTCCTCCGCCTCAAATGAGACAGGGCGTTCCATGGTCAAGATACTGAGAACCTGCATCAAGTCTGTCCCAGCATCACCGGTCAATGACGGTGTTCACATGATGTCATAGAAGCGCTCTGAAAGAGCGCAAGAAAGAACTCACGGTTCTGGAGGATGTCACGAACGATACCGAACTCGTCAAAGTATCCTCCACGACCCTCAGTGCCAAATGGTTCCTTGAATGTGATCTGCACGTTGCTAATCGAGTTCTTATCCCAACCCGCGTTCAACGCAACGTTGGCGAAACGAAGAACAAGCAAGTTCTTGACCATCTCCTTTCCAAGGTAGTGATCGATACGGAACGTCTCGTCCTCTTTCCAATATTGCTTCACGGAATTGAGGAGCTCGCGAGCGGAGTCGAGGTCTTTGCCGAAGGGCTTTTCAATAATGATACGGTTTATGCCATGTCGAGAGTAGCATTGCTCCTTGAGATGCTTAGCTACTGGGATGAACACTGTAGGTGGGAGAGCAAGATAAAACATCCGGTTACACTCGGGCGTCTGGTGTCCCTGCTCGATAGTCTCGAGATTCTTGTTCAAATTCTCGAACGAAGGAGAATCTTCATAGCCACCAGAGACGTACGTCGCCAGCGCTTTGAATTCCTCCAACTTAGCTTGAGTCTGGGGGTCATCATTGGTCTTGATATAGGAGGTAATACGCTTGTGGTACTCTGCATCGTCCATCTTTGTACGCGCATATCCGACGATCTTGATGTCTTTGGGTAAGAAACCCATACTATAGAGACCAAAAAGGGCGGGATAGGTCTAGGATTTGAGTTGATTACTCATGCATATATGCAGGAAGCTCTGACAGCATACTTTCTTCTTTGCAAGATCACCCGATGCACCAAGGACTAGAGAGCTCCAGTTAGACTGAGAGCCATAAGCGTAAGGGGACTGTCGGGAGCATACCAACGATTACAGTATTCTCCTTGAGTGCATGGTGGGCAGTCTCCATCGAAGGAATTGTACCTGACATAGAACGTTCACGAGTAGCCATTTCTACGAAATACCTGGTGCAAAGAGAGGAACTGTGAACTGAGAGAGAGAGAAAGAGAAAGAGAGAGAAAGGACGTGTCAGAGAAGGGTGAGAGGGAAAGAGTAAGAGTACGACAGTAAGATTATATGCCGGTTGTTATCCAGTCCGCAACCATTCCCGATTGCTTACAAGTCACGGTTCCCCATGCTGCAGATGATGCTACGCTTGATTCGCAGAAGCCCGGCCCGGCCTCCGCTGTACCCACCTTGTCTCTGCTTTCTCACCACCTCCGTCGACCACCTTTGCCACAAGTGACCGGGCCTCTACTTTGTTTGCAGTAAACTCTATGGACGTCTCTACAACATTGCCTCCTTCTCCCGAAGATGCCGTCGATAAACTACGCGGCTTGGTCTCTTCAGATTACCTTAACCATGATACTTCGGCAGTCCATATACGCGCAGGCGCGCTCTTCGCTCGTCTCAAAGCATTGAACCGTTCAGCGAATGCTGCCACTCGAGCACACAAGCAGGTTACTGCAGACTCGAGACATGACATGGACCAGATGTATCTCAGTCTGCAAAATCTCCAGTACGAGAAGAGACATCTGGAGCGCGACATTGAAAAGTGCCGCCAATTCGCGTGAGTATCTTTCACAGGCCTTTGTCTGAATGAGGGGTTTGGTCTTACATGCATCTCATGGTTTCAGCTCAATATATCAAGATATTCCACTGTATCACCTCGATGAGTTCCTAGAACGTGCGCCAGAGGAGTTGAAGACCGACATTTCAGCCAATGAGCATACCCTTATGCTCAACCGCCTGAATTTCGAGCTGTCAGAACGTCAGCGGTTCGTAATCCTACCTTATCCAATATAATTCAGTGCTGACCCCGTAACAGACTGGATCAGAGATTAAAACAGCTCACTCAGGAGAAAGAAGACCTGCTCAAACAGAGCAAGGAGAAGCTCGCACGGGCAGACAGCGTAAAGACACAGATAGATATCCTCATAAAGGTATTTGAGATGATATGTGTTTCGTGTTTCCAAGCTGACCCCCGTTCTCAGACCGCTAGCGAGGTTCAGAAGAAGGTGAATGACCTTGTTCAACCCATTTCGCCTCCTACAGCCACTGCGGCTAGTTCGCCGCCCGATTCGTGGCCCACACCAAGTTAGACATTATACTACTGGCATCGTGTCAAGTGTTATTTCTTGGACACCTCCCGCCTCCGTGGTCGTATGGTCTCATGATACCAATAGGCGTCCCAATTTAGATTGGCCAAGCGCGTTGTGGCCGCAGGGAACAATAGGGCACGCCGAGAGTAGTGGTATGGTTGATACTGAGTGACGAAGATGGTACATAGTGATCTACAACAATACTAGCCGAATATATGACTCCGTAGGAGAAGGTGATGTTACATACAAGGCAGAAGGGTTGCCAAAAATAAAGAGGATGAATGGTAACTTGTAAGTGGCTCAATGCAAAAATGGTAGTAGTGAAGATGAAGGGTAGTCATATCAGTCATGACAATGCAAAAAGGAAGCAGAACTAGTGGGCCATGTGTCCCGTTTCCTCGTCGTCACTTATACTTCCGATATCACTCATCTCCTCATCGTCCTCTTCCTCTTCGTTGTCTGCTGCAGCGTCCGCAGCTTCCTTCGTTGCGAAACGTTGTACGTACTCTATTTGCTCCGCGCGTTACTACCACAGCTGCGAAAGAATGAGAACTTAAACGCACCTTTGACTTTCACATCGTATTCCTTCGGATGTCGCATCAGAAGCGCAGCCGCTTCACCGTTAAGAGGATCATTAGGGTTTGGGTAACGAAGCAATTGTGGAAGGAAGACTTCGAAGATATTGATCATGTCTATGCAACTCTAGTCAGTAAAACAAAGTGTGTTACATGGGAACATAAATGCCGTACCGAACATGGGCGACCATGTCTGGTTGATGACGTCTAGACACACAGATCCTGACCTATTCGCTTCACTTTAGTAATCAGAGAGTAAAGCTGACCTAAATCGTTACATACAATTCATCTATGTTCGGATGGAAAATCTTGTTCATGAAGCCAATACTTGGAGACTTGAAGGGGTATTGATCCGGAAGCTCAACATGGATCTTCCATACGCCACCAGCGAAAGGTGCTATACGATCGGAGCATATAGGATGAGTAATTGAGGTCAATGAAGATCCATGGATACTCACTCTCTGCGGGACCGTGGAAGCGAACATAGAGCTCTTGCATATTGTCGTTTACAAGGCTAACCTCATAGTCCGACATCAATCTATTCGCCATATTTCAGACGCACAGCTTGGACGTTAGTGCCTCCACTCTCAGACATGGTAGTTCCACAAGATAAAGGAAACGCACAACTTCATAACATCGGTCTCAATCCGACGTTTGCCTGGGGAACTGTGGATACGACAAGAATACAATTAGCTTCCCCCCGGGAACAAGGATAAGCAGGTACTTATCATAGCGACAGTGTCTACTGGTATAGTTTAGAAAGCTGCAGAGAGCAGATAAACACTACGGGAGCAGAGTGGTGCAAGTGTAGAGACAAGGTCCCTAGGTAAGGACAGAGTAGGCGGCGAAGCTAGGGATGGTCCCGAGATGGAGGTCTGTAAGATATACTGTTAGCACCTCCCGCTTAAGCCCCTTGTAAGTAATGCCGGCGCTTCAATAACGAATCGGCTCCGGATAACGCCGAGTCTCTGCTTTACGTTCGACGACGAGCTCGATGACCTGCTCGTTCTCCTCTTCAATCAGCTCAACGAAAGGCTTCCATACGATAATCACCACTCAGTACTCTGGAGGTGTTCTTGATGGCTGCAAGCTCAACTTGGCCTATACGTTTCCGCCAGATGTCTTTGTCGACCCTTACGAACTGAGATATGACTTCAGTTCCTTTGAACTCGACCCTCTACCCAATCTAGAACTCCCGGTCAAGGTTGCCGGTCACGGAGACTCTACTCTCTTGCTGCATCTAGATACTTCATCCAAATTGAAGCATGAGGATCGCGTAGCTCCAGTGAAGATCCCGGTTCATGCTCGTTACGGTGAACTTGTTGCACCTACAAGTTCACCGTTTCGTTCAATTCAGCTTAGCGCACCCCGTGGCTATTGGGTTTGCTCATCTGGTCAGTTCTTTTGGTTAATGAACACGCTGTAGCAACGCTGAATACGCGTTGAAGATGCAACCAGTAACGACACTATCGATGTAATTGACTGCACAAGCACGTTATTCCTCCCTGATTCACCTAGCAGGGCAATAGAAAACGTCACGACGCTTCGAGTCCCCGTAGGTATCGGATCTGATCTGGACACAGTGGAATTCTCTACGACATTGCTGGTAGTCACCCTGCTGGCGTATCTCTTATCCATTTTTGTCGCAACTACCCGACGATTATACTCCCGTGGTGATGATGTGAAACGTCAGTGAACGAAGTGTTCCATTGGTTAGTGAATCACATTGCACTACCCACACTCTACCAACCAGGAGATGTCCTATCTATCCAACAGGAGTTAGTGCTGCTTCATTGATACCCATCCGTCATACTAGAACATGCCGCAGTATACCCTCAGATGCTTGATCGTCTTGTTACACTATCATTTCGGACATGGCACAGAGGGCTTAGAGGACTATGTTTGTTGCTTGGTCTGCGAATGTTACACCTCTTGGCTTTTTTTGGGCCCATACAATATGTCTCTTGCCAGTCTATCGATATCCCCTAGCAGGTGATCGGAAGCACGTTCATTCGTATTTCGGGCTCCTCGCACGGATCTTCTAGGGCACCTGGAACAGAATTGGATACAAATACGGCCTGCGCATAGGATCCGTACTACATCAATAGTTCATCTATACCCACTCAATGTCCGATACACCCCTCACTGTTGCTCAGTACCAAGTCCATTCCTCCTCGATGCAATACAGCGAATCGCTGTCGCAAGGATAGGACTTTCTCCATCCCGATCCACCTTTCGCGCCCACATCACTTCCAGATGCATGTGCAGCATTTGTATGCGCCGCAGGACCTGGGTCCGCACCCAATCGCCTGAAAGCCCGGATGCCAACGAGTATAGCTAGAAGTATCACCATTGATTAGTAACGTTGCTAAGTACAGGATTTCGTCCGTTGTGCACATACCGAACCAGGCGAACCCAAAGGCAGCAATGAGGATCATCTCCTCCTGAGTCTGTGTCAGCAAATTCGCCTCTCGTCTATGGTGTGTCACGACACTTTGAGTGTATTCAGTATGAGGTGAGTCTGACCATATCGTGTTGGGACTGTCCAATAGTACTTACAGAACGGCCAAGGAGGCCAGGGCCAGGATGGCCACAGAGCTTTGCATCGTAGTAAATACATCTACTTGACGAAATGTTAGTTATCGACTTGACTGGTTGGCCCGATACACTTACGCAGTGTATCAGGCAGGATCCAAGTCAGGAGATGTGCGGCCAGGGCAACGCCGGCAGCTATGTAAACGGCCTGAGTGGGACAAATGCCTTGGCGTTCTATGTCTGGGAAGAACGTACCCGCCATCCCAGAGCGTACCAAACGTTCATTGAACATCGACATTCTTCAAATATCTTTCTATCTGTCAGTGTTGTGTTGAACGTAGCGGTCAGAATATGTCAAGCTTCGTAGAGTGATAGGCGGATTCGACATGGCAAGCTGCGACTGGTGAAGAAGCTCTATCTCGCTGCCATGCGTTAGAGGGCAGGATGGCGATGTGTGCCGATACTGACAACACGATACACGAGGTCTCAAGGACCAGCAGACACGCATCTCGACACAAATGCGTTGTACGTGAGTTCGTGCGGATCACATTTAAACCGGTAGTCAGAGGTACTTGGTATTTCCAGGAAACGTAAGTATGTACAGCAATATTATATACAAGGGCTACAAGCATCGCAGGTATCCAAAACATGATATGCATGGTATTCGTTAGTGATAAGGGTAGTACGTTCATTCCATCTGTGTGTCTTCGAGTGTAGATCCATATCCTTCCAAATTGATACCTATATGGGCCGCGCAGCAATCACGTTCACCAAACCTTCATTTGACAGATTCATCCTTTGCTCCGATGCTGGGCCTTATGACAGGATGAAATTCGAACCAACTACACCGGAACTTGCGTTACGGTGGGGGGCGCGCCGTTCATGCCGGGCTGGATCATGACTTGATGCCCAGGTGCCTGTTGAACGACGTATCCTCCGGGTCCATAAGTCATACCTCCAGTTGGGTATCCGGCCGGGTATGCGTAACCGGGGCTACCAGGGTATCGAGTATCTTCAGGCCAGCCAGGCCATTGTCCGAACCAGGGGAGTTCGACAATGGGCTCTCTCCAGGCGAAGGGACGTCCGAGAGCCTTGGATTTCGTGGTGAGAGAAATGAGGATGAAGAGGAAGATAGCGACTGGAGTTGTCGAGATGAATTAGTGAAGGGTATGATGATATTAGCGTTCCATACTTACAAAGACAAAAGTTCATCCATGAGAAGGCTTCGACAACCTTCATTTCATAGCAATACGAGCGAGCCTTGACTAAATAGAACATGAGATGGCGTGCTGCAATTTGCTCGAAACAATAAACATACGTGTGCCAGACTTGGTAGGGACTGTCTGATCTTGCAGTTGATCACATTGCGTGCTTCCTATGATATCTCTATGGGAGATGTCAGGACGTATGATTTGGCGCAGGGATTATCGACGTACGCAGACCAAGCACCCATAGCTGAAGGCGACGTTAGTGGAGAATGTTACTATGCAGCCATGTCAGCTCACCTAACCAGAGCACTCCCAGAATGAACAGGATGAACGCATCCACTCTGGGTTGGGACCATGATAATCTATGAAACATGTCAATATTGCCCCGTTGTAGCATAGAAATCACGCACATTGCTATGAAGAGCAGTATTGTTAACGATGGGATGACAAGAGAAAATATGGTAAAGTCGCCTATGGCAATGCCAGTCAACAGAGGAGCGATATGCAAGCGGAAACTAGTGCTTACGATGCAGGTTGGGTAGGAATAGATTGGCAAAGTATGCAGAAATGCCAAGCACGGTGGCAGACAGTATTAGAATCGTTACTACATAGTATGTTCAGCAAATATGAATGATCGTCTACACCAGACGCACCAAACCCATAGGTTCGCATGTCCCTGAACAGTTGTGTCATCTGTAAAGCATGATAATGAGGCCTCGATTGCTTTGGTCGAAACGTGTGATCGAACCTTTGTGAGACGAACGCCCAGTCAAGTACAAAGTATCGTTAGTTGGTCGTGTCTGAGGTGTGGTGTACAAGAGATATCGTTACAAGTTCAGGGTATGTGAAGGAGAAAAGGATAGCAGGAGATGATTGCAGAGACGAACCCCCGCGAATAAAGTTGGGACCGCTTGATCGCAGAATGGCATTCGAACCATTAACGTGTGTTTTCTGACGTAATGCTGTCCATCACGCTGCCTGCACGAGTTTGCAGCGAGGACACAGGAAACACAAGCTTGTTCTTCAAATGAGGGTTGTCTATAGTTACAGTGTTACAATGCTCCCAATGATACATAAAGGAATTGTCATTCGTGTATTCCCATCTAATAACGTCGTAACATTTGCCTCGTGAAAGGTCATCAACTTCACCGCCGGGGTGAAGCATCTCTGTGATACTTGTCCCGAGTTTGTGTTCGTGAGGAGTTCGATCTTACGTGGGCCGGATCTGGTTTCGAATGTGGCATCCAGTAAACGTATGTCGGTGCTTCGTTACGAGTAGGCTCAGGTCGGCCAGTATGAATTCGTCGAGGTGCTGGTCGAAGTTCTTCCTTTTCAGGCAAAGCAGGAGCCCCAAGGCCCCTTGATTGTGAACGCTGTGAACGACCAGACTTGCTTCTTTGTGCGGTAGCAGGTACAGGGAGCGCATTCAGTTTTCCTGTTTGCGCATATGGTCCCCCGAACCAAGGGAATGCTGTGACCGACGTGAGCCAAACGGTCCTGTTTCCCCATCGATGGTGGCGAATGGCTAAGCCCAATAACGAGAGCAACCATAACCAAACTGGATGCAAAAAAATTATGGAATGATAACTGGCTTATTCAGAATGCAACTCACTAAGTATAATGTTGAAGAACGAAAATGCTTCCAGTACACGGTATTGGGCATGATAGGTCTCCGTGTTGACTAAGACAAAGACAAAACTTGGTCACAAACCAACTATTACGGTACAATTGGATACTCACATCCTGGCATGTCGAAGGGTTCACTTGTGTCCGATGAAGAGAAGCATTCCACATCGGCCCCTTCGGACTCAGACGAGGCAAGGAAGGCACCCAGAGCTGAAGCGGTATTAGAAGGAAAACCAACGCCGAATGTCTGAGACAACATACCAAGCCAGAGTACAGCAGTAAGCCCTAGACAACCTAGCTCTACCCTTGTAGATATAGGATTACGGTCCCGCCAAATGCCAAAACCGAGTCTGAAAGAAATACGTCGGTATATGCGGCTTGGAGGAACAAAGAACTACGCACAGCGCAATCATAAGCAACAAGCTAGCGCTGCATACAAAGATAGCGAATGGAATGAAATGAGCTGAAAAGAGAGTCAAGGATCAGACCTCATGAAAGAGGATTGTCTTTACTCACTGAGGTCTGAAGATACCAGGATGTTCTGAAAGTGCACCGCAATGGCCAGGCAGATAATCGTCCATATTAATACGGCCGCTATTCGTTGCTCAGCTACTCGCTAACTCATCTTCAACCAATGCGAAACTCACCGTACAGACTTGCCCTAACTATGTTAAAGACAGTAGGCATCCGGAATCGAAAGACACTGGTGGAAACGGATGGACGAGTTGTAGAATGTGATCGTGATAATTGCTTGTCTCGACGACTACTCCGTGCCCTGGTATTTGAGGACTCCATCATCCACGCACCTCAGGCCAATGAAACGATATGGAAAAAACGAGGCCAGGGCCAGTCTTGTGAACCCCGGAGGCCGGTTGTGTTTTCCGCGCGATATTAATGCCTGAGTCGCGTTGTCCGTGATAGCAGCAGCTTATCCTCCTCTAGGATGAAGAAGAGAGCTGCAACCCGGGGGGCTAGCTACTGCCTACGAGAGGTGGTCGAAGCAGAAGGAGCTCGGGATAATGCATATCACCCGTTCGGGTGTTTATACCCTTCCCATCGAGAATTGTCTGTGCCATGAAGGCCAATTGGGTGGAAACTTTCTGCCTCGAGGCTGTCGTGATTGACTTTTCTCAGTCAGATGGTGGTCCTGAGAGTCTGAGAGAGCTCGGCTGGGGCGCTCCGCCGCACAAATACGCCAAACGCCCATGTTTTTGCTCGCGGCATCAATTTACTGACTCTGAAATGCTTCCGTCGATTGTTCTCTCCTTGTGTACCCTTTCATGTACAAACTTAGGTACAAACACTGCGCATCGTATATCTCTTTCATGAACAGAGGCTAGAAAACTGCTGCGGGTGTTGGAATCATTTAACCGTGCCCAGTCCGAAGACATGCGTATCCCACGACGCACTCCACTCCATAAATAAAGCAATGGCCCTTTGTCGTTTGCCAACACCTGGTACTTCCTAGAACTCTCTGTGGAGCCCCTTATAAAGTATGGCTGTGGACTTTGGAATGTCTCGGTCACCCCAATCACTTGGCCAAATCCACGGCTTTGACATGTCAATGACGCCTTTGTTTCACGTCCTGCGGTTTCTCTATTCTTTCACCCTCGCGCTGCAGCGGGTATGGCTAGTGATTGAGCATTCGCAATGGGCTTGTCGAGTTGCAGGTAGGAAACGTTTCACCAAGGCTCCCCCACGTCAGCTTTCTCTGAGTATTGGCGGTTCCCGGGTTCTGAATTCTTCTTGCTATACTCCTCCACCCCAGCATTCCCAGCATCAAGGCAACGCGGAAATGCAACTGAGAGCTTACCTCGACGAGGTCTGTACAACACTCTTTAACCCCGTTGGCACCCAAAGCGAAGCCCTCAGTATACGGCACAGTCGGACTTTGCGAGTTCTCCAGTATTTCATTGATTAGTTCGCTACACAGTAGCATCCTCCAATACATTGCAATCTGCAATTCGAACGTGACTTGAGCCTGCGTGCCTGATTGTGACGGGGACATTCTCATAGTGAAGTCGGTTCACAAATACGGGTTTTCCCTTCAAAGTCCATCGATCAAGCCGCCTCTTTTCTAAGCTCTTTCCCGATGCTCTCGTATGCAGCAAGGCATTCAGGATTGCGTAGAGTGGCTGGATTCACACTGGAGATCGGGGCGCCGTTTATAATCTGATGACCGGCAGAAAACCGTGGTAAACACGATTGCAAACATATCGAGCAAATTTAAATGTATATACCTTCTTTACGGGAACCTCCACACGCTTGCCATTAAGGGTGTAAGGAATATCATCTACCTGGATGATCTACCATGACAAAAATGGCAATGAAATATGTTATTGCACGCAATTGAAGGGAAAAACTTACCTTGGCGGGTACATGTCTCGCGCTTCTGCGAGTCCGGATTTCGCTCTTTATCCGCTTCTCGAGTTCTGCATTCAACTTCTCCGCTTCGAGAAGTTTGACGAACAGGATCACGCGCTCATCCGTGCCTTGCGTAATACTTTGCGAAACCGCCAGACAGTCGACGATAGTATGCGAGGTGTGCGTCACGTTTGGCGCGAAACACGTATCAATCACATCGTACAGTTCTGCAGATCCAAAACGCACTCCACCAGGATTGCTAGAAGAAAGGTGTCAGCCAAAGAGCGGCTGAAGACGCTGTGAAAGACGCACAGGACACCATCGCTTCGCCCTAACATGACAAGACCTCCACCATTCCCTCCCCTAGAACGCGTGACCATGACATGATCGCCATGGACTGTCCAATTCAAACATTGAATGGTCGCCACATGTTAGCTTCAAAGCGCTGCACTCACACCAAACACCCTTGAACTCGGAGAAATAAGCCTGCTGATATCTAACCTTAGCAGCTTCGACAGCTTCCTCGCTGCCATACCCTGGGAGCGGCCAAAACCCAACAGGCATGCATGGGAATGGCCTCAGGCAAACAAGCTCCCCGGGATGGTCAGGTCCAGCGATATCCCCGGACGGAGTGAAGGCCTCTATTGCCATGCCTGGTAGCCGGCATTGGATCTCCCCACGGTAGACTGGAAGCGCAGTACACATCCCTGCAAACAGAGAACAGATGTCTGTACCGCCTGAATGAATCGCATCGTCAAATAAGCTTCGTTTTGGGAGAACATTGAATACCAGACGCCACGGACCTGTGATGGATCCCAGCAGCACATCTTGTTTGATATGATGGTATACGAAATCAAACAACGGAGCTGCAAGAGGTGAACCGGTCGAGTATATATGTCGAAGGGTTGTCAGTTGATGTGCCTCTCTGGGCTTGTAAACCTTCTACTAGAGAATTTTAATATCCGCGCGGGGTTAGTCGGAAATCGCCCGACTTACGGAGAGGTGGTCGATGTACTTGGCACTTGTCCCAAAGATGGAGATACCAAGTTCGTCTGTGAGATGCCAGAGGAATGCAGGGTCACGTAGAGGACTTCCATCGTATAGTACCAACGTGCAACCTATGCTGAGGCCGCTAACAAGGAAGTTCCACATCATCCAACCCCTGAACCCAGAACCCTTCAACGTATGTGGATGTGCGCTATAGAATATGAACGCACGTTGTAGTGTAATAGAAGAAGACATCTTCTGGGCGTAAGTCGGCGCAAATGACAAGCTCTTTCTTCAATTGAAGAAGCATACCACCTGCACGATGGACGATGGGTCTTAGACCCCAGGATCAATCAGCGAGAGTCACATATAGCGACGACAATGTATTCACTTTGGTCGACCTAGACTCCAGGCAAGTCTTGTTCAGCCCACAGCATTCGATACCTCTCGGTGGAGCGTACCTGTGGTGCCAGAACTGAACAGAATCCATACGGGCCAATCGAAGCCAAGGCGAGCCCATTCTATCTCGCCATCTCCAGTTCGCCCAAGTTTCTTCTTGCGGCCAGCGGCTACAAAGTCCTTAAAGCTCGTCCAATCTGAGTTCCAAGTTGTGCGGTCATCGAAGGTCTTCTGAATTATGACGATTTTGGCTTGGGCCGGACTATTTTCGGATAAACGAGCCAAAAGCCTCTGTAACTTGGGTATGTGTTCATGGATCTTCGCGTTGTATCTAGAGAAACCCCAAAAATCAGACGTAACAGTTGAAAGCTTGCGACTACGTCTTACACAACGGAGTCGACCGAGAATATGACCTTGGGTTGTACTTGCTCAAACCTGCGATGGCCGTGAACACCTGTTCAAAGAGAAGTGAAAATAAGCGAGTATCACTTGACGTACCTTTCAAGGACGCCCTCCGGACCAAAGTCAGCAGCTGCACTAACCCATATACATCCTGTACGCCGGGAATCAGATGCTGGGAGGGTGGAGACGATCCTGTGAACAAACCAATTGCAGTAGCAGCCAAACAGGCAGCCACGTTCTCCTATAGTTTGTTTGCCCATTCAGTAGTCAAATCATAATCAACTGACAGCTCGATGATATGGAAATAGTCAAACTTCGAACAATTGAATACGTGTACTGTACAACACACGTGTGGTCCTCATCAAGCCTACATGGCCCAATGCAGCGTAGAAAAGACAAGAACGCCGATTCGGAAGACACCGATCGTGGAGACTTACAATGCAATTGGACGCGTAAGACGCGACGCGGTCACCAGGCTGCAACCCGATAGACAATAACGCAGACACAAGGTCGGCGACAAGTTCGTACAGCTCTGCATATGTCACGCGTTGCAAAGGAGGGTTGGGTTGGGACGGCTGAGGCTCGGCTATACGTGTTTCAAAGATGTTACGCCGCAACTTGGCTCAATGATCGGGAGTACTCACTAACTTCAATCAATGCCGTCTTGGAAGGTGAACGACATCGTAGCATATTCTCCGCCCAATTCAGCTTGGCCTCCGCAAACCATGCTGGATTGTCCGGCGGTAGTGCGGCAGTGTCGACGACATGAGAGCCTTTGTGGCCAAGTACGTCCGTTTCGTCCCATACATCGCTCCAAAATTGGTCTATGTTGGAGATAGACCAATTGTATAAATCGAAGTATGATGAGAGCGCAAGTCCTCGAGAGGTGTTGACATGTTGCATAAACTGATGAATCCGACTGCGCTCTGGGAAAGGTGGAACGTAGAGAGGCTCCACCTGCTCTTGGCTGGTGTCTGAATCCAAGCCGGCCAGTGCGGAGAGTTGAATGGAAGCCATGCCAAGTGAACAGCGAGGCTTCTATGGGCAGTGTCCTCTCGGGAGTGTAGCGAGGAAACAAGTAATAAGATATCTTAGTTTCCAACTGCAAGAGTTGGCGAAGATGGGGAAGCTGCCAAGAGCATCCACCGGTCGGCCGATTCCCAAATCGGTATGCTAGAGCGCGGGGTGGGTCAACGGTGGCTCCTCGGTGTCGTTTGTTTCTCGGGTGTCGTGCAATGAGGGCCGCTAAATAACACACCTATATGAGCCTCGGACGCCTAGCAAAAGTATTTGGTTATGCATAAAAACAGTATGTTTGACACATATCGGGCGACAAGAAACATAAGAAACTGGTTCGAGTCAGAACAAAAAATAATCGGCCGATCACATCAACTCCGCACTACAAAATCAGGCGTTGAATAAGAAGCAGATTTTGGCTGCACAGAAATCTCTCTCGCTCTGACCCCCACACGAACGTGCATTGTCTTGGCCGCTCCCATAAAGTGCCATAAGTAGCTTCCCGGGGCCCTTACTTCTTAAACCACCACCTCGATCTGCAGTGCTCCCGTTTTTGTCCTCCTGACAGCAACAGCTCTTCACATCGTTCTTTCATTCTTTCCAAAACTCTATCGCTACCCTCATATCACCGCACTGCCGTCTCCATACAACGTATATATAACCCCAAGTTGACTCGCTCTCCTTCCCCAACTTGTTGCTCTTGCCCAACCAACCCTCCGTCGCCTCATACCATGGACCGGTTCCTCGCACCTCATTCACCTGAAGCCCTCGCTCACCACCACCTCACGTATGTCTCCTTACGTATTTTTTGTTGACTTTCCTGACACTTCCGCCACAGTGAGAATTGGTTCAACTGGGATACCGAGCATCCCTCCTTGGACGAAACTCTCATTGCAGGGTGCGCCTCTTACCAGGCATTCAATCGCTATCTCACCGGCAGTGACCTCTACTTGCTGCCGCGGTCAAGAAAGGAGCTTGAGAAAGTTCTGTGAGTACTGCCCATAGCTATGCCCATGAACGTTTGTCGTCTAACCTGTACGCGCTACCTCAGACGGAGATACGCTTATGACGCCATTCATAACACTATTGCTAAGGCCCGGTCATCTCTGGAGCCTGGCGGGTACAGCCGAGTGAGTTCACACCTTCTTTCACGCCGTCTTTCTCATGCTGACTCCATCGAAAGATTTGTCACCTCGTAGAGACTTCTATCAGCAAAGTGTTGGATGAGAATGATAATGCCTCATATCTCCTTGACCTTCACCGTCCCCAGCTCGATTCCGTGGCAAATGTAATGCCGTCGTCGCCGACTAGACACATCACGATCAAGTAGGAGAGGACACTCGAGGCCTTTTCCTCTCGCTGCTAACTTATCTCGTGATTCGCTATGATAATTGTATAGGATTTCGGCGCTGCCATGCATCTGTAATACCACCCTCACCCCGTTCTCTGTCGTTTTCGCTATCGTCACCTGTATGTATAATTGTACAATACTCCACCAGGACCTCGATGAATACATATTGTACTTTGCAATTCTCGCTACCCTGAGGTGCAGTGACTCGGTATGACTGTTGCTATGTGCGGCAAAGTCCGGTGTATGCGGTGTGTCAAACAAGGTATGGTATTGTAGCTTGTGCTTCACATTGATAGCAGTGACGCTGCATCGACGAACGTGCGAGGGAAGCCCTGCACCCCCGCAGTCTCATCTCCATCCCACATCCATGCTCGTCTGATCTACTACTATACCATACCCCGGCCTCGTTCTGGGCTGTACTTGACTCTGTCCTTGTTCAACATTGTTGCGCTGTCACTCTCCGAGCTATGCGCACAACCGCGGTGTCATTACTTTTTCTGCTAGTACAGTTTCAAGATGTATTCGCGGCTCCAACTCAGGTTCCCTTCGATTCGGATTTGGTAGCGAAGCGTATGTCCAGGCACCGTTCCGGAGGCGAGCAGCTGAGCTAACACATGAACGTTCGAACTCACAGGTCCACCACGGAAGCTACGAGGTCGTTTCCTTCACTTGACAGACATGCATCCCGACCCCTACTACCGCGTCGGTACGTCCGAGAAGTCGGCTTGTCATCGGAGGAAACCTAAGAAGGCGAAACCACGCGCCGGAGAACATGGGATCCCTTTCGGGTGAGTGCTATAATTGCTGTACGAAGCAGTTGTTTATTTTGGTTTCTGGGTTCGTTCAGTGACTGCGACTCACCATTCTCACTCACGAATCACACTTTGGACTTTATTGACAAGAAATGGAGCGAGGAAGTAGACTTTGTTATTTGTGAGTATATTGAATTGTCCCACCAAGGACACCCTTGAGTTCTAAACTGGAATTTATTAGGGACAGGAGACAGCGCCAGGTGGGAATGGAGGGCGAGCTAAGGTCAAGATTAGCTAACTGAGTGGTCAGACATGACAACGATCGCAAGTTGCCCCGGACAACCAAGGAGATCTACGAGTTGAATAGGGCCATGGCTCGGAAAATGGAGGACGTCTTCTTAAGCAAGGGCGTTCCCGTCATTCCGACTATAGGTAGGTTCTCTCTCAGGGGAACGATAACACGTTCATTAATACACGAGTCTTTCGCTTCTCTTTCATGCAGGCAACAACGATGTATGGCGTAAGCATATTCACACTTGGCATGCCTTTACTCCGTAATGAAGCTTATCTCCTCTTATAGCACATGTAAGAGTCACTTTCTTTGTTGGAAACGTTTCTGACATTTTAGGGTTAGAACATCATGCTACCAGGTAGATGACTATTTCCCCGATTGCTAAGCCATATCTATTTACATGTTGATTAAATAGGTCCGAATGACATAACATTTCAATACTCAGTGTGAGCTAACCATTTCTCCACTTTTCCGTTCACGCTGTCTGACGAAATGAATTCAGGATTTGGAGGTCCTTTATACCATTCCCATCCTTCCAAGTCTTTCAGAGGGGCGGATACTTCTCTGTCGACGTAATCCCGGGATCGGTGGCGGCGATTAGCTTGAACACCATGTATTTCTACACGTCTAACAAAGGTTCTTACCTTCCTTCGCTCTCACTCTTCAAGTCGTCTGACAATGTTGCCATGGCGATATGAACTAGCTGTGGGAGGATGTGAGGTCAATGATCCCCAGGACCCCGGAAACCTTCAGTTTGACTGGCTCGAAGTTCAGTTGCAAACCTTCCGAAGCAGAGGAATGCAGGTTCGTATCCGCGTGTTTCGTTACCACTTGCCTAGATCGATCTTTGAATTCTTAATGCATAATCTATTCGGTCCGTATATAGGTGTGGATAGCAGGTCATGTTCCCCCTTCCGCCCGCAACTACTACCCGGAATGCGTACGCCACGGAATGCTCTTGTTCCTGGTTCATGACGCTTACCTTCTTTGCATTCTATTAGCATGTTCGATATGTCGAGTTGTCGCTGCGATACCAAGATACGATTTTGGGGCATCTCTTCGGGGTGAGTTGTCCTAGTTATGCAGCTCTGACATATTATTCACAATTGCTTCCAGCATATGAATGTCGATCATGTAAGGTGTTCCGGTGCCCACGACCTTTATTAACGGCTCTCACGTCCGTTCCAGTTCTTTTTTCTAGATGCTCAAGAAGTGACTCATAATGGACAAGCTCGATCATCTGACGCCCTAGAAGAGGACGAGCAGGATGTCAAGAAGAAACACAAGGATTTATACGGCTCTTTGCTCAAGAACTTCAACCATGTGAGCAAGGTTTCGAACATTGACCATGACAACTACGCTGTTGTCAATGTCGCGCCTTCAGTCGTCCCGAACCCGTACCTGCCTTCCTTCCGAATCTTCTCGTACAATATTTCTGGATCACCCTACGTTCCAGGCGATCTCGGTGTCATTGTGGATGGAAGAGGGCCAAGAGGCTCCAATGCGCCACGTCCTGATTGTCTAGACGACCTTGCACGTCAAAACGCGACATTCGAGAAGGAGTGTCATCCATCCGGACACTGGAATTCCAGTCCGAACTCACCTTCGCGAAGGAACGGCTTATGGTCACCTCTTGGGTTTGCGCAGGTAAGCTATACGGTTTAAGCGTTTTTCATGGGTCTGTCCGTTGCTGACACATTCTGTAGTACTACATGCCGGACCTGAACGCCACGACTAACAAACGAAAACGACCACCAAAGTACAAACTTGAGTACCTGACGTTCCACCCCTCGTTGCTGCATCCTCCTTCAGAGGGGGCTCGGAGTGGATTCCATTATCCCCTTCCGCTTCGAAACCTTCCTCGGTCACTCAGGAACAGTACTGTGACAAAAAGCAAGTATGCGCCGTATGGAATGCACGATCTGACAATACCTTCGTGGCTGAAACTGGCGCGGCGATTGGGGAAGGCGAAACACAAGAAACTCCGAGCACGCTTTCGGAGGTACATGTATATGGGGGCAGATGAGGAGCGGTAGGGGTAATTGTAGGGTTGCTGAAACTGCAGAGGGGCATTTGCGGTACTAGGTAGTGTAGATATGTGAGAACGGCCGGCTAACGGATCAAGAATGATGATGATGAGGCCTGTGTGATTTATGACAAGCGAGATGGCGGATTTCTTTGGCTAAACAGGGGAGGTCGTGGCTGGGGGTGAGAAAGTACATATCGCACGAGACAAGGGATTGCAGGCACATCGAGCCTGCACACCCTGAGCCCTCTCGTTGCCTTGACCACCGACGACATCCTCGCTGTTCGGAACGCAGCTGCTTTTTGCGAGGCAGTCCAGAACTTGTTGAAGGGGATTTAAGAGGAATCCCAGCCCAGAGCACTCGGGGGCCCGCCAGGGGCAGAGAGTGCACCCAATTTCGCGTCTTTTTTGTTTTCCTTCATCTATCCGGCGGAGCGCAGGTGCATCAGCCTTGCATCAGCCAGGTTCATAACGTTCATCAGCTCTCTTCTTGTCTCTACGCTTCGTCCTTGTGTCTGCGCCTACCTTGCTTGGGCCTGTACATTCTTCGCTCTCTCCTTCGCTCTCCTTCTCTCCGGCTGGTCCGTCCTTACACTCACTGCTGCTGCACCACACCCTCCTTACCCTAATCGCTCTTCATCGCCCGAGAATACATGGCCGCTCTCAACCTGCACATGCTGCCAGCAAACGTCCCCTTTGACTTTCTGCCCAACCATCACCACCACTCGCGCTCTAACTCGGTCTCTTCTACATCCTCGCATTCTCCCCATTCCAGGCCCCAGTCTTCCCAGGGTGCTATCTTGCGAACCCCCTCTGTCCTCCCTGCCTCCGTCGAGGACCTCTATCGTGCCTCCTTCCACTCCATCCCCGGTTTTCACCCTGACCACACTCGTCACCCCTCAGACGCTTCCGCCTATTCTTTAGCATCCACCGAACTCATCACACCTGCCGACTCTCCCCCAAATCACAACATCACAAATCCCGCTCTCAAGAACCATTTACGCCACAGTCATATCCGTGCTCGTGCTGCTGCTTCCCCTTACCCCCGAGACGCTGAGAGTGTTCACTCTTCTTCCAGCGAGACAGAGGATCTTGCCATGTACTTGGGCCCCACCGCTCAGGACTACAATACCATGTTTGCGGACCCCCAGATGCTCGGCGGCATTCCGCCTGAGACAATCAATCCTGCAGGGGCCTTCAATAGGATGAGCATGAGCCCGGACCACGCATTGGAGAAGCTGGCAGCTAACGTCCGTGCAGCTACGACGACGAGTGCTTCGGACAGAGCGAAGCAGATTTTCGTACAAGCATGGTGCGTGTGACGAAATTCATTCACATCCCCTTTTCCTCGTCACTTATGCTGTTGCTTCACGTGAAGGTTGACTGCTAACTATGCCCCATACCCTGACGGCAATGTCCCTCGTCAAGGGTTATACTTTTCTTATCGTCGTGTTTGTGACCAGTATGGGATTCCACACATCAACACCGCCACGCTTGGAAAGGCCATCAGATTGTGTTTCCCTACAATCAAGACGCGGCGTCTGGGCGTACGAGGAAACAGTAAATATCATTGTAAGTGTTGTTTCGCCTCGATCACGATCATGTCAACTAACGAGAGTTCTTTTGACAGATTGCGGTATCCGTCCAGCCACCTCCGCCGAGGCCGAATTCTTGCAGGATTACATTCGTAAATCGAATAATAATGCTGCCCAGCAATCGGTGAATGCAGCTAGGATGGCAAGCGAGCAGGCAGAGGCCGCCAATAGGGGAGAGGATCGTTCGGATGACGATGATGAGGACGATTCAGATGGACAGAGTTCTGGTAATGCCTCAAAACGCAATTCGCTCAATCTCGGTAATGGGATTAAGAACGGAGTCGATTTTGCGGATGAAAAAACGCCGACGGCAGCTACGTTGCTCTCGCAAGCCCAAGGAACTCAACGACCTCCTTCGACTTCGTTCCCTCCGCAGGCTCCCATTCGTCGTCACACCCAACCTCCAGAGGGCTTGGGAGTTTCCACTCATCCATCGCCATCTAGTGACTCTAAATCTGGACTGCCCTTCATGCCGACAGCTGGTGGAATGTCTGTTCGCCAGATGCTCCATTTCCCATCAATAGAAGAGGCTGTTGGTAGCAATTCGACGTCTCCGCACGCCGTGCTTGCTCGCGAAGTCTGGGGCTGGTTCCAGGATCATTTAGATGCACTTCTCGATGGAATCCGCTCATACCGCTTTGACCAGTTTGAAGTTCACATACGCTCTTTCTGGTCTACGCTTTCCCCTCAGCACCGAGAGGTCATACACGCGCCCATTGTGGCTGGTTTGATGGCAAAGGCAGATGCCATCGTATATGATGTATGGATGTTTTCATCTTTCTCTTACACCTGATTGATCTCACGGCGTTGATCTCATTCAGGAGATCCTCGAGTTCCTTCGTTCGCAAATGCTTTCGCCCATTCCTCCGGTATCCATCGCCGGTCTCCGCCAACTCGCCGACAAGATGGAGAAGATTTTGCTTGTTTCTCTGGATGGTTATGGGACCACGTTTGTTGAGCCAAAGGTGGAACTTGGCGCTCGGTTTGGACATCTAGTCTGTGAGTGCGCTAATCTAACTTCGTGCCGATGGCGGCGAGCGTAGAATGCTGATGCTAACTTTTCTTGCAGTACGGTTCCTGGATATGTACCAGGTCACTCAGGCGTTGACCACCGTCCTGACCAACCCAAAACAACTGGTTGATATGCGTCGGTCATGGCAAAAGGTCGACTTTGAGTCCGTTCGGAATCAGTCCGCCTTGGTGTGCAATTGCCGTCATGAGGACTTGCTCCAGTTGCTCGAAGTCGAGTTCGTGGCTTTACTTGATGGTCTTGCGAAGAGCACGGAACCTGTGCGAGACGTGATGGCGTGGGCTGACAAGTGCTGCGATCGTTTGATGGCCAATCGTGGAAGTGAGGATAGGGCTACTATGAGCTCCCGTAGCGTGTTAATTCGTTGGGGCTACGTGACAAGTCAAGTCATGAGAGACTTGGTGAGCTAACCTTATACATCTTCTGACTCCCTTACTCAATCTTCCCCACTCAGACCATTCGCAGTGACCCCACTTTTGGGGCTTTCCAAATCCTGAAGTTGTTCCTCGAGTATGTTTCGCCTTTTTTTTTTGATTGATTCAAGTATGATAACTGATCCGCCGACTTCCAGTGACTGGATTTCGCTGAACGTTCTCAGGAGTGTCGCGCTATCCACAAACTCTGTGGCGGCGTCGGTGGAACCAATGATGCAGTCTCAGTACCTCACCCTGTCACCAATGCCTGGTCAGGAATCATTCCCTAACCCTCTAGACGTTCGCCCCCACCATGGCATTGCTGCACATACTCCGACGACGTCTAGTATGCTCGCAGCTCTTCAGCACGATCCGTTCCCTTCCACATCGCTCGACTCGTCGGCGTTCACTCCCGACGCGTTTGGCTCACTTTCATACATGGATACCACTTCTCAGGATGGATCCTTGCCTGTCAACTCTTCCGAGCTCAATTTCCCTGACTATGTGGCTGGCTCTTCCACTTTCGACATGAGCTCCTTTACACCATCAGACCTCGGCCTCAGTACAGAGGCAACACCGCCGCCCTCTGGCAGCGAACCTGACACGGATTCCGAGTCGACGAAGTTGAAGACGGAACCGTAATAAAGATATGAATGGGGTTTTTGGGGGTTGATACAATTGTCCCGACGGACATTACCTTACTATGATTGCGCTAATCTCTTCGGGCTTCTTGCTTTGACTCGTTTGCACTAATTATTATTGACTTTTCGCGTTCCCTTACTTACTTCTATCTGTATCGTCTGCTCTCGAAGTCTTATATGTAAATACCCGTGTACTCACCAATCATACCAAATATCGGGTCATCACCCGCGGGCAGTGAAACTTGCAAAGTAACTTAGTGAAGATTGACTCGAACTTCGGGTCCGTATAGGAAAATGTGAAATGTATAAAATCCATGCTAGAGCGGCAACAAGCTTATTCGTCTTTCTTTTCCTCTACATCATCTTCAGCGACACTCTCCAACTTCTCTTCTACCTCCTCTTCCGACGGTACTGCGATGGGAGAAATCAGAGTCGACGCTGGAGTGGGTGCAGGTTCCGTAGGCCACTCGGGAACACCGTTCGGAGGCTTGATTTCCTCGGGTGAAACGATGTCCTGCTTGTCTCCGCCTGTGAGACGACGGATCTCAGCTTCAGCCTTCTCCTTATTCTCCGCTGTTACTCGTTCTTGGTTGGCCTCGAACCAAGCCTTCTTCGTCTTGAGATCCTCAACCACCCGCGGTAAGTCCGCAGTTGACGTAGGCGGAGGTATTGAGAGCGAAAGTAGAGCGGAGAGTGTTGGTAGAGGAATGTTGAGTTGCCCGGAAGGAGCCTCGGATGAGTTCGAGTTGGAGGCAGAGACAGGTTTTGAGCCACCCTTCTTGTTTTTCTTGCCTTTGCCACCACCTACGAAATACGCCTCTTCCTCTTCACCTTTCTTCTTACGCACGACCAAACCCTCCTGTGCCTCCACCTTCCTAAGCTCGAGCTTAGGAACACCGACAAGCTCCGTCTTCTCATGTGAAGTTGTCGATAAAGCGGCAGGAGTGGAAGTCTTTCCGGAGAAATAGTCGATGAGGGTTTGGCAATCCTCGATTTGAGCCTGGAATGCAGGTACCGAAGCATCCTCGCGCAGTCGATCCACCAATTCTTTCTTCTTCGCTTCCGCTTCGGCAATACGCTGAGCACGGTGCCTCTCCTCACGTCTTGCCCTATCCTCAGTAACTTTAGCCCAGTGACGATCGTTTGCTTCTCGGAATCGTTGAGCAGACTCCCTCTTCTGGCCATAGAGGGTGTCTAGCTGAGCCTGCAATGCACTTCGCTCGTCCATGAGTTTGCTGCGGTTGGCATAGGCCTCATCTCCTTCCTTCTTCAGTTCGTCGAGCTCTCCCTTGATAGCTTCATACCGTTCAGAAATGGCCCTGGCTTCTGGGTCGTCGAGTTGCTTCTTGAGCTCATCAGCAGTAGCGCGATCCTTCTCAATGCCATCTTGCTCTGCTTGGAATCCTTCGACAGTACGACGATTGCGTTTGAGCTGGCTGATCTCCGCTAAAGCACGCTTTTCATCGGCGATCTTCAAGTTACCAGATTCAACCTGTTTGTCAAGTTGCCTACATACTATAAGCACAGGGGAAGGAAATGATTTAACAGGAGACGTACTTGATGCGTTCATCAACGTCGGCAACTGTTTTGTACAGAATCTTGCTTCTGGCAACGTTAAGATCTTTGATCTGTCACAAGGGTTAAGGGTGCATCACCCATACGAAAGAAGTATGTTCACCTTCTTTTGTACACCTTCCTGAAGGGCATTCAGCTGGTCGAATACCTTGCCTCGGGCAAGCTTATTCGAAGATTGCTGGCCACGTATTTGATCCAATTCGGCACGAAGCTCATTTCGCCTGTCATTTCCAGGACCACCCCTCGTTGTCAGATTAAGCTTCTCTCTTACTGCACCCTAAATTAGACTAATGGGTTAATGAATGAAGTTGTGTCTGACGACAAGCAACTCACAAGCTTAACCTGAACCGCATCAATATCAACCTGGATTTTCTGTTGCTCAGCGTCGTATATCTTTTTGTCTGGTCTACCCGAACCATACGTGACAGCCTCAGAAGCAGTGGAAAGCACTGGACTGGAAGAACCAGTAGTAGATGATGTAACAGCCGCTTTGGGCTTTTTCCCAGCGCCACTAGTAGATGCAGACTTGGTCTTTGTAGAAGCCATGAGCAAGAATGAATAGGTACTGAAAGGCAATCGACCTGGAGCAGACAAGTGGTGGTGGTTTCCGGTGGAAATTCGTGAGAAGGCACAGCTGCAGACTGAAATCAGTGGTCGCTCGTTGGCACATTCCCGTGACGTGGCTGGCCCTGATCCCGATCCGAGATCATCGACTAGAGCAACTCAAAGTTAAGTGAATCATGATACACAAGAAAAATAAAAGATATTATACAATCTATATACGCAATGGAAGACAACGAATGCCCAGGAACGAAATGACTCAAATCAGGATTTTTTGGTCAAGCTTCCCGACCTCCCGACAGCATTCCTCATACAGCTCTCGGTAATCCTCCACCTTGTCCTCTTCTCCCTCCTTTTTCTTCGTCTTCTTTTTCTGGTCAGGACATACCATAACACAGCTTGTCGGACGTTTTGTTGCGCTCGCATGTCCGAGCTCCTCCTTTGATGTTACGAAGACATATGGTATACCAGCATCTTCACTGAGTACGGGCAGATGGGAAATGATATCAATTGGCGTGATATCTGCTGCAAGAACAAGGAGTCTACAGGCCAATATTCAGCATGTGTATGTAGTTGCAGGGACAATAACAACTCACCCCTTCTCTCCTTTTCGGATGCCTTTTACTACTTCCTTCACACCTCGCTTGACTTGCCGCGATTTCGAGGCTGTATGGTCATATGAAGCACTGATGAGCACTAGCAAGACTCAAAATAAACGACGAATGCACCTTTCTTGATTGTCTTGTGAAGCTTCTTCAATAACTTCTTCTGCGCTAGGGGATGCGCAATGGGCGATAGATCTTCAAGAGGGATAATCACTTCCTCTCTTTCTGTCTTGCGTTTCTTTTCTACCTGCTGAAAGTTAAGTAACATAGCCGAAGCGTGTAAAGAAATATACTGACCTTCGCGACCTCAGCAACTTCCATCTCAATATCCTCAACAACCTCGATGGACTCCGTGATCTTTTCGCTTACTTCTGAACGTCTCCTCTCCTTTTTCTCTGATTTGTCTTTGCCCATGATGCGCCCTAGAATGAGAAAGAAGGAGCAGGGAGAAAGAAACAAGTGTGCTTGGGCCTTTACGACGAAGCTGCAATTTCAGAAATTTCCCACGTGGCGCAACTGGGCATGTGATCGAGACACGTGTGCGACTCAATTTAGCACCAAAGTCAGTCTGAGGTTGGCACGCTCAGTGCGCTCAGTGTCGAGAATCGAGAAGGCCAAGAGGAAGGATAATGCATGGCATAGATTACATAGTGCATATAAAAATTCATATGGGCATAAGGCATAAGGATAAAGCACGGGCATAGAAAAGGTCGGTAAAAAGGAAGGCGGGGATTTACGCTCCTGTGCGAGAGATGAAGGCCGCTGGACGGTCACTGGAAGTATATGCTTGGGACAAGGGCTCTGCAATGTGCTGAATCCCAAATAGTGCGCCACAGCATATAAAGTATGCAGCGTAGCACATGTAGTAGCCTGACTGTGCCACAGATGCAATGAACAAAATCCACACAAGAAAGAGCCAAAAGATGTCAGAGGTGCGTGGAAGAGGGTGTTGTCGCCACCAGTCATAGGCTTCCTCTATGGCGAGCCTCGATTTACGGCATTTCTCGCGAACTAACCAGATACGATACTTGATTTCCTTGCGGATCTTGGTGCGAGCTTCGCGTACCATCTCGATTTCCTTAGAGGGTTGCTCTGTAGATAATGTCTAGCATACGTTGATGTATCTCAGAAGAAACTTGACGTACCGACAATCCGTAGGCAACGTCTGCCGTCAACAAGAAGCTGGAGTGCCAGAGGGCTTAATCTATCAGGGTCTCTGGGATGAACTAATATACCTCGCAGGCAGTCGATGGGCTACTCATCGAAGGTTCAGAGCGCATGTATCAATGAAATGACAACACTTACAATGCAATTCTCGAGGTTCCATCGTTCTCTGACTTGTTTCAGATCGAATTCTCCGTCCGCGCCAAGTGGAAAGTCGTCAACGAGGTACACTTCCATGTTGAGCCGATCAACAGAGGGATACCACCTCACGCGGAGGGTCCTTCATTTGAGTCTATCAGTCCTAGAACAAGTGTGAGAAAGTAAAGAGGAACGTACCCAGGTGGAGGGGGTGATCTTCTGAGAGCATAGACGGTTGTCCCGTCCACATCGACTACAAGCCATTCCGGTTCAGGCAGCTTTTCATAGAGCTCGTCTCCACGTTCCACAGGAGTTTTGTAGAAGAGATGAGCGTGTAGGCGTAAGAAGTCGGGAGCAGCATCGGCTACTTGACGAGCCTTGCGTGCGTACTCGATAGCGTTCCTCTTCATGTCCAGGACCGCCAACCAGACTTCGTCTTGCCAACATTGAGGAACCTTGCGCGACATGCCTACGGGTCTAGTATCAGAAAGGTGTCGTAAAATACGCCCACGGCCTGCATGTTCATTCGGTCTGAGGATTTATAGATGAGGACTCCAAGGTAACCAAGGAGTTTGAAGGTGTTGAGTTGCGCCTAAGGTATCCATACGAGTACAAGATGGTTGGCTTCAAGTCGGTTGTTTGCTCCTTGTTCTCGTGGTAATCGCTACGTCGCAGGGTTTGTAAATTTGGGACTTGTTCAATATATGAGCGCTTGCGAATACAATCCTTGCCTGATCAAGTAAGTCTCCTTATGACAGACGATACTGATACTGATGTAAACATCATATAACCTCGGTTTCGCCCTCTTCATTGGCAGCTGGCGGCTCTTTGATACCTCTCAGCACATTCAACCACACCCAAGACATACCCCGACTCTCCATATCATACCAATAATTCACAGCGATCGTGACACCCGACTGTTGGACATAATGCCACCAGCCGGCCGGAAGATACAAGGATTCGCCAGCATTGACCGTAATATGAATGGGATGCGCTTCTAGTGGCAAAGCATGGGGAGCATTGGGATCGATGACTGAAGACCATCGAATGGGAGGTGTGGATGGTGGTGATGGAACCATGACCAGCGAAGAGGATTCGGCCGAACGTTCGTACGTGGCATGAGGATATGTTCGTTCTTTGTAACATATATCGTATGAATACTGTTTCTGGCAGAAACAAGAGAGACGCACCGTTCATGCACCAGCCTTCCGTCGGAGGTAGAAGCGTGAATGTCTTAGAACCTCTTATGACCGAATAAATGTTCTCGTACGGATCTGAATTGATTGTGTCTTCATATCATCATCGAATGCAATGAGTGTGCTCACCACTGTGAATGCTGGTGACACTCCTGCTGTCGCCAATCCACAGGTTGACTGCGTCAGGAAGAGTGTCTGCGTGGAAAATCATGAGAAACTCAGAGAGATAACAAGAAAAATATAGTTACCCAACGCATCAGTACACCAGTGCAGATGTGGTGGCACATCCTCTAAAAGACTCTCGAATTCGGATATTTGAGCCGAGGAAGCACGCAAGTTGCCATTCTGGGATTGCAGGTAATGCACCTCTCCACTCGGGTTGTTCTCTGAGTCAAACGAGTGGAACAGGTAAGTGTCAGGACAACGAGTTGTTGACCAAGCCTGTCGCACCTAACCTGGTGATAACTTCGATAAGAACTCTGCCATTGGCATTTGCTCGGTAAGAGGTTCAGTGAAATAGAGCTTGTTATCCGGACCACGGGTGACGGCATCTGCGCGACTTAATTGATAGTCCATACACGGCTCACAGAAAGTTGATAGATACACACCCGTTTGGAGTTACAGCAACCGAAACTGGCCTATCTGCGCAACGTTCGATGAGATACTCGTTGGTCCATTTAAACAATGTGACCGGAGCTGCGCATTCTACTTCAAAGTCAGGCGGGAGCCCCAGAATACGACCAAATTTACTAACCCTTAATCAAAACAGGTCTAGCGATCCGTACCATCTTAGAGAAATCCAGACTAGACGGGAGAGTATCGAAGGTCTCATAATGTGTACCATTCAGATCTGTAAGTTATTGGAGTTAGCATCATGTAGAAACATGCATCACAAGGAGTTTACCAAAGTACTCTTGAGAAATGTGTCTCAAAAACCTTCGTTCGTCGATGTCTGTCATTTCTCTCCAATATTCCGAACGGGTTGACAAGAGGGATGCATTAGACGCCAAACGCGTCCCCGTGCTTGACTTGGCGCCCGATCGCGATCGTCACGCGTAAATGTCAGACGCGTTCGTGCGTTGGCTTTTCGCGTCGACCACAACCAACTGCACGACTTCTTCTCCTCTCTGGACATCTTACTACGTTTCCCTCGACTAATTATACAAACAGGAAAGGTTGTTGAACATAATTACGATGTCTGAGCCCAAGAAGAAAGCTGGTGCTAAACGTGGCCGGAAACCCAAAGCTGTCAGCGACACATTGACCGAAACTATTGTCATCCCGCTGACCGATTTTCGTGATGTGTAGCTGCAGAATAGCTCGGCGCAAAGAACGCTGAAGGATATGTTTGGGAACCAAGCTTCCTCCTCCGCTGCTAGTCTGACCAGCGTACCGTCAGGCGCTGAAGTGGTAGACGTGGACGCACAAGCAGCTGGAGAACGTTCCGATAATTACGGTGCTTCCGGAGCTCAAGTGCATACAGATGAATCTAATACTGTTAAAAGAAATGGTGTGTGCGCCCTCATATGCTGTCGACGTCTCTGATGTGGCGGGAAAAGAGGTTTCAGCGGCTTCAGATAAACGTATGCCCATATATCCAATGTTTTTAAAACGTCAGGCACCCTCCGAGAGTTCACGGAATACAGGCCCCCCGACACAAGCAGAGAATGATGAAGTTATCGAAATCCTTGCTGAAGGTTCGGACGTGGAGACTAAGAGAGCACCACCAACACAGTTTCAGCGTGCGCCATTACGGCCTATTCCAATTACCCGAAGAGATTCTACACCTGGTCAAAGCCGTGAAGACCCCATAGTAGTGGAAATGTCCCCGGAGAGACCAACGACCGCTAAAACGTCGTCCAAAGCGGTTTGGTCAATATTCCAACCCTCAGATTCACGCCCTTCTTCTCCTACAAAGCAGCAGTTCAAAAAAGCTTCTCAGGGTTGTTTACAGCTCCCATACCCTACCAAGGACACACAACATGTTCGTGGCCCTCAAGTTGCCTTCGAAGGTCCCGCGTCACCGTTCCCTCAACGCGAGAAAGGGAAAGAAAGGGCTCGAGAAATTGAAACAGAGCTCCCTGTCTTCCTCAGAGCATTTCAGAAGCTGAAAACTGATCATCATGATGCAAGCGCGAACTCTGACGCAGCACATGTTGTTCGTTCCTCTGTGCCCAATTTAGCTCTCCCCGATAACATCCCGCGTGCGTATAGGGCGTATCCTGCTATTGCACGCCTTTCCAACGAGGCGTTCCTGCAAGATATCAACCGGCAGGGTTCTCGTAATTTGCAATGGACAGAGAAGTGGCGACCCAGAAGAGCGGATGAAGTTCTTGGTAATGAACAACGTGCACTCTATCTTAGGGACTGGCTGGTTGCCTTGCGGTTACAGTTTGACAAGCACGGACAACCGGAAGCAGAAGCTTCTAGTCAACGCAGAAAGCGAAAGTTGGCGAAATCTAAGAAACCTCAGATTATCCGTCAAGTCAGGAAGCGACGCAGAATTGACTATGATGATCTCGATGGCTTTGTTGCCCCGGACGATGAATTCGAGGAATTCGAGGACACGATGTACGAGTCAGAAGACGATCTCACTCATTTCTCTACGAGCCAGGTTTCGTCTCCGGTACCTTCAACAGACAGCTCTCCACCTTCCCCATTTCCCTCCTCGCCTCCACCTGAAGAACTTGACGATGGTTTTTGTCCCACGTTCTCATTAAGGCCTGTTCATTTTGGACAGACGTTGCATAATACCATTCTTCTTACTGGACCAAGCGGATGTGGGAAGACCGCTGCAGTATACGCATGTGCCGAAGAGCTCGGCTGGGAGGTCTTCGAGGTATATCCGGGCATAGGAGAACGAAACGGTCCTGAACTGCACAAACTCATTGGTGATGTTGGCAAAAATCACCTGGTCAATGCCAAACGCAATAACCCTATCTCGACACCCTCATTCTTTCAGAACAACGGGATAAAGCGGCGCAAGCAAGTTATTCTCTCGGACGATGAAGAACAAGGTCATATTGACGTAGAACAACATCTCGAGCCTGCTCCGGCTGCTCCGGAACCATCTATCAGCCAATCCTTGCTCCTTATAGAGGAAGTGGATGTCCTCTATCAAAGCGACGCCGGTTTCTGGCCAGCTTTAATCAATATTATCAAGGAGTGTCGACGGCCAGTGATCTTGACATGTAATGGTAAGTAATATTTTGGACATGCGTATACTGCTCGCGTCTGGCTCATGCGGACACTAGACAGCTCTCTTGTACCTTTGGCCGATCTCCCCTTGCAGACTACCCTCGTATTTGAACCGCCTCCATCAGCGATTGCTGCATCTTATTTTCAAGCTATTTGCCAAATCGAAGGTATTCTGATTAGACATGACAGCCTGGAAATGCTTTACGAAGGTGAAAGTCTTCGATCTCCACTTGGCAGTTCGCAATACCCCACTGGCCGACATGACCTCCGCCGCACTATCAACCAGCTTCAATTAGGACACCTACAGGACCATGTTTCGCTTACGGAAGCAGAACAACCCCAAACTGATGAACCTCCTGCGCCGGATGACAAGTTGATTGCACGACTTAGCCTACTACATGACATATGCTCTGTTCTGGATTGCCTCACTCGAGATGATATATTGGGAACTGGGGATGTAAGTGACTCAGTGGTGTTTGTTTAAAAGGTTTCAACAGCATTGATATCTGTCAAATAGACGGAAACCCTAGATGAGTCACCGTCTGCCGATGACGAACTAGGATACAAAGTGTTGCGATTGGGTTCGGCAACAGTTCGACAACCAGTAGTATCTGTATTCCATGACAAAGCCACGGCCATAGTCGACGAAGCCGCGATGATATCGCGCAGTCTACTGTCTGCGTTTAATGCGCCCATACCATTGGAACCGCTTAACAGCGCTGACCAATCTTTGCCTGCGGAACGCACAACGTTCGCAGCTGAGCTAACATCCGTGTTCGAAACCTGCAACCTACCGATGTCTATTCTTGGACAACCCCCGTTGTACTTGGATTACGCACCATGGATCAGATATATGGTGGGCGTTGACGATGCGGCTATACAGAAATTAGCCTCTCCATCAGGCCAAGTTGGGCGACAAACGCGGAACAGTCAAAAGGCCGTCAGTGAACGACGGTATTTGGACCATTTCAAGGAGAGGGAGCTGCATGTATTGGCTGTAACAGCGTTTCGTATGGATGAATAGTTACCAATGTATGATTTCATTTGACAGAACAATGACGCAGGAATGGAATATGAAAGGAGGAATCAAAGGATGACATTGGAATCAAGAAATAAGCCCTCATGGGATGGCCTGGAACAGAAATACCCCCACGTGGGAGCGAGCATGGCAGCCACGCCAACCACGTTGATATGAAGGATGACCAGTGACTTCAGCTTCCATGTTACAGACAAGGCCCGCCCCGTCGACGAGACCTCTTTGCACGTCGACCACCTCACCGATCTCACTGTTGTGATGGACATAGGGTCTGAAGCCTCGGCCGCGGCCGTAGGACCGACCGACCGGGCAGGCCCCGCTGCCGGAAATTCCCAAATAAAGACACCGTCGCCTTCATCCGCCTCGCGACATTCGCCTGTAACACCCCTTGCTCCTCTTGAATTTCTTCAAAATCACCGTCGCGGGTCCATTACAGACCCTTCTCTCCACGCAGCTCCTGCCAGCAACCACAGCCAAAACTTGGGCCATTTCCCGCGCCCCCTCAGGCAGCCAGAACCAGTTTCGTCTGGTTGGTAGTCTCTTGTGTACACAAGCACCATGTCGGCTTACTTTTCAGTGATCGACTAGCTCAACCGCTTCCTACTTCTGGGTATCGCTTCGGTGAAGCCTCTCGCGCGTCAGATACAACTCTCCCACACTTTCGCCAGTTGCTGAGATCGCCGTCGACTGAAGGAGATAGTCCTATTGAAAGAAAGCCAGATCGCACACCAACAGGCAGTGTTGGACCTAGAGGTAGTGTCAATATTATGCTCACCGTGCTGCATACACCTGAGCTCGTACACCGCGCACAGACTCCGCAGAAGATTTCATCAGGGATTCCATGGAGATTGAGAATCATTCTCAACAACACGAGCATTCGCAAAATCGCTCAACGACCGACCACATCGATGTGAATACGCGCAGACCTTCTATTGCAGGTACTGTGATTAAACGTGCAAATTTGGCAATGCTCACCCTCTGTATATGCAGGTACTAAGCGCAAATTGTCATCTGATAGGGACACCCCCATGGCTAGTAACGGGGAGGTCGATCCACATCTCACTGGTCCAGGCGTCCCTAACGCAGATTCGGATGGTCCTGCAGCGAAACGTCGAGGTTCAACGTTTGATACTACCCGTATCGCACAGTTGAGCTTGGACGAGAGACGCAATTCCGTGGACGGGCGAGCTGGTCCTCCACCTCAGTGGTGGTCGGAAAGACGAGATTCCACGGCCTCCATGTTCTCCGCAAACACGCCTTTGACTGGCTACAGCACGCCCTCCTCGGGGTTGCCCGGAGATTCCCCACATGGCCGGCCACCAACCAGCATCGCTACTTTCGCGTGGCCTGTCAATCCGCATACAGATCAAGGACAGGGCCCTCCACCCATGCAGAGTGAGGGTGGCGTGGCTGCAACTCCTCATTATGAGCTGGGTATGATGCCCCCCGGTCCATATTCCTCAGACCGTCGAATGTCCGCCCCCGTAATATCAAGTGAAAACATGTCTACTCCTGCGAGCGGACCAACTCGTCTTCGGCAGCGGTCGCGACCCACTTCCCGTGCCCGAATGAAGGACCAGTCGGCGGCTAACAACCCTCAATCACCAGGCCCCTCTGGATCTAACGTGATTGCAGAGGATGCGTCCTCACAACTGCAGGCTCCCCAAAAGGAGCCCGGCTCGACACCCTACTCTCGCTCTCCGGAGTTGCGAGTCTCGCATAAACTTGCGGAGAGGAAGAGACGAAAAGAAATGAAAGAGCTGTTCGATGAGCTTCGTGACCAGTTACCTGCTGACAGAGGGATGAAAGCGAGTAAATGGGAGATTCTTAGTAAAGGTATGCTATGCAGGGGATGTTCGTGGTTCGTCTTGACTGACTTGGCTCTTGCAGCGGTTGACTTTATTGCGACTTTGAAACAAAGTCATCAGGACATGGCGCGAGAAATCGAAATGCTTCGACATGAGCTGGATGCGGTACGTCAAGGCCTCCCGCCGTTTGGCCCCGGTGGACCACATCCAGTGGTGTATCCTCATGGACCACCCGTTGGCGCACCCTATGCACCACCTCCGGGACCTCAACCTGGACCACCCCTCTCTCATGCGCCACCGCCAGTTCCCCCTCCTCAACACATGTCACAACAATCGCCTCTCTCCCGCCCTGGCTCCTCTCATGCTCCATACCCTCCAGGTGCAAGCCTGCCCCAGAATGGCAACTCTAACCAGGAGAACACCACTACTTCATAGACACGGCTCACAGGATCTCTCACATGTATCGATATCACCCTTCCTTCTATTTCTGTTCTTTTGTTGAGGTATCTGAGGTGATTATTTCTTGTTGTATTTCGTTTCTTGAACAGTGAAAGATGGCTTCTGGCCTGTAATGTTGGATCTCAGTATTGTGGACTGTCCTTTTACGCTGGAGTATGGAGGATATTATATTTTGGCACATTCGGAGCGTGGTATTCGTTTACCGACGCACAGTAGCTATAAGTACTGGGTACGATGGGATCCAAATCGAGTTTCCTTACGATCTTAGCCGCGCTGTGATACATATGATATGTCTTGTACTTCGTTTTAGACTTCTTTCTACGCTAAACCTTGCTAGATGTTCCCAATGATGTTCTCATCCCATCTCTAAATGAATCTCCAAGCTAGACCTTGCTAGAGACTTACTGTGTCCATTATTGTTGTTGTCGCCACTGGATGAGCCGATCGTATATTAAGCGCCCGATGAGGGGTGATCTGACCACAACGCGCGAGTAGGGCTCCTCACAGTTCTTCTTTGTACTCCCATCATCCGCTCCGCTTGTTGTTCTACAACACCTTCTCAGTTGTTGCTATAGCTGCCAGAGGTCTCAAACAACGCCCTCCATAGCTGTTAGCACGTCTTTCCTTAAACACCTCGCTGGTTCAGTCTAAGGAACAATTGTCGCCACATCATGGCACCCTCTGCTGCGTCCGTACTCTTTCATCCGAAGAAGAAAGCCCCCAATGGCAATTCTGTCAATGGTTCATCGCAGAACTCCAATGGCAGCACCTCTCCAAGGAAACCACGCATTCCTCGCCCTCGTCCTAAACAGGAGGACGAGGATTCTCTAACGCCTTCTCCCCCCGAAGGCCCTTACCAAGAATTTCGACTTATGTCATCCGCCTTGAACGGATGGAAATACGATGTAATGAAGTTTGAATCGCGCAAAGCAGTAGATATCACTCAATGGGAGCGACCGGTGATGCTCAACAGGAAGGAACCTCGAAGAGAGGACACTAGCGCAACTCAGGCCGCCCCTGTTCCGGCCGGACTCATGTTAGGACCTGATGGGAAGCCTGTGATTGGGGCAGATGGAAAGCCTGTCCAAGTCGATGCTGAAGGGCGGCCTATCCGACCTGGAGAGTACTCGCAGGGAGGGGGCCAGGGCGATAAGGGGAAGGAGAAGGTTTCCGCGATTAAGAAGAGGATGCAGAAGAAGACTAGACAGGTGCATCTTATACCTGAAGAGGTGCGACAGTTGAGAAGAGAAGAGAGATATCCTTGGGTCGTGGAAGACGGCCAGAAGTCGGAAGTGTGGGTGGGCAAGATGGAGGAAGTTTCGAGATCGGAGACTCACGCTATGTTCATGCCTGCCGCTAACGATGTATTCAAGTTCGTCCCCGCCCACCGCTGGTATAAGTTTCAGAAGAAACCACATTACCGTGTCCCTACGTTGGAGGAAGCGGAATCGATGGCGAGTCTTCATTGCATTACTAATCACAACTTGTGCTCAAATTCATGTGTCCAGATGACACAAATGCAGAAGAATAAGGACCCGGAGCGGTGGCTACTACGCAAACGTAACGGACAAGGGGCTTCTGACGCTACCGCCGCGATGTTTAAATCAGAGCGCGAAGGTAGCGCCATCCCTCCATCTGGTTCACTCGTATACAGTGCAAGCCAGAGTTTGGGCCCGGGTGGTCGGAGGTTGAGGACTGTAGATAGCGGAATGGCTGGTTTGTTTGGCGATGAGGATGATGAGGAGAGTGGAGATAGGAAGAGGAAGCTCAGCAAAGAGTTGGGTGCTGAAGGTGATCTCGATGAGTTAGACTTCGAGGATGAATTCGCAGATGATGAAGAGAAAGTGGAAGGGGAGGTCGAGGACGAAGAAGCCAAGGAGGCAGAGGTATGTGTCATTCATTCTTTCACAAAGTATTCCTTTGATATACGACTTATTGTCACCACTCTTTGCAGGAACGTCTTAAACGCCAATACAAGACGGCGAACAAGTTGAGAGAAAGTTATATCGATGAAAGCGAAGAGGAGGAAGAGGAGCCGAAGTTATCGATGGCAGGCAAGGATGTGCAGAAGCTCATGAGGAAATTGGAGAAGAACCTTGCCTATGAGAGCGATGAAGAAGAGAATCCTTACGCCAGCTCGGTAAGTACACACACTCTCTCCCTTTTCGTGCCCTGGTCTAACATGTCAATTACAGGAGGAAGAAGAGTCAGAAGAGGAACCACCGGAGGTTCCACAAGGCCCTGCTATCATACCACCAGCGCCAAAGATTGACTCTCGCTCAGCTTCTCAAGCGCCACCTGGTGCGAATGGCGTGAAGCCTGTGAATGGCGGTCAACCACCACTCGCTATCAAAACTGAGACCTTTTCACGACCGACATCTCCAATTGCATCTCCAGGCCATGGAGGACACTCTATCGTCGCCAAGCGGGCTACTAGCCCCAAAGCACCCAAAGGCAAACCAAACGGTCCGAGTCGTGCCACGAGTCCTTTGGCTGGGGGCAGTAGGGCGACCAGTCCTGTCGCAGGGACAGGCAGCCGCGCTTCGAGTCCCGCCGCTCAAGGTCCGGGCGTTCCTGCGAAACTCAGTAATAAGCGAAAGGCTACTGAGGAACTTACATCACCTACGAATGGTCAAGGTGCACCGATCAAACAGAAGAAACGGAAGTCTTCTGCCATCGGAGAACTGGATGCTCAAATGCTTATTGAGTGGTTGAAGGTCACAGCGAATGCAACGACCCGAGATTGCATCCACCACTTCTCTCCTTACCTCAAGAAGGATGATGAGAAGAGGAGGTTCGCTGGTTTGGTGAAGGAGGTTGCGGTCTTAAAGGACAACGTCCTCACGTTACGGAGTGGTTTGCGTGGCAAAGATGCAGGCGGTACCCCAACGCCGGGGTCAGCTCCTTCACCAATTGCGGCTAGTGGGTAGTAATTTTACGTCCATCTTAACTGCTTTGCAAGCTTGTCTTCTTCTTTCAGTCGATGATTGACTTTTCCCCTATTGTATTCTATTTTCTGTTGTACTAGAGAATTGAATGTCGGATTTGTGCACGACGGCTCAAGATCGCCTTGAGTCTTGCTATATCAGTCAAATCCATCACTGGCAGATGAGATGTACATCGTACGTCCATGTTCAACTCTCTGATAGTTGGCAGTATCTGATGGTCTGTCTATCTGACTCTATCTTCCCGTCCAAATGGTTCCTTCGCAATTCCCCCAGATGATATATGTGTTGCACTTTTACTGACTTCAATCGACGAGCTTCCGCTGCATTGTCATAAGGGCTGCTGCTGGTGCTATACATAGCGATCCCACGGTTTTCTCGGAGGTAATACGCCGTCTACGTCAATGCACACAGTGCCAGCGGCGAACCGTTCAATATTGAACGCGCGGGTAAAAAGTACAAAGGTTCCGTATGGCACAGGAATCCCTCGATCGAAATGGCGGCGATCAATAAACTAACGTGATATGACCGACCGTTCAAGCGTCGCAACTTTTCCCGGTCAAGAAAAGCCTCATAAACCTGTCCCATGGGACGCCAGGCTGTCCGTGCATCTTTCCTACCCCACCCTCGCCCGCAAACTCCTTGAGTTTCAACGTTCTCCCGGTCGTTTGCTTGCAAGGGCGTTCGCGGGCCCCGGAAGAAACCGCAGAATGCACTTCACCTTCACAGCCTATACCATTAGCGTCTTATCGTTCATTTTCTATGGCCACTTAACTCTTCCACTCGTTTCTGCAGCTACTCTACCTGGAAATCAACATGATTGTAATAGTCATTCTAAACGCCTGCCTTCTGCTACTTGGTATCAGCCTGATGACCATCCTGTTCACCAACTGTTCAAGCGCGGACCTAGCGCCGGAACGGATGGGGTGCCTTATGCTCAGGTTGGTTCACCTGGTACGTTCGTTGTGTCTGTTGTGTCATAATCATGTTTTATACGATCCTGACATTCTGGCGTTCTGATAGCATGGTCGGCTGCATACCCACAGTCGACTCCCGATGCAAACCAACTGCCTGAACTTTGGGTAGATGCCTTGAACTCAGCGACTGCTCAGGGGAAGATCCCCGGCTTTGCACCTTCAACGCCTACCGATGGTAATCCTGTCTATCCGGACGGTGTTGACCCATTGGGAAATGATGTTTGTTCTACGACGTACAAGTGTCGTAGTGACCCGGACAATATTTACGACGCTCCGGATGGTGTTATGGGCATCAGCTTTGACGATGGTCCACTACCCGTGAGTGAAGATATATTAATTTCTGTATGGGCTGAAATATGTACTGAGTTTATGATCAATAAAGTCGTCCTCGACCAAACTCTATGAGTTCCTCCAGGCTAACAAGCAACGTGCGACGCACTTCTTCATCGGTGTCAATATCTTGCAAAACCCGAACGAGTTCATGATGGCGTTCGAAACGTTACAGGGTACGTCCCATACGTCTGACTCAATAATGTACTCTCGGCCTGAACAGACTCCGATAGATGACATTGCCGTGCACACATGGACGCATCCCCATATGACCACTTTGAGCAACATGGACGTTTTAGCTCAACTGGGTTGGACGATGGAGATCATCCACAATTCTACTGGTGGTCGTTTGCCAAAGTACTGGCGACCACCTTTTGGGGATTCAGATAACCGAGTGAACGCAATCGCCAAAGAGGTATTTGGGTTGAAGACCATTATCTGGAACCAAGAGTAAGTTTTATCACGACATCTAACGCTACACCATTTCAGTCGAAACTGACTTATCTCGCACTTCACAGTACGGAAGATTGGAGTCTAAGTACCAACGGAACGACATCCCAACAAATCAACGCCTCAATGACAACATGGCTTACAGGACCCAAAGTACCCGGGCTTAACATCCTCGAACACGAGCTCACGGACGACACCGTCCAAATGTTCATCGATGCTTGGCCAGTTATCAAGGAAAATGGGTGGAACACTATTAGTGTTGCTGAAATGGACGGAGGGGCTCCATATCAGAATTCTCCAAGTTCGTCGGGGAACGTCCAGCCAGCTGCGAATATCGTGCGGCCGTTCGTTTCTGTGGCTCAGCCGAGTTCGACCTCTTCTAGCTCGAGTTCGTCTAGCTCTTCGGTGCCGAGCAGTTTAACGAGTGCAACTTCAACTGCGGGGACTACTACTAGTAGCTCGATAGCGCAGTCTCTGACTGATACTGTGATCAGTACGTCGACTGGTCCCAATCCGAGCAGCAGCACGTCTGCGAGTCAGAGTCAGACGACTTCGTCGGCGTCGAGGGGTACTTACTGGTCGTGGTGTAGCACTCTCGCGATTGTTGTCCCGTCGCTTTGGGTGCTCTCCTGAGCACCAAGTCTAACTACGACACTTTACGTCCCCTCCTCCTATTCAAGGCGTGCCTCGCAACGCGATCTGAAACATTAATACTCTGGACAATCTATTATAATAACGTAACTCGGAAGGTAAAACTTACTTTGGTTCCTTGGGATTGATGATGTCATGAATTGGACTTTTATTAATGATGCAACGGATCTCGACTTCCCATCTTCTCCTCCTTCTTTTCTTCTCATGTTTGGAATGATGGAATCCCTCGACGTCGTCGATCAATCGCTGTTCATTCAATTCTTGTGGTGCGTCCTGAAATTTTACCTATAGGATGTTCATGAGAAACGACAGGGACTTGACCCCAAAAATGTGCGTATTATGCTAAAAGTAGGTCACGGGCATACTTGGCCTTGCATACCCAAACATTGCCCCACTGCATATACGTGCCCTCATGAACCCCCTATTATGATGTTATGTTTCGGAACATGCCAACGTGAGATATCTGTAACAAGGCGAGTTCTTGCTCTATATTTCACATAATATCAGCCAAGGTGTTTTGACGGTGTGACGAGCCCACAGATATCTCTGTTAATGCATGCAGCAGACACATCGGGCATTAGAGCGTGGTGGGAGAAAGTTCAAGGTGAAAAGTTCATTAAGACCGCAAAATGACTTGCCGTACAGGGGTTTGTTGTGCTGGACTTTGCTAGAGCATTCCCGGCGATCGAGTCAAGCCTAAGGAGATGTTCCTGGCAAAGCTTCAGCTCAATAAGGCATCATTTGTACGGGATAGACTGTTTAGCGAAAGTGCACCTCTTGACGAAATTTAGGGCATTTGCAGTTACAAAAAGAAACAGTTATCCGTATTGGTCTCAGGACCGCGATGAAAACATGGCTGATGCAATGTCGAGGGCGATATAAGCTGCAGGGTAATTTGAGGCCGCTTCAAATAGAGTAAAAGCAGAGACGGAATCAAGTGAGTACAATATATATTGTGATCGCTAGAGACGAAGCCGATAACCAGGCTGATAACCTTGACCGGATAGATGATGTGCAGACCCACGAGACAAGCGTGCGGCGTACTAATAATTGTTCCAGTGTCTAGAGGCAACATCTACTACACGCGTTGTGCATATCGATTGGAGATGGAAAGGATCGGCATTCGTGCGCACCAAAAGTCGGAATGAAGCGTCAAGATAAAGCAAACGGGGATGGGCAAATGAGGGCAATGTCAAGGTGGTCAAATGGACCCGATTAGTATCGGCATTCGGCTCAGGAGAGAGAAAGGATCCAAGTAGCTGGGGCCAAGCTGGAGAGGAAAAGGGAGGAGAATGGCCAGCGCGGACGGGGCACTGGACAGGAAGATGGCCGGCTTGGCTCGGCTGGTTGGGTTTAACCATTCAGGGGTTGTCGATTGCCGAATGAGGCAGGCGAGAAGGAAGGGGCTGCCAGTGGCGGCAACGATCCCCCGCTCACCAAAGGTCAGCCTCTCAGGAAACCGTTCAAATATCCATGGCTGCTCTGCCCGCTCCTCTCTGTGGCTTTCCCTCGATCCCCATCCTCAACGTCCCCCAGCCCCGCTTCGCCTCCATCCTACCATGTCCTCTCCTCTTCAACGCCGCCTATTTGCTTTCGCCGCCTTCGCATGCCTATTCTCTTCCGTCTACTCCGCTATCATTGCCCAAACAATTCACGACGATCATGATCATGCCGCCTTGAACAAGCGTCTTCCTTCAACTTGGTACCAAGCCGATGACCATCCTGCTCACAAGCTCTTCAAGCGCGCAGGCACTGACGGTCAGGTTTATGCGCAAGTCGGCTCTCCAAGTACGCGTCGGTTCTTCATCTCACACGCGCCCCGCAAACTGACGTTCAATTTGTCACGCAGCATGGGCGGCTGGTTATCCACAGTCCACGCCTGATCCCAGTAAGCTGCCTCAAGCTTGGGTTGACGCGCTCAACGCCGCCACTGCCGCCGGAAAGATACCAGGCTTTGCTCCCTCTACGTCCACGGGAGGCAACCCCACGTATCCCCAAGGCATGGATCCCAATGGTGACCAGATCTGCTCTACGACGTACAAGTGTCGCAAGAACCCTGAGAATATCTACGACGCGCCTGACGGTTTGCTCGGTGTTAGCTTTGACGACGGTCCCCTTCCTGTGCGTCCAGCGTGATAACGCGTGTTGATTCTAGACTCAAACCTTGCATACAGACGTCAGATAAGCTTTACGACTTCCTCAAGGGGAACAACCAGCCCGCGACGCACTTCTTCATCGGCCTCAACATCCTGTATAATTACAAGCAGTTCGACAGGGCATTTAATGAATTGCAGGGTATGTCATTATATGCAGTGTTTTCTCATCACTTTCCATCCTTACGCCAATTTTTCTAGACGACATTGCGGTTCATACTTGGACGCACCCGTATATGACTACCTTGGACAATATGGCGGTCCTTGGGCAGTTAGGGTGGACAATGGAGATCATTCACAACTCCACGGGCGGTCGGCTTCCCAAGTATTGGCGTCCCCCTTACGGTGACTCCGATAACCGCGTCAATGCGATTGCACGAGAGGTATTCGGTTTGACCACAGTTATTTGGAATCAAGAGTGAGCTCCGATCCGCTCATCTTGCTACTGTTCGGACCGTTACTGACATATCATCTATGCTTCTTCAGTACCGAAGATTGGAGTTTGACAACCGGCGGGACGACCCCCCAGAAGATCAATGCATCCATGACGAAGTGGCTGACTGGACCCAAGCAACCGGGTCTGGTCATCTTGGAGCACGAGCTCTCTGATCAGTCCGTGCAAGCGTTCATTGACGCGTACCCTGTTATGAAGAGCAATGGATGGAATGTTGTCAGCGTCGCTCGAATGGATGGACAAGCCCCATACCAGAACTCTCCTGATTCGACGGGCGACGTCGTACCACAGGAAGTCGCCCTCTTGGCGAACAACGGTACCAGCTCGAGCAGTTCTTCAAGCACGACACCGTCTGGAACCAGCTCTACATCGTCATCCGGATTGCCGTCCGGCGCCATCGCGCCCACGGGTGGTGCAAGTCTACAACATAACAGTGCCGCAACTACCCTCCCTCACCTTGCGAATTGGCAAGTGCAAGCGCTGCTTGTTACTTGTCTCGTCACGATGCTCTCTACGGTCGTCATGATGTAATCCATCCTTCATCATTCACGTTTTCATAGGCTTTACTTACTTATGTAAATGGACAATGACAGCTCACGATCATAACTTGAAAACACCAAGGACATTGCATTACTTATTCGCTTGTTCCTCTACTTCCCCCTACGACCGAACCCCCATGTGGCCTTTATAGCATATTTACGCACTGTGGCATGGACTCTCTTCTTCGTTCCCATCTTCCTCCTCCTTTCACGGACCTTGCACGCTTCTTGACGACATTTTGATGCTTATAACACTTTCTTTTCTCCTTACATTTTTCTATTCCTACCTTCTTTATACAGTAGCGGCTCAGAGTTTGGGGCCTTTCTTACGATAAACACTTGCAGACTCGTTAATATACCTATCATTTGCTGTAGTGCGATCTTCGAATGCCCCCTAGCTCCCAACTCCGGTCTTGCAACCTGTGCGAATATCTGTCTGGGGGGTATTCGTTCCTGGACCGGGGAAATATTGACGTCTTCATTCCTGGCACAATAAAATCGTACCTGGGGGTGATAGCATTCCATGTTGAATGTAGAACATCCACCAGGGTCCAGCTCCAACAACAATGAAAATGTTGAGAGCGCAGTGGAGCTAAATACACAGGGAGAAGATAAAGTAAGCACAGACATCAACATTGGGACATGATAAGACATGGAAGCTAATATCGTGATTGGGTCGTTAAGCAACTGTGTAAGAGCAAATATACCAGCTCGAGAACTTTGAAAGAAAGACAAAGGACAACGTGTAATGACGGCAAACAAGAAATGACGGCAAGGCAGGAATGAGAGAAGAGATGAACCAAGGGAGCGAAAGCAGTCCGAAGAAGACATATGTTCATGAGGCGAGAAAAGCAAAGAACCCCAAAGAGACAGAGCACGGAAGGAGAAACGTCCGCAGGAGCAACAGAGAGGAAAGCGAGTTGAGTACACATAAATAACGTCACACACACACGATCACCCCAATAGTGAATATGAAATGCCTAGAATACACTCGGCCATTTCAACTTGAGACCATCTAACCACCTCATATATAGCAACTCAGCAATCGGCGATTTGCGCGCCGATGGGTCGTCGGATGCAATTGACGGTGCAGGGCCAGATGAGGAAGCGGGTAGACCTGAGATTTCTTCTTCCTCGGTGACGATGAGACCTTTGGCTGTCATCTCGCTACGACGGATGATGCGTTTGTGAGGGAAGAGACTGCGAGCTGTTTGTACGTGTTGTCGGACTTGCGAGTTCCTAGGAGGAGAATAACCGTAAGTTTTAGTTTGGTGAAATAGAAAATGAAATAGAAGAAAGGGAAACGATCAAGACGCACTCGTTTATGCCGCTTAGGATATCAAGAATGACATTATACGCAAGTTCCGGGTTGACGTCCCGTAGTTCTTGGAATCCCCGAGATAACATGCTCAATGACTCTATCTCACGAGCGTCCATATCATCTCTCGTCGACTGCGATCAGAGAAAGCGGAACGGTAAGTCAGTTTCGTTCCATGAATAGCACATACACACATTGAAGCCAATGGCACGCACCCGTTCAAATATAGGCAGTAATACCTCATCCACCATCGTCTTTCCAGCTTTCGCCATCTCACTCGAAGACCGTCTATGCGCTCTACCAGACCCACTCGTACCGGGAGACGTGGGTGAGCTCGGTGAAGACCCACCACTTTCTCTACTCCTGATACTCCCCACGTATTCTGAAGACAACCTCAAAGAACGCACAGTGTCGACTTTCTTCACTGGCCGGATGGTATCCACCCCAGTGCCCAAGTCGGCTTCACCCAAAATGGTACCAGAAGCCAGGTTATGTCGAGCGGCATATGATGACCGTCTCGAAGAGCGAACAGAACCCGAATATGCAGGTGGGGGTTCGGTAGCGTCGCTTGAGGATTCTTGGGGAAGGGTAGAGGGTCCACTAGACCCCTCCGTTTCCCCAGACACAGTTTCAGCTAAAAGTTCAGGAATGCCCTTCTCCACGGGGGATGGACTGGCTACGGGACGAATGACTACAGTCGAATGTCCTGCTTGCGAGTTCATTGCAATGGCTCCAATACCGGACGTCTGAAGGTCGCTGCCCTTCGTCGCACCGCTCGTGTCTATGGACTCCGGGACGTCATATAACGATCGCTCCTCTTCGCTATACTCACCCTCCTCCGGTGCTAGGCCTGCCAAGTCCTTAGCCATACTTCGGAACGAGCCCATAGCAGAAGTCGTGCGAATAGTGTCGAAATTCCAGTCACTGCGAAGGGTTCCGTCCCATGCGACGCTATTACGAACCGTAGCTTGGTACATCTGTGGCTGACGACCAGGCGAGCGCGCACGGTAGTCTTGATAACGCTCAATGAGCTCCGTCAAGTACGAAGTCTTCTTCGCAGCCTTTATGAACCTATGTTGCAGCAGTTGCTTCGTTGTGAGTCGCTATCAAAAGTGCATATCAGACTTGTTCAGCTCAGGCACCGTCTGGATACTTACGTCTCCTGGCTCTTTTGTCAAGCATTGTGACACAAAGTCCTTGAAGGCAGGAGAGAAAGGTCCCTCAAGTGTGGGCGGTTTTGCCTTTGGGATCAAGAAGAGGACACGCATGGGATGGTACTCGGCTAAAGGAGGCTCTCCCTTCGCCATCTCAATGGCAGTAATGCCCAAACTCCAAATATCAGCTTTAGCATCGTATCCGGCCTGCCTGATAACCTCCGGCGCCATCCAAAATGGCGTACCTACAAAGGTGTGCCTCAAAGTGTTTGTTAACTGTGCCGCCACACCAAAGTCGGCTAGCTTGACTTTGCCCGACGCTGACAGAAGTACATTCGCCGCTTTTATATCACGGTGAATGGTCCCTTCACTGTGGAGATAGTCCAATCCTAGGAGGAGTTCCCTGCAGATGACGGCTATATGGGCCTCCGTGAAGACACCCGGCTTCAAAAGGTCGAGACAAGAACCTCCTGAAAGATACTCCATGACTATCCAGAGCTTGTATGCCACGACGAACGAGCCATAATATCGAGTGACGTATTCGGATTCGCATTGTGCGAGGTTGGCAATTTCTTGCTGTATCTCCGAGATGTCATCGTCCGAGTCTTCCAGATCTAATGAAATGAAGGTTTGGTGCGGGGTGTGGAGTGATAATCATTTGGAAGGACATACCGATTTGCTTGATTGCTACAATCTGCTTGGATTCATTATGCATGGCTTTATATACAGTTCCGAAGCTTCCCGTGCCGAGCTTCTCAAGGAGCGTGTACTGGCTAGCAGGATTGCTGCTGGGTATCGGGTTAGGCTCGTTGAGCCGTGGTTTGCGATCATGTTGCTGTACAGGGGAAGGTGACTTCGTCAGTACTCTGGGCTGTAAGTCGTGGCCATTGTCAGGCCGACTGGCTTTCTTTAACAATCGCGAGCCAGCCATAGTTACGCGCAGGTCAGGGAGAAAACCTTGGGCAAGACCGGACGAGGATCGACGATCGAGGGAGACAAGGTACGACGATGATACTCAGCCTACCTCGCTCCCGTGTCGTCGACTGTCTGGTCGTTGCGAACGGCCGCACACTAGCAGCACACGTGGGAGGCCCCACTTGTGAGGAAAGCATGCGTCAGAGTAAGCCGTTTGAAACTCTCATAAGCAAATATCTCCAAGCGTTTCCCGCACGATAACTTCCGCTGGTCTTCTTTGCGCGATTGCATCAACATGAGAAAATCAACTGACCATGATTGCCTAGAGTCGTGATGCACGTTAGAGTTCGTTAAGTGAGTCGTTAAATTATCTCTAGGAGGTCGTGATAGCTTGAGGGGTATCAAAATAATGTTGAATGCAGCAAGACAGAGATTTCAGTGGAGTGAAAGCGAGAGAAAAAACGTAGTGGAGATGAAATGCGGATGGTGTTGCCGGAGGAGAAAGTTCGGGAACTGAATTGCTGTGAGAAAGCAACCGTGTTGAAGAGACGAGACAGCGAGGGGGAGCCCCTTGTCGTTGAATGAGATGTCGAGACGGCGAAAAGGGGAGCTTGTCGCCGTTGTGGATGACGTCGAGCGTCGGACCTGTTGTCCACTTGTCTCACTGCGGCAACAGAGCCCGCTAACCTCACACGGCGCTAAATGTCGCTAGACTTCCAAAGCAAGCCATTCATGGAAAGTCGGGCAAACAAATTCTTAAAATTCACGATCACTAGAGCTGGAATGCAGCCCTCGGAATTCACATGGGAAAAGGCAGATAAATTTAGGAGTCAGTATTGCAGTGTACGCCATTGCCAATGCCATAGCTGCAGGAATAAGGAATCGTTTGAGGCAAACATGACGCTGTCCGACCAGATTGATGCGGCATAATGATATACCATGGCATGTCGAGCTTGGTTGAGAGCGTATAGCATACAAAAGGAAAGACATCTGGAAACAACCCCGCCACCCCAATCACGAAAGGCAAGCAAACATTTATGCAGCCTTGACCGCGTACTTCCGCAGAGGGAAGTGGATGTCTCTCTTGCGCTGCTTGAGCGTCTTCAAGGACTCCTCGTGCTAACGGAAGAACATTGTAAGAATGCAATGTCATCATATGGCAGAATACACACCTTCGTCAAGCGTCGGCGGATGGCACGGGTCTTCTTTGGTCGTAGGTCAAGAGGAGCGTACTTCTTGTTCTTGTACAGCTCGCGGAGGTTTTGTCTTTGCTTCTGGTTCATGACAGTCAGAACCCGAGCAATCGACTTGCGGACAGTGTTACTGCATTACGATTCCAATGTCAAGCAAAATCAAAGGAATCAATCCAATGGAGGACGTACATTTTTGTGAGCTTAGATGCCGAACCACCAGCAATCTTCTGCACCCGCAAAGCCAGAAGCTCATTCTTGAGCTCGACTAGTTGTTTCGACAAGTCATTCTTGGACCTGTTACAGCATGCCATGTAAGCCAACAACGCCACATTCCCTCACAAAGACTACACACTTGGACTGGAGCTCGTACGCCTTAACCTTGCCGGGCATTTTGATGATGTCTAGAAATCCAAAGAGCGAGAGTTAGCAAAATGTTCTGAAAGTGTACAGGACGACCTAGAGCCGCCGGAAACAATCGGAAAAAGCAGATCTTCGACAGCAGAACATCCTCCGATGATTCCAGCAGCACTGATCATCGCGCAAGAGGGTATGGGAGCGATAATCACCTTGAGGAGTGTCGTAGATTGGGTGCGCGCCGAGCTTGGAATGCGAAGGATACCGTGGGTAATCTGCACCGGGAACTAGATAGTTCTTCAAGCCACAACTCTCACGGTCTTTGCCGGGAATGTGGCGCCCGATTTGGGAAGTCTGTTTCACGCTCCTTGCTCTGTCCACTCAACTCCCTCTTAAGTTCACTGCCTTCTGCTGTCTTCTCTTCGTCCTGGGTGTACTATTAAACTGTAGTTCTTGTGATATTTACTAGTTTTCTTTGGCAATGTCTCGCATCTCGAAGAGTAGCCATAGCCGGTTTGTTGCTTTGGCCACTCTGCTAGGGCCTTCTTAAATGACATGCGGTGACCGTCAGGCTCTCGATTTCTTCACGACTCCGCTCTGCAACGAGGCTCCTCACTTGTACCCTCCTATTCCCTACGTAAGTTCTTCTACTGTCTCTGTACCCCAGATTATGAACCCATTTGGCCCGTAGGACTGTTCATTGTTCTGAAGAGAAGGTCATATCAATTCTGACTTCTCAGAAATCATCTCCCGATCTTGATAAAGACGAAGGATCGATGCACTCGTCCTCTGCCTTTACATACCCTCCTCCCGCCTACTCATTATCGACTCCTGTGGAGGCGGACCCTTCCAAGCTTTTCCCTCATATCGACGAGGAAACTATGACTGCGATCCTTAATCACGACTTTCCAGCCGCTGAACTCTATAAGCTCGATACCCGTCGTATACAAGAGTCGTCATGGCATATCGTCGACCTTAACGACAGTCTGGTATCCTTTCGCTCTGTTCCCTCTGCTCGCGAGATCTACCAAAATCTGGATGCCCTTATGATTCCCCTCAATACATATTTCTCGATCCTGTCCGTACATGCACTCTCTAATGGCCAACCGATCACGGTACCGCACTATTTCTTCAAGTACAGCAGTCACCTCATCAAGATCGCTGCACAATACGAGTGGTCCGCTGTTTTGTTGTATCACTTCGCATTCTTTGCGAGGAGATGTAACGAGATGTTGCACGGGGACTACTCTGGCTGGGCTAAGATTGACGTCGACTTGATGGAGGAGATTCTCGTTCAGCATCGGAAGGTACGTCCCGTTCTTGAGCGGTTTGAACACTATCAGATGAAGGACTCAACCTTGCTCAGCCGATTCCAAGGAAAATGTAGGACGTCTTTTCATCTAGTCATTTTGAATGCTATGGAATTTAGGTTAATCGTTATGGTATTGTGCTAGTGATACATTCTGCATTGTAATATCTGTTTACAAAGTTCTTCTCCATGCCAACTTGAATAACACCCATGGAGTCCCTCATACCCACTCCAATTCTGTACACTACCACAGGAATCACTATTTGGTCTTGGTCATCTTTCAACGCCATCAGATTCAATATACTCGCCTGCACACAGTCAGGGGACACACCTTCTCCCAAACGTTGTTCAAGTCCAGGGCGATCTTGCGTATCCTCTCGTACCCTCGAGTATCTTCATTCCTGCTGAGTGGTAACCCCTGCTTAATCTCGATCTCCTGCATGAACGCCGCAATTAATGCGAGCACTTCTCCCAGCCCCCCAATTGCTCCTATCTGCATTCTGATAGTTGAGGTGGTGAGCAGCTATCTCGACCAAAGATCCCCAATACGGACACACCTGATCTTCTGGTTTTCGGCTAATAACGCCTTCACGTCCTTCTTCGTCTTCTCCTCAGCTTCCACTCGTGCAGCATCCTGCTTGTGAGCCTCTGCTTTGACATCCTGCAGCTCCGCTCTCGTCTTCTCCAACAATGACAAGACACGTGAATGTTGCTGCTGTCTAAGGGTGGATTCAGATATAAGGACCTTCAGGTCTCGCTTAATTGCAGCATTAGCGACACCCAGGTCTCCCAACTTTCTGTGTAAGGATAATGCATGTCTCCTGACTGCGACGTAGGGAATAAGTCCTACTGTCGCGAGAATCGAAGTCAGGATTGCGATATGTATTAGGGGATTGATCGGGCGGCGAGGACGGTCGATCGCGTTGCTCACTCCGAGCTGCGAGGTTGATGGAGGCGAAGACGCTGTAATGTTATTGACCTGTTTCATGCTTGCTTTACGGTAGTGGTAACTAGAGGAAACGGTCGTAAGCAGTGGCTACTGAACACGTTCAAGCTTTACTATGTATGCACATGCCCTAAGCATGCTTGATCGAGCGATCATCCTACCAAAATAGTAGGTCTGGACTCTCTGGTCATTATTTCAAAACTAGAATAACATTGCAAAAAGCCGGGGAACGTAGCGGCGAGGATATCATAGTAGATACAAGGAATAACAAAATGCAAATACACTAATAAGTCAGAGAGCAAGACATAATATACGTGAGAGCAGGATGCAAAGCAAACAGGAAGACTGAGGAAAAGCAGGGAGGAGGGACTAGTGGGCTCGCAACCCGAAAAGCCTGCGCCAGAAGCCGCGTTTTTTCTTCGGAGGGGATGGATCAAGTCTGTGCAGTTAGGAATAAGCCAAGCATACAACCATTGCAAAATGACTATCGCAACGTACTGGTCGACAAAGACTTCATACTTCAGATCGAGGGAGTCTTTGACCTTTTTGATCTCGTCTCGACGGGCAATTCGCAGAGAATCAGGTATCGGGACCTTCCTCCGCCAGATTGCCATACTATTCCCACTGTGTGATAACAGGAAAACGTAGATTACGACGTGCAGTGCAGGATCATATGTAATGACAGATTCTTGTACGATGCGATCCAAAGTGAGTTGCAGCCTGTCGATGGTGACCCAATCAAATGCAGGCTGGCCAGGAGATGTCACGCTACCGCCTACGCGGAAGTCAGCGTTGGTCAAGAGGGCACCGCGTTGGCCATCATGCAGGAACTTCTGTAACTGAGAGCTTTTGAGTAACACCGATGGTAAAGAAATTGGTGCAACATACGCCGAACGCCGCAAGTTCATTGGCCATAGCTTGAACCCATCGCAATAGAGAAGAAACACGTTCGTCTTTGTCTGGATTGAGCATCCAATGAATCCTCTCTTTTGTGGGTCTTCGTCTGCCATAGAGAGCGTGTACTGCGGGCTTGAGCCCTGCGCCATGCGAGTCAATAACCCCTGCGCCTGGTTGCGGAAGTTGTACGGGGGGTGTACTTTCAAATAGGGCGCCCATCCGACCGAACGCCATATTCATGGTCTTGGATGCCTTCGGATCATATGGTAGTTGCTGGTTCGCGATCGCTGGAGTATGACCATGGAGAGAATGTTGTTGCTGTTGCGGGGTTGCCTGCAAAAAGTAAAATCAGACCAAGTGGAAAAGTGGCGGTGTGGAAACAAATACCTCATAATTCTGATGCTTCGGCTTTCCTCCACCCCATGGATCATAGTCGTCTTTGTGTTTTTTATGTTTATGTTTGGGCTGTCCCCATCCCTCGTCTTCCGTATCGTTGTAACCATCGTCACCCCAGTCTTCATCGTCATCGTATTCTTCCTCTTCCTCTTCCTCGTTAATGGTGGCACCCCACGGGTCCTTGCCGGAAGTCGCTGCACCTTGCCAGCCCGCTACATCGTTCCGTTCACCCCAACCACTTGCACCGCCATGGTTACTGGCATTGCCCCAGCCGGTACTTCCCCAACTATCAGCAGGTTGCATTGGTTGCGCTCGATGCTGTCCCGTGGATTGATGTTTGTGATGTTTTTGTTGTTGTGGATCACCCCAACCTTGACCTCCCCAAGCATTCTGCTGATCATGTCCAGAGTGTGTCCTCGGATACCCAGGTATTTGGTTATGTCGATCATGGCCGCCTTGGCCTTGAGGAATCCCCCAAGCAACGTTTCTCGCGTGAGCTTGAAGAGGATCATTAAGTATATTGTGGAGTAAATGATTTTGTTGTTGAGAGGCTGGTGGCCTACGACCTCCCATTCCACCACCATTGGATGGAATAGCATGAGATGCCAAAGCCGGAGGAGGGATAGGCGCTTTCTCATCAATTTTGTGAAGGTCTTTGACCTGCATGAATTCCTTATTCCAACGCATCCAAGCGCCTGACGCCTGAGTCGGAGGCACCGTACCCCGAAATTGACCATCCTGACGTCCGAGCGTCACAGGAGGGACAGGCTGAGGTGGTCCCCAACCACCACCATATGCTTCGCCATTTTGCCAGTCGTCGGCATCAGCGAGGGGATTACCCCAATTATCGTCTTTCGTACTCGTCTTGTTCTTGTTAGGTGGAAATGCTGCGCGCGTAGACTGGATGGTACGTGGTAATTGCGGAGGTGGTGGTGGCTGTGGAGTAGGAGGTGCTGCTGCAGGTGCAGGTGTAGGTGGATGAGGGGATTGGAACCTCACAGCCGGACTATTGTGCCCAGTGTTTTGAGATTGTGCCGCAGCTTGATCTCCCCATCCGGTTACCACGCTTGTGCCTGCAACGCCTACGCCGCTATTCCTCGAGTCCCATCCATTGACTGCGTCTGAAGCACCACCCTCTGCATTCTGACCTCCATGACCCCACGCAGTCGAAGAATGCTCAGGGCCGTTCATGTTACCTTCACCTCCCCCAGCTGGAGAATCATGAATAGCCCAATCGCCTGCTTCTGAGATGTGACCACCTCCATCATGGGCACTACCCCAGTCTTCCCCGTTCGAGGTGTGATTATCATAACCTCCCCATTGACTATCTAGCATTTGGATCACACGAGTCACAAAATGAAGAGAACGTAATATTAGCGCGTGACGGCGAAGCAGGCGATTGTTTGCTCAGATGAAGCGATAGACAATAGACCACATTATGAATGACCGAACGAACCTGATTCATTATTCTCCCATTGTGAAGCGGCATTTTGCGATGCATGCAAGGGTTTGTAGCCCGGTAGTGGTTTGTCGGATTTCACTGTTGAAGGCGATTGAATTGTCACAGTCGGGAGGGTTGCTTGGAGAATTGTAGTTTTCACAGCACGAGGAGATTGCGGAGGAGGTATAGGAAGAGGTTCGTCAGGATTCTTTTGTGGAAAAGGTTGAGACGCAGGTGGTTCAACCTTACCAGCAGCAGCAGGCTCTGCCTTCTGCTTTCCCTTCTTTGGTTTCGCCATCTCGGATGAACGTGAACTTGATCGTTAGCGCCGTGATCATGAAATATAGAAACGTTGTTCGTGAATGAAAGAGTCGTGGTAGTTCAACACATGCGAGGGGGCAGGAGGATCGGGTCTACGTGTCCGGGGGCTATAAAGTGTTCAAGCTTGCATGAAGACGATAAGGGAAGACGACTGAGAGGACACGAGGCATCTCTTTGGGTGGACAAGTACAGCAAATGATCGTGGGAGGCAATCGGCGCTCCGAAGTTCCAGGAAATACAAACATTCGAGATATCCTATCTACGTATCTTACAAAAGAGAACGACATCATGCAGACATATGCATAAGCTCTAGTATTTATTATCCCTGGAGGTGTGGAGACATCCTGTCAGTGCTGAACCAACAATATCATTCTGCAGGCTGAACGACAGGACCTGCCATATTAGTGGGATGATCGGTGATCGTCCGGAGGCGCCGTTGCAATAGTGCGCCGAAGAGTGCAAGAATCGGACAAACTGTCTGCTTCACCGTCTGTGCACTCGCCGAAATGACTTCGCCGCCGCCGACACGTCCCCGGGTGGTGACTGGCTCACCGTATTTGTCGGTGCCCGACTCTAGGAGGTCGCTCTCTGCCTCCCCCTCGTCCTCGCCAGAGTCCTCCCCGTTCATCCCCTCGTCTTTACCCGCACAGTGGCCTACACCTCGTCCGTCGGTATCTCGAGCCAACTCGCATGTTCGCTCTTTCTCTCAGTCTGTTACATCCTCAACGCGACCATCCCCATATCTTCTTCCACAAGGATCTTCACTCAACATGGCGCAGCCTCGAAGGCTGCTTATGCCTACAGTCAGACCAACTCGCCAGCATATTTACTGTCCTTCGCCGAAGATACCACCTTCAAAGACATCTCCAGCTAAACTTGGACGTTCAAGAGCCGGCTCATTAGTACCGAGTACGCAGAACTCTCCTGAGTTCTCTATTACATCATCTCCACCTCAGGATTGGATCGGTGCTGGTTGTCGCTTCGAAGTGGTCGAAGACCAGCTTGAACTGGACGGATATCAAATTTATGCCGTAGAGAAATGGTGTGCCTGTTCCACGTTGTGATATAATTATTTGCTCATATCACAAACCAAGGGTTGTAGAACGAAAGCGGCCTGTTACAGTCTTGACGGTTTATACCGGAAATCCTAAACAAAGAGTGATTATACCTCTTGTTCCTTTGCAACTCGTATACTGATACACAGACAGATAACGGTGACTGCCCTGAGCCCTTTGTCATCTCTTTCCGCTGCGGAAGCTCAGGCGGAGTGGGACAAGGCAATTTATCAACTACGTCGGGATGGCGCGAAACCGAGAGAAGTAGGCTGAGATTACTGTCTTGACATTATTGTCGTACTTACAAATAATGTCTAGACCGATAAAGGGATGGTGATGGTTACTTCTCTTGCTAACTTTCGCTCAGATTACACTATTGTGCATATCCCACGAGGAAGCTTCCTTGACGTCCAAGAGCAGCTATATACCAACATCGACGTCCTCCGTATGGGGTGCAGTGGCCGAAGTGCTCTGACTCTCGAAGAACCTAGGTAATCGTCATTCATTTTTTGACACGTAGAGTCAAATTGACATCTTCTCGCAGCGATACGACAAAAGACCGATTCATCTCAATGTACTATATATCTGAGAAGACGCTGACCCGAGCGCAAGAACTCTTCAACCCGACGGTTCTCGAGCTCGTTAAGTTAATACAAGCTGCATTAGCCATCTACGGTATGTTCGACCTGGCGCCGGACGAGAGGAACGGTCTCCTGTGCGATGTCACCTATGAAGGCATTCAACGATGGATTGCCGAGATTGGCGAGCCGTGTATACAGGTCGAGGTATCTGCTGGTTCACTTCGTTATCTACCGGATCATCCTGACAAACCATGTTAGCCGACTGAACGAATAGCGGACCCCTCCGTTGTGGCAGCATTATTTAGCATGATCCTGACTATCCGCAACAAGTTGCATGCGTTAGGCTATGTATGACTTGTCTTCGTTTCCAATGCTACACAGTGATTTTGACTTCTGTTCTTCAGAGTGTACCCAAGGATCCTTTCATAGATCCTGCTGCCTTCATTAGGTCTCTTACTACCTTCCAGAACTCAAACAAACCTCACGATCACAAGCACACATTGTCGCTTCCTCACTATAACTCTCCTCTAACTCACCCATCATCCTCCACATTGCCATCATCCAACAACACGCCTTCAGCTAGCACTGCCAATATCTCTTCCATCTCATTGACATTCCTCAGCCAATCTCTAATACAGGCCATTCAAACGGCGTACGACAAATTCAAACAGTCCGAGTCGTATAAAGTCCATAAAGTTCTCATCAACAAATTGGATGACCTGGCTACCGACCTTCGAACTAATCCTGAAGCTCATGGGAGGAGTGGTGGCTGGGGAGGATTGTGGAACAACGCGTTAAATAACCCTACCACGGATCTCGACGCCCTCGTTCGGGTAGTCATTCTCGGCGGGAGCTCGAAGGATGGTGTTGGTAGTTTACGATACCTATGGACTGGCCGGCCACAGGAGGTCGCTAGGAAAAGGCTCGAAAAGGAAAGATTGGCCGACAACGAGGAGAAGGAGAATGAAGCTAAAGCCGAGAAGGACGGAAGGGAGAAAGGTAATGAGAAAGATAATAAGGCCTCCGATGAGGAACCGGACACTATGGGCGGTAAACCATGGTCAGGTCGAGTTCAAAAGAAGATCGAATCTTGGGCAGCGTCAGTACCTTACGCCACACCGACTTGCGGTGGGATACTAATTGGAATTTGGTTTGTATTTTTAGCCTCGGTCGCACCAAGAAACTCAGTGCAGACTTAGGCTCAAAAATGAAGCCTTGGGTGAGCCCTGAGAGCCCTCTACGAAGTGTTCCTGCTACACAGCCTTTGGTTCCCTCCGTAGTCATCTCCAGGTACGTGATCGCTCTAAAGATCCTTCACCGTCGCTATGCCAAGACTACATCTTGAACTGCGTACTGAGCTGCGTATTGATTTTGTTCACTAGGGACCCTGCGGATGAGGAAGATATCTTGAGCAGTGGGCAAGTGTCTCCGGTTTGTAAGTATCATTTCTTTATAGCTGCATGAATCCAGGGACACATTCTCATCTACCACCTTTCTTTTTAGCTGATTCGCAGGCTCGAAATTCAATGTTGCATCTGGGTGCACTCCCACCCGCTGCACACTCTGCCGACGAGCTATCCGATTACGATCGTCGCGTATCTGAGTTCAATCACAGAAGGCCGCCAATGAAACCACATTACCAAACTCGAATCATCAGCTGGTCCGATCCTGTCACTGCCTTGGACATCATCGACGACGGCGGAATAGACAAGAGACGAGGTTCTAGCCCATTGGGAAGAAGTGCATATGATGGGTTGGAAGACGTTAGCACACTCGTGGATGGTGATGAGGCCATTAGTGAAAGCCATCGGACGAAACTGCTGAGTCTGCGGGGTCGGAGGAGTTTTGATGACGCTGAGCGTCTTCGCGGAACTCGAATACTTCCTGTGGAACGCATGCGCATTGATGTGGAGTTGTGTGGACAATTGCTTATCATGCATCGGCGTGAACAACATCTTGCCAATGTCCTCGCATGTCTGCAGGCTCTCACTCAAACTCTCGAGACGTCGAACACAACGATTCGGAATGATTTCAAAGAGCATCAATCTGCCATTTCCGAACTCGACGCTCGTGCTGTCTTGTTGCAACAAATCGAAACTCTGCGGTCAAAGGCGGATGTGATGACTCAAGAGACGAATGCCCTTGCGTACGAATCTGCGCAATTCCAGGTGGACGATTTGTACCATATGGCTTCTCAACCTCGTATGAAAGTATTCGAATTACGCGAGAAAGTGTTTGGTACAGGTAGACGACTTCGTCAAGGCGTACATGGTGCTCATGGCCAATTCAATCGAGTGCAATGGACGATCGACGGACGAGAACGGTTAGTGGACATGTGGGGTCGGACGGAGATTGAGGCTGAAGAAGAGGTGGCTTTGCCTGGTGCTCATGTTGTTGTGCCGGAAGAAGCGGAACGAGAGGTGGTTGAGCATCAGAGTTTGAAGCCGACGTGGGTATTGAGGTTTTTCAATTATTTTGGGAGTAAATGGGGAGGCGGGAAGGATCATAAGCCGACTGGCAAGGGTCCAGATGCTATGGTTATTGCTTCAAGTCCACCGCAAACGGAGTCGAAGGGGCGTCCGGATTCTGGTCATGCGTTGAGCAGTTCAGTGGAATGGGCGGATGGACGGACAAAAGTTTCTCGACATAATAACGGCTAGGGTTGGTTGGGTATTTTGACCATTTGATGGGTCCTGCTTTATGGTTTCTTTGGGTATCGTAGTGTACTATATATTTCACCGGACGGATGATGGACAACAACAGCAATGCACTAAAGCAAAATGTACATGTAGATGTAACTAAATTATTCGTATCCCCACCTCCCAGCAATATACAAGCAATGATAGCTTAATAGCTCGATTATCGCATCTTTGTCTTGCCCTGAGTTTTACGGATGGCACGTTTCTTCTCCCGTTCAAGTGCCTGCATTGACCATTTCATAAGCAACCAGGAAGATGAGTAGAACATCACAAGACATACCTTTTTCTGTTCAGCAGCACTAAGCTTAGACACCCTCTCCTCTTCAGCCTTCTTCTTAGCAGCAGTTTTCTCCTCTGCAGCCTCTTCCTTCTTCTCCTTCTCAGACTCCTCCTTTAACTGCTTATCCACCTCTTCTCTGGCTTTTCTCAACTTCGTCCTCGTCTCAGGTCTCAAGCCGGGATTCAACCCAATACCATTCTTTCCCGTTGAAGGACCTTTACCGATTCCCCACCCGCCTTCTGCGGAGATGACGTCGATGAGTTGGAAGACTGCGGTTACGAGAGGGAGGGTGAGTGAGGAAGCGGATGGTGGTGGGACTGTGAGGTGTAGGATGACGTGTTTGGATTTTTGGGAAGGGGGAATTGGGACTTGGGGACGGGTTCGGGGTTGGTCGGTTATGGAGAGGGAGCGAAAGTAGGGTTGGATGGCGGGATTTGAGAGGATTGTTGGGAGGGAGAGGGGACCGTGAGTTTTGAAGAGGGTGTCCGTGAGATCGGCGAATTCTGAAGCAAATGGTAAGTAATAGAGTCCCATCTTGGATGTCATGTTTAGGATTTCTTGGGGACTTACCAGACATGACTGAGAGCGAAGGCGGCAAGTTGGGGTTCTCAGTCGTTTTCGTGAGGTTCTACATGGCTCTCTCTGTCAAGACACTCAAAACGCCTAAGTAATAAATCGTAAGAACTTACTAGATCCCAACGTTTGTTCTTGATAGTCTTCAACTCATCCTTCGACACGACGGCCCAAACACATTCAGGTATGTTCGCACTCTCGCGAAGAGTGAAATCCAATTCGACTTCATCGCCGACTTTGTAATCTAGCTGGACGAATCCCCAGACGAACTGATAGACCCATTGGAAGAGATCGTGACGTGGACGAAGGGTGAAAGTCGTGTGTAGCGAACGGACGCCGCGTCGGCCAGTGGAGAAGGCGAAGAAGTCGGAATTTCCATCTGAAAGTGATTGAGATGACCGAGAAGGAGGGGTTGAACAGTTTAGAAGAGATCCACTGACCTTGGGTTAAACCGCCTGGTTGGACAGGTTTGGAGAACTGGGTTCCAAAGAAGACGAGATGCGAGTCAAACCTGAAGCATTAAAGACACAAGCAAAGGTTAAGGCATTGTCACCAAAGGAATACATTGAAGGCTGACCAGCCGTTGGCGCGTTTCTCGTTTATCCTCTTGCCGATGAAGTAGAACGCAACATAGAACAAGACCGCAGCCAAGAAATAGAGCTCATTCTTGAACACTATGTACAGGCTAAGCTAAGGATCGTGAATAAAAGGATTCGGCGATCGGACGTACGAGCAGGCCTGAAGCTGAACATCTTCCATCTGAACTCAAGACCATCGTAATCCGGAGACAGGTTAACTGGGGGAGGAGTGAGGAATGCGCCGAGCTGGGTCAGAGGATTGAGAGCCATTTGAAAGGTACCGGTTCGCAGATGCTTCTTCTATTCAGAAGCTGGGCGAATGGGACGGGTAAGACGATGATTGACTGCTCTGTGCGAACCTGCTCAGCCAGCACGCATTAAGGCACAATTCCATCTCGGGAGTTGCCGTCTATGTTTACCTGCCGCGGCATATGGACGGCAGCCAATTGAATAAGGCGCCTTCTGTCTTCTTTCGGCAACATATCCTTGTGTCGGCTCAGTTTGAGATGTCGTATTCCCAGCCTCATTCTCAGTTCCCTCTTCACGGTCGTTATTTTCAAAACATCCGTCACCGTATGTATACGCAGTTTCCTAATTTATGGACGGATAGACTGTTCTCATCCTTTATGTCCTCGCAGAAGGCTCAGACAGTGCGTCAGTGAACATCTGTCTATCACTTCGATGAGCATCCCTGCAATGGAGGTAGGGCCCCCTCTATTTGTGGGCGAAATCCAGCTCAGGTTATTCTCATAGTCGCAGCAGCAGACCAGAATGCATGATGCACCTGCACATACTTCAATTTCAACAGACTACAACGCGTATGTTATCAATGCACTGTCCCGAATGACTCGGTCGTCTGGAGCAATGGATCAACGAGTCTTACGAAAATGTCTCGGATTGTCCTCCTCCTACTTACTCACCGACGCGACCATGAATCCAAACGGTGGCCTAACAACATGGTATGCTGGCCTCAGCCGCATTGTGGATGTCATGTCAGCACTACATAAACGAGACGAGCTAGAACTGGAGACTGTCAGCGAAGCTAGCAAAGCGTGCTCGGAATGTTGGGGTGTCGCAGGTGGCTGGCGAGAACTGGAGGCGGGAATGGAATGCATAAAAGATATTGCGACGCGATTGAAGGGTCTTTTAGATGACAATGGACGAACGTTCCATGGGCAGAGAATATATATACCATGATGACGGATTGGAAAGAACGACTGCTCGCCTGTACTTCCACTTTATATTCAACCAGCATCGGCGATTGACAGGATACGTCCGCTTGTTGAGACAGTACTGGTAGAGATGTTAGCTTGTTGTAGACAGCGATCGTCGCCTGGCTCTCCGCGTCGTGCACAACGGCAGCGCATCGATCGACGTCTTACTCACCCATCCATAACAGGCAGTTGCATTAGTGGAAGCGCCTAAGATCATGACCCACGTGCTTGACGTCAGAGTCGCCGGGATCCTGGCACATGCAAAGTGTCTCGGACTTTTAGCTGCGGCAAAGCTGCGGTTGGAGGCGGCAATTGACCTTCATCCTCGTCGTTGTACACGACCGCCATGACATCCCCGCCCTCGCTCTCTCTCATGGAACGCACCCAGTCTGAACGTCCCCGACGTCCTACTCGTGACCTTCCTTCTGAGCCCCTCCCTCACATCTTTCGTGCCCATACAGAGGGCTCAATTGGATCCGCACAATCAGATCAACAGACGTTCCTCACCCCTTTGGCGTCCCCCGTTGCCTCCGATGGAGAATTTGTAGAATCGCCAATTACTGAAGAACCTCCATCTCTAAACGGTACCGCTCAAGATCGTATTGGGATAGTCACACCTCAGCATGATTCTACGACGCTTACACCTCTGCGCGCACATTATCTCAAGAAGGAACTTGTGCAGCTCCAATTCCACAGAGAGTTCAGCGCTCTTATGACAGTACCCGCAAACAACATTTCTACACTATCGTACCTGGGACCGCCTTTTACGCCTCCTCATAAGGATGGCCCTCGTCTTGATCTCCCCTTCCTCCGCTACGTCTTCCGTCAATTCGTCCTCACCTTTCCATTTCTAGCCTCCGCACCAAATGACTTCTTCCCCAACAAACTACAACCCTTCATAGCTTCTCTATTGTCACGTAATCTATCCCCAACGTCAGTTTTAGACGATAATCCCGAGAACTCGGAAGAAGCTGCTAGGTACCGGCTTATGGCCAAACTGGAACGAAACTTTACCATGTTACTCACAAGCGGTACTAAACTTATGGAGAGGGAAGAAGTGGTTCGCTTGACTCAGGCTGATCTTAGTCGTTTGGAGACTTTGGCCAGGCGAAGGGCAGCGAGAGCAGGCAGCGTCAAGGACACATTTGAGCTCAATATTGTATGCGTGCGGACCGTGGTGGAGAAAGGACGTGTGAGGAGTCGGGCACACGAAGTATGTGGAATCTCCATGTCTTGGGTGTTTGCTGATCTTTACGACATTGTAGGAATTCATTATACGCACTCGCCGGCAAAATCACCCGGATGTATTCGTCTCGAGACGATACGGTGATTTCCGCACACTCGCGAACGAGGTATGTTTCAGTTGCATTTTTAAGTCAGTCACAGCTGTTCACATCCTATGTAGCTTCGCAAAGCACACCCATCAGAAGTCGTCCCTCCACCTCCCGCCAAAGACCGCACCTATGTCAGCCTCCCAGCAGTATCTCCCCTCCCCTCTGCCGATTCCTTCCACAGCGGATATCGCTCATCTCCAGGATCTGCCGCAAATAGCCCTTTATCAGGGTCGGCCCCTTACGCAGTTCGTTCTCCATCCAAGTCACGACACCAGCATGCCATGCCAGGAATGTACCATTCAGAACAATCAGAAAGTACGACGAGTTTCGATTCCATGCATACCCCGCCGAGCCCAATTACTCCCTCGCCGAGTAGTGGTGGAAATGGAGAACGCTCGCAGATTGCTTCCAGGTTGACGAGAGAAAAGAATAGGTTGACCTTGAGGTCGTATTTGCATACACTGCTTTCGTCTACGACGTTGGCCTCATCACCGGTCTTGAGGTCGTTCTTGCTTTCGAACCCCACTAAGTTAACGTGAGTGACACTCTATCTATTTGGGATACGCATGGACCGAACTCATTTATACGTAGGGAAGCGGAACAGGCAGATGCGTGGAGAAGAGAAGAAGCGGATCGAGTACGTGAAGATGGCCGGAAACGCTTTGCTCACGAGATTCGCGAACGAGTAGAGGGTTTGCGAGGTGCGGTTCGGAGCGTGAAAGGGGAGCTTCTCGGAAAAGGTACTATTGACAATTATATTAATTCAAGGCTTTGCAACTAACAGGGTGTTTCAGACGGATTAACGCATGTGTTCGCTACGATTAAGCATACACCAGACGTTCGTGACCTTCCGGGGAACTACCAGGCAGTCTTGGAATGGGCACGCATTTCGTATGTCTTTCCATCGTATAAATACAAAATCAGCGTTTGACACGAGCCTTATCCTCTGGCTGTTTAGGCTCGCTTCGACGGTCTTTCAGCATTTTGTAGCTTCTGATAATGCATCAGAGAGCTTTGCGAGCTTGAAACGGATCCACGGGCTCATGCCGTATTTCATGCTCAAAGCCGCTTTGAAGATCAGCAATCCCATGGCGATGATTCGAGGTGAGGTCATATCCAAATGACTTTCGGAGCAACTCTTCACATATATCTCAGGTGTCCTTGACCTCTTTCTCGCACAACCGTTTGGTGGCCGGAGTCTTCTCCAGAGGTATGTGACAGCATCTCTGGGCTAGCCCACAGCATTGCGTTTTCCACGGTTGTTCACTGACTATAGACTACGGGATGCAGGATGTTCACGGGATCCCTCATGGAGGAAGTGAAAGCCTTGGAAGAAGATATCGAAGCTGTGAAATCCAAGGTGGACGACCCGATTCTTTGCGAGAAGGTTCGTATATTCGTCAATGCGCCACGGGAGATCCAGGCGCTCTACAAAGCTGACGCAGGTAAGCTTTTTCCTCGTTCTTTTGTTCGCCTGATTGCCTTATACTCTTGACTAATCTCTCACATGCATGTTCGTGTAGCCGCGGAGCAGTGCAACGTTCTCACTGTCGTTCTTCGGTCCGGGGATCAACCAGCTCTTACACGTATCCAACTCCAACGAGTCATGAGAGCGCATTACGCGCATCGAGAATATGTGAAATATACCGAAACCTTGGATGACTCGGATGACGATGAAGGTCCCCAGAACGATGACGCGTGGTTGTACGAAGACCTGTCTATCTTGGCAAAGTTGTACTCGAAGCTTCGGGATCGAGAACAGTTGATTGCTCTGATCTTTGAGGTGTGTAAGCTTTTCTTCTCTTTGATTAACTTTGGATTGTTGGTGATGTCAGAGTGCATCGTGTATTTGTGGAGCCTACTGATTCGTGTTTGCAACGTGTTGCTTCTAGGGCTCGACGGCGGAGTTATTGAAGGATATCATCACGATATTCTATGCTCCATTGGCACAAGTTTATCGGGCAGCCAGCATCGCGGATTCTTTGGCGGATTTGCAGAACTTTATCAATGACCTCATCCGAACTGTCGAACAGTCCGAAGAACGTACGTGCAATATGTGCACCTCACATATATTCGAGAATACCGTTGACATGTCGCATTCTCTAGTGAGCCAAGATGATCCGGCATCAACGGTTCAGACCTTTATCGACCTTATCCAACGGCATGAACAAGCATTCTACAGCTTCGTTCACAAGGTCCATTCCAAGGGAGAGGGTCTCTTCGATAGCCTCATGCGATGGATCGAACTCTTCCTGACATTGATGCGAGACGGTCTAGGCGAGGCCATCAGTCTTGAATTCTTACTTCCATACACCGGTAAAGAACGAGAAGACGTCCTTCGCGAAGTCGACGAGGTTGCCAGGTATCATTACAAGCTGAAATTAGCCTACGAAGCGAAGGTTCGAAGACGGTTCGGAAGAACCCAAGGTCAGAGTGACGCGGATGCCGAGGACGAAGCTGTTACCAACATGGTTAACAATGTTGTTGCTGATCTCAGTTTTGGTGATCTCGTCAAGGGTGATGCGGATGACCTTGCGGCGGAGGCGACTGATGATGAAGAAACTGAGGGGTCGAGTGGGGATGGGGATTCTGAGGGGGAGGAGAGTGAAGGTGATGACAGTGGTAGCGAAAGTGATACTACTGAAAGCAGCAGCAGCAGCCAGTCGGGAAGTAGTACGGAGGGGCAGAGTAGAGGGCAGACACCAATGGCGCGTTCCAAAACGATCGCTCATCCCCTTCGTGTCACTCGACATCCAACATCACCCTTGGAACGACCGAAACAGTCAATCGATTTGCCCGTTAACTATTCAAGACCTCTTGTTCCTCCCTTACGCCCATCTCGTTCCTTGAGTATTCCTTTTGGCAAAGATTTGCCGCCCATTCCCTCGTCATCAAAACCGTTACCGGACAGCCCTTACTCAGTGCGGGAGCTGGAGAATAGGTTGAGGGAGCCGTCACCGAAAAGACGAAAGAAACCCGAAGGACCTAAGCCTCCAGACTTGAAACATGTCCCGACGCTGTTACCTTTGTACGTGGAAATGGTATGTGTCGATCATTTCATCAGCTTAAGATGCATAGCGTACTGATATGTTTTGTAGATGCGTCCATTACTTAGACCAACGCCGCTGCAACAATAGCTGCTACTGCTACTACTGTATATACTGAGGGACACTCCCGGAGCTAAGGGCACATTTGGACCGAGTTACTACTAGTTGTTAAGTGTATATCTATGACTCTGTGAGTTTGTATTCTTTTTGCGTTTAGAGTATACAAACGCGTGTGTGCTTCACTGCTTCTAATGTTTTGTAATGATCATCTCGAACGATATCTCGGGGACTTTGTCGGACGTTCTGCGGCGCCGTCTAGGTCATAGTTCCACCGGTGAAGAACGGCGTAATGGCGCATGTTTGCTGTCTGCTGTCTGAATCGAAGCATGGAGTCTGGACATTGACTTACTACATGTGACAGGCCTCCCGGGCGCGAACGAAGAACAGCAGTCCGTCCGTCTCATCGCTCTGCAGGGTTCTGTAATATGAAGAAAAAAGTCATTCTAGAGCTGCTTTACTCCAGAGCGTGCTCCAGAGTTTTGTATTTAGAAATGCAGTCTCGACTTTGGTCTGGGCGAGCGGGAAGTCGAGACTCTCTCTACTCAGGAGTCCCAAGGGGAGGGGCGGGTTCGAGCAATTTGGAGCCTTCCTGTTGGCCGCCCTGGCTTATCGCGCTTATCGATGGTCGCGCAGTCTCGACCGGACCGACGAACGCAAAGCGAATGAAGACGGCCAAGAACGGCACTCGAGGCGGAGATGCGGAGATTGGGTGACATGGCGTGCGGGATTTGAACATAAACGGTGCGCGGAGCGGGCGGGGGCTATGGGGGAAGCCGAAAAAGGAGAAAGACGTATGTCATCGGAAGCTTGTGGCGTGGCTGGTTCTGGATTGGTGCACTTGCGCGAAGAAATCGAACATGCCTTGCACCGCACACATATATATCTCTCTTCTCGATCTCCCCTTTCTCTTCCACCTCTCTCTCCTCCCGCCCCCTCGCTTCGGCCACCTCTGTCCTTGTCTCCCCCCATCCTCGATCCAATAATTATTTCGTCAAAAATGCCTGGCCTCGTCTCCGACGCCACCCGCATCTGGGAGCTCGGTGTTCACTGGCCTCTAGGGTCACAATGCGGCGTATGGGACCCGAAAGGCAGGAAAGTCGATGTCTGGGAGTGCATTCGTGGCCGTACGTCTTCTCAGCCTAACCCCTGTTGTGTATCACTCGTGTTGACTCCGTATTTCTAGACAATGCCACCCCTGGGACAGAAGTATGTCATATGCCACAAAGTCTTACTCAATCGTAGCGTGTGTCCTGACCATGATTATAATTAGCCTCCTAACAGTCATTACTGGCGCTATGTGGCTCGAAGATAACATGTCATGCATCCCACAGCGCGATCTGAATGCCTTCTGGAACAAACAGCTGCTCCCATGACATGGGCATCCACATTTTGTCCACATTTATCCACCAATCATCCACTCACGCATCACTTCCTTGTCCACCCTCATTATTCCTTCCTCATCCATCATCATGCAAACAAGCAATCTGACCATTGAACGGTCTCGCTTTATCACCGAATGCCGCCATTCTGGCGACGCTTCGCGGCGCTGCGCTGGAGGGAAATAGGGTTTGAAGTTTGAAGCCAGGGCGTGCTTCCTTATGATGCAATTCCACCATCTGCTATGTTGTTATCATTGTATTCTATTTTCGGCACATCCTCACAGTATTGTAGAGTCTTCCTTTGGTCTTCCTTTTCCCCAGCTTCGTCATGCAAGTACGTAGACATACATGCACTCGTACCTCCTCTATCTTATTCGTATCTTAAACGTGTATGTACACAGCATGTATTCTGATCCGTATCATCGTAGTGTTATTGTATTGCAATTGTTTGGGTTTCAAAGCAAGAACGTCCTGGTCGATCTGTTCCACGCGTTCCGAATTTAGTTTAAAGCCAAGTATATTAGGTACAGAGAAAAAGCCCAAAGTGAATCCAGATCCTGCGTATGTTACAGAACATTCCGTCTCGAAAGCAAAGAAAAGTGATCAGAACGCTTGCGAAGAGATGCTGAATCGTTTGAACGTGTATCTGCAACCAGCACAACAAACGCATAACGTCAGTACCCAATCACACCTTTTCGTAGATCGGTGCATGACATGACATACCCCAAGAATGCCAGATCCTTGTTGGCACCACTCGCATCCCCGGCAGAAGGCTCTTCGGGGACCTGCTCGAGCTCCTCCGTAGGGAAATAAGACGTATCCGTGATAGATCGTAGACGGGGAACGAAAGGTGCTTCGATATTCCGGATCATGGTCCAGTTCACGCCATAGAAGAAGGGATGGTGCTTGATCTGGTCCACGCCCATGCGTCGGTCGGGCGAAGTGATGAGTCTATGAAGTCATTCCATGGTAAGAGGTAAGTGACATGTGTTTTACACGGTTTTTGAAATTGTGGGATGGTGAAAAAGATGTGGAGGTGATGAGCGGGCGGAAGAGGAAATTGGAAACTCACCGGCGAATCAAATCTTCGGCCTCGTGGCTGAGGTGAACGTCATCCGGGAACATGAGGTAGTTCTGCCAATGAATGATCTTCTGGTAAGTTTCGTGTGTGGATTCGGAGCAGAATGGTGGGTAGCCGACAAGACATTCGAACATGATCGCGCCGAGTGACCACCAATCACACTCGTTGCCGTAACCTTTCTGTAAGAAGATCTCTGGTGCAATGTAGTCAGGTGTACCGACAGTGGAGTACGCCTAATAGCGTGATCGAACGTGAGTGAAATATTGAAAGATTGATTAAACAATAGTTAGATGGACATACGAGTTTTCTACGGTTAGCCTTCCATGTTGCGATTTGATCCTTGTTGGACATGGTTAGATGGATCGCATTGACCATGACGCTGTTGCGTGCAGCAGTCGTTGGTGACGCAACACCATTAGCAGAATCAAGCAGCCGTTGGTAATAACTTGAGTCATGTTGTTTATGGAAACCAGTTGAAAGGCCGAAATCGGAAAGTTTGATGTGACCCTCCTTGTCAATAAGGATATTATCCGGTTTGATATCACTATATGCAATTCAATGGATGTAAATTCGGACGTTGTATAAAACAGACCAATGAAACTGGGCCACATACCGATGAATGAATCCCAGTTTGTGAACAGCCTCGATCGCCAATACACATTCTGCAATGTAGAACCTGGTCACGTCCTCGGAAAAGGTATCATACTTGATCAACATTGTCATGAGATCGCCGCCAGGCAAGAATTCCATGATGAGATACAGGTATGATGGATCTTGGAAGGAGTAGTAGAGTTGTACGACCCATGGTGAGTTGGACTCTGCCAAGACGTCGCGCTCTGCGCGGACGTGTGCAAGCTACGACATGTTCAGGTTTTAGATTCTACAATGGAAATAAGTGACGTGTTTCTTTACCTGGTCCTTCTTCAACATCTCTTCCTTCTTCAGAGTCTTCATCGCGTAAATCTTTCCCGTATCCGTCTTCTGCACTACCCGAACCTGGATAAGCGGATATCAGTTTCGCCTCTGAACATAATCACCAAGCCATCCACGAAAGTGCATACACACCTCACCGAAAGCACCCTTTCCGATGACCTTTACAGTCCGGAAATCATCCAAGCCAAGTTTCGTCCTCCGTAACCGTAGGAATGCTGATTCCCGCTTTCCAAGCTGCGTCAACTGGCGTTGTTTCCGTTCATCCGACATCGTGGTATCAGCGGCCAACTTCCTCTCCAACTCTACACGTCTACAAAAAGAAATCGTATACGTCGAAATCGAGTTCACATTCCATCGATGCCAGCACAGAACAGTCAAAGCATACCGTGTATTGCGTTCAATAGCAGCATCTACAGCAACCTTGTAATAATGTTCCAATTTGAGCTGCGCCGCTTTAGCCCGGGGTACGGCATCGTCAGAAAAGCCAGCAGTGGTACGTTCAAAATAGACGTAATCCGCGGGTTTCTCTTTGGGTGTTGAGCTGGTGGATTGAGTGCTGTTGACACTGCTGGAAGACTGTGCAGCCTGCATGGTGGCTTCACGGTAGTAGCAAACGAACGAGATTGAACGGGGACTGGAATCAGTTCAGCACAGCTGAGAAACCCGTGAAGAGAAAAGTGCCAGGGTGACAAGAGGGAAAGGAAATTAGATGGCAGGTCGATGCAGACGAGAGCCTGGTCAGAAGAGATGATGGACTCGCCGGCTTGCTGATTTGATTTCTCGAATCACGCTTTTAGCACTGCAATTCCAGACTGATCTCTCGCTTCACTTAAAACATCTTTGCTAAATCATTTTTGCAGATAACCCCCCTGAGCTCTCATTGGCCCTGATATGCCTCTGGCCAATCAGAAAATGGTCTATTTCACGGTTATCAGGGAGAATAGGGGGTAAATGAGTTCAATTAGCTTCCGTTACAACCGATCATCTCGTCTAGACTCGATCTCAAGTTTATCCAGCAGTGCAACCGCTTCAACGTCAAGCGACATGTCAACGCAGAAACCCGAAGCAAACCTCGAGGAAGCACAGCTCTTTGTGGAACGATAAACTACCTTTTGAAAACGCCCAGCGTACAAGTTCCAATCTTTGAAGGCTGATTGCATCTATCCAAGGCGGGATTTTGGAGCTTTCGTGGGGCAGGAGTAAGTATTGTGGCATCTCAGCCGCCCGCCTTGAGCCCTGAGCGATTGCTGCTCCAGCCGACAGAGGATCTCGAAAGTCTACGTACTGGATTTTTCGCCAAAGTGGCCTATCATTCCGCAAATGTCTGTAATGTACAAGTTTTGTCTCGCAGTTATACAATTTCATTTAACCCCCACTTATTGTCATCTGTAGTTCTTCCCATATCCTCGTGAGCAATGTTCACATTAACTGTAGGCATAACAGCTAACTCCACTTCAGTTGGCAAACGGACAGTCCACATTCCCAAAGGCAGAGTTTCAATAAGCCCTAGCTTCAAAAGGCGATATACTTTGCATGCCATGATATTCTGCAATGCAACACCGACAATAGCAACGCCGACCTGTACGGCTTCGGATTCCGAGGTGAAGATGAGGATGGCCATGGCAATGTTGACCCCGACAGTCGCCCTATAATTATTGGTTTCAGCATCTACGGTTAACATTGGTTGAAGAATACTGACAAATAGTATAGCTGTCCCGTTTGAAGAAGTATTCTCGACACGGTGCCCAAACCCTTTCCGCTCAGGAGGGACCGGCATCTTTCGCTCCATGAAATCGCCATACTCCCGGATAGGACTCGGACGGATATGGCGATAAGGACCAAGGTGTCAAAAACCGCTACTGCGACAAACCCTATAGAGTCGTAAGACTGTAACGTAGAATTTGAGCACACTCGTATGGTCTCCAACATGATTCCATGCGAGCTCAGTGGTATGGTGATTGTCGTGAAGGTAGAAAGCCATAGAAGAGCGAAGACACCAACGATGAGACGCGATTCGCGGAAGACGGCTCTGACGCGAAGGAAGAAAAGCAAAGAATTACATGGCAGAGCGATTGCTGCGAACCAATTGACAGCTCGAGACTTTAAGTCGCAATCATCGGGAGATGCAACTGCAGTGACTCATCGTCAGTGGAAGGGGACACCAAGGTAGGAAGGAACACTTGCCTAATTGAACGAGTGCCGCAATGAGAGACCCTGCTGATGATATGCTACAGGATAAAGTCAGCCGTGAGTTATGCCTCGTTACGTTCGAGAGAATCACTTACCGAGCTGCGATATACGTCACATCGGTCAACGATATACGACGTGTCGCAAGCAGGCGCACATAGTCCAGGAAAGCCGTCATGAAGTCCCAAAGCCATACCTGCCAGGGAGGTTAAATCAGTTCGCAATACGTATACAGATGATTCAAGATGATTTACGGCAGCAACACCTGCAGCAAGATAGCCTAGCTTCCTATATTGTGAAGCAATATCCACAAGCTCCATTGACGGGTATCTTGGCGATAACATTGGCGAGAATTTGGTCAGCACTCCTACATCTGAAAGGAAGGATATATATAAAGCATGAAACACCACCTCAAGGCTTCACTCTGATGAAGACCAACGAATATCAACGTGATCCTGCAAACAGTTGAAGTTTTTAAATATGGTTCTACTTCCCTATACTGATCTACACATCACGATGTTCAGGGTGATCAAGGCGTTCCGTTGATTGAATGCAAGAAGAGCAGTCAAAGGACATTCGGCGTGATCGATGGATCGGTTACCCGATGTAAAGATATCGAGTGGGCAAAGGCTGGCTGAGAATTAATCATCCCAGCCAACCGGTGGCCCGCCTCAAAGCAAACATATGCTTCAACAAATTTCTCTCGAGGACGTGAACTTGACGCATTCGTGAACACCGCACGAAAGATTTGTGGCCGTGATTCGAATACGGAGTCATAAGTAACCACTATCAAAATTGAATTGCCGGTACATATGTGGACGCTAGATCGAAGAGATAATGCTGCCTCGTGGAAGGATGGAACCTGTCCTTGAAAAGATTGGTTTTTGACACAAGCGATGCAGGCGTCAGCTTCGAGGCATCATTTGACCAACCAAGATGATTGCAAGTTACTGTCAAGTTACAATCGATGATACTGATACAGGGTACGTAGACCATCCGCAATGAGGCAAAGGTTTGGGTCATCGAAAGGAGAGTAAAAGCACAGCCCTAAACAAGCTATATGATCGTTTCAGTGTCACTGTCCATATATAGTCAATTATCCATAGTAGCACCAGAAAAGAGTGGAAACCCTGAGAACAACGATTAGTAGCACGCATTCTTCCAACTGATCATCACCAGGATCGACCATATTGCGATCCAGGGTATCCTCCTGGTTGGGTCCAGCCCTGCTGAAAACCGGGTTGATTGTATCCCGGATATGTTGTTTGCGTCGTAGATGGCATAGGCTGCCCATACGCAGGTTGATTCTGAGGGGTAACGGGGTATGACGTGGTATTGACATTGTGGTTGGTATAGTTGTTATACCCGCTAGCAGGTTGCTGTTGCTGCTGTATCATTTGGGTCATGGGCATGTATGATGCGCGTTGAGGTGTAGGACTGGCATATGTTGTGGGGCTGTGACGTAAGGTTAGAATGTTTCTGTTATTAAAGAGCTGCGGAAATGCGCACGGTGGGTGAAGTGGATTCCTTCGAGGTGCAGTAGGAGCGCGCGACGAAATATAGGAAGACACGGAAGAGCTGATCATAAATTGAGTCTTAAAACCTTTGCAAAACGAGATTAGACTAACGTATAGAACGCAGAAGCATCCACAATTTGCGGCAAAGGCTCTTCTTCCGGAAGACCATACCGAGGTTTTCTATTATAAGCCATTTGCGGGTTGAAGGGTAGCCGAGGGCCAAGCACAGCAAAGTTAGCAGCAGGCCGTGCATTAGACACTGACGGCTTATCAGTGTTGACTCTTGATACGGCAGGCGCATGGGAAACTGTGACAGGAAGGCCGTGAGAAGGCTGAGGACCAGGCGACGATCGATAATGACTGGGTTGAGGTGAAGACGTGAATGAACGTGAGGGGGTCGGATGATGAGAGAAGCTGAACGGTGGAGCTGGAGATGTGGGAGATTGCAAAGGAGATGCAGGTCTAGAGTCGCTTCCGCTGTAGGTCATGATTATTGCTGGAGCTCCTTCGTACGGAGGCCCATCCAATGATGGACCCACTGCCTCGAACATGGGTGGGGGAGTCGCCTCGCGTTCCTCATAGCTAGATCGTCTAGGCGCTTGGGGTAGTTCTCTGCGGGGAGACTGAGGGGTAGCTTGAGATCCCGAGGGCTGGTCCCGATCGAGCTGGGCTTCCGCATACCAACCGGGACGCTCTTTTTCTGTCATTGATGAATGAGATGGTGCAGACTTTTTGTGAATCCGCAATGGCGCGACCCCTTCGGAACGATGAGATGACATCTCTGCCTCCTTCGCCTTGGCTCGAGCAGTTTCACTGATTGTGTCTGGCGCAGAGCTCGATGAACTCGAGGAGGTTCCTTCGGACAAAGTAAGCTGAGCTACAGCGGTGTCGAACGCTGCCTCATCCCAAACTTCCCACAAATCACCATCATTGGATCGACGGAGAGGCTCGTTCCTGCTCTCTTCTATGAGGTGGGATATTTTCTGATCAAACTCCTGCGCTGTAAGCTCGTATGCAGGTGGAGGAGGGGAATCTGGTTCGTCGAAAAGAGTAGAGTCAGACATCGAGGTGGTAGGAGTATGATGGAGAGAAGGGGCGATTTTGACCGACTGAATCGGAACACCGCTCTGCTAATTGCAAGGTGGGATATTGACGCACTGCCCTGGCCCACGATGGCAGGTTGTGGGCAGCTGCAGGGACATTGCCAAGCGCCGTCAGATATCTGTCTGCGTAAATTCATTTAGTCTTATATAAGTACCTTGACTATCGCACCTTCGCTCGACACACTCTCCTATGAGAACATAGCGATCCTCTTTAGGTCCAAATACAAAACATACGTTGCAAACGGGCAAAAGCAGCCAAACGCCTCTTCATGTTGAATATGAGATGCAGTGCTCGCCAAATTGCACCGCATCCCAATAAAGAATAGAGGACCTCGGTAAGCGCCGAAACTACACCCGATCAATTCCATCGCAGAGCATTCTTGTTCTCAAAGAAGTTCCATCAAAAGTTCCGCCTGTGCAGAGCAGTCGTAAAATACTCATTATACAAATACAGTAATACATATAGCAACTCCGCACCAGCCTTCAGCTCCTCTTCATCCCCGTACCTATACTTCAATGCCTTCTAGGTTAGTACCCTGTTGGGAAAAAGTCGTCAGTTATGCGGCTGGTCACCAGTAACCACTGATCACTCACAAGTCTTGGCAGCCGAAGATACACGTCGGTGCCTACAACGTAGGGCGACCTCAACTTTCAACGTCGCAAATATGATGATTATTCACGTACCGTATCCATCCATGCTAATCAGCTCCAGCGATCCGCCGAAGTAACTGTTGTCAAGGCAGTGATCAGTCAAGTTCGAAGATTTGCTCTTAGAAATTACGCACTTGGCAAAAATATTACTCATTGGTAATCCAATCCCAATCCGAGGCAGGGGGCTTGGGGAACCACCCTGATTTGTGCCATTCTCCGCCCGCCTTGCTTCAGACGGGCGTTGCCAGGTGTCAATTTGTTCGTCAACGGTAGCCCTCACTCCCTGTTTCCGGGAGCTGACGGTCCGCAGTGCTCCCAGACGGGCATCCTCCAGTCTGGTCGCATTACGAAGATGAGAAAATGAAAAGAGGTCGGATGGTGACTTGATTTGCGGCATCATGAGGCCTCCACCTGCTGAGTGCGTTCATTCACTGATTCCTTCGAGAATGCGGCGAAAGTCTCACCTTGGTCAGAGATACGTATAGTGACATGGTTGTTACCGGACACAATCGTAGCGCCTATGGGTGGTAACTGCGAGACGTTTGGGTGCTTTAGCCTTGTTGCTCGGAAAGACTTTGTAAATAGCGGATCAGTGAGGGTGGCACTAGAATAAAAGAATTCGTAGCTTACGTTCTTTAATAACTCGAAGACTATGTATCTGTAAACTTGACCCCTAAGACAACAAGATAGTGATTCTATACTCAGCACTCACTCAAGATGTTCTCGTATATAGGCAAACTTCGTGTCGAGGTGTCCGTCGATAACAACCTCAGACCAATCTGCTCCGCTCCCACCTTCTGCCACGTCACCATCCACGTCTGGAGGTCTACATCGGAGATATGTTGTACACCTATCGATACATTCCTTGACATTGAGTCCTGTTTGGATGATACCAACATGATCATCGGAGAAATGGCGGCCTTCCCGTATTTCTTTTGCATCTTGCGACAAGGCGATGTGGTGTTCGGCAAGTACGCGTCTCGAAATACGTGATACAAGCATACGACGCATAAAGGCATCCAGTCTTTCAGGAGCCAGATAAGGGGAGGAAAGCGAGAGGCCTAAGGAAAGGTTAGGGATCACAACAGCACTACACTCAATTCTCAGCTTTAAGCAAGCTCAAAAAAGAAAAATTCTATACATACTGTTCGTTCAGGAGGCCCCTCAGGAATTGACAAAATGCATCATTCTCTGCAAGAGTATTGATTTGAGGATATCGACGAAATCTAGAAGATCCACAGTTACTGAACAGCTGTCGGAGGTTTGAAGATAGGATACAAACTTCTCGAAAGCAGACCAATAGAGCTGACACACTGATGTTCATCAATAGAACATGGAATGGTAATATAGAACCTACCTCGTAGACCTTTGCAACTCCTTCCTGGGTGACCACCACGTACGGGAGCGCTTGCAGGTCCCTCAATCTGTGAGCGATCCGAACAGGGAGTTCTGTCCGTACATAATTTGCACCCTGTTCTTCTCCGGTAAGATTACCTTGGACGAACATGAGAAGAGCCGTTGACCTTGATCATGCGCTCCTCATCCAACGAACGTCCGAAGAAAACCTAAACCAATGACAGAAGAGCATTAACGGTATGGCAAGAGTTCACAGGAAAGAGTCCCCTACCAGTTGCCTGAGAGTCAGTCTCTGAGCTTTCTTCGACGCATAGAGCTCTAACTGTCGGTTCTGGTAGAAATGTACCGCAGAAGATATTGGGCGAACGCCAACATGTGCCTGCACATGGTGGCTACGTAATTTCGTTAAAGGTCTCCTTTCAGCAATAGCAGTTATCCGAAGAGTATAGTGAGTCCATGACATTCTACAAAGGAGGTTGCAGTTCAGCAAACCGAGAGTTGGTTAAGGGGAGGTGGTCGAAGTCATCAAGTCAGTTATAGATCCGGGCTCTTGCCAAACTGGATGACTCCCATTGGTGCGGTGGCGCGCGCTTCTGGTCGATAATCCCCGGCAATCAAAAAGAGTATTGCGGGGACTGGGGTGGTTTGTAATTGTAGGTCCATCACATTCAGCTTGGCAGATAACCGTAAGACCGTTAAACAGTATTCGGACTTTGAAGCTACAGGATACAAATCTACGTGCAATAACGATATCAGCTTTAATAATACAGCTACAATAGCCCCTCCATTCTGAGTCCTCCCATTACGAGATACGCAGCACGTCGATCTCTCTCTACTCCTATCCAGTCCTCTTTCCGGCCCTCCGACTGCATGTCTTCTCCGGAGACATATATATCCTCCGGGGGCTTAATTGTCTGCTCGTCTCCTTTCCGGTCTTCATGGTCCCAAAAAAGTTCTTCCCACTGGGAGTCACTGATGGTTATCGCGACAGTCTTCGCATCTGCAGTGTGTGGCAACATTGCTGTAATAAAATTTGACAGAAGTTCGGATGTCTCGTCCGTGGTTTGTGGAAATGCGGAAAGGGGAAGATATTCTGCCTGTAAGATTGACAGTTAGATTTTTGCCGCACTTTGAATGTCAGGAAGAATACATTCCTCAAGTAGCATGCCCTTCATTGCGCCTCCTGAAAGCTGCACAGTCCCAGCACGGACAATCCAATCTGTTCCTACGGCGAAGACTTGCCCAATTATTGTAAGCTGAGGTCCGCTATCTTGAAGGCTCTGGGGTGCACCAGACGGTTGTGAGTGACCGCGTGTGGACACCCACCGAGCCTGTAACTGGTCAAGCAGCGCCTCCAAAGCACCGGGAGGATTACATGTCATATGTGTTTGTCGGAAATGGGGGGTTTCATACATGACGTCCTCTCCAAAATTTTGAAGGACATCAAACCTGGTCGGGGCCGTGCCGTCCTCCAAGATTACGAATGCATTATCTAACATAGTTGTGCATCGCGAGCGGCAAAGACAAAATGATCTAGCATACCTTTCATTGTGACCGACCACATTAACCGTTCCGAAGGCACTCGTATGCCAGGAATCGAACTGAAGTTTGTACGGAAGGATTTTATCGTCAAATACCATTTCTCTCTAAGAACACCCTGATTAAAATCGACTTAATTGGTAGCGCATTGACCAAGGAGTGAATGTGCACGGACTCGATGATTAAGTACTATATTCTTATGGATCAGGGTTAAACCTTCCGGTGGTGCATTTTGCCATCTCGCAAGCCTACGAATCAAATAAAAATGTCAGCAATAGCTGGGGTGTTCGCTCGCTACCGTACCCAGTGAAACCCATGATCGGCGTAGTGGTCGAGCTGAAAGCTTCAACTGCCTGTAAATACGAGCATGTGACTTGTGACTTGTGACAGATCGCGTTTCGCGTCGGGCCACCAATTGCGATCGCGTTGTAGGCTTCTTGCGGCTTGGAACCATTCCTGGCCAACGTCTTTCTGTCTTCTGCTGGCTTTCTTTCTCTATCAGATGCCACCCAAACGCAAGGCTTCCACCGCAGGGAATCAGGATGGCACGCTGCCTCTTAAGCGTAGGCTTCGAACTACTAATGGCCCTTTGCTCGATACACAACCTGCGGTGACCCCGTCTACGGGAAGGGTCAGGTCTCGTATTGTAAAGAAGTCTCCGGAAAATTTGGAGACAGAGGAGGATAGCACCCCGGCTGGAGAGTCCTCTGCCCAACCTCTTCGGCGCGGTCGTCCCTCCAAAGCTTCGGCTTTAAAGTCTAAAGCCCTCCCGAAAGCTCTGGTTGATGATACACCTCCGAAGCCCAGCACATCCAAAGAGACGCTAGATGACGCTGATTATGCAACTGAAGACGCTGAGGCCGAGTTACCAGATGATGAACTCCTGCTTTCACCTCGCAAACGGAAGCCAGCCACACGTCCAGTAACTCCTCCTAGAAGTGCTACACATGGACAAATGAATGGAAGTCCGCGATATCTCTTACACTCTGTGGAGGTACCGACACCATCTTGGGTTAATAAGCCGAATCTGTCTCGTCACCATGACGCTACATCTCCGATACCCCCGCACCGAAACGCTAGGAAGACAACCAGGAGCACTACACCAGAGGCATCAAATAGGATATCTCAGACAGTATTGTCTTCATTACCTTCCACTCCTTCCAGATCATTAGTTCGTTCCCCCATCCCTTCTCCAAGACGTTCACCTCGGAAAGCGGTCGTACAGACCCTTCAATCAGACACCGATGATGTTCCTTGGACAACCGCTTCCCCTCCTCTGTCTCCTTCCAAAGGTAAAAGCAATGCATTTGCGAGTCCTAAGAAGACAGGAGCATCATTTGATGTCCTCCCAGAATCACTACACACATGTCTAGATGCACAGAAAGCAGCCATTTTGAAGGCGTTATACAAGTCACCTCCGCCCAGCAACCCAGATGAAGATGAAGATGACGTCGCCGCCAATGTGTTATCGGAGGAACAGCTCACTGAGTTGTTAAAAGGCACCGTACTTCGGGGTGAAGGTAACAGCTGTATTCTAACAGGCCCGCCGGGTAGTGGCAAGACGCAGGTGCGTATTACTTTCCTTTTCGTCATTAACATGTCTCAAAGTGGAGTAGATGGTGGAGCGGGTCATGGCTAGCCTACCCGAGACACCTATTATCGTCCGACTCTCCGGTCATGCCCAGACAGATGACCGCCTTGCCATGCGCGAAATTGCATGGCAACTGGCGCAACAAACAGGTACATCGTTAATGCCACATGAAGAGAATAATGACGTTGTGTCGCAAGATGAAGAAAATCCTTTCATCGAGACTACCTCACAAACCGTCGTTTCTCTGCCTCCGCCAGCGCATCTGCTGGCCCTAATATCCGTGATACCCACACTTTCTCGACCGACAATTATCGTTCTGGATGCATTTGATTTATTTGCATTGCATGCTAGACAGTCTCTGCTCTACTGTCTATTTGACACCGCACAACACAGCCGAGTGGGGATAAATGGGAAGGGTATGGCGGTGGTCGGCGTCACTACTCGAATCGATACGATCAATCTACTGGAAAAGCGAGTGAAGAGTCGATTTTCTGGACGAATACTACGCACTGCAGGACCCACGAAGCTGAAGGATTGGCTTGGCGTCGCGAGATCTGTCCTCTGCCTTCCTATAGAATCTGAGCATGCGGAAGAATGGACGACTCTATGGCAGTCTTCGGTGGATGAATTCCTGGCAGACGACGCCGTCAAGGATGCATTGACGGAAATATTTGCACTAACTCGCGATTTTCGCATGCTCTGTCGTATCCTAGTCAGTCCTTCTGCCCTATTCCATCCAATCTGAACAGTCCTGAATATCTTTCACTAGACACCGCCGATCCTGGAACTAAACCCGTCAGCTCCATTTCTGTCTTCATCACAGTTAATACAGGCGATCAGAAGTCAACGATGCCCTGACTTGTCTTTTCTTCCATGTAAGTCTTTCCAATGCTTCTCTACTTCACCTTCATCCATCTACTTTCTTCCCAGCCCTTCCCTACCCTGCAATCTGTCTCCTCATTGCAGCCGCGCACACTCGTATATCCGGGCATGACACGTTCACATTCGAGATGCTGCATGAAGCATTCCGCGACCAAGTACGGACGTCCTTATCAGCACCGGTTCAGGTCCGAGGGGGTGGAATTGGGATGGTGAGATGTAGTCGTGAAGTTCTGATCGGAGTATGTTTACTCGCATATCTTCTTCTCATATATCTAGGGTCCCAACATAGCCCTTTCTGATTTCCTTGTCTGTGATTCTAGGCTTTCGAGCGGCTTATTGCTCTTCGGATCTTTGTTGCTGCTGCCATTCCATCTGCTGGGATCTCAAGGGAGTTCGTGCGATACAGATCGACGCTCGACCATGCTGATGTGAAGCTGACTGTAGAGAGGACGGGTCAGTTGAACCTCAAGAAGTGGCTCAGCAAGGGTAAATCCAATTGACCAGATGTACTGCTTGGACACGTGTGTTATCCTACTTCTCTCAAGCCTGAATCTGTGCATGTATGGGAGATTGCTTTCGCAGCTTCGCAAAGGTTCTGTGTACGCCCTGCCCATTCTGATGCAGATAGCGAGCTATTTTAGTCACGTTAGCGGTGCCATGGTGAAACTGTGGGAAGTCCTATCAGAGTTCAATCGAAGACAGGTATCAAGACTGGATTGGGAAAATTCACGCTAATGTATCCCGAAGCTACCAATAACGCCATTCGATCACTCCATCCTCACGCATACTGAGCTAATTCAAGGCAAATCGTCCAGATATCTCCCATCTGAGAAACAAGGTATATGTTACACGGCTCGACATACAGTGAGACAATTATTCCTTCATCCCGCGTTATCTACCATTGTGAGGCAACGGCATCGGAGTTGCCTGCACGCTCAGTAGCTAAGATATGATATGAATAAATAAGTGGTCCTCAGAAGTAGAACCGCGGACATACCATGGTGCTTAGCCTTCGCCTTGTCGACGTAATCAAGACCTTTGGTCTCAACGATACGGTCGATGAAGGCGCCAGCGAAACCAGCGATGAGTTCCTTGGCCTTGGCGTGGTTGTCGGGTTGGCCGTTGGACTGGACGTGCTTCTCGTATGCTTTTGCGGCCTGTTCAACCGCAATAGCAATCGTCGTCAACAACGTCGAACTCGGAAGAAAGCCGGACGGACGTACCTCGTAAGAAGCGGCAGCGGCGATCAGCTCGTGAGAGAGTTCAGCCTTGTGAGGTGCGTTTTGGACCTGTAAAGACGTGAGGTTAAGGGCCACATTCACGAACCTGGTTCTGCTGACCTCGCTGTAGGCCTGAGCCTCGTTGGAATCGTCAGAGAAGATACCCATAATAGAAAAGTGAGAGCAAGTTGTAGTGTGGAGATGTTGGTGAGTACGAAACTGAGGAAGCCCTAGTGCAATGGGGCCATCTTATATGCCTACTGCGGCCGACCTGGAGGGTTCTGATGTCATGAACGAGGATAAAAATAAACCTTGCTATTCAGGGGTGTATTGTTTTGACTGAAATCCGAACCTCTGAATCAGATGAAAGGGCCAAATATAGCAACGATCGTGTGATTTCTGTAGCCCTGTATCACTTGAGGCTGGTTGGTTGTCATCTGCCATGTTATCCGGACATCGCCCCGCAGCAAAGTTGCATTGCATTCCGGTGGTTACAATGTCCTTGCGAACGGAAGTGTGCATATTCCATCTCCTTCTGGCGAAAGTAATGCAAAGTAGTTTGAAATTATACTGATCACGTCAGTAGTGTGTGCGACATTGAGAAAACGTGGATAGATACCATCGGCGACATCATAAGGGGCAAATGCTACAGTGCCTGGCTTCTTCAACCATGAGGCGCATTGGGATGTTAGAATCCCATCCCTCATTATGAGACTCCTCTTCTACGTTATACGAGCAATAGAAGAGAGGGCACTGCGACTGAAGAATCATGGCAACTAGGCTGGGTGGATCAGCCAACGCTCCACAGAGACAAAGAGAACATCTAAGCCACGATTATAAACACGGCTACGGTAAGGATACGTTAACATGTGTGAGGATGAGGGGATCAGCCGACAATAAACAGGGAAATTCATGCCATCAGCAGCGGAAGAAACATAGCAAGCTATAAAAGGCAGGTGGCCTTCCTGAATAAGCTGGTCGTCACAACTGAGCGTGACGTCACAATTCCATGCATGACATTTATTGTTACAGTAGTTCTAAGCACGCCGCCGGACAAAGCAACAGGCTTGTACCACGTTGTACCTATAGCCCTGCCAATTACTCGCATTTCCCCTCTACTCTGGAACGTGACCGTCATCGATGCCTCCAAGTCGCTCACAGAGCCGCTCTCGACCGTCGCGCACTAACAGCAATAGGCCAAATCATGGTGTGTCAGAGCTATATGCTGACTATGTGGACGAGTCGTAAGTTGCGATATAAATGTCTGGCATAAATCGCTACAATGTCTATACCACAACAGCCACATCAAGGCATTTGAAGACGCTCTCAAGTCTGAAGACGTCGTTCTTGATGCTGCCGACCTTGTCGCCGCAGAATCATCGACCACAGGAGCGCATACACCCTCAGGACATCGTGTTCGCAAGGTGTCGGCACTTTCGGATTTTGCCCCGGTCAACGTTCGCATAACCAAGTGTGTCCAACTCGTTGAAGTGGAAATTGTATCACTCATCTTGTTCCTAGGCGAAAGAGATCCTCCCATACCCCAGATCGGCGACAAGAATTGTTGTTTACCCTGGTTAGATGGCCTTTACTGGTACGTCGCTTCCAATGCAGAGGGGAAACTCGGTACTCATTCACTGCAGAGTCTCATATTTCTCTTTATTGGGATCGAGTTTGGGCTGTATATCATAATCCGACAGTTAGTGAACACCAAGGAATGGCTCTCGGCTTGTGAGTCCCTCTTACCCTTTGAGCGTTTCAATAACTCATAGTGGATATATATATATAGGGCGAGGGCGTAAAGGTAAACTACGGAAACGTCTTCGAGAGGCGACAACGTATCAGGTACGCGTGTGCACCTTTGCCACATTGATATATATGCCTACGTGCAACGCTCTCAGGAATGGAAGGACGCTGCATTAGCCTTAGATGAATACCTGCATTTCGACGAGTGGAAAATGATTGACGAAGATCCATACTACGACTGGAAATTGGTCCGGAAGGTGAGCAGGTTCTGGTATGCACGCCCAAATATGGCCCTGACAATGATTGTTCATACGCATCTCGAACTAGGTGTTACGGTCTTTACGAATATTTCGAGAGAAGAATGATGCACATGCATTGTTAGGCGTTCTGGAGACTTGTGTTCGAACAAATTTTGCTGGTATTGAATCTTCAAGGTTAGCTCCCTCATGACATACCAATGTAATCTCTGTGTTCATCTTTGCTTTGTTTTAGATTATACAGTGAGGTTCGCACATGACATTTGACACTGCGACCAGTTATTTATAGCATATACCCAGACTTTCTACGGAACAAAGGAACTCATCGAGGGTACGTGATTACAATGAAGCCAGGCTGACCCATCGCTGAAACCCTACTTTTTTTTCCTATAGCATACGTTGGTGAATTGGAAAAGGCCTTGGAATACGTCCGTCTGTCTCCAGATCTGACTCTCGAGGAGAAGAAACGCTTCTTCAAGAGTTCGAATACCAACTTAGGAACCACAGCGCTTTGCCTCTCCGGCGGCGCTACATTTGGCTACTGTAAGTACTGAATCATACCTAGTTCACCCTCATAAACTGTTGAACATCTCTGCATGCAGACCACTTTGGCGTGGTCAAGGCTTTCCTTGATCAAGACCTTCTACCTCGTGTTATCTCAGGAACGTCAGCTGGCGGCCTTGTAGCAGCTCTCGTCTGCACTCGTACGGACTCGGAACTCAAACGGTTATTGGTACCGGAGTTGGCGAACCGTATCACTGCATGTGAAGATCCATTCAAAATTTGGTTCAAGCGGTTCTGGACAATGGGTGCACGATTCGACAGTATCGACTGGGCTCGCAAGTGTACTTTCTTCACGCGAGGATCCATGACCTTCAAGGAGGCATATTTGCGCACAGGTCGCATTCTCAACATCTCAGTGATCCCTGCTGATCGACATTCGTAAGTCGACTGCGTTCAGTGTCTAAGGATGTCAAGTCCTCATCGAGAGATGTAGACCTACCAAATTGTTGAACTATATGACCGCCCCAGATACTGTGATCTGGAGCGCTCTGTTGGCATCTGCCGCTGTACCGGGTATCCTAAACCCCGTAGTCCTCATGCAGAAATTCAAAGATGGTACCCTTGTTCCATGGAATTGGGGTAGCAAGTTTAAAGATGGGTCATTGAGGTAAGGTGGTTCAACATTCATGAGTTTGCCGAGAGTTGATTCCCACCGTGATGTGTAGGGTCGACATTCCAGTGCGATCTCTCAACTTATATTTCAACGGTACATACTTTCCAAATATACGCCATAATCGATCATGCTGATGATGTTCCCTAAGTGACGCATACTGTTGTTTCACAAGTGAACCCTCATGTTCATCTATTCTTCTTCGCGCCTCGCGGTTCCGCCGGTAAACCAGTCGCGCATTTCAAGGGCAAAGGTAAACTTTCCTCGCTTCCTACATTGATTACTTAGTTTAAACGCCGATTTTGCATCAGGTTGGAGAGGAAATTTTCTACTTTCTGCAGCGGAACAATGGCTCAAACTCGAGCTGACCAAGAACTTCAAGGTGAGTAGCTTGGTATTCTCGCCAGTCGAATTGATGTGAAATAAGTTACTTCAGCTTATACGTGACCTTGATCTGTTACCTCAACTTCTTGGACAAGATTGGTCAAGCGTTTTCTTGCAACGATTTGATGGAACTGTTACGTAAGGTCCTTCTGTAATCGATTTTTTTGAACAATATCTGAAGTATTCGGTGACAGCATTTGGCCCAGGACTCGTTTCATGGTAAGTCGGGTGTAGGCAACCAATAGGTGCCATCGTGCTCAATGATATCAATTTCAGGACTGGATCCGTATCCTGAGCGACCCAGATCCTCCAGAACTGGACCGAATGATTCGCGTCGGCCAACTCGTGGCGTGGCCTAAGGTAAGCACAAATTTCCCTTGCGATGAAACAGTGCCATTTAATCCACATATCGTAGTTGCACATCATTGAGAATCGTTTCCGTCTGGAGAAACATATACTGCTTGGCCGACAAGCAGTACGCAAAGCGATGCAACCTCGAGGTCGAGAAGGAGGGCGAGGAGAGGTTCCATTCCCCGGGACAGCAATCCAAGTACCTGCCCCGGTAATGACTCCTACATCCTCACTGTCGGCTGAGGCTATTCCAATGGACAGCGATATCGAGAGGGCATATCTCAATGGGTCCGCGCGGCCACCCAAACGTCACCCTAGCCGCAAGACTTCTCCGGTTCGGCCGACTCTTGGCTCGCGGCTTGCTTTTCCTAGCCAGGACGGTCGCCATACATCTACCATTCGTCGTCGATGGGCAGTCAGTGCTAACCACGGCGAAGAGGGAGACGCTGAACCCATTCCTGAGATTGATTACGGGAGGGCAACACCAGATCCTCCGCCGCCACCCACTGAGGCAGAAGAACAGCAATTAAGCCATACCCCGCCTATCCCCGCCAGCCCGGGTACACTGTTCAAGCGATTGAGAACCGCCTCTGCAACATTCTCTCCGTTTGCTTCGTTGCGTCGGAATGGCAGATTCTTGGGTCCGCAGCAGGATCAGACGTCTGAGCATACATGGAGTGCAGAAAGTTCTTCAGACGATGATGATTTATCCGTCGATTCTAGAAGGCACATACGTCACCCTTCTACTATAGGAAACTGGGGAGATATGGAGGAAGAGAATACCGAGAATAGGTTTGGAAGATAGAGCTTTGTTTCTAGTGGACGTTGGATTTGGAGCCTTAGGTAGGATGTCTGTTGTAATTACTGTACGCATATTATTCTATGACCTACCTCTTATCGTAAGGCCTTGTAAGATGAATAAAAAGGGAAAGTTGGACAACTGGACGATCACATCACAGCTACCCAATTTGGGTGAATACTACGTATTACGATGATGTCGGGCGCCAGACACTAAGGCTTGCGGTTTTCCATCGAGTTACTATTGCGTCCACCTACCTCTAGTATCCGCAGTCGATTCAAATACTTCGCGCACGCTTCTAACACGAGGAAGATACCATTATGGATGTAGATAACCAGCATGAGCTTTCTTCCGAGACCCAAGACTTCCAGGCCTCAACTTCTCACTCAATGCCTACTCCTGATCGAGCCACTGTAGCTAGGGCCCTCGAACAGAGGTTGCGTCAAGAGCGTGAAGAAGCATCTGCGCATGGAGCGCATTTCGTTGCATTTGACGAGCATCATGAGAAACGACAAGAGTTTCGCAGGTTAATTGATCCAGGTATCCTACGACCAAATCCACGACATGTCGCCTTGGAGTCTCTAGACGTACCACGCAGTCATTCCTACCAATGGCCTTTGAAATAACCGTGTCTCTGTAGATACTTCTGAAGCTTGCTGAAAACATTATCAAGCATCCGGATGAAGACAAATACCTGCGATTCAAGCCTACAAATGCCAAGATCAAGCAGTATCTAGTGGACCCGAAGGGTACATTAGAGTATGCTGTCGCTGTTAGTATCATCTTGACATCCATCTGTTGAGATTGTCGCTAAATAATTCATCTCACTCTGTAGCTAGGGTTCAGACCGCAGGTATGGCGAGTAACAGTTGCATATCGTAATGCCACTGACGATCGCATTTGCTCTAGGTCGAGAACTTCCAGCCCTACTACGCATTCAATAAACGAAAGACGGTTGATCTCCAAATAGGAGCAGCTATTCTTAAGGAGGCTCTGGAACTAGAAACAGCCAAGGAAGAAGCCGCACACCTGGCTAAACAGCGAGAGAAGGCTATTGCAGATGCTGCCGTGGCGAAGGTACTGTACAATCATTTATAGTGCATTAGTATCCCAGAGTTTGATGAGTGACATTATCTAGGTGAAACAAGCATTCATTGACGATCGCAAGTCGAAAGCGTGGCATGATCGCCGGGAACAGGAGATCCTGAGCGCACGCGCTGCTAGGCGGACATCTGTACCAACTTCTCCGTCTCCACCTGCGACAGCAAGAATGCCGGGTTCTGGGCATACAATCAGTGACGTTAGTCCTCCTTCGACTTCGCCACCCACCTACGAATCATTGAGCGACCTCGAGGATTGATTTACGACCATATTCTGTATTTTTAGAGGTCATTTTATGCTTACACTCTGCAAGATTCAATGTATTCCCAATCATGTCACACAATGTTTACTCAGAACATGAAATGCGGTAGCTATGATACGACAACATAAATAAAAGCAGATGGATTGCAGAGCTATGAAGGTAAGCGAAGAGAAACTCAAATGACACGGTCAAATTTGGGCCCTGGCCTCACTGGTTGTGATGGTCGAGGTGGGGTTGGGAACTGAGCGAGAGACGACATCGTCAGCCGCATGGGTGGCTCATCAGGCGTTTCCAAACGTTCAAACCCTGCAAACAATGCGCATGAGGCTCCGTCAGGAAGGAAGAGACCAACTACTAACCACTTGCACCCGCTTCATAGGTCTGGGCTCTCATTTGAATGCTTCCTTGGCGACGCGGTAATTGCCTTGGTGGTAGAGTCTTTGTGCGAACAAGAGACGGAGAAGACATCATATTCGAGCCCGGCTGAGGCACCGGTCTAACAGTGGGACCATATATGGAGTGTCGGAATGACTGGGGTGCCTCAGCGGACTCTGGGGTCACAGGCAAAGGAGAAGTGGTCACCGAACGGACAGGCGAAGCGGAGTTGAGCTTCGTACTAGACATTGCTTCAGGTTCTGGTACGCTAGGGAATGGCGAGAATGAAGCGTTTGACCGGTTGATACTTGGGGTCCGTCTCAGGTTCTGCGAAGGTGTAGATGGAAGTCCGTAAGTTCGCAAAGCAGGAGGACTTGGAGTGGGTGAACTTTCTGTTGGTGCGATAGGAAGTTGCCTGACCGGTCTGGAGGGAGAACCATTCATAGGTGGACTCGGCAACGAGGGTCTGTTGCTAACGGTCCCCGAACGTGGGCGAGAGCGAAGTGGGGGTGGAGCTGGAGGCGACGCAACGCTGCGAGGTACTGTTGTGGCCTGCGGCGGTGAAGGTAACTCTCGTCGAGATGGGGAATTCTGCTTTCCGAACACCTGCACGTGGAGATCTAGGTGAGTATATCTAGGTCTGCGAACGCTCTTGGCCGGTGCCACGACTATGTCATCAGTTTGAGCGACAAGCTCGGGCTTCCCAAACGCCTGGATATGGTGATCGAGATGTGTATTTCTTGGCTTCCGAATACCCGCAGACTGTGCCCCAAATCGTTCACGGTGATTAGCATTTCCCGGTACTTGAGCCTCAACCATAGATGGATATATCTCTAGATGTGGATAGACAGGTGGATCTAGGAAAAGAAAGGATCAGCTGCCAACATAGACTCATAGCGTATAAGAAGACCAACAGAGAACGAAAGTAGGATAAAAGCCTGCGAGAGACACAGAAATGTTTCTTTCTTGACTCGAATCGGGGGAACCTGCCGCCTCCGGATAAATGGAGAAATAAGGATACACAGGTGGGTCTACACGGGCGTGGGCATGAGCATAATGATCATGATCATGACAGGATGGACGTACAAGGCTGAATTGCAGGGTACACAATCTCTAAGTGCATGGATTGGCGCAACCTCGGCCACCGTCCTAGTGGCAAACCTGACATAGGAGAGATTGGTCTTAATCGCTGTACATTCGCAGGCAAAGGCGGAACAGGAGGGAGTGCTGATAAACGAGAAGACAATGCCGATGAGGACCGAGACTGCGACGATTGATCGCGGCTGCGATCTTTTCTTGCATATGGGGAAGAGAGACCGGCGACTGCAACAGAGATGGTAGGTCGCTTTGGTATGGAAAGACGAGCAAGAGACTTGGGAGGCTCGACTTCTTTCAGACCGGGATAGATCATCTCCAGGTTGTATGGATACACGTTAGGGTCTGGTGAAACAAGTTGAGTCAATCATGAATAAGGTTCTTTGGGAACGATACATACAGATCGTCAAAACTGGATAAGAAGATGGCAACGAAATCGAGAGACCATCATGGGTGGCTTGCTTGCCAGACGTGGGATAGACACTTTGCAAGCTGGCTGGGTAAACAGCAGGGTCTATGAAACATACCGCATAAGTGGACAAGAATACTATATGTGCGCAACGAGACTCACAGATGTCGAACAATGGGTACTGTGCAGTCAACCTTATTGGAACGCCTTTCAAGTCTTTAGTACTCTGGCTGGAAAGAGGAACCGTAGTAGAAGGATAGATTGTCTCGAGACTCCATGGGTACACAGCGGGATCTACCCATGAGGTGTGAGCTTTCAACAGCTCAACGAGTATGAAGAACACGTACAGATGTCGAAGGCCGGATATAGCACCGCAATTAGCACCGGTAAACCAATTTGAACGTTCCGTGAATTGCGTGAAGCACCGTTAGCAGATACCGCAGGATAGACGGTATCGAGATTATGAGGATATACAGGGGGATCTGAAAGTGAAGATTAACATTATGTAAATGCCATAAGAATGACACTACTCACAGGGCTGAATTATAGGATACTGAGATGACAAGTGTACTGGTACTGTCGATGTTTTCTCAGTTGATTTAGTTTCCGACTGTGAGCGAAGCCTGTGTATCGACCGAGCGGGATAGATTTCATCCAAGTTAAATGGGTAGACAGGAGAATCTATGAGATGGGTTTACAACATGCACAAGAGAAAATGGTGAATGTGTCTTACAGATTGAAAGCGAAGGGTATGTTGCGAGAAGGGTAACTGAGAGTGACGACTCTGCATCACTAGCTTTGATCGAAGGGTAAATTGATCCAAGGTTCCAAGGGTAGATGGCCGGATCTGTTGACAATATCAGCACTCTGGCTGCATGTGGCGTGAATGTCCACTCACAGATGTCGAAAGCGGGATACTGAGACGAGAGTCCGATAGGGATAACAGGAGCCGCAGAATGAGACTCCTCTTTGGGAGTGACCTGCACCGCGGGTCCGTAGATGTCGAAATGAGGGTACACTGCGGGATCTAGGAGACATTTGTCAGACTAACACTTAGCAGAAAGTAGTGACGAGCGTACAGATGATAACGGAAGGATATCCGTGATTCAAGTGTACAGTCACTGCATCCACAATATGTTCTTGTGGACGAACGGCGGGATCTGCAATGCTATCGTTTCAATATAATGAGATGAAGTTTAAGATATTTCCACTTACACAGGTTGAAGTGAGGATATTCAACGGTGTATACATGACACGGCGCACTCTGGCTGGCTCGATCAGCATTGTACGGCCACACTTGAGCCCAGGGCGTTGTTTCTTCCGTCTCATACACCGACATATCATTCGAAAGGGCATCCTGATCATCACTATCTGAAGCATGGTAAGGCCAAACGAAATGCCATGGTCCGCCGTTAGCCATTTGAGGGAAATCATCGTCGATGTCGAACATACGTTCGCCGGCATCCGGTGAACGAACGTAGTAAGGAGTCATGGGACTAGGCGGATATGACTCCGGTGGTCCCCAAGAGGTACACGTCGACGGTGTAGGAGGGCAGTCCTCGATCAACCTTCCAGCTATGTCTGGAGATGGGAGCCTTTCAATGTTGGAAACTGGGGAATACTCCCAGTCAACATCCCATAAAGCCAATGATGTACACGTTGAAGGCGTAGGAGGACAATCTTCAATCATGCGTCCGGCGATATCGGGGGAAGGAAGTCTGTCAACGTTGGAAACTGGAGAGTAGTCCCAGTCAACATCCCATAAAGCTAGTGATGTAACCGTTGTAGGCGTCAGCAAGACTGAACCTTCCATACGACGGTCCAGATGAACAGAAGGTACTCGATCCCAGGAGGCGATTGACTCCAGGTCATCATCGTACTCTGGAGGACCGACGGAAGAGATAGACCAAGTATAGTCAGCGAGGTTAATCTCCGAGCTAGGCTCACTGTCAGGAGGTGAAGTCTCGTCTAATGGGAAGGTATTAGGCAAGTTCGCGGGATCAAGGCTGGTTTGACCTGTGGCAGCCAACGGACTGGGTGCAGTCCTAGAAGCCGCACGCCATGACGTGACCAATTGGTCTAACTGGCTCCTGTTGTTGAGAGGCGAATCCTCCTGGACAATTGGAGATAACGCTTGGAGATTGGCTGAACGTGCTGTAGGACTGGGTGGGGAATGGTGCCGAGGATTCAGCTTTGATCCTGACCTCAACGAAGCAACGTCGAAACGGTCAAGCAGGGAAAGCTTCCTAGGAACGTGTCTGTTCACCCTAGACTTCGCCTGCTGCATCAATGATATCGTTTCAAGTTGGTCATCGCCTTGGTCATCTGCAAAAGTTGTTCTGCTGTCACCTCGAAAGTGTGATAGTGTCTGTGGACGTGATGGCGAGACAGATACGGGAACATCAAGCATCTCACGACGCGGGATCGACAGCCAGGAGTCATACCAGCGCGCCTTGCGTAAGTCAATGTCGAACTCAAGTCGACCGCCAATAGGTATCTGAGATGGTGCAGGAGCAGGGCTTCGGGGGTCAAAGAGATGTGACCACAGTAAGGACCATGATTCATCGGAGACTCGAGGCGTCACGGACAATCCCGCCTGTACCGTATGCAGATAGAGACAAAGACCAGCGGTGCTTGGGAAACTAAACTCCCGTGCAATAGCCGTAAGCTGACTGCTCATCTGCGAGAAAACATTTCAAATACTGAGGGTCTGAGAATCCCCTATTTGAACACACCGTAGGAAATAGTGGCATTAATATGCCCTGTGATAGTCTATGTGTAGGACCTGTAGACAACGTATGACCGAGATGACCGTGCTCTTGGGCAAACGACGGTGGAGGCACGACGACGACGAGCCATTTTAGCCCACGATGAATAGTCCGCTCACGAGATTCGCGAAGACCAGAATTAATGTATGCAACCGAAGGCTTTCGAGGTTGATGGTTAAGAGGAACCTCTGTCGCAGAGGGCGATATGTGCGAGGGTGGAGGGTCCACGTCAATACCGAGTCCCATCGAAGTCTGACCTGAAGCATGGAGATGATTAGAGTAGTCAACGTCGGTATCCGGCGGTGTCAGAGGCTGGCCAAAGCGAGGACCCTCGAAGAGGGATGATTTCGGCATGGTGGCCATGATTCGGTCTTAAGGAAACAAGATCCAGGAAAGAAGAAAATGACTGTCTAGCAGCGAAAAGAATTATAGAGAAGCGTTGTACTCCAGAAGTGGGGGAACGAATGAAGATCTCGTACCGTTCGCTAGGCGAAGCGGGGAGGCCAAAGATATAACGAACGAAGGGAAAGAGATGGGCTTGGGAGGGAAAGATGCGGGTGAACGTTCTGACCAAAGCAAAACGGGCGGCTGTGATCAGATCAAGCGTACGTTGGGAATCTCCTGGACGACCGTGTCAACTCTAGCACTGTTTGAGATAGATGTGGTGGTCAAAAGAGACACGGCGTGTGTATCGCGGAGAACGTTAGGGGGAGAGACGGTAGCGGGAGTCTCACAGCGTCCGGCGTTGTGTCTTATAAGTCGTAAACGAGCGAACTTGTTCCCATTCAGATTTGATTCAAAAGTTCTAGTTAGGTTGCCAGGACCACGGCGCCTAGTATTGATCGAAGGATTGGCGTCTACCTTAATGAGCACACGTGCAAGACGCGTCTACCGAGTTAACAGCCACCGCCCATCCCTTTACACGAGTCCTCCATCTATAGCGCAACATGGAAAGCAGATTTGCGCAGATATCCTCCCTCGGCCAAAAGGACAAAGCTACTGCGTACATCTCACTTCTCCAGGAAGTCTTCTCCAGTCCAGATCGATCGAGGATTGCCCAAGACATTCATACCATTGTTGAGAATGTCATCCAAGACAGTGTAGGAATTGTAGTGGGGCGTCAGGTCCTCACTGAGCTTGTCAAGATTCTGGGGGATGGCTCAATCAAGGACCATGATCTGAGAAAGCGAATAGTGGAGGATACTATTGCCATCATTCAGCCTCGGCTTGTGAGCTATGAAGAACAAGTCCGTGCTTTAGCGTCCCAAGTATGCGAGCGGCAACTAATTATCCATCATAGGCAAATTCTTTACGATTTCAGCTAGCAGATATCCTTGAGAGTGAGGAAGATTGGGGTGAAGCTGCCAGAGTCCTCATGAACATCTCTCTTGACGCAGGTCAACGGTAAGACTGAAATACTCGGCACTTTTGCTTCCTGATAATGCTGAAAGTCGTTCACATTAGACCAGATGAAGATAAATTCCGTGTTTATGTTAGAATTGTCCGTCTCCTGCTGGAAGAGGAAAATAACGCACAAGCAGAATCCTACTACAACCGTGCAGCCATTCTTGCTCATTCGACCACAGACCGGGAAACCCTATTACAGTTCAAACTCTGTCAGGCTCGACTCAATGACTATGCCAGGAAATTTCTCGAAGCCGCCACTAGATACCATGAGCTCAGCTATGTTGCTGAAATCGATGAAGAGGAAAGGAAACATATGCTGTAAGTGCGATATGTGCATGATGTCCTTGATGACTAAACCGTTGTGCCTAGTTCTGCTGCTGTAACATGTGCAGTCCTTGCTCCTGCTGGACCTAATCGATCTCGTGTTCTCGCCTCTCTTTGCAGAGACGAACGAACATCCGAGCTTCCCTCATTCAACATTCTCACCAAGATGTTCCTCGATCGCATCTTGCGACCAGCAGAAATTCAAGAATTCGAGGGTACCCTCAAAACCCATCAACTCGCAAAGATCACATTGTCATCTAATGATCGAGTATCTGCGGCCGAGGTCGATGATGAAGATGCGGCGGATCCCAACAGCAGCAAGCGTACTGGCCCATCCACTGTACTGGATCGCGCAGTTATGGAGCACAATGTTCTCGCATGTTCAAAGATTTATAGCAATATCTCCTTCCGTGGACTTGGTGCCCTCTTGGATTTGACCCCAGGCGCCGCAGAGACAATGACGAGGAAGATGATGGAACAAGGACGGCTGAAGGGTACCATTGATCAAGTAGAGAAACTGATTTGGTTTGACGTTAGCAGTGAGGATGATGATGCACAAGGCAAGGCAGGTGGATTGGGTGATGTCGAACAAGCCACTGAAGATACAGGTGCACCATTCACCAAACGATGGGATATGCAGATCCGTCTGACCGCAGCTAATGTAAGTATAGCAATGCTCTGTTCTATCTTGATCTCTCTGACATATCCTTGTCATAGGTTGAGTCGATCGTACAGCATCTGACAGACAGGGGACTGGTCAAATTCGCCACAGCACAAGCATGACATGTATTATACGAGATATCCTGATGACTGACAGCGGTAACGACGTGATGGAAAACGAGAGCATGTGTACAAATATTACATTGTGCGATGAATGCGATAGATGAAAGAGAAAGCAAATGTAACGAGAAGGACAATCCATATGATATCGGTGACTGGTTACTACTGCGTCCCGCCAGTTCCCGAAGCCTCAGTCCGCCTACGCTTCCTGGCTCGTTCACGCTTAGTCTCCAACTCGTGCCATTCGCCTTCAAGACCAGCCAGTCTTCAAGAAAACGAAATCAGTACGTTGTGAGGGATATGAAGAAAGACCTGAACACACCCAGTAGGAAGCTCCGGGGCAGGCAGCTCCTGTTTAAAGTAAGTCGCTTCCAACGCTTGAACGGCGTTTGCACGGTTTGCAGGATTGAACGTGAGCAGGTGCTCAGCGAGGTCAAGACCAGCCGGCGAAAGCCATCTGTATCCTCGGTGTTAGAACAAAACAAGCCTTCTGAAAGACGAAACATACTTCTGAAAGAGCTCTCGGAAGTGATTCGGTATGTGGTCTTTAGGTTTGACCAACTCATACCAAGGTAAGCTAGCCACCCCGGGCCACCGTTCAGGAGTGGGCGTGCCAAGTATCCTGTAAATGACATCCAGTTGGTGGATTTCGTCGTTGCCCTGGAAGACTGGCTTCTTCGTGAACAGCTCAAGCATAATACATCTGAGTAAAGTTCTTCAATATTGAAACGAAAAGAGACGATGTTCAGGAAACTCACCCTGCACTCCACATGTCAACTTCTGGACCGTAGACAGTGGTACCGAAGAGCAACTCTGGAGGTCTATACCATAAAGTGATCACACGATTCGTGTAATCACTTCTGCGACGCTTCTGGTAGAAGCGTGCTAGTCCGAAGTCACCCAACTTGAGCTCGCCACGATTGTTGATCAAGATGTTCGAACCCTTTATGTCACGGTGAATGACGCCCTTATGGTGAAGGTACGCAAGTCCCGCCAGCATCTGCTGACACAATGACTTGAGATGAGCATCGGTAAAGGAAAACTGGCTTTGTGACAGAATCCCCGTCAAGTCATGGTCCATGTACTCGAACACCATATGAACTTCACCTGGAATACTGAAATCAGAAGGATGTCATACTAGTGAAGAGGAGAGATCACTTACCCTTGCAGACCACCATCTCGTACAGCCGTACAATGTTGTTGTGGCGTAAGGACTGCAGAAGCTTGATTTCCCGCATGGCGGTCACCGGGAATCCATCTCGCTCTCCCTCCATTCGTATTCGTTTAAGAGCAACGAATTTCCCAGTATCCGTGTTACGAGCCTTATACACCTTGCCGAACGTACCCTCACCAACTTGTGAGAGGAAAGTATATAGCTCGCCTTTCGAACTTCGCGGTGACGACGGCCTAGTATCAACTGGAGTGAAAACTTGTTCTTGCATCTGCATCTGCATCTGAGAGATGGCGTGTGGTAGGTGATGGGGATCGCTGACTCGAGAAGGTAGATGTTCGTCATGAGCGGGCGTGCGGCGTGCGGGCGGCCCTGGAGGGGAGAAGACCATGGGAGAAGGTTGGTCATCTTGGCGATACTGCAAAGAATCCAGCCGGTCACCTGGTGTTGCATGATAGAAACCATTCTGCTGTCGTTGCGGTTGCGTATTCTCCAGAGGTGGTCGATACGCTTCAGCAGGTGGAATATAAGGAGGCTTCGCCATCGAACTAGAGGCTTCACGAAGAGTGTCTTGCCCACTATCATCGTCACTCCCAGGGAAGAACCTCTTCACAGCTGAACTCGGCGGCGCGATCGGTTTGAAACCTGCGTTCCTCCCAGGTGCCAATCGAGATGGACCGGAGAGCGCATCAGACCTCTGCGGTGAAAGAGCGCCGAAGTAGGATGTGGACGGTGCAGGCGGCAAGTCCCAGGAATTCGATATATTCGAAGGAGGCAAGGTAGGAGGAGGCATAGTACCTGCAGCTGCTACTGCAGCAGCCGCTGCCGCTTTGCGAGCCTGTTTCTGTTTCCGCTAAGAACCAATCAGAATCGCAGTCCATACAATAACAACGAATAGAAAACTACCTTCCCATTCGCCTTTCCATTTCTCTGAGCACCCTCCGGTCGCATCGGCAAACCAGATACTCGCGGTAATGTGGTCTTGCCTATCTTGACATCGTTGAGAGAGGTGGCCACAGGTAAACGGTGAACCGCCCTAGGCCTTTCCTTTGGACTCAAGCTCGGGGAACGACTAAGGGTACGCGTCAGACTGCGACTACGACTACGAGTCCGGCTTCGGCTTCGACTTCGACTTCGACTGGGACTTCGCTTTCGGATTGGGGTTCGACTTCGAGTCCGACTCCGACTCCGACGACTGTAGCTCGATAGAGACGACGGAGTACGCCAACGTCGAGGTGGAGGACTGCGATAACTGCGAGGGGTCCTGGGGGACGTTGACGGCGATCTGGAATAACGACGGTAGGTTCCCCTACCCCGCCGATCGTCGGGTGAGCGACTGCGTCTGCCATATGAACGACTAGGTGATCTCCGATGACTTCGACCATAAACAGGAGAAAGCGATCTTCTGGGAGAGGATCGACGTGAATAATAAGAATCCGGCGTTTTTGAGCGAGAACGAGAATGCGATCGTGAAGGTGTACGAGGTGGTAGTTTGCGTCCGCGATTGACAGTTTTGTTCGAAGTGGAAGATGGCCTATCTCTTCGCGTCCAACTAGGGGAGGCCGCATGAATAAGACAGCAAATAGTACCAAGGGGTACTCACTTATTGGGATTTGAATCGTCGTTACGCCAATCATACCTCTGTTTGTTCTGCAGCTGATTGGTATTCTGCTTCTTGCCCTTACCAGTCTTGTTTCGATTGTGATGTTTACGCTGGCCCTGCTTGCCCGGTCGATTGTTGCTGTTGTTCATGTTGCCTACTGTATCGTTGACAGTCGACCGCCACGACGCTGCAGGCTCCCATGACCTATCTTCATTGTCCAGTTGAGACTTGCCCACAGCGTCGTCAGCCTGCTGGCGAGGGGCCACTTCCGCATTTGCTCGCCTGCGGGATTCCCAACCATTGTCGCTCTGAAACTCCTTTGGTGCGGAATCCTTCTTATTAGTCCTGTTCCACCCCGAGTCTCTAGGCTTTTCCCGAGAATCCCAACGACTACGACCCCGTTGGTGCCCTTGTTGGCCACCACGCTCTTCTCTTGGAGACCACTGACTGTTGCCAGCGTCTCGAGACGTATCCGCATTCCTTGGTGCCCATGCAGAATCATCGTGGTGAGGATAGTCAGCATCGTAAGGTTGTTTCCATTGCCTAGAAGAATATTCAGGGTCTTTACTGGGTGTCCACGCGCTGGGATCGTAGTCATCCCGAGCTCCTCGACGATGTTTATCCTTCGACGGTGAGTATGAGTAACGGTCTTCAGCCGGGCGCCATTCGTCCGCCCCACGTCGGTTGTGTGACGAAGGACCATCTCCTCTCATGTCGTATCCAGTTCTTGGTGGTGGTGTTTTTCTGTAGTAGTCCTGAGTTCGAGAGCGATGTTGAGAGATGGAAGTCGGAAAGGAACCAGGGTCGTAGCCCCGTGTGACCAATAATGGTAAAACCACCCACCTCATCGTCTTCGGCATCCTGATGTCGTTTTGACCAACCTTGAGCGGATTGCATTTGAATTGTCGTCCAAGTTGGCGGGAACGACAGCGAGAGTGACTGGCAGAGAGAAGAACGGAACGTCGAACGTTGAACGCTGATGTTACGTGTTTGTGCGTTGAAATGCAAGGTCAAGGGTTCCCCCGTGGACTGGCGTGAGGATCCTTGTAAATTTCGCAACAATTTTTGAGGACCCGGGTCCTCTTAAGTTCACTTAATACGCAGTCGCAAGTCCGACGGATATATCGTGAGTCTCGTTTTGGTCCAAGCGAAAAGGTCCAAGACTGTCACCGGCATCAGCAGGCTTGTCCGAGTCGAACAGCACCAGCACTGTGGAAGGTAAGGCCCTACTTACATAGACAAGATCTTGAGAACGGGGCCTTGAAAAGACGGGAAAGGTGAGATTATAAGTTAGGTGGAAACAGTTGCGTTGATCCACCGGTACTAGCAGTAGTTGTGGTCGACGCTGAGTCAAGCTCTATGAGAGCGTAAGACAAGGAGTAATCCATGGCCCATCCCGCAGATGATCCTCCCAAAACTCTCGTCACATCTCTTGTACACTTCAAATGTTATTGTCTACGACAGTGAAGATACGAAATAGACAAGGAAAGTGGTATAGAGATTTATACCAATAGGAGCCTATGAGGTTGCCGGGACGAGGAGGTGGCGTGTTATTGCTCAGCAGCCCTCAGTTGCGGCTTGTAGCGAGGCGATCGGTCCGTTCACGAGGATCGTGCAGATTTTGCAGCAATACTGTAACGCTAGACAACCAGGCAATATGATATACAGGCAAAAATATAGAGCAGCTATAGTACGAGTTTCCAGCCTATTGATACACATGTCCAGAATAAGGAAAAAAAGGAGTAGGATCACTGAGTGGTACATTCATCGCCGTCGATCCCAGCTCGACGCGCAACTCGGGCATACATCATCAACGTTGCAAGGTCGACCCTTCTTGAAGACGACTCTTCATTGTGGTTTATTATGGCATCTGAGTTCTCAAGACGGGAGAAGGCCGATTGTCCATGGGTAGGTGCAAACAGCTAATGGCGGTCATAGTTGAGTGGTCGGTTTGCATCAAATGATAAACACACGCTCACCTTGACAGTAGTGTCGATCCCGCTGACGGCTATGAGGGGCAAATAAGGATGTCCCTCAATAACATTGACAACATGTCCGTCGCCCTCCAAGATGTCGCACAGTTTGCCAGAAGCCTTATCCCATATGAAGAAATTGCCGTCGTCGGAGCCCGACACCACAAACTCATCAGAGGGACCGAGGAAGTTCACATCCTTCACTGTCTCGATATTGCAGGCTCCTGTGTATTTGCGACAGGGGAGAATGATTGGGACATTGGTGAACGATTCAGCACCACCGCCTTCATCGTCGTCATCATCTTCTTCTACCATATCCTCATCTTGATCCTCCCGCACACCCTCTTGTTCATGTGAACCTGTCGATCCCTCGCCATCTTGTGATTCGGATGCGCCTTGAGACAGAAAGTGGTCGATATCCTGTTCCATGAGGGTGTCAAGTTGGTCCAGAGACATTCGTCTGGGGGTTTCTTGCATAGACATTTCAGAATCTGCGTTCTGTCTCGGTGATGGTCGCTGCGAGCCCTTGTCATTGGATGCAAGGATACCACCTTGGAAGGCCGAAGGCTCATGAGGATCGTCGCGAGTTGAGTACAAATAGACAGCATCGGTACTATATGCTACAGCCGGGGAATTAGACTTTAAGCTCGTCAGCCTAATGACAGAACAGGAGATCACATACAACATAAAACCTAATCAAGATCTTATTAGTTCCAAACGTACAGCGACATTTGATTGGTTTCTCACCTCGTGTCCATTATCAGAGGCCATTCGAACACCAGTGATATGGGGATACCCTCGACTTTCACCAGGTGACCTTGCTTCTCGCCCGAATCGACGCACGCAAGTCGTGACACTACGAGAGTCCGGCGGCATGCCCCATTCTTCTTCGAGGTGTCGGCCAATTTGTCTTCTATCAAAAAGGAAGCCCTGCAAAGGTAGCATTATGGCCATGCATAGTGAGATAAGCAGGTACGAAATGGAAACATACGTATGGTGATTCCCCTGCGACGACGAATTGATACGGGGTGAGGGGCGACATTGACAGTGTCGAGAGTGAATGACTGAACTCTACAAGAGGGGCAGGACATTGGTTGTTCTGACAGTTGTGGTGCGCCCGAAGGTCATGTTGACGAACAGTTCCATCCTGTCGTCCAAATAAAAGATGAGGAAAATAGGTCGTGACATCTCTGTCAAAGAGTAGACTTGAAGTGGAACGTACCTCTGAAACAGTCAGGAATACATCAGGGGTCCCTTCCGTTGTTATCCTCTTGACAGAATCAGAATGACACCGTAGTATTCTAACATTGGCTTGCCGAGCAGTATACAGGGTCTCACGACCATCCCCAGCCTGGCTCACGATGTCGCCTATGTCAAATATTCTGACTTGCTTGTCACCCGCTACGGAAGCACTATACATTAGAAACTGTCAGAAGCCAAAGTACACGGGGGCTGCTTCGGAGGCACGTACATGCGATTAGAGTGGGGAAGCATCTGTGTATTGAATATATTGGCACGGTGACCTGTGCGTATGACGGCGTCACAGACATATGGGTATTCTTTCGTAGTGTCCGACGAATCGAGTCGCCATATTCGTACCCTGTAACACACATTAGAAGAGGTTTCAAGGATACAATTGAGGGTTTGATACACACGAGGTGTCATCGCCACCACTTAAAAGTAACTCGCCGTCTTTAGCCCAACTGAGGGCGTTAACGCATCTGAAGGGGGTAAACTCCTATCATTAAAAGATAGAGCTTAATAATAATGTACACTCACCCGGTATGTCCAGTCAAGACATTGACTCTGTCCAGCTTACTACAGTAAGCATTACTTTGGAGATGCTTCTTCCAGGATGAGGACCGTTTAGAGGTCGGAAGACTAGTAGATAGCCTAGAAGCAACCGACCAAGCGTTACATATCTGTGAAGGTGAAGAACCCGCTTCCATGTGAGTTCGTTGATTAGTTTGTACGTTAAAGGGTTGAGGTTGTGGTATGAGAGAACATATGTGCTTCAGATAGACTTCGGAGTAGCAAACTATGAATGCTGCTCGGCACGACGGAAACAGATCGAAGTCCAGAGCATGATCGGATGGCATCATCGCTTGCTACAGCCAGTTTAAGAACTCAAGCAAATCCTTCATCATGCTTCCATGAACAAGCAAAATTTAGGCCTGGAATTATAATATCACAAACAAGAACTGCGTATAGTACAAGGGAAGTACGGGAATGTTCCTCCAAATGAATGCAAGGTAATCACGATAACGCTGAACGCGTGAAAAGCAACACAGTTAACTTATCTAAACAGCCTTGGCAAAACCAACAGCATTCCTGCCGAGGTCGTAGACTGTATAGTATCGGCGGAGGAAAACGTCACCTGCATAAACAATATTAAGCTTAATTCCAAGGCGGCTCTTATATTACTTACCAATAATCCAGAGCGCACCACCTGGGACGTTGATATCCAATCCAGTGAAGGACGAAATACAAGTGCCTTGTACCTCCAAAATATAGTCGGTCGCCTTGAGGGGGTAGGGTTTACCGTCGAAGGTGAAAGTAAGATCAGGAAGATCAGGGACAGTGGAGCAGTCCACGGTGTATTGGCCGTTCCAACCGCGCTTGGCACCAATCTGAGTGTTGATCATCTCAGCGACGTCAGTAGGGAGAGCAATGAGCGAAGTTCCTGTCGTATAGTCAGCATGTGTGTCCGTGCGGACCCACAGTCAGATACTTACCGGTGTCAATGGCGGCGCCTGTGTTCTCGAGTTCGAGAACATCATCGCCAAGAGTAACTTGATTCAACTCGACTTCCCAGTAAGCCTTGCGACGGACAGGAGCGTATACAAGAGCACCAGAATACGCGCTCTCATCGACGCCTCCAAAGATCGCCTCGCCCCCATCCTCCTCAGACGAGCCAAGGCGGAAGGAGAATACTGGTGAATCAATGAGACCTTTGTTGATCAAGTTGTAGAAGGGAGGGGTGATGTGGTTGACCGAGATCGTGTCATACGCGAGACCAAGGATACCGTCGAACCTGCAGTCAAGTGCATCAGAACGCTTCGTAAAACGATTATGTCAGGATACTTACTTGCCGAAAGCAAAGGCAAGACCGGGTTCTTTCGTTGCCTCAGCGAAGTCCTGGCCTGTAATGGTCAAATCACCAATTCTCAAAACATCGCTCGACACGAAACCCTCCATGGACCCAGAGCCGTATTGAATAGAAAACTCGGTACCATTCGCCTTGTATGTAGAGGACTGCTTCGAGTCATACTTGGCGTGGAGGAAGCAGGCAATCGAGGTACACTGGACGCTAGGCACCCACAGGTTGCTCGAACTGGCGTAATGTCAGTCATCGAGCAAGGACACGTGCTCTGGAATTAACCCACCCAGTATCCAGGATAACCTTGAACTGCAGACAAGTATATATTAGGCGTACGCATGATTCGAGGCGAAACAATTACGCACAGTCTGAGGAGGAGTACCTAGGCTGATCTCGGTGTAGTACTGCGCGTTCAAGTAGTCTAATTGGGAACGTTACTATGTTGACGTGCGTTGGTTGGAACGTGGGACATACTTGTGAGGGGCACATTGTGGCCGCCGTCGACATTGAACTCCTCCTGAGTCCAAAGGAGTTCCTCGCCATTCCGGTGCGAGGGACGGGTGACGCGGACATTGCGGCCTAGGCCACCAGCACCTATCATTGAGAGTTGAGGTGCACCACCATACTTCTCAGCGAGATACGCGGTCTCGAGGATCGGGTTCTGTGCAACAGGCTGGAGCTTCTTGAGCTTGAGCTTGTGAATGCCCTCTGCAGCAACAAAGGGAATGATAAGCAGGGGAGCAAGGCGAGAGAGAAACATGGTGGTTGCGAGGCAGAGACGTCCAACCTGCACCGTTCTTAACTGCGGGGGTGAGGTGACGTTGGCTCTTCGCATTTCGACTTCCGCCACCCAAAGAGGCAACTGATTCCCATTCTGGACGATTCAGACTTGCACCAGCTCCCACATGCATGAGGCAAGCTCATTTCAGGGTTCAGTGCTACCACTTGGCTAAAACCAACACCCATGTTCGCGTCGTATTGAAGGAAATATCGCACAGAACTAGCTTGAGCTTTCATTCTCTCGTGCCATGTCTGCTACCCGTCAAAGACGGACCAACGACGTCTCCGTAACGGAATTAAGCAACTTGGAGCGCCTCATTTTCTCTCAAGCTGTTCACGAATTTGGCTCCAATTCCTGGGTAAATGTCGCGAAATTGCTGTCCAAGCACCCGCTGCTTTCGCGTCCGAAACACTTCTTCACACCACAAGTTAGTAGCAGCGTTTCTCCTTACTGTGACCCATGCGAACTAAAGCAGTAACATTGCACCCTAGTCGTGTAACCTCATCTATCGCCACCTCATGGACTCTGCTGGATTGATTAGGTATGTACCGTGCTTGTGATAATTACGTATCCTAACAGGACATTCCGCAGCTCCGATTCCGATTTACATCCTCGTTGTGAGTAACATGTGGTTAATTCTCTGAAATCCACGACTCATGGACACCAGCACCGGCGCATTTGACACTGGCAAGGAAGCATTACGATGCTCGAATCGTCGAGCTCCGCGGGCTGATAGCTTCGGAGGAGCACAAATTCAAGTAGGTAAATTCATACACGTAGAGGAGTTCCTCTCAAGCGAAATTGCTTCAGGACCATTGTGACAGAAATCGATGAAATTCGCTCCGGAAAATGGGACAACAAGATCATGGAGAATCTAGGGATCAAGCCCGTCATGGAAGAGAAACCGCTAGTGAACGGTGATTTGCAACATGCGAAAGAGGTTTGTGTTCTAACTATGCCTAGTTGACGAAGGCTCATGTCATTTCAGGTTGCTGGCGGACTGAGCCCCCAAGCAGCACTTGAAGCGATCGTTGAGAAAACGCCAAGCCCAGTCCCAGAAATACGGCCCTTTCAGGAACCTCCCACGGCGGAGCTGAAAGAGTCGCACACAGAGGTTGAAACTGTAAAAGGACCAATAGCTGTAGAGGAGGCCGTACCTGAGACGCAAGAAGGCATGAGCCCGAAGCCGACACGTGCTGAATCCATTCCGATTGAACCTGAGGTATTGCCATATGCATTGTACCTATGTAATTCTTATCCCTTCATCCCAGGTAACACCAGAGGAAAGCGTACAACTCGAGGCAGAACCAGAACCCGCTCTGGAAGAGCAAGCGATCGAGGAAACGGCTGCACCTCTAGAGGTTCAAGAAGAAGCCGAAGTCTCTGTCTCTGTGAAAGCCGAATCACCGTTTGCCGTTGAGGTCTCCGAGCTACGTGAAGAGGGACCGGAAGTGATCGAAGAGCCAGAGGCTGTAATGGCTGAGGTTGTGAGCCCAGAGACTATCGAACCTCTTGAGGCCGAGCTTCCTCGCGATGGTATGCGCGGACGAACGACCGATTGGCTAGTTACTGACCGTATTTCTAGGTAAGAGGAAAGCCGCTGATTTGGAGGGGACTCCGGCAGCGGAAGGGCCGAGGAAACGCGCTCGCGAAGAGTCCGAAGCAACTGAAGGGGAAGAAGCAGGTAGGCTTGATTTCATTTCAAACGGTACATTTTGATTCATCTGGTCGTTCCCATAGGACCAAGTCCCGTCACGAAGCTGCGAAGGAAGAGCACTACTGAAGCCCCAGTTATCTCCAAGAAGTTCCAGAACGTCATCGGGATGCTTCACAGTACGATTTCTCAACATCGCTATGGCAATATCTTCCACAATCCGATCAAGAAATCCGAAGCTCCAGACTATCACGATATCGTGAAACGACCCATGGATTTGAAAACTATCAAATCTCGAATCAAGGATGGCCTAATATCGAATTCTCTGGAATTCCAACGGGACGTGTATCTTATGTTTGCCAATGCAATGATGTATAACCGACCTGGGTCGGAGATCTACAACATGGCTGAAGAGGTAATGCGTCCATTTCCCACTTCATAAAAACATTCAACTTGTACTGACTGCGACACAAACAGATGATGTTGGAGAGCGAAGCTCACATCAATACCTTTCGACAGACAGAGGGGTTCCATCGTCTGTAGTATCGTAATATTCTTGTTGTACATTAAATAATGCTACAAATACACACGTGTCGTGAGAAATCCTATCATTCAAAACATGAAAGCACGAAAGCCGAAAGCAAAAGATACGCCTAAGAAAAACTAGAACCAGGGAGTGAACATCTCAGTCATTTTCAGAAGCAGGATGGGGTTGGTAGCAGTCGAGATTAAGTCTGTCGCCAGCTTGAGAACAGGTATTGAATTAGGTCCGATAGCGCCTTGAGTCTGTGCCTACATATACAGTAAGTTTGCGTTGTCAAAATGTGGCAATTAAGAATAGCGTACCTGTTCTCTCGCGACGCTGCACGCTGCGATTTCCGCCCGTTTCACCACACCGTCGATACATGCTGCAACCTTGTTGCGGAAGGAAATATCGGACGTGGCCCAAGGTTCTCTGCGGGTGTGCAACCAAGTCATCACCTCATCTCTGGCGAACAGGCACAGTTGCTGATCGAGTTCATACTACAAAATGTTGTTAGGAAGGATCGTAACCATGATATATACACGAAAGCTTACCTCTGGATCTGTGAGACTCCGCGCAACAGATACCAAACCGGCCGTCATTAGACCTTCCAAGTAAATAGGGCCGATAAAGTGTTGCATATTGGGCGTGAGGCGGAAGGGAACGGCATCGTTGGAACCGAAGATGGGTGCGTTATTAAGCATTCCTACGTTCAGATACGGTCAGCTTTACCATGAAATGCGACGTAAAAGTTTATAAGCATACCTGGAATCATCTCACTCATGGCAATAAGACCGGTGGTACGAGAGATGTGGAAGCGTGCAGGCACTCGACTTGTGAGGCATAGAATGAATGTCATGAAACTGGCGGTAGCAACTTGCAAGGCGAACTGCTTGCGCATCAGCCACAGTTCGCTAGGACTATCCATTGTACGAATCATATACTGCGAAAGTTAACGATGAGAAATTGCTTGAATCGGACTAAGGCTAAGGAACGTACGCGAGTGACGACATCCTCTGGGGCAATCTTTGCAGTGACTTCATCGAACAGCTCCTTTTTTAGCGTCAAGTATTCACCCTTCGATGGCTGTAAAAGCAAGGTTAGCTTCTCCTGTTTTCTGACTGAACGAAATACATACATTCCGCTGATTGTTTTGCCTGAAATCCCGCAGAGCAATTCTGGCTTTCTCGCCGACCAGGAAGATAGCGTCTTCAGTGGTAAGACCATTGCTCTTGCAGTGCTGCTCGTAGATATCGAACAGAGTGATGTAGGAGGAATCATTCTCTAGCAATCGGAGACTGGGCCCACAACAAACTGCAGCTGGAATGTGGAACCGGAGATTGCGTTTACGGCTCTCCTTTTTGCGGTATAGCACTCTGGAATGTCCGTGAAGATCTCAGTAAGTACAGCGACGATAAACATGACTTACCCGTTGAAAGTGCGGAATAGTTGCATCACTCGCTCCTCCCTTCGCGTATGTCGACCAGAAGGCAGCTGCACGGCGAAGGATGTCTTGGAGTTGTCGTTGCCGTGAATGGTGATCCTTCGCCAACAATACCCATGTGACCGGCAATTCTCGAACTTGGGATCGAACTTCTGAATTCTGACGAAGTTCTGGTTCGTGTTCTTGTCCTATAGAGGGCATGAGAAAACCGCCGACCGACTGACTGTGGATTGACACATACCTCTGTGTACTGTCCGGGAACTTCAATCTCATCGAATTTATTGTATTGGAAGTCAGTGAGGAAATGGCTTAGCATGTCCAAAGACTGAATACGGGGCCGACTGTCCAGCTGCTTCTCGTATTTGTCACGCCACTGTTGGAGTCGACGGATGTAGTCATGCAACGACAACTTCGTCTTCAAGAAGTCTTCGTCGTAATCCCTCTACATGAGCGCATCAGTTTCGTTCCTGAGTGACCATCTGGTAGGGTACTTACACGAGCCTGGCCAGCTAGATTTGATGCCAACCGAGTCAGAGACGCGACAGTTTGAGGCGATAAAGAACCATCGTCGTCAATGACCGCCATTCGTAAAACGTACTGATGCACTGCGTCTTGAAGCAGCATACAGACAAATCGGTAGTAATCTTCTTCGGGACTTGCTTTGAACCTTGCACCAATCTGCTCAACAATAGTTTCCATGCTCATGATGAGTAGAGGGAAGGCAGTCTTGAGGATCTGCACGACTTCTTCGACATAGTCCCAAGATTGTCGCATCGGATTCTGCAAGTTGATGTCAGTGAAATTGTTCTAAAGTTGATAGATTTCGTACGAACAGAAACAGCAGTGTGAACGGCATGAGCGGTGCCATTGGCATCCTCAGTTACGTTCGGCTTGACGTCGGAAGCCGACTCTGCATCTTGCATGGGATGATCAGGGTCACGCTTCACCTCTCCTGGCGTTCCAGAAGCAGAATGACTTTGACTCTGCGCTCGAGGAGTTGCGGCAGCTTGACGTTTGAGTAGCATCATCTCCTCCCGGGTTGTACGCAATGGGAAGAACAAGGCCTACAAAGAATCAGATCAGAGGAAAAGATAACGAGTTATGCTGAAACATACTTGTGGATACAGCTTTGCCAAATTCAACAAGATGTAACGAGCTTGTTTTACCTCCCGTTGCGAGATGGACAGACAAAGCTGGGGTATAAGAGTGATCCAGTACCAGAACGCGGCATCGCCTTTGTAGGTGTCGAAATTGCGCGAGATCGTGAACTGATTATCGTCTACACTGAGTAGCCATAGGACTCGAACTAGTAAGGGCCGGCTCTTGTGATTCTTGTAGAGGCCTGCAGCTTGAAGATAGCAACTAACAGCACTGGCGGCGTGCGACATTTCTGTCGGATGCTCCTTGAACATCCGATCGTTGAACCTGCCCCAAGAGGCCCATGCCTTTGCCTGCGTCATATCCAGTTGTACAGCCTGGCCGAAAGCCTGATTCGCCTCTTCATTTCGACCAAATTTGGCGTGGAACATGCCCTTCAGGGTGTAAAATTCGGCCTTCTGATTCGTGGAAAAGTACATCAAGTTAGTGTTGTTGATGACCTCCAATCCGGCCTGCAAATCTCCAGGTTTTTGATAGTGACATCGAGCTTGTTCGCGCAGCTTCAGGAAGGCCTCCGAAATCTCGATGTTGGGCAGGGTATAGATCTTATTGAGGGAATTGAAGCAAACATCCAAAAGGTCATGCTTTCGAGCGACGTGGGCGAAACGATTGATGATCCACGCGGTCTCGTGGTATCCTCGATATCCGTAGGTGTTTGTACTTCCAGCAGCGGCACCACCTTGATTGGGTGTGATCAATGGAATATAGGCTTTGTTGATAGCATTGAAAACATTCTGGCGCCATGCAACAAGATCACTCCAAATGCTGATATCGTCACTCTGTTCCGGAAGACGTTCACGCCATGCCTGCAGGACCATCTTCAGATCTTGTGACTTTTTCTCCAGATTTGCCGCTGTTGTCGTCGTCAAAGAACCAAAAATTTGCACAGCCTCTTGCAATTCTACGAATTGCTGGAAGTGTTGTAAGAGCGGAACATGAGCATGTGTAAGCTGAGGAGGAAGAGTGATCCATTTGCGTAGGGACAATTGCATGGCATCCTCGAGGAGTCGCGTGAAGTCGGTATTATTCTTGTCTCGTTCCGTCGCACTGGAGGTCTTCAACAAGGATATGAATGCCTCAAACACGCGTCGACGTGGTGTGGCCACATCGGGAAGTTGGCTGATCTGTTCCTCCAACGACTCCCAGTTCTCTGGCCAGTCCTTGATTCGCCAAGCACTTTCCAGGAGTAGTTCATGATTGTTCTCACTCCGGGCAAGTTCATATAAAGTGTCCCATTGTTGCAGTTTTTCCGCCGCTAGGATCCAGTGATCCTCCCATAGGCAGTACTCCGGTTCCGAAAAGGGGATGATACCTGCTCGAGCCTTGCTTTGTGCAGTCTCGTAGAGATTCTCCGCCTGTTCCCACATGCCAATCTGTTCGTACGACAGAGCTTCACTCGTTTCCGTATGCAGACTTCGTCTTCGCCACAATCCGTAGAACATGTCCTCTTCTCCCAGTTCCGCGTACACCTCCGCCAGAGAGTCGAAAACCGTTTCTCGAACAATGAGTTCATCCTCTCGGACATGGTCTAATGATGCTTGTAGAAGCTCAATTGCCACGTGCCACGCACCAAAATTCTTCGCGAGATACTTCACCAGATGTGGAGGAAGCGTGAGTGGTGGAGAACAAGCAAGCGCACCAGTGAGAAGCGTTTGAATAATGTTGGGCCGCAAATCGGCTTGGTTGATATGGTAGTCTTTGCTGAGTAGCGTGATCATATGGTGGTTGATATCAACTTGTTCTCTGCGGGACAGAGAGCTCCAAACAGCAGGGAAGATTGATATCCATGCCTCATGGGCAGCTGTGGAATCGAGGAACAGCAACCTTTGCATCGGGCGAATCATTGCCGAAGCCCGGCCAAGTGCAACTGGGAGAGGGGCAGAACCAATTTTTCGTTCAGACGAGATGCTCTGTTCACCGTCAAGACTTCCAAGGAGAAGGTGCAGGGCGAGATAAATCCAATGATGGTCAGCAAGCGGCTCCCAGCTTTGAGAACCTAATATGTAGGATAGACGACTGAACAGGGAGCGAGGGACGCTGACATCCAGAAGATCAATGAAGCGCTCCCGTAGTCTCGCATCCGTTGACCTGCATCCCAGAAGGAAGGATTGCTCGAGGCGCACAGTAAGGTCACTCCGACGAAGAGTGGTGTCCGTGTAGATGTCGTATACAAGTTCGAGGTAATTGTTGAACAGAACCTCACCCCGTTCCCCGCGTAGTTCGAACGTGGTCATTCGCCCTAGTAGAGTTGCCTTTTCCTTCATCGTCGGAATAGGTTCCCGCCTATTCAATGCCCAATCGCGTGCTAGATCGAGCAGATATCGGCACATTGTAACACTCTTAGACTTCTCCACCAGTGCGACAAGTGATTGCAAGAGGAATTTTCTCTGCTCGCCCAGATGTGCCACAGCAAGCTGTGAGATATCCAGTATTTGCGTAAGTAACCGTACCAGAACTTCGAATCCCGGCGTCGAAGGCGAAGATTGAAGGTGATCTCGAGCCTTGATGGCAAGAAGCTTCATCAGAGGTGCGCTGAAAGATTCAACACGCTCCGGTGTCACCTGCACAGCTGATTTGAGCATTAGAAGAACTCCTCGGAGGTTGCTGCCGTTACGCAGACCGTCAGACACTGTATTGTGGATATAGCTGTGGAACTCAGCCACGGGCCCTTGTAATTCCTCGTCTTCTTTTGGAAGAGGGAATAGATGTACCAATCGATCAAAGACCGGATGCAAAGCTTCGAGCAAGGCCCCATCGTCAGTGACCATGCCCTTCTTAACCAACTTGGTGAGAATGTCGACATTCTCGGTATACCATGAATCATCTTTCTCAGCAGCGACGACCTGCAATACTTTGGCGGCGCTCACAGCTTGGGCAAGGGCTTGGTCGCTATTGAGTTCATTCTACGCGATGTTAGTACCTGTGGGTAATTCGACAGCGGTGCACTCACCTGGTGTAGCGTGCGAGCGAAGAAATGAAGTTGGACGTTTACATCCGTCCATCCATTTGTGGGGCTGATAACGGCCTTAAGGAGAGACAATGCACGTGTGGTCAACCCACTTCTTGGTTGAGGGTCTTGACCGGCTATTCTCACTAGGTAACTGACCATCGACTCGCGGAAAGCGAGTGGGGTAAGCCAGGTCGCCGAGTGGCCTACATCATCGTCGGAAACGGCGTCCTCGTCCGCATGAGCAGATGAAGCCTGTTGCTCCCAGTCGAAGATCACTTGCAACAAATCAATGGAGAGTAGGCGCATGTCCGAATTCGCTCCCGTTGTCAGACCTAGCTTTGGAAGATAGTTGACGATATGAGGAACGAACAGAGCCCGCACAGGATAGAAGAGCGCGGGTTGACGTATGATTAGCTGGTATATCAAGATAATTTGTGACCAACCACTGCCTTCTTCCGCCAGAATTCGTCTTGTAGTCTTGGCCCACTGCGGGAAACCGGGTTCGGAAGATTGACTGCGCGCTAACACGGGAGCGAGGATGTCCAGAGCTTGACGAATGAGAGACTTGCCTTCCACCTGGGGTGGACGAAGAAGCCCAGTCCATACCCGCAGAATGAACTTCTGGGGACCAGGGAATGCCTCGAAGAATCGAGCAGCGAGTAAATAGGCGGTTTGCTTCACGACGGGATCTTCGCTTGTGATGAAATGCCAGGCACACTTGATGATATCCTTCTTCGCATCTTCTAGCAGGTCGGGATACTTGTGGACCATAGCAGTTGTCAGGTAAAGAAGCTCGATCGTGAAAGTATCTCCGGCCTCGGAAAAGGTGGTGCTGTCATTCATAGGTATCCATATATGACGGTGAATCCAGTTGACAATATCCTGATCAAGGAGGCCCTCTTTTGGCGACTTCGACGCTTGAATCAGGAGGGTAGGGGTGACGATGAATCGGAGCACGTGGGTCTTCTGGGTCCACGTAATGGCCGGATTCACGAACCAAAGCTGGAACCTGATTAGAACATTGCGTCGATACATCAGGCTGTCATTCAGAGCGACATGCCGATAAAGAAACTGCGCGGGTCGAACAAGATCGAATGGTTGTTCGCGAGCGAAAACAGACACCATTTCGAAAAGGAGGTCAATGCGAGGAGATTGCTCCGATGCCCGGACGAAAATCGAAAGTATGAGAGAGTACCGTTGGTTCAGCTCGCTCTGCAATATGGAGTTACGTTCCTGCAAGGCGGATTCTATCCTCCAAAGGTTCACGAGTGTATGCACAACATACGGATTGTCCGTCAGCCACCCCGGGACCAGATCCGCCAAGTCTGAACAGAGCATCAGCCCAGGCAGTAACAGTGCAGGATCTCTGCGCTCTAGACATCCCGACACTATGATTGAGGTCCGAGACACGAGCTCTCGCAAAAGGTTTGGTGCAAGCTTTGCTTGTAGGATACTTCTGAAGGTCCGAACATGACGAGGGAAGTGAAGATGTCGTATGAAGAAGTCGATAGCTTCTACGGGGTAACGGTCAAGATACTTGGCCAGTGGTTCGGAGAAAGGACTCTGGCCAGAGAAGTGCATGTGCGACTCAGTTTGCACGATGGCATTAACAAGATTCTCAAGGAAGACGTGGGCAGCGGGGGGAAGCAAGTGGAAAATGTTCGCCAGTCTGACCAACTTCGTGATGTTTTCATTCTCCGTGACAGGCAACTTCGACGAGGCTTGCAAAGTCTGAGGATCAGCAACAATACGGAAATGATCTAGCAGCTTGTTGCCGATCTCAACCTTGAAATAGTTGGTCAGCAGCTCAAGCAGCCGTGCCAAGCCCTCTAGACCAGGTATTGAGAGTTTCTTCGAGTCAGAGAGGTTCAGAAGGATCGGTCGCAGTCCGGTCTGAAGGAGTTCCTTCGGCAACCTGGACTGGTGTGTGAGGACCATGCGCATGCCCTCATGAGCAACTTCTTTGACTTCCAACGTCGGAGAATACAGAGACTTGAAATACACACTCGTGACTCTGATGCAAACTATGGTGAGTAGATATCGATGATACTATATCCGATTTAACTGACCTTTGGCGCGTTTGAGGCTGCTTCGAGAAGAAATCGGTGAGAGGCATGGATGCTGTGAGGAGCTTGATACAGGCAACGCGTAGCTTGACGATCTCTAAGCTGCCCTGGCGCAAATTACCTCTGCCTAGGAGAGCCGTGTCATCTGCATCTGCTAGGGCCAAGGCTTCATGCAGTAAGCGAAGTAATTCATCGTTGAGTTCCGGAAGGGGAGGATGTGTGCTCAGGCAGTATCGCACTGCCTCGATCATGCCGATTTGAATGTTGAAAGGGAGCGCACGAAGCGGTTTCGTATAAATTGCAGTCAACATTCTCTCTCGATGGGGAACTAGGAGCTCGACAGTGGTTTTACCACTCAACTCGACCAGCAGGTCGATGCATTTCTGAGCGACGCGTCGCACAATGGGGTTCGAACTTGACAATTCTGCGAAGAGTATACCCGAAATCGCGATCAGCTTGTTCTTGGAGGTGAGTGCGGCTTCATCAGCAGTCGCAAGGTCATGGCTACTGACGCGCATGACCTTCACCAAGATGTCGTACACAGTATCTACCTCCTGTGGAAGATCATAGGGCATGGCCTTAAGGACATGAAGGAGGGTCCGCAGCACATCGACTATGCGGTCAGTTATCCACCTGGTACCCAACTCAGGTATCTCTGTCAGAAGCCTGATACCAGTGCAGCCAGTCTTCTTTCGAGTCGTAGATTCTTCAAGACACATCGCACAGAAGCGAGTGGCGACGTGATGGAGTACGTTAAGAACATCTGTGGGACCTGCATCCGATAGTCCCTTCATGCTTGAAAGATCATGGAGAAGGGAAGACATGAGTTCTTCTGTTCGTTTTGCCTCCGCTGGGTTGTCACGAGAAAGCCCATGGGGTAGGGAGTCGAGGAAGCAGGAGAATATAGCACTGGGGTACCGCCGGATAGACGTGTCCTTGCTTAGCCGTCTGACTTCAAACGTCAGGATATAGTAGGAGAATTCCCGGGCGCACTCGAATGATTGGTCTTGTAGCTCTGGCGCATGTATGGCATCAAATACTCCTTCAAGACATCTGACCATCAGTTGTTCTCGGTCTCGACTGTTAACTCCCTAAATGACAACAGTAAGTCTCCAGCATGAAATTGCTTTGGTTACGACCTACCTCTATTAGTAGTAGAGTCAAGCATTGCCGGAGATAATCATATGCAAAGAGACGATATGGGGCCCCCGACTTGCCCATAGTCAACGTACGAGAAGCCAGAGTCGACACTGGCCCTAACTCCAGATAGCCAGCGGAACTTCCAAAGGACAAGCGAACTTTGGCAGTTTCGGAATAGTCATGGTATTTCATTGCAGGCTCCTTGTACAAAAGACTGCGATTGCGTCCGCCAAGCTTGCCCAGAATTCGGATTGTGGTATGTGAATGGTGATGACTGGCGGGAAGGGGCTTCAAGTGACTATGAAGAGCCTCCATAAGCTCGCGTAAAACGGTGTTCAAGGTTGGATCCAGGAAGTCGGGAATAAGGTTGTCGATGCATAACTCCAAAGTTCGTAGCCCCTGTGAGACCAACTCAGGGCTGCCTCGAAGCGCAAGAGCGAGAGGTTGCATGAGATAAGTGAGGTAGGGGAGAAGATGAGTGAGCCGTAGCGGCACTGTCAGACATAGCTCGACAATCATATCCCTGGTCAAACCTTCAGAAGCAAGAAGTTGTCTATTCAGGCATTCGAGCATTTCGGGGAGAAGAGGGAGAACCTCCTTGTAGATGAGCTCGAACCTTCCGCCTCCCCCTCCGATAGCTCTGAACAGAGCTCTGAGAAGGTGGAAGTAGTTCGTGGGCTTGGATGATTTAGCCGCCAGCGGGAAACAGTCCATGACAAGTTTGCCTAGATGAGACGCGAGGATTGGTTCGTTAGCACCTGGGTATAGCCCCACAGCGCCGAAGACCATCTTGTACATCCTGATCGTCACGGCGGCTGTCTGGTCATCGTAGTCACCCAACTCTGGCAGCTTCCCGATGAGATATCGGAGTACGATGGAGACAAGACTAGGTGAAGTTAGCTCTCGGGTGAAGAGGCTCTGCGCGATCTGCGTCAAGGATGGACGCTTCTGTGCAGCCTCGAAAACGAATGCTACTTTCTGTGTCCATACTTCCTGGAAGACATGCAAGTTTGTTTCGGATAGAATGCCACCCAACCATTCCATTGCGTCATTCCAGTCACGCGTTTCACCGTCGAACAGTGCCATGCAGCGAACACACCCATCAAACAAACGCGCAATAATAGTTCCATCTGGAACCGGAGCATCGCACTTTTTGAGACCAGTCAGAATATGACGGAATCCATGAAGGAGGGTACGGAACACGAGTCGATATTCTAAAAGAAAATGAGCAGCATCCTCCGCAAAGATAGAATGAATGACAGACCTGCTATTGCATCTTCTGGTTTCTCAGAAGTGTAGATTGCGTTGGCAATTGGTCGTGAACGCTCAATGAAGGCAATATCCACCGCATCGTCTTCTCCTTTCTTTAGTCGTTCGGCTCTTGCCACAACCTCGGCGTGTACGACGACCATGGACTCCAGCCTGTCTACACTAGATTCCAAGAGGTTCGTCAAAAGCTTTGACGCTACTTGGGGAGTTTCCTTCGCAACAATGTGTTCCACGAGATTATATATGACTTTCGCGGAGAGTATATGGAGTTGGTTGGTAAGATAGGGATTGTGTAGATGTCCGAGAAAGATTGAACATGCTCTCATGAGCTGAGAAGCAGATAAGTCACTACGAATGTAATGAACCAAGTCGGCGATGACGCCGTAGGCTGTCATTCTGAAAGAGAACATGTCTCAACATCAAATTTCATCGCGTATGACGGCTTGACTAACCTTATGTTTTCCTGGCTGCCCATGGCAGGTCCCAGAACGATGCGATCGTCGAATAATTTCTCCAGGTACGGCAGAGCTGCCTTCTTGTGCGCTGGAGGTCCAGAAGAGAATAGGAACCGAAACACTGTGAAAAGCTCCTGTGACAATGAAAATAATGAGTTCTACTTAACATCATATTCAACATGATACTTGCCTTTCGCACGCTAATCGTCATTGGAGGGAGGTCTTGCAACACTCGGACAGCTATACCGACAAGGGCTTCTCCTTGTATTTCAAACTGGTCCGGGAATGCACGCATGAAGAACGCTAAAGAAGACATGACCTGAAAGGGAGAGAATTAATGAAAGGCATGGTATACTTGCTGACAGCCTTCGCTTACTTTGACGACTGAGGACAAGAAATCTGTATATGCCTGTGGATTACGAATGGTGGGGGCCATCCCAGCCCACAGGCCTCCTCTAGCTTCAAATTCTTCTCGCGCCTTCTTCTGTGCAGGCGCTTCAAGGTTCAACACAGCGAGGAAGGATGGGAGGTTTTGTTGGACCATAGGCAGAACTACTGCCCTGTTGGCCTGCGCGAAGGCCACAACAACATGTATCATCTCAGCAATCACCTTGAAACTGCGTGTTCCGGGAAGTACGACATTGGGATCCATAACAGCAGATTGTTCAGAGAAACACTCTTCGACAAGGCCCGGAATGTTGTGGTAAAGTTCGAGCACGATGGTCAGGAACTCAGATACATGCTCCTCGGTTATGCCCCTGTACGCTCGAGCGATGTCGACGATTGTCTTGCAACATGTTATGGCAATTTCTTCATTGTCGTGTCGAATAAGGTAGAGCATACCATTGTACATTGGGATGGCTTGTGTACGAACGATTTCAGCGGTTGGGATGCGGTGCAATATTTCAAGCAGAACACGGCGGAAAGAGAATTCCAAACTGTCTCTCTGGAAGGATGGCTCTCCCGAACGTAATATCTCGAGGAGCACGGGGACCATGTGCGGCACGACATGAGAGGATTCACTGTCTCTCACAGTATCGATCATGTCTCGAATCTCGCAAGCCACAGCATACTTGGTCTTCAAATCTGCCAGAAGCTAAGGTCAACTTTCATTTCATCAGTGCCGGCACACACACACCTATCCCTGGGTCAGCGACCCGAGCCGCACGCATCTCGAGCTCTGCGGCACTCATAATTTGAGGTGTATTCTCCATGGCGCAGTGGGTTTCATAGACGTCTGAGACAGTTTGTAGATGTCTGTTCTATGTTTGAAGGGGGTAAGTGCGGCCGTGCACTGGTGGGGACTGCACTAGGTGCTAGCCACTGTGGAAGCCTTTTAAGCCACAGCTTAAAGAGGTGCGGGGAATTGGTTGATCGAGCGCCCGTGTCCTCGGAGACCCTGAAAAGCTCGGTGCACGTGAGTCTCACGTGAGTGCTCCCACGCTTAGCGCGCGGGTGCCGCCACGACTGTCAAAAAAAGGCCATTGTCATTTGATCTGACTACAAAACAAACTGCAGACGTTAGATCTATAGCATCCAAAGCAGTTCTGTGCTCTACGGAATAATTTGTATCTTGGTGCATCTGTATCATCCGTTCTCCTATGTCTAGCAACGAATATTAACGTTTCGGGTGTGCTTGATTGGCGCACATGAAACGAGGCAATGCACGACGCTCGTAGATACAATATATACTCTGTCGTGGAATCCTGTTCTGTTCACTCTCGAGCCTTGGGCTAGGTCCGGAGTCTTTTTTTCTTACTTTCCAACATTCTCTTGCGAGGCGGGACCTACTGCAAGAGTTTAGATTGGCATGCCAATCTTTGGAACTGCTTCGTCTGTGACGTTACCGCGCAGGCAGGACGGAGACTCGGTGGACCTACTCGACTTCAATCTGTAAGCACTGACGTCTCGCTTATCACAAACCGGGTCGCCCTTCACGAGCATTACCAGTCGCTTGGTTGCAGCATTCTTCCTAGGATGGGTCTTCATTTACAGCATACAATGTATGCTTTGTTCTGTCGTCACCTGGAGCATAGCGCAACGTATCTGGGCTTTGCTTCGATTTATAGGACGAAGGCTTCAACAGAGCATAGGCATTTCCCCGTTAGGCCTTCCAGTGCATAGATCAGCATCTCAAACGAATGCACCTGTCCGAATGGACAGCGATGTATCCAGCATTAATCGCAGCCATGATCGGACGTCTTTGATCTTCACGTTGAATCTTTGCTTTGTGTTTGCTTCCATCGCCTTCTTTCTATCACTGTTGTCATTCAAGGGCGGTGTTAGATGGGAAACTGGATGTAGTATGTTTGTCTAAGCTATCGTTCTGGCCGTAACTCATATAGCGCTCAGCATTTGTCGTTGCATGGGGTGGAATGGCCTCGCGTTCGGCACGCTTGATAGGTATCCTCATCCTTTGCTTGGAATTGCGTCGTAATCGCATTCGAAGGTGGGAACGATGGGGAATTTGGGCGATTTTCTGTATTGCACTTGGTACGAGAAAACTCCCTCAAATCATATATGCAGTATCTGACATCATTCGCAGGATTGATGTTCGCAACTAATGCATTGAGCACAGGTGCAATGTAAGTTGAAAAAATATTTTGGGCTATCGTCTGACCCGGTACCATTACAGTGCAGCGGTTGAGAATGCGAACGCACTTAAATGCAACAGGAAACGGTGCGAATAGAACATTAGCAATGTCTCAATAATCCACTAACTTATGCTAACTTCGTGTAGTTTCTTGCCTGTGGCTCTAACTTCGTCCTTCGTGCAGCTAGGGATCGAATTATATGTTGCTATTCGCCTTATGACTATTATTCTCCCTTCTGCGCGGGGATTGCAAAACATCATCGGCTCACCATCAACTGTCCACCTTGGTCGCGCGCTGAGTCTCGTAGTGTTTGAGTTATTGACATTTGTCCCTGATGCTATCGATACAAGTGTGGTCGCCGAGTTCGTACCGTTCACAGTAGGCTCAATCATAGTGTTGGGTAAGGTCAATGTTTCTTTTATATTTGTACATCTTTTCGTGACTATTTGTTTCGCAGCTGCATTCAATCGTCCTTCCCGTTCAATTAGGACTGCCCCACCATCTCCTATCATGGTCTTCAACGAGAAATCACCGTACGGCCCTCAAGCATCCCCACACGATTCACCACCCTCTTTTGTCATTATCAGTCCCTTGCCGTCTACTGGACCAGAGACACACGATAAGGGTTACAGGCAGTCCGTCCAAACTGTTGCCACCTCTGCGCTCAGCAGCGTGGAAGACGCTGTTGTGTATACCGCAGTTCGGCATGCATTCTCTCAGGGCTCGATAATACTACCCGGTAATACGCCCGGTGGCGTGGAAGATACGCAAGGTCAGCCATCGCAGCGACGGCGTATCTTGTCATTCCAGACTGAGGTTGCGGAGGAGCTGGAGAGAATGGCTGAAGAGGCGCAGCAGCAGCTTGCGACTGGACCTATTCCTCGGCGGTCGAAACCGCGCCCAAACATGACCATTGTTGTTCATGACCCCCGCGAAGAGCTCGATGGCGCGATTACCGCATCTCTACGAACAGACGGCTCTACTGTGTTGGGATCTGACATCATTCGAGGCGGGTCTTCTCGTTTGAATAGGGGCATGAAGCAATCAGCATCCCCGTCACTTTCGGCATTCTTCTCTCCCCAAGAATCGGATGCATTAACAGAGCATACGGATCACAGACATTCCTATGCATCTACTCAGTGTGTTTCTGAATACGATCCGGATGATGGCCGCTTCTCTATCATATCGAGGACTAGCAGAGGGAAGAACTCCGGACCAGTACGCCATTCGTTCTTGAAGTCGTCATGGTCTACTCCGCAGAGACTTTCGTTGGCCTCGCGCTCCGGAGAAACACTGTCTACGCTTGCTGAGGGCAGACCAAGCGGTTCATTCCGGTCCAGTATTCGTAGCAAGAAGTCTCAGAGACGTTCAGAGAAGAGCGTAGCTCCTCCAATGCCTCAGCTTCCCTTGCGTGTCGCAACTGACATGCCACCTATTCCATCAATCACTCTTACACCTAGTTTGCGCACGCCTGCACCTCCTCAGACCCCTTCAATTCCTTACGCCCTTCCGCCATCTACCCCTGAAGCAAGTCTCTCCGTTTTTAATGGTCCACAAGCAGATCCTGAGAGCTTGACACACAAGATAAAGGGTCCGAGACCCCCGCCTTCTGTTTTCTTTCCCTAAGTTGCGTAGGTATTCTTTCAAGTGTACATAGTTATTCGGGTATTATGTATTGCATTGTATTTCACCGTCTCCCAGTGATAATCTACATATGCTGCAATCGACAGTCAAGGCCCTGATTTGAAGACGACCTGACGGGCGCCTGTTGAGAGCATCGCTGCAACTGCGGCTTTTGTCTGTATCATGCCTCTAACATAGTTTCTCACTTACTTTCACGTACTTTCACGTACTCTCCGACTCACCCCTTTCTCGAGGCATCCACTCACTCTAGATGGCATCGTCTGAACTATTGAAACAGATCCAGGAAGGAAAGAGGTTGAAGAAGGCACAAACAAATGACCGAAGTGCCCCTGTGATAGACACACCTAAGGGAGGAGGTGGTGGGGCGAGCGGATTTAGTGGAGGGGGTGGAGGTCCTTCATCAGTTTCGTCTGGCCCATCTGGCCCATCTGCATTGGCTGCTGCAATGGGCGCAGGGCCTCCTCAGCTTGGTGGGCTATTCGCAGGAGGGATGCCTAAGCTGAAGCCAACAGGTGGCCCAGGTACGTGATATTTACCTTTAGACTGCTTCGCACCATTGAACACAGTCAATAGCGAAACCGGTACACCTCGGGAAACCACCATCCATCCCTAAGCGCAACGGTGCACCTGCTTCACCTGCACCTCCGCCGCCGCCGTCGAGGCCATCACCTCCAAGCGCACCTCCTGCACCTCCAAGTAGGGCACCTCCGAGACCCTCTGCACCTGCACCACCTCCGCCATCTGCACCTGCGCCTCCTGCCCGCACAGTTCCTTCTTTACCAGCTCGTACTCCTCCTTCTTTACCATCTCGTACTGCTCCTGCTCATCCACCGCCTTCTGCACCACCTGCTCCTCCTCGTAGAGCACCACCACCGCTGAAGGGTGGTTCACCATCCGCAGAAGCTCCAGCCATACCCCCGCGGAATCCATCACCCCCTACTCGCACCGCGCCTTCAATACCAGCGCGTTCAGTGCATGAGCCTCCAGCTCGCCCTTTGTCTGCTGCACCTGCAATACCGCATCGCAAAGTACCTGCTCCACCGGCTCTTCCTGGGAGGACCCCACCCCCGCCTCCAGCACGGCCTGCTTCTACAACTGGTGCTCCTCCTCGTGCCGTCCCGCCGCCTCCGCCCGCCAGAAAAGCCCCATCTGCTGCACCTCCCCCTCCTCCTTCGAGACCTCCACCTCCTTCAAGAGGGCCCAGTACTTCTCACTTAGCACCTCCTCCGCCGGGTCGAACGAGAACTCTATCAGAGTCTGAGGTTCCTGCTGCACCTCCACCTCCGCCAGGGCCATCGCCGGCAGCGTGGCACTCGCGTTCACCTTCTGGTCCTCCTCCACCCCCGCCTGGCCCACCTCCTTCTCGGCTGAGAACTCACTCCACTCTAGGCATACCTACATTCAGCGTGTCCAATGTCAATGGAACATCAGATCGGTCGAGACCGACCCGCAAGAGTTTGTGTTACATTTTATTTCATACATTCAGATCTACTAACATGATTTATAGTACCTACACCTCCACCTAATGTTGGTTCACATGTCTTCCCGGTCAATGGATTCCCACCCCCTCGCACATTCACCCCTTCTCCGAAACGCTACTCCGGAGGTCGGCAGAAGGGCTCAGACTTTGATATAAGTACACTGGCGTCCTAACTTACCTAAGCTATAGTATATACGTACGATTTTTTCTCGATATCTTATAGTAGCTTGCCACGTAGTTTCGGAGGATTCTTCGCCATATTCAGGGCTCTCTGTCAGATGACAATGGCAGATGCTCCATTTTTAACTAAAGCTGCCTACCAAGAGCCGAATGAGCAGCATAAAGTCCGAAGATTGACAATCGGGGAAAGATGCAAGTATGTTTCAGGCCGAATGAGGATTACCCAAGCTGGATTATGAGTGACACGTCACTGTACTACTGCCGCCTAGTCGTATATAAGACTCAATCAACCCTGTCCATTACAAAACTCTTTTGCTTCTTGTCTAGTGCCAGCGAGGGTGACTATGCGTTTCTCCCCTCTAGCTTCGTCTGTAACGCTCCTTTCACTTATCTCTGCCGTTCTCGCGTCCGATGTCATTGACTTGACACCGTCCAATTTCGACGCAGTGGTCAACCCCGAGCCGTTGATACTTGTCGAGTTCTTTGCACCATGGTGCGACCCGGAATAATGCCTAGTTTCATGCAGAGACTTATCGCGTTCACAGGTGTGGTCATTGTAAAGCACTGGCACCTCATTACGAGGAAGCTGCTACTGCTTTGAAGGATAAGAACATCAAGTTGGCTAAGGTCAACTGTGTTGACGAGGCGGACTTGTGCCAGTCGAATGGTATCCAGGGATATCCGTAAGTCTATTTCTCGTTATGTCTTTCGTCACGTCAATAATTGAACTTCGGCTTCGTCAGCACTCTTCGAGTGTACCGCAATGGTGAACACACAGACTACGGAGGACCTCGTAAAGCCGACGGCATCATCAGTTACATGATCAAGTATGTGATCGTTTGCATTTTTATATATCTTCTCAACATCGCCTTACATACTTTATTTCAAAGGCAGTCGCTTCCTGCTGTCTCAGAGGTTACCAAGGAGAACTTTGAGGACTTCAAGAAAGCCGACAAGGTCGTTGCCCTTGCTTTCCTTCCTTCCAACACTGCCGCCCCTGCGCCTGAGTTTAGCTCAACCGCTGAAAAGCACCGTGAGGACTACCTCTTCGGTCTCACCACTGACAAAGATGTTATCGAGGCTGCCGGTGTCACTCCGCCTGCCATCGTCCTTTACCGCTCGTTCGACGAGCCTATCATTGAGTTCCCGTACCCTGTTCCCTCCGCATCTCAGAAGGAAATCGAACAGTGGATTAAGGATCTATCCATTCCCATCATTGACCAGGTCAACGCCGAAAACTACCAAGTTTACGCGCAGAGTGGAAAGCCGCTCGCCTACCTCTTCATTGACGCTTCCGACTCTAAGCTCCAGGAGCACGTTGATGCTCTCAAGCCCGTTGCTGACAAGTACAAGGGCAAAATCAACTTCGTTTGGATCGATGCTATTCAGTTCGGTGACCATGCGAAGGCTCTCAACCTCAACGAGGCGAAGTGGCCCGCTTTTGTCATTCAGGACTTGGAGAAGCAATTGAAGTTTCCTTACGACCAATCTCTCGACGTTAAGCCTGATGAAATTGACCAGATGGTCAAAGCCTTCCTTGACCACAAGCTGGTGCCTACGTTGAAGAGTCAGGCTATCCCTGACTCTCAAGATGAGAGCGTCTTCAACCTTGTCGGCAAACAGTTCGACGAGGTTGTTTTCGATGACAAGAAGGATGTATTTGTCGAGTTCTATGCTTCCTGGTAAGCACATATTGTCGAACGTAGGTAGAGTCTTTTTCCTGACGTGAATGCAGGTGTGGACACTGTAAGCGTCTCAAGCCCACTTGGGACTCCCTCGGTGACCGCTACATCAGTGCGAAGGATCGTATCACCATGTACGTGTTATTTTCATTTCGTGATGAGATGCTCTCTAACCTTGACATATGAAGTGCAAAGATGGAAGCTACTGAGAATGACCTTCCTCCATCTGTTGACTTCAAGATTTCCGGATTCCCCACCCTGAAGTTCAAGAAGGCTGGTAGCCATGAATTTATTGATTACGATGGCGATCGTTCGCTTGAGAGCCTTATTGCCTTCGTTGAGGAGAATGCCAAAAATTCTCTGGAGCCTAAGGCGGAGTCCAAGAACGAGACTGTACCTCCGCCACCAGCGCACGAAGGCGCCGCTCAGGAGGAGCTCCACGTTGATCATCATGATGAGCTCTAGTGGACCTCGAGATGTTTTAACTATTGTATTCTCTACCGACAGACATGAATGGATTTCCTTGCCTCGAATGCTTGTCTGAATGGGTCTCAGACGCTCTCAAACCATAGGATTTGCTGGGCGAGGTGTGCAGAAGGCTACTCCCTTCAGACTTTTGAATCGTGAGCCGCTTCGTGATAATGATACACAGGCAAATCAGTACGCTACATCCTTGTCTGTGTTACAGATGAAATCCCCAGAGAATAGTGACCATAATGATACGATGATTTACAACTTCTGCTCCTTAAGGCCATCTTTCCAGAAGGTGAAGTAGGCTAGATAGGAGCAGTTAGTTTATGTACTAGCAATCGGGATACAGACACGTACGGGTAACACCGTCCTCCCTGTAATTAAGGAGGGCGACCATACCATCGGGGTTCATGCTTTCGCCAGTGTACTGAACGAATTGAATGAGCATATAGTTAGCTTGGGTGTGGGTGCCAATAGGGACTCACGAATTCGTAATCTTTGTAGTTGGCAACAATTTTCTTGGCGAAGGCACCGGCACCGGCCTTGAAAGCATCGACACGCTCAGGCTTAGTCTCCTTCAATTTAGCCTCAACTGCCTTCATGTAGCTCTGTAACCTACTTGAGTATCACACATTACTGCGCCAATCCGTGATCTTACCTTGAGGTAAGTGAGGTAGCTCTTTTTGTCAAACTGGGTGGATTGAAGACGGAAGGAGTACACGACGTTGTTGAGTTGGGTCGCACCCTCCTCGAGAGCTTCATCCTGCTCTTCCTGGGAAGGGTTGGCACCTGTAGACGTTCCGTTCAGAGATGTCACTGCCACATTCAGCCGAGGGGTGTACCAATATCGATATCGGCACCAGCCTTGACGGTGATCATTTGGCAGTCGACTTCGTAGACGATATCATCAACCTCCTTACTGCAAACAGAGAGAAAGAAACATCAGGACCACTAAAAGATAGCGGAGAAAGAAGGACGGACATGGGGAAGGCATCGGAGAACATCTCATCGTCGGAGATAATGTCTTGGTACAAGAGCATCTTGAATGTGTAGGAGAAAGATGAAAGTACAAGAAGTAAAGGAGAGGAGAGGTTGAGAGACTGGTGCAGCTTGAAGCTGATTTTATTTCGCGAGAAAACTGGAAAACCAATCGATCTTATCAAACGCTGCACGTGGGACCTTCCCTTTCTAGCCATCCAAAATACTTTAACGCTTGGGATCGAAAAGTGAAGAGCAACTTGCAGGCGAGCAGCCCCCTCCAGCAATGGAGTACAAACCCGTCGTTGTCCAGAGGCATCCTAGACCCTCTTCAGCTGCACATAACCCAGAATCTAGGTACTGGAGGCAATTCAAACACCCCGTCTTCATCAAGGAATATGCACCAGTTACTTCTGTCCACTTCTCCCCTTCCAAGCCACATAGGTATGCGGTGACTGCAGCAACTCGCGTACAAATATATGCACCACGAACGCAAAAGGTCACAAAGACCATCTCGAGATTTAAGGACGTTGCCCGTAGCGGTTGTATCCGACCAGATGGCAAGCTAGTCGTCGCAGGAGATGATACTGGTCTCATTCAAGTGGGTACTGCTTGCACATTGTTCAGTGAATGGCGTTTGAACATGAAAGACAGACGCCAGTTGCCCTCTGAATATATGTAAACTGACGACATCTTCGTCAGGTTTTTGACATCAATTCAAGAGCTATCTTACGAACGCTTGACGCACATAAACAACCTGTGCATGTCACGAAATTCTCTACCGCAAACCAAACACAAATACTCTCCTGTTCGGACGATTCTACAGTTAGGCTTTGGGATGTCCCCTCCCAGTCCACTATCACTACGTTCATGGACCACACGGATTACGTTCGTTCCGGCCAAGTTTCTCCTTCAAATCCTAATCTCATCCTCACCGGCTCATATGATGCTACCGTGCGGTTATTTGATGCTAGGACGGGCGAATGTGAGATGGTTATGGGAGGTAGCTCAGCAGCGGCTGGCACCAAAATCACCGCCCCCGTAGAGCAAGTCCTAATATTTCCGTCTGGAACTGTTGCTCTTTCGTCAGCTGGTCCCATTCTTCGTGTCTGGGACTTTGTTGCTGGTGGCAGATGTACCCGAGCTCTTTCAAATCACCAGAAAACCATCACGTCCCTTTGCTTCAACTCGGATGCCAGTCGTTTGCTCACTGGTGGCTTGGACCAAATGGTCAAAGTGTACGACGTGGGCTCTTATAAGGTGATGCATACCATGAGGTACCCAGCACCTGTTCTTTGCTTAGCTGTTTCTGTGAGTGTTCCCTGATTCAATGCGTTCGTTCCGCCTCTCAATTCTCCTTTACTTTAGCCTGACGAAACCCACATCGCTGCCGGAATGTCAGATGGCACCTTGTCGGTCCGTCGACGACAACCCAAAGCTTCTGAATCATCAACCAACGATATCGCTCTGTCCGCACTGAAGTCCGGTGCATTCGAGTCTTTCCTTGGCAACTTGCCTTCTATCGGTCAAGGACGTGTAAAGTCAAAAGAGAAGTCAAAACCTATAGGCGATGTGGACGAATTTCGCGTAGAGCGGAAACGTAAGAAACGCCTGAAGGAGTACGACAGACTGCTGAAGACCTTCAAATATTCTGCTGCTTTGGACTCTGTACTACGCAAGGTAGGTCGAGAGGTTCGTAGTCGTACTAGCGTTCGGCGAGCTAACAAGCTGGTCACTACATTATAGCAAGTACCACCAACCACCACTTTCTCTCTAATCCAAGAACTCATTCACCGAGACGGTCTTCGAACTGCTTTGGCTGGTCGTGATGATGTTCTACTAGAACCCATTCTCAGACTCCTATTAAAGTACGTTTCAGACCCACGTTTCGGGGAAATGGTCTGTGACGTTGCTGGTGTTGTAATCGGTACGCTGTGTCAAATAATCAATCATAATGGTTGAGACTAAATATCCTTTCAGAAATGTATACCCCGGTGCTTGGTCAGTCGCCGCTGATCGACACACTCTTCTCGCGACTTCGGAAGAAGGTTGCGGCCGAGCTACGATTCCAGCAAGACCTTGTCAAAGTAAAGGGTGCATTGGACATGCTCCTTGCCACTGCATCGCTTTCGTCCGTTGTCTAGCATGGCTCTTTGTGTCTTCCGCTTTCGACTCAGATGTATATTATGCAATAAGTATTGTACAGCATGCGCATGATATCCTAATACTTTCAGGCCGCGTCCAAAAAGCGGATGAGATTTTCCAGGATCTCGCGCTGTGACATCGCACCCTCTTCTTGTTGTCCGCCGCCAACGTCCACATTGTCGCGGTAGACCTCAAGGATTTTGACAATGTCTTTTAAGGATTTATTTTTTCGATCCAGCATCTGACGTATGTGAACCAGGATCTGCAGCACTGCTGATTAGCAAACATAAGGGTCGCATCTACAACCACTTACCCCGTCGTCTTCCATGGCTACCCATGCCAATATATAGTCCACTGTTTGTAGTGTGAACAAACCGCCGTCCAGACGTCGTAGATACCACATATCCTCCTCCTCAGGGCCAACACCCTCTCCGTTCTCAAGCATCTCCTGCTCACAATATCAATACACAATACGAACAGTCGGCACGCGAGTTACAACGTACCTTCTTCTCCTCTTCGATCTCCCTGTTGACGGTATTTAGCCTCCCTTGTGCTGCATCTCGAATCTCCAGTAGCTTGTCAACCTTCTCGTAGTTACCCTCCACAAATTTGGCTAAAAGACGTATTCGAGCCGGTGAATCTGAGGGCAAGTTGGACAACAGTGAGGAGACGATGCCCAGAGTATGTGCAGTATCTTCCGATGCCGTAGGAGAAGCCTTCTTCTTCGACTGCCCAATGACAATGATCGGTCGGTCAGGGGATTACCGTCATGGCGTGAAGAGACTAACCTTGCCCATGAAAGTCGAGAAAAGAGTCTTCAATCCCAGTGCCTCGACGAAGGTTTCACAAGCGGTACTACCCGCTTGCCCTGACATGGCATAGTCAAGGACTTTGATTGAACGAGATCTAGACTGCTTCTTCTCCCTGGATCCAATTGAAGTCAGCTAAGAAAACTCGTATCCACTGTTGAATGCAGACGACGAACTTCAACATGAGCACCATAAGATCTATACCTTCCAAATCCAAAAATGTCTTCTTGATCTCAGGCTCACCAAGAGCAGAACATAGGGAATCGAAGACATTCTCCATGAATTCTGTCTCATCCGCATCGACGGGATCTCTCCGTCTGTATTGCTATATGCACAATTCAGGTTGAGTGGATGTATGGCATATCGTATTTCCTTACCGAAAGGACCTGTAGTATCATTTCTACGCCGTTTTTCTCGTTCAATTTTAGCCGATTCGGACGATTGGCTTGCAGCAAGATTGACAAAAGTTCGGCCGCATATCCTCGGTTTTCTTCGTGAGTCTTCGATTGAATACGCTTAAGCACCCAATCGAGTATGGAAGTCTTGGCAACAAGCTGAATTGACAAGTCGGCATTGAACCCAAGAATGTTCTCAAAGATACCTGTTCGAACATACGTTATAGATATGATTCCATGTTACCAAGTCAATGCACATACCGAGAATATGGAACACGCCCTGGCGGTCTGACTCTTCAGTCTCGTTTAGACGAGATAGATTGTCGACAAGGAGTTCCAGGATAGAGTTTTCAAGCTAGAAGGGAACTCCGAGTTGGTACACCCAAGGAACACCAAGAAACCAGACAGACCCACCAAGCCCTCTATCAGGGTCTTCAGAGCTTCCTCTCGTGATCCTTCGCCCTCTTCCTCTTCCTCCATTTCATTGCCGACTTCCTCATCGGTGAGCTCATGAATAACCTCCACAACGTCGATTACAATATCCGGGTTCTCATGACTGAGTAGACCTATCAGTTGTGAGACCGCGCCTGAACGAACGAGTTCAGGGTAGGCAATGACCGGTGCTTGAGCTAGCGGTAGAAGGCCTTTGATTGCAGCATCAAGGTCGGCTTCCGAATCAATAAATCTGCGGGATTGAGTAGTTAGGTGTAGTGCAGACACGTTTGTTCAATATAACGTACTTGGCAGGATCATCGGGGTATTTCGATCTTTGGTCTTGATTCTTATTCGCCGTACGTTCAAACTTGAGAAGTAGCCTGCGTACTCCTGCGATGTTCAACTCTTCTAGCTGAGGGATTCGGATATGAGCGGGCCTCCTAGCTGTCTGTCAAATATGAAACCACTCACGTCTTCGCGTGCCTCTTCTCCGCCCTCCTGGTCAAAGATGTTGAGAATATCTTTCTGCTCCTTCGTCAAACCACCACCATAGAACCGTCCCTCTTCGTCCTCTTCCGCAAAATAGTCCGCGTCGCCTCCAGGAGCAAAGTCCTGCTCCATTTCCTTGTCCTCTTCGTCTCGAACGGTGGCTGAACGCGATACGGCTACTTGTTCCGGGGTACCATTGTGCTGTATGCTGGATGGAGAGACTACAGATGGGCCCGCATCAGTGTCCAGTTTCATCTTCTTCAGCATCTCAGGTGTAGGGTTGTCTGGCATTCGCCGTTTGTGGCTACCAGCTGGTAGTTTTGGAACCTGAGCATCTTTATTAGTATTCTGACTCGTAAGAATGACCACCTGTATGTACTGTACCTTGAATAGCTTGTCAATATCCATGGTTGGAGCCTACACCCACAAAACGCTTTCAAGGTTATGAAGAGAGTGCAACTTAACAAAGATGATCGCAAAGGTGTTGTATCTACAGGACGAGCGCTTCCGTGACGTAGAACAACTCAAGCTCACACGCTTACTCAACCAGAGGCTCCTCCTTGGAATATAAAAATGGCTGTATTATGTGGGCGAAATATAAAGACAAGCATCTACTTAAGGTGTACTAACGTTTGTGCTTAACAACCGTAAACGTACGCACCATATGCATGAACAGAGAGAGGAATGATCTCACGAGAACTATCGTTTCGCGAACATGTTGCGGGAACTCGGATATAATCGAGACATAATGATACATGCAACCAACAAAACTTGTGAGTCCGAAGACATTCAACGAGCAAAAGAACGTACTCTATGCTCTCCCTCGCTTTATAACAGAATGCATCTAGTAGGGCTTGTGTCTGTTCTTCTTCAGCTCCTTCTCGAGCGTTCTGGCCTTGCGATGTCCGATCTCTACAGGGTTGACGGCATTATCTGCTTTCTTTAGCTTGATAGGTCTGTTACCAACGTACTTGCCTAGAAAGAGACAGCGTGATTCAATACCAAGAAGCAAAAGAGGGACGAAGAAAAAAACATACCATCCATTTCCTTCCATGCTCTCAGGAAGTCCTCAGGGTCAGAAAACGCGACGAAGCCAAACTTAGCCTAAAGTGACACATGTCAGCACCGGATATCGCAACAACGAGAATTGACTTACCTTCCCGCTCAGTCGATCCCTTATGACTCTGGCCTTTTGGAATGAAGTGTACTTGTTAAAGGCATTCGCCAGAACATCATCAGAAACGTCATTGCTGAGGTCTCCAACGAACAAACGGAACCAAGCTACAAACTCATGGTAAGTACCAATGCGTGATACGAAAACAAATCAACTTACAAGGATTCCATTCCAGCAGTGTTTGATCCTCCCAGACCTTGCCAGCGCCCTTTCGCAAAACAGTGGTTCGCTTACCACCCTTCGCAAGCTTGCCCCCTGCTCCACCACGCTTGTCAATCATCGCACCCGGTACATAGACACTCTGTTGGGCGAGAATTCCGACATCGTATTCGTATGCATTGGCGGGAACGGGGGCGGTATGAGCAGAGCTAGATGATCCAGGAATAGGATACATCGGTCCTTGGTAAGGCTGGTGATAAGGGTTGACATCGGATGAGGCCTGCTGTTGCTGGTATTGCTGGTAATAGGATTGTGCAGAATATGGATCCATGGTGAGTTAAATCGGCGAGAATGAAGTCAGGCGAAGATGAGCTGATCGTTGGTGGTAGTCGTTGCGGAGGAAGAGCTGAGCGTTGCTGCACCGGGAACTGCAGGCAAGACCCCGCCTCAGGTGCCAGGGGTCCCCCCACCTTCCACATTTGGAAGCGCCCTCGAAAGTGTATCGAAGGATATCCAGCCGTGGACAACATCGCCGTCAAGGTCCTCAACCCTCCCTCAAGGTCAGTATCTATGATTCTATGCTAAATGGTGTACAAGGTGTCCTATCGTGCTATCCATGTCGTTTTTCCCTGCCAAAATCAGCCCGGACGAGATGGATGCTACCAAGACCACCTGGGTGACGCTGGAGACGAACCGAAACTTATACTCTTTTCTCCCCACAGATGCCATTCATCAAAAATATCAAGTCGGACGCCTACTTCTCTCGTTTCCAGGTCAAGTACCGCCGTCGGAGGGAGGGAAAGACTGATTGTATGTAACCTTTCAACCTGACTTGTCAAGGTATTGAGACCCAACAGACTATGCCCGCAAGAGGCTCGTGACCCAGGCGAAGAACAAGTAGTGCGTATGCATTGAACACTCTTGCGCAACGTCGTATCTCATTCCTGGAAATAGCAACGCTCCTAAATACCGCCTCGTCGTTCGTTTCACCAACAAGGAGGTTATCGTCCAGATTGTCTACGCCCGTCTGCAGGGCGACTTCGTTCTTGTCGCTGCTCGCTCACGAGAGCTTCCGCGATATGGAATCAACCACGGTCTCACCAACTGGACGGCCGGTAAGTTCATGCAGGAATCAAGCTCAAATTCCAAATTCTCAGTTTTATACAGCTTACGCGACCGGTCTCCTTGCCGCGCGCCGTGCTTTGACCAAGCTAGGCCTTGCTGATAAGTACGAGGGTGTTGCGGAACCAGACGGCACAATTAGTCTGACTGAGACCCTCGATGATGAGGATGCGCCTCGACCCTTCAAGTGTTACCTTGACGTTGGTCTCAAGCGCACGTCCACTGGTTCCCGTGTGTTCGGTGCTCTCAAGGGTGCCAGCGATGGTGGTCTCTACATTCCTCACAACGAGAAGCGTTTCCCAGGATACGACCCAGAGTCCAAGGAGTTGGATGCTGAGGTCCTCAAAAAGTACATTTACGGTGGCCATGTCGCTGAGTACATGGAGTCGTTGGAGGAGGAGGATGACGAGCGGTACGTAGTGGACGCCTTCAGGTCATTGACATCATGTTCTCATTTGTATTTTCAGGTTCAAGAAGCAATTCTCAACGTACCTCGCTGATGGTGTTGGCTCTGAGGATATTGAGGAGATCTTCACCAACGCCTACGCTGCTATCCGGGAAGACCCCACGTTCAAGCCGACGGAGAAGACCAAAGATTGGAAGGCAGAGACCAAGAAGTATTCTACCACCCGTCTTACCCTGGCACAGCGCAAGGAGCGCATTGCCGTCAAGATCGCCGCCTTCAAGGCATCTGGTGGTGGTGGTGCTGCCGCCGAGGAGGAGGAGGAGGAAGAGGAGGACGAGTAGACGACTTTTCCTTCACGTGGATTGTTTTATGTATTCCCTGCGCATTCACCACTGCATATGATCTAAAACTCAGGCTATGTCTATGCCATGCTGCATCCTTGCTTTGCCCTCCGGCAGTCATTGTCTATGAGTCGGTTCATTTCAAGTATTGCAATATCATTATCATAAATGTCTCAATATATGCAGGTAAGTACAGTAGTGAATATCAAGGTCACGTATGGGGAAGGGCCGCGTGAATGATATCTCTCGCCCAGTCCAACAGTGGTCTTTGTGCTTTCTCCGAATTATATGATTCTGTTACTTCTGATATATTTTTGCTTGGCCCAGTCGAGCGACTCAAGAACGCCGCGGTGCAGTGAACTGCACCAACGCCCAAGGATGATATTTCGAAGTTACTAGACATCAGGGAATATATTAGCAAGTACACAATCTAACCAGCAATAGAGTACTCACAGTACCTGGCCTTCCCATCGGCCAACACTTCGTCCTGCAAGATGATCGACAAACCAAGATCCTTGCACATGCTCAGATAGTTCTGTCCCAATGTCACATATCCGTTGTAATAGGCACCCGGTGACCTCATCAACAAGAAGTTGAGACAACTGGAAGATGGTCGCGATTGGAAGTGTTGCTTGAGGCAGATGTGCTATGAGGGTAGATGGCGAGTTGAAAGTGAAACGCATTGTATGCCTTATAATTGAAACAAGGTCAGTAATACACCATAATTGACGTGTGAAGAATAGTACCTCTGTTCAATTCGCAGTAGACATTCTCCTCCTACCTTTATCTGGTCGTCGTTTTGTAGCAGAGATACCAGTTGAGCTCCGCTCTCTCCAATTTCTCGCAAATGCACTTTCGTTGGCACGCCCGCACGGTGGAGCGCTTGGACGACCTTGTCAATTTCTTGATACACACGGTCACAAAATGCTTGGTATTGTAGCATGTCAATCACTGGTTGTAGTATTGGAGGAGGTATGGAATCAGGTCCTGGTGCAAGCGTGTGGGCGATGCCCACCCGACCGAGACGTTTGGACTTGAGGAAACTATGGGCTCGAAGGAGTAATAGATGTAGGGCAGCGAATATCGAGTCGCATGTTGCTTGGTGAACGCTAGAAGAAGATGCGTCGTCGTTACTTAAATCATTATCAACCTATCAGAATCAAAAATAATAGATACATAGCATGAGGTGACGGCAAAAGAAAAGGGGGGAAAGGGAGAAACTCACTAATTCGAAGCGTAGGTCCATATTTTCTGTCGCTTCCACAGCAACCAGACGCTCTGATACTCGTGCCGACGCTGTCGGGAAGTTGCTGGCCTCCCGTATTAGCATTGCAAAGATTTCTTGCTGAACAACTTCAGCCTGAGCGGCCCGAAGGGAAGCATCCCCAGACCGTTCTTCGCCATGGTTCCAATAATTCCTCGCTGTATGCTTCTGACCGTGCTCGTCCGTAGACAGTATAGAGACTTGTAATCGGTTGTGCTGTCTCCCAGGGAACTCCAGGATGCCACCGCCAGACCTAATATAGGGTATACAGGCGATGGCCCGTCTCCTGAACACCGGTGGCGCTGATTTAAAATTCAAGCAGTGTCCGATTATATCTCACAGTGACTAACTTACATTCCTCAAGGCCGAACGATATTAAGAAGTCTTTGGAAGATCTGTCCGCACCTTTACCGGTTGCAGAGCCCGGCGGTAAAGGGGCCGGAATCAGACCCCAATTGTCCTTTCTAATCTTCAGAGCATCGACCCAGTATGCCTCGCTTGAGGCTCGACCCTTTTCCATTCGGTCTGCAGCAGCCTTAAATAAACTAGCAGCTTTGCGAAGAGCAAGATCTTTTCCGCCAATCACCAATTGAGTATTGAAGGTCTGTACCGACTGGATCGGCGGAGGCTTGGACACATTCGAGGCAGTCAAGGAACCGGGCGGTATTGTCACATTTGGAGGTAGCTCCTGAGTCGGGGCATTGTAAAGGAGAAGAGTGAGCAGGTCCCTTGCTTGGGACATCTCACCGAAAGCAACACTGTTCAATTAGATAAGCTACCTCTGAATGCGTACGCGAGAGACTCACTTAAGTTGCGGAAATATCGCAAAGCGCATATCTCGTAACTCCTCCGGAGTCATTGGTTGCAGGCTGTCAGACTCATCTTTCGCTGCCTCTTCTTCTTGCTGCTCGGCCTGTTGTTCTATGGCAGACCGACTTGCGGGATCCTTGTCGAAGAAATCATGCCCCCGTTCGAGAAAAATCCGCCTCAAGTTCTTTTCGACTTTTGCAGTGAGGTCCTCTCGCCTGACGCAATCCTTCAGTGGAAGGGACTTAGACTAGTAGGAGACGCACTCTTCGAATATTTGTTGTCCATCTGGGGTTATGTCAAGGAGATTTGAGACTGGCTTTCCAGAGTCATCCGTGTACGGACGCTCCAGTGAAAGTCTAAGGTTCCTCCATTCAGGCTCAGTATCCTCCATGTTCGGAAGATACTTGAACGTCGAATTCTAGTTGTAGTTTCAATCAAGTTTCAATAATAGAGTCTCCGATCACTGGAGGTTATTATCGGACAGCACGTGAAGGACATTGCATAAGCAGAGAGCCGGGGCGCCTAGATCAAGAGTCAGGATGCGCTCATTGGTCTTGGGCTTGCATTTCTGACCTCCTCTTCCACCTTTCCCCTCACCGGTCATTTATTAGTTTATGCGGCCCCTTATTATCTTTTGATGACGAAACTTTCCACACCCGGGACACCAGACAGTACCAGCTCCCCTGGCCCATCCATGTTACGAAGAAAGGCTGATGAAGACTTAACTTCTTCCCGTACTAACAAGAAAGCAAGAACCCGAGTGAGGTTTGTACATTCCTTCATTCCGCTGTTGGAGACTAATTTTCGTCTACAGTTACTCATGTGGAGAATGTCATCGACGCAAGCAGAAGGTATGAATACCGCAGATGAGATTTGTGTAGGCTAATCCAATCACTGTGTAGTGCGATCGCCAAGTGCCATGTTCTCATGTAGGTTCGTTTCCCTCTAACTACATTCCCATCCTAATACGTTGCTAGTGTGTTGCACGCAAAGTTCCCGAGCTTTGCAAAGCTTACACCCCAGGAAAATCAGACCAGGATTTGCACCTGAGGCTTCAACGGTTAGAGAAGATCGTCGAGGTTGCTTTACCACAGTACTGGACGTCCTCGTCACTGAATTCATCCCTCGAGAGCGGCGGCTCGTTACGGCACTCCACCCCCGGTGCCGATGACGATGCTAGGTCTCAACCTGACGATGAAGACCCCAGTGGTGGGTTCTTCGAGACGGGCAGGTGGTATGGAAGCAGTGCATCTACCTATGTTTCTGCCCCAGTTGTGCTTCAAAAGGTAGGTTAGGCTTTGTTCTTCCTTTAAGGGCACATTGGACTGAAACATTATGTTTTAGTTGCAAAATATGGTTGATGGCCATTCACATACTGAAGGACAGATGGCCGCCAGAACCGCTTCAGATGATCAACTTCATGCCGCCATAGCGCAGCCAGAGTCAAAGCGGGATCTCGCCATGACAGTCGAGCCTTCACCAGCAGACAAACTGAAATCTCTTGTCCAGGAATGCGGCGTTCCTCCACATAAGTTACCAGAGCTTCTGCAAGAGCTCCCACCACGTAATCTTTCCGACAAACTTATAGACTTCTATTTTGGTTCTATGTAAGCACACCTCGCTCAAGAGTCATTTGCGCTTTTGATAACCTTTTTACGTAGAAACTGGACTCGATACCCTATTTCCCAGAAGGACTTCCGTGCTGCCTACGCCATTACACAAGCTGATATCACTGCTCTCAATCCAAACGATATACGGTTCTTGCCTCTTTTATTCGTTGTACTCGCGATCTCTGTGAGATTGGCACCGGATAATGTCGTTGGTGATGCTGAGACGCGTCGACTAACGTCTTCCAGGTATTATTGGGCCTGTAAGTTGATTGTCAACTTCTTGTGCTGATACGGTCTCAGCTGGTCCCACCCATAGCACGTAGGTCCCTCCTAATAGCTGCAGCAATCCAACCGGATTGTTTAGAAATGGTCCTCACTCGACTTTTGGTAAATACTTTTCGCCGATCCTATGTGGATGTAGCTAATCCTACAATAGAGTGCTCGATTTCTGATTTTAGACCGCAAGATGACAGAGTGTTGGAGTCAGCTAGGAGCCGCTGTCCGCACAGCCCAGGCACTCGGACTTCATAGGGATTCGAATGCTCCAGTAAGGCTTTAAGATTACTCTGTCATAGATCCGCTCACAGTGAAATCACTAGACAATTTCACCTCCACAAGCGGAATATCGACGTCGCATATGGTGAGCATAGTTCTTACGGAGGGTCATTCGCAAGCCAACTGGTATGTAGGTCTTATCTCTATCATGCCGATCGCGCCTACGCGTTGGTACTTGGTCGACCATCAGCCATTAATGACGAATACACCTCCGCACGACCTCCCATGAACATCGACGACGATTTGTCTGGGCCACTCTCGAATCCGCTTCCGCTCACAACTCCCACCAAAATGACCTATGTTGTGCTACGACATGCTCTAGCAGCCATCATGGGGCGAATGGTGCATCACTTCCAGAAGGTCAACTCGCCGAGTCATTATTCGGACGTCGTGGCCCTCGACGATGAACTTCTGAGATTCATGCAATCATTGCCTCCCCATTTTGCATTGGAGCCTGATCTTTCCCTTGATCAAAAGTTGCCTTACCTTCAGGCGCATCGGTTCCTCTTGGTCACCGAGATATTGTATGTTCGCAGCAACCTACATCGACCATATCTATTACGTCGGCTCAGCAGCGAACGCTACCTTCGATCCCGGAAAGCTTGTTTTGATTGTGCTCTGACGGATTTCCGAATTCGAAGAGAGTTCTTGCAGTCTGCCTCCAAGAACGTCCGGGACCCGATTGCTAGCGCATATCGCGAATTTTGTACCGCGATGATTGCGGGTATATACCTCGTCCTGTATCCGAAGGGCAAGGACGTTGAAGGTATGAAGGCCATAGTGGATACCTTCATCCATGATCGCGAAAATATCCCAGAGTTGGACGAAACGACGAGACGTGAGGTTCGAATCATTGACTTCTTGAAGAACAAGTTCTTCCAGGTAGCTTCCGAGCAGAACGGTACTACATCGGCGATAGGTCCAACAGAAGAGAAGCCCCATACTGACGCCCAGCTCCTACTTGGACTACATCGCTCGTCGCCTCGGATGTCAGGAGCCAGTGTCGGATCTCCTCTTGCTCAAGGATCCATGGTACCTTCTGGTTCAATGTCTGCCAACACGTTTGACTTTTCACAACCGCTACACAGTACGATGTCGCCCGTTCAGCAGCTGCAACACGCAGAAGGCAGTACCGGATCTGGATCTGGTAGTCCGATGGGCGATGATGAGTCTGGGGCTCAGCAGCTACTGGACCAATGGTGCGATGTCTTCAGCGGCGGCCCGAACATGGACGGCATGCCCAGCGCTGGTCTGCCGTGGGCTACACCGGGGATCTCTGATATGAGCGGTTGGTTCACTTCAGGTGGGCCTTTGGTGGGCGACGGTCTGAACGCCATGGGTGACGGTGATGGAACGGACTGGAGTTATTGGGAGAATTTGGTCAATCAGATTCGGAGTGGGCCTGTTGCATGAGCATTTTCTTTCCTTAATTATCCTTGCTATCGGTTTTAGTTTCTCATAGATCTCGCACTCTCCATGTACATACATTCCTATCTTAGTTTTGCTTTATATTCCTCCGTGTAGTTCTGCAGAAGTAAATAGAAATCGTGCATACGCCAGCATCCTAGACTTCCATGCAAGGCGAGGTACTCACTTGTCTTCAAGTTGCGGAATTTCGTTGAGCTTGAGTTGAAGTCATTCCAAAGATTCTCATGGACGGATCCTTCAGACAAAGGAACATTAAATAGTTGTAATGCGAGTCCAACCCGCTTGTCATTAGAGGGATACAGGAGACTGCAAGCACGAATGTTTCGTGTATCCTGCAGTTGGTTTATGAAGGGCGACCTTCAAGGATCAAATGGTACCCCCTCTGTTATTTCTTACCTTCAGGACATGCCAAAAGCTCAAGATGTCCCCACATAAAACGTTCAGACCACACTGTCACTATTGCGACTGAGCGGATAATGACATTATTTCGTGCGAGTACGCCCCGAGTGATAGCCTGTCTTCATATTAGTGCTCAAGATAAGCCAGTTGACTAAATTCAAGTCAAATCATGACAAAATACAGATTACGACGAAGGCAAGTACGAGAGTAGTAGTCCAATCAGATGACACTCTTCTACTAGAGATCGCGCTACTGAAGGACCTATTATTCAGTTTGTTATTTGCGGGTACTCCGGGACATTGGCATTGCGTAGACGTCGGTGTCGAAACAGGTAAACTGGCCGCTGAAAGCGAGGCTTGAGACTCATCCGTTGTGAGACTAGCAGTAGAGGTAGCGGTGTCAGTTTCTGTCTGAGCAGGTTCTTCTTCCATGAGAGCAGTGGCCGCCGCGTTCGCTGCTTTGGCTTCCAAGCTATTCGCAGAAGGGACAGGAGAAGAAGTGGTGCGCGAGTCCGGTTCTGTAAGATCCGTGGCTTGCACGCGATTTTCGGAGGACGCGGTTACAGTGCGGGAAGCAATTGGTGGATCCATCTGGTCAGTAGAAGAATGCGGAGGAAACGAGGACGAGATATCGTGGGTGTCAGCCTCTTGGACTCGGGTTTCCGGGGTGGCACTGGCGTTACTAGAGGTTTGATCATTGTCGGGTAACTGCGCACGACTAGATGTGGAAAGTTCCTCGTTATGTGTTGTTGAACTTCTTGAAGGAGGTTCTTCCACGCTAGCGTCACTCTGCTCTGTGCTAGTGACCGGACCTGTTGGGGTATGATCGGCTGATACTGAGTCTGAAGCCTCCCTAAGGACTCCTTCTTCATCTTCGTCCTTTTGAGAGTCGACGCACTCCTCCGTTTCGGTCAGGTAACCAACTCCCCATGGAATGGCATCGCCATTAGGTTGTAAAGAATGCTCTGGCTGCACACTGTTGCCAGCCGACGAAGCAATCTTTGGAACTATCATAAGTTATAAATTGTAATCAAGTGGTGAGACACTCACCGTAAATCGTGTCGTCCACTTTGCGGAGTGGTTGCCGCTTGTGAACTGAACATATTTCAGATTGTGCATCGAAATGACAATGATAACGACTGCATACCTGGTAGAAGTAAATAGCGGAATTCGGGTCTACACCAGGACATGTCCATAGATATGGTGTGAGGCTGCTATTAGTCCCGTCCAAGCCTGAGACAACATTTGTGACCAGAGACATATTGTTATTGGAGCCCGACATAAGATCTGTGATAGCAAAGGAAGTCGTCAGAGTCAAGTAGAGAATCGTTAGAGGCGCGCATGTCAACCAATGGTCACGTTAGTCCAGCTTCCTGTGGTATCCGCTTCCCAAACGATAGGGCATGATGAGCCAGCATTGAACGAATTTCCAGGACCCGGAGACGTAGGCGTCAAGCTGCCAAAAGAAAGTGTTGCAAATAGAGCGGAAAACAAGAGAGAACGTGGAACAGTCATATTATATCGATAGAAGAAGAAAAGCTGGAGAACGGAGGTGCTCAGCACGTTGACAAGGTACCAGACCGATAAGTGAGTGTAGGAGTAAGGGAAAGTTAAGAGTAAGCCTTGGATTTACGAGCAGTGGATCCATATCCTCCAATTTTTGCGGAAGACAGCCGCAAAGAAGGCGGACCAGCTGCTAGTGGCTGACATGCACCTGAGAGGACGTTCACTGCTACAGTAGTAGAAAGCCCGAGGGAGACAGAACGAAAAGTGATCGATCGCAGGCTATTCGAAGGCGCACGTGGCGACAAACGCGGGTCGTCCTTGGGTTCACCATTACCACGACCAGTCTAATCACAACCTAACACATTCAACTCACCGCTTGGGGCACAAAGCTCACCTCGGCCCACGACCTTTTGCAGGGCTTTCTGGGAGTCTTCGAGTCCTACTCTTTTAGATGCAATCAATCAACCGTTTTCTGTATGGACCTACCCCGGATGAAAGAATCCGAGCATGGCAGACAAAGCTGCGTTCTGAACAACGTCTATTGGAGCGGGAAATGAGGCAGGTTCGATGACAGCATTTTTCAATGTCTCCCTTTCCTCACACTGTACTTGAAGCTTGACATGGCCACGAACAAGGCTCGCCAAACCGTGAAACAGCTAGCTACCAAAGGAGATGTCAAATCTGCACGTATACTCGCACGGGAGGTGGTCCGCAGCAATAAACAGAAAGACAGACTTTCAGTGAGCAAAGCAAGATTGGGTTCAATTAGCCATCAGCTTGCGCAACAGCTAGGTGCGTGCATTGTAGCATAGATCGAGGATTTACTGATTATCGGTCCTTCTAGCCATGGCGAAGGTCACAGGATCATTACAGAAATCTACGGAAATTATGAAACTTTCCAACACTCTCATTCGACTACCCCAGATTAGTCAAACGATGCGTGAGATGAGTATGGAGATGACGAAAGTAAGCTCTAGATATATGTGTTTAGTGTTTCCGTTGACGAGGCCCGTGGCTGCCAGGCTGGTATCCTTGAAGAAATGATGGATGATACCCTCGAGATGGAAGAAGACGAGGAGCTGGAGGAGGAAGCCGATGCTGAAGTTGACAAGGTTCTCTTTGACCTTACGGAAGGAAAGCTCGGACAGGCTGGCACTGTACGAACCGAACTACCTGTAAGTGTGACATCTACATTTAATTTGATCCTTGAGCTAACAAATGTATTTGGCGACAGACATCCAAAGAGAGACTGGAAGACGAGGAGACAGAGAGAGCGATGGAGAAATATCGACTCGAGTTGAATGGTTTACTCAGCGGATGATCTCTAGGATGGTTCTTGAAGCTTCAGAGGGTTCTTGTATATCTTGCATACTATGAGGATGGACTAGATGTATCCATGATTTTCCGTGTTTACTTTGTACGAATATATTACAGGATTTCATCACATCACACGGACCCACAGTAACCACTCGTATGGTTCACAAGGATGCTATCACAACAAAGCATCCCTACTCTTCCGCATGCGTAAACATTTACTGTACCGTGTTGAACTAATACTACTTATCGTGTCTAACGTGGATATGTCCATCTGAGATTTGGCACCGGGGAAATTGGGAATACTTCCTTCGGATGGTATCGGACGAATCAGGATCTCCACACAAGATCTCCGAAGCTTCTGCACGTGGACTGTGCATCATCGTTGAGCATTTCCGAGCCGCAAACTTCTGCACCGACTCTCTCTTGGACGTGAACAAAAAAACATGTTGGTTTCACGAAACTTGTCTAGCTTTGCGCGGGGCGCATTGAAAACCTCACAGGTCAGCACACATTCTCTTCAGGCAAACGCACTTCAACTGACCTAGTTCGACATATGACAGTCTGCACGTTGCTACGCTTCTGCAGCACCGACCGCCGCTTTCGCTGGCAAGAAGGGAGCCAACGTGAGTGTGCAGTAGAGGTCGAACTGGTTGAGACATTTGTTAACTTCTATGCTTAGGGCAAATATACTGTCACCCTCATCCCTGGAGATGGTAAGTCACCACCGTCATGACCTTCAGCGATCCTAAAGGTCGTGTTTAGGTATTGGACCGGAAATCAGTCAGTCTGTGAAGGAAATCTACAACGCTGCCAAAGTGCGTTCGTATGCAGATCCTTGGATGTCATGATTGTCTGACGGACTGCTCTTCAGGTTCCTATTGAGTGGGAGGAGGTTAGCGTTGCTCCCATCTTGAAGGGCGGCAAGACTGTCATCCCGGATGTTGCTATCAACTCTGTCAAGAAGAACACTGTCGCCTTGAAAGGTTTGTGCACTGTTATAGTCAACGGGCATCAAAAGATACTAATTCGTACATTATAGGTCCCTTGGCCACACCGAGTACGTGCAACAATTCGCCGATCCCATAAATCAGTAATTAAAATACGTCTCTACAGTCGGCAAGGGTCACATCTCTCTCAATCTCACTTTGCGAAGGACATTCAACCTATTCGCCAACGTTCGGCCTTGTGCTTCTATCAAGGGCTTTAAGACTCCTTACGATGATGTGAACACTGTTCTTATTCGTGAGAACACCGAGGGAGAGTACTCTGGTATTGAGCACGAGGTAAAAGGAGTGCATCTTGGAATATGCATCACTCCATGCTGAAGCACGGTAATAATAGATTGTCGACGGAGTTGTCCAATCCATCAAGCTGATTACATGGGACGCATCTGAACGTGTTGCTCGCTATGCCTTCCATTATGCCGAGTCTACGGGACGCAAGCGCGTTACCGCTGTGCACAAGGCCAACATCATGTAGGTTCATGTCTAAGCCGATGTTCGCCGAATCCCTCACCCATTATGCGTAGGAAAATGTCGGATGGTATGTTTTTGTCTGCTTGCCGTCAAGTAGCTAAGGACTTCCCGGGAATCACCTACGACGAGGACTTGCTGGATCGTGTCTGTCTCCAGGTGAGTATGGTAAGTGTCAGTGTATACTTGTTCCTAATATATCTTTGCTCCAGATCGTCCAAAATCCCAGACCCTACTCTGAGCGTGTCATGGTGATGCCCAACTTGTACGGTGATATCCTGTCAGACATGTGTGCTGGTCTTATTGGAGGATTGGGTCTTACCCCGTCCGGTAACATTGGACGCGTAAGTTAAACTACTGTTGTCTGGGTTACCGTTTCAGGTTTTAACATTTTGACGTGACGTAGGATGCTTCCATCTTTGAGGCCGTCCACGGTTCAGCGCCTGATATTGCTGGTTTGTCTTTCGATCTGTGTTCTTTCGTATATTCCTAATCCCCTTTTCAGGCAAGGGACTGGCTAACCCCACAGCGTTGTTGCTCTCGTCTTTGATGATGCTTCGGTAAGTCTTTACTGAAGTGTGAGGAATTCGCGCCTAATGGCTGTCGTCAGGCACATGAATTTGAATGAACACGCCACCAAGATTGAGAAGGCTGCTCTTGCGGTGAGTCCCTTGATTTGTGGCACCGGATATTTTGACTGACAGTCTCGCAGACCATCGCGGAAGGCAAAACGATCACTGGTGATCTCGGTGGCAAGGCCTCAACTCAGGAGTACACTGCTGCTATCATCGAGAAACTTGCCCGGGCATGAGCAATAGAGCCACCTGGTAGACGCATGGATGGCATTGTACATGTCATGGACCACGTAACATAGAGTACAGTAGCACTCAGCTGACCAATTTTACCATTGCTAGATTCTATATGCGCACATCCCTAGGCATGAGCATTCGCGAGAGACAATAGCCAGACAGACATGAGGCAAGCGAGAATCATGAATGTGTTGATGAAAGGATGATCGCACTTGGTCTGAGCGGCGCGCGGACGTTTAGGCAGTGCTGCTTACTACGTGGCCAAGGATGGTTAGAAACTTTGTATACATTTTTGTGATGTGACGTTAAGCATACTACCACTTTCAAAGCGTGGGAAAGTATTATGTGCGCTGCCTCATCCATAAAATGGGCAGACGCAGCTCCTGTCTCTTGCTCGCGACGATAAGCAAACCCCTTCCACGCCTACCCAGGCAACCACTCCCATAAACACCCACTCGCCCTACAGGGCAAAGCCATCTACCTTACAGATCTTCTTCCAACTTCCCAGTAGGTGTCCCAAGCACACGAAGCCGTTGCGACTGACATCAACGCAGACTTCGCACATTTCAAGGAAACGTATAATCCAAAAAAACAGTTCATAACGATAAACGACACACTGTAAATCAGCATTACTTTACGAACGACATGTCCGACGAAGCCAAGCCTCAGACTCAGAGTCTTCCTAAGCGGGAGGAGAAGAAGGACGACAAGAAACCCTCGTCCAATGCTCCTGCTCAGGGTGGTAACAGGAATCAGAGGAGGAACGTCTCCAGGTCCAGTAACTCCATTAGTGGCAACACTGGTGGTCCCAGACCGGCATCAAGAGGTAGCAACAAGAAAGCACCTACCAACAACCCTAACAACGCGACCGAATCTGGCTCAGATTCAACTGCGAAGAGAAGCAATGACGGGAGAAGGAATGACCAACGTGGTAGAGGTTCCAATGGTGGAAACTCTCGCTCTGGGGGAAACCGTAGGATCTCTCAGTCGAACAACCAGCCCGCTCGTCAAGGCAGCATCAGCTCCAAGGATTCCGCTGGTTCCAGACAGAACAGCAACAAGCCTGCCTCCGCTTCTCCAGCTCCTGCTGCTACCAGCGAAAGCAGTGATGCGTTGTCTTCACTGCAGAGGGTCATCGCTGATTTAAAGACGACGTCTCCGCCTGCCCAACAGCCTTCCAATCCCGCGCCCGGCATCACTGCCTCCATCTCTATGCCCTCTAATCAGACGCAGGGCTCTAACCTGCCGCTCAACGCACCCGTGTTCCAGCCAGGCGCTGCTGCGTATCCTGGCACAGGTGGGAATGAAGCTCCTAGGCACCGCAAAGCAGCATCTTTGGGTGCAGGTTCAGTCCCCAATCCACTTAATGCATATTCTCCTAATCTTGGATCCATGATGGAAGACGCCGAGGAGCAAGTGAATGCATCCGTTGAGGAAGGAGAGATACGTGAGAACACCTTCCAACCTGCAGGTCATCAGCGTCGCTCTCTTTCCCAGAGCTTCACCGCTCCTCGATTCGCTGCGCTGGCGGCGCAGAATGAGCCTACCGGTCCCACAGGTCGACCTCAATTGGCCCCCAACTTCATGTTTGGTGCGAAGAGACGTCCTAGCTCTGGTATTCCACTCGGTCCCCCGATCAACGAAGAGGACCTTGGATTCCAGTTCCCTCAGCAGCAGAATCAGCAGAACTTTGGTATAGATACGTCAGAGTCTGCGCAGAGGAAACCCGAGAATCCGGGGGAGATTTCTGGAATCATGGCAGAACAGGTCGGTCACGCATATAAGGCTTGAAGTTTCTCGCTTATTAAAACATTTTATAGATTGCGATCCAGACCCAAATAGAGGTACTCCAGCAACAACAGCAAGCATTGTACCAACAGCAGCTTGCTTCCAACCAAGTTTTGTCGTTCCAGACTGCAGGGCTTGCTCCTGTTCGCGGTCCCGGCCACCGACGTGTGCACAGTACTCTTCCTCTCGGAATGAGCGTTAATCCGTTCGCAGGTCCCCAAGCAGCTATGGGTCAATTCGGTCAGGGCGGATTAGGTTTGCCTGATACGCAAGGTCAGGGCATTCCTCGTGGACATGGTAGGCGTCATAGTGTGAACGTCCTCAACAAGTCCACCGCTCAGCCCAGTATTGGCTCCATGTTTGCGAACAGTCAAGATGGTTTCGACGATGGCTTCGTGCCACCTCCTGGTCTCGGTGGTCATACGCGCTCCGATTCTAGTTGGCGCATCAGTAAGCATCCATACAGCTTATGGTGAACAATGTTTATCTAATGCATTCGTATAGACGGTGGTGTCGGAGGCGTTCAACCTGGTGGAAACTTCGCCTCTGATCTCGCCCAAGCTCAAGCCCAGCTGCAGAGTCTTCAGCAATTCCGTGCCGCCGCCGGTGGACATCATCACAAGATGCCGTCATTCAGCTTCCCCAATATGTTGCCGAACATGATGGCTGCGAATATGATGGGTCTTGGTCTTGGTGGTATTAATCTACTCCAACAACAACAACAGCAATTCCAATCGCAGTTACAACAACAATCCAGTCAACCTCAGCGCAAGTCGCTATTCGCTCCTTACCTTCCACAAGCATCACTTCCACCTCTCCTTGCTGCCGGCAAACTTGTTGTTGGCATCCTGCGAGTGAATAAGCGTAACCGATCCGACGCGTACGTTGCGACAGAGGTCTTGGATGCCGACATCTACATCTGTGGCTCCAAGGACCGTAACCGAGCACTCGAAGGCGATATTGTCGCCGTGGAGCTTCTGGATGTCGATGAAGTCTGGGGTACGAAGAAGGAGAAGGAGGAGAAGAAGAGGAAAAAGGAAGAGAACTCTGCTTACGACTTGAAAGGCGCCGCCGGACGGAAGAACGATAAGAAGAAAGACGACGTCGAGGTTGAAGGCCAGGGTCTTATGCTCTTTGAAGATGAGGAGTAAGTCTAATCAGCGACGTCTGTGGAAGAATATCTAACAGTATGAGCAGGGTGACAGATGAGGTCAAGCCTCAGTTTGCTGGTCACGTCGTTGCGGTCGTGGAACGTATGCCTGGTCAACTGTTCTCAGGTACTCTAGGCTTGCTCCGCCCCTCTTCTGCTGCAACCAAAGAGAAGCAGGAGGCTGAGCGCCGTGAACGCGAAGGCGACCGCGGTGACGAACCCAGGCGTCCTATTGAACGTCCCAAGATTGTGTGGTTCAAGCCGACGGACAAACGAGTCCCTTTGATCGCCATCCCTACTGAGCAAGCACCTCCCGACTTTGTCCAAAACTCTGAGGCATATGCCGATAAGCTCTTTGTGGCTTGTATCAAGCGTCATGTAAGATCGCATCCTTTGTTTATGTGACTATTCACTGACTCCTTCGCGTAGCCGATCAGCTCCCTGCACCCCTTCGGTACTTTGGTTGAAGAACTTGGTCCGATTGGAGACATCGAGGTCGAGACAAGTGCGCTTTTGAAGGACTGTAACTTCCCTACGGAGGATTTCACCGATAATGTATTGAAATGTCTTCCTCCTATTCCATGGACGTACGTGCCTCTCTTAAATCACCCACGTTTTCCCTGATGTTTAACCCTTTCTTAGAATCCCCGAGCGAGAGTTCGAAGTTCGCAAGGATTTACGCAGTGAACGTGTCTTCAGTGTCGACCCCGACGATGCTAAGGACCTGGACGACGCGTTGTCTGTGAAAATCAACGAGGACGGCTCCTACGACATCGGTGTTCACATCGCAGATGTTTCGTTTTTCGTGAAGCCGAATACAGCCTTGGACCGCGATGCTCGCAAGCGTGCTACAAGTGTTTACCTTGTACAACGATCTGTCCCGATGTTGCCTCCCGCCTTGAGTGAGCAACTATGCAGCCTACTTCCTGGACAAGAACGACTGGCGTTCTCCGTCATTTTCACCATAACCAAGGAAGGGAAGGTTCAGAAGAAGTGGTTTGGTCGAACTATCATCAAGTAAGACTCGTTTTACTTGCTTTGCACACTGTCCGTTACTCATACGCTTTTATCATCAGATCTGCTACCAAATTGTCATATCCCGATGTCCAAGCCGTCATTGAAGGCAAGACTCTCGGCGCCGTCGTAGTTACGCCTGAACACGAAGCTGCGGACATAGCTCATGACATCAAGATCCTGGACGATTTGGCCAAGCAACTTCGCGAGCGCCGTTTCCAGAACGGTTGCCTTACGAGCGAGTCTCGTAGTATCACATTCAAACTCGATGAGAACGGGAATCCGATCGATTGTAGTCCTTACGAACGCACTGAAGCAAACGACCTTGTTGAGGAGGTAAGATTGATCTTTTGGCGCTCACTGAATGCATCCTAACCTACGCTCTCCCTTAGTTCATGCTGCTCACCAACATGGCTGTCGCTCAACAAGTCGCAGTACATTTCCCTGAACAGGCTTTGTTACGTCGCCACGATACACCAATCGAGCGCCGCATGGTTAGTGTCATACTACGTCTGAAATTCTTAATACTCACGCGCTTTCGATCAGACTGCTTTCGCTGAGCGTGCCGAACGTCTCGGCTATAAGATCGACATCTCATCTACTGCTGCTCTTCAACGTTCTCTCAATGCTGTACACGACCCGCTCGCTCGCCGCATCCTTGATGTCTTGCTGCAGAAGGCTACTCAACGTGCCAAGTACTTCTGTGCAGGCATGCTCGATATTGCTAAATATGGTCACTACGCCTTGAACGTGCCTCTGTACACTCACTTCACCTCGCCCATTCGTCGCTATGCGGATATCCTCGTTCATCGCCAATTGGACTCCATTCTGCAGGGAGGCAGTGAGCCGAAATTCACTATGGACCGTGATGCTGTGGCGAAGGTTGCTCAACAATGCAATATGTCAGTACTTCTTGATTGTGTGTAAGTAGTCTACTAATCTCTTTATTCTTGTAGCAAACGTGATTCCGCCCAACTTGCTGAGGAACAATCCGCGCATTTGTTCTTGTGTACCCTCATTGCAGACCTCACTCAACGATACGGGCCTGTAGTGCGTCAAGCCAAGGTTGTCAACGTTCTGGACGCCGCGTTTGATGTCCTCGTCCCCGATTTCGGCATCGAGAAGCGAGTCCATGTTGACCAGATGCCCATTGATGTAGGTTGTGCTCATTTTATGCCCAGTGTGATATCTGACCCTTGCCTATAGAACCACGTCTATGACGAACATTCCCACACTCTTCAAATCTACTGGTCTGAGAAGGATGTGATTACTTGGCTTGCTGAAAATAGCGATGATGAGCATCTCAAGAAGGTCAAGCAGAATGCTGAGCAACACGCCGTCAAGATGGAAGTGGTCTCGCGTTCTGTACATGATGAGAAGGCCCTGTTCGACGAGGATGACGCCGATGAGGACGAAATTGTCCTCGAACGCCCTCACGCCCAGGAGGAAGAAGTTGAAGCTTCCAAACAGAGACTCCTCTCCAAGAACAAGCCACAACCGGTGTTTGAGGGTTTGAAGGCTACTGCCGCTGGTCACAAGATTCAAGAAATTCGGGAGATGCAGACTGTACCTGTATGTAATTTTATTGTTCAAGCAACGCCCTCAGCTCTGATTTGCTCTATAGGTTATCGTTACAGCCGACTTGACCAAGAGCCCTCCCGTCATCAAAGTCTACAGCGTCAATCCTTACGCTGGTCATTTGTAATCAAGGGTGTCATGCGATTCACGTCTTGACAGGGTGTTGCCTGCGGAAGACTTGTTTCTTCGACATCTTCACGTTTCATGTCTTTTCTTTTTCTCAATCCTTTCATGTTATGGTTTTCTGAAGGCGATGATAGTCAATCGTAAGCTCTCATGGTTCTCTTCTTCACGCTCCTCACTCCATGGCTCGCTATGACTTGGATGCAATCTATCATGATCATGTTGTTACTGCTGTCTTCCATTGGGGGCATTGTAGTTGTATATGTAGTATTCGTCGGAACGTTTCGTAATGGAATTTGACATGCTTTCTCTTCTAAATGATTTGTGGAGGTCTTACCAATCAGAACAAGTGGGAACTACTGTAATCAAGTGCATATTTTGTTGTACTAGAGCGGATATTATGATGTCAAGCTGGATACCACCTGGCATTATGCATTACTCTTGTAGCATGCAAATCGAACTTCGTTCAGGAACAGGGTACCATAGTGCTCTCCGAAGGCGGACAGCCAGGAAACCTATTGTCAAACGGATCGAGATAGCTCTGTCGTAGGCCCATTCTAACATTTTTGAATGGTCTGAAGATCTCTGCAGCCAACTTGTATCTGCTAAAGATGTGAAGCCGATCATAAACATGCGCATGCTGAGCCCTGAGTATTCATGTCAGTCTTTACATCGATGTACAATCTTCAGATAGCCACTCACCATGTGAGAGCGATATGAGAGCGCAGGCATGGTAATTGAATTGCAGCATAATATACGGAATGCAACGTCTCGGAGACCTACGAACCTTCGAGAAAGCCAGATAAGCTTGAGGTTTGCTTCTTCTTTTCCTGCTCCTGACGTTCACGGTTGCGCGCCAACATATCCTGAAGTCCACTTTTCTTCTTGGATCGAACTTTGGAACGTGCCACAGATGTATCGATTGAGAGCAACGGAGTTTGAGAACGCGATCGAGAGGCATTGGGCAAGGGCGAGGGCGAGGGTGCAGGTGACGGTGCGTGTGAAGAACGCTTTTCAGGTACCGGAGATTGTTGCGTCTTAGTGTGCCCTTGCGGAGTATGTTCCCTTGACTCTGGCTGCGAGGTAACCTGTGATTGGGTACATGCTCTGCTTGAAGCAGGGAAAGGCATTGCGGAGCGTTCAGAAGACTGTTTGTGCCTTTTCCCGACGCGTTGGAACATCAATGGATTCCCCTTCTCAAGCAACACATCGTCGTTATAACCGCATGTCCCACACGATCTGCGCAGCGTGTGAGCTGCACTACTATAAAGTTTCCTTCTCTTGCGCTTGTGACTATCTGGCCCCACCGTACGAATATTTCCAGTACCATCTAGCAGGAAGGATCCGCATTTTATGCAATGTGTAGTGGCGAGAACATCCCCAGCGGGGTCCGGGTAATGCAAAATGCGAGTTCTAGATGCGTGAAGGGCCGCAAGTGCTGGGGATACTTGCTGCAAAGTAAATGGAATAGATAGTTGGAACTTGGATGTAGCTGCAATCGGAGGGCCTTGCTGGGTTTGCATGGTCGGAGGCAAACACTGTGGGCGCCAATAAACTGCTACCTGAATAAGGCGATTGTATCCGAGAAAGGCAAGTGCCGGTGTCTATTGTTCTTTGCAGCCTTGTTGAGGGTTGCAATTGTCTTTCGTCCATTGTCTTGCTAGCATGCAAGCGTTCATATCGCCTGTTGTCCCGATGATAAATCTCTCATTCCCCCCAACGCCCCTCAGCTGCTTCTTTTTCTTCTACCACCAACATCGCAACCGTTGAGCTGTTGCTCGACATTCATATTCCTTTCGAAATGATTTCCACCCACCGTTCGCAGAGTTCATTTAGCTCAAGAAGACCGAGCATATCAAATCCCATCCCAGCAGATCGTTTTGTACCATTATCTCCTCCAGCAACCAAGAGTCCGCCGCCCACCAACACCACAACCACCGCTCCAAGTCCTCCGCGTTCTCGTTCAGCACTCGCAGGGTCGATGGCTCGCAATTGGCTTGCCCGTGCATCTTCGTCAAGTTCAGGGAGTAGCGGGAGCGGCGCTCCGTATGCGCCTTCAAAGCCTGTGCGGATTTCAGAGCCCAAACTTAGCAGCGCGTTCGATTCAATAACTCAGCAGAGGGGTGTTGTCCTGGGATCGGGTGCTATCGTTGTCCGTACACCTCAAGAAGCCCTGGCTGGATCCAGTGTCTCAGTTTACGACGACGAAGACGATACTCCCACTACTCAAACCGCGCCGAGATCAACAGAGCACTATCAGTTGCCTGCGTCGCCTACCAGTCCCCCGTTACCACCTATCCCCGACTTTGAAGATGACGAGGAAGAGGAAGGAAAGGAACCTGAGCAGGAATATAGAGAACGAACCCAATCTCGATCCTCCACTCCGTCGCGACCTACGCGTGCACCACCCCCGATTCCAATCGAAGAAAATGCACCGGTTACATCACCTCCACTCAGCCTGCGGCCTTCGCTTAAATCGTGTTCCCCTCCCAACTCTGAGTATTTCCCTCCAGTTCCAGCGCTCCCCGCCAACGTACCGCCCTCTCCTCCACAAATGCCCTTCGAGCCGATCTTGCTTTCACCAGCGCCTGTAGGAACGATCGATCCAAGCAAGATCATTGTTTCCGTTGAGACATGCACGAATACATTCCGCACCACGCTTCAGACATTGACTTCACGTCCATCTTTCCTTTCGACGTACCTCAAGTCATTGTTGCCATCAAAGGAGGGAGATGACGATGAAGTGTCAGTTCGGAGTGCGGCAGACAGTGCCTTCAATTCCATCTTCCACCATCACCTCACGTCTTCGGGCTTGTTGACCCAAACCTCGACAAACATACATATATTCCTGGATCGGCCAAGTGCTCCGTAAGTTTTAATTGCCATATAATCAATGAATTTACTCACATACTTGATTCAGATATGCACATGTCTTAACGTACCTTCGCACACCACCATCGACTCCAGAGCATCCTGCCATTCTTCCTCGCGCCGTGCAACTTAACTCATCTTCCAATTCTCGTTTGGAAGCCCTTCTCGAGCTCAGAGACGAGGCACGATACCTAGACCTCGATGAACTATATAAGCTCTGCACTGATGAGATTCGCGTCCGTCAAGACAGTCACAGGAACAACATGTTAGGCTTGCACACGCATTCCCGTGCAATGAGCAATGCTAGCATGATGAGCGGCCGAAGTCTAGGCACCTTGCGCGAAACTCCAGAGCATGAGACAGAGGTTAGCGAGATGGGGGAGAGAAAACTTGCGAGGACGCGGTCGAGGGATTCAGGTTTAGGTTCTGGAAGTCCTCCTTCAACGCATGCAAAGAGCCCGAGTCCAAGAAATAGCGAGAGCCCCGACATCTGGAATTCTTCGCCACCTGTTATGGTGAACGCGAGTGCTCTGCAGCAGCGGCTACAGTTGACGGGAAGGGGGCGAAGTGAAACCCGGAAGGAGGCAGTCGCATCGAGCAGTACGCGACCAGTGGGGAGATGGCTATGAGCTTATCAGTAATTATCTTTCGGCGGGTATTCACTCGACTTTGAAAGTTCTTTCATGTCTATCATGTCTGTCCACGATCATTAACTCTCTTATTCGTACCGGTATTTGTCTTCAATTTTTCCCTCCAACACTCCTTGACACAAACACTACTCACCTTCATTACGTTTTATCTCCTATGCATGCATACTGTAGCCCTAGATATTCGTTGTATATAGCATCCAGCAATGATCACGAAATTCTCACCTGTTCACCTTATACAAATCTTCAGAAAATGATATCACGGGGACAACAACACATAAGATTGATTCGAATGCGTGCATGCAAGGAAAACTTGACATGGTGTCACCACAAGCAAGACACGATTGCCACCAAAAGTGAGCCTGTTATTTCGGCGCCCACAAATCATACAATTCCTTGTCCGCGGGGTCAAAGCAGGTAACAAGAGTGGGGTCTGCACGAATCATGATCCTTCGAGCGGGCGTATCGAGGTTAAAAGTGCTTCCACTGTGCAATGTCGAGAGTGAGAAGGGAGACTGAGTTGAAGAGAAGGCACGAGAACCACTGGAAATGGTTGAAGACGAAGGAGATATCTCTCCCGGCATAGGAGTACCCTGTTTAATGTTAGGAGTCAGTCCAGCAAAGCACTATGAATGAGAAAGAACTACTTCATTGCGCCGACGATTCCGAATGTTGTTCTCTGGAGTGACCGGCTCATTCTGAGCGCGTCCACGTTCTGCAAATGCCTGAATAACTACAAGATATTACAAGAATCAACAAATTAGCCTACCTGGAGAACCTGGAGGCGTTGTGAGCCTAGTTGAAGAGGTCATTACGACCAGAGCAATCTGACTTTCTGTTTCAATTTATCTCCAAGTTCAACAAGAAACTTTGGAACGCCACAAAGAGAAAGCGTGACGTGACAGACGCGACGCTTTGATCACCGCGCGATCTGTCACGTCACAGACTCCTCTTGTTTGGCGTCTCCTGAACAGACTGAACAAATCTATGTTCGTTACTCCCATCCACCATGAACATCTTTAGAAGCTGTAAGTCTCTCAGTACCATCAAGAATCTTATACTCACCATGTCTCTCCTCATTTACAGTGATTGGCAAAGTTTGGCGTGAGTAATATCCAAAAACCGCAGTCCTTGAGGTTTCTAAGCCTGACATCATCCTGATAACGCAGACGACCCCAATGCGGCAGAGGTTGTGAAGATCTCCGAGGGTCAGTTGTTCCTGGTGCGCTCAGGGACGGTGCGAAGTGATAGAGAATGCATGTGAGTCCCTTTCTCTTCACATTCATTACTTCGCCTGATTGCATAAGAATTTAGATATAACGATGCTATGCTCACTATCCGCCGATCGAGCGTGGAGCATAACTTCCAGCTGGTGGTAACCCGTGTCTTTGAAGACGGCGACCAAGAACTGCTAGAAGACGAGGATGAGAGTGTGTTCCAATGTTCATTTTGGATATCATCCTGATGTCTAACTTAATTGTCTTATAGCGGATGACGAGAGGGTGTTCCTTATCGGCGAGGAACTGCAATTTCGAACAGGAGAGACGGAAGGCGAACCCACTTTCATCTGGCGTGACCTCGAAGGAGACGTTGATGAATTCTACGAGTTCATTGCTGATGGCACAAATGCACCTACTCGGGCCTTTTTCGAGACATGCATGTACCGCGCGATGTATGAACGCAAGTACAGGAAAAGCGCCGACAACACGTCTGACACAGATCTACAAGAATTCATATGGCAGTAAGTGTCCTATTACTCGATATGTACTATATTATATCTCATTATCTTGTCGAACAACGTTCTTTGACAGACCTCCCACGAAGAAGGGCAAGGACAAATCGAAGAGCACAAAGAAACCTTCCGTTGACGAGACAGGGCTTTCTGGTGCTTTGAAGAGCCTTTCAGTAGACGCCTCATCTTCATCTATACCTACACCTGCTCCTGCAGCCGCTGCTGAAGTCGATACTATTGCTACACCTTCCAGTACTGCTATGGAGAAGAAACCAGCAACTTCGGAGGATGACAGATACCCATCTATTGTCTCTGCCCCAGCCACACTTCATCTGTGGCAAAAGGTTGGCGGCTTCTTCGTTCCTCAAGAGAACGTCACAGCGCGAATAGTGCAAATGCCCAATGCCGGACCATATGACTATTGGCTTCTGGCGACAGCGGATGATGGCCGACGAGTCCTAGCACACAAGATCTCGTCCGACATGAATGAACGCTGGGCTGGCAAGATAATTTCGATGACATGGAATCATATGAGTGACTCTGGATTTCAAAGTAGTTGGTGCTTGATGTTCACGGAGCCCACCGATTACGAGGACTTCAAGGCAGCATACACGCGGGCGTTGTGGGAGACTGCCAATCAATACCCTTGGGAGAAAGCAAAGGTACGCCTGTTACTATCTTTGTATGCGGGCAATCATGAATTCTGGAGTAGAGGGACGAGCAAATGTATGTCATGAGCTCAGCCACTGAAGACGTAGAGATGCAAGATGTAGAAGGCGACTCGGATGAAGAAGAAGCCGTTGCGGAAGAGTTAGGTAAGTACCTTGGATCTTCTCAGTCAATGACTGACGTACTCACTTCTTATTGCAGAGAAGAGCGAAGATGAGTCCGAACCAGAAGATGAACTTCCGGAAGATGAAGACCTCCCGCCGCCATTGCCAAGAGGAGAACGCAATTCACAGCTCACAGTTGGTTATAGAGGTGACCGATCATATGTAGTTCGGGGCAACAACATTGGGGTCTTCAGTCATACGGGTGAGAACGTGAAGTATCATGCGACGATCAGCAAACTGGCAACGCCGAAGGGCAAAGAGTTCAATCCTAAAGAGGTACGCCTATTTAATCTTTCGGAGGTAAGGTCCTGACATAAGACAACTATTTGTATAGATTATGCTCCACGAACAAGACTCAAAGATGGTCCTCATGAATCCTCAGGAGCCTAATTCCTTGTTCAGTCTTGACCTTGAAGTCGGTAAGATTGTTGAGGAATGGAAGGTCCACGAGGACGTCACAGTCGATCATATCGCACCCGACTCCAAGTTCGCACAAATGACACCTGAGGCAACGTTAGTCGGTGCCTCGCACAATGCCCTGTTCCGCATCGACCCACGTATATCGGGACTCAAAATGGTGGACAGCCAGTACAAGCAATATGTCAGCAAGAACAAGTTCTCCGGGGTTGCTACGACTGCAGCTGGCAAGCTCGCTGTGGCTAGTGAAAAGGGTGACATCAGGCTGTTTGATTCTATTGGAAAGAATGCGAAGACGGCTCTTCCGCCACTGGGTGACCCGATCATTGGCATCGACGTTACTTCCAGTGGACGATGGATCGTCGCCACCACTAGGACGTATCTCTTGCTCATTGATACTCTTATCGGAGAAGGGAGGTATACAGGCAGTCTGGGCTTTGACCGCAGCTTCCCTGCCACTGCCAAGCCGATTCCAAGGAGACTGCAACTACGGGCGGAACATGTAGCTTACATGGAACACACTGTGTCATTCACTCCCGCGAGGTGAGCTTTAATTGTTTGACGTCTGACAATTTCGGAGCGTCTTGACGTTTTGGTGATAGATTCAACATGGGCGAGGGTCAAGAGGAGAATGCTATTGTCACGTCTACCGGTCAGTATGTCGTCGCTTGGGACTTTGCCAAGGTCAAGAAAGGCCAATTGGACAAGTACGAGATCAAGAAGTGGGTCATTTACATCTCATAGCGTGATACTTTTTATCGATATGCGAAAACTTAGGTATGAGGACCATGTCGTCCAAGATAACTTCAAGTTCGGCGATGACAAGGAGATCGTAAGCGTTTACTTAACACACTGCTCGAGATGCTTTGGATCTTGATTGTTTTGCTTGACCTGTCTCTAGATCGTCGCACTGGAAAACAATGTCTTGGCCGTGAACAAGAAGAGTTTGAGGAGACCTACTCGTGCATCGCTTGCTACTCCAACTCGAAACCTTCGGAGCAAGTCAGGCATTGTGCAGAGCCCCTATTGACGATAAATTTTCACAAGCCAGGTTAAGTACTGATGTATTTTCTACGTTTCTGCGATTTACGAGATATCCATGTGTATTGACGAGGGTCCAAGGTTGTATAGTTGAATTTTGTACTTAGTAATACTTACCTACAATGTTATGCATGATACCATGATTATTAGCATGTTGCGATGATTTTTCACTGAAATCCATGCTCGCAGTTTCAACAAGAAGAGTGGAAAGTCGATACAGATATATCTTTTTGATTACATACACTCGAGTGATGCGCTGGAACCTAATCCTCCGAGGATCCCGACAAACTAGTAAAAAGTACAAATGAATGGGCAGCTACAACGTCCGTGACCGGATCTATACACCTTCGTTGACGAATTAATTAGTCTACTTGTCAAGGCAGGTGGTCTCAACGATGATGCTGGTAACTCGGTAAGGGTCTACAAAAGGGTTGATGAGTTACGGTACGCGGCGCATAGAAGATACATCTACATACCAATGTTGGAAGCAGGTCGCCTGTCCTCCAAGTAACCATAGCCTTGAGCACCGACGTGTCGCGGAATACGGATAGAAGCACCACGGTTGGCGACGCCAGAGCTGAAGGTGCCGATGTGACCAGTCTCGTGACGGCCTGTGAGACGAAGGTCGTTGTCCTCGCCATAGACGGCGATGTGCTCGTTGTGACGCTGGCTAAGCTTTTCGATCGCGGCCTCGATGTGCTTCATTCCTCCAGGCTCACGCATCGCCTTGGTGCTGTAGTTGGTGTGGCATCCCGCACCGTTCCACTCACCCTGGAGGGGCTTGGGGTGGAAGGAGACCTTGATGCCCCACTGCTCGGCGATACGAATAAGGAGGAAACGAGCCATCCAGAGGTGATCGCCCATGGAGATACCCTCACACGGTCCGACCTGGAACTCCCACTGAGATGGCATGACCTCAGCGTTGATCCCAGAGATATTGACACCCGCGTAGAGGCAGGCGCGGTAGTGGGCCTCAATCAAGTCACGAGCGAAGACTTTGCCGGCACCTGGAAGGAGCATGAGCGTGTGAAACCCCATTCGAAACGCTCGGGGGACTTACCAGCACCGCAGTAATAGGGACCCTGAGGACCTGGGAACCCACCCTTGGGCCAGCCGTAGGGAGTACCGTCCATATCAAACAAGGTATATTCCTGCTCGAGACCGAACCAAGGCTCGACGTCCTTCGCCAAATCCATGACCTTCTTTGCGTGGTGACGGTAATTTGTTCGATTAGGAGTGCCATCGTTGTTGTAGCACTCGGCGAGAACGAGAATGTTGTCGCCACCACGGAAGGGGTCTTTGAAAATGGCAGCAGGGCGGAGATAGACATCGGAGTCGCTTCCGGGGGCTTGGTTCGTTGAGGAACCGTCGAAGTCCCAGATTCGGAGCTGACCAATGTCAGTCACTTTTTTCGTGACAGTCTGAACAAGACGATGAGTATCTAGAGTTGAAAAGGATGTTGTGAGATGGAGCCATGCTCACAGTGGTCTTTGAACGAAGACCGCCATCGCCATCGATCCAGACATCTGTTGAGGGGTGTATGAGTCATTTTGGTGCTTGAAAATTGGATAAGATGTAAAACGTACATTCCGCTTGGATCTTGTCACCCTGAGGAAGGGCGAGGTATGGGGCCAAGAGATCTGGACGGTAAGCCATGGATGGATATGTCGAAAAGAGTGGTATGCGGAGGAGGAGAGAGATGGCAGAAAAAGCGCCGCTTCAGTCCGGGGCTATATATTGGGACACTGCAGCAATGCAGACGTGTTTGGCAGTGTTTGGCTAGGCACATGGCTTATCTCTGAGTAGCCCCTCCGTCGCTTCTCCGTGAGATAACGACCGAAAAGCCTCCAATGGCAGACACCATATAACACCCCACATAGCCTTTCTTCTCTCAGTTTACCCTCTTTTTTTCCATCTAGAACAGACTTCGCCCGTTCAGTGAAAAAATTGCACCAATTTTCATCCGTTCGGACAAAGCAGGAATGCTGCAAAAATGCTGCTTAACGGCGCTAGAACCCCGGTCCGACAGAGTATTCAATCATATGTGTGGTTTAACAAGTCACAGAAATATGCTTTGCGCTCCAGCCCACAACGCGTACATCCCAGATCCATGTCACGGTTTCCCATACGTACATGACATTGACAGATCGATCTATCATCCATTGTTGGTCGGCCGAAATATGGAATGCTTCTGTCTATATCACCGCTTCCTAACATTCTTCCTTCGCCGTCCCCCAGCCATCGCCGTTGCTTTGCGCGATGCAGGCTTGACACCTGCACTTGACCCTTCGCTAGGCGTCACTGCCCCACTGCCAGGGACGTCTGAAGCCACTGAACCTTCATCATCCTCATCGATTCCATCTGTGGCATTAGTACCTGGCGAATCACGCCTGACCACTTTTGAAATAAGGTCGGAGACTAGCGCAAGGAACCATGTCTTCCTCAATGATGGACGGACCGCACTAGATTCGTTCACGGGAAGCAGACTTCCATCAGGTTCGATCTGCAAGAATGGTCAGAACGTAGTCGATCACGTCGGGCAGAACGCACTCACAATGAATACGTCCTCTCCTTCTACAACCATGTCGATCATTTTCCCACCAATGATATTGCCCTCATCGTCCAAACGTGGACTCCCTCCGAGATTGACTTTGACCTGCGACACACGACAGACAGCATCAGTAATGGAAGTCGGTCGGAGCATGCTGAATACCAACGGACCTTCCTCTGTCCTTCAACTGGTATCAGCTTAGTTCCCCAGGCGGCGGACTTAGCTTGGTGTCTAATAGTCTCTATTCTTTTGAGATCTTTTCCATAGTTCACGCGCTGGATCGCGTATTGCAGAACCGACGACAGTATGGTCAAAAAGACGAAGACACTCTGGAATAACAAGTCAATTAACCAGAGATAAGATGTCAACCAAAAGCCACATACACCGATACCAGGCCTAAAGCGGGCATAGTAGTATCCTGTACCTCGCCATCTTGGCACGCCATTCTTGTAGAAGAAGTCATATCTATCGGCTGAGCATTAGTACAGATTTAGACATAACACATGTTGCACTGTACCTCTTTCTACTTTCCGGATCTCTCAGAATCTTCGAAATCACTCCTAGCCTAGCAAACCTCTCATGAGCCCCCTTAACCCCTGGGTTCTTGTCTGGACTTTGTGACGCCGAAGGTCAAAAAGGTTTCACCATACACATAGCAACAAGAGGACGCACTGTAAGATCATGCTCTTCTTCCTGTATGCCCGTGCAATCTCAGCGGTTGTCGCGGATGGTGGGACATTCAGCCACGAGTAGAACGTTGTCCCCTTTCCTGTAAAGCAAACCGGTACTTCGTCAAGACAAGCAATTCATCATCTACTCATAACAACGCACCTTCGGAGGTTTCAATGGCGCTCACTAAGTCGAAGATCTCATAGTCCTCCTAAAGGTCCCGCTCGTCAGTAGATGAACCTTAATGACACGAAACTACTGAACAGACATTGTCCCAACTGTAAGTTCGTCAGTGATGACTAAAATACCGAAGAGAAGGTAAACATACGCTGAGACAAGTGTTAACAAGGTGGCCAGAAATGCCAGGAGGACGAAGAGTCTCATTCCTCCTCTACAGCTTGAATGTGTGCGTTTAGTGTCTGGTCTACCGTGACAGCAGTGGACGCGGCAAGCAGCAGCGCGATCGAGTTGCCACGTGTTTATCAATCCGAAACCGTGAAGCAAGAAATCTCCTTCCTTGCTTGGACTCTCACTGGACAATGGCTCCATCTCGTCGACGATGCGAAGTTTGTGGTTCCAAACAATGGAGAAAGGAACCCTCAAGTGGTTTGATTACTTGTAAAGAAGGCCACGTCCTCCAGGTCAGTTCTCGCTTCTCGCTTTACATGTCTTTGCAGACAAAGCTTAATTCACGCTGCTCAGAATTACAGGAACGAAACCCGAGAAATAAACGATCTGGGCCATCATGTACTTAAGAAGAGGACTCTGCGATCAGTAAGGAAGAAGAAAGGGAGACAGAGTCGGGCAGACCCAAAACGTACGTTTATTCGCAGTGCATTATATCGCGTATGTAGCACTTAACTTCGCTTTCTTGCAACACAGTGTATCACGGAGAGCGCGCCCGCTATCATTATTTCCAATGCCTCCAACTCATACTCCGTATGCAAATTCAAGCGTTAATCAGGCTTTGGGAACTTCCTGCAGAATATGAGGTGAAGTATTGTTGAAGACTTTCACTGCTTTCGTCTTTCGTTAATGTCTGCCTTTATGATACTCAGGTTATATGCCGAGACGTCTGGGCATTACATCTCAAACTACTACGTAACCCTCCACCTGCCGAACCTTATCTGTATCGACAAGAGCAGCAAGACGGAGGGGAATCTTCTACTGCGAAGGCTTCATCACAAGACCAGGAACTTGGAGCGCAACCGCAAAACCTTGTGCCCCAGGAGGATGAAGACGACGAACAGGAAGAAGACGGGGATCGTTCGGAAGACGAGGACATACGTTCATCTTCTTCGAAGGCTTCGTCCTCTAGGTCGTCTTCTTCACCAAGTGAAGATGAGGATGAAGAAAAGGACCCTGAACTGGCCGAGTTACTGCGTGAAGCTTCTGAGGCGCCTTCTTCCCCTTCCGAGGACGAAGACGACGAACTCTATGCCAGTCAACGGCCGCCCGAAGACTGGGACGCGTACAAGAAGAGGAAGAGAAGACATCGCAAATCAAATAACGGATATGATTCTCCTGCTGGTAATCTGGCTGTTCTTGTGGTTGCTTGTTGGACTTTGAGGCTGCCGATAACATACATGGATTTCGTTAGGTAAGTTGACACTAGTGGGACTTTTCAGAGTTGCATATATCCGGTCCTGAATGCGAATGATTTAGGGTCATTAAGGCGTACGAATTGCCCTATCTCGACCCTGTCCGTTTACTTCCAGCTCCTCTCACTCGACACTTGCCGAAACACACCATTCAGGCCCTTTCACCTCATGTAAGTCCTATGTACTGCGTTCATTGGTATCCTTAACTCACGGGCACCCAGCATGCACCATCGGTCCTTCACGTTCACAGGTTGACTTCTCGGCTAGCCAAGTTACTTTACACTTCGTTTCGTGTTTACACACCGGAGATGCATGGCGCACCAATGTTGTGGAGAGCCGTACAGTGTCTTCATGGAACGCGTAAGTATACTCATAACCACCACTCCTTATCACGGCTGAACATCTTCCCAGCGACCCTATACACCCTTAGCAAGAAGCTTGCCAGCGTTTTGCAGTTACCAATGACCCTACATCATTCTCTAACAACCCGCCTAAAGCGTCACAAGCAAAATGACCCTGGATTTCACATGTACGATGATGCACCAGTAGAAGTCACCCTGGTAGCTGTTGTGATCATTGTTTTGAAGCTGGTCTATAGGCTTGGTGAAGAGTCCAGGTACGTTCCCACCTATACATATGTATTCATGCGGCATCTGAACATCGTCATTCTCAAGGCCAGGTCCATACTCTGATAACGACCCTCTACATGCATTGCCAGACCTCGCTTACTGCATTGAATTAATCGAGGCGGATAAGAAGAAGGCAAGCAATTCGATGGAAGCCCTACTAGCGACCGATTCTACTATGTCCGTTCATGTTCCTTTCTTCCTTTACACTGAAAACTGAGGTCAATGCAGGTCTGCCCTTGATTTAGATGACCATCTTATGGATGAGTATCTAGAGTTTTGTCAAGCAGCGCTTCTTCCTCGAGAAGATCGCCTGAACGGTAAGATACTGTCAACTAATCCACCGCAAAATCAAAATTAAAACTCGTGTTCCGATCAGACCGTGATGTAGCAACCGAATTCTTCCCCTTGCAATCTCTTCCTGATCGTCCTCCCGACGCCTCAACATCGACAACAAGCTCAGGATTCGACGAGTTACCAAAACTCTCAGCAATGTGCCTACCCCAAGACGATGATGCCCCTCTGCCAGGCCAAGAATACAAAATTTACAGCTCAGCGGACTTGTTGGGTTCACTCCCACTTGAGTACGAGCTAATATTGGACCAGGCAGCCAAGTGGTGTGGAGTCGATGAAAGCTACGTGTCTCGAGCCGTCGAACGGTTCGAACGGCGGTTGTGCAAATGGTGGAACCGACTTCAGAAGCAAACGGGATCATGAATTTCATACATACTATCACTCCATTCCCATGCCTCGAGGGTGACTATTTTCAGGGACCCTGCAAACTTGTCTATATTGTATAAATCAACTCCTAATCGTCCCCTCCGAAAGCGGCGTCTAAAGTGGGCAACATACTCATTCATTTATCATGCATGGTCATTTTATAACCGAACACTGAACAGGTCATTCAATTCTGATATGGAGTCCCAGTGGCGAGTTATGCATTAAGCTAGGTCGGCGCAGACGGGCGTCTGTTGTTGGGGGGTCACAGTGCACGCGAATGTGACGAGTGGCGAATCGTGACATTCAACGTCCGAGGTTGTGCGTTGTTCAAACCATCCGCTATTCTATGAGGACGCACTCCTCATACTAACAACATACGGTTTGTGTGTCTGCCTGGATTGTGGTAGCGTTGCTCAAGATAGCACGTGCGTCAGATAATAGCTCTCTTGCCCCGTCCTGAAAGGTACGAACAAAGACAAAGACTTAATTCCAGCTTGAATTGGCTGAAAGTTTGCGAATCAGTGTGGTTTGAGGCCGCATCAACTTTTTCCCGTTGTCTCAAGCACTTGCACCGCTATTTTCCGACTTCTTTGCACCCTAACCGGTGCGGAGAGTGGTCCACTCGAGTTCTTTCTTTGTCTAAACTTTTCATATACACAGGGCCATAGACATACGAGGGCCATTGCGCGCACCATAAATTTGTAGCCAAAGCCACTGTTACAGGTCAGTTTCATCCCCCACCTCCCTTTATTCTTTCAACATGCAATCTTACATCCCTTTCCCTTCAGGCCCTCCAGACGAGCTCCCGCATCCCCCGCGACCTAATTCTCCGCTACGCAACACATTGCACGGCACCCTTCCCTTCGCACATCAGGAACTCGACTTCGACGATCGTCGCGAACTTGGGCTCTTCGAAATGGGCTTTGCTGGTGCTATGCCTCTTCGCACCTTCTTTAGCGACTTTATGCCAGCTGGTGGCAGAAGATGGGAGAAAGAAGTATTACCGAAAATGCCGAAAGTCAAATTCTCTCGTGTCCCTTTTGAGACCGACTGTGAAAAGGATATGTATGGCCCCATCGTGCGTTCCAATTTTTCGTTGATTAATCTCATGTGTGAATACTGACCATTGTACCGAGCCAGTGTTCTGCCGTGAACAAGGCCAAAATTTGTCCAGGTTTCAAGTTGATAAGCGTCGCCAATAAGGTCTCTAAGAAAGGCTGTCAACTCCGGCCTGACCTAGCCCTGGTGGAACGGAACGGTCTTGGTACCCTGTGCGACATTCACTGCTGGTCTGAAATTAAAGGCCACAGACGAAAGGATGCTTTCTATATGTGTGACCCCGAGGATCCCACAGTGGACACTTTGGAGAAGGACGAGGGCGACAGCGCTGATTCTCGTGGCCAGCTGATCTCGTATGCAACCGCATTGCTGTCCCGTCAACATCGAGTTTTTGCATTTTCTCTTCATTTCTTCGGCCGATATGTTCGCATTCTGCGATGGGACCGTTCCGGGTGTGTCGTGTCAGAAGCCATCGACTACCAGCAGGATCCAGATGGTCTGGCCGAATTCTTTTGGAGGTATAGCCATCTTACCCCGGAACAGCGAGGATTCGATACTAGTGCTGTACGTGCTACCAAGGGTGAAGAGGCTCTTCTGTCTTTTGGTCTAGACGCGTTCATCAAGGAGTCGCCTCGCGATGTCAAGTATCTTCGTCCCAGAGATGATCCAACATATGTTGCCTACAAGATCACTATGGATGATGGCAGGGGCGGCACTCGAAAATTCATCATTCGTCAACCTTTCTGGGATGCCGATTCACCTTGTGGTCGCGCTACTCGGGGTTATGCAGCATACGATTTGACTGAGAGACGAATGGTCTTCCTGAAGGACTCCTGGCGCGAAGAAGGGGACGACTGTGAGGCTGAGATCTACGACGAGCTCATGCAGTGTAACGTGCCTTACCTCCCGAACATACTTCGCTCTGGAGATGTGAAGATCGAGGGTGAAATACAGCGTACAAAGTCTCATGAATATTCTCATCCTTCAGACTATCCTACGTGGCGTCTGCCCTGCGAGGCCATGCGCAATCTTGTTCACTATCGGCTCGTCCAGGAGCTCGCGTACCCGCTTGCGTCAGCTCGATCTTCGAGGGAGCTCGTTCAAGTTTTGCACGATGCGGTAGAATGTACGTTCTCATCCTATGTCTGGAACCTATCATTTTGACACCTATTCTCCCTAGCGATTAAAGTCGCATATAAAGTCGGCAAAATATTTCATCGTGATATCAGTAGTGGAAATATCATGATCGGAAAAAATGGTCGAGGGATCCTCAATGATTGGGACCATGCCATGAGGCTCCTGCTCGGTGGCAACCCGCACCTATATCGCACGGTGAGTTGATCTTTAGGCCTACCGGCGGAAAAGAGTGCTAATGGGCATAATTTATAATAACACGTTATAGGGCACTTGGCAGTTCATCTCTATTCGCCTCCTTCAGCAACCGACGAAGCCGCACGAAGTTCATGATGACCTAGAATCGGCTTTCTGGGTCTTACTGTACAATGCCCTACATTACTTTCCCCACCAGTCACCGCCAGGAAGGCAACTACGACTTGACTTGTTCAACGAGATTCACCAGGAAGGTGGTCAAAGTTATGGCGGTGAAGCCAAGTCATCCGTCCTCCTCTTTGGATTACATGGGGTCACCTGGCAGTGTAAACCGCTAAACGACCTTATATACGGCCTTCACGAAATGTTCAGACAGTATATATGCTCGGTTAAGGGCACGGCCGGGTTTAAGACACTGCACCAGGAGATCGAGGACATTGACAATATCCTCAATCTCTTCGACAAAGCACTTTCCTCTGATGGTTGGGTCGAAAAGGATGCTGTTCAGGACCTCAGTCCTAAACTGCGCAAGCTCGAAGTGCTGAGGCAAGAACGCAAAGCCAGGACAGAGGCTATCGTCAAAACTGTTCGTCGCACTGTGACCATTGAATATGGCAAAAAATGCACAATTCCCAAGACCGCCCCTTCAGCAAATCGCCCTCATTCTCGATCTATCCGCAAAGATCTTCTTCAACAGAGAAGTCTTGCACCAGAAGCTGGACCTTCTCGGGCGGTAGTGAGCTCTTGTAGTTCGCAGAAAAGAACTATAGACGACATGTCGCCTGAGGAGCCACCAGTTCGCTCGAAGCGGGCAAAGACAGCCACAAACCGCAGACCCAAAGCCCAGCCTCCAGCCCCTCCACTTGTCCAACATCGGTACCCCACACGTTCCAAATCGAACGAATCCCGCCGTCGCCGAAATTCCTCCAAGAAGTCAGCTCAAGAAGATGTGGAATTGAGGAACGTTGAACACCGGTATCCCACACGTTCCAAATCGAATGAGTCACATCGCAGAAATAACTCTGTTGTGGAGAGGAACACTGAACTAGCTCGAATTCGCCGCACGAACAAGTCCACATGTGGTGATCCGAAGCGATCCCAACCTAAGTCAAGTACCCGTCGTCGACGGTAGCCAACGTTTTCTTGTTTCTTGGATTTACTTTCTCTTCGTTTCAACGTTCCAAAGGACTGAAGCATTGTTATTTGTTCTTAGTAGATAGTTCCGAGCTGTCGCTTTACCTAATGCTGCAGATGCTTTAGAAATGATACCCGATTCGTCTGACACCCAATTCTTCGTCATGATGGTCGAAAGATGCAGACTACCAGGCTGCTTAAGAGATCACAAATAATCTTGCCATAATATCGACACCATTGCTGCTATTGAGCTGATCCAGGAACCTGACTATCAGCACCCTTCGAGGGGGAACTCCAAAGATATTAGCTTTGCAACTACAATAACTGCCAGATGTATACGTCCGTAGTACATATCATAATAGCAATCGATCGGGTCTTCATAGCAAGTGATTGAGACCAAAAAGGAAGCCAACACGCGGGTTTCCTTCACTCTTCATGCTCGGACAAGTACGCCGACAAAGTGTCAATCACAAATCCACTCAAAGATTAATTTGGCAGAGTCTAAGCGAGGTGCGACCGTCGAGAAGTCTGTGGTGAGCATCGACAAGGAGAAACCACTAGCGTTGAATTTCGTGCCACCCAACCTGAATCCAGCCATCCGATCAGTGCCCGAGTCACAATCACTCTGCATATATATTACCTCAGACTTACTCATAGCCGTGTCTCTACGGGACAGGCCTCTTGTCATTGAATTGCTTTGGTGTATCATCAATGTCTCGACCGTACTATGCTGAAATTATAGTTATGAATGCATTTGGAAAGAGACACAGTGTTCTACATGAAGATGTGCACGAACGAGAAGGGCTTGCGAGATGAATGGAGAGACAGATCAAGCTAGGGCAATTGTAAATGTGTACGATAGCTGTAGAGATAATATGAGGGCGCGCGATCATAACAAAGCTCGCCGATATATCCAACATGGACAACGTATTATAGTAAAACACAGTTCTGAGGCAAGACCATTGGAAGGAAAAAAATATGTGAAAAATGTCAGGATGCGAAGAAGTCTGGCCCAAATGGATGTATGCTAGGTAAATAGCTAAGTGTAAGGGAACGTGGGGATCACAATGAATGACGGGAAGTCCGTGATGAGAAATGATATGACATGTACGAGGAGATAGAAACAGAGACCAGGAGCAAACCAGGAGCAGCAAGGGGGAAGACGGGGATGAGGGAGGTTATGGTGACAAACACTACGATATGAACATGCAATCCTTACAAGGTAACCGTACATATATGGAAAAGAAAGTCCAAAGCTAATGCTAAAGGGTTTAATTATGAGATCATAGTCTGTCGCCGATTCGTTGGTGGTCGACTGAGGTTCTGGAATGCAGGTTGGGTCCATGAAGTGCTCTTGACTGGAATCGGTGGTTGAAGAGGTTTTTGTGGATTCGGTTCAAAGTAACTTGAAGGGGCAGCAGAATTGCGCGATACACCCCGTCCATGAGATGAAGAACCAGACTGTATCCTAGGAGTGCGAGGAGGAGTAGCAGTAGGAGTAGTAGAACCCTTGCCTAGTGTGCCGTGAGATGACCTACGAGGTGTACTTGCCCTCGATTTCTGTAGCTCAGCAATATCTCCACTAGCTCGACGTTCGTGATGACGGACGGGAGAGGTACCATGTTGGTTCACCCGGTCGGTGCTTTGACTTGCAGGCAAACGATTGGTACCAACCGTAGGAGAGGAACTATGAGATCGCTGTTGTTGCGGGCGATTACCAAACTGCTGCATCATGAAGGGAGGAGTGGGTGGCAGCAGAGGCATGTCCATCATGTAAGGCACGACTGGAACCATAGGCATCAAGGGCAATGGAGGAACAGGCGGAATGCCTTGGTTCATGTTCCCATTCCACGAGAAGGACGGAGGGAAAGAAGAACGATCCATCACTGACCGATGAGAAGAGTCTGCAACCGAAGTCATGGACCCACGCCGGCTGCCTTTACTCTCGCGGCGATCCCGAACAGTAATGTCAGGCACCGAGGACTGTGGCGTTGAATACATTGAGGGAGGCCGAGAAGACCCAGAGCCCCCGGCGCTAGGTGGTCGCGAACTAGCAGGAGAGGACTCCTTGCGCGAACGAATAGGTGGCGGTATGAGCGGATCTGAGCCCTGCCTCCTTGGGGTGGGTGCATTCACATCATACACTGGACGAGTGTAAGTCTCCTGAGGTTGTCTGCCGCGTCTTTCGCGCTCCCGGTCTCTATCGCTTCCGTCCCACAGCAATGGAGTATCGCCATCTGCACGAGGACCTGTCCCGAAGCGCACGCTCTCCCGCCGACTGCGCGCAGCGGCCAACTCCTCAGCGTACAATCGCTTCTTTCGCTCTTCTTCAGCAGCACGCTTTTCGCGCTCCCAAGCAGACCGTTCCTGCTCCCATTTCTTCTTCTCCGCCTCCTGACGACGTCGCTCCTCTTCGAATTTCCTCCGTTCCTTTTCGTGTATCCGACGGAGACGCTCGGCCTCAAGGAAGCGGGCTTTCTGTTCACGCTTTTGCCTAACTCGGAGTACATACCCCAATGGGAACTGGTCGTCCTTTTCCTCTTCAGCAAAGCGGACGCCGAGCTTAGCTCGTGGAGGTGATGGTGGCGACCGAGGAGGTTCTGGAGAAGAAGGAGAAAGAATTATTGTAGGAGAATTTATATGAGATGCGAGAATAGTGGATGTCTGGGAGGTCTGGGAAGATGATGCGGTGAGAGGTACTGCGGTGAACGTTGGAGAGGGGGCAGAGGAGTGCTCAATGCGCAACGGAGACGGTGCGGCTTTGTACGAGTTGCGATTCTGTGTGGGAGAGACCGCTAAAAGCTTACGTTAGAATAGTGTAAGATAAGGTGTAAAGCTGAAGAACAACTCACCTTGCGGTTGTGGTTTATGACCGGTCAACGACGGGGCTGATGCAGAGGCAGGAGGATGCAAAGGAGTTGCAATAGCAGGCGACGCAGGAGCGGAAGAGGGAGACATGGAGAGAGGAGGGGTCACGTTCGTCGGGGAAGTCGTGAAATTTGCCGTCGCTTCAGTAGACAGTTCCAGCGGCGACTCATAAAGTCCGGCAAGAACCTCCAGAGCTTCGCTATATTCCAGCTCAGCTACACCAAGGTTGATGCCTGGAATGGACCTTGCAACTACTTCGCCTGTCTCCAATGGCACGTATAATACCATACGCTCTTCAAAACATGGGCGTGTCACCCACCGTTTCAGCCCCTGACTATGCGTTCCGACTTTCTCGCGGGCCTTCAAAGCAGTGTCATCAAGGAGTAAGGAAGGTCTCTTCGGTGCAGGGCCATGAGTTCTGTTAGCAAACCCTTTGAGCGCGAGTTCGTCAGAGGGTGAGAGGTTGCCTTGCGCAAGTCGGCATAATAGATGCTTCTTGTGCATGCCCGATCGGAGACTTTCATCTCGCAATAAAGCCCGACAGCGATTAGATGATCGGGGAAAGACGGGGCACCCATGGATGTGCAAAAGAGGGGGTGGCGAGAAGGGAGGGGCTATTGCGTTGACAGTTAGGACACGAAAGTATTCCGATGGCGCCATAGTCGTGTTGAGGAGCGCTGGGGCACCCTCTGATTCAGATGATTCTACAGAAGACGTGTCCTCATCTGTGTCTTCATGAGAATGCCTGGGCTGAGAGTGACTCCAAGGCGAAAGGTGTGTCCGCGTATCCTTAAGGGACGGACGCACTTGAGACGTATTACCAGGCGAGATGTTAGGGACCCGAGCATCTTCCGGCCCAGGATATTGCAACCATGGGTTGAAGTCTGACTTGCCTCGTACAAGGCTTGCTCGCTCGTCGTCAGGAGTATGGGGCCCGCCGCTGGATGAAGAGGATGAGGAGGGGGCATCTGTTCTCACCAGAGATGGCATGGGATGCCTTCTCGGTTTCTGCTCTGCGGGTTGTTCTGCATCTGTACCTCCTCCATTTCGCGAGAACGTGCGTAGGAAGCCGGCGCGAGCTTTCGACTTGGACGTTGATGATTGTACAGTATGCTGCGAGTGGGACTCGCTAACGTTGTCGCTGGCTTCGCTTCTGTCTGAACGTTTTGGACCGAAGAATGCAGCCAGCCGACGCATAGTACTAGTAGAAAGTTAGGAGGGACTGGGCCCGATTCTGTTCGCGAGCAAGCGCAGAAGAGGAAGTCAGTATTTGGCAGTCCTGGGAGGGGAAGCTGACACTGATTGGAGTCTTAACCGAGAGGAATGGAACGTGGACGCGGCTGCCAGTGCTGAGCGTCCGGCTGGGGAATGAAAATGCAATGCAAATGGTAAGGAAGGTGACAGCAAGGCCGCGAGTTAGCCACAACGCAAATCAGGGGAGGTATACTAAGATGTCTTCAACCGCTGAGCATCCGCCCGCTGTCGGAGGCAGACGAGGAAAGAGAGACAACCTGGAGACAACCGGGAAGAAAGACCGACCAACGTTCACAGACGGGAGTATTTGAAGACCATCGTTTTCTCGACGGCCGAGATGGTCAAGGGGCAAACAGTTCGATGCTATTCCACGCTCGCCAAAACACGATCATCTCTTTTCCCGTCCCGGCTTGTCGGCGCTCATACTACTAAACTCTCCTTAGTCCCAACAGCCTCAGCGACTCTCTTTCACGCCAATCTGTCAACTACTGTCTCTTTCTCTGTTTTGAACATGCATCGCGCTCAGTTCCCAGCTGCCCGTCAGCAGACTCGGTTCAACCAACCCGTACCCACAGTCCACATCGCAACTTCTCGCAGGGTGGCATGACTGTTACCCTTCAGGTTCCCTACCATAGGCTACTGATAGGACTGTCGATGGTTCTTATTTTAAATTTGGACCGCCTTGATCTTGCAGCCCATTGGAGACCGGTACGATGTCGGCCAACTGTATTGTTTCTATCTTCGTCCGGTTTGTACGTCCTTATCCTCCCGCTTTTCAAATGCTGCCACGCAAGCTCAACTTCTCTGCATTGTGAACAAGTACAGACGTACAACCGTGTAAGAATTCCATTCATTTGGTCCTCGGATTTTTGCCACGGCCATACGTTACCCTTCACCATCAAAAGTGTCAGATTCTGGACGGTTACATGTGCATCCGGCACACTATGTACTCTTGCGTCATTCCAACCATGTGAAGCGATCGATCCCACTTAGCTCTTGCATCATAAAGCTCGTTTGTTGTGTTTGTCAAGCTGAATGATCACTTGATTTCCACTCACAATCCCCATGGTCCCACCCATGACTGAGCAACCACAGCGCACAGCAGTCCAGAGCTCTGTTAAAATCTAGTCAAAGCGTAGAGTGCCTGAGTTAACGCAATGGGAAATAATTTTCTCGCGACTGCCGCAAGGTCGAGCAGCTTATGTGCGTCATATATTGCTCATTTCCCAAAGGCACATCACGATAGCAGTTTGCCGTCTGGATCTACTGTAGTGTTTCGCGGATTTGTTCACGTCACAGGTCACAGGCTCGAAAATGAACTGAATTTTCAGGTCTGTCACAGGTCACAGAGGATCGTGAACTGACATTTGGAAGCATGACCGGGCGCTTAAACGAGGGTCAGTGCTTTGAAGGGCCACACAAGTGCAGCTTTCTGGCTACTTTCGGCTATTCTTTCAGGTTGCTGACATTATTTGAGAGCTTACAATGTGCCTCCAAAGCTTTGGAAAGGGATTGGTAGTGCCTTGACAGAATCGGCAGTAGCCATGAACATGATGTCACAGGTCTCTCCGAGCTGTGAACTGGGAACCGGACCGTCACAGGTCACAGGCCGTGAACAAATGCGCGAAACAGTACAGTATACATTATGGTGCCGTGGGCGATCATTGCTGACTCGAGATGGAATTCTAGAAGGTCGTTCATAGAATCTCCGCCGAATCCAACAAAACGTTACTCTGAGCACAAAGAGGATTCAGCGAATGCGATGGTTCAAGCCGGGCGTAAAGGTTCATAAATCATTGATAGATCGGTATAGCGGTTCATGGTGATGAAGACGACGAGGCGGGGAGGCTGAGTGAGAGGTATCGCAAAATTGGGTGTCGCAAGAAGGTAAGGAACGTAAGAGCACTGTGAAGGCAAGACAACAAGACAGATGGAAGAGGCGATTCGGGAAGAAAACAGACAGGTAGTTAGCCTAAACCACCCCATGGCCCTCGTATTCGTCTTGCAAGTTGAATATCACGTTGCATGATTGTGACCCTTTTAGCATGGATGGCACATAAATTCCTATATTCAACCATAACCCTGAATCAAAACCGCTACGACCGCGAAAAAAAAAGAGTACACGTACGCGTCTTCAAATAGATGTACGAGGAACGCTTCCGTAGCTTCTTGAAGTGCTAGGATAGCCGAACTCTGCCACCTTAATGCAGAAGCTGGAATACCATTCTGGTCGGTTGTCATCTCCAGTGTGATTTCGCGTACCTGCAACATAGACAGGACGTGCTAAGAGCTGATTTGCATGTAAATGAACGCAATTCCACGTACCACACGTGAGAAGGGCAGTTTACGCAGAAGTAAATCGGTGCTCTTCTGGTATTTGCGGATCTCGCGCAATGCTACAGTCCCTGGACGATAGCGCCGCTCTGCAGACAATCACCAAAACGTAAGTGACAAACCAAGGAAAACAGACAGACAACATACTTTTCCCGTGTTCCGGCTCATTGGCAGGTCCTCTTCTGGGAGCAGGGGCACCTGGTCCGCTTCCGCTACCACTAGCACGTCTCGCAGCGGCAGCAGAAGGCATTTGTCCACCAGTGCTCTTTCGTGCGGTATGAGTACGCGACTTTTTTGCGGGTGAAGCTGCTGGACTGGAATCGTCGTCGTCCTCTACGTGTCTCCGCTTTCCCTTCTGTACGGTTTGGGCCATAACGCGTCGGACAGTGGGATTAAGGGGTAAGTAACAAGAACGAGGAGGCGGAAACGAATTTGAGGGTATAGAGTATCGTCAAGTCGCGATTTACGCGCAACCACAGCAGAACGAAATACAGAGAATATACAAGCAGGTATGGATTGATGTTTTAGAAAAGGTTTCGCGTGTCGAGGAGGTATCCTCTGGTGGTGGCGGGAAACTCGAACATGGTAGGCCACGTCGGTAAAACCCGAACGCCTCCCGATTTGGGTAAGGACTTTGATGGATGCGTCCGATGAACACGCTATGAGGCTCTTTGAACTCATCTATAACGTGTCGACGCGTATCCAACACGTTTGAACGTTTCAGAAGTTCTCAAAGGCTCCCTCGCCGTATAGGAATACTCCATCTTGTATCGGAAGGATGCCCCCTCCTGTGGTTCTAGGCTATTATCGCTTTACCGATATTTTCTTTGAATGGTATGTGGATATGGATCCAAGGGCAAGGACCATACTTCATTAACCAAAAATAGGCACAAGGCTCTTCCTGAAATCGAGGATGTGAGTCCACTTAAAGCCATGATTGCGTACGACGCTTTGGTACATCCTGAGCATCCCTTGCGAAAGCATCGCACGGATGGCATCGAGCTCTTTGTCGGTCAGTGGCTCAGTACCTTACTGTAAGCCATCTTAAATCATGCTCATCATTTAGGTACATTTGATACTGGCGAAGCACGTCTTCTATTCTCCTCTGCACAAGTGGAGTACATCCGTTATTGGCTACATGCTGTGGGCCTTACGAAGAAGCTCATCCCCATCCCATCATCTGAGTATATGATCAAACTGAGCGACTTGCGAAGCTGTTCGCCTGCTGTATACAGTAATGCTGCAGCCTTTAAGAAGGCTTTCAAGGTAGGTCGGATCTCTCAATTTACTTGATGTTTGCTCACCAAGATGATGCTGATCAGCAACTTGACAAAGCGAACAAACGTCTGAAAGGTTCCCAACCCCGGCTGACCGCTAGAAGGTTAGGTTTCGAGAGGATACGTGCCTTTTGGGGCGAGAAGAGTGGAACTTGGCTAGCCATCGACTTCGAAGCCTGGGAAATGGATCACAGCATGATCACAGAGTTTGGCTGGTCGCTGCTTCGTTGGGAGGATGGAAAGGAAGTCAGGGATAGAGGGCATCTCATCATTCAAGAACGTAGGCAGTACTACAATCACAATTACATCCAAGGTAACAGAGACGTGAGTGTTATTTTCCTATGGACAAACACCGAAACCCAATCTGAACTGTCCGCAGCGTTACAATTTCGGAGACAGTGAAAATGTGGACAAGAGGACATTCAGAGAACGCATACATAAGCTTATGACGGACCATCTGACCAAAGGTCCTCTATACCTTGTTTTTCATGATCCAAGTCAGGACGTGAAGTTCGTCATCCCACTCTTGCTTCGCCAACATTTCACGCTGACGGAGACCGTCCCTTAACTCAGGTATCTACACTCGAAAGATATCGATGCTCCGCTTTCGGGCCTTTCATTCGTCTTGCCTGAGACCACTCCCAAAGAAGGCCTGTACGTGGTAGATACAGCTGAGATGTTTGCAGGGCTTGAAGGCGAATCAGGTGGCAACACCCGCGGTCTGGAGCGAATGGCTCGTCTGCTGGGTAGCTACGTCGAGAACGAACACAATGCTGGAAATGATGCCCACGTCAGTATCTTCACTTAATTTTCTGTGTGACCAGAAGTTTAACGCTTCGAATAGTATACCCTCGAGGCGTTGGAGTCTATGGCTTCTGGAGACCCCATTGATGCTCAGCGAGAGAAGCGATGGCCGGAAAGACTCTCCGCTACCCAACCTAAGGTTGTCTTCAAACCAACCGATGAAGACTCTGACTTGACGGACGGAGATGATGTGAATGCTATCGATGTACGGCCCACGGATGACCCTTATATGCAGCTCGATGACGACGACGATGCAAACCTGTGGGGAAAGTTCTGACCAATGTCCCCTTATTTCTTTTTGCCCGCTTCTTCGCTTTCATGCTGTCTTGCATTTCTAAGACTGACATACCATTTGTATTACGTACCAGCTCATATCTTCCGCCCTTGTATGCAGCGCTTCATTTTTCACATAAATACCGATGTTTTTATTAGCAAAATAGTTTGTGTAAGTGTATGGTATAAAGTATCATTCGATGACGTGAATAGTGAAAGTTATGAGGAGCAAGCGAAGCTTCTACTCAACCTTCCCTTCGTCAATTGCATCAAGCTCGTCACCTTCGTCTTCATCGTCAGAGCGCACATCAGTAGCCTTGGCGTCTGTCACTGCGCTGAAGGATTGTGATCATGTAAGCCCCCAGCAAACAGAGAACCAGAGAATTGGACGTACCGAACGAGGATGCGCAGGATCAAGACATACCAGAACAAGTTGAGGAATTGGAGCAGAAGGATCGGGGCGAAGATTTGGTACTTCATCCACCAACTCAGCCATACGCCGTCTGCTGGCGACCATTGTTTCGCAAACTCACTGAAAATGCAATCAAACATGGAGTCAATCATGAATCACGAGATAAAGCACATACGGTAACAAGTCAAATTCGGTCCAAACGGAATGCAGCATGACAAGGTTCAACCAATGTCTGAAATACCTGTAAAAGACGCCCTGTGAGTGTGAAATTGACAGATTTGTCCAAAGAACTCACGTCCAGACGAAAAGGAACACAAGAAAGGAGACAATTTTCGTTCTGTCGTATTGAATGTAGTTGAGAAGCTTTGAGAACTAAGGACAAACCATCGTCAGAGATGAAAAGATGTATTGCAGAGCATGGCATGTATTTACCCCGAGCAAAACATCTGGGATATCCATGCTAATGTAAACCGCATTTCCAATGAACGTCAGGTTAACTAAATAGCTCCAGCTGTAATATCATCGTAGTGAGCATAACCTTGTGTCGGCATTTATAACTGGAAACATACCCGACGAGCCAGAGGGTGACCAAGTGGTGCGCCACGAGCTCGTGATAATCTTTCCTCGGCTTCTCGAGTCCCAGAAGAAGCACCATCAACTGCTGGCACCAATACGCAGCTTGCATCAGGTAATAAGCTTTCAACTGAGGTATCATCTGCCAGTGTGGGTATTCTGGAGGAGTCGCGCAGTTAGAGGGAAAAAAAGGGTTACTGTAATGTCCCCAACGTAACATTATGACGTACCTAGCCAAAAGTGTTCCGTTTGATACCACCAAGTGGGTAATTTAGACATGATGATCTATGAGATGTCATAAGCAATTTCTAAGTGAGACCACTCACGAGCCAACTCACCAATCCCCAAACGCCCGTAATAGTGAAGTAGACCACAGCATAAGCCTGTTCGCCAAATCTATCCAGCTTTGCTTCCTTATTGATACCGAACCATCTTGCAAGTGGTCTGCAGATGTGAATGGTGACTGTTTGTCTGAAGAAAGACCAGAATATAATATAATAGACGACGAAGACCAGGTCGAGGTAACCCTTTTGGTAACGAGGATCGTCCGGAGTGGACGATGGGACCTTGTGAGAGATGAAGAGAAGGGCGGAAAAGGGATTGGGCGTCCCTTTGGGTACCACGTAAGGCGCCAACAATTCCCAGAACACCGAAAGCACTAGGGGTATAAGAAGTAGCTTGAGGGCTGAGGCTGCAATGCTTGAGTCAGACGCGGCGCATCAAACGGATGTCAAGGTTCTGACATGGTACTACCACCCATCTGAGAGATTTTATATCACCCCAGAGTCCCCGGGACTCCGTGTATATGTGGTTGGGTGATTGCTTGCGCCTTGGGGACGGCGGTGCATCTAAGGGACTAGGGGTGTGTTCACTGAGAAGTTCCGTTAGACCTAGTACCAGGCTACAAAACTCACGTCTGAGGCCCAAAAGAACCGGTGATATGATGGGTAGGGTCCGTCCTGCGAACCCGGAGAACAGGTCACGGTCCTGTTCCTTTGCAGGTGTAGGACAGCGTAGCACTCACTCTATATTTTGTAAGGTCCCAGCCCTTGCCCGTTTCTTGACTGAGTTTTTTTGGGCCATCCCTGGTTCTGAGATGTAATAGAAGTTCCAGGGAAAGGTTGATCCAAGGATTGACCTGGCAAGACGTGCTGGCGGCGGCAGCTCGACAGGAATCAGTTCTGCAACGCGATCTAACGCCCATGAAACCCGGGAACATTTGGGAACATTAATGATCGCTTTGCGCGTCTCGGCATATGTCGATCTTCTCTTCGGACTCTTCCCGTCTGGCCATGTTCCCAACATTGGGTTTGTTCAGCACCTTACCTTGTCCTGAAAGACCCAATTGCAATAGAGTCAATTGTATATTCAGTCATGACCCCAATGTCGTACAACCTCCAACTGTTCGAGTGCCGATAGAGATACCTAAAGCGTCATCGAGTCGGCATGTTACAGCACCTGTGCCGCCGACCTCACAGACAAGCTTTCCCAAACCTTCTGTAATTCCTGTAAAGCGCCAACATTCATTAGCGTCTGGTGCTGCGGGCTCGAGTAGTAACTCTGCCTCGACTTCTGGTGAACCTCCCAAGAAACTACAACGAATAGGGACGATCCAAAGACCAAATGCCGTCTCGACTACAGTTCAGACAAATTCGGTAAATTGCGTTCATTTTATATCTAGATTATGAGTTCTGAACTTGCGACAATATAGTCCGGGGTTCCTCTCTTGAGGGTCAACCCCGCAATGTCCCAGGTTGCGATTCCCGTTCGACAGGTAGACATTGGTGCTAGTGTTATTCGGTTGTACGGTGCTGAACGTATATTATTCTTTCACAACAGACGATGCTGAAAAATCTATATGACCACTTCGTTGTACTGTATCAGAACATCATCGAGGCAAATCCAACCCTTGCCGCTGAAGATGCCCTGAGACAGGAGGAGGAGGTTTATAGCAAAACCAATAAGTTAACGTATCGCAATGTGCGTTTCTCATATCAGACCTAACACCATCGCCTGCCTCACCCAATGAGCCTAGGCAGTGATCAACTCAATTTCTTCCATCAAGCGACGGCCGTTACCTGATTCGAGGTCCCATCCATCTGTTGGAACTGTAGCAGAAATTGCCAAGCGTGAAGAAGACAGGAAGAAGTTAGCAGCCTTAAGGCTTACGGTGGCTCAACTTGAACCTCATCTTCTCACCGTCGAGCAAATGAAGGAATTGGGATATATTGTTGACATACCGCCCGGTGTTGGAGGTGATCAGCCTAGCGAGGAAGGCTTAATCAAGACGTGCGATCGCTGTTCTCAACCGTTCAAGGTGAAACGGATGGAGGAGGCCGATGAATGCGTGTTTCACTACGGAAGGCCCCGACTGCTCAAAGCCAATGGTATGTCAGCCGTTTCAGCCCTTTGCAAGTTAGCGTCGATAGAGTATTTAACTTTACTTAATAGGAGAAAAACAACGAATATACACGTGTTGCTCACGGACTATGGAAGACAATGGTTGTTCAAGAGGACCTCACGTATTCTATGAGTCCGATCCCGAGGATCTGCATCGTCGACATGCCTTCACTTTCACTCGCCCACCGATATCCTCAGATCAGCCCGATGAGGGCGGTGGTACGGAAGACAGTGCTCTGGACATCGTCGCTTTGGATTGCGAAATGATCTATAGCACTGGTGGCATGACAGTGGCCCGAGTGTCTGTGGTGGATTCCATGGGCACGGAGGTATTTGATGAGTTCGTCCGTTTGGATGACGGTGTGGAAGTCATGTGAGTTGCTATACTGTCTATTGTTGTGTTATTCCGTTGATCATTCTTCCAGTGATTTCAATACTCGGTTTTCTGGAATCAATGCTGAAAACTACGCAACTGCAGTTCTACCTCTTGCTTCGATTCGCAAAGCTCTGGATCGTCTGATCAATGCTAACACAATTATCATTGGTCATTCCTTGGATAACGATCTAAAGACACTTCGTATGATTCATCATCGCTGTGTGGATACAGTGGCATTATTCCCGCATAGAGCTGGTGCGCCGTTTCGGCGAGCACTCAAAGATCTGTGAGTCTTTCATTTAAATTTGTTTGAATAGCTACTCGAACACCGTTGCAGAGTCAAGGAACATCTACAGCGGACAATTCAAAGCGGCGGTGCCACTGTTGGACACAGTTCCGTTGAAGACTCCGTCGCTACTCTGGATCTCGTGCGATATTACATGTTAAACAAACCGAAAATAGCATCAACACCTTCGAACGATACAGCTATCGACGTACTGTAGTCTTGAAACGGAAAAAATATACGCAGGATCTTGTATACCCATCGCTTTGTCACTCATGTATGATCTTCTACTTCCTTGCATCATTTCCTTGTTGTCCACTGCTTTGCCGCTATCCAATGTTCCATAATAAATACACAAGAAGAATAACAAGTCAGAAAAAATGAATCCGTGAATGTTGTCTTTACCCGCCTCTAGAACCTAGGCTGCCTAGCCTTGCCATCGTGTCCTCACTGTTCTCCTGCTCTTCAATACTATCAGATTGTGTCACCTATGGGAAGGTGTATATTCGAGTTATGGACATCGTAAATTTCAATGGTGAAATACATACCACCCGTAAGACGGACTTCTTCGATGACTCTTGGAGCTCTCCGGCTATGATGAGCTCATCCAAGATCTAGAATAAGAGCGAGATCTGAGATCGACAACTATAGAACGAGGACGGGAAGCTTACTGCAAAAGCCTTCTGGAAGTTGAAGATCCTGCAAAACACGCGTCAAGACTGACCTAGCGTGTTCCATATGGAAGACTTACAAGTCAAGTTCGCACACCTAGACAATGACTAGGATGAGCGGGACAACGTTTGAGCGTAAACTTGATGACTCACATTGCCGAAGTATCGATCCAACACCTCCACATAACGATGAATGATCTCGAGTGTAATTAGCTCGTTGTCCTCCGAGCCGATACCACAAACGAAGAACAGGGAAGCGTAACGACGGTATACGACCTTCGTGTCTGGATAAGGAGCCAAGCCCGTTAGATAAATTGATGTGCATAACATGAATTATAACATACCCTTGTACTCCAGGAAGTTACACATCCTTGTTCGTCTGGCAAGGACGAGCTGCGTAACATCCTTCACGATTTTGGCCTTCGCCTTCTGTGGCATTGTCTGGAACCATTTCGCGAGTCGTACTTTCCCTAGAGAAGTCCCAGAGGTTCAGCAATATTCAAGCATTAGAAGGAAGCCACAAAGACCTTGCCGAGAGACGAGAAGGATGTAATTGATCATATTGCCAGGTTGACGGAGATGTTGCGGATGGTGGTAAAGCAAGTAGAAGCGCTTGCCTTTTCTGTCGCCTTGCAAACAAATCTAAACAACTCTTCGATCATGGATCGGTCATCGGTTCCTGGTTCCGACTCCAGTCATTCTCGTCTACAACTCTAACTCCTCCACGAGCACAAGTGCCAGGGGTACTTATTCCTGGCCAAATAATATCTCTCAGGAAAGGCGACGTTAATTCATTATTACTCAAGGAAAGAAATGTCTGCACTATCCGATGCTACTGCCAAAATACCATTGCCTACGTTTCTGAAAGCACTTACAAGCAATGGTGTGCCCGCCTCGAAAGCTATGGCTGCTGCAGGCAAGATGTAAGCCCAATATTGAAATATGATATTGTGCATGCTAGGATCTAACAACTGTGGAAGATACAAGAAATATAACACGCGCGCCGCACTATCATTCCTGACTGACTTCGATTTGAAGTCAGCTGGCGTTAGTGAGAAAGAGGACAGGAAACTTGTTCTCGCAGCGCTCAAAAAGGCGGGGTACAAGGGCAGTGCTGTTGCTGGACCAAGTAAGTCTGCCTCAAGTCAAGCAAGCGGCTCTGGCGCTGCCACTAACAAGACGAATTCGGATGCCGAGGTGGGTGCATCCGGGACATCTATCTCGGTTACATAAAACCCTTGCTGCTACTCATCCTCATGTCTTCATGTCATAATAGACCAGACAGGGTGTACGCAAGAAACGCAGGAGAGACGACGATTTAAACGAGTTCCTTCCTGATCGACCAACCGACGAAGGGGACACGTATGCCAGTCTCGACTTCAACGAGATCTTGAACGAGGAGGTGTGTGCTTTCCACATTTCTCTGTGGCGTATCAGCGTTCGTTTCTCTCTTCACGTTCGCATCACAATGTGGAGAGACCTTTTGCCCAGCTGCACTAAATGAGGTACTGACAGTTTCCATGCTACTGTTTGCCTCTACATTTAGGTCCTCATGCCCAAATCCGTAGTGATTAACCGCGCACCAATAATGGCTGCATGGGCCTTTGTCGTCGCAGAACGGCTAGGCTTTCAGCGCGAGGAGGCGTTGAGCATAGGTGCGGATCTCATTCAAGTTCTTTAGCGAGGTGGTCCTTGTGCTCATTGTACTGCTCACTCACACGTCTTCCTTCCTGAAGCATCGGTATACACGGAGATGAACGCAATTTCAAAGGGCGTCTCGTTAGGAATCTACGACGAACGCAAGCAAAAGGGAGTTGAGGCAACTAAGGGTGGTTCTCAACCTTATGTGGACCTCATGGGTAGACGGTACGTATTAATTCCTATTACCCCTCTGAACGGTTCATTGACCAGGTACCTGTGTCTGCCCTTTTTTCATACTCGGCTTCCTTTACGTCCATACCCGCAGAGTGTATGTCCTCGATTTCTTCTTCTCCCCGTACTCTGTGCTGAACATCGCCTTGCACTGCCTCCTACCAGTCCACTCTTCCAAACCTCGTCACAACAGTGGCGAGCCCTGTCTTCTGGAACACCAGTTGCACCCGCCACAGCTTTCTCCTACATCAAACGATCCCTTCGACAAACCACTCCACACATTGTTGGGGCTCTGCGTCTATTGGCGCTGAGTTATCCTGCAACAATGCTCAATGAACGAGGATTCTCCCTATATGCCGAGTTCAGGCCTGAAGTGGATGGGTGGGGTAAGAGAGGCGAAATCAAATGCAAGAGCATCTTGGCACTTCGAAGGCCAGAGCTCGAGCCTTCTAACGGCAAAGACTCTTCACCTGTGACAGCGAAATCCACAAATGACATCGTGAAGGTCGGCGAACTGCATGGCGATAAGATAGAAGACGGCGCAGCTGTTGAAGAGCCCGATCGGAAGAAGGCTAGACTCGAAGAAAGTGGAGATGAATACGACGCTGCACTAGACGCCGACGAATTCAATTTCGATGACATCGATCTGCAGGAACTGCCATGAGTGTCTTAACTTCTCCGTGCTGAGCGGGTCATAACGAAATACGTTAGGGTCATCATAGTATTGTACTTCTACGCTCTAGGATCCTGTAGATTATTGTAAAATATGTGGACAATGTCTATTGAATGACCGCTGTGCTCCAGCCCACCATGCAATCTGTCTGGTTGAGACTCTATTGAATGTTTTTGACGACAGCAGCGGTGAACTCAGATGTGGTCGCAGAGCCTAAGACGCGTAAATGAGATGGGAAATCGGGTGTACATGAAGGGGGAAATGCTTACCGCCCATGTCAGCGGTGCGAACCTTGCCAGCGTTAATGACGTCAAAGGTCGCGCCCGCGATGTTGTTCGCAAGGTTGTCGAGACTACAATGAGGTCAAGTATTATTTCAAGACGAATTGTACTGGCGAAGTAGTAAACTCACCCAAGGTGACGAAGCATCATGGTAGCACTGAGAATCATAGCTGCCGGGTTGGCACGGTTAGTACCCATGATATCCTGCGCGACGTGTCTGCATCCAGGCTCGAAGAGAGCGTATTCCTATAGCGCGTCAATCTTGAGTCTTCTGTCAAATTTGAATGATGCGTCTACATACCCGACCAACGTTGCAGCCAGGAACGATTCCAGGACCACCGACAAGCGCAGCACCAATGTTAGAAACGATTGCACCGTACAAATTGGGCATGACCATCACGTCGAACTGTGTCGGACGAGCAACCAATTGCATGGAGCTGTGATCGGACAAGAACGGTCTTAGAAGTGTCGGCAATCCGCCGGAATTAGACATGCGTACGTGTTATCAACAATCATATCGTTGAACTCGATGCCAGATGACTTGTATTCCTGGGCAACTTGACGGAAAGTATTGAGGAAAAGACCATCACCGAGTTTCATGATGTTGGCCTTGTGCACGCAGGTGACTTTCTGATATAGGCCGACAACTTAGTCTTCGTGAGTGCCAATGTATACATAGACCTACTTTGCGGTCGTTCTTCAAGGCGAAGTCAAACGCGAATCGGCTGATACGCTCAGCCTTTGTTCGGGTGGAGACCTTCAAGCTCTCAACGACACCGGGGTAGCTCTGATGCTCAAGACCAGAGTATTCACCCTCGGTGTTTTCACGGATGATGGCAAAGTCGACATTCTCGTGACGTGTAGGGAAACCGGGAAGGGACTTGCAAAGAACGACGGAGGCATAGATGTCAAGCTGTTGACGCATGGCGACGTTCCACGAGATGTGTCCGGAGGTGGAGATTGGGGTGAAGAGAATGCCTGTAAGTGTACTGTCAAGAAGAATGTATGCTGCATGCGTTAGAATGATGCATACCCTTGAGACCGACACGGTTACGTCTCAGACTGTCCATGGCTTGCTTGAAGAGGGCCTCTCCGGAGGGGTCAACACCGGAGACGTTGTACTGCTCCCACTCAATGGGAGCGTTAACATACTCGAAGATCTCCTTGACGGAGTCTGTGATCTCGTTACCGATACCGTCACCAGGGATCAGAGTGACCTGGATACATTGTTACAGCAGACAGAACATTAAATAGAGTGTGTATGGATGCATACCGTGTACACTCCGCCATACTTGGTGGGTAGCTAATGTGATTGCTTGAGCAACGAATACTATAACACGTCTTCTGGTCTACATACTCTCTGAGAGACCTTGGGGAAACCCGCCGAAAGCGTGGTCGCAGTTCTCTGGAAACAGCATTGGTGTCATGGGCTGTCAAGAGTGAATAAGACATTGTAACGCACGGCCTGGGTGACAGGGCGAACGACGGAGGCGAGGGCGTTGCGGAGCATCACGAACAAGGTCAACAGCGGCAGAGAATAAGGATGGAATAGAAAGAGAGTGAGTTAGAAAAAAGGACGATGGGCGCGTCAAGACACTCTATGCAAACCGTCATACCACGTGGGCCATGCATCCGTCGCCTCACGATAGTCTGCGGCCCTCTCCGACGCCCGATACACCGGCGCCTACCGGTATTCACAAGCCAATGGTTACGTGGCTGCCAGTGGCTGGGGATACTGTATATGCCGGATTTGGATCGACTGTGATCCAATCCCTGACATAGGCAGCAACGGAGACTAGGCTGGGGATGACCTGCACCGGCGTTGTCCACTGGTCGTCCACCGCCGTCTAGACCCTGCGTAATATTTGTCGCCACGCCTTCAAGCTTCATTCCTTTCAGAGCTGCGCTTTCTCGCTTGCTCGTCCTTTCCTTCTCTCCTTTCCCTACTCGATCACCATGGACTCGGAATTCACCAAGGACATCGCAGAACTGCTCCACCTTCCACGCCAAAAGACTCTGTCTTTCTATATTGTCTTTCTAACTGCCGTACTCCCTGTCTGGTCTGTTGTCCCTATCTCATGGGCTTTTGTTGCCTATTCACTTCTTTCTGCTTCGCTATGGACATATGCCTGGTACGGCAGAGCGCTGTTTGCGTGGGCGTTATGTGAGGTGAGAACTATGACCTCATCTCCTTCTTCCATTCCAACGATTTGTTCTCCAGGTCTTCTTTAGCGTGTATCTCTATAGTCTTGCACGCCTTATATCAGGATCCTCTCCTCATGGTCCTGCCAGTCTCATCGAATTGCAGTCTGCTTTCAAACGCTCTCTTCAGGCTGGTTTAGCGTTCTTGCCAGAGGATGGTTCAGATGAAGAAGGCGGCGTGAGACCAGGCAGTCCTACAGAAGATATTATAGCTCTCGACTTCGATGACCCACGTGCGGTCGACTTTCGTAACTATATGCGCACATGGTACGACCTCAGTCGTTCGATTTCATGCGTATTCTTAGCCACATTCTATCATTCAGGTATGGTAAAGTTCCTTGGTCCTCAATCCGGAAGCATGAGGTGTATGCGTGGCTTTCTTGGTCCATCTACAACGCACCCTTCCCTTCTTTGGAATCCCTCCCGGAAGATGAACAAGAGATCCTACGAAGTGCCATGTCAATGCTAGAGAAGCGTGCTGGAATCGCCATTCCAGATGGTTCAAACCCGGACAGCAGCCCTCTCCTGCTCACTTTAGATCCAATCAATGTTGCCTGGAGACCTTTCGTGTGGTACGCCTTCATAGCGGTTGGCAACTCTGTCCTACGACAATATTTGAAAGTGAAGTGGCGTGCTAGCATTGGTAATTATAATGGTTTGGAGTGAGTTTACATCATCTCTCCATGGTCCCGTTGTGGGAATCGAAATCTAATTCGATATCAGATACATCCTCCGCATGCCTCTGACTCGTTCGTGGTCGCCAGAAACAGGCCCTCACCCCATTGTGTTCGTGCACGGTCTTGGCCTTGGACTTATTCAATACAATATTTTCCTCACGCAATTGATGGAAGCTATTCCCGATCGTCCGGTCTTGGTGCCTCTTCACCCTCACGCCAGTCAGGAAATTTTCCACCCTCGTTTCTTGAATCCCATGAATAGGCATGAATCTGCCGATTGTCTGGCAGGCTTGCTGCGCGAGCTTGATTGGGTAGAACAACATAGAGCCGATAATGGAGAAAAGTTAGACGACGAACCGAAAGATGGTCAGAGGCCAACTGGTGTTACCATGGTTAGCCACTCAAAGTGGGTACATTTGACCGCGATGTATGTCGTGCTTTAACCAACGTTATCTTTAGTGGTTCCTTTACGCATGCTTGGCTTTTGAAAGCACACCCCGAGATGATCTATCGTTCTTGCTTTGTTGACCCCGTGACGTTCTGCTCTTGGGAAGGAGGTAAACTCACTAGTTTGAATATGTACTGGATTAGTACTGACAATAATCCTTTTAATTCAGATCTTTGCTACAATTTCATATATAGACGTTGCGCAACGGTTCGTTTGCACCCGTTGATGTCTATATCATTCCAGACTTACTGATACACTGTTTTACAGGGCCTCGAACTCCTCATGAAGTACTTCGTCGGGATGGAGCTAGGCGTAGCCAACTTCCTCCAACGTCATTTCGACTGGAGTGCGAATTCCTTATGGTTCCAAGACATCCCGAATGCATGCGATCCTTCCAAAACAAAGTTCTTCCTCGGTGGGAAGGATGACGTTGTCGACGCTGAGGTACGTGCTATACCTTCTTCATGGCGTGTGTATACTCGCATGCTCATTGTGAATTCGATTTTGAATAGCGTGTCAAACGTTATCTCACTTCACACGGTATACGTAAAGGTCTATGGTTCGATCCTCATGGTCGACACGGAGAGGCACTCCTTTCTGGTGGCAAAGGCCACAAAGAAATTTTACGATGGTTACGCGAAGCCTCATGAACATCCCCGATTTACGCATATCACACGGACTTCTTGCTCCGTGACTCGTGGAAGACATGTTCATATTTACGCATGGGCCACACTTTACGACCTCGGATGACTTATAGATTTACTCTGTTCGGACTCGTTGAATTGCTATATTAGATGTATTGTTCTTTTGTCGCAGTATAAGCTTAGAATCATCGTTTTTCGAATTGTATGCCCCCCTTTTGATACTGTACTACTTGGACTGTAATGTTTGTAGCGATAACATTTTAGATGTCAATCATTACCAAAGAACCTCGGGAAAACCTTCCCAGCGTTGCCAGCCATGATCTTCTCGAGTTCTTCCGTATCCTCAGCATAATAGCTAGTAAGCTGCTTGGTATACCATCCTGCCATATCATTCCCCACAGCTACACGGACCAACGAAGCTATCATTGGAAATGTCCTTGTAACATGTAGATAACAGTAGCACTTACCGGGAAAGTCGGTCCCAAAGAACAACCGTTCAGGGTTCACGAACCTCTTCACAACGTCAAGCGTGCTCTCGTACGCGCTCAACGCAGTGTCAAAGTAGAAGCTCTTGAAGTCCTGTAATATCTCTTCTGGAGAAAGCTCGCAACCCATGTGGTTCGATAGTACTGCGACACGTGGGGCCAGGAAGGGCATACTTCCACCTAGGTGTGCTAGGATGATTTTGACATCTGCGTATCGACGTTTCTTGCCTGTGACGACGAGGTGCGCAGCGGCTTTGTATGTCTCGTTTGGTACCTATTGGGATTCGGAGACGGTTAACGGGAGTAATGGTTACTTAAATACATTGCTGGGACTGACCTCGGTGATAGGGATACCTAGAAACTCGTGCGGGTACGGCGTGGAGGATGGTGTTTGAGTACCATGTAGATGAACGACAGCTTTTCGTCGATTGAGTTCGTTCCAAATGGGATCGAATTTGTCATGCCCGATGTACACTATCGAAAGTGGAGCGATCAGGACTATGGTGTTAGAAAAGTGCCGAAGGCGTTGCACCTACAAGCTTCTGAACCTTCGCCATAGCACGTCCATAACCCGATGCCGTCTGCATGCAGGTGACCTAAGGCATACGCAATCTCCTCAAGAGCACCTGAATGAAAAACACGTTCAGCTGGTTCTGAGCTACCTATTCATTTATATACCTTCTATGTCCCGGAGGTCAGGCAGACAGGCAAAGAACCCGAATCTATCTGGGTACTTTTCACATATCTTCTTAGCCTGCAAATTCAGCTCTCTCGCTAAGGCGCGATTATCTGGGCCTGGGGGACCGGAAGGAAAGCCTGTAGGATAAGATAGAATAGCGATGTCTATGTCAAGAGCATCCATAGCTGCAAGGCTGACTTCGGGACTCCAGGGAAGAGTCCCTTCTGCTGCGCGCCATCCAGCTTTGGCATTGAGTTCTTTCTTAGGGAGAGTTGCAGGGAAGATGTGATGATGGACATCAACGCGTTTGATGCGACGCCGGGACTAAGGCAGAGTTAAAGAATGGGTACGAACGACTTATGGTGCGGAGAGTAGATGGGCGGGACTTACAGACGTCTGTGTACCTATGGCGGCCATTACGATGTAGGTGACACAATCATCCACGTACCTCTCAGAATATATATACGCTATATCCACTCAGCACTTGGATACGCGATTATTGAATCTCTTCAAGGCGATCACCGCAGAGAGACATTGCCGACAAGCTTCGAAGTCAAAGTCACGATCGATCTGATAGGACACGATGCAAAGAGCAATGAATCGTGCACGTGTATTCTGTATGGGTACACTGATTTCTTTTACTTGCCTACACCTTCTCAAGCTCTGCGGAAATCCTTACAGTCTTCTGAATTCCAGCTGACGAATTGTCCGCTTAAGGACTTTGGGGCCCGAAGTGCTAGTGCAGCGATCACATATCCGGAATCTTCGGGCTTGACTAGCTTTCCTTCTGCATATGCGGAAGAGAACTTGGTGAAATCCTGCTCTGTTAGATGAGGTGCCCCACTTTCGCGGATTTGTGCTTGCATCTGGGCCGAGTCATCATGAGGGCGAGGTATACACGAGAGACCAAAGCAGCACGAACGGGCGTATCTACCATGCCGGGACGCAACGCGACAGATACGACATCAGGTTCTTCTTGTGCGAAAGTCCTGAAGGGAGTTTCAATATGAAGACATTAAATGCCATAAACACGACACTAACCGACATAAACTATTCACAGCAGCCTTGCTCGCATTGTACGGACCCCATCCGGCCGTGTTCCCAACGGCGGCACCTGAGCTCACGAAGACAACTCTGCCACCTAAGTCGCTTCGGCGCAAAGCGGGGAGTGCGGCCCTCAGTGCAGTAACCAAAGAGAAGAAATTCACATCGAAATGTTGTTTCCAAGAGTCCAAACTTATACTAGGGTCGCCAATCTTCCCCATAGGTTCCAATACCCCAGCGTTTAGAATGAGACCGTCGATGTTGTGATACGTCTTCTCGGCCAGACCAATTACGCGGGAAAGAGCAGTAGCGTCAGTACTGCCGTTTTCAAGTGAATATTGCGGCATGCTCGATTTGATTCGAGTAGAACACTGACACGTCGCATTCGATTGCAAGCAGGGCCGCAGGATGAGCCTTTGTGAGTTTGAGCAACTCGGGCGATTTAGACCTGGAGAGTGTCACGACATGGGCTCCGAATTCCTCTAGCAAGATTCGGGTAACAGCAAGGCCAATGCCTCTACAATGTGCACGTCTGATCAGCAAGATGTCGATGAAGTGATCGAGCAGGATATGCACTTGGAAGCACCAGTTACAACGACGACGGGCTTTCTGGACATATCATACACTGCAGAGCAATAATCGAAATGAAATATATCAGTAGGCGAGGACGTCTATCGATAGCTTAAAGCAAAGTGGTCCGAGGACGGGGGAGAACGGAGGATTGTTTATGCGTGTTTGTCGGAGCGTAAACCCCAAAGTTCTCGAGTGCTTGGCAGCCAGCACATTGCGCAACTCCCAGAAAAGTCGGTCTTTGGCCTCTTCCTCCTCCCCCTCTTCAAAATAAGCCATGGCTGCTCGTGCCGCTTTCTTTCGCATAGCTCCCGCCGTCGTCCATGCCCGCGGAGCACCGTTAGTCGGTCTCCGACGCGCTGCCTTAGCTCGCGGGTATGCTACCCAGAGTGAGGAACATTCGGTATGTACGGAAAACGCACGGTACTGCAATTCAGAATATTCAGATGCTAAACAAGACTCGGTCAGATGACCGTTCGTGATGCCCTTAATACCGCTATGGAGGAGGAGATGTTGAGGGACGAGAATGTTTTCATCCTTGGAGAGGAAGTAGCACGGTACAATGGTGCTTACAAGGTCGGCTCGTCTTACATTTGATCTTGAGCTTCATTATCTGACACGACCATCTATCGTAGGTCACCAAAGGTCTTTTGGACAAGTTTGGTGAGAAACGTGTTGTGGACACACCAATTACCGAAATGGGCTTTGGTGGTCTTGCCGTCGGTGCTGCTCTTGCTGGTCTGCGACCAATGTAAGCATGCTTTACGTCCCGGAATACGGTCTTTAACTACGTGTCTGCCCTAGTTGCGAGTTCATGACTTTCAACTTTTCGATGCAAGCAATTGACCAAATTGTCAACTCTGCTGGAAAGACTTACTACATGTCTGGTGGAAGTCACCCATGTCCAGTTGTTTTCCGCGGTCCTAATGGTGCTGCCGCCGGTGTCGGTGCCCAGCATTCACAAGATTACGCTGCATGGTACGGTCAGATTCCCGGTCTCAAGGTGATCAGTCCTTGGAGCGCGGAGGATTGCAAGGGTCTGTTAAAGGTGCGTATCGCTTCGATGTTGCTTGTATGCTGACATGACTTACGATAATTACCTAGGCTGCCATCCGGGACCCCAACCCTGTCGTCTTCCTAGAGAACGAGATGCTTTACGGTGTCACATTCCCCATGTCAGCAGAAGCAATGTCTGACAACTTCCTTCTTCCAATCGGCAAGTGCAAGGTTGAACGGGAAGGTAGCGACATCACCATTGTTGCGCACAGCAAGATGGTTACTCACTCACTTGAGGCGGCTGATGAGCTTGCTAAGGAGGGCGTCAAGGCCGAAGTTGTTAACCTTCGCAGTATCCGTCCTCTTGATATCGACACTATCAAGAAGTCTGTGAAGAAGACGAACAGGTTAGTGCTGGTTGCTTTCGAAGGATCATCCAGCTTTGAATTGATCTATTTTTAGACTTGTTATTGTTGAGGGTGGTTTCCCCGCGTTCGGTGTTGGAAGTGAGATCTGTGCGCGAATCGTTGAGAGCGAGGCATTCGATTATCTCGATGCGCCTGTTGAGCGTGTCACTGGTGCTGATGTTCCCACTCCTGTGAGTACTCAGAACACTTCTATCTCCCCAAATCTGGCTAAATGCACTTCTCCCAGTACTCTGCCCCCCTCGAGGCACTTGCATTCCCCGATACCCCTCTGATTGTCAAGGTGGCCAAGCGTGCTCTCTACAGGAGCAACTAGGATCACTTTCGCTGCATGAGTCCCATTCACGGACGGCTGTTTTCTCGCTCCCTAGACTTGCTATGCTAGTTGTTGCCCACACTTAGACTCTTAATATATTCTAGGGGACCTTTGTTATCATCGCTCTGCTATATTCAAGTGGTATTGTTCGAAATACATTGCAGTCAACATATGACGAGAGTAATTATTTTTGGCACAGTCCTTTAGAGTTGCAGACTTTTCATGCTACTAAAGTGCGCAGTCGTATTCTCACAGCGTTCGCATGAGCTTGTAGCCCTTCGCAATCTGCCAAAGTGGCTACCACTGGACCAAGTCCTAGGAGTCCATCTGCGGTTACCTCCTGTGATGTGATGTGCTTCTGGAATGACTGCGTATTAACACCGCTGAATTGTCGAGCATATCCGTTCGTTGGAAGAGTGTGGTTCGTTCCTGACGCGTAGTCACCGCAGCTGAGAAGGAGAAGGAAAGAAGGTAACGTCAGTGATACGTGGACCATTTATCAAGAGAAGACACACCTTTCTGGAGAATATGGTCCAACGAAGACACTGCCAGCGTTTTCGACCTGCGGCAAGGCTGATCTTGCATCCTTAAGGTGGAGAATCAAGTGCTCCGGTGCGTAGTCGTTGGAAAACTTGATGGCCTCATCGACGGATGTAGTCTTCACGATCAGACTCTTGGGTATTGACTGACGTATGATATCAACGCGAGGCAAAACACGAGCCTGCGCCTCGACCTCTTCCTCAATTCTGTTGATTTCCTCTTGTGAGAGATTGACCGTGACGAGTACGACCTGTGAATCAACACCATGTTCCGCTTGCGATAGAAGATCAGCTGCGACGAAGGCAGGATTACACGTGGAGTCAGCGATAACCTAAAGAAATGCCAAGGATTGAGAACAATGGAGTACGAAAGATGGACAGGTATACGTACGAGAACTTCGGATGGACCGGCTGGCATATCAATAGACACAAGAGCGTCTGTATCGTTCTGAACCAACATCTTCGCCGCAGTCACCCATTGGTTTCCGGGTCCGAAGATCTTATCGACCTTCGGAACTGTTTGCGTGCCGTACGCCAATGCAGCAACCGCTTGTGCACCTCCTGCTTTCAGGATTGCTGATGCACCTACAAGGTGAGCGACATACATCACTTCAGGGGAAATGCTGCCATCGGGCCGAGGAGGGGTTGCGAGGACGATCTGTTTGCAGCCTGCTACTTGAGCAGGAACACCGAGCATAAGGGCTGTTGAGGGTAGAATTGCGGTACCACCGGGGACGTAAAGCCCGACGCGTGCAATAGGACGAGAGAAACGCGAGCATACAACGCCCGGCATTGTTTCCACCACGAGAGTTGTCTTTTCATTTTGCGCCGCGTGGAACTTTTGCACGTTGGCATAAGCCACGTCGATAGCATTGCGTATCGGATCCGTCAATTGCGTTGATTCCGGTGCGAAAGGAGGGAAGATAACTGTGGAGTCAAGCTTCGCCTTGTCGAACTTGGCGGTGAGTTCAAGCAAAGCGGCATCCCCTCTTTGACGAACGTCATCGACAATGGGCTTCACTTTAGCGATCATCTCGTCAGATTTGAGCACTGGTCGGCGAAGAAGTTGTGACCGTGTTTCTGGAGAAGCTTTCGAGAGATCGTATGTGCGCATACGGATTGGTCCATCGGTCGTCTTCGACCAGGATACAGGTGCTGACCGCGGTGGGGGCCGGGTGAAGGTGGAGGTGGAAGCGGTAGCAGGTGTATTTTCCGCCCATTTCGGCTTCGCATCTCCTTTCCTACGAGTGACCTTCTTCGCTTTCTTGTCTAGCGACCGCTCGATGTCGTAAATAGTAACACCAGACGCAATACACCTCGTGAGGGCAAAGTAAATGAGGTCTGCTGCTTCGAACGCAACTTCCTCTTGGGTTTCTGCACTGCAAAGCTCGTCGGCTTCCTCCATGATTTTTGCACGGAGAAGTTCAGGGTCACTAAACAATCTCCTGGTGTAAGATTCCGCTGGGGAAGATTCGAACCGTGATTGCAATGTCTTCTGGAGGGCATACAGTCCCTTTGACTCGCCGAAACATGATGGCCTACTGAGATGACAGAATCCTGATCCTTTCTGGACGACGTTGAACTCCAGAGCGTCAAGGTCGCAGTCGACGCGGATGCCGAGAACTGTCTGACTGGCCCCAGAAGTTTCCCCTTTTCTCCACAGCCCGTGCTTGCGGGACTGGTATATGCCCTTTCCTGTGAGGATACTCTCTTTTATCGACTCGGTAGAAGAGTACACCAGGCCGAGCGATCTTCCGTCCTCCGTAACGACAGTAGGGAACAGACCGTCGGGCCTATCTGATATCAGCGGAGCCACAAAGGCATCAGCAACGTTGATAGCTTGCTCAGAAGTGGCAGAGTAGGTGAGTAGGGTAGTTGGGAGGACTATGATTGTATTTGCACGACGCAGATCACGAATAGTCGACTGTGAGGGCGGTGATGACGATGGCGTAGACAGAACATAGATGTCTGCTCCGCTAAAAAAGCGAGTGAAAGACCCTATGAAATCGGCGTCCAAGGTGGAAGTCTTGATGAGCACACCGGAAATGCCTTTACGAACAGAATCCGAGACTGCACTAGCGTTCGAGACATCTAGTAACAAAATCAAACGGTCAGCAGGAAGGACTCCTACGACATCTTTTGCCCATGCGAGAGGTACGATGACCTTGTCGGCGCCGAGGTCAAGCCATTGAACGATTTCGTCAAGGTTGAGTGATGAAGTTTGATCGAGCAGAATGTACCGGCTAACATCGAGATCGGGAGGGAGGCTGGATGGTGGAGTATTACTAGGTACAATGACTGGTCCAATCCGAGCCAATGATCTCAGAAGGGCCTGGTCGATGTTGCCACCGTCGAGTAAAGGTAGGAAGACTGACATTTGCACTTGAAGGAGAGACAGAACTTAAATTCTGAGCGCGGAGAGTAATTCAATGACTCCTAACAATCACAAACATCCATATAAATATCATTCAGCACGGTACAGGCCTTGTAGTGTAGCGGTTATCACATGGGATTCTGATGCTGGATGCCCTTTCTGAGTTCCCATAACCCAGGTTCGATTCCTGGCAAGGCCTTCGTTTTTATCATCGAAGAGAACCTTCAGTCATAGTTTGACAGGCGTGTGCGTTCCCGTATCATGATTCAATATCCGCAGCAGTAGAAGCAGGCATCTGCTGGACAACGAAGGTCTTCTAGTGACGCAGCCTGTGAAAAGGGAGACAGAATGAGGGAATCTGGGGCTGCGACGCGACATGAGGGAACACGCGATGAGGACAAACAAGACACGCGCAGGAGAATACAAGAAGATGGAGATTGGGGGACATTGGGACGGGTGTGGTCGTCGCTGTCCCTAGCAGATACTCCGCATCCGTTGTCTGCGGTGGTCGCTGCAGAATAACTGAAGATTCATTCGAATATTCAGTCGTGATCTTCTGATCTACTTCCGCAGACAGGTGCACATTAGCGTGCCTGCAGGTCCAGTGATCCTCCCATATTGATTATTGCATTGTTCGCTCTCGTCACGACTTCTATCGATTGACACCCCGGTCCCACTTCCTTCCTCTTAAAAACCACCGTTCCGCTCATCCTTCCCTCCGTCCTCTTTTCTTCTCTTCTCACACACTCACTCGCTTATTCAATGGCAGGTCGTGGCGGTCCTAGAGGCAGGGGGCGTGGCGCACCTGCTCTTCGTGGTCGCGGTGGCGGGCCTTCAATCGGTTCGGTACCAAGTAGCGGTCCTGGCATTCCCAACCAAGGCGATCATATCGCCACAGTTGGTGTCAAGCGATCGGCCTTCGGGAGCTCTGGTAGAGCCATCGAAGTGTTCACCAATCATTACGAGGTTTCAATCCCTCAAGGGATGATATACCACTATGATGGTAAGACTTGTTTCTCTTTGTCATGTTTGTGGATACTGAAAAGTCGTCTGCTCATTCGTAGTCGGTAAGTAGACTTATATACTCGCGTATTTTATCAGTACTCAAGTTCGCTTGATAGCCATCTCTCCGTCTGAGCACACCCTACCCGCCAGACTCAACATGGAATTGATCGTCAAGTTACAGGAAAGAGATCACCCCGAGATCTTTACCCCAAGAGGTGTCTATGATGGCCGAAAAAATATGTTTTCTGTGAAAAGATTCCCATTCGAAAACGACACCCGCACAGTATGCTGTTTTCCCTCATTCCTGTTTCAATATCCTGAAAGAAGGCGTAGTTTGATGTCACGCTCAGTGATCCTAATGTCCAGGATTCTCCTGGTCGCGCAGCTGTAGGCCGAGGTCCAAAAATATACAAGATAAAGCTTACCAAGGTGGCCGAGATAAACCCAGAGTACGTTTACGGCTTGTCACCTTCTGCACTTCTACCGGCCTAACACTGGGCAAGGGTGTTATCACGCTTCTTAGAAGGCAGCCAGTCCCACGACAACACCGTACTGACGGCTATTACTGTATGTTTACGCCACATGAGTGCGATTGGTTATTGACGGTTTGCAGGCTCTCAATGTGGTCGTCAGAATGGAACCGACCAAGAATTATCCATTCAATGTTCGTTCTTTCTTCACTCCCCGTGAGCAGAAAGACATCGGAGGTGGTTTGGTGCTTTGGCGCGGATACTTCCAATCCGTCCGTCCCGCCATTGGGAAAATGCTTATCAACATTGACATTTCAACTGGCACCATGTATAAGGAAGGTCCCTTGCTCAACATCTGCCTAGAATTTTTCAATCGTGGAAATGATCCCAACATCCTTGCGCCTGCACGTGGTCTGCCTGAGCGGGAGCGCCTTCGTCTTCAACGATTCATATCTGGCGTTAGAGTCATGACGAATGCCGCAAACCAAGGGCAACAAGGACGTACCCGTACACCTCGTGTCGTTAAAAAGCTATCATCTGCTGGAGCGAATTCGTTGTCTTTCACTATGCGGGAGGGTGGCACGATGACTGTGGCGCAATATTTCGCGAGAACATACAATCGACCTCTTCAACACCCCGCCATTCTCTGCGTCGAGGTGCGATTTCCTGTGTTTAAATTTTCTTCTAGTGTTTATTGGTAATGTCAGGTTGGAAATGGAGCATTGATCCCTATAGAACTGTGCACAGTCGTACCAGGACAAATCATGCGGAAACAGGTTCCGCCAGAGAAAACGAAAGACGTGCTTGAGTTCGCAACTAAGAAACCTGCTGATCGACTCGCTAGCATTCGCAATGGTCTCGGGGTAAGCCTTCCGCGTTTCGCAACAATCCTCATTCGAGTAAGTGTGTTTCGCAGGTGCTTTCTTACGGTCAATCAGAGTATGTGCGAGTGAGTATGACATGAAAATCACGATGCGTTATGACAGCTGAACTTGTCTTCAGCAATTCGGTCTACATGTGAAGGATACGGGAGGCCCGCTGTCAGTCAACGCTCGCGTTTTAAATCCACCCACCTTAAAGTATGGCCAAAACAGCAAACAACCCACTATCGTGAGTAGTCATTTGAAGTTCTTTCGAGTTCAACACCAATGGTGTTTTCGCGCAGGTACCGCGTGATGGAGCGTGGAACATGTGAGTGTCCATCCAAGCAAATGTATGAACTCCTACTCAATGATGTCTTCGTCTAGGATTGATAAGAAATTCTTTCAACCGGCAACAATCAAAGCCTGGGTCGTCGTGGTCTACGAACGTCAAAATCGCTTCCGCGATGAGAACGCCAAAGACATGATTGCTGGATTGTTGGAAGCGTGTGCAGCAGTGGGTATGTCTCTACTTTCTTTCGACAGTCATTGTCCTACATACTAATGGGAGATTCTCAGGCATTGTTGTCCAGGACAAACAACCCCTCGTATTCTGGGAGAATGCTCAAGGCACGATAGCCGATGTAAGTACCTAAGCCAGTCCGTGGATTAGCTACTGAAGCGCCTCCATATTCTTAGCACCTTCGTAAAGCCGGTCTAGCTTGCAACCAGAAGAAAGGCGTATTCCCGAACCTGATCGTGGCCGTGCTACCTGAACAAGCAACAGACATCTATACCGCTATCAAACAGTGAGTTTTCTGACGTGGTGTCGTGACATGCATTCAATTGATCTTCACATACAGCTTCGGCGACGTTTCGGTTCGTGAATGGTCATCACTTCTTCATGTCGCGCTTCTGACCTCTATTGCAGACTGGTGTTGCAACTCAGTGCCTGAAATCGCAGAAGTGTACTCGCGCGAAGCAACAGTACTACGCGAACGTTTGCTTGAAGTAAGTCGAATCGTGGCTTTACACTGACTCTACTGATGGCGGGATAGGATCAATGTGAAACTGGGAGGTATCAATACCATTCCAGATGCACGGTCTGTATCCATCTTGACGGATCCCCACAATCCAACAATTGTTATGGGGGTATGTTTGCTCGTGTTCATTGATATATAAATGTGGACTGATCTGCTCCTATAGGCTGATGTCATTCATCCCGCCGCCCACTCGGAGGGTCGTCCATCATTCACATCCTTGGTTGCTAATGTCGACTCCGATACGGCGAAGTATATTGCTGACTGCCGTGTTCAAACTTCCCGTCAAGAAATGATTGACGACTTGGAAGATATGGCAACGGTTAGCTCATTTATCCTTACGTTTACTCTTTCGTCTTCTTACGGTCTTGTAGCATATGATTGATATGTATATAAACTATCGACGGAACGTAGAGAAGAAGCCAAATCCCCAGCCGAAGAGGATCATCTTCTATCGAGGTGAGCTATCGTATATTCTATCTCGCTGGTCTAGGTTTGACGTTGCCTCTGTTGTAGATGGTGTGTCCGAAGGTCAGTTTAGGCAGGTCCTGGAGCACGGTGAGTTGTCTTTTTCTGCTGGTAGGGTAATATTTAATGACTTCCCGTCATTCAGAGTTACCGCAGATCAAGAGTAAGAAAGACAGTGAATATCTTGTGCAACGCTAACGATTTCTCGTTTGTAGAAGCATGCGCCAAGATGAAAGTAGATCCTAAAATCACTGTAATCGTCGTTGGCAAACGTCACCATGTTCGATTCTTCCCGAAGCGACCGGATGAAGCTGACAGGAGTGGCAACTGTCGTGCTGGTACTGTCATCGATCGCGATATCGTTCACCCCCTCGAGATGGATTTCTATCTTCAGTCTCACGGCGGTCTCTTGGGTACCTCACGCCCCGCCCATTACAATGTGCTTTATGATGATAATCGACTCACGTAAGTAACAACTCGATCTTCCCAACAATACTGAGTTACTGATATCCCAAAAACAGTGCGGATGGCATCCAGCAGTTGTCTTTCGCATTGTGTCACGTCTATGCTCGCTCCACTCGCTCGGTCTCAATTCCCGCCCCTGTCTATTGTATGTACTTCCATCCATTCTTGTATTCGGATCAAGTTCACAGTGCATTTAGATGCGGATATTGTCTGCTCCCGAGCCAAGAACCATTATGATCCTGGGGCCAACCTTGACCTTACCGAGACTGGCACCGCCGACGATGCTCATGCCAGCGAGCAGCTTGAAGTCTTCAAGAACAATTTCAAACCTCTTCACCGAAATATGCAATTCCTCATGTATTTCTCTTAAAGTTTGCTCTAAACTCCATACATATGGCAATGTCGTGTTTTCTATTCTTCCTCCGTTCATCCCTGGACGATCATGTTCGGGAGTTCCCCATATTACTAGTGTGATATCTTGCTTTTCTCTTGCTGTCGTGCAGTTTGTTGTGATGCTCCTAACGTCCTGGATGTACATATGTAGTGCTATGGTTGTGATATGTGGCGTAGTGGTAGTGCTTCGGTACAATGGAATTATGTGTTGTTTGAAATCGGATTCTACTATGCCGGCGGCTCTATAATTGAACGGTCTCTAATTTGGCGTCTACGAGCGATCAAAAGCAGTGCATGGCCAGGAATGGCTTTCATCTTAAGTAGTTCAACGCCCATGTTCGTTATCCGTCCTGGTGCTTGCCGCTAAGCAGATCCTTCTGAACAAACTTATTTCACTAGACAATCAAGCACGCATTCTCGTGAAGGTCGGGATCGTCCCGCCTATACATGTTTGGGGACATGCTTAAACGTGGTTGGATGTACGGCGAGTGCTCGAACCATAGCCTACTAACATGCAAGGTAGTCGTAACCTGTGACCGAACACTGTTCACTACCCAGTACACGCCACACCGGAGGAATGGTGAGTACAGCTGTTGATTCCACTTCCATTTATCTCGGACCTCATGCTTCGTTGGACAAACGGCAGCTTTCTCCCTACTAGTAGGTGTCTTCCTTCCTGCGCGTCTCGGTCACTCGGAGAATCAGGGCTACCTCACTAGTTACATGAGGCGGGCAAAGGCAGCCAGGGCCGTGACATTCCATACATGTCCTGTTCCAGCCTGTTCCTTGACGCCAAGAGGCGTGCACCTAAAGAGTCATGCTGTTTGCCTTCTGGGTCCAGCCTCAGGGATTCTCTTAACCACGCCTCCCTCTGAGTTCTCGGCCATAAAAGGTGGCCGACGAAAACGAGCTTCTTCATGATTACGTTTCACTAGTTTCCTAAGCTATACCACTGGCTCTTACAGCAGCCCAAGGTTGCGATAAATCTATATAGCACCTTCGTTCCTGACTCTCTACTTGGCTACGCCTGCCTTACTCGTTCACTCTGAAACACTCCCTGCTCTATTCATCATGCGCCACAACTCTCATCCCGCTCGCCGCAATCCTAATTTCTCTCGCCGCAAGCCGGTGCCAACCTATTTACCTTCGCCACAATCACCAGCCCACTCGCTCACGTCGGCCAGTCGCTCTCCAGCCAGTGGAAACGACAACAATCTTTCGCAGGTATTAACTTTTCCGGTCTACATTCACTCTTTTTACTGACAAGGTTATATAGTTAGTCGATCCCGAATGGCAACAGAACATAGCGAAGAGACTGCACCGTCGACATGAAGTCGGTCGAAACGCGACGGGCCTCATATTTACGGCTGAATCATTGACACTCACCTTCACAAACCCTCCACCCGGTTTGGAGGTAGGTTCGACCGCTACTATCGCCTTCTCAAAGTCTGAGCAGTCATCTGGCGTCGTGAAGGTAGAACAGTTCGTCCCTTCAACTCCCCAACTTCTGAACCCAGTGCCCAGAATATCACACGTTTCCTCCCCCCGACCAAACCGGAGGCCCAAGTCAATACATAAGGTAACGCTCCATCACTCAATCTCTTATGGTAATCGGAGGACTCATGCAAGTTTCGTTTTCAGACTTACCATCCTCCTACGCCACCACGTCGTCAATCTAAAGTACTCGAACATGAATTACGCGCGTTCCATGAAACATCATCTTCCGAAGCTTCCCCTAAGATGCGACAGTTCACCTCGCCTCTTATTTCCTTAAGTCCTGATAGCAACCGGTACCCGGACCTCCACCCCAAAGCCACGATGATGAGCTCAGGAGAAGATACAACAAACGCTGTTCATGGGGCTGGCACTCATGACGGCCATATTTCCACGCGATTTACCTTCCCAATGCCTAGGAGGGCCTCCGCATGTGGTGACAGTGTCCTCTCCCATCAAAGTCTTGGTGCTGCCTTGAGACAGGCTCGCGGGTGGGGTAGAATGGTGCGGTGTAAGCTTGGACGACTCTTTGGACTTACCGTGCCTCCCCGCGCGGTAACTTACTGAAACACTCACACTCGGTCATCCCTTCATCCGTAGCAGCATATTTATCTCTATTTGACGCATCCACCACTCTTTTTTGATATACCCAATGTTGAAGTAGTGTAGCAATCGCGGACTAATTTTCATGTTCAGTAACATCCATGCGTATCATCATATACCGACGTAGCCTAGTAGTAGTAATTCGTTTACGCCCATGCGCATGTATAGTATGCTGAATTGTTTCTTACTCCAGTTGGTGCGAGCGAGAGCCAATCAGCACCGGCGCATCTCACCCACTTGGACGTCAGTGAACACCCGAAGAAGGCACATTGTCCTCCACCTCTGCACCGCGACTTACCATGAGCCTATGACACTGCACAACCCACTCACATCTAGACCTCTTTGCGCCCAGCAAGTATCCGTCTGGAAACTACAATTATCCGGTCGCATTCTACATGACGTCCGTCGATGACCAGCGCCGTCCAACAAGGCGCGAAATATTCGAGGCTATCCTGTCTGGTGCTCAGAAGCCTCCATTCTTACCTAGACTAAGGTCTGACCCTCCTGCATATCATCCTCTACCTCACAGTCTTGTCGAGTTTCGGGAACAAGAGGGAGCCGACAATCGGGAACGGCGGTTTCACAGACTATGGACGAAACTTCCAAAACGTATCTGGTGGCATGATCACGACGACGAAGAGGTTTCTAAACAATATCCTGTTCACGATGATCGTGCATTGACTCGAGAAAGTGCGAAGGAGTTGGAGGAGATGTATGAGGATGAATTGCTTGGCCATTGTGGAGGGCACACTTCGGGCTTCAAACGTCGCGCTATTGCATGGGAAGACTTTCACAAGTATGCAGAGGCGAAAGAAGCTGGTGCGCAAGTTGTCGTCCTGCGTAGGCCGTTATTAACCGCATGGTAGAGCTCTGGCATATATTCCACGACGAACTGGATCTCGATGGCAACGGACATTTGGGTGCGGAGGAGCTTGCTGTCGCTTTAGACAAGGCTGGTATGCATATTGTTTTCTACAATGTTATGTCTGAATCTATCTCATCCAGTGTGCAACCAGGCATATCATTATCACCCCCAACACTTGCCGAGTTCATGACCTTTCTGACATCTTCCCCGCACTCGCATGCTCTTAGCTTCCAGGAGTTCAGAGACTTTCTTCTACTTCTACCCCGGAAGGCATCTCCGGAAGAGATCTTCCGATATTATGAAGTGAAGAGATTTATGGGTGACGATGGCCGAGGTGCTGCTCGTGTCAACATGGAGGGTGAATTCATGTTACCTACATCCGTCGATGCGATCAAACTTAAGGCAGTCTCACTTTGCAGGTGATGTTACATTAAGTGCCGAGGATCTAGCTACCACACGGACTTATTCACCCTCTGACAAAGATGTTACTGCCGACCTGATTGATCATACTATGGGTGTTGCTGATGATGAGTTTGAGGAGGAAGATCTTATGGAAGAAGAACAACATGGTACTTGGATGGGCGGTGCACTAGCTGTTAGGTTCCTGCTCGCTGGCGGTATTGCTGGAGCTGGTACGGAAAAACCTGCATTCCTGTGTAACGCACACTCGCTGATTCTCTCGTACAGTCTCGCGGACGTGCACAGCGCCGTTTGACCGTCTGAAGATTTTCCTTATAACACGACCACCAGAAATGGGTGGTACCTCGCTAAGCCCTAACGCATCTGAGCGAGGATTCAAGGCCATAGCCAGCGCGGTGACACGCATATATGCAGAAGGAGGCGTTCTAGCATTCTGGACTGGGAACGGACTTTCTGTTGCCAAGATCTTGCCGGAGTCTGCCATCAAGTTCATGACATATGAAACATCCGTTAGTGACTTCTGTTACTCAACTGCTCCGTGTTCGACCCATTTTACATGCAGAAACGAGTGTTTGCCAAACATTGGCATCACGTGGATGATCCTAGAGAGATCAGCGGGGTCAGCCGGTTTCTTTCTGGCGGAATTGGGGGCATAACTGCTCAGCTCAGTAAGCTAGAAAGTCATAATGTTGATTGTCCTTTGACCCATGCCATTGACAGGTATATATCCGATAGAGACACTAAAGGTCAGCTCTTAGTCCTTCAGAAATCAAAGACACGGTGCGGCTGATGCGCTCCAGACTCAAATGATGAGTAGTGCAGGAGAACGGCGATCTATTGCTCAAGCTGCCCGTCGGGTGTGGCAACTCGGTGGCATGCGGGCATTCTATCGTGGCTTGACTGTAAGCTCTTATTCAGCAGCATATAGTCACTAAACTCACCTCTACTTGCCCAGATCGGTCTTATAGGCGTCTTCCCGTGAGCTATGCTGGTCTATCGTGAGAAATTTGCTAAAGCATTTAGGATAGCTATTCTGCCATCGACATGAGCACATTCGAAGCTCTGAAGTTGGCCTACCTACGTTCCACTGGTAAAGAGGAGCCCGGCGTTCTTGCGTTACTTTCCTTTGGCAGTGTGTCTGGTAGCGTAGGGGCGACTAGCGTGTATCCTTTAAACTTGGTCAGGACACGACTACAAGCATCGGGTTCGTCAGGTCACCCGCAGCGGTACAGCGGTGTCTTTGACGTCGTTCAACAAACATATGCTCGGGATGGGTGGAGAGGATTTTACCGAGGGTTGTTGCCCACATTGGCGAAGGTGGGAGTATTGCCGTCAATCTGTATGTTTCCTATCTCACTTGTCCTCACAGGTGGTGCCAGCTGTCTCGATATCATATGTCGTATATGAATCGACGAAGCGGAAGTAGGTCCTCTCTTTATGTTACCCTTTTGCATGTCTGATTTAGTTTGGTCAGGTTGGGTGTATAGTTGCTATCGATATCGCTTTCCAAGTTACCCATTATCTCCTAGAACATATCCACTGCAGACTACATTTCCTCCTAGTATATTCATTGTTATTCATGCTGTATTGTTTATCACATTTTCTTGCATACAATCACATACGCAGACGCGCTTATCTAATCTCAAAACCTGCATCATCCCTTTAAGCTTTACCTTTGAATACGACCTCGACTACAACCTGCCAACACTAGTCATTACTGTCCTCGACAATTGCTCCAGGTCATTCTAGTCAACTTAAACAAGAATGGAATATAGACCGCGATATCCCCAGCCTTTCACACTCGCCGAAGCCGTCCGCCTAGATGTTCCGATCATTGCAGAAGGTTTCTGAGCTTTCTCAGTAGTTATCGCTGCACTATTACCTGAAACTTGATACAGAGATATCGCGGCTGCAAAACTCTGTGGAACGTCTTAGAGCAACTCAGAAGGAGTTGAATGAGGCTGTTGCGGAGTCTCCTGATCCCGATTTCTCCAAGGCTATCGAGGAGAATGATATTGTTATGTAAGTATTCGATTTGAACATGGATACCAGATTGCGACGTTCAGGCTTTGTTGCGCAGTGGCTCTCAGGAAGAGCGAGTATCTATGCTGAAGATGGCTCTGACGGAGAAAGGCATTCCGTCGAGTCCACATTACGACCCCTTTCCCGTTCCTCCGCTGCGTAGAACGCAGAGTCAGCAGCCGGCTCAGGAGTCATCTAGTCAGACTCAAACACCTCCAACACGACGGGGATTCCAAAACCAGGATCATGTTGATGGAGGGATCGACTTGTGACTTTAGTATCTGGTTCTGCTGCTTAATTTCTTGTGCAGTTCGCCTGTTTCATTCAGCGCTATTATATCGACTAGGAGGGTATAAATAATGATCATACTGTGCCATCATCCAACGCTCCTGAACTGCACTCGGCAGGTCTATTGACATTCTGGATGCTCGAGCGCTCGTACAATTGAAAGGAGGTATAACTGAGCCCACATCAACGCGGGATCGTACTTCGACTCCTGTCTTCCCTTCCCCACCATTGTCTACTGAATCTCCAGCTTTTGGATTATCCTCAAACACAGAATGTTTGCACTTCCACCCATACTGTATTCGATTCCAAGGAACCCAATTACAGCTGTTGGACTGCCAGTATTCTTCGGAATGCTGAGCGGAAGTCCTACTAGCAAGGAAGTGCAGGGCACATGGTATAAGGCACGTAACCGCTGTAAGATATCGAGTATCTGCGTGGCTAATGTCAAAGTAGAGCTTGAAATTCCCGCCTGGACGGGTCCCAGACCAAGTCTTTCCCGTCATGTGGGCCATTCTATACACTGGTTCGTGGACGTATCCATATAGTCTATGAGTGCTAATTGAATATGTCCGTCTTTCAGGGATGGGATATGCGTCTTATGTTGCTTTGAAGTCATATGACAGTGCAACCATTTCAGAGACGGCGGCGTAGGTGACATGCCCTGCCTTTATTGATTCTGCTGATGCTTTATGCCATGCATAGCTCCAATATCTCAAAAGGCCTAGCCATCTACTATGGACAGCTAGCTTTGAACTGCGGTTGGTCCAGTCTCTTCTTCGTGAAGAAACGGGTGAGGACAAACTTGACATCCACTCCTAACAACAGGCTAACTCAATTGTTGTCGTGCAGGTTGGCCTGGCATTGTTGGACAGCATTGCTATCACTGCCTCATCAGCGTGTATGACTGTGCGTGTAATTCGATTATTTGTGTCTGATACATGGAATGACTCAAGGTATCGTACTAGGTACTCTTTCATAAAGCGACAGATGGCGCAACCACCTACTTCCTTGCTCCATATTGCGCTTGGCTTTGCTACGCAACTTACATCAACGCTTCCGTTTGGTACTTAAACCGTGGGCGTAAAGTCACCGGTGAAGACTGAATGCTCCAGGGGAGAATTTTCTACGGAGGGAATGATATTTCGCTGATTACAGTAGTTTGAAGAAGGGGGCTGCTCAGTCATAGTTAACAAACAGACATTACTGAACACATGTACAAACGACTTCGAAATGAATTTAATACAATCGACAATCCCAAATATCATGGTTTCAACGCTTGCGACGAGCTCTCGTCTTCGGTGCAGCTTCCACCACCTAAAGTTATTCAATAAGTCCCTACACGATCAAGTCAACATCATCGGTGTACAGTCACCTTGGAAGCAACTGGTTCATTCGCCCGACCTTCAGGTCTATTGCGGGTTCCGACCCTCTGTAGAGGTGTTCACTAACTAATGTAGCCAACAAGTTATTGTAACAGGTAACACACCAAGCGTTTGGTCTGCCGAGGCGGACTTCGTGCATTTGCAGGTGTCGAAGGCGCATCGGGCTTGCTTCGCTTTCCTAGCTTCACTGGAGGCGGCGAGAGAGGGCTGAGCTCCGGTTCGAATTCTTCTATATCGTCAGAACAACCTCGAGCAAGGCGACCGAATATGGGTTTGCTAGGAGAATGTGCTGAACGATTAGTGGCGGGGGTCTTTCGAATAGCTACTGGCGCAGGAGTCCTGGGCACTTGTATGGCTGAGGGTCGGTAAACATCGGCTGGTCGGGACGCCTGAAGTGGCGTAGTTAGAACAGGCGGAAGCATGTTTCCGAGGATTGGCCGACGAGACGAATCCGAAGCTGGTTTGGAAGTATTTGTTTCGCCATCTTGAGGCTGATGTGGGGTATCAGAGACAACCTTAGAGCACAAAGAATTTCTGACTGCGACCTCAGCTTCGTTAGCTGCATTAGCTGGTACAAACGGAGAACTGCTTCGGTCTGAAGACGTCCACGAAGTTGGATCAATAAGAGACCCGTTGCCACCTCCCGTAGTGACTTGTGCCTTGGCTTGAGATTTCAGGTGTTTGGCCAGAGTAGCTTCGAGAAGATTGATTCTTGATCGTAGCTCAGCGATAGTATTGTCGCGCTGCAACGGCAAATAGAGTGAGATAGATCGCAAGTGAAGGTCAGGTTACCAACACGTCGCAGCTCATTGCCTTTAGCAATTAATTCTTGTTCATGGATTGACTGCGACGTTTGAATGAGAGAGTTTGTGAATGCGCGTTCTTCATCGTTCTGCAATGGCTAATCGTCAGCGAGCAGGCAGATTGTAGACGAATAGTCAAACCAAATCCCCGTTCTTGTATCGAGCCCCAATGGTCTTGGTTCTTGCATGAAGACGGGAAACCTCTTGGTTGCATTCATTCAACCGACGCGTAAGCTCGGAGATTTCTTCCTGATGAGCTTCTGGGACAATTTTTGCATTCCGCAACTGCTGTTCGATATCCTGGTGAGCCGCGAGTGCATCCGCTAATTGTTGTTTGAGTTGTTCGCTCCCAAGTTGTGCTTCTGCTAAGTCCTTCTCCAGTACGGTGAAGCGTTTCTCTACGTTGTTGAGCATGTCGGTCAAAGTCTTCTCCTGGTCTTTCAATTGTTTCCCGTATGCGACCATGTTACATTGTATCTCCTCTTCTTTACTCTTGACGACATCCTCGAGAACTTCAATCTTCTCCCGCAGCGATGAATTCTGAGTAGTGAGAACAGCAATTTCGCATTTCAAAGTCCCTGCAGTTGCTTCAATTTCCCTCTGCTCAAGATGTCAGTGATCGTTACAGTACAGGCGAAATCCACGTACGGCAAATTTGGCTTCTGACTCAATTATGCGATCCTATATGCAAATCAATATACCGACCAACAACCTGCCATGTGCATGAAGCTGCACTTACCTGCATGTCGCCTAAAGATTCCTTAGTAATACGTAGAGTGACGGATTGGTCTTGGAATCGCTCCTCCATCACCTGCTCACTATGAGAAAAGCGAACATTATACAGGGTGATCACATACCTGATATCGAGTATTGGCTTGATGAAGCCTACAATGTACGAGTCATGTAAAGAAAGGGAGACGCAACGACTAATGAAGACTCACTTCTCCGTGCGGATTTCCAGGTCTTTCCTCAAGTCGCGTAACTCGTTCTGTGCCTGAGTGACCTTGATATCCAATGCCTCAGCATCCCCCACCAGCTTTGCATTTTGTTTCCGTAAGGCGTCTCCAGTTGCGTTGCTAGCACCGAGAATTTCTTTTAAGCCAAGAAGTTCATTATTATTCACTTGCGATTCGGCCTCCTGCTCGGATATCCTTCACGAAAAAGCTGAGTCCAGGCGTGCACCACAAACGGTAAGGAATCCTACCTGCTCTGAAGCGCGTTAAGATGACTTTCTTTGGCGGAGAACTCACTTTCAAGAGCGCAGAGTTTGGATTCCAGCGCGTTCGACGTAGATATTGCATTAGACAGTCTAGAGGGTATTGTCATCGATAACGGCGTTTCCAATAGGGAGAAAGTTACATACTGCTCTTTCAGTGGTTCAAGTTGAGATATGTAGACATCCTTTTCTTGTAACGTAGCAGCCAATGTGGCACTCCTACAGCATCTGAGAAATGTGAAAACGGCGCATTCACATATTCACGTACCTCTGTTCAAAAAGTCGCAAGGTGGCTATCTCTGCGTTCTTCGAAGTCAGCTCCTCGATGAGCCTCGCATTTCTGTATCACAGAAACCAATCAGACCAGTAAGGTAAAGAAATTGCTTCATCATTCAACTTACTCTTGGTTAGAAGCAGAGAGTCTCGCTTCGACATCTGCAGCAGTGAGAAGTATATCATAGGACTTTGATTGCTGTTCCTTCAGTCGTCCCGTCAGTTCAGCGACTTGCTGACCTGTGGGGAAGCGATTCCAAGGGAAGATGAGACACAGCTGAAGCAGAGGTCCGATGAATTAGACTTACCAGCCTCAGACAGGTTATTGCTCAATGAGCGGATTGCTTCTCTGTCACTAGCCTGCTGTTGTTCGACATCCACTGTACGATTTCTAGCATCGACAAGCTCGTCGCCAATTGTTTGCAATCGGTCCCGCAGGAGATCCGTAACTTGGTGAGCTAGATAGTCACATCCATGTGAGCCATCCAACGCATACACGGGGAGAGAGTGCCCACAATTTGTACATTCCGTCTGAAGTTCCTTAATGACGTTTCGCATCTCTTCCGCCTGAAAAGAGTGTCCGTCATCATCTAGAAGCGGTTCAATACTCTTGAGGCTTGTTAAAACTGTTTCACGAAGGTCTTGAACGTCGCTGAATGACATTTTGGCTTGTCCCACGATGGCGAACGATTCAGATGCCTGAGTCTTCAAGCTGTCAAGGGTAGTCCTCATATCGTCCAAGCTGTGACGCATATAGTCAGTGATCTCAGAACATGTCGGTCCTTGTACCTCTTGGAACTCTTCTCTAAGCCTTGCTTAGCGGCTTCCTTCACAGCCTTGACGCGTTGCAAGGCTTCTTTTTTCTCGGCCTTAGCGGACTCAAGCTGGGACTGCAAGAAAGATATTTCTTTGCGCTGCAATCCCAGATTAAATCAACGATGTCAACCCAGAACTACAAACCGCACCTGCTCTTCAATTTCGAACTTGGTGTTGCGTAAATCAGTGGCACCGCGCATCATGATAGACGAGATGTCCTCATCGTGAGCCATTCCAGAGACCACAGAAACGCTTCTAGAGTGTGCTGCAGGCATGCGAGGTTCTGGTCGTGGAGTATGAGAGCGCGGTAGCCTAGGTACTTGAGAGTCTTGGACCTTGACGGGGGTATTATGTCTATATTCCTGCTCTTTGCTGAATGCAGAATATACCTCTATTGGCGGAATAAACTACAGTGCACATGGACGCATACAGCGACGAACCAGAGTCGTCATCCCTCCGCTCATTAGCGTTTAGTCGTTGCTGAAGGCTCTTGCCTGGCCTCAAATGTGGGGCAGATCCCTTTAGTGCAAGTTTGTTCAGAGTTAAACGTGTGGACTCAGTCGCCGCAGTAGGAGGCACAGGCATCCGAGAGCGACTAGAGAGGACAGAGGAAGACCGCAAGGCAATAGGTACTTTCAAGTTGGATATATGCGCGCTGTTTCTAGGTTCATCCTCAGCAGATTCATGTCCAGAGCTAGAGAGACCGTCAGAAGGGTAATGCGAAGCGGATATCAGGGACTGGTTTGCTTGAGGTGCCCTAGCGTGCATGACAAACGAGTCTCTAGAAGGGTCCAAGAAATTATATGGTTGTGCAAAAGAAGTTTCGTCGGGGAAGCCAGATGCATTTGAAGTTATCGTTTGACCAGGAACGAAGCCAGAATTTCCCTGACGTTTGAACGAGAACTGGCTCTGCAGGAGGCGAGATTGGACCGGGGACCCGTCATCCAATACTTGCGGAGTCATTTAATGACAAGAAAGGCGTCGGATACCAAGAAGAGACAAGATATCTACGAACTAGACAGTAATCAAACCGAGCCTGGTGAACAGACGATGGAAGTCAGGAAGAAACACGGTCACATGCAAGACGCATCTTGCACCTCTCGCGTCGCGACGCGATCGACGAAGATCGAAGTGGAAATTTGCATCGACCTGCCCTAAACCTCTCCTCTATAAATTGGCGACCTCGACATCGTTGTTTCCTTAGAACATACTCAGCTAGGATCTATTTTATAGTTTCTAACTCGAGTCTCGCATGTTTACACATGCCACACCTTTCAAATTCAGTCGATGACAATCGCACTCACCCGTCATACCGAGAACATGGCCGGCAGCTTTTTGGCTTGCAGGTCTCGAGGACGTTTGGTTTCCTTCATGCTTGTGCTGCTTTGCAGTCGGCGAGAAGTTAGCCAGCGGGTTGAGTGTTCGTCTGATGGATTACTCCGTTGTACAATTTTGTGAATCGTTTAGCATAACTAATATCAATACATGGTCTCTTGCTCTGCTTATGCTTTGAATGAATTCAAAAGGGGGTCCGAGTGAGCACTTCGGAAATGTGTTATGCAACTGTGGATGTATGAATCTGTATCTGTGCTTGCGGCAGTCGTTGGGCTCGTATCGAGTGATATGACGGGGTATGCTATGAGTATGGCACTAGCGATACATGTATGGTGCTAGTCTGTCAACTTGCGGGGAGTACATCCAACAAAGTACGCACTGTTCTCCCGAAGACTCCTGTGCTTACTTACCAGGTAAGGAACTGTGTCTACAGGGCGTACTAGCAGAACTTCGTATCTTTGTATTACAAAATGCACAGAGAATACGACACAAAATAGACCAAAAGATGAAGCAACTCGAATACGAAATCAAAAATGAATGAACAGTGAAAAGAGCAGGATGCAAATGAAAAATGCAGCAAAAGATTAGGATATCGAAGGGGATGTAAAGTGAATGGTATCATGACGCATCGTGACGTGGAGGATGGGCAGTGCAGAGTGCGGTGAGTAGATGCGAAAATAGATAGGATCGTTGGTATCGCGTTTAGATACGATGTTGCGGGTCGTGAGGAAGCGTCCAGGTCATGCGTGAGGTGTAATGTAACGTGCAGCGGGATAGATGCGAGCAATGCGACGGGTTTTGATTATACAACAAGGGCTGGGTCAAAGCCAGCGTGTACGAAGCAGTCGATAGGAGAACAAGAGTGGTCATGAGCCAGATCATGAGAAAAAAAGTAGGTAGAGCGCTATGGTCATAGCGGCAGGCTTTCGTTCTTTTCTCGAATTAGGACCTCGAGCTCCCTTTGCAAGGCCTCCCTAGTTCCCGACCGCGACGGCATATGGATCCTGCCTCGCCATTCCTTCACCCACGCCCATCGAGAAGCTTTCTCATCACCGGTCTCGGCCTGAGAAATTGGCGCGCCCTCAACAGATGATGATATCCATAGACGCAAATAGTTGCGTCCTAGGATTGGCGCTAGCGAGAGGAATGTAAGGAAGACCAGTTTCATGATGATATCCGGGGAAGTCAAGAGTGACTGCACGGACTTCGGCGTCGGTGATGGGTTGGACGCCACGGATTGCAAAATGTCTCCAATTTGGCAAGTGACTGCGGTCCATGGTAAGGCCCCGATGAAGGTACCCTTGACACAGTCCATGACGGAAACGCCACAAACACCGCAGGCAATGTTGATGCCTGACCAGGGTATGATGCCGATGAGTCGCAGGATGGAGAGACGAACCCAAGGTGAGGATTTCGCTACCGAAGTAGCATCAGTTATCTCTGAGTCCGAGTTTCCTTCAATAGCATTGCGAGTCATGGTAAGCGCGCGGGGAAACACGCTGCTGAGGAACGGTGCTAATGGGGCAGACAGAAGGCTTGCGAACACAGAACCAATTGTAGTGAGGGCGGTAAGAAGCAGAGTAGCATAAGCGGGCGAGAAAAGCGCGCCGGCCAGCACATTCTGCAAACGGCACATCAGACGGCATACGCTCTGGGCGAATACCGGAACATACCCAAATGACACTGCCAGGTATTGACCAGGCATGCTTCCATACGGCGGTAACAGACATCACGGCAAGTACGTGTGCCATAGGAAGAGGCCCGCTTTGCGAATATCCATGTAATTCCCTGCCCAATTGGGCGAGGTCGGTCAAGTTCTTCGGCCACGAGACTGTGATGGGCAGCGTTGACATGCAGTACAACACTAAAGCCGCGGAAAGTGGGAAGAGAATGATTACAAAGAGGACTGGAGCATGCACCTGGGCAACACTGAAATCAGCTAACAGTCACACGATATATGACGGACACGAACAGAAGTAGATCCTTGTCGCCTTGATGGGGCAGCAATGGGTTTTTTGGGGAATGCATCTGCAAACGAGGCTCGAATGGGCGACGAGACTGGAAGTAGGGTATCATCAGAGCTGGTGCTTGTCCGACTACTGAGTCGCGGTGAGGACGGTGTATCAAGGGCGGTGACGTCCTTGTGTGACATATGAAGTAAATCCAAGCAACGGGACAGCAGTATGGAGAGCATGGAGTCTGACGTAGACTTGGCTAATGGTGCAGGGATAGAGAGAGAGAGGGCAGGGACATTCCTGTCCGTAGCTGGACTCTGGACTCTTGGAGGAGTGTGAGAAGGCGAGCCCGTCGGAGGAGGCAAGTCCAACAAGGAATTTGACCTGCGGCGTCCCAAGCTGCTGAGGGTAAGAGGCGGACAAACGTTTGTTGAGGAAGCGCGATGGCGAGTATACTGGGGAGGAGCAAGACAGGCCATCTAATATGCTTCTGCAGCTTGGGACGTAGGGATGCGTAGGGAGGCTGAGACCCGTCTGTTTTCAAAGGCGGACTTCGGCTGATCCCAACCTTTACCTAAGACAAAACGCGTAACAGACGTAATTGCCGCTTCCTATCTCAGACGCTCGGCCCGTCTGCCCCCTTCGTCAGCCGTTCTGCTTTGCAAGCTACCGTCTCCCTCCGAGCGGACAACTTGGGTAACATCTCCTATTCCATTCATATTGCGAAAGTGGGTCAGACCTCTCAAAACGCTTACGCAGCGAAAAGAGCTCATGGGTAAATGCTACTGCGGTAGTAGTGGAACTGCCCACGGTCATTGATGTACATCATGAACAACCCAGACGCAACCAAAGTCCACAACGACAGCGCAGTTTGCTCAGTAGGCACCGGGATAATCATCCATTGTTGGTGTCGCTCAGATCATAGCTAAAACCGCAGCTAAAATGGAGATAAATCCAAAGAAGTGTGCATCTCCAATTTGCGCCAAGTCCTGTCATGCTGCTGGTACTGCATTCAAATAGAGCGCATAGAGTTACAAAAAATCGCATAGCATCATGGTGCATGAAGTCGCCTAAGGAAAACGAACAGCCGTCGAGACCCGACCAGAGTACTCCTCTCGATCTCCCCTCGAGTCAAACAACTTTTAGTGACCTGCCCTTCTGCTCTCCTGGATGATATTGCCAAGCTCCTCGAGCTTACGCTTTGAGCGCAGGAGAGTGCCCAACTAAATAATTTAAATGAGTGTAAGACCGGTAACTTTTGAGTCATGGTAACAATAGAACGTACCCGCTTCTTTGTGAGCTTACGTGCTTTCTTGTCCTATTGAAAGACAGGCAAAATCAGAAAGAGAACATGAAAATGACCGATCATAACGCACCTTGGAGTTCCTCAACAACTCCATAACTCGTCGCTCATAGGGCGAGAATCCAGCAACCTCCCGGACGACAGAGCGCACGAACTTCGTGCGTTGAGATTGGATGCCCTTGCGCTGGCTAGGGCGAACAGTCTTGGGGATGGGAGTGGTGGGGTGGCCCTTGTTGAGACCGTGACGGAGATCTGTGAAGTGTACCAGCAAAGGTTCAGCAAGAAATTGAGCCTACAATATCAGCATCCTACTCACTTGAGCGAACCATTTTTGCTTGAGTCTTGAGGGGGCCGTTCCTTGCGAGCTCCTTGTCGATGTTCTGCCTCTGGAAACTGATACGAAACACGTGATAGATCTGGTGGCTTGCACCTGTATAGTTTTGGGAACTTAAAGTTCTGACATAAGCGGAAGCGATTAGATTAGAGACTTCATCTAAACCCTAACCCAGATATTCAGCCTTAGACTTCTGAAAGCTTGTCAGCGTTCGCCGTTGGGTGTAGGTTCGTGTCTATGATAGTTATTTACGAAAAAAGTAGATATTAAATATACATCATTGCATCTAGTTTAGCACACCTGGGTTGTTGCAGCTGGTGTAACCCACTGTCGCATCACCTTCACTCTAGAAGCAACAGGGAGCTTCACAGGAAGACTAGAGATATCAATAGACTGCAATATCTCCGCAGGTCGCAAAGACGCTTTTGACGCTCCTGGTACTGGAGGCTGCGGTGCGGAATGGGCATGTCTAGTTGACCGCCCTTGACTCACCCTGGAATCTTCCTCCTCCTCTTCTTCCTCCGATTCCTCTTCGTCATCTTCACCAACATCCTATCAAACCAATGGTCAACATCGCACAAAAAAAGTTGGAGATGAGAATAATACCGGATCAAAGTCTTCCATGGGTCGATCTTCATCGCCCTCAGCCTCCTCTTCATCAAAGTCTTCATCAGCATCGTCGTACCAACGCCCACGCCAATCAACCATGTCCAATTCTTCGGGGTCTTCCGGTCGCAGCCTCATCCACTGCATTCTCGGACCGCATTTGGCTTTTTCATTGACTTTGAATCCGTATATCTTCGGTTGATAAACCCGTCCAGCTGCTCGCCGCTTTCCTCCATGAGGATTCGGGTTCACGAACTTCTCGGAAGAGCGAGAGGAGGAACTGCCTGAGCCAGAAGACGGCGCAGACGATGAAGATGACCCTGCAGACGAGGGCTTCCAGAACGGCGCCGGCGCCAGCTCACGGTAACTTTGAAAGAAGAGATGTGCAAAGGTGGTTCCAAAGAATGCACCTAGACAACACGAATATAGCACGCATTCTAAGCGTCAGAATAAAGAGACATACCGTCTACACCCTGGAAACGACTGCTCGGGGGTGTGTAAATATCATTGCAGTTGGGACAGAATAGTTTCACTGTATCGAGTCCTGGCAGGTCGGACCTTCCACAGGGCACGACGTGGGTCATGCTACAATATACGCGAGGGCATGCTCCAAATACACCTGCTTCGTATTTCTCGATCTAAAGCCGCCAACATCTTGAATAATGTACGCGAACGAAACGTAGAAGTTATCGAACGCACCATGGCTTGCAAACCTGCACGAGTAAGTATAAATCTTTGATGAACAAGGCCGTAGAGTAGTTCTGCCGATGCCTCTACAATAGATACGTCCGGAATTTTCGAAGTGTCCTCATCTTATACACACGCTGTAACATAAGTATCAGGGATTCCACAGGCGATATATGACACGTACCTGGTTCAACATCTAGCACCATCTCCATGGCTTCCTTCCAGAAGGGTACCATAGCATTTAGCCCAGTGAGGTTGAAGTCATCTTCAATGAAATCTTCGGCAACTTCACAGAAGTATTCATGGCCCGGTAACGAACAAAACCAGCTAATCCATGTCAATGTGGATGTAGGTGTGGAAGAGCCTGTAGTACCAGATACCACGTCAGAAAGACTGCTGAGCACAGAACTCGGCGTCCGACAGATGGCCACAGATAGAGCTACTCGACGGACATACTGTATTCTCCTTCCTGAGCCTGTGCGTCCTCCATTATCTCGTCTCCCTCGCCCACACCTCCAGTAACCTCTTCTTCCTCAACTTCTACGCCAATTGGCTCGATATTTGCAGGAGGTTGCGAGCGACGAGACATAGTAGAAGTTAGACGAGATTCAACCCTTGTCATCGCCTGTGTCCACACTGAATGGGCGCCACAGGCCACGAGGCTCGCAACCTCCTAAAAGGGAATGTGCTGAGGATGAACATTCGATCGGGGCTTCGAGATGGGTCTCTCGTTGGATATATCGTGGAATAACAGTGATTCCACCGTCGTGAAACGCTGTGAAAGGTTGACATCGTTCTTGAGATTCCGCATGAGCTCAAAACGCAGATGATCACAGTAAATACAGGCTTTTCAACCAAACTAGCCTGAAGATGTAGTCAAGAAAAAGATGTAGTCGACCTAGTACCATAGTTTTGCCAAATCACAGTGATATTTCATACCGATATGCTCAACCTCAGTGGCACCTCCGAATGCACAGGAGACATATGACGCTTTCGCGGGAGACGTTACCAATAACTGTCATGCTGTATGAGTCGTCAGGATCAAAGCTTGACATAAAAATGATGATTGGGCAGAAGCAGTTTATTTCATTTGGACTAGGTACCGAACATAAGGCTAGAATATGGAGAGAAAATGATTTGTGGCAGAGAAAAGATGTTAGAAGGAGCGAAGCTCGCATCCCAAAGGCCACAGTTGTAGCCGGGTGATGAGAGCATTATAACCATCATCTTCAAGAGAAGAGGACTCTCCGGTCCTGCCATTTAGCAGCTCAACGTACGGAAAGCTGATCGAGTGCCTGGGTAGATATGGACCGTGAATGTAAGATGGAGGTTTGTTTTCTACGCGTCTGCTTGCTGAAATATGCACGGTTCAGGGCAGGCTGATCGGTACCGATTCGATGCGTTATACTATCGGCACCGATCGGCTAGGGAATTCTGCTTGGGATCCGCTGCACTTGCGGTCAACGTCTGGTCTAAAGGGGGGTGCACCTTGAAACACGCCCATGATGACATGAGTTGCCGGAACAGCTCATATACGCCTCCAGAATCACCATATGCATACTCCCCATCTCTCTTTCTCCTAGTCTCAACCGACCCCCATGCCTCCCACATCTGCCATTCCTGGCTTTTACTGGGTGGTATTCGGCTGGTATGAGCCTTTGCTTACGTTGTTGGGATTTATAGGTGCCATACTTTACCCAAAGGAGGCCAGTTTCTCTCCATTACATATCCACTACTGGAGGGACTGACAACACTATAGGCCCACGACCAACAAGCACCATGGCAGACGGAACAGTCGACTGCAAACACTCTACCGTTACCGACTCTTATCACTACCATGCAGTTGGCCAGCGTGGTCGGGCTCCTCGGCCTCATCAACTGCTTTGTGCTTTGGACGGCTCGCAGATACCTATTTGGACAACCAGCTATCCAAGAAAAGGTCGTTTCAGCCTTACTCACACCGCTTTTGATCGGAGACATCCTTCATCTTTCAGTCACATTGTGGGCGTTGGGAGACGACAGATGGAATATTAGGGCATGGAGGAATTCGGGAACTTTGTGGGTAACCATATCCACAGGAATATCTCTCCTAGTACCACGCATCGCATGGCATTTGGGAATCGGACGCTATGTGGACAGTCGAGACAGGCAGACGGACAGACAGAGAAAATGATCCGTAATATTATGTTATTCACATATATTTGAATATTTCAAGCTTGGCGGGAGCAGCCTGCAATAGATAGTTAGCTCGTGCAACTAATCATGACTACTTGAATGCTCGTCATATTAGATCAAGGAAAGGTCACTGGGCATCCATTGTACTGCATGATGCATTGAACAAGGTTCCCTCCAACCACGTTTTATTTTCATCCGAGCGAAACGGACAGGTCAGACGCACACTCACTAGTATTAATTCCATTCTTAGACTCGTGGACCCTGTCTCTTCGGCGCGTTAAACTTGACCGGCGACGTCGGAGTGCGATTCTCCATTTTCAATTCTGCGGCACGAACGACTCGCGGGCGTCTGGAATCCCAGTAATCCAACACCCAGGTTTGGAGCAAACCAAAAGTAGCGGAAGTGATCCAGTAAAGTTGAATGCTCTGCGAGGAGAAATGAGCTTTACAAAAGCCAAGAACGCGACGACCACATACACCGGGAACCATAGCAGCGATGAGAATACGCGCAACGGATAATAACCTCATCGAAGATTGCAATATTTTCTTCGGTTCAACGACCGTATGTCCTTTGGCACGCCTCTCGGCGGTCCATTTGGCGACCTTACGCTCTCGTTCCAGTGCTTCAGTACTAATAAACCATCGCGACGACTCCACATTAGCCAATGTGATTAAGCCCAAGACTATTGGCAGAGTGAGCGTCGGATCGGAATGAGACAGAGAAGTGAGGGTCAGGAATGATTCCGAGTCAAAGACAGTTGGGTATTGAGACATTCTTGAGAGAAGCATAGATGTCCCGACGAAGAGGGGTAACTGCGAAACCATGGGTATGAGCATAGTCGGTTTTGGAGAGCAGTGATGCTGAGCGAAGAGCTCTTTTTGTCTGCCTGTTAGCTAATAGAGCGTTGAGTTGTGAGATTGTGACTGCAACCTCAGGAGAAGAAACGAACTGTGGGCCTCAGTCTCTTCTCAAACTCCATCCGTGCCTCATCTTCATTCCCTCGGAAGCGGTCCTTATGCATATTGTCCATGACCTGCTTGTAAAGTCGCGGCTTTTCCTCTTGAAGTTGAGGAATAACAACATCCTCGGCTCGCCATTGACGTTTCTTTGCCTATACGACGATGAGCAAGCCACAACAAGGTCCTTGACGAATATGCGCACCCATATTGAGAATGGTACTGTGAATAGTAAACGAGAAACCACAGTAACCAGAATGATAGTTCCAGAATAGGGCGGGAGCGACTGTGGATAGGGTATCGCAATTGCCAAGTCTAGGAAGCCTTCGGACAAGGTCTGCAATGCAGAAGACACAAAAGTCCTGCGTTGATTCCCTCGTAAGGCATTGGCATGACGAGTAACTACTCGAGAGGCAGGAGGACGGCGTTGAAGGAGGTGCCGACAGGATGTGGAAGCCAACATGAGCGAAGCAAGCACTTATAGGCGCCAAATGCGCTAGCATTTCGATCATAATTGATGTCGAAAACTACTTCACAGCGCAAATCTTAGCTTACAGGACGCAAAGTCGCTATGTTGACTCTGGAGCGGTTTCTTGGTGCGTGTAGCAGAAGCAATGTACATAATGCAAAAGTATGCGAAGTGGCGTGCGATATCATGGAGGTGCTACGCGGCATATCGTAAGTCATAGAAAAAGCCCATCTCATCACCAGAATATCCGCCCCTCCCCGCGCAAGCCATCCAGCAAGAAGTCAATCAGAACACCAACTGGTGGGGGAACTGGCCCTTCGACAAACCCCAGGTCGCCTTCAGGTACTTGGACAAGTTCTCGGTCTTCTTGACAGATGCGATGATTGCGTTGTCAACAGCCTTTTGGTCAGCAGACTTGGATTCGGGGAAGGCTTCCTTCGTTTTGGGCTTGCCCTCGGCGAAGAACTCCTCCTCAGCCGATCGCGAACCCTTCGAAGAGGGCTTAGCGAAGTAAACATCGTTAAATTTCTCATCGACCTAAGCAAGCCTGTAAGACCGAGAAAACAAGATCCAATACAGCAACTGTACCTTGAAGTCTCCGAGGTCGACCTTGGTAGAAGTAGCAATAACGTAGGCCTGGCTTACCCGACGAAGGGGAACACCATTGACCTTGAAAGGACCAGTGACCAAAAGAAGGCCACTCTCGAGCGGCTTCAAGAAAACAACTCGCTTTCCACGGAAACGACCTGCCAAGAGAATGAGGACGGTGCCGGGGGTAATGGAGGAACGAAGTGTGGAGGGTTTGGGTGCTTTGCGGGATTTCTTGGGCTGTCTGACATCCTCAGCGGGGTAGAAACGAGATGCCTTTGCGGTAGGAACAAGACGCTTTCCGCCGTTCTTCTCTCCTCCGACCTGAACCTCCTTCACGGCAGCAACCTCTGCTTCTGGTGCTTTCTCAGTTTTTTTCTGCCCCTTGAAGAGCCCTCGGCGGGCGAAGACTTGCGAACGAGAGAGGCGTCCGACGCCGGGAGCGAGTTCCTTGCTGCGGGCCATCTGCAAAGGTGAAGAATAAGTAAACAGGAAGCAATCCTCTTGTCTGCCCAGAAGTGCATCCAAAGTCGATCGGTCCCATCCAGCCTCATAATCTTAGATCCATCATTATTTCCACTTGGACCGCGACGATAACCTCCCTATGCACCTCCGTCAGCAATTCGGCAAGGAAATCCGCTCACTGTGTGGTCTTGAGGGTCGCCCGAGTGTTGCTGCGTTATGTGGATAGCTTGCCCGCCGTACTGCCAGACCTGCGTGACCAGTCTCCTACGGCTCACTTTCCATAATAAGGTCGTGAGAATTATGTTCAAATTAGGCAACATTACTGCATTTGTGCATTTTGTCCGATCATGTACGAGATTGGTGAAGCCACTGCAGCTTTGGAGTCGTTGTTCTCCACTCTCATTCAAAGTGTCCCGGATCTTATACCCGCGCTCGCACAGACATGGCTGTCGCCTCATCTGAAGGCAATTCTTGCTTCCTATAATACTATGTACATTTCGTGACTAAGCTGAGATATTCTGTGCAGCTTCAGATGATCGTTTCGTCGTCTGGTTAGACATTGACAATACGCTATACTCCGCCAATTCAAAGATCTCGGTGGAGATGGGGAAACGCATTCATGGTCTTTGATATTTTCCTCTCTGCATAAAAAATTCGCTAATACATTTTGGTGAATAGCATACTTTGTAGAGCTCGGCTGGTCCGATGAAGAAGCCTCTGAGCTTCACCACAAGTACTACACGCAGTATGGCCTCGCGTTGCGCGGACTTGTCAGGCATCATGATGTCGGTGAGGTATCGCTAGTCCAGGAACTACCTGCATAGACATCATCGTACTGAAGGATCATACTTTACTATAGACCCTTTAGACTTCGATCGCAAGTGCGATGGGTCCCTACCATTGGAGGATATGATCAAGCCAAATTCTGAGTTGAGAAAGTTACTGGAAGATATTGATCGGAGCAAAGCTCGAGTATGGGGTTTGACTAACGCGTATCGAAACGTAAGTTGATTCCATTATGCTGGCTTCCTTTCGGTCATGGATTGTTTTGATCTCTAGCACGCTTACCGGGTCCTACGCATACTGGGTGTTGAGGATCTTATTGAGGGCGTAGTCTACTGTGACTATGGAGACCCCCACTTCTCATGCAAACCGGAACCCCAATTCTTCCACAATGTGAGTTTATTCTTCATGCATTTTACCCACTTCTTATACAAGTTGTCTTAGGCGATGGGACTGGCAGGCATATCTGATCCGTCGAAATGTTATTTCGTTGATGATAGTCGGGCTAATGTACAGGCAGCCTGGCGACTTGGATGGGGTAGATGCGTGCATTTCTGCGAACGGGGACTCGAAATCATGGAAGGCGGGAAGTTCAAGGAGATAATACCCAATGAAGAGCTTCCACGCGACATCGAGGAGATCACTCACCTGGAAGAGCTAAGAAGGGTCTGGGCAGATATCTTTAAACAACGTTAAAATACCCCACCTTATACCTTCGACTACTGAAACGTACACATGTCACCCTTCTCGACTGTGCAGTCTTTGTAAATCGAGTCCAAAACGTTCATAGGTACCACAAACAATAAAATAGTTCGTAGATGGTTACATACCGTGTGGACTGTAAGCGTCAAATTCAGGTACCAAATAGGTACACACGCGTCACGACGCGTCAATTGGCGACGCGTTCTGATTCTAACACTCATTACTATCCCTCCGTTCGCCTCATCATTCTCTAACGGTTCACCCAATTCCAACTTATTATGTCGAATGTGCGACAAAGAACTGTTATCAAGGTTTGCAAAATCCGTTATCGTTTAGGCGGTTTATCGACAGTGTATAGGTTTTCCGAAAGTACAGTCATTCTCTTGGACCAGAGGCCCTTGAGTATCTAGAAGACATTCTAGACTCCCATGAAATTCCCGACCATGATGTTGAATATGCTATTGAATGGATTGCGAAGGAATACAACAAACAGGACGGTACGTCACTGATCATTTTAGACTGAGCCTTCTGCCTTATCACTACATAACATTAGATGCGCCTATGAAGGTCTCATTAGAAGTGTTAAAGCGCGTGTACGAAGTTTTTCAAAATGCCGACAATGGTGACGACGAAGGAGCTGATGTAGTGGATCCCGAGAGTCATCTATTCTATATCGACGCTTTCAGCATGCCGCTGTGGAATTGGTCCCAGGAGAAGAGTGCTTTCGAGCAGTATGTGAAAAACAAGTTTCTATTCTTCTGAAGTACTTACGGATATTACAGGTCGTCATCCATTCCCACTGTATCAGGTTCCGCCGATTCGCGCGTGATGGCAATGCGAAATAGGCTGAACGTCATCAAACAAACTGTGCTCAGAAATGATCATTTCTCTCCCTCGACACTCCCCTCGCGAGATCGGGAACACTTGTTGACCGTAAGTCTGCAGTTGCATTGTTTGAAGCACGTTGCCCAACTGAGGTTCTCAGCTCAGGTCAACGAAACAACTTCTGGGGCGTGCAGGAGAGCGGTTTCTGCTATTTGGTATGCTAGCACATTCAAAAGAGGGAAAACTTTGTCTTGAAGATGAAGATGGTCGCGTCGAGCTGGATTTCAGTCAGCTGGTGGGTATTAGCGTTCTGTTGGCTCTCTTATGTAACGCTCACGTTATGTTAGGACCAACCAAGCGAAGGTCTCTTCACAGAAGGTTGCTTTGCGTTAATCGAAGGTGACTACACGGAGGACGCTACTCTCGTTGTGATTGCCATAGGCCATCCTCCATGCGAAAGCCGCGATACGGCACGTTCAATATACGGTCATGTCGACTTTCTGGGACAAGGCGCGACCACGCTGCTTGAAGATGTAAGGTCGCTGAGTATGATTTGACGAAATTGCACTTACCGTTTTGCAGGCTCAATTGTCTGAGCGAGTGCGAGTGGACTTAGCCGACCTCAGATTCTTCGTTCTTTCCGATGTTTGGCTCGACATGCCGGAAACGTTCATCGGGATCCGCAAGATGTTTGATCACTGCGTCGAGAATGTCTTCATTCCCAAGGTCATCGTCCTATGTGGTAACTTCACGAGTCATGGCATAGCCCAAGGCAATAGCAGAGAAATTCGAAGATACCAAGGTGGTTTCATAGCTTCTTTTGAGAATGGAACGCTAATGTGCGACGGACTCCTTCATTTTCAGAAAGCTTCGACGCATTGGCTGACCTTACATCCTCATACCCTGCAATTGCTCGTTATACACATTTCGTCTTCGTTCCAGGACCTCTTGATATCACAGCGAATTCTGTGCTACCTCGGCGGCCATTATTATCGACATTTGTGTCGAGGCTAAAGTCTAGAGTCCCCAAAGTTCATTTTGCCACAAATCCTTGTCGCCTCAAATTCTTCGACCAAGAAATTGTCATCTTTCGAGAAGACCTGATGGCTCGGATGCTCCGCAATCTAGTAGGGGTGAAACCCGACGTTAGGAATGACGACTTGAAACGATACGTAAGTATACTGGCATTCATATACACTCTTTACTAATACAAGTAATCATTGCAGCTGGTCCAGACATTGTTAGACCAAAGTCATCTAGTACCACTCACGACATCGATACAACCGGTCCTGTCGGATTACGATCATGCTTTGCGCCTATATCCATTACCGACTACTGTAAGCAGGCGTTTCGCTTTGCTTTCCTTGGTTCTTTGTATAGACTCAACCTGTTTCCAGGTTGTGTTAGCCGATAGATATGACAGGTACCAAATGACCTACGAAGGCTGTCATGTTTTCAACCCGGGAAGCTTCATCGGTAACTCATTTGGGTTCTCCGCCTATATTCCTTCACGGAGAGAGTCGGAGGAATGGTGCGTCGATCTTTCTTCCAACTTTGCCGAATTGATCTCGATTGTGTTCGGATTTAGCGTCTTGGGTATGCATGGGGAGGACGAGTATTGAGCAAACGTATTCTTGCGTAGTCATGTATCGTAGATGAAACACAACACATTTTTGTGCTTCGCATCTCTATTTTCGAGGAGTGTACTAATTATAAGTACTCATCTTGAAGTTGCTTTATATGGGCGCCTGTGGAGAGTGGCAGAGCTTCGCCTCGCCCATGCCGCCGACGCGCTGTGTGCGTCTACCTTCCACCAGCACCGGATTGAAACTTGTTGCCACGATATATGCCTGCAGCCAACCCCAACGCCAGCAGTTGCAGTAGTGCGGACAGTCACCTACACCACGTCCATGACCAGAGGCTGCCCGTTCTGAACTTCTACTCACATTCACCCTGATCGACGTTCACCCGCTAGTTCTCTCATCCATACCTGTTTGGCAACGATGTCTTCCAATTCCGCTTTCTCTACTATCTCATTCATTTGTAAGACGTTCTTTGTCCTATCTCCGGATAGCTCTGCTTGGAATTCTGTGCTAGTCTGGTTATTGCGTTTGATAACAATTTCCTTCTTGTTCAGAACGTTCTTGGGCCCAACTATCCTACGCCTCATCAGCAAACGCCTTCAAGTTCGTAGTGTCAGTCTGCGCTCAATTCGTGGAATCTACTTCCATGCAGGAAGTGCAATTATACGTCTGGATCGTATCGGTCTCTCGTACCATCGGCGTTCGACACTGACAGCTAGTCGTTTTTCAATCAAAGTTGAAGGTCTCAAAGTAGAGCTCCTACGAAAACAAAGATGTGTATCATCACAGACTACTTCTCCGGCTGAATATGGAAAGACCACAACACTCGCTCAACTCAATCCTTCGCCTATGATGCGTCGCTCATGGTCCTTTATTTGTTCTGCCCTCACAATGATATATTCTCTGGTGGAACCCTACGTACGGCCCGCTGTGCGAACCTTTATGGTCTCCACTCTACGTATGGGTATCCGTGCACTACCTGCCTTGACGCAAGTCCTTGATCTCGAGCTGAGTTCAGCTACTGTCACTCTAGATAGTGTGGTTGGTGCCGAACTTAGTTTGCAAAGGGCGACGTTAAGCAGTAACGTCAAACTTTCGCAAATTAGCTTGCCTTCGAGATCTCAGGAGAAGGAGATTGGCGAGAAAGCAGGACACAAACGCTTTGGAAGTGTGATTCAATGGAATGCACGGTTGAAGAACAGTTTGCGGCGAAGTTGGGATCGTGCATGGGGTACGACTGAAGTCCAAGCCTCTGTTGCTTTGACTATGGAGAACTTGTTAAGCCAAGCTTCACGTTCGCTTGTGGCTACATTGAAGATCACTCCTCCTGGTACGTACAATACACTTATAGACAGCTCAATGTTCACATAGTTTTAGCCGAGGAACAGATGGTGTTCTGCAAGATTCCGAGCTTGACACTTGACATGTCTGCCCGTCTGGATCCCCACCAAGGCATTCATCAACATACTCTGGAGCTTGCGTTGGGCTTAGACACTATCATGATTGACTACTTTGTCCTGGATCGAGTGTTGCAAGTGCTGAAGACCAATGAAATGGTCAATCCCGGTTTCGCGGCCCCTGCCCGTGTACTCGGCTCTCCGCGCTCTCCTAGGGTTGCATGGGCGTCCTCCATATCTGGGAATTCGCCTCTCATGGGTGTCCTCTCTGTACGCTCGCAATGTAACAATTGACTCAGTCCGCTGATATCGTATTGTCCAGGCATCGATGCGATTTCGTCGGAATCTCAAGAAACCCCCGGTGCGTAAGCTGGATACTCGTGCGATTGTGGTATGTCAGCCAGCATTGTCAGTGAGTGCCGATCCTGACAATTCCTACAGTCAAAACTGTCATCTCTCAAATCGGTTCAACTCAATGTAACTCAAATTACGATCAAGCATCGCGCAGAAATAGGCCCTGATCGTAATACTGCTACGCTTGACATGACGCTCCGTCGAGTCAACATCAACGCTGCTTTGAGTCATCCCGATCGTAATCCATTGCATCGCGAGTGGTTGGGTCGAAACGCAGCTCCAGGAGACCCTTTGAGCGCCAATGTGTATGCCTTCGGGTTGTCAATTCGTGAAATAACGCTAGATCGGATTGGTTCTGGTGCAGTCTCTGATCACCTGCGGCTAGTTGGCCTAGGACCGTTGACCGTCGAGGCTGTAGCATCACAGTGGCCTGCACCATGGCTTCGTGGTCCTACTTTCATGACCGGAGACCCTAATGCGCAAGTATTGCTCATCCAGGTTTCACTGGATAAAGTTGAAGTGACCGAGCGTCTCGAAGTACTGCAGGCCTTCCTCGAACGCAGGAAATCAACCAAGGTGCACCCTGGCACAAAGCCGTCGTTGCCAGAGATTTTATCGCCTGTCCCCAGAATCCAGCTTGGCATACATGTTGGTTCTGTTTGTGCCGGTCTGATTTCTCCAACGCCTGAAGTGAATGGCAAACCGTTCGCATTGGAGTTGCGCACCGATGGTTTTGTGTTGACTGCACAATCGCAGTTCTTCATGCTCCTCGATAATCAGTCTTCCAAGGAAATCAATGCACCGGATTATCCACGAATACGGATGGATTTCGGCTTCCACCTAGTTCTCCAGCGTACTTTCGTGACCACGAGGATGGGAGTCCATGCAGATTTCGAGGACCATATATTGGGAATATCAAGCCTTCCTGGAGAGCCAGTCTTTTCGTTGGACATTTTACAGATCATGAGTAACGGGCGGGCATTGGGCCATGCAGCCGAAGTCCCTGGTATCATTGTATTCATCAACACGTCTTCCATGTACATGCGGACACAAATATCTGCAGATGCGCTTTCCATAGAACTCTGGCAGCCAGACGCAATTGTTGCATTGACTGCGACAGCGCATGCGCTGACTGCGACGCCCTCGGAGCCAGCGCAAACTGCGAGCGGACCATTGCTTGACAGGATGCCTTCTGGTCTTGACGTATCTCTATCGGTCGCGCGGCTGATGCTCTACGTTACAGGAAAGGATCTCACCCCTGACGATGACCTTGGGATTTCTCGAGGACTGGCTACTCGCACTGGCTTATCTCTTCACTACTGCTCACTCACTGGACAGCATATTCAGCATATCAAACATCTTACGACTGAACGAGAAATTCGTCTGAAAATGTCCTTACCCGATGAACCGATATCAACAGCTTACAGTCGCACGACCACGCCTGGGTCAGATCCAGCCATGGTTGCAGTCTTTCTACAAGCTAAAGTGTGGAAGGTAGCCTTGCGAGATGCTGTGGCGACTCCGTTGGCCGCTGATGAACCTTATGGATTTGAAGATTCCGGCGTGCCTGACGGTACCAAGGAATACCTTACAATCCGCGAAATTGTTGTAGACGCAGCTATCAGTGGGTATCGTGACAAGGGCTTGCCTCGTAATGATACTGCAGCCCATTGTCATGCTGCAGTATCTGTGTCTAGCGTAAGAGGTGCTCTACAGCTTGCCCAGATATACAATATGCTGCTAGCAGCACATACTGTGAGCAGGATAGTCCCAACACAGACACGCGCCGAAGCACCATCGCCAAGAGTCGATACAATACACTTTTCACTCTCGTACTCTGTGGATCACGCACATCTGTTATGGGATTTCCCGCTCAAGAGCAGATTATATACACGAATGCGTTCAATCTCTGGCAAGATTACACCAGAAAAACATCATAGATTTTCTTGGAAGTCTGCGATATTGGCGACCACTGTTGATAGGGAGGAAGACGGGAAACCACGCGTGCGCTGGGAGGAAGTGGCTCGATTGCTCAATTTTACTGTCGACGTTCTGCCTGATGTCAAGCCTACTTCTATAGCCGTTGTCGGCGACAGTGCTCGTCTCCGCATTCCTTTCGGTTTTGTGCTCGCAGACTTTATACTCGACATCAACATCTCAATCAAGTGCGTAAAGCACCTCGTTCACATGGTGCCCTCAGGCCAGTACTCCAATCCACTCACCCCGGAAGCCGAGGAAGCGAAAGTGATGCCAGACTTGGTTATGAGGATTGGATGTTTATCCGCAGAGGCTGCTGACGAAGATCTTGAATCCCGATTGGCACTGATTTGGAGGGCCGGGTTCGAAGCGTCTCGTCTAAGACACGAACGGGAAGAGGCCTTCCGTGCCAAAGTTGCCACTATCCTAGCTGCCGAGAAACAGGAATCAGCATCTCGGGACCTGGAATCAGACTTCCAGTTCTCGTCGGAGCATACTATATCAATTGCTGAAGCTCGCGAACGTCTCGATCGTCTACATGCAGGCACATGGAAGTCACGTTTCCGTCAAGCTCATGTTCATCAGCAACGCCGTGAGCAGATGCAGACGAGGAAAACTGGAGGTACCGTGCCACTATATGGTGCAGATGAAGATGATATGGTCGTGGTCAGGGATCCATTACCTGTACCTCCCCTATTCCGGATTACTCTCGATCAGTTATCCTTAAGACTTACAGGGCCGTCCTTCCCATCAGAGGGTATTCCAGAGTTCCTATTCAACGAAGGGGGTGGACTCCCGCGCGATACTCAATATTCTCTCCTGGTTCCCATGCACCTCAGTTTCTCTGTATCGTCTCTCCGTGTGGCATATCGTGAATATCCGTTGCCTTTGCTGAACATTCCCCCGCATTCCAATGAGAATCGATTTAGCCTGGAATTCGACAGCGACGTCATTATCGCTGAGGAGATGGGAACGGCGCATTCTGTATATTGGGTCGACTGCGCTATCCTTCAACCCGATGTGGGTATTTACGGTGCCTCCCCACTCACAATACCAGTCCCAAAAACGATCATGCCTGTCAAGAGCTATGCAAAACCGGTAGTTCGGGTCACAACCGATAATGTATCTGATTTTGCCTGGGGTGTCAGTTACAGCCCTGCAACCCAGGATTTCATGCGTATTGTTGATACCCTATCCCATGCGCCTCGTGATCAGTCACCTCCAATCGGATTCTGGGATAAGGCGAGTTGATTTCTTTCTATGAGTACTTACCACTCATCTCTTCATGTAGTTGAGACTCATATTCCATTGGCGTCTTCGCGTTTACTTTGATCATGAGGTGCACCTGCACATGAAAGGTCGGCAAACTATATCCACTCTTTATGCCTCTCTCAACATTGTGCTTAGGTTCTCGTGATCCCCATGATCTACGTGGTTCCGGACCTGGTTTTGCATTATGCTGGAGAGGTCGGCCAAAGTTGCTCATTGGCCAACCGAATGAGCAAAAAGAACTCTTCCAGGTGCTTAGTGATTCCATGTTAATAACAGTCCCAAAGTGAGTATCTGTGCGCTTTCTTGGGATGTTAATACTGAGGATACCACTCACAGCATGGAGGAGTCATTTGGTGAAGCTTCAACCGCCGGTACGAGACCTGAGCCAGCGATGGCAGATCGCCCACAATATCATCTACCTGGAAAATCCCGAAAATACCGTAAAGTATGTGCAAAGTTCACGTCTGGCGTGCGCTTTGGCATCGGTATCGCTTTGGAGAGATCTTGTGGCCCAGAGTGTCTCACTTGTTCGGGACGACCGTTTCAGAGGAAATGCCGCTTTTTTAACTTCCGCCCCCACTATGAGGTTATGCTCGAACAGAAACCTAGTAGGCCGATCGAGAAGGCGAGTTTCTTTGTTGACATAGTCGCTAATTATCTTCTGACAATTCGTATAGTCCTTGGATGACTCGTACAATACCTTCCGATCAGACTTCATTCATCTTTCTTTGTCTCTCGCATCGTCTACCAGCACTGACCGCACACGCACCTTCAGCAGCATACATTTGTCTCCAAAATTGTTTGCGCATTTCTGGGCTTGGTGGACATTGTTTGATTTCAAGGCGCTTCCTATACGTCAGGGTGGACGTTACAATTACAAACGGCCTCTATCACCTAAATTCGGCCAGCATCTAGCCACAATCAAGTATCGCATTGTGCTTCCCAAGCTTTTCATCTCACACGCATACATGGATGAATCCAGCGATGCCTGGGTGGATGGCGTTACACCCTTCGTTGGGGTGAAAGCGATGATAGACACATTTCAGGCCGACATGCATCAGCGATCACAGGAAAGTACTATCACGACCCCGAACAGCAGCACGAAGACAGTGGAGCACAAGCCCTTCTATGCAGTTGAGGTCGTCATGAAGGGTTTGGAGCTGCGCGCTCTGCTTGCTATCTTCTCGGAGCCTTTGAAACAGCGTGTCCCTCTCGAGTCGTCTCCTCTTGGTAGTGCATATCGGACTCGCGAGAACATACCCGTCATTAAACCGGACTCTGTTTGGATCGATCTGGATGATTTCGTAGAAATCGACTGGTCGTCTGAGGGCATCCCTGTGTTGCACCTGCTTCCCGCCGTCTTTTGCCCTCGTTTCACGTATTTCAAGCGTGCCCAAGATAAAAATGTCTCTGGAGAACGAATCGATGTTACGAAGTTCGGAAACGAGAACACGCATGTTTGTCTGTTGGGGACAGAGTCCTGTACGTTTAAGTTTCATTCTCTGCTACGCTGCTCCAACTAAACCACATATCACAGCCGTCCCTGAAGTGCAGATCGACCTGGTTGAAAAGCGAATCTTAGAACTCAGGGAATTACTCATGAGAAATGGAAGAGAATCCGAGAAAGCTGGTATCGCGCAGGTCGGTCTTTCCGTGCCCTACCTTAACATGGCTTACTTACGTAGCAAATTAAGACGAACACTGACGCACGGAAGATGATCCCTCTACTTGAGAACTACGTGAAACACCTCCACAAGGTCGACGCTGCCACCCGGCGTACAAACAATCGACACAGTTATTATATGCCCTCTGACTCGGTCTCTCCTCAAGAGTGGTCCGAATTCAGCAACGTATACCAAGTACACAATCCTCAATTATTTATGGATAATATTATGCGCGATGTAAATGTCTCTATTGTTACCTGACTGCCATAAACTGACACCTTGAGACTCCACAGATATTATTACAATATTACTATTGCTCTCGTGCTAGGAAAGGGTTAGAGTACCATATGGCTAGCCGGTGAGTATGCTTTGCGCTGAAACGCTTGCAAGAATTTACGTCGGTTGTAGTGCTCTCAAATTCATACGTGATCAAGCGGACATGGCTATAGACGCAAGTAAGGCCAAGGCGGAGAAAGGTCGTGAGTCAGCCAGTAGTGCACATGCAGCGGCCATGGCAGTTCGCAGAATGTTCACCGGAGAAGGCGCATCAAGGGTCGAACGCGTACATGAGTCAGATTCTTTGGACAATATCGATCCCATGAGTGGTTGGTCCGAAGATGTTGCTCTGCAGAAGAGTCACTTCTGCCTCCTATTGAAACCGCAGATTGTTCTTCGAAGTGAAGCTGATTCAGAGGCTGTCTGTATCATGGCAGCTGTGCAAGGGAAATTGCAGTCATATGGTATACTGGACATCGCACATGCAGACGATCCTATCAGTGGCAACGTGATGACGAGGTGTGCCTTTATGATCTGAAAGCTACCAGAATATTTGTTAACTAGCTCATACAGAAACTTTGCATCTATCAACGGTTTGCAAACCTTCTCACCTTCTGCTACCAACAAGGGCGAGGGTTGCGTTCCGCTAGAAGTCCTTATCGACCTGCGCTGCGATAATTCCTTGTTCGATCGTCTTGTTCCTCAAACAGATGCAACCTTCCATTATGACAAATTCAATCGTTTGCGTATGCAGAGCAAGGTTATGTCCGTAGCCCGACCCAGCGATCGCACGGACCCAATGCATGACCATCTGCAAAATCAAACGGTACGTCGATCAGACCCTTTCTATTGGTCTGCATCTTGCTAATAGTCTGAAAATTACAGGATCTCATTCGCTTTCACGTTCCCCGCTTCACTATCTCGGCCAACGATCGTCATTTCCAAGCAATTTCGGACATTGTCACTAATCTCTTGTTGTTTTCTGACGCGGCAGCCAAGACTCGCTCTGACAGGCTAGACAAGATGATCTTCAGTTACGACTTCACAGACCTATCATCTGCCGCAGATGTCGTATCCAGTCTGCAGGTCCGTCTAAGAAACGCGGTCGAAATGAAGAAGGAGGCTGAATGGAAGTTGCAAGGCTTTGGCGAAGAGGGTGAAATTGAGAAGCTCAAGATCGAGGCCCATGTTTTGATGGTTGCGGAGGAGTTAGATTTGGTCTTCGATGCTATTAGACTCGCCCAGGAGAAAGCTGAGGATAGGGCGGGCCAAAAGTCTGCTCTCTTACTCCATGCATCGTCTTCGGAGATATCCTACCGAATGCTCGACCGGAAAGATCAACTCCTCGCGAAGCTTGCTGTCCGGGATATCGACTTCTATTGGCTGAACAGGCAGGATAGTTCAACCTTGAACAACCTGTCGGTTGGCGATTTGCAAGCGTTCGATGGCGCAGCAGATGCGGAGTGGACAGAGATTCTGTCAAAGTACGAGGAAAAATCAAATCATCCTTGTGTTAAGGTGAGTAGTTATGTAGATCAAATTGAGTCCGAATCTAACAATGTTTTGTATTGCAGCTTCTCGTTCAACAGAACCTCTTCTTGCTCGCTGATTGGACGGTCTTGCCACCTGTCGGAGGGATCACGATCTATGAGGCCTTCGAACTCACTTTGCATCCGATTCGTCTCCAGATTGACACTCGCGTCGGACGGAGAATCATGGAATACGTATGGCCTGCACGTAGGACCCGCAAGCAAGTCACCACTAATGAGGCGAGTCAGGAGACTCCAGCTTCCGACTCACCCACGTCTCCCAGACCTTTGATCTCTCCCAGACGTAATTCAGTCGATGCAGTCCCTGTCAGCCCCAGAAAGTCTCTGGATTCCAATCGTTTAGCTCCTCCGCCCATGCGTAGACTCAACACGTCAAGGTCATTCACTGATCTACGTAAAAGCGCTAGATCGGATACTTTGCAAGTTCCGAGACAACCACATAGGACACACTCTACTGATATGTTGTTTACTGCGGCGTCATCTGGTTCTTCTGGACAAGCTTCGAAGGGATCAGACGAGACCAAAGATAAGGTGGCGGTTTCTAGACGGGATATTGATGATGCCTCTGAGATGAAGTACCGATCGTCTCAAAAGACTTTTGTTTGGGTGAAGGTAGCTAGGTGAGCGGTGCTGATTCTGCACAGGGAGTAAGCTTTACTGACAACACTTTCCACCTTAGTCTCCATTTGTTGCTGAGTATCATGAAAGAGAACTCTTTCCTGTGCCGTGATGCTCGCATCCACACTCGTGATCTTGAGTATCGTAATCAGACTTGGAGTGTACGTCGTCTATTCCGTGCCTACCTTCCGGTTCCTAACGTGTGTCATCGGCAGTTCGAGGAACTGGTGGACCAGTTCATTCCCTCTGGCCGAAATTGGAAAGGCTGGCTCAAGATGGCATTCCAACAACCTTTAGTTCCAGTCTTACCGGTCGCTCGAGAGCTCATTTCCAAAACGAAATGGGGAGGAGCCAAAGCGCATCATCCAACAACACATCATCACCCGTCACCTGGCATTAGGCGCAAGGACACTCCAAAGCTTTTGCCCTTCTTCGGACATTCACGCGACAAAGGCAATGGCTCAGCACCTGAGAAGCAATCCGAGGGCGAGACACCAGAAGAAATATTAGACATTCCTTTCTCGACAGAGCCTGAACCAGTCACAGCGGTACCGATAGACGGACAAATAGACAAGGCGAAGACACCTCGAGCTCGCATGCTAAGCATGTTCAAACGGCATCATGGTCCTGCGAAGGTACGATCTAGTGTTGATTCTGATGTCTCTGTCACTGTATGTTTTTCTACCCCCTTGGAACGCGAATCTGTTGCTAACAATGTTTGATGTAGTCGACCTCTTCCATATCCACTACTCAATCTGCTCCACCGACACAGGCGGATAGTGAGAACTCTGACCCCAGCGAGGAAACCCTAGCATCTATATAATATAACTGCTTGTTATTTAAAGGTCCATCCAATATGATATTTCATTAGTCATGGAAAGGGACACATCTCCATTGCGGGGCCGGTCTATCATTAATCATGGCATGGGGATGAGGTCATGGGCGCTTGTTTGAAGTATCTGTAACGAATTGAAGGTTACATGCGGGGTGAACTGTGTTGCAGCTCCCTGCTCATGCCCTGCTAGTCTCTGCCCTTCCTTGGGCCATCCTTCCGTGCTGAATTGTTAAATATTTTCTTGTCAAATGCCTTCGATACGTGTAAAGAGGAGCTATGCCACCATTCACGACACCCTAAGCGATCAGGAATTGCTAGATCCAACTCGTCCGTCTCTCCCAGGACGGGCACGTTCTTGGACCAATATATTTGGTGGAAACTCTTCCGCTGTTCTTTCTAGTCCTCGGCCGTCAGCCCAACCACACACCAGACCGAGGTCCCATACTGTCAGCGGCGTACCTCCAAGCCAGGATGCGGCGGGTAATAGCAGTCTTAGGGTTCCGTCTAGGGTGCGGATGCATATCCTCAACCCAAGTCGGATGTCGGCTACCCCTCTTCAAGAACACACAGAACCCAGTTCGTTTATTCGACAAGTTCGACGCAGCCTCTCCTCGTCCCACCACAGTGACCGGTCGGACATGATCTCTCTAGAGGGATATAATGAGGATGTCCTGATACCCGAGGACCCTGGTCATGAGCCAGGACGTATAGGGCGTGCTCTCAGTATCTCCTCTAGTCAGCAGGATGATCCATTCGAGGAGCATCATCACGATGATATCGTAGAGCATTTGGATGTGATAGGTATGTATCTTTGGCCGTTTTCATGCCTCCTTGACAGTACTGAATGTCTTGCAGATCCTCAGATTGCGACGGTCTCTACACTTACAAATGCTGCCAATTCCATCGTCTTGTAAGCCGCCTCGTTTCCTCCTTTCCCTAGCAATAGTTAACATGTCTTCAACCAGCCCTCCCTTATCATTCTACTCCCGCAAGCCCGTCGTGGTTCTTCCCGAGACACCGCGGCTTCCTGCTACTGGGGCTGATGCTGAGAAAGGAGTTCAACCAAGTCAAGATAATCTTGACCGGCATGTGAAGGACGTCCTCACTAAACGGGATAAGTTCAGGCGGGTGATGCGGGGAGTATGGTCATATATGAAGACTCGTAAGTATACTATTTTTCTTTGTGTAGAATACTACTGACTGCTCGAAAATCAGCTATGGGGATTGTCGTTTCAATTTATGGCTTCCTCGTTGGTATGTTTCTTGTTTACGCTTCCCGTAGACTGGATGCAGCTGACGTTCGTTCAATCGGCAGTCTTCTGGGGTTGCGGCATTGTCTTCTTCTTGGCTAGGTTCATCAACTTTCACAACTCAAACACACAAGGTTTTTGGGTGGAAGTTTGCCAGCAAGTCGAGACAGGTCAGTTCGAGGCCTTTGTGTGCCACCTTTGACTGAACGTTTTGGTTTCCAGGTCTGTTCTCGATTCCTAGTATCGGTCTCATACCTTTCCGCACGCTGGACACCTGGAGTGAGTCATTTCTTTGTCGCATATTATTTGGTGACGTGACCTTCGTTGTCCTATAGGGATATGTTGGATATGGCACTATAAACGGAAAACACGGAAGCTACGCAAGGAGGCAGGGCTGCCTGAACTTTACGACCCCGATGATTTACCCGACCCTGTCTATGATGAAAACTACGTTCATGTATTAACTGATGAAGAACAAGCCGACCTACATTATCGTACGTGCAATTTGTACCTATATCCAGTACGTTTCACTAAAGCTGTTCTTCATTAGAGCAACATAAGTTTGCTCAATCACAAACGTGGTATCGACCACATGGAACACAAACACATCGCGTATGTCACCTTTTTTTTTCGGCCATTCGCACTGTTTGTTGATCACTTTCTTTACAGGCTTTCCCTATATAGTATGTTTGCTTTGTCCGTTACAGAATCATGACCGTTATTCATAAAAAATTCTCCAGTACCGCACTACTAATATGCGGTTTGAACGACCTTAACTCGATATTCCAAGCAAGTGTCTCTTCCTTCGATAGCTCGAATTCGTCTGACATCATCCTTCGCCAGATTCTCCTCAGTGGTACCATGTGGGGCTTAAATCGGTTCCGACGACCGGCTTGGACGACGGCCACAACTCTACCAGCTGCGTTTGTCGCAGGTATTGCTGCAGGCTTCTACATCTACTGGGGAGGACGAAAAACCAAGCGGCACGAGCAAGTTGAGGAACGCCTCCGATCGGCTCTGGAGATGGATGACCCTCCACCCAATCCGGCGATCACATTTACGCCTGCAGTAGGCGACAGTGAAACGCAGCCTGTGCATGAGTCGGGCGATGCACAACAACAACAGTCTCCAACTTCAACGACAGATTCGACACCAACGATATTGGCACCAGAAGTTCATTCTGTGGATTTCACCGGTCGTGACGATCCTGAAACCTTGTTACAACAGCAGGATCGGGTCGATAGCTCCACGTCGATCGTGGTGCCGATAGCGGATTGGATGACGGTTCCCTCTGCTAAAGACCTGTTTGGCTCCGATGTCGCAGTTCAAGGTCACGAGCGATAGCATTGTAGACTTCCGCATGGTGTGTGTTTCAGATTTAGGGGGTTTCATTGACATTAGATCCTTTCATTCCCATTTATATACAATTTCGTGTATTGGCATCCTGCATTATATAGCTGAATGTACTGTTAGTTTTTTTTTGTATTCTGCTGTATTCCCCTTTACCCATTTTTGTTACTCATCTAATACTTTCTCACATGTATTCACGGGCTTTGTACGAACATACTATAATGTACACGCACTCTTCACTATCCATACCCTACTGTCTGCAGCTACATAGAAGCTTTATAATTAAACTCTTGGAGATCTTACTCGGAGCAGTTCCGTAGTGACCTGAGACAGCTGTCATGGCCGCTGACCCCTAAACGCCAACACCATGATTCCTGAACGGGCGATGTGCGGTTCAACGATTCAGTGTCTCTTCCCTCAGCCCTCCTGAAGTGCCTCTCTTCTACATGGTACAGAATCGAACCATATACATGCGCACAGTCAGCGATAATTGCTTCTGCCAAGCTTTGGCTCAGTTTGCTACACCCGCAGTGATGGGCACTAGCGCCTGCATACATAACCTAACTAACCTGAGCCCCTCGACCTGGACTTGGATGTCCTTTTTGTTTCGAGTTCTACCCAGAATCACTGCCCAAGCACTTGCACCAATCCCGAAAGCAACCCAGCATACGTCCAATACAGAGCTTCTCTCATTCACCAGATTAGGCCCGGAATATTGCTTATTTCGCTAGTATTGCCATACGAACATCAATTCTACTGTTCGAAAGAACATGGATCCATTCATCCAACTCTTTTGTAGCACTCACGATGGAGTGATCCTTTCCCCGCGTAAGGCGGGCCCGCTCAGCGATATTCGCGCTGTCGCTAGGCAGGTTTTGCAATCAGCCTTCACCTCTGCTAGCATTGTTAAACCCAAGGGTGATTCAACCCTTGCGAACAGTGCTTCGCAGCGTCGGCTGAAGGATGATGTGTCGAAACCACCCGCTTTGGCTTCGACTGTTGATGAGTCCGTCTCAAGTGGACAGTTACTTCGGCCGACTCAGGCCGATCTAGCAGCCAGTCCCTCGACTGAGCATCGATTCAACAGGAATGTTGAACGTGGTGAATTATACATTCACATCGGGGCTCAACCCAACAACAGTCCTCATTTTGGGACGATCACCGTATTCACTTCAGCCTTCATTCTTGCTGCTTTCCTGCAGCGGAACTACGCCGCCCTACGAGCCGACCTCAAGACGATGGGTTGTCCCATGGATGACTGGCTGACGACGTTGAAGGTTATGGTATCACTCGATATCGTCGACACTGCTCCTGACAATGCTCAGAAAATCCAACGAGGGGATGGACTGCAATACCAGAAGAGCCACCGTGACACGAATGGGCATCTGAAATTCTTACCTGACTACGACGAAATCATGGTCAAGCTGTCTACACGCTTTGACGTGGAGTATAGGAAGACGTATCAGAGGCACCTCATGAGGGAGGTTCACCTACCGGCTGTGTTGGAAGAAATTCTGGAGAGGGAGGAGACGATTAGTGTAGAACTTGCGCCGGAGAAGGAGGCGCTAGCTGTTCGTCGTGCATGTCCTGTAGAAGGCTGCGGCATCGCAGAAAAACATGGACGTCGCAACAAATATCACCTCAAGGGGGTCAATACCCGCATTGAATTCTATTGCCCCGATCATGGTTGCCATCCAGTTTCGTTGAATAACCCGAGTGAAATTGAGACCCTCGAGATGAATGCTCCCCTGCGTAATCTCGTCCGTTCTCGTGTCTATGCAAGAGACACTGAAGCAAGTCGTAATGACTTCACTACGCCCATCCGAGCTCATATGCGCGTAACGGGATCCGACTACGCTGGCTTATATCAGGAGCAGCTGCTTTGGCGCCAGATTCTTCACCTACCCAATCCTTTGCCACCCACCGTGTTCTATGTACCGCTCATCGTTGATTGGGCTGGGTCGAAACTTTCCAAAAGCCTCTATGTCAAGTCTGGCGCATATAGGTACATGGAGAAGACCGGTCAGGAATGGTTTTTGTCATATGAAAAGTTGAAGGAAAGAGGGGTGGATTTGGGAAAAGTTTTTGATACTATTGAAGGATGGATGCAGGAACCCAATCAATTCTTCCGTGCTTGGAGTGTGGATTCTTTGAAGGGATTGGCTAGTCCCGTGCAATATCCAATCGCTACTCAGGAAATGGGCGGGAAAGTCGCTCTTCAGTGTACACACGATGGTCAAGTGCATGACCCACTTGGAGCTGGCTCGTATGTGTACGAACGAGAACTCGGCGTGGCTCTCTCGCGCTACCTCGGACTCATTCCAACCGCTTTTCGAACGGGTCGACCTTCAGGAACGGCATCCCCCGATGAGCGTCCCAGTGTCATATCAATTCATGTCAATTTCGGACACGGTGATCCCCATGTCGGGATTATCACCACAACGATATTGGCATTCCTTATCGGCCGCAAACTCATGAACGATCCTCGCAATCGCTGCGCTCGCGTTAAGGTCGTCGTCCGTGTCGACGACGTCAAGCTCGCTGGTACCGACCACTTGTCTTTGTACTTCACGCTCCTGAACGAATGCGTGAAGTTCGTTCAACATTCGATGACATTCCGTATCGAGACTCAAGAAGACCTCATGCTAAGAGAAAATTTACCAAGTGTTCTAAGTCCCATCATCCGCGACAGAGAACGTATCGGTAGAGAAATTTCTCCGTCGACATGCCTGCTGCCCATCACTTATCCTTGCCCAAAGAGAGGATGCGGGTTCGTCAGTGCATTCTCTCGTCATCTCAGTCATGGAATAAACACGCTTGCCTTCGAATGCTCTACCCATGGACGTTACATCATTGACTTGGAAAGCAGGACTGACATCGCCAAAATCAGGTTCGCCGAACCTCTCCGCCAACTGGTTCACACCATAGCTTATGCTGAAGACACTGTACGCAGTCGCGAAGAAATGCTCGCGACTCGGAACGCCCCACAACGAGTTCACCTACAGATAACAGGATGGGAACATGCCGGCTTTACGCAAGAGCAGATGCTTTGGCGGCAACTTATGTTACTCAACACTCAGGCAGTGAAAAATGCTTCTCCGGTTATCTTGTATGCACCTCTCATTGTCGATTGGTCCGGTGCCAAGCTCTCGAAATCATGGTATGAGGATGGTGGATACAAATATTTGAAAGAGAAAGGAATGGAGTACCTTCTCTCGCTGAAGGTGTTGAGGCGTGAAGGAAGGTCTCTGAACCCGTTGTTCAGAGCCGTGGAGGGCTGGGTTGAGAACCCTAAGAAGCTCTTCCGACCGTACTCCGTTGAATACATTCACCGACTTTACGAACCAGAGGCCGGCAAAATCCCATAATACCCAGGACAATCGCACAGTGAGCTTCCTAGTTTCTTTGTGGATGGTCAGCAGACCACAAGGTGGCCCACTCTCCTTGATGTTGTACCTGCTTTCACAGGCTGAGAACTTTTCCATTTGCAGTCTCCAAGGACCTAGAATCGGTTTGTGACAGGTATATATCGATCCTATAGTGTACATATTAAATGCCCTAATGTAAAGAGTGTTATTGTCCTGCAATAAATTTCAGCCCTATCGTCATGTCTCGCATGCGGAGACATGATTGTCAGAATAACTTCTCCATATCCTCGAGCTTCACCTCCTCGACCAATTTCTTTGTTGCGTAGTAATACCCTTGCGGGGGTGCGATTTTGAAACGTGCCTTCAGATCACTGGGTCCCAGAGGAGGGTTTAACTTGTGCAGGCCTAGCACCGGATAGCCATACTTCGATTGTTTCAGGCCGTTGTCAAAATCATCATTGCCCACGCCCGAGGGATCATTAACCTCTCCTGGTTTCTTTGGACGTGAGGTGGTGATGACATGTCTGCATACTCTATCAATCAGTCTCCAGTGTGCATATCCGTCGGGAAGAACGCACGTTATTGCAGATACAGGCGCAATCTCGTATAGCCATATCCTCTCTACTGTGTCTCTCAGCTCATACTTCCGATACTCGTGGTTCTTTTCTCTTTTTGCAATAAGCTCCATAAATTCTGGCTTTATTGTGAGGACTGCGTCCGTGTAAACACGGTCAGATTTCGATTTCGATTTCGACTTTGACTTTGTTTTTGACTTCGAGGAAGCCGAGGATGATGGTTCTGGAGCTGCAAGCCCTGTGAGAGTAGTCTGTCGTAAGAGACGTTTCGCTGTACGTTCTACGGGCATATTCCAATGACGAGTTATAAGGCCACTAAAGAGAGCAGATGATGAGAGTTGAAGCTTAATGTTGGAGAGACGCCTGTCACGGTTCAGTGAGACCAAAGCGCGTCGCGATTTCCGATAAACACGCTAACCGTTAACGTGACCACAGCCGACACGCGATATCACTCCAGTTCATGCGTGCATCTCAAGACGTTCTCATGGTGACAAAGTACACTTTTATTTGTACATAAATCCAAGCAGCAACGGTAGCATCCCGGCGAGGGCACGAAAAGCGGATTGTTGAAATCCTATAGCTACAAAGATCCGTCCACTTCCACCAACCAGCTCAGCAACGAGCCTCACATCCACCAATGCCTCGTTCCAAAACAAGCGACATCCACACAGGAACTCTCGGCGACTCGGCCCCACAATAAATCAAATAAATGTTCAACAACTTTTTACCCCAACGGCAAGAGCTTTTGTCAGAGCAGAAGAATGAAGTAAGACTCCAGAGAGACCTCAACGACATCCCCCATCTGATAAATAAACCGTAACGCGGGCGCTGTTGAAGCGCAAGGCATGCGATGCATTTATTGGTAGGTCTGACGGGCCCAGCGAGCAGCGTTGACGAGGTTGATCAACGAAGCTAGAGAAAAATCGTAAGCTAACATGTTACCTCATAGTTGAACAAAAGAACACATACCCTCAGTCTCCTTCCAGGCACGGGTCTTGAGACCACAGTCGGGGTTGATGAAGAGCTGGTCAGGCGACAGGAACTCGAGCATGGCCTTGATGCGGTCCTTGATCTCCTGTTCGCTGGGAACACGAGGAGAGTGGATGTCGTAGACACCAGGACCGATCTGGTTGGAGTAACCGTACTGCTTGAAGGTACTTAAGAGCTTCATGTCGCTCTTGGAGGCCTCGATGGAAATGACATCGGCATCGAGGGCCTGGATGGAGGGGAAGATGTCACCAAAGTCGGAGTAACAGAAGTGGGAGTGGGTTTGGAGAGCATCGGTAACACCAGCAGTGGCGATCTTGAACGAAGGAAGAGCCCAGGAGAGGTAAGCGTCCCAGTCGGGCTTGCGGAGAGGAAGCTATGGATGCGACGTTAAGTGGCACGTTGCACAGACAAAAACAGTTGATGACTTACACCCTCACGAAGAGCAGGTTCATCGACCTGAACAGCCTTGATCCCAGCCTTTTCGAGATCGACGACCTCATCACGGAGAGCAAGTGCAAGCTGCTTGCACTGAATCTCACGAGAGACATCGGCACGAGGGAACGACCAGTTAAGGATGGTGACGGGGCCAGTAAGCATACCCTTCATGGGCTTCTGGGTAACGCTCTGGGCGTAGCTACTCCACTCAACGGTAATGGGACCAGGGCGGCTGACGTCGGAGACGATGATGGGAGGACGGACATAGCTGAGGAAAGATAATCAGACGGGACGGTCAGATAACAGAGATATCAAAGCAACCTACCGAGAACCATAGGACTGAACCCAACCGTTCTGGGTGAAGACGAAGCCGTGGAGCCGCTCACCGAAGTATTGCACCATGTCGTTACGCTCGGGCTCACCGTGGACGAGCAAATCCAGACCAATCTTCTCCTGGATACGAACGACGCTCTCGATCTCCTTCTTGATGAAGGTCTTGTACTCCTCCTCAGTAATTTCCTTCTTGCCGAGCTTGGCACGAGCGGTACGGATCTCTTGGGTCTGAGGGAAGGAACCGATGGTAGTGGTGGGGAACTTGGGCAAACCAAGCTGCTTGACCTGGATCTCCTTGCGGACAGCGAAGGGGCTCTTACGCTCCAACATCTCGGGAGTAATGGCAGCAACACGCTTCCTGACTGCGTCATCAGAAGTGCGCTCGAACTCGCGACGTTTGGCAATGGAGACCTTGTTAGCCTCAAGAGCCTCAGTGACCTTAGCGTCCTGAGAGCCGGAGAGAACAGAAGCGATGGTAGAAACCTCGCTTGCCTTCTCGAGGGCGAAAGAGAACCAATCCTGTTGCTCAGGAGTCAACTTTTTCTCAGCGGCGAGGGTGACAGGGGTGTGGAGGAGAGAAGAAGAAGTGGCAATGATGACACGCTCAGCACCGATAGCCTCGACAGCTTTCTGGCCGAGCTTAAGAGCGGCCTGGAAATCAGATTTCCAGATGTTACGGCCGGAAACAACTCCAAGGGAGAGGATAATGTTGGAGGGCTTGACGGCAGCGATCACCTGGTCCAACTGAGCGGGAGCACGGTCAAGGTCAATGTGAAGGCCGGCGATGGGAAGTTTTGCAACAAAGGTAAGGTTACTGTCAAGGCGGCCATAGTACGTGGCAAGGACAAGTTTGGGGGAGACGGGGGCAAGCTCGGAGTATGCGGTAATGAACTCCTTCTCGTAGGTAGCTGCAACATCGAGAACCAGAATGGGCTCATCAATCTGAACTGATTCAGCGCCAGCAGCCTTGAGGTCAGCAAGCAATTGCTTGTAGACGGGAAGGAGCTTGGGGAGGAGGGAAACAGGTCGGAAGCCGGCCTTTGCATCCTTTGTGGCCTTGCCGAGGGCAAGGAAAGTAACGGGACCAAGAACGACGGGGCGAGTAGTGACACCAATGTTCTTAGCTTCGGTGAACTCCTCGAGAGCCTTGTTGAAGACCAACTTGAAGTCGGTCTCCTCGGAGAACTCAGGGACGACGAAGTGGTAGTTGGAGTCGAACCTAAGGTAAGGAGTGATGAGCACCAACGGTCATTACGGGAATGTATATACAACATCAACTTACCACTTCTTCATCTCAGATGCGGGAACGTCAACGCCATCGGCTTGACGTCCACGGCCCATGGCGAAGTACACATCGAGAGGGGACAAGTTGTGACCAAGGTAACGCTTGGGGATGACATTGAACGCAGCAGAGTGATCGAGGACATGATCGTAGAGGGAGAAATCACCACTGCAGAAAGATTACAACTTCAAAAAAAAAATTATAGGTATACAATGAGGGGCTATGTGTACCTGGGGATGAGATCGACACCCCTCTGCTTGAGGCTGGTCCAGTTAGTCTTTTTGACCTCGAGAGCGACTTTAGTGAGCTCGTCGGCAGACAATTTGCCAGCCCAGTAGCCTTCAACAGCCTTCTTAACCTCACGGTTCGCACCTAAGGGCGCCAAGCAACAACGATAATGATCGGTCAAGACGCGTCAAGCGGGAAAAGAGGAACTCACCGATACGGGGGAAACCAAGAACACTGGAGGCAACCATGGTGAATCGTCTGGAGAGGAGAGAAAGGATGGTGGGGAAGGAAAAAGAGAGATGGAGGGGAGCGCTCAGGCTGCAGGGAGAATCATTTTATATGATGCTATATTACGTAACGCTGCTACTATCGATTGACCCATGATGTCGACTGATTTGCATCTTCAACTTTGGCCAGCGAGTGCAGCGTGGAGAGTGCATGTCGATTCGAGGCGCGTCCTTGCTCGAATGGACATTCGAAACGAAGAAACGCGACGGTGTGAAGACGCGTCCGTCACGCACGCGTATCTTCTCATGCCTATGAATCCGGCGATCTGCAAGACGATCTTATCTCATAGAACGAACACATGACCCTATTCTGTTACGGCTCTATAGATCTTCACAACATGCTGTAGAGAATGGAGGTAATACTGATTGCACTGTGTCGTCTGTTAGTCAAAAACTTTCCTGCGCGCCTGGGCAAGTTCTGTGACGAAAATGGTAGTGTGTTACCTGATTTGGAAACTGGCATTCCATATATGGCAACTCTAGGTCTTCGTCTTTACCTTTTCTTCCGGATCTCATTGCAGACTCGTCCGTCTACCAATGTCTGCATGGATGGTCCGTCCACTGCATAGATCAAAGTTAATCTTGAACGATGTCGCATCTGGAACTCACAGGCTGTAAGCCTCAAGAGTTCTTCCAAGACTTTCAATCCGAAGCACACTGTCGAGACATATTCATTCCCCGGTCCGGCGCCCCGCCTCCAGCTTCAAATACCTCGGCGTATCTTCCTCTGAGGCCCCAGATTCCTCCTCTTCTCAGCCCCCAACATGTCTGATAACCCTTCCTTTGTTCTGCACGGTATCAACAACGTTGCCTATGAACAGAGGCCTATCCCAGAAAGTCCGTGTCTTGACCTGATCATTGCCTTATGCACTAATGCTTATCACGCCGCCTTTCAGTCTCTGATGATGAGGTCCTCGTTGAGGTCAAGAAGACTGGTTAGTATTTGTCTTCCTTGCTACCTAATCTGGGCTCACCGAAACACGTCCGCCTTTTCCAGGTATCTGCGGTTCCGATGTATGTATGATTCAATGATATCATCGCGGTCATCACCAGCACCTCTGAACCTGTCTCTAGGTTCACTATTTGGTAGCCGGTCGCATTGGTCAATTCATCGTGGAAGATCCCATGGTGAATATGCCTCTCGTCAACAGCAATGCCAATGTCTGAGATGGTCTGAAACCCACAGGTTCTTGGACATGAATCCGCCGGTATTGTGTCGAAAGGTAACCCCCGCCTTGCATCATATTCCACGACATCTTAAGTTTATAACCTGAATTATAGTTGGTCCAAAAGTCAAACACCTCAAGCCCGGAGATCGCGTAGCGATGGAGCCTGGTGCGACTTGCCGTGTCTGTGAAGATTGCAAGAGGGGTCGGTATGAGGTTAATCCTTCACTTTACCGTTCCCACATACGTAGAGCTTAACTGTTTTGGTAGCTTTGCCCAGATATCGTGTTCGCTGCTACCCCACCGTACGATGGCACTCTTGCACGATACTACCCAATTCCAGCCGATCTTTGTTATAAGCTCCCCGATCACCTCACCCTCGAAGATGGTGCAATGGTATGTACCTTCACTTTCCCTACCTTCACTCTACAGTTTTCATCGTCTTTGTATCATTAGATGGAACCCCTTTCTGTCGCTATCCACGCAGTAGCCAACCTCGCTGGCCTTCGTGCCAACCAAACCGTCGTCGTTTTCGGCGCAGGACCAGTCGGTCTCCTCTGTATGGCAGTCGCAAAGGCTCTAGGAGCCTCTCGAGTCATTGCAGTCGATATCGTCCCAAGTCGGCTCGAATTCGCGAAGAGTTTTGCTGCGACGGAGATTTACGTCCCTCCACCACTGGAACAAGGTGAGAGCAGAATAACATATTCAGAAAGGAATGCGAATGCCATGAAGGAGAAGCTGGGGATTGAGGAGAGAGGTAAGAAGGCCATCGATTTGGTTGTGGAGGCGAGTGGGGCCGAAGTGTCCATCCAGACTGGTATCTTCATTGCTAGAACCGGCGGAACTTTCGTTCAGGTGAATACTCATCGTGTAGAATTCACGCGCCCTACACTCACAGGGACCTTTATAGCTTGGCATGGGTGCACCTCAGGTCGTCATTCCCATCACCACCCTCCTGACCAAGGAACTGAACTTCAAAGGTTCCTTCCGTTACGGCGTACGTGCCCTATCCTTCGGTTGACATTGTGCTCAACAAATAACATTAACATATGTCGTTGTAATAGCCCGGAGACTATGAGCTCGCCATTGCTCTTGTTGAACAGGGCAAAATCGACCTCAAGCCTCTCATCACTCACAGGTAAACCTTTTCTCTTCCCCATCTTTGCCTCTTTGCGCGTTTCATGATGTCTCTGACAATTTTGGTCTATAATAGGTTCACATTCGACCAAGCTATCGAAGCGTTCGAGACGACGAAAGTGGGCAAGAGCCCGGACGGAAAGCCTGTTATCAAGGCTGTCATCTCGGGTCCTGATGTGCCCGTTGACGTTATCTAAGCATAACACAGTGGATTCTTCGTTAGTCACGATTCAAGTTTCGGAAGATCGGGTAAAAAGCAAACCGTTGTAACACTACACACCATCACGTACTAGCAGATTGGACAAGGAGACGTAAACGGATGTAGCTCTAGATTCATGAATGTATAAGTTGATCGCACCGCATACCTGCTCTTGAGTAAAATTCGAATGACAGCTGAGACAAGAGTCAATCACACTCTCGATCGTGTTTGATGCTGACGCGCGTTTTTCGATCGCGTCTAGTTTCACTTGTCACCACCACCACCTCAGATATTCGGACCGCCTTGATCCTCCGCAGGCCGTAAGCACAACTTGACTTTTGATATAGATTCAATTTACTCATTACACAGCTGCGGTCTTTCTACTAGATACCATCGTGCAAGATTCAGAAATACCTCTCTGCATTCATCTAGTGTGGATCGTGCACTGGCAGAGTATCAAACATGCGATTCAGTACAAGAAATACATACTACCTCCGAATATCTGCACACGCCATTCTCCCTCTCTATGTACGTTCTGAATTTACGCCATTACTCTTCAATTCTGATTTTAACAAAGTCTCAATAGCTTTACCTCGACGAGAAACATGTCGATTGGATGGACGAACGAGTTTTGCAGCACGTCTTGGAAGACGTGCGTTACAGGTTCGTAACCCTGATTTTGCTTTTCGCTACTACAAATACTCAAACTGTTGTACTGTCTTGTATCGGACAGAATACCGGAAAAGCTAGCTAATGAAGCAAATGTTCACGTTGGACCAGGAGGTCCCGCGAATGCAAAGAAGGGAACTTTGGATGTCCATCGTGGTGGTGCGCCACAGTTTCTTTCCTGCTGCAAAGACAGGAGGATGACATAACCATCTGGCATTTCTACTAGATACATATCAATTTGGATACTTCTTACGCAAGACAGATCCCCACGCTGTGTTGATTAAGGTATGACAAGATGCGTCATTGAGTCTTTGAGTACTGACCGAGTTGATTGTCTAGACACGCAACTTTGTAGCTGCACCTCTGAATGCACCCCAAGCAACTCTACCTCCTCAGCCTTCATCATCCAAACCTGCAGCGGCCTCGCGGAGAAGGCCTGTTCCTCTTCTCAAAAGGGTTGCACAGAAACGCAAAGCCCAGCTTCCTACCAAACCGGCGAAGAAACGGAAGACGAAAGGCAAGGGTCGAGCCCGCGATTCCGATTTTGAGGAAGAGAAGGAAGAAGATTACGATGTGATTGTCGTTTCCAGTGAAGATGAAGATGTGGAAGACATCAACATACCTTCTGGTCCGTTGCGACGGTCTGCAAGGAAGAGAGGCCAACCGGTTGGTGGATACCGTGAAGACTTGAACGATGATCAGGCAGGAGAAGAAGAGGACGACATACAAATAATGGATACTGCCGCGGATATCCAGGCTCCTTCACCTACCGCTGGGATTAGTACTCCTGGGGAAGATCAGGATATGATTCCTATTGATCAGCCAGCTCCATCAATGGATGATACAGGGCTCATTGCGATGGACGAGTCAGAACAGCCTATCACTGTGACGATCAAGGCCGAAGATAGCGAACCCGGTTCACCGTTTCTTCATCCATCCACGCCAACAGCGACGCTTCCCCGAGACCCGGATATACCTCCTGGCCCTGGTGAGATGTCTGAAGAGCCGCCTATTGACCTTACGACAGAAGAGGAAGAAGACATAAAGCCGAAACCTATATTGAAGCTCAGTTACGAGGGTTTCAACGTCAGTGGTAGATGTTTATGTGTCATAGTCGAGCCATATCCGCCTCTCCCTGCAAGACGAGAAGTCTGTCTGACCCCTACGGGACTTGTTGCTCCTCGTGCACCTAGCATCGCCCTTGCAGATTACGTGCTTTCTGGAGGTCCAGAACAGCGGGCTCGCACCCCTCTCTTTCTACCAGACTATGATGAACGAGAAAGGAGTCAGACACCAGCACCGTTCCTTCGGGAAAAGACCCGTCCACCAGTGCCATTATTTTACGATGAAGCGGAAGGTGAGGAAGACGAGGAGCTGGGTGGTGGCATGTATGCGCTCAGCCAGGTCATACAATCTGTAGGAGACAATCCTGCTGTTGCGGCGGAGGACGATGATGAGATAGAAGGAGCTGTCTTTTTCGGAGATGCAGACGAAGCCAAGGAGTTATAAATACATCCTATTGCTGGATTATTGCTGGATACACATACACGTACATAATGAATGCAGTCGACTTAAGATTGTATGCACAATATTCAGAACGAAAGAACGATGATGTACTTAGGCCCGACCGATTTCCCTCAGAATCTCTGTCTTCCTCGTCTCCGACACTTGTCTAAAGCCAGCATTAGACATCTCGAAGACACCATGGCCACCTGAGATGGCCCGTAATCTGTTGGAATAATCCAACATCCGGCTAAGAGGTGCAATGGCATGGACAGAGCGCTTGTAGTTGGAAGATGTGTTGCCTTCAGTAGCCAAAGCAGAGGGTGATAGGGCCTTCGGTGGAACGTATATGCCATCTTCAGCATAAGGTATGGCTTCTTCTTCACCTTCCTGACCAGAAGTCCCAGCAGCGAGATCAAGGACTTCGCCTCCATGTTCCGTCAGATCCTTGACTACTTTACCCAAAGCGTCGTCCCCAACGGTGATCTTCAACCGAATATACGGTTCCATAACGGGTCCCATTCCGGCGAGTTTGGTCTGATCACGTAGAATGACAGCACTTGCACCGGCTAGGGCGGACGGTGGGACCTCGGGTGGATACTTGTAACCGTTGACTTTGACATGAACACGCGAGAGCGGTAAGAATGTATGTGGTGAGTTCGATAGTGCATTAAATATGCCACGACCGATGTTTGCCAAAGGGCTCTGTTGCTGGCTGTAATACGTATCCGGAAGTGGAAGAGGCTTGTCATCTTTATCAACGACCATGTTGCCGTCCCATAACGAGTCGCCTTCTTCATCTTGCGTCAACGGGCGAATCGATAAGTCAATCGCGATTTCAACAGGCTTTCCCGCAAGCTGAGCGTCCCAGGTTTGAGGCTTGGGCGTGATATCTTGCAAGCCCAGACCTTCTCGGTAACTGACTCGACGTTTACCAAATTCGAAACGGGCTCCCCACTCGTCTCTCAGACGGCTCTCTACGATCTCCAGATGCAGAGATCCAAGGCCATGTACTAGAAGTTGCCCTTCTTGTACTTCAATACGAACGGAAGGATCAGTCCTCGCCAAGGATTCGAGTGCTTCTTGAACTGGTTGCAAATCAGCATGCGACTGCGGTAGAACGGAAGTCGACATGACGGCGGGCGGTGGAACGATGTCTCGAAGAGAAGATTCGGCCTGTTGCTGGTTGGATACCAGGGTATCGCCGGTTCGAGTAAACCTGAGACCGAGGATAACACCTACAGAACCGAAAGATAGGCTTTCGACTTCTTCAGCCTCTGACGCATATAGCAAGAGTAGTTTGGATACGCGTTCCTTCTGGTTTCGGGTGGCATTATATACAACACTCTGACGTTTGAGCGTACCTGAAGGCAAGGTTAAGACAAAGATAGACGTTCAAAGAGACGATACATACCTGAATAGATGCGAACAAAGGTCATCCATCCTTTGCGTTTATCCCAACTGACCTTCCATGCCAACATCCGTAGTGGAGCATTGGGCGCAGGTACGGCATCGACAACGTCCACTGGACTAGGAAGTAAAGCACCGATATAGTCCATCAGTAGCTCGGTTCCGATGTGTTTGAAGGCGGATCCGCATAAGATGGGCAGAATATCATTTTGCAATGTAGCCTTTCGCAGATGGGGCATAATCTCTGAGGCAGGTACAGTGAGGTAGGCAGAAGGGCTTGATGGTAAATTCAGCAATGTCTCCATCAGTTCTTCGGAAAACATGGAAAGATTCTCCAGAAGATTTGTTCGAGCCGGAACCAGGCAAGGCAGTATAGGATGTGAAGGAGGGAATAGTTTGGTGTCTGCGAGTTTCTCGTAGTTCGTTGGTAGTTGATGTCGAGTGAAAGCACCAGTCTCGTCCCATTTCCAGATTTCCCAGTTAACTAAGTCCACAAGGCCTTGTATGCCTGGCTCTCCGCGCGCATAATCATGTGGGTCAAAGGAAGCAATTGGAAGACTCAAAGCCATGGGCTTTGGATGCAGACGATGGGAGAGCAAGGAGAGCAGGGAGGAGCGAAATGACGCTCCAGGTCGATCAAGCTTGTTCAAAAACATGATTCGGGATCGCACACCATATCTGAAGAGAGTATAAACATAAGCACTGTTAACTTCCATCTGGACAGGCTTCTCACCTGTTGCTCACCTATCCAGCTGGCGCCACACGCCCTTAGTTTGAGCTTCGACACCCTCGACAGAGTCAATCAAGACGACTGCACCATCGATCACTCGACTGGCACTCTCAACTTCCATGCCAAAGTCTGCATGCCCTGGAGTATCGATCAAGTTGAAGGTCCATGATTTCCACTTTACAGGAATGCTAGCCGATTGAATGGTAATACCCCGTTCACGCTCTGCAGGGAGAAAATCTGTGGTGGTGCTCCCAGTATCGACTGAGCCTGCAGACGACAAGTAGGTCGATTTCAGGAGAATGGATTCCGTCAAAGTCGTCTTCCCAGAATCTGCTCGTGGTTGAGCTCGCGTGCATCGCGGCCATAAGCTAAGTACTCACCAATGTGTGCCACCAGTGCCATATTCCTCAGAGAGGATGCACCGGTGTCATGAGACTTTGCGGCGGTGGCAAATCCTCTGACAACTTGCTTGAGACTGCATTGTGGACGAGCTCTGAGGAGCATCAGCCAAATGTCGACAACACGGTGAAGCCAGGACTCAGATTGGTGTACAATGAAGAGACGCCAATGTGATCGGGACGACTGCCAACACAGGCAAACAATAGTTCTTTCTTATTGTCTGTTACAGTTTAACATGCCTCTTCCTCACTCTACAAGCATCTCTTACTCCCTATTTCGTGGTCTGAATGGCGGACATTGTATCCTCCACAACGCAACAGGACGATAATCATTCAAATGCGCATGCCAATGGTCATCCTGGTCCAAATGGCACGACAACACCAAACCTAACTGCCGACCGTTTTCGCGTCCGTGCTGAAGTGACAGGAGCAGATGAAGATCGTCACCATCCCCTTGAACTGAAACCTATCAAGGTCGGGAATCCGCCACCCAGTCGCATACCCAACACGCCATTGTCTGTGGCGACTATCTCGTTTCTCCTTGGAACTGTCTTCGCATTTGGCCTCACCGTTTGCTTCCTGGGAGAATCCTGGGGTTTATGGTGGTCAAGGTATCAGCTAGGAATATACATAGCTGCCTGGGCGGTATTCCACTGGGGGGAATTCGCCGTTACTGCAGGCTGGAATCTCGAGAAGTGTAGTGTCGATTGTACGTCTACCATATCGTATAGCACACACAGTATCTCATGTAATGCTTAGCGTTCTTGCTCGAGAATGGCTCTACATATCATCTCGCACATACCTCTGCATTATTTGAGTACCTAATAACGTTACACTTCAAGCCAGAACTGAAGTCTTATCCTTACATCTCAATAATTGGTGAATTTCATCTTTGCCTCTGTTTCTTCGTTAACTCATGTTACTACAGGCCTTGTCTTGCTTATAATCGGACAGGCACTGCGATCTGCAGCCATGGTTCATGCCTCAACGAGTTTCTCTCATCAAGTTGCGTTCAGAAAGCTGGACTCGCATAGACTTGTTACGGACGGCATTTACGCGTACGTCGCACGACGTGCGCTCTATATGCAGCTGACTGGTCAAACGATTCAGATGGTTCCGACATCCATCGTACGCCGGATTCTTCTATTGGGCTTTAGGAACACAACTGCTCTTGCAGAATCCTGCAAACTTCGTGTTCTTCGCCATCATCCTATGGCGATTCTTCTATCACAGAATAGGACGTGCGTTTCTTCCTTCTTGTTAATGTTTCTTTGAGGTCCTGACGCCGACCAATCGCAGCTGAGGAAGTAGCCCTCGTGCGATTCTTTGGGCAAGCCTATGTCGATTATAGGGCACAAGTAGGAACAAGGATACCCTTCATTCCATAATGTAGTACCAGTCTGTGAATGGGCACTGCGACGGATCTTACAAGTAGTAAAGCATATACATAGACGACATTGACCATGTTTGGACTAGGTTATAAAGGTCAATTCCCTTTCGTCAAACTTCACCAAGAATGTGACGCGGGTCATATTGATAGTCATAGCAAATGAAGACATACAACATGTGGAGTTTTGGGGGTAAACGAGAAGAGCGGAGAACCCAAGACCACAATGAAAGAGACCGTCTACTCGGTGTCGATGGTGCCCTTCTCTGAGACGTAGATACCGTCCAAGAATTTACGGATATCCTTGTTCCGCACTCGGCACATACCCTGGATGGAAGCGGCTGCCAGGGTGTAAGAACGCCTCTCGGAGAAACGTAGAAGCCAAAGGTGCATAACTCACCAGATTGTGATACGTTTTGGATATCGGTACCCTCGATAATCAGCTCATCCTTCTGCGCTTTCGACTCGCTGACTGAGACACCCTCAAGCATGTTCACATGTCGGACGATCTGAATGGAAGTAGTTTAAACCCGAATTCAGAGCGGCGCGAGCGCGGTTACTCGTACCTTCTCGCCCAAGAAATTTCGGATCTCCAACGCCGCTCCATTATCCTGAACGATGCAGTTGATGGGAAAATGGGCGTAGACAGCACGCATCTTGTATTTGAATCCCTGCAAGAAAAGGTTGGGAGGTTGGGTCTCAAATCAATTATATTTTAAGCGTACCTTGGTGACACCAGTAATCATGTTCACGATCAAGCTCTTAATCGTTCGGAGGCAAGCAACGTGCTTACGGCCTCCTTGCCAAACTGCAAGGGTGACCTTGTTGCTCTTGCCTTTCAGCAACCGGATGTCCATGTCGATGTGACGGACATTCTTCGTGAGGGTGCCCCGAGGACCCTTGACAGTGATGAGACGGGACTTGATGTTGACTTCAACACCCTCGGGAATGACAAGTTCTTCGGTCTTGAGGACGTCCCGCATCTAGAATGAAAGCGTCGTTAGTGTCCTGAACGAGCCAAGTTCATCCGACCCAAGCGCAAGCCATCCAGCTCGTTCGTCCAGCATTTCGAGCAAGATTTCTTCATAAATTCACACAGCAAGGCTTCAAGGTCTCCAAAATGGCCTGGAAGCATGCATACCTTGATTTCGAGGGTCTTGAGGAGGCCAGGGAGGGGATGAGCTTTCGAGTATGCCGGGAGCGTTGACGAGATCTAAAGATTTCCTATTCCGGCGATTCGACGGTCCGGGTGACTGGGACGGAGCCTGGCTGCATGTGTCATGGCTGGCCGGCAGAGTCCGAATCGGAGCTTGAATCTCGGTACAAGGAGTCGCAGGCCACGGCGACTGTTCTTCACTGCTTGATCATCGACCATCACCGACCCTTGTGCGTTGTGCGCGTTTCCCCCCAGAAGGCTACTTGTTTCGAATTGCATACGGCTTTTTAGTCCTTGAGAAGTTGCGTTGCGAAGACCAGAAAAGCCTCTTTATCGATATAATCACTACTGCCTGTCAAAGTTCTCGGTTTGAGACACTTTTAAGTGGTTGTGCAGGATGTCGTTATATCCGCAAAGTCAGGCTTTTGCCCAGCCGGCATATCACTCAGGCTTTCCTCAGCAGCCTATACCTCCCCCAGTATATCATTATCCTCCACCCCCTCAACCCTTTTACCACGTCGACCCTGACACTTTTCGTCGGGATTACATGACACGTCTGGCTGAACTAACAGTGAATTCCAGGCCTATCATCCACAATCTCTCCATAATTGCTCAAGAGTATTCCCGGTATGCTGAAGTTGTTGCTCAATGCATAGAGTCCCATGTTCGAAGGGTGAGTCCATTCAGTCAATTTTTCTCATCATGCTCCACAGCGGGATATCTGGCCTGTCTCTGTGTGTGGGGCTGTCGTTGGCGTAGTTACATCGTATATGTAGTTAGTCATAAGTAAAAGAAACACGGACTCAGCCTGCATCGTGTCGGGCGAACATCTGAGAACTGTGCCGTTATTCTTTTACTTCCATTTGCCTTCGACTTCTGGTGCTGTGTATCGTTCGAACGCTGACTCATCATGTTTTCCCGTTTTGGCATGTGTTAAACAGGTACAACCTTGGATGAAGCTACCCGCGTTTTACTTGCTAGATGCGATCTCAAAGAACATTTTCGATCCATATGCCCGACAGTTCACACCTCTAGTTGTTAGGCTGTTTCTTGACACTTACGAGGTTGTCGATCAGAATACCCGCAGCAAGATGGAAGAAATGCTCCTGACCTGGCGAACTGGTGCACCCAATGGCAGAGAGCTCTTCGGTGTCGTTCCTCAGCTTGCTATCGAACGACGAATTTGGGGCAGTGATTCAACTCAGAACGGTGCTGTGCGTCGGAGAGTATTTCGTCCATCGAGTCGACCTAACATACTTGTGCAGTCTTCCTCGTCTCGACAACCTGGTGGACAGCCAAGTGTTTCACAAGCTCAAGTCCTAAGTGAGCTCGAGTTCGTTTTAGGTCAGAAGGAACGAGCGCTGCAAGCGAATCCATACGACAAGGCTTCCCAGCAACATGTGTCTGTCTTGCATCAGGTACGTGCACCGTCGGTTTTCATCTCTATCTTACCATTTGGTTACTGACATATCTACCCGCAGTTACGGGGCCTTGTTCAAGCTGGTGTCTCTCAGCAAGAACTTAGTGCAATTCTTACACAACTGCGCACGTTAGCACCTGCCCCTGCTCCCGCCCCACGGATACCCCCTCCACCACCTGTGCAACACTCATACCCCCCTCCACAACATTATCCTCAACCTACACTTGCTCCTGCTCCTCCTGTGTCTACTTCGCAAGTGTCATATCCTCCACAACCTACGTATCCTGTGTCATATGACGAGCCTAAGGTTGAACCAGTCGATTATTCGACGTCAACATCACCGTCAACTGCCGCGTCTAAAAACATATCTAACCTGTTCAGTGCTTTGTTAAAAGCGGGTGTTGTCTCTGCCAGTGGGACGCCAACTGGTGCCGGAACGACAGTCAAAGAACAGACCCCTCCTTCGACCGATACCTCTAAAGATGTGTCGCGTGATTACCGCAGGGCTATTCTCTCCACCAAGATTCAATTGAACAGCGCGGACATCACGAGGTGTGCCCATATGTTTGTTGATCGTACAGCCTTATCTAACGTAAATGGCCCTAGGCAACGGCCTCCCATAGTACGGTTCCTCTATGACATGCTTTCCAGCCAGTGCAAACAGTGTGGTATCCGATTCTCTGATTCGTCATTAGGCAAGAAACGGATGGAAGACCATCTTGATATGCACTTCCGTCAAAATCGGAAGACCACTCAAGGCGCGGGACGCGGTCACAGCAGGGGTTGGTTCATTGGGGCAGAGGTATGTTGAGTTTTATTTTTATCAGTTTCAGTCTGCTTACTTGGATTTCCAGGATTGGATACATGATGGTTCTGTTGATTTGAAAGGCAAAGGCCGTGCTGACGGTCTTGTGAACGCTAAAGCAATAGCAGCTGCGGAGGCAGCTAAAGCCGATGCTGAGTTGCGGGCAATGTATGTTGTAGTTCCGCCGGGCGACGAAGCGCAGTCGATGTCATGTCCAATCTGTAAAGAGCCTCTAAAGGCCGAGTTCCTTGAAGACGATGAAGAGTGGGTATGGAGGAATGCAGTCCGAAAGGATGATAAGGTATGTGTAGTCGCTTTGTTATTGCCGGCAATACTTGCTTAACTTATTCTTCCTGTTTCAGATTTATCATGCGACTTGTCATGCAGAAGCGTCAGCGTCGAAGTCAACTCTCGCAGCATGGTTGCGCAGTGAGGTTTCCAGTCGTAGTCGTTCACGGACCCCTGAGAGACAAATCAAGTTATCCCCTACGAAGCCTTTTGCTCAGCTCAATGGCGAGGTTAGGAGATCGCAGTCCCCAACGCCTTCGAAAGTTGCTGGTGTTAAGCGGAAGGCTGAGGATGACGAATCTGATGTTAAGCAGGAAAGGACGCCACCTACGAAAAAGCTGGCGGTATAATCTGATTCCCTTTCTTGTTCACGAGTGGATAGGAGGTTCGCATTGGGTTTTTACTGACGAGCATTCACGACATAGATTGTTGCGCATTGCGGACAAGGCATATCGTTTCTTTCATCAGTCTAGTTTCATGCATCTGTAATACTTGCACGCATATATTATAAACATATTATATTCCTGTTTTCTCTCATGCTTTTGGAGTATTGACTGTAAGTACTTGCTCGAGAACGCGATCGACGAGTTTTAGGTTCAAACGTCTCGCTTAAGATCATCGAATTCCGGTTGCCTTTCACCCTGTACTCTCACCAACCACACCTTCCCGTATCTCCTTCCTCCATATACCCACTTCATTCGTCTCGTATGTCATCTGAGCAATCATCGTCAAATTAACATCAGTGAGTCCTTGTCATGTCTGTGACTAACTTCAACCCGCAGAATCAATATTCATCTTGGGGCGCTGGTTCTTGGAACGAGTGGCCACAATATTCTGCGTCTGTACAACAACAACCCTTAGCCAGGAACGCTGGTTATTCGAATATACCCCCTGAGCCTAATAGTGAGTGTCATTTGTCGATGCATGCACTGAAGATCCAAGTGCGATCCCGCCGCTCTAACCTCACTTACAAATGTCTATTTGTACAGCTGAAGGAAATCATGCAAATGCTACTACAAGTCGAGCGTTTCGCCGAGATAATACACTTGATCGTATCTCTCAATTTGCGAACGAAGATGTCGAAATGACAGTATGTCGTATTCTACCTCACGCTTTTCAATAGCGTTGCAACGCCAACTGACCGAATAATTTGCGCGCCTCGTATAGGACGTTGTCGCATCCGACGTCAACAGATACCTCATCGTCGACACGAACTTCCTCATTGACCACCTCGCGGTCCTGAAGCGATTCAGCCAGGATCTTGAAGAGTTGGCATCCAATGTGAGGTTTGCTCACTTGGTATCGGGCTTACAGATCATCGTGCCCAGTGTTGTACTGTCGGAGCTCGATGGGTAAATTCTCATTCATACCTAAAGTCCTTTCGGTGTCGGGCTGAAAACATTATATAGCTTAAAGAAGCGTGAGGAGTTGAGATGGTTCGCTCAAACAGCCTCGACATGGCTCCTCGAGAAATCAAAAGAACGTGGGCTCGTCAAGGTTCAATCACGGAAAGAAACGCTGCCCAGCTCCACCCTTTCTGTTGGTGAGGTAGATCATCGTAAGAACGACCTCGCGATTTTCGATTGTTGCCAGTTCTTCGCTACCAAGGGCAGAGTCTGCCTGGTCAGTGCTGACAAGAATTTGTCTATAGAGTGTGAGGCAAATGGTACGCATCTCGCTTTTTCGTGGACATGCTACTACTTGAGACTAAAGGAATGATAGGTATCTTCACCATAAAGCCTCCCCAGGGTCGGTGGACAAGCCGAGCTTTGGCATATGCGATATACGGAGAAGGCATCCCTGGCTCTTGCTTCCACGGAACAGAATCCGGACCTGGTTACAAGTATGGCCCTTCTGCTGCTCAACCCGGGAGATCGCAACCACCCACTGTCCTGGACGAGGAACCCATGGATATTGACGAGGATCTGTCAGACAACGCACGCCCGGAGGACTTTGAACCCAGCCACGCATTGGACGCGCTTCATATCCAGATCATCGAGCACTTTACACTAGTATTGAAAGAAGTCGCCGAGCGAGTACGCAGAGCCAATGGGGACTTGCTGCCACCAACGGATTCACACCATGCGCCGTCATATCGTAGAAAGCCATTCCATCTATGGAGGGTGGGCGATTGCTTGGAATACCTGGATTCAAAAAAGAGGCTCCGAGCTAGAAGTCCCTCACTACGGGTGTTTCTACTTAGACGGAACGAAGATCGTGGATGGCGGCGTGGTCAAGACTGGTCTCGACAAGACTGGGTGATCGCGATGCAGTCCTTGGAAGAGATAGGGCAGTTATTCGACGAGGGGCTTGTGCTTGATTCTCTGGAGTCGCTCAGTCCACATGTGGATTGGATCTTCAAACAACCAATGCGACCGACGGGATGAACGTGTGATTGTTTGGAAAGAGAAGGAGATGGATAAGATACGCGGTGTCCTAATTATTTCGGCAGAAGGGATGCCAAGATTGTGTTGATGTGATGCAGGGTATGGAATTGTGACACTGAATAATAATGACAAGAGTTAACAATACTGGCTATGAGGCTTGTTTGAGTGGACTGCGGAGAAAGTTATGTAGCAGGAGGGTGCGGAGGCTGGCAGGCTGAGGGCGGTCATTGGTGCTGAGTGGCTAGCGTGCCGAGCCCGAATGGGACAAGCGCGCATGCAGAGGCAGGGAGAAGCGGTGCCTGGTTATTTCTCTTTAAACATTTGCGCTGCGGGTATTGCAGCCGCTTCCTCTCCTTTGCTCTTTGTCCTCTTATCACCCAATGTTTCGGAGACGGACAGTCTACACCCTCCTATGCCTTTTGGCAACTGTCCTCGTCGGAACCGTCCTGGTCCTTTCCTCTATATCCTACTACCTCTCCATCAACCCCGCCGCTTATATCTCAGAAGAGGAGCTCGATGCACCCTTTAATGTCTCGCGCTGGAACGCTTCAGAGCATGGCAAGGTTGAACGCATCCCCCGAATCATCCACCAGTCTTGGAAGTCAGAGACGTTACCTGCTAGGTGGGTCAATGTCTCACAAGGTTGTCGCGACATGATGCCAGATTAGTACGTCCCACTTTCCAATGCGTTACTTCTTTTCTAATGTTCAATATAGCGAGTACATGCTCTGGACTGACGCGAGTGCTCGTGAGTTTATTGCGGAGCATTATAGTTGGTTCCTCGACACCTTCGACGGATACACATACCCCATACAAAGGGCTGACGCTATCCGTTATTTCGTCCTCTACCATTACGGTGGCGTGTATCTCGACCTAGACGTCGGATGTTTGCGTCGCCTTGACTCCCTTCTCACATACCCTGTCGTTCTGCCCAAAACAATCCCTGTCGGCGTCTCCAATGATCTCATGTTCGCTGAGAAAGGACATCCGTTTATGGCCCAAACTATTCACAACCTCGTCACTTTCGACCACTCATGGATTCTCAATTATCCTACTGTCATGTTTTCCACTGGTCCCATGTTCCTGTCTGCCCAGTACGGCCTATATACCTCCTCGCATCCTCCCACGCCTGAGCAGCCAGGTGGGGAGGTTCGCATCCTGCCTAAAGCACTATACGGCAAGAATGCGAAACCGGACGAGGCACCACATTCGTTTTTCGCTCACTACTACGGAAGCAGCTGGCACGCAGATGACGCTGCTTTTATCGGATTTTTGGGCAAATGGGGCAAGATTCTCATGTGGATAGGACTAGGTGTCCTGATCTTTGGAGTGTTGAAGATGGCATTGGCGTCTCATGGCAAGAAACGGAAGTATAGTCTCAGGCGTATTGGCGGCTACGAAGTCCTTCTGCCCCGATGGAAGACGCACAATGGTCGGTGGTATCTCGATATGGGTTGGTTCACGTTGCCAGCTTCGAACGCGCCCACGCCTCAACCCGCCTCACCTCTCTCACTGTCTTCAGATGATGAAGATGAAGTGCAGTTACTACCTTTGGCGCTTGAAAGCGGATCCACATCGCCAACATTATCAGACGCGTCGTCGCTGCCAGACTCCTATCACTCAAGTCCGCAACCATCCTTTGCACAGCCGATTGTCGATGTAGTACGACGTGCGGGCCATCGCTTCCGTTCATACTTGACAGGGGACTCTGATTATACCCCTCTGCCCTCTAACCTCTCACGCCGGTCGCGCTCCCGGAGACGAAGCCGAGGCGTTTTATTCTTTATGCCCGCAGTCGCTACGCCTTCACACAGGGTTGAGCTTCCTCCTGCACGAAGTGTCTCACGTTCCCGTGCTTCTCGAACACCTCCTAACGGCCTACTGCAAACTGAATACCCACCAGACAAGTCACGATATGACCACGACGAGGAGGATGGTTTTGGCCTGGCGCCAGACCGCTCCAGTGACAGTAGAAGGTAGTAGACAGGTGACCATAGGCGTGTCACCGAAAACACACCGGCATCGGTATACCCTCTGTTGGCGCTCCACTGCTCATTTTTACCCTGTGGAGAGCACGCAGTATAACTATCTCTCCTTCGATTCTTCGGGTATTTCTCACGTTGTATACGGTGTGAATCCTGGACTTTCCATGGGACATTGTTGACTGACAGTTCCGTCTCCGGTATCATTAAAGCGATGATTTTCCTTTTTCCGTCATTCGTTTCTCGTCTTTTGACAATGGAACATTATCATCACCAGCTTCCCTAGTGTGTTGCTTACTGCTGTCCGTTCGTTCAACCGTCGTGGATTTGCGAGAGACATTACTCTTTATATATATAGAACTTTATATCATACCAAATTGTAGTTAAACGTTTCCGCCACACAATCATAAACTCACCTAAACATGATAGCGTTCAGGGACTGGATCAGAATGTGGTGTTGACATCTGACTGGCTATTGCAATGGATGGGCTTAATGCAGCATTGGGAAGCTGCTATCGCCCTTGATATGATATCGTACCTTGTCCCGAGGATCATGACAGCGATGTCCATCGTGCTCGTATATCGGTGTTATTGACTGCGATTTCTTGATTAAGACCCCATTGAGTCAGACCAAGCTGACAGGTGAGAGATCCACAAAGCTGTTTTAGACCGCCGGCGGCCTTGGCTGAACTCTGAAGGGGACTCGATAGGTATGTTAATTTCGAACAGACCCTGGTGAAACGGACGTCGGGACAGTATACCGGATGTACCTGAAAAGCCAAGTCAGAAATAGACAGTGTCAGCTGTGATGTTGAGTATGGAGATGTATTTCGCCGTTCACCACAAAACGTCTCGGCAGGACGTGTCATACATAGCAAACCTATGCTCGGTGTGTGATACGGATCCAAAGTGTGGTGCGAGTCTGAGTCGTGTTAAGTGTAGGCTTGAGCCATCTTTAGGTTGCTCCATTTTTGTAGTGTCTTGTGTCCATCCATGTTCCGACATGGGCCAAGGGAGCATTACGCCCAATTCGTCATGATACACCCAGATTGCAAATAGGCTTGGATTAGAATACTTAAGCTAGATGTGATACGCACAATAATAGATAGTAAATACTTTGGAGATTGTACAGAACCATAATAGACCTATGCTGAAATTGGGTTGGCTGCCAAGGCCTTGGCTAGTCTGTACACGCCATACATGAGAACAGCGCTGCCTGCGTAAGTCTTTGATGGACCAAATGTCCAGTACAAGCCACAAGCTAAGCCCCACGCGGTATGTCAATAAGGTATCTTAGAAGGGAGGGCAAAAAAGCAAAGCGTACCAAATAACGGACCAAGTGCCCGACCCAACTGTCCAGATGACCTGAACTGTCCCAGCGCTTTTCCCTTTGCAAGTTCAGGATGTTCTTGGGTGACTTTTCCCGTATCCTGGTCGACTACACCCTCGTCGCATTGTAATGATGCGTATGAAGTAAGTGAGTTGACAACTGTCGCTGAGGTGAATGCCAGGCAGATGGCAGCAACCCACAGGAGGTTAACGGAAAGACTCGGGTTGCTGTTAACGTATCGTGGGACGAGGCTGAGACATGCGAGGCCGATCCAGCAACTGAGGATACCTCTGCTGGCCATTTCTCCTTCGCCGACTTTGGCGATCGCTCTGCGGACGTAGCCCCCTTGTACGAGAGCGCTGACGACACCAATAGAACCGATGAGGGCGCCATTCTGTCGGTTGTCCCAGTCAAACACTATGAAATGGATGAGTACTCAATTTGAGTCATGACAGTGTAAGCAGTTATTGGCTCACAGTCGTAAGTCAAGAACGTAAGTGTGAACTCTACACCAGAGAAGATTGCCAGGAAAGCGAAATGCAACATTCGAAGCTTCTTGAGTAGCCGCAGGCGTTCTCCGACGCTGGCTTTCTTTGGAGCAGCATGTCCGTTAGTCTTGCCCTTGGCAGCACCATTCGTTTTCTCCTTCTTGACACCACCCTCGACTTGCTTTGGTCTCCCACGGGTTTCAGGAAGGGCCACAATCAAAAAGAGTGTTTCCAATAGTAAGAGAACAAGTGTCAGTAACGCCGGGGTAGCGTAGACGTTGAGTTCAAAGCCTTGGATCCTGAAAGCCGAAGGCAGAGGTTTGGAGGCGAAGTACGCTCCGATGGGAGGCCCAATGATGAAGCAGATTGCGAATGCAATGCCAACATGTGCCAGTGCCTTGGAACGGTTGGCTGGCGTGGTGATGTCTGATAGGATCGCGCTTTCGAGTGAAAATAGTACCCATTGTGCCACGATTGCATATCAAAGGGACTTACATAGCCAATTGAACATTCCCTTCACTTATGCCGCCGATGACTCGCGAAAGCATGTATGACGCGAATGACGTTGATTGGACCCACCTTATTCAAAAGTCAGGACTTACGCAGTTGGGAAGTGTGTAGAACACGTACACCACAGCTGAGAGAATATTGCCAATCATCGTAATAAGCAACACTCGTCTTCGACCATATTTATCGCTTAGTACACCGATGTATGGAGAGATGAACCTAACACAAGGCTTGTAAAAAGGTAAACGGGAATAACACGCCTGATAACATACCATTGCAGTGCTCTTTGATACCACACCACACCGTATGAGAATTGTCGAGGTATGAACCATAGATGTGGCTACTTACGAGAATACAGATCCCATTAGTCCTCCTAGAATGTGACAATACCATTAATTTGTTAACTCTCTGCATCCGGAGATTGAATGCGCACCCAAAAGGACAACATCCCATTTCTGAGGATTACGGGCGGCACTTTGCAAGAAATAACTTCGTATGGCAGAGACAAAACCGAGGGTGCGCGAGAGCAAGCCATTTGGAATGGATGATTCTCTCTACAAATACAATCAGTTCGCCAACTTGGTAAGAGTACAATGAAGAGTGACGTACCTGTGTGTACCACTCGATTAGCCGAGGGAAGAGAGGTAGTGGGATAGTGAACGCTATAGGGGTCACATTGGTCAACCACTACCATATGTCAACGTCCTCAGGTTGCTCACCAAATAAGTCGAGAACCAGAGACAAGAATACGATCCCTTCTACACGCATACTCAAGCCTAGCTTGCCAAGATCAAATCCGGCTAGACTGGAAGTGTGTCGGGATGAAGTATAAGGGCTTGCTCGCCAAGAGCAATCAATGATCGAGGAGGGTCGTAAAGTGCAGATGGGGTTCAGTCGAGGTTTATAGTAAGATGAACGCTAGGATACGTGTCGAATTCCACAATAACGGTATGCAAGGGCTCCAATCGCAAGCTTGAGAATACAAAGTAAAGGATCCACAGTCATAATGTGCGAGAGCAGTGAGCAAAGAAACGACGGTCGCCGGCCACTCGCGACCGAACTAGATTCCGGTGATCCTCACTCATTTGTTCTCTCACAGACCACTTCCTCCTTCCCAGGCTTCAAACGTACACAGCTCATTTACCACGCAAACCTGTACTCAATGCGACGAACTGTGGGACATTCACACATATTTCACAGCGATGTGAGCGGCTCCGACAGTTATTTGCTACCCAGCTATTAGAACGTACAACATCACGTTTCGATTGGATAGGTACCTTCCACGTCAGTGTGTTTCTGCGGCTAACTGTCCTCTACTACCGCCAGAGTTTCTCCAAACGCCTTGTACTTTTGGTCTGCTGAGGCCTGAGTGAGACTGGTTTGATAGTGTGAGCTGGTTTCAGTTTTGGTAACTTCCCGCAAGGCCATGGTAGCGTAGGCAGCTGTTCCGAGTTGCAGGGAAATTTGCAATGCCATGAACTTGCCGTTCTCATCTATGACGGGAGGTTCGAAGCCCAAGAGTTTGTCCTCGTCTGCTTGCGCTAGGGCGACGTCGGGATCTGTGTACCTGAGCACTTGCCACGACAACTCCTTGGGCAGATGCATGATCTTTCGGTATGAACCACCAAGACTATACTCTCTGGCAGAGGGGATGGTCTCAGTATTGAAAAGAAAGAAGGCATACAGATGGTACCCACTTCTGCTTCCGCTCAAAGTTGTCAGGGTCGAGGCCATCGGCAACGAGGAATTGTCTGTATCGTTCCCCGAGCTGACCTCCGGGGAATGCAACATCTCTGCCTGGTAAGGGCATAATCACGTCAAAAATCGAGTACTTGTCCACGTCCTCCGCAGTCAGAGTTTTGACTTTGGGTGGTTCCCATGCCTTCCGAGATCTCTTAGGTGGTCGACCTGAGGATTATGATATCGGGGATCAACACAGTTCACGTAATTCCGAGATTGGATCTACAATACGTACCAGCATCTTCAACGATGTCTTTTTCTTCTGCCGGAGTGTCCTCGTCAACAACCTCCTCAGCCATCTCGACGTCTTGACCTTCGCCTTTCTCTGACGGTTCGATGTCGAAGACCAGATCCCCCACTGCAGGCTTCTCCGCTCCATGCATGCGAATACGCTCGGAAACAATCGCATTCCAAACGTAAGACTGATAGGCATGCACATACATGAGCCTGAGGTTCTTCGGAATCTGTTCGAATCATAAGAATTATAAATTCTCATATATGCAGGAAAAGGAACCTCTCATCCAACGTACCGTTGACAATGCGCCCATAGCGTTCCTAGTTTCGCCGTTTTGTTTCTTGTAACTTTCAAGAATACATCTCTCCGCTACGACGCGCCTGGGCATCAACTCAAGGGCTTTGTCCAAGTCGCCGTCTACCAACCAAGCATTGCGAGCAGCAACTACATCAGGATGTTCGCCTGGTCTGACTCGGAGGATGAGTGAGACTGCCTTGTGCCAGTCAGACTTGAGGAGCGCAAGGCCAATAGCGTGTGTAGGGACTGCTGCTGTTCCGAAACGTTGCATACCTACAGAGTTTGCCACATTAACATTATCGGCATGCATTTAACGTTGTCGCTCACCGTAGTAGTTAATGAAGCCCTTGTTCTTGACGACATTCATAGCCCGGTCAATGGTCTCCGGAGAGTCAACTTGTACGTTCCTGATACATACAGTCAATTTCAGAGAAATTATTCGAGGCGAACCTACATACCTCAGCGTAATGAGGAAGGCATTACCCTTCAACATACCCAACTCAAGGCTAGCCTTGCGATAATTGAAGTCAGCAATCCGAATGCCTCGTTCACCACGACGAGTCACAGCTTCCTCAGCAGTCCGACGAGGGCCGACACCGTTTGCGAGTTTCCAGACATCCTCAACAGTCTTGTTCCCTCGCTTGAGCGATACTCGTTGGACAGTAACACCACGCTTGTCCTTGGTACCCGCTACGGAGAGGTCCTTGATGTTGCAATGTATTGAGCGAGAAAGATGAGCTAGTGCATCTTGGGTGTCACGGTTCGTCTTCTGTAAGGTAAAGTGCATATAAGGAGGATATGAAGACCTCTCTCCTCTATCACCCCGACCTGATTCAAAAATCAGAGAGACGGTTTACATGTATGTTAAGTTGAACTTACCTCCTCTATCAGACTTTCCCCCACGACCTCCCCTTCCTCCCCCACTTCTCGACCACTTGATGACAATGCGAGAACCATCATCATTAGCGGGCGCCGTAGTATCAGTCTCAGTCTCAAGTTTGCCATTAAACAGCTCCCGTATGACTTTGTGCAATCCAGTTCGCGTCTCCTTCGACGCAATGGGCTATTTTGATTCAGCAAAAACAAAAGTAGAACGAAAAATATCAGATCATATTGAACTCTCGAAATAATGAACATGGAAGCACAGACATCAGAGAGGACTTTGCGATGATCTTCCCTCCCACCAGCTCGACCGCCTCCACGTCCTCCACGGCCGCCACGACCGCCACGACCGCCTCTGTCTCTCCCTCGCTTGCCCCTTGGTTGCGCAGGTTCTTCCGACGGCGTTTCCGGGACTGACGAAGACTCTTCGCCTTCTCCTTGGGTCGCAATTTTTGCTTGTCGTCCGGCCCAACCACTGTCACTGACTAGAGGCGGTTCAGGTCCTTCCAAGTAGAGCTGCTTGATTTTGGCTATAACCGCTTCTGACAGGAAGGCCTTCAAATCCGTGTCGAAACGATCAGGCCAGGGCTCTGCCTCGTTCTTTTCCTTTCCTTTTCCTTTCGATGAAGGTTCTGCCTCAAGCTTTTCTGTCCCGTCGGTCTGAGCAGACGTAGCTTCCGCAGTAGCCTCGACAGCCATAGGTTCATCGGAAGGTGTCTCGGTAGTTACAACAGCAGGAGGACTTGGCTCTATCGTAGCAGCAGTATCTTCTGTAAGTATGGCAGCAGGAGTTTCCGTGGCAGGCTCAGAAAGTTTCGTTTCTTCGCTCTTCTTGCGCGAAGACTGTGGCATTGCCAGGTCCTTCAGATGAATTACATTACCATCTTGGTCGACTTCGTAGACCATGAAATCCGTGAACCTGGGATAAACTATCTCAGCCTTGAAATCAATGATATAATATAGTCGCGAACCTTTGTTTAATGATTCCCTCGATAGTAGGAACATCATGTCCGACATACTCAGAGATGCCGACATCGGTCTCCATGACCATTTGAATCGTTCCATCAGGAGAGCATATTGGGGGAGGGAGACCAAGCAAAGCATGACTAGGAGGAAGCAATCTCTCGGCAATTTCTTCTGGTTTGTTGCTTGGTTCTGGAGGACTAACTTCCTGCTTCGTTTCCTCAGCATCTTGCATGACTACATCATCAGCAGGCAGACCGTCGACCTTTGAGCGTTTTCGGGACCGCTCAAAGTCTTGTGTGTCTTCCTCCCGTTCCCTCACGTTGGACATTTTGATAGAAATGAGGAGCCCAGTAAAAGAGGCCGGAATGAACGAATGGAAAGAGTTATCTTGGGCGCTTATGGGTGTCGACCCAGATTAGGTGGTGATCGACGCGTGCGTCGTGCGAGGATGAGGAGCGCGTCGCGTTCACCATCGAGGACGTCGACATCACTCCCGCCGTGGCCCCCGCTGCCGTCGAGTATAAATACAACAATGGCGACCCCGCTGCTCTTGACCATCTTCTTGCATTTGAATGCGCATCTTGTTCTCCGTCATGACCAAACGAGCGAGAGCTAGCACCATAAATTCGCAGTCTTCTTTACCTGGCAAGATGCAAGTATCAACCTCTGCCTCACCTACGAAGAAGACGCGTAGAGACATCAAGTTTCTACCTAACAAGGTTGCTACGGTGGAGAATGCAACGAAGGCCGACAAGAATCCGCCTCTGTTCCAATTAGAGCACGTCCTGAAGATATGTTCAAAAGTTCAGCCTGCAAGCAAAGGCGAGGCAGTTGTTTATTGGATGAGGATGGAAGACTTGAGAAGTAACTCCATTTATCCCCGAGACCTGTGACTTCGTTGACATCTGTCATGCAGTTCACGATAACAGGGCCTTTTCTCTTGCGTCGGCGCAAGCAGTAAAGGACAATGCGCCTCTACTAGTCCTTTTCGTTTTGAGCCCGCAAGACTACATTGCTCATGATAGGAGTGCTCGCCGAATTGACTTCACTCTGCGCAACTTGCGAGTGATGAAAGTACGCAATAAATCACCTCTTCCACATCACTAGCAATTCATCCAATCATGTAGGATACGCTCGCGAAGCAACATATTCCCCTCTACACCATCACACATTCCCCTCGCACCACTCTTCCTGACCGTGTGCTCTCCGTGTTGGCTGAATGGAAAGCCAGTCATCTTTTTGCCAATATCGAGTATGAAGTAGACGAACTTCGTCGTGATATCAAAGTTTGCGAACTTGCCAATCAGTCAGGTCAGGTACAATGTACGTTCGTACATGACAAATGTGTCATCAATCCAGGTAAAGTCACCACCAAGGAAAATAAGGCTTACGCGGTACGTTCAATTAAACCAAGCGCTCATTAGAACTTCCCTTTTCTCATCGCCCACGCAGGTTTATTCGCCGTTTCTGCGCGCATGGCTTCCTCACATAACGGATAAGCCTGATCCACTAGCCTGCGCCCCAGATCCAAAGCCAAATGACCTTTCAATTCACAAACTTGCGATATATTCAGGGCTCTTCGACTCCTCAGTGCCAGCTTTTGTCGAAGGATTCGAGCTTAAACTTGAGGACGCTGAACAGATGCGCACTTGCTGGAAAGAAGGCGAGGACGTGGCCCATGCGATGTTGTCGCGGTTCTTGCACACGAGGTCTCGTGCTTCCCAGATGGGTGCTGTGGATCCTCTTACGGAAGGTGTGAAGGAACCACAGAAGGAGCAAAGCAAGAACAGTAGGGTCGTCAAGTATAAGGATGAGAGAGATCGTGTCAATGCTGATACTACCAGTCGCTTGAGGTGAGCGACAGTTGTTTAAGGTTCCACACCGAAGAGTGTACTGAACATCCTGTAGCCCGTACCTCGCAGCTGGTATCATCTCAGGGCGTGCATGCATCCGCGCCACGATGGAATTATCAAACGCGAAGAAAGTAGATGCCAGTCGTGATACCGGCATCGGTCGTTGGGTGCAAGAGATTGGTAAATATCGCCGACCATTTCTCCTTACTGTTGAGCTCAGACGTCGGTATAGCGTGGCGCGATTTCTACGTTCACGTCCTCGCACACTTCCCTCGCGTCTCAATGGGTAGACCTTACCAAGAGAAGTTCTCCAATGTCCAGTGGGAAACCAACGAAGAACATCTCCAGGCCTGGAAAGATGGTCGCACTGGCGTGCCTATCGTTGATGCTGGCATGCGTCAGGCGAATAAGATGGGTTGGATGCATAATCGTGTTCGGATGATTGTCGCCATGTATCTGGTGAAGGACTTGATGATTGATTGGAGGTTGGGCGAAAAGGTACGTGTGTTATTCAGTCGTGTCAGTATGTGAAGTCAAAATAAATCGCACGGCTTTTGTAGTATTTTATGGAGATCCTGATAGACGGAGATCTTGCTTCTAACAATGGAGGATGGCAGTGGAGTGCGAGTACCGGAGTGGACCCTGTCCCGTACTTCAGGATCTTCAATCCATACATCCAGAGTCACAAAGTATGCTCCTTATCCTTCTCTTTCAGTATCTATGCTCATTCTGACTGGTTAATTTCAGGCTGATCCCACTGGAGAATATATCAGATACTTTGTTCCTGAATTGGCCAAGGTCAAAGGAAAGGGTGAGAACTTTATCTTACGTTGCACTGATGTACTGACGGCAACTTGCCAGAGGTGCATGAACCACCTTCAAAGGTTGCCGAAAAGCTTGGATATCCTACACCTTTCGTGAAACACTCAGAAGCCAGGGATAGAGCCATGCGACGGTATAAAACACCAGGGGAAAAGTAGTGAAATTACCTCAAGGGCCCGTCAGATAGACTTCGCTTTGTGTTCGTGTCCGGTCGAAAGGTATCGTGGTATGTTATGCTGATGGAACTGGGTAATATACAGTCTTGGTAGCCCTTTAATCATCCAAATCGAAATCAAAATCCTCATCATCCCGTCCTCGTATTTGCTGCCGGACAGCAGGCCTGGCACCGTAGACAAATTGAGAGCCACTGGCTTCTGCTTTCTCAATGACGCCAATATGTAGAAGCTTCCATTCCAATGTCGCAGTTTCGAAGTCGTCAGAGTTGCCGAGGTCTTCGAAGCCGATAATACTGGTGAAGAAGTACCTCAGTTATACTCATACAGTGAGAATGTAATGTGAATGGTGCATACCGAGCTTTCGAGACACCATCTATAAAGCAAATTACACATGGTAGCACTTTGACACCAAGTTTCTCCACTAGCCAGGGAACATTCTCCACAAATACACGTATAAACCTGGTACCAAAGTACTTGGGAGCGATTCTCTGCGAGAATGGGCAGTTAAGCGAATGGTCAAGGACATTGCCTGTGGGGCACATACCGCAAGGTGCTTGTCCATGATTTCACACCGTCTGAACTTGGTGTGGTAGAAGTGAACGACGCAACGTGGTTCATGCCTAGCAGCAACACAGGAATTTAGTCTCCAGACATCTTCGACGGAGACTGCGTAATAGCTCACGCGCTTGCTCTTACAACATCCTTCTCGTCTGTCAGTTCCTCGTAGCGACCATGACCACTAGCCTTCATATTCTGTAATCTCTCCATCCTGAAGTACCAGAAAGAGATCAATCAGCCTCGGCTCAGCCATGACCTACAATTGAAGGAGCAGTAGCACCTTACTCGAGCTTCAACTGGTCCATGCCGCGCTCCCGCAAAGCTGCATTATCATCATTCTCGATCTCTGCTTCGAGTTGTGCGAAAAGCTTTTCGTCATCTTCCTCTGGATCTGAACGAATATTGGAGGCATATGGGTCGGTGAGACGGGTGGTGAGATTGTTGACTTTCGCGTTTGAGCTTTCCATAGAGTTAAACTTTAAGAACAGAACAGAACAGAACAGAACAGAATGAACGGGTCAGTGATGAATCTTCGCGTGACGAATTTGGAAACAAGCGAGTCGCGGACCAGATGATCGAGTCGCTCACAATCTTAGTGTAGAGCCCAGATGGGGGAAGTGGTTCACACGCATCATACACATCTTGGACTTACTCCATCATGAAGCTCCTTGGAAAACATCTAGACAAGGATGGATCAGTCTGTCTACTCCATATTGGATAGCTTAGGCCACGGGAAGCTTATACACAGATAGGGTTATGTTACTCTACGACCGGACGACGACGAGGATATATGGCACCTTTATAATCTTATTCAAGAGGTAAGTTCGGATTTTGCCCGTGAGTGCTTGATTGACATAGTCATAACAGGGGGATCGCGTCCGTGCATCGGCAGTACGTAGAGTGCAGAACGTCTCCGCTACTGGTTCTATCGAATCACATCGCGTCCGACTGAACTTGACACTTGCGGTTGCTCGAGTTACTTGGTCTCCTTCTACTGCAGCCGCAGGAGAGGCTGCGTCGTTTTCCACAGATGCTTCAACATCGACTAGCGCTCCTGCTCATGCTGCTACCCTTCACATTTCTGGCCGTGTCACGTCCGAGAATCCTCATGTTAAGATGGGTGCATTCCATACACTGGACGTTGAAGTGAATCGAGACGTACGGATAGAGAAAGACGAAGGTGGTTGGGATAGTATTGCCCTTGGTCGTGTAGAAGAAAGCTGTGTCCCTGGACGTGGGGCGGAAGTTGCAGCTATCGTATGTGGAGAAGGTGCCGACTATATACTCGCTTTTTGTTTATTGTTATCTCACGCTCCTTCTTACTCAGGCACAGCAACCTTTTGCTTGCTTTCTCAGCATATGACTATGGTCATGCATCGACTGGAGGTATCTATACCTCGCAAGATTGCCGCTAACTCTGGTGCTCATGAAAAGGTCTGTCCTGGTCCTTTACAACAGAAGGAAACCTGCTCAAGTTTGATTCTAGGGGCTCACTCGCTTTTACTCTGCTCTCTTTACATCTTTCCTCCGTCATATCCCCTATTCATCACCGACAATACGAGCTATCGTGATAGCTTCGCCTGGCTGGGTTCGTGATGCAGTCTTTGACTACATCATGGCTGAAGCTACTCGAACGGGCAACAAAGCATTGTTAAGCACTAGGAATAAATTCATCAAGGTTCATGTTACTAGTCCTCATGTACACAGTTTGGTCGAGGTGCTGAAGAGTCCGGAGGTTCGTGTTCATGTTCTTCTATGCACGAGGAACTCACTCAACGGTATTCTTTGTTGCAGATTGCCAGTCAATTGAAGGAGACAAAATTTGCACGAGAAGGCATAATGCTTGACAAGTAGGTTCTTTGTCTGCCGCAGTTGACTTCATCCTCACAGCATGTCATCAGGTTTTTCAAGATGCTCGGAGCGGATGAAATGCGAGCGTGGTACGGTCCTGTCCACGTTGCTCTTGCAGCAGACCGAGGCGCGATCGGAACCTTGCTGATATCGGACGATCTATTCAGGCACGTATGAACATACTTAATCTCACGATGCTCTAACCAACTGTCTCAACAGAGCGAGCGATCCCATAATGCGGAAGAAGTACGTTCAACTAGTTGAGGATGCACGCCAGAAAAATGCGGAGGTCCTGATCTTTTCGAGTATGCACGAGTCTGGCCAACGTATGTACCTTGTTTGATTGCTTATTCCAATAACTAATCTCCTCGCTTTACAGAACTCAATCAACTTTCGGGAATTGCAGCTATCCTAACGTTCCCTCTGGACGTCGAGGTTGTGGAGGCGGAGGAGCGGGAAGCCAAGGAAGAGGAAGAACGACGAAAGCAAGCTGAAGAAAATGGTGAAGATGTAAATGCCGGTTAAGCATGGTGCTTAAGTTGATACTTGATCCGACTGTAGCGATAGAGAGACATCTCAATGAAAGTCAAATTTATCAATGTAGAATACACTTTATCATCTATGTACTTTTGATTCTTTTCTGATATGCTGCCCACCCCTCCGCGCGGTATCTTTCGGCCTGCTCTTGGACTGCCTGAATATCCACATTACTACCCTTACCGTAGATGCCTCTGCCGACAATTATCACATCGCAACCCGAATCGAGAATGACTTCTCTGGGTGTCCTGTACTGCTGTCCCATAGAGTCGCCGCGAGAATCGAGACCCACACCCGGTGTAAGAATCAGGAAATCTTCATCGTCCGTTGATTCACCCGGTGCAGCCCCTACCCCATCCATTCTTCTTTGGGCGATGAACCCAATGACGAAGTCGCGATGTGCTCGGGCCATCCGTACTGCCTCCTCGGTGTAAGAACCAGTTGCAAGGCTACCTTTGGTACTCATTTCCGCCAGCAACAAGAGCCCTCTTCCAAGAGGCAGCCCGACTGAAGCCAGACCACTAATGATGGACGGTCCAGGGACGGGATGAGCGTTAGTGATGTGCGACCAGCTTGCAATTTTATACACGCCACTAGAGTACTGCAAAGCCACCGTATTGCCTGTTGACAGCGGTATGTAGACGTATATCATGCAACTATACGAAGCATGACGAACCGATGTCGGCGAATTTCCTATCCTCGAAGATGAGGAAATCATGCTTCACGCTCAGTTCGCGTAGTTGCTCGATCAAGGTATGATCAAAGTCTTCAATTATGTCGACGTGTGTCTGTGAGCATGAAACATGAGGACATGAGCTATCTTGATAAAGGAAGAAACTTACTTTTACAAGACATATGTATGGTCCGACGACGTCCACAATGCTCAAGAAATCGGATTTGGAGGTGACATCCACGCTCACGCATAGATTGCTCCTTTTGAGCTCCATGGTTTCAAGCAAAGCTCTAGCTGAAACGTTTGCATGTTTCTTCGCCCTAGCGGCGTACGAGAGACTAGCCGGTCCCATCGCGTTTTCCTCTGCCGGAGAATTGGATCTTTTGAGTTGGACTTCAAATTATAATACTTAAAACTGTTTGTTTCTATTTATCATTAACACCGTCCCAATTACCTCATACGGCCACCTCCATGCCAATACCTCGGCCTACTTATCGTGAAGTCCATCGTAAGTATTCTAACTCACAGTATTCACAGATAAAAACGATGCATCGTCATGAGAATGCTTGTGAAGGCGAGTGATGTAGATACAAATGTAAAATCAAACAAGGAGAGCGGGATTTGGACCCACGCGTGCATTCGGCCATCTCGCCCGCAAGTCGGAGGCACTGGCACTGTCGTTAGCTTTCAGTATGTGTTGAGCTGCCTTCTCTGACCTCCAAGAGTCTCTTCAGCAGAGAAATCGTCACGTAGCTGTTCAACATTGCATCTGAATAAAGAGGTCTTGCGTTAGATTCATGAATCCACTTCATATCATGCCAGGATTGGATATATCGCAACTCATATTAGGATGAATGGGTGTCATTAGAAATATTGATCCCCTAACGTTACACAAAGACCACGCGGAATGTCCTGAGCAATGAGAGAAAACACATGATCGTCATAAGGGAGGTCCCGTAACTAGAGCGCATGCCCTGTGAGGTGAGGTTACCCGCAGAGGTCTGGCTAGAATCCCCTGGAGTTTGCTCACCAATCGCAGATGATTCACTGAGAGCCAGCTGCAATACGTTATCGTCAGTTTCCATGTCAGGCGCATTGCTAAGTAGGGTAGATTATGCTCACCAATGCGAGGTGTCCACCCACTACTGGTCTTGCACGGAAGCCTTCGACACTTCCATCTGTGGTCTCATACCAATCGCCAAGGGGTTGCGAGCTACTGCCATCGGCAGCATATTTGCGGACTGAACTAATCAGTAAGTCTCGAACAGAAGTAGAAGTGACAAGTGCAGCGGTCCATATTTCCCAATCTGCGAAGAGTCAGATGAGTAAAAATCATGTCGGTAAAGCGAAGAGACGTACCCGACTTTGTGTACGTATGACTAAAAGGAACACAATTAGCGCAGGCGGAGTTAAAGAAGAGAGAAAGCTCACCGAGTATCCAGGGGTACGCCAAAGTTGTTCGCGACGGAGCCATACCATGTAGTTTCTGGCGTTGTATATTGGTACTGATAGTCAGAAATTAGATGGCTTGGGCTTACGCATATCGAAGACCGAACTGGGGAATATGTTTGTGCCCAGGAGTTTGTCTGTGTACAAGTTGTACGCCAGGCCCCAGCTTTGTCACACGGTTCAGCGATAGCGTGATTAGTACCAAAATTTCAGATTTACCTGGCATCATCTCCATACTGTAAAGCGCAAGCGATAGCGTTCAGTCATGATGAGATGTGATGGAGAAGCAAAAGCAAACGCACGGAAAGAGTGAGATGTTTGCCACCGGAAGCAGTAGCAAATTGTTGCCACTGAGAAACATACGACGAGGCAATAGACTGCCCAATAGAATTCAGCTTTAACTGACAACAACACATTTTAGCCGTAGAACTTACGCTGTAGTTTGATTGTCTCGCCGTGTCGCCAACTAAGGCAGCGATTCCAGCCATGGCCTGAATACCAATGATCCCCTTGATAGCCAAGTTCGTCTGATTCGCTAGACTCCCAGCAAAGTCATCAGTACTGATCTGATTGGCGGGAATCAGAGAGTCGGTGATCAAGAACTGTGTCCATTGGTCAAGAAGATTGAACTGCCACCGTGAGAGGCAAATGTTAGATTCAGCGCCATCCAGAACCAGGAGAGACACACATAAGTCGTAATGAGCGATTTGTCGTTTGAACGTTGTGTATAGCTGAGGGTCATGATTAACATGTTCCCGCTTTCTGAACGACGTATAGTGTGAGTATATCAGCAAGAAAAGTAACATAAAGACAATCAGACCTTCAACCGGCATAGGCTCATCCTTGCCTATGTATCATGTGCAGGTCAGCCCTGCTTCAAAAGAAAGCGTGCACGCATACTTACCATCGTTGTGACCCAAAGCCTTAGGATAACTTGCACCTAATGGCAAACATGAGGTTTCTTGCTGCAACGCATTCTAGAAAGAAACCAACCCATGTCATGTACACTCCACTTATTTGGATACTGTCCAGTCGCTTGGTATTCAAATAGAGGCAGTAGAAGATCTTTGCCTAGCGTCGGATTAGTGTAGAGGAAGAGTGGCCATGCAGGGAATATGACATCAACAGTGTTGACGTTCTAAGCAACAATACCATGAGTATGTGATCACAGCACACAACGCAACATGACTTACGCCGTCACTAGATATCTCCTTCATAAACATGAGAACATCCGAAGTGTTGAAACTACCGTTGCTCCCTTTGGAAACAGTTATTTCAGTTGCTCCGAACGCTTGGCGTATGGAAAGAGCCACGATGGAAGCATAATCCGAAGAGATCGCGGACGCATCGTTGTTCACTTTGTCGTCAAACGCTTTTGCTCTCGTCAATGCATCGTTGTATGATCCCAGGAATGATGATATCTGCGATATCAGGCATCAGATATCAGTTCAGCAGAAGTATCGGAATATGTCAATATGGACATACTGCGTCCTGTACGGTAGAAAACTGGGTCCAGAAGAAGACACTTCGTTCCTGCAGAGCACCGTTGGCGATGATATATTGAATCGCGGGATCTCGGACATGTCCAACAGAAAACACAACAGGACTTGAGGGAGAAGCGATAGTTCCGAGGTCGTGTGCAAGTCCGAAGACAGGAAATCGATCTTGGACTGCGCGAAAGTCTGTGTCTTGAGTGTTTGGCAGGGAGCCTCGCGACACGAATTGTGAGCGAACGTCGATGTCTGCGCCGCTTTGAAATGTCGCTCCGGTAGACTATGAAGTATACACAGGATCAGCACTTATCAAAAAACTTCATTCACAAACATACATTCTGAGTCGAGTAGAAGGCGGAACCCTCTATTCAACTTTGTTAGTGAATATAGGAGAGAAACCAGTGCGATATACGGAACTCACGTTGAATATGGTCGTTCTTCTCACCAAAGACCGTCTGAGTCTGTAACTGAACTTGATGTGTGATAATGTCCCCCACTGTTGTGTTCCAAGTAGCAGTTAGGCTGTTATCGCCCGTAATCCATTCGGCACTGATGTCAGAGTAAACCTGTACCGAGTGTGGACTTCCGTCATTGGGAGACGCGCTGACGGAGAGATACGAGAATGGCAGAGACTGTTGCACCAGGTCATCCGGCTTGACGACAGAATTCATCAGCATATCTGGATAGCACCGGTGCAAAATAGGTATTGTTTATACCTCAACAGGGCTGAGGAACGTCACAGTTATGTCAACAGGCCCCGCGGTCAATACAAAGATGCTCTGTGTTGACGTGAACTGTTGAACATAATGAGAATGTCATGAGTGATTTTCAAAGATGAACTGAGTCGCCGCACTTGGAAACTTTTCTGGACCGCCTTTTGCGTAGGTGTACTATTATTGGTTGCAGGGAGGCCGAGAAATGTATACGTTGTTCCATCCACTCTCACGAAGCCCGCCCAGCCGACTATCTAGAGAGAAAAATGTCGAGGGGTGCGGTCAATGCATACAAACATGAAACGCATACTGAACCGGTCCAGAATGTAGGCCAGGCTGCATTCAATGCAGTTCCCGAACCTTGGGGGAGCCATGCTGATAAATAAGGAGAACGAACAGCAAGAGGTACTGAAGCGGGATTAAACGGCATAGCCGTCCAAGTCACTGCTGCATGAACAATGCCTGAGAAGAGAAAAGTAATGACTGCAACAAAGGGCAGCATCGTCAACGAAGGAATGGGTCAGTTGGACAAATTCGAGGACGCACATACTTATAAAGTTGGTGTTGATGAGAAATAGATTTCAATTCGCATAGCGAGGCGCATGGGAGAATGGCGAAGCTAGGTGTAATGACTACCATCACGCGGCTCTTAGAACCCAAATGACCCTGTCCGCGAGTTATCCGTTCTAATATTCGGGGGCCGAATGGCAGTTCATGACCTCCATATCTTTTCGATGCATTCACGGAGAGAACATTGGGTCATGATACTGCATAACATGGTGAGAGCACAGCCTATCATCGATTATATCAAGAGTATAGCATTTTGTACAAGGACATACTCTACATCTGCATATTGGGTTATATGATAACTTGATCAAGGCATAGCGACAGATAAATGACTTGCATCAAATGTAGCCCCAACCCTGCGAGACAGTAGCTAACACGGTCAGTGTATGGGCGTGAGAGCTATTCCTAATTGACTGTCATTTCTGCCGCATGCCGTACATACCACCTGAGAGAAAGATGTGAGGTCAGCTAAAGAATCTTATGATGGATATAGAAACAAGAAGATGACGTCAAAGGATCAGATACCGTTGTAGAAAGTATACATTCACAACACCAACAAGAGAAATGAAGGTGTTCATACAGTGTGAATAAGATGTGCATCATATGGAAGAGAAAGAGAGGGAAAGCAAATGATCAAACGAGAGCACACTCACCATCGACTATTCCTGCCACCTCCAGAAGATCATCATGTTCTTTAATACATAACAACATTTGGGTGCAAAGAAATCTGGATCATAGGAAGCATTCATCAGTAAAGTTCAGGACTTTGAATATGAAACGTATGCGACGGCTCAGATACCGTTGTAGAGTATATTTCACACCATTACACAGAGTGTTCAGATGTTTGGGAAATACGTTTGACATCACAGCGAAGACAGTGGAAAAGAGATGCTCACCTACGACTACTGGACGGCCATGTTGAGACAACAGAAACAAAGAGGACCTACAAGCATTATGGAGAGAGCGAAGAAGACAAATCATGTTCGCCGAAGAAAAAGCACGGTATTTGGCTCTATTTGTACCTATTTGACGCTCTGTACGTGCAAAGAACGATATACAAACGCGTCGCGTCGAAGCGCTCTGGAGGAGAACATTGTGCTCTCGTCCTCCAACCCTACCCGAAGCAATCCGTATCCTAGCAACACCAGCGTATCTATGAACTCCTGTAGGTCCCTGTGCTTTCTCGTATGAATTGCCTCCCCCGACAGGCAATCCGTCTCCATTCTCCCCCACCCCATCATTCTTCCCTCCGGAGTATATAAACCTTCCGACCTCCCTTCCTGATTTCCCCAGCAGCGTCGCACACTCCTCCACACCCCAACTAGACGTCCTCACCACCTCTCTCAACTTCCTTTCTTCTTCACTACTCCCTCCTCTCATCGTCATGTCCTATTCCGCCTCAACCTACCCCTTCTCCTCCACCTCCTACGCCACACCCAGCGCCTTTGGCATGTTCGCCGCACCCCAGTCTCCTCGTGAGACTCACTTCATGGTCGAAGACTTTCGGGTTGCACTTGGCTCTCACAATGGCCAGCGTACGGAGAGGAAGAGGACTACTAGCGGATCGTCGATGAAGGCTGGCTTGAAGAAGCTCTTTGGAGGAATGTAGAGGTTCAGCAGGATGTTGTCTTAGGCGACTGAGTCGCCTACACCATCTCACCATGCTTCGGCATACCTCTCGGTTGGACAACTCATGCATTTATGTCGCCTCACCAGGCGTTCGCGACCACATAACGTTCGCAATATCATGCATGGGCCACGTCCACCGTTCAATGACACTCGCCGTGATCCTCGCTTCATGCGAGTTGGCTCAAAATGTCACTACGCCGTAATCCCCGCTTTATGCGGGTAGGCACGCGACGCTCTCCGAGTCTATGACTCGTGCAGAAGTTCAGACCGTTGGAGGATTGACTGAACTCTAGAGGCAGAGAATGTTAGACTTTTTTTTTTGGACTGAGGAAAGTTTCTCGGTTTAGGATTGGAACAATGGACATTTAGACAATTGTACAAACCTCATTCTGGAGGACAAATAAAACAGCCATTAAATTGGTTTCGTTTATTCCACATTATCATACCCAGAGTGACGTGCAAAGCAACAAAGCGTGTAAGTATTGAGAAAGGCGACAATGAAAGCTAATCCAGACCCAACCCTCTTCGAAGCGAATCCGTCAAGTCCCAATGGTCGGTATCCCCGTGGACATCAAACATATTCACTCCAAGCAACCCAGCTTCCTTCGCAAACATCGCTTTCATCTCCAGACTTTGAGGATCATCATAAGTGATGACCTGTCTCGCAGGACCGCTCGTCAGATACGGCGTACCCGAACAATGGTCCCAACGCCGCGTGAACCCAAGAGCCCCAGTAAACGAGTTCTGAATCTCCCGCCCACCAAACGTCAATGTCGTATCATTCATGTTCGCCAAAGTCCACTCCGTTTCATCGGAAGCGGGGATGTAACGCAAGACACCTTGCCCGACGAGGTCCCGAAATTGGACTTGACCATTATCCGTTCCACCATCCTCATTCGTCACCAACGTACTACCAGGCCCAGCTGTTGTGTCTGCTTGAACTGCAGCATCCGAGATCTCTTGTTCGTCGACTTCCGCAGGATCAACGAGATGTTCATGTACGTCTTGTTGCAATACTGTTTCAGAATCAGCAGGCGCAGAGTCTCGGGTCCGAGTCCCAAGACCCAACTCCGTCAACTCTAAAAGTCTCCGTGCAGTGGGTGGTGAGGCCTGGATCGGACGCCGATTACGAGAGTAGTGTCGAGTTGTGGTGGTGTGTAGTAATGAGCGCGAGTGGAGGGTTTGTGCGCTGGATCGAGATATATACCCATATGACGGCACACCGAGGACTATCTGAGATGCCGGGAAGCCTGCCTTAGTCCAACTTTCTACCGCTGCGAGGGCGCTGGCAGTCTTTTGGGTGGAATTTCCACATCCGTCATTCAACGGGGCATTCGGGCCTGGGTTGCTTGAAGCTAAAACAGTGACATGTTTCAAAAGACGCCAGTCAATGTCGGTATTTTTTGCTTTACGCGAACGCAATGTCCGAAACATGGAGAAAAACGGAACTTACAGCCCCAGGTATCGTAATTCATTAATAAGATCCAATCCAATACTTTGGCGAATTCGGATACGTCACCCATAGGGTTTCCTTCCGAATCGGCGAATGGTACAGTCATAGTGGCTGCAGTAATCTTGGCGTCAGATGGGAGCGTGTTTCGTAGTGTTTGAAGGAATGCAAGATAGTTGGCAGAATCGTTTGGAGAAACGTTATTGCCTTCATTTCCCTCTTGGCCGGGGTACTCCCAATCAATGTCAATGCCATCAAGATGATATTGATTGTATAAACCGAGGATATTATCTGCTAGCTTTTGCCTGTTTGCAGCGTTCGAGCATGCTGTCGAAAAGTATCTAATGTAGAGGATGTCGATTAAGATCAACACCCATAAATAGGTCACACGACATACTGGCTCCCAGTCCATCCACCAACGCTCAGCTTCACATATTTTCCTTTGCTATGAGCAGAAGTAACCAATCGATTCAGGATCGCAGGAGCGTCTTTTGATCCGTCCCAGCTCAAGTTAAAGTTTTCGTCAGGGACAGCAAAGGCGAAGTCAATCCAGTCTAAACGGTCGAAATCAATCTTCTCTGGAGGGAAAGCTGCTGTAGCCCAATCGGGATAGTAAGCCATCACTTGACGTTGAATCGGGGCTGTAGGCGAAGCTTGCTTGTTCTGTCCTGTAGGTGTTGCAGTGAATGGCGGCGCAAATTCTGTGCTGTTGGAAACTGGGCTAGTCGAAGCTGACAGCGCCATGGACATTGACATCGGAGTTGGTGTCGGTTCGGCCTCGGACGTGCTGGTAACAGTTGTGACAAATGTTGATGTCGCCACTGTATTGATTGTAGGAGTAGTCGTCAGAGAACCGGGGGTTGAGAAGGACTCGAAGCTAGACGTGAAAGAGGCGGCATCTGGAGTCTGGGAAGCAGCGAAGACGGTACTTTCTGTCCCTGAAGAAGAGAAGGAATCGAAGCTGGACGTTAGAGAGGCAGTTGTTGATGCAGCATCTGGAGTTTGGGAAGCAACAAAGACAACACTCTCTGTCCCCGAAGAAGAGGAAGGGGAGGAGGGAGAGGAGAAGGAAGAGGAGGAGGCGTCGCTAAAAGTAGAGGAGACAGAAATAGACTCCGTAGGGCTCGACGAGATAGTCGTAAAGGTCGTCATTGTAGATGTTAGCACGAGAGTCGACATGACTGTCTCGGTCACCACAGCTGGTTCGTTGCCTCTGGGGGAAAGTCGGAGGGGAACGCATCGTGCAGACAAGGGCAAGAGTAAAAGAGTGGCTGAGGTCAAGCCGACTTGCAGCGACACAATCATACTGGAAAGCGAAAGCAAATGAAGGTGTGAATAGGTAAAAGTGGATCCAGCCAGAAAAGAATGTAAGACCACCAGGGTAAGAAAATGTGAAAATACCTCGCTGAGGTGATGGAGAGTTGGAAACTAGAGGTCCTGAGGCGGAATCTCTGCACATATGCCACACATGGTGAGGCTGACATTAATGACCGCATTTTGAGTTCTTCATTCGAGAGGTAAATATGATCGGCCAGCCATTTCAATCTGAACTGAAGCCAATTACGCCCAGTCCAGGCAAAGTAGTGGTCGAAGTTCCCCTATATATTACAATGAATTACTGTGAGCAAATGAATCATGCGCATTCTGACTGGAGGCATACATCCGGTCTTCGCACGCCTTTCCTTTGTTGAAAACATAAAGCGCAGGAACTCACCGAGACTGTTCGAGGTTGTCGTGGTCAGTGAGAACTAGTAGAAGTGCTTGCGAATCCTGTTGGCCATGGGGGAATGGTTGGTATCATCCCACGCCGGATGGTATACGCCATCAAGTAGACCAGAAATGCCAGCTCAAGCTTCGGAGAATTAGAATCATACAATCACACACATAGTGTTCAGAATCAGCATGAGCCAACAAGTAGAATGACACGGAAGGCGACTATACAGGTGAAACGGAGTCTTCCCAGCGTGTGCTGGATAACCCCAATGATACGACTGGCATTCGAACACTGTGTATTGATCTTCTATTCCCGATTGATACCCTTGATTACAAAAAGTCTTCTAATTCGTGACCGAAATGGAAAGGAAGAGCAGGCCACTTACATTTACTGTTCATGCAGACATTGATGCCAGGTTCACCCGAGGAGTTGCACAACCACGAATACAACATGACTGTTGGATACGTATCAGTGTATGTAACCCGAAGTCCGTTTCTTACGGGCGGAACCCAGATAGATAAAGCTGCTGTATTGTAGAGTCGCCCGTTTGATACGAAAAAGGATTCGACAATGGCAAGTTGAGAAGTGCCTGAGCGCTGCTCTTGGACGCTGAGAGAACGGGTTCGATTATTTGCTGGACAGTTCGTGGAGAGATGCGCCGCACCCTGGACGTATTTGGGGTTCCGGTCGGTATCGTTGCCTTCGGAGAAAGCGTGGAGGTGGGTTTCCATAGACTACAAAGGCTCATTTGCGATCAATCTGTAGAGGTAAATTTGGACGTGATGCACGGCACTTGGGAAAATACAGAGAAAAACAAGGCGATGTCGTGCACAGGATCGACACTATGTTAGAACCACAAAATAAACGCAGAGAGACGACTCGGATGTTGATTCGTGGCGGGCGGCTGAGGGGGATCGGTTAGGAGTATGTTTGGACGTGTCTTGGTACCTCCCGCCTGCTATACCAATCGCGGAAGCTCCTATACGCTCGGCTCATTGTCCTGTTGACTCGCAGCCCCCCATGTGCATAATCCGCTGTTGGATGGGGGCCGTAGAGGAGGAAGAGCAGCCGATAGCCGTCGTGTAGCCGCGACTGAGAGGGCGAAATTGGGACGGATGGGGCGTTGCCATTCCGCTGTTGAATGACAGGACAAAGAAGTGTCTCATCTTCTCGTGCAGGCCGCTCAAAGAAGCCGCTGCGAAGAAAGCGCACAGAAGAGTGTTTCTTCCCGAATTAACAAGCTGACAAGTAACGTTCAGATCCTGTTCAGATGCAGCGACCTCCTTTCTCTTCCTATAAAGTACCGTCCGTGCTTCGCCCTTCTTATCCACACTCCGCCGCTCTCCTAACTAAGCGTGGTATGTACAGCGCTTTATAAACTACTATCTATTGTCATGCCCACTTTTGCTCGTACTGCTTCTCCAGCTCCTCCTCCACCAATGCCTTCTCCACAAGTTGTTCCTACTGCCCTCCCCACACCGCCCTCCCTACCTCGTCGCCGCTCCTCGCGCAATCGTCTGCAGCTTCCGCAGAACCCTGCAGAGCCACCAATACCGCCAAGGCTCATTGGTTCTCCGCTCTTGCATCGTCTCACCACTTCACCGCAGACACAACCATGCTACTTTAGCGAGAAGGCACAGTCCGAGCTTTGGCTGGATGGTGATGAGTTTGGTATTGGAAGAAAGGAGAATGCACACTTGCAGGATATTCCACTACCACCCTTACCATCACCGCTCCTGCGCGTTCCAAGCACACCAAAACGTTCGGTCAGGCGTTCACCTCCTAGTAGTGCTTCCCGGCGATCAAATTCACCACCACCCACGGCGAAATTCTCCTCGCCTCCGCCACCTGTCCCACCTATTCCTGCATCAGCTCTTGCCAGTCCGGGATCTAAAAGGTCCGCTGTGCGCTCAAACCACTCCAATTCTCATCTCGCCATCCCAGACCTAGTTTTATCATCGGCTTCAGCCGCCTCTGTGGACCCTCCTCAGAGGTGTGTTCCGCCTTCGACCGGTGTCACCTGTTTGGAGTTTATCACGCTTCACAATAGTTCACGCCGAGTAGCGACCTGATGTTATGGAGGAAGGTTTTCTGGTCGAACCTCCTGTCAGAAGGTGTTCACCATTTTTTTTTGCCTCCGTTTCAAAACGCTCCTATTTCACGGCTGCCGTTCCGACTTCCGTATGCAGTGTATCAACGATGGCCCTTGTTCATCTTGAATCCATACACCAATCTTCCCGTACCGAAATGAACCCGCTAAACAGCTCCGTCTTTTGCGGTCCTCCCACATCATCCCTTTGCATACCACATATGTAGCCTCGCATTCTCCTCCTTTTTCACTTAGAAGTGATCCACATTATCATCACTGTACCATATCTCCTCGCATCGTCTTTCCGTATCACAGCATTTCATTCCACTACTTATACAATTTTTCATTTCGGGTCTCACGCTGCTATTTCCCTATCGTACATCATTTTCACTTCTTTGGGCTGCCGGTGTCTTCAATTCACAATCTCAGCATCTCCGTTGTCCTTAAAATCGTATGCACTCACGCTAATCGCCGTTTTACCTTATTCTTGGATCCAAAACTACCGTATACGTATACAATGTAATATGTTGCTGTAACGATGGAATCAGAAAAAGTCGTTTTGCGTTCGTTCGTTGACACTAGAAAACAAGAGGAAGCGATAACACGAGGTCACCAGTCCAAAGCTCGGAAACGGGCTTTTAAGTTACGGTGGTGCCTTGCGGGTCCCATGGTTGCATGGTTGCAAACATAGACTTTTCAGCTCCCTTTGGAGACAGGAAAGTTCCGCAGGAACACAAAGGATAGGATCAGGTCTATTATGCATTAGGCAGCCTGAGACGGAGAAGCATCGGAACCGGAAAGCTACTGCCATAATTGCCTTGAAATGTACATGCATAACCAACTCGTGGTTCTCAGGTAAAAGCCAAACGTAAAACGGAAAGGCATGGATCACAGCTTGCGAGATGAATGAAGGGACGTGTGACAGTGAAATGGGCTTACAAGGTTCAAAGATCACACAGAGCTTGACACACAGAGCATCCTGCATTGGTTGCACTTGACCCGAAGCGCATCGAAAACTGCTTCGCGAAGAGACTTTGGTGTCGGTGTCTCTTTCAGAGACAATCAGCTGCATTCAAGCAAGGCGCCAATAACCTCTTTCAGGCCATGCAGCTTGAGTTCCCCGTCAGGGACTTCGGGACGATGCAGACGAAGGAACGGAACTCGCTGAGAGATACGTCTGGCTAGATATACATGGTGAGATATACAACAAGCGAAAAAGCCATGTGAAAAAGATGCGTGGGGACGGTACCGTGTGGGTGGAATAGCGTAATAGTTGTTGTCGCATACAAACACTACAATCCGGAGGAAGGATAGAAGAATCTAATTACATTGAATGAAAACCAGTTCCGTTAGCAAGAAACAGTCGCGAAAGAAGAAAAAGGATACAAGATACGATTCGAACACAGAGCAGTACGACAGCGGGGACAGATGATAGTATGATACAACTGTGATGCAGAGGGGAGCAAATACGAATAAGTTAGATTGCGACATCCGATGCAAGTGCAATTAGCGAGAAATGGGATCGCACCGTATAAGCTAAATGGACCGTGGGTGTAATAGACTCATCCTATCCTGTCCATTTCTCAAACCCAGACAGAGAAAAGTCGTACAATTTCAGTCAAAGTCCCATGCGTTCCGCCAACGTTCGGTCTGCTCCCGCGTAGGAGCCCGGATGGCTGCTAGATGAGTCACGCCGCCCACCGCCTCCGCCATTGCCAACGACATTGCGCCGTACAGGGCGATCCCGTTCACGGTCTCGCTTTCGATCCTGCCGACCCTTCTCGCGATCCTTGTCCTTTGGCCAATTTCGATCACGAGCGCGTTCGCGTTCACGCTCTCTTTCCCTATCATCCCGTCCAACGTCTCGTTCTCTTTCACGCTGATTTTCCCGACTTCGCTCAGGAGAACGGGGTGAACGGGGTCTTGTCCTCTGGTCTTCGTCCACATCCATCTTGATTGGCCAGGCTTTCCTACCCGGTGGCGGGCGTGGAGAGCGTTCACGTGACTCGTTGTGACGAGATAAACTGCTCTGTGGTCGGTTATACATTTTAGGTGTAAAAGCAGGTGGAGGAGGTGGATTTGGTCGTTGAGGCGGCATCTGCGACTCCGACAGACGAGGCTTTTTATGTGCACGTGGGCCAGTGGGAGGCAATTTCTTCTGCCCATTGGTCGCGCTTATAGGCTGTGATGGGAGTGGCGTTTGACCGGGAGCAGGTGAATGTGGAAGAGAGTGAGGATTGTAATGGTTAGGCTTATGTTGGACAATTAGGGTTGCATGGGTCTTCTCCAACTCGCCCCTGCAGGACAATCAACACGATAATTTGACTACATGTAAGAGAAACGTACGAAAGTGATGTAATCGTCTGGTGCGACTCTACATAGAACTCAACTTCAGCGGAATAGTTCATTTAGAATTGTAAGCGCTAGGCGTACCTCTAAGCGCTCCCTCTAACTTCTGAACGACTCTCCGGAGAGCACGCACATCGTCCTTCAGGTGGCCTGTTTCGCTGCTCTTAAGCAGCTCGTAGAGTTCGTCATTTTCTTCCTGGAGCACCTTCACCCTTTGAGTGAGTGCGGAGGTCACTGTGCCCGAAGCTGAGCCGGTGGCGCTCGAGGTATGGTCTTTGATATGAGGTAGCAGTAGCGTCACCAGCGCAGGAGGCAACGAGAGTGAATCTGTGGTATTAGGACTCGGTTGCGTGGATAGGTATTGACGCAAGTGCGTAAGTTCATCCTACATGTGGTCGCAGCCATTACGCGTGAGTGCATTAGAAACATGGGACTATCCTAGCCCAGATTACATACCGTGAGCTCTGCTATTTGCGTGTCCCGTTGCCTCACGAGGGTCTCCAACTCAATTTCTCGAGGTGAAGGGAGGTCCATAACGTGGTAGACGGCGGCGAGGCCGTGTACTTCGCTTGAGAGGTGGTTCCAGAGAACGCCGCCTGTTGTGCGCCCCCGCGAACTATTCTCACGTGGCTCTCGCGTGCTCGAGCTCTCAATCAAAGCGAGCGCTTACTCGAGATTAATGCAAGGTCGCGACTCGCGAGAACTTGGCAATAACTCTGGGCCTATGGCTCTCAAGTGATCCTTCACTTTACAGTCGATACTTTTGCGTGTTCATGGTTTTATTAGAGAGTACAGTAATGGGTAAGATGGTATCATGGACGTGGGTATGGCAAAGGGCGTTCATCTCTTCATTTGCATAGCGTTGCCAGTGACCGTGACTTTGACGGATCTCTACTTGGAGATACAGTTGAATCAATTTCCTGGTCCTACAATACCGATACGAAACAGAATTCACCTGGAGCACCAGCTGATGACATTACAAGTGCAATAACTTCTTGATGCTGGATGTAATGGAAGGAGTACTGTTGCTCCTCTTTCTACCGCCCTGGCGTCCGTTGGATGAACGGAATATGTATCCGATATCCTCAAACATGAGATGAGATTCTCGAGGATTTTGGGCGAATGTGAATAGGTTGAACGCATTTGGTGCCGTCCCAGATGTGGGAAGGAGAGCGTAAGAGGGCGTAGACGAGTTGAAAGACATCTTGCGGAAAGAGTGTTTTGATATGGACCTGCCAGAGGTCGTTGGTGTACAGTGAGTGAGTCGGAAGTGTGCTCGTTATGGCGCAACTGGCAAGTCGTATAGACGTGGATCCAGTGAAGAAGGGATTTTATGCGCTATGCGTTGTTGATGTCTTGAATCTACATGGGAGAGAAGAACAACTGCCCTTATGCATTGTGAATATCGTCCTTGTTGAAGATACTAAAGGAGTGGTTACGCAGAAACCACACAGAATGTAAGCAATCTTCGGGCTTTGTACTTACTTGGTGATCTTGCTCATTACCTATATAGAGAATAAGGTCCGTCGATGTAGGCGAAGCACAAAGAACCATTGCCCCGTGAAGTATATGCAACTTCACGGCGGATAAGAAGGGCTCACATATGCCGCATTCACTACTCCATGCACGACGTCCAGTCGTACGTGATATCTGGTCTTCGTGAGAACAGAATTGCGAAGCCATTACCGCAAAAGAAGCGGTTCTGTTCCAGACCTGTTGAATGAATGGGAAGGCAGTACAACGCACTGAAGGTGTATCTAAGTGCTCAGAAAGGTTTGAACTCAGATATGCAAATCATTACAACAAGGTGGCAAATATGGTACACAGAACCATGACATTTAGTTACGATTGTATAAGCTTTTCGTCTTCGAACGCGTCGGAGGGGACTTGTCCTTGTAACTGTGTGAGAGCACCTTTCAGGATGTAGACAAATGGGCCGGATTTGATGGGAAGAGGTGTGGACTGGTAGCCGACAAGCAAACTGCACCGGGGACAGTGGAGGCGATATTGCCTTTCGTGACCACCTTGCCTGTGAAGTATTCATTTCCAACGTCCTATCATCAGCGTAGGATTGAATACGACATACCGTTCAATCAAAATAGGATCCTTCATCACAACATTCAGCTTGAAGACACGGGCTTTTCCCGCTTCACTATCTTGCGACCGGATGACTATCGCACTATCCGTTGTCCGTTTCGGAAGACTAGCTAATGATTTGTCTATAACAAGCTGGATATGGATGTTTAGCACATACTCAAAGATACGTGACGTAGTAATACTCACAATGAACTCGCCACAGATACAATCTATACGCCAACAAAGTTAGAACACCGTTGCTGGATACATATATATGAAACGTACAGTAGACACGTAAAGCCGCCGTCGATGATGCAGTGGGTTGGGCTGGTCGAAGAATGCTTCAGTATGAGCGCCATGATTGGAGAAGAATGGATTGACCATCTGTCGACGAGGAAACTGCTGAACGAGAGACGACTTTCGGCATATTACAGGATATAGGCCAGGGGAAAAGGAGGTCGAGGCAAGGAACGAAGTGTATGTAGCCGAGGCACGCGGCTGTAATTAAACTCACGTGAAATCTCTATTATTCTGCGCGTTCAAGTTGCTGTGCACCTCTATTACAGCCATTCGTTCCATCCCCAACATTTCTGTGTTTTCTTCCCCCCTCCATCTCTGACCTCTATCATGGCAGAGAAAGACGCTACCACACGGCTTCGTAGAGCCGTCAAAGGTGCGTTGTCGCTGTTCACTCGGTCGTGCCACACACGCTTACTCCGTTCATGTAGAGAACAACCTGTTTTTGGTCAAGAGGTTGATCAAGAAAACAGACATGAGGAATCCCGATCCTACACACAAACGATATACATCTTTGACCTGGGCAGCTGTACTTGGCCATGAGGAGACATTCGAGTTCCTACTCACTTCCGGTCATGACGATCGGGAGTATAGCAAAGTGTGTACAGTATGGACGTGCACTAGAGTTATTGAATACATCTTTCACAATCATAGGACACTGAAAACAACACCATACTCATTCTCCTTGCCGACACCAAGGCCCCTCTAACTAGTCCGTATGGATCATCTGACCACGAATTCTATAGCACTATCCTGCGGATGGCGAAACTATACTACGATCGGTATCCTGACATTTTGGATTGGGCGAATGTAGATGGAAAGACAGCATTGCATGTTGCAGCTTTGAAGGGGAACGAAGAACTTGTACGAGTATGTTGTGTGCGAATCCGATGAGTGGCGTACTTGTCTTACCTTCCTCACAGATGCTCTGTGACTTGGGTGCAGACTTCGACTTGGCAGACAATGACGGGAATACACCTTTGCATTAGTGAGTACCATCTTTGCGCGTGATTTGACTGGATATTCAACTCAATTGCTGTCCTTCAGTGCTAGCGCTTGGGGTCACGTTCCAGTATGAAACCGTTCTTGTTTTTCCATGCATGCACTAATAATCAACCAGATCGTTCAACTCCTAATTGAACGAGGATGCAATTATACTGTTCGCAACAACGATGGTTTTGACGCCTCAGATTATGCATATTCGTAAGTGATATTAACTCTCAGGAATGTGTGTTGCTTAAAGTATTTGCAGAATAAGCATACGCGATGTGCTTCAGGATACAGCTCGTGCACAGTACGAGATCAACAAACGAGCACGACGGAACGTCTTTGCTCAAGCGGCTGCGAGGGGACATGAGTGGGGCACAATGGCATCACATTTACCTCCACCTCCACCCCGAATGTACAATTCAACCAGTGGTGGGTCTCGCATGCGAAGTGGATCTGGGACAAGTCGAACGACTACAACTTCAGATTCTGGGGATTTCTTTGATGTGGGACCACATCATACAAGAAGCCATCCAACCTTGAACGCATCCTTTTCTCCCTCCCGTCAACTTTCAAATTTACCATCTGGTGGATTCTCTCCTGCGCAGCCCTCAGGTAGTTCCACAAGCAGTTTCCCCACATTATCATCTGCTGGCGTCACCTCTCTCGCCCCTTCATTAAGCTCAAATCCTGCCTCCGTTCTATCGCCCATCGCTACACGAATGAGAGAACGTGACGCAGATGCCATGGAGAAATACAAGCTGAGGCAACGCAGTGGTAGTGGAGCTACCACCTCCACCTCAGATGCACCCACACAGAATGGGCCCACCACGAGCTCTTCTGCAGCTGAAGATGACCTTAGTGCTCTTCACTCATTAGTGACGGTTGGGTCGGTCGCACCTCGGCGGCGATTACGACCGTCGGCTTCCGCAACTCAGTTACGGAGTAACGGCCAACCTGAATTGTTCTCAAATTTGCCTCAAGCGCAACACGATGCTGCTCGCAATCGGTCTGGCACCAGTCCAGCTATGCTCAAACAGCAATCGTCTCCTGCCACACATGGGCACTCATCTTCGTATTCCGAGGCAATACAACCGGTGACACCTACCCAGGGTAATTTGAGGCCGCCAGTGATCAGGACGGGGAGTTCTCGTGATGCCGATCCTGCAAAGGACAAATACACAGGGCCACCAAGTGAATATGCAAAGTTCCCGCCACCTCCCCCGCCACCCAAGGATCCTCCAGAACGAGCTGTCGCATCAGGCAACACTACTCCAACTACTACTCACACTCGCCGGTTGCCGTTCAATATTCTTTCACATAAACACGGTGACCATCACGGCGCGAATTCCAGCCACAAACGGAACATGTCAATATCATCGATAGGGGCGAAGGCTTCATGATATGGACTACAGTAGATTGTATTTCTTGGATGCGGAGTGTATTTTTGCCCGTGGTAGTGTACGATTTCGATTGCATACATACAGTAAATTGTTCGGTTGCTGTGTCATATTGTGTCACTCTCACCTTTGATGGTTTGTAGCTTAACTATAGACGTCTCATCGTGACTAAACTTCCCATGGTCAGCAGGTCAACAGTCTACTCAGGTACAATGACTCTAAGCGGGCGCTGTATATCCTGTTATGAAAGCTTCCCTGTTGATTCTGGGACGGTTGCCGGATTGAGGTGACCACATTAACGTACGCATGCGGGGGATGCCGGTGGCTGCACGTTCGTCTAGACTGTAGTCATTTGGCACAAGGCGTCCGCAAGGCTCCCGAGGTTCTGCCTTACTTATACCACACCCTGAGTAAAACAACTTCCGTCTTTCCTGCTTTCGCGTGTACCACGCTGCCTTCATGGCCTTTCCTACGAACGTAGACGCAGACCCGGATCCTACAACACAGATTCCTTGGCCATCTAGGAACGGGAAACATGTCCGTGTTCAAAGCCCAAAGGACAGGACTCCTGTCGGTGCCAATGGCAATGGCACCACCCAGCCAGTTCCTAGGAAACCCGTAGGCAAACATATCGATCCATGTCGGCCGCGAATGTCCAATATGGATCTTGTGAAACTGAGTATATCCATGGCTGGTGCACAAGTTGCTTGGACAGTTGAATTAGGGTATGACGTGGCCCACTTCGGGTAGGATTGGTCGCTAAATGCGAGCATAACCTTTAGATATGGAACACCGTTCCTGCTTTCTCTGGGATTGTCTGAACAGTTAACAAGTCTCGTATGGCTTGCGGGGCCCATTAGTGGACTGGTTGCACAGCCTCTGATTGGTACGTTCACTCAGCTTGTAGAATTCGATTTCGAAGCTTATCTACTATTAAATGCAGGTGCGATATCAGATGTGTCGACCTCGAAGTATCGAAGACGGTACTGGGTTGTCCTGTCAACCGTTGCCCTTGTTGTCTCTACCCTGTCCTTGGCGTACTGTAAGGAAATTGCATCACTCTTTGTCGACATCGTAGGTGCTGGGGAAGGCAGTTGGGATCCAGTGCGACAGAAGGGCGTGAGTCCTCCGAGTTGACCTCTCGTTGTAAGTTCTCACATCCGTCAATCTGTAGGTCAAGAACACGGCCATTGGTCTTGCCATAGTTTCATTTTATCTTCTAGATTTCGCTTTGAATGCCCTTCAAGCGTCGTTACGTAACCTCTTGTTGGACGTCACTCCGCCTGAACAACTGAACGCCGGAAATGCATGGCACAGTCGAATGTCCAACGCCGGTAATATTATCGGCTATGGATTCGGTTTCTTGCCTTTGGCACAGCTACCACTGATAAATCTGCTTGGTGGTGGTCAATTCCGCAAGTTCTGTGTGGTCGCCATGGGTATTCTTGTGTTAACCGTCCTGATTACTTGCTGGACACAAGAAGAGAAAGCTCACGAGTCTCGACGAGTTGAACGAGAGTGAGTTGACGTATCAATTATGATGTCAATACCCTGCATCTAACAATTCGACAGGAGCAAGATTATGGACGTGATCAAGAATATATACATTGCTGTTACGAAACTCCCGAAACCGATTCGGCGAGTCTGCTTAGTGCAAGTGTTTGCATTCATGGGATGGTAAGTCACCTTGAGGTTACTCTGGTGGAAATACACGTCATACTTTATTTCAGGTTCCCGTTCTTGTTCTACTCGTAAGGGTTTCTTTCGGACTTTATTTGGGACTATTAGTGATATCTTGCAGAACGACATACATTGGACAAGTCATGGCATACGAACAAGGACGCGATCCTAATCATGACACGGCTACCAGGATTGGTGAACTCGCTATGTTGATCTATAGTATAGGTAATCCCCACATCAAGCTCTAATATGTTAAACCTTCACACTGATCAGTATACCAGTTGCTGTCATTGCTGGCGTTTTGCTTCCACATCTTTCCGAACGAGACACCCGTCTTTTGGCTCATGAAGGTGATATAGACGAAGATGCGGAGTTGACTCGCCTGAAGCAACTCGTTCGCGAGTGGAAGGCAGAGGCGGTAAGGAAAGGCGAACCACTGCGGTTACCTTTCATGCCGTTCTTCCTCAGAAACATCTGGACCGGCGCGTTGCTGCTATTCACACTGATTACATTGTCGACCTTCTTTATCACCAAAGTTTGGCAGGTATGTCGATTTGGTTGTAATTACCAGTAGTAGGTGTGCTCATGAAGCTGTCTTTAGGCCATCGTTGCTGTCAGTCTTGTCGGCGTATGTTGGGCCGTTGCATGCTGGGTTCCTTTCGCGATAATCATGGAGGTGAGCCTCTCGTCGTCATCATCGAGATAAATTTACCCAACATTGTGCATATAGTTTTTGAAAGAACGTGAACACGAAGGGCCTGCCAATGCCGAAGCAATCGCTCGAGCTTGGGCTCGACGACCTTCACATAGTCGTACACAGTCAACCCCAACTATTCGTCCGGTCATCTTCCCCGACGAGCGCGCACCGTTGCTTCGTCGACGATCGTTCAACGAGTATGATGCCGACATGTATTCTAACGATCATGAACCGGTGGCTGGAGGAACCATCCTTGGTATCCACAACTTAGCGATCGTGTTCCCTCAGTTCATAGTTGCCGTTGTGTCAAGTGCTATCTTCAAGCTTGTGGACGCTGAGATTGATAACGACCCTTCCAAACATACAACGTACTATGGCAAGAACGGTGTCGCTTGGGTCCTGCGGTTTGGTGGCATTTGCACATTGGTATGACCTCCATATACTTGTATTCGAATGCCATCTAACATTTTTAATGCAGGCCGGCGCTATGTTTGCTCGTATGGTTCCTCCTACCAAGACAGAGAAGGAGATGAGACGACGTCTCGCTGAGCTGAGGGTCCTCAAGGAAGAGACCTAGCCATAGATTTTACGATGTTCTTTTTCATCTAGGTTGTAAGAATAAGTGTATCATCGGATCGGATCTGGACTATTGCACATCTAAGTACCTTGTACTTTACTACACATCGATCGCTGTCATTTTTGTCGCTATATCGCAATTCTATTCGCTAATAAGGCAGATGGCGTAGTCCCAGTTGTCTGAGCATCTCGACGATATGAATCGAGCTGATATGAGGGTTAGAGGTAGTTCTTCATCTTGAACGAAAGAAGGGACAGCTGTAAAATGTACATGAGCCATTATATCACGATTTTAAAGGATAGGGATAACATACGAGGTGAAGACTCTGAGGGGACATAGAACAGGCGAACAGATACAACTCTTTTGCTGAGGATGCCGGGAAGGTGTGCATCGATCGTGCTCTTGTCCAATAAACCGCGGACACAAAGTATTGCGCATGAAGAGCTCCCCACAGGGAAGCGGGATAGCTCCCAATAACCCGCGCCATCCTGACCTGAGATATCCCCTGCAAAAAAAAAAAAGTTGGACATTTGCATGGAGCCATTTCGTCAAAGTCATCGACGTACCAGTCTGAAAGAGTGGAGAAAAGCTTTGCATCTGTAGTTCACCCTCCTCGTCTGGAACCTCGAAGCGACCTGTATGCAATAAAACCTGCTTCTCTACGAGTGCACCTTTGGGCAAACTGGCAACAACCACGTAAAGAGTTGGACTTGAGGTATCCTGATTCGTCGACATGAACAATGAGCCCAGAAGAACCGGCACTAACGGGGTATACTCACCTCTAACTTCGCAGTTGCATGCCTTACTACTGGGACATCAGTTGCGCTTTGAAGCCAATATAACGCAAGTTGACAATGAGATCTCCATCTTCCTGGTTCACACAGAGCTCGAGCGACACGCTTGACATGCTGACAAGAAAGTGCAGTCTCTGTTGAGAGTGCCTGTGGTGAAGGCAATGTCAGATTGCTAGGAATGAGACCAATCTGTCCCGATAGAAACATTCTCTGTTCCTTGATCTACCACCAGAAATGAGTAACTATTGTAATGACCAGAAGGAGTGAATAACATACTACGACCGCTTGTGAGTAAGGACCGATGTTGGCAGGGGCCCAATAACTTAGACCTTGAACATGCAGGACGGCTCGGTCGCGTTCCGATTCTTCTGCGTAGGCAATACATTCCAGTCGGACATGAATTGGCGAGGGAAGGTCCGCTGCAACACAAGCTCGAGCAGGAGGTGCACTGCCAAAGAACATGGCATAGGTTTCGTTCACGCGGGAAAATAAATCCATTGAAGAGAGGAAAATATTGATGTTCGCAATGTGGGAGAAATCCAGTCCGTACTTCTGTAGATGAGCTGAAGGATGCGTGGTACATAGTAAGGCACACAAAATGGTTACTTGTAATCGGTAGAACTGACCTTGAATAATATGGAAGCACTCGCGCACCTCCTCATGGATATCAATGGCAGAGTCAGGGTTTGACACGGAGCGTTGTACATTTCCAATTGTTACCCAGCGACCACATCTCTTGCTGTTGGGATAAGAATCCGACAGTTGTGCAGGTCGAAACTTTCCAGACGCTAGCGAAGGTATGGTCCCCGCTGGCTCGTCTGCTGCCATTTGCATCTCCACAAATTCATCCTCCAACAAAGGTGGGACTGGGAGCATTTGAACGAAAGCTTCATCTTTCGGCACAAGTTTTGCTATTTTTATACGGAGATATGCAACTGTCGCAAAATCCTTGTCCGAGTGGATGACAATCTCCACCTCTTCGCTGTTCACAAGTGTCAGCAACGATGCCTAAGTGCGTGCCATGTATTCATTGCTCACAGGCTAATACGTCTCTTGAAGAGCGGACAGTCGAGAGTGAGAGTTTCGTATTCCCCACCTTCGCCACAAGGATGTAGTTCATACAAATCGTTCTAAAAGTCGCCCTATCAGAATAGGGTCGATTGACATATGATAAGTGGATGCGGACAAGCTTGAGTAATGTCGGCTGCATCTGAGATAACGTTCGCCCGAGGTGCTTTGTGGTAAGTCCAATGCCAGCGACCTTTATGAGGACGGCCTCCAAACCGGCTTGTATCATCTCCGATAACAGCTCACGCTGATCGCGCTGCCAAAGGTAACACAGTGGAGTCAGAGATAAACGGCGGCATCTATAATATAGCCTGAGTGTTCGGTAGCGAAGATATGAAAAGCAAACGCACACATGCTCGACGCGGACGCGTTGGTAATTGGACAAGATGGCACCTGCAGAGACACCTTGTACGTCGGGGTGCTTATCCTAATTTGACAATATGAGATGGAATTCCATGTATCAAACTGACCCGTTACTTTTACACTCGAAAGTAACTCGAAGAGGTCTTCCGTTTCGTCACCTCGAACGGCTGCACTTTTCGTGGCTTGTCTGGCGCCATACTCTGTTCCCATATTTACTGCGGTGCCTTTGATTGTACCTCTATACAGCGGAATATCTAGGGCTTCTGCGACCAGCTCTATTGCGTCTTGTCCTACAGTTTGATACATGTATGAATCAATTTCATCTGATACCGATCGTTGAAATTTGTTTGGCATGGATGGTAACAGTTGTTATCGGACCTTTGCCAAGTTCTGGTCGTAGTGAAGCAGCTGCGACAAGTTCGTGACCATTATGTGCACAGTGTAGGAGGTTGTAGCAGCTATCTTTGCCACCACTGAGCAGGGCCACGTATTTCATTGCGAAAGCAGATGGAAGTAAGCGTGAAAGTGAGCGTGAAAGTAAGCCGTGAAGTAAGCCTTGAAGCTTGAAGTAAGCCAGGGGTGACCGAAGCGTTAGCCGAGACGAAGTGCGATCCACGTGTATTCGTATTTGGAAACCGGCGCATGATATAACGCTCGTTATTATTTCTCCACCATCATCCTAGTTCTCTCTTCATCTTTCCTATTTCCTGTATCTTCTGCACTCAATCAACGCTCAACTCACGAATCATGTCTGCAAGCAACTTGTCCTCCGCGATGGATGTCGATGAGGCAGCGATCGACGAGGGCTTGTACTCTCGCCAACTGTAGGTACTTGCACAACCTCTGCTGACTAACATCTAACGACCCCCTCAGATACGTGCTTGGCCATGAAGGTTCGCTGCCGGAATAATGGTTACTGTTGCTTCTCGTCTTACCAATGGATTACAGCTATGAAGCGAATGGCAGTCTCCAATGTGCTTATTGTCGGCCTGAAGGGTCTTGGTTGCGAGATCGGTAAGTGTGTGTGTCTTAAAAAGTGTGCTCTCTATAATGCGACCCTGCATATACAGCCAAGAATGTGATCCTCGCTGGTGTGAAGTCAGTAACATTATATGACCCAAATCCTGTCGAAATCCAAGACCTTAGCACGCAGGTAAGAGGAGAACCGTCTTGCACACGCGATAGACACTGAACACGGCGTAGTTTTTCCTTCGCGAAGAGGATATTGGGAAGTCAAGGGCGCATGCCGCTGCGCCGCGGTTAGCGGAACTCAATGCCTATGTTCCTGTACGGTTCCTTGAAGGCCAACCGGGGCAGGACTTCACAGTGGACCAGATCGACGGTTACCAGGTTCGTGCCTTTTTCTTCCAATCAAGAATGCTAGTTCACCTTTCCCTGCAGGTTGTTGTGTTGTGCGGGGCTTCTCTGACAAAACAACTAGAGATCAACGATTGGACGCACGCACATGGCATCCACTTCATAGCTGCTGATACTCGTGGTCTTTTCGGGTATGCTAGAATACACTAGATGGTTTTTTGCAAAGGCTGACTTTCTGTCGAACTTCAGCTCCGTCTTCAACGATTTTGGCCCTAGGTTTACCTGTGTTGACCCAACTGGCGAGCAACCATTGACTGGCATGATTGTTTCTGTTGAAAAGGTTAACCTCTCATTCAGGCACACAACTTAATGGATCACTGACTGCATGTATTCAGGACAAGGAGGGCCTTGTCACTTGTCTGGATGAAACCCGCCACGGACTTGAAGATGGCGACTTTGTGACATTCAGCGAAGTTCAGGGCATGGAGGAGCTGAACGGTTGCGAACCTCGCAAGATCACTGTCAAAGGCCCATATACCTTTGGCATTGGCGATACCTCTAGTTTCAGTGATTACAAGGCTGGAGGAATTTTCACTCAAGTCAAGATGCCCAAGATCATCGAATTCGTACGTGAAAGACAAGAAACCCGTGGCGATTTGACCACTAATAGTACCAATAGAAATCTCTTCGCCAGTCACTGAAGTCGCCCGAATTCTTCATTACCGATTTCGCCAAGTTCGATCGACCAGCCACGCTACATGCAGGTTTCCAAGCAATCTCCGCATTCGAGGCTCAGTATCAACGACTCCCTCGCCCACGCAATGCTGAAGATGCTGCGACGTTTGTGCAACTGGCGAAGAAGATTGAGCCCGAAGCTGACGAGAAGGTTCTCACCGAGTTGGCCTACCAGGCAACCGGTGACATCTCCCCAATAGTCGCCGTAATTGGTGGGTTTGTTGCACAAGAGGTCTTGAAGGCTTGTTCTGCCAAGTTCCACCCTATGGTTCAACATTTGTACTTCGATTCGCTGGAGTCTCTTCCAGCTCAACTTCCAACCGAAGCCGAATCTCAGCCTACTGGAAGCAGATACGATGGCCAAATCGCCGTCTTCGGTAAGACTTTCCAGGACAAGATTGCCAATCATCGTCAGTTTTTGGTTGGTGCTGGGGCCATTGGCTGTGAGATGCTCAAGAACTGGAGTATGATGGGCCTCGCTACCGGCCCTAATGGTGCTATTCATGTTACGGACTTGGACACCATTGAGAAGAGTAATTTGAACCGGCAATTCCTGTTCCGTGCCAAGGATCTTGGGAAGTTCAAGTCTGAAGTAGCTGCAGCTGCAGTTGCAGACATGAACCCCGACCTGAAGGGCAAGATCCACAGCAATCAGGAGCCCGTCGGCCCAGAGACCGAAAGTAAGTTATGGCGATTGTTGAACAGAGATGATCGTCTGATGTTGTTTTGCAGATGTCTACAATGAAGAATTCTTCAATTCAGTCGACGGTGTCACCAACGCGCTCGACAACGTGAAAGCTCGTCAATACATGGACCAACGCTGCGTTTTCTTCCTGAAGCCGCTGCTCGAATCTGGAACTCTAGGCACCAAGGGCAATACACAAGTCGTCATCCCGCATGTGACCGAGTCATACTCCTCGTCTCAAGATCCTCCAGAGAAGGAGACACCCTCATGTACGGTCAAGAACTTCCCTAACGCTATCCAACATACCATTGAGGTCAGTTGATTCAGCACCGGTGTCCAGTTGCCTCGCTCACTGAAGTCCATTAAACAGTGGTCCAGAACCGAATTTGATAACCTCTTTGTGAAGCCCGCACAAGCTGTCAACGCATACCTGTCGGAACCAAACTACCTGGAGAACAACCTGAAATATTCTGGGCAACAGAAGGAACAGGTTGAACAGATCGTAAACTACTTGGTGACCAACAAGCCATTGACATTCGAGGAGTGCATCATCTGGGCCCGTCTTCAGTTCGAGGATAAGTTCAACAACTCCATTCGTCAGCTACTATACAGCTTGCCCAAAGGCGCCGTTACCAGCACAGGCCAGCCCTTCTGGAGTGGACCCAAGAGGGCACCAGATCCTTTGACATTTGACCCTAATGATGCAAGTCATTTTCTTACCTTCCTGAGCATGTGTCCTATTCTAACCTAGCATAGCAGCCTACGCATCTCCAATTCATCATCTCCGCCGCTAACTTGCACGCATTCAACTATGGCTTGCGGGGCGAGACTGATCCTTCTGTGTTCAAGAAGATAGCTGATAGTGTGCTTGTCCCTGAGTTCACACCCAAGAGCGGGGTGAAGGTGCAAGTAGCTGAAAACGACCCCATACAGAACGAAAGTACAGGTTAGAGTCTAGTATTCTCGAGGATGTTTCCGCCCTCACACTTTTTTGATAGACGCTTCGGACTTGCAGGATCTTGTCAAGCTGCTGCCTGCACCCTCGTCACTTGTTGGTTACCGTCTGAATCCTGTTGAGTTCGAGAAGGACGATGACACTAACCATCATATCGACTTCATCACCGCTGCTTCGAACCTGCGAGCTCTGAACTACAAGATCAACCCTGCTGATCGTCATACCACTAAACAGATCGCAGGCAAGATTATTCCCGCCATTGCCACTACCACCTCCCTCGTTACTGGTCTTGTTTGCTTGGAACTCTACAAGGTGGGTTTTTTTCTTCTTCGATCAAATGCATAGTTTTTTTTACAGTCGCATCTCATGGTAGATCATCGATGGTAAGAGCAAGCTCGAGGACTACAAGAACGGGTTCGTCAACCTCGCACTGCCATTCTTCGGCTTCTCGGAACCTATTGCTGCAAAGAAACACAAGTATGGTGGTGTTGAATGGACCTTGTGGGATCGCTTCGAGTTCAACAATGACCCAAATTTGAAGGAGATTGTAGACTGGTTCAGGCAGGAGCACAGTCTTGACGTGACGATGGTCAGCCAAGGTGTAAGCATGCTTTGGAGCTCCTTCCTTGCTAAGAAGAAGGTTGGTACAATCGAAATGACGTACATTGTCATGGTCACTGACCGCATAAATAGAGTGAGGAACGTCTCCCGATGAGATTCAGCAAGCTTGTCGAGCATGTCAGCAAGAAGCCTGTACCTGCACATGCAAAGCATCTCATCGTCGAGGTGATGGTGATGGACGAGGAAGGCGAGGACGTTGAGGTAAGTTTCATTGTTGTATGTCGAAGGATTTGCTGCTGACTCTGTCCTCAGGTTCCATTCATTGTTGTGAAGGTGTAGAGGATAGAGACGGAGGAAACGTATAATGATGAAATCACCGGGTCGCGATTGTTGTACATTGAAGATATTCCGCACAACCATGTAGCTATAGATGTCGAATCGAGCATTGCTCTGAAAGAATTCTATTGTAGATCGTGTGTAATTGATGTGGGGCGAGAGTCAGTAGACTATGAGACCGTTGTTAATTCTTTGATAGCCCGCTTGAAAATGCTACCGTAAGAGTTTGGTATCCACTACTGTAGTACTGTGATGTGCGGAAACTGAACATATTCTGTGCACGAGACTTGCCAATGCTACAGGTTCAAAACATGACAAGAACTTACGATGAGAGTGCAGGCCCAATCCATGTCAGGCCCTGTGTAAACACTAGTTTAAGTTTCGGTGCAGCACTCACGGTGATCATTGATCTAAGATTGGGATGGTCACCGTGCCCCGGGCTGAACTTGAATTTAGACGCAACCGATATAGAACTATCCAAAGCAGTAGAATCAGAAGCCAGTCTCGAATGCACGAGTTTTCTCTTGACGATAGAACTGGGCATTCCGACGATAGGTGATTTCCACCTGCAGGGCAATATTTAGAGAATGCAGAAGATACTATCCCGAAAATGGAGTCAGAACCCGTCCAAGATCAGCGGGAGAAAAGGTATTTAAAAGAGGTCATACAGTATGTGTGCCAGGAAGAAAGCTCCTGGGAATGATGAAGGTTGACAGCAGCAGAGATATCTACAATCGCAAGAGGATCAGTATTCAATGGGATCTATGCCAAACCTTTCAATTTTCTCAATGGAATGACGTACCCTGGAACCACCGAAGATCAGTCTGGTATTTATGGGTCACCTCGCGACCCATTCCCAGATTTCGACCTATCCAGGTCAGAAGCAGAGCAAGGACTTCAGCCAATTGCAATGCACCCATTTGGACCTCGGGTGGCTGCTGGTGGCTGCAGCAGAATCTAGGGTTCACATCTATCACTTCCATCGGCGTAGACGATAAGAGTTCGACAAGAACGACATGCAACATATGACCGCAAACATGAAGCTTACCGGTCCGTTGAAATAGTGGTTCGCAGTAGTATTCCTTGCACACCGTCGCAAAAGAACTAGGGTACGTCCCATCTGAATGCATGTGTCTGAGAGAAAAGCTTAGCCGAAGAAGCAAAGAAGCCCATTATCTACCGCAATATCTGAAAGCAACACGACTTCTTTACACTGCGTACCGGGTATAGAACGCACCTATGGTACACTGCTGATGTGAATCCGATGAAGAGTGTTGACACGTTCATCAATTTCTACAGACGAGGCCTAGAATGAAGAACATGGGTATCACGAACACGAAGCATCAAACTTTCAAAAATCTTAAAAGAGCTGTTCCGCTGCGTTTTGCCTGCGAATTATCTTCGAGCGGGCCTTTTCCATATGCTAAGATCGGTTCTGGCTGCCTCGAATTGTTGGTTGACCATATGGCTCACTGCACTGTGAATTCGCGTAGCGCGGCATATAAGGAATATCTAGACAAGTGGCCTAGTACTTACCTGACATTGCTTCCAGTCGGATATATGCATTGAAGAAATGAGGCGCATGAATTACGAGCTTTCATATTCACAAGCGAGGTGTACACAACTATATATTGGATCGACCGACCCAGCACTACGATGATTAGGGTGGGGGTACGATGGCGATCATTCTGAAATGCATAACGATACAATTAAGTTAGCAAAGCGAGGGTATGTAGCGATAGCATGGTAGTAGCTTGACATAGATCAATATTGCACTACTAACATGGTCAGCAAACAATCTACATCTTTTTTTTTGTTCCACTCACCATAAACTTCTAGGCAGAAGGTGAAGCAAATGAGGCGCCCACGCCTATCTGCTGAAAATCTCCACTTTTCACTCTCTTCATGAAAGTGCTCATACTGTCTTCATGAGTTTTGAATAATCTATTGAATTCCTCCATTGTCTCTGGGGCCTTCTCATTGGGAGTATCATCATTTCCTGAAGTCAAACTGCCCTTTATCGTTTCTGCGAGCTCCCTGATTCGTCTTACGGACTCAGGTATTTGACGAACTCTAGGCTCCGGTGAAGTAGATGATTCAGGTGTGGGGAGATGAGATGGTGCGCGTGGATTCGTAGTAGTCTGAATGGGCGACGCTTGCGTCCGCGGTACCGATATACTGAAAGGCCCTGGTTCAGGGCGTGACTGTTGTGGCGTTTGAGAAGTCGTCGACGCAGTAGACTGACGATGTACGAAGTGAGTTACCTCACGCAGGGACCATTCTAACAGAACTTACTGTCGAACTGTTCTTTTTCTGTTCTCGTTCTTTTTGCCATATGACCCATCTTGCAAGCTGAGAAAGATCCACCGACAGGGCGAGCGACCATACTCTCAATGTAGTTTCTGAAGGATTCGGGTCCTCAGCGAGTAACTGCTCAAGGCGGAGATAGTCAACGTTTCGGAAGGACGGAAAGACTAGAGTTGCCATTAGTGCACCATTCCGCCACACCAGCACTAACCAAACATACGTGTATTTCGAACCTGGATAAGTGAAGCAGAAAGCTGCGCCTGGCTCGCGGATACACCTTTTGACTCTTTCACCTTGTATCTTGTCTGCTGGTGCTGGAACCATGAGGAGATCTTGGTCTTGTCGTACCAATCGCAATCTGGAAGTGCTTGTATTTTGGCTAACAGGTCGAGACGCTGTGTCACCGTCGGATATAGTGTAACATTATCGCGAAAATCTGGCCGTATTCCATGAATGGAACCTCAACGTCTGAATATGAAGGCATACCGGTGAGGAGTCTATAGCCATCTGGGGTCAGACGCTTAAAAGAGCGTCTGGGCGGCTCCAGTGACTGCTGCTGTGTATCATTCTGCATTGTTCCGAAGATGGGCAGATGGGTTGGAAGAAGAAAGGGAATGGAGGGAGACGCGAGCAGGGAAGTATATAAAAGAGATAACGGATGTGTTCTTTGTTCCCTCGTTAGCTGCCCCGTAGTGGCGGATTGCATGTAATAACGGCAATTACGGCACCTCCTCCTTCTGGGTTTTGCCGACGCCTCATATGGTAGCTGATAATAATCACCATGCACTTATCGCTCTCAAATCTTGCTTCTGCGGTCGTTTCGGTGTGAAAGACCCTGCAGAGAGGGCAGCTGACTGCTGCATTTCACTCTTTCTAGAAGAAGCTATCGATTGCAACCTTAGCATAAATGATGAGCATAAATGATAGGCACAGAGCATACTTATTGTTAGTAGAGATGGCAGTGATACTGCGCTTACAGCTAAACGCAGAACGATAGGCCCCTTCTCAATTTTTTCCGCACCTGTCGCTTCGTAGGCGAACGCAGCCGCAGAGAGCCGATTGTGTAGACGCCAGAGAACAATTGTAGTTCGATGTCACTCCCTTGTCACTCGCTATCCAATTGACAACATTACACCCTGTTCCCCCTCTCTTTTATGTCAAAACTACTGTACAATTTCGAACGGTTCATCAGTCACGCGTCACAGGGGCAGTTGACGCGACGAAATTTGGCCGAAGTCACAGGTCACTGGGCATAAAAATGAATGAGTTTGGAGAACTTCATATTAAGCGCCAAAAATCCATACCTCTCGGAGAGGTTCTTTCCCCCTATTTTCATCTTTCTGAGTTGTAATAGACTGTGAGTGACTTCCAGAGCCAATTGCTGAAGGAAAATCTAATTTTCAGTTGAATATATCTCAAGGTCACGCGAGTCTCGACGCTCTGACGAATTCAACATTTCGTCAGGCCATGTCACAGGTCACAAGGGCCGATGAACTGTTCAAAATTGTACAGTATCTTGATTTTCTAGTAAGGATGCATCATTATATCCTGGGAAATTACCATTAGTATGATTCTTGACCATGGGCACTCATACAAAAACATTCACCAATACATCAATATTGGCATGCATTCCCATTGAGTGACTCATGAAAGCATACTGCAGGTTATTCGCGTTCCCGCTTATAATGGACCGCCTTGTATTTTCAATAATATTCAAGCAGCTGTAAGTACCATATCTCACTATCTACTCTCTGTATTTCAGTCATGCAATTCACAGCCCAATCACTGTGACATCATCAGTGAAGACTCTAGGTAGTGTTGCCAAGAGAGTGCAGTACCACTGCAGCTCAGGCATTTTGTAGACATACTACTATAGTGCATATATTTTATGACAGACTACATACATACTACACAGTTATTTCAATACAGGATACAGAGGGGTAGGAGCGAACTCCTCCAGGTCACAGGCGTGGTCACAGTGGGTCACAACTGCGGACGCAAACCGGCTACGTTCGCGTACTAAGCGACAGGTGCGGAAAAAATTGAAGAGGGGCCTATCGTTCTGCGTTTAGCTGTAAATACCATCGGCTCGCACTGTCAACTTGTCACTTACCTCGATACACAGTATAGCAATTCATTAACAATGACTCTCAGAGGTTGGATCAAGCATATGTTGTCGCAAGAAGCAGCGACAGCAAAAAACTGTCGCGCCCGTGAGACGTCTGATAATCTCCACATAACTACCAACGTAGACACAGTGAACGGGGTGGAAGCGAGATAAAAGGAAGGGGGGTACGCGGGAGGGTGACGCTTCCGTCAGCAGGTGGAATATTAAGCAGAGGCAAACAGGAACGGTAAGAGACTATCGCAGAAACGTGGGAAACGAAACCGAAATATCTCGACGAAAAAGTTTGAGCAAAGGAAACACGAGGAGAATGTATGGAATTTTTTTTCTGTACGATTTTCCGGTGTTTTTGGTGTTTCGTGAAAGAGAATGGGGGGAAGATGATGAGTCAGGAAAACGTGAAGAATGAGAAAGCAGAACGTGAACAACATTAGTGTAGTAAAGCGTCTCGAATGGATCGGAAATATACACAACGAACAAATCTTCAAGTGCGCGAAACAATGATATCGAGGGGCAAATGCGAATCGTCCGTCAGGGGGAATGTAACCCACTTGCGTTGGGTTCGACATCACGGCAGAATCCTTGTACTTGTAACTGCCGTTTGAAGAATCTTGAGTTGAGCCCCCGAGGGTGTGTTCATGCTGAAAATGCATGACGTCGAATATATACGGGATGCGAGGTTGAGAGAGAAAAAGCGGGAATCTGGCGTGGCAATCCCTATAGACAGGATGGATATGTCGAAGAGTGATGGAATGCCGGGACGACGAAAGACTGAAATAAAACCAGGCCGTGATGATATGTTGACATGGGGAACCAAAGAGGAAACATATTCGATAGTAGAGGCTGACGATATAAGAGAGTGGTTGATGAACCGCCTGGCGCTAGCGCAAGGATAGTCCATGTCGGAAGTATGAGGTACAAGGGGGTCGACAGCCGACGGGAGTATGATACGTTGAAGACGGAAAGAGACGAGAGACTTGAGAATGATGCTGAGAGGCTCTGCAGCGACGCGAAATGTCAAACCAATGACGTGTTCTATGCCTCGGAAGTGTTCTGATTCTAAAGGGAAAAAACAACACCCTCACACCTTCAGAGGGATCCTGTTGCGGAATTCAATCGGACGTTCGTAAGCAGCGATATAGTTGGGACGTTCGAAGTGTCCCCAATTGGACACCGGTGGAGGAAGCGGTGCGACGTAGTGAGGCTCAGTATACTGCGTCTCATGGAAACCTTCGTACCGGGTTTGAGAGTACGAACGGTAGTGTCCTTGTGACGATCCGGCAACCGCAGGATTGTAGGACAACGACTGGGACCGCGAATGAGACAGAGGTGCTGGAGGCGGTGCATACCCGTAGTTATATGCTGACTGCTGAGAGGCAAACATCGGAGGCGGCGGAGGAGCGTAGTCATGGACAGGTCCCCAAGGCCATCCTGGATGCTGCGACGTGTCGCGAAATGGCGGCAGCATAGGTGCAGCAGACATATGCATAATGGGCTGCGGTGCCATGTACTGATGAGACTGAGCCTTTGGATTGATCAATTCATCTCCTGCTGGACTCCAGCGCGCAGGCGGAGGAAGTCTCCTCTCGGGTTCCATGGCTCTCTCTTGACTACGTGAATAACGCGCAGATCCTGCCCCGCTGACTCGACGTTTCGGCACATACTCCAATCTCAATGGTCCCTCTTCGTCGAGGTCGATGTCCAAGACGTCGACGTCATATACCTGCTCCAACTGCTCATCAGCCTTCCGCTTCTCATCGAGGCCAAGGAAGACGGGATGCTGCGGATTCTCCTGCCACTGCGAGTTGGCTTGGATGAGGGTGTCGATCGACCTGCGTATGATCATGTGAGGGCTAGTCGATGGTCGGGAGATCGGTTGAGGGAAAGTTGGCGATGACAACGACATGTGGTAAGCCTTCAGGCATTCCAACCACTGAGACCAGTCCCTAGGCTGGATAGAAATATCGTAGCGGAAAACGTCAAGAGCTAACGATTCCAACCTGTTCAACGATTGAATTGGAACACTTGAGATTGAGTGCCTATAATCAAGAAAGTGAGTGTCAGCATATGAGAAATAGTGTGTGAGTACACACCAAGTCTTGTTGGAGAAGGTGTGATCATCTAACCACTTGTTGGCTAGCATACACCCAAGAAGGATCAGCCGGAAAGGAGCATACGAGTCGTCCCGGTCGAGCAACGAATGAGGCTCTCCAAGTAGTTCTTGCCTGAAACGCATCTCCTTTTCGTGATGAAAGCCCAGCTGACAGGGACCAAAGTAGACAGGCAAATTCACTATATAGTGCATCGCCAGGAAGATGGCCGAAGGCTGAAGCAATGTTGACATGAATAGGGAATGTATGTTGCGCGCCAAGGAACTTGGAGGAGCATGTGAATAATGCCTATTCGGAAGGTCTCTGCCAAGAAAAAATAGGTCAGCCTCAGATGAAATTGTACAGATACGAAAAATGACGAACCTGGGAGGAGCATGCTTGATGTATGCACCAGTAGTGCATACCTTCCAAACGAAGGAGGCCATCCATTCGGAGAGCGGCTCGGCAAGCTTCTTATAATCATCGTTTGCTGACGGCGTCGGAGAAGGCTCCGCAGCAGGCTGAATGGCTTGATGGACCTGCTGGTCATACTGCTGACATTGATAGCACTGGTTATTGCAGTAATCCTCATACGTGTATGTGTTCTGCGAAACCACATCAACCGGGTGGCGATGACTGCTGTAAGACAGGGTATTCTGGGCATCGGCCACTGCGCGATCAACGTAGTGTTCAAATGGTGTTGCCGGCCCAATAGGGCTGGAAGACGGATCGTTATTTCCACTAGCGTTGGGGGATGTTTCTTCGTGGAGGGGGCTGAACATGCCACGGTCGATGGAGGACTGCGGAGGGTATATGTTTTCATCGTTTGCGATGTACTGACAGTTCTGATAGTCAGAGGAAAACTCGAGGGAATCAGTATCAGAATCTTGAGCTCTCATCTCGCTGTCTGAATAGGTGACGGGAGAAACACCATTGCTCCGCCATCCATCTTCTTCCTCTATGGGACTCATCTCGTCGTCCGCCTCTTCGGCAGGACTAGGGTACATCCCGTGATAAGCAGCAAAGTTGGCACTAACAATGAGTGTCGAGACGGGCGGAATGCACGCTTGCGCGGGCGCTCCTTTAATGACCGCAGCGTTGCCCGCGACGGTCAACCCTTGATGAAAACTCGACCCGCCAGTGCTAGAGTGGTGACGAATGTTGTCGTCCTCCCAAATGGCGCGCGGCTTGTTTCTTCTCCAGTCTGGCAAAGAGCTAATCCACTCCTCCCTTGTCGCGAACGAAGGCGGTGGCCCACGAGGCGGAAGAGGTAGGGAGTGGGTTACGTGTTGGAACAGGGAAGGTTTGTAGTCAGCGTCACCAGACTGAGTGGGCTTGATTACGGGGTGAGCTGGCTGCTTGGTGTAGAGTGGGACGGGAACTGGCATCTGCAAATTAGGGAAGAAAGGCGACCGATGCCGCCCGTTGCGCGATACGATCAGAGGTACTGATGGACCGCTGACGATGCGCAGTGCTGAACTTGCGACAGAGACGAGAGAAAGTGGGATAGGAAAAATCGGTCGTAAAGTAGGTCGTGAAGATGAGAAAAAAAGCAGAAAAGAGGCGGAAAATGGGGAGGTCGACGATGACGTCCGATGGGTCGAGGGAGAGATGGCAAACGCACAGCAAAGGCGTGCCTTTTGAGCGAGTCGGATATTCTCTATGGACTAAAGAGGAGTGGCCGGATAGACTTTGTTTTGAACAAAGAGAAGTGTGGCCGTGGCGAGAGCCTCTCTCAGACCAGCGAAGAGAAATCTAACGAGGGGGCAAAGAGACGATGAAAACGCCCTCTCCTATTGAGACCGCCGCCGTCGTGGTCGTCGTCGAAGACAGGCAAAAGATGGGTACTGGCAACGCGGGACCGACTCGACGGGGGAGGGTCGATCCTAGGGGGGCCAATGGGTGGTTGGGTGAAGAAAACCAGCCCTGCTCATTTCTGCTCTACTACCCCTGCTTATGTCAGCATCCGCTCCTTATTGGGCCATCTGCTCGGCCGGCATCCACCAGGACCAAGGAACAAGCTCCTTGACTGATACTTGACTCACTCCCGCAGCCTTGTCACTGAATTGTCATCCCGTGCCCGCAACAGTGCCCTCACACGCCCTGCCAGACCGTCGTACACGCGCGGCATCCCCTGCCGGAACATTTCTGAGCCCTCCACGTTCACACCCATCATGGTCTTTCCCCAGTTACCATCTTATGGATCGTCTCAGGAAAATGGGGCCTCATCGCAGCAGGTTGGACTCGATTCCATTTCTCTCGGTCAGTTAAAGGCCATGGTCGGCTCCGCGCCGAAACCAAAGGCATGTCCGATTCACCCGTGCCCGCCAACATCCCCTCTGATACCTGTCGAGAGAGTAGCAATCTTATTATGATTTTCGTTATGACGACGAGGACACCGTCCTCAATGAAATTGAAGAATTCTATTCTTATGTCGAGATGCCTCAAGTTGAAGAAAACATGAAGTCATGGCAAGGGTTTTTCCCCGGGAGTGAGCTTCGCGCGTCACCTGAGTGCATAGTTCACATTTGATTGGAATCTCATAGAATGGATTGAAAGCACATTTGCCCAACGGAAAGCGCACGTCGAGCTTCTCCTTGAAGGCTTGGAACATCGTGACACAGAATTTCGCTTCACGAACGCACGCAGACTGCTTTACGTCCTACAAGGTGTGTCTTATTACAGTAGTTTTTGCCATGACGCTGATTGGAGTGTCAAGGTACGTTTGCCGAGACGACTTCCCCCGAGCACCAACTGCATTGGATATTCGAGAACGGCAAGGTCGTACGAGCCGCCAATGGTCTCAGCAATATTGTGGAAGCGATGAAGATCGCGAGCTCCAAGCATGACCTCTTATGGTACCGTCTAGCGGCACACCAGCGGGCCCCATCGCTCATTAATCTCTTCCGAATGTAGCTCTCTGTCAGACGCGGATGCGGCGCACTTCAACATTTCTCCGAATGAGAAAGCTGATCTTATGGAAGAAGTGACAACCGAATTGTCCGTTCATCTGGGAATGCTTTACCATCTGGTGGAAGTCTTCAAAGGTCATGATGATTTTGCTGACGAACTGAGTAGGTATAGCATTATTGCTTTGATATGCTCCTCCGCTTATGGTGATTTGGTATAGTGAGCTTGGACCCTCCACTTCCTGTATATCTATTCAACGTGGTGGCGGGCTTGAAAGACAAGAGCGCTAAGGGATACCCCGTGAAGAAGGTGAGACCCTTTAGGACGTTTGTTGCCAGAAGCTTAGCCTTTGCAGTTATTATTGGTTCTTTGGAAATCCCTCCTAACGTGTTGCGGTGGCATTCGCGAGCTCGCACGTGTGAAGAAACTATCAAGGGAGCTTGCTGGTCTTGCACAGGCTCCGGATGAAGGTAATTATATCATCGTGTTTCATGGACAAGCATCATCATCAAGCTCACCTCGCTACAGCCATTCCTATCAAAGCATCTCCTCTTGACATTGAGGCGTTTCATCAAGAAATATCCGTCAAGTATCCGACTTTCACCCCTCCTCACTCTACACCGCCCGAGGTGAAGCGTGTACCAATAACAACAGACAGGCTTGCCCAGGCATACTCGCCGATCCCTGTACGACATCATTACGACCATGACGAAACCGACATACATCATTCAGGCCTTCCTCCGGGCTCCCAGCCTCATCCATTCCATGCCCAAAACAACAGCTCCGGATTCCGCGGAATGCCTCAACCACCCACCCCAGCTCCCTCACCTCCGCCGTCCCCGAAACCTAAGAAACAGCAGTTTCAGACTGACCAGAACCGACCTTTTTTATTTCCGTTCTCGCGCAGGTTAGGTCAACGCAATGCCCGATTAGTACCGTATGCTATTGATGAGGCCGACAAGCTGTATCACAAGCACATGTACGTCAGTCTTGCACTCTGGCAGATGTGGCGGACTAGGGAAGAATGCATGGCCGTTGAGAGCGGTCTAGAATTCATGCCTGGTTCAGAAAAGATTGAGCCATTGAATCCTCCTCCTCAGACGGTACAAGTCCCGTTAATCAGATTGAGATGCAGATCATACTAATTGGTCAAACAGGAAGATGGTTCGGAGCTACTGCCGGATGTGGCGCTTTTAGATGCCAAAATTGCTGAAGCAGAGGCTGCTCTTGCTCAAGCAGAATCTGCCGGTGACAAGCGGCGTGCTCGAGAGCGTAAGGAGGACTTTATGCGGCTGAAAAGGGTGGAACAGATATATGTCAGTAAAAATGCGTCCATCTTAGCGATCAATCCTAACGGCTGATCATTTTACTAAGAGTGCTGTTCTGCCTGTCCTATCCAGCTGGGTTCTTGTGCTGCTTAAACTATTGCTAGCGACAGTGACTGCGGGACAGAGTGCACAAAGTGGAAATGGACCTGGGGTAGTCTCATGTATGTGTCACATGCATTCTGTTGTTATACATTCATTGATGGCCTATTTGGCAGTGGACCCTGCCGTAGCTCACTCTCTTGAGGATATTGACATTCTAAGGCATCGCGAAATCACTACGAAAGTAGTCTCTGCGATCCTTCTCCTTACACTGAAATGGTTCAAGGTGTCTCGTAAGTTGTCATTCCTACCCTGATTCACGCCGTCCCAACGACATGTTTTTTCTAGACGCGATGAAGTTCCATCATTTGGGGCAGATCCTACTGGACACCAACTGTCTACTGCTGATCCTTAAGATGTTTGGTCTGCAGGAACCTTCAACCACAATTGTATCAAAGGCAGATGCTCCTGATAACAAGTTTGTCACCTGCCCTCGCGCGAACCGCAGTTATCGCTGACCATCTAATCTATATTCTTCTAGTTTCTTCCGATATTGTTATCTGCGGTTCTCGCAAAATCCTCAGCCAGACGCTTTTGAGGAACACATGCTCAAAGCACGCAGGCAAACTATCATTCGGACGACAGTTCTCCCTAATGGCGAGAAACACGAGGAAGAGGTTGACCTTCTGACTGATTTCTCCTGGAGAAACTTCTTTTCGACGATCAACTGTGCGAAGATTATGCAGAAGTTGTCAAAGCATCGATCCCACCGGATCCGGATGTTGGTTCAATACAAGAGTTCTGTAAGGACACGATCGATGATCTGCGTTCTCGGTGCAGATGCTCACGATAATGATATCATTTGGTTCCTTGATTCCAGGCTGTTCTAAAACGAATACTAAAAGTTCAGCACCCAATGCTGCAGCTTCACGTTCTCAAGCTGATCAAGAGTCAAGTGCCGTTCTGTGGGAGGAAATGGCGACAATGTGAGATGATTCGCGGTAGTGATGTGCTATCCGACCTAATACCCTTTTTAGCCAATATGCAGGTCATCACTGCCATCTACTTGAACTGTAGACCGGACCTGCGAGATGAGTGGCTGACGGGGATCGAGGTCGATGACGTTGTAGACGCTCAGGTTCGTTTCCTTTCTTTGCTGTTCCGCTCCGATGGGGTGCTGAGAATGTACGATGGTAGGCACAAGAACAAGCCTTACGTCATCTAGTGAAATTCTGTGAGTCTCTGCGCCTTTCCTCGCATAAGTTCCGAGACTGAATGCACGATAGACAACACCAAGAGATATGGACCCGCTGCGGTCCATCACGCGGGTAGTGTCCACCGGCGTACTGGAAGTTTATCTCAACACTTGGAAGGCTTGCATCCGGGTCCAGAGCTCTCGGGGATGATTCGACCCATTGGAACGCCTAATACTGTCGAAGCCGACGTATTTCCTCCATTGCGTGCTCATGCTCCAGAGCCTTCCATCTTTTTGCCCTACGTCACAGAAGATATTGCTTTCGAAGAAGAGTATGAAGAGTACTTGTCAGATCTCGGCTGGTCGGACCAGCAGCATCCAGAAGGCGGCTCTGCATGGAGCAGATTACCAGAGTTCGCTGCTGACATTTCTGACAGCATAAGTGATAGTGAAAGCATTGTTTCCATTGGCGAACTTGGCGATGAAGCTCGACTCAAGATTAATAGCGAAGAGCAAGAATCCGTTCCTGATGAGAATTTGAATAATTGGGAGGTTTGTTATTGGTCTATCCGATATCCTATTTCCATTTTTACTTATACTTCCATTACTAGCATATGAGTCCGAAGACAATGGCTGCCCTGACCAAATCTCCAGCTGGACGTCGTTCTAGTTCGGGGAGCGGCCTTCGGCCTGTGCTTCCATTTGCTTTGGATGACGGTAGCGCGGTGGAGGAAGGCGAGGAGGGTCCCGAATTGGGGCCAGTTCCGAGGGAACCTGATGGCCCATTCAATGCTGGTGCGGGTGTGGACGAAGTGGAGTATGCCTACGGGTACGTCTTTCTATATTCATATAATGGGTGCACGCAACTGACTACTGTTTTCCCTCATTGCAGTGTCTAAAGATATCCCTGAAGTTTATCTTTGGGAATGTGTTTCTCGATTTCGTCATTTAGAAGAGTCTGGATTGTCGATTGTTTGGTTCGTGCATCACTTGTACTAGTTCTGCTTTGTATTGCATATCGACTTAGAGTACATAGTATCATTTGAGAGATCTTCTTTGACCCCGTAGTGATTCATGAATACCTGTGTTCAATGACTTCGACAAAATGCATAGCAACGTGTGGATCATTGACTGTGATATACAGTACATGGCGCCGTCTTGACTGCACTCGAATTCTTGGAAACACCGTGATAAAACCGAATACTAGTACATTGCCTTGGATCTGGCGATAGCCCATGGACTACCTGCAGAATAGAAGTCCATAGGATATACTTTTTCCTTCCTCTGGCCTATACTATCGCGTTCCTCTTCCATCCAGCCGTCCGCCTTCCCAACAGCAACTGCCGTTTCGTAAGGTGTCAACAAAGGCTTATTGAACGCATAACCCCAGTCGATGGACAATCGCGGACACGACGTCTGGACGAAAGTGGAGATATGATCGCTGAAGAGTGCCAATTTTGCAGGTGATAGCTCTGAAAGGAGAATCGGCATGTATGGAATACTCGTGCGAGAGGTGGAAAGCTGATGAGTGATCGCTTGTAGCTGTTTGAAACTACCCTGTCGACCCAGAGTTCCGAGAATGACACCCCATATCGGAGGCTCAGGAGATGTGGTCGATGATATCACGCTTTCTGATGGGGAAGGCACGAGGCTAGTGATAGTTTTGCGAGCAGCTTGAACAGCTTGATCTCGCACTGTCCTCATCTCGGTATGATTGTATCGCTCTCGAGTGAGCTTTTTGGAGTAGGGGTCGTATCGGAATGCAGGTACTGAGGGATTTGCTATCATGATCGACTCCAGATGAAAGCGGCCATCGCCCAGGTATCTGAATGATCATGTCTCAGTGAGTATCTATCAAAGGTAATGAACAAAGGTGGGACGTACATGAGCGCATCTACATCATTTAGGTGAGGCGCAGTACAACCAAGGATCTCGCCTGGAGACAATGGTTTTGATTGAGGAATGGTAGCTTCATACTTGCCAGAACAAAGCGGTGGCTTGGTCGACTGTGGCTCGAAGGACAATTCACCACTTGTCGTGTCAGTGGAGGAACCTTCAATGAAAGCAACAGGAGGAGTGTAGTGCGGATCGACGTAATCTGATGTCAAATCTTCCTTGAGTTGTGACAAAGCAGCAACGAATTGAATGGTAGACACAAGCGCCAAACGAGTTGGTTCATAGGTTGATGATTGGGTTGTGAGAACAACGGCATCGGAGGGTTGAGATGACTCTGACTCGGCAGCATCAATGCGAAGATGGTTCGAGGGACCAATGTGCTGCCCCGCGGGGATCTGACTCTGCTCGTCCTCGGATACAAGAAGCGTCGTTCGAAATTGCCGACGGTCGGTGGGGAAATTTAGACGGATAGTTTGATTCAAATGTGAGGAGTCGATAGCAATTTCTACAAAGACGTAGAGAGTTTTGATTGTAGTCTGATCGATCGGCACTGTACTCCAAGCAATGAACAAGATATTTCCAATGGAGAAAGTAGCAACATACCTAGACAACTATGCCCGTAATGCACTAGCATGTCACAACCAAGGGCGACAGCGGTGTAATCATCAATGCAGCATGCACCATATGTTACATCGCCCATAATTACGGTCAATGCGGACGTGAATCTTTTCAGCATCGTCAGCTAAGAGCGTGAATATGATAAGCAAGGATCATCACCTGCGCACCGTTCGATAATATCTGCAATAGTACAGGCGAACATTTGAAGACCTTCAGGCATCTGTAAGGCGACCATCTTCGCATTGTTTTTGCGAACATGATGAATGGTTTTGTGAATCTCGAAGGAGTAATTGGAGGGGAGTTGTTTGATGGCCGCATTCAACTGAGCATCATTCAAGATCTCTGCGGGAATTTGGTTCGCAACTGTAGCAGGGAAAGACCGCTTTGAAGGACCAGATCTTGTACCAACGAACCGCTTGCGAGGCTTAGCGGCGGTAGATGATTTTATTTTGGAGGCAGAACTGGTTACAACTGTTTCCGCGATGGTAGACGACATATTTTCATAAAAATTGTGGACCGACTCTCAAAGCGTAAGTAGAATTTGTGCAGCAATGAGTGAGCGGAAGAAAGATGCAGGAGCGCCCATAACGGGATCGGTGCTGCACGTGGACTGCCAAGCTGGGGGTGTGTATGTCTGTTGGAGGACTCGAACGCGTAACATGCACTGTCAGTCGTTCCACACCAATTCCACACCCTCATGCACGTACTCGGCTTGGATTTGATATCCATAATATAACTCAGAAACTCCTATTCAAGACATCTGGAAATTCTCTACCCCTCAGGCAAACCGTCCATTCAAGAAGCTGCTGTAGTATCGGCTCATATGTCCTCTCAGTATGTCGGGACCACGCGTTATGCGGACAGGGAGGGTCGCTGTGCTATGCGTGATTCCTGTGGCAAAAAATCCATCATTGGGAAGCCTCTTCCATGTCCGACACACGAAGCTGCGTCCGAGGTAAGCTCTTGCATCCTCTCTGTGCTTTGAATGAACGAAGACGTTCCATGACCTAGGATGATGTAGACCGCGACCTTCTTGTGTCATTATGCGGCGCAGAATATACAGAAGGGCCTACTTGCTGCAACACGGGTCAAGTCGAAGTTCTACGTGACAACCTGAACCGAGCGGAGACCATGCTTTCCTCTTGTCCCGCTTGCCGGAATAACTTTCGAGCATTCTGGTGCAACTTTACATGTTCACCAAACCAGGCTACATTCCTGAATGTAACATCGACTCAAAAGACCATGACCGGCCAGACAGCGGTCAAATCTGTTGAATTCCATGTGTCAGAGAGATTCGGGGAAGGTTTCTATGACAGTTGCAAGAATATTCAGGTTGGCGCTACAAATGGCTACGCTATGGACCTGATTGGTGGTGGTGCCAAGAACTACTCCGCGTTTTTCAAGTTCATGGGTGATGAGAAGGACATGGGAAGTCCTTTTCAGATCAACTTCCCTGCAGAAGTACCAGCCGAAATGACACCTTTGAATACGACACCAAGAAACTGCTGGGATAATGACCTTGCAAGTCGATGCGCCTGCATTGACTGTCCGTCCATATGCCCTGCGCTCCCTCCTGTTCCTGCCCCTGGCGCTGAACCAAGTTGTCACGTTGGAAGGCTTTCATGTCTTTCATTCGTTCTCATTCTCGCATACGGCCTCGCTGCGGTGTCATTCATAGCCGGATATGTCATTCAAGCAACATTGCGTCGGCGAAAAGAGAGATCTTACGAACGTGTCGCATTGTCTGCCGATGCAGCTTCCGAACCACCATTCTCTCCTCGATTACATCCCCGAGGATTGGTTGGGGCCTCATCCCTTGCCCACCATGTTGACGGTGATGAATCCACAGGTACACACTCTGATTCCCGCAATCTCGGTCGAGGCGCGTCTCTTCTGGACCCGATAGAAACTGTTCAACCAAGGCAATACCGCTTAAACAATGCCATTCGTCGCATATTTTACAAGTTGGGCCTATATTGTGCGAGCTCGCCATGGTTAACGTTTGCCGTTACGTTCACCATAGTTGGCATCTTGAACCTGGGATGGAAGTACTTCTCAGTTGAAACGGATCCCGTGCGTCTTTGGGTTTCTCCAGACTCCGATAGCAAGTTGCAGAAGGATTACTTTGATGAGCATTTTGGTCCATTTTATCGAACGGAGCAAATATTCGTCACATCCTCGCAGGTTGCTCCATCTATTCTGAATACTTCAAACTTTTCTACCAAGGAAACGAAACCTCCAATTCTTTCCTGGGACCATCTGAAATATTGGTTCGGCATAGAAGCTGACATTCGGTCCCTTCGTTCACAACCTAATGGATACACACTGGATGACGTCTGTTTTAAGCCCGCAGGCGAGGATGGCTTCTGCGTCGTGCAATCCGTTGCGGCCTGGTTTGAAAACGATCTCAGCTCTTACGACCCCAACACTTGGAAGGACCATCTCCTCACGTGCGCCCGTTCTCCTGTGGAATGTCTTCCAGAGTTCCAGCAACCATTGGGGCCGGAGTATATCCTTGGTGGAATTCCGGAGAATGAGGATGGTTCTAAACGATATCTCGACTCTCAGGCTCTGGTGATCAATTATGTGGTCTCAGATTCGCTTGACGAAGAGGTACAAGCAAAGGCTATGGAGTGGGAGTTCGCTTTGAGAGAGTATCTGACGGATTTGAGTGGCAGGATACAGGTGGAAGCTGGTCTGGAACTCGCTTGGTCAACGGGAGTATCCCTGGAAGAAGAACTAAACAAGAGCACAAACACAGATGTCAGAATCGTTGTTCTTTCATATCTTGCCATGTTCTTCTATGTGTCATTGACACTGGGTAGCGGCTCCGCTGTTGGCCGAGAGGAGGAGGGCGTCATTTCCTCCGTTCGACTGTGGGCTGCAAACCTCTCCAAGTTGTTCAAGAAGGAGTCTGGTTCATCATCTTCTACGCTATCTATCGACTCACGTAACACACCTACATTCTTTCCTCGCCTTCCCCGCAAGTTGTTCTTAGGATCCAAGTTTTCCCTCGGGCTGTTCGGTATTGCACTGGTCATTCTTTCGGTATCGACCTCCGTTGGATTCTTCTCCTTTGTTGGTGTCAAAGTCACCCTTATCATTGCCGAAGTGATACCATTCCTTGTACTTGCCGTTGGCGTGGACAACGTATTCATCCTGGTGCATGAGTTAGACCGACAAAACCTCCTTCATGGGCCAAATGCCTCAGTCACCGCTAACTATGGCTATACGACCCCAATCTCGCCTTCACTGTCGCGTAATCGCTCTCAGTTCGATTCCGCACAATCTCATGATGATTCAGTCGATGCAGCATCGATGCCGTTGTACCTTTCAGCGGAGGAACGAGTGGCTCGGACACTGGCTAAGATGGGTCCATCCATTTTACTCAGCACCGTTACGGAGACAGTGGCTTTTGCTTTGGGTGCATTGGTACCTATGCCGGCCGTTCGGAACTTCGCATTGTATGCCGCTGGAAGTGTTCTGATAAATGCAATGATGCAAGTCACCGTATTCATCAGCGCACTCACGCTGGATTTGCGACGAGTTGAGGTAAGCCCGAGTCAGTGATTGTACTGTAAGCTCTTTGCTGACCTAGACACAATAACGCACAGGCTAGTCGAGTGGATTGTTTCCCATGCATCAGATTACCTTCGCGGATCCAATTACTAGAACCGCCTGGTCCATCGAGCGGACTGAGTTTGTTAGCGCAATTCATTCGACGCCGTTATGCGCCGTTCCTACTCAAGCCGGCGGTTAAGGGTGCCGTTCTCTTGATATTCAGTGGCTTCTTTGTAGGATCTATAATTTCTATTCAACATATTCAGCTTGGCTTAGGTGAGAGGAGCATTGTCTTCCTATCTTCTGATGTTGTAAACGCTGATCTCTACGTATTGCGAATAGATCAACGACTTGCTTTGCCCTCGGATTCATATCTCATTCCTTACTTCAACAGCCTCTACGACTATCTAGAAATCGGTCCTCCTGTGTACTTCGTAACACGCGACGTTGATGTTACTGAAAGGCAGGAACAACGGGAACTATGTGGACGCTTTACAACATGTGACGATATGTCCGTTACAAATCGTCTAGAAGCCGAGCGCAAGAGGCCTGAATCGTCATTCATTGCTCAGCCGGCTGCGTCATGGATAGATGACTTCTTCAACTGGTTGGACCCCAATCAGTCACGCTGCTGTCGTGTTCGCCGACGCAACCCTAGCGTATTCTGCTCAGGGCGGGAGTCGGATCGAGTATGCCGACCATGTTACGAAGGTCACGAGCCAGAGTGGAATATTACGATGGAGGGCTTGCCCGAAGGACCTGAATTCATGCTATATCTTCAACAATGGCTCAAGTCGCCTACTACGGAAGAATGTATGCTGGCAGGAAGAGCATCGTTTGGCTCCGCGTTGTCCCTGGACCCAGACGCCGATACCGTGGTTGCCTCTCATTTCCGCACTTTCCATACACCTCTCAAATCCCAAGACGATTTCATCAATTCCTTCCGGGCTGCGCACAGAATTGCAGAGGAAATATCTGAGCAGACGGGAGTTTCAGTTTTCCCCTACTCCTTGCATTACGTCTTCTTTGACCAATATGCACATATTGTCGCCATTACACAGCAAATCCTAGGGCTCGGGCTCGCCTCAGTGCTCATTGTCACGGCGTTGCTACTTGGATCTTGGAGAACCGGCACTATCGTCACTGGTGTTGTGGGCATGACTGTTGTCACAATCATGGGTGTTATGGGTATTTGGGATATCAACTTGAATGCGATCAGTCTGGTCAATTTGGTGATCTCTCTTGGTATCGCTGTCGAGTTTTGCGCCCATGTGGCCCGCGCATTCATGAGTGCTGGCTCTGGTCTTCCCATTGATCATCCGGCCGGTCAGAAGGAACGCGATGAGCGAATGTGGACTGCGCTTGTCGACGTTGGCCCATCGGTGAGTTCATCTCAAGGTTGCGTATTGAACATAGCTCACAGTCTGCAGGTTTTATCTGGTATCACTTTCACAAAGCTCATTGGAATGAGTGTACTGGCGTTGACACGCTCAAAGATATTAGAGGTAGGCTACTCCACTGTTCCAGCATTTTTTTAATCTTAACATTCCTCTCACTTAGATATATTACTTCCGCATGTGGTTCACCTTGATTATCTCAGGAGCTTTGCATGGTCTTGTTCTTCTTCCGGTCGTTCTGAGTTTGGCGGGTGGTCCTGGTTTCCCTCTGCAAGAAGCCGACGAAGAGTGGATGTCGCATGCAATTAGGAACGATTACGAATACACGTCAGTGGAACGCATTGAATTCACTTCTAACGCTAATACTTACGCTACGTTATGCAGGCCCTTCCTGGCGGATGACGATTCTACCACTAGTGACTGACATACCCCCCATGAACGAATCTGTATAGTATACACGAGGTGGTAAGATTGGAATACACAGGATACTTTTCATAATAGTAGAGCAGTCCGCCAGAGATATCATGGAATATCAAAAAGAAAAGCAACAGAAAGAAAACCTAATCTCGAGGTGACCTGGATCTGCTATCCCGAATATCATCCCTGCTATGACTCCTCCTGGCACGACTGACCGACCGAGAACGGCTTCTACTACGTGAGTAGCGCGAGTAGGATGAGTAAGATGAACGCGAGCGCGAACGAGGGGAACGGCTGGGTGATCTTGACCGGCTTGAGCGTACTGAATAGCTTCTTGACCGTGTACGGCCCCTTCGATATCCCGTGCCTCCTCTTTCATAACTTGGCGATCTCCGCCTAGGTAACCTATCTCCTCTTCTAATCGGGGACCGCGATCGTGTTCGCGAACGGGAACGAGAACGCGAGTACGGTCGGTATGTGTCTCGTACTGGTGGTCCCCTTCTGCCATAAGGCCGTGCCCTGTAGGTATCGCCACGGTCAAAGCGATCCCTTCTTCCATATGCTCTTGCAGGAGGCGAACGAGATCGGGACGGAGAATAGGAACGCGAACGTCCCTTTCCGTTGCGTCCACGACCTGGTCGCGGTGATCGAGAACGCGAGCGTATGGGAAGGTCTGAGAGTTCGACTTTGAGTATCGCACCATCCAATTGTCCGCCATTCATGTGTGAAGCAGCCTTTTGCGCGCCGGTTGGCTCAGCATACTCTAGTGCAGCTTTCCCTCTGTTCTGACCCGCTACAGATTCAAAAGGCATTCAATAAGCTACGCAAGCATGTAGGTGCATGTCATATTTACATTTTCCGTAGACTGGTAAGTCTACTTTGACGATATCGCCATAGAAGCTGAATATGGTTTGGAGATGTGTCTCGACTACATTCCGTGTGAGGTTGGTGACAATGACAACTTTGGCAGTTGTGTTTTCGGGCTTTCCGTTTTCCATGTCGATGTCTGCATCGTGTAAAGGGTGCGGGGAAGTCGAGCGTCCTCTGGCAGACATTGCGAGATATTTCGAGATGAGTGTACTGAACAAGTCTAGCTCAGCAGAAGCTCGGTGTGACAGTCGAGTTGAGCTCTGTGACGCGTGACACTTCTCTGGTGCTGTTCAGTGTTTTCCGAGTTCGTCGCAAATTCAGCACTCGAAACCCGCCATTAGACTCAACGTCGACCGAACGATGATATCGGTACACGACGGGAAAACTTACACACAGTATTCCTGCTTAACTTTGAACACTCACGAGCTCCCAGTATCACGAAATTCGGAATTTCCGCGCTGCAAGCGCCGGAGGATTTGTCTGTATGGATTCCATCCCTACTGCAGAGATCACCGAAAGGATAGTTACTTCGCAAAAGACCACGCCAATGTATACACAGAACTCGATCACAATACAATGTGTGATAATCAAGTACATGCGTTCCAGCAAAACTACACTTCCACGAGGAAGTTACACTGCACCAGTAATTCCATCAAATGCACCCGTCCGACAACTTGATTCTTTTATGATCTTCCTCTCCGACAGCGCGTGTGCGGTGAGTCACCTTCAAATGTCGTTTCAAAAGATCTTGACGAACAAAGCTGCGGTTCCGCTCCGGTGGGCAGACAGTGCAGACATACGGCTTGATACCATCATGGCTAGTAGCATGTCGTTTACATTCGTTCTTCCTCAGGAACCGCATACCGCTGAACCAATATATATCAGCGAACAATCGCCATTTCCCAGAATATGCAAGAAAATCGCAACATACCAGTTCTCGCATTGGAAGGGTCTGTACTCGACGTGAGAACCGACATGAACAAGAATATGGTCACGACGCTTGTTCGATTGCGCGCATCCGAGGACATAACAACGATAATCCGGTAACAGCTCGCCACGTTCCGAGAGCCTGCCTGCGAATGCTTGAAGCCAAGCTTTATCGATATCTGTGCCAGGGTTGTTCATACGGAACTCGTCTGCTTTTCTGCGAAGATCATCCAAGGAGACGCCAAGGTGAGCATTGAGAATTGGGCTCCCGATAAAGATGGGCGGTGTGGCGACTCGAGTAGGCAAGTTAAGAATCCTGACATCTGCAAAAGGGGATCGAATCATTTGCAGTGGTGTGCGAGGTGAACGTATTATGGGAGTCGCAGCTTCGAGCTTGACGGACCTGGTAGCAAAAGCAGGCATAGCAAGACCCTGACCGTTGGTGTGTTGGCGCTGCCTTGAAACAGAAGGAGCAGGAGCAGGAGTTTGAGTTCGAGCCTGTACGGAAGGCGCAGCGGGAACTGAAGTTAGAGCCGCTTCATCGCGTTCCTGCTCAGCCATCGAAGCAGACAACATGGAAACAATACTGTCAACTGCTTCACTGAGGGTCACAGATGGCTCGGTTGTCTGGACTGTTCCCGTCTGAACGTCATCTTCGTAAGGATACTCGAGTTGAAGATCCATAATATCTTCAGCTTCAGCCTGGAGCTCATCGTCGTTCTTCGTGAGAAGGGCAGGATTAAAACAAGGTTGAGGGGAGATACGGTTCCAAGCCTCGTGTCGAAAATTGACATCGGCAAAGAGACCTATCAAGGGTTCGCCTTTAGGAGAGAACATGGCAAAGTCTGAGGTTGGCCGAGGTAAGTCCGCGTCCATTTGATCGAGGAGAGTATTTGCTATGAACGCCAGAGGGTCCGAGGGGGAATCCATGCGTGAGTCTAAAGGAGAACGTGCAACATAGTCATCACTAGGGCAAGAGGAGTACGCCTCGAGGTCTTCCATGTTTACCCCCGGAGATGCAAAATCCATATCGTACGAAGCCGTCCTGTTTTCGTGAAGGAGCGGAGGTATAGCGAAGGAGATGGAAGAAATGTAGTCGCCATGAAGCGGCGAGTAAGGTCCTGTAAGGAACGCGTTGAGAGAAACCTGAAGAGGAACTGAAACAGGGTATGATGGAGTTGAGAGAACGGGAGAGATAGACATGTCCTTAGAGTCTTGAGGTTCTTCCTTGAATGTAATTCCAAGTCCTGTGAGCGGAGCTCGGCTGAATGAGGATGCAGTAGACTGTGTGCTGGAACTTCGGCTATGAGGTATAAAATTCGATGATGCAGAGATAGGATCTTGAGTATGTGATGCATAAGAATAATGATGAACTATATTGCTAGTATTTAGTCGCGTCGCCTGCGTTGCGTATTGAAAAGAGCGGGTTGAGATAGGAATGATGTTGGAGTTGTTTGCTGGAGAATGGCTGACAAAACTATAGTCATAAGATCGTTTCATTGTCATAATCAAAATCGTTAGAGTAGTAGAATAGAATTAGTCCGTTAGCACGCCGGAACGAGAGAATAGAGTAGGGTAGGGTATGGCTGAAGTTTAGAGTGAACCATGCGTGCACCTCAGGATGGCAGCCACTTGTTCCGGCTTGTTTGGCAACGTCCTCTATCCTCCTACTGCTTTGGGAACGACTCTAACCTCGGTCCTCAATCTCAGTCACCCCCTCCCCCTCGAGTCACGACAATAGAAGAGGTCCAGATGAGCTGGGCTGCCATTTATTCACGTTCTTTTTCGTATAGGTTCCCACATTCACCGGTGTCTGCTCGTGTTTCTCGCAAACTCTCCACCTTAAGTACGCCATCTTCACAACGTACAAAGCGATCGCCGTTCATTGCTTTGGGGGTCGCCGGAGGTGTTGCCGTAGTATCGGCCTTTTTTTTCTGGCCAGACACATCTCGCTCGGCGCCCACTTACAAGGATGCTACCCTTTCTCCCTCTCACTTCACGCCAGTGACTGTTCTGGCAAGCGAGCAATGCTCTGACCCCAACACGCGGCTCATTACGCTTGGCGTCCCCAAACAATCGCTACCATCCCTCAGTCAGACAAGTTTCTCACCGATCTGGTCAATTTTCATTAAAGATGATGACATTCAGGTGGAGAGAACATACACGCCTTTGGAAGGCATTGACTCTGAAGGACGCATGAAATTTTGGATCAAGAAGTATCCAAAAGGCGAGGTTGGCAAGTGGTTGCATTCCAAGAAAGTTGGCGATACCATTGAAATCAGGGGCCCTCTGATGACTTGGCCCTGGCAAGACGATATATGGGATGAAATTGTCATGGTAAGTCAAGCTCTCTGGTCGTGAGCTTTTTTTCTGCATCTGACTGACCCTCAGATTTCAGGCGGGACCGGAATAACGCCTTTTTATCAATTGCTACATCATACTCTGCTATCTTCTCAGCAAAAGATGACCAAGACGCGCTTTACATTGTTGCATTCCTCTCGAACGCCTCACGAGCTTCCGCCAGCGGATATTCTCCAACCATTGCTATCCCATGCTCAGGCATATCCGCAAGACCTGAGAGTTACATTATACGTGGACTCTCTCGACGAGACGACAACACAGCACCCTGACCTCCGTGTGAGTCGGATAGGCAAGCCAGATATCCTGAGCGCGCTTGGTGTGAACGATAGGCGACGCTGGTGGTCAAAACTCTTCGGAAACTCATCACCATCGACCCTTGAGAAGAACAAGAAAATACTGGTCCTTGTGTGTGGTCCTGACTCGTAAGTTCTGCCACGTTTGACCTCCACGTTACAATGTTCTCAGCTCTATTTCAGGATGGTTGCTGCTATTGCTGGACCACTTGGCCGCAACATGTCCCAGGGACCGGTAAGCGGTATCCTGGGTGAACTGGGCTTGAACGAGGAGCAGGTGTGGAAAGTGTAAATTCATAGTTTACACGGCGTATTTCCCGTGCGAAACCCGGTTATGTCACAGAGAGGTATCCGTGTCGTAATATTTACTTCAAAAAATATTACCTGGGGACCTTGTAGTACGATTACTCATGCAAATGGCGAACGAATGAGTCTGGATGAGTCGACATTCTGCCAAGAGCCGACAAGGGACGAGAAAAAATCCGGGCGAGGTCATTCGCTCCGTTGGGGAAGCGTCACGCCCATGACAAGCGTGACAATTTGAGAGCTCGGCCGATTTGGGGCTCTCACTAAGCCGCATTGGCGCCTCGTTGGATTTAATTCTGACTTGACAAGTCAGAATCTCTTTTCATCCACGACCTCCGTATAAAATCTCATACTCCTCACTCAGTCGTTCTCTTGCATCTACTGTCATGGCACCAACAGCCATCTACATCTCTCATTCCGACACAAACGTCATTGCTGCAACTCCAATCAAGGGTCCTGCATTGGCAATCGGGTCCTTGAGCACCGCTGAGGATGGAAAGTATCAGTCGCTCATCACAGACCTAGAGGAGACTAGAAAGGTGGAGAAGCAACTACTAGATAGGTTACTTGACAGAGGTTCGTCCACTGAAAATCCCGGTAGACCCCATGACATACTAACCTCTCCATATCACAAGCTACCGCGCTCTCACCTTCTAGTTTCGCCTCGGTCCATGTTATACTGTCTCCGTCCGACTATGAGGGTCTTGCGCAACGCCTCTCTGAGCTCCTTGCTCAGCTCCACTCCAGTCTAGAGCCCCTAGGCACACTCCATATCCAAAACGTATCATATTCCCTCCCAAACCTTCATTCAGAACTCACACTCTCTGGTTTCACTGTTCTCTCATCTGCGGAGGGAACCGTCATTGCCCAAAAGCCTGCTCACATAGTTGGCACTTCTTCATCTCTGAATGGTTCTGTAACCGCTCTGCCTCTGCGGCGGAGGATTGACCCTGAGCGGAAGGCGTCCAAGAAAGCACTTTGGACGCTGAGCGCCCCCGCAACTCCCCCTATCGATGCAGAAAGCCTCTTGACAGATGCAGATCGTCAACGTCCTGCTGCATGTGAGCCAATCTCTGGGTCGAACACACCGCGGCGGAAGAAAGCTTGCAAGAACTGCACGTGCGGTTTGGCTGAACTTGAGGCTGAAGAGTTGGCACAAAGCAAGGTGGTCCTACTCAATGGCGCAGAAAGTGGCGGAGCAGTCGAGGTTTTACAGAGTGACAAGGAGAGGTTGATCGCTGCAGCTGCAGCTGCACCAAAGGCGACGAGCAGTTGCGGAAATTGCTACCTTGGAGACGCGTTCCGGTGTTCCAGTTGTCCCTACCTCGGTAAGCAATAATCCTCCTGTGTCGCATAATGGCATACATAACTCATGTAATGTCACATAGGCCTACCCGCCTTCAAGCCAGGCGAGAAAGTTGAGATAGACTTTGGCATGGACGATATCTAATCTGATACCCGGTTATTGCTCGATCTCCACCCTCTTCCATAGATGTTTTGCCACTCGATTGCTTTGTAGGTGTACATAGTTGTATCCCCTCCCTCTTGGATGTTGTATTGTAGTGAGTATATATGTGTATTGCATGGACCAATCCTCGTTATTGCCCTTCTGTAGTAAGTAAAGAATGGCTGAGCAATCGCATTCCCTCTTTACATGACCCACACATGCCGAGGCCCAGTTCGAGTCTGACTCCGAAATTCGAATTCACTGCTTTTTACTACGTTCAATACTGTACTCATTTAAAAATTGTGTACGGTTTCCACTTCTTGCTGCTTGAGCGATCGACAAATAGTCCTTGCCATCTGCCATGGAGGAAAATGCTGTTGCGGGCCCCAGTGAACCTAAAGATGATTCTTCGCCTACTGATGGTTCGTCCACTGCATCTCAGTCGCCCATTTGTGCCATCTGCACAAAAACTGCGGCTGTCTACACATGTCCCCGATGTTCGACACGTACGTGCTCGCTAGCATGTTCTCAAACTCACAAGACGCAAGGAGAAGGTTGCTCTGGGGTCAGGAACAAGGCTGCCTACGTTCCCATGAATCAATACGGGTATATGGCCCTTATGGATGACTACGTTTTCCTAGAAGATGTAGGTCGCAAGGTTGGTGACTGGGGCAAAGAGATCGTTCAGGGTGGTTATACCTCTACAACGGACGGAAATCGTGGTAGGGGAAGAGATCTCAGAGGTCGAGGAAGGGGAAGAGGCAGAGAAACTGCTATCGTGCATGGAAACCCGATCAGAAATAAAAGAGATACCTTGAAGATGGAGTTGGACTTCCGGGATATCGAGATGGACATGCTCCCGGTGGGTATGGAAAGACGGACGTTGAATCAGTCAACATGGGATTTCAAGTATGTAGTGACAATTCTCGAATATATTGCTCTTTCGTAACAACGACCCGCATTCTTCAGAAACAAGACCGCATTGCTTACTATCGAATTCATCTTCCATCCGCCACCAAATCCATATCCTTCATCTGCACCCGAACAACCATTCACTCTGCTGACGCATCGAAACCGATTCGAAGACTCCATCCTTACATGCGTACAATCCAAGCTGGCCGAACGAGGGAAGTCGAAGAAAGAAAAGCCGATTCCAGTGTGGGTAATCGACTTGATAGCTCCCAACCCCGACGACGTGGAGGCATTCACGAATCCTACTTGCGTTATGCCAACAAAAGTTGACCCTCTTGCTTCACTGCAGTCTAGACCAACCATACTTCGCCCAGGGCATATCGTGCGTGAAGGCTATTATAAACTCGAGCCAACAGAATCACTGGAGAAGGTGCTTCGACATAAACAATTCGTCGAATATCCAACGATAGAGATCTGGGAAGACGGATCGTTTAACGGGACTGTCGTTGATGATCGAGGAGCGGTGATGCACAACAGCGAGGACGAGAGGAAGCCGAAACGTCGGAAGCTCGGTGTCCGAGAGGGTCGCAAAGCCATTAATGGTCTCTTGGGTGGATACGGGAGCGAAGATGAAGAGGAGGAAGACGAAAAGGAGGAACGCAATGTGATGGGGTTGCTTGCTGGGTACACGGGAAGTGACGAAGAGGGTGAGGGTGATAAGGAGCCGGCTCCAGGAGATCAGTTACCTCCGCCAAGTCCTCTGGATGAAGACGAGTGGGGAGATGAAGATGCAGAGGGCGAGACTGATGATGAGTATGTGGAGGAGTCTGCAGAGAATGTTGCTGCGATGCTTGAAAAGCTTCGACAAGCTGGTGTCCTACGAGACCCAAGTAGCGATGGACGGGTATCACTAGCTGTCGACGAGGACGAGCAGGTCGATTGGGGTGATTCTGGAGACGAAGGCACGGTCTCATAGGGATACTGTCATATACACCTTTCTTTCTTGCCAATGGTGGCATCGACGTCTTGGCGAGGTGAATCCTTGTGCTTCATTCACCTAGCGATTAAGCATCTTTTCGCCTCAGGTCCAGTAGGCCCTTCATGAGGAGTTGTACTTCCAACACGCTGTCGACGTATTGACTGAGCGGCTTGTCCTTACTGCTAGTGACTGGAGTCGCTGTCTTGACCTCGACCTCCCACAATGTATCTTGATGTGCCGGAATTGGCTTTTCCGTCTTTTCGTCGACCTGTAAGGCATTGTACTGTAGTTAGAACCTTACAAACCGGCAAGAATCCAATGAGAATACCTTTTCTTGTTGAAACATCTGTATCACTAGTGCGCCTCGTCGGAAGACGTATCCTCGTTTGTATATTTGGGATCTGCGGCTAAGCAACCAATTCATACTTATAGCACAGGGAGCCTCAGGGAATCGTGACCTACACATATCCAAGAGTAGACGCGAAACTGAGAATGTCGCCTTGGACCTGAACGGTCGCCCAAGGTCTCACCGTCGCATCGGGATGCACACGAACAGACTCAGGCTTGAGATATGAATAAAACACCCTATACAAGAGGTTGAGTGCGATGTTGCAGGCTTGCAAGGGGGCTAGATGTACCATTTCGCATCAGGTTCGAGTAGTTCTTTCCTCGCCCGCAAGAGGATGGGATCGACACCCTTCTCGCGTTGCACATGAGCATCGAACGGCTCAAACACAATCTCTCGAGTATGCATCTGGTGAGCAGATTCGCTATGAAGAGTAATACGATTCATGATAGCTTATTGGACGCGTATGAATACTCAGGTTTTCATGAGGTAGTGATAATCGGGACTCAAGACTCACCAGGCAAATCCTTGGAGAAGAACTCCCCGAACAGAGCGATTTCGTACGTGGTGTTCGACTCTGATGGTTTTCCGCCACGCGAAGCCTGACGCATTGCCATTCTATACACAGTTCGCTAAGAGCACTAAGTATTCGAGCAGTACTGTAGAGGAAAAGTCGGAGAAAGCAAGAAAGACGTTGGATAGAGCTAAGCGCTGTTGAACTTGAACTTCAAAGTTGTCCGTAGTATAATGAACGAATAATGATCACACGTCGAATATGCACTGATGATGAGTAGCTGTCCTCAAAAACGATCCTGGATGAGATTGGGGGAAGAAAACGGTACTCTAGGAAGTACAATGCAGAAGGAGAGACAGGTTGCAGAGCAGATGTATGGAGAGTGTACGAAATTATGCGACTTGGAAATGCATGATATGATGACGAATGACAAGATTGGGGATACGTATGAGTGGGAATGAGGCATGACCATGAGCACAATATGAACCAAGATGTGAAGCAGAGAAATGTTGAAAATGCAAATGATTGTGAGAGGTGGAACCAGAAGAAATCAGTCATGAAAAAGCGAATGCTATCGGAGCGGGGGCGAGCTGGCTGTGACCATCGTAGTGGGCAGAGCGGAATGTACCTTCGCAGAGGTCCCACGTCCTTGTACGGTGGAGGTTTTAAACCCGAGTTGGCGCATAGCTGCGAGGAGATCGGCTTTCTGAACGGGTTTCGCCAGATATGCGGAAAAGAGCTCGTTCTTGGCCTCCTGCGAATCAGAACCATATGCGCTGACTGCAATGATGGGCGTGTTCGCATTCTTGTTATTTGTTGTTTTGATATATCGTGCAGCTCCCTCTCCGTCAACTAGAAGCAAAGGTGAACATTCTAGAAAGGCGCGAAAACACATAGGTTACTTACGAATGGGCATATGAAGATCCATCAAGATGCAATCGAATTCTGTAACGCAAATGCACGCTGTTAGAACGCACTGATAAAACCATCGAAACAGACGTACTGATATCACCCATGGCGACGCTGATTGCTTCAGAACCATCCGCAACCACAACACATCGACAACCAAGACGGATAAGCAACGTCTCGATGATCTTAGCCGTGATAGGATTGTCTTCTGCCAACAAACATGTCACAGCGCGGTCTTGCGGATCAGGAGCTCGTTTCAAGTCGATAGACGCTACAGAGGACGGTGGAGTGTGCACCTCATACTGTCCGCCGTAGGAGGAGCCAGGTGGGTTGGTCCACGACTCAGATCCCGAGCCGTCACCACTCGTGGACACGGATGCTGTCCTCAATCGACTCGGCATAGAGTTTCGACGAATAACATCAGAATCCATATGGTTGTGCTTGAAACGCTCGATCGTATTGTAGTCGGAAGGTTTGCGGGAATGACCACTTCCGCTACCAGGCGTAGGCGGACCTCGCGACGGCGAAGACGCGATGGACGATGTTGAGGTAGCTGGCGAAGGGGGGCCAGTCATGCTCTTGATCGGAAGCTCCGAAGTTGTGATGACACTAGAGGGCTTCTTGATGCGAGTCGAAATGCTCTTTCGCCGAGGATGAACACCAGCCGGTTCCGAAAGCGTATGGGCAATGGGTGCCATCTGGTCCGTTCTTAGCTTGCGGATGACATCGTCATTGGCTTGCTTGAGCACAGGTAAGTTCTTGAAGCTGAAGGATCCGAAATCATCATCCCCAGAAGATATTGACTCACGCCCGGCGATAGGCACTGGTGCAGACGCAGCAGGATGTAGCGAATCATCTTGTTGCAAGTTCGGACTCTCGTTCGCCGAGATGGCGGGCACGGGCAGGTCATTGTCATTGAATAGCTGGAGAACAGCACCACGAGGATCAAAGTAATCCGTTGATTCGGGATCCGTGACTTGAGGAATGAAAGCAGCTTCTGTAGTGGTGACCTTGTCCCAATCAATGCCTGTGAAGAATGGATGAGCCTTCACTTCTTCGGCACCATTGGCACCAAGACGCTGGGCCGGGTCCAACGTCATCAGTCGCTGCATGAAGTCCTTGGCCTCTGGCGAGACCTCCACGAAGTCCTCATGCCAATCGATGTGCCCAGACAAGATATTCTCGAATACCTTCTCAGGAGTTTCATCATGGAATGGAGGGATACCATAAAGGAACTCATAAGTGATCACGCCTAGTGCCCACTGAATACAAAGGGGTAAGCGTGTGATCATTACGGAGGTGAAATGAAAAACTTACCCAGTCGACTGCGGCATCGTCACCACGTAGACCAAGAATAGTTTCTGGCGCGAGGTAATCCGGCGTACCGACCACTTTGCCTTCACCTGGAGGTGTTCCGCTTGGTGTGGGATGAGAACGAAGATCAGTCGTCAACTCGGTTGCAAAAGATTGTAGAGGGCTTTCGCTGATCTGCTTGTTGTTGTTCCCGTTCCCATTCCCATTCCCGTTCTTCCTGGGGAAGAAATTGTACAAGGATTCCGAGCCGCTGGACTCGCTGTAGTCATCTGTAAGGGGCAGATAAGGTGATGATCCTGGTCGAGGATTCGACTGCGCCCTGTGGTTAAAGTACGAACCTCCGGGGTGCAGATCGGCTGCGAGCATAGGCGACGATATGTACGAATCAATTGAGGGAGGGCGCGAGTTATGGCGTGTACGCGGTCTCCCTCCCCCCAGGAAAGACAATTGCCCATCGCGAGTCTGGCGACCCAAGAGACCGATTCTGCTCAGGCCAAAATCGGTAAGCTTGAGATGACCATGCTGGTCGATGAGCAGATTGTCAGGTTTGAGGTCACTAGTGACAAAGCATTAAGGAACAGTTCACATGAATCGGGTAGGAACTTACCGATGTACAATCCCGCGTTGATGCAGCGACTCCAGACCGAGCACGACCTCGGCGATGTAGTTCCTGGTCCACTCCTCAGGTAGAGATCCAAGGGACTTTATGAGCGCCGCACAGTCGCCTCCGTTGAGATATTCCATTACCAAGTAAAGGTTCTCTTTACTCTGAAAAGTAAAGTATAACTTGGCAACGAAAGAAGACTCGGCCTGCTTCATAAGAATCATGCGCTCCGCCTTTACGTTGGTGATTTGATTCTTCGCAATCATATCGGCCTTCTTGAGGACCTTGATCGCGAAATAATCACCAGTAGTCTTCTTCTTCGCCAAGAAGACAGAACCAAATGCTCCCTTGCTGATAGGCTTGATAATCTCGAAATCCTTTATAGACGCAGGCGACGATCTCGAAAGCGGAGCAACTGAAGGCAAACGCGGGGAAAGGGGGACATTAGCGACTGAAGTAGTAGGACTAATTATTGGTTGTGCAGAAGACTGTCGTCTGCTCAGTCGACGGGCAGTGGGCGCATCTTGAGGAGAAACCATGGGTGATAATGGAGGGGTGATTAGTAGCTTAGGTTCCAGACTATGAGGAGACTTGCGAACACGGGTAACTGTGAGAGGAGCATCATTCAAATCCATGGGCGGCATATCATCAGCAACGTTCGACGCGACGATGGGAGCAGCCAATGCCAGAGGGGAGGATATCGAGGAAGGGGTAGATGAACGGGTGTGGTATGTTGTACTCGGCTGCCAGTATACGGGTATTGGTGCAGTGGATGTGGCAGAGGAGAAGGTACTGCTAGCCGCGCTGTCTGTTCGTGATAAGGGCACCACGAAAGGTATTGGCGAGGCAGATGCCAAAGGTGTAGGATCAGGGGATGTCGCTTGGCCGCTAAACGCATATTCCGAAGTCGTGCTTGACTGGTCATCGTCGACACTACGTTCTTGTCCTTGTTCCAACCCTTGATCGCCTTCGCCTTCCTCGGCTTCGTCGCCAGAATCGGATTCGTTGTCTACGTCACGTTGAGCAGCCAAAGTCTGTTCGACTTTCTCTTCCCACTCTTGTCGAATCTTCTCAGAATATCGTATGGTATTCTGCATGCGAACGACGTTGTCGATCTTCTGGCGCATGACGCGTTCAGCATCGTCAATCAGTTGTGTCAAAGCTTGATCCTCGATGGAAGGCTTAGACCAACGACGAATCTGCGACATCTTGCGTTCAGAAGCAGGAGAGAGTAACCTCTGCCGTTCAATGGGTTCGGCCGACTCTTCATCCTTTAATACAGGTATTGAGACCTCCGCCGCAAGAGACAGGATATCTTCCAATTGCTCCAGAATCTGCCGTTGTAACTTCTTGACGCTCATCCGCTTCATCTTCAGCGGCGCACGGAGTAATGACAAGGGAGACGACGAACTCGGCGAGGTAGACGGAGAGAATATTGGCATGCCACGATACTCCGGTACAGTCATCGGCGACGACCGATCCATCGCAGCTTGCAGGTCCCTGATAGTGTTCCGGAGTTCCGCAATAGACTCGTTGCATTCACAAATCTCGGCTTCAAGTCGATGCACTTCGCTGCAAGTTTCGTTGTGCTTCTCAAAATACCATTGTGGTATACTGCATTCGCATATTCGACACAAGATCAGCGCAGTGCTGATAGGCCGCTGGATCGGAAAGGGCGAGACAGGTTCAATAGTCGCCGGCGGTCTGAAACCGATTTGAGTAATCTCTGCCGGACTCGGCTCTTCACCGACTTCGCCAGACTCGAGAAGTATTGAAGGTGGGGCATGCAAGTATTCCGGAGGACCAATAGGCCGAACAACCCACATAGTATGTGACGGCTGACCGGTCTCACGATCAATCATCAACATACCTTTGCCTTCCATTTGACGATACACCGCTGGCACATTAGAATCCCGCTCGTTTTCATCGAAAAGCCTAACCTTGAACCGTGCCTCGACTGTATGCGAATCGTCGTCCAGAAGGCGCCTAGTCGCGTCTCGGAAGACATGCCAGTCAGAAGCCACTAGCAGTTTGGAAACACGAGTACCAACGAGATCTTCTGGATCATTCCTGTAGAGACAATTATAAGAAGTCAAGGCGGAGATAAAGATTTCGAGCTACTCACCCTACGACATTACGCCATGCATAATTGATCCACAGGAAATGATCGCCGTCTAGACTGAGCTCCATAACAATGTTCTGGTTCTGAGCCGTCTCTGCTTGCAGGCGTAGACGCTCAGTAGCCAGGACACGCGCTGATTCTGCATTTCTTGGATGCTCCGGTTCCTTGTGTGTCGCGGTCATGGAAAGATCCTTGGGTACTTCGTCCCTAGACCGTCGGCCAGCACTGGTCGTTCGCGACATGCGCAAACGAGCTTCGTCTTCTGGCGGGACCTTGAGAGGTCCACTCTCTGGTGTGTCATGACGTGCTGTAGGTGGCGGATGTTGTGAAGCATCTTCGTCCGCAGGTTTGAGGACGAAAAGAAGAGGCTCCTCTTGTTCATCGTCGTTATCGTCGAAGTTCCAGAATTGCTTCTCGGCCTCCCACCATTCCACCACTCGACTAAGACTAGCAATAGCAAGAAGTACTTGAACATACCAATTGCGACCATGCCAGTCGGGATGTTCATCCCATGCCTTGCCAATATTCTGTACCCTCTGTACGAGAGATTCACAGATTTTTGGCTGAGCAGTGAGTTGGTTGATGGACATGTCCATGACATCGGTAGCAACGCCGATTATGTCGTAAAGTGTTGTCATGATAGGATCGACAGGATCGTCGACCAGAATGCGAGACGAGCGTCGGTTTATATTAGAAGGCTCGATATAGGAGGAACGGGGAAGTGGTGAACGTGAACGTGACGTGGAACGGGAGCTTGCACCAGAGCGAGTGGGATGAACGGGGATGTGAATCGTACGAGATAACCGCCGGGAGGCGAGACTTTGGCCACTCCATTGCGTAGAAGTCGAAGACGCGGTGGTATTCTCTCGTTTTCGAGGACTAACGACCTCCGGGGGTGGAGTGGCACTGCTAGCAGGGCTCACAGTACCAGTACCAGGAATATGAGAATAAGACTTTTCACGAGGGAGGGTGGAATGCCTTCGCAGAGCAGCAGGGCTAGAAGAAAGGGAAACTATAGGTAGAAACGGAAGTCAGTTGATGCATCTAATGACATTAGGAGTGAATGTACCGTGACGACTTCGAGTATAAGCCTCAGGCTCGGCCTCATAACCACCATCAGAACTGGCCTCTTCGAGCTGAAGAGCAGATCTCAGCTCGCTGGGTTGAAGGACAAAGCCTTCGCGGAGATGATCCGTCTCGTCATGTTGGACATCGTGATAGTGGTCACGGCCTCTGTCGAACTCGCGCTGTTCACGCTCAGCCTCCTGCTCGTGTTCGCCCTCCCTGAGCCTTTCTTCGAAGAAGGCAGTGATGGAATTTGTGACACGTTGAAGCTCCTTGTCGCACTCCTGCTTTGCAGCCTTCAGACGACGATATACATGCCGCCTAACGAAAGGCATAGAAACGGTATTAGAGCCAGATCCATGAGTAGAGCTGTTGCTGGTCGAGGGTATGGGAGGTAAAACAGTATCTGGGGAGAATACGAGAGGACTAGGCGGTTGGCGACGAGGCAAGCTCGAGTCGGACATAGATGTCCCTGATGGAGGACGAAGAAGGATGGGTTGCAGCCTATGTGTAGCAGCGAGAAACCCGTGTAATCCGGTGGGTGGTCAAGGCAAAAGAGACGAATGGTGTAAGAGATGTGCCAATAGTCAAAGCGACATGAGGAAAAGGAACAAGCAGGGATTGCAGAAAGAGAAAAGGTGAGAATGGAGGACGCGGTGGGTGTCAAGAGCCTGGCGGGGATTTGGCTGGAGGCAGAGGTGTATCGGGTTCACACAGAAGTATATGACGGACCTGGGCGAACGCTGCTTGCCGTCCTGGAGCAATCTACAAACCAAACTCAGTTCGCGGTTTCCCCATCTCAGCGGCCCTCTTCTTCTGGAATAGTCTCCAGCATCTATAGATCCCTACACCCCTATAGAATCCGCTTCCTCTCGCTGCGTCTCCAATAATCAAGCCGACTGCCTAGCCACCCCTCCTATCGTCCAGCCAAAAATTTGGCCATATAATTATTAATATTCGTGCACCGCCGGGAATGGAACGGGCGTCTTCCATCACCACGACGTAGTTTACAGTCTGCCCCCTGCCACACCGCGGTCCCGGCTGGATACGGTGCGCTGTCCCGGGTCCTACCCTGCTCCGGGCGTCACCCGCTAGCTTGGCTCTATCAAACACGGCAGCGGCTCAAGGGCGATAGTCATTCACTCACTCTCCTTGCCAACTAGTACGAGGGCATCAACGCGTTTCGTTCGAATTTCATCGACCTAGCGGCATCTTGCGCTCGCTGTTTGTGCGTAAGTTCTGTTGCCTTCCATCTCGCAGCACATACAGCAATTTTGATTGTGCGTTCCATTTCCTTCACAGGTCACAAGGCTGCCTTGCTCCTGGCTGGTGATCCGGTATCCATTTTGTGACAAGTTCGCCATCTTTATTTCCCCTTGCCAACTCAAACCCACCCGGGCGCATCACGTTCACATTTCTTGACATTCAAGTGGTGTAACATCTCTCCACCCCATTGTGGTCCAATTTACCGAGATAATAGCACACCATGTTCTCTCGTGCTATCCGTTCGACATTGAGTCAGCCCAACCGTCTGCGTCATGTTTCCGCTGCAGCCGGGCCATCTGGTGTTCGGTTCAACAGCAGTTCTTCACAAAAACCTGCGTCTTTGAGTTCACTCGGTCGAATGATGGAAGATTACGCAAAAACCGCAAAGGGTATGTCTCGTCTCATCAAACTATTCTCCAAATATCTGTTGCTTATTCGACGAACTCCAGTTGTGCAACCCGCTTCTTCTCCTCGAGGTCCACCTCCCGACACCCATCTGGATGATCTCACCAGACGAAAAGTGCGCTTTACCTACCCTTCAATAACTTATTCTTTACTCACCTCGCGTCCCGTTCTAGTTCATCAAACCGTCCGACCTAGGCTTCGAAGCACGAACCGTTACTCCCCACCCTCGCAAACGTCCCTTACTCGGCCCGTCAGCGAAAGAATCCAAATACCGCGATGTCTTCTACCAACTGAATATCGACCCTCTGCACGAAGCTTTCAACTCAAAATTACTCTCAAGGTTCGTGTCAGAGATGGGCAAAATCAAAGGTCGAGCAGAAACGAACCTTACCTGGAAAAGCCAACGACGATTAGGCAAGGCTATTCGTCGAGCTAAACAGATGGGTATCATACCTATACTCAGCAAGCGTCCTTTGGACGGCGTGAAGGAGGATGGGAAGGCTAAGGGAGGCTATCAATAGATTGCGTCTTCCCGGCCGTTGATACACTATCGTCACTTCTTGCTTCGTAATTCACCTGCTAGCTCTAGATCCTCGGATGGTGTGTGTCTTGCTGTGACCGAACGGAACATGCGTGCGATGGTGAAGCGGTCCCTTTCGGTGTTGGAAGCACCCTAAAAGAACTCTGCGCCCCGCACTCCCATATCCCTGGTCCCGCATCCATATCTTGGTTTACAGGATCTACTCTTAGTATGAATTGTAAACCTTGCCTTATCTCCTCACCCGTGGCAGATTTGCGAAGTAACTCATTCCCACGTAAACTCCAAGCGTCGAAGTCTCTAGAATAGGTTATGTCATGGTAACTTCTTTTCATATCCTGTGATCACTGCAGTGCCTACAAGAGTGCAAGGCACTCTCAAGCTCAGACAATGCCCTGGACAAAGCTGTCTCACCATGTCGTTCTGAGGCACGCTGTAACCTATTGCCACGCCTGTCAGACCTAGTCCAGATCGATTTTAGAGCTCTTCGGATGATCCTCGCACATCCAAAGCAGCAAGACACACTGATAGAACTGCTTGGAAGGTCAAAGATGATGATACAGTTCGCAGTGCTCGGTATTGTCCGCGAGAGAAAAAGGGTAAAAGACGCAATCAAACGGCAGGGAATACATGTATTCTATAGTTCTGCAAGCAGCATAGTACCCAAGTTCTGCACCACCTGATCACCCATGGCGTTCTCCACGGCCTCCTCAAGGTGACGTTTAGGATCTTGCTTGCCCACGTGTCTCGTCTTGAGCTGTTCAGGTGTCAGCGTTGATTCTTCTTGCACGGACTTATTGTATGCTTCCGACAGTGTGAGCATCGACTGTGGACAAACAGAAACAACAAGCGCACCCGGGAGGGTCACACGATCAGTACACATTCAACACCATGAGAGAGTAGAAAGACCGAGTTGAAACTCAATCAAAGACATACTTTGATAGCTTTCTCATTATTCTCCTTGTGTCCCTTGAAATCGCGCAATGTCAGACCCTCTGTCCAATTCCGCTTGTGCAAGTTCATCAGCATGGCTTGTTCAAGGTCTGTCTTGCGGTAGTTGACGACAATGGAATAATAATGTCTGTTCAGACCGTGGATGAGAGCTTGAATGGAAGGTTTGTTGATCTGGCCGATGTTAGAGGTTGTCTGCCGAGGCTCTTGACCGGCCAGGACAGTTTGTGGACTAATGAGCCGAAAAGCGTCAATCACGACTTTGCCCTTCACGGATTGAATGGGGTCGACGACGACGGCAACGGAGCGGGGGTCAAGAGACTCAAATGACTGTAATGCAATGTCATGAGACCGTCTGACAGATTGCATAGAAGGAAGAGGAAGCTCACTTGTTGTGTATTGATATCGACACTTGATAGCCAGCAGCCGAAACCTGGATGCGAGTGATACCAGCCCACGACCATCTCTGACCTACATTTCCCATACTTTCAGCATTGCAGAAGAGAGCTGTTGGCGCGTCCTGCTTACCGGCCAGTTTGCTTCAACATATCCATCATTTTGGTTTGGAAAACATGGTCAACAGATTCGACCGAGACAGTTGTTCCTGATTGTGGCATGGCAAAGACATCGATCACTTGAACGGTATACTCGTCGACGAACTCTCCAAGCATGAGACCCATGACTTCCATAGGTACTCCTGCTCGTCCGTGCTTCAACATCTAAGAAAAACATAGCTTGTTATTGGTATTGCTTTGTATATTTCACAGAAAATTCACACCTTGAGAAGCGCAAGCGATGAAATGTGGATGACTTCTCCACTAAGGCGAACTGTCAGTATGAGCATACACAGAACTCAAGTCTTACGCACTTGTCCGGAACACTACCGTCACCCCTCCGCTGCTGACCCTGAGCCGCTCCCTGCATAAATTCGCTAAAGTCACCTCCGTCCATGTCCGTTGTGTGAGTTGTCCGAGAGTGTGTATTTTCGAGGATGCAAGTCTGAAGATGGTCGCAGATCAAGCTCAAGTGCGTAATGCAGTCGCGTCCTCCGCTGACGCGTCGTAAGCGCGTGAATTACAAGCGCCTAAAGATGTTTGGCGCTGTTGTCCAAAAGCCTCTATGAATGTTCAGTTGGCGCCCATGCACTCACCATCTCTCCATGAGCAGCGAGCTTCTGAATGCACTCAATCCCAATGCCGTCCATAGTCGGCCCAGAGCGAGGACAACATACCCTTCACGCTCTAGATATACATGTCAAGCACCTGTTGAACAGGTACAGGTTTATGTCCCTCATAGAAGTGAACTAGAAGGTGCTATCGTTGAGCCGCCTCCACCGCCTACTCAGTATGTGAACTTCATTTGGGGTATGTGAGCTACGTGCTGAGATAGAACATAGGCCTCCTGTACAAGTCATTCCTCAGCAGGCACCTGCTCAGCCTGATCAGTTCACACAAATTCTGCATCTCCTTACTGAGTCAAAGCAAGCCGCACAACGCGAACAAGAGCGTAGGCGGCAATGGGAACGCGAACAAGAAGCCAGATACTCGCAGCGCGAGGCAGAGATTGAGAAGCAAGTTACAACCATGAAAGAGGAGATATCATCTTTGAAGGAATACATCAGTATTCAATCCTCTCGGACGTCACCCTCATTCAGCAGCGGTGTGAATACTCCTGGTTCCTACTACCATTCCATCATGCCCACCCTTGAACAAGCTTATGTTCCTCCTCCCGATTCTCCCTTTTCTCCAAGCTCGCAGTCCCCATACCCTGCCTCACCCATGTTCGTTCAAGGATCATCGAGGCAACCTATCATGGCACCGCAATCTATGCCTGTCACGCCTGTTGCTGTATTGTCACCGCCACCAATAATGACGCATGCAGCTTCTACACCGTTGCCTCCGACGCCCAGTATTGCTTCTGAACCTCCTCCCATCTCATCCGACATCTCGACGAGCCCCACGGTCTCAGTCCCTCCAACACCTGCCAACAACCTAGTTGTTCCGAGTCCGTCCGTATATCCTACACCCAACCCTCGGAAACGGCCTCCTCCTGTAGCTAATGGGGAGAGCGACAGGGATGACACGGGGAGTGAAAGACCGAGGTCAATTGGAGTCGACCGCCCGGCCAAGCGAATAAATGGTCATGATTCACGCTGTCTAACTATTCATGTAGGTCGAGTTGCAGCCTTCAATTCACCCAAATCTGAAGTTCTGACATGTTAGGCTGCTATGCGAACTCGAATTCTTCGAGCAATGGGCCTAAAGTCTGACAAGAATCTTCCGGATAGTCATGTAGAAGGTCGGCCAATAGCTGACAGCGATCCAATTCGTTTCGTATGGGAAAGGACAGCCAAACAATCCCCTCATAATGCCGAGATGAAGATTCGGGTACTAAAGGACCTCAAGAATAATCGACATCTCTATAAGGATGTCCCGGATGCTGATTTTGAGGATAAGGTTATACAAGCCTCCTTCGATCAGGTCTTCTCAACGTTCAGATCGAAATTCAGGGCCCAAAGAGATGCCGCTCTTGCAGGTCTTGTGAAACTGCGGGAAGATACTAAAGCTCTGAAGTCCCGGCGGGTGAAACGAAAGAAGACAGTAAGTTCGCGTATGCTTCCAATACATATGACGTAGCCGTCTCATCTTCCCGTCCAGAAACTCATGAGCAGGACGGAAATGCGGGGAAAGCTCGAAACTTTCTCTCATGCAACGTTTGATCCCGCTCTGCAGCCAGAATGCATGTCTTCCGAGGAATCATGTGAAGAGTATTCCGAGCCTTCTGGTTCAGGGGGTGGCCGAACAAAGGTCCAGGTGTTAAGGGTTCGAGGACTGCCTTGGCGGAGCAGTCGACTTCTTAGATTTTATACGATTCTCGACGAATCACAGAAATTGGAGGGCACTGGGACTGGTACCAAGCCGAAACGCGTTCCATCACGCAAAGAGCGATGCCTTGGTCCGCCGAAGGACGAATTCCAGCTTCCCCCAAAGAACATCGCTAGTTGGATGCTGAGCCGAAGATGGTTAAAGGAATTGCGGATCGAGCAACCCGCTACAGCGGATGCAATGAAGCATTACATTGTCGATCCTCCTGGGTTCGATTGGGACAAGTTCGATATGCTTGGGGTCGAAACGGAGGAGGAATCAGAGCCAGAACAGTATATCCCTCGGTCAGACACCAGTTACGCTCTCGCCCATGCATTAGCCCCGCCGGACGGGGCAAACTAGAATGCTTGCTCTTACTGTACATACTCGCTTTGCTGCTTGCTTTGGTTACTTGTGGACTTTGATTACGTTTGTTCGTTGTTGTGAAATATTGCTTTCGTTCTCATGATGTTGTGTTTGCGGCGTGCAGGCCAGTGTGTTTCTCAATTCCGCCCAAGGCGGAGCAGAGATAGACGCTTCAGGGTCGCTGTTGCCCTCATCGCCCAACTGCTTTCGCACCGCACTGCATGCTCCTAGCAAATATTATATTCCTCCGTCTAACAACAGCATCTAGCAAATTCACTCAGATCGTTTGTACTCTGTATCTGTACACCGTTCAAGCGTCGTCCTTGTCAGTTCTTAATCCCGTCTTAACTTGCTTGAACTCTGTATCTTTGGCTCAAAACTATATCCGAACACGATTGGAGATCGCTTATGGCGGCTCGAGCTCCATGGGGCTTCGTACCACCTGCTGGACAGTATCCTCCTCATTCAAATTCTTACTCTGATGATCCTAGGCAAAGACCGGCCTTTCCTCAGCCAGAGATCGGTGGTTTCTACAATCCTGCATTATCAGCTGCCGTGCAAGAATCATACATTCAACAAAGCCATCATCCTTCTCAGCTATATGGACATGGACCTACACAATCATACCCTCCTATTCCACGCCAATATCCACCAAGTCCCCCGCAGCCAATTCCACCTCATATCCCCCATAGTTTGAAGCCTGGTGCTCAATCGCGATCGTCGTCAAGTCCGGCTTCACGGTCGAATTCTGGAGATCTCTTCTTCCAGGGTCAGGCAGGTGCACCAGGATTTCCTCAACCCCATCACGCTTCCCAAAACCATCCGAGTGCTCCTCCACTGCGACATGCACATACAAGCCCTCCACATACAAGTCCTCCGCCTCTCCCACATAAACCTTACAGTGGACCTCCAGTACCACCTAAACCGCCGTTCTCCTCTTCTTCAGCGCCGACGACACCACAGCTACCACTTTATGCACAGCAGGTTGCCGCTGCATCATCATCGAAATGCCAGGCACATGCAGGACTCAGTTCGCAACCTATGTACAATGATGTAAAACATGCCTTTCCACAATCTGAACAACCAAGGGAAGTTGACGAAGATGACGAACTCAAGAGAATACTTGAACTGTCGGCAAAGGAGTCTGAGGAGCGTAGAAAACAAACATTGTCTCGAGAAGAGGCAGAACTTGAGCGAGCACTGCAAGAATCACTTAGGTTGAGTAAATCACAGCATTATTCGCAGCCGTTCCCATCAACACTCTCACCACTGGGTCCAAGTTTCCCTTCACCAACCGTTGGATCATTTGTGGATCATTCGTTGCCATCGTCTTCGGCTGGCCCGTCAACCTTCTCCCCTGCCTTTCCTCAGAGCACACCAGCTACTTCTGTGCATACGTTGGAGTCGGAGCCTGCACGCGATGGCCTTCAATCGGGTCAATATACATCCAGTCCATCGAGCATGGCAAACCAAATCGCTGCAGATGAGGCATTTGCGAGGCGACTTGTTGAAGAGGAGGGAGATGTACGGACGCCTGTCAATCCCGCTCCCGCTCCAACAGCCCAAGCACCTCAACCTGATGATGCCATGCCACCTCTTTATACTGAAGTTGTCGGGAATGCGCCTTTGTCGGCACCTGTGCCTTCAACCGCAGCGACATCTAGTTCGCTATTCCCTCCTCAGCCTAGCACATCCCCATCTGCACCTTCTCCATCCCACTCAAGGGCTTCTTCTCCGCATCCTTCTCTCGGTCACAGTTCCTCAGCAGCTGCAACTCCAATTGCGGCAACCCAGAGCCGCTCAGACTCTCGTTCAGGACGGTCACAGTCTTTAACCGCGTCCTCTCCTCGAATAGACTCGTCGAGTCCAGGTCCTTCGCCTACGCGGGATCATTCCAATTCTCTCACTGTTCCTACTGCCAATGGTCACCGTTTGTCGTCTCCTTCGATGTCGAATTTAAGCGTACAGGAGGAACCTCGAGAGCGCCGCCCGAGTATGACCAACCACGCAAGCGAACCTCCCTTAACCGCAAATCAATTCGTTGATAATGAGCTGTTGCGCGGAGTCTGTGAGTAGGACCTCCCGGGGTCCTTGAGCATCATGCTAACGTGCTTCAATGTTGTAGCACTTGGCTTCAATTCACCTTCGATTTCGGGTGCGTTGTCGCCTATGCAAGGTCCCATACCCAACGTGGTTGCATTGCCGTATGGCAAATGTCCGCCTTTCCACGTCAAGGCGCCGAGTTGGAGAGACCTTATCAAACTCATGGCACGGCTAAGCGGAACTAGACTTGAGCCGACTATTGAAGCTATGGCTGTTGTGAAGACTGACATGAAGATACGCATTGTGGTGAATTTCGTGAAGGTACAGCGAGCTTCTCCATCATTTTCGTGACATTGAACTGACAGTTCCTGTAGGTGCACCAGTCATCATCTGATTGGCATGTCATTTTGTACATGACGATAGACTACCCCGTGCCTGCAAATCATCCATACGCATACAAGTATCGGAACGGCGATCCAAACGTCCTTCCGTACTCCTATTCACTGTCACCCATGCCCGCATTCCTTCGTGATGGAGCAGATGCGCCCATGTCCAAGTGGTACAACATCCCAGCAACGCAGTCGAACCCACTCCGGAAACTGCCTATCACTTTTCCTGACCTGGCTGCATACCTGATCACAGTTCTATCAGAATCTCGAGTTGCGGTACATGATAGTTCAAGTGGCTTGCGTCGGCTGGCTAAGCTCATTGACACGTCTTATCCGAGTGAAAACACTCAGGGAGATGAAGATGAGCGTGAACGTCGTGGGTTATTCGATCGTCTATTGAAGCGGTCACATAGGCAGTCTAGAGATCGTAATGCGGATACTTACGATGTGGTCACTCCGTTCTATGCAGATGAGTTTGGGGCATAGTTTTTCTTAATCTCGTTTAATACCTGGAGGCTCTGGCCAACGGAAAAGACACTAGCTGTGCAGTCTGCTTTGGGCTCTTCTGCATGCTTAGTTACCTGCAGAGTGGTCTCTCCTTTACGACAGACTTTCTTTTTGGGGTAGAGGTTTGATTCGTTCATGTTGACATGATGTTACCCTATTGTATTTTGCAGATCACATCCTCCCCTTCTGTCGCTGCGCTCAACATACTAGTATTGACAATATCAGAAATTACACAAACTACATATCTCGGAGTGAGAAGGCATGAAAAGCAATATCGTGGACTATGTAGGTTGATAGGATGAATATATGATTTAGTGGGATGTGGGGGTACCACAAATACTTTTCCAATTACTATCTCCAAATTTCAATGCTGCCGCGCCGGCATTCGCCTTCACGAAATCCTCAAGCGAACAAGTACCGTACTCCTTGTTCATATTGGCGCATGTAACTAGAGGAAAGGGCGACTCATTGAGGATAAGTCGAATCTGGGGACCTGTGAAACTGCATACACCAATGGTGAGAAACTCGTTCGAACCGAAGGAAAGAATCATACATACGATGAAGTGCAAGTGAACTTCTCCCATACCATTTGGGCAGCAAAGGGAACCTGATCAGACGTGCGCCACCTGCGGTCTTTTTTGATTTCCTTCGTGGACTCGGTGAGGTCAGTAGCATCTTTGGCTAACCCGAAGCCTGCTAGAGCGAGGGTGATGCTGGTATCGTGCCCGAAGTCGAGATACATCTTGTGGGCATTCTGGCTAGTGTCATTGAGTCTGGAAGATGAGGCAGTTAGAAGACAGACGCAGTGTTGGAATGAACTAAGTCTCACCTGGCGACAAGCTCATCTACATAGAGAGCTCCGAGGGTAAGAGGCATGTTACCAGGGAGCCCATAACCGAAAGCACCGTCAAAGTACAAGTCGTTTTCATACTCGAAGCCTTCGATTTCGCTCTGCTCGAAGACGCCACACCATGGAGATGTCCTATTTGCTGCAAGGTCGTAGGCGCAAGCGTTTATCGCGCCAAGGGCCTCATCCGTTGACAGGTCCAAACCCGGTATGAGTTTATTGAGACGGTTGGCAACTTGGGGCAAGTAGATATTACTCCATGCTCTGTCGGCCTGTTTCAAAAAGGCGATTTGAAAAGTGTCATTAGCTGACATATAAAACTTAGAGTTGTCAGATTCAAGCCACGAACGTTTACGCCATTAAGACTGGCATTCCTCCAGCTTGGACACGCATTAATTGGAGATATGTAGGAGGGAGTGACACGATCAGACTCGTTGACAATTCTCAACAACTGGGATTTCGTCGCCCAGTCGGAGCCGAAATAACCTTGGCCAAACCATCCAGCTGACTCTACGATCTGAATGTAAACAGAATTAAAGTAATTTGGTTACGGAAAGAATAATACTGCTTACCCTAGCTTCTGACCCAGCGAGTATCGCATCGGCATTGAGGTTAGGGTACTTAAGGCGGAAACTATAGCGAAATGACGATGCATTCAAGTTCCCGCTAATTGACCAAATTCGACATAACGTACGAGACACCATGTTCAAACATATCGGCTCTGCCAGGAGGCGTCAAGTCGTCTGTGCCCAGAGTAGATGTGTAACCATCCTTGAGGAAAGCTAATTCCGCAGGTAATTTTGCTTGCTTTATGACGTCAACTTTGCTCGCGAGTTTCTTCACCAGGTTCGTAATAGTAGACAGTTTCGCCTTAGTCGGAAACCTCGATCCATGCCGGTGCAGCTGAAAAGCATGTCAGACACATAGCAGCCCGGGAAATTCAATATACAAACATACCACAGAGACTTGCTGAACTTGACAGTCAGCCGGCAGCGTGTCCTTCAAGTTGGGAACGGCAGGTGCCTTATGGTAAGGTGACGCGTTTGCCAAGTGCTCTGCGACGTTGAAAGCAGTAACGAGAGGGAGAAAGACCACGAGAGCTACAAACAGCATGATAGATGTGCAAACACCAGCTATGGCTATGGAGGATACAAAAGATGTCCAATAACCTTGAGAACTCGGGTCGATACTTCTACATTTTTATATTCCTGACGAGGTCGGGGTGGAGGTTTCCTGCGACAACTAGCGTGGAGCTCGTTCCGAGCAAGGTGAATGCATATGTGACACCCGAAGAAGAGAAATCGTACGAGGGAAGCACAATAAGTACGATAAAGTGCTTTCCAGTTGGTTCATGTACACAGCCTTGGCATGTCCTCCGCCAAGCGAGCTTCTAACAAAGTGTATTTGAATGACATTGAAACGCGCCGCCGGAGAGAGAACTTGCGGTTAATATGAATCCGACCACGGAGTCGGTCACAGTAAACGAGACGAGACGCAAGCTCGGCGTCCCCGACGATCGACACTGAACTTGTCGACGCTTCGCGAGCGCTGACAAGAGGAATTATTCGGCTGAGAATAGGCAAGTCTCTGCACTTGCCATGACATTCGCTACAGCTCATGAGGACTCACCAGAGCGTACAACATACACGCATGTCGTCTTGCAAGCCGTCGGTCCCCATGAGTGAGTATAACGCCGCCAGGTTCACAGGTTGCATATATCTTCAAGACCAACAACGAAGCAATTCGCATGGGATTCGGATACAAGGTGCTGTTTGGGGACCAATCGCGAGCGTTGCACGATACAAGTCCGGTTGGCGCAAGACTGGGGGTTCTGCCCGCATTGTGGGGAACAACGTCATTAATCATTGGCAACTAGATATGATGACTTCCTGGTGTATCGAAGGTATTCATGAAGTGGCCTCACGGGTGACTGCTTTTTTAGATACAACGTCGAAAGCCTGATTATGGAAGTGTCACCCAATCCTCTCAACCGCTGCTGCGTGTATTGGACATAGGACTGCTTGAAGCATTGCCAACATCTTCAAGGATACGACTTCGTCCGATTTCATTTATTATATTTCTTGTTCTGCCAACATGGTGATCGGGATTGAAGGTCGGATCTTGACACAGACCGTCCGCGCATGGAATACACACCGTCCAGGAGTCTTCTTTTAAGACTAAGCACAAATGCAGCACCAGAAAAGCGTTCTACCGGTATAGGAATTGAATATGCAGTACCAATAAGAATTCATCTTTCACTTTTTCTGCACAGTATGCCGTCGCGATGTTTATTGCGCAGTATCCATTTCCTTGCGGGGGTGTTACGAAGCTGGCCGGCACGATCAACAATAAGCAACTTGAAGTTATATAAGACGGAGTCAACGTTTGCACGAACCACGTAAGGTAATACAAATCAATATCAAGTAGCAGTGGCGTGGGAACAACAAGGATCAACATCTTATCAGATAACGTCAGCACCCACCGAGGTATCGCTCTCCGTCTCATTCATTGCGTAGTCATTTAAATGCAGCCATTGGCTTTTAAACATGCCGTTCATATCCCGACATCTAATACCTCCTCAGACAACGTTCATCCACAATAATGAGTGCCTTCAGGAAACTTAAGGAGATTGTCCTTGGCCCAAGTGAGGCTGAATTGTCGCCGGACAAATTCGAAGAGGCTGCCATACCCGTCTCCACAGGGGGTTGTAGGTACTGCTCAGATCCTTGTGACCAAGGTAATCCAAAACACATTTGCCTGGAGTCAGGCTCTGACTATCAATCGTTCTGCAGGACATGAGGAATATCCTGATCGATTGGACATCGACATGGAATCACAGATGCTTGGTTCCGTGAAGCCATACCGTCGACAGGTGTGTTCATCAGCAACTGGGCTTATTATTATTCGGTCTAACGGCTACTCTTCAGGCAGTGATTTCAACTGGCAACTCTGATTGGCCAAGTCACATCGAATCGGAGTCCGGCTCCCTCGCAGCCTATCTCGAGTCTGCCATTTCATCCTCTCCGAAACTAACTGTTCCTCCAATCACACCCGGTACGCCCAGTACCGCCAAGAAATTGCCTGGCGTCTTTGATCCCTTAGAGACTTCGCGCATAACCGTCTTGAACGGCAGTCATCATACTGTATGCGATGATGCAAAGGAGACTGTACTTGTGCTTCCCGATTACAAAGTCGTGGCGGAAGTCGAGCGCACCGCGGAGGGAGCGAAGGACCTGTATAAAGCTGCACTGGACCCTGCTGTTGGGAGAATTGGCAGGGTTTGGGACGGAATGACAGTGAAATCATGGATTCTACCGTACTCATGCGTGATAATGATTTGTATGCACTTCACTACTTCGTCTAGGCCCGGTTCATTTCTGACCCTTTCTCCCCACGTTCAGGTTCGCATAAGAGGAGAGACAACCGCTGCGGAATCGCAGGTCCTAAGGTGGAACATGGTCTAACGATCGCTCTCGAACGTGAAGGTTGGGAAGTCCATCGACAACTCGACGACCCTGCCGATAGCGGAGCATCTCTTGAAGAATTTAAAGGATCTGATGAAGAGAAAGATGCAGACATTTTACATCACCTCAAGTCTCTGCCTGAACTTAAGCGTGCCTTGATCGTACAAAATTCTCATATAGGCGGGCACAAGTTCGCGGGGAACTGCATCGTGAGTAGTGACTTTGCTTGTACGATATAAGTCTAAAATTGATCATGGCTTTTAGATCTATTTTCCACAAGGCGTGTCGGTGTGGTACGGTCGGGCAAGCCCACACAACGTAGATGCCATCGTGAAAGAGACCGTCATTGGTGGAAAAGTGCTACCACCACTCCTCCGTGGCGGACTTGGCCTTTCTCGTCCTGGCCATCGGTCGTTGAATGAGTGGTAAGGTGAAACACGTCGGCCTAGAACGAAGTATCTAACGTCTGAATATATTCTTCCATGTATTGTCGGTTATCGCTACCTATATAGAGGATGGCACTGATTAATATGTATTGTTAAGGCTCTACTCGAGTATATAAAACTTGAATGAGATGAACAAGCGTCGATAGGATAAGTATCATATGCTGGTTGAGATGGACCCATACACCGCTACAAATAAGTGTCAAAAGGAATTGATTGCATGATGACTTACAAACCGAAACTGAAAGAACACGAAACCCAATGATGAGTGAGCTAAAGCTTGAGGACATTGATTATATAAGGAAAGGAAATTTGTCCATAGACAAAACTGATTGTGGGCTGTGAAACATGCAATGTGTAGATAGATACCAATGGGACGGGGCAAGAAGATGATGAACGAGTGGAGCTTGGATAGCGCATTGGATGAGATCGTCGGATAGAGTTGGTGACGCGAATAAAGATACACGAATCCCGGTTGTGAAAAGCAGTCATGAAATGAGGGGGTGGGGAATGCAAGCCACCCGGTGGTCTTTCACGTTCACATAGTAGACAAGTCATCATCAAACCCGTCCAGATGTAACCCTCGCCTCTGTTGTGCATATCTCCCGACAGGTGACTCTAAATCCAATTCATCCTCAGGTCGAATTTCTGGTTCCTCAGGTTCCACCGCTTCCTCTTCCTGATCCTTAGCTTGCGCCAACACACCAGCTTCAGGCATAACCGACTCGCCATGGTACGTGAACCCTATGAAGTTCTCCTGTACAGAGCTCGTTAAAGGCGTACCCACACGCTCCTTCTTCTTTTTCTTCTTCTGTGGGACTTCAATACTTTGCGTTGACGGAGCCAGTGGCGCCACGGGTGGTTTATCTGACCCTAAAGGACCGTTTGGTGTATGCGACGTGCCGAGCTGACTTTGTGACAATGCAACCCAGCTTTCGGAAGGATCCTCATCATCAATCTCTGAGATGTCAATAGGCCCAGCAGCTCGGATATCGGCAGTAGTAAACTCAGGGTCGAAGTTGGCTACGGACTCGTCCGACTCAACGACAGGTTTGAACGGGGGCGTGACCTGTTTCCGTGCAAGTGCATCCCAATCGATTGACTTGAAGAACGGATGTTCTTTCAATTCCGCAGCATCTCGTTGTGCACCAAGTCGGTGTTTCGGATTACGGTTGAGAAGCTATGGAGGGATTAAGAAAGAAAGGCGCGCTCAGACGTGAGAACGGCGACAGAAGCAGAGATATGCTACTCACCCCTTTAACGAACTGTTTACCATCTTCGCCGATGACGCCTTTCGGGAACCTGATCTTACCAAAGCAGATATTCTTGTACATCTGCTGCGTGTCTTCCGCATAGAATGGACTCCACCCGCAACACATCTCGAACAGGAGCACGCCCAGACTCCAGAAATCCACGAGTTTGGAGTAACCATGTTCGTCCAAGAGGACTTCGGGCGCCAGATACTCCGTAGTACCACAGAAAGTATTCGTGAGCTCATCCGACCGCAAGTCTGGCTTTGAAAGACCGAAATCGCAGAGAGCAACGTGTCCTGTTGCATCGAGGAGGATATTCTCGGGCTTTAGATCACTATTGCGGAGGTCACATTCAGTAAAACACGAGGATGCAAAAGGTCACACGACACATACCGGTACACGATATCATACTTGTGCAAGTGTTCTAGCGCAAGCACCAACTCTGCGATGTAAAAACGTGCCCTTTCCTCACTGAACCTCGTTTCCCTCTGTAGATGCCAGAATAGTTCTCCGCCGCTCTTGAAATCAGTCACGAGGTAGAGATCCGTGTCCGTTTGGAACGAGAACTTGAGGCCAACAAGGAACGGTGACTCGAGGGATCTCTGCAAGATCTTGCGTTCCCCGATTGTATGCGCGACCTCCTTTTTGGCAATAATTTCCCGCTTCGACAGAATCTTCATTGCATATATGCGCTTCGTGTCCTTCTTCCGTACCTGGAAGACCTTTCCAAAGGTTCCCCGGCCAATGAGTTTCAGGAATTCGAAGTCTCTTGGGGTGAGCGCGCGTCTCGTCTACATTGCAACGAGGTGACAGGAAGTGACGCGTAGTGCAAATATTGTGTGGGGTAGGGGGTGAAGGTGTCATAAGATCCGGGGAAGACGTGTCAGTGTGTGGGGAAGACGACGTCACATGTACTACGCACCTTGTTAGCTTCGAATGTAACCTGAACCCTGATTTCACCAGTTATGGGTTCGTTTTCGTAAGGTTTGAGCCTAGACGAAGGGTATCAGACCATCGTACGAAAGAGCGAGGAGCAGTACTCACTTATACCACTGGTCGACAGTGTGCTCGTGCACCAGGACAGGCTTGATCTGAACTGTACCCAGGAAGCCTAGATCGCTGACCGCGCGGTCGTAAACATTGATTGTAATAACGGATTGTTCAGACGTGACATCGCTAGATCGGTCCAAGATCAGTTTAAGAGGTTTCCAGCAACAAGGAGGATTTCAAGCACTCACAAAGAGACTTCATGCTTCCACACCGGATTATGCGCCGATATACGGGGACCTCCAAACATGACACTCAAACCAGGTTTCCCTGAACCAGCAGAGGAAGAGGGTGTATGCGAGCTACTTGCTCTTGAACTAGTACTCCCACTAGATCCGCCGCTTCCCGCAGCTCTGCCAACCTTGCTGCTTATTGTACTGAGTGCCGTTAGGGCCGTGGATGACGAATTACGCGAAAGAGTGGTTGCGACACCCTTGACCTCCTTGTCAGATTCGTCTGTAGGATCTCTGCTGACAAACTCGTTCTGCTCGAACTGAACGACGACATAGGGTCGTGCATGAGAAGATCGAACGTTGAGTCCGCGAGCCTGGATGAGTTTGACGTGAATCTGCCCCTTTGATGTACTTGACCCCGGCGATCCATTCGCTGTCGAGGGAATAGGGGTGAGTGCATGCGAGCCATTAGTGGCTTCAGAGGTGGGTGTATGCGTCGATGAACCGTTGAGGTCAGACCGTTTCGCAGCGGTGAGGGTCAAGGCGGAGGCAGACGGATTGCGTGAGCTGGTTGGAGGCGGTGAAGAGGCGGAGGAAGAGGGGGATGTCTTGTTGAGATGTTTTGGAGGAGGAGGCTGCTGCATGTTGAACACTGGGGCATGAAGAGAAAGACTTGTAGTGGGAAGAGCAGCTACAGCGCTGGTGGTAGCAGAGGGCGTCAAAGGGCCCGAGACTGGAGACTGGGGTGCAGGATCAGGCCCATTAGAGACACTGCTAGTCGGGGCGGAGATTGGAGGCGAAAGTGGGCGATGGGACGTGTTGAGCAATTGGTGGTGATATGAGGGTGTCGTAGGAGTTAAGGGCCCTGTAGAAAGGTTGTGTGGAGGTCGTCGCTCGTCGTTATCGCTCTTGTAAGCAGATTGGGCGGAAATAGAGGCGTCGAAGGGATTTTGCCGTTCTTGGCCATTCGGACCCGCCCTGGGGGTAAGATCAACAGGTGTTGACGGCCAGAACTTGAGCATGGTAGAGGCCTGTGGTGGAGGCCAGAAAGGCAATGGAGAGTAGAGAGATGGGTGTATGCGGTGAAGAGCGAACGAGAGTGGAAGAGAGAGGCCGCGATTGCTGTAGGAGAGGTTATATCAATGCACCCCGGTGCGGTATCAGCGACCTTCGACGCCTCTCCACTTTTCCGTCCGAACGTAGCCACAGCCCTCGTCAGTTTACGCGGCCGCATTTTTTTCCTCCACATCCCTCAAACATCTCGGCCTTGTGTTTTTTTTTTGATTCCGCTCCTCGAGTCGAGCCCTTTTATTCTCTTCAGTCCTTCAACCGACATTTTATTGTCTGCATACGCCTGGCATACGCTATCTGCTTATTCTGCTATGCTCGCGTAATTCCCTCACAATTCTCATCACTCCACCCGTTCTCGTAATAGCTCATTGGCTGCTCTTGGGCGACTCAAGTGTCTCTATTGCCGCCTCGAAGTCCTTCACCACTTCCTCTCTTCCCTCCGCCGTAGCCACCTGTATCTCAGCTGCCCGGAGCTTCGCCTGTTCTCGAAGTTGCCCTTGGCTCCATCGTAGGCCTTTTACCATCACTCCAATCATCAGTCCAAGCACCAGAGTTCTCGAGGTCGCCTTCCAGGGCAAACGATCTGTCTTTCCTTTAGCAAATCACAAGGTAGTTTGTTCCATGCAACTTACAAGCAAGAGAAAATACGCCAGCGGTTCCCAGACCCGCCGCCACCTCTCCGATGTCCTCCACTCCAGCTCGTTTGCAACCTTCCTCAATTGCTACCCAGCCCATAGCGGTCGCACCGAGCCTTGCCGCATCCGCACCAGCCTCCTTAAGTCCGCCTAGTATAACACGGTAGTTCTTAGTCTTGTTGTAGAGATACCATCCTCCTACAGTCGTCGGAGGTCGATGCACATTTTCTGCGAGGAAGCGCAGGGATTCCCGACGCGAGCCACGAAATAGACCGATAGTCGTGCCAACAATGATAGCAGTACCCGGCAAGAGGTAGTAACGTTCTGGGATAGTTATACGAATGGCATTCGGTTTCTCTGCAGGTTCGTCCGGAGCAGAGGACATTTCAAGTTGATTGATTTGGCGCCGAAGCTCCCAGCTGTCACTTTTGCATTGACACACCATGATGACATGATCCGTTCATGCAGATATTGAAATAGTTAGTTTGTTGAGGACATCACAAATATGAAGCCGCAAAACAAAATCAATATCGGGGTGTTCACTACATATTATTCACAAGGTTAAAGCCGCGACAGAGCTTGAACCTAGAACCTCCCTCTCCTGACTCGGTGACTACGAGAGATCTAGAGTCGTCCATCAATGTCCAGAGTCAAGGAAGAGCTAGAACATAGTTGGCCTGTATTATCAATTGTGTGGAATCTTGTGGAATAAATTTCTCAAGGATTCGTGCCCGGGTGTGAACTTGCATGCACTGGAAGTCTCAGTTTGACGTCAACCTTATCAACAATTCGAAGCTGGACCGGACTAGACTTGCTTCCATGGCCGTAAGTAGAAGACAATCATTCCTTCTGTGTTCCTTCTAACAAAAGCGAGATAAGATTAGAGCAGACGTATTAATGCATATGGTCACACGACGCATTCGACCTATAGCGCTAGGATTAGCGTACATTCCCAACAAGCCTGTTGCCGTGGTTAGATGCGAACAGAGTCCTAGCGGGATTGTCCAATCATGATTAGAGTTTGGGTATGGACCATGAACCAGACGGCTATCCCTCGAGGGTACGCTTCAGCATTCCAAGCAAAGGTAGTTGGAATAAAGCAAAGGACCTTACTCTGAGACATAGTATGAAATCGAGCATTTCGGGTGGATAGTCCCGACATGCTGGATTTCATACTAAAGCATCACTGAAAGAATGGTTTGAGTACCATACTGGTATGATGCTCATATATATATATATATACTTACCTTGGTTGCATATGAGTAAGGGATCAAACCCCTACACGGAGCACCACCAGGACACCATAAGCTAGCAAAGATGTGAAGGACTTGAGGGATTGGCAGACCTATATACAATCAAAAGGTCAGCATTGGCCGAAGACCTTATTACAACACCATGACGTGACGGCCGCTGGCCAGATAAGCACAGGCCGCCGAAGGAGAGCACACTCACACACCTCTGAACCATGTACGGTTACTAAACACTCCGACGTTAACTTCGAGAACGCCGGACGCTGTTGCTCTCCGCAGAATGAAATTGCATTCCCAAACTATTTTTGAGACTTACCTGACAGACGTGATTGCGGATGTACGAGCCGTAGAACAAGTCTATAAATTGTTTCCGTACTATATCAGGCTCGCTGAGTCCTGTTCAAACATGCGACAGCCTGCTTTGAAGGTCGATATTGCAGAGTCACAGTAGAGTCCTAGATGACCATCGTCCATTGAAATTCAGATCCTGTTATAATTGCTGCGCAGTACCTAGACAAACCTTTGCAAGTAGCAGTGGTTGATCGAAGGTTTCAGATACAGCTGCAAGAGCAGTGTCGACAAGATAGTCTGAGAATGGGATGCCAAGGAGGCCATAGGACAAAGGCAGCCGCCCATGCTCTCGATAGTGTGTAAGAGAGGTCGACGTTGTGATAGCATGTAGCAAGGCATACACCATGTTGACGGGGAGAAGGCCACGGACACGAATCGCTACTTGGGGGTACCGTGAGATCGTCGGACCACAAAGGTCGAAGGCGGACAAACGACTGCTCTACTGAGTGCGATTCGAAGCCATGCATTCGCCTATGGAAGCCGTGAGTGTAAACCGAGTGAACCGGAGACCCACCATTTTCCGGAAGCCGTATGCTGGTAAACTTAGTATACGTTTGAGTTTGATGTATTGAATCTTCGAGAAGGAGGTGATATAAAAAGTCGCTCCCTGACGCAAGGGCAGGAGATAACGTCGTTGCCAAACAGTCGCTGTATTCACTCGATAGGACATAATGGTGGTGCAGGATCTGAAAAGTAAGTCCGTAAATGACGCGGGGTATGTCAGGCATGCAGCGGGGAGTCAGAGAGCCTACTGAGTCCGATCGTAGAGATTGCGGCCGGATTCTATTGAATTGTCGTCAAAGCTTCTAGGTACTGCATACGTGGTACAGTACCTGGATAGATGTTTGCAAGCAACCATTGGTCGACTCAGGATTCAGAGATACATGTAGAATGGGTCCTATCTCAGAACGCCGTAACGCAATAAATGAAAGGATATCATGTGTGAACTGCAGGGCGCTACGGCTGAACATGCTGTTGAACTTTCACCAGCATGAACAGCAGCTATAATTATCAGTACTTCGCCGCCCATGCAGGATCTCACACAACCTCAACGTGTACGCTTGAAACGTGACAGCTAGTAACGGCTGATCGTGAAAGAGAAACTCTGGAGGAAGGTACATCGGTGCTGTCGTTCTGTTCAAATGGCTACGAAGTCAAAGCTAGCCCAGATTTCTTTGATATTTGCGTGAGTCAATGCTTCGTGTCCTAATCGACATCGCTCGAATCATCATCGTAAATGCTTACGTCGTGTATGCTGTCCATTCAGCTGCGGTACTGCTCTATTCTCTGACGGTCAGCATACATCTGGGCCGATATGTGATAAAGGATGGAAGGCTAATCGTGCTATTAGGATACGCTAGTGGTGTGATCGGAAGTGGCGAGTCTTCCATAATGTGATGAACCCGCGTTATGCTAACCTTTACATCCTTGTTTCCATAGTGAACACCAGTGAGTTCAGTACTACTGTTAAGCTTATTGAGCAATTTCCGAAGTTGGCTTTGCTTCTCAGTCCTCAGGCGTACTTACGGCGCAGACAATGTCAACGCTCACAACTACAGCATTGTCTTGACGAGTCTTTCTTTTGTCGGAACGATAATTGGAATGTTGACATTCGGTTATCTGTCTGATAAGATGGGGCGCAAATTTGGAATGGTATGTACCATGTCTGTACACTCGTATATATCTAAGGCATCGTTTCAGATGGCAGCAACTGGAATCATAGCCGTATTCTCTGCCCTCTCCGCTGCGTCCAGCGGTGCACATCATAGTCTGCACGGCTTGCTTTCTATGCTCAGTGTATGTCGGTATGTGTTGTATGAGGATTAGAACATCGTTCTTGGTGTAAATTATGTCTACTACCAGTCTCTTTCTTGGAATTGGTATCGGTGCAGAGTATTCTAGCGGCTCAGTTGCTGCATCCGAGCAGTCCGAAGCGGAGGGTATCGGTAACAGACTCCAGCATGGGTGGTTCGTGCTCGCTACCAGTAATGAATCACCTCCTAATGACCTTCATCTATTAATCTGACGAGTACTACTAAGACACCATCATTGACTTCGGTTTCGTGATAGCCGCATTTGTCCCCCTGGTGCTTTTCTGGATGTACGTTCTCCAGACACTCCTTTTCGCATCTCAATCAGTTGACATATCAAGTCTCACTTACCTCATTCCGCCAGCTTTGGGGATAACCACCTCCGTGCCGTATGGCGACTCTCGCTTGGCCTGGGTGTCGTCCCCGCATTAGCCCTATTCATTTGGCGACTGAGGATGGACGAGCCGACACATTACAAGAGGAACTCTATGGCTAGTTCCAAGGTTCCTTATTGGCTCATCCTCAAGCGCTATTGGATACCTTTTTCAGGTCTGGCATCCGTCTGGTTTCTCTATGACTTCATTGTCTACCCAGTGAGTAATCCGTATCTCCCAATGAGCATTTCGGGGATTTAAAAATGCGTAGTTCAATCTCTACTCCTCAACAGTGGTTGACAGGTAGGCTATAATATCACTTAGAAAGCGTGGCCATCGACGGAATGAGATCCATCATAGCATCACCCATAATGACGATTCACTCACTGTTGTCCTTGGCTGGAATGTTGTCATCAAGTCAGTTTTTTTTGGACCGGATATGGATCATTAGCTCAATGACCCCTTTGCAGCTTATTTTACATGCCTGGTACCGTGCTTGGTGCATGCGTAGTTGACTACATAGGTCCTAAGCGTACCATGGTATGTACTCCTGGGTTTATCTTTGAAGCTGTGTTCAATCTCTCATCATCTTGCACCGCACAGATATCTGGTCTCCTTGCTCAAGCTCTCGTTGGATTCATTATAAGCGGTCTCTATACGCAGTATGTCTTCTACGGTCGTTTCTTTGTTGTCATGCTACTACTCACTATTGATTTGTCTCAAGCTTGACAAAACATGTTGGTGTATTCGCCGTCGTATACGGCATATTCCTTAGCCTCGGAGAGTTCGGTCCAGGTAATTGTCTCCCTCTGCTTGGATCAAAGGCCGGACCCACTGCTGTTCGTGGTCAGTTCTATGGTACTGCTGCTGCTATCGGAAAACTCGGTGCATTTGTAGGTACTTGGGCTTTCCCACCTATGATTGAAGGTGTGTCTTTCTTGGAACCTTCAGATTCTGCCAAGAACGTGCTGATATCCTTCGTAATTGGAAAGCATTCGGTGGAGCGGCTACCACAAGAGGTAATACGGGGCCATTCTGGGTCGGAAGTGGTATGTCCAGCGCATATAATCAAGGAATGAATGATTATCATCATCATTTCAGGCCTGGCGATCCTCAGCGCAATCATAATCTTCTTCACGGTCCAACCACTGGACCATGATGGCATACTGAAAGAGGATGAAGCTGTGAGTATCCACGATTCTCCTCATCTTGACCTGATCCTTTAACTTCAACAGTTCCGTGAATATCTTGAACAACATGGCTACAATACTGCTCAGATGGGTATCCTCCATGACACAGAATCCATAGAAACCACGCCGTCGGTTATAAGAGAAGAGGTTTTGAAGAAAAAGGCGCAAGTGGTCGTTTAGGCGTCTCTTCTCAATTTGCCTTCAGTTCATATTATATCCCCTCATGAACACGAATTTGCCTGATAGTCAGTCCCCTAGGAAATAGCGTTATTGCCAAACAGTCGCTGTATTCACCAATAGAACGTAATGGTGGTGCAGGATCCGAAGCGCACGCAAGTTCGTAAACGGACATGTCATCCGCATGAACGGGGTATTCTAACGTCCCAAAAAAAACCGGGGAGCTAGATTCACGAAGACCTGGACAGCCTGCTTAGAAGCCAGGGATTGCAGGGTCTTATTGAAATGGGTAGGTACAGCGTAGTACCTGCCAGACGAACGTTTGCGAGCAGCCATTGGCCGAAGGACTGACTGGTGACATGAGAATAAGGCACTATACAGTGTCGATTAGGATATTCCGAGAATAGATACAAGTGGTACAGTAACTTGAACAGTAAAGGTGAAATTTGTCCCCTGCAGTATTGAGAAGGTACTAATAGAGGCTGATAGAACTGCTGATACCGCCGGTTGGTCAACGTCGCAAGGCCCGTGTGGCCCACAGGTTGTACATATGAGTTTATGGCGAACTACGTTGCTGGTCCGTGGGAGTTTGCAAGCCAAAAGCCATAACGAGCAGTGCACGTTCGTTAGCTGGCACAACTTTGACCAAAATGCAGGCGTCATCAGGAACGAAGCAAGAGCTTCGTTAAGATCGAACACCGTGACAATGCGACTGGTCGTCTGAGCATTCTGGTCGACTTCTCGACATCAATCATGGTCTCAAGATAAGTACCGCCGTGCTCACACCTTCCGGGGCCCTGAGCCTCCTGCGAGCCTCCCCCGCTGCTATCGTCGTTCTGCTATGGCTACAAAGTCAAAATTGTCCCAAGTGTCCCTCATATTCGCGTGAGTAACTGCTTTATACAATCTTCCAAATAGTTTGTGTTGTAAATTGGGCGCTTCGGCGACTCATGGAGATTAGCGGTCGGAGCATGAACCTTACGTAGATCGTAGCGTACACGAATCCGTAGCATACTTGTTTTCTTTATGCGTTTGCAACAAGACTACCGTTACCTGTCTTAAGCCAAACGTACTTTGTCGTTCATCCTCCGGGCTCCCTGCTGGTCGATTTTCATCACAAACGCATCGCCCGCTTGTAGGCTATACAAGCTGCCCGGTGGATTCCTTTCCTTCATTCGGTCACTCATTCCCACACATCGCTTCTCATGTCTACCAACATCAATTCGCTCATCGCCTCGATCATCAAACTCAATGGGTCGAACTACTATGATTGGAAGTTCGCCATGCAGATGATTCTCCGTCGCGCCGGCTGCTGGCACGTTGTTAGCGGCAAACTCTTACGTCCAGATGATGACCCTAAGAAGGCTGCGATCTGGGATTCGCTATCTGAGGATGGTCTCACTGCGATCGGGCTTGCTGTGGAGCAGAGCGAGACGGCGCACATTCGTGAGTGCAACACTGGTCCTGGAGCCTGGAAGGCTCTTGCCGCTATTTACGAGCGGAATGGTCGCGCTACGCGCATCATGCTCAAGCGTCAGTTCTACATGTTCTCCCATGAGATTGAGAACCCCATCATCGAGTATGTCACTGGTATCACCACCATCGTCAGCAAACTCAAGGCCATTGGCGTCACCATTGAGGATGAAGATGTCACCGATGTCCTTATCTACGCCCTCGCACCTGAGTACACTGCTGTTGCGACTTCCCTCATGCAATCGACTTCTTCCCCTTCCATTGCCGACATCACTGCTAGCCTCATTGAGGCTGAGGAGCAGATGAAGAAGCTCACCCCCGAAGGTGCCCTTGGTGCTCTGAATGTCAGCACACGTAAGCCCAAGTATTCCACCAATAATCGTGGTTCCTCTCCCAAGTGCCATCGTTGCTTGAAACTCGGTCACATTGCTCGTTATTGTCATGCTTCAGCTCCAGTCGAGGACACTGCTTTGGAGGATGATGTTCATGCGAAGATGGCCTTCATGGACCCTCATTACCCTGGACTTCAGTTGTTCTAGACAACTATCGCTCGACTGCAGGATTCAGATCATGCCGACGTGGCAAGTAGGAGTTTGGCGGAACTCATTGTTGGGTCACTTACTCGGAGGGTCAGTCGCTGGAAGATGCTGGATATGTAGGTTGTGGATAGGTTGATTTTTGTTGTTTGTTGTGTTATCTCATTCAGTGGGTGACTTTGTTATTCGTCGCCTTTAGCGAGTGGGTGTGTTGTAAATTGGGCGCTTCGGCGACTCATGGAGATTAGCGGTCGGAGCATGAACCTTACGTAGATCGTAGCGTACACGAATCCGTAGCATACTTGTTTTCTTTATGCGTTTGCAACAAGACTACCGTTACCTGTCTTAAGCCAAACGTACTTTGTCGTTCATCCTCCGGGCTCCCTGCTGGTCGATTTTCATCAGTTTGAATCATTAAACATATTTATGCGGTGCTCACATTTTCGTGCAGTTGTGGTACTGCGCTGTTCTCTGATGGTTAGTTCTACCATGCGATAAATGATGTCAGACTGATCGTATTTTTAGGATACGCCAACGGTATTATAGGAACCGGTCAGTTTTTCTTAATGTGTCGAATTTACGGACATGCTTATCCTATTTCACAGTGAACACTAGTGAGTCAACTGCTAAGTACTCCTCTTTCCATCAATCATCCCTCCCGCTCAGTACTCAGGCGTGCTTACGGCGCGGACGAAGTCAACGCTCACAACTTCAGTACTGTGTTGACCAGTCTCGCTTTTGCCGGAACGATACTCGGAATGCTGACGTTCGGATATCTGTCCGACAAGCTGGGCCGCAAGTTTGGTATGGTATGTACCATGACTGCCCTTATGCATAAGCGTTTGAAGCATTGAGATGTCGTGCTCAGATGTCCGCAACGGGAATTGTCGCTGTTTTCTCTGGTCTTGCTGCTGCGTCTAGCGGAGCACATCATAGCTTGCAAGGGATGCTCAATATGTTGAGTGCATGTCGGTCTGTATTTCATTGCCCTTCTACCCTTGTCCCTTATTTGAGCGCTGCCTTCAGCTTTTTGCTTGGCATTGGAATTGGTGCAGAATATCCTTGCGGCTCAGTCGCTGCTTCAGAACAATCCGAAGGAGAAGGTATCAGCAAAAATGCTCAACACAGGTGGTTCGTGCTCTCCACCAGTAAATCCTCATCTTTGATGTTCTCCTTGCATTAATCTGATTATAAAAATCAAAGACTCAATGCTTGACTGTGGCTTCGTGATGTCAAATTTTGCACCGCTGGTACTTCTGTGGATGTATGTTCTCCAATTCTTTATACCCAAGGAAGTTGAGTCTCACTTTTCCACTAGCTTTGGGAATGACCACCTCCGCGCCGTATGGCGATTATCACTTGGCCTTGGCGTCGTCCCTGCGTTGGTTGTGTTTATTTGGCGACTGAAGATGGACGAACCTCTGCATTACAAGCTGAACTCCATGACTCGTTCCAAGGTCCCATATTGGCTGATCATCAAGCGGTATTGGGTCCCTCTCTCGGGTATATCCCTCTCCTGGTTCCTCTACGATTTTATCGTCTACCCAGTGAGCAATCTTACTTTCACAGCAGCTTTTCTTTCGCAGTTAACACGATTGTAGTTCAAGCTCTACGCTTCAACAGTCGTTGACAAGTACGTTCCCATATGTTCAAGCAAACTAGGACTATTGCGCTGAAATATATGATCATCTTAGCATCACTCACAATGACGACTCGCTCATTGCCGTCCTTGGCTGGAATGTTGTCATCAGGCGAGTAGCTTTTTCCAACTCAAGTATGAAGCATCAATTGAGCGTTGCCGTCCTTAGCTTATTCTACGTGCCTGGTACCGTCATCGGTGCGTTTATTGTTGACTACGTAGGTCCCAAGTATACCATGGTACGTCGTTATAAATACCATCTGATTTTTTCTTCCTTTTCTTATATTACATAGATCTCCGGCCTCCTTGCTCAGGCTGTCATCGGATTCATCATGAGCGGCCTCTACACCCAGTATGACCCACTCCAAAGTCTTCCTTTCCCTGCTATTACTCACGATTGACCCCCATTCTCCAGCTTGACCAACCATATCGCCGCATTCACTGTCGTATACGGAATATTCCTTAGTCTCGGCGAACTGGGTCCAGGCAATTGTGTTGCTTTGTTCGCAGCCAAGACTGGACCTACTGCCGTCCGTGGTCAGTTCTATGGTCTTGCTGCTGCAATCGGAAAAGTTGGTGCGTTTGTAGGTACTTGGGCCTTTCCGCCTATGATTGAAGGTGAGGTTTGCCCCGGGTTGCTTTTTGCGAAGGGAACATTGATGATTCGAAGCATTCGGTGGACCGACGACCGCCAGGGGTAACACAGGGCCATTCTGGGTTGCAAGTGGTATGTAGGCGGCTCTCGTCATGAAGCAGTCGATGCTCATTATTGTCTGTCCCAGGCCTTGCGGTCCTGAATGCAATCGTGGTGTTCTCTACCGTCAAACCGCTTGATCATGATGGCATGCTCAAAGAGGACGCAGCTGTAAACAATTTTGTTGTTTCCGGTTCTTGCTTCGAATTGATATGCTCCATTTTTCACAGTTCCGCCAATACTTGGAGCAAAATGGCTATGATACCTCTCAGATGGGCATCCTCAGTGACAGTGATACAGAGTCTGTAGAAAGCGCGGCAGCAGTTATTAGAGAGGAAGTCCTGGACGAGAAGGAGTGAGGGAACGTCTAGATCTCGCTTTTCTCTACGTTTCCGTTTAGATTGCCGCCTCGTCACGAACCTGAAGCCTGATAATCGACCACCTACACGATTTAATTGCTTTTCTTTGGTTTCGGAGTTTGCTGCAACAAGTTGATGGCCTCCATATTAACGGACCGGATGATGCTCAGCACAAGCTAGTTGTGTGAAGTGCTTCTGTTTAGTATCCTTCGTACGCGTCGAAACGCTGCAATATATATCATGTATTTTGTCTTTCCTCGACTGCAATGTTAGTGGTTAAGCATTCAATATTCAGTAGTTGGTTACCCGGAACCATGACCACTGTAATGATGGTGATATAATCGGTGCATGCAAACAGCAACGGAGGAAGTAGCAAAACTGCAGCAGGCTTCAAGGAAGATTGAGCTTATCATAGAAGAGACGCCGATCCAAAGAAGAATTGATGTTTCGAAATGAGAAGTATGCCAATAAGATTAGGATGATTGGATGCATTGTCAGGGATAGATTCTCGAAGGAAGCCTTGCATGTAGGACCATGGGTGACTCTTGTTGATAAGTCTACAGTCTCCGTTAAGATAATGCTCGATGTAAACAGCAGTTTGTCGGGAAGCGGAGGATGGAACGTTCAAGATCGAAGGCTTCATATGATGTCAACTGTCAACTGGACAGGAATATTTGCAGTTCCTCGACCGGAAAACCCCCTCATCTGTCACAGCTGTTTACGCAGAACAAGGATACCGGCGAAGGGGCCGTCAGAACCAGCTGCAGGTATGCGCCACACCTGGAATGATACCTGAGAGTTGCAAATATTATGAACGACGCAACATTAGAGGGATTCTCTGGGTTTGTAAAATGGACATCCTGATCGGGCGTGCAACCTATAAGAATGCAGAGAAAAACGGAACATCGATGAGGCGGAAAAGGGGGAGGCAAGGGAGGACGAGATTTGGCTACAGTTTGTTCGAGCCAAAGTTTGTATCTGTGTTCTTGTGCTTGCCAGGATCAAATTTGTTTTCTCTGGTTTTCAACGCTTTGGGCTTTGTATGAGTGTGTTTGACCGTCGGAGACAGAAATCCCTCTTACCTCTCTTCCACCACATCGTCTGCTCGTCGTCGCACGTCGCCTGGCCAACGTTCGCAACGATGGCCAAGGTCCTTTTGGCTCCCCAGAGCCCTCTCACGTGGCCCGTGCGTCCGTGCATCAGTTCGCACGGATGACATAATCGTGTTCGACTCGTTTTCCTCCTTTGCCCAACCGTGCCCTCTTCATCGTGGTCAACGTCCTGCTGCTGCCGTTTGCTCCCTGTCTTCGTGTCGTAGAACTATATCTACCCGCTATGGCTCAGCAGCCAACTGTCATGCCTCAGGATATGATGCAGCAACCTCATCCGCAGACCATGCACCCCGTTAACTCGTATTACCCCGAAAACCCTAACGACCTGACTGGAGGGCTGCCTATTAACCTCGACTCCCTGCGTGATGGCCCGCCCGGAAGCAAGCCTTTCTATCCCTACTCGACACTTATCCGGTGCGTACAAACAGATCGCGACTTTAGCCGGGTAGACGATGTTCATGTTTGGTCTTGTATTGCAGTTACGCGATCAAGGGAGCTCCAAACCAGAAACTCTTGCTAGAGGATATTTACTATGCTATCGAGTCCAGAGTACGTGTTACCGTGCTTTTCTACTGAGATTTGTGGCTCACGTTGTCGCATAGTTCCCCTACTTCAGGACCGCGCCTCCCGGATGGAAGGTAATTCAACTTGCTGCTCCTTAGCTCCGGATTCCAACATCGTGGCTTACAATCGTTCACAGAACTCTGTCCGTCACAATCTCTCACTAAACCCCTGCTTCGAGAAAGTCCCACGCCCATTGACGGACCGGGGCAAGGGTTCATATTGGACCGTCAATGACAATGTCGATCCTCGAACCGGCGTCCATCGTGTGCGAAAGAAGAAGAAGAGCAGCTCGGCGAAACAATCACAATCTCAGCAAGCCCAGCATCAAATTGAGGAGGACATTGACTATCATCCAGTAGCGCAGGAGCCCACTACTTTTCATGATCCAAGTGCTCAGTATGTGCAACCGCAAGCTATTGACCCTAACACTGCTGGTCCAAGTCGACAACCAGAGTATCCCACAACGTATCCTCCGCCGTTAGTTTGATCTCATATTTTCATTGCATTCTTCAGCTGACACTACTGCTTGTTGGTAGGTTTGATCCCAACTTCACTATGATGCCTCCTGCTCCACCACAGAACATGCGCTATGTCCCACCTATGGGACTTTTCTCCCCAGACGAAAGCCTTCCATATGACGAGCATGGTCAAGTCAACTGGCATGTTGCATGGCGCAAGGAGCTCAGCAACCTCACGCAGCTCACAGAGGAACAGGAGAAAGCTGGTGCTGATCCTGAGTGGTTCAGGATAATGTTATGGAGGCTTCGTTCTGCGCTGATGGCGCCTCCTGCCGATCCTAGTCTTCATGGTATGCCCGGTGCTCCGCCGCCGCCGCATAGCCACGGAATGCCAGGTCAAGCACCTAATGGAGAGGTGCCTCAGGAATAGACTGATCGCGTAGTTTAAATGGCTTGGGGGTGACATTTATTATACCAAAGTATTCTGGATTATTGCAACTGTTTCCTGTGCGTCTTCGCGCATTTATTCTTGACGCTATTTACGTGTACTCTTTCATGACTACCTGGGCTTCTACCTAAATATTTTCTGTCCGTTATTTTAGTAGTTTCTTATGAAAGTTGGAATCTAGTCTGTGCGTGGGGAATTTCGTTAAAAGTCGCAGTGAGGGCAACCTCAAGCGCTCGATCTCCGTCAACCTGCGACGTGCAACTCGTCTCTGCTCGCGACTTACGCCTGATTATATCCGAGTCGACGCACTTGACGACCTACACTGTTACTTATACCCACAAACGTACTCTCTGTATACCAATGGAAATGTCTGAACCCAACGTTAACGCCTCAACGAACAGTCATCTGGAACGTCCTGAAGACAGGGATGGTCTAGTACATCGCAGTAGTGGTCCGCTAGTCTGTAAGTGTACCACATTGATGTAATTTGTCTCTACTTTTACTCAATGCCCGTGTTAGAAGTTACTGGGCGTGCTAAGGAATTCATAGAGCTCCATGAGCAAGTTCAAGTAAAGCCCACTTCTTCGTCACTCGTCAGTGTTTGATTATGACGCAATGTTAGACTTCCGTGAATCTCTTGGACACTTTGGAAAGCTTTCTGTCAACGTTTCAGAAAGACCTTTCGGCTGTCTCTGGGCAGATTTCCGAACTTCAGGATCGAAGTAAAGACATCGAGAACCGGCTGAAGAGTCGAAGAGTGAGTGCGCTGTCCATCTCTCTGTCTCCATAATAAACCTTTCTCGGTCGATACTGCAGAAAATAGAGAAGCCTTTGTCTCATTTACTTGTCGATCTATGCATCCCACCACCGCTGGCCACTCTTATACTCGATACCAGCGTGGGCGAACCATGGATCGAGGCCATTGGAGAGTTCGAGATGAAGCTCATCGCTCTGAAGGCACGCGCCCGAGTCAAGGCAGCCAGGGATATGATAGACGTAGCTGAAGGGCTACGCATAGTCGTAAGTTCAAGTTATGATGCCAAGTTGTGCCTGTATTCACGGATAATTCTAGGCAGCAACCAAACTACGAGGATTCTTTTTGAACATGTTACAGCCAATACGGACCAGTATGACCACCAACATGCAGGTGGTTCAAACTTCCATATGGCTTAAATATCGTTCGTTGTATGCGTTCCTGCAGCGACATGCGCCTACTGTGGCAAGTGAAGTCCAGAGGGCGTACGTTGGGGCTGCTCGTACGTATTTCGAAACAGGTTTCCGAAGATATATACGAAGTCTTGGCTGGGTCAAGGTGATTATTCTTTTACGCTTTCTATCCATATCCAAAAGCTGAACAGATAAACAGGCGAGAATGGTGGAGAAACCTGATACTATTGTCACGGGGGCTGGTGAGACTACGGAACCAAGCACGAACGTAGAACGACTATCCTATGCTCGAATTGACGGGCCTGGTGTCACTCTGGCATATATGGTGGACGATAAGACTTATGTGCGTTGGTCACGCCTTTCAGCTTATTCTTGCCTCCTCACCCTGCGTTTTACAGAAAGAGCCCATCGAGGCCTTATTCCGTTCTCTAATGTTAGTCCTCATGGACAACGCAACTGCAGAATACACATTTATCACGTCTTTCTTTGCTACGGAGCAACTGCCTCTCCCTCATCGCAAGGAAACCAGCGGAAACTCATTGTTATCACCCCCTTCGTTGCTATCTCCTACATCAGCAGACTTTGACGATATTCGCTCAAATCCAGCGTCGGATTACGCACCATCCTCCCCTAGACGGAGGCTGAGTAGCTTCAATAGCGCCGTGAATATGGCCTTGGCTTCTCCGGAAACTACGCTGAAAGAGGAGCAATCGACACTGAACGGGATTTGGAAGCAAGTTATGGATCCAGTCCTGGAGTACTGCAAGGTCAGTACACACCTCAATTATTTCATCACGACTGGTTCTAATCGTGTCGCGTAGACCTTTATCAACTCTGCACTGGATCCGGCACCTCCCGTCATCCCTCTCTTGACCATGATTCGTCTGATCGAGGATGTCATGGCTGAAGTACAGAAACGCAACTGCAGTCCTATGGAATCATATATCTTCACCATTCGACTGCAAATGTGGCCCGTCTTCCAGAAGGCTATGGCAGATAATATTGACGCGCTGAAGAATTATGCCGAGGGAGCAGGTTCCAGCTTCTTCCGCAGAGGAGCGGTTACCACGGACTCGGGCGTAGCCAGTGTATGTTTCCATTAGTCGCCGACAGTCTTCGTTGTTGAACGTTCTTTCCAGATCTGTCAACGCTATGTGGTCTTATTCAACTCGTTCGTTGCTCTCACCACGTCTTCCGAAGAGACCATGATATTTTCGAAGTAGGTGGATGGGTTTTCGTTTAGTCCATATTGCTCATAATCTTATAACAGTCTACTACGTCTTCGGCAAGAGTTGTCCAAATTGATAACTTCTCACACAGACAAAATAGGAGATGTCGTTGCAAAGGCCACTGCTCAAGCGACATTATATGATAGGTTGCTTCAGGGGTTGAGCGTGAGTAGATAGGTTCTCCTTTTTCGACCCATTTCTGAGCTCAATCCTATTCTAGAGAGGACCAAGTCCTGCCAGTCATCCCAAAGCCCAAAGCGAGATTGCATATTGGAGAGAACGGGAGGAAGAAGCCCGCAGACGGATTGCAATCGCGAGTAGACAGAGATAATGTATTCCGAGTGTGGGTAGAGTGGGCAAATTAATATCGAAGGAATACAGTGTGAAATAAGTGTCCTCGACGACCGAAATCCAAAGAAACTGCGGATAGCAAAAAGCCAATAAGGAGCGTGGAGTTACATAGCATGTGCTTAGGTCTTGTATGGAGGTATTGCTGGTCTGTTAGCGGATTATAAGCCAGAATACTGGTTATGCAGAGACTTCTCTCACCTGGATTCGTTCTTCTGAAACGGGAACGACGGCTTGAGATTGTTGCCTCCACTTTGTTTCCCGATGCCTAGTTTGTTTAGGACGTCCCGTACGTCGCTTGGGCTGTTTAGTTTACTTCGCTGTTGCGGCCTCGAGCGTACAGGAGTCAACCTCACTAGGGGCGGCTCTCCTTGAGCGAAGGTTGATGTATGTTCGAGGGTAGATAAGGACGGTGCTCTGTTGGAGAGGTTTGGGTTCGACAAGCTGCTTCGGCCCTCTAGAGCTTCTCGCAAATCGGTGACCCCGACGCCTCCTCTTGTGGAGCGTGTCAGACTTTGTAGGGACATATTCTCGATCTGCATCAACGTTGGTGCCTTCTTGACTAGGGATGAGATAGTGTCATGGCGGAGAGAATCGTAGCTGGTCTGCATTTCCATTGCTATGACCTAATGTCAGCGAGATTCAATGGCTTTACTGCATTATACTCACAGTCTTTCAATATCAGTTCTGGCGTCCATAGGGCCTTGAAACGTTTCAGCAACTCTTGCTCATCCAAACCCGTCGCTTCCTGGATATTGACACTCGAGGCCAAAGCGTTCAGCATCGCCTCGGAGTTTAGGTGGATATCTGGCGTGTCCTTTTCGTCGAGGATACTAAGAGAAATAGGCTGCTGGGGCGGACGGATAGCTCCGGGTCGACACTCCTCAAAATCAGGAGGACGAAGAACAGCATTTGTTGATTCCAAGGCCTGTCAACCCTTGTAAGCACAGGCAATGTTTCCAAGCCACAAGTGTAAGCTTTACCTTTTGTGCATTTTCAATAAGTTCGGTACACCTCCAGATACTCCCTATAGACAACCATACCCTGATTAACAACTCTTTGATCACCCGCACCCGCTGAGAATATGTCGAATCTGTGTTGGTTTCTGCTGAGCATGCCTTGTCCAGAGCTACTAACATGGGTACTCCTGTTAACAAACCGCGAACGGGTGTGCATTCTTGGACGGCCGTGAGCACGGCTAGGATGTTCGCATAATCCGACAACGATGCCGACTTCTCCGAAGACGTCGACGGGGACAAGCTACGCGAAGTGCTTTGAATGGCTTGAAGCATTACCGAAGTTTTTCTGGAACGCGGAGGAACGGTTGTGCTTCGTCGGCTGTTATCCTGAGACTCTGGGGGTGCTTCACGATTGCCGCCATTCGCGCCGTCTCCATTCTCAGAGCGTTGTGGTGTTGAAGAAGGTGACTCTTCACTTATACCCAGAACCGACGAAGTGGCCAAGACATAAAGATGCGCATGCAGAGCATGTAAGAAGCTCGTTGTGGAATCACCGTACAGAACTGAGGATAGAGTATTGGCTTGACGGGCCGGACCTTCTGCAAGTGGTCTTGCTCGTTTGACACCATCGCTGTCGACATGGTCTCCATGCTTGGGAACCTCATACTTGAGGTATGATACCACAGCCTCTGCATAGTCTGCCCTTATGGAGTAATCGGCATCGCATAACAATGTGAGAGTTTCTTGCCAGATTTCAGGAGCCACCTTTGTTCTTCGAGAAGGCTTGATGTGTATGTCAGTGGAAGGTGTCGAGAGTATTGATCCTGTGCCAGCTTTTCTTGATCTAGTGTCATCAGTTGTATCCTCTCTTCCACTGTCGTGTTTATCTGCTGCATGAATAAGACCAAGCAAACTTGCCAGAAGACAGCGCAAGGCTCGAGCACGGCATCGGTCGTTCGTTGCCTTGTCAGTGCCTAATCCGTTCGCTTCCACCAAAACCAGACGGGTGATCAGCTCACTCGCAAGGTCCTGAATTTGATCCGTATAGTAAATGTGCGTTCCTAATGAACCTATGCATTCAACCAGTAGTGGGATGAGGGGGTCGTCTGCTTGTATTGCGATCCTTCGCAGAATGACTCCTATCAAACTGGACATGATGTCAGACATTGTCAGGTTGATCAGATGTGTCGGAGAAGTGAAGACTGTCGTGAGCATGGCTGCCAATGTCCTGTGCCGAGGGATTGAATGTGGCGCATCCTGCCCCTCGACGAGGTATTCAGCCAAGCGAGAGGGAATCGTGTAACGATATTGGTACTGGGTCCATTCAGCGGCTTTGGTGGCAATCCATTCACAACGCTCAACTTTCTCCCATCCTCCAATGTCGTCCAAACAGTCGAAAATTGCCCGCATAATAACGCTTGCCTGCATAGCGACCGAGTGGCCTAGTAAGATAGACAGCGCATGTATTGCAGTATTTGCCACTTCGCTCGAAGATGGTCCCTTGTCTCCATCTACGTGCAGATGAATGGACCTAGCACGTCGTTCTAAGGCTGGTTTATCCCGGAAACCATCGAGATACGGTGAGAGTGGTTGGCCTTTAATCGCAGCAGCTCTATAGGATTGTCAGCATCACGATACATATGAGGGCATCGACCGATGATATGACTTACTCATGTTCCAAGATGGAGACCTCAACGTCCAACATGGGTATAATAAGTGCAGGAACAATTGTGGATATCTGAGGGCCGAATTGGCTCGCAGAGTGATAGAGAGCTTCCGACGTAACAACGCCAAGAACCACAGTCAAGCCTAGTAAGCGTGTACTGACAGAAGCCTCAGTGCGCAAGAATCTACATAGGAGTCAAGGGTCACGTACCGGTGTTTTACCTCATGGTCTGTAGTTTCAGAGTCGATCTTACCCATATGGGTGAATATTTGTAAACAGGACATATATTCCTCAGTCACATATCTGTCCACACCAATGAGGCGACCATCTGTATATGTTGTCCAAGCAGTGAACTACACCAGAAGGCGTGAGACTTGGCAATGTGTTATGCATGACGATACGGACCACACTGGCTGCCCTAGCAGCAACCTCCAAGTCCGAGCGAAGAGCCGAAAGAGTTGCGTTTACTGAAGCTAAAAGAGACGATGATAGGAGGGATATGTCTCGTCGGCATTCCATAGCCAAGGCCTTGAATATTGCAAGAGAGATAAGGAGTGACCTGCAAGAGTTCCTAAGAACGTGTATTACGCATGAGAAGGATATTGAATAGCATACGCGCGGGCACGCAGATTTCCTGCTTGTGCCTTCCTGCAATCCGTTCGAACCCTCCGCTCTAGTTCTCCGCTCAGCTTGTTGATCTTCCCCGGACGGTTGGAGGCATAATAAGTCAAGCGAGATAGTTCCTGAGAGTTAGGACGGTATTCTGAACCGGAAATTAACAAGGCAGCATTTGGAGGGTAACAGGCCGCAATGAGTTGGACATGGTTCGGAGTGAATGGAAAGTGCATCAAGCCAAGATATATGGCTTAGAGTGCAGTAAACTATGTATTTGGGGCAGGCAAGGTTGCAGAAAGTAGTGTAGAGATTCAAAAAGGGATGAGACGGGTCATGGAGGTAATAACTTGTAGCTAGGTTAGAGTCTCAGCAAGCTAGCAATGCATGATCGACGTCACGGGCGCTTATACCGCATTGAGAGTTATATTGTTTTCACGACTACTGTACAGTCAACCCAGGATTCTTGCCTAATGACCATGGGTGCGAAGCATATAGAGAGCGTAAGCTACGACTTGAACGTTGAATGTCGTAGTATGCAATTTTTTTAAGAATAAAACAATATTTGCTGTTAAGTTTCATTCGATAACATAAGTGGAAATGTTATTCTCAATATTACCTAATTTGAGCAGGTCTCTGCAAATTTTCATGTATGAATCCTTTGAGCTATGTTTCTCTCATTTTCTAGTACTGCATCTTTCTCTAATGCTTCTTGAGGAGCCCACGGTGTTAAAAACAAAAGAGTTAGCTCCCTGGCGGGGAGTCGAACCCCGCTTTCGCGCGGACCCTAACCTTAGAATAGGGTCTAGATGACAGGCGCGTGTACTAACCGATATACTACCAGGGATTGATAAGATATAATGTATTCTTACTTTCAATCCATTACTTTGCGTGAATTGATTGAGCAAATGCAACGTTGAATAAATAGGTATTAAATTATAAACCTTCAGATTGATACCTACAATGCCAATTCATTCCACTTCGATGGGCTTGCTTGACGATCCAGTCGCCAACATCTCAGCCAGGGACATGACAGAAGAATCCTTGATCACAGAATACTCCCTCTCTGACAATCGTCTTCCAGCATTGATGCTATCTGTAACCCATTCGGGGCGGACGACGTGTGGTTTCACTTTCGCCTTTGTAGTTAGCAGTTTGTGCGTCTTTGACCCATTGAGTTGCTGTGAAGTCAGAATATGTGTTGCTCCAGAAGGGGTTTGTCTATGTGAAGATGAACGAAATAAGGTTGTGAAAAAAGACAGGACAGTCTTCGGAGACGCGGACTTACAGGACTTGTCCCCCAGCTAGGGTGACAATGCGTTTCATTTCAATGTCGGTGGTGTCGGCGAGATAGCCATTGATGTAAACTAGCAAGGGAACGATGGTCCAGCTCGTAAAACACGCGAGATATAGAGCATCACTCACTTCGAACGTTGTACAACACATTGACTCCTCTGTTACTAGATTTCTCTGGTAGTTGGTCGGCAAGCTTTTTACCACGAGATTTATGGTATGCTTTCTGAGCACTACCTCGTCCATCACCGCGTTGATGGCCTGAAGCAGCCGAAGTGACATAGTCTGGAACCATTTACGAGGACATAAATCACTATATATGCAGTCAAAGGATACGAAATAGAACCGAACCTGATCTTGCATAAATGTCGGAATGAGTAATTGGATTGGCTTCATCACTCAGGGTATCCAGTAGACGTTTAGTCAAGGCCTTTTTGGTTGCGACCTTTCCGTCTTTCACCAAAGGCTCGAGGATCCTGAACAGGGCACGTTGAACGACCTAAACGTCGGGATATACAGGAACTCACTTTGCCGCGTTGTTCTTCCTCTGCTGAATATGATCGTACTTCTTGTCGCACACATCGTCTATAGCACCATATGGACTGAACCGCTGTATAGGTCGTTGCTTCTCCGTCTCGACCTTGCTGCCTTGAGCTTGAGAACATGCTAAACTTGAGGTTTTCTTGACAGTCACAAACTTGTCCATGGTTGATAAGTTAAAGTATCACGCAGATGAAGAAAAGAAAGATGAACTATATACATGCGCCCTACAAGGGCCAAAAGGCAAAGGGGAGTCTCAAATGAGACTTTGGCGTGTCAGCGTCGTGGCTATTGTACAAAAGGAAATGTGTAGACTCGGAGGTCAAACCCTGAGTGACAGCCACAAACGCGTTATTTGTTCCGGACAAACAGGTCGCCACAGTGACCTCAAATTCGCGTTGCCGAAGCATCTCCTTGATTTATCCTTAGCATCTCCGTTCAAGTACTGGTCCTTGTTCCCGCGTATAATCAGCTGATTGAATTCAACTACGGCCTTTTAGGATGCGCTGTTTTTCAAAAAGATATGGCTAGGCGTGACCTGCAGGCCTTCATATGACTTCATTCTTCGGATCCATTCGAAGTAGCTGCTCGGAACGCATGTCGTTAACCGTCGTACTCCTCAATTTATCCGTTGCAGACGTGTTCCCGACGTGTATATATGCTGGTGATTTCTAACGCCCTCTAGTCGACAACGTATACCTCAACTGCTGTCTAGACTAGACAACAAGTGATCTGTGTACTATATTGACCTCTATGATGGAAAAGACCTTTCTTGCACTCTCGCTTTGCTTTGCCTTTGTCTACGCCATTCCTGCCTTTGAGGGAGTAACCTCTTGGTCCTCTATCGGGAGTCTTGTCCCAGGAATCACCTATTTGGAAGCTATAGGTCCAGACGGTGTCGGGGACGCGACTTATCATGTCCCTCAATACATGTCCATCCAAGCCCCTCGGGGTATGTATACCGTTTCGAGTTCACTCTGATTCAGTGAGTTAACATATCTGCAGGCCTACCCGGCAATGCAACCGTTTATCGGAATAAGTCGCCACCCCTCTTCTACATCCATAACAACCAATTATGGCATTTCCACAACGAGTCCACTATCCTCCCCGTCCACGTACACAACTCGACTTTAACGTCGAAGCTTCCACTCCAAGTTGTCGTGGGGGACAGGGATCCCAAACTTGCGAAGAGGACGCTGGTCAGAGGTGGCAATTGGCGATGGCAAGGAACGATGTTGCGTTATGAACAGGGTGACAATTCGACACCACTGTTTTACTCGTGTCAGGACACAAATGGCCTCCTAGGTCTCTTCCTCTTTCTAGAGCCGTACGTGTCCTTGCCTTTACCTCGAGAAGCAATCACTGACACGTTGTCTCAGAGCTCCGACACCAGTTGGCTGCTCTCCTTTTACAATGCATAGTTTCAACCGCGTTCAGTACCGTTCATAGCGACTTCAGATGTTCGCACGACATAGCTCATCTACACATCCGCATATACGTACCTTATCACATACTTATGACTTGCACTAAAAGTGGCCATTGAAAACGCCCCGGTTGTCACATCTGCACATAAGTTATCCAGTATCATAATCCAATCCGAGTGAACAATTACATCTATTTCTGACGCTGAATACGAGTATCAATTCGCTTCCAAGCGAAAGCAAGGACGAAGGTGCCCAAAAATGCCGTAGCAACCGCAAGCGGCTTCTTAAGGTGAGCGGAGAAGGGAACTTTGTATGTCACCTACGAAGAAGCACGGTCAGCTGGTGGCAAGCAATGCAAGCGGCCAAGATACAAGCAAGCTCACATAGATCACACCAGCGTGTTGGTCGGTCAGTTGATTATAATGCAGGGTGATGGTGGGGCGTCCGATGGTGTCGAGATAAATGACATGCGTCGAGAGTTCGTTCATAGCAGCAGGGAAAGGAGGGAAAAATTCGAGGTCGCTTTGAAAATTAATTGCAAACGTTAATGTAATCCGTAAACTCAAGATCTGAGCTATACGGAGCGACTTACGTAGCTCCCTCCGGAAGGATGATCTTCACCTCCGCTACATCCACGACTGTACCGGGGATAGTCGTCATCACCGGTACACCTACAACATATTTACCGCTTTCTTTGTCCCAACCCGCGGAGTCCCCCAAGGGTGTGTCCCAGCCGAGAGTGAAACTGTAATTCCAGCCGCCCAAGATGGGGTAACGTGGCTTCAATTCGAGAACACTGAATTGATTGTTTTGAGAACCCTTAGGTACGGAGGGTGCAGTGCGGAGGTGGGACGTAGAAACGTTCCCGATGAGGTCGTAATAGTACACGTCGTGTATGCCGGCTGGGAGGTGCAACGTCAAACCTGGAATAATATGGGGTGGTTGACGACCAAAGTAGGCCGAAGATTGATGTTCCAGACGGGAGAAGTGTCCTTTCAACCTATTATCCAAACACCGCCGATGAGGAGACATAGTCACATCCGGCAAAGGTACTCACCTAGGTCCGCCGTTGTGGAGATGGACGTTATCTTGAATATTGAGGTTAGCTCCCCAGTGACTGATCTCCGCAGTCCGGGTCAACTTAGTGACCTCAATGACAGGATAATCGCAGCTGTAGTGAATGGTGACGTGTTGTTGTCTCTCCTGAACGAAGTCCTCGGTGGTTGACTGAGGAATGTTCTTGTACGGACCGTAAGTCAGGGTCGATCCAGATTTGGTGACAGGGTCTTCAAGAGTGAATGCCTCGAGCCCCTCGGGCTTGGTGTAAGAATGCACTTGGGGTGAAGGTGATCTAGATTCAACATTAGTAGCGAGACTACGGACTAAGTCAACATCAATACCTAATCTTCGTACGTTGCACGGAAGTGACATATGGGCTCAAGACTAGAAGATCAGTCTCATATTTCAATGATTGGCCGTCTTTCTGGCCGGCCTCCTCTGGCCAGGGATATGTAGCATGAGTTTGAACAGTCTCGACAACCAGGTTTGTCGATGCGTTGGCTTTCAGTGCCTTTGATAGCTCAACAGCATAATAATGAATGTCACTGTTATGCGTGTTCTATTAAATGACGCCTACACAATAATATGGGCTGTACATACGTCTTGGGATCGTAACCGACCTTTTCTAGAGGTAGGACAGCAGATTGTCCTTTGATTTTAGCCTCCAACCAGCTGGTCTTCTCATGCTCATCGTCTCCAAGCGCTATGGTATATACGGCAGAGCCATCCTCCAGAGCCTTGACCGCGTATGTGGTCGTTATATGAACAAGTGCACCTCCGAGTTCTACAGTGCGCACAATAGCCGTGTTTTCAAACGAGTGGTCAGCCAGCGCAAGCCAAGGCCCCAGGGTGGCCAGAAGAAAGAGAGATAGACTAAACCGCCAACGAGCCATAGTCGTTGTTGTCGAAGGAAATGTGCACCATCCACAGCACTGAGCGTGGACGTGTAACTTGCTTTAGCGCTACGCACTCATTCTAGAAGCGCGCATAGGGCTGCTTTAGCCCAGCACTGGACAGGACCTCCGACTTGGCCTGCATTCTCACTCTCTTTCTTTCCTGCTTGCTATATGCGCCTTCAAACGTATCTCTATAGCTCAAGTCAAGCAAGCTCACAATCATGACAAACGTTCCTTTCTCTCGTCTCCAGCTGGCGGCCGCCCTAATCGGTGAGCATAGTGGCTGCGAGCAACACTCTGTGTCTGACTTCTATCTCGTAATCGATTGATACAAGAATACGACAATGACAATGACAGTCCGACTGTACCAAGGCGTAAAGCGGACGAGAGTGCTATCTTTGCACACCTCCGTCGTAACGTTCCTCGACCAGCAACAGGCTTCCGACAAAGCACAGATTTCTTAGGTGTATCATTGCCCAGCGAGACTGAAAGTCTTGGTGGGCGTGAATCTGTGGTAGAGACTAGAAAGTCCAGGGGCTCTATTGACGCACTGCGCAATCCTTTCGGACGCGATTCAACTTATGATGGTCACGAACTAGGCACCGAGGAAAATCTCGATGTCGACTTATCTTCCTGGGGACTCGATGCTTTTATCCCGAAGGAGAAGGCTTCGAAGAAGGACAAGGGCAAAGCCAGAGAGGATGTACTTCCTAATCCGCATCCCGTTACTCGCGAAGTTGGTGTGGTTCCTTCACCGCGTCGGGCTGTCGGTGCCCGCACCATGAGTTTAGGGAACATCGACATGTTTGGCGAAGGTGGTGCTTTCCTTGATGCCAAGTCAGCTGTTGGGCATCGGTCGCTGGATGGACGACGACATTCCATCGGTTCACCTCTGGATTTCACTGGGGCAGAACAATCCAGCAGTCTGTCTCAGGGGAGACCACCATCTTCGCATGCTCTTATAGATAACATTCCTGCAACGCCTCCATTGCACGCCGTTCCTTTTCCTTCAGTTCCCTCAGTTCGCTCCATATCTCCCCTACCACCTGATGGCCGACCTGGTTCACGTGTCTCTCTTGTCAATTCTCAAGCGCATGGTCGCAGGTATTCCACCGCTAGTCTTGGGTCTAAGATGCTCATGAATGAAATTGAGGAGGAAGAATCTAACCCATTTGCCGTCAGACCACCCTCTCCGGAGCATGCGTCTCGTTTCGACCCCAAAGTCCGGAGTCGCACATTATCACAAGCAACAATGGAGCCAATGCGCCCGCGCACGATGTCCATTGCTTCGCTTGGTACTCAAATGATGCTTGGTGACGGAGATGGTCTCTCTACTTATACTAGTCGCCCACCTGAACGTGAACGCCGCTATTCCAGATTAGAGCTCATGAGACCCAAAGTTCTCGTTATGCCCAGCCCTCTACAATCAGTAGTTCCTCCACCGAAATTGATGCCTGGCGCATCTCGCGACGGATTCCTTCTTAGCACCGACGGTCCACCTCTTCCTCCCGGTGCTAAATCAACGCGTCGTTCTGTGCTCATTTCCGCTCTCGAACCTTCGCCTGAAGTGCCCATTGCATCGAACTCATTTACGCCTAATCCCCGCATGAGTCTTACACTGTCTCAGCTCATTTTCCGGAACTCTTTGGCTGTGGATGGTCAGAGAGACGTTTCATATGCTGACATTGACAACCGTCTCCGTCGTGCCACGCAGGAAGGCGAGCAAGTTCAACCTGAACCGGAGCCTGAGCTTCAACCTCCAACACCGGCCCCTCAAGTGGTTGTGGATGAACCCATACCTCGAGGGCGTCCTGCTGGAAAGCTTCTCGGGAAAAGCTTGATTGACGACATTGAAGCTCGCAAACTTGAGATGAGGGGGAAACAAAGGTTTGTTGCGCATTCCTTACTCAAAGACGTGTACTGAATAGCATTCTTCTCCAGAGTATTCACTGGTGACCAACGCCCGTCGATGATGCATCGAACTCCGTTGCAGCGTTCAAGCACCCTCATTGACCCCGAATCGCTGAAACCGCGACCTGTATCTCAGCGTATGGATTCTTTCCAGTCTAATCAGAATCTTATCAGGCGAAACTCAGCAAATGCTAGACCATTGCTCAATTTCGACGATGAGATTCCTGGAGCACCTCGAAGTTTAGGTGTTGACAACCGTGCACCAGCGAGCAAGTCGGTGTTTGGCGTGGACACGCTCTGGGAGCGAGAGCTTGCCAAGCTACGTGCGATGGAGGAAAGCGAGAAACAGGAGGAGGACGAACGGCGAAAGAAGGGAGAGCTAGATGACGCCAATAATAACAAGAAGAAACGCAAGGGTAAAGGCAAGGACAAGAAGCGTTCACCGGAACTCTCAGCACTTCCAGCGACGACCAGTTCGGATATGCCTCCGGCTCAATCTCAGGAGCGCGTATCAATGGCAGCGCCCGTCTTGCCTGCCATACAGAAAGCGTCCACGAGGCGCCCTCCTCCGCCAATGGATACTGGAGATGACGAAGAAAGCTCGGACTCGGCTAGTGATGTATCCGTTAGGGCACCGAAGGGTGAAGGCAGGGAAGTAGATGACTGGGTCGCAGATTCTGACGAGGAGAAGCAAGCGCCAGTACCTATTCGTACCGTGGGTTCAGGCCCTCGGTACCCAAAGCACGCTCCTCGACTCACATTCCCTGATGAAGAAAGTAGCGAGGAAGATCTCCCTCTAGTTGCTACCATTGGCAAAGCCGCACAACGTTTGACGAGACTTCGAATGAGCAATGACTCTGACTCCGACGAGGAGAAACCTCTGGTGGCTTTGTTGGAAAAGACGAAGTTGAAGTTGCCTTCTCTTGGCGGTAGTCTCATCTCAGAGATCAGTCCCAGAGCCGGTAATGACGATGAGGACGAGGATGATAAACCGCTAGGTCTACGTGGCTCCAGATTCATCGGCTCCTCTTCACAGCTGAGTGGGGCCGGTAATCAAGAAGAGGATGACGATAAGCCCTTAGCCTTCCATCCTGACCAATTGCGTCGTACACAATATATGATGGCTCAGCAACAGCAGCAGCAGCAGCAGCAACAACAACAGCAGCAACAACTCATGATGCAGGCACAAGCGGCCCAAATGCAACAAAGCATGGTATTCGGCGTGCCTTCGATGATGAGCTCAGGGTTCTTTGGTCCTCCATTGCCGCCTCATATGATGGTACCTTCCATGATCCCGGGCACCCCACCGCCTATGCACGATGCCGCCAAGTTTGGTCGTGTAGACAGATGGAGACAGGAAGTTGCTGTTGAGGGCCAGCCCCCTTCATGATATTCTTTGGCTTTTTCTTTCTTTCTGGTTTTTCGGACAATGAGTACTTCCTCTGGATACCATCATATTTTTTTGCACTCTTTTCTCTCGCAATTCTTTCGGTCGCTTTCAGTCGCATAGGGTACATCCATCCGAATCATAATCATGCAATAAAGAATACAATGAGGGGATAAACGGCTCCGCCTGGAAAGCAAGAGAGTGATGTAAGTCAGCGTCAAGATGGAAGGATGTGTTACAGAGCAAATGAAACATGCGTTGGGACTAGGATAATGTTGGATGATGATGTACGAGGAGATGCAATTACATGTGTTTGGATATCAGCAAGGAGGAAGGGAAAAAAAAAGGAATGGAGATAACTAAGACAGTAGTCCTTTTGAAAGATAAGTACACTTCATGACTCCGGATTCGTTAGGTATAGTTTGCGTCTGGGTACTGTGACAATCGACACCTCCCTACGACTCATCTCTTCCTCTATTCGTCGTTGCCTCGTCTCATCATCCTCGCCATCATCATAATCATCGACACCAAGCCCGTCGTGACCATGGGATGACGTAGGGTAGTCCCCGTCATGGGGCACAGCACGGTACGGTGGTTGATGATGCTGGTAAGGACCTTGATGATTAGAGGGGAAGGGAATACCATCCATGCCAACTTCAGACAGAGGACGAGACGGAACTTGAGTAGGGACATGTTCGGCACGTAATCGGTGCAAGAATGTAGAGAGAATGGACTCGTGTGGGATACCTCGCCATGCTAGGACGACAATGACGGTGTAAAACACCGCAGTCCATGCTAGGAAGACAGCAAATCCAGCTTTTGGTGCGCGATTCCAAAGAGCGATAAGCGAGAGAATGGAGAGTCCTATAACCAAAAGATGTAAGAGGATATGGATAAGGGAATCCAGAAGTGGAGGCATATGTGGGGGTTCAATGTTCGGTGACTGAGTGACTAAACCCCGAGTACTGGTCATTTCGAGGATATTGGTTCCGGGTGTCGGTGGTAACTGGTTCAGGGCGTAATCACCGTCAGCCTAGAAGCCATGCCAAATTAGCGTTATTGCATCATTGAAAATCGGCAAGTAAAAGACTCACATGAGAGGTTAGACTCCGCCGTTGATCCAGCCAACTTCCATCGCTCACATTTCGATTCTGTCCAGGCCTGTTATACTCAGCGAACGCAGCTAGACTATGTACGCTAGCATGACGGGTCCGTTGTGGCCGGTTTGTGACTTCAAACGATCGGCCTGAAGGAGAGCCGGCCGCATCTTGCACACTCTCCTCGGACATATGACCTGCTGAATGCCTACCACCAGGCCATCCGAAACTGCTCCATGACCGGGCTCTCCTTTCTCTCGACTGCGAGCGATCATCCGCTGCAGATGTTTCTTCCGACGCCGCATTGGTAGGTGGCGCTGGGCTATCCATACGCTTCTCTGGCGCCTCGCTAGAATTGAACCTCGACCTTCCATTCGACAGTGAAAGACTACTAACACCCCCGTTACGCCGAACCTTGATACAAAGTGAGATCGCTACTAAGGCGGGGACGACACCGTATAGCGCTACGAATAGAGCGAGTCCTGCGCGACCGTGACCGGTCTGTAAGTTGAGGGAGGAAGACGCTCGTTTCGCGATGGAGGAGTTTAGGGTAATGGATGTGAATGCAGAGGCGAGGCCACCAATGCCAATGCCAAATGCGGCAATACCGCCAACTATGGATGCGAAGAAGAACGAAAGGCCTAATCCAGGGGCATCTGGTTGCGACAGTGAAAAGGAGGACAATCGGAATAGGACGATGGCTGGGAGGAGGATGGCAATCGATACCGGTGCAAGCGCTTTGTGAATGACGGACGTATCGTACAGGTCCGACGCGACGGGGGAGGGCGTGTCGTTTCCGTTAGTGTTAGTCGGCTGGGATGGCGACGTTCCAGTCGCAGTCGGCGATCCTGAAGTCGAACCGGATTTCAAGGCAGTCGCACATGCCGTCATGTATTGGATGGTGACGCCTGCTCCAGTTGCGTCGGTACCGCCGGTTAATTGACCATTTCCGAATCCACCCCAATGTTGGTTGCTTTGAGTCAGAGTCGCATTGTATGCTCGCAAGATCCAAACTTCCGATAGATACCTGCCCGAAGCATCACGACCACCAAAGACCAGCATGTCAGCTGCTTGATTTCTATTGGATCCGACAAGCTTCTGAGGGAAAGAGATCGCAGCAGCCCCTTCTCGAGGGGTCGGGAAAGCAGGTTTGTCATTCCCCTGCTGTCCTGGATCACCAGAAGGCAATATGCGAGCCCAAGCACCTGTACCGATGTCAAGAATGTCCTGTTGAAATATTACTAAATAAGACACTAAAGTATAGCGAAAATCACTTACAACTTCGCCACGGTTGAGCCCATTACCGTCGTCCCATAATGAGGAATCATAGGTGCCGAGGACCATGTACACCTGCGAGCCAAAGCTGGATCCAGGTGACCTATTGGCTGCGAGCGCTGGGTCGCTGCGAGGTGCTGGGCACGTAGGAGGTGAATTATCACCGATCGCATCGATATTTAGCACGTAGGATGTTCCATCAGCACACGATGCGTTACCATTGGAAGAGTGGCAGCCGCCAACAGAGACGATGTGTTGCTGTGAACCTGTCAACACAACGGCGCCAGACATTCCCGTGCGACCAGGTAGACTATCGTCAAACGGTATCTTCTCCCAGCTTCCTATGACATCCCGAGCATTGTTAGAAGACAGAGTACCAGAGATATTCAATCGCCAAACATCCGATAGGGATATGGCATTTTTGCCGTCGAATCCACCTGCAAGATAGTAGGTATTGTTCGGACTAGCCAAGGATATACTTTGAATGGGCGGAGTGCGGAAATCCATTCCACCGACAGCTCCGTATCTAGGAGAGGGACTGCTGCCTGTAATTTGGACTTGTGACCAGAATTCGTTATTGTAGTCGAACTCCTGCAATGCAATGTGAACATGCACAGTTGGGAAGATCATGGAGTATACGAACCCAGACATCGTTCAGCGGCCCACTAGTCCCTCTACCACCTGCAACAAGGTAGCTGTGACGATAGCTAGCAGCGAAATCGATACCACTAATGGCACCAGCCCGGGCAGGTGGGTCGCCCTGCAACTGCGTAGGCGGTGAGGGTGAATGCCAAGTTAATGTATCCAGATTCAAACTGATGCAGCTCAGCTTCGTGTTCAAGCAACTAGCACGTGTACGACTTACAGATACGTTGAAGACTGAGGGAAACCTTGTGACGATTCACCACCGAATATGATGACATTCCTGCTGGTGTCATCATAACCAATGGACGCATCCTTTAGCGGTGGGGGTGCAGCGGATCCACCCAGAAGAGGTGTTAGGTTTATCCATTGCAATGGTGGCACGGGTGTGTTTGTGGATATTTCTTGAGAGAAAGCAGCATGAATGTATATTACGATTGGAAATAAAGGCCAGAGCATAGAACGTAAACGTTGACGACTGTGAGGAGACATGTAGAGAACAAGCGGGCAATGAACGGGCTACTTGCGCCCACACCCTGCAATGTTCACCAGAAAGGAAGGGCGGCCTGTGTGGAAGAAATAAGAGTAAGTAGGAGAGAGACGGCGAGCAGGCAGTGGCAGGCCGAGGCAGCTACTACAGGCCATCCGTCAACATGTCCTGCATTAACGCACCCGGCCCTCGGACGCCGCCGCCGGCCCACATGCCTGGACTGCCTTTTCCGGAGGTCTCTATCCCGAACATTCACCCATGTTCCCTCAAGCGCAACCCACGCAACGACTTCTAGCCAACTACGCAGTTATTCACGTCCACCATCATGGGAGATCGGCACGAACATTCTCACTCTTTTAATGTTGCTGCCTCGCTACAACCCCATTCTACGGAAAGTTCAGCTTTACCCTGAATCTTCTGTACTTCTTTCGTCGCATTATCGCAACCGATTTTGCTTCCGGGGCAGTGCTGTTCCTCTCAGGCGCCACGCTCGCTCATACATTTCCAGCTCAAGCCCACGGGCTGCACGAATTCATAGGTTGCCGATCCTTCTAATGCCTATGGCCACTATAAGTTGCTGACAATAGGTCTGTTATTTCCTCGCCACCTGGTACTACTTCTGAGGTTGAATTCGGACTTTTTTCTTATCTTGAAGCGCACATGTCATCTGAAGCATGGTAGTCAATGTCAGATACACAGCAGCTGGAATCGAAGGTCCAAATCTGCATGAAACAACTATTGAGACGCTGTTGAGCCTTGTGACCGCTATAGCAAGGTTTAGCATCGTTCACTGATTTGTTACATGATAGACTTTCTGGGGTATACTCTTCTTGCGCGTATGCAAACATTCGTAGTTATATACTTTGTGCCTGCGATAAGGAGGCTATGATAGGTGAGCGTTGCATAGTCTAGAGCTATGGTCATCTAAAATTGCAATAATTTACTACAAGTGAGCTGGTATGTTTCTGTCTATTCTAGATAGAGCTGGTGTGCTCCGTCTCTGAAGAATCGTTCTCAAATCCTGATACTCTCTATATTGCCTAATAAAGAAATTATCCTTCCAAATACGGCTGCTACACTTTCGATCAACCATCGATACCGCAAGGTCCGTTTGGTAGCCTCGTGCAAGCGCCCCTCCGAGTCCAAGACCCAGGACGAAGACTAGACTTTTGTGATGAGTTTTGCCATCGAAGGACGTCTGCTCGGAGAGGTGGCGTACTAGGAAGGATATCATTGTCCAGCTGACTGCAATGCGAGGATGTTCTTCCGTAACGCCACACGGGACTCTAGGGCAGCTATCCGAGGAGCCAACTCTTGACGACCGAAATCTTCAACACCATCCTGAAAGAAATGGATCGCTTACTGCTGCGCAAGTGCAAGCGAGGTACCGTGAACAATCCGCGTGAACGCTTTGGTTTGCATCCAGGTTTGACAAGGCACAAGACAACCGGAATACGCCACAAAAGGTGCGCCTCACCTTCTTCACATTCGGTGTTTTGTTCAATTGTTCTGATCCATACGCGTTATCTTCATACTTATCGCATCTGCATACGCAAATCCCTTCCACCGTGTCCGTATTTTACGGGCTTCAAGCTGTTCTTAGCGCTTCCAAAGATGGTCACGCACTAGCGGCTTCTTGGGCGCTGCGCCTCGAGGATCAATAAAGTTGTGCCAATATCAATGTGAATTCAATTGAATTTGATTGTCCTCGGTTGGTGTACGGTCGTCTGGTTGGATGACCCGTTTCGGCAGTACAATAGACCGCGCGACGGTGAGGTCGGTGTTCAAATCACACAATAATAATGTTTCATGTTGAGGTATGAGCTAACTTTGATCATCTCTGTGCTGTGTAGGAAGCCCTTGTTCAACTTCTCCATTCGATGGGTTCTTTTGCTCGACTTCACGGCCATCATACGTTTTGAACACTATCGACTTGGGTGGACAGACCGACGGAACATCACTTACGACTTTAGCGCTCTTACCCTGAACGAATCGCCCTGTGCCCGAACGAATGATATCGGGGTCCTTCTCGCGTCTCCAGCAGATCTCGCTAAGGTTTTTTTTTGTTCGACGCCACAAACCTGGGGGAGTGGTTGAGTACAAGATGCCGCTTATATATAAGGTTCTCCACAGTCGCCTCATTTTGTATCATACGCAACCATGCTTCAAGCACTTGACGGTGAGTACTCGAGGCTACCGAACTCTTCGAGGCTTGACCTAGTTGTCTGACATCTTTCTAAAACCTCCCTTGTAGCTCACACCTCCCATCACCTTTCTAACAATGCAAGCTATGCCGGTAGTCGGTGGCGACAGGTATTTAAGCCACTCATCGTTGCTTTTAACATTGTTCTCAACGAGTGGTCTCATTAACAGTCCGCCTTGCCGTTCCCCATTCGCCGTCCAAGATATAAGTCGTCATCGTTGCGCATTATGGATAAATCATCTCAGTATGCTCGTATGACGGCAATTAACTCTGGGTCAAAGTGGCGCACAACGGTATCCTCTCAGTCTCGTATGCCACCGGCACGAGCAGGGATTCTGTGAGTTATCGTCGTTATGATCCTGGCGATATGCTGTACCAACTGTGTCCCATATGTAGAAATCCATCCGGTGTCTCATCCACAGCTAGACAACCTGCCCAGCGGTAAGCTTTCGGGTCAGCCAAGAATTTTTGCACAAAGGCTGACATGCCTTCACGCTTAGTATTATTGGTGACACGAAGGGACCCGGACTCGGCCGTGACTTCCCCACCGCATGTTATAAGTGGAACACCTTTGTTACAGAAGTCAAACCCAAGATGTACGTCGACTATGGCGAACTCAACAACAGGACTAAATCGTGTGTCAAACATTCAGTACTGACACCGCTTTACTGATATTGACGTCCCATAGGACCGCTATTTTGCCGTCATTATCGTTCACGACTAGGAGGAGTCCGTCGGCAACATCGGAGTGCGTTCGCTCCTCATTTCGACTCGCTGTTTTTTTTATCTGACCCTGGTCTCATTGCAGTGCATCGTCATCGGTATCTGCCCCAAGGTATGTACAGTCAGCATGATTCGGCGAGTATCGGCGCGCCATGTTGACTTGACGGCCCTCGATGACTGTAGAATACCTCTGGAACATCGTGTTGGCGGTAATCTAAGTGGATCCCGTCATAGTACAATGCCAGTGCAAAGTCGAGATCAAGACCTGAACTTGGATCTTCGCAAACTTGACATCAAAACTGATGCTGGTGAACATGGCAACGAGGGCCTTCTCAAGATCAAGTCGGAATCAAGAAGTTCCAGTGTTGAACGCGCCATTGTTGCGCCTTTGCCTGCTAGAGACTCGGGCTGGATGAAATATGCTCGGCCTGTGGAATCCGGTCAGTATACTTGTATTTGGAAGGACGAAGAGGAGGACGCTTCGCATCCATGCTGCTACACATCTAAGAAACATCTGGTCAAGAGACATCTCGAGTCCAAACATTTGAATATCAGGTGTGTGATCATTATGCTGGTTAGCATGAGACCTTGCTGATCAAGACTGACACCGGTAAATCGAAGGCGATTGCTTTGCCCCGTCTGTAGCAAAGGGTTCTCACAGAAAAGCAATTTCAACACGCATATGAATACACAGTACGTCTTGAACTTGAATCTGGGGCGAGCAGACCTATTTATGGCCGTTCACTTTGTCAGTACCGGAGAAGCGCCACACAAGTGCAGGTACTGTGACAAGAGGTTTGGTGACCCTGCGCGCCGGCACAGGCATATGAAGGCAGATCATGGGCACGTCTCAGCCAGGCGCAGGAGGCAACCCGGGGCTCCCGAGATTTTGGCTCAGGAAGAAGACCTTTCCCCCGAAGAGGAAGAGTCCGACTACTAGAAGTAATGGTCGGATTTTTGATCGGACTCGTTGAATGAGCGACTTACCCTGAGCGGGGACTCGCGCGGGCAGGTCTCAGGTCGCGTCGCTTGCAATGTTGGGCAATGTGTGATGGCGGAGACACAAAGATGTTTCTGATTTTGAACCTTCGATGGTTTTGTATTTCGTTTGAAGAGTTTCATTTATTCGCTTCCTTGCTATTGTAGTTGCTATGTTGTCAGTTCGATATTCGCTTATGCATTAGTTTTTATTATTTGCGTCGTTTGTTCCTGTAATTAACATGATACCCTGCTATATAATACGAGACACGCGCATGCTTCGGTCACTGTTTGCTTGGTGCTAAGCACGATGTTGGGGAAAGAACAAGGCAAGAGCCGGCGGTCCGAATTCCAGTGCATGGCATTGGTTGATCTGGATCTGTGGAGCAGTTGATCTGCCGATCGCCAATCTCGCGTGGCCAATGTACTGCCAGTTCAGCTCCGAGTCCTTCGCAGACGGCATCCACCAACTTTGTACCTTTCTCCTCATATTTACTGCACACTGTTGCAGATAAAATCTGGCTGACAGTATGTCTCCGAAAACACCGGCATTAGGCAGTCTCGCAGTTCAAGCACCATCATTGACACCACAGACCGTGCATGTTTCTCCGTCAACATGTCATGACCTATCCCTTTTCAAAGGTTGTCATTTTTGTCTCTTAGCTTCTGTGTTTCGCAGATTCTGACTATCTCCATTTGAACAGATCTCATGAAGGAGTACAGAAAACTTGATGACAGCATCACGATGCGCTTGAATCGTACTACGGCACAGTTCAGGGATAGGGATAGGTTAGGCTTGGGTGGGAAGGAAACCATACAGGACCAAGCTTGTGCGTACATGTGGAAGGAGCTCGTGGGTACGTCCAGCCCTGCGTGAACTCCTGTCATGACAAACTCATCGTAAAAGAGAATTGGAAGCGTCGTACGGAGATCATTGAGTATTGCGTTGGAGTCGTGGACAAATCCATGGAAGAAAAGAAACTCACTCTACAACAAGAGTCTACTGTTCCTGCCGTTCAACGACAGATACAAGGCGCCCTATATGCCGAAGAGGTGAAGGTACGTGGTCGACTTCTCTGTCCTTTCGATCCGAACTGACGTTCGGTGCATAGCGGAACATGATCCATAATGAACTTACAGTGGAACAAATCGTGCGCAACAGATCGTTGGACGGTTAGTGTTCAACAGGTGCTATGTCCTCACCTTCTTACAGTTCTCTTTTAAGCGTTCCGGTCTAGGTGTAAGTATTTTGAGCCTCCGATGACGGATGCTGAGGCACGGAAATGGTGGGATCGAGCACAGAGTGGTCACTAGCGTATGGTCAATGTTCTATACTAATTTTAATTATCCTCATTGCCTCACAATTGATACCAGCTGTCACCACTCCACTTCACGGTCAATGTTGGTGGTGCCACTGCCGCGCTCTCGTCTCGCCCTCGTCTCACCTCAGACTGTATGTGACAAAGCCGCATCTGCCCGTAAAAGCGATCATCACGCATGCTCAATGTACATAGTGTACTGGATAGGTACAGCTCTACGCGCGTCCTCTCTTGCTACACGGCACCTCGGTCAATGCAGATGTAGATCATATACAACCCGAAGCTGCAATAGCATTTAGTAGCAGTTGAGATGGGTCACCGCAATTATGTCTCAGTCATTCTGTGTTTAGTTGTTTGTCTTTCTTCCGCATCGAATTCTGAGTAATTGATGTTTATGAGCTGGAATGAGTTCTCGACATCGTAAACTTACTGTACTTTACCGCGCATTATTCTGAGCGCCCACCCATACTTTCGCGTGTGACGCAATGAAGCCAACGTATTGCTGCATCCGCTGACTGTACATTTTGGACCATTGAGGTTCGACCTGAGTTTGCCATTGACATGCTACTCCCACCTACCAATCTACCACTGTGTTACAAGGTTCAAGGAAAGTATTCACGACAGAACGCAATTATTTAGCCATGAAGTGCCTACGAGGTTATGCAGGCGCGCTCCTGTTATTAGCAGCTGCAGCATATGCGGTCATTCCGATTCTCAGGGTACAAGATGCCCCGAATGCAAGTCAAGCTTTACTATCTGGAGGTTCTAAGGTTCCTGTGGTACTAGGAGTTATGAGCCGCTGTCCGGATGCCATCCTATGCGAATCAGTGTTTGATGATGTGGTATCCAGGACTGGGGACAAGATTGACCTCTCTCTCACGTTCATCGGAAAGTGAGTCGATAATTATGGATTCAACCTGGTTGTCCTCGAACACTTAGATCGGTCTTGTCAGAATTAACTCATCAGAACCAGATTATGGAGTGACGTGTATGCATGGACCCGCCGAATGCGCAGGGAATGTTCAGGAGTTATGCGCAGTCAAATACGAAGAGACACCTAGGTGGTGGAAGTTTATTCAATGTCAGAATGCTCAGGGCCGATATAAAGTGGGGGAACCGGAGGTGGTGTTTCAATGCGCAAAAGAGACCGGTATTGATTGGCAAAATGGACCTACGGGAAAGTGTGCTGGAACGGACGGTCAGGGAAAGGGGGAGAAAGGCATCAGGTTATTGCAAGAGAGTGTGAAACATACCGAGAGCTTGGGCATTCAGTAAGTCGTGAGGGAAGGAGAATGGTCGACTTTGCTGATATATGTACGTCGCAGGAAGAGTTGTACGATCGTCATTGCAGGAAAGCCGGTATGTATCCATGACGAAACATGGAAAGAATGCGAGGTTGGTAATTTCTCGACTTTCTCGAACCATGCTTGACATGACAATCATACAGGGCGGACATACACAAGATGACTTCGTGAGGCAGATCGAGGAAGAATATGAGCGACACAACAGGATTTGGCAGGATGATCTCGAGGACGGTTGGGTATGGCTGTAGGATATTCGCCCATAGTAGTATGCATGACAAATAAGGATAGATTCCATTCAACCACCGAGAATGAGTTCATATACGATAATGACTAGGTTAATGCCAATCAAAGGTACTGAGGGAATACGTAAATTAGGAGGACAGAGACCAAAGAGTGGAAGTATACGTACTCCTCATTAGAGTCCGTACAGCACTTATTAGATTGATAATCCTGCCCTTCACGCCAACGTCCTGCTGTACACCTGCATACCCCGGCTGCTCATATGGTTGCGCGTACGCGCCGCCAGTCTGTACTGGCGTCGAAGCCCAGCCAACTAGAAACATCCTGTCAGCCTTCAGACAGACATAGAAAGCTATCTACTGACTTCTGGCAAGGAACCTGTCTTCACTCAGAACGGCCATAGCATTGATGAGGAGCACGGAGACATAGAGGATGGTACCAAGAGAGAGCATGGTTCGAATGCCTAATAATCAGGTACTTGCAGTGTGCAAGCCTCACGCAGGGTGGCCCCGTATAGTGAGATAATCGCTCCCAGAGCAGTTAGTTTTGAAGTTGTCGTGGAGGTTGCCGGACACGAATACTGTCTGAATTGAAGCGTGTATATGGGCGTCTACCATGGACGCTCACGCTCACTTTCGAAGGCGCCCATTGCACCAGCTCAGAAACTACACTCACGCCTGCATTGGTACATCATGCAGTCTGTTGCATGCAGTCTACGACGAGGTATGTTCCAAATGATTAGAAGGGCATTCTCTAATATTATATATAGTTGTACCTGTTGCAACTTCGTCACGACTCGTATTGCAACGTTCGCCTCTCCCTTCATCTCGGACGCTCCTGAATGGCCAATGGAATAGCAGGCGACAGTATGTTCTATCAACCTATATTATTGTCTCATGCTGTTGACGTGTTTGGTGATATACAGCGTTTCTTTTAAGAACCCAATAGAGTGGGTGAGAGAGGCTGTTGGTTCAAATGTGCGAGAGAAGAGCTCCGAACAGGAGATCGCTGCCGCACGAAAGGCACAAATTGAGAAGGGCGAAGCCAGTGTCTTCGAATCAATTGCTCCTATCGCGGCGGACAAGGCAAAGGTGTCTGGAGCAAAGATTGTCAAAGCAAAAAAGATGCATACGGAGGTAAGAGAGCAGGCTTATGGTCACATGGCTCACGGTCTGAACTCTGCCAACGTTTTACAGCACAAATACTCTACGTCTCATTTCAAGATATCGCATCGCAAGCTCAATCTCCTTAGTCGGCAGATTGCTGGCAAGCCCATCGACTCTGCCATCCTGCAAATGACTTTCAGCGAGAAGCGAGCGAGTAAGAGAATAAAGAGTATGCTCGTAGTGGCTAAAAAGCATGCGAAGAAAAAGGGTCTGGAGGAGAAGAAACTCATCGTCGGTGAGTATATACAAGTCATTTAGATCAGCTTAGGATGCTTAACACAACTTCTCTAGCGGAGTCCTGGGTTACCAAGGGCCCGAAACAGATAAAGCGATTAGAACCTAGAGGAAGAGGGCACTTTGGTGTCCGAATCCACCCTGACTCGAAGATGTGCGTTGTTCTCAAGGAGGGCAAGACGAGAGCAGAGCTCGCGCAGCAGGAGCGAGCACGCAAGCTCAGGCGAATTGCTGCTGCGGGGTATGTCAGGGAAGATATTCCACTGCGAAACCCTGGACCTGCTTGGGCTTGGTAGACTTGCGACACGTCTTGACTAATAGCTTTTTGAATACATCAATCTATTTAATACAACCATTTTGTGTTCAGGAACGTCGCCCGAGAAAGCGGAGTGTTCAGTGTTCACTGTTTTCGCGCGATCACGAGACTAGTAGCGCTGTTCTGATCGCGTTCTGAGCGTGACACGTCAGTGCAATATGCTACCAGGTCAATGTTGTCGAAGTCCGAATTACCGCCGGAGGGAAATATAAACGTCTCTTGCATTCTACTCCCACACAGGTCGTTACCCATTGGTTTCCTGTACACGTCGCAAGTGCGAGACTCTCGCTAGCCATGCGACTTCTCCTCTCACTCTTGCTCAGTCTTACTGTCTTTACATTCGCTACCTGGGCAAGCGACGATCTTCCCAAGCAGAAGTTTGACTATCAAGTACGTTCCTACCTGGCGTCTTTCGTTGTTGCCAGGTGTTAAGGGCACTCTCAGAGCGATGTAACTCGTCTTCGAAAGATTGTGATCAACAGGTGTGTACTACAGATACGCTTCATAGAGCTATTGCTAACATATCGCACAACAGTCTTTACTCGCACAGGTATGATGTCGTCGGTAGACATTCCGAACTTGCAAATACCGATATTCTATGATCAGGGATGTCTTTCTTCGAGAATTGATATCCAACGCAAACGATGCTTTGGAGAAGCTCCGCCTTACTTCACTGACGGACAAAGAAGTACTCGAGGGTGCCGAACAACTCAACATTACCATCAAAGCATTCCCTGATGAAAATGGCGTTGGGCATATTGTCATCACTGGTACGTTTTGCAGGAGATAAATTAACCGCATCCTTTAACACTAATATTCCCAAAGATACCGGTATTGGCATGACCCCGGAAGAATTAGCCAGCAACTTGGTAAGTTTTCCTTGTTGACTGGGGGTGACGTCGTCTGGACAATCAATGCAGGGCACTTTGGCGAAGTCCGGCACGTCGGAATTCCTTGCAAAAGCCGAGAATTCTGATGGCACTGGTACTGGCAACTTGATTGGTGCATTCGGTGTTGGATTCTACAGCAGGTAATGATTTGGCAATATATTCTAAGTGAGGAATTGCTCACGGAGTATGTTTAGCTTCCTTGTCGCTGACCGTGTCTATGTGGCATCACGGGCGGCGAAGTCTGCGAAGAACCCTAATCCAATCCAATATGTGTTCAGTTCTTCTGCAGAGGAGAGCTCCTTTGGGATCTATCCAGACCCTCGCGGGAATAATCTGGGACGTGGTACCGAAATCACACTTGTCCTCAAACCAGATGCACTTGAATACCTGAGCACTTCGAGACTCACTGAACTGATGTGAGTTTGATTGCGCTTTCCTAGAGATATGTGTCATTGATCGCCGGTACACAGCCAGAAACATTCATCATTCTCTTCGACGTTCCCCATCTATCTTTTCACACAGAAATCGGTAGAAGTGCCCGATGAAGATGGAGAGAAGGCTGCCGATGAAAAGATCGAGGAATCACCGACCCGTTCCCCCGAGGTTGATAATGATAAAGACGAGGAAAAGGACGAGGATGAGGCTATCGTAGAGGAGGATATCGAGGACAAGAAAGAAGAGGAACCTTCAGTGCCGAAGACCAAGACCGTGGATGTCGATGAATGGGTTCAATTAAACTCGCAACCTCCCATCTGGACGCGGTATGTTGTCTTCCTACAAGGAAATTCAACCTTTGTTAATACTTCATCATAGTGACCCCAAGACCGTTACCGACGAAGAATACGAGCAATTCTATCAGGCAACGTTTAAGGACAACAATAAGCCTTTGGCTTGGTACCACTTCTCTGGCGACTCTGGGTCTGGAGCGTCCTTCCGCGCCATCATCTATGTACCATCCGTCCTGTTCGTTGCCCATCTTCCTTGATTACCATCATGCCTAACATGTTTCCCTTTAGTGCCGAGTCTTACTGGCAATCTGGCCCTCAGGGTGATGCGAAAGACGTTAGGTTGATGGTTAAGCGTGTCTTCATCACGAACGATCTCGGAGAAGATTCCCTTCCTAAATGGGCTAGTTGGGTGAAGGCTGTTGTCGATGGTATGTCCATGGATGATAATCATTGAGGACCCCGGACTGTGGTTGATCCGCGATTGTTGATACAGCTGAGGATTTGCCTTTGAACGTCTCCCGCGAGATGCTTCAGTCCAACAAATTCCTCAAACAACTGAAGTCGATCATCACAAAGCGTCTCGTTCAAGCTCTGACACGAATCCAGGCGGAGGAACCGGAGAAGTTCAACGAGATCTCAGCGATTTATAATAATGTTTTCAAATTGGGTGCAGTTGAGGATACCAAAAACCGGGACAAGTTGGCTACATTGGTCAGATTCGCGACCAATCATCGAAATAGTACCTCCTTGGATAATGTAGGTCTTTTGGTTTGTGGAATTGAACCTGTGGCTGATGTGTCAACAGTATCTCGAGAACAAAAAGCAAGGCCAGAAGCAGGTACGTTGTCGCGATGGATTATCAATGAGCAAGTGCTGAATCTCTTGCAGATCTTCTATCTCGCAGATATGGGAAAGTCCCCAGAAATTCTTGCGAAGAGTGTTTTCATCGAAAAACTTCACGCTCGTGGATATGAGGTTCTTCTACTGAGCGAGCCTCTGGACGAGATCTTCGTACAAAACATAAAGAATTGGAAGTGAGCAGCGATGATTTCTCCAAGCGCGATTGCATCTTAGCTGTTGTACGTTTCACAGGAAGGTTCCCTTCCAGGATGTTGCTAAAGCTGGACTGAAGTTTGGCGATGAGGATCCGGATGAAGAGAAGGCCGAACTCCAAGCTCTGACTGAGAAATTCAGACCACTGTTGGATTGGTTGAAAAAGGAAGCCGGAGAACTCGTTCGCGAAGGTCAGTTTGTGTATACGCTGGAAAGCTGTTCCTTACTGAGGTCTACTGTGCACAGTCGTGGTATCGAACAGGCTGGTCACCAGCTCTTGCGCCATTGTTGCGGATGTCCATGGATATACCGCGAACGTTGAAAAACTGCTGAGTGAGTTCAATACATTGACATACAACAAGCAATGCTCACTGTCAGCATAGACTCGAACGCCAACCAGAAGAAGGGCTTCATCTATGAATACACTAAGAAGATGAAACTCTTGGAGATTAACTCTCGTTCCCCCTTGATTGAGGGATTGCTTCGGCAGGTGGAACGGCTTCCCACTGAGGAAGAAGAGCGAGATTTGGATGCCGAGGATGAACTTCACGAAGTCGCCTCCGTCTTGATTGATGGTGCTTTGATCCGTTCTGGATTTGAAGTTCCCGATTCAAACGAGTAAGTATTTTACAGCATTCACAAAACTGCATGAGCTGATCGTATCCCTTCAGGTTCTTCACGCGTGTTGATCGCATTCTCAGACGTTCCCTTGGTGTCTCTGAAACTGCACCAACTGATACCAGGGTGAAACCTGCACCACCTGTTGACCCTGAGTTGCCCACGGAAGATGAACTGGACGAAGATGACGTACACGTTGATATTCCTCAGCAGAATCAGAACCAGGTGAGATGGGAGGTTGAGGAAGTCGATGAGGAAGGTAACACCATCAAAACTGTTACTGGACATGATGAACTGTAGGGGCATTTACTGGACGTAATTTAATTGGTGTAAATGTATTGAAAATATCAGCTTTTATTTCTTGTGACTGTCTGTTGAGTATGTAGGATTGGTTGCATATCCATGTTCAACCTCCAAGCAAGCTTCCGGTCCATGTCATTCCTGTAAGAGGCGTCAAATGATATTGACCACTCTCCGGCGCCTATCTCAACGTTTCTGGAAGTTAATAGCAAGTTCCTACAGTACTGACTTGAACCTTCGGTGAAACTTTCCTCATTTGAATTCATCATTCAATAGTATGTCTCTACCCTTTGTACCTGCTGTGGTACCACCTTTACCTCCAGGCTGGACTGAACATATCAGTATGTTTCGAGGCTCTATGATTTGGATGTTTAATCCACCTAACCTGTTTCCACTGACCAGGTCCCACCGGTCAGCCATATTACTACTACTCTCAGACACAGGAATCGACGTATGTGCGTCCCTTACCCGTCTTCCCCATCCCACCAATGCAGGGAACAGTACCTGTCACACATCCAAAGAAGAAGAAAGAGAAGCCGTTAGTCAAGACACCAATTCCTGGGAGCGAATGGTTACGCGTTGTAACGACTGAAGGCAACACTTTTTATACCCATAAAGTGAAGAAGGAAAGTGTATGGACTGTGCCTGATGAAATCAAGGAGGCTGTCGCTGCGCTGGAGAAGGAAGAGGCACAAGCTGCGGTGAAGAAAGCTGAAGACACGAAGAGGGCGGAAGAAGACAAGAAGATCGAAGTGGAGAGGATCAAGTCGGAGGTGAAGGACATGGTTGGAAAACGGAAAGCAGAAAAGACCTTTCCTGTTGAAGAAGTTGTTATTTCCAAGAAGCCGAGGGTGGAAGAAGAAGAAAGCGAGGAAGAAGAGGAAGAAGAAGAGAGTGAAGAAGAGGAGGAATGGCAGCGGGAAGCTGCTGCACAACTCGCTGCAGAGGCGGAGGAACAGAAGAAGATACAGGAAGAGCAGAAGAAGCGTGAAGAAGAGGAGAAGGCCAAGCAGCTTGCTGAAGCTGAAGCTCAAAAGAATCGACCGCTGCACATGCCTGATCGTGTCGACCTCTCCGTAGAGGAAGCCAAGGCATTGTTTAAGGTAAGCGTTGCTCTATCTCTACGTCGATCGGAACTCATAGTAAGTATTTAGACTCTCCTCCGCGAGAAGGATATCAATCCATTGTATCCTTGGGATATGTCCCTGCCGCTTTTTGTATCTGACCCTCGTTATGTTCTGCTACCCTCCGTTTCAGCACGAAAAGAGGCATTCGATGAGTATTGTCGCGATCGGGCACGGGAACTACGAGAGTCAAGAGTCAAGGAAGAGAAAATTGCCTTACATCCGAAAGAAGAATTCGAGCGGTTACTACGTGACGAAGTCAAGAGCACTCGAACCAGTTGGACGGACTGGCGCAGGCAGTGGAAGAAGGATAGGCGGTTTTACGGATGGGGTAAGGATGATCGCGAGAGGGAGAAGAGATTCCGAGAATACCTGAAAGAATTGGGCGAAAGTAAGACTGTCTTCCGTTCTTTCATCTCTCTACTTGTGTCTGACTATGAGTACGCCCAGAGAAACGAGCTGCTGCTCAGAAGGCAGAAGCTGATTTCTTTGCTCTGCTCAAAGAAAGTGGAATTGCAAAGCCGGGTGCAGTTTGGAAGGAGGTCAGTTCAATATGCCGCCTCTCGTTGACTTTCTGAGTCGAGGATCTTTATAGGTCAAGCGGGAGATTACTGAGGATCCTCGCTATGATGCCGTGGGATCGTCGTCTCTTCGTGAAGAACTCTTCAACGTGTATCTAAAGGCCCACGGGGTTTCATCTCAGGACTCTGGAATGAGCATCGAAGCGTCTGAGAGTCAGGCGAAGGAAACTACACCAATGAGCCAGGAAGGCAAAGAACGCCAGCAACGCGAACGGAAAGAGCGTGCTGTGAAGGAACGAGAACAAAGGATCAAGGTTGAGCGTAGCAAAGTCGAAGCCGACATCGATAAATCCAGACAAGGGCTCAGTAAAGGGGAAGACGAACTTGATTTCAAGTGCGTCGCGTAGTTTCCTCCATCCGCTCTCCAGGTACTTGGCGCCGCTGACATGGTACTTTCTGTTTCCTACAGAACGATGCTAGTTGATGCAGTGAGAGATCCACAGGTACGGCTATAGTCACAGCAAGAATTAGTACTGACGTCTATTCGAACATGATAGGTTACATGGGACGCCGTTCTCCCGCAGTTGAAGAAAGATCCTCGCTTCACACGATCCACCCTTCCACTTAACCAGCAGCTACATTTATTCCATTCTCACATCGGTCAACTACGTGCGAAACACCTCACCGGCCTCCACGGTCTTTTCGCCTCGCACGCACCGTCGTTGGCTACGCCATTCACCGACTTGCCAGTTACCTCCTTGATCTCATCTCTGCCTGTAACAAAGTTGGGATACGACATTAACCGGCTAGAAGATGAATATGAGAAGTGGCAGCGAGAAAGGACGGAGCAAGCTCGCCGGGAATTTGACGAGATGCTCAATGAGAATGCTTTTGTTGAGTTCTGGGGTCGCTTGGGCAAGATTGGTGGTAAAGGCGTGGACGAGTCTATCAAAGCAGACGATATAGGAGAAGATTCTGAAGAAATTGTTGATATGAAAGTGCTGGCGAAGACAGTTGATCTGAAGGAGATGGTAAAAGTGCTGAAGGTCTGCCTCTTCTTTTGCCTCATGACCTATATCCAGCTAACCGATAGACCTGCAGAATGACAAACGTTATCTCAATTTCGATCATGTCCCAGAGCAACGAGAGCGATGGATAAGAGTGAGTTGTTTTCGTGTCTCACCCCCTCATTGAGTGCTTCACTGACATTGCCATGTCGATAGGAACATCTTTCACATCTTTCGGCGCCCAAGCTCTCCGTACATGTTCCACAACAACAGTAGTCGATGAGCCCCCATTGTCTGCCCAACCCGTAGTCTAACAGTGCTAGACATTTCAAGTGTATGTACTGTACCACTTGCTCATATGTAATATAGGGAACGTATCAGCGCTGCGCTCAGGAACTGCTAGGATCAGTAGGTCAATCGCTTTGAGTCGCGTGTGCCTCGAAACGACAAGGACCGTCAAAAAGGTTACATTGTCATACACGAGCTTCTATTCGTGGTGCAAAGGTTTTCCCTGTGCTCTTGGCAGAGTATTAGCCGCATCACTGAGGACAACTTGCGTTCCACGAGAAGCGCTCGGAGGGCTTGTTTGAGCTCTATTCTCAGGCTATTGGTCTTCTCTCTAAGGTGTCTGGTTTGCCCCAACTGGAATTGTATTCAGACTTGGTATGTCCTACTGTTTCATCGCACGGAAATAACTGACCTGTGTTTAGGCTTATGGGTATTCTGTTGGATCCAATGTGCTGTGGCGGACGTAACGTAATGCTTCACGAAGCATCCCATCGTCTGCGGCTCCCGCCATGTGTTGTTGTCAATACAGTTTCTGGGCTTGTGACCTAGGTTCAAATCTCGAATGCTGCCTCGTTCATTGTCAAGGCGCCGTCAGCCCAGCAAACCAGGGCATAAGTGGAGATATCAGAATGTCACGGTGTCCTGGTGGTGGCCGTTTCTTAAGATCTATCTCACGGCGTATGGCTTATAAAGATTCAAAATCGGCTGAGTGATTTTGGCTGCTGTTCGCCTTCCGTCCCTTCAAGTTCACTTACGCCACATCTTGTCTACTGCCATGGGCTCTGCCACTCCAGCTGTTATCCTTACGGAGAGTGAGGAAACAAAATCATTGACCAGGAGGGTGCTTTGGAAACTTGACCTCCATATTTTGCCCCTTTTGACATTGGTTAGCTTTCTATTAGTTTGCCGACGATGCCTTTGAGTTTGACCAATTTCCTCAAAAAGCTCTGGTTATCTGCTTTCACAGTACGCTGAATACTTCACACTCCGTCATCTGCTCACACGTTTGCCTCAGGACAGGACCAATATAGGGAACGCACGGTAAGATAGTGTTGATATACCCGTCAACTTTGCTTATAATCTACAGTATCGCGGGCCTAGAAGCCGACACTCATCTCAACGGCAATCAGTTTAACACCTGTCTTGCTGTGTTCTACGTGTCGTGAGTAATACAGCGACGATCTATGCTTAACCTGTCTCATGGCCATCTTATAGGTACATCATTGTCGAATTACGTGAGCTGTTTGCATGTTCTATACCGCATGTCGATTTACAAGATTGGTACAGCATCCAATCTGGTCCTGAAGAAACTGAAACCCAGCCGCTGGATACCTTTCCTGGTTGTGTCATGGGGAACGGTGACTACCCTGAGTGGGCTCGTCCAGAACTTCTCTGGTCTGGTTGCCATCCGTTTTTCCCTGGGGCTCTGCGAAGGAGGGCTTCTTCCTGGGATCGTGCGTGGCCTTCTTCTGTCAAGACCTTTCTAGCGTTAATCACATTATTCAGATGCTCTATCTAAGTACTCTTTACAAACGGCACGAGTTGCAGCAGCGGCATGTCCATGAATTCGGTTAACGCGTTCGTTACTGACTGGACCGTTCATAGTGTCGGAATATTTTTTGCCGCTGGTTCAATGTCTGGCGCATTTGGAGGTATGGTGATTACAATAACCGGTGTTCGCATAACTTGAAGTCGACAGGTCTTTTGGCCACCGCAATTATTAAGATGAATGGCATTGGAGGACTGGCCGGTTGGCGATGGATATTCATTCTCGAAGGTCTTGCCACTATTATAATTGCACTCCTTGCCGTATATTTCCTGCCCGCAGACCTTTGGTTTGCCGAATTCTTTACCGAGGAGGAGCGAGCATTTGCCCGTAAGCTGTCAAAAATCCTGAATTTGCTTTGGTATTCCTCAGCTTCACCTGTAGTCCATCGCTTCCACATTGACCAGTCCGCAGGTATCAGCACATCGCAGCCAGAGGACGCTAAGCGCAGCAGCCATGCGTCTCGTGACATGGAAAAGGATGGCAAGCTCTCAGTCGAACTTTCTCAACCGAAGTTAGAGACAATACATCAGGAACACGAGGTCTTCGAATGGGGAGAGGTCAAGCGAGGTTCGCGTCGATTTGTGTGGCCTACAGTATCACATCTCTCACTGTTGTTAGCAGGACTCAGTGACGTTCAAGTTTGGCTCCTCACATTAACTTACATGGGAGTTGTCGTTAGCTTATACTCATTCTCTCTATTTCTGTGAGCATCTCCATGTTATTCCGCTCCGTACATACAGAACTAACTCAGCGCAGACCAACTATTGTGGCAGGTACATAGTATCATTTTTCTTCAGATCTCTACTAATCAATGTTCCAGGGCTTGGATATAGGGGTGGAGCAGCTCAGCTGCACACAGGTTTGTTATATGCTAATCATTCAACTGACATACTGAGTTTTGCAGTGCCACCTTATGTTCCCGCCATGGTCCTTACCGTGCTATTATCCGTCATCTCGGATAGGACCAAGCTTAGAGGACCATTTGTCCTGTTGTTCTTGCCTATCGCGATCATTGGTAGGTAACTTTCAACACTTATATTGACCTTCAGATAACCATGTATTGGTGGCCAAAGCTTACATCATTTCTATCGTTGCAAAGGTATGCTAGTCCTCGGAACTGGATAACACATATTATTCACAATTCGATATACTAGAATAACACGCAGCGCTATGTCGCAAGTCAGTGACTAGTTGTCATTCCATCTTGCTCGTCTCCTGATGTTCGTTCAGTTTTCTTAATAGCCTCAGGGATGTATGTCAAACCCTCATTGACATGATAAATGAGTGGAATATAGATTTCCTTGTGGTCCGTGCCTACTGTCCATTATTCCCAACAATGTCTCCCCTCATTACAAGCGTGCTACGGCAACTGGGCTGTACCTTGGTTGCTCGAATTGTGGGCAAGTGCTGTTCGATTTCTGTCACATTTCAAGCAGCTATTTTGACTGAGTCGACTTTGTAGTGGTTTTATCGCTACCTTCATCTACACGTCTGGTAATCTGTTTGAAGCAACATCTGACTCTGGCCATGTGGGACTGATTTATTCATCTAGACCAAGCTCCCGCATACGTTCGTGGCCATACGATCACTGTTGCTTTTGTCGCAATGGCCTGGGTGTTCATGGCTCTTAATGTGTCAGTTCTTGTCCAGAATTCTGTGCGCCCATGTACTGAAGTCTCATCCGAATGAACAGGGCCTATTGTTATTGGGAAAATAATGCCCGGGCCAAGGGCTTGCGACAAGGCAACGTTGATAAATACCAAGAGCTTTGGGATTCCGGAAAGACTCGGACTGCAATCGGAGATCGTCACCCAGATTTCCGTTTCACACTTTAACGACTAGGACTGCTGATAGCCTGAGTCCTATGACGGCATGATTATCAGACGCATATTCACGATCCTCCTGTGTACTACACCTTCGCATAACATAGATTTCAAGGATTCATTTTTGAATTTAGTTCGACAGACGGAGACATCATCGTTACAAGGGAGGCGTTCAGTACTAAATTGCAAGATAAGGACCCATCTGGAGTTTAAATCAAGGCGAACCTCGATGTTAGAGGCAGCCACATCGACATGTATGTGAAAAAATACAGGCATGACTAAGCGAACCCCCATCCCCCCTTAGTCACGACTCAAATGTATCATAATAATGGCAGCAACCATTAGTATTGCCGCAAAGTCAAAGACACCTTGTTGAGTACGTAGAGGATCTCAGTCAGGGATCCTGTTGGACCTGGTTCAATTGTGTGGGAAAATCCTGTAAGGATGCTTTTAAGCGCTCAGGACTTCAACCGTTCATCACGCGTACAGTCATTAATGCGGCTCAAACACTCTAGTAACTGACACGTACAAAGTACTCAGCGCCGTGAGCATTCGCAGTCTGGTATGGATTCGTTTGCAGGCACCTAAGTCTCAGCAGCTATAGGGGTCAGCAATATGCAGACCATCACGTTATCTTCAACTTGGACAGCAAACGGGCTGGACAATTGTCTTACGTTGAAACCTCCTCTACACCCTCGAATATATGCCAGCGCATCGGAAACGTATGTTATCTTTGATGTTAAGTGTTGAAGGTCCATGACTTGTACTCACAAACACGCATTGACAAATGCATTTTCAAGACAAACCTTCTAAGCGCGATTTTATCAGGTGAGAATTTTTGTTGTAGATCCGAAAAGTGGCACATATGTGCCAGCCTCTGTCCGCGAAAGGCTTAATCACTAGCAGCCGATAGTCTCCAATAGTGTTCTCAAGGTTGGTGTGAGCATTTATTACAATGCTTGATACATACGTTCTTCGAGGATCGATTCCGAGCAGCAGTCTACACCTCGACTCTCGACTTAGACGGGCCGCCTTTACTGCCAACTTACTACTCCAGAACTCTCTTGAACACTCCTTCGTACCTTACAGAATGAGGCAGGCTCAATCCGATGACCAAAATTCTTAACTCGCCTATTTATGTTTCAGGCTCGCGGTCTATGAGCGAGGGTATAAGATCATCTTACACCTGCTGATATGCTCTATGCACCTAGTATACCAATGATCCTGGGCCAAGAGGTCAGCTGCATCTTTAGATACGACATGGGAAAGGACTTATATTAACAGCCGTTCGAAACACGGCATCTACTCCGCAGGTCAAGATCGATCTCCATCCACACGATCGACCTTCCCTCCTGAAGCAGTATGATCTAAGTTATCTATAGGGCTCCATTGGCCGTCACGATTTGTATACAACAAAGGCACATCCAGTAGGATAGGACTGCTTCAAGCTGCTGTTGTCGTTGTGAATGCCCGGCAACATGTCTCAATATTCTTGTCATATAGTTACAGGGACAGGGTTTTAACGTATGTCGGTAGGCCGTTCTCGCTTGATCGTAATATTCGATCGACTCACTATTTCAGAATAAGGAACCGGTTCACCCTTTTGACGGAATTCCAGTGTCGTAGAGTTTGTCGCCTGGAGCCCCTTTTTCTTCGTGGGGATGCTTCTACGAACCTCCTATTCTCGTCAAGGATTGTTCAGACCTCGAACCGTGTCATACCAGGGTGTACCTGATTGACCATGTTTTTGATTTGAGGTAGCGGAGTGTTCTTTACCCCACAGTCTTGGCAGCAGTATGATCAGGTTTGCTATGCAAATGCGGGGAAGTTGCGGTCCGCGACAAGCGCTCCAGAAATAGCGTTGTGGTACACATTCTCAGCGCAAACTTCGTATTCTCACTCAGATATCTAAATTCAGCTGAGTCTTCTCGCATTCAATTTTTCCGACTTCGTAAGTCCCGGTGGTTCCTAGCTTCGGAAAAAAATAACTGACCTCGATCTTGCTATGTTTAGGGATTGAGGATGACTGACTGGTTTCACGCCGTGGCGAGCGAGGATGCACGGTCTTCCGTAAAGGTTGTCTAGTGCCTATGACACATGTCGTCTGTTGAGATCAAGATGAACCCTGAGCTTGTGACCCTGTCTCATATCTCTTGCTGTGGCATGACACGCTTTAAACGCTTTTAGCTCGGCGGCCAGACCAGGAGCGGAGACATCATAATGTTACGGCGTCCTTATTCAGGAGGCCTGTTTCTCGAATTACGTCTCACGTTGTCACTTTATATAGATTCAGAACCTACTGGTGAAATTTGAGGACCACTCATTTGTCTGTCCCCCTTCGTCTCCCACTACTCAGCATATCTGCGATGACCGACTCGACCCTGGGCGATATCCTCGCCGATAGGAAGAGGACCAAAGCAATGACAAGCCGAGTACTCTGGAAGCTTGACCTCCACGTATTGCCGCCTTTGGCGTTGGTCAGTTCCTGTGTCGTTGATAAGGGTATCTCCGAGACTGATCTTTGTTTCTTCTTAGCTTTGGCTCGCTAACTTTATAGTATGTGGAAAGTTTACTGTCGACGCTTCTTCTGTGCTCACTCTGCTGTAGGATAGGACGAATGTCGGGAACGCCCGGTGAGATATTTTGTCCCACAAGCTGGAGAATTTGCGCTCATCCAATAAAGTATCGCTGGTCTTGAGAGAGATACTCACCTCAGAGGCAACCAGTTCAATATCTGTCTGGCCATATTCTATGTCTCGTAAGTGACATTGTATCGTCATGCATGCACGACTGCTGATCGCCTCATCAGATACATTCTCATCGAACTACGTAAGCCCGGCGTCACCGTATCGTGTCCTAGTACTGATATTCATATGGTACGATAGCCTCCAACCTCGTTTTGAAAAAGATGAAACCCAGTCGCTGGCTTCCTTTCCTGGTTGGATTGTGGGGCACTGTTACTACTTTGAGCGGACTGGTTCAGAACTATTCAGGCCTTCTCGCCATTCGATTCTTTTTGGGCCTGTGCGAAGGTGGACTGCTCCCTGGTATTGTACGAATCCAATTATTTTACAATGGGCATCACTCTCATTTATCGGATACAGATGCTCTATCTTAGCACCATATACAAGCGGCACGAACTCCAGCAACGGTAATTCATACAACCTATTGCTCCTTCATTGACTGAATTCGTGTACAAAAGTGTTGGCATATTCTATGCTTCGGCCTCTCTCTCTGGTGCATTTGGAGGTGATTATGCGCACGACCGTGGCCTATAGACGAAATAATGTCTGATTTGATAGGTCTCTTGGCGACTGCTATCATCAAAATGGACGGAGTTGGGGGACTGGCAGGCTGGCGATGGATCTTCATTCTGGAAGGGATCGCGACCGTGCTGATTGCACTCGTTTCTTCAATCTTCCTTCCGGCTGACATCTCATCAGCCAAATTTTTTACCGAAGAAGAACGAGCATTCGCATGTGCGTCATTACTGTAGAAGTTACCGATGACATTCTGATGACCCACCGTCTACAGTGCATCGCTTCCGCCTAGATGAATCCATTGGTGCAAGCGTGCCATTGTCAGAACCTGCTCAGCGAATCACGGAGGTCCCTGGCGATGTGGAGAAGGAAGGCGACACCAAGATCGAGGTCCATCAAACACAGGCAACTGCCATCCACCAGGAACACGAGGCTTTCGAGTGGAGAGAAGTTATTCGAGGTTCGCATCCATCCGTTTTGCTGATATCTTCGTCTGACAATCGTCCAAGGAATTCGGGATATCCAAGTTTGGCTAACTGCTTTCAGTTACATGGGTATCATTATTAGCTTGTACTCGTTTTCTTTGTTTCTGTGCGTGGTTACACTCTTTTCTCTCCAGTATAAGATATTGATCCTTTGTGCAGACCAACAATTGTGGCAGGTACGTTACCCGCCTTAATGCTTGATCTGTGCTCATTTCTGTCGTAGGGCTTGGCTACGAGGGCGGGGCGGCTCAGTTACACACAGGTGGGCGGTCAGTTATAATCTTCTGCCTAATGTTGAATCTTTGGCAGTACCGCCTTACGTTCCCGCCGTTGTTCTCACCGTTGTAGTGTCTATCGCGGGCGACAAGCTCAAATGGAGAGGCCCTTTCATCCTCATTTTCTTGCCCATCAGTATGATTGGTTCGTGTTTTCCGTGTAATTCCCAAGTATTCTAAACGCTAATGATTTGTCGCAGGTTACATCATTGCTATTGTGGCTAAGGTACGCACTTGAAATCACCCACGAAGGCATAAGTTCTGAAGAATATCTGCCTTTAGAACAACACTACTCGATATGCTGCCGGTGAGCTTTTTGATAAGTGCTTTCATTTCTGGCTCGCTTCCTGACGTTTCTGCAGTGTTCCTGATAGCGGCGGGAATGTGAGTGGAACACCATATCAGATGTGCAATGGCTTGAAGTTGATGGCGTTGCTGATGTCTGTTGTGTAGATATCCCTGCGGACCGTGCATTCTTTCAATCCTGCCAAACAACGTCTCTCCTCATTATAAACGTGCTACGGCAACTGCGTTGCAGCTGGCAATTGCAAACTGTGGGTCAGTATAGAATAGCACACTTCGTGCCAATGTGTAGACGCTGACTAGGCCGCTTAGTGGCTTCATTGCAACGTTTACTTATACCTCAGGTGAGACCATGTTGTGGTCAGGTTTACGTCCATCGAAGCTCACATTATCCTGCACTAGATCAAGCACCTGCGTACAAACGTGGCCATTCAATAACTCTCGCCTTCGTCGCAATGGCGTGGGTTTTCATGGCCCTCAACGTGTCAGTCATAATCAAGGCTCTATCTCGTTGGTGTTCTGACATGAGATTGACCCAACAGCGCGTACTGTGCTTGGGAAAACAGAGCCCGTGCCAGTGGGCGCCGGGAAGGCAACCTTGAGAACTACCAAGAGCTCTGGGACAGTGGCAAGACTCGCGCACCTATTGGGGATCGTCACCCCGACTTCCGCTTCACCGTTTGACAATCTGACGTTACAAAGACCTTCAGCTTCATGACAGGGTGGAATACACGTAAAATTATCTAACTTGTACAATAGGACACATGGAGAGTCACAGAAATGCATCAAGATCGCTGATGTGAAGTTGTGATAATACATCTGGACCAGTTCTGGTATAGTTACAAATGTGCAATGAAGTGATAGGGCTAGCCAAGAGTGAGTCGGGAGAGTGTCATCGCAGGTCGTACATGAATCGTAAGATGAAAGCATAGATAGCACGAGAACAACACCAAATCAAACATAGAATCTATAATCCCTCCAATGAGTATGTCATGCAGGGAACGACCTTAACAAAACTTACTTCTTGTTTATCTGCCAGAGCAACAGGTTAAGATTGAATTTTGCTAACCCATTGAACAAAGGAAGGGCAGCACGATTCTCGAACTGTGCCTGTAGCAGGTCCTCCATCTTCACATCTGCCGACGCCATTCGGTTCGTGATTCCAAGAGCATGGTTGAATACTTCTATGGAAAAGACCCCCACTTGGTTGGAAGACAAAACAATGTCGATCCTATCAAACTGGCGTGGAGAGTACTGATCAATGGAAAGGAGTATGCCTTTGTCGTAGAAGTGTTGTGCACTATACTTGAAAGATCCGAACTGCGGAGTTTTGCCTGACTTCTGGAGCTCGCGCATATGGAAGTATTGCTTGGTGAAAGGCATGATGAAGCGCTTTTTGCTGTAAAATCAATGTGTGAGCTATAAGGATGAACAGTACTAAGGCAGAACATACCCTTTTCCTCGCTGCATTGTGTTCATCGATGTCTCAACGTAGTTGTGGTAGCTATTGATCTGCTCCTCGAAATATCGCTTGCGCTCGTTTAGGTACCCCAGTGCTTCTTCCATGCTCCCCTTCTCAAGTTGGCGCTGAACTCGACGACGATTCTTGCTACGAACATCTCCGGCAATCGCATTCAAGATGCCTTGATAGCCATCCATTCTTGAGATCTTTCCTCGTTTCTCAAGCTCCAGGAGGAAGTAGATCGCATGAGCTTTGACTTCCCGGAAGGACATGCTGTGCTAATAATCAATATATATGTTGGGAATAGCTCGAACAAACGTACGATTGAATATCTTCCAAGCGATATGCAGATTCCGCACCAGTCGTCGACGGCATTCTTCTTTGAAAGCGTTTCTGGTCTTTCTGCATATCTTCCAGTATAGTTTCCCACGCCAGTTCATGCTGGTCGGTGACAGGTTGCATCAGGGATTCCACTAGGTCCTGTGCAGGTTGAACTCGAAGAATGGCAAGTACAGCCCTCTTCGCTTGAACCCAGAGTGCCTTCTCGTCCGCTCCGGGATCTATTCATAATAAGATCAGTCTACAGATAGCACATGTACGTAACAAACGACTGGCCTTTGACGTGTGCAAAGCGGTTAGTGAGCTGCAATTCGATCGCAGTGTCTCGAGCATCGTTCAACTCGTCATTGTCCAGATTGGGCACGCCGTCAAGCTCCATGAGAATGACTCGCAGCGTATCGTTGCGAGCAGGAGCCTGAAGAGTGGGTCAGCCGATTTCGTCAGTATATATTTACGGGAATCTCACGAGATATTCCAAATGCTGGGATAGCAATGCGTGCATGGAATAAACTTCGTTCGGTGTGATGTAGATGGCCTTGGGCTGGAAAGTCGCGTCCAAGAACTCATGAGCATGATATTGCGTTTCCGCTTCAGGGACATCGGCAACTGCAAAATAATCATCAGAAAGAGACTCTGGCATACTGCTGAGAGAATGTACCCTGCGTGAGCCACGCCACAAGCTGTTTTATGGCCTTTCGGACGAAGTCATTGATTGGAACGTAACAAGGGTGTTCATCACCGAATTCCTCTCCTGTTGTGACTTGGGTTAGCACACGAGAAATCTGGGCCAAGTTCTTGCGGGCAGCGATGTCTATAGTGTGAGAAACGATATCAAATGTTTCTGGTGTTCTAAGACATGCAGTCGGTCAGCTTCAAAGCAGGCGAAGGACAAACAGATCTCACATGACGGCTGGATTAATGAAGCGATAGTACACCAATCGTGCTAGGCAGACAGCATATTCCTCTTCAGATGCATTGGGGAAGCGGTTCTGAGAGCAGTTAATATTTGAAATAATGACAGTGAATGAGCTGACGTACTTTAAGCGCAGCCAAGGTCTCACGAGCCAAGTAGCGCATGCCATAAGGCATTCGCTGAGTTGATTGGACAATAGCTGTCACAAAAGCTTCCGTCCACCACTGCAAGCGTTGGAGGTCTGAAGTCTCTTCGCGCTTAGCTACAACCTAAACTAGACAGTCATCTGAGTACTCACGTCGAATATACTCGGCGCGAGTATCGGGATCTTGTAGAGCCTCGTGGAATGAAAGATCTTTGGGCCTAGTGGATGCTACGCCAGATCTCATCTCCTCAATATCCACTCGCCCACGGTAGATCTAGTTCTCGTTCAGCATGAAGAATAATATCGATAAGGAAAACCTTACTATGCTGGGGTCCGTTTCCAGATCCACATCATCAGAATCGATCACTTCACGGATTATAGTCTGCAGTGTATCTTTCACGTAGCCAGCTTGCTTGGGGCGAACGTAATGTACAACGATGTTGATGTAAGTAGGGTGAGCACGTGCAACTTCGGCAATTGAAGATGCAGTTGAGATCTCTTCATGAATCGCAGTCTGCGCACGCATTAAGAGTTTCACAAAAGAATAGAAAACATTATAGCATACCTGGAACAGCTTGAGCAGCAGATAATTCTCCCTTCGGTCATGGCCATATCCAAACAGTGTCAACACTACACGTTCTATGAGGCGTCGATTCTTCTCCCACTCCTTTTCAGCTGCCATGCGAGAGAAAAGGCGAGTAAGGTATTCTCCTTTAATCTGAAGAAGGTAGAACAGCTGCTGGTACAGCTCCAGTTTTCTTTTTGCAGCATGATCCAAAGTACTAGGTCCAGCGAAAGGGTCCCCATGTGCGGCCAATACAGACGCTCTGGCGGCGTGCAGCGCTGCATTGTCAGCCCCATGTTTACGACGAGCTTTGATCAGCTCTTCAAAGCTTTTCACATTCTGCACAACAAGAGCAATCTTCACGTCCAAATCGTTGACTTCATTCTCGAGCGATTGGTTCTCACGAATGCGCTTGACGACATCCTGCCTGAGTCGCTCAATCTTAATCTCTTCCTGGAAGTCGGCCTCTGAATCATCAAGAAGATGAACAAAGTTCTTGATAGTGCCGACGCTGACATTTGTGCCCAGGGTAAGCTGTCGATATTGTTCGCGGGTTTCCTTAGCTCTGAAGAGAGACTGGATCTTCACGATTCTATCCAAGTTGGAGCGATAATATTCCATCTTGGTTCGGAACTTCCGTCTTTGCATGGCACCTCGGAGCAGAGCCTGCAGAATGGTGGCATGTGGATGACTCCGGTGCAGGTAATCCCGCCATGCCCTGTACTCCCAGCGAGCCAATGTGCCTCGCACAACAGCTTGAAATCCAACGACATCAGGCTCAGCAAACTCCAATCGCTTGACTTGCTCTCGATGCCGACTGCGGGTTATGGCAGCACGTGCTAGAGCTTGGAAGCCGCCTACAGATCTAATAATTTTGACCTCTGAGAGGGCTTTGGTCATAGCCGCGTGCCGCTGACGAGAAAGGTTTGCTCTTGCCGTTGCCTGCAATCCAATCAGGGCAGGGGTGCCCTTCCTTAAGCCGCGAATCAAGGCCAATAGTCTCTTGCGAGCAAGGTATGTTCGAACAGAAGCTTGGATGCGAACGACCACATCCGTGACATCCTCTAGCTTCGCCATCTGCGTCCGTACCCGTCTGCGAAGTAGTACGCCCCTGCATTGCGCCTGTAACGGAGGGATACAGGGTTCAATCCGTTTCAGACGGGCATGCTGCCGTTGAATCTTACGCCTGACCATCATTCCTCGAGCATGAGCTTGAAATGCCATTATCGCCCGGCCAATTACGGGCTTGCTGAAGGACTTCGTCACCTCTTTGTGGCTTCTTTGTGCGATGCGGGCTCGTGCCATTGATTGCAACTTCACGACCGAAACTTTCGCGCTCCGCATGGCGGTTTTGAGTCGAGCATATTTACGACGTTGCAAGACGCCTCGACCTTGCGCCTGGACTTTGACTGCACATGAAGCCAACCTTCCGATACGGCGAAGACGAGCAATCCAGTCTCTTCGCACCATGAGACCCCTAGCTTGTGCTTGCAACAACAGTACCCACGGGATGATGTTGGCACGGCGCTGTCGTTCAATCTCCAGCCGCCGGCGAAGGAGCATCCCTCTGGCAAGGGCCTGGATTTTAGGCACATAGCGCTCCGCCAAACGGATACGAACTCGCTGTGTGGCCTGCTCCTTCTTGACAAGGTAAGCTCGAGCGACAGCTTGTGTCGCGATGATCGAGCTCTCATTCTCCAATAGCAGTCGATCCCGCCCTGTGTATAAATGATACATTTTCTCATACATGAATGAAACTGTATTTAGTACTTACGCTCGTCTTCAGTTTCGACTTCTTCTTCGGGCTCTTCGTTGATCTCCTTCGCTAGTTCCCTGCCAACATTTCCGAAGTTGGGCAGTGCAACGCCAGAATCTTTTAATCCTTTATGAGTCTTCTGGAGCTGATCATCGGTGAACTCAAGGCGACCAATAAGATTTCCTATACGCTCTGCCATGCCTCGGCGAGCAAGAAGATGACTGTGAAGCAAGCTGGATTAATACAATTACGAAGTGAATTTCATTACATCTCGGTTACCTTAGGGCATGTATGCAATATATTACCTTCGGGAAGTTCTTCTTCTCGTAGAGGTCTGTGAGTTCGAAAATAAAGCTCTGTCGAACAGGATGGTGAGTCGAAAGGCACGAAACAAAGTGAATGACTCCATACCTCAGGCAGTCCAACTTGCCGCACAAAATTGAAGAAATGATTGATATTGTCTGAATGTCGGAAGTCCAATTTAGGAGCCTATCAGGAATTCAATGTCAAATCTACAAGTTCTGCTCAGTAAAATGGGCGCGAAGACAAACCTCATAGATTCGCTTGACAGCATGTTCGCCTTGAAAGATTCGGACCAGTTTCGCCAGTGCCACGCCGTTCCTCAGCCCTTCTTCCATCTCCACGACACCAAAAGGTAATTCTTCCCCCAAACAACCTTCTATCCACTGCTGTGCCTCACCAACATGACAGAGGTATTCATAGGCTTGAATGAGATTCCTCTGTACATCAGCCCATAGACCTCTTGTCAAACGAGCGGAAGGTAAAGGAGAGGATGGAGCACTAGGTACTTTGTCTCGAGATAGTCGTATGCGGCCGGGAATTCCAGCCACATCGTCACTACCTGGGATACCTGGGACAAGAACGTCTGTATGTCGGATGTTCTCCTGTGATGGTGTTTGCCATTCGCGAGCCCGTCTCTCCCTATCCTGTCGTCGAGTGTGCCGATTCTCCGGAGGTTCAGGAGGCGGTTTCTCTTCCTCTTTATTGTCTTCTATTGGTTCATCGGGGCCGTCTCCGCTAGCGATACGTGGGAGATGGCGACCCAGCCGACGCGTGCCTAAGGTATCTCCGTAGGTGGAGGCTTTCCGATTCATGTATGAGCTCACATAAGGCTTTGGTGACATTACATATGATGACGGTGATGCAGGTGACGTGAATGCAGCATACTTGTCCGGAGACAATGACGAAGATCGGGAGGGTCCTGCGCTGGAAGAAGGGCTAGGGAAAGCAGGCTTGTCTGGAGAAGCAATGTAGCGATCCCCATACAGGGAAGTTGGTCGCCGCGAAAGACTACTAAGGGTGGTTCTGTTGGAAGATATGGACTGGGATGTATGAGAGGTGTCCGACAACGTAGTGGAATCAGATGATGTCGAGGAGCCGGTTGGTACCGAATTGAGGTCGCCCAGGGTGTTCGAACGTCGAGTACGCACAGTTGCAATTCGATCGGTGGAATCGCTGTCGTGCGGTTGCTTAGTGTAGGTCTGGAAAAGCCTAGTTGGAGACGGAGTAGAAGATGCTTGTAGAGGTGAAGAAACAGGCAGATGGATGCGGCTCGTCGTAGTGGATATAGGAAAAGACGATGTCAATGACTCCGGACTTTCCACAGAAACACCAGTTGTATTTGGCGATAACGGAGACGCAATGATCGGTGCAGGCATCGTTTGCCGTTTGAGTGTGGTTGGTGTAACATATCCACGGTCTACAGCACTCTCTGTTCTCCTTCTAGGAGTGTTTAACACACTTTCAAAGCGAGAATCCTTCAGCGGTGTAAGAGAAGCGGTATTATCTGAATCCTCATTGCTAAGGATATCCACTGGAGAATCAATACTACGGGCATCAAGGGAAGATTCGGCTCTTGCACGGTCCTCCCATTTCCCTCGTACGGCATCAAGGCTAGCTCCAACACGATGTGTAGGGGCCCATCTGCGCGTAGCTACGCTTCCCGTCGGAGAGTTCAGTATCCCTCTTGTAACTTGTGAATTAGACCGTGATAGAGATCCAGTACCTCCACGAGACGAGGTTCGTTCAAGAAGACGTGTCTGATATGCAAATGGTCCTGGAGAGGAGGTACCGCCGGTCTTCTGGCCGTTAGACAGGGTATTCGACCGATCCATAAGGAGCGAAACGAGGTCGTTAGTTATAACTCAAGCAGGAGCATAAGATGAGTTCAAAGAAATGTAAAGAACAGGATTGAATGTTGATGTTGCCGATATCCGTGTTATCTGTGGTCGTCGTCAAGCCAAAAGGAGTGAATTTACTGGCCTCGAGGGTGGAAGTGAAGATAGAGCGCGTCGGCCACCCTCAGAGACGATGAGCCAATTGCAACAGCATAGACGCACAGGTCTTCAGCGCCTATCTCAAAAGTCAAGCTCTCATAATGTGGCCACTTGGGACTCGGGCTTGGCAAGCGAGTAAGATTCGAATGGAGGAATGCTGCTAGTGTACATGTATGATATCCTACTCCTATAACGGTATGATCATAGTCGGGCTGAGGAGGCAGTATGTCCTCGCTTTACTCGACTTTCCCATTCCCTTCGCGCGAACTCCCGAAGGGGTGGTTTCATGATCTTCCCCGATGGGGTGAGCTCTGCGGTAGGTAATATAATGAACATGGATGTCCGTAAGGAAAGCTTGAAATTATCCTACCGAAAGGGCGATCGCAGATCAGTACCATGACTGGAATCGCGTATCTCGGAAGCCTGGTCAAAAAATGTCAATGTCATGACTCTGGGTGTACTGAAACGCACCTTCTCTGGCACTGCTCAATGATTTCCGACTCTTTTACCATGCCACGGAAAGCGGACTTCACAGATACTATGGCAACTACCAATTCTCCAAGACGTTCATCAGGAACACCGACCGCGGCAACCTCCGATATACGATCGTCCAAGTAAATTGCATTCTCAACGCTCACCGAGTCCTGCGGAATTAGAGTGAACTTCAGCATCAATTAACACCAATTTGACGCACAATATTCTCGCCACCACGAATGATGATGTCTTTGACTGCAAGATAAAGCATGAGCTCATATGAGTACACTCCGTCCGTAAAGCACTTAGCAAACTCACTTCGATCTTTGATATATAAAAATCCGCCCGAATCGATAACTCCGATGTCGCCCGTCTTAAACCATCCGTCTTTGGTCAGACTCTTGTTTGTCGCATCTATATGGAATGAATAAGCCAACGATGATAGAAAGGCTTTATCCTTTACCGGTATCATTCCAATAGCACGTTATGACGTTGGGCCCCCGTCTGTGCAGAGTCCATCTCATATGGTACGTAAAGAAAAGCACTAATATTGACACTTACAACCAAACTTCACCTCTTACGCCGTGTGGGACCACCTTCCTGCTCTCATCAACGATTATCATGTCGTTCACAGGACACGGGATCCCGCTAGTATAGTAATAACATCAACGACACATCGTCACAGCCTAGAAAATCTGTACTCACGTCGATGATGGCCTCAGTTCATAATCCTCTCCTGCGATGGAGACTGCAACGGCATTGGTCTCGGTGGAGCCAAATGCATGTGTGCTGAGTTGTGAAGTTGGCGCAGGTGCAATTAATCATGCTGATGTACATACAGGATTGCATCCGGAAAAGCTATTTTGGCCCGTCCCACCAGAAAGTCCGCAGACGGCGCTCCACCAAACAGGAAGAACTCCAAGGGGTGTTGGCCAGCCAACGGGCTCTGCAATAGATCAGAAACCATTGCAGGCACGCTAGGTATCCATTAGGGCTAAGTCGGTAAATCGGCAAGCGACAGAACAACCTATAAAACCTACCCTCCTCCAGCACGAATATTTTCTGTCCTCATCAGCCTTTGGTACTTTTGTGAATACACAGCATTTTGAGTTATGGAAAATGTCATTCACCTGACGGCTGAAAAACGTTGTGAACTTCAACATTTAGGAAAAGCAGAGTAGCTCAATGCACAAACCTTCACTTATGTCCCACTTTGCGGTTAATACTATCTTCATCCCAGCTGCAGTAGCCATCATCTAATCGGTGGCGAGCCGATTCGCTGAGAATACATCAAGTTCGGAGAGATAAACATCACCTACAGAGAAACTAGTGCACCCCGAGACGTGGAAAAGCGGAACCGCCACAAGCATGCCCTTCTGCGGCCCTTTGGGGGGTGGGGTAAGGCTACCACCACGGCGCAAAGTCGCGCGCGAAGACGCGACTGATGCCTGCAAAGCGTTCAGTCTGAGTAAAGAGTAACTCGTGATCTAATATTTCACCTTACATTCCTTATGTTTGTCAGAAATTGACGCTGCGTGCTGAGTACTCCCTTCGGCATACCAGTCCTGAATAATGCATGTGAGCAGCAGCAGTCGCCGTAGTGAAATGTAATACACGCACGTTCCCGACGTAAACATGATAAGGCAGTTATCCTCTGGCTCAACAGCCGGGAATGCAAATGAGCCATTATGTTCCTGGTATGATGCTTGGACATCTTGCCAGCTTCGCAAGTCCGAAAGTCTGGGGGCCGGTTCTGTTTGATCCAAGATAATAATAGCCTGTGCGCCCAAAGATCTTAAAGTCGTTATGGCTGGTAGCAATCGCGCCGCTCGTTCGCCGTCCACAAGGATTAGTGTACTCGCTGTGTGTTGGAAGCAGTGCAATAACGGGTCGAAAGGCAACGAACTGCGACATATTGTATCAGATCATCAATATAAGTATGAGAGCGCAGTGTGCTGACGCATTGATCAGCACCGCGACGGCGCCTAGGAACTGGCATGCCCAGAACGCAATGAGGTACTCGGGATTATTCTGGGAACAGATAGCTACTCTGTCTCCTTTTCCGACGTTGTACGAGTCTCTGAAGACAGCTGCAGTCTTCTTCGAGAGTACCAGCACCTCCCCATAGGTGAGCCGACGATTGCCATATACAATATATGGCATGTCATAGTGAAGGCTTGCGCTCTCCACCAGAAGATCACGAACCGACTTCCATAAATTCTTGTACACCTTTTGCACACGACCCTCGATAACTCGTGTTTCAATCTCATGGGGCATACCCGGCGCACAAAGAATTGCGTCACCTAATTGTAAAGAAAGTACTCATCGTAGTGTAGACTTCAGATTAATGATCACACTTACATTCTTGATAGGTGCGTTGAGGTTGCCACGTCATGCTGGTGGATTGCAAAGATTTCGGCTGCTACCTGAAGTGAGTTGTTACATATTTATCCCAGTCAGGAGGCAACCTTATATGCCGGGACCCTGTTTCCCATCGTGATAACACTGATACTCAATTGGCGACGCCACTGGGTATCAATGGAGAAGCTGTGCATCACAGTCATGTTCCGAATCACACCTTTCCGGCACTTTGGCCATAACAAGAGCTGATCTAAGGGTATCCTGACACGTAAAACCGGTTTAGCACATAAGGTGTTCAATAAAGACCTCGCAAACACACTTGATAGAGACATCATCGAGGACTAAGCGTTCGCTTATAAGAAACCGAAGCGTTGGTTCGGCGTGGGAGTGCACTTCTTGGGCCTTCACCTGAGCGGTTTGCAGGTGGAAAGCTAGAGAGAAAGGACCATCGTCGTTGGAGTGCGACTCGGACCAACCGGAGTCGGAAAGCGTCTTGTGAGTGTTACTACTGAATATCTGCAATCCGGGATCTTTGATCTCAGGCGTATCTATACGTAGGATACCGTATCGATTGAGGGGGGATCACAACCATGCCGCAATTCAAATAGCTGCTGCCAGAGTGCTGAGTGACTTCAAAAGAATTGTTAACGAACATTGTAGGCGGGATTTCAAAGTCCGCGAATATGGTATTGCACGCGACGCGTCTGTACGTGTTAGACGCGTTCAACGCGAACGGAGCGCTAAACGCGTTTGCTTTATGTCTTCATTGGAGTCTCTGGTTTGTTCAATTGTGCCGCAGGCCAGGCATGACAACCATCTCAAAGATGAGTTGATTCTTCACTGCCAAGAAATATTGAACAGGTACAGGTCGTTATTGTTCAGACGTATCTGCGAAAGCTAAAGTGCTCCAGCCATATAGGTCAAACAGTTGAAAGTGATATTGGGCACCTAGCAGACTCAATCAAGCGACACCGTTTGTGATACATTTAATGTTGAATCTTCATTAACTTATGTATGTACCATCGCTAGTCCTACATGCATCTCCAAATGGTGTGTCGACATTGAGGTTTGCGAACCTTTTAGCACGCCTACTTGAACAAGTATGCACTTATCGCCTCATACAATGGTGCATATTAATGAATGAATGTAGCCTGTGCTATCGAGAAAACATGCATCACTTTCGTTTCTACACTCTTTGGCAGCATCGCCCGGGGCTCCCACGCTTTCGCCACAAGCTCTACCCTCTCTTGTCCCGCCTCCACCTTCTCAGCAATCAAGTTCAGTACCAACTCCTGTGGTTTCAAGTCCCTCTGATTCACTTCCAAGAGGAAAAACTCAAGCTGACATACTTAGAGAATACCGATCTCGACATGGTAAGCGACTTTCTCTTGTATCATAAAGTAATTCGCTGGAATCGCATTGGATTTACAGGACGCGCTCATCTTCCTGAATTATTTTTGTTACGAGATACACTGTATCTCTTGCAAGGTATCTCAGGGAAATATGTCTCTTTCATGTCCACAGCAGAGGCTGCTCCTGGAGAGCAACTTGTGTTCCGAGAAGATTCGGTGAGTTTACCTTCGATCTTGATAGCATCTCTAAGAATTGATGGATTTTGAAGAAATATGTCATTACCGAGCCCACTCGAAAGCTCATACTTTGTTTAGCCGAAGTTGGACACCTATATAAGCGGATTGACAATTTCATCCGTGAGCGAGACGGGAAGCCGAGCATTGGCATGATTGAACAGAGCCTTTGTCACCACCTCCAGAATCAACTCACAGAGTACTACAGGCTCATTGCGGTCCTCGAATCACAGATGTCTGTGAGCAAGGACGTTGAACTATCGTCTGAAAGCCGAGACTTAGAACTCAAGCATGAGGAGACTGGCCTAACCCTGAAGAGACTGAACGTTTGGATTCAAGATTGGCGACTTCGGATGCGAATGATGAGTGTATGCGTAGAGGGTGCCAGAGGTGACTCCCATCGGAAACTTATCCATGGCTTTACTAACATGTAATCCAGATACACATGGTGGAGCTCTAGTCAATCTTATCCGGGGATATGCAGACAACGGCGATCCATTCGTTCGCAAGTTCACTGATCAACTTCTGGAAGAGGTCGGCCTTTTCTACTGCTTTGCCTGTCCTCTGGCATCTGGCATCTGAAATGATTCATCAGGTGTCCAAGCCGTTCTTCTCCATGCTTCACAAATGGTTGTTTTCTGGAGAGCTCAATGACCCATTCTTTGAGTTCTTTGTAGCCGTAGACCCCGAGCTTGCACATGTCCAGTATGTACAACAATCCGCTAGTGGATCGCTTGCTGGCGATGGGGGATTTGCAGGGTTGGCCAGTGATTCAGATGAATTGTCTGGAGAATCGCGAGAGGGCGGTCTCAAACTGTGGGAGAGCAAGTTCAGGTTACAGGCAGATATGCTTCCAACCTTCGTGGGAGGAACGTTCGGACGCAAAGTGAGGAACTAACCTTGTTTCTATATATGCTCGCCTCATGCTCACTTGATGACAGATTTTCTCCACGGGCAAGAGTTTGAACTTCATCCGATACAGCTGTCATGATAGCGATTGGGTTGTTACACGGGAGAAGCTCAGCAACACTGGCGGCAGTGAGTTGGGCCGATTCCACGCGCACTGACTTCCGTACTAATTCTCCGGTAAACTTCCAGCCTTGAAATATAGCGATATAGCGGGTTTGGAGCGCTCTATTGACGCTGCGTATCAGATCGCTAGCCGACGACTTTTCGACATTTTCTTCGAGAAATACCGGCTCTTGGATCATCTACTTGCACTGAAAAGTTATCTTCTTCTTGGCCACGGTGATTTTATCGATCAACTGATGGAAACACTCTCGTAAGTTTGACTTGCCCGACTTCTCGTTTGAACGCTACTAAACTCAATCTGAACCAGTCCTAGCCTGGCTCGCCCAGCGAATACACTCTATAGGCACAACTTGACCGCGACCTTGGAGACGGCCATCCGCTTGTCCAGTGCCCAAAACGATCCGCCAGACGTCCTCAGACGTCTGGATGCTCGAATGCTCGAATATTCTCACGGGGAGATCGGATGGGATGTCTTCACCCTTGAATACAAGGTTGATGCCCCCATCGATACGGTTCTAGATCCAGAGGCCATGGTCAAGTACCTGAAGTTATTCAATCATCTTTGGAAGATCAAACGCATTGAAGCTACTTTGAGCAAAAGCTGGATGAGAATAGCTGGTGGCGCACGGACATTCTTGCGTCTGCCAGGTGACAGTGCTCTCGTGACTTGTCCCTGAGGTTAACTAACTGTCAGTCATATAGATCTCAGCTACGAATGGCACCAAATTCGCATTGTCATGGCGGAGATGATTCATTTTATACGCCAAATGGAAGCTTACTGTCAGCTTGAAGTTATCGAGTGTTCCTGGAAAATCCTCCTGGACTTCGTGCAGAAGAAAGAGGGTGATCTAGATGCACTGATAGAAGCTCATCGCGCGTACCTAGACCGGATGGTGAAAAAAGTCCTACTCCTCAATAGCAAAGCAGGGCGAGAGGAGAACTTACTAAATCAAGTTCGAGAGGTTTTCACGACGATATTTCAGTTCAAAGAGGCTACAGTGAGTGTTATATTTGCTTTGCGCTATAGGGTCCATCATTTATGAAGTTTCAGGATGACTTCTACAATTACTCGCTGTCTGAATCGGCCCGCCGAGACGCGCAGCGCGACGAAGAACGAGTAAGTGCGCCGACAACATGGTACGGCAGAAGTAATAACCAGTTCACAGGGTGTATTTACTGGCATCCGCCCAGAGCCTCGATATGCTCCAGATACGCTGCCACATATACTTGGTCGGATCAGAGAGTATGGCGGTATGTTCTCTGAGAAGGCACAGACGATCGTGCATGGGCTACAAAGTCATTCGGACCTAGACTGCCGCTTCCTGGGAATCAGGTTATCGTTTTCCGATTTCTATAAAACGAAAAGGGAGACAACGCATCAGAAAAGCTAGATTGAATTGAGTTTGTGTTATTGAATAGGTACGAAAGACGTGGTCGATTGTAGCAGTATTTCCTGAGGTGTAATTTTGCCCTCCACGCTGTATACCCGTTCGCAGTTCGTAGGATCGTCTTGACTCCGTTCATAATTGTACACTTCTGTCATTCTGGCATAATTATAACAAAAACGGCAAATGTCATGCCTTTACAACCGGGACACGGCTCGCACGCCGATAGTAGCATTTCGCCTGCGCCACTCGGCCTTCGCAATCTCTCGCAAAGGGTCTTTCTTAATCTTCCCTGACGGTGTGAGTTCTATGGTATGTCATTAGCGGTGGAATGTCGTCTGAAATCCGTAGCATCACAGTACCAAATGCGTCATCTTGAATGACAACCATCACAGGAACAGCGAATTTCGGAAGTCTGGTGATACGTCGCGGCGGTAAGAACAATTCTTGAAGGACGAGTCAGGGAACATACCGCTTCCGTGCAATCTCGATAATCTCAGACTCTCGTACCTGCCCTCTGTACATCGCCTTGGGAGAAACCACTGCAGCGACCAACTCTCCCAGTCGTTTATCGGGAATGCCGACCGCAGCAACTTCGCTCACACGAGGATCAGCGAGAATAGCGTTCTCTACGCTGACCGAATCCTATTATATCCGAATAATGATATAAAAAAGACGGTCAAGAGTAGGATGAACTTGTTGGACCCACGATGTTTTCCCCGCCACGTATGATCAGGTCTTTGACTATGATTTTGTTATGAATAGATGACATCGCACGAGGACACGCTACTCACTTCGATCTCGGATATAAAGGAACCCCTCGGGATCAAGATATCCTAGGTCCCCAGTTCTCAACCATCCGTCGCGTGTAATCGTCTTGGCGGTTGCCTCTGTGACTATCGTTAGCTACTATGCACCGGTTTACTGGATGCGACGTACGTGGGTCGTCCCAATAGCTTCTCATCACGTCAGGGCCGCGTCTATTTCAGTACAGTGAGGCATGGTATGAGACTGTTGAAGGTATTTCTTACATCCACACTTCGCCGGATTCCCCAGCAGGTACAACGAGACCGCTGCTATTGACAATCAGGATGTCATTCACGGGGCAGGGAAGTCCTCTGCTACGTCAATTAGCATCGAATACTCGGAGAAGCCGCAGCCATACTGACGCAGCAGTGGGCCGTTCCTCGTAGTCGATGCCCGCCACGGCCACGGCAATACTATTTGACTCGGTCATGCCATAAGCTTGACTCCTGATAAGAAGCTTGAGTTAATGTCTTCAAGCTTAGTTCCACCGTTGCGGACATACATGACGGCCGTTGGGAAAGCATGTTTAGCTTTAGCTGGTAATTGATCATGTGCTGGGGCACCCCCGAAAAGCAGAGTCTCAAGGCCATACCCTGCGAGCTGGCTTTCGATAAGGTCCGACACCATAGCGGGAACGCTGGTGGACAGATCTGATTCAATGGCTTCGTTTAAAGCGGCCCGAAAAACAAGTGTAAACATACCCTCCAGCGACCCGAACATTCTCTTCTCTGATAAGCCTAGAAGCATTCAGTCATGGTAGCTCATGTGGTACGATGAAAATTAAATACCTAACGGCTATGGATAGGTCAGCATACCGCGAGGCCTCGAGAGATGAAATGCCACATACCATCCGATACATTCCACTTACGCATCAAGACGATCTTGTGCCCTGACATCGTTGCAAGCATCTGCTCAATGGGCATCAGCTGCAACGTGATGACGTACAAGATAAGCACGAGCGTACAGATAGACTAGTCGAACCGGTAACGTGGAAAAACGGAACTGATACCAACAAACCTTTCTGAGGCCCGACTGAAAGTCCAGGAAGATTATCACCTCGCCTGAGGATCGCCCTGGAGGCCCCGACAGTGGCCTATGAATTTGTTAGCCTGAATAATTATCGGGGACCCGTCACCCACATTGCGTATATTCGTTAGAAATTGTCGTTGAGTACTTAAGACGCCCTTTGGCAATCCAGTGCTACACCCGTTAATTAGTGGATATAACGGTAAATGACTGCCATGCGACGCACGTTCCAGATGTGAATATCACCGTGGCGTTATCTTCAGGGTCGATGGAAAGATCTTCAGACAGTAATATTTGGGTTGGGTCCCCTCGATAGTGGCTGAGAACTTCTTCCCAGAGCTGGTACGTCTTCCATCCCTCGCAAAGAACCGGACTATCTAAAACTAGAAACCCGGAAACGCCGTTGGCTTGCAGCCTTGGCACTGCAGGCAGGATACGATCCGCTCTTTCTGTATCGAGTATTATGAGCTTGCCACCTGTGTGAATTAAACAGTGCAAAAGAGGCTCGAATGGTAGCCACCTGATCCAAGCCATGCAGTCACTGGATGTAATGCCATAAGTAGACGATCGACTTACGCGTTAACTAGAACCGAGACTGCGCCAATTAAATGACATGCCCAGAACGCAGCCAAATACGCTGGTAGGTTTCGGGAGCAGATCGCAACTCTGTCTCCTTTTCTGATGTTGTAGACGTCTTTGTACACCGATGCTGCGAGGAGGGACTGCTCCAGTAAAGACCTATAAGTGACTCTTTCATTTTCGTACACAATGTATGTTTGCGCCGCGTATTGTTCTGCAGAATGTAACCAGAAAGCTCGGAGGGAAGGCCAGAGGTTCTTGTAGACTCGTTGAATTCGTCCGTCAACCAGTCGAGTCTCTAACTCGTGAGGCATCCCCGGAGCACATAGGATGGCATCGCCTAAAATATTCTGTCAGTAGACGATTGTTATGCGAAAGCCATAGATATATACATTCTGCCAAACTGCGTCGATGAGAAGACATGATGAGATGGGAGCGGTTACAAAGCAGAGCCAATACCGAAGCTGTGGAGATAAGTGTTGCAGATTCGGTGGGTGTATGTTGGAGTACAGGAACTGTATATAAAGGAAGCACAACCGAAAGTCACAGGCTGCGTTTCTAATTAGTAAAGAGAGAACGAACGCCAGGCCCATCAGGACAAGGGTCCGCTAATCAATCTATGCAGCATGGGCGTGCAGCAAAGGCAAGGTAGTTCCCAGACTATTAATGCAGTTTATAGCTCGCGTAATCTCAGGTCGGAAGGAACCCATCACGGAAAACGACGAATACCTCGAAAATCCGGCATGTCCTCCGAGCTATAGTAAACAGTAAGGGATATTAGCACCCACTGCGCGCCACAGCAAGAAGGAATTGCCAGTAGCTGGGGGCATTGAAATACTTGACAGAGAAGGGTAGGATATCAGCTACTGTCATGACGGCAGCAGTTGTTGAAATTCGCCCGGTGAAGCTGACGATTGAGTTGCGGGAGATCGTAAGAAAGGAAGTGTTGGACTGAGGGAAGGTACGCATTTGTTCTACAGAGCACACGCGCAGATCCGAGGTATACGAGGAGATAGCCAGGAGATCCGCTGGGCATTCTATTAGAGCCTGAGATTTGTGAACAACGTTTACAATTAATGAAGTAAACGCCCACCGAGGCAGAGCGAGCCAGGCCCAAATACGGGTCTGCCACCACATCATATCTGACTTTTCCAACTAACGCGTGCAGTAGTACAACGCCGCTGTTGTGCATGCAACAGCTTAACATACACGACGTTGACAGGTATCGGGGTTCAATTCTTTGTCTAGACAGGAATTCATATTACAACGGTCCGCCGGCTGGAGTTGGTCCAGGTATGTCCATCTCTAGTCCCTGGATGCTCACACATTCTATTCCTCTAACCTGACAGGTGTCAATAGCAAGTTGTCCTTGTACATATGCTGCTCAGTTCGAGCGGGTTATCATGGCACATCGGATCGTGCACCGCTCGCTCTTGAACATGGCCCGTGGAATTACCAACCAGACGTCGTTCTCAGCTTGACGGCTTGGACTGGTACACGTGAAAGCAATGGTCCTTGCGCTCATCTGGTACAGAAAAATTTCACACTCTGTAGCGTCACGGAACCAGGTCCTTCATTCGTTCTTAGGGGTACCACGGACACCAATCGATTAGGAATCACTCCTGATCGCGATCAGGCATGGATCGGGCTACAAAGCATAAATGGCAGGCGATGTAGAACGAACAAGTGGACAGCTATAACCCTTTCTTCTACATGATTTCTACCAGACGGAGCTGAAAGACACTGTATTCCCGGCGCTGCCACGGTTGTGCGGATGGGCTCCCCACTTTTACTGACCAGACCCGGGCCGCGCTGACACTGACGGTTCTTTATACAACCGGAGAAGTAATGAGCTGCACACAACCGAGACTGACCTGTGAACGCGGTCATTAGTTATGAGGCTGTTGTCCCTGAATTGGGAAAGGAACCTACGATAGTGCCATTGCTAAGGACGCCCAAACAGGCGACAGTCGGGCGTGGCCCGCGGGATAAACCACCCCGGCGGCGATTGGTAGTGCTATGAGGTTATAAATTGTCGCCCAAAGCTGTAAGCAAGCCAACACCGTGGACATAAGTCAGCATTGAATCACCTAGGCGTAATGAACATCACGTACGAAGTTAAACTTCACTCGATTGAAGACAGTGCTCGACAAGTCGATCAGAGTCAGCAGACTGGCCAGGTTCGACGACATTAATATGAACGAGGCACTGGAAAGTGCGACATCACCTGGTAGGTATATGCACCAATATTAGAAACAAGAGGGCTTGCAAAACAGGCCATACGTACTACCCGAGCCAATGGCGATTCCGACGTCGGCAGCCGTTAGTGCCTGGCACACACGCCGAACTCAATCAGATCATGTAATTCGAGGAATAGAGTAATGAACACACACCGGAGCATCGTTGATACCATCCCCAACCATTGCAACTATGCACCGACCGTTCAATCTCCGTCTTCCCATCAAACGATGCAAACGAGGTAACTCTTTCTTCATACCGACCATTTGTAGCCACCTGACTTTCTCAGCCTATTCTCAGAAGCAATCAACTGCAATCCGTAAATGGTAAAATAAGAAGCGGGAAGACGCACCTTCTCATGGGGCAGTACCCCAGCAATAACATTAGTCTCAGGGATGCCGACAATTCGTGCTACGGCTTTGGCTGTAACTTCGTTATCCCCCGAAATCATCCATGTGCTGATCCCTTCTTCTTGGAGTTTAGCAACAACCTCTCTAGCTTCTGGGCGCAAAGCGTCTGACACAGCAAAAACGATACGAATGGCAAAGCCCGTCATAGCGTCATCATCCTCGCACGACGCATGCTCACGTACAGCCAACAGAACGACACTCTTGCCTTCAGATTTCCATGCACTAAGGGTGTCATTCAGCTTGCCGTCGATGACAGCACCATGCCGTTCCATCCAAGCCTCGTTCCCGATGATTGCCCAACATCTCAGAGCGTCAAAGTAGGCTTTGATACCACGGCCAGGAGTTTCATGGAACGCAGATCCCACCTGGCCTGCAGCAGAATGTTCCTCGCAGTACTGCCTTATGGCAAACGCAAGCGGATGTGAACTAGCAGATTCCAATTCTGCGGCAACACCAAGAAGGGCTTCACGGCTGATAACCTTCTGATCTTGGTGTTCTTCGTCCGGTGTCTCCGATACGATGAACTCGATATCAGTAACACGAGGCTCACCGCCCTCAGTGAGGGTCCCAGTCTTATCGAAGACGACCAAATCGAGCTGCGCTGCTTCTTGAAAAGCTTCGCCGCCCCCACGAACCAAAATACCAAATCTCGCAGCTAAACCGGACCCGACGAGTAATGCCGTGGGAGCTGCTAAGCCAATCCCGCATGGGCAGGCAACCACGAAGACCGCGATAGCAAATTCGAGAGACCAGACAGCTGTTCTTGAAGGTTAGTGTATCCAAGATGACATATCAAGGGATAAGACAGAACGTACCCCAACCACCCACTTCGATGTCCAGATAGTCAGGTGGGAGCGCTCCGCTTTCGCCAAGTGCAAGCCAGATGACCCATGTCAGGATTGCGAGAAGGGTTACTACCGGAACGAAATATCCAGTTATGACATCTGCGACTCTCTCGATAGGAGCGCGACGGGTCTGCCCCTCTCTGACTACCTTAACAACATGATCTAACCTAGTACGATTGGCTTTAGCGAGTTAAGTTTCTTTGCACCAAAAGTAGTAAATACACACATAGTTTCCCCACCAATCGCGTCAACTCTGACGTCCACGACGGAACCCTTGTTGATCGTTCCAACATACACTTTATCTCCGATGTTCTTCCCGACAAGCCTAGACTCGCCCGTCAACGAGCTTTCGTCAAAGGCAGCACCAACACCAGCAACAAGAGTGCCATCGGCGGGCGGGCTGGCCCCGTGTTGTACACGGACGATATCACCGACTTCGAGCAAATCCACTGGAACACTTTGTACGTGAACGCCAGACTTCGACTGACGGATTCCTTGTAGGTCATTGCCTTTCTCTAAGTCAATGTCTACAGCTTTGAGGTGAGGTGAAGGGGTCGATGACAGCGATTCCGCAGGATTGTCTTCTGACGCTGCAGGCGTGTAAAGAAATGCATAAGAAGGACGTAACTTCCCAAGCGCGGTGATGGCATCCGCTGTGCGTCCTTTACTGTACGCTTCGAGGAATCGACCTACCCAAGTTGGCTGAGCGTGAGAATCTGCACTTTCTAGACAAAAATGGCAAGTTGCTTACCTGCTAAAAGGAACATCGTAAGAAATACGACCGAATCGAAGTACGTTGTAGTATCGCCTTCCTTATGCAAAGATGTAGATTGTGTGGCGGCCAGAATAAGAAGGGCAATCGAAGAGAAGTACGCCACGGATACACCCGACGAAACCAAAAGGTTCATACTCCCAAACTTCACGAATCTCTTCCAAAGAGGCGTCGAGCGCCGGCTCCAAAGGGCCCAAATCTCCTTCAAGCTTCTCCGATGGAAAAGGCCCGCACTATAAAACATGACCGGCGTCGATAGGAATAATAATGCCCACTCCGACCTTGAAGCATTGCCGGCCCACATGGGTTCCATGAACCACATCCTGGTAGCATTAGACTTAGGCACTAAGCTCATATACACGATGGCGATGACAAATGTCGGAATAGCTGCAATCACCGAAAAGGCGAGTCGGAAGAGAAGGGCACGTTGTTCTTTGGCCTGCATGTGACGAGCTCGGGTTTCGAGAGAAGGTGGATGATAGATGGACGCGGAGAATGGGGCAGACGATGGGGAGGTTGTGCTAGAGATAGCATCGATAACGGTACGAATGGTGAAATGGGGTGGGTCTGGGGTGTATGTCAGCTTCAGGATCGGGTCGGTGTGCGAAGTGATCGCTTTCTCGATGGACACTCGGTCCATGAACTGCTCAAGGGCGGACATGACTTTCGGAGGACAATGTCTATGGGAATGATTAGTTCAATGGAAATTGGTAGGCAAATGAGAAATAGATTACTCACGCGCAAGTCATCCCGGCGATGCGCACAGAGACCGTTCGAGGACCGGCATGCTCAGCCACCGTACTCTTATCGCTCGAGTCAATTGGACGTATTTCGATTACCTCGGCTTCGTAGCCTGCATCTTCGATCGCTCCGACGAGTTTGTCTGCCAGGTCTTTACTCGCGATTGTCGCCGTGGCGGCTTTACCAATGAGATCGACGGCGACCTCAGAGACGCCAGGCACCTCGAAGGCAAGACTGGTAATAGTATTTGAGCATGAGGCACAAGTCATCCCACCGACAAACATAGTGAGGTGAAATGGACCTGAAGGCGCAATACGTGGTGTTACATGATGAACTGGCGGCGAATTCACAGGCTCGACGCTCACGACCTCCGCTTGATACCCGGCATCTTCAATAGCCTCGACGACTGGCTTGACACGGTCTTCACTGTCAATTTTGACAGTAGCGGAATGTCCTATGAGGTTAATTACCGCTCCCGAGACGCCGGGAAGTTTGTTGAGAATATCCGTGATAGTATTAGAACACGAAGCACATGTCATACCGCCAATAGACAGCGAGACATTATAACGAGTAGCTGGCACAGATTGCGAGACTGGCCGGACCTTCCCTAGATCGGCAGGAACGGGGGTGCTAGTGTCAAGAGCCTGTTTGTGAAGATCCCCGGAGGTAGTGCCTGTGCTACCGAGTTTATCCCGGCGGTCGAGAGGTGGAATGGTGTGATCCTGGTCAGAGTGTTCTGACTGACAGAGTGCGCATTGTTCGATGTGCTTCCTCCTCTTTGGAAGAAGTAGAGGTGTTAAACGAGACAAGCTATTAGTGAAAGCATGGTCGTCCGATTCATCCAGAGGAGTGACTACAATGTCGAAGCCGGCGGCATCCAAAGCCGCTTTGATATGGTCAGCAGAGAGCGCAAGAAGGTGGCGAACGGTGACTGTCTGAGTAACAATAGACACCTCGATATTCGTCGGGCTCGGATCCAGTGAGTTCAAAGCATCCTGTATGGTCTGCACACAGCTGTTGCAACGTGTAAGAACTCATTTCTGACTTCTAGTAATCTGGATCTTACCTGCTACAGTGCAGGTTGGACAAGAATATGGTAGTTACAGTCTCCCCACTAGATGACGGCATCTTATGGAGGGAAGCCATTCGCAAAGCAGGTAGAGACCTTGCAGAAGGCCTGCGGGCATATAACGAATTGGCCATTGCTACCGGCCTGATTGGCGAAGGAGACCGAGGTAACCAGGAGAATTGTCGACGACGTGTCGGGGAAAGAAGAGATAAAAACAGGAAGTAGATACGACTCCATTTTGAACAGATGTCCAGAAAATGCCTCAGAGCAAGGAGCAGCCAATCATCTGCCTATCTCGCCGCACAAATGGCTCAGCGCTCGCTGACTAAGCGATCTGATCTCACTCAGCGCATGACGTTCTTTTGGGCGGGCTGCTACCGGGGTCCTGCCTCAAATAATAATAATGTGACCAATAATAATTGCGGCACACGAGCACATTGAAGCGGCTTGCACTTTGCACTCAACGGTCACAACTCCAACACTAACACAACGTTGAACAAGGCAGGTACTAGTGGCGAGAAACCCTGGACCCTTCTTGCTATTTACCTTCAGGGGGACTTACACAGAGGATCATACTTTCCTCCTCCTTTACCCTCTAGATACCCCTGCCATCCTTAGGGCATGCATTGGTCCGAACGATCAAGAATGGCTACGCTTTTCAAGTCTCCAGATCGTGACACTAATGCTCACCGTTCGTCCTCCATTGTGAGCAGGGCGGAAACTCCGTCACCTAATGGCTCCCACTCCGATCTTTCTGCCGCGACTGATATGTCTCGACCGCCAATTATTCTCGGCATATGTGCCATGGATGTCAAGGCAAGGTCCAAAGCCATGCGTGAGATCCTTACTCGTCTTGTCGAACGAACAAGAGGTGCCATCGAAGTCAAAGTTTTTGGTGACAAGGTCATTCTCGACGAAGGTATGCTTTCACTCCTCCACATTATTACATAACATTTGCGACATGACCATTGATTCGCCTTATTCTTCGCCTCGCGTTTTCTTAGACGTCGAGAACTGGCCACGATGTGACGTTCTCATTTCCTTCTTTTCAACCGACTTCCCGCTAGACAAGGCGATTTCTTACGTCAAGCTTAGACAGCCTTTCTGCATAAACGACCTGCCCCCTCAGGCACTTCTCTGGGACCGTCGCCTCGTCGGAGCGGTTCTCGATCACCTCGGGGTACCCACCCCAAAACGCCTTGAAGTCTCTAGAGACGGCGGCCCAAAGGTGGACGAGGAGCTTCGCGAGCATATGAAGAAAAAAATCGGTATTGAACTTGGGGCGTTCCAGGTTACGCCGGAAGTCTACCTTAGAGAAGATGGGAATGCGATCATTATCGATGGTCAAGTGATGGAAAAGCCTTTCGTGGAGAAGCCTGTCAGTGGCGAAGACCATAACGTGTACATTTACTTCCCGGGCGGTTATGGTCGTCGCCTTTTCCGAAAGGTGCGCGATATTCACCTTTTATAGATTCTGTATTCCTTTCGTTAAACATTCATTCAAATCCGAAGGTTGGCAACAAGTCCAGCGAGATCGACCCCACCCTCAACCATCCTCGAACAGATGGTTCCTACATTTACGAAAAGTTCGTGGACGTAGATAACATGGAAGACATCAAAGTCTACACTGTCGGAAAAGACTACACGCATGCCGAGACCCGTAAGTCGCCAGTTGTCGACGGTGTCGTCCGTCGAAACACCGAGGGCAAGGAGATCCGGTACGTTGTTCTCCGTGAATTCCTGATCTTATTCATTTTGCAAACGTTTCACCTACTCATGTTCGCTGACTATTCAAGTAGGTTTATTACCCACCTCAGTGATGAGGAGAGGTTGTGGGCTGCCAAAATTAGTGAAGCTTTTGGTCAGACTGTATGCGGCTTTGATATGCTAAGGACCGATAGTGGCAAGAAGACCAAAGTCATTGACGTCAACGGCTGGAGTTTTGTCAAGGGAAACGAGTCGTATTATGGTGAATATTCAACCCCCATCCCGTGTTTTCGGCGTGATTCGTACAACTAATACAAATCCCCACGCTCGATAGACAAAGCCGCAGAAATTCTTGCCTCCCTCTGCATCCAAGCCCGCGCGTCCCCCGAACGTTTGCTCCCTGCAGGCGAAACCATCGAACAACCCACCTGGCTCCTCAAAGCCAATGTTACCGTCTTCCGACACGCAGACCGTACTCCGAAACAGAAACTCAAATTCAACTTCCCCGTTGACGAAACCTGGACTCAACCTTTTGTTAAACTGCTCGGGGGTGAAAGAGAAGAGATCATCCTGAGGGAAATGACGCAGTTGAGTTTGCTTGGAGAAGCGGTAGAACAGGCGAAAGCCCTGGGAGCGGATGGCGATGACTTGATGAAGCTCAAGCAGTTGAACGACGCGTTGCAGAGGAAGATCGAATTGCCTGGTACGAAGGCACAGTTGAAACCTGTGTATTCGAAACGACAGCCGGGGCAGCCGAGGAGACTTACGAAGTTGACCTTGGTGTTCAAGTGGGGTGGAGAGGTGAGTTTCTTTTGGATGTTTCTACTCATTGCCACTCATAAATGCCATGTGTGTAGTTCACGCATTCGGCGAGATACCAATCTCGCGATTTGGGCGAGACTATGAAAAAGGATATTTCTATCATGAGTATGTGCTCCATTGAACCAGAATCACAAAGAACTGTTAATGTACCTTCTGGAATACCACAGACAAAGACGTTCTCAAGAACGTCAAGGTACGCATCATCTCATTCCCATATCTCTCATTCACAGTCTTACCTATCTTTTGGATAGATTTATACCTCTTCAGAACGCCGCGTCGTCGCCTCAGCGGAGATCTTCGCCGCAGCGCTCTCCGAAACAAGCACTCAACGAGACTACAGCACCTCGTCTATCACATCCGCAAGCCACTCCTCTCGTTCCTCCACCGATGGTGGAAGCAGCGCACCCAGTAGTAGTTTCACTACCCCCAACACACCTGCACGTCGGGACGCCTCTCAAGCTAGTTCGTCAAAGATCCCAAAGCTCATCGTACGGAAGGACTTGTTGGACGATTCAAATGCCGCTAAAGACCTCATGGATGATGTTAAAAAACGGTTAAAAATACTTCTTAGGCCCGGCGAGCCGGAGAAGAGGCCGGAGTTGACTTGGCCTAAGAGTATGAAGAAGGAGCCGGTGGAGGTTGTGAAGGTTGGTGGTGCTTTGCGATTCTGGCGTTTGGGCACGATGTCGAGCAGTTTGTGTTTACAGGAAGTGATTGAGCTTTTGGCGTCGTTCCGAGAGATCATGCATCGGAATTGGGAGACGCTTGATGTTGACAAGATACAGGAACGCTGGTGTTGTGGGGATGAACCTTGGCTGTTCCGTGAACGTTGGGAGAAGCTGTTTGAGGATTTTTGTGATGTGAAGCAAGAGAAGTTTGATCCATCTCGAGTATGTCTTCATCTCCTCCTCTCGTGCCTCAGGCTAACCTAGGTTTTGTCGTAGGTCTCTGAACTCTATGACACGATCAAGTATTGCGCTCTCCATCATCGGACATTCTTGTTTTCCATCTTCAATGAGAATGGCGGAAAGGACCAACCTCAAGATCGACGTCTGCACGAGCTATACGGGCGCGCAAAGGCTCTCTTTGACCTTGTTGCTCCACAAGAGTACGGGATAGAGCCCGAAGAAAAAGAGGAGATTGGTGTTTTGACTTCACTCCCGTTACTTCGGAACGTTGTCAATGACCTCGAGACGGCACGGAACAATGAGGAGTCTTCGTTGACTCTCTACTTCACGAAAGAGAGTCATATTCATACGCTGGTGAACCTCGTTCTGTTCTCGGGGCTTCCTATTGCGAATAGGAGAATTCCTGAGTTGGACTATTGCGTGAGTCTTCGTCCTACTGGAACCATCGATGATCTTGCTGACACCTTACTCTTTGCTTGAACAGTCACACATTGTGTATGTATCTCGCGCACCAACGTATTGCTTGAGAAACAGCAAGACTTACGTTTTGTTTAGGTTTGAATTGTACGAGCGCAACTTCGGTCGGGGCAAGTCTGACAAGGAGTATTCCATCCGGATCTCGCTGAGTGAAGGAGCGCATTCTTCCAATGTCCTCGATTCAGCCCTTGATGCCCGACATTCCCTCAATGTCCAGCCGAGAAGGTAAACACATCCTGTCTGCGTCCGTGATAGAATCGAATCTAACTGTTCCTCGTAGGAAATTGACTCAACACTTGCCATACAGTTTGGTAATTGAAAAGCTCTCGAAACATTTCGATCGAGTCATAGAGGTATGCTTCCCTATCGTCAAGTGCAACAGAGTACTCACTGTTCTTCCCGTTTTAGGACGACGACGGACCTGATACCCCATTCGAGACGATAGACCCTACAAGCACAAACTTAATTAGCGATGGCATAGTCGAAGAGGCGTAACATCGTCTGCATCAAGACCTCTTACGCATTTCACGACACATAGACCCACTTCAATAATTCAATACGACATCCTACAACTAATATTCAGTACAGCTTATCTATGTTCATATCTAGACGTCAAGCATATCTTTAACATTATCAAGTAGAATATATAGCTCACATCTAGTTTACTTTGGTATAATGCTAGCAAATGGATATACGGATTCGGAGAAAGGAGTGTAAGAGTGGCGAGCGATTGGGGCGATGTGCGATTTCATGAGGTGTTGTTAGTTTCCCATTCATGAAGACCAATCTGTTTACGCAAGGCAGCGAGTTTATCTGGTTTGAGTTCGCGGAATTGGATACTGTGAGAGCCTTTGCCCGCCATGGAGGGATGGTCTTTGTCAAATAGTGCCGATGATGATTGAGACAGAAGAGATGATTGTGTTGCAAGAGCTGCGAATGACGAAGTTGTGTCGTGATATCTAACGGCATGAATCAGGAAAACCGGCGATGTACGGTTAAGAAGGTGACATACAATCGGAAAGCCTCCTTATTCAGACAGTCATGTTCCTTGATGTCGTCCAACGCATGTTTCTTGAACGCAGCCTTGATCCAATGTAAGACATCGAACACATGATGTTCTTTGGGTCTATCGTCCTCGATCGTGAGAATTTCATGAAGAAGTATGAGAATTCAATGATATACCTCCAAGGACGGAAACGGGGAGCCAAGTTAAATGACCCATCCTGTTGAGAGATCAACGGATGGAAGACATCTGTCACAAACTGCACGGCAGGAGGTCGTTCGGGATAATTTGGCGGAAATATTAGACGGAACTTGAGGATGGAATCAGCATAATAGCCTGGATGGGCCTATGTGAGTAAGGATCATAAATTCCTCCAGCAGGCAGGTGACCTGGACTTGCCTTGATGGACGAAAAACACAGCGTCCCAGACGAGAATATTTTCCGGGGACGGTATCACATACATGCCAGTTGGGCAGTGCTTTGGGTATCGGAGGGAGGCATACTCGAGGGATACGGCGGTTCGCGTGAGGGCTGTTGCAGGTTGATCGGTGGTGTTCGTGACGCTGGATGTTGAAGGCAATCGTGAAGCAGGCTTTGAGCGAGGTTTCGTCGGGGTAGAGAGGTCGATGGTGGGTGAGGTTACTAGTGCACCGAGCATAGACTGCATTGTAAAGCTTTGTGAAGTTGTGGACGAATATCAGACGAATATTGTCTAGTGCAATCCCGCGTCAACACTTGGCGAGCACTAAGCGACCTCCAATTGGGCGGTCCGTCAACGCCGGACTTTCCACAAAAGGCAACCGGCGGTGGGTCACGCATCGGTAGACATCGGAGAACGTTGGTAAGCAAGCATCCGATTGGCTCCGCACCAATCTGGAATGGAGCCTCGGAGGGGTGTGGAGGTTCGTCTGGAGCAAATATAAATATTTCCACTGGATGCGAACGCTGAGCACTGCTCATTAGCTACACCCACCAGCGACCACACCTTACCTGTTTAACTTATATCAATACATCGCATAGTCTTCAGACTTCTTACATAGAATCATCATGAAGGTATGTGTTCTGTCGAAGCCTTCCCAGACATGTTGCTCATGTGATATTATTTATATAGCTCGCAACCGAAGAAGAACTTGCAGGACATCATGCCGCTACAGTTAGAGGTGCAATTGAAGGTGTTGTCGCTGGTCTCGCTATTTCCCTCCCTGGGTCATACTACTTGCATCGCCGATGGGCCTACTACCGTGCCCTTCCCATTCAACTCAAAGCGCTTGGTGTCGTAATGGTCGTTGCTCCATTATATGCTATCCAAGCTGAGCGTCGTGGTGTCGAATTTGACAAAAGTACATGGACGGGTGCTGGTAAGAGGGAGCTTGACCGATCGGAGGCTAAGGAGGAGGCTCGATGGGAGAGGCTCACTACCAAAGACAAGTTAAAGACTTGGGCTTTGGAGAACCAGTACAAGGTCATTTTGGGAAGTTGGGCTCTCAGTATGGCCACTGCTGGTGTTATTGTCTGGCGTAATAAGTATGTATATGCATTTGTCACGAAGGTAAGGACGATACTGATCCGGCTATACTCAGGTACCAGACTGGCCCGCAGAAGATTGTGCAAGCCCGTATGTGGGCACAAGGTCTCACTGTTGGCGTCCTCATTGCCGCGGGTGTCCTGACACAGAGCTCAAGAAGAGCCGCAGTTGAACATAGGGTATGTTTTGATCAGCATTTCTTGCGTCATTCGGTTTACTGACGACATACTATCATAGGGTGAGGACCACTCATGGAAGAACATGGTGGAGGAGTTCCAAAAGGAGGAAGAGACACCTCAAAGGATACAACTTCCCACTCGTGTAATAGCCCCAGCACCCTCATCTCACTAGACGCATGTTTATGCTCGCCTTACAGAAAGACTAGATGGCTCGCCGATTCTTGATTGTCTACGACCTCTTCATGATATCTGGATACATCATCTTCAAACACTACGACATCCTTTATCTTCGCCCTTCTATAATTAGACATCCTCGGACTTCTTCGCATTTTGTAGTTGAACGCTGATTCTGATATATCATTATTCTCCTTTCTTTCGTCGTCATGTATTCATTTACACAATACATCTCCCCTCATGTGTACGATAATTTACGGCAGACAGGTACCATGAAGGATATACTGTATCGGGGAAAGTTGTCACCACGGTAGAAGTCCGCGAAATGTTCAAGCAAATGCGCTGAGAACTCGTCCATATATCTGTACACACGCGATGTTGAAAACAGTACATATTTCTATTCATAATTGATAGATACAAATTTGTCTTCCACAACGTACAACAATGCCTTTATTTCATTCTACACCAGGGGTCCGGCCATCTGGTTGCATGCACAAACATAAGAAACATAAATCAACATAGTCAACGTTTCGTTCAACACGCCCTGCGTGTGCCAATTCATGACAACTCGTGAGCATCCTTTCCCCCCCTTCGTCTTCTTCCATCTTTTGCGCTTTTACATCGTGAAGTTTTCCACGTTCAACTGAATCATCGGACCGCCTTTCAATACGTTCATCGGACCAGCGAACGAAGACGACAAAGCGGAGCGAACGGCGCTAACCAACGGGGTCGGTCCAGACACTAAACAAAATTCAAACGGCGTCAACAATCAATAGCGAAAAAAAGAACGCAGCGAGAGCGACCCCGACCCATCGGAAGGTGGGGTACAAAACTAAGTACTCACCATCCACAGAAACAGGACCCACAGACGCCTTAACCTGGGCCTCCAAAATCTTGTGAACATCCGGGCGCCCGGTATATAATTCTACACCGAGGGTTTCGAGGGTGTCAGTATCCTTTTCGCTCACTTTCTCGTCTCCAGAGCCCAAGTCATGTTGTTTTTCAATGTCGGTGGCGGATGAACGTTTGCTGGAAGGGTCGTCAAGTGAAGGAGATTCTTGTTGTGAGGTGTTGGTGATGAATATGGATACGGAGATGTCTAGAGTAGACGGGGCGGAGGCGAGGATCGTAGTGAGGTTCTCGGAGAGCCAGCGCATGTGGGCTGCGGAGAGCAGTATGAGAGATATGGGGGGTGGTAGATTTAAGGTAGAGAGGGTGCTTACATGGTTCACGAATAGCCCAGACAAAGGCGATACGACGTGCGCAGGCTTTTTCTGCTGACGCTTGCCTGGTGGACGAAGTGTCAGGAAATCAACTCTGAGGAGGAGAACGATACCTGAAAACTCACTTGATGATCTCGTGGAAGCGAGGCAGAATGTACGAAATTCCAGAACCACCTATCCCATACAACAATGAGCTCGTTATGACTCGGAGTGTTGAATCAAAACAGACGTACCGGCAATGAAAATACAAGTCTCGAAGGGAGTGATATCGGGTGGAGCGCCATATGGTCCATCCATGAAGACCGGCAAATGGCCAATACCATTCGCATGCACGTGGTCTCTCATCCTCTTCGTGAATCCTTCCCTGACTCGGATGACAAACATCAAGACTTGCTCTTTGCTTTCACCGTCTGGAATGGTAGCGATAGTGAACGGGTGAGATTGCGTCGGGTTGAGAGTGGGGAAAGCGAGGAAAGCGTGTTGTCCAGCACGCCAACCGAGGGGAATGCGTCGTTTAATCTTTAGGCGTAAAGTGTCGTGATTGAGAAGTTCAAGTTCTCCGGCGGATGCCTTTGGTTTGATGAAGTTGTTCATGACAACATAGCGGGTGAACCGACAGAGACGGTCGAAGCCCCAAACGATGAAGCATGGGTAGATGTAGAATGGCATTCTGGCAGGTTCACTTCGTCAGTAAGGATAGGCTATGAAGGTTGTATTGACCTACCCAGGACTGGCACCTGCACAATGAATGATTGCGAGTACCAAGAAAACCCTGTGTAAATATGTTCAATACGAGAACTGCGCTCAATAAATGAATGACAACTAACATCACCAAGAAGACATGCGAAATGTAGAAAAACTCGTAGAATCGTTTGCGGATAGGTTGGAAAGAAATCAAGGTCAGAAGTGAGAAGGTAATGCCCGCGAAGAGACCACATGTTATCCAGGCCTCTTCAAAAAAGTCCATCCTGATAAAGGTCTGTTAACTGTACCATCCATGCGCGATGGTATGCACGACTTACTCTGTGACGTATCTATCATATATTGAAAAAATCAACACCCAAGATCTGGCTGACTAGATAACGGCACCTACCTAGACCACCAATGTATCCACACCATGACCAGCGTGACGCGGGAGGTAACGCGGTGCATGAGATTCAGCTAAGAATACCAGTGAAGAAGTTAATGTCAATCAAACAAGAAGGCGCGAAGCATTAGAAGCACCTTCTCGTGACTAACGCCAGTCAACACTACGGGCGGAAATGAGCTATCGGGCATCCATTTCAAATATAACACGTACATTGCACCATATTGTTCTTCGACGATAGGGCAACGATAAGAGGGAATTGAACGCCTGCAATATGTCCTGCTCTATTGGCAAAATAACGTAGCACCAGACCCTGAGCTGGAGTTGCGCAGTAACCCCTTCAGTTCAGGAAGTCAATGAAAGACTGAATAGGCAACTCACTGTTGCAAAACTCGAAACTGAACAATATGACGATATAGGCCGAGATCAGGAGCATCTCCACAACGGCCATATTGACGGCGGGGATCCTCCATCGGTACCCGACAATTCGGGACGCGGTAAGCAGTGCCATTGGTAGACGACTAGCCGACGATCCATCCTTGACTGTGGGGTATGATGACCGGATGCTCGAAGCATTGCGGCGTCGGTGCCATACCCACAACTTGGAGCACACATTGATGAAGGTCGCGAGAGCGAAAAATCCGAGATAGATGTACCAGATGTACCTAGGATAATCCTACAAGTCGGTTAAGTCATTAGTATGAGTCCCAAAGGAGTGGTATGGTCTCTTCGAACCTCTTCGCCGTGGCGTTTTAGTTCATTGAGCCATGGAGGGAAGGGGCTTGCCAATACTTTGGGCATGATGGCCGGGGAGAATTGTGACGGGGGAGGGAAGCTCAGAAAGTGCCCAGGAGCGATGGTCGGACAGCCCAGAAGCTCGAGCTATAAGGGCGGTTGTCGATCGAAAATTTGAACATTTCAACCCTACGGATTTTTCGAGGGGTTTCGAGGGTATCTCTGGTTAAACTTCGCTGCTGCAGCATGTTGCCCTGATCGAAGCAAGACAGCAACCTGAATTGGGGGACGGCGTTAGGAATCCCGTTGCGCTCAATGTCATTGTCATGCATTGAAAGAGCATCGGGAACCATAAAGGGAACATCGTCCACCACGGACACAATTTTACATCGAGCGGGAAGTATGTCCTTCGGTTGAACCCTTTATCTGATAAGATGATGCGGCGTTCCTGTCACAATCTTATCAGATAAGTGGAGTCTCATCTGATCAACCTCCCGCACGCAGAAGTGACGGCAGATGGAGAGCGAACGCTCCTGTCGTAAGTTCAGCGCGGCAGACGTCTGGAACAGGAATAGAATACGTACAGCATGCTGAAGAGGGGCTAGAAGCAGCCACAAAGACGCGACAATGCACGCTAACGTGTGCTCAATCGCATGACAAGTACACTCCGGAAGCATAATAGATGCACGTCGACGATAAATCATCGGACATCCCGGGCAAAGCTTTGTCATTATCCTTTCGGCTGATTTGCTGGACTCTGAGCACCATGCAGCATGCAAGGCTGGATTGTCGGTCCGTGATGAAGCTTGTGGTTCGAGAACAGCATTGATTGAGCCGTTCAACCCCTTGGCGTAAAGAGGCATCATCCGCAGCAACATTAGACACAGCGAATGGGTCTAATGGTGCTTGAGTGGACATTGAACAGGCTTTTGAGGCAAACGAACGAGAGAGGTGCAGTGAAGACGTCAAGAGATAGAGCTTGAAGATGGACAGAAACGCCTATTCCGAATTTAGCGGAGAAGCCCACGTGGTCGAGGAAGCGCTATTTTCTCATACTGATTCGATTCTTTGACGTCCTTTTGCGATTACCATGTCGTCAAGTGAAAGCTCAAGTGACTCTGGCCAGTCTTCTATCTCGAAACCACCTCATGCAAAGAACTCTCTTCATGATGATGACGATAACACCTCGGGCTCGGACTCTGAATCCGCAGATTCATCAACTGACGGCGATTCGAAGGCTGAGGACACTCAAGTCCTATCTCATGCTGAGAAACGACGACAGAAGAAGGAACTAAAGAACAAGGCTCGTGACGAAAAGGCTGCAGAGAATAAAGTCAAAAACACCGCAGAGATAGCTCCCTCAAAGGCACCCAAGCGACAGAACTCTGTCTGGGTTGGCAATTTGACATTCAAGACCACGCCGCAGTCTCTGCGACAGTTCTTCGATGGCGTCGGGGAGATAACACGGATTCATATGCCCATGAAATTGACCAGCGGAGGCCCGTCGGGTGGCGCGGTCAAGGAGAATCGAGGGTTAGTCGATTTATGTCTAGCAAACGTTCCTGCATGTACATAAACATATCCTCCTCTTCTTTTATATTCTTAGATTCGCCTATGTTGATTTTGCGACGCCCGAAGCTAAGGTGGTGGCAATCACTCTATCTGAGAATCATCTGGACGGCCGACGGCTGTTAATAAAAGACGGTACGTAACTCATTGGCCACTCTCCATATGCTAGCTCTGAGCCTTCGTGTTCAGGTGACGACTTCGACGGCCGACCGTCCACTTCTAAGGCTGACCCAGCAGAGGGCACGCCCGGAAAGCCTTCGGGAACGACCAAGACTGCACAAAAGATTCTGAGTGCTCAGAAACAGCCACCGGGGCCTACGCTTTTCTTGGGCAACCTGGGTTTCGCGGCCACGGATGAATCGATAAGAGAAATGTTCGACAGAACCCGAACACAATCAAAGGGAGGTGCAGAACCGGAGGATGAAGAACAGAAACCCGGACTCAGCGCGTCAATACGAAAGATTCGCATGGGCACATTCGAAGATACCGGGAAATGCAAAGGGTCAGTCCATACCATTATATCTCATGTCCACGTCACTCCGCTTATCTTCCTGCATTAACACCTATCTCCTTCTCATAGATGGGCTTTCGCTGATTTCACTAATACCGAAGCTGCGACTGCAGCTCTGACGAGTCGGAAAGCATTCTATTTGGATGGTCGCCAACTCGTTGTCGAATTTGCTTCTCCTGATGCCGTTCGCCGCGGCGGTTACAGAAGTGACGCGAGAGACAAGAAGCCGATACGGTCAGATTCAGCTCAGGATAACGAGCGACCGAAACGTAAAGCATTCGGTGAGGAAGGTGACGAGAGCAAGGCTCACGATGCTGAGGACAAGCCTTGGAAGAGGAGACATACGGACGATGAGAGATCTGAACGGCGTCGTACGACTACGAAAGATGGTAGACCCAAGTTTCGCCCGAAACCTGGAGCTGCACTTGCTCTGGCGAAACGGCAAGAAGTCGCTATCGTTCCCAGCCAGGGAAAGAAAACAGTCTTCGAATAAGACTACCTACATAGGCTTCCATTTTTCGCTTGAATACATATATTGCTGGGTTTTACGCTTACAAAAACACTGTTCAGTCATTCCCACGATCGGGAATGAGTAAAAGGTGAATATAAAATACATAAGGTCAGTGACAGCATTAAGCAGCATTAAGATGAAATACATTCGTTATATCAAGTAAATACTTATTCTTCCATCTCCTGTACCGCTCCAATCTCATACTCCCCACATACGTCCCATCGTGAGCCCTCTGCTGCAGCTGAAACGTATTTCACGAACCGCATGACACCTTCGTCACGTAGCACGAGGAGTAGACGGTTGAAACCGGGCTGCACCGTCAGTAGAGTACCGTTGTCTTCATCTTCATCACCCTCGATAGGATCGGACATAGGGTGATCACCATTGGACTCTGTCGATGGTCCAGCTTTGCCACTAGAGCCGTTCTTGGCTTTCTTGGATGATCCAGATCGGTACACAGCTGGGTCATCTTCTTCCTCGTGTGGAGCCATGTAGCACTAAAGTACCACGATAACAAGTCAACCAGAATTCCGAGAACGAGTGATAATGGTCTTACCTCCCAGCCACCCCATTCACCAAGTTCCCATCCCGCAGGTTCACGTTCACGATCCCGTTTGCTAGGAGTTGTCTCTGCCTCATCCTCACCAAATTGAGGGGTCAAACCCAACACAACGTCCAACCTCGCCTCTTTCTCCTCACTCGTCGCAAGCGTATAATCAAGTCCAGGCCTAAACCTTCTCGCTTCCGATGAATACCTCAGTGGAAGCAACTGGGATACGTTCGCCAACCACGCCCTAAATGCTGGACTTGGGAATAAGTTATCTTGCAGACTGCGAACGATAGCGTCTGGTGACGCATGTGCGCTGACAGGAAAGACAGCTTCGAACTTGCCCGTTTCCTCTTGAGGCTTCAAGACACTGTATCGCCACTTGTGTGGAGGTCCTTTGAGTGTCCATATGCCATCTGTACCGGCGGTATGTGGAGGAATAGGTGTCTCACGATCGGGACCGAGACCGTCTCTTGCGTCATTTTCTGCGAGTCCGGCTGAGAGTTTGTTAGCAAGGGGCTCGCAGAGGAATGAGTGCAGTTCAAGGCTGGACTCTTCGACGAAGCGAGATGAGAGTGCTTTGATTGTCCGTGGTTGGAGGTAAACGGAGTTCATGTATTCTGAAAGGAACGACATGTGTTCTTCGGATAGAGGTTGGTTGGGCAAGGGTGTTTCGCCGGTTTCAGGGTAGTATCTAAAATCAGTCGAGGTTGAAGCCTGCACAAATGAATACGTCAATAGCTGAGTGCGGAATCTATACATTGACGGTCACACACCAATTGTTCGCGTGAGCTCTTGACCCCAGCGGGGTGAACTTCGGGTTCATATCCGGGTTCACCAGGTTGTGGCACATGGAACCATCCACTGATACTCAACCTCTGCCTCCCATCTTCACCTTCACCTACGACCACTTCCTCAACTGAATGGAAACTTCTTCCAGGCTGGACCACAAAGAAGATAAATTGATTCCAACTAGGTGGGATACTTTTGGAAGGAATATTTTCGGGTTCGAGTGTTCCATCGGGACCAAGTTTCGTAGGATACAATTCCAAAGCGCCTCCCCACTCCTTCTGCCATCCTTGATAGTGAGGGATTGGCATGTAGAGGATGTATGAAATGCGACGGGTCCCGATGACGTCGTCGTGGTTGAGCAAGTGACAACCTTTTGTGTACGTGTTGACGGACATGTCTTGTTTGCTTCCTGAGAGTGGTCCGCATCCTGTGACTGCCCGAAGGAATTCTCGGAATTTTGCTGAATAGAGTGCGTCACGGAGAGTGAGAAGGTTCGGCAAGAGAGCAATTTGAGATTCAGTGAGGTAAGAAAGTGAGGCGAGGTCTCCAGTTTGGTTAACCTAAATGCATTTCAGTACAAAATGATGGTAAGCATACAAGTATATATCGACCCAACAAGAACGAATAACGCACCTTGTAGATATCCGTCTCCTTCTCTGTAAAGCTCAACTCCGATAAGATCTCATCCTTCACACTCTTCAACAAGTCATCCTGGAACAACTTGTCCACCACAGCATATCTATAGGGCTCACTGGACGCGTACTCCGAGTTCAATCTATGAATGTTATTCGGATGCAAGACCTCCGGGGCAAAATGCGGAGTTGGATCGAGGCTTGCACTAGAAGACGCTTTTGGATCTTGATCGGTCGAAGAGATATGGTTCATCTTCATCCTTTTGAGTAAATTGGGCTCCTCAGGGGAGGGGGAGGGAGATCGTTCATGTGAGACAACCATCGTAGGATACTAATATCGTAGTGTGACAGTGTGTGCACTGTGGAAAAGCGTCTGTGGAGTATGCCGTCCTAGACTTTTGGCCAAATATGCAATGCTCTTCAATTGAAGGTTTTGGGGCTGCTTCCTCACCGATGACGGTATAGGTACAATAGGAAGGAGGATGCCTGTCGAAGGGAAGGAAGGGGCTCTGAGCGGTGATCTTTTGCAGTGGAGATATTCTGGTTGCACGACAGTCTCGACCGCACTGGATCCGTGGGTCTGGCGAGAACAGAAGCAAAATTGTTGCAGAAGAACAATTTCGTCCGACTAATAGTCTTATAGAGTGTATGTACGAATATCAAAGTCCAACAAACTTAACCGAGATCTCCTCGTGCACGGTCGAAGCAACTCCTCATCGAGTCAATTCAATAAAGAGACTATTGTACCTCGATCCCGGTTGCCAACTGCAATTGACTCTCTGCTAAACCGCACATAACAACCACATATCCCCATGGCCTAGTTGTGGTCTGGGTGAAACGCACCTAATACTAGACTGTGTCAAGACCTTCCAAGAACATAATCATCGGGAACTACGACGAATCTTCAGCCTCTGGGGACACAATTGCGCCACCTAGTGAAACCATGATATGGAGACGTCATATCAATTCATGAGGGGATACGTAGTTACAAGGCGGTACGGAAGGAGATGCGCGACGATACAAATAGTTCAATGAATGAGGAGCTAGTCGGAGCTAGTCGAGGGTGGATGGGGTGGATGGCGGGTGGTGGCACACAACGAGTAAGGTATTCTAATCAACCAACAGTGTACAAGGAATGATAGAACCGGACGAAGGCAAACAGAGAGCCAGCACATAAATATTGGCATGCACGATGAAGACAAGAAGCAGACGGGAAAGTTGAACTGAAGATCTGCAGTCACGCTGATGTGTCAATCAATTTCTCGTCCGACAATGGCGACAGCTCGTCATCCCGGTATCGACCGAAAGTGCTTTTGTGAGATCGATGAGGATGTGTATGAGAATGAGCATGCGGGTGCGGGTGTGAATGTGTATGCCGATGGGTACGCGAATGCGGCGAATTGGGAGTTGAAGGTGTCGAAATCCAGGCCTCAGTTGCGTTTAACTCTCTAGCGTCTTGCTCTGAAAGGTCCCCAAGTGGAACAGGCGCATAGATGAGGACTTCTGACCTTGATCGATTGTGCTGATGTGGGGTATTGAAGTTGGAAGGCAGTGAGGATGAAGGACTGGTGGGTGTTGGAAGGAGGTAAATACGCTGAAGTGAATCAGCTTTGATCGGACGGAGGCTCGTGTAGAGCTTGGGTATACGGTCTCGTCGCACTTGGTTGTAATACTTCGCAAGGGCGATCACGAAGTGAAGCTGGAATACACGGTAAATATCAGTTCATCTGCATACATCCACCTGTGCATCGAACATACCCTGATGGCGATGAGAACAACTGAGATGCCAAGGACGACAACAATTGCCCTCTCGAACCAGAATTCGCAGTTCTCGAGGCTGAGTCCTGTCTCAGCAATGTCTCGCAGCAGATCAGGCTGTCGCGATAATTCTTCACAGACCCCCGAGCGAACATAGGGAGAGGTGAATGCTGAATAGCCTACAGCAATGGTAGAGACTGTGGTGAAAGCAAAGTCCGCGATCGAGAAATCACGGAACAACCGCACGAAGGATGGAATTCTCTGCACAAGTGAAACTTGAGACATGGTAAATAGGAGGTTGAGTGGGAAATGAACGTACCCTAGCAATTCCAAAGAAACCAACTGCGGACGCCGCCGCAGCGAGAGCAAAATATGCAGATAGGAGACCCCAAACCAGCTTGACGGGATCCACCCTCCAAGCATCGGCGGAACCTTCCCATTCACTCTCTGACTCCCACCGTAGTGAGCGCCAGAGAGCAAGAAGGCGTATGGCAAGTGCAGTATTAACGAAGGCTCCAATGAAAGAAGAACCGAGGACGATCATCCTGAAAAGCGAATAAGCATGAGGTCACAAAGTGGAGGGAGAAACGCAAGAGTTAGATACAAGAAACATGCTGAAGCAGCATGGACACATACCTCGGAACGTGCCGTGTCATTGTAACTGTTCTCGAATGCAGACACAGGTGCTGTCAAGCAAGCTCGAGATGGACGCGGTGAACAGTGTCGAGGACGTGCTGGATGCTGTTGGAAACGGCGTGGGGGTCGTGGACGTCGTACGAGGAAGAGAAGCAAACCTTGGAACCAGGACGCAAGGTCCCGGGCGGGCGAACCAGCGCATTCGGCAAGCCGGCCGAACGTCATCATATTCGCAGCCGGGCTATGACTAACAGCGCTTACGAGTGGGTCGATCTGCTCGGCTCACTTCGTGTGTTTATTGAAGAATCTGTCTTTGTTCAACAACAACTTGCAAGCTTCTTCAATTGTGGATTCTTAGAAGTCGAATACCTGCTGACTTCATTGTTGAGCTGCTCTGTATCTGTGCAACGATTCAATGTCGTGAATTAGAAGCAATGCCCGGTTTACACGTTCCTTCGTACGCAACATGACTGACATGACAAACGTTTCTACTCGCGCCTTTCGAGAGTCCGACGGATCTCGCACTATAATACTGCTCATGTTCATATCCCTCTGTTTCTCCCATATGTGCTGTCCGTCGATGAACTATGCTAGCCAAGTTAGCCCTCGCGGCTGGTAGTCCCCCCCTGGACGAAGGAACCATGGTAAAGCTGTCAGTTAGTAAGTTATACATACAGACTATCAACGTTGCTTATTCACCACAAACTCTAATGTCATGGCGTCCCGGAGATACGTGGTGTACCGTGGCCGCGGCTGAGTTGACGCAGGACTCTGCAGCCTGCAGGGTCTGTTGTGTTGTAAAACTGATGGTCCGTTTCCTGCACACATGCCTGTGCTTGCACTGTATTAGACGAACAATCTGGTGAATACCGAAGCTATTCACTGAAGAATTGTCGACTGACAGCATGAGTGACCTGATAAGGTTCCAGGGTACATTGATTCCCGCCGGTGGGGTTCATGGGGCATTAGTAGTGTTCCACATGCATTCAGCGTATGCGGAAGACATCACGTCTAGACACTACGGTACGACGTACTACGAACATGACTGTTCCGTTGCCGTAACACTCAACTGCATTTACTTTTTTCCTGAGCGATATCGCGGCAACGCACTGTTGTACATGAGATTGATCATTGATGTTGATCGTCGTCTGATCGGGCATTGTGCAGCCTACACGATTATAGAATAGTTTGGCTCGCGGCTGTTCATGTCTTCATGCTACACAGGGCTTGGAATCGTTATCTAGATTATGTACGGCACGTTCTGAATGGACTGCCTCTGGTGGCAAGGGGCTAACGCTTAAGTTTAAAAGGTAATGTGATACGAAACTCCCGGCGCCTCCATCAAGGCATTACCTCGGTCGCCCCAAAAGGAAAGTGTAGGGTGAAGTGCTTCAAGTTGATTTGCTACGGTAACTAGAAAATGCAAACCGTTATAAACCATCCATTTTCGTAAATAAAACCTTTATATTTGATGTTAGTGCATAAGGCAGAGTAACGAAAGGATACATATACACGGTGCGGTTAGGCCTTCCGCATGATAGTAATACAGCAACAAATTAAAGCTTATTCAAATACTCAAATTGAGAAACTTTATCAGCTCTGGGTGAAGCTTTAACTCCCGCCAACATGTCTAATGAATCATAGCACGATGCGTAGCATCTCGACCAGCCTTGAGAAGACTCGCGACATCGTTTCCGCCCGTTCCCACCGAGGTCCCTTTCGTATCCAATTTCTCCGCCGCAATCCCAGCACTAGCAGGTGGCGTTGTTCTAGCTTGTGTAATCACGTAGAAACAAGCCACCTGGATATGAACTTCCCTGAGTCGCTGCAATGACGCCACCACTGCATTATAGGGCTCGCGAACACTGGGTGCCATCTCTGCGACTTCTCGTACCGTATATTGCACCATGGCGATGCGTTTCAAGTACTCGCAGTGCAACCCTGGCATATAGCGCCTCATCCTCTCCATGAAACCACGGTCGGCTTTCTTGTTGGCCTCCGATGGTGCAGGCGAGCGGTGATAAGAAAGTCTGTGGTCGACGTCCAAGAAAATGTCGAGCGCGTGCATAACGGCGCTTTGGCCTCCTGAAGGGCCTGAGAGATCGAAGGTGGCGTAGTCAGGCACACCTTCGAAGAACCATCCGGGCTGACCATTCGACAGCTTTCCAGCGCCCATCCACCAAGGTCGGACAATCCAGTAAAACACGTGAGGATCGACAATGGACCGGATACAAGAGAAAATATCGGTCAACTCGTTCACGATTCGTTTGAGCTGTTGGAGGTTGTGATGCATATCTGCGATTGCCCTAGGACTTGTCACGGTCGTCATGTTGACGAAGTGCTCGATAATACGTAACATCTCGGCACCCTTGAGTTCTATCGCGGCTGAAGATTTGTAGAACGACGCCTCTGTCTCCGACCCTGAAAGAAGGTCCACATAGCGCATATTGTCAATAGACAATGGACGTCCAGGATCAATGAGATCCCAGTTCCACAGAACGGTGTCTGCGAATGTTAATACCGGTGCGATACCAAGTTCCTTGGAGACTGCGGCAAGTGGGATGGCAAGTGAACGAGGAATACGGACTGGCTCATCTTGGCCTCCCTTGGGTACTGAGTGTGCGTAGTAATGCAAGATGAACGCAAGCATCTTGTGCGCTCTCTGCAAGTGCCGCAGGTCACCACGAAGGCTACCGACACTCAACACCGGCCACTAATTCCATAAGGTGTCAAAAACCCTTGCACTATTGATCATCAACGTTCACAGTGAAACTCACTGATCGAACATCAGCTCTCCACTTTTCTCCATCCAATCGTGCCGCCAACGCTTCAGAACTCCGATTGTCAGCCAGATAGAGCACCCCCCGTGCATCGGCCAGGGATTGCTCCCAGACGGCGTACACCTCAGGAAGCCGAGGGAGTGGCTGCGCGGGAAAGAACCCTGTGCGTGCATCAACATCGTACTGTTCAGGTCGGAGTTTACGGTGTCCGGTCGATCCTGCGGCGATAAGTTGACGGTCACAGCATGCAAGGTGGGGACGTTGTTCGTACCTATGACATGGGTATTTGGAGCGTTCTTGCGAAAAAGGCTGGCCTCAACAAGACCAACTACCCAGTTGGAATCGAATAATAAGCTAAGTGTCTGTCAGTGGACGCAGATGAGCGTGAAGAAATCAAGGTCATACAGGGCGGCGATGACCAGACCAGCAGCTGCTGCACCAATGACTAGACAGTCTAATTTTGAAGCAAGGAAGTCGTTGACTCTGACAGTATCCATCGGGAGTAAGGCTGTAAGAAATGGAGACAGTGTGAGGAGGGCCGCAAATCTGCCTGGTGACCATTTCCCCCTCCACTTTTATAGGTGTTTAACGGCACGATTGGCCAAGAGAGTGACCATCGTGAACTCTCCATCTGACCGATAAGCGGACCTGGTACCTGGCCCTAGTTCATGAAGCGGGAGAAGTAAACCTATTTTCGATTGCATTGCACAGTGGAGAAAGGTGATAAAACATTACATTCAATGGTATTTGTCAAGGGTGAATCCGATTCGCACTCCGAAATAGCACTTGTTATCAAGCTGTCTATGTCTCTCGGCTTTTCTGAGCGGCATCCTCTCGTTGTTCCTCCTCTATGATGTCTTTCCAGGAGTGGTCAGCGGGCTGAGAACGGATGTAATATGAGATGTCTGTGTAAGTGTAATTATCAACCAACTTACCAGGTGACGAACGGGACCGTCCTCCTCTAAATTGGTGTGCATTGAGTGGGTAAGAACGCCTGCGGCAATCAGCACCCCGATGGTCAGTCCCTGGGCCCACATTCGAGCCTGGACAACCTGTGGTATTCACAGTACACGGGACCGGAGGAATGCGAACAATCGTAAGCTCCCGTAAAGGCTCTTTGTTTCTCCCTCGCTTACCTTCTGTGGAATGGTCTGGTAACTGCGCGCAAACAACATCGGGTCAATCTCAGTTCGTTGTTGAACTCCCGCTAATATGACTTACGGATTACGCATGATTATACCCCAAGCGGCGAGCATGCTAATGGCCCATGCACCACCTATCATACCATACTGGTGACGAATCGCGACATCTCTGACTTTCTGACCAAGGGTCATTCTATCCCAACGAGCCTGTTCTCTAGCCTGTACGGTGTCGAGCTCATACTTGCCGATACCGGTCCTGAATAGACAAGATGTGAGGGGGTAGTAAATGAAATAAGGTAATGAACTTTAAGAGAAGGGATGACATACCATCGTTCCCGCTCGAAACGCTGGCCAGCTTTCTCTGCCGAAATTACAAACGACGGGACTACGACAACAATGACTCCAAGGGCCTTGAGAGACGGAGGCAGGTGACGGTAGTAAGGCCATCTTCTATTCAACAAGTAGGAAGCGGGTAGGGCAAAGGCCAGTCCGCCGAAGAATCCTTTTGCACCGCCCTCAATTGTTGCGCGCTGCTGTGCATCCTGCTCTTCTTTCGTGACGATCTGCAACGTAGGTTAATTTTCAACGCGATATTTCTCGGACAACATTACTGGACGTACCTTCATGATCTAGTTCAGGTGTGTCTAAGGGCTACGAACATGTAAGTAAAGGGGAAGCACTCGGAAATGCAATGGAGTGCATAGAAGCCATCTGGCCGTGCTTGTCCGGTTCATGTTTAATTATAGTCTGTAAATGCGTCACTGGCAGCACTATAATTAAATCGAGCGCCTATCCACACTCACCTGATCGATCAGCTCGTTGATGCATTCTTTGCTGCAAGTCTGCGCAGCCACACAAAAGCAACGCAGCGGCGGTGTATATGGGAAATAATATGGTAGTGTTCAGATGCTACAAGGGGCCAGAGATACAAATCAACAATACAATTCCTTACCGCTTTGTCACTGTGCCTTGCCGTCTCCTCGTCTCGGCTTCATGCAAGATGCTCTTCGGTCCCCGTCTGGCCATAGCCCACAAGAATACAAGCACAATGATAGCAAATTGCAACCATAGCCACACCTCCAGAATGAACCCTACGAACCCGTCCTTTTTCGGAGGCGGAAGCACTACAGACTTTTCCGCCGACGGCGCATGAGCCTCCCGGACAGTCTCGTCAGCATCGTCACCCTCAATATAGATGCGCTCGTCATCCTCCGTCACGGCTCCGTTAAACGAAAGCTGTCTCACAACAGTATCAAAGGTCTCGCTAAAGATCATTGACGCATCCGATGCTCTATTTGCATGAGAAGGTCGGGTGGGCTTTCGGCGTCGAGCGATAGACTGAGGAGAGTCGGTATAGCGTCCTTCTATCCACCGATTGGTTCGTCCGCGAACAGTCTGAGACAACCTATAGTTCCGACTTGACCGAAGGTCTCGTAGACTACCAGGGATTGAGGGACTGGGGTTGTCTGCAAGCGATGATAATTGTGGAGTTGGAGGGTCAATGACGAGCTCTAGACCTTTGCCCTTCTTACGTGTAGGCGTTACGCTTCCCGTGATAGAGGGTGCAGGTGGCTCGTCTAAGTCCTCCCAAACCGAATCTGAAGCAGTGCCTGCGGGTACCGTAGGTAATTCAAGGGCAGGTTTCGCGAGCGGCGATCCGATGGGAGATGCAATCGGGGATCCTTCCCTAGATGCCATCATCCCTGCAAGGTTGTAGAGGCTACTTGCACGGAGGTGATGGTTTCCGGCATTTTCGCCCCAGTCGTCACCGAACTCGGACCCGAGTTCACTGCCTAGTGTTTGCTTCGTACCGAGACTGCCGGCGGGGTACGTCGACGAAAGCGCGTGTGTAGGAGACACGGGCGAAGCGAAGCTCACACCTTCGGTAGCTGCAGTAGACCAAACAGAAATATCCCCTAGTTCTCCAGGTAAGGGCGAAGGAGTGCGGAACGCTGAAGAGACCTTCAATGAAGGTGGATAGTCTGGCTCTGAAGAGGAACCCTGAACAGGACCACCCTCGTCGTCAAAAAGGCCTACCACTGACTTGCGAGGCCTGTGACTGAAGACAGGCATATTAGGTTGTGGCACCAAAACGCTGCGATGTGTACTTTGCATTTCCGTTGAGATGCCACTAGCAAACTCATCATCGCTGTCTTTGTCAAAGAGCCTACCAATATCTCCCTCAATGGTCTTGCGAAGGCTACTGAACTTCACGGTATCTCCTGTTCCTAGTGCCACGGCAGCCTGAAGAACAGGTGTCTCCTCAACAATAACCCTCAGTTCACCAGCTTCTTCTGCCAAACACGCATAAGCACGACGGATGCTCTCTGACTCCCGCTGAGCCGTGCGTAGTCGCTCAGAAGTTGCCGCTTGCTCATTCTTGATTTGAGAATTGGCCTCCTCGAGCTCGCGGATCTTGGAAAGAAGCTGTGAAATCAATGCATATTCGAGCTGAGGGGAGGAATGAGGCCGAGATGGAGGGAAGTAAGACGATGAGGATGAGGATGCTGAGGATGGGGCTGGAGATTTATCCTCTTCGAGAACAAACAGAGTGGATTTGGTAGTGAGGTTGAGTGTTGGGGGTGCGGAAGGAAGTTCAGGGATGGTCTTGAGAGTACTGGATCGAGGAAGCTCCGGTGCAGGGGCGAAATCTTTCACCTCACTCAGCGAGTCGGAAAGTGGGAGGGAATTCTCTCGCAAGTTCCTAAGACGTTCCTCCCTCTCTTCTTTCCGTTTTTGAACTTCATCATCAGTCAACTCGAGAGCTACTTTAGCTTTCTGCTCTAGTTCAATTCCTCGAGCCTGAGTATTCTCGAGCTCATCCTTCAGAATTTGTATTTCTTTCTCGAGTTTGCGCAACCTACGCTTACCAGCTTGATCAGCTTTTTCAGATTCCTCTTCGAGTTTCTGAAGCTTGTCAAGTAGTTCGGCGTTTTGGTCTGCCAAGTGTGCGATCTCTCCAGGGGTGACAGAGACTCGGCGACTATGGTGTGCAAAAGAAAGGGAAGAGGTAGATGGCGGCGGCGATCCAACGGGCGTTAGAGGTAGACTGTCACTGTAATAATGTGGTGAATGAAGTGGTGATGGGGATGGAAGATGAGAGGAAACCGGAGAAGATGCTCCAGGAGATGCGGCCGAATGAGGGGGAAGGCGAGCTATTAAAGCTTCGTGCCTAGTCTTTAACGAAATATTGTCATGGTATAAAGTCTTGCACAGGGCAGAAGTTAGACCGAGTTCTGTGTATGATCATACCACAATTGTTAGGCGCCCATAGCTTAACACTTTACGTCGTCGGTTTGGGGGGTACGCACCTGTCTCCCTCGACTTGATCAGGCCGCCTGCTTTCAGCAAGAGGTCAGAGAGTTCGCCCCGTGACTTCTCATTCATCCACTCTTCGATGTTTGGTGTGGACCCCGGCGCCTCTGTTTCAGGAGAGTTGACTAGCTGAGCAGTGACGGTGATCGGAGAATCCAGTAACATGTCCATTCGCGGCGCATAAGGGGGTGGTGGTGGAAAGTTCAACGAAGGTGAACGTCTCACCTTAGCAGGTGGACGAGGACGGGGTGTCGCGAGTGTATTATTCGATAACATTAGGGTAATGGGAGATTTGGTTCAAAGCTGGCGTGGTAGCTTGCTTTAGGGCACCGCGACGCTGCCGGAGTCAGGACGAAAGAATGCTGTGGCTTGAAAGCAGGCAGAGTGCTTGAGCAAGGCGAGATGTCAAGCGAGCAACCCCTCAAGTGCATATAGGGGCGGCCTCGGATGCACGAGTGAGACAACCGTCAGCCCCATGGCGAACTTCATTCTATGGCTGCCCTTTTCGGAAGGTTCTGCGGATCAGATCGAGGAGAACAAGTTTAAGTGAAAGCTTAATGCACACTCAAATCATATAGAAAGCAGTGGGAGAGAAACTTGCTGAGATTATATTGGGTAAATTGCGAGAGACAAAAATGCTAGTGAATCTACAATACAAATCACAGTACAAACAGACACCAGTGAAAGAAGACGAAGACGGGAATACATAGAACACTCATGTCCATGTGCAGTAATGAAGCACGAATCGAATGATTACTTTTGATTAGACTCCGTAGTCGAAGAACCGAATGATGCAAATCCATTCGTAGTCGAATTAGTCGTGCTTGGCGCACCAAATCCAAATGCGTTTGGTGTTGGTGCAGCGGGTTTAGAAGAATTGTTAGCATTCGAAGCTGCACCAAAGGCCGACGGTGCACCAAAGGCCGACGGGGCACCAAAAGCTGACGGCGTACCGAATGCAGACGGAGCACCGAATGCAGACGTCGAGGCAGGAGCACCGAAAGGCGATGAAGTATTTGACGAAGCGGCAGCGCCAAAGTTAAATGAGAAAGATGGCTTCTTCTGTTCGTCATTTTTCTTTATAGGGGTTGAAGGCGGGGCCATCGACGATGAAGGGTTACCAAAGGAGAAGGCAGACTTGGGCGCGGACGTAGTATCGTTGGAGGCCGGTGCTGGATTGCCAAACACATTACTCGACGGAGCCGTGCTTGCAGGGTTGCCAAACGCCGACCCAAACGCCGACGCCGCGGGTGTAGAACCCGACGGTGTAGAGGTCTGTCCAAAAATGGATCCTGATCCGCTCGTCGTGGTAGTAGACGTCGACGGAGCTCCAAATCCAAACTTCCCAGCTCCGCTGCTAGCATTAGGCATACTTGAACTCCCAAATACAGATCCACCTGAAGGTGCGGCTGCCGAAGTGCTGGGTGCAGCACCAGTGACGCCAAATGAAAATTTTGGTGCAGTCGATGTATCTTTCCCTTCATCCTTCTTATCAGCATTGCTCGCAGCAGCGTTCCCAAATACAGATGTACCGGAAGTGGTAGAAGTCGAAGACGGTTGTGCAGGTGCGCCAAAGATAGGCCCCGTCGAAGGTCCCGCAGGTTTGGCACCAAAGCCGAAAGCCGAGGGCGCCGGTTCCGCTGGCTCGAATGGAATCTGGGTAGTAGAGGGGGTAGGTGCAGCGGGTTGTGCAGAAGGCGTCGAGGGCTTGGAAAACCCGAAATTGAACTTGGGTGCTGAAGTACCGGTGGTTGTGGCCGCTGCCGAAGGCTGGGATGTAGGAGTGGAAGATGTACCCGAACTTGCGGTTGTCGATGTTGTACTAGGGCCCCCGAATGAAAACGCGGAGATCGGTGCGTTGGTAGCAGGCGCCGTCATGCTAGCAGTCTTGGTATCGCTACCAAAGCCACCCAGTCTCGAGAGAAGAGATCCACCAGACGATCCCGCCTGCTGCTCTGCCGGTTTCTGCTGTGAAGGCGCTCCGAAGGCAGATGTCGCTGTCGCACTTGTGCCTCCGGTTGCTCCAAAGCTGAATGCAGACTTGGGTGCTTCTGCTCGTGCCGGAGGAGTAGTCAACTGTGACGATGGTGCGCCGAAGGAGAAAGCAGACTTAGGAGCTTCCTTCTGCTCTGCAGTAGTCTTTGGTTGCGAAGCCGGAGCACCAAATGAGAATGTGGGTTTGGCGGGTTCGGGCTGTGAGGGTGCTGGGGCTTTCGAGGCCGCGGCACCCGGTATACTCAGACCTTGCCCACTGCTAGAAGCTGGAGCTGCTGGAGCAGCAGCAGGCGTGGAAGCTTTGGAACCGAAGAAGTCTGGTACACTGGGGGCCGCGGGCTTAGCACCGAATGAGAATGTAGATGGTGGTGGTGCAGCAGGTCCAGTCGAGGGAGCGGTAGGCTTGGCGCCAAAGGAGAAGGTAGCCGGTACGAGGGTGGCAACTGGAGCTTTCTTCTCTGTCGAAGCAGCGCTCGGAACCAACGGGAAAGGAACTGAAGACGATTTGGCAGGTTCGCTGGGGCCAGCACCATCCGTCGGCTTCACAGCAGTAGTCGAAAAGGGGGCACCGAATGAAAATGTGGACTTGGCTTCTGCAGGTTTGTCGGCCGGCTTTTCAGATGGCTTCCCAAATAGTGCGGAAGGTGCTGGTGGTAGAGAGACCGATGGTTTCTGAGGTTCAGGCAACACCTGCTTCTGAGTCTTCTGACGAATTTTAGCCATTGCAGCAGCCTCCAAGTCCTGCTTCTCCCATTTAGAGTAAGTCTTAGGAGCATGAACAGTCGGACTGTCAGGCGTCGAAGGTACAGCCGGAGAATTATTATGTGACGAGATGCGACGTTTATTGACTTGGGGTCGTGCAAATGGATCGACACGAAGGGCGGGACTCGCCATTGATTGCACGGCAGTGAAACGAACAGGGAAAGGACTGTCCTTATTGGCCGTAGACTCCCAGAGTAGGTTCTTGCCTGGTTTTGAGGGTGTTTCCTAAGAGCGACAATCTCAACAACAATCCTGTAGATGAATAAGGTTCACCACTCACCAAGCTATCACTAGGCGTCTCGGGTTCAGCAGTTTGTCGAGGGGTCTCCTGGAATGCCAATTCAAACCGATCCTTGGCCTTTTGATATTCTTCATCCGTAAGGTATTCTTCTACAAAGACATCGATATTGGCATCACGATCAGGATGTTCCGAATCCTTGGGCTAATTGGATAGTCAGATGCATGATCAGTACCGGTAAATGGAATTACGACATACCATCGGGAAACGAGAGCGAGTCTGCTTAACCAAAGCTTGTCGTAGACGTTGGCCATTAAGTCCAACTCTGTACTTTACGCCATTAACTTCCCATTCTTCTCCAACTCGCCTACCCTTGCACAGAGGATCATGTGAAACCATGCGATCATCCGTTGAACCGCCTTCAGAAGATTGCTGTTCGCGCCTTTGACGGGTCGCTCGTCTCCCAGAACCGTCGGTATCCTCTTCATCACTCTCATCCATATCTCGACTGCGTTTCTGACCGCGCTGCGTTGTATCGCTCTTCCTACCGGAATGAACACGGCGACGTCTGTGATGGCGCGGTTTCTCATCGAGGTCATCCTCAATGCCAGAATCATCACCACCAAACGACGAACCGGCTTCCACCCGATCGCGCTTCTTGCCTCGAGGGATTGACGTCAGGTCCACGATATCGTCAGTTTCCTCCATATCTTGATCCGTTGATTCGTTGGACTTGTTTCCAGATACCCGTCGAGCACGTTTGCCTCTACGGTGAATTCGTTCAGTCTCAAACCCCTCATCGTCCTCACGAGCAGCCGCTCGCTTTGAACCGCGTGAAGGGCCAGGCAACTCTCGATCAACTTCCATTTCATAGTATGGGGCATATTCCGTATCGTCGATGTCTTCGTCATCACCAATGTCAGAGTCTAACCGGGATTTCTTCACTTCCTTCTCATCCCCAGAATATTCGTCTTCGTTGAGACCACGCTTCCCATGCACATGCTCTGAGACGTGCTGGCCATGAGAGTGAGAGGGATTAGGCAAATTGTCGTCAGTGTAAGGTGAACGAGTGTGGTCCCTTGGTAGACTGTTAGATTAGTCATCAATAATGTAGCATAAACTCATGAGAAGGCTGAAAACATACGGGTAATCGTCACCACTGCGACGGGCGCGGTCAGAAGGTCGATCTGGCGGAAGAGCACCAATCATGGGAATAGTCGATGTTGTGGAGAGCACTGAAGGATAAGTATCTGTTGCCGATGCGTTAGTATGTATCCGACAGACGAGGGCAACGTGCATACCACTGTGGTTTAGACGCTGCCTGATGCCTTGTCCATCGGTCGACGAAGCTTGCTTCTGACTCAGAGGCTGCACGCCGGCACGCCTACCCCGTCCAGTCCCTTCCGCCTCACGCTCCTGCCGTGCACGCAGAGCCGCAGCATATGCGACGTTGAACGGTCGATGATCACTGTCCGGGATTCCGTGTCTTCTGCGCGTAGCCCTAGTATATGCGATGAGCCCTGCATCAAAGAACATTAACAGAGATAGACTCACTTCCGATATCGTCGCTCTCTGTACTGTCGCCAAATTGGTAGGAAGTATGACCATACCAGAACGACACCTAGAGTGAGCCCGAGGCCAAGAAGGACTTGTAATATAGAGCCAAAGGTAGTTGATGAGTCATGGTGAGCAACGTTGAGTCGTCCACCGAGGATGTCGGCGGATTCGCGATCCATGTCGAGAGGGGGAAGAGAGAAAGAGACGGCCGACTCGCGTCCAGCGCAGACGTGAAGATTGACCTTGCGCGTGGCGCTGTGGGAACAAATGGGCCACTCGAGCGGAGATCAAAATCAGGCCAAATATGGCAATTCCTCCACTTGTTCCAGTGGCCAGGAAGTGGCGGTCATGCATCTTAAAATTATAGTTCAAAACTGCCCATATTGACTTCCTATCCTATACAAGACTAGCTATAACCATTTCAACGTTGCAGCCGTATCGGCCATAGTCAATTCCCTTCTCTGCCGTAAGCCTCACCATCGGGATGTACAGTGAGAAACCCGAGAATACTCGAAGTAATTCACGCAACGGTGGTTCGGGATGACATTGTTCGTCAACACAAGTAGCTCGTCATGTCTGATTACCCTTCATTGCGACGACCTTGTTCTCACCCGCACAACAATTTTTCGTGGTACTTTTGACGCCTCGAACGATCAAACAATCATAATGCTGCTTACCCGCCACGTGGGAAAGAGCTCAGACCATAATATACATCTCTCCCCAGACCGGTCGTGTCACCCCCAGGCTATCAACGCTCTCTCCATCTTCCTTCTCCCCTCACCAGCCTAATCATCCGCCATGGCCACCAAAATCGTCACCTACGAGGAGTTGAAGGCTCACAATTCGAAAGACAGCATTTGGCTCCTCGTTCATGAGAAGGGTAAGTTAATTTACTCCGATCCGACCAATGAGGACGCGCGGGTTTCGTCATTCACTCACCTCTATCACCAGTGTACGATGTCACCAAGTTCATTGACGAGGTAAGCTCTTCTGGCTTCAACACTGTGTTCGATGTGTAACCAAGGATGTTCGTTTGAAGCACCCCGGAGGAGATGAAGTAATCTTGGCTGAGACGGGTATGTCTTTCGTGTTCGTCGTAGGTCAGGTGCTGACACCTCTGATAGGCAAAGATGCTACTGAAGCGTTTGAAGACGTCGGTCATTCCGATGAGGCCCGCGCTTTGTTGCCTGATCTGTTCGTTGGCGACTTCGAGAAGGATGGCGTACGTGACCACTACTCATATATTAATTGTTGCTCATCTCTTCGCGCTTTGTAGGAGCTGAAGGTTAAGTCGGCCACCAAATCTGCAGCTACACCATCGACAGCAGTCAACACTGCGGTGCAGCAGGGTTCAAAGTATGTGACACGTCATAACGCTGCAGGGCTCTACTGACGCCCTGAATCTCACTAGTTTGATGTACTTTGTACCTCTTGGTCTTCTCGGTGCTTACTTTGCTTGGAGATACTACTCCAGCGGATCCGTGTAGAGTTTTGAGGCTCGACTCACTCTTCTATCGATCATTTGCTTACTACTTAGATTCTGCTTCATCTTCCATTGTTGTCTTCTTGGCTTCTACCTGCATATGTTCACCACGATTCCCCCTTACTCTCCCGTGTGTTGCGGCATTCATCATCTCTCGTGTTAGGCAAGTACAGGACGGTTTGTGACATACATGCAGAAAGATGACCATATCGCACATGTAATTTCTGATACTTCTTGGGAGCTTTTTTCACAGTTGAAACCTCCTGAGCACCGATAGAGTTCACAAAGCAATGTACAGCTTTAAGGAGTTCCCCGAAGTTTCATTGCTCGCTAGTCCCTACAATATGTGTTTGTTAGGCTACGGTGCGAAACACCTGGTCACCGCTACCTCTGTACATCGGAAACAGCATTCGTTGGAGACGCGAGTGTATCATCCCCTCTTGTAGAAATGCTACCTTGAACGATAGGAATCAATTCACGAGATGGCTTGTGGAAATTCTGAAAACAACAGCTTTTCCCGAAGGTACTTTGTCTTAATTAGTACATTTGGCGCCCATCGAAAGCAGATACCGCAGTTACAGTATCTTTGCTCCAGGTAGGGACCCTTTTCAGCGCGGAAAATACATCTGGGAAGTTTCAGGAGCTCGCACGGGGGATGAACTCGAAACGCAAATTTTTTTTTCGTCACAACCTGAAGTTGGCCAAATATTGGTCGTTGTCCAAAAGCAGCGGCGTCTAGATGACGTTTTGCACTATAGCGGCTGTGCAGTAGGTTTATACTAAGTATCTAACATCCTCAACCACTGTATCCGGTCCTTGTGTGTTCACCACCTTTCCGAATCATTAACCACACCTGCATATATATAGCTCGTCTATATCGTCTACATGGCGTTCACCGCAACGGACAAGCAGGCTTTCTTTGCAATATTGGATGAGTTGAGTCCACTGTGAAGCCTCACCTCACAGAAACCCATGAAGAACCCATCAGGTACTTCTCTTCCCGCCCGAACCTTGTAGTCAGCGAAGCGTCGTCAGAAAATCCACAGGTAGCGGCAGGCCCTCTATCTGGACGAACACTGAATAGCCTTGCGACTGATGTGCACAAGACTCTGTCTTCTCCCAATACTGCGAGGAACGCACAGGCTTTGGCATCCAGTATGCAGGTATGTCCGTGGAGTTCATTATGTACAATGTCGAATCTCACCTTCTAGTAGTCTTCATCACAATCAGACCTTCCTAGCTCTGCAGGCCGAGTAGCCGCGGCTGCAGCTGCATTCAAGTTCAACCAAAGCCCAAGTCAGAATCCGTCCGCACCTCCAAGACCCCCATTTAGACAAACACCCAGTCAATCATCAGAATCGGAGCAAGAACCTGGTCATCAACGTGCCAGTTTGCGCGAGGAACCACATGTCACTAGTGGCCGGCTCCTTGCACAGAAGGTATGGACAGACACGAGATAGACGACTTATATTCATACGCTCTCTTAGAAATTTGGTGATGTGGATATGTCGTCAGGGAAAAACATGCTCATGTCACTGAAGCATTCAAATACTAATAAGAGTGCCGCGCCTCCCGAGGTTGCTCCCCCTACACCTGCTGCATTCGCCCATAAGAAGAGTACCTTTGCACCTCCGCCTGTACGACACGTATCAGCAACATCGCCACCTCCAAGTAGATCCGCCTCTACCGTTGAATCTCCTGCACCGGCGCCCCCTGTGCCGCCTTCACGCAGAGCCCCAGCAAAGGAAGAGCCTCAGGGTGAATGGGCGGAGGCCCTATATGATTACAGTAGCGAAGTTGGTCAATCCCTGTCAGTTTTATTTCTGTCCAAACTGAGTATATTATTCAGGATCCAGGCGATCTTCAGCTTCAAGAGAATGAACGGGTGCTCGTGGTTGAAAGAAACTCGGATGACTGGTCAGTGCTCGATTCCCTGTGACATTTATCGTTTCGCGTCCTTATATGCAATTTGCAGGTGGACTGGTGAGATCGAGGGACGGCGAGGATTGTTTCCCGCTGCGTATGTCAAGTTACTGTAGGCGCGGTGTCGCACGACTGGACAATGTATTTTGGATCTCCGCGGTGTGTCTTGCCCAATACGGACATTATGGTTTAACTGTGGTCGATTGCGGTCTCTGCTGTCAGCCTCTGTAAGCCTCTAGGTATTGGCACAGTATAAGTATCCTCCTTGAGTGCGTCGAACAACTTGTCTCCTGCTTTCGTTTCACACTCGAACTGCTCTGTTTTATTCTTTTCGCTTTGCTTATTTGACTGGTTCAACCTTGGTCCATTGTTCGCCCACCGATCGAGAAGCCGGCATTTGCCTCTTTGACCTTCGTTCGAGTTAAAGGCGGGGCAGGTTGCGTTTCCCTCTCTTCCTCCTTTCCCTCACCTTCCTTTCAGTTTGCTTTTGTCCCTCGAAGGGCAACCCTCTAAAACTCACTCTCGCTCATATCCATCATCTACAATACCCCACTCTCTCTCACTTCACATTTCTTTGCAACTATGTCTGCTGACGATCGTCATCCCGCCTCCCTCATTCCTGTTCGACTGCACGAACCCGCCCTGGTGGACCTCATGCGCCAAAGGATCAACCTGGACATGGTCTCACACATTGCCCAGCAAGCCGTTCGGGTGATCAACCTTGGTGACGACTCGGAACTGTTCCCGACTCCTCCTCACACGCCGGAAAAGGCGTCCCCGAGTCAGAGCGAACGTTCACTTTCTCCTCGTCTTCCAACCCTAAACGACTTTATCATCATCCTTGTGCACAACTCCAGAGTACAGATCCCGTCCCTGCTGACCACCCTCATCTATCTCGAGCGCCTTCGCAACAAGCTGCCTCGGATGGCAAAAGGTAAGCGCATACGCCCATTGGTTCTCCATGTTACTGAAGTATTGCCGCTGGTCAGGTATGCCCTGTACTAGGCATCGTGTCTTTTTGGCCACTCTCATCGTTGCTTGCAAGTACTTGAACGACTCAGCGCCCAAAAACAAACATTGGGCGGAGTACGCTGGGAATATGTTCGACCCCGCGGAGATCAACCTCATGGAGAAACAGCTACTCTTCCTCCTCGACTATGATCTGAGATTCAATGAACAAGAAGCCATTGCTCATTTCTCGCCGTTCATGCCAAGACTCTCTCCTACAGCCAAGGAAGCTCGTGCTGCTGCAGTCAGCTGCGCTAAGGCTCGTGTCCAGGCAGCGGTCTCCATGCCACCTACCCCTCCTCATGAGTCCCTCGAAGTGTCTGCTCCTTCTTCTGCTCCTCTGTCTGGTGTACAGAATCTTGTCAAACGGTTCTCTTCCACCTACCTTAGCGTCTCAGGCAACGTCTCCGACCGTCCTCGTCCTATTTCTCGTGCTTCATCTTCAAGCACCCTGGATAGTGAGGGTACTAGCGAGGATTCCGAGTCTGATTGGACAACCTCCGACAGCGCTGAGTATTCACCTACGTCGACAGAGGCCTCCTCTATCTACGAATGTGAAGTGGAAATGGACGATGCCAAGGGCGAAGATCACCCGCAGCAGAGAATCTCTATGCATCCTGCGTCGAGGCAAGGTCGTAAAGTTTCAACGACTTCGACATGCACTATTACCTCGGATTCGACAATTGTGAGCGGAGGTTCTGAAGTTCGTCACCCATCGGTCAAAGGCAAGCTGTCTCCCCGCATAGGCTTAGGCAGAGGCTCCGGGTTCAGAACCAATTCTTCCGGTGCTAGCGGTATCCCTCGCAGCTCTACGTCTAGTCTGGGTACTTCCTCTGCTAGCTTCCTTAGTCGTATGTGGGGTGCCGCACTCAAAGGCCACTCGCAAGACAAGAAGGACGGTCAAGAGGGATCCGAACCTCTTGAAAGCTCTGGCACAAGTAGCTCCTTCCGCCGTTTGGCGCACTCGAGGTCTTCTGTTCTTCGCAGTCAACAAAATAAGGCTATTGATGCCTAGGGATATGGTGGTTTGATCATTACGTTGCATGATGCCACTCCTTTCTTTTACGATCTTTTCTTCTTTCACTGCCGGACTTTGATGTCGTGGACATTTGTTTTTTTACACCATCCTTCGTTTTACTTCTACCCACTTGCCGGACAATTTCTAGACTCCAACTACCCTTTGGTAATGCATCCTATGGACATGCTATTCTTCATCACACAGACATTTCACCTACATCACTATCCCCACATCACTATCCCTACCTTCATTTCGGTTTATGTAGCTTATTGGCCCAGGGCCATCGGACTTTGCTTTGGTTACTTGGGACGTTCAAGCCTCAAGGACTTTTGGGACTTGGATGTATGCTAGTAATTACCTTGCGATCTTATGCCATATATATCTGGTCATTGCGTACGCCATCTGGCACCGTCACGGTATGAATGTGAATGATCTCACGTTCTATTACATTGAGATATGGGCGTTGCATGTCCTACTATGTTCTGAACAAGGATGAATGGGCTTAAGCACCGCTTACAGAAAGGTGGGCAACACCATCTGCTACTTCGTCGACGCCCTTGTCGATGAGCTTAGTGATCTGCAAAAGAATAGGGTATAAGCGATGGACTATATATGTTAAACAGGTGAGACGAACCTTGCCGATAGCGACGGTCTTTCCTATAAATAGTAGGGATGTAAGCGCATAATACGGTATAGACAGAATAAAACACGAACCTTCGTCTCGAAGGGTGAAGCGACCAAGTTGGGGGTAATCTACGAACCTTTCTACACAAACTGGTGCAGCCGTCTCAATGAGTGCAACAACTTTTTGACCTGCACACAGTGGTCAGCATTGAGTGTGTCTCAAACAATCCATGGGAAATTGAATCGTACCTCGCTTAGCAAATTGCGGAGGTTTCTTTGACTTGCGGCCAGTGGCTTTGTCGAAGTAATGTAGAAGTGCCTATATATATCACGGTGAGAAGGGGATGAGAATGATATCGAGAAAGTCACGTACAGAAAGCGTAACCTCTTCGGCGAGCGTATGACAATGCATCACAGCCGAGTAACCAGCACAAATGATATTCTTGTGGTCCAAGATCGCGAGTTGAGCCTCGAACTGACGAACGGCATGAATGGGTTTCGTGGGACTCGTGAGCACGAATCCAGGGCTGATGTCCTCATCATCCACTCCTCTCAAACGAATACGGACGTTATCTCCACAGAAAGCAGATTGGACTTCATCCTCCATCTCATTATAGATCGCTGCTGCTTCAACTTCGGTCTTGTTGGGCATCAGGAGGAGGTTGTCGCCCTTGCGAAGATGACCTGATTCCATCTTGCCGACGACGATGGTGCCCATGTCTTTGTATTTTTCGGAGACGGGAATCATGAGGGGTGCGTTGATGTTACGGTGAACCATGGGCATGGTGTCCAGGAGCTCGAGGAGGGAAGGGCCACTGACAGATAGCGTAATGAGCACTGAAAAATGGCAGTAGTCGAGGAAGGTACTTACTCCCACCATGGGCAGACTGCCTTTGTCATTCGATCCTTGAGGTTGGCACCAGTATAAGCAGAGACAGGGATGAAGCTAACATCGTTCTTCACGTTGAAGCCAGCAGCACGAACGAAAGATGTGAGCTTGTCCTTGATCTCATCGAACCGCGACTTGTCCCAGTTCACAGTGGACTCGTCCATCTTGTTGATGACAACAATGACCTTGGAGACACCAGCTGTCTTGACCAGCATGATATGCTCACGAGTCTGACCGCCCTTCTCGAAACCAGTCTCGAATTCACCCTTTCGCGCTGAGATGACCAAGACGGCCACATCTGCTTGTGCGGCACCAGAGATCATGGAGGGGACGTACGTCTTGTGCCCTGGCGCATCAAGGATGGTGTATCGACGAGTGGCAGTCTCGAAGTATGCACGACCAACTTCGACAGTTTTACCTTTGGCACGCTCTTGAGGGGTCGAGTCGAGTGCCCAAGAAAGGTACCAAGATTCTCGACCTGCCTCCTTTGCTTCACGTTCGTATTTTTCCATGGTACGCTTATCGACCATTCCACTCAGGAAGAGGATGTTACCGCCCATAGTACTTTTGCCTGCGTCGACATGACCGATGAAGACGATGTTCAAGTGTTCTTTCGCTGAGCAAAAGTACCAGCATCTTCAGCGATCATTCAAAAGACGAATATTCAGTGTAAATACTCACCGTGTCCAAAAAGATCTCTGAGAGTAGCCTCATCGACCGCATTCTGGACTTCCTGTGCGATAGCTGCGGTATCAGTCTTTGCTCTCTCGAGGGTGAAGGTAGTAGATGGTGTGCCTGAGCCAGATGGTGCCTTGACTGCAGATGATGAGGTAGATTCCTGTGCGAGCTTTGCAGCAGGAGTGGGTTTTGATAATGGCGGTGTATGCGTTTGAGCCCGGACTGCAGTTACAGCAGGTGAAGGTACAGGTGCAGGTGCAGGGGTGGCAGGTGGCGTTGGCTTAGCACCACCGATGTTCAGGGAAATGGTAGGAGGGGGTGCAGGTGCTTCAGTAGCAACTGGACGTTCGATTGGTGGAGGCGGGGTTTGAGCAGGCTGTGGTGCTTGCTGGGGGGTACGGAAAGCCTGTCCTGGGACGAAAGAAAAAGCGTTGACGTTGAGTCTGCTCATGACTATGACGATACAGAGAGAGAAAGACGCAAAGAAAGGAAGATTGAAGCAGTGTAGGAGTACAAACGCTGAGGCAGAGGAAAGAGGGCAGACGAAGAGGTGACCGCAAGTTTTGAGAGATAACTTTAGCGGCTGAGATTACTCGATCTTGATAGACTCTCTGAGGTCCAGCGCAACAACACTCTTTACAAGCATGAACAAGTACAACTGCATAAAAATTCCGTCGGATGAATGTATATTTTGAACCATGAATGTGAGCTTTACTAAGGAATCATTGATCAATGGGGGAGTAATATTCGAGCAATGTATGAACAACTTGAAGCGGGTTGGCGGCTAGCGCTTGCCGGGCAAGCGGGCAGTGGGCAGTGGGTAGCCATAAGTGCTACTTGACCACTATCTACCTTTACCCTTACCACTATATCCCGTGTTCATGGCCGCAGCGCCATCATACATCTCAGTTCTCAAGGCTGAATTCGACTACGACCCACAGCCAGATGCAGATGATGAGCTAGCAATCAAGGAGGACCAGGTGTTGCTGCTTCTGGAACGTACAGACGAAGAGTGCGCTTTCTGCGTTTATGATCGTACCGTGGCCAGCTCCTTAATATTTCTCTAGTTGGTGGAAAGTCAGGATCAGGACTGAGAGTCAGGATGACGAAGGCCCTTCTGGGTTGGTGCCCGTTGCGTATGTTAAGCCAGTGAGTCCATCACCGTTCACATTCCGCTTTTCCAGCCATCATGACGCCCATTCCCTTCTGTAGGCTCCACATACCTCAGTAGTGAAGATCCTGTATGATTATGAAGCCACGCAACCCACTGAGCTCACAATCAAAGAGGACGAGATCCTTTACGCATACGACCAGGACGAGGGCTGGCTACTGGTTGGGGACAAGGAAGGTACTAGAGCTGGATATATTCCGGGCAACTACGTCGAGGAGGTACGCCTAAGAATTGACACTTGATTTATCCAGAATTTCACACTCCGTAATAGGTAGATGAGGATGCTGAAGCTTCAGAAGTGCCATCGTCGGGACCTTCACTGTCGCAGATAGTCGTACCTCCATCGGTAAGTTTGGCGAAGCCGACCGTATGCATATACTGACAGACCGATGATTGTACTTATTCTAGCCTCCTCGCCCCGCATATGTCGACCCTGCGGACAGAGTAGCATCGAACAAAGCGCAGGCGGACGACATACAAACTTGGGCTGTCTCTGAAGTCGACAAGAAAGGTAAGAAGAAGAAAGGCACTCTAGGTGTTGGCAATGGCGCCATTTTCTTTGCAAGTGAATCCGACAAGGTCTGTACATGCACCCTACCATCTCGTACATTCATCCTGTCAACTCACATCATCATGACCCTACAGACTCCAGTCCAGAAATGGCAAACGTCAGATATCCAGTCGGCCAAGATCGACAAATCCAAACACATCCTCGTTGATATTGGCGGTCCTTCTGCCATCAGTCTACACTTCCATGCGGGTTCCAAAGACACCGCCGAAGCCATCCTTGCCAAACTTGAATCTTCTCGCGCCCTATCAGGTGCTCCCGGTCCTTCTACATCCCCACCACCAGAACAACCTGAGCGTCCTCGAAGCACCGCTCCCAAAGCCGTGCACTTCGATGCCTCGGAACCAGAGATCATACCAGCTCCCCCAACGGTCGAGGATGAGGTTGAATCTGAACCAGAACCGGAGTACCCTCATGAACAACACGAGGAAGAAGAGATTCCACAGGGTGGCGAACCGGCGATTGTCCTTTATGACTTCACTGCGGATGGCGAGGATGAACTAAGCGTTCGTGAAGGTGAGACATTGCTGGTTTTGGAGAGAGACGGAGACGAGTGGTGGAAATGTCGAAATCAAGACGGTCTCGTCGGGGTCGTCCCTGCAAGTTATGTCGAGGTAAGAGTATATTGTTATAACGTTCCATATACTTTGATGGGCGAACCTGGTTGTCATTTTTAGCTTCTCCCTGGCGCAAACGGCGTAGTACCGACGGTGGCTGTTGCAGCAGAGGACGATTCTGCTGCTGTGGCCGCGCGCGAAGCCGAAGAGCGTGAAGCATCTAAACGCGATTCTGCTGACCGTGAACGACTAGAGAAAGAGCGAGCCGAGAAGGAACGCAAAGCTCAAGCAGAACAACGCGCGAAGGCCGCTGCTCTTGCTGCAGAAGCGGATCGACGTCGGCGTGAACAGGAGCGAGAGAAGAAGGAAAGAGAACGAGCTGCGATAGCTGCTGCTGAAGAGGAAGCACGGAGGAAGAAACAGGCTCAGAAAGATAGGGAATCCAGCGAGGGTTCCAAATCTCCTCGAAAGTCTGATAGTTCTCGCTCTTCTCTTGACAAACGTACGTTGTCCTTGATAAGTAAATTGAGATTCATCTTTACTCATATTATTTGCTTTATAGGTGGCCCTCCCACAGGCGGCGTCCGCACTTGGCATGACAGAAGCGGTCAATTCAAAGTAGATGCCGCTTTTCTCGGGTTTGCCAACGGCAAACTGAGGCTACACAAGATAAATGGCGTCGTCATTGAAGTTCCTGCTGAGAAGATGTCCCCTGAGGATATGCGCTACGTGGAAAAGATGACAACCAAACCAAGCGTCAAGTCTGACGATGACGATGAGCCACTAGAGAACCGCCGCAGATCTTTGGTACCAGCAGCTCGTGCTGCTGCCCCGCCACCGAAGAAGGGACCCACCATTGATTGGTTTGAATTCTTCCTTGGTGCTGGTTGTGATATTGACGATTGCACTCGATATGCTCAATCCTTTGAGAGGGACAAGATCGACGAAGCCCTGTTGCCTGATATTACTGAATCGGTTATGCGTTCTTTGGGTTTACGGGAAGGAGATATTATTCGTGTCAAGAAGGCTATAGAGCAGCGGCAGCCCAGACGTGACGAGAAAGCTGAACAGCTTCGCAAGGACGAGGAACTTGCCAGACAATTGCAAGCTGAGGAGAACGGCAGCAAGAGAGGTCAAGCACCCAACCTGTTTGCTGGACCCAATGGTGCATTGAAGAACAACAGTGTGCGGAGGGGTCGTCCACAGCCAAGCAAAAGTCTTCCTCCTGCCACCGTTGACCTCGACTCCATTGCGACCGCATCCGATCAGATTCAACGGACGACAACTCCTCAGCTTGGTAGCCCTTTGTCTGCTACACCGGTGCAACCTCCACCTAGATCGAGCTCAGCGGCTACAGCGAGTGGCTTCGATGACGATGCATGGACGCCCCGACCTAGTTCGACCAAGCCTCTCACCCCCATACCCGCAACCTCTGCACCTCGAGCCCCATCTGCGCCTCCTACATCTGCACTGGCGGCAGCGCCTGCTGCACCTACACCTCCTCCCGCACCAGCAGCACCAGGACCTATTTTACAATCACAATCTAGCCCTCCACCTGTTCGACCACAGAGCACTGGATCCAACCTTGCTAAGACCACTGAAAGCGATATCTTCGATCAGTTAGCGAGGTTGAGCCAATATAAAGCTCCTGTGAGGAATATGACATCCCCACCTTCCGCCGTTCCTTCTATCACTACTTCCCCGCCAATTGGTTATCAATCAGGATTGGGCATGGGTCCGTCGCCGTCTCCAATCGGCCAGCATTTACAGGCGCAGCAGACTGGAATGTTGCCTCCACCCCAACCGCAACAATACACTGGTGCTCGAGGACCGTTTGCGCCAGTTCCTGCGAACGCAAGTCTGCTGCAGCCTCTAGTACCGACGACGACTGGATTCAACTCATTTGTGCCTACGAGGCCTCAAAGCACTCCATCGATGTTCCAGCCATCGCAACAACCTCCGCCACAACCACCATCGTTCCTCACCTCACAGCCGACAGGTTACCCTGGACAACAACAGCAAGGTATATTCGCTCAGCCAACGGGATTCCAAACTTCTGGGCCGTTACTCTCACAACCTACTGGATTACCGAATAATAACTTTGGCGGTAGTTTTGGAAATATACCCCCAGTACCCCCATTACCCATGAATAACGGGTTTAATCCTGTTCAAAGCAGTAAGTCGTCGGTATAGTTTCAAAATACTTCGATACTGATGTGTTTTAAAGATCCAACTGGGTTCAATGCAGGATTTGGCCAGTCGCCGTTCAATCAATCCATATCCCCCGCTCCTCCTGCGCAACCCCCGAATGACACGTCACCTGCTAACGTCTTCGCCAAGATGAAAAGCGGCACATTCGGAACGAATGACAATTCGACGCCGCAATCTGCAGGTCAGTTACATCGTTTGTTATTCTTCCGGTTTTGCTGATGGCACGTACTTATTCTAGACAAGTATGATATGTTGCGCCAGAATAGTACGTAGCATCTACTTCGTTACTTCTAACTGTACTAATTTTTCATCCTTAGCAATGCCCCTTAGTGCTCAGCCGACAGGGTGGGGATATGGCATGGGTGGTATGCAAACTGGATATGGCTACCAGCAATAGCGAAGTCCGGATGTATGTATATAGCGAGCTTTTTCCTGAATAGTCCACCGTTGTTTCTGCAACTTCCGTCACAGGAGTCAAGAAACGCATAATACCAGTATATGACTACACTACAGAAGATGAGGAGTAATTAAGTTAAATCATGCCAGAACAGAGACCAAAATCAGCTACTATGGACGATCTATAATACCCTGTACGTATCCAACGCGAGTAAAGTACTCTCGAAGTCCTTCTCGAATTTCAGGCGCCATGTCCCGAGCTAAAAGCTCGGTAGCCAGAGGGTATATAGCAGGAAGATATCGTGTAAACTGCAGTAAATAATTAGTCGGTTGAATAACGTTGAGAGTCCGGAGAACATACTGCTTTGTCGTCAAACTTCACAAAACCTTGCAGTATTTCAGCGACAACCGGCGTCCAGGCTGTGACGTTTTTGGCTTGGGTATCCATACGAAGTTTAGTGAAATCTTGGAGTACTCCAAGGCCCAAGCTATAGGCGGGGTGATCTTAAACATCTGCGAATGCATGAAGATAACATGAACTCACGGTAACAGTCGATCCGCTACTTGCGGACGGGCAGCTTGATGCTCAGGTCGGAAGTCGTAGTACATTTGCAGTAGTACATGGACCAATGTGGCAGCGCTGCTAGACTCTTGCTTCAGCAGATTCGGCAAGTGCTTCATGAAGCCTACAATGCAGTCTATTAGCGGCGAAATGTGTAACAATTACGGTACAGACACTCACCGACTTTCCACAACCCAGTTCGAAGTTCCTTGTCATCGTTGAACATTCGCGCAAATTGATAGCTGTGGTCGAGCACTCCCATCAACCGCAGAAGGTGTTCCGGAGGTATGGTGTTGTAGACTTCGTCATTGCGAAGGAGGTCATTCGTTGTCTCAATCAGCAATAATTGCAATACACATTTCACAATGATCTGTCTGAATATTCTCCGGCGGTCGTTGAGTGATACCTTCGTTCCAGCCTTTTGTTGGTCATTAGGAGAGAGTGGCGCAGGAACAATAGCTTCGCCATTAAGTTCTGTGGATACGAAAATCAGATCGCGAACATTGCATGCATCTGTAGACGACATACCTGCGGTATCTGAAAGGTCAGGAGTACTTCCATCAATCTCAACTCGCAAGCTCTCATCGAAAAGCTGATGCGGGGTTGTCGTCCTGAACAGCTTTACAAAGGTGGTCGCGACGCGTTCCCAGCGAGCGGAGCTCAGCTTCTTGACATTGTTCTCCAGAAGTTGTTGGAGGCATGACGTGCCGATACGCGCCAGTGTATCGTTCTCTATAGTTTCTTATTAGCGCTATACAGAGGAAGACACGGTAGTAAATGTACCTTGGCAGATACAGACACAAAGAAGATCTAGAAGGCCGTCCAAGAAACGTTCCAGAGTTTCAAAATAGAATGTATAGAGATCTATCAGATTTCGCAGGGCTTGAATCATAGTCGTCGACAGCCAAACGCTCATGTCTTCCTGGGTGCTAAACCGTGACAGGTCTTGACTGGACTTCAGAACCGCAAACATCGGGAACAACAGCTCTTGACAAACAGTATCCCAGAAGTCAACAGGATACGTAGAACCATATGTCTTCAATGTCGTGAAAAGTGAGTCCAAGGCTCTGCGAAGGTGTCAGCATAAGTGGATAGATTTATAGACACGAAGTACTCACAGGCGGCGCACTTCTAGATCTTCACCATTCATGATAACGTCATAGAATCCGAATAGTACGGGGAACCAGAACTTGATCATAGGATCATCCGCGTGCGCGCTTTTCTCACCAGCGGGAACGTTGAAGCCGCACTCAGGACACTCCAGCATAACGGGAATGACGCCGCGCAGCATAGCGATAGCAAGTAAACTGATCTTCTGGTATTTGCTCACTTTGCAGAAGTCAGTGACGCAAACCGTAAGGTCAGCGAAAGCACCATGCCGCACGATGGCGGGGAAATGCTCCTTGTTCAAGCGTGTGACGATCTCGAATGCTGAGTTGACAATGCGTTCGGTGTGGACCTTCGATGCCGCCGAGAACACACCAAACATGGTTCTCCAGCCTGACCTCAAATTCGCCACCCGTGCTTGTATCATTTGTTGCAGGCATTGAAGGACCTATACAGTATTCGTCGATAAGCATTCTGGCAAAAGGAGGCTCTACATACCATATCGCGGACATCCGGGTTCGAGTTGTGGCTCATCGTGAACTCGAAGGGCCTGAGGAAATCCTTCTGGAATTTGAAGTGTGGCAACTCCTCCTTCTCCAAAAACCTCATAGCTAGTTGCCGGAGGGCATCTAGAGCAAAGAACGCGACATGCGGGTTATTGTGACAACAAACCTGCCGACATATGAGATACTACGATACTCCTTGTGATAACATTACTCACTTGATTAAAATGCTCCCCGAGGATATCCCACAAATTGGACCACTCAAGACGAATACGGCCCATGTTGTAGTACGAGATTTCAACTAACTTCTGAAGACTGAAAAGACGAGGATGTTGCGACAGTCCCGATGATTGAATTTCGTCCCATGATACGTCACATAGTGCTCTTACGAAATCGACAATCGCGGTCTGCAAAATCGGATCAGCCTGATCAATACAGACAAAACAGAAAATGGCAAGTGACTTACTCCTGATAAATAGTGGCTGAGAGAGAACACCATGTCGGCCGCAACGGTGATATGCGTTGAGCGACTTTCATTCGCGAGTTCCTCGGTGGGTGGTTTCCTCACACGGCCGCTGCGAAAGGAGTCAGGTTAGACCAGGTTCTTTAGGCAAGCTTCAAACATACCCTTTCTTGCCATCTGGGATTTCTACACCACTGCTAATCAACTGCATATGCTCGAGTTGACTGACGCAGGTCAGTACTTCCCGCCAAGAGCTCTTGAGATTATTGCCCTCCGTAACCGCGACGTCCAGCAGAGTTTTGATGGCTTCCATGTTCTTCGTCTTCATCTCTCCAAGGTTGTTCAGGAAGGTGAACTTAGCCAGAGTCGTAATGAAAGCATTGCGTTCCAACTCCATGTCGAAGAAGCATGTAATCCGGATCGCACTCTTGAAGCCATCCAAACAGAGTTCGACGATCTCTAGATCGTCGGTGCTTTGCAGTGGTCCAGATACACCTGCCAAGACTGAGATCCAGGCAACCTCGAACATGGGCTTAACATGAATGAAGTGTGAAGCGCTAAAATATTGCTCTCCACTCTTAGAACCCTTCCTTTGGGAACGCAGCAAGGTTTTAAACAACGCCTAAGAAGATTGTCAGTCTCGTCTCAAGAAGCTTAAGTGTTAATCGAATCACCAACCTCCGTCTTATTAGCCATGTTGTTTGATTGCATCATGTAGGCTTCCTTCTGCAGGTCGCGACCAACGTTTGCAAGTGCATTTGCTAAACCTGGTCCTGGAGCTGTCGGTATCAGGGCAGATTCAACCTCATCCTTCATCCGGATCTCGTTGCTGACAATCTCATCGAAAATGGCAGATAAAATCTCCTCAGGAAGGTCAGCACCATCATTAATCCCGCGATTGTTTTTCAAAAAGTCCGCTTTGGTCATCCGATTCTTTACTTGAGGGTTATGTGCATCCGTATTCAGCATGATGGTTGAATAGGCCAATACGTAGGCAGTATCTGCGAATAACCATGTTCAAAAAATGCATTATTACGACAGCGACATACTTACCGGCGTTTGCGAATGGGGTGTTAGAGTTGCCAGCAATATACCGTTCCGCGAACTTCAGCATATAACGATCAATCTTCTGAGACTCGCCAGGGAGACGGAATGCTTGAAGAAAGTTTCGCAGTGCATCGACGAACGGCATATTACTGAGATCCAACATGTCGACAAACGCATGCATTGTTGCAATATTATCTTCATCTCTAAGTCGAGTTAGATTTACACACGACGGGCGACGTATAGAGTACGTACCCTTCTCCAAGATACTCCCCAACCATAGTCTTGCTGAGGCCATCCGTCTCCAGAAGGAATCGCGCGATATCCTGAGGGGATGGACTTGCAATGAACCCAGTTTCGATGAGGAATTGAATTCCCTGAAATTAAGATATGCTTAGAAGTGACAAATACAGGGGAAGCATTAGTGCGTACACGTTTCGGCTTGAAATTAAATTTCTTGATACCCTCCAACAAAGTTGTCTTCTTCTGTTTCGCGCTTTCGAACTTGCTAGGATCGTCTGATAACTCCGGTGTTGGCTGCCTCGACGCATCATAACCATTGGGAAAGCCGGAGAGCCTGTCTAGGGATGGGTCAGGAGTAACAACTTCTGCTCGGCTCTCTTCGCCAACTTGCGAACGAGAATGTTGATCAAGGTTTTGATCCCCAGTAAGTGCGCTAGCTGTGCCCCAAAGTACGAGAGACTTCAATACGGCGACCAGGCATTCTAGAGCTTGTCTCTTGAGTTGCGTCTCAGAAAGACCAATGACGCTTGTGTCCAGGTTGCCAGGCACCGATAAAGCTGCTGTGCTCAACGCGGGAGGCACCGAACCCGAATGCCCCTTAGATGTCGGTGGAAGCCCCGGACTCGTGGGGTCATTTGCTTTCTGAGGGTTTTGTGTGTTCGGCGAAGTGCTCAGCTTGGAAATAATATTCATGAGACTTGAAACACGCAAATCAGCGTTTCACAATACCACACAAGATTTCCTGTATTACGCACTGTTCATAAATATTGTCGATAGCCTCACTATCGCAATCATAATTGAGGTATATCTCAACCAAAGCTTGAGGGTCTTTGCATAGACGATGTAACATCCCGAGAATAGCTGCCTTCTGCTTCAGCGTAGAGGTCTTCATCTCCAGAATAGGTATGAAGATCTCATGCAACAGGACCTCGATTTCTTTCTACAAATCACACACACATCCCAAATTAGTCAGAGTGAGCTAAGTATTGTAGAGACTTACTTTGAGCTTGGTACGCATTCCGGAGATGACTCTCCAAAATATCTCCACACTGATCTCGAAAACCTGAGGCACAGGGCTGACAGCGTTTCTGCTCAAGCACAGACAGAGATACTGATTCACAGCTTGGACAAATGTAGTCGCTTCGTGATTCGAACTTGAGTAGATGATTGCGGAAGGAGACACGAATATCGGCATGTGATTGTTAAGAATCGTCAATACGAGATGCAACGACAGGAGCTTTGATCGCATGGCATGAGACTTTAAATCCCGTTCACTGTAGAGGTCAAATGAGAAAAAGGAACTGGTAAAACATGATCACTCTCACCTCTCTTGATTTAGAGGTTTCATCGTCAACTTGCATAGTGCACGAAAGACTAGAAACGCGTCTTTGATGAATAGATCGTTCGTTGACATCTCGCGCAGAGTTTCGTGCTCGTGCTCGTCGTCGTGTAGCATGTCGCTGGCACCAGCTTCTGAAGGTTCTCTGCCAGCAAGTTAGTTTACAGTATTGCGAGTATAATAATAACTTACGGGTGATGCCCAGAGATGCTCTCAGCGACAGATGCATCAGTGCTTGCCCGAACGGAAGATTCGGCAGCAGACTCTTCAGATACATCAGGCGCAGGGTTCGGTTGCGGAAGCGCAGGTGTATGCTGGACTGTTACAGAGCTCAACTCATCGCTATTAGAGGTTGAAGCCTGTGATAATGTGGAAGGTGGCGACAGGGGAGGGTTGGGCAGGCTCTGATGAGACGATGAAGCGAGAGAGAGTCTAACAGAGTCACCCTCTCTTGAGGATAGCGTAGGATTGGAATCAGTGCGGGATAAGGAAGGAGCGGTAATTTTGCACCGGGTAAATACGTGGTTTACCATCTGGGTGAGTCCTCCCTGAGCCACGGTTTGGTTAACTGGGTCGGTACTAAGCAGGAAAACATTATAGACAGTCCGGACAGCCTTCAGCAATGACGACTGATGAACCAGGACTGTCGGTGATAACACCAGAGACAGAAGTGCTTTCACAATCTGCAATGACACTGTGTCAGGCGTAGACTCATTGTGGCATGCGGTTATCGTTTGTACGACCAAATCTACCAGCGACTGCTTTGACGTGTCAACGGGCGCGGCAGATCCATTCGGACCTGGAGATGGGGGAGGCGAAGGTAGACTTGGAGGAGGGGAGCTTTCCACGAAAAACGAATAGGAAATTAGTTTGGATATGCAGTCCAGACTTGCGATCATGAGCTTCTCGTTCCGCGTCTCGCACGCAAGACGCAATGGTTCGAATATTTCACGAGGCCTGTCTCCACCCTGACCGGATCTCACCATGTCCAAAGCACGCTGGACACTATCCCGAAGTACTGGCGATCGCTTCGCCTCCCGAGAAGCAGCTATAGTTTCCAGAGCAGACGAAATGAGAACCACAGACACTGTTCGTCCCTTCGAAAGTGTTAATGAACGTCTGTGGGATGCAGGCGACGCAGGCCTTGGAGCAGGACTTCGAGCACCTAATCGACTACCGTTCGCCCTTCGACTATCCATACTGTCTGTAGACGGCCGTGCGTTTCCATTAGCTCCTTTGGAGGAAGATAGCAAACTCTCGCGCCGAGGAGGGGGTGTCAGAGGATTTGGAAGATGTGTGGGCTTCGCAGGGGGTGTGGGGGGTACGGAGTGTGCAGCGGCCTCTGTCTGGTCGCCATTGGTATGTACTTCCCGTTCCTCTGAAGGTGAAACATATGCATGAACCAAAGGGCCATCCGCAGGAGCAGCTGGTATTGCAGTTTCAGAGGAGACCTCGTTCGAATCTTGCTCGTGCGTTTTCGGTAGCGGTAAATCCACAGACTCTATTTCAGTGCCATTGACTGCGCTGTCATGTATGGAGTGTATATGCAAAGCGGCTTCGTCTGTAACACCAGTGAAAGTACGTCCGTTCAGAGTTGGTGAAGTAGGTAATGGAACAGAGGCGGCCTGTTCCAGGTCGACAGTGTTCATGATGGATGCGGTGGCGACGATGGCCGTCGCCTGGTTGTAGTGGTCGCAGTTGACCGTGACGATGAGCAGTGTCCGGCATAGTAAGTAAACGCTCGATCAACGCTCAGCGCTAAAGCGCCAATTTTGGATTTTTCGTCTCAATCTTCTTCATCGACCCCCATGGCCTCGAGTATGGTTCCCTCTGATGCCTCTGCGGCTGTCCTCAAGCCCTCGGAACCCATGCCAGAATATGCGGTACATGTGGAAGGCCCTAACTTTGACGACCCCATTTCGCTACAGCAGTTGCTTGACAGTTACAAACGAATTGGCTTCCAAGCGAGTAGCTTGGGTAAAGCAATCGATATCGTGAATAAGATGGTGAGTCTATATCATATCGTATACAACTTCCCTATAGACTTATTGAGACTGCCACCTCAGAGAAGGTGGAGACTTTCGGACGAGCCTGTTGCAGAAGACGAGTCTGAGGAGTATTTGTCTCCAGAAATCAGATCTCAAACCAAATGCAACATTTTTCTTGGATATACCTCTAATCTCATTAGTTCTGGGCTCCGCGAGGTTATTCTTCATTTGGTGAAGCATAAGCATGTCCGTGCTATTGTCACTACTGCTGGAGGCATCGAAGAAGATTTCATCAAATGTTTGGGCAAGACATACCTAGCCGATTTCAATCTGGACGGCGCCGACCTGCGAAAGCGTGGCATGAATCGTATCGGGAACTTGATTGTACCAAACGACAATTACTGCAAATTTGAAGACTGGCTTATGCCCATTCTCGACACTATGCTTGCAGAGCAAAAGCAGTCTGGTCAGGTCTGGTCACCCAGTTCCTTCATTCGTCGACTAGGGAAGGAAATAAATAACGAAGAATCTGTGTACTACTGGGCTTACAAAGTGAATAGATTTATTGACGTCTCAATCTGGTGCCTTTGATTAAACGAACGCGACGTGCAGAACGACATTCCTGTGTTTTGTCCTGCTCTCACCGACGGGTCGCTTGGGGACATGATTTACTTCCATTCCTTCAAGAATCCAGGACTGGTAGTCGACATCGTCCAAGATATTCGTGCGCTCAACGAACTATCTCGACAATCTAAGAAAGCCGGTATGATTATCCTAGGCGGAGGTGTCTGTAAACATCAAATTGCCAATGCGATGCTCATTGTAAGTCCCCTCGGGCGCTGAATTGTTGCTTTGTTCACTTTTCTGACATCTTCCTGCTCTTCAGCGCAACGGTGCCGATTTCTCTGTTTACATTGTAAGTAATTTGATTGCCCTATTGTACGAACTTACACTCACCTTGGCATAGAACACTGGCCAAGAATTCGATGGATCCGATTCTGGTGCTCGCCCAGATGAAGCAGTATCTTGGGGCAAGATACGTGCGGGTTCTGAATCCGTAAAGGTGCAGTATAGTGTCGTCGTCTTCATGTTCCGTGTACTGATATTAATTTTGTAGGTGTTTGCGGATGCAACCCTTGTTTTCCCGTTGCTGGTTGCAGCTACATTTGCCCAGGACAGACAACCTTGACCACCGCAGGGGTGGAACCAATGCCATTTCGTCAGGCGGCGGCTTCGTCACATATGTATAATGTTTAAAAAAATATAATGTTTCATATACCATGCATCAAAACCAAAAGACTATGTAAAGCTAAGCTACAGGAAATTGTGTCATAATACACTCATCTATCTGTTCCATATCTCAGCACTGTGACTTGAGAACTGGAGTTCGTATCGGTGAACCCACCTTGCTGGATTTCCCCTGACCAGAGGATCATGTCATCTCTTAACAGCTGCAAGATCATCAGCGAGTCTTCTATAGTCTGCCCCGTCTTCGGAACATGCGATGAAATAACGGCGATGGCTTCGTCGAATGCGTCCTTCGCAAGGAAACACGCTCGTTCCGGGCTGTCCATGATATCGTGGTAGTAGACCGCAAAGTTCAGAGCCAATCCTAGCCGTGTTGGATGCATAGGCTCAAGGTTGGCCAGGGCATGTTTGTAAGCCCATTTATAGGCTTCCAGTGACAGCTTCGCGCTCTGGTCACCTGGCTCGTCTTTTGAGAACTCTGCAAGATAACGATAATAGTCACCCTTCCTGTAAACGTACGAAAAGAAGTAGGTTGAATACCCCTGTGACCATTAACGAGACACTTACATCTTGCTATAGAACACCTTCTCTTCACCGGGACTTGCGGACGGTATGAGATGATTGTCCATGAGATCCACCACATCTTTGCATGCTCCATACAGTTCATCCTTTATTCGTTTCTTTTCCAACTGCATCAATACCAGTTGTCTTTTAGTGTTATCATCCCTCTTCTCCAATGAATCAACTGCCCGCCAAGCGTTTCGAAGGTTAGACGTGATGTTCTTGAACGCAATTGACAAGAGGCTTCTCTCGTCGGCCGTCAACTGTCCTTGGGACGACACAATGAGACTCTTTATCTGGTCAACAACATCTGGGTCGACATTCAGAAGAATACAACCCTCAAAGATATCGAGTACTTGCCCTGGTATCTTTCTGCTTGTTCCGCCAAGCGTGCAAGATAAAGACAGTCAAGTCGCGAGAGCGTGACTTTAACCTGCACCCCGCCTATGTAAACATTTGTACACAAGTTGAAAGAGTCATAACGGATATACCGGTGACATGTGTGGCTAGTTATGAAGGGTTTTCAAGCAGTCGAGTTACCGAGTTGAGTTGCGAAGATGCACGCGTTGCTGCAGCTTTATAAACACGTCTAAGTGGGTAGAGGGGAAGTTATAGCCGCCACTTGAACCAGTACTGATGTAAGGGTCCTGTTGAATCATTTGTGACATGAGGTGGGACGCCTCAAGGTTAGAGAAAACCTGGGCGAAGGGTATGGCGGATGGAGAAAGTTCGTTTGGATCACTCGGCTGCGGACGCGCTGCAAATCTGATAACAGACGTTGCCTTATGATGTCGCAAGGATATTAGACCAAATACCAAGAGTTCAAAGTCATGTAGGGGCTGCAATATAGTACGCAACTTGTTAGATAAGTAACATGTTGAACTAGAGGATTTCCAATTTACAAGGGCGCGAATCATCGAAGTTTCCGTGACATGATCGGACGGAAGCGATATTTGATCGAACACATCGTATTCGTTCAAGGCGTATAGATGTTATGCTAGAAAACTCAAGATACTACTGTTAAGCTCCTTCAACCGGACCAGACGGCGCCACCGGGGCTGTTTGAGATGTTGATCAGTTGTTATACTTGGGACTCAAACAATATCATCCAACTTACGCAGTGTAACCCTGGAGGTTGTTGTAGATGTTGACGGTGATACCCGGGTCAGTCGACTTGTAGGCACCAGGGATAGCAATCTTCGGAGGGCTTGCACTACCGCCACCGCTGATGTTAACCTGAGCGCAGCCAATGTACTATTCATGGGTCAACGCATGAGTCAGCGCGTTTCGTAACAGCGATGGACAACTTACGAATTGCGCGCCAGGGTATGATTGTGCAACGTGGAGCGCAATCTACGAGAAAGATTAGAGAGTAGAAATGGACAGAGCAAGATGAAATGCTCACAATTTCGGCGCGGAGAAGGTATTGACCAGCAGGAAGAGAAGCGGGAAGGGTCACAGAGTGCTTTCCTGCAACAGTATAAGTCGATGGCCTACGGGAAGTATATGAGAATCAAGACACATACCTCCGTTAGTGTTCACGACATCAGTTGCCCACTCTTGGCTCGATGGGTCCACAAGACCGGATGAGTAGATCTTGGTCCAGACAGCACCCTGACCATCGAAAGAGGCAGCATCGGAAGGAGCCTTTGCAACGTAAACCTGGACTGCTCCCTTGTGTCCACCCGAGATGGCGTCTTCACCAGTACGCTGATCGTGTTGATGCCATTCAAAGGTGATCTAGTTGGCATACTGTTAGAGATGCATGCCTGATTTAAGAGCGTAATCGACAAACTCACAGTAGCACCAGCAGGGACGGTAGCAGTGCTGACGCCGGAGCCGGAGAGGCCATTAACGTTGCAGGTGAGGTCCTTGGAAGTGACATCGGTCACTGGGTTGTTGTTGGGTGGCACTCGAATATCGACATTTTGTCCTTGGTCAACGCCATTGATCCAGATGTACTGCATAGTGACTACCATGAATAATCAGTGAGGTATCTGGTCAAGGATAACATTAAGACGTACAGTGGGCATTGGCACAAGTGGCCGCGAGGGCTATAAGAGAGGCAAGTGCCAGCTTCATTATGGAGAATATGTTGTAGTGATCTACAAAATAGTATGTCCCAGCACGGCTTATATACCAACATCGTAACAGCCCTAGCGCAAATCGATGTACGTGGTGCAGCAACCTACCCGAAGTACATGCGGTGACTGGGCAGCAGAGGGTAGAATGGATATTCTTCGGTTCGTGAACCTAAGTTAAATAGAGCCGGAATATGGATTTGAGGCTGGCAGTGATCATACGACACAGCATGGTGAATTCTCTTGGCATGAACCTCGGAATGTATCGTCTCTCCTGGGAATTGTGTCATTGGGACACGAAGGCTCTCACGAACGATGGCGACTGCTGAGATAGTGACAGGGTTCCTCGGTTTCAGACGTGGTCAAGGCCGTAAACTTAGTGAAGTGAATGCGGATACTGTTATAGGTACGCCGGTGCATTCTTACAACTCAAATCTAAACGTTGACATGAAATCAGTCATACAGTTTAGCGGTTAGCTACTAGCATGACGCACCACGAATGTCGGAAAAACTCCTTGCAAAACCGTGTCGCCTGACATCACAAGGAAGCTTGCACCAGTGATGAGGCTTATTTGCACAAGTCGATGCCGAAGCACGCATCTGAGGTCTGTAGCTCGCCGTTGCAGGCACCCCAATTCAAGAATGAAGTAAACGTCATATGAGCAAATCATGGAATTGATACGAGTCGGTTGAATTCTCGGCATACCACACAGAAAGAGAGCCCATCGCGAAGATCATTGGCTGACTTCAACGGCAATACAGTCAACAAAAATAGAACAGCTTCCGACTACACTGACTAGAGGTACGTACTGTTCGAGCATGCTTATATTCCAAGGTCAACTGCGATACTCTCCTCTTCTTCGTCGAACCAACGATCTTCCTCATCCCTATCGATGCCAACGTCCCATCGTTCATCCCAATCGACCTTTTCATAATCAATTGACTAGAATGCACATTGGTAAAGACAAGTAGCATATAGAATGATCAATACATGTACGCACGTCAAGCAAGCCATAGATGAAGCGCTCTTTGACTCTTCGCAAAAACAATTCTTGAGCATCCTCGGGAGTCAACTCTTCTAGAGGTGCCGCACCAGGTTCCTCGTCTTCATCGGTATCTTCATCCTCCTCTGGGAGTGACTCTGCGAGTTCGGCTTCATGGCGACGAATACTCCTGAACCTTTCCGCCTCGCGCTCCTCCTCGTATGCGCCGAGCAAAGCACCCAGTTTTCCAAGATGCTTCTCCTGGCCTTCAAGAAATTGTTTCTCGGCCCATTCCTGCTCTTCTTTGGCTTCATCTTTTCCACGAGGCTCCCTCCCTTGCCACAGGGTCGGCCATGTCGACTTGGCTCCTGTGAAGCTCAATTCAGGTGGATTAGATTCTGTATACCTTAAACGTCTATTGCGTATAGCGGACACAGTTGTCCGTTGCTTGGGTGTTGTTACAGACGAGAACTGAGCGAGGATATTTGGTGGTAAATGTCGCAGGTGTTGGGTTAGAAAATCGATTGGACTGTGAGCTGGGCATGGCCCATAATCCTGAGGCAGACCAAGATATGATAAAACAGGAGCAGGGTCCAAGCTTGTTTGTTCCATATTGAACATCAGGACGGCTCACAGAAGAGTAGAATGTAGGAGTTAGAACTGCTTGCTAAAGACCTCGATGACGGCTCGGCTGCAGTTTCAAAGACGCCCAATGTTACTGAGATACTGTATTGGGCGCTTCGTTTAACTCAGTCGTGAAGCTGTTACTGCACTGACTCTCGACAACGAACTTGAATTTCGAATGAAACTTCGCTTCTCTCCATCATCATTGTGACAGTGTTCTGCACCAAGCAAGTATATCTACATGGCTGAGACTACTGTAGAAGTGACAGTGTCCCCTGGCTTGACCGCCCCGAGCGACGCTAGCGATGGCAGTTCCGCACAGACAAACCCACAGGATCTACTGCTCGTCGTGTTCATTCATGGGTAATGCCCCATTGTGGACCATTTTTTAAGGATGTGAGATTGATGTGATTCTGATTTTCAGTTTCAAGGGGACAGACTCCACATTCGCACAATTCCCAGAGAGACTTCGACATGTCCTTGCAGAGACCATCTCAGACGTTGTTGTGGAAAGCATAGTGTTCCCTGCTTATGAGGTACGCCACTAGACTATGCCAAGAATCCCGATTCTGAGGGACCCCGTGATAGACCAAGGGAGAATTGGTACGTTTTCTTTGGCAAGCCCAAGGGAAATTCCCTGACTCTGTTTAGACCGCAGCCGTAATACGCTTTGCTGACTGGCTAACCAACCTAACTGTCCAACGAGAAGTTGCGTACGGTGTTGGTGGAGGAGCTGGCAAGGCTAAAATCATACTTTGTGGACATAGGTCCTGTCTGAACTATAACCACCCTTTTGCACTGTCTGACACGTTGTCTCATAGCATGGGTGGCCTCTTGGCTGCGGATGCCCTGATTGAATTTGTGCGGACTCGTCCCGATTCGCGTGCACCATTATGGCCAAACATCGTTGCATGCCTCGCATTCGATACACCGGTTCGTATCTGTTATTATCCGTGGTCATTCCTATCCGCTCAAGGCTGTATTTAGTATTTCGGTCTACATCCATACGTCTTCAAGAACACGGCGGCCCAAGCGGCTGGCTACGTCCGGACTGCACACAGTCTCATCTCAAACCTGAGCTTCGGTTCGAAGGCACAGGCCCCGACCGCCGCATCCCAGGCACCGATAGCAGCAATAGAAGCACCGCCTGCTAGTACTCAAGCAACAGGTTCAATCTGGCAAAAATGGGCTCCAGCGGCATACGCGGTTGGAGGAGCGCTTATTGCTGGAGCTGCTGCTGGTACTGCCTATTACAAGCGAGAAGATTTGAGTGTATCCTATACATGGGCCACAGATCACATGAAATATGTGGGCACTCTATGGGATGAAGCTACTCTCAAGCGGCGAGTAGACACATTGTTCCAGATTGATCAGAGCATGGGCGTACTGTTCCGGGAGTCAGTATTTCCCTAAACATATTCATACAATTGACTGAATTCGTGCTGGTGTAGTTTCTATACAAACCTACCAACAAATCCGCCGAAGTTCGTCGATCCACGAACATTCATCATATTACCAAAGTCATCAACCCGTTATGCATCGCATTTCCTTCCTGCAAATAACAGCCTCGCGTCAGATGAAATTTCAGCCCACACCGGCATGTTCGATGCGAAGACAAACGACGGCTACTACGAGCTTGGACTCATGGCCGCACAGCTCATACGAGATGTTGTCATATCGATACGCACGGCAAGAGAGAGTGTGGAACCTAAACCAGCGAAGAAAACACCTGAAGCTAGCCCTGCGCAGGTGAATCAAGATGCCACTGTCAAGGAGAAGCCAGCTGAAGAGAATCATTCCACGCCAGAGGATGAAGTAAAGCAAGATTCACCTTTGCTATGATTCGGTGAATGTGCACACAATAAATCCATTTATCTCTAATGTAACATATTATTCACGGACTTGTACATACTGTATCATATATCATCGGGCTAGATGCTTTAAAGATAGTCGCATGGCATACGCATCCTCGCCATCAGCATCTACAGGATATCCGAATGAGTGTTGAAAGCAACAAAGGAGACAAGGGACTCACAGTATTTCTTTTCTATGTCTCTAACAGTGAATCCCAACGTGTCCTTGTACAGGCCCAGAGCCGCTCGATTCGACTTGCGGACATGGAGCGACACGTATGCCGCACGGTAGACAGTTGCCATCGCTTCCTCTGTAAGGTGAATGGAGGGTTCAGTTTGATATGTCGAAAAGCCAAACAGCAAGCTAGACGTACGAGACTGCACCATTAGTCTCTTTGCAAGCCCCAAACGACGATGAGAACGGAGCACTGAAATTGAAGTGACGTGTCCATGAGGCTCGTCCCCTTCACTGAGATCTTCCTCCCTGCAAACATTTCCATGCATGAGACAAACGGGTGTACATAGAACCATGCGACATACATCTTAGCCAGAATATATCCAACTATCCGTCCCTGGTCTTCCGCGACGAACGAGAGTTGAGGCCAAGTCAACTCATGGTATAGGTCTACATTGAAGTTCTATGAGACTCGAACCAGAAGGAGCCATAACAGTTTGACACACAGTACTTCATAGTATAGTTTTCGGGCAAGTTCTGCAGGTTGCATGCCTGCATGCCCATAAGATCATCTACCTGGCGAAGAATCAGGCACTATCCACGTAGGCGTTTTATCATTGCATACCCGCGCAGGCCTAATGTTCATTGTTTAAGATGGAGAAGGGGAGGAAACGAAGAACAAATAGGCGTAGAAGTGAGCGGTGGTTCAAAGCGATCTCCTTGGGTCGGTTCATGGAAGCGCCCATGCAATTCACACGCCGCGAAGGTAATGCACGCCCAAATGCAGAAGGAAACTAAGAAAGGGATTGCGCGTACGAGGGAGAAATGTAAATAACCATCCGTGTTTAAAACTACATAATGCGCGTTCAGGGATCGTATGCCATGACAAAGTGAAACTCCGAAGGGAAGCAGCCGATAAGAGAAAATAAAGAAAATACTCGACACTAATGCATGCACAAACCATATACACGACTACTGACCCTGGATGTCCCCCTCTCTACCCTGACCTGAAGACCCACTACCTCCTTCGCTACTGCCCTGGCCTCGACCACCAAAGAAGAAGCTGCTTGCGTACTGCTCAGCGGCAGTAATTGTATTGCGTAAACTTCGCTTGACGCTGCGACCTCTCCCTTCCTCCACGAATACCGACTGTTGACCTAACACCGAATGCACAGATTCCTGTAGCTCTCGTGTTGTTGGAGACGATGATAGAGATCGTGTTCCTATGCTATCGGGCGGAACGGACGTCCAATCGTTATGATAATCACCATTATGATTATAGGAGTTCGAGCTGTCCACCAAAACCGGGCTTCTTTCAAACAATTGACTACCACCACTGTCCCCACTAATGCCACTAGAGCTTGGTGGATGTCTTCCGGACTCAAGATTCGAAGTCGATGAGCCTGTCGCTGCCATGGCAGCCGAGGCCATCGGGGTATAAGTTGATGCACTTAGTGAACCTGTAGGCGATGGTGGCACAATAGTCAATGGATCCACAGGTCGACGCGTAGGTGCGGGTATCACGATAGTACTGGATCCTGCATGAGGACCAGCTCCACGGCCGTGCCCGATTTCCGCAAAGATCAAGTCTGGGGTCATCACGCCCTGCCGGAGGATAGGGTTCGTCTCTGCGTAATTGCGGAAGAACGCCGTGCCAGTCGAGTGATTCGTTCCTCCGCTACGATTAGAAGCAGCATCACTGGGGGCAGGCGATGTCGATGCCTCGATGATTGGTTGATGCCCAAAGCCTCTTACAATACGGGACGGACCAACCGCCACGTTATGCCCATTCATCCAAACCTGCGAGGCCGCGATTGTTCTTGGGATTGGTGGGTTGGCTCGTTCCCGGGACATCAATAATTCTCTCGACGGAAGTTGAACGGTAGAACGGTCTTCGGATTCATTGTCAATTGACTGAGGAGGAGATGATCCCGTGGTACGAGAGACATTTGCAGGGTCGCGACGAACGACATCCTCGTCCTCATCTGCATCATTGGCAGCTTCTGAATCATCGCCGTAACGATTTCTGTATTCGTCTTCGTCATCGTACTCTGTCCCACTACCAGCCGCCATCTCGTCAGTAATAGTGTTGAATAGATCAGCGAGAAAGTCTCGAAGGTCTGAAACTCCCTTCCCCGAGTAGACGCAAAACGCGGCGCGTTGCCCAGAGTTAAACTCCTATTGGTCTAGTTAGAATCAATAGGCCGGGCGAGCTTAGAGCAAAACACACCGATGGTGCCTCACGGCAAAACTGCTGCAATTCTGGTCGACGAAAGGCGGGGATGCCGGTGAGACTCAGATGGGTGAGTTTGGGCAGTTTCTGCAGTAAGAAATGTATGGCCATCACGGTAATTTGGTCACAGTAGGATAAGTGTATGCGTTCGAGAGTCGCATGCCTTTCCGCCAAAGAGTAAATGGCTTGGTCTGTGAGGTTATTCACGCGAACGAGACCAATACGACGCAGTTTCTGCAAGCCGGCCAGCTCGAACACTGACATGTCAGTCAGCTGCAAACAATCTAAAAGCGCATTTAGTAAAACAATTATCAATATCAGTGGAACAACAACTCACTTGCAAGGTCGATATATCGCAAACGCGTGCAGGCACGTGCCAACAATCGTATTGAGCGATCGGTGATACCTCCGGCGTGTCCAAGGTGTAAATAATGCAGATGTTTGCCTAATGAGCAAATAGACTCGACGGCGACATCTGTCAGTTGGTTGCATTTGGCAAGCACCAGGTTGCGAATCTTCGGTGCAACAGAGATAATCCCTTCAATAGTTTCGTCCGTGATATTCGAGCACCCGGTGAGATCGAGCATACGCAGATGCTCAAAGGGCTTAGTAACACGCAACGGCGGCAGTTTATCCGTATTCAGGGGAGTCGACAAGGGGAAGGGGTTGGGTCCTGTGGGAAGTACAACCTCGGACCGAGGTGACGAAGGGAATGCGCTATCGGTAAGCTCAACGCAATGAGACAGCCGCATTTCACGCATGTGGCATGAATATGTCCACAGATCGCGTACAGACGAATCCGTGATCTTCTTGCAGTTATTGAGATCGATTTCGAGGAGTAGAGGACACGACTTCGCAAGCGCAGATATGGCTTCATCGGTGACTTGTTCGACATGGCTGAGTTTGACGCGGCGAAGCAATGGGCAATTAGCAGCTAAAGCTAACACCGCCTTGTCCGTCAGCTTTTTGCAGCCGCCCAAGTTGATCCCTTGCAGTTTCTTCGTAGACGATGCTAACGCCACTATAGCACGGTCACTTGTCTCTACAACTCCCGTGAGATCTAACGCGACGAGATTGGGGCAGCATGGAAGGACGCGGGCAAGTGCGCCATCCGTAAGGGAATTACAATTGATGAGGGTGAGGCGTTCCAATCTAACACATTGTGCGAGGCGACCGAAGAGAGAATCTGTTAGGTCTGCCCCGAGGTAGAGGAAGTTGAGACGACGAATGAATCGCGCATAGATGAAAGTCTGGTCATCCCGAGCAAGTACGCGCATCATTTTCCCCAAGGTTGATAGCTTTGTGAAGCTCGGTCGATGCCAAAGCAGTTCAACTGTGCATTCGCACCATGCGCGGGAGACAAGGAGTGCATGATACAGATCTCTGGATGAGTGGAGGTGCTTCAAGATATGAATGAGGATTTCAGGAGGAAGACGAGCGGCATGTGAAAGGATATGTGTTGATAGCGGTTCCAAAGGGGAATGTGGAAGTAGACGAGAAGACCATTGAGCTGGAGTTGCAGCGACAGGATCTAACGAAGGAAAGAATGTTGACTTATTGAAATCATCATCGTCGACATCGGAGAGGGACGTTGTCGACTGCGCTGGAGATGAATGCTTGTACAACATGAGAGTTCAGCGGCGAGAACAGTTCGTCGATGGCAACAACAGTGGGCACGGCATGCATAAGGGCTTCCAGGGTTGCTTAGTCATCACGTCCTAACCTTAGCGTCCGATGTATCCTCACCACCAAAGTGACCCTGCCTTGCCTTCTGGCATCGTAGTAACCGTGCCATCTTCTCCGGAAACACCCTCGAGCCCTTCATATCGTGATGGTCGGCGAAAGGGCTTTGCAAAAATGTCCGCAAGTCCCTACGGCTACTCATTCGACCCACCTGAAGCACTTCGAGTGCCCACTCCAAGGCCACCGGTAGATGTTCCCTCATCGAAGAGCACGACCAGCTCACCACCTGCACAAACTCGCTTCGAGCAGCTATTGGAGAGCTCGGATTTACCGGAGCCCGGTCCTGCTTACTTTGAGGCTAGAAGGGCTCTGTGGCACACGCCCATACCTCACGACCAACAACCTGAGCCTCTGGCTACTTCTGTTTCACGACAAAGGCTTGAAGAGCTCTTAAACACGCACGAGGGAAAGTTGGATGAGGATGATGTGTGGTATAATGGACTAGACAAGGTGTGGAAAGGCCTCATAACGGGAGCAAGACTGAAAAGACGACTGCCTCTGCGGTACCTGGTATGCTCTTATGCCATTACTTTTTAAGGAGCTAGGGATGACATTATACATCAGATACAAATACTGCAAGCAGGTTGGGTTCGTGACGGTACATGGCCTAAGGGTGGTGTAGCACCCGATCCTGACGATGAACTTGAGCCAATTCAAGAGGCCACAGATGTGCCTTCCGCGGCAACATCTGCCATGACTTCACTCGTCGCACTGCCATCGTTTGGGCCAGCCAGGCAGCATCCTGCGAACCGAAACAGAAGCATTATGATACCATAAAGACCCTTTTATGTCAGAAGGTTCAAGGCAAGATAGATTGGTGACATGCAGTCATACCTCGAGGATTGTTGATTCGCTATGCGCCGTAATGTAAAGAATTCGATACCCGATACCCAGTGGTTTCATCTTGCAGATTCATATGAAATGATGGCTGTATAATTACAATGCTCTTTCCTGTAGCAATAGGGTTAATACACTGAGCTCTGCAGCAATGCTTTAACTAGTCCAAGCCCTTGCCGAAAAGTATATTGGCAAGATTTTAGCCGGACATAGCAACAATTTGAACGAGGTAGGTCACGTTCGAGACGGCGGAGAGACCTAATCAATAGACATATCAGCGTTACAGGGACCGAGCAGACTGAATGACAAGACGAACGAGAATGACACCATCTCCTCGTACAAATAGCATATTCATCTTGCGTTTGGCAATCTACAGGGGATGAGGTGCTCAGTATCAGCGAAGGGAATACAACACACCACGTACGTTTACGGTACTCTGTCCTTCTGGTGCACCTTCGACCTGCTCTACAATCATAATGGTCTCCTCGACATCACTCAAAATCAAGTTCATGTGTCCATCGTAAGCCTGCAGATTAAGCATTATAAGTGACAATATCTCAGCCACTGTGTGAGCACGCACATGGAGGATGCCTGTAAGTTCTCTATCTCCCCTAAGTTTCACAAATACTCGTTCACTGAGAGACAGTCGAATCAAGTCGAAAGGCTCCTGGATGCCAGACGAGGGGTCCATCTTACCGCGACCACCTGTAAAACGCGACTTTCCATAACTGCTCACGTGCTCACTCTTTGTGACTCCGATTAAAACGGAAGCACTGCCGACCTTTTCGGCGCTCCTGCACTTCACCTTCAGCGGTCACCATCATGCCGGTATGTTTTGCTTGTTTCTCCTCTGTTCTGAACTTTTGCTGACGATTTGCTCTCTCTGAATCCAGAAACATTATTGCGATTATTGCGATGTCTTCTTGACTCACGACTCGACATCAGGTATGTTCTTCTTTATGTTTGATTTGTTCCTGTGGCTTACATTCACATTTCAGTTCGCAAGGCACATAATAGTGGTCGTAATCATCTCGCCAATGTCAGGGATTACTATGCCTGTATGTATCACTCATCTGTTCCCATATGTGGGTTCTGACAACTTTTGCTCGTTTCTAGCTCTTGGTCATGACAAAGCGCAGAGCATCATTGACCAAATCACATCAGCTTACGAGTCTAGCGGCGGACCTCCTCCCGGAGGCTTTGGTTTCGGCCCTCAACACCTTGCGCCTCCAGCCCCTGGGTTTGGGGGTCCACCGATGGGCTTTGGAGGTCCCGGAGGCCCTCCGCCATACGGTGAGTCTGCTTCATCCGTCAACACAAGAATTAGTGACCAATCTCACTATACTAGCTCGTCCTCCATTCCCTCCTATGATGGGTCCTCCAGGTGCGCCCCCTTTCCCTCCAGGTATGGGTCCTCCCCCTCCAGGTATGGGCCCGCCGGGTATGGGTCCTCCTCCACCGGGAATGGGTCCCCCGGGCGGCTTTAACCCAGGTATGCATCATTTGCTTCTATCCGTATGTCTATATGCTGATTCAAGCATTTGTTTAGGTCCGCCACCTTTCCCGCCGACTCAGGGTGCACCGACGGGTCCTCCGGGCTCGATGCCTCCAAGCGGTAATTTCCCTCCTCCCGGTCAAGGTCCTCCAGGAGGTGGTTTCAGCGGTCCTCCTGGTGGTTTTCCCCCATCTCAAGGTCCACCATCTGGCCAGGATGGATCTGCCGTACCTGGCGTACATCCTGACAGACTTCGAATGATGGGTGGAAGGTAAAACATCGAGCTATAGTTCAATTCACATCTTGCGGTACCACCGAGGAGCATCGGTTTGTTTTCTTCTGGTTAGTATGAGTTCACTGCTGCATATTGTTTCTCTGATTCTCTGTAATACAACTCTCTGTCATGCATATCTTGTAAGTGTCGTGATCTCTATATCTATCTTATTGATGATACAAAAGGTCATGAGGCTCTTCAGCTGCTTAGTTGATCCTGATGTAGAATAGAATAGATGTGTACTGGAGCTGAAACTGGTTTAGAGAACTAGGCAGAATTGAATTGAATTTGATCGTGAACACGCGGGCGTCTGCATACATCTTGCTCTCGGCGATCGTCATCTTTTTCATGAGCTCGCGTTCGCATCAACGACCTGGAGTATGGCCTTAGCATTGTTAGCCGATTTTCTACGACGAATGCGTTTGGACTTCTTCCTGACACCCGCAACCACGCTTCGTACCAGGGTTCTACGATGTGATCCGTCCTCTATCCTTTTCGACAACGACACTCCCAGATTCTCCGACTCAGAAACGGAAAAAGCTTTACGACAAGCATCAGATATCCTCCACTCCCTACAACCTCTTGCATTTCCAACAGAGACGGTGTATGGCTTAGGAGCACTAGCTTTGGAGCCCACCGCAGTCGCACGCATTTTCTCGACGAAGGGCAGGCCGCCAGATAATCCGCTCATTGTTCATGTTTCTTCTCATGCAATGCTTCGTCGCCTCCTTCCAACGAATTATGTGATACCTCCAATCTACGAATTGCTCATGAAGCACTTTTGGCCGGGAGCGTTGACGCTTCTATTCCCCACCGACCCTTCCCTTGTTCCTCCAATAATAACAGCAAACCAACAAACCGTAGCGGTGCGCATGCCCTCTCATCATGTTGCCCGAGCATTGATAGCCGTAGCGGATGCACCTATTGCTGCACCGAGTGCGAACTCGTCCGGAAAGCCCAGTCCTACTCGTGCAGAGCACGTTCTCCGAGATCTGGACGGGAAAATCCAGTTGGTCTTAGACGGCGGTGCATGCGGCGTTGGGCTGGAGAGTACCGTTTTGGACGGCCTCAATAAAGATGGCAATCTTCGCATTTTGAGGCCTGGAGGTGTCACTGTGGAAGATCTGGAGAGAGTAATCACCACTGCATATCGTGGAGGCGAATCTGTCCCTAGGGTTTTGGTTCATAGACGCGACTATAGAGACGAAGTCATGGAACAAGCTCCAACCACGCCCGGGATGAAGTATAGGCATTATTCACCGGCAGTACCCGTTATTTTGGCGTGTACGGTCTCTACACCTCCGTCAGGTGTCGAGAATGTATCAGCTGCCTCTTTCGTGGATTCCCTAAGAAAACATTATGCATCAGATAAAGGTCTTAAAGTCGGTATTCTGGCTCCGTCAGATTCGTCATTTGCAGCACGGTTATCTGCGCTGGAGGGGATCAACTGGCAGCATTATTCCCTTGGCCCAGCCGCAGAGCCAGCAATCGCGGCGCAGCGTTTATTTGATGGTTTGCTTTCTCTGGACCAGGATGGCGTCGATGTGATTGTCGTTGAGGAACTCAAGGAAGAACGTGAAGGACTGGCTTTCATGAATCGAGTGCGCAAGGCTGCCGGAGATTCGGTATGGGTTCGGACATAGACTAGGATAATGGCGATTATAGATAGAGCTCGCATGTAACGTGTGTATACATTTCTCTCGACTAACAGTGTCAAAATAGTACTCAGCTTTGTTATTGGTACTCTAGATATCCTTTGCAAGGAATACACCGATTGATCAGGATGTAGATGGTTCCTAAACTGTGTTTATGCGAGGATTGAAGACTGACGTCTGCAGCCTTTCTGCCTCAGTGGAAAGAAATCCTGGTAAGTTTCCTTTTCATCAGTCTAGTTTAATAGTCATGAGCTTCGAGCTCTTGGCAGTCTTGCTACGCGTGTAGCTGCAAGTTAAGCTGCACCACACGTTTCCATCCAATCGAAGCTTCTAATCAAGGATTCGAGACTTTGATCTGATTTCCTTTCATTATGTGCCTCCCGGAATCGGTCAGAGCTTCCGATTTGTCTGAGGAGAGTCCAAAGACCATCATCCAGGTAGCCACCGAGTCTTTCGGCACCCACAGCGCGCGCATACAACGTGTAGATGTACACTACTGCACCTTTGTTCACCTGAAGGGGCCGAAGGGGTGGTCGGTACACATAAATACTCGGGCTGTTTTTCGAAGTTTCCCCGATATCCCCCACAATCAATCCCGCCACTCCTTCCTGCTACTTGTCATTCCTTCGTGGACAACTATAATCATCTGCGAGGGCTTTACCTCCATCGGCTGCATTGAGTGTGTACTTAGACAATGCACTTCTACTCTCGCCCTTATGTGACATTGACCATTCAGATCGTCTCCCTCCTGTGCCCACAATGTCTCCTAGCACAACATCGGATTCCGACGTTGAATGTCCTTCTAGCCCTTCAAAAGGGGGTGCTTCCCAAGAGAAGTATGGGCCTGAGCTCCTTCACGCTGTCGGTACAGTGATGTCCAAACCTGGCTGTCCGATTCCAGAAGGCAAAATGCCCATTCCGTCATCGGATTTGCGTGCTTGGTGCTTTCCATGCCGCGATGCGAGTGTATACTATGGCAACCTGGACCGTGTTATAATGACAAAAACTGGCCAGAAACCTGCTCGCCCACCGAATTGCTTTATCCTCTTTCGTAACTATGCGGCAGCGGGAGTCGTGGACGGGATAGACGGGGTTGGAATCAGCGGTTTTTCGGGGGTGTGCTGGTCACGCGTGGCCGACGATGTTAAAGCTCTATGGAAGAATGCTGCGGATCAAGTCATGGACGAGCATGCGAGACTCCACCCCGGTTATAAATACAGGCCAGAGTCACCACAGAAGACCAAAACGTCGCCATCCGACAGTTCTCGCAAGCGTGGAATAGCAAATTTGCAGAACGCCATCCAGCGCGAGAAGTTGGATTCGCCGGTGCTGAAACGCAAGCATCGTAAGGGGAAAGCGTCTCGCAATGCTTTCCGTTGTCATACCCCGTCCTTGTCAACTACCCCTTCTTCATGCATGTCATCTCCCACCCCCTCGACACCGTCTCTCTCGAACGCATTAAGTTCGCTTAGCATTGCATCCAGCCCTCCCACATTTGCGTCTCCACTTAATCACCCTGTGAACATGACTGAAGCCTGGACCGAACAGAGTTCATCTTGGAACGTCTCCTCTAACAACGCACTGGGTCTCTTCGGTTTCAGTGAGGTAAGCGAAACCATAAGATATCGTGCTAGATCATTGCCGACTCGACGTCAATCTTGTATAGAGCTCTACCGATACTTTCGGACACATTGAACCCGCTCCGCTCCCTAACATGGGCCTCGGTTGTTTCGACGATATGAACTCCATGCTGTCGTATGCAGAATCCTTGGACACTTTCACCTCCAATCTCGGCGAGCCTAACCAGTTCTTCAATCTCTCCGAGTACATCGACTTCGAACAGCTTTCTTGAATCTTGACAGTTCTTAACGTTTTATTCTATTTTATTCACGCACTCGTTGACGCTCCTTACACGGCGAAACGCACGTCCGCATCGCTCCTTACATCGCTCGTTTCATTCCCAACTGTCACACACTCCCGCACGCAAGAAACCTCTTCGTTGTTCTCATTTACTTCGGCACTTCTTACATTGGTTTTGGCGCATGAATCTTTCATCCAACTATTTTGCAGTTATCCATAGGTTATTACTTGGGCTGTTTAGGTTACTATTGCTATGCTATAGTACATACCCTGGTCGGTTCACAGTCCAGTCACGGTGCCCAAGTTACTTTTGAAAGCGCCTGAAAAACGAACTATCTAGGACCGGATGGCTTTCATGGCAAAACACCTCTATAACTTCCCTTGCATCCTGTTCCTTCACTATGTTCGCTTAAGATGGCAAATCAATATGTAGACAGTTGTAAGTACGTGTAGGGTAGGCTTGAAGTAGAATGATCGACTATGATCGACGACCACGCGACGACATCCATATGGTGGCAGCCGAGCAACTCTCCAATTGCCTCCAGTACACATGTCGGCTCAATTTGCATGGTCTTCTCGACTATGGATCAGTCGCTGCGGATCATTTGGTGCAGACGATATGTGTAGTCACTTTCCTGTTCTCTTGTTGATTTTCCTTCCCATCCGAGGCTTTCTCGCTTCGCCCGACGGGACCACAGGTTACCTCGACTGTCCGGCTCGTATTCCCTCTCGCCATGTCTCTTCGGCCTTTCCATTTTGATGTTTTCCTCATCATCCATAATTGCCTTCTCTAACGACAGCAATTACGTTGAACTCATGCCTGCCTCGATCGATTCCCTCGAATATCATAGCTTTAAGCTGACTTACGGACCCGGCCCTGTTGCTCGATTTCCGCGCAATCCATTATCACAAGTGCATCGATTACGTACCTCCCGTATTTCACACTGACCCTCCGCAGGTTTGTCGAACCATTGACATCCCCACCGGCCGACCCTCGTGACAGTATTTTGATATAGAAACCGACATCTTGATTCCTGCTCCTTTGCCTTTCCTTTTCCACTACAGACGTCGTCGTGATATTGGCTACGCTGTCACCTCAAATGCGGGATTTGCTGGGGCCTCGGGCATTGCGACCTTCCATCGACGTATCAACAGCGTCTCGATTTACATCCTGTCCCCATGCCGAACTTCCCCTTTCAAACCGTTTATCGTATCACAGCCCCGCCCCTCGACAAGTATTCGATCGTTGTTAAATCACTCTCAACGCACCTCAGCATATTGCGACTGGCAGCTTCGCCGTGTGCTTCTCTGTCCATGAGATCTGAGAAAGCGAGACGCGTTCAGTTGTGTTCTTTTATCTGAATCAATCGGCCGCTATCTGTCTATCCTCAGAGTTCCGTGACGTTGGCGACAGGCTTGCAGTCAATCAAGTCGTAGGGACAGCTAAGAGGTTGTCGCTCAAGCACTCGTTCCGCTTTTGTGGCTCTACGAACTCACGGCGTGGACATCCTGGAGTCTTCTGCCTACGAATGATTTCTCTTCATAGACTGTTTCACCTGTAATACATTTCACCTTGCTCATTACTCATTTTTGGTAGTACTCAGTACCTTGTTATCTGAGATAGTTCATATTTACTTTCAATTTTAAAACTACTACAAACAAAGAATTTAAGTACAAGATAGAGCAGCTGATAAGACAAACGATCGAGGGGACCGCGTGAGCGTCTACCGTTCGATCCGGCAGGAAAATGATCAAAACATCAGTCTGACTCTGTCAGACTGACTACAGTTCTCTCACTCCTCGGCAAGGCATTCTCTGCGTATCAGTAAACACTATACCAATTTCGACCAACAGAATGGCTGGAAAGAAACGTAAAATGCTTACTACCGACGACTTGATGCGGATGCAAGAGCAGCCTAGCTCGAAACGACCACGAGAGGACCACGAGGATGAAAGCCTCGACTCGGATGACGATTCTGCATCGACTTCGTCCTCTGTACCCACAATACAGAGAAACAGGAATAGACAAGCAATTTCAGAGGAGGATCCTGAGGATTTCGGACAGGAATCTAGTGATAGCGAAGACGAGTCTCAACCACTGACCATCCCCAGTCTAGCAGACTCATTAGACCGATTCTCTTCATCCCGACTATCTATTCAACCTAGAAAAGCACTTCCCACCCCTACACCTTCTATTCTTTCAAAGCCCGTGCCAACTTCTTTTGCTTCCCTCGGAATTTCGCCTGCATTGTTGAATGCACTTTCCAAGATGTCTATCAAAACGCCGACGGAGATTCAGTCTGTTTGTATACCCCCAATCCTGCAAGGCGAGTAACACCAACTTTATCCTTCCTTTCCCCATATATTGACACTCTGTGATCGTAAGGCAGAGACTGCATAGGGAACGCCAAAACGGGTTCAGGAAAGACGATTGCTTTCGCACTTCCCATATTGCAAAAACTTTCCGTTGACCCATATGGTATCTTTGCTCTTATTCTCACTCCAACCAGGTGAGATATAATACACTGTTCTCACGTATTCGCGTTCGCTAACATCGACCTGCCGCAAGGGAGCTTGCATTCCAAATCTCAGAGCAATTTGCCGTCCTGGGATCTTCATTGAACTTGCGTACAGCAGTCATAGTGGGAGGAATGGATATGATGGCGCAAGCTCTCGAACTGGGCAATCGGCCACATATTGTCGTCGCTACGCCAGGTCGGATAGTCGACCACATTCGGAGTAGTGGTAGTGAATGGGACCTTTCTCGCGTTAAGTTCTTGGTAAGAACCTAGTTGATGGTCATAGTTTGTCTTCCCGGGGTTTAAACATCATTGTTTAGGTTCTTGATGAAGCTGATCGACTGCTCACATCTACTTTCGCCCCTGAACTATCGTACCTTTTCGAAGTCCTTCCCACGGAACGCCAGACATGCCTGTTTACTGCGACTCTAACGGAATCTATTGAGACAATTGCCGCGGCACCTCCTAGACCCGGCAAACAGAAACCATTCATACACAGGATGACTGCAGGGTTTGTTCAGCTTGTTGTCTCTCGTTTGTGATAATCTAATAATATTCTGCACAGTGTTGAGACCGTCGAAACGCTCAAGCAACATTACATTCTCGTACCATCGCATGTCCGCGAATCGTACCTTTACCACCTACTCTGCAATCCTCCAGAGTCCACTATCCATCTTCGACGTGCTCCCCCAGAACCGGTCCGAGGAAGGAGGAAAGGCAAACCCGGTTCAAGACCCAAAAGGCCTTCAAAGAAGACGGCAATGGATGAGGAAGAGATCGAGCAACCACCTCCAACAATCATTTTCTGCATTAAACCACGTACCGCAGCCTACCTCACCAACCTCCTAAAAACCCTCCACATCCGAAGTACAGCACTACATTCTCGACTCACTCAACGAGAACGACTATCATCATTAGGACTATTCCGGTCATCAGTCGTGCCAGTATTAGTGTCAACAGACGTAGGAGCTCGTGGATTGGATATCGAAGAAGTAGCCATGATTATCAACTGGGAGTTGCCCAGTGAACCTGAAGAGTACACACATCGAGTCGGACGTACTGCGCGTGCGGGGAAGGGTGGTGTGGCAATCAGTTTTGTGACGGAGCGAGATGAAGAGAAAGTATTAAAGGTCGAGGAACGAATCAGTATGTCTATTCCGGCCCCCTTGTTACCATGAACCAGACTAACGGCATTCGACTCTTCGTAGAAACGAAGCTGACCGAGATGACATTGTCAGAGTCTAAAGTGCTGGAGAAACTCAATGCGGTATCGACAGCGAAGCGGTTGGCCAATATGGTGAGTCCTCGGAAGGCCCTTTGGAGTCTTGACTTTGCTTTATTTGGAGCCGACGATCTCACGTTCTTTCGGGTGTCAGGAACTGCACGACTCCGACTTTGGCAAGCGGGAAGAGATTCATCGAATCAAGAGTGCAAAGCGGAAAGCGGATATCTCATAGCACCTATCCTCAGGCTGTTCATGTTCCATTCTCGTGCCACAATCGGTTCATTCTTCCGGCATATTAGGCATTCTCATGCAAATGTGGTTCCAAATATTACATTTGAGAAGTCATATTACTTCGAATGATACAGGCAACTCCGACGAAGATTTGAGCACGACGTGCGTGCACTCCACTGCGTCGATCGCAACATTATAGGTAGAAAACGACCCATAACCGGAAAACTGCATGATACGAGAAAGAGCCATGCTAAAAAAGAAGCCTATGCAAAGTGAATCGAAACGCGAACACGACAACCATGGACAGGGGCGAGACAAAACATACAGTATACAGCGAGAAAAGACAACGTGCAGGGAAACATCAAAAATTGCAAAAATGAGTAAACCTGGTTGGGAAAGAGAACAATTATGCATACACTGAAGAATGGGACACCGGTGATTTCGGGGATGCTCTGGCAAGAAAAAGGAAATGAGCACGATACGATATGTGGCGGCTATTCGTGAATGGGGCTGGATCAAGGTGGTAGTACAAGCGGCGGGGCGTTTTTGATAGTGATACTGGTACAACAATGCTGGAAACGAAGAGAATCGAGTATGCGAATGACTTTGGCATGAGTCCGTGTATACATATGCCGGAGAATACGCATACCGAAGAGCGTGATTGAATGATAAGTTATTGACGTTGAAGGTGACTGTATGCTGCGAAAAATAACGATAACTGTTCATGGCGTCTAGTCATTCATATGGTGAATTTCAATGACCGGCATGTATGCGGTCCTCAGATGGTGGTCTGTGAAGCGGGTTTTGTTAGCTCAGCACCAGATCCCAGACGCAAGCAGAAATAGCTACCAAAATTAGCCAGGAGGATCATAATATACATACCTTGACCACCGACCACTGTATTATGAGCTGTTTGATGCGATCTCGAAGGGTTGCTTGGCACAACGAGCAACTGAGATGATCCCCCAAAGGGGACAATGCAGACTCCATAGAACTCGCCGAAAGATCTAGGCGAAGGATACAAAAGCCATTTAGCACCAGAAATATTGGGGACTGCAGGTAGAATGTACCTGGTCGAGCATCCCAAGCCAGGTAAGCAGAAGCCAGAGCCCAAGCACGCGTCAGTTTCTTCTGTTCCGCAAAGTCACACGTTGGGGTTGGGGCATGAGGATGAGGCGGGGGCAGCAGAAGCCGTTTTAATGCGTCTATGCGACCGAGATGCAAGAAGAAAAGACGTTTTAGGTAAATAGGACCCATTCTGACAGCTTGCTCATCAGTGAGATTTGGTAGTGGGAAGGCGAGGAGATGCGAAGAGATGGGAACGGCGAGGTCGTAGAGGTCATGATGAGCTGCCAATGTGTACATCTCAATCGGAGCAACGGGAGCAACAGAAAGTACTTGTTGATACAATGGGGTAGAGGGCGCGACATATTTGGCCACAGGAATCCCATACTTCTTAAGTGCATCCACCGCGAAAATGAGAGTCTCGACAGAGGGTGAGTAATGACCACAGGGCAGATTGTATATGGTATGCAGGACGACATTGATCACAGAGGACGATTCCGGCATAGAGACAATTGGCCCCACGTCTTCTGTGCTCTTCGGCTGTTTTGGAGGCAGAAGGGAATTAAAGCCGTTCTCCGACGCGCCCAACACTTGGTGGCAATGTACGTAGAAGAAGACTGCATCGGTAGAGAGAATGATGAGGTCGGGGGGAAGAGGGCCTAGACTGGCCCCGGGAAAGAAAGTGGTTGATACCGAAACGACCGTATTGCTCTCAGGAATCTCTTCAGAAGGCGAACCTTGCTGGGAGATCTATGTAGGGTAGATATGAGTAAAGCCGACTTGAAGGAGTCAATGCGGCGAGAGAGACTTGCTGGAGGCGTTGGCATTTGCAGGATGGGAGCCTTCTCAGGCACAGACTTTTCTGGAGCAGGCGAGCCCACTTCAGAAGACACAAACTGGAGCCATTCCGAACTGTCCATCTCGATGAAATCTCTGTGAGTGGGGAAAGGGGGACGAGAAGTCGTGGATGAAGTATGAATTACGAAAGGAGAATCCGAGTGGGTGAGGGCGTTATCAGGTGAGAGAAAATACTACGATGGTGCCTATGGAGTATATCAGAAGCAGAGAAGAGGATATGAATGAATCAAAACATACGGGACAGTGGGGAGAGGAGAGGAGAAGAGGGGCAAGCTAGAAGGAGGGTAAGCTATAAGTAGGACTGGTCTTCGCGCGGGCTTTACATGGCTCTACTGAATGTCCTGATCGCGTGCTGTTTCCAGAAAAGGAAACTGCCGACTTCCATCTACTTGCCGTCGGTTCCCTCCTCGAGCGACGAGGCCAATGGGCGAGTTCTCTCGGTATTATTCAGCCCGTGAGGCCTGCCCCGACCCCCGGTGAGTAGTTGACGGCGACATCACCCTCTACATATTCCAGCATGTGTGAGCAGACACATATCCCCCCATGTCTTAGCTTTCCGCATAGTTGCGGGCCCAATCGTTATCTTGTCCTTTGAAGACCGACTCTAGTCTAGTTCCCATCGAGGTTGTAACGATTTCCGCCGAGTTCCTTGATGACCCTATTGTCACTTTATTGCATCGCTTTGCACTATGACTGCATGAGGAACTAAGCTTGGGGGCCTCGGCCCGTCGAAAAGGAGGTTCGCTAAGGATGGACGCTGGAATGAAGGGTCTTCTTGGATGTTCAAAAGAAAGGTAGGTTCGGGTATCCGATTGGTATACGACTACATGTATAAAAAGGACATCAAAGTTCCAGAATGCCTCAGAACTGTCCAGGGTGAAGAGCGATATCATGTCTTGCGTCACTACTCCCTGCTCCGTCACCGGCCCTTGTCCTCCGCCAATATAGCGTCGTTGAGCTCGTCCAATGGTGCAAGCTCTTTCTTATCGACGAGATCAAACTATAGCCGTACGTTACTTTCTGCAATACACATTTCTCATGAGACACAGAACACACCTCGTTAACGAACAAGAAGAAGTGGCGGTAACTGGTGTTCAGATGGGCTATCCGTGCAGGCGCATATACCGTCAATCACCGGGATGAAGGGGAGAACGATAACACGCACCTTCAATGCCCAATGCACATATATGGTCAAAATGATTACTGTACAAGTGGGCGTACACTCGGAACAAGCGTCGGAAGATCGTACGAATATTATCACGGAAATTCTTTGGAAACGGGACACCTAAAAGCAGCGAGATTGATATAAGATTGCTAAATGGGACCTTAATAATGAAAGCCGCCTTACCGATCTTGTTTGGAAAGACCTCTTCATTATCCAACAATCCTTGGGCCCAGTTCATGAGGGCGTCGACATATTCTGGCGCGGGAAGTTTTGTCGGCCGCTTGAATTTCACGCCGTCTTCCCACAAGTATTCATATCTACAAGCCAGAAGAGTCAATGTCAACAAACGAGGTCAATACCATCAAACTCACCGTGGTCCAGCAGACATGATCGGACACTACATGGAGTATGAGCTAGCTCATCGGCACTCGCTGAAGGACGCATCGTGTACCTCTTGGGGTGTGCAGAACTCCGTCACCGTCCCATAGAGCATGTTCAAGTGGTTGAAGAAGTCCACGACTTGATAGGATCCAAGTTGACCATCACATAAACGCCCCAAAGAATAAAGCGTCGACACACACCGTGGACAGCTAGCCACTCATTAAGGTCCTCTCCGTCGGGGAGCTGAACGGCGAGACGCAGATTACCTGAGCCCTAAGAGCAACATCGAGAATCAGCACACCACGGTTAGACCGCCCGACTATAACCACTGACCAGTGTAGCCTCCGCATACTTTCTAAGTTGATACTGCTTTGTACCCTCCGGTACATCCTTGCGTGGTTTGAATGTTCGAGTCTTTCCTCTAATCAATCCCGTTACATTCAGGATCGAAACGTACAACAAGAGCAAACTCACAAGCCAAAGAATGCAGACATGGTGAGCTAACGTCGAACGAATGGAAGATGCACGAGATGGTTACCAGAGAGTCAAGCAAGGTAAATGAACGTTCGTCCACGGACCCGCGCCATGAACGCGATATCGGGATGGGCGCTTGTATCGAACCTTGATCACAATAATGGACGCTCGTCCAGATCTCAGATTTCTTCGACCCTCGGCGGGTAAGGTTTCAATGAAAGTTTCAGTGTTTCACTGAGGGGTCCTTCTTATTCCACTTTTCACTGTACGGAGCTCGAAGAACCTCAAGCTACAAAACTTCACCGTACGAACAATACAAGTTCCTGCTTACGGATCTCATCGTCACGAGTTAATCAGTCCATCTGCCGTTGATATATAGCGTGTAGAGTCATGAAGACCGTACATGATGAATACGACAACGCGGCTTTACCGGCTATCTGTGCTCCAACGTCCCCGTTCGGAAGTTCAACAGGAGGTAGTTCTCCAGAACTTTCCGAGACCGTGCTTACTGACCACTTCGAGCTGTGTAATATGTATGGGAGACGTCAGCCCCAACCGGGTAGGTGGCGTGTGTCGGAGTGACATATATAAGGTGCTGGGAATGTGGATATGACTTCAGTATCCACTTGCCACAAGGAATATTAAGACATAACATACCCCTTTCTCACTACTCAAAACCGAATCCACGACAAGTAAAACAAGAATGTCTCCTCGCGTCCTTTTTGTTTACACTTCAGTCGAGAAGAACTTGCTTGACCAACCAACTGTATGAATGCTTTTACTCTTTGAGCAATGGCGTTGCTGATCTATCCGGTATAAACAGGGCTGGTATCTCCCTGAGGCTGCTCACCCTTACTATGTTCTCGCACCTCATGCAGAGATTGACTTTGCGGCTCCCAAAGGCCCTAACCCGCCCGTTGATCAATACAGTGTCCAGGTAAGTCCACATATCCTTCTCATAAGCCCCCCACACTCCACATCGTTCCGTCCCTAACCATGCCTTACCTATTGCACCATTCAGACATTCAAAGACGACGAAAGCGTCAGGTTCTTGAGCGACGAGACTGTCAAGAACAAGTTCGCCAACGCAAAAAAGCTCTCTGAAGTCAATTCCGCAGATTACGACGCGATCTTCTACATTGGCGGACATGGTCCTGTCATTGACCTAGCATCTGACCCCGTCAATGCTAAACTCGCCTCAGACTTCTTCCGTGCAGGAAAGATCACTGCTGCTGTCTGCCACGGACCTGCGTAAGTCGTGAACGTCATTCTCGGATGGGATATTTGATTTGATTCGATTTGATTTGGTTCGGGATTCAGTGCGCTGGTAGGTGCAACAGATGCCAATGGCCAGCCCATCTTCAAGGGCAGAGAAGCAACCTCATTCTCTGATGCCGAAGAGATTGCTGTCGATATGGTCAAGGTTATTCCTTTCTTGGTAGAGGATAGGATCAAAGAGCTTGGTGGTATTTACAACGCAGCCGAGCCTTTTGCTGTGAGTACTAGTTTTCTTGCTTTAGCGCAAGCAACGGTTTACTGACGGTGTCATGCTTTGCAGCCCAAGGTCATAATTTCCGATAATCTCTATACCGGTCAAAACCCTGCTTCTGCAAAGCCTCTTGGTGAGGAGATCTTGAAAGCGTTGAAGAAGGCTTGAAGTAGCCCATTAATAAAATCTAATGGTACAACCTGTATAACACATTGTATATCTAGGCTGCGATTTGTTTGCCATTCAAACACCTTTTTTGACCCGTTGCGAGATAGTACCGCGTATCAGACTCGACACATGAGCATCAATCATGCATTGTGAAGACGAGAAATGAGATGAATATGAATACAGCGAAAAATACAATAAATCAGATGTACGCAACCGACATAGCCCAGCCCTTCTTCAACGCAAAGCCGTCAAGCGACTCTTTTGCAACAGAGGCCAATTCTGGTGAATCGAAGATCGCCTGGGCCATTTTGACTTTCTGTCCCTGTGCATTCGGTGTTGGAGAGACCACAACGTGCGTCGATTGGAATCCTTGGTACCTGAACGTGAATTGCAGTCAATTATCCGAGAATGGAAGTGAAGATCAAAGGAGGAGCCTACTGTTGAAATAGCACAGAAAGAACATCATCGGTAACTTCCTGGGGGAGGTTTGTACATAATAAACGGGCAGAGGGCTGTTGGACGGCTGGTGGGACTGCGAGGGCGGAGTGAATCTTGTACTTAAACCGGCATGCCGAATGAAGGGACGTACCGGTATTCTGACTCGGAACCTCTTTGACAACCTCCTCCTCGTCCTCCTCGATCTCCATTTCCTCATCCTCATTCTCTTCAGTCCTCTCTCTCTTTGATTCCCTCTCACCTTCGTCAATACGATCAACTTGCCGCTTTTGTCCATTCACAGCAACAAGGCCATTGCCCAGTCTCGAAATGGTTTCTTTCGCATGGAAAGACGTAGGCGGGACATAATTGGGATCTTCTTTACGGAAAGTCGCATACGATCTGGACTTTGCGTATTGGATATGCTGTAGCATGCGCCCGAAAAATGGCCAGTCACTTGTTCACATCAACGACTTCCAAACGAAACGCTCTTGAGATGGATCGCGCACCATCGGTTTATCATAAAAGACGATACCTTCGCAGGCCCGCAAGGCAGCGGTTGCCCCTGCCAGGTCGCTGAACACGAGGAACGCTTGACCGCGCATTTTGGGGCCCTTGAGGGCTACGACGTCGATCACCCTGCCATATGTGGTGAAGAGATTGTAGAGCTGGCTGCGGAGTTCTTCCTTGTTGATTTTGTCGTTGAGGTTGTTTATGTAGAGAGTCTCATTGGGTTGAGTGGAGGACATGGTGGTGGAATGAACGCGGCAAGTGCAAAGAGATGTTGAATACAGCGCTGGTCTCGCTAGAGGTCCCAGAGGACACACGGTTTTCCCACGGATGTGCACGTTTGCAGCGACGCGTTAAGAAGAAACTACCCGAATCGGCTGCCTCTCGTTGGTCGCAAAGCGAGCCTTCTGGTTACTCTTTGCCAGGTCAACACGTTTACAGGTCTCCTCGACGTGCACCTCAGAGCGCGTACTGCAGTGCGTTGCAGGTTGCAGCCAGTCGTCAAAGCGGACATTGCAATCCCTGACAGGGTTTCTTGCACGTGGCACCTGTAAGGTTTCTCGGTATCTGACTGACATGCGCTGATGCTTTTGCGGTCCTCTGTCGTAGCTCTTCCCTGGTCTCGACGACGCGTAAAGTCTGCGTTTTATGACTGTTTGACGAGTCTGCGACTATATACCATCGCCATGAACACCATAGATGCGCGAAGTTGGCTACCCTCCTTTGCCATTCCCTTCTTTACACTCTCATACCCGGTTGACAGTCCGGCTGCGCCGGATTCTTTCCACAATTCACAGTTCTATGGCACCGGCCTTCTTGACGGATGCTTCATCATTACTTGCATTGCCGTAATGGCTATTCTGCGTGATGCTATTCGGCTAGGCATCTTGGAACCATTCGCGAGGTGGAAGCTCACCAGAGACCACCGGCTAAGATCTGTCAAATCCAATGGCCACGCGAATGGCAATGGGAAGACCAATGGAGATGTATACCAAAAAACCAATGGGGTTGCGAATGGCAATGGTCACGCTGTCGATGACTGCGCGGTGACAATTTCGAAGGCGGAGGCCAGGCGAATGAGGAGAAGTGTGCTTCGTTTCGCGGAACAGGGCTATGCCTTCGCCTACTACACATTTCAATGGGCATTTGGCTTGGTATGTTATCTGGTTACGCATGATGTTTCTCCGACTTCTGACATATTCACAGTATGTTCACCATCAACTCCCGACGTCCCTCCTGAACCCCGTAGAGATTTGGCATGGTTACCCTCACATACCCCTTGCCGGACCCCTCAAATTCTATTATCTGACCGAAACTGCCTTCTATCTCCATCAAGTACTAATCCTCAATGCAGAGGCTCGCCGCAAGGACCATTGGCAGATGATGACACACCATATCATCACCGTCCTTCTCATGTTTGCAAGTTATGCCTACAACTATACCCGAATTGGCTGTCTGGTTATGTTCTTGATGGACTTTTCCGACGTCTTCCTACCGGTGCGTGAATACAGTTTTGTTGCACGACATCATTAGCTTATGTTAACCCAGCTGGCGAAAATGCTCCGCTATCTCTCGTTCTCCACTCTTTGTGACTTAACGTCCGTTTGCTTTGTGGTGTCATGGATTGTCACCCGACATGCGTTATTCTTATTGGTCATAAAATCGACATACTGGGATGCGCTTCGCATAGTCCCACCGTTGTGGGATGCTGAGCGAGGTTTCTATATAACGAAAAGCGTGATTATGAGCTTCAACGTCATGCTAACAGCACTCCAGGTGAGCACTACTTGGTCATCTGACACTCGTCAAAGATTTTACTGAATGCAACCGACTTTCAGATACTTCAGTTGATGTGGTTTTATTTGATTTGTCGAGTAGCATGGCGGGTTATCAAGGGCGAAGGTGCTCAGGACGAGCGCAGTGACAGCGAAGCGTGAGTTATTCTCCTTGTCTCTGCATGCATCATGTTCACAATCTAGCAGCGAGTTTGATGACATTGATTTGGAAGATGAGAGCAAAAAGGAGCGGTGAAGGGGAGGGTATCTAGATATCTGGGCATACTGCGGAGAGGAGCCGGGTAGCGGTTGGACTTGACTCTTGGATTGTTGTAGACTAACCTCCTCCTGCAGCAGAGGCTGCTAATGCTTTATCTATACCTCTGTTCCTGCAATTTATTCAAGATTGGGAGTTACGTTAGAATACTGAGTTCACAGTGACAGACTGCTTTTCGTAAGCAACTTCCTTATCGGGAACATCGAGTGACCTCAGTGCCATGGGCGCAGTGGTTCGCAGCCTCAACAACTCTCTCTCTACATCTCCCTCAGTCTCTCTACCTTTTGTACTCTACACGTCCACCCTACTTTCAGATCATCCTTTTACACTCTGCCTCAACACTACTTAGTTCTCTGGTGACAACCCCAACCAACATGATGGCAAGCTTCATGAGCTACTTTGGTGGTCGAAGGGACCCGAAGCAGTCCTCTCGAGACGCAATAGTTACTCTACGGCAACAGCTACAGATGATAGAGAAGAAGGAAGACTACCTTCAACGGAAAGTGGATGAGGAGTTGAAGAAAGCCAAGGCGAATGCGGTTACTAATAAACCAGGTTCGTCTCGGATCTTTCTCTCTCTTTACGCGTGAGAGGTAACATTCTGGAATTGACGCTTTTTGGTTTTGGTGCTGGTTTCAGTTGCGACACAGGCGTTGAAGCGGAAGAAACTTCATGAACAGGAGCTTGACCGATTACAGAATACGAGATTCCAGCTGGAGATACAAGTGAATACCCTAGAGTCTGCCAGCTTCAATGCGGAGACCATGGCTGCTATGAAGAAAGCTGCCGGTGCTCTCTCAGATATCCATGGCACTCTGTACGTCCCTCATAATATAACCTTACTTCCTCATTGGTCCGGGATCTTGCTCATTTTGTTGTTATTTCACTTTTAGGAACATTGAGAGGGTCGATGCTACTATGGCGGAGATCCAGGAACATATGCAAGTGGCGAATGAAGTCTCAGAGGCAATATCAGCCCCGATGAATGGGGGCTTGGAACTTGATGATGTACGTCCCAGTTTCTCCTTCTACCTCCGTGCATGCTGATAACTCATCCGATGTCTCATAGGCTGAACTGAAGGCAGAGCTCGACGAGCTTGAACAGGAAGAACTCAACGAGCGGCTTGTTGGTGCAGAGCACGTCCCAGTGCACCATCCCGCAGGTCCAAGTCGAGTACCAGAGAGTGAGTTTCCTGTCCACTATGACCGTTACCTATACGCTAATGATTCCCTTATCGCAGCTCGACGTCCGGTGGCAGTGGAAGACGACGAGGAAGCGCAGCTCAAGGAGTTACAAGCTGCACTCGCGATGTGATCTCGCATGATTCCCCATTCCTCTTTCGGGACCTTCTACATACCTTGTTTCCCCGCTTTTGCCGTATATTCTATGCATCTCCTTTTCCTTTCCTCTTGACCATCATACACATACAGCTCCTCTCGCCTCCCCCACGCTCGCAATTTCTACTTATCTGCTGCCTTAAATTACTTTGTCTAGGTCCTCCGATTGTTTCCTCTGTCTTTTTGTGTGCCATTATCATGATTATGAATGTAATACTCGACGAACTTCCCCTCTACAAAGGAACCTTCATATGACCCGTGGGGACATGCCCTCGTGTTTTACTTCGAGATCATTGTATCTCTACGTCGTATGGGTAGGGACAGAGCAGACACGTCCGAAAGGGTCGGGAAGAGAAAACGCGACTTCTTTGGCAAGTTATCTGGGTATACTAGGGTGGTTTCGACGACATTTGTTGCGGAGGAGTGGTAGTACATATTGACACAGTGCTAAATATTAGTGGAAGCGGTTGATGCAAGAAGGATCTGGGATCTGGGATATGGATGGTACGGAATGTATGTAACTAGCTCAACTAAGATGCAGGATGATTGAATGGGTGGGGCGTGGGGAGATAATAAGTAATGCGCAATTGCAATTGAGGTGTAAATTATTGATATCAATGAACGACCAACAAGAGAGAAAAATCGGAAACACAAAAAGCGAGGCAAAGACGAAAAGCAAAACGGGGATGAAGATGCCAAAAAGGAATATATGGTCCATGCAAACCCAAGTGAAGAATGGAATGAATGCAATTGAGACAATTGTGCATGAAGAGGATGATTTGCCTTGCGCCTTGTGTCATGAGAAACCTCGGATGCCTAGTACGCGTCGAACGTCACTCGTAAATCGTAGGGAGTCGAGCACGGGAAGTAGGTCCAGTAATGCTTCGTCGTGTGGGTCATGCGTCCAGCCCTCTATCGGGATACCGTTGGCTAGAATCACAATGACTCTTAATGAGAGCTCACAGTGACGAAGGAATGTCATGACGTACCTTCATTCGCGACATAACATACTGGAGAATTGTCTACGAGACATACAAGTGATAGATCCTGTTCCACAACCGTCAAGTCCTTGGTATATGAACCATTAGGTAGTTGTGTACACGACTGCAAAGCACAAATTCAGTCATTGAATGACTTGTATTGGAAAGATTCACGACATACTTCTCGAAAAAACCGACGAGTCAAAATTCCTCTGCCGGCATCTAGCCAATCAATGACAGGTTCGGCGTACTCTTGCATAGAGGCCGTGAAAATAACGAGCGTGTACCATGCCGAAACCTAATATAAACAGTCAGTCATGCCATCCCTTCCAAATGATAAAACATGACGTACCTTCCTGAGGAAATAATCGACAAAAGGACGTTTATAAACGTGATAAATCGTACTGCGACCCCCCAAGACGACTTCAACGGTATGCCCTGCGCCTTTATTTCTCCGGCCAAATCCAAACGTGTTCAGCAGACCGCCTCCATGATGTGAGTCCATAGGCCGTGAAGTGGAGTGAATTAGAGTTTCATCAAGGTCCAGTACGAGGGTCTTTTGACGATGTAATGGTGTCTTGTGCGTCGGAAGAGTGGGTGTTGGTGTTCGAGTACGAGCAGCTTCACTAAGCCGTGATGCCGTCGTGACAGTTATAGTTGAGGCAGATTCGATAATTATGGGAGGGTCGAACCTAGGTACCGAAGAGGAGGATGCTGAACGAGTAACGGGAGACGGTTGAGTATCTAAGTGGAAAGTTGGTGAAGGGTGTAATGGCGGAGGATGGGGTGGTGGGTGAACCTCCAATGCAATAGGCTTCTCTTCGTCCTTGCTTTCATCCTCCGTATCCTTCTCATCCTCGTCAGAGCCTTCCTCCACGACAACATCGGGAGCTCTTGTCATCACATTCTGTCGCGTTACGGAGCGCCAGAGGTTGTAGAGCCAATGCCATAATGAGAGTAACACCCGGATGAAGAAGATGCGGCGCAGCAAGGTCTCAGTACTTGATTTTGCACGAGTAACCTTCTCAGAGAAAGACACGGATGGTCTTCTTGATGAGGGTTTCGAGGAACGCCATGGACCGGGATTGGCAGATACTGAAGGAGGTATTGGAGGTTGTAACGAAGGGTCTCCAGGGTACACCTCGGCTGGAGAAGAATATGATCGCTTCAACGACCACGGTTGTACTGAGTTTCCTAATGGTAATAGGAACGACTTGGTCGACCAAGTCTGCACCCTCTTAAGTGTTCCGATCTCGCCGTCGCGCCGGTCAGGTAAGAGCAGAGACTCGTTGACTGGGGTAGACGGAGGGGTGCGCGCTGACGCCAGGACATCGAACTGGCGGGAGAGGTAAGTGAGAGAGTTCATGAGAGCAGCATAAAAGGCTGCGAGCACGCTGTGTGCAGCGGCGACGAAGGAGAAAGAGGAAGGAGAGATAGAGTGAGGGTATGAAGGTGATGGGGTTTACTTGGGACGCATGGTCGACGCGAGACTTTCAGCGGTCCCCCAACGCTCACAGCGTCTTTCTCGTTTCTCTGCCCACTTTCGTCGATCTCGGCTACCGCGTTCTCAACTGTCGCTCACATTCTCCTCATGCGATGTCTCCGGGCGGGACTTGGGGCCTCTCCTGCACAAACGTGCACTGATTCTGTCCATTGCTGCAACCGTGTTCCATGTAATATGACTGTCAACTGATGTCCTTCGGTCCTTCACGACTTTCCCAGTTCTCACAACACCTTGTTATCTCTCTCTTCTGCCCGATATCAGAAATGCTACGGTCTGTCAGACGAATTCGTCCTGAGATGCAGCTTGCACGTGTGTATCTCGTGTCTGTGGCTTGGAGAACCTCGAACGTGCGGTACAGTATAACCGCCACTTCCAGAAATGAAGACCGGTCATTACTTACGGCTCATCAGGGGCAGCTTTATTTAATAAAATGCATGTACAAGCCATTCTGCATTCTGATGTTCTTCACCGATCTTCAGGAGGTGCCGCATGTTGACAGCGGTTTTCACATGCAGCAGCCTGTGGTATGCATGTACGACAAATATACTGTATGTGCTGAAACGATGTTAGACCGCGGTTGAAAGTGAAAATAATGTAGACGGTTCCGAAGCACATTACAGATACAATATGTACAGAGCACGACGACTACGAAAGCACCAAATACACAGCGATGCATTTACAGACATCCTAAGAATCGTAAGATAAAGGGAAGAAAGAAAAATCCCTAGGGAATAATAAGTAGGAAGAAAGCGGTCACGGGTGAGAAAAGCGCGAAACGCGATTTCGACAACTGCAAGGTGCTAAAAGCTACAAAGCGGATCATACATTGATGATTTACGAAGGACAAATATTAGTTGCAAAATGGGGTGTAATGTAGATGGTGGTAGCAAAACACAGAAGACCGTCAATTGTTCATACATTGGTATGATTATTCCGAGATATGTTGAAATCTCATGATGCGAGGCTCCGCCACATTCCTATAGACCCAATCAAAGTCGGTCCACGAAAGCACACGTGAAAGAAAAATCGCGACTTACCAGCAGCTGGGACACTATCTCTCGCCTGCAGAATCTTCAACGCACGTTGTCTCGCTCTTCCTCCAACATCCTCTCCGTTTCTCACGTCATCTTCGTCTTCTTCATCGTCCTCATCCTCATCAGCGAAGTCCACGATACCAGGGTCGATGGACCGGAATCGGTCTCGTTCAGCATATGACGCCTTCAGCGCTGCAGAAGAGTTCTTGCGTAATGCAGGAACGAGGACACCTGGGCGATCCGATAAAGACGTCTTAGGTTGGTAAGACTGCATACCAAAATGGCGACCTCGGCCAATGGGTGCGATGGGTATGGGTGCCGAGGTAGCCAACTGGAAATGAGGATCGTCTGAAGCAAAGTCAGTGAGGGAGCAATGAGAACAAAAATAAAGATGACCTACTTCTGGTATCATCCTCTGTACTAGCCTCATCCTCAGTCGAATCATAATATCCAGCACGACTTGAAGTAGAATCCTCCTCGTCCTCCTCAGCTATCCGACCAGAATCTTTCTTTTTCTTCCCCTGCCTACTAACAAATAACTGCCATGCCTTGCTATTCTTTTTCCATGCATTGCGGTGACTGGGTGTATGCGCAGCGACCAATCGCAAGATCTCGGCCTCACGAGAGTCAATATCATCTTCCAGGAAGTCTTCCGGAGGTGACTCTTCAACTGTTCCGATGGTCTTCGCCAGATACTGGTTAGCCAAGACGAGCTCATCGACTTCATCTGGCTTAGGTTTCTGGTCAACATCTTTAGCAGAACTAGAAGGAGGACGTATTGCGGAGGGTTGAGGCAAAGACGCCGGACGCAGCGTTGACAATGAAGAAGGTAATCCGGATGCATCAGTTTGCCGCACTCGACGAGGTCGTTGTGGTGCTTGGATAGCGTCGACCGGGCTTGTCGGTTCGGAGTTACGGTGGGACAGCGGGTCAACAATGCTTCCACGATCTCCAGCTTCACTTTCGAAATCGAAGATAGCAGCTAAGAATCATGTATTAGACGAAGTTGAACTCGAAGATCGCTGTGAATCTTACCTTCTTCTTCCCCAGGTGTCTCAGCCTTCATCTCCTTCGACGCCTCACCATCAATGATAGTCACGTCGGGACTCACAACGAAAGTAACCTTTCGCTTGCCCTTATCACGAGAGTCCAATTTGACATCGTGATTCTGTTCAACGGCCTTCTCAGCAGGCTTCTCCCCATTCTTCTTCTCTTGTTTGGTAGTGGTAGACGTGGACGCGTCATTATCATGACTATGCTTCATAGCACTCTTGCTCGTCCTCGGAGACCGTCCACGAGGCTGTGAACCTACTACACTCGGTGCAACGTTCTGCGGTATCGGTTCCGTCTCTTTGACTATGTGAAGAGGTTTTCCCCCACGCATCTCATCCATTTGTTCAGCCATGTCCAAAACATATTTGAAGCTTGTTGCGATGTCCTTGGACTCGTCCATGTTTCTCCTGTATGCCTCCCGAATAGAACCCGCCTCATTCTGAATGTTCAGAGCGAGCGTACGAGAAGAAGCTGTGGCTGGTGACCGATCTCGTGTAGAAGTTTCAGTTTCTGGTTCAGGCGAGGCTACTCGAGGCGAATAGACTGGAGGCGATGTCCTCGCTCCATTGGTGATCACCGCTGGAGCGGCTCCATTACGCTCAGCTTGCGCCCTGGGGTGGTGGAATGATGAGGTGGCCAGGGAAGCGGACAAGGCTGAACTCATGCCCGGAGGAGATGCTACCGAAGATAAAGAACGATGTATGGGACTTTGCGGAGGGACGAAATTGGTTATTCGTATTGATGCAGGTAGTTCCTGAATGTTTGGACTTGTAGGTCGGTAGAAGTTGGCGCTACTTTGACGAGTTCGACTTCGACTTCGCTTCTTCTTCTCCTTGAATTCTTGCTCAATCTGGGTAAGGGCATGTCTCCATTGCAACCAGATTGTCTCTACTTCTTGTTTGAGTTTGGACTCGGCCAGTTGGAGCTCCTGGAGTTTGTCTTGGACAACTTTGGCTAGGTATTCCTCTGCCTCCTCGCGAAGCTTGGTGGATATTTCGGTTGCTATCGAAGAAATATGTCTGAAGACAGTATGCGAGGGTGTGAATGGAGGGGGTAGGAAGAGCGGAGGTAGAGGGGGAAGGTGCGTTCGTTGCTCGAACGATATCTTTGATTGGGAGGGCGCTGAATAGGAGGGCGCCGCAGAAGACGATGAACCGCCGGATGGTAAGACAATGCAGAACGTGCGCGAGTATAATGGAGAGGCCTCGGCCCTTGCGATATCATCGTCAGACTGCAATATAACAAATAGTTGTCAGTTTCGCGTCAAACAAGGTGAGGAGGTGAGGCGAGACCGTGTCCGCCTGCATGTCCGTATTATACGTCACCACCCGGTCATGAGGCCGGAAGGATGAATGCATTGATACAGGCCTACATGGCTGTACGGAGCTCATAGGAAATGACAGATAACTCACGATGCAGTCCTTGTACACCTCGATCCAACCCGAGGGCGACTTGAGTAGCTCACATTCTGCCCAGTCCTCAGTGGGTGGTACCGGACCTTCCCCACAATCGACATCAGGCGTGATAACTTGAAGAACACGATAAACCAATGTTCGGCAGATCAGGCAAGTCAGGGACATATATCGAGTCAGCACTGTCTCGTCCCCTCGCTTCTGTTCTTTTGCACGACTCCGAGTTCGGAGCGTAAGTTGGTTGTGCGCCTGTGACGGAATTGAGAAATTTGGAAAATGAATACTTGAAGGATGTCACTGACAACAGATATTCCGTCGTCGCCAACATAGACTGAAGTGTAATCCTTCTCCGCGGGTTCCGCACTGCTCGGAGGGGAACGGGTATTAATGCGTACGTTAAGGCATTTGCACGCATAGGAGCGATTGTGGCCACCATTTGTGGTCACAGCCATGTTAAGCCCCTTGCAGAAGAGGAAGATAATGGAGGCAGAAGGAAAGAGGTTGGAAAGAAAAGACGCTGTGGGTGGCTGCAAGTAGCGACGGCAAAGCGACGTTGTAATCTGGTGCTACCTGACTCGAATCGAGATAAAATTCGCTCCGGTCCGAGCAAGCTCCTAAATTCTGTAACAGTCGCAATGACCTCCTCATCGTAATAATCTTTTTTACGCTTCAACCATCCGCTGTGAATCCCTCGTCTGACCACACACCAATCACTCCGGTCAGCAGGGCTGTGACGGTGCTGACTTTATCCTGCGACGCTCAAGCTGCGGCCATCTTTCTCCCAGGTCCCACTCAGAGCCCGAGCAAATCACCTCCGGGCGGACTGGACAATAAGGAATATCTCTTCCAACGACCTGGTTGCCTATTGTAAAACCTTCACGCACAAACCTCCGATTGCTGCATACGAACTGAGCATGGATATCACAAGCTTGCTCCGGCCGTTACCATTCAAACTGTATGCACTAAATATATGTCATATGTGCTCCGGCTGCCAAACAAGATTCGGACGATGTATTGCTAGGATCACTTGTTCTTCTTCGTTTCCGTGTCCACTTTCTCGTCCTTGCCTGCAACTGCAGCGCCATCTGATGTCATCACTTGACCATACTCGTTCACCCGCTTGGGATCAATCCGGTAGATCCAGCGCTGTAGGGTGCAGTGCGGTCGGTGAAAGGGCGGTAAAAATGGTCGTGGTGCACACATACCTGATACAGGAAAATGAGGAATACCACGTCGTCCCGGAAGCAGGCCAATCGGTGCAAGATGGGCATTTTGATACAGAACCTGTGACCACCCCATGAGCATCGGATATTACTCTCCACGTCATGATGCGCAGCGAACTTACGCGAAGAAATCATCTACCACAGTAGATAACGTCTTGTAAACCATCGCCTTCATTGGCAAATGTGCTACACTCTGTTCTCACAAGTTAGCCGTGCCCACACGTCAACGAAAAAGTACCGACCTTGAGCTTATAGTTTATAATTAGTTGGGGAACTAATTGTGCCTAGAATGACGTTTGTTCAACTTCAGCAAACCAATTAACAAAACTGATACTCACGAATCCAAACATGTAAACAAAGGACGTCAGGGTCCCTATTATAAACGAGTACCATCCTCTATGGGTCTCGTAGAGTAGAGAGTATATGGTGTAGCCAGCCAAGCATGGTATGGCAACGTAAGATACGTAGCGGAACGCGAGCTTGTCATATCTAGCGCAGAGGTAAGTCGACTGTGTGACAACGTGACAAATAAACAACACCAACTCTTGTGTCTTCTTCTCATCTTCGCTCAACACATGCTTGTCTGAAGACAGTTAGCGTCAGAGTGCAAGACACATGATAATTCACGAATAGTCGAACCTTTGATATCGATCTTGTATGGCAAGCGCGAACCTGGAGGGGAAGGAATCACACTAATGTCCACAGCCTTCGTAATCTGTGCGCGAATATTCAATTGAGCAGGGATTGAGGAACCCGACGTGCATAGCACCAACCTTCCAAGCTTCGATGAGAACACCTATGCCTGATCCCATGAGAATCATCCAGCTAGTTTGCTCGTTATTATCGATGAGATACAGTAGAATGATGATCTGCACGACCACATTGGTGACGATCTAGATAGAAATCGAGGCCAAGGACAACCAATGAGTTGATTTGTATATATCTGGTTTTTTGTGAACCAACGTACCGTTCTGTAGAGAAGCATCGATGACATTAAATTCAATGTTTCCCGTGATGCATGAGATGAACTCACCGAACCGAAACGCCCACGAGCTCCTCTTTCTTCCGCCAGTGGGAGACGTCGGAGCTGAACGCCAGGAACTCGAACCTGAATAAAATCACATCAGGAAATTTTCGACTGAGCGAAGTAAAGATAAAACATACAGCACATGCAACAAGCTGACCAAGGCCGTCACACCCAGGAAATACGGGTTAGTCTCAACCAGCATTCTCTTGATCTCGTCAAATTCGGCCATACCGCTGGCACCCTGTTGCTTCGAAGCTTCCTGGAAACTGTGTGTCATGGTCGCGAGAATCTGGAACTTCCAATATGACATGGGTTGGAAAGTGACTTCAAGAGGTAAGACTGGGGTGGTTTCATTTATCTCGATGTATTGGGAACGAAGGTGCCAGAAGTCGTTGGGGAATATGATAGGCTGGTAGAATCCTTTCGTCCCAGTTTGGTCCCGCTCAGGGCGGAGAGTGACGTCTACAATTTGTGCAATCAATCAGAGTGGCTGGCGGTCAGATGATTAAGCTACATACATTGAGCTATAGGAGGGGCCAGTTGAGCGGTAGGAATGACCGGAGAGTCAGAAACAAGGGCGAGAGTGAGGTTCTAGTATGTATATATGAACATCATGGAACGAGACCTTGGACATTGCAACATACCCTGTGCCAATGAGATACAATGACATCTGCCTCAGGCTGTGTGATCGTAGGTCAATAAATATCCCAACGCCTGGATGGAACCTCCGTACCTCTTCAAATTCTGTGTCGTCAGTCTGTTCTTCACCCGACTTGAGCAGGTTTTTCTGCTTGCGAACCTTGAGCTTGGGCAGGTACCTGGTCAACACTGGATCATTTTAGTTTGCAGATATCAGTTCAATTCAACTGCAAGACGACGTACACTTCCTAACATGATGAACGGCGTTTACATCGAAATTTGCATCGTTCGGGTCTGGACTCGCGCCATCCCTCACGAGAAAGACGTCCGCCCACATGCTGCCATTATGTTGCACAGACTATATCAAAGTAAATCTGACATGTCTCCACTTGAATGATAAACGACTTACTCACTAGAGGTAATTTCACATCGTAATCAACCGTCCGTGAATCCTTCCAATCTCCAAAAGTAATGTTATCCCAAACGAATTTCGGTAAATCGACATCATCATTCTTGCGGTAACCATTCGTCCATCTGCTAGAAAATACGTCTCCGGTCGGGTTGGTCGAAAGATAGACATGCATTGCCAGTGGTATACCAAGCGGCCATGCAGCGTGTGCTTGAGTGGGTATCAGAGGCGGTGCATTAGGACTTGCTGTAGGTATCGTCGCTCCTGGAGTTACAGATGCAGCAGGAACAGCAGGAGTATCGGGGGATGGGGTAGAGGTGAAGAACTTGGTCACTATGCATTAAAACGAAGATACGCTTAGGAGAGTAACAAGAGGAGATAGGAACGATGTAATAACGCACCGAATTGCATTGCGACGTAAATCAACAACATTTGCTACAATCGGCATGATAAACAACTTGAAAAACATACAAAAGCCGTGCCTAATGTGCCACTTACTTGAGCAATACTGAACAATTTCTTGAACGTAGACTCCTCGGCCTGTCTTGGGCCAGCATTGGCTGGCCCTGCTGCCTGTGCAGCTGCTGGTCTTGACATCGTGAGGGTCGTTGACTGAGTACTGAGGCTAAGCAGTGCTGAACATTGACCACTGCTTGCGTGCACGATAATAATACACACGTGTCGATCACACCATCATTGACGGGCGAGTTCATCAAGAAAAGCAACTCTGCAAGAACATGACTCGTAGTTACTCCGGTGTTATTACATACAAATGCAAACGCAATGAAGGACAAAAGTACAGGGATACGTGAAGATTTGGAATAAGCTCATAACTTTGCCTGAGATTGCGCCTCCACAGCAAATTCCAGTCTGGGAAAATGACACAAAACAGTCCCAACAGAGCCCCTAGTCTCTATCACGACCTGCTCGCGATTGAGGGCAAGTAATTTACCGATAGTAGGGACTTTGGCTGCGTAACGCTCAGAAAAAAAATTGGTCATCCAGCATTGAACTGATAGCTCACCGTTGTCTGAAGGGACGACAGAAACAATCTCACCCTGTTCGACCTTCAGGCGGCCGGCTTCAGAGTCATCGAAATCCACCGATTCATGAACAGACGAGAGAGCTGAACAAATCGTCTCCGCAGCTTTTGTGGCGTCGATAGCTTCAAAGGGAGCCACATTCTCCTTGTTCAGTTTGTCGATGTACCCAGCGATACGAGTGAGCCACTGCGTAAACACCGATCGATGTCAGTGAATTTCATAGCAGACCGTTTAGCAGAGATTTGAAGACGTGCTTACCGAAACACTGCTCGGGAACGTTCCGCTTTCGAAGAGGTCCTTAAGATTTCTGAAATACCTTATCCAGGACAGGATAAAGTGGCTCGACAGATCAGCAAGCCCAGGAGTTTCAGTATCCAAGAGCCATTCCCGACCGTCAGAAAGTTGCTCCTCTATCAAAGACTGCGGCGAAGATTAAGCTCCATCCTATTGATACTCCAGTTATTTATTCACGCACCAGGTGCGAGACAATTTGGCTCTTGACTATGGGATGGCGAGCTTCGACTTCTTTAGGGTCGATTTGAGTTCCCAACCACTAGCAAGTAAAAGCTCAGTATCAAAATAACAAATCATGATGGTGAATTACATACTGCTGAACGATCCTTGATGAACGCAGGAGGGAATTTGCTATAAGGCAAAGAGTTTGCTGCCAAAGGGAACACCGCCCTGTCGGTCCAATACATGGTGAGGGCTTTCACCAAGCCTGTGTCCGCTTTCCCTCCACCTTTTCTAGGAGGAAACAACGACTTGTACCCCTCCGAAGGTGGAAAACGACGTTCAAGTACGGATGCGATCAGACTGGTGTCGCAGTACACATCGTTTCCAATAGCTAACACGGGGATGCGACGATAGGTCACTCCCAGTTTCTCGGCCAACTCTGGGCGAGGAAGAGTAACTGGAACCTAATGCATAGGATGAGATATAGCCATTCAACTCTGTATATGGGTATTGAAACATCTACCGCTACTCGTTTGTGTGGAATCTGCTTCAGGAGAAGCATATTCTTCACTTTCGTCGCGAATGGTGACGCGTCATAACTACCAGTGTGCTTGTCAATGAATGGAACAGTAGTCGACTCTTGCCACCATGATGAACTTACTGGTAAAGCACGACGGGCAATTTTGTCATGTTTGGTTGGGGATGATGTGAACAAAAAGGAAACAACAGTCTACATGTATATATAGTTTGCACTGAAGTACCACTGGATATATGGCATCCGTGGGGAAGACTTCCGGCATTTTTGAACCTAGGCGTCGCGGCCTAAATCACAGGGACAATCTAGAAACCTTGACACTGACGCACAATCTGAATCAGTGCCTGCGAGAGACAGTATATACAGTCCTTTTCGAATGCAGCGTGAACTATGTTCTATAAAATAGGTCCAATCATTGTAAAAAAAGAGAGATATCATAAGTGAGGAGGTATTATTAGCAGTCGACCTGAAATGATTGCACGGTGCCTGAGGAATATCCATATGAGAATAAGTCCATCCTGAGGCAGACATAACGAAGGAATCGAATCAAAGTAGGTATCAGAAAAAGGAGGTATAACCAGCCCCAAAGAACCATCTAATTCCTTCTGCAGCAGCGGAAGAGGTTGCGTCTGAAGAAGTAGAACAAGCACTATATGAAGATGTCAGAAAACAGTTTCCAGTTCATTTCAACGAATGGACTTACTCCAGTAAATCGGACCGCCGCCAGCCCAAATGTCGACCAGAGAATGATGGAGAAGTAGATACTTTGTTTGGCACGAAGAGCATCCTGATCTTTTGTCTCGTCTCCACTTGGCAAACCATTCAATGTGGCAATGGCTATAGCCAAAGCCCCGTTCGACAACATCCAGAAAGAGACAAGACGTGTACGGAACGTCCTGTTCTCATCATCCATGGTAGGCTTCTCAACTTCTTCTTTCACTTGAAGTTTAGTCACTGCACGTGTGACGGTCTCCTTAAAGTGAGCATCGAGATCCTCCTTATTCCTCACGGAATCTTCAACGACAGCATTTTCTGGATCTTTGCCTTTCTTCGAGGAGACGGATGGCAAAGCTTCCGCCTTGTCACTTCCTTTAGTACCCCACGAAACCTACCAGACCAGTGAGTCGAAGCATCGTAACGACAACGTGAGTAGACTTACATCGTGCAAATTACAGAAAGCATAGACGTTGAGGACATTCGTGAAACTAGGAGCAAGAAGAAGGTACTGAAGGAAACTGGAGACCATGTGCCAGGGATCCCGCTGAAAAAAAAAACATAAGTCAATGAGGATTGTGGAATAGTGAGTTTTTGAGGATGTAACTCACGTAGAGGAGAGACGAAATGATATAGATACCGTACGTGGATAGTATCGCAGCTATCAGAGTACCAACGTCTGAACTCAAGAAGACCTTGATTACTTCACTACTAGTCTTGGCCGCTTTGATTTTGTCCGGGATTGCCTGACACAAGAAGGTTAGTAAGAACCCCGCTGGTCAACACAAAGACTACTGACCATGAATGCTTGTACAGTCAAGGCGAAAGAGCAGACGAGGAGGTATAACGCCAAGATGGCATACACCCACAGAGTGAGAGCGTATGCCCCTCGTTCTCCCTTTGGTCGATTACCCAAAGCTAAGACGAATTGAAGAGCCAAGAAAGCCAAGTATATCCATTTGAATGACAGATTCACCCAGTGAGTCTTTGAAGTAGTTTTTCAGCAACAATTCATATTGCACGGTAGAAAAAACGAATCAACGTACGACTGCCTCAGTGCCGAAGATGATGAGCTTTTGACTCGGCAGGAGATCAATGACGATGCTGAAAGTCAACCAGATATTGGCCAAAGCGAACCAGGAGAAGACCAGTGAGAAAACGTTGTACTAGCAGGACGTGAGTGATTCGTCATAACGAATGATGCAGTGACATACCAGGCCCTGAATGTGGAAGAAGAACATGCGAATGATACCGTGACCAGATTTGTAGAGCCTGAAGAAGTTAACGAGAGCATACTAATTTGCTAGTGAGCATACAATTGCATGAACCATGAAAACAGAACGCTTACAACGGAAGCAGCAAATGAACCGTTCAACCAACGACGACGTTGACCGATCAACTCAGCAGCGGACTCGGGCACATCGGTCTCAGCCTTACTAGGTTTGACGTACGTCAACGTCCATCTATCCCCTGCCTTCGCGACCAGCTCGAAGCAGAGAATACGATCCTCGGCCAAAAACATGTTCTTCGTAAAGATGTTCATACCGTAGATACCTTTTGGTCCAAGGCGATCGGCCAGCGAATGGTCACCATGGAAGTACTGTTCCAAAGGCCTTCCGAGAATCGCTCGGTACCTGTAGGCTGAGAAGGCACCTGGCAGCACGGACACATATCCAAAACTACTCTCAAGGGGTTTGTCTAGACGGCAATATGAATAAAGAAAGACGATAAATGAAGCATAGCTCATTAATACTCACCTAGGATGTTCGACATCTTGTACTCGAAGTTTTGAGCAGCCACCAAGGGATTCAAGAGCTTCTTGCCTCCCTTAATCATGGCGTGGATTTCACCACAACAACCGCCCAAGTTAGGGTCATTGTAAAACGCCTCCCACAGATAGTAGATAGACTTGCGACCGGGCTTGGTACCAGCGTCGATCAGAACACAGATCTCAGGCTATATAGTCACGTTTTAGTGGGTATACGCCATGAAAGTCAGGGAACACAAACTTGGAGCATTTTGCCGATTGCATTGAACAGCCAACGATGAGAGTTGATCTTCTTCTGGTTCTTGGCCTTGATGACCAGAATGAACTGAACGGGAACGAGATTGTTCGGATCTTCGGCTTGTGGGAGAACAAGAGCGGGCGTAGCATCAACCGACAATTGAGTGGTGTACTGGGTGAGATTGTAAGGGTCTAAAGTTACTAGCTCTGCAAAACATTATCCTACCTCAAAAATGTGAGCAACGGTGTCTTTCCCATCGACCTGCTTTTTCATGACACCATCTTGATAGACGCCGATAGTGGCAAGAATATCCAGCACGGTTTTATCCATAGGTTCCAGACCGTCAATAATGAGGGCAACGGTGATCTTCTGCCATCCTGGTACACCTTCCTCAGCAGTGCGACGCCAGTATTTCGATTGTTTAGTCTTGCAAATGTCACGGATATTCAACATGACACCATGCAATGTACGTGCATACAGCGTCTTGTCCTCGTTATATGATGTCACTGCGATTAAAAGCTCCGTTTGCCTGTTGTATATCTTGGTTCGCAAAGAGTATCCGCTCGCCTCGCTGAAGTCGTCAGGATCTACTGTGGCGGCCGTGTAACGCACATGCCTATATGCATAAACGTTGAGTGGACTATTGCAGAAAAGATATTCTTTCATGTAGCTCACGAGAATTCTGTGGTCCTTGTGCTCTTCCATTTCTCCTCGATGGCTGAATAGACGGGTGTAGGAACAGCGTATTCGGTGATGAAGTTACCCTTGGTGAGCTTGACCTTGCGAGTTACGCCACGTTTGATTGTTTGTCGTCGTCTCCAGGCAGATTCAACACCTGTTGATGCTGTTGACACGATGGACGCTGGACGAACGTAAGGGTCGCCGTATGCGCTGGGGTCAACAGGGCTAATGCAGATCGAGTAGTATTATGAGTTCAAGCGAAAAGAAAATTATCATAAAATAAAACATACGCAGGTGGGTAGAGGCCGCCAGCTTGGTTGGACGTGAGAGGTATCTTCTCACTCTCAGACTCGTCATCGTAATTAGTTCCTGAACCCCCAAATTCCTGGGGTAACGAAAGTGTACTGTCGTAAGGCCGTGGGCTGGGTTCCTGGAAGTTGAGCTGTCGTGGACGATCCGCAAATGGGTCTTGAATCTCGTGGTAATTGTCACCAACTGAAGAAACCGAGGTCTGGGAGGATAATGACGGCAAAGGCGGACGCTTGTCCTCGGCCATGATGGTCAGTAAAGGAAGGAATTAGATGGCCCGAGGTGGTATTTAAGCGTAAAAGCGTCGTCGAGGCCGTAAGAGAATGTGCTGGTGGTGGTCGCACTGTTGGCGGCTTTGGCGGTCGAAGTTAACGACAGCAGTTGTATCGGCGCCAGTTTCCTACCGCCACAATTGATGGCTGTGCAACCGCGTTGTATCCTCAGCTCAGACCTCAATTGAATTTTCTGTGTCCTTTCGTTCATTTGTCTGCACCAATCTTTCGAAACACTGCCCCATCATTGACCTCCCGAGACTGTGATAGGCAACCAAAGACATTTACTGGGTGTATTCAGACTGCTGGTAGTTCGTCAGCACATATAGATGTCTATCTATGCGCTGTGTTGGATGCCGAACGGAATCATTTTGATGACTTCCGCAACGCCCACCGAGCTGCAGCGCAGTCCTACAAGATTCTGCCTTGCCTTTTTCCCGCTTCCTCGCACCCGAGGCGTAGGACACTCTGTAGACATGCAACAGTCGATTTTCGCACATTATACTCCTTCTCACCGGGAATGCCGGCAATGGAGATGCAGTTAGAGTATCGTCCATAAATAAAATGGCCGTGCTTGTGACGAAAGCTCGATGTCCTGTGCTGATTCCACCACGGCATTTGAAGACCTACGTACTGCCTAGTTGCAGTTCCATGATTCCTACGCTGAGCACGATCAGCATACATCTCCTTAATGTGTTCCCATCATATCTGTGACATACTCTGACCAAGACATTGTCTTCCAAGAAAACAAAGCTTACAAGTGTTCATCGCAAGCCAAGACCTGTGAGTATCAATTTAAGGGCAAATTGGGCTTGGAGCCCTGGTCATATAAGGTGATGATACAACGGACATAATAGTGTCGAACCGGAACATGCTAAACAAAACAAGGCGAGAACGAACGATGCGGAGACGACATGACGGATCGTAAATGGAATGACGAATAAAGATAGGCGGAGGCGTTCAAGGAGAAAGCATCTAGAATGGATTCTCGTCATCACGCGTCTTTTCGTCTTGGTGTGACTCTTCCTCCGAACCAGACGATGTCCCAGATGAAACCTCTTTCTGCGCAAAGAGCGATGGCATAGGTTTCGCGCCCCTGGGCACGGAAGATGTTAAGTACCCGGGGAACACGCACGTAGCGCACAGCAACTCACTTTGTGAAGTGCTTCTTCTTTGCAGCACCAATCTTCTGTGTGCAGGGAGTCATCATGTTATCGGTCGGTGAGACGTATGCAGGGTTACTGCCGCAACAATAGCAGGTTTAGACGCGTTCCGTTCATTACCGCGCATTAGATGAAGGACTCACTGGCTCTTTGCAATCTTCTTCGCCAATAGCGCTTTCATCCCCATTCCCGGTGCTTGATTAAGAGGCCCATTAGTGGCATTGCCAAGCGGGGCTTGTGGCACAACGACATGGGCGGCCTGCTTAGGGTTATGCAAGGGCTGAATGGGGGTCTGTAAAGGCGAGTCGTTGGGCGTGGTAGTCGTAGACATGATGAAGATGAGAGGATGCGAGCACGAAGAGTAGTGTACAAGTTGTGTGAGTTGTGGGGAAGAAAAGAGATGTCCAAGTTGGAGATTGAACAAGAGGTAAAGATGGCTGACCGTAACTCTTTTGAATGACCTGAACCGAAGGAGAACCGTGTTCGAAAATGAACCTTCACGTGCCGTTGCTAACGCGACATGCACGTGGCCGCGTTTCATCATGAGAGCGCGTTTCCCCTCCAGCTTATGAGTGCATCGCATCTTTCTACATATCCATGAAAACCCAATGCCCACCATAGTATTCAGAGTCTAGAGCTCAGGTTCGCCTCTCTAATCGTATGTAATCGTACCTGAATGCCTTCCTGATACTCGTATAAAGCGCGTCAATGACCTCTACGTTTTATAGAACCCAATGTGCATATTAAGAAGTTCTACCTCTTATGCATCGATATCACACCACGACTCTCAGTTTTTTTTTGCCTCGATTGGGCCTAGGCAGTAGGTCCATCTAGTCGTAACAGGTAGTGGAAGCCAAGGTCACTCAGGTTAGAAACATCTCCAATACCGATCCATTCTGCATAGGAACTTTCGTCCTTTTTGCCACAAACCTACACAAACCTACACGACCACGATATCAAACAACTTTCATTCTCTATCTCCTTCGCAATGATCCTGATGGTGGCGAGAGGACCTGTTTCCCGCACTCCCTTCGCTCCCTATCGTTATACTATTACAGCCCTCTCTGTCTCCGAAACTAGATGGCCCTCCTGTAACCCAATCTGAAGTCGTTCCGGTCGTCCTGCCCAATCATCACCCGATGCTATGTATAACCGGTTATCTACGCTCGGTCTTCGTTTATAGCTTTAATCTCGCACAGAGCACTTCTTTCAATCAACCTATGAACATTCTAGGGTTGTCGTACTCAAGGAACATTTGATGGTGGCGTTCTTTCCATCTTCCTGCCCGGATCACGTTTCGTATTCTAATGCAATGTCTCCAAACTCCTCATATAACGTCCATCATGATAGTTCCATGAAGACATACTTACGGCACCGGCCGTACCTGGACTTACTTACAGATGACCCCCAGATCTCCCAACTTCTCGCCTTCTCTAGCCTCCTTCTGCTTCTCATTCACGGTTTCTGTCACCCTTTTCTCCGCGGTGTTAATGTATAAATCAGAAGATAAGGTCTTTGTCGAATCCCGATTGGAACCAGAACAGAGGTACGTTGTCCGAAGTTTATACCTTGTCCATTATCAGCAGCTGAACTCCCGGAACGACGTTGCTTATGGTTGTTTCTTCCATTGTGCTGGGAATGCAGCTTCAGGATAAAACAATCAACCCATGTCGTGATCAGACGACATAGCAGCTAGGACAACAATCCATATGCACCCCTGAAGCCACCATACTTGCGTGTTCAAAACAATCTCGATTCCTACCGTAATTCCCTGGCCGAGTCGGAAAACATGCCTCATGTTTTTTCCGTTGAAACAGCTTACTCATGGCAACCGTTTCTCGCTTAACAGAATAATTCAACAGGTTGAACGGAAAAATAACATCGCTTACTGGCGGGAGAAGGTCGGTATGGGAATGACATGCATTCACCTTGCTAACTACTCATCCGAAGACTCAGTGAAGGACATTGTACCATGGGCGGCGATGCGAATGTGCTCGGTTGGTACCTGATTTTTGCCGAATTCGGACGCCTCATAGCTCAAACTCTCACATCTCTCAGGCTAGGGACTCCTTGTGCGGAACGCGCAAGACGGAACCAGAAGAACCAGATAGCAAAGATACAACCTCTGGATACATATGCGCCGCCCCCAGCTACTTACTTGATTTCTTAGGAGTCAGGTCCGCACTCGCCTCTAGCCCAGAGCTGGCCCTTTTTATCCACTTCTCGACCAACAAAGCCAAGGGTGAACCAAAACTCAAAAACGAATATCAAGCATCAAGAAATAAGGTTCGTGTTCACGCGTTCACGCGATTTTACAGTTCAAGGGATCAAGGATGCTGTTACGAAGCTGTATGTAAAAATCAAACATCAAGAAATAATCTCATGCTAAAGCTCGCGTTCTCTTCGGCATCTATCTCGGATGCTCACCGGCGACTTCCTGAGAAATTACACCGACAGGTACAGTGCTAGCACCCGGGCTACATGAACGTTCGAACTTCGTAAGATTGGACAGAAAGTACGGCGGGAAGGGTTCGAACGCTCACCGTCAGGACCTTGACAGACATGGACGTGAGGACTCGAAGCATGTCATTTGCAAATGCTTCCCTCTTGATACTTCATATCCAATATTCAAGGACGAACTTTATGTTTTTCGTCCTCGCCCGGGAGTTGATAGGACGGTCGTAGGTAAGTGCTTTATGTCTAAAACTGTAGGAACTTTGAGGTACAGATGCTCACGTTTTCATCCGATTAATTTTTTCGGGCATCACATCGTAGATGTTCATCAGCCTTTGACTCTTGATAGATCCTCCCCAATTGCATTGAAGCTCAGTCTTCAATCGAGTTCAAGATAACCCAAGTGCTTGTGCGTCTCACCGGCAGGGGGGCGTCCAAGTACGGCTTTTAAAGACCACGCGTTCATCTAGTTCTCTACCATTATAAAGCGTATCGCTCATACGCTCGACGCTCAATCTTGTTATTGGAACTTGGAAGCACCTCCATAGATGACCCCTGTGATGCCTTGTTACCATATGGATATAGAGATAGATATTTATATCGAACGTCCGTATGGATGTGTTGATTCTGTTGATTCTACCTGACATATTGGATATGTTATTAGATATCGTAAACTCTAAACCCTCTCGTCGCTCCATGGATTCACGGAACAACAAGTCATACCTGTGTTTGGCGGTACGTATCTAACTGATACATATTTGATTATCTGACTATCAAGCGTTATACGTGCACCCTTGCATCTCTGCATTTCCAAACGTCAGGAAGTTCAGAAGGGTCCGAGTAGTAAGTTATCTTCAAGTATTCTCGAAACTCAATTCTAGTAAGTAGAGTATACGGCAGTATACGGCCTACCGAATGCTAATTCCAATGTTTCAAAGGTTCGTATATGTGCCTGATCCCAGATCGCTGTGCATTGTGTATCGATAGATCGCAGCCGAGAGCTCAGAATCTCCTGACGTGCAAGCAAGCACGAACCCAGAGCTCGAGGGTAAGTACCTTGGAGTGGTGGAGTATGTTCTGTCAAGGCGAGCTAGATGTGTGTGCATGCGTGCAGCCTATGGGGATATGATGCAAGATTCCCTTTTTGTTCAGTGACGTTAGGTATTCAATCAATCCTTCGGTGTCCAGTGAACGCTCAACGTTCGTCGATATGCAGCAGCTCCTGCTCAGAATCGGGACCGTTATATTCGATCGCATATATTGATTGGAGTCGTTCCAGATTGATAGGACACGGTAGTGCAGATGCCCGGTCTTAAGCTCGCCTACAGATGAACATTTTCAGACGACTTAGACAGATGGACACTGAGGAGAGGCACGTACAAGACCCTCCACCGGCATCTGCCTGCACAGATTCAATTCAGGGAAGTAATGATGGATCTCCTCCATCCAAACTAGAAATCATCATAACGGTGATATCATATCCGGTACCAAAAGGAACAGCGTGAATGCAATTCTTGGCAATTTGCCTTCCTAGCTAGGAAGTTCACGCTCTCAGTCCCTCGGTGGTCTTCTCTTCTCGTCCCCTTGTTGGACAAACTGGTCTTTCTTCGGTCTAATTGCCGATAAAGATGTACACGTTTCGGTATTATTTCTAACCTGCCGGGGATTTCGTTGTACCTTTCGCGAGTATTCGGACACAATCAGTACCTTACACGCATGTTCGCTAAACTTTGGTTGGTTGCTGCTATGCTGGAGCCACGACACCTAAGTGGAGAAATTAGAATGTTGTCGTGCTCATTGCAACCGATCACACGGTTCACAACCGTAGCCGCAAAGTTTTGAAAAATATTATGTAGGTACGTCGCTGAGCCCACAGCGCTAGCGTTAGCCCATAAATTTACCGTTCACGACCGATCGTCGTTTTTTTTTTGAACTTTGAAGGCAACAAATCTTAACCAATGATTACTCGGGGATGAACCGTTTTTCTCCAAATGCATGGCGCCTCCCGCAGCTTGTGTTGGTTATAGCCTCCACAAGTTTGCAGGAAATGGATTTCATCATCCGGACAAGGTTCCATGGCAGCATCGGAATATGATCATGTAAACGACATATAGTTCGTATCTAATTGCAAGTCATGGAAAGATAAGCAGCGGGCTAACGGCATCCTGCGTGAAACCTAACAACCGTGGCGTGTGGCATGCATGGTTAATGTTAAATGCATGGCGAAAAGGCGATGGTCGTGGTCCGCAGCTTGAGCGTTAGCAGATATGTTCCCACCATAAGACTGTCACATAGAAATTGGAGAGATGCTCAAGATAATACGTTGGCGACGAGACGTTCTATGGAAGGGGCTGAGATTAGTTGTATATTGATCCCATTTGGCAGTTCCTCCGAGACTAGCGCGAGAATCGGAATATATACTGCGGAGATCCACAGCCAAAGCAAGTAAGAGTATAGTTAGGGCACTCAGAAGAGAGGAAGGTTTATTATTGAGATGAGAGGAGGCGGCTGTTGGTGGAACGGAACATAGGGCCTGGACTGCGAGAAGTTTACGAGAGGAGCAAGAAGGAGGACGTTATAGTCATGAAAGGAGTCATCATTACATCGCGCAGCTTTACGCTTCATTCTCGACATTGAGGAACAGCTGAGAGTAAAATGCAGGAACAAAGTCAGCAGACTATGGTGTTCGGGCATTCAGACATGGGCGGGTGTTCAGGTGAGCAATAGAGCATTGAGAGAAAGACGTAAAAGTCAGAGATGCTCAGGAAAGTTCGCAGGAAGAGCGAGAGAGCTGGTATGCCAAGGCCGTAAACATGCAAGAGCGGGCAAGAAGATGCGAGAGAATGAAATTTAAGGCAACTGCAAGAAGAGAAGAGGAAGAAAAACAATGTTCTGGGATGGATGGAGATTGAGAGGATAACGGCAGGACGAGGGCGCAGAGGGAGCTGGAAGAGAAAAAGCTGCAAAAAGGCAGGCGACCGCCAAAAGGATGGGACCGAGGCCACAAGTACTTCCAGCCAATCACAGCTCAGATACTTTTGCCGGGATCTGTGACAAAAGTGAGACGGGCGCGTCTGGAGGCCGGCCGCGTGCACCGGAGGTCCGGATCTCTGGTGGTGGCTGGTCTGTTTCGTCCACCCGTTAAAAGCATATTCCTTCCTACCTCCTCCTCCCTCTCTTCCCCACCGCTCATCGCTGCAAGCTCAGCGCACTAGTCACCTTCACCACCGTCTCACTCGTCCTCCGCACCCTTTGCACAGCGACGGACCCTCCACGAACCGCGTCGGATAATCGGTGGTCACCACCGTTTGGGGTCTCCGGTCCAGAACCCCCCTTCGTCATATAAATTCCTTGTTTCCTCTTTCTACCTCTTATAATTTGCCTACTTTCCGTGTACTCCTCCGTCTTTAATTCCTCCATCATGCCCGGCGACGTCTTGAAGAAGAGGAAGATTGCCGTGCTAGGTTCACGCTCAGTCGGTACGCCCCTTTCGTTCGCTACGTCATGTCATTCTCTAATTCACTTCTTCACGTAGGTAAATCCTCGCTCGTCATCCAATTCATTGAGAATCACTTCGTCGAGTCCTACTATCCCACCATCGAGAATACCTTCACGAAATCCATCAACTACAATGGTGTAGAGTACGATTGTGACATCATTGACACCGCTGGTCAGGTGCGTTCATTTTCCCGTCCTCTCACCTTTCCCGGTTTTAAATCCCTTCTGCAGGACGAATACACGATTCTTAACCAGAAGCATGCAATAGGCATCCACGGTTATGTCCTCGTATACTCGGTAACTTCTCGGAAGTCATTCGAGATGATTCAAATTGTGTACGACAAGATCATCAATTTCTGCGGAATCAATTCCATCCCCTGCGTCATTGTCGGCTCAAAGACCGACTTGCAACCGAGGTGAGCATTTCTTCCACCAAAGCAGCCCATGCTTTGGCTTCCCGCCGCCAAAGTATTCGCAACTTTGTCACCCACACGACCTGCTTGCCTCACAGCCGATCTAGACAGGTGGCCCCCGATGAGGGCAAAGAACTGGCCCAGTTAAATCATGCCGCATGGGTCGAGACCAGTGCAAAGACAAACACCAATGTCGGTTAGTGTTTTCTTTTTCCTTCCCGCTTTTTCCGCCACACGAAGTACTCATCAAATCTCTTTGTCTGCGTTCTCTTGCATCAGCCAAAGTATTTCAACTATGTTTAGGAGAGATTGAGAAGCGGTCTCCAAACAGCAAAGCTGAACCACCGGTCTCCAAATGTATCATCATGTGACGATTTTACTATCCGCTATCCCCAACTTCTCAAGTCTACAAAGCACCTGCACTCTCACCCCCGCAATAGACTTCCGCTTCGCTTTCGCATTCTTCGCATTTCTTCACAACACTCATCATCTGTCTCGTGTTCCGTCTCATTACATTGCATTAGCTCCTGTACTCCTGCCTCATGTTCTCAACCGCGTCCAACATCGCATGGCTGAATCTCTCTCTCGCTGAAAGTTTCTCTTCTTATTTCTTCTATTGGGGCGCACCGTTGTCATTTCTTGTACTAGGGTTTACTGTCAGCTTCGTATGTGAACGATGACCTTCTCTCCTCTCACCACTGACGGGCGCACCGATTGTTGTTGTTTTTGTTGCTTAGACATTTACACCTCTTACAGCTTTCTTTCTTCCCTCCTGCCTCCCGTAAACTTGCTTTTGCTTTTTGTCCTAGTGTAAAGTTGTATCATTTCTTCTCCTTTGACTCTTTCTTCACCCTTATTTTGTGCTCCCCGCTGTCGCATTTATTACAGATCGGTCTCTCTGTAATGAGACTATGCTCATACATGATGCATCTCACCATCCACACTGTATATTCTCCCTGGAGGTTTCTAATGACAAACAACATTATCCTACGGATTCTAGACGATTCGTCAGAGCTCGCGGGTATATCTGAGTTCGGGATCTTTCTGGTTCTTGGAGCGCTCCAAGATCTGATATCTGGCCTCGATGCAAGACTGAATGTTCAAACGGTGTTGCAGTATTAGCCAGTAAGTACCTGATGTATGGACCATGACGCAATAAAGAGGCTCGAACGAACTACGAGGACCAAACCTTGCATTTAGACTTTGACCAGACTGCACAAATTGTGATGTTCTCCCGAGACACCAAAATCAATTTTCAACCCCTATATCATGGTGCCACTGTCTCGTAAATATTCAGCGTCTCAATTGCAATACTACTGAGCGAACAAGAAAACAGCGGGCTCCCGAAACCGAGTCTCGCCAATCTCGACGACAAAACACGGCACACGACACATAATACCCACAGGCCACAAGCAAATCTTCTCACGCAGTTCCATCACCTAGGAACCGCACCTTCACTTCCCTACCTTTCAAGCCTACAGTCGTGATCACCTGCGGGTCACCAGGGACTAAATCAATAGCCTGATCACCCCATACAACGTCCTCTTCTCCCTCGACGTCCAAAATGATCCCTTTGATCGGCTTTGCTGTTGAAAGCTGGACAGATTCACCGTTGGATCCTATCTGTGCTTTCAATCCAAGCTCTTTCACATCTGGGAAAGTGATGTATTTGAATGGCTCAGGCCTAGAATGAAACAACAAACATGTGGATTTGGTGGAATATTGAGTGAGAAGCAGGTTTGGGGTCAGGTGAAGGATGAGTAGCGATGACGTACCAATTTGAGTACCGTCCGAGAACTTTACCGGATTTGTCCAAGAGACGAGCGGAAACGATGATCGTCTTTGGGATTTCACTCAACTTGGTTCTCTTGGGTTGTCCCGGGAGATCGCCTTTGAACAGCTCGGTAGAAGAATTCGGGGCCAGTACGATGTTCTTTGTCCACGTGTCCGTCCAGTCCGAATGAAGATCGAAGGAAGTCACTTCCAGTGTCGCTTGCTTCTCTGACAATGTGCTGTTGGTACCCCACACTTCGAGAACAGTCTCGATAGTGAAAACCGCAGCAGATAATTCATCTGGGAACGTTTTCTTCTCCTTCCGGGTCATCCCAACCGTGAATGGCTTCAACTCGCGCTTGATAGTGAAATAAGCCGGCTTGGGACGCAAGAAATAATCCACGATGGCCCAAGACGTCACCGGCCAGCAATCGTTGATCTAATTTAAAAGCCCATAATCAATAACCGTAAGTTCGGAAATGAACGCCTGGATTGCAAGGATTGCAAGCGAGGCGATTAAAGAAGGCTCCCACCTGCCATACGAGTGCACCTGCTGTATACTCCCTGCCCTTGCCTTTCCAGTTCCGTCGCCACAAACGGTAAGCAGAAGCCAACGTCTCGGCTTGCATGATTTGCGTGTAATAAACGTAGCTAGAGTGATGCAATGAAGGTGTCATCTTCGATGTATTCATCGCGTAGGTAATAATTGATCACGCGCCCACCTCTCAATTTCGAACGAGTGCTTGAAGTTCTCCACCAGGTATAACTACGACGATTTGGAAGCGTCAATCGAAAGTTTCGTGTCAAAGCAGCAGGCACGGAAGTCACCTCCAAACGCCTCTCGAAGCCATCGGCCTTGTTATGATTATTCATCGTCCTTTATGGGTCGTCAACGGTCAGCCGGTGTGTCATGCGACGAAGCGTGTTTCTGATTACCTCGACTGTGGATAGCGCTCCTCTTTGTTTCCACCAAGCCAGTAATCAACGGTCCGAATGTTGGGATATCCCTCCCTGATGGAACGTGTACGGATGATGAACAAAGTACAACAAGTTCCATGTAGGAAAATACATACATGCCAAATTCGGAGACGAAGCGTCCGGCAAGAATATCCCAGTTGTGCCATGGTTCTTGTGACCCGTGCCAAACATTCCCTGTCATCGATAAATCGTTAGCCCCATTCCACAAAATACATCAATCAGAGGGTTACCCACACTGATGAAGATCGCCGTATGTCTTGTCAGTCGTCGGCTTGCCGAAACCACTGTACGGCGAGCTTCGGTGGTAATGAATATTGCTGAACTTCTCGACGACTGATGGCAGAAGTCGCTCGTAAATGTGACGGGCCGGGAAGTTCGTCTTGCGGAAGTCTGATGTTTCGTCGCTGTAGTCCAGGTCGAGCTTGTAGGATTCGGCTACCTGGTAGTCTTCACAGGAAAAAATTAGCACATCCAACCTCACACGTAATTGATTATTATTATGACCTTCGTTATTACCAGCTGCGCATGTAATCAGCCCAGAGATCCAATGAGAGGGGAGTTCAGTTCTCACCAAGTATGACAACTGACGGGTGGTGTCTTAGCCGTTTCACGTTCTGTTCTGCTTCGATCTCGACCGACTTGAGGAAGGAATCATAGGCGGGATACTGCACTTGACATGAGCCACGGACGTCAACTAATATCTATGATGCATGAACTCACTTGTCCACACCCAAACATGAAGTCTTGCCAAACCAAGATCCCAAGTTCTGTGAAGGCGGCATTCACATCAGACATTTTGATCGATCACAAATGAATGGAAGAGTCGGACCCACCGTCGCAGATGTCGTAGAAGGCGTCTGCTTCGTAGACCCCACCACCCCATACACGAATCATGTTCTGATTACCATTCACAAGCAGTCGTAACCAGGCGCGGTATCGATCTGGAGTCATTCTATGCAATCAAGTCAGATACCAGGCCAAAGAAGAGTCGGCGAGTCACAAACGTGGTAAGGAACGAGTCGGCAGGAATCCAGTTTGATCCTACGGTGACATGCTGTCAACATCAAGCAAAAGCGTGGCCGAATCCTCTGCCCACCTCCACAGAAGATTCTGACGTTATTAATCTCGAACAGGAACGTTCGTCCTTCTTGATCAATCAACTCGTCCTGAACAACCCTTGCTCGACGGAAAGCAATCTTCTGAGACTTGCTATCCAGTACGTTTTGTTGCTGGAGAAGAACACTCGTCAGCACACTCAAAAACAATGATAGTATCGAGATGTCTGCGTGCCTCATCCGCAATTTCGATCTCTACGGCATGTATAGGCTGCCCGCCATAGCCAACGGGGTACCAAGCATCATATACACCCCGGGATAGTTTGAACTTCGCGACACCAGAATCAGTCACGGGGATATTGGTTCCTCCGATAAGTACATTTCCATTTGGTTTCTTGATAGTCACAGATGCTTTAGCCTTTGTTGGGGGATCAAGAGTGAATTGGACATCAACGTGAGCAGTGAGGTTTCCGGGGATGTCGATGCGAATATCGATGTCAGAAATCCGAGCGTTGTACGTTTCGAGGTAGATAGGTTTCCATGGGCCAACTGTCATGAGGACGGGTCCTAGGAAACACAATCAGTTTCTACAAGATGACTTACGCTAGTAATGGGCAACGGTAGCTCACCCCAATCCCAACCATAACTATGGAGAGATGCGATAAGGAGGGGAATCGTCAAACGAGAGACACACATACTTGTACTGAGCCTTTCGGACGTGCAATCGACTAGAGTCACCATTCCAGAGATGCAGCTTCTCATGTTGCTTCTCGATCTCTCGACCCTGGACATCATCTTAGTTTAAATCGAGCGGTCCGTGCGATATGTTTACCTGACGGAACGCACTGGCAAAGTTGATGACCAGTTCATTCGTTCCGGATTTCAACGTATCTTTCACCGGAACTCGATGAGCCACGAACTGGTTGTTCGCCCTAATATGGAACACATTAGCGGATTCTCGCACGTTTCGTTGGAAATGACAAACTGTAGTATTTCCTTTCCGTTCTACAATCACTAATAGTCAATACTATAACCATGTGGAAATGATGAATGATCTCACTAGCAAGACAGTCGCGAAAGTATCCAATCCGTCAAATACCAAATCGGCGTTCGAAGCGGATGCTTCTTCATCGGCGACAGAGAACTCAGTCTTGAAACTCCACTCTGCCTCGCCGATCCCTAAATCGCAATCCCATTCAGAGCGTGAGCCATTACAAGTGCATATACTCAGCTCACATTGCACGTCCCATTCATTTAGTCCGATAAACTTTGATAAAGTGATGACATCAGCGACAACTTGAACCAACGAACCGATGCGGCACATCGCGTACGGGATCAGGGATCCTCTTCTCTTCCAATAGCTCGACGTGAACAGTAGTCGGGAATTTCTTCACAGAGATCCACTCATCCTTCTTGACCACCTCTCCGCCGCCAACATGAGTGAATTTCCATCCCTCGTTGACTGGTCTCGAAGTCGCGGTCACACTAGGCATGCTCAGTTATCAGCACACTATAGGAGACACTTGCAGGGAGGATGAGCGTAGCGAAGACCCCTCTCACTGTATTTATGTCTTGACTATGAGCCAATCTTCGCGATAGCTTATAGGCCGTGGGCCGAACCGTGCTTGTGGGTCAGCTGAACAGGAGGAGGATTAAGACCGAGGTATACCCGTGATTTCTGTACTTGCTATTTTGGTCAGTCTCATCGATGCTTGTCACAAATTTGATCGGAAGATATGTTCAGACGTTCACCAAGGATGTTGCCGAATCTTGTGCCGAATGAATAATTCACTTGGGAAGAGCTTATTCTAGTGCGACAGTGACAAGAGGATGTAAATTGAGCATATAAAATACAGGATTATGCCGTCTACTGCAACATACAACATTGCAGGAGTCTACTGTATGTACCCCTCATGAAACAAAGAGCATAACGAAAGATGTCGCCAAGGCGCAAGTCGTCAGAGAGATATAGCCTGAGGCATGTGCATAAAATCTCGTCTCTCTACTGCGGTAAATCATGACAAGAATCGGAATCCCTTGGATCTTCCCTCCTCCTCTTCCTTGGCCTCGAGCCTTTTGTTTAAGGAGTCCAAGTGTCGCTTGAAGAAGTAGCACATGATGATCGTCAACCCATTGGTTGAAATACAGATGGCGTAGGAGTGGCGGTAAGAAGGTCCCCACCCCGTTGGCCAGACGTAGGAGCCGGCAATGTTGCCGAGCTGGGAGAAGGCGTTGATGAACGCAAGAGCGACAGCTCGCTTGGATGGCGGACGTGGGATGGAATTGGAGATCCAGGTGAGGAAGACGATGAAACCAGCGTAGGATTGGGCCATCAGGAACCTAGCGCATTGAATGTCAGACCATGAATACAAACATGAGATGGGAGCGGAAAAACTTACAATGAGACATAGCGTGCAGCCGTGTTCATTGTGGATACAGCGATGACGAAGCCAATGATACCGAAGAAAAGAGGGCCAGCAATGTGCCAGAATCGCTCGCCGACTCGGTCTGAGTGCCTGGTCACTGCGAACGCAACAATTGTGGCGAAAGCCCATGGGGGAGCACACAAGAGGAGGGTGACGGTACGGTCGTAGCCCATGGTAGCGCTGAGCGTCGGGAAGAAAGCATTGAAGGAAAGCGATACTACCATGGACGTGAGAGCTACAGCAAGCCACCAGACCTTCCAATCTGTCATAGCCATGACAAGTCCGCGGACATGACCGTGACCTTCAGTCTCGCCCTTGTCGCCGACACCGACATCCTCGGTCATACGTTTTTCAGCGAGACGGACTTCTTCCTCGCTGAGCCAACTGCGTGATGTTGCTGGGAAGTCTGGAAGGATGAAAATGGCGAGAATGGCGACGGCGACAGTGAGTGCACCCTCAATGTAGAAAAGCCATCGCCACGCAGAGTGACCGAGTTTGCCTTGCATGCCTTCGAGAATGCCGGAAGCGATGAGTGAACCAAACGCGTTACTAATCAAGCTTCCACAAGACAGCATGGCAGTGCGAACACCGAGCTCTTTTCTCGTGTACCATTTACTGAGGAGGAATAGAGCACCGGGGAAGAATGCAGCTTCTACGAAACCGAGGAAGAATCGTGTCATGAGAGCGCCAATAAAACTGGACATTCATCAGCAAGTCGTCATGACAGGACACTTGTCGGGGAGACTTACTTATGGGTGATACCGGTCAAGCAGGAGATTGCACCCCAGATAATCATACAGACAGGCAAGTATATTGATGGCTTGCCGATGTAATTGAGAAACATATTACTGCAAGTCGAGATGAGAAGACGGCAACAGAATTTGGTTGAAGAACAGCGTACGAAGGAATTTGCATGAGAATATAGCCGACGTATAGGATACTGAGAAGTGTGTTGAATTCTTGGCCCTTCAAGTTAAGATCCGTCTCGAAGCCACGTAGTCGTGCAGCGGATGCGTTATTTCTGTCAATCTGACTCGACACCAGTAAATTTGAGTACGAGATAGAAGAGCACACGAAACAGAAAACGTACGTAGTTAAGGATGTAAATGACAATGAGGATAGACATCCGAGCATCTAGCTTGCGCACGAGCTTCTTCTCTAGTCGTCGCCTGGCCTCGGTGCCGCCAAACTCCTCGTCCCCAATGATATTATCCTGATTCTCGAGAATAGCAAGGTCGTTATCCTTATCCTTCCCCTTCTCGTAAGACAGGACATCTGAAGGAGGTGTCATGATAGGATCGACCCCGGTTAAAACTAGAGATGAAAAGAGAGAACCAACGGGGAAGGAGAGGTGAGCATTCCTCGGAGCTCGACGGCCCACTTATACTCTGGCTGAAGGATGAACGGAAAATTCTTGCATTCTGCGACATGCTCCGGGACCGTTGCCGATGATCCTGGGGAGGAGCTGCTTGTGGTTGAGTGGTTTGTACCTGGGAATTCTTTCCCACTAGCGTGATCGAACGATCGTAGGCGCGCTTCGTGATCTGCCCCACATGGGCAGGGCAGACGCGGTGACCAATATGCGGGGAAAGTCCAGGGTCGACCATTTCTCCACGGCCCGCCACCAAGTTTTGCACCTCCATTCAGAGACATCGAGGACATCGTTGACAACGAGTTCGACCCTATTTACAACGACGGCGAACCGCGCAGTCCAACGATACCGCACACGTCTAGAAGATAGCCACTTTGATGTCCGCCTCTGCACTCGTCCTCCCGTCCACCTCAACACCACCTTCATACCACCGGATCGTCTCTCCGACCCTCCACCTCCCCACAGATCCCCAGAGACCGATTCCAGTTGGTCTCTTGGCATGCCAACGTGCGTATACAGTTCCTTGACTCACAAACCATTCAACCGCCGGGGTTCTTTTGATTTTTTCTTCCAAATTGTCCTAGCACTAACTTCAGCTTTTTGACCACAGGCGACCCCTTGCTCCGTGATCTGGTTTCAACCGTCGTTAGTTCTACCGTTGCCCAGACCGCTCCGACATCAAATGCGAGTAAGAGAATTAAGAAAAATACTCCAAGTATTGCACAAGACACACTATTGGAAGTGATACTTCATGATACCGTCTTATTTCCCGAGGGCGGGGGACAGCCGAATGACATTGGTATTCTGACCAGTGCGGACGGTAATATTTGGGACGTCATCGATGTAAAGCGTCGCGGAGGGCACGCTGTGCATTTTGTAAAGGTCAAGGATGGCAACGTTGCTGCTGCTTTGAAAATATTCACGCCTGGGTCTCTCGTCCGAGCTGCCCTCGGGGAACAAGGCTTCCAGCGACGCCTAGATCATGTATGTAGATCCAATCACTGTATTCTGATTAGCCGAGCTCATGTACGGTTCTGCAAGATGTCGATGCACACTTGCCAACACCTGCTTTCGGCCGTGCTTGAAACAAAATTAAATTTGCCGACTTTAGCGTGGTCGATGACTACATACCCTACACCTTCCTACGTCGAGGTACCTCGTGCCTTGACGCCTGAGGAAATTTCTATTATACAGGCAGAAGCCAATAGACTCGTGTTTGAGGGTCGTCAGGTTCACATAGAAGTAGAAGAACTTGATCATTCAAACCGGGCATATGACACTCCGAGCGTAGGTATACCCTCTGATTACACTGGTGGTGTCAAACGAACGGTTATAATCGACGGTGTCGATCGTAATCCGTAAGTACCTTTCCTAGGTCATGTCGTGATCGCAGTTATATCCGAAGTCTTCAGATGTTGTGGGACGCACCTTCCATCAATCAGTAACCTTCAACTCTTCTTGATCCCACAGATGGAAGGCCTTTCTCGATCAAGCACCTCATCTGCTCGTCTGTATTTCCTCTCTGGTCCTCGCCTCATTACCTACTTCTCGTCGATACATACACTACTCACGACAACGTCAAACGTTTTGAGCTGTGGCGCGCCTTTAGTTCCCGAACGCGTCGAACAAGTCATCGACGAGCGAAAGAAGGTGTCCAAGCGCGTTGAAGATCTTGAAGCTGAATTGGCTAGTTCGATCGCCAGAGATATTCTCAAGCAAGCTGAGGACGACACGGTGGTCCTTCACCAGCATCGAACGGATGACGCTAGTAACCCTCTCGGCTTCTTGTCTGCGATATCTACTGCGTTCGTTAACGAAGTCTCGTCTGCGGAAACTGGACCGTCTTCGTACCTCATTGTCCTTACATCCTCGCCTTCAATGCAAACCGCTACAAGCACGACCATCGTCATGACCTTCGGAAACGACGAGAAGAAGGTCAAGGAAGCAGGAGATACAATTAGAGCTAACGTGGGTGTCAAGGGGGGTGGGAAGGGAACGAAATGGAGCGGTAAGTTTACTGGCGTATGGAAAGATACCAAGGAAGGGAAAGCAGTCGCTGGAATATTGAAGGACATTTCACTTTGATAAATTGAGGTGAACGAATACATACTATAAGGCGGGGATCCTGATAGGAGTGATACAAGTGTAATAAAGTTACTTATACAAATATATAGAATGCTCATGAACATAGCCAAAATAAAAAAGCCCCTCGATGGAAAATGTCCTGCGCTATCATTTGGGTTGGCCTTGACTACCGCTGGCCTCTGGAGGAGAGACCCGGTTATCTCCAGAGTAAATGACCGCAGCTGGAGAAAGGATATAATCATTGAACATCGAATATCACGATGACTTCTAGCCCGTGACTTACCGTCCAACCCTGACGATTGATCCGCCACCGGCATGCTGATGTCTCCCTCAGACAGACTTTCTGACCCATACCCGTCACTCAATCCCCAATTCTCCAGGCTTTCATCTTCATGATCTGCCCATTCATCCACTCCATCCATGTCAATTTCAATATCCTCGGCATCGGCATCCCCCAACCCCAAATGTTCAGAATGCCCAACGCCGCCGGGATCAGGGCTCAGGTAACGAGGTAACACTGTACCGGGACCGCCACCGTCTTCATCCTCGGCGTGGAAATAACGAGAGTGGAAGTGGAAGTCCTCGAAAGCGTCCATTTCCTCTTCCTCTGTGAAAGCCTCGTAGTCGAGAAAACCATCTTCATCGTCCTCTTCATCTTCTTCGCCTGGGACATAATCTCCGTCGGATGATCCGTAGTCGGACTCAGAAAGCGGTTTGACATCTAAGAAGGTGTGTCTACAGGCAGGACACGTTCCGTGCTTCCGAGACGAAATGTGATTAGCTCAGGAAAGGAGATTTCTCCAAGCACCGTTGTACTCACTCGTCCACGAATCCATTCTATCAGGCTAGAAAGACATATGAGGTTGAGAGGGTGAATTGACTATCCTAGAGCACTTGGAACTCACTCTACTCGGCAAAACACATGCCCGCAACCTTCAAGCTTCGTTACGCCACGCAACTGGACAGTACGTCCACAGATATCCAAAGTTCCTTCGTTCTGCAATGATCCACTGCAAATGCTCGAGAAAGACATGAGACATATCGGGCACGAATCTTCCGCTGGGACTTCATCGCTGTTTAGGGTGGGTAGTTTGTGAATCGCTTGTGCAATTCGCTGCAAGGTCGTCATAGGCATAACTCCCTCCATGTCAGCCACGTCTATGAAGCAGTAGCAGCTGTCGTGGTCGTTGGAGGTAATAAGGCGAAATTGCCTGGCATCAGGCCTCCACTGCCTGGTGGTTAATGGACACAGCTGCACTAACGAAAACGAAGGCGCCCAACACAACGCGTCAACGCCGCGGTTGTCACGTGTTTCAAGCGCGCGACGCGTCTCAGTTGTTTTGGGCGTCTGTGGTCCTTGGGAAGGGAGCGAACTCCGTTCGCAGGCAATTGCGGAAAATGGGTCATTCCAAGGGACGTGCGCCGCCGGAGGCGGCGCTTAAGCAGCACAGGGTTGGCTCCGGCAAAGCCGACCCTTTTCAGCCAGAGGATGTGTATTCAACTTTCTTCATTTCATTTCTTCTAGACTTGTATATTTATTTGTTACATGTATGCTATGCCTCTATAGGAGGCTTTGCTATTGAAAAATAAGCTCAATGTGGATGCAGCGGCGAATGCTGTCGAGCCTCATCCAAAAGTGGCAGTCACGTGCCGCAAAAGGGTCGACGGGCGCCTTTATGGGCACCCTTGGAATGGCGGTGTTGCCGCAATTGCTCTGTCCTTGTGACTGATATCTTTATATTTACGCTCATTCCCCACTTCATAGACCGGCGCGGAATAATGATCATTATGGTTCATGAGAAAACTATAAGAACTGCCAAGATGTCGCCAAAGTCTGCCACAGACCAGCCTGACTACTCTCTCTGTGATTATGCCTTCGTCGCAGCGATCCCTCGAATCGGGTTCTCTCAAGGGTGCTGTCCAGGAGAAGAGGGAGCCTTTAGATCCTGATCTCGAGTTTGGAGGTCGTGAAGCTAGGCGGAAGCTCGAGAGGCGATTGCTTTGGATGCTAGATCTACGCATGTCGATCCTAGTCTTCATTTACATTCTAAACTATGTCAGTTCAATGCCTTGCTTTATATGCTGACTATATGCTTACAGTTCTGGATTAGATTGATCGTAATAATGCTGGGTATGTTTGTACTGACTTGTTAGAGATGGTTGCTCAAACACTGGTATACTAGTGCCGCACGACTGCGTGGATTTGAAGCAGACCTCGGTCTTAAGAAGCAAGAGTTTGCTACGCTATTGTCGATCTTATATGTCGGGTATATCCTGATGCAGATACCTTCGTGAGCAAACCGCATCACTGTAAGCTAACATGTGGGCTCACCCATCCATCTCAGCAATATGTTCTTGAACTATATCGGAAAACCCTCTTTATATCTCCCTGCATGTATGATCATATGGGGAACTATATCTACTCTCACTGGTATCACAGAAAAGTGAGCTCTATTGCGTCTTTTTTCCGACGTTCTTGACGACATATTCAGCTTTGTCGGCGCGCTTCTCACTCGGTTCTTCCTCGGTTTCATGGAAGCGGCGTTCTTCCCAGGCGCGCTCTTCCTTATCAGCAAATGGTACAAGCGGAGTGAACTCGGCCTGCGAACTGCCATTCTCTACTGCGGGAACATTATCTCTAACGCCTTCGGTGCACTCATCGCTTCAGGTATTCTCGACGGCATGCAAGGCAAACTCGGCCATTCCGCCTGGAGATGGCTCTTCTATATCGAGGGTGCTCTAACGATCTTCGTGGCTATCGTGGCTATCTTTGTGCTTCCGGACTTTCCTACGACGACTCGTGGTCGATGGCTTAGTGATGAAGAGCGACATCTGGCGATGAGACGTATGGAGGAAGATGCCGGTGTTGGTGATGAGACCGAGACGGAAGTCGGTGGTCACGCCGCGGGTCTGATTATGGCCATCAAGGATTGGAAGGTCTGGTGGTTTTCATTAGCTATGACAAGTCAAGTCGTTGCGTTGAGCTTCAATGCCTATTTTCCTACCTTGAGCGCAACCATGGGGTTCAACACGACAGTGACACTATTGCTTTGCGCTCCGCCGTTCGTTTTTACTGCTATCCTAGCTTTCTTAGTCTCTCGGTAAGAGCGCCAGTGCTAAGCCTTTCTAGCAATTTCATGAATTAACTCAGCGTGTTCTGCAGTCACTCTGACAAAACTGGCGAGCGATTCTATCATATCACGATATCATATGCGGTAGGCATTGTCGGCTTCATTATTGCGATCTGCACAATGAACACCGCGGCGAGATACGTGTCTTTGTAAGTCAGACGTACTGATTATGAAGCCTCTACCGACTATACGTATCATCTTATAGGTTTTTGATGGCTCAGTCCTATGCTGGCTTTGTAGTGATGTATGCCTGGATCAGCAACACATTTCCTCGGCCACCATCCAAACGTGCCGTCGCACTCGCACTCGTTAATGCCTTCTCGCAATTGGGTAACGTTGCTGGCTCGTAAGTACCAACATTGAGAAGCACGTCCAACACTCATGCTAGACTGTCTGTTGCAGATATGTCTGGCCCACACCATGGGGACCCACTTACCGCAACTCGTATGCCATTTGTATAGCCACTTCTGGATGTGCGATCGTCATGTGCTACGTTCTGAAGTTACACCTCCATGCTGTGAACAGGAGATTGGACAAGGAGGAGCAGGAACGGGGCATGACGGAGAAGGGTTTCAGATACTTGACATGAAGACGCGAAGTACGTGTATGTAAATGTATGATTAAGTCGTGCTTTGTATCATGTCTTACACTTCCACGCAGTTTGAAGCCAATAAGATCAACAATTCAAACCTACTAAGGCTGATTGTGACTTCCGATCAATCATCCCAAACCTTCAACCTTTAGCTTTGGGCCTTCTGTCCTATCTCAAGTAACGGTTTGTCCTCTAATCCATTGGCTGGCTGGGGGACGTATTGAATGGAGTAATGACAATGACACGAGTGGTATTCAGTTGGATCTGTATTCTGCCGATCGATCGGGACTGGCGTAGAAGCCAACTTCCTTCTGAAATGGCAATTTGGATGCAGAAACGCGACACCACCGTAAATGGTATTTTCATTCAATGGTCTCACTAACTATGAGCACATTGCGAGCTACAAGCTTTGGCATCAGCTGCTCAATGACTGCGGAGGCTGGATGGTTTGCCGTGGTCAATACATGATACATTCCTCGATACAATATCTCAAACGCCTCAAGACATGAAAAGACAGGCCCGCTGAGGATATCGTCGATTCTTGCCCATTCCACGTACTGCAACTGGTCGGCACTGTCTGCCTTGATGTGTAAGTAAAATCGTTGGAATCGAGTCGACACGATTGCTGAAAGCATCGTAGGAATCCACGAAAAGTCTGGGACACGCTGCGGCAGACAACGCAAATCAACCCAGCCAATTCGTAGTGTCGAAAAACTTGTGTTGCTTCTCAAGCTGATAGCGCTAGGGAGTATAGCTACAAGAGCAGACAGTGAGCATCCAATATATCACAAGCTAAATTGAAGCACGTTACCATATATCAAGAAATCTTCCTCAATACCTGGGATAATGAAGCTTGCGTTCTCAAGAGAGTCGCCGGCTTCTGTGACTATGCTGCTGACAGTCGGATCATTCATATTGACAAGGCATCCCGTCGCGTCCGCCGGACACGAAACCCGCAACCGTATGAGGAAGCGTAGATCAAAGAAATAGGGCAGGCAACGCAACTCATGCATATGGCCGTTACTTCGGACCATCGATAATTCTCGGAGTCTTGGTCGACTGACATTCTCCCCGCAGCCTACGTCATCGTCCTGATCAACGAAGGTCAAGCTATGAGCCGTGACGGAAACGCCATCTGACTGCTCTCGCTCATCGACACATTGATGGCCATCACATTGCCAGAAGGCCTCTGTTAGATGCAATGCCTCCAGATGAGGGAACGAGTGTAGGAGGGCGGCGAAGTATCGGCAGGTAGGTAGCTGAACAGCGTCGAGGTGCAGTGAGGTCACGTTCAGGTACTGTCTATGAAAGGTGGTCCATCGCATCACCGGCGGCGGCGCAATTACGTTGCACAATGTGACTTCGTGAACGTTGGGGAAAATATCCAGAAGTCGACGGCATTCGGAGTCGTAGAATCTCATCGGTTCGACATGCATGCCTTCAATCGTAAGCTTTTGCGTGAACGTGGCTAAATCTGGGCGACATCCATATTGCTGGGTAACCTCATCAAGGGCGTTTCTCGATTCTGCGACCCAGACGGATCGATGTTTGTTGGCTCGCAGATGAAATACGCTTCGATCCCTCCAAGCGCGGCATGTCAGCGCACAAGCGAGCAGGACATTCGTGTTCCTCCGTACGAGAAATTCCAAGTGGTTGTAGGAAGACGCGACGTGGTCAATTATTTGGTCCAACGTCTCCTGGGGCAATTTGGCAACAGGACAGGATAACAACGGAAGTTTGGGTACATGGTCTCTTTTGGATGGAGTGCTTCTTAAAGAGGAGTCAGGAAGAATTCAAGGGAGAAATCTATTAGAGACTAACAACGACATGGGGCTTCTTCTGGTTGAATCGCGGTGATTCAGAAACGGTTGAACAACGTGCAATCCTACTGGCTCAAGCCTATATAACATGCTATCTAGAAGCGCTGATGTGCCTTACGTACCAGAGAGCGATGGTAATTCTTCTGATGGGCTGGCAGGGACCCGATCGCGTTTCAAAGAATAAATCGATTTGAATTGGCATAGCGATTGAGAGGTGCAAACAATCTAGAGCAGTTGAAACTGAAGGATGCTGCAGTGTGTTAAATGTAATGCTCGAGTAGTATATGTCCAGAAACTGGACACATGGATATCACTCGCAGAGATCTCGCATTTTCCTTCTCGTGGCCTCCTTTACTGCACATGTCTACTCCGCCATGGCTCAGCAACCTGTTGACCTTGCATCATACCAGCAACACAATACACTGTAAAATTATAGCACTCAGGAAAACCATCCAATTATAGAAGTATACATAGAATTGACCGACCGTTTAGCTTCAAGGACGACTATGCAATATGATGGCCGGGGCTGCTAGATCCGGTAAAATATCTTCGAACTTGGACAACACGTCCTTCACCGTAACGATGTAGTATGCCACCGGTAGATACGATTCAATGGCCTTCGATAATTTGAGAGGCGGATTGCAGAGTATATCAATGATATGTTCACAATCAATATACTCCAATTGTTCTATTTGATTGAGCCGCAGGCTCTGGAGGACTAGCACTCACCTTAATATCATAATGCATCCGCAGAGAAATGTCTTCTAGATAACCTTCGGCACCAGAATCACAGTGCAAGCGTTCAGTTCCCTTTGACAGAGCCCGTGGGCCCCGAGATCTACAGTCTTTCAGTCGCGAGGTATCGAAAAACGAATCCAACGATGTGTACGAGACCTGAATCAGCGATGGTCAAGCGACGAAGCTGCCAGCGGTGAGTCGGAAGTGTCCGAGTCAAGGTACAATCTGGCCCGTTGTGGAGCTCATTTCTGATGCCCGTAGACGGGTTGTTACCCTGGCCTGCTTAAGGTGCATATGTTTATCGTTATTGCATTTCCGCTCCACATGTGCCCGAACGCTTCCAGAAAAGCGAGCTCAAGGGTGCAATCGGTCAAGATTCTGAAGAGCCACATGATGGGTGTTCAACCACGTAAAACCGCAGCAGGGGGACTTTCATGTATCGGGCAGCAGAAATCCCGTTTCGGTCAGATCCACCTTTGATCACTGTAAAACATATAAAACACAATGCTTGGAGCAGCAGCTCACACATCCAACACTCGACACCATCGAAATCATGTAGAAGACCTGACCTTCCCCGTATACTAGCAATTGTCATATCACGAGTAAAGGTGCGGGCCAGCGGAACATAGGCTTTCAATGCCACTTCCCAGGGCACAAGCGCAAAACACAAATTGGGTACGATGATCTAAAAACGCACCCATGATGTATACTGAGCATCGACCACGAAGTGCTCGATAGGTGAGTGCATGAGCGTAAGACTTTTTACGAGCTTGTTTCCGCGATCGACAATCGTCCGATTGGAAGCGAAGTGGGCCACGGTATATTACGTCCGGTGTCTCTAGTGGTCCTAGTGCGTACCGCATAGTATCGGTCAATGGAGCAAGTGGCAAGCGCATGCTCCAACCACGTTGCGACGCAACGTTCCTACAAAGCCATAGCGCAGGTAAACAAATACTCGTAGTCGGTGCAGAAATATAGATCAAACTTACGGCGTCATGCATTAAGGCCATTTCAAACGGTACTTGGTCACTAGTCAAGTACCCAAGCTGGCCGTCGTCCACTGACCCCTATGATACGGACAAATGCTGTTATACAATCTGAAGGTCAGTTCTGTACTTTCAAATGAACCCAATTAGCATATCGCTATCCCCAATTGAGCTGCCTCTGAGAAGTGTATGCGGCAGAATAGAAATCGTTGGGAGGGCGCGCGGCTGGCTGATGGTCGCACGATTTGACGGCGCTTATGGTCTACGAGTACAACCTGTCTACAACCGAGATTCGCACCGAAACGTTATTTGTGTCTTTGAAAAGCGTCATTAAGCAAACATTTACCGTACTACACAAAGGCTCAATGCAAGCAAAGCAGAGATACTCTCGCATCTACGACATGGTTTGAACTGAGTTCAGTCAGGACCAAGTAATTGTGAAGGGTCCTGAACGCCCCCGGGCCCTCCTTTCTCTGCCCGCTGCACAACATCCTCAACCTTTGATCCGTCCTTTTCAAGCCCCACGTCATTTTCCTTATTATCCTTGCTATCCTTCGTTTCGGATACACATCGTTCACATTCGCATCTAAATCGCCATCCCCAAGCAAGTTCGAAGCGACGGCGTCTCCTGGCTTCCTCGGGAGCCTCTCCATCATGTTGAGATACATCCACGTAGGATACCGTAATCTCGTCGCCCTTCTTAAGCTTGCGCGTGGCAATGAGGTGTAGCTCCGCTGTGCCAGAACTGAACGAAGGACGCGCAGATGGCGCACAGGAGTGTCCAATCTGAAACGCAGACTTAGAACTTACGAGGCGCATCGTTCGAAGTAAAACTTACGTAGGATGAGACAAGGTAGAAACCGCTGCCAACTTGGCGAGAAGTGCCATAGGGAGTTCGGGTGCGTTCTTTGTCTTCAGGCCGTTCCGAAGACACGGGCTGTAAACAGAATGAGATGTACGGCTGAAACAGCAAAAGTTCTAAGGTGTGTTCCTACCTTGTCGTCTCGCCCTCCTCCAAAGCATACACCATAAGCGTTGTATGTCACCTTGCCCAGATACATAGCGTATCGTTCGTCGGTTATTGATTGCTCCAAGCCGGGAACAGCAGCAGCCAAAACTTTAGTCAATAACTTATTCTCTTCCTCCGGGGGGTTGACCTCGATGTATCGGAGTCGCTCAAGATGGTCATACAAGCTGTAATCCGCGTTGTCATCAACAAGTAGGGGTAAATCCGTCGCGGCAGGACCAGACTTCTTTGGTAGGAGCTTTCCCGTTTCGATAGCGATGGCTCTAGCCACTAAACGAGCAACAAGAATAGGACCAGTTTTGCCTTTTGATTTGAGGTAGTCGGCAAATGGACCTTGCGCCTGCTCACGATCGGCCTTGGAGAGATCAGAAATGCCACTGTCCAATTCAGGAGGCAGGACGGCGTCCAGGCCAAAGAGGAGATTTTCGGATTGAACTTTAGACTTTAATTGGCAATCTTTTGAGCAATATACAGCACCGAGTCGGTCGATGTCGGCTTTGATAGCCACGCCTTTTTGGATGCTCCTGAAGCAGTGTGCACAATGTGAATCTTGGGCTTGAATGTCGAGGTCAAGAGCAGTTACAATTGGCTCCTCCTATCGATAGCATTAGAAAGTTTCAATAGAATAATTTAGAGTGAGATAATTCTCGCGATTGATACCTTGTAGATGACGTCACCAGGTTCGAAGTCTTTCTCAGCAACAAGAATTTTCTTCTTATCCTTGCCATCCTGGACGGAAACATTCATACTTTTTGGTGGGAAGATATTGTAATAGCCTAACATGAAGGTTGGTGTCGGACTTCTTAGTTCAGCTCTCAAAGGCACAGCAAAACGGCGTACCTTCGACACGGTCTTTAACCTGCACGCGAAAAAGCAAGAATATAGAAACAGAGCATGTATTAGATCGTGAGCAGTGCGTCGGTGAAACAAGATGAAGGAAGAAGCAATGAGGCGTAGATTGTAGAGATATAAGATGGATATGAATGCAGGGGTGGTGTTTTACAGCAACGATGCGAGATGTTCTATGGCGCTGCACTTTGGCTGCCCGGATCCGTAAGCCTATCCCATTCCTGCGAAGATGTCTCCGAGGGAGGGCCAGTTCTTGTCGGACTCGTTTCCCCATCATCAGAAGCAGTATCCCGCCCCGCTGTTTCTGGTTCATCAGACGTTGAAGACGAACTTACGTCCATGTTAGTCAGATCCATGATAACCTGAAAAGATATCAACATTGCGCCACAACTACACTCCCAAATCAACATACCTTGAAGATATCTTCTGGAACAGTCTTTTGGTAGATCATAATCAACTCCACTGGTGATGGGTACACTCGGAGTGCTCTGTAGAACGACAGCGCAGCAGGAAGACGGAACGCAGGGCCTAAATAACGGGTTCAGTCATGTCTAAGTGACTATCGTAGAATAACATACCTTGAGCAGCTAGTTCTTCAGCCATGCCAACTTGTGTCATAAAGTATTGTTCCTTCTCTTCAGGAGTTGCCGGAAGCTCCTCTGTCCGAACCTTGGCCAACGCAGCACGAAGGTCATCAGCGTCCACAGCACCACCTTGCGGTCGTGCGGCTGTTTTGTTTGCCTTCTTTTTCTCCTTCCCTGTTAATTGAAAGTGAATAAGACCTGTCTTCTGACTACCTAGATGCACAGGTCAGACTGACGTAGCTTCCTGCGGAACTCGGCATCGTTCCTTCGTTTGTAGTCAAAGTACACCACGTAGGCCAAAAGGCCCCCAAGAACGGTGACACTCGCGAGAGTGTAGATAGACGTCCTCGACGACATTTTTTGGATGATGAGGACAAGTCGAAACGCAACCTGCGGCAAAGAGAAATCCTGCAGCGTGCGGCGCCGGATATATCCGATGGTAATTAGACGCTAAGGCGAGAGAGGAAGTGTGGGCGCCTGTTGTACTTCCTTGTACTCGAGTACTTAATGGGCGCTACCCCACATTACTGCGATCTTGCAGCGGCTTGAGTCGACCGTGTGTCTTAAATACCACTCGCAGCAAGGACGCACAACCCTCCCCGATACTCTGTAGTACCCTGAAGTTTATAGGACTCCAGTCATGGCACCAAACATCCCTAAGGAGCTTGAGGACGCTTTTATCAAAGTGTCTTTCGAGGACGAAGGTGTTAGTCCTGATCCCGGCGTTCAGGACCCTGCGTACACGCCATGGTTCGACCATGGTAAGTGACCAGAGACTCGTTGCGCACGCCCTTCTACATATACTTTTCCTAGGGTCAGCCAAGTTTGTTGATCCTGCGGGTTTTGGGTAAGTAGTATCCAAGTCTCCAGTGCCAATCGTCGCTGATACCAATGTACGAAGCGCAAGGACTTTGCGCAAGCTCTACCCAAATCATACCATTACCTTGTGCTCTTCCCCCGTATTAGGTTACCCTGGTGCCGTGGTGCAACCCATTTCGCCTCCCGACCTAGTGACGAACGTGTTCTTCGTTCCTCTGGGTAGGCAGATGGGTCGCTCTTCCGGCGTACTCGTAGATGCCATACGATTCGGCTCTTTCCGTGTTGCTTGGGATGTAAGATCATACTTCTTTGGAGTCCTGTATATCATTCATTTCTATGACAGAAATACGACTTCATCTTATATGTTGTCAAGGTAAGTATCATACCTGTCATCATCCGCATGTTAAAACTTACACTATCTTAGTACCCGGTTGGATTCGGGGAGGCCACTCAGCAGTACCTCCTGCACGAAGGTTCTGAGGAAGCGTCACGCGCTTTATTGTTGGCTTCTGGCATCTGGAGCAATGATCTTCACGAAGAAATATATGTCTTCAACCAAGGATTTTGGCGCAAAGACCGTTCCCTTTGGGTCGATGTGCAACAGGCCAACTGGGACGACGTGATTTTGAAGGATGAGTTCAAAACCAATCTCAAGAAAGACATATATGGTTTCTTCGATTCGGAAGCGCTGTACAAGTCACTCTCTATTCCTTGGAAGGTATGACCATGTCCGGCATCTTACAACTGATAATGTGCTAAGTTGCTACATTGAAGCGCGGCATCATTATGTTTGGCCCGCCGGGTACGTTCTGCAATACACTTTCGAAGTCAGATCCTGACCTCTTGTTCATCAGGTAATGGAAAAACAATCAGTATGAAAGCCATCATCAAGGACTGTGATATCAAAGGCTATACCCCATTGTATGTTAAGTCGTTCCAGCACTGGATGGGTGATGAAGGCGGGATGGCCGAAGTCTTTGGAAAGGCTAGACAAATGGCACCCTGTGTGATAATCTTGGAGGATCTTGATTCTCTCATCAATGACCGTAATCGGTCTTTCTTCCTCAACGAGCTTGATGGTAGGTTTTGCGAAGAGATATATGTCTGCCCGTGCTGATATTCAAGTGCTCTAGGTTTCCAGAGCAATGACGGTCTGCTGGTCATTGGGTCCACCAACCACTTTGATAGGCTGGACCCTGGTTTGAACAGTAGGCCCAGTCGATTCGACCGCAAATAGTAGGCAGATATCATCACTTGGTGAGAATGCTTACTGAACAAGATGGTGTGCAGCCCCTTCGACGATCCCGATGAGGAAGAACGCAAGTTGTATGCCAAGTATTGGCAGAATAAACTCAAGAACAACAAGGAGATCGACTTCCCGGACAGCCTCGTCGATGAAGTTGCGACTGCTACCGAAAAATTCAGCTTTGCTTATTTGAAAGAGGCATTGTACGTCCGCTTTGTCATCGGATTTGCGATTGATGTTAAGTTACCTTTGTGGATAGCGTATCGACGTTGGTTCTCCTTGCTGGAATGGAGGATGACAAGAAACCCACCTTCGCAACGCTCCTTCAGAAACAAATCAAATCTCTTCGCAACCAACTTGACAAGAGTCCCGAGCTCAAGACTGCCCCAGGGACATCTCAGCCCATTCCTGGCGCGTTTCCTTCAAGAGCGCCTCCGTCTCAACAACGATCAGAGGGGCGATTCCAAGGGGCTTTCAGCCAGTTTGCTAATCAATCACGCATCTGGGATATCGGGACTCGCGGAGATCCCAGTATCAATGCGCCTGGAGATATGTATCCTGACAGCTCTCCAGGGCGGAGGTTTGAGGGTGGGCGCGATGTGAGAAGTATGGCTCTCGCTGCCGCTGCGTTAGGTCGCTCTTTTATCGCGTGAGACTCGTTGCCCATGATAGAGCCTGGTTATATCCCTGGATTGGATTTGGATTGGATCAGATTTTTTCTCTGAGTGCTTGTATAGTAGACATGTATGCCATGTAGAAATTATTCTTGCGAGATAAGAACTCGCTGTCATATCCCGCAGACCGAGTCTGAATTGTAATCGGATGGATGATTGACGAATTAGCGATTCGCGATTGCTTTCAAACCACCATGACCTTCCCTCTCTTATGTACAAACCCGTTATGCGAAGGCCGGCACGATTAACTCGTAGGCATTTATGGTCTCAAGAGATCTCAAGCAATGCGATCAACATCCCGAGTTACCTGCACTGCCAGTTTGAATGCCTCGACATAGGTTGTTCGTCGAGTTATAACTTAATCGCCTTGCATCCATATTTCACTTAGCAACCTCGGTAACATAGTAGTCAGCAGGCCAACGGGAGTTTGAGGTAAAATACACCATCATGATATGTTTAACGAAGATGGTGATGCGTCAAACATCAAACACCAGACGGAGGTTCACAAGTCCAAATCGGCACTGTGGATTAACACTACTCGTCTATGTCGTGGGTAAGTATCATATACATGAGTTCAGCCTGGCAATGTCTTGAACCGCTTCAAATTAAGCCATTCGCTGGCTAAAGTCACTAATCTATTTGATAAGATTTGATGCAGTCATTCTGAACTTTATCATTTCAGGTCGATAACCCCATGCTGTTTCCACCTCCGCCATCTGATACGCTCTGCATTATAGCGGCTACAAGACCAGGGCTGTTCCAAACAAGCAGTTAAGGTGGCTTACCATGGAGGCAATGTACTTAGATCCTGTTCGAACAGAATATAACGAAACCCAGACGATTGGGAACAGAGAGGACTGTCAACAGTCAAGGTTATCGCCGCCCATTCGGGTGGCCCTGGCCGATTCTTTTTGCATCGGAGGAGCCAAATCGCATTCCAGATCATGCGGAGTCCAGGCCGTTAGTGGGTCCCTCACATTAATATTCGCCTCCTAACATGCACACCATCATCCTCCCGACGCTCGTTTGTCCCCGCCACTCCTTATACCGCTCCCTGCACAATGAAGTCTCTGGTGTCTTTGTATATTACTCTAGCATGTAATGTTTATGCTTCGCTTGCTGCAATCGAAGTCACTCCGCCTTCAAGTCCTCCTACAGGCAATGCCACCGCGGTCGTTTTCCCGAATTTCCTTGGAATATCCCTGGAGCTCTCATTCATAAACAACTACTTCGGTAACAGCTCGAATGAAGCACCACCTGCAATGGTCAACTACCTCTCTGCTATACGCAATCGTACCTTTGATCGACCTGTTCGACTCCGACTTGGTGGAAATTCCATGGATAGTTCTACCTATGTCCCGGACCAACAGGATATTATCCAGTTTACCAACCCCAATGCTAACTCAAATGATCAACCAGTCAACTACGGCCCGGCACTCTTCGATGTTATGAACACGGTCAGCGATATGGCCGGTGAAGTTGAATATCTCATCGGTACGGCCATAAATTCGAGCCCGTAACTTGTCTTACCTTATGTACATAGGATTAAGCCTGCGCAATCCAAACAGTACCAATATTGCGCTCCTGGCAGGCGATGCGCAGAAGGCTCTTGGGGATAAACTGGATGCATACTTACTTGGAAATGTACATTCGATATTTCTGACGTGGATCTTGTGAATTCTGCTCACTCCCACTTATAGGAGCCTGATTTGTACACTCGGCATGGACAGAGACCCAACATAGCGAATTACACCGTCAATGATTACATCGGTGTTAGTCTGCTTCTACTTCTGTTCGGGTCAGTTGTTAATAAGGCGCTTCTAGGAATATTGGACCGTTTTCAACCAGCTTAAATACACGCCACAAGGTGACGTGTTGGAATTGGATAAAATTGCCGGGCCCACAATCTGTTGTGCTTGGGTAAGTGTTCAGTATTTCTTCCGTCACTTTCGACGCTAACGTCTCGAAATGAATATGTAGGACCTCAACGCTGTCTTGTCATCCGGTTGGTTGACCTCCTTCAAAGACCGGCTGAAGTACATCACGTTGCAACACTATCCTCAAGACAATTGCCGCTCAACACATAAATACGAACTGGACTATTACCTTCAGCACAAAGAAACAGTAGAGCTCGCACAATGGCAGGGTCCGGGAATACACAACCTTTCGACCATGCCCCCCGAAATCCGGAGGCCTCTCCTCATGGACGAATTCAGTTCGGCTTCTTGTGGAGGCCTCCCAGGAATCTCGGACACGTTCGGTGCGGCTATGTGGACAGTGGATTATGCGTTACAGATGGCCAGCGTTGGCTATTCTGCAGCGTATCTGCATACTAGGGAGAGGGGCGTCACATACAATCTCTTTGATTATCCAGACGCCCCTGCTGGTAGTGGCGGGGATTGGACTACAAACCCGACGTTCTATGCATACTTGCCAATCGCAGAAGCACTTCAATCTCCTAACGGAAGTAAGGTGGTCGATTTGGACATCGAGAACTCCATGACGGACGCCACAGCGACCATTGCAGGTTATGCGATTTACGACATGACGTCCTCTAACGTCCACCGCGTTGTCCTATTCAATTTCGTCAACGGTTCATCTACCCCTGTATCATTTTCACTTTCGCCTTCGTTCTTTTCTACGTCAAGCAACAGTGTCCTTGTGCGATACCTCACTGCGCCGAACGTCAATGAGAAGACTCAGATAGCCTGGGGTAACCTCACGTACGCCGGTGTTGGTGACGGCAATCCTATTCAAGCTACATTCGATACTGCACGAAGCGATCAGACCGTGGATTGCTCCCAGGGCTGTACCATTGATGTGCCAGGACCGGCTGTCGCAGTGGTGTATGTGGGTGCTCCCCCAATCCTTGGTGCTGTGAAGAACAGTACAAGCCAGACTACAGGCTCTGGAGCCACCTCTCATTCTGGGACGTTGGGTTTGAGGCTTCCGAGTGCGACGTCGCTCTTGTTGTTGTCCTTGCCGTTCGTTCACATTTTCAGCTTGCTGTGATGCTCGCACTCTTTCATATTTATTGCATCGAACCCGAACTTACATACCAGGTGAATCGTCCCATGTGTTGTAGCTGCTTGTTGCCATTTGTAGCTAGCCTATGGCTCTGTAGAAGCTAGATCATATTGCTGTATTAACATCTTGCCTCCATGATAAAAACTATCCCGTATGGAAGAATGCCGGTTTTTCCTCTCTAGGGATTTGTGAAGGCTGCCAGTCACCTAAACCCTAAGAACGATCCAGCGAACCTGTGGGAAAAGTGACAAATGAAGAAACCCTGTGGATCATTGTTGGAGTAGTAAAGGCCTCTCCACTACCCAACGAAATCAATAACGGGATACAGTAAGCAATCGAGGAGCAAATAACCAAGTGAACATAAACACTTACAGAAATATGCATGTCTAGACATGACGTACAATATCACCAAGCTCACCCACCAATCGGCGCTTGCCTTCCTTCTCCTTCTTCGGTTTTCTGACCCATTCAGTCTTGTCATCTCTCAATTGGTGGTACCGCAACGCATCTTCTAAGCGATTATCCAAAAAGGCATCGGAAAGATCGAAAATGATATCTATAAGCTTTCTAGCGGCCCTTTTCCGCCTCCCGAAAGGTAAAAGAAGTTCAACGTCCGAGAACGAGATGTGTTTGCATCGTAATATAGTAAGCAGTGTAGCTTTGGCCACATTATCGGACTGGTTCCAAGTTTCAACAATCTGCTTGAGGCGGTCAAAATGTTCATCCCAGAATGTAAAGTCCTCCGAGTTGATTACGAGTAGCTCTGGCGGTGTAGGTGAATGGCGGAGAGATTCCTCCACTTGCCATGGGGAAGGGCCGGGAGAGGGTAACGGGTCCACCCATGGATCTAGCGCAAGAGCGTGGTTGAATGGTATCGGGTCAAATTGTGCAGCGTACAGCGTTGGTGGAGGTTCTGACAGAATGGAAAGCTAGAGCGATAAAGTGTTTCAAAATGGGCAATGAAAGTGAAAAGACGGATTACTGCATTGCTCACAACGGTGGCACCGCCGAAAGAATGTCCCGTAAGGGATATATCTCTGTTACACTCCACTTTGCGATCGGGGTTCTGCGAATCCATATGCCAGCTCTTCCAAAAGGCGAGATCATCAGGACGATTGTTCAGATTGAAGTTCCATGGACCATCAACCGTATGAACTTCGTTGCATGAAGGAATAACTGCGCGAGGACCTTCAGTATCAAACTATATGTTTAGAAAAATGAATTCATACTTGGCAGGGTAGTTTCATCAGATTCGATAAGGTGCTTGAAGAACTTATGCATCAAGTATACTTCCAATCGACGGTAGAGAAGTTGCTCGGCCTTGAAGGCATATTTGTCCCCTGTATCGTTATCCCAGCTGGCATCATTCAGTGTAAGGGCGCAGAGTAATGCAAACGGAACATACTAGACATCTTCCAGCTTCGTGTAAAGTCTATATTCAGGTTGAAACTCCTTCTCAAGACCAGGAACAGGCGACAACGGCGTAACGATTGGGGCTGTGCCATCTTGGTGTTCGATAGCGAGTACCACTCTGCCTTGTGCCGCCAGCCGGCTACAGAAATGACTGACATACAAATCAGCACGGGAAGGGTAGTAACTTCGAGGTTGGTGGAGTTACCTGTAGCTCGTACGGGTCCCACCGAGACCATGTGAGAATATCACCAAGGGCCAAGGTCGACCACGATCATCCTTTCGTTCCAATGGCGATAGAAGAGGTGCATTCAGATGCGCAGGGAACTTCCATTCCCACCGTCAGTGTGAAAGCCAATATGTGTTGGTACGAATATTGTAGCACACCTTTATATGGGACACAAATGCGCGGCATAAGATGTATACAAACCAGAAGGAAACATTTCCAAAATGTGCGTATCCTCGTAAGACTTCCTTGATAGGTCTGCAAGGAAGAACATACTATCGCTGTAAGAAACACGCCACGGTGATTATATGTGTCTAAACACACCTGGGTAGCCACGGCAGATATCTATGATGACCCTGCCAACATTTACGGGTGCCCAGAGAGCTTACATCTGCTGGGTAATACGCCGTGAAAGCGATTTCCTTCAGCACTAATGGAGGCGTATATGGGGGGCGTCGTAGGTTGTTCTCTGGCCTGAATTTCGAACTCGGGATGGTCACCTCACTAGGCAACCTTGCGGCAAACATAGTACACCCCACATTATATCGGCCAGGGATATCTGGAAGCGTAAACATATTCGTCGGATAGAGAAAGCCATGGTGGGTACGTTGGGTGTATTAATGCATTCGAACAAGTAACACGGTCCTGGAGAGTCATTTGTAGTAGGAGGTTCCCACGATCATACAATGCACTAGCACTGAGGGTTGACTGAGGGCTTGACTTCACTCACCTTGCCTAGCTACTCATGAATTGACCGCCTTCCCAAAGTTATGATTACATTTACACCTCTTTCTGGGGCTGCACGCTCTGCGCGTACCATTCCTCTCGCATACTTACTGAAGGTGGACGATGTGCAAATCCTGCTCGACTGTGGGTCACCCGACTGGTGTCCGGAAAGGGCTTCTTCGTCAGCCGTAAAGGAGGAGGACCTTGCTGAAAGCTCTTTTCATTGGGAGCAGTATTGTCAGGCCCTCAAAGAGTATGTGCTTTGCTGTTTCAGTCATCAGCTGTACTCACGGATTACTTCAGACATGCACCTAACATTGACCTGGTTCTGCTCTCGCATGGCGATCTTGCTCACTCTGGGCTGTACCCTTACGCCTATGCTCACTGGGGCTTAAAGGCACCCGCGTACACTACGCTTCCAGTTCAAGCCATGGGTCGGATTGCTGCCACCGAAGATGTAGAAGGCATTCGAGATGAGGAAGAAGTCGAAGATGAATCGACTCCCTCAAATGATGATTCTGACATCGAGGGAATTCAAGAGAATGAAAACGGTGAAGATCAGATTCTTTCATCTGCCTCCGAAGGACGTGTAGCAAAGGGGAAGCCTCGCAAGTATATTGCTACTGTCCAGGAAGTGCATGACGCTTTCGATTCTCTAAATGTACTCAGGTACTCTCAACCATGTCACTTGCAAGGTACATCCACTACTCAGATATGGGCAGTAGTGTTCTCAACGTGTTTTGTGGTTATAGGGAAATGTCAAGGACTTACAATCATTCCATTCAATGCTGGTCACACACTCGGAGGTACCATTTGGAAGATTCGTTCCCCGACTGCTGGTACTCTGCTCTATGCTGTTGACATGAACCATATGCGAGAACGACATTTGGATGGCACGGTTCTCATGCGAAGCTCATCTGGAGGCGGCGCAGGGGTATTTGAGAGTTTGTTACGACCTGACCTCCTCATCACTGATGCCGATCGTGCCAATGTCACCGCTGCACGACGAAAGGACCGTGACGCCGCCTTGCTTGGTATGGCCTTTATCCCGTTGACTCAGAACTTGTCTTTAACATTCTTTCAGATTGTATCACTTCTGGACTGACTTCTCGGAACTCTGTACTGATGCCGTGTGACGCTAGCACTCGAGTACTCGAGTTACTCGTCCTACTCGATCAACATTGGTCATACTCCAGGTTGAAGTACCCGATTTGCCTACTCTCACGGACAGGACGAGAGATGCTCACCTTCGTCCGAAGTATGATGGAATGGCTAGGTGGAACTATTAGCAAGGAAGATGTAGGTGTGGAGGCTACCGACAGTAAAGGGGGAAAAGGAGGGAAACGCAAACGGGCAGATGATGATGGTGATGAGGACGCCTTGGGTGCTTTTGCGTTACGTTTCAAGTGGGTTTCTGTGCGTACAGCTCCGTGTCGTTTCCAATGCTCATTGCATTCTCCATCAGACATCTGGAGTTCTTTAACACTCCTGCAGCTTTGCTTCAAACATACTCTTCTAAAGACCCTAAACTTATTCTTGCGGTGCCCGCAACTCTGTCGCATGGTCCCTCTCGAGCATTATTTGCTGAATTTGCCGAGACTCCGGATAATGTGGTGCTGCTCACAGGAAGAAGCGAACCAGGCACACTTGGTCGGATCCTATTTGATAAGTGGAACGACTCGCAGAGAGACGACACCAAATGGGACCGCGGAAAGATTGGCAACAATGTCATGATGGATGGCGTGCTGCGCGTTAAGGTAATGCCATACTCTGCCTACTTTGTGAAGGCAATCGCTTAAATGAGTATTAGATCAATACGAAAGTACCATTACAAGGTGCAGAACTAGACGAGTACCTCCAGAAAGAACGTGCAGCCAAGGAACAAGAGACCGCCAGGAAAGTAGCACAGGCCCGAAGCCAGAGGATTCTTGAAGCCGATGAGGACGAGAGCGAGAGCGACACGGACTCTGATTCTGACGAAGAAAACGAAGTGGAGCGTGCTCTTGGCGATGACATAATGGATACTTCCGAAGGCCGTGGAGGTTCAATAAATAGTTTCAACGAGACGAAGCCAAAGCGGAAGGGAGGTAAACGGAAGGATGTGGATGGTGCTGACTGGAGTGGCTTAGGATTGGACGACGAAGGTTTAACCAAGCAGATACTGTCCTACGACATCTACTTGAAGGGCAACGTCTCGAAGGCGACGTCATTCTTCAAGAGCCAGGATGGTCAGACGCACCGGTTTAGGATGTTCCCTTACATCGAAAAGAAACGTCGTGTCGATGAATACGGTGAGACCATCGATGTCGGAATGTGGTTGAGAAAAGGAAAGGCGTTAGAAGAAGACGCCGAGAGTGAAGAAGTCAAAGAGGCGAGGAGACGAAAGGCTGAAGAAGAAGCAAAGGTATGCTACTCCTAATTCCGATCCACAAGGAGACATCGCTGAGCTGATGGGAATTATAGCCTCGGGAACCGCCTTCCAAGTTCATCTCAACGGAGGTAGACGTGCAGTTGGCATGCCGTCTGCTATTTGTTGATCTGGAAGGTCTTCACGATGGTCGAGCGGTCAAGACGATCGTACGAGAAGTAAACCCGCGCAAGATGGTAAGAAAGACTTCGCCGCTCTGCATGCTGAAACATAGTTGACGTCGATCCATAGATCGTTGTCCATGCCCCACCTGCTGCAACCGATGCATTGGTGGAAAGTTGTGCCGCTGTTCGGACAATGACCAGGGATGTATTTTCCCCAACTCAAGGCGAGACTATCCAAATTGGTCAACAGACAAATAGCTTCTCGATATCAATACCTGACGAGTTGTTAGCATCGATCAAAATGTCAAGGGTACGTGCCAATCAAGAGTTAGTTGTTGTGTTTTTTTTGCTAACTTGGCCGCAGTTCGAAGACAACGAAATTGGACATGTGACAGGACGTATCGCTAGTCTCGCAAGCTCCACTATTCCCGTGCTAGAGCCTCTCTCTTCAGCTGTGGCGTCACAAAGTATATCACACACAGCTGTCATGGGGCGCATACTCGGTTCAAGACCTCGAGCCACCTTGCCGCAATCCACCATGATTGGTGAACTGAAGCTCACAGCTCTGAAATCACGATTAGCAGCCATTGGCGTGCAAGCTGAACTGATCGGAGAGGGTGTTCTCATTTGCGGCGCCGCTGCGAAGCGGGGAAACTCTTCTGATTCACTGGAAGACTCTGTAGCTGTGAAGAAGACCGCGAGAGGACGAGTAGAGTTGGAGGGCGCTGTATCCGATGTGTACTACACAGTACGCAAAGAAATCTATGGCCTCCATGCGCTGGTTGCTGCGTGAGGCATCTTTCACCGCCTACTCATTACGATTTGAAAACACGTATCAATTCATGTATTCTGGATACAATGGCTTGTGTCCGTGGATCCGTGAATAATGTTGCGCACTGTTATAGGTTTGAGTTACATTATAGGTTGGACTAGAGATATCATGATGTAAAATGAATGCTTCGGGTTACGTTTCAAAATTTATTCCGAATTCAGTTGTGTCCCATTGGATGGCAACGTTGATCTAAATATAACTGGTCGTCCTGGCATGGCGAATGACTGGATGCAACCCATTGCGAGGGACGACGACGAGCGATTATTGTGGGCCAGAACAAGTATAAAAGCTTGAGCTTATGTACTTCGATCACATGGAGCATTTATGTATCTCGGTTAATGTCATGACTTCTAACACGACTTTCATGTCCAAACTTTCTGTGTGGGTGCACGACAACGCCCATAGCATTTAGTGAGTTTACGGCATGCTGCGATTGCGCAGACTCTGAAACCATCGAGGGCGGACTGACGTAGTGGAAACGTGTACCAATTTAGCTCTGTACAACCCCTTTCAAGTTTGGCGCCATTGCCACGATGGGATGAGGAGACCGAGGGAAATAGTGCATTGATTCGGTCGGAAGACAACAGTTTGTTCAAACTTGAACAAATGATTTGAGCAAGTCTTCAAGCTTCAAGCTTCAAGGTGTGTCGGTAATATTCTGGCTCCCAGCCCGTAATACGCAACTGCAAAGATCATCATCTGACAGCGACCGGTGGTCCGCAGAACTCTCCGTTCACTGCGCATAGTACGTATTGTAGATCAAAGAGAAAATTTGCCAAGGTTCGAGGAAATCACGGTCATCTATCCATCACGGATCGGCTGAAGCTGACTTGTGTGAAGGCCGACTAAAGACTCAGTATAAAGCTGTCGTCTCCGGATGAACTGATTGCTTCCTCAACATGCGCTCTATACCACCAGGAATACCTGCCCTTCTTCGCAGCCTTCTTATCCTGGCGATTCCTATCACAACAGTGTTGGGAATCGCTCGCGTTCTCTCGCTATCAGGATATACGGTACCGACTTGGGTTATTATCGTCGTTCAGCTAATTAGTATCCCTACATATGTGGCTGCACGGATATGGTTCGGCCTTTGGCGTATTAGGAGGAACGCTGCTCGCTCAGGCGGAGTCATGCCGCCTCGCTGGAGAGGCAAAGGAATAGGAGATATTAGCCTTACGGTCGAGCTCATGGGACTATGGAAGAGAGGATACATCAGTGAGTGCTGCACACTCGGCATGAAAGCGATATCTGTCTTTCTCATATCGAGGAAATAAGGCGATGGTTTCACGGAGGCCATCTCGAGACTTGGCCAGACCATCGACATTCAGGTTCTTTGGGAGCACTCTATCGTCACGACGGATGTGAATATAATCAAGGTGAGGCTCAGTACTGTGTTTCCTGTCCATTCTGATCTTAGATCCTTCACTAGACCATACTTGCAACTGATTTCAACAACTGGGTGAAAGGTGGACATTTTGAAATTGTGAATATGACCATGTTTGACTGTTTCACAGGAGAAGAGTTCCAGCATTCTATGTATTCAGTCTTGGGTACAGGCGTGTTCAATTCGGATGGTCAGTTTAGACTCGCCGCGTGTAACTACTTCATCCAAACTCACACAATGCTGGATTATTAGGGGACATGTGGAAGTAAGTGCTATCCAGTCGTTTACTGGCGATCCAGAGGCTCAAGATGACTGTTGTAGGTTCCATCGTTCAATGACCAGGCCCTTCTTTAGCAGGGACAGGATCAGCCATTTCGATCTCTTCGATAGGCATGCCGGTGAGTCTCACGCTGCACGACAATTCCGAACATCTTTCGTTTACGGATCACTGAACAGAGGTGACGATCAACAAAATTAAGGAACGTATGAAGATGGGAGAAGCTATCGACTTCCAGGTAATTTAGCGAATCAAAGTCTTAAGGGTGGCCATTGCAGTCACTGACTGACGTTGAAATAGGATCTTATATCGCGTTTCACTCTCGACTCTGCGACCGAATTCCTTTTTGGCTCATGCGTCCATAGCCTACAATCCTATCTGCCTTATCCCTCAACCTCCTCATCCCCATTCAAATCGACCAGCAATGAGCTCTCCAGGCCTGAAGCCTTTGCGAAGGCCTTCCAGAAAGCGCAAGAAGTCATCGCTTCGAGAAGTCGCATTGGACCGACATGGCGTTTTCTCGAAATCCTCTCGGACAAGACTGCAAAGCCCATGCACGTTGTTGACGATTTCCTCGACCCGATTCTCAGGGCCGCTTTAAAGAAGAAAGCAAATCAGGACGCCGGTTTCGAGAAGAAAAGGGGCCTGGAAGTTGAGGAGGATGAGACGCTCTTGGACCATCTCGTCAGGTTCACCGCAGGTATGTGATGTAGAGTAGCTTAATGCTTATCTTTCTGAATCACATATTATTCATAGATCCGGTCGTACTTCACGACGAAATCCTCAACATCATGATTGCGGGACGTGACACAACCGCTGGAACCTTAACTTTCTTGGTTTATCTCCTCAGTCAACACCCTCAAGCGCTCCAACGGCTTCGTCGAGAAATCCTGAGTGTCGTTGGGCCTACACGGCGACCCACGTATGATGACATCCGGGAGATGAAGTTCCTCAGAGCTGTCATTAACGGTGAGCCAAGAGTGTCTACACAACCCGTTGTTGGTTCTCACTAGCACGGCATCAGAGACCCTTCGGCTATTTCCCTCAGTGTAAGTTTTGTGCATGTGTTTTCAATGTTCGTTAGGCCTAATCAGCTCTGCTTTTGCACACAGTCCGTGGAACGTTCGGTCAGTGTAGTTTCACTATTATCATCCTGCTTGCTGTTAACATCTCGGTCACAGGTACCCTGTTCAAGATATTCTGCTGCCCAATGCCTCCGACCCCACTAAACCTTGGTTCATCCCCAAGATGACACCGTAAGTACCATTGCATTTCCTTGAAGGAATACACCAATGCTATAACCTCATCCCCGCAGGGTGGCGTATTCCGTATTTTTGATGCACCGCAATACCGATTACTGGGGCCCTGATGGTAGGTACAATGTTCGCCGTCCATTCAACTATTTCGCTCACATGCACTGGCATCATCGTTCAGCCGAAGAATTCGACCCCGATCGGTTCCTCGACGAACGTCTTCACAAGTATCTTACTCCAAATCCCTTCATTTTCCTTCCCTTCAATGCCGGACCTCGTATCTGTCTTGGACAGCAGTTCGCTTATAATGAAATGTCGTTCTTCATGGTCCGATTTTTGCAAAACTTCTCCGATATTTCTTTCAACCCTTCGGCTCAGGATCCATCGACGAGGCCTCCTGCGCAATGGGCGAAACTCCCTGGACGCAAAGGTAAGGATAAGGTATTCCCCAAGGCGCATTTGACACTCTATGTCAATGTAAGTTTCTCTTGAACACCTTCAGACATTGAAAGGTGCTTATTTTTGTCGTGTAGGGCGGCTTGTGGCTTAATATGGAAGAGGCAGAAGCTTCTGAATCGGTTTGAGGCTCATATTCATGGACGTTTTCTCGAATGAAACCAGTTTCTTCTCGTGTACTATAGCTCTGAATGACATGTACTAGTAGGCCCTGCGATCAATCTATGCAGACATATCAACATAGAAGTCAATCGGAAGGCTTGCCATCTACCGCTTTAACACTAACAGCAACATAATCAAATTGGTTTGTCGGCTCGACATGGCGAATGATGGGGACAAGGGACACAGAGTGGATATAAGCATAGACCAATCTCAACCATGCCCAGTGGCAGCGCGATGAAAGCTAGCTAGGGTTTATGATGTTTCGAACTTTAAAAGCTTGAGCTTGAGCTTATGCCATATAGCTTCAATATTTGAGACAGATGGACCTAATCGTCTGGTACTACTTGATCATGACCGCATACTTCCGTGTTCAAACCGTATATGTGGACCCGACTGGAATACAACAGCAACGGGAACATTCGTATCTCAAAGAACATCTATCGACGTCGACCACCGTTACAAATATCTGGACAGGAGCAGTGAACGGCGAACCGTTCGATTACGATTATATACGCCCCAAATTGTGATAGACATCAATCGAAGCGATTTGTTGAACGGATTTAATGTGCGTCTGCATGTACATCGTGCCATACATTGCGTACGTTTAGGCATGGAAGACATGACTTGGCCCGTTGTGTACAGCATAGGCTGTGAAACGGCTTGCAAACAGCCAGAAATGAAGACATGTAGGCGTTCAATCAACTTCGTATTTGATGGCGCCGACAGCGTCGGGCTCGGTGGCGAGCCGCAGTCGGGCGACTTGTAATTTGTACTGGATTTCTTCAGAGACAGGCCTGTATGCCATGGAACGATTGTATTCAAGATGTAGGGGTTGAAATCAAATTTGCGCCTAGCAAGGCGTGCACAAGCAAGCACTCCCTTTGGCGCTTTGAAGCCATGGTGAACGACTCGGAGATGATGAACTCGAGGGAAAAAATATGCGCTTCAAATACTGCAGCTCGAGCATCTGATTTAGGAAGAAGAAGACAATATTTTCACACCATTTAAACAAGCGGCCAGTCATCGAGGTAAGTGTTCAAGACCTTTAGCCCGTAATATGGAACGGCATTCATAGATGACTGTCATCTGACACTGACAGCCGACTCGGAACGTTCGCAGAGATCTACAAACATGGCGCATACGTGGATTAAGAGGAGTTTAGACAGGGTTCGACGAAATCACGGTCATCCGGCTCAAGCTGACTGCGTGGAGGCCGATAGAAGAACAAGTATAAAGCTGTCTAAAGTTGCTGCGTTTTGATGTGGAGTTTAGACATCCTCTTCCTTCCTTCGTCGACATGCGCTCTATACCACCAGGAATCCCTGCCCTTCTTCGCGGCCTTGTTAACCTGGTGATTCCTATCGTAGTAATATTGGGAATCGCTCGCATTCTTTCGCGATGGGGATACGCAGTTCCTACTTCGGCCATTATTATCATTCAGTCAATTGGCATCATTGTATTTGCAGCAGGACAGGTGTGGTTCCGCCTTTGGCATATCGGAAAAAGAGTTGCACGCTCAGGAGGGGTGATGCCACCTCGCTGGAAAGGACAACGCATTGGAGATGCCGATCTTTTGCTAGAGTTTATGGAGATATGGAAGAATGGATATCTGGGTGGGTGTACTCCGCATAAACGGAATATTTGGCTTTCTCATTTGGAGCAAATAAGGTGATGGCTTCACGGATGTGATGTCGAAGATTGGCCATACGATCAGTCTTCGGATTCTTTGGGACGACTCTGTTGTTACAACGGATGCGAATATAATCAAGGTAGGGTCCTGCCATACTTCGTTCTACGTCGATTTTGATCGTAGAATTTGTAATAGAGCGTACTTGCGACTGATTTCAACAACTTTGTGAAAGGTAAACATTCTAAACTCTGGAAGCGATCTATATTTGACTAGTTGACAGGGGAGCAGTTCCAAGCCTTCATGTATTCGGTTCTGGGCACAGGCGTGTTCAATTCGGATGGTCAGTTTAGATTCCTAATGCGTTGACATGTTCGTCCATTCTCACGGAATGCTTTATTATTAGGAGACATGTGGAAGTAGGCGCTTCACATCGTTTACCAGGGTTTCAGAGGCTCAATAAGGTTGTTGTAGATTCCATCGTTCTATGACCAGACCGTTCTTTAGCAGGGACAGGATCGGCCATTTTGACCTCTTCGATAGGCATGCTGGTAAGTTTCACACTCATAATGATCCCGACCGCCCATCGGTTCTACATCATTGAATAGAGGTGACAATCAATAAGATCAAGGAGCGTATGAAGACGGGAGAAGCTATCGACTTCCAGGTATTTACCAAATTGGAGACGTGCGAAGGACTAGTGGAGTAATTCTTTGGCATTTACCTAGGATCTCATATCGCGTTTCACTCTCGACTCTGCGACCGAGTTCCTCTTCGGTTCATGCGTCCACAGCTTGGAATCGGACTTGCCTTATCCCTCCAGCTCGTCCTCTCCGTTCAAGTCGACCAAGAAGGAACTTTCCAGGCCCGAAGCATTCGCCAAAGCGTTCCAAGAATCGCAAGAAGTCATCTCGTCAAGAGGCCGCACCGGATGGGCATGGCCATTTTTTGAGATCTTTTCGGACAAGTCTGCAAAGCCTATGCGTATTGTTGACGACTTCCTTGACCCGATTCTGAAGGACGCCCTGGAGAAGGCGAAACGGGATCAGGACGGCCGTCTTATTAAGAAAGATAACCCGGATGAAGTTGACGAGGATGAGACATTGCTGGACCATCTCGTTAGATTCACCACTGGTATGTGGACTGTGGTGGTGTTATGTTTACTTATCTGGTTTACACTTTTTATAGATCCGGTGGTACTCCATGATGAGATCCTCAACATCATGATTGCGGGACGTGACACAACCGCTGGAACCTTAACTTTCTTGGTCTATCTCCTCAGTCAGTATCCTCAAGCGCTCCTAAAGCTTCGTCAAGAAATCTTGAGTGTCGTTGGGCCTACACGGCGGCCCACATATGATGACATCCGGGAGATGAAGTTCCTCAGAGCTGTTATCAATGGTGAGCTTGTAATGTCTATAAATGTACCGTTTGTTGGATCTCATTGGCATACCATCAGAGACCCTACGATTGTTCCCCTCAGTGTAAGTTCCGGCAGCTAGTGCTTTCAGTATTCCTGATGTCTCATAAAATCTCCGCCTATGCGTAGTCCATTTAACGTTCGGTTAGTTCTGCTCCACCATTAATGTTCTGCTTGATGTTGACATTGTAATCATAGGTATCCCGTTCAAGATGTCCTCTTGCCGAACACCTCCGACCCCAGTACACCCTTCTTCATTCCCAAGATGACACCGTAAGTACCAACCATCAAATTCCTTCGTTCGAAAGAATACTCTGATGTCCTGATATAATCCTTGCAGAGTGGCATACTCGGTTTGGATGATGCATCGCAGGACCGATTACTGGGGCCCTGACGGTACGTACGATGATCGCCCTCCATTCAACTATCTCGCTCACATACACTGGCATCATCGTTCAGCCGAAGAATTCGACCCCGATCGGTTCCTCGACGAACGTCTTCACAAGTACCTTACTCCAAATCCCTTCATTTTCCTTCCCTTCAACGCTGGACCCCGTATCTGCCTTGGACAGCAGTTCGCTTACAATGAAATGTCGTTCTTCATGGTCCGACTATTGCAGAACTTCTCCAATATCACTTTCGACCCTTTGGCCCAAGACCCTTCAACTAGGCCTCCTGCAGCGTGGTCGAAGTTTCCGGGACGCAAAGGTAAGGATAAGATATACCCCAAGGCTCACTTGACACTTTACGCCCATGTAAGTCCCCCTCAAATACTTTCATGCATCAAAGTTCTCTAATGTCCTTCATATAGGGCGGCTTGTGGCTCAATATAGAGGAGGCCGAAGCTTCTGAATCGGTTTAAGGCTCAGATATATAGATGCACACTCTCCAAGAGAGTTCCTTGGGGTCTACGAACACTTTCTCCCCGTGTATAATAGCTGTACATACAACGTTTACAGAAACCAGATTGTACTATATTACGCTGCCTTACCGGAATCCTCCTTCAAACTCACAATACGGTTAAGGACGAGCTTGTCGCCCTCCCGTCTATCGGGCTCCACACTATCTGGCTCGTTCAGACACCCAAGCTTCGACTCCCTGTCGACGGCGAAGTACGCAACTCGCAAGCCCTGGAATCGGATGCACTCCAATCCAACCAATTGTTCGCTCGTCGCCTTCGGGGTATCGTCATTCTCATGGGAAGCAGTCTCGATGGGCGAACTAGCAGATGCCTCAGCAGTCTCTTTGAGAGCTTTCTCGGTCCTAGCTTTGCTTTCTTTCTTAGCATCGTTATAGGCTTTCTTTGCAAGCTGCCAGAAGCCAACTTCGACCAGTGCACCCTTGATGATATCCAAACTGTGAGGATTGATATCCGCAGTGAAATCGGGCACGGCAGCAGCAGGGTTGTCACTCTTGAAGAGCTGGTGGAAGATCCGTGTCTCGTCGACGCGAACCGGGCTACCCGAAGGGGCGTGTTCTGCAACCCACTGGATGAATGCTTTGGGCTTCTTCGTAGCCGCAGGGCCCTCGTTCTCCAATCGGCATATCAACTCGGTGACTTGTCCAGTGACGGGATCGGTCTTGTATGAGGTGCATGTAATGGGATGAGGAGCTTGGAACAGGCCAACTGTCTTGCCTGGAGCGAGACGGAAGTAGTCTGGTGAGTCCTCTAGACGGAAATCATCTGCATCGATGTAAATGGTGCGAGTGAATGGCACCTTCGAAGTACCCAACTCGGGAACCTTAGGATGCAAAGGCTTCTCCAGCCAAAACAGATAATCCTCAGGTAGGTTCTCAATCGTCACTTTGAGTGGTTTGAGAACCATCAGAAGGCGAGGTGCAGAGCCCTCGAGATACTGTCTAACAGCTTGCTCGAAACGAATAGTTTGGATGTTAGAAGCAGCTGTGGAGATGCCAAGACCGCTGACGAAGGAAATGATAGCGCCAGGAGGCACACCACGCCTCCGAAGTGCGATGAGGGTGTATAGTCTAGGATCATCCCAGTCGAGTACGTGGCCCTCCTTTACGAGCTGTAGGATCTTCCTTTTTGACATGATAGTGCCAGTGAGATTGAGGCGACCATACTCAGATTGTTTGGGCTTGTAGACCTCAAGCGCATCACATAGCCACTCGTATGACTCTCGTGAGGCGATGAACTCAGTCGTACACAGCGAATGCCTACAGCATACAATGAGTAAATGCACAAAGACAACGGAAAGAAAAGCCATACGTGATATTCTCGAAACTATCGCACAGACAGTGAGTGAAATCATATGTTGGGTAGATCTTCCACTTGTCGTGCGTACGATGGTGGGGAGCGTTGAGGACTCGATATGCGACCAGATCCCACATCATGGTATTGCCCGACTCGAGATCCTGTTTCATTCGCAGAATGGCTTCACCAGGCTTATAGTGACCCGTTCTCATCTTCTCGAACTCCTCCAGTGATTCAGATATCGGTCGACTGCGGTGAGCACAAGCTTTTCTGGGTCCTCGTTCCTCACCTCCTCTGTTTGCGAAGATCTCCTCGGCTGCGAAAATCATTCAGTGTTATGAACTAACAAGAGCTAGATTACTTTCACATACCAGTACAATGGCAGATATAGCCCTTATCCCGCTTGATCAAGTCGACAGCCAACTCATGGAGTTGATCGAAATAATCACTCGAATAGGTGATCTTCCAAGGTTCGAAACCTAGCCATCTGACGGACTCCAAGATACTCTCAAAGTATCGTGCCTCTTCCGCCTCGGGGTTGGTATCATCGAATCGAAGATAACACCTCCCGTTGTGGTGTGCGGCATATCCAAAATTCACAAAGATGGCTTTCGAATGACCAATATGAAGGAACCCATTGGGTTCTGGCGGGAATCGTGTGTGTACAAGGCCACCCGTAGCTTTGACATGGGCTTCTCGGAGGTGAGGGTGAATTTGAGGGTTTTCGCCAACTTTGTGGAGGTGACCGAGGAAACCTTCTGTGAAGACGGATCTCGATGTTGATGCAGTGGCATTGGACCCCTCAGATTTTTGTGCAGGTTTCGAGGCAGGTTCCTTCTTCGGTTCCTACGGATATGAAGTGTTGAAATAAACGGCGTAATTCATCCGATCATGACATCAGGGATTTACCTTGCCCTTGGATTTCGCGGTTTCCTTTGTGCCAAACCTCTCGGTGAATGCGGTCTCTACAGCGTTCTTCACCTCAAGAGGATTGGCCCAACGAAGCTCTGGGGAGTTCTTAAGGCCTCCAATCACAGCACCGAGGTTAGCCCAACCCGAGACTGCAGCCGATGAAATGTAACTCGAAACCTGGGCAGCAATGTCAGCTGGGGTGATAGTGAAGCCTGAAAACGGTTGTCCAGTTAGTAGATGTACTTCTGCTAAACATGCTGCCATATATTTTTACCTACGCCGCATGATTTATCAAAGTCTGACTGGTCGATAGGCAGAGGGTGTGCTTCAAGGTATTTGACAGCAGCTTGGGGATCATAGTAGCATGAGCACCTTGAGGACTACAAGTAAATAGCATATATACCTGAGACTTGGTCGGTACTCTTCAGTCTACCGTCCAAGATGGCATCTACTGCATATCCACGTTCTACGTCGCCTAGTTTTGCTCCCTGAACGGCAAGTGTGGCCAGAAGCACGGCCTGCTTCTCCTCTAGGTTCTTCTCAATAAGGCCATGCTTTTGGATAATGTCTTTGAGTGTCGAAGCACTCTTTGGACTCTTTGCTGCTTCGGCAGCCTTAGATTGAGTGAGGCCGATCGACTTGAAGAGTTCTATGAGTTCTGCAATTTCCGCAGAGAGTGCTGCCTTGGGAGGCATGAATATAGCAGGATAAGGTACAGAGGTCTATGAGAAGAAACAAGATGCTGAACAGGCCACTATTGTTGGAGATGTCGTGGTCTTACAAGTGATAGTGCTCGTCTGACTCCTCTGATGCTCAATTCTTGCATTGAGATCGATTTTTATCTTATCTTAAGAGTTGAATCTAATCTAATCTATTCCCAAACTTGTGCAAGCTTTAGCCTTTCGAGCCTGTCTTCGACCCTTTCGTCCTCTACGCCCCCAAGTAGATACAGGTGACTTACAGTAGAATCATATATAGCCATCGATGCTCGACGTTGATATTGTCATGGACGTTACTGGCTGCGGATGCCATCGTTCTCGAGCTGAACTTGACTCCTTGGCGGGTCCGTTCCAGGCGATTGGAACACGTCGGCTTGGAAGTCTCGGTGTTCAACTATAGTAGCACAACAACCTACATTTTGGCACTCGTTGCACCCTGACAGACGTACTATGGCATACGTGGACGAGGCTGGATTAATAGCTGTGTGCTAAGGGTACTGCCATATTCTGAGAGTATAAGAGGCGTTGGGAAGGAGGCGCTGAGCCATAAGATTCGTGCCGCCTAGCGGAGCTTGAACTGCTTGTAAGCCTTACACGCAACGACTCAACGCGAAAGTCCAAACCACCTCGACACTTCCGTCCACCGTCTCCTTGTCCTCTGTCGTTACTCCTCCGACAAACATCGTCGCCATGGGTCTCTCTGTCTCTCGTCTTCTCTCCGGCCTCTTTGGCAAGAAGGAGATGCGTACGTCCCCATCGATGGCTCCGCTTCACCTTCCAGCACATACTGACGTACCGGCTCTTTTCCAGGTATATTGATGGTACGTATTGCAGAAAGGTCTTTTGTGGCATGCAATCAATCGTATCCGCGTACAGGTTGGTCTGGATGCAGCTGGTAAAACCACCATCTTGTACAAGCTCAAGCTGGGTGAAATCGTCACTACCATCCCCACAATTGGTAACCGCTTTCCTAGTTTGTTCAACTTTCACAATCTCACTAGATAATGGTAACTAGGATTCAATGTCGAGACCGTGGAGTACAAGAACATCTCATTCACTGTGTGGGATGTCGGAGGTCAGGATAAGATTCGACCTCTCTGGAGGCATTGTACGTGACACTGCACTTTTGGAGCGAGCATCGCCACTGACCAAGATGCCACACTACAGACTTCCAGAACACCCAGGGTATCATTTTCGTCGTTGATTCGAACGATCGGGAACGTGTATCTGAAGCTCGTGAGGAGCTCCAACGGATGCTCAATGAGGACGAGCTCCGAGATGCCCTTCTCCTCGTGTTCGCCAACAAGCAGGACTTGCCAAATGCCATGAACGCCGCTGAGATCACCGACAAGCTCGGTCTGCATGGTCTCAGACAGAGGACATGGTTCATCCAAGTATGTCGTTTCATGCATTTGTTCTGATCCCTCTCTTAACCTTGTTTGTTTCATAGGCTGCGTGTGCGACGAGCGGAGATGGTCTATATGAGGGTCTTGAGTGGTTGAGTGCAAACATTAAGCGACGAGTCTAGACGTAATCTGGTGTACGGACCGGGTTTTCAATGTCCATTGCACGTATTCCTCTTATGATTCCTCATGATCTCGAATCGTCTATTGCGATACATTGCCACCTCATACTTATCTTCTCATTGTTGTTCGTAGTTTCGGTTCTCCTTTTCTCTGTCTTCGGTTCTGTTTTGTCTTATTTCGATATATTCCATCGCTGTTTCTTGTCCCTGGAACTTCTGTGAGGTCTTTTCTTCAAAATACTCTTCCATGACGTTTAGAATAATGGAGAACTGGCAGAATGAGAATCGTTCACTTTGGGAAAACGTATCCATAGCAGGGTATATGTAGCGAATACAGAAAGAACCGTCCAATGACTATAATCCTCCGAGTGATACATAAGATCATCGGCTCTCGCCCGGGAACACTCTTCCAACTGCCTCAGCCTCCTTCCGCCGTTTCTCGCCTCTTTCTCGGGACGGACTATCGCGACACTGGGAACCGTACCTTGCCAGTTTCTCCAAAAGTGCCTGAAGACGCTTCGGCTTAACGATAGCATACGTCGTTTGTCGCAAGGTCGGGACGAGGTATTCTTGAACCTTATCCGACATCACTATCGAGGTCGTCTAAGAAAGAGATTGAGTTGGAAGGTGTGCAAAGGGAAAGAACGACGTCATCGTACCATTCTCAATTCTTGGAAAACGGAGCAAAGTTCAGGCCGTCCGTTCCGCTTGAACTCATCTTCGAGGAAATCCACATCCACGAGGATATTCGAAATGGCATTCTCGTTCATCATAGGGATATTGCGTCCCGCCATAAAATCCTGCAGCATACATCTGAGTATTCGGCGAGGACCAGTGACATCAAAAACAGATGCGTACCATAAGACGCCCTGCGAGATACTCAACGGCACTCCGATACGCCTTCTCTTTATACGCCTCTTTGATGACCAGAGAATCCACAACGGTCGTTAGCCAGTTCACGAGCTCGTCCAAGTACATGCTCGGTGCATCTTCTCTTGTGCTCGGTGTCCAGTCATATTCAGACAGACCTGGGAAATCATCTAGCTTGGATTTGATGGATGCATTGACCCGTGCTAGTGCCCAAGAGAGGGTAGATGCGAAAGATTTGGATGCGTTTACTCTGATTGCGCCACCTCTCTGTGATGATCTATGGACATACTGTATGAAGATCCGGAGAAAATGAGGCGGAAGGAATGCTTACCGAATGTTCGTCAATGATCGCTCGAGGTTGAAACAAGCGACCTCAAGATGCTCTAAGTTTGCAACAATCTGGGCGATTTGTGAAAGGTTGGAAGTTTGTTCAGCACGTTTGGCAATACTGCTGCTGATATAGTCAGTCAACAGATTGTTCAGCGACTGCTCGATAGTTCAGTACGTTATTCGTCAAATGACGACATAAGTGTGTACCTTGCTCAACAAGTCGTCAATGTTCCGATGATGCTGAGCCACACCCTCAATGAACTGGTAGAAATTTTGTACGAAACCTCTTATCTGCAATATGATACAGGCGATCAGACAGGACATGTGGGATATGAGACAAGCAACTTACATCTTGGCAAATCAGATAGAAAGCTTGCGACCATGGTAGACTCAGCGGGAGAGCACTCCTACAAAAGTTGTATGGTCGGTCATAGCTCAAAATCCTGAGGATAAGTAGAGACGTACGAAGATAGCACTTCTCGCTCATCAGGTTGCAGCCAGACAGTATCCAACACGCTATCCCTCTCAACGGGTTTCTCAACATACATCGGCAAACAATCGTCCTGCGAGATGATCTACGGGTGTCTTTCGGTAAAGAGAGACAGCTTCCTATATGCGTAACACTCACACTCTCAAACCGAGTACTGAACTGCTTCTCTATCATTGAAACATACTTTTCGAAAAGCTTGAGGATCAGAGAGTGCAGGCTACCAGTCAAGTAGGAGTACGACTGTAGAACACGGTGAATACACGCATATAGTCAAGAAAAAGAAGAGACACCATACCTCCAGAGTCATAACAAATCCTAGAATAACTTCCTTGACAGCGAGGTATGTGTCAGGATCCTTCTCATTTCTGAGTGACGCCTCCACAACACTTGTCAGACGTTTCACCAAGGCATCCCAAAGTTCTTCAACATCCCGTTCTGAGCGGAAGCTACCGGTGGTACTGAGGACATGTGTTTCAATGATGAAGAAACCAACGATCTCCTGTGTGACTGAGCGAAGGGAAGAAAGAGGTAGTGGTTCGGGTATGATGAGATCGGATTGTGCCTAGGTCGTATGCTATAAGTCTCCCCTTCTCACAACAACGCTGGATTTCACTTACTTTTCTGTCCGCTTGGTAGGACTTTCGGATCTCATCAAGTGCATCGAGTGCACCATATATGTGGATACACTGATAGAGGGGCGTAAAGTCGACCTTGAGCTGGTCATTGTCCAAGATGTTGTCTGCGAACGATGGTATTCGGAATTAGACTCGCGACCAACGGGGAGGTGCACCACTTACATTCTATCTTCTCGTATGTGACCACCTCGACGGCGCTGCCAACGCGACTTGATTTGAGTAGCGGGTCCTTCTCGCGTCTACTTCGCCATCTCCGTGTCCGGGTGTCCATGGCCTCCAGCGCCAGTTGGCCAACCTGTGCACTGATGTTCCTAATGTCAAGAAGCCACTGCTTCACGGATGCGGTTACTGCATCTTTTATTTGACCGCGTAAGGATGGCAGCGAAGAGAGCAAGTGTTGGAATAGTGGTGTTTGCGATAGGGAAGTTGGAGGCATGCTCTCAATGTCTTCCAAAGACTATAAAGATAAAATAAATATATTCAACATTTTGAAGAGGGGTACTAGTAAAGACTAAACGACGGACCCTCAACGCACTCCAGTACTTGCCGTCCTTGATCATTTCTCCCACACGGTTCACGACGTCGAGGACACGAAGACATGCCTGCAGCGTGTCAATGCCTTCATCAAGGTTAGCCGCGGTCCTCTTTGACTGAAGTAATGTCCTCTTCTTGTCTACCAGTCCGCGCCCAACTTGGGCAACGCTCTGGTCCAACGAAGTGATCTTCTCGCGAAGGCTCGTAGTGTAGGACTTGATGGAGAACAGTGTCGAGACGGAGCTAATAAACTCCTGATAGTTGTCTCCACATATAGTCTCAATCTCCTCGTCCTTGGACTCTATAAGAGCCTGCACAGCACGCAGGTAAACATCCTGTTGCCGACTTGCGTGTATTTGTTTGATTATAGGCCCTAATTGCTCGAGATTTTCGGACGAAGAAGACTGGTCAAGGAGGTGTATCTGCTGAAGTTGCTGGTCAATGCTCTCCTGGGAGAACTGTGGCCGTCTTCGGGGAGGCATAACGCACAGGTGGTAGTTTAGAACATACTGTAGCTATACCTCAAGCCAGTGGTCATTTGTTTGGCGACAGCCTCAATCGCATAACCCCATTTGGAAGTATGTTATGTTGCGGCTCTATCGGACCGTGGTCTTTCAGCAACCCGCCTGAAGTCCCCACACTGAATTTCTTCCTCTCGTCTCACTTCTTCAGTGATCAAAATGCCTGTGGAGACACTTCACTTTGATGCCATGTATGTGACTATCGGCTTTCCAAACGAGTCGTTTTAACTTCTTGATGGACAGTCTATTCGACATGGATGGAACACTAGTGGATTCCACCGATGGTGTCGCTGGTGCTTGGCATGTATTTTCCGAGACATACCCGGGCATAGACGTCCATGACATCCTCAGCTGTACGTTGTGTCTGTTTTTATTTGATACCTCAATGAACTACATTATTTCGTAGCATCTCATGGCGTCCGTACCGTTGAAAATCTGCGCACTCATTGCGGCGTAACGGATCCAGATGAACTTGAGGCAAGCCAGTTTCTGAATGCGACCCATAAGGAGCATAATGATGATGCACCCTAAACAGAGAGAAGCAATGCGATTTGAACAAGAAATTGTCAACGCTGCCTTTAAGGAAGGCAGAAGAGGTATCGTTGCTTTGCCTGGTGTTCGTGAGATCATGGCAGAGGTATGGTCAAGTCACGTCTTGTTTGGTGATGGATACGTAACGATTGTCGGCAGATTGCTCCTGGTGGCAAGCTCCCTGAGAAACGTTGGGCCATCTGCACATCCGCCACGAGGTCATATGCTACCTCTGCGCTCAAAGCAGCGGGAGTACCCCAGCCTGACATTTTCGTTGTCTCGGAAGATGTCGAGAAGGGAAAGCCTGAGTATATTGACTTCCCTCACGATTGGGTTCCTGTTGAATTCAGCATTTGCATTGCGTATATTCTAGGCCTGATCCATATCTTCTTGGGGCAAAGAAATGCGGCGTTGACCCAGCAAAGTGCTTGGTGGCGGAGGACGCTCCAGCTGGTGTACGTAGTGGCAACGCTGCGGGCTGCAAGACGCTCGCTGTGATTACTTCACATACTAGGGAACAGCTGGAAGCCGCCAAACCGGACTATATTGTAAAAGATCTCTCGAGGTATGAATTATCTTGTTTTTGGGCTACCCAGAAACTTGACTCACTGTCCGTGTAGTGTGACAATGAAGTTGGGAGAGAATGGTGGTGTCGATGTAACGATAAATCATGACTGAGGCATTTCTTTCAAGCCATAATATTAGACAACAAGCCAACGTAGAGCGATACCTGAGTGCTAGACATCCATTTTAACATGTCATTTAGAGAACTACTTGATTTTCCTATATAGATCTACTGGGCGACGGAATCCTACATAACGAATGTACCGTCAGATAGTGCATATCATACATGCATGCAGGTACTTACCACCTTCGCCAGCTTTACCCAGATGTTCAGCGGGACCAAATCCGAGATCCATAAGTATCTTCTCGAAATCGTCGGGACGCAGCTTGAGATCTCTGGCATTCTCTTTCAATTTCTGGACTTCCAACATGAGTAGGTGAAAAGTAGCAACATGAATTAAGGTCGTACTGGATCCATTCGTTTCGCTTTGGCATACGTATCCCATTCTTGTGGTTCTAGGGCAAACGCACCCCCCACTTTCACCACAGTGTGGACGCGTCTGAAGAATTGCATAAGACCTGCGTCTCCTCCATTTAAATGAATCCATTTCGAAACTGAGAATCTATGGTACATCAGTTAGCGCATGAGATGAAGGGCGTCGCGACAACGGAACACCAGAAAGCAGGGCTTACGCGACAACGACATCGTAGCCTTCCGCATCTTCTGAAATCTCCGTTGAGACCCAATCTGTCGCCTTGAATACCACGTTATGAGGGAACCCGGCGTCACTCTCAGACGTAGGAGGGATAGGTAGAGGTCCGAACATATGCTCGCAAGAGGCGGGGAAGTAATCCACTTGGATTGGTCTCGGGACGTCATGTTCGCCTGCATCGCTCTCTCGTTTCCGTTTCTTGCTTGTTTGGGGAGAGCCATCTATATTGTTTAAATCCGTAGGAGGACTCTGCTGACTCCAGACGGTTCTTCTCCTCTTCCAAGCAGCGCGAACAAGGCTCTCATCAATGTCTACACCGATAACTCGTTTGGCGCCCCATGATTGGGCTGACCTTGCATCAGTATCAGTATACCACTGGGGACACGAGAATGCAAGGGGCCACATACCTATTTCACAGGTGACCCAACCTTCATTGCATCCCACATCCAGAACTCGCGCGTTCTGAAATAGGGTCGGTGGGAGGAGAGCAAGCCGAGGGTCATGAACAAACGGTCGTTTCGAGTAGTATCTGAAGGGATGTCAAGTCTGGCTTCATTTATGTGATTCGGAGCATACCCATGATAGTTTCCATAGATTGGGATGGTCTGGGACATCCTGGAAATATATTAGTACTAAACTATCATATATCAGGAATAATGGGTGAAGGAGTTGAAGTGACGTTTACAACAGACGCCCACTGCATTATTATGTCCGACGCGTCCCAACGCGATGAGATGGTACATGATTCATATGATCTAGACAATAGTGATGAAGATGAAGACATAACACGCTTCATGATATATTAGGGCGGCGTTTTGCGCCAAATAACGGAACGAGATTCCAACTGCGAAAACACTTGACAGGAAATCTGACCAGGCTAAGGATACGTGACAGGAAAGCGAGACGAATACGAATGCAAAGGAGGGATATACGAATCAAAACTAACTGGAGCACACATTTGGTGTGAGACGTCGTAGGTTCCGATTAGGCGAAGAAGTAGGTAAAAGAATCGCAATCATGCCTAGTATTCGACCTCGTCCTCAGCATCAGCAGAATCGGTGCCAACCTCCTCATAATCCTTCTCGAGAGCAGCGAGATCTTCACGGGCCTCCGAGAATTCACCCTGGCGAAGAAGAGCATGTAAGTATACATGAATCCGAATTTAAAAACTGGTGACTTACTTCTTCCATACCCTCACCGACGTACCAGTGGACGAATGCACGCTTGGAGTAGAGCAAGTCGAATTTGTAGTCTGTCATAGAGAGTAAGAAAGGAACTCAAAGAAACATCAAGAAAAATGGACAAACCAAGTCGGCTCCAAGCACTCGAAATAGCGGTGGTACTATGCAGAAGTTGAGCATATATCCAACTAATAAAACATAGGGGACGTACTTGGAAAGCATGCAAAGACTACGCGACGTCTTAGCAAGGTCACCACCAGGGACGTATGCAGATGGCTCGTTGCAGATACCAAGCTGAAAAACGGCAGCATGAGATGTTGATCGATACACGTGGCACCGAGACATACCTTGAAACCAGTGGGACACCAGTCAACAAATTGAATCGTCTTCTTGGTCTTGATCGAAGCGACCGCAGCCTGGGCTTCCTTGGGTCCGACATCACCACGGTACAATAAGCAGCACGCCATGTACTTGCCCTCCTTAGGGTCGCACTTCACCATTTGGTTACCTTGCTCGAAGCAAGAGTACGTCATCTCGAGAACGGAGTTCTGCTCGTGGGTGGCTTTTTCAGCGGAGAGAAGGGGGGCGAAGGTGGCAAGAGGGAAGTGAATACGGGGGAAAGGCACCAAGTTGGTCTGGAATTCGTTCAAGTCGACGTTCAGGGATCCATCGAAGCGTAGGGAAGCCGTGACGGAGGAGACAACTTGGGCAATTAGTCGGTTGAGGTTGGTGAAGCTGGGGAGCGATACACCCAAACTCTTCTTGCAAATGTCATAGATAGCCTCGTTATCAACCTAAACGGTTGGGTCAATATGGAATCAGATCAAATAGGCTATAACAACACGTGCCATGAATGAACAGTCAGAGTGCTCGAGTGTCGTGTGGGTGGTAAGGACAGAGTTGTAGGGTTCAACGACTGAGCTGGAAAGCTGAGGCGCAGGGTACACGCAGAACTCGAGCTTAGACTTCTTGCCATAGTCCATGGAAAGACGCTCCAAGAGGAGAGCACCGAAACCTGAACCAGTTCCACCACCGAAAGAGTGGAAGACGAAGAAGCCCTGCAGACCCGTGCAGTTGTCCGCCAGGCGACGGACCTTGTCCATGACTGGGTCAATCAATTCCTTGCCAACCGTGTAGTGTCCACGAGCATCTAGGTTGATGACGCGTCAGACGACACGATGGCTGAATGCCATGATCAAGACGACTTACAGTTGTTAGCAGCGTCCTCCTTTCCAGAAATCAGTGTCTCAGGGTGGAAGAGAGACCTGTATGTACCAGTCTTCACATCATCGATCGCGCCAGGCTCGAGATCGACGTAAAGCGAACGTGGAACGTGTTTGCCTTGGCCAGTCTCAGAGAAGAAAGTGGAGAATCCGCTATCATGACTGGATTGAGCACCCTCAATCAGACGACCGTCAGGCTGTGGACAGGTTAGTCAAACATGGAAAGGCATCAAGTTGAGACTCAAGCATACGCTCAGCCCATGTTCAAGAGTATACAGCTCCCCTGGTGACGGTCAGCCTACAACTCGAGCGATAGAGGAGACGACTTACAGCAAGAGTTACCAATCTGCACGCCGGCCTGGCCAACATGGATAGAGATGACTTCACGCATGACAGAAACTAGGAGAGTGTATGAAGATCTGGGGTATGTGGTGGTCGGGGACAGGAGACAGAGTCGCTTGCAGGCAGGAGGGTGACTATGGTGCGGGATTCGGAACAACAGAAAATAAGTTCATCCAGCCATCAACTCCTGCCTTTCTGGGACATTTCTCATAATAAAACATCCGGATGACAATTCCAGACACTAGGCTTCCATTGTTCAACGTGTGTAATTAGGCCTCACTATAACGATGGTATGATTGAAAATGCAAGTAGAAAGAACAAGCTGGGATATCGACGGCAGTGGTAAACTTCGTGAAGGGGTCAAAGGAAATCAAAATGAAAAAAGGAACCATGCAGAAACAACTACTTCAGACTACGAATCCCTCTAATACTCGCCAATTTCCTCCTGGTCAGCAGTGTCAAGACCAACTTCCTCGTAGTCTTTCTCGAGAGCAGCAAGATCCTCACGAGCCTCAGAGAACTCACCCTCCTCCATACCTTCACCGACATACCAGTGAACGAAGGCACGCTTGGAGTATAGGAGGTCAAACTTGTGGTCGAGACGACTCCAAGCGGTGGAGATGGCGGTCGTGTTCGACAACATGCAGAGACTGCGGGAGACCTTAGCGAGATCACCACCAGGGATATGTGCGGGGGGCTCGTTGCAAACACCGAGCTTGAAGCCAGTAGGGCACCAGTCGACGAACTGGATGGTACGCTTAGTCTTGATGATGCTGACAGCGGCGTTGACATCCTTGGAGACAACATCGCCACGGTAGAGAAGAGCGCAAGCCACTGCAGGTGGTAAATTAGCAAGATGTGAAAGTCTTGCAGATGATGGGAAACGCACTGTATTTGCCCTCACGAGGATCGCACTTAACCATTTGGTTGCCAGTCTCGAAACAAGAGAAGGTCATGTCAGCAACGGAGTTCTGCTCGTGGTGGGCCTTCTCAGCGGAGATGATGGGGGCGAAAGTGGCTAAGGGGAAGTGAATACGAGGGAAACTGCATGAGTGTGTCAGTATATAACGGAAATGGGTACAGATTGAATGGCAACTGACGGAACCAAGTTGGTCTGGAACTCATTCAAATCAACGTTCAAAGAACCATCGAAACGAAGAGATGCGGTGATGGAGGAGACAACCTGGGCAATAAGTCGGTTCAAATTGGTGAAGCTTGGAGAAGTAATGTTCAATCGCTTCTTGCAAATATCGTAAAGAGCTTCGTTATCAACCTGTGTATAGATAACTTAATAATATAGACAATTCATTGAAGTAAGAGACCGTACCATGAATGAGCAGTCAGAGTGCTCAAGGGTGGTGTGGGTCGTCAAGACAGAGTTGTAAGGTTCAACGACAGAATTGGCCATAGTGGGAGCAGGGTACACGCTAAATTCGAGCTTGGACTTCTTGCCGTAATCGGTAGAGAGCCTCTCGAGGACTAGCGCACCGAAACCGGAACCGGTTCCACCGCCGAATGAGTGGAACACGAAGAAGCCCTGAAGACCACTGCAGTTGTCTGCAAGGCGGCGAATCTTATCCATCACCGTGTCGATCTGCTCCTTGCCCACCGTGTAGTGACCGCGGGCATCTGGATCACAGCATTAGGACCGGCAAGATGGAATTCGGTCAGTGCCAGTTGTACTCACAGTTGCTAGCGGCATCCTCCTTGCCGGTAACAAGAGTCTCCGGGTGGAAGAGACTCCTGTACGTGCCACTTCGGACCTCATCGATGACATTGGGCTCAAGGTCAACGTAGAGTGAACGAGGGACGTGCTTTCCAGAGGAGGTCTCCGAGAAAAAGGTGCTGAAGCCATCATCGTGAGCTGAAGGAGAGCCCTCAATCAGACGTCCATCGGGCTAAGAACTCATGTCAAACAAAGTATAGAAGGAGAAACACGTCAATCCTACTCACACTGAGACCGTGCTCGACGGTATACAACTCCCCTGCACAATCGGTGACAATCAGTCTTCTAACTCAAACGTCTGAAGAAGCGCTGGCAGCCAGTGACTTTGGATAACATATCGACGCGTCTTTGCAGGCATATCGCGCATACAACCCATGCCAGTTGCCGATTCTTTCAGGACTGAACTTACAGCAAGCGTTGCCGATCTGGACACCAGCCTGACCGACATGAACGGAGATGACTTCACGCATTTTTTCGTCTAGCGAGAAAACAGCTATATTCAAGGGTGGTCAGCAGTTGACAACCCTGTACAACACATCGAGCGACTCACAAAGGGTATGAGTAGGATGGTGGAAGAAAAGGTCGACGGGGAACACGCATCTCGAACAGGCGAGGGTTAAGGCAAACACGTTGGCTTAGCTCAGCTATCCCACGCTAATACTATAATGTTGCCTCCAGAATCAGTCGATGTCTGGTCCGTGCATGGCTTTTATGTTCTGCCCAACTTGAACGTACGAACACAGCAGAAAAATGCTAATCATGTATGTAGTCTATCTAGGTAGATTGCAGAATAATATGGGTGGCTACATGTATGAGAATCTGACGGTTGTGGTGAATGTTCCAGAGAGATTGCTGATGAAACAATATGCAGAAATAAACGAATCCGCTCGGCGTATTAAATGAACGATTGTCTTCCAAGCGTATACTAAGGGCTGGAATTCATGCTACCGCGTACTGCTGCTTTGCGAGCTTCCTTTCGGTTGAGAATGACTGCTACCAGCGTTCTTCAATTTGTCACTTCCAGTTCGGAGTGTTTGAAGGGCTTGGCGTTTACCCTGCTGAGCCTTCTTGGAGCTCTTCCTCATGAAATACCTAAGACAAGGTTAGTGGCAAAATGAAGCAGAAACAGGACGGAAACTCACGAAATGAGCCCCTGCCACATTCTAAGACCGTGGAAAGGTATGATCCGCGCATGCACCTGTTCTTCAGATACAGACTGCCTAGGTGGTTTGAAAGGGTGATCACTTGGATCGAACGCAGCCCGAGCTGCATCTGAAGTAGACATTCTGGGGACCGTCCTGTGTGTTGCGGGAGCCGAATGGTAGATATGCTTCTTTATGAGAGCAACCGCTTCACGCTGCAAACCGAGATGCCCATCATCAACAGAATAAAACAATCCCAAGCGAATGGCACTGACTGTATCTCTCCGTCCCGCGATTGCACTCCCAGGAGGTTGCTCACTTTCGAGGTCGAAGGGGCCTGAACACAATTTAGTTTTATATTTTACCGTCCAGAACAGACCAACGCACCCCATCGTCTGTCACACTCAACGTTACCAACGGAGGTGCTCGACATCGCAGTTGGGAGCGAAGCCCTTTGATTGATGACGGCCGTTCTCTCGTTGTCGAGAATTAACCCATTCTCGCGAGCATGCGCGATGAGCACTGCAGCCTTCTTCTCATAGTGTCGCCTACGGCGCTCTGCCTTGATGGCGTTACGCTTGTATTTCTTGTCCCACTTCTCCTGACCGGATAACCAACGTCTTACCGGGTCTTCCTTGATCAATCCAATCTCACTGGGGGGAATCTGCAAAGCGGGGATTTCCTCCTCGCCTTCCATAAGACGAACGTGGCCAAAGATATCGACCCGTTCGCGGATCATTCTTACTCCTGGGATATCGCGCTGTGGAGTGAAAGATTGGAATCATCAGCAAGAGTCAACGAACGGAAACATGAAGATGATGACCATACATCTTCGTCTTCTGTCGCAGGGCTACCATCCGGGACAAACCGCACATCCCCACTCTTCACTTCCAGCTTCGTCTTACTCTCGTTTTCTCTGTAGAGCTCGACATCCGACCTGGTTCCGTTGTCGTGATCTGGTCTAAATCGCCTTTTGCCAGCATCCTTGGGAGGTGATTTCTTTCCAGAAGGTACTTCTAGCGAAGGATGATCTTCCTCGTCTGGACTAGGTGGGTCCGAGATCTCCGAGGGCGGGCGATGGAGCTCAGGAAAGGGGTTTTGCTCGAGATGTTCAGGAGAATAGCGTGTAACGTGTTTTATAAACTCTGCGATAGAGCGATACGCATACTTTGCCTGCGGGAACTGTTAGAAATTTTCGCCCAATGGACCCTGATGTGGACTGACACTATCGGTGAAGATGAAGACGGTCAAAACATGGCACATCCCTAAAATACATGCGTGAGTTACAAGCACAGTATTACCTCCAAAATAGACTCACCATCGAATACCTGTAGATGAACCTATGCGGGTGCAAGAAATTAGACCCCTTGGTGTCCATGGTGAGGAAGCACAGCGTACCTTCGTAGGCGTTTGGAATTTCGCCACATTCTCTCGCTGTCTTGGGCTATCCTTCAAAGTACCCTCCCTGGTTGGGTACTCTTTCGGATTCGCCGCCTTGTGCGCAACATATATGATCTCATCTCTGAGACACTCCCCATCTCCAGCAATGATGTAAAGAGGGCAAAGGTTCCCCAAAGATCCTTGAAGGATGGGGGATACAAGAGGGTGTGTCAATTGCCTAGTATGAAAGGTAAGCTATTATGCACGTCATTTGAAACATGTGTGGAAACACACTCATTCGTCGCATATAATTGAATTTGTGAACGCAGTTCCAACGGTCTATCATTCGGATCATTCATGAGAACCTTCGGAGGTTTGGGCTCCCAGAAGGCGAGACACTCTGATTCTGACGTCGACTGCTTTTGTGGTGGACGTTCAGGCCGGATCGTGCCACCATTCGTTTCATTATGCATCTCAGCCTGTGTCTTCACGTCCTTCTCTGTTAGCTCCCCTGCATGCGCTATAAGCGCCTCTCCTTGGCTAGCCTGCATCCGTTGTTCGACTTGTTCGCCGAGTCGTTCATCACTAGGTCGCAGAACATCTGCGTGGCCAGGTTTCGGAGGAGGGTTGGTTTGAGTTGGAATAACTCGAGCACGACCTTCCTGCGGAACAGCTTCGATAGGCCAAAGTGTGGATGGCTTGTGGATAAAGCCATGGGGTGGGATAATATCCTGTTTCATAAAGCATAAGTGTCCACGCTAGGTAAGCATATAAAAAATCCCACCGTTGAGGCGTTATGCATCACACTGGGGAAACTATGGGTAAGATCTACCCATGGGCTGATTAGAACTGCTCCAGCGGGCTGCTCGAGGCCCAGGTCTCTTAATACGGTGAGCATTGTGAGGCACAGACCGGCACCTGCTGAATCACCAGCAAAGACGATCTTTGAAGAGGGCACGGGTTTATGGAGAGCTTCCGGAGGGGGTGAGGTTAAGTAGAGATCTAACGAATTCTGTAAACACCGGCTGAATTCAGAAAGCTGGAGTACCCACAAGCAGCGATAACATCCTGCAACGGACAGGGCCAAGGATATTGAGGGGCTTTCCTATTTCGATGCATTGGGTTAAAGTTTGGATTCTACGCTTGCCAACCATTAAGTGACACTTACCGATAGTTCACTGCAAACGCGCGACCTTTGAACTTTCGGGCTGAAGATCTTGATGTGAATACCCAAAAGGTATGACCACAGTGCTTTTACATACCATAACGAATGATTTGGTACCGGTGAGTGTCTACACGTCTGTTAGCGCAGTTGACTCTCCTGATAAAATCGTACGTACTGATCGAACCCCAGAAGTAAGCGCCTTACATTTTGGCAAGGTCAGAGCATTGTGATCAGCGGAGAAACGATATCTTACCTCCATGTACATAGAGCTGGTGATCATCAATGATCAACATGGACCACTCCACCGGTGATAGTAGGACTCACCATTACGGTTTCCAGATGGTCCATCCGGAGGATATCACAATCGTCATCCGAGAGTTCGTTTCCTGGAGGGGGCTTGGTATCATCGAGGTACTCCTTCTCAGTCACCCATTCAGCGTCAATGCCATCAAGACCTCTGATTTGCCACCATCTTTCGCCGCCAACTATTTGTTTCAAGTCCTCAGGATCAAACCATTTGATAATTAAGTCTGCCGCTTTGTTGCAGGATGACATTGGTATGCGAACTGGTGGGACCGCAGCCCAATACGGTGCCGGGACATGCGTATTGGTGCTGTGGTGAAGGTTCAGTCATAGTACCACTACGAATAGACTGACGCTCACAAATGTTGCAATGACTCGACCTTGTTCCGTGTACCCAGCTGGATAAATGCTTTCACAATATGAAACGCTCTGAGCAAGTTAAGAGGCCAAGTGAGAGGCTATGCGTGCTATCCGAAAAATGACTCACTCATCATAGATCAGGTCATCCGTGGCCTCTTCTGTGGTATCCCCATTCTTAACTTTATGGCCTTTATGTTTGGTATGTTTGTAGAAGGTCTTGAGGACAACTTATTGAACCGAATGCACATTCCGTCAAGGGTTATTCCGAAGCGGAGCGAAAAGGCAAACAACAGTACAGACCTGGGGTAATGTGTACCGCAGCTGAGGTAGTAGTCACAGGCATAAAGTGAGAAGAGAGTGAAAGTGGCTAAACGGAATGCGTGGTATAAGGAAAGGTACGTTAGCTGCAGGCTGTGGCATGTCTCACTTGTTTGAGTCTACATCCATGGCAGCCGCATGAGGAGCGATCGATCACATCCTCACGTGATGCAGCACAGCCCTCCGATCGCTGAGTCGCGCAGACCATTGCCAAGTAAGGACATAGCCTCACTCAACCGCTCTCAACAGGATCTACGGAAGAATCTGAGATACATGTCTTCGAGGTACGGGAGCTCACGATGTCACAGCTTTGTAGGAACGCCGTGTAAAAATCAGGTGCAGAATGACGTCAGGAACATAACCGAATACTAGTACCATTACAACAATGATGATATAACCTCATACAAGTACAGACGCATACTGTAAGCTATTAGGCAGATGTAACTACAGAAACTGACAGAGGAGAACTTCTATGTTGAGAAAAAGGCCGAAACAAGAAGATAGAGCAAGATGCATGAATCTAGAGTCCTTCAACTAGAAACATTGAACAATGCCAGGAAAGCAAGACAACTATTTGGATTGAGAAAGGTAACGGTCAATAGACTATCGTAGAGCACGTTGTACTCCTCTCTTCCAGTTCTGGTATATTCCTTCTGATGGGGAGGGGGCGTATCGGCACAACTCAAATAGAACGAGTTGTTCCTTTTAGATTTATATGAGCACAGAAACTATAAGCGGGGATAGTAAACGTACCTGGAAACCTGGGTTAATCCAAACTTGCTCACGAGCTACAGGATCTTGTATTAGGGAAAAGGAAGTGAAAACGAAAGGCTGAAACATACCTCGCCGAACCGTCTCGATAGCGTCAGTTGGACGCATGCGACGCGACCACATGACTGAATACAGAGGGCGTATGAGCCGCTAATATCCGCAATTGGTATTGAAATTTACTCACGAAAGGCAGCAACAACGGCGGCGCTTCGAGATAAACCCTGCACGCAATGAACAAGAACTACTCCTCCATTGGAAATGGCCTCATGAATGAATCGGCAAGCAGTCGGAAGGTGAATGAGGAGATCGGCATAGTCAACATCCTCAATTGGTATACGTAGTTGTCGGATTCCAGAAGCGGGATTATCGGCAGGTATAGGCTCGGTGCCAACGGAGACTATGTGAGTGATCCGTCGTTCTGATAGTGTTCGGGGAGACTTCGCTGCCTCAATGCTGCGAATTGAAGAACCCATAGAATAGAAAAAGGAAATGCCGCTATATTAGCATACTGTCACTTGAAAGCTGTGCAACGTCAGTACTCACGTTCCCAGGTACAACTGGTTGTCGACAATAGTGTTGATGTTCTTCCAGTTGCCCATGTTGCTGTTGCTTCTTCTTCGGAGTAGAACTTCGATGAGACCATCTTGCTCGACAACTGTCTGGTTTTGTAGACAGTGCTCTCGCCACGGATCTCACTAGGTCCCGGCCTTGAATGCATAGCGAATGACGGTCTGCTACACATCCGAGCGTACTGGTCATGCATATGGCAGAAGCTGGTAATTGAGGCTGTGGAACTTGACACCGCCTAATTGGGTGGAAAACACTAGCGCCCGGCGAAACCCTTGTCGGACTTCGCTCGCGGACTCCGAAAGGCCCAAAACGCTCGTCCGTAAACCGGAAAATACGCTTCAAATAATCCTGTACGAAAACGTGGCCTATGACGCCGTTCTCTTTTTACCAAGTTCACCACGCAAAATCTCCGCCTCCGATACTTCAAGCATGGTTTCTGAACCATTTCTTCTGCTTCGCCTGAGTCTCTTCATCGCCCGCTTGGTCAAAGAGGCAGTATCATTACGATCGTCATACGATTGTTGCATTAAACGTCTGAATAAGCTTGAATGCTTACTGACATATCCTGACAGTCATGATCGAGACCTGTGCAACTATCCGCTACCCCTTTGACGTCAACAGACACATACCTGTATCTCTTGCACTAATCGGGTGCTCTCCAACTGTACTTAGTGTCCGCAAAGAAATCCCCCGGAGTTGTTAGAGTACGTTCATTTCACATTTCAAGTCAAGTCGCATTGCAATTATGACAACAATTTGCTAGTTTTCAACACAGTTGCGAGGTGCAGTGCTACAGAAGCACCAAGCTCGAAACCAGGATGTTTGTACACACTTGTACACGGCGAGAATGTGTGACCGCCATGAACCATTTCCGAAGTTGACAGGAATGTCTAAATGTGTGTATAAGATGGCTGTGTACAATGAACAACTCAGACGTTCTTGACGAGTAGTCCTCGCGAAGGCCTCGGATTCGGTCAGGCCCTGAAGCTTGAAGTCGTACGATGCATTTGTCTACTACAAATGTACTTGTGCAATTCCGTTACGCAATTCTTTCGTGCCATACTGTAAGCTCTGTCTGAAGAAAATACTTACAGGAGGTGAAACAAAGTCCCAACGACAAACCACTAACTTATTCCACTAGGATCGGCTCTGAATACCCCACTAACCATGCGATGGCTTTCAAACTGTATCCGGTGAGCGCTCCGATCAGATGAAAGGATCTTTGCAGAGAAGAAGCTGAGAACTTGAAAGTGCACTTCCATTCCAATGTCCGAGAGTTGGACGTTTCACTGTCAATCGATCGACAATCTTCGTGTGGTTGACGCTATCTCATGCGTCGGGGCGAAATCTGCCGGTGGTCAGCAGTGAAGCAAGAATGCAGTCGCTTAAAGCAGTGAGAAATGATGTGCTTCCTTCGGCGTCTGCCACTCAGAAAGTATCTGATCCTATGCTAGAGCTGAGCTGCTGGAGACGCGAAAGTGAAAGAGTGAAGTCATCAAACGCATTCGAAAGAAAGATCGCACGAATCAAGCGAAGGAGAGGGTTTGCCATTTGATGGAGGTCGCCGAGGGAGCCTTAGGACGCCTTCAAAACATGAATGGTGAATAAATAAAAAACATAGCAGGGTTGAATCTATGGACATATAAGGAAGGGATCTACCTTTGTGACACTTTGTCGGGTCAAACCTTAATGTGAATGCACCTACCTTTTCTTTTCTCCGTGAGAAGCAGTGGACATTAGTGACTAAGGATATGCGTGAGAAGCTCCTGCGGTCCGACTAGGGACAGTCCTTCAGATCTTCAGAAGTCGGATGACCAGGCATTCCGAGGGAAACAATCGTACTGATACCATCGGCAGGATCTGAACGCGACAACTTACGTTGTCAAGCAACAAAGCATTAAATGCTAGCTGCCAGGCAGTGGTCACTGGGACAACAAGGCACATTTCAGCACAAGCATAGCCTGCGCGAACATGAAGCAGGAACGAGTTTGATTGGGAGAAAAGGATCAAAAAAATCTGTCCCACAGAGGAATGCTTCATGATACCGTTGCAGATTGACAGGTCAATGTGAGCGGCAAGTGTGCGATCGAGTCGATCCTGTCGATCAACATGATCGCGTCAACAAAACGCAGCAGGTTCAAGTCGAACATAGAAGCTCTGAAGGGGCGTTCAAAGGCGGGCTCCATGCTAAAGGACTGAAGCACTGTATCGTAGTTCAGGCTCTAGCATGGAAAATCATACACAGGGTGAGACAGCAGATTCTCCAGTCAGTAGTACGGTATGGGGGTGTCGTACGCTGCGCCAGAGAATACCTGTATCTCCTCGTGGTTCAACGTTCCCGCCACTAGTGCTGGTTGTCTTCATCTTTACCACTGCACGCACTTTGAGCGAACGTACGCATGCAAGGAACAGGTCGGCCGAGGGCAGTGTAGGGAGGAAGAGAGAACCCCCTCGTTACAAACGGGTGGTACTGGAGGCTGTGCATATGTATGAAGGAAGGGAGGAAGAACTTGGACCCTATGCCCCACGAGAGCCAACTCTGCTCAGTTGGCGATATGTGGTAATAGATGAGCCGCATGATCAGGGGATATCGATTAGGAAACACGTCGAATACCTCTCCGCAGAACAACACCATGTACAGGATAATCCTGTGATGCACGAAGTTAGCTGATTTCTGACACGATCAACAATAAGAAAACGCGACCACCTCCTGGCAAAGTCGCATTGCGGAGCCTCGCAACGCACACCTACACGTGTTGACCGAATAGGCTATCGACTCGGCTAGATCCTAGACATGGGCGCCCAAGCACAACAGCTTCTTGTATAAAGATACGACCATGTTCAAGACTTCTTCCTAGTAAGGCTCACATACCCACCTACCTAGCGACTTTCGCCAATCGTCAATATGTTTGAGATTGAATGGGACTCGGTATGACTTTCAAGGAAGTTTCAGTTGGTTGAAACTTACCTAATGGCATTCCGTAGAATACGGACGCACACAGCCGTCACCGATATCCGTACAGGCACAAAGCCTCTACCATCCACGGATGGGTAACCAAACTGCGCGGTACATTGCTGGACAATGAGGCCGTCCGCAGACAAGGCATTCGCGAGATGCAGGATGCTAAACGAGCGCGCCAATGGAGGAAGCAGCGCAAAGCTGAGCGCAGGATGCGCAGCTCAGGCCGTACGAATGGTTTTCTCTCTCTCTTTACGGGCTCCAGATCCCTCAAGAAGAGGTCGCCCAAACGATCGCAGAGTACTCGAGCAGTCGTCGTTCACCGCGATAGTTCTCGCCACCGCAGCCACAAAGACAAGCAACCCTTCATGCACTTCCCCAACCGGACGAAACCTTCACATCACGGTAGAGGTACCGTGCTCCGCGGTTACGTCATGCAAGACAAGAAAATGATCTCGAGGGGCAAGTCTATGAATCGTAAGGCCGCTAGGGAGAGGGATCATGAGCGGAAGAGAAGGGAGAAGCGCAGAGAGAGGGAAGCAAGAGCAATGAAGCGGCGATAGCAGGGCACTCGGACGCACTTGTATAAGTTATTCGCAACTTGTATCATTATTATAATGATGTATTTGTAGAAGTGCTCGTGGTGGGACAGGGACGATCATGACTAACGCATGTTGTACAATTGCAGACAAGAAGATAGACTGTGGCGGCCTTTTACAGACATCCATTCAAGTCAACATGCAATTGAGATCAAGACAATCAACCTAGATAAGCTTCAATCGCATTTCAGACACTTCCATACTACGGAGTAGCAATACTATCATGGTATGAGCAAAGACATGTGAATTGGGTCGAAGGATACAACATACCATGATGATTAGGACGGCCGTTATTCCCCGCCACTTTCCTCCTCATCTGCAGGCTTGTCCTGATTCAGATGCTTCTTCTTTTTCCGTCGTCTCCGCTTCTTCTTTGGTGAAGGCGTCGCGTCAGGTGCAACATCTGCAGGTGGTCCATCAAGGTTGAGTAGGGATAGACTACCCAATTTCACGGGAGATGAAGGCAGAAAGGTCAGGTGCGATTTGGATGGGTAGGTTGGGGGGCTCCGTTTCCGCTCTATTGAGGACGACAGTTTCGGAGAAGTCATGACTTTGTCTACACAAAGTAATGTAAGAAATAAATGAAGGTGAGACAGTATAGATATGATCTACCAGAAACTTTAGCGGATGAAGGCGCTGCATTGTGGACGTCCTCAGTATCAGAGAGTAGTGATATAATCACTGGAGCATTCTTCGTTTTCTGTGGCGAAGAGGACAATCCGGCGATATCAGAGGATGGCGGCTGATCCTTGTGTTTCTTTTTCTTTTTCTTCTTCTTCTTCTTGTCCAAAGCCGAAATCAATGAAGTCGTTCCGATTGTTTGGGTTGCAGGTCCAACAGGTTTAGAGGCTTCGCCCGTGGAGTCCACTTGGGGGGCATCAACAGTGGTACTAACCGGGACAGACAATACGGCTGCCTCAGGATGCGTAAGGGTTTGTGGCAAAGATTTCTTTTTCTTTCCACTTCCCCCAAAGGGATCCACTTTGGCTTTCTTCTTGATCGCGCCTGCCCGACTCTCTTCTTCATCCTCTGAGATGCGACCTCCCGCAGTGCTTTCTTCTTCCCTCTGCCGCTTCTTCCCGGAAAGCTTGTTCTTAAGCTTGACCGATTCATGTCCAAGAGTTCCGGTAGAAGCAGGAATCGGCGCACCAACACCTAGTCTAATGATAAGGTCAATGCTTTTCCATTCAAGAATACGGGGGTACACACCGTGGTGGTCTCCTCAGTATCTCCTCTATTTCCTTGTCCACGCCGGCCCTTGAAACGGAGGATGAAGCCTTTCCGTACGTAGGTTTCAACCAAGATGATACTAAATCCTTTGTATGTGCCAAAGATAAGTCAATCTGTGCTTGGAGGGTTTCCAAGTCAACATCGTCTTCATTCGGAATTTCCTCCATACTTGGAAAACATGTAAAGGTCCAATAGAACAAACCCCTGTAAAAGATAAGAAGGAAACAGGAAGAGCGAGAAGCAAGGCGAGAAGAGCTGTACCGTATAATAATTTCGGCGCTTCTTGCCCATTACATATTCAGCAAGTCCACAACGTTCATCGGTACCGTCTCTCTCTAGCTATATATCTCTACTCCCTCTGGCTGCACTGAATCAGACCATGGCATCTGCTATCAAACGAAAATGGACCGAAATAGATAATTCTGATGATGAGGAACCTTCGCTGGGTCGACAAGCCCTTCCAGTCGCTAAACTCCCAAATGACTTCGATGGCACACCATTGGATGGGCTCCAATATCTGTTTACTGTTCGGTATGTCCCCATATTCTTGTCCGATTCCATCATACGTTTACTATGAACCCAGTCGTGATTCTAAATTGCTGCCTCATGTTACCCGGGTGCCAAATCCGTATGAAGTCGAAGAGAAGCCTCCGACTGAATCCGTTCAAACGGAGACTATATCAGTTGGTCGAGATTATTTACCCTCACAGGAGTGGCAGGATCTCTTTCTCCGGCGATTTAAGAACTTCCGACAAGTACGTTAGCTAGTCTCACTGTGCGCCTCGATCACTTAGCTTGCATTCACAGAATACTCTTCAATCAACTATTCACGTACACGTCCCCATTGCAGGTCCTTCTAAGAAGATCATACCTGACAAGAAGGAACGCGATGCTTGGTGGGCCTTTCTTTCGGGCAAACCTGAGTCAGAATGGAACCCTCCTAAGAAACCAAAGGTACCCAAATCTCAAAAATCCAGAGGCAAGGGCATGCGAGGCTTCTCCGACGATACATATGATAACGTGTCACAAACTGCGAGTTCATGCAGTCATACCTGGACGGTCACCGACACTGGCGAAGTCGAACTAGCTGAACAGTCGGTGTTATCACAATCGCCATCTTTACTTGACCAGGCATTTCCACCCGACAAAAGATCTGTCCTAGGTACCGTTAAGACGTCTCCTCCAGCAAAACTATTGCAACGGGAACCTACACCTACGCTGCTGCGTGGAATTGACCATGTGCGTTATTCATTTCGGTCATTGTTTATTGCAGCTAACTGACGTTCACTGCTAGCGCTACTCCTTGCATCTCCTCATGTATTTCACGCATTGGATTAACCTGCATATGGAACAGCCTCATCCTCGAACATCACGAATGACAGAAACACACGCCAGATGGATGTTTGCTCTCCTTTCTCGTGTGGAAGATTACGTGTCCGCAGACGAAATGAGCTTGTTGCGCAGTCTCGCTCGTGCATGCATGGCACTGCTGAAGGAAAGACTACAACAGCGGCAAGACGGAGAACCTCCATCATCGGATGAAGATGAAGAACTCAGTGTGAGTTCGTGTTGGATGATTATAACCGCAGTCACGGGTATCTGGGGACAGAGGGACCTTTGGATGGATGTCGAGAGTATGTTGTCGGAAATACAACACAGTGTTTCCTAACGAACCTTGGATTAGACGAATACACCAAGTATAACTGTGAGTGTTATCCCGCTCTGAAAACCCACATCGATGTATGATTGGATTTGGGCACCCTTGTCATCTTACCTCACTTAGGGCCCGAGGCTCGGATGTGAACTTTTTCATTCGCATTCTGGGGCTCTCGAAGCATCTATCGATTTCGTGTTCAAATACACAGAAATACATATGCAGCTTTGGACCTACGATCGCAACGGGAAATGGTGCTTCGTGCCAAGTTGGATTGTCATCACCAAGGGTGAATTCCCCGACAGTGAAGAAACCCAGGGAGTTGTAGAACCCAGTGTTGTCTTTGACGTTGCTTGAGACAAGCCACGTTGCACGAGCTTCCAAGTCTGCCTGAGGAAGCAATATAATTCTCACTATCACGAATAGGGTAACGATCTTCCCCTGTATACCTTTATGGTCAAGACCTTCACGAGTGCGGTCCCATATCCGTGTCCTTGTTGAGCTGGCGTAGTGGCTATGGTGGCGAGATACAACATCTCTTTCCTTCTGTTGCCAATTACTTTATCAATTGCCTTGTTCGCCTTCTCCTTGAATTCGGAGTATCTCTGTTGAAACAGATATGACTATCGATGATTACTTTATACAAAGCTGACAAGATGGCTTGCCCTGTTTTGCTCCTTACTGTTGACTCGTTCCCGGGATTGATAGATGGCATTAAAAACGAGGTCAAGGACTTTGTCAATCGGTCCAGGGTCTTCCGTAGGATCCACGCTGCCTTGGGTCGTCAGGATATGATCAGGAGGGTAGGAAACTGTCACAGCAGCACTTACTAGCCAAGGTTAGCCTCTCCTGCTCTTATGGTCCATGCACAACCCTTACGAATGAAATTTGTCCACAAAGACATCGCAGAGAAACGCGTCCATAAACGCTTCGACATGCTGTCATTGTCGTCCTATGATAACCCCGGTATCAGTATCGTCCTTTTCAGCAAACAAATGTCATACAGACCGGAGTGTCCATAACATAATGAATCACGGGATCACCTACCTGAGTCTCTATGCTCGTCGTCGCCGCACGAGGGATATCAACTGTTTAAAGTAAGTTGTCGTGGTCTCCCACCTGTCGCGTCATGGGTGAGTACTCCTCACCAATGGTCATCATGCGAGGTTCTGTGCCAAAGTCATCAATGACGCCTCCAAATTTCTCGCCGTTGTTCATGACAACATGCAGGGATCTCCTTCCGATGTGCTCAGACATCAAGATTATGGTCAGTATGTACTCCACTTGCAGGTGATTGTGGGTTATATACTACCGTATGATCCAAGATGCATTATCTGCCATCTTTATAGGTCGTGAAGAATATGACTAATGTGGTATGGGTAGCATAAACGGTTGACAGATACTGATCAGAACTGAGAGCCCGAATACGGCACACCTTAACATTCTGGTGGCCTGAGCGTGGAGTGATCAACCGAGGACGAGAACAAGGAAAAATAGCCTTCAACGACAGCCAAACCAAACCAATGCTAAGCTGAACCTAATTCCATCTTTCGATTGTCAATTGCTGAACGGGCTTGGTCAGGGAGACATTCATAAAATCACCTTTTTTCAGCATTCGCAACTCAATCATTCCATCAATGAGCGTGGAACGTAGCTCAGTGAATATCCCTTGTAGAGATGATTGAACACGTCCTAGGATGCAGACGTGACACGTAGACCAACGAGTGCGAAGTATGCAAAGGCGTCGGTGATAGGGTGGTTCGAAAAGGTCGCTGTGAGGTTTCTAAAGGAATCACTTAACTTATCGAAACGTACAAAGGATGTCAGCTATTGGTACTACAGAATGTGGATGGTCACTTACTGAACTACGTTCACAACATTTTCGTGAATCCTTCGAGTCACCGATGCAAAAGGCATGCAAGAGCACAACTTCGCAGACTGCCGGCAAAGAGGGCTAGCCATGACAGTGGGACCGAACCCATATTGCTTCGTACTCAACATCAGTTAACCCTGACGTTGTGCATGTGCCGTGTGTTGCGGAAAAGGTAAAGAATGGCCGCTTCGTTGAAGCCGGCAGCGCATCAATGTACTCGCGTGTGTGAGGGTCATAACAGCATCCACAAGCACTAACCGATACCGTGCTGATACACTGAAGAATCAAGCAACTAATGACAGAGTTACGAAACCTAGAATACATTACATATTGCTCAATTTCTCGTCCTCAAAGGATGGCTTCCAATTAGCTTCACGTTTCATCTAAGTCATATACAAGCAGGTCAATTCCTAACAACAAGAACAAAGAAGCATCAAGAAAATACGTACAACAGCAACGACCACGGGAGGTTCGTCCCATGTCGGGTTATGCTCACCGAGGGTAATCTCTCCGATCGTGAAAAACCCAAGGCGATTGTAGAAGCCCGTGTTCGCCTCCACATTGCTCGAAACAAGCCATGTATCGCGTCCATGTGCATCAGCCTGAATCAATAAAAGAAATTTGTTTGCGGATCTTATGCCATGACTACCATACTCACCATACTTGTCACTACTTCAACAAGCGCACTGCCGTACCCACGACCCTGGAAATCGGGGTCGACGCCTAGAACATCAAGATTGAACATGTCTTTCTGTTTGTCTCCAATGAGTCGCTTGATTAATGGACGCAATTTCCCTTGGATTTCTTTCAAACGCTACAAAGCGAGCGGTGCATATCACGATCTCAGCATACAGAAACGTAGAAACTATGATATCTTACGTTATTTTGCTCTTTTGAGTAGAACAGGACTTGACTCTCTTGTATCTTTCGAAAAAGGGGATCGAGGATACGATCGAGGACAGTGCGACGCCTAGTGGGATCGGACCTGGTGTAAGCATGGTTGGTGTCTCTAGTTTCGCTTGCACAGATTCAAGGAGTTCTCACATCCCAACAAAACCTTTTCCATCTTGAATGACCCAAGCAGTTTGTTTCCGGGTAAAGTCAACCCACATCGCATTCACTCGAAATCGCCTCCATTTTTGCTTTAGCAACGAACTACGCAGCCTGCTGTCCTATGAAACCAAAGATAAGAACCTCAAGCACGTATTATTGTCGTGCGCCCTTACTGGTGTGTCGATCAGGTAATGATTCAAAGGATCACCTTCTGAAGTTCGGAAGGTGGTATCCGTGGTAGTTGGTATATCTCCTGCAGAGCACGTCAGCAAGAACCCTGAAGGCGTTCAGTGATCGGAGAAACGCACCGTACACGATCAAGCGCGGAACGATGGGCTCTCGCTCTTGCCTGGCATGCTCCTTCAATGCACCGGAACGATCGGAAGTTTTTGAAGTTATGCCTGTGGGTTCTATCATGAGTGAGTGGATGTGTCTGAAAGGCTTCGAAGCCTGAGTACTGGACTGTCTGAGACACGCTCCTTGAAGTACTCGACATTGTTAGACCCCGCAGCTGAACCGCAGTCCGCAATCAGTCTTTGGGAAAGCTTGCGAAAAACCGCCTAGGGACCGTGTGGTGCTTGCTCAGATGATGCAAGTGGTCATCTGAGAGAACCTTACTGTTATACAGCGGGTGTATCAAAAGTCGCCTTAAAAACGCTCTGGATAAGATACTATATCTTCATATATGATCAGGAGTGTTCAACATACTATGTCTACTCAAAGTGTGTGCTCACCTACGTATATACGAACTGCGTAAAAGCTGATGCTGACGATTCAGAACAACTATGAGAACGATGGATTGCGCGCTCCTTATCATCATGCCTTGCATATCGTGCATGCCTGTTATCAGCTTGTCAAACGGGGTAGCTTAGCACTGAGATTAGCACTGAGCTGCATTGAGCAGATGCCGCTCAAGGCGTGATACATGGTCAACGAACAGGCTCTCCGGTTCCGGATTTTAAGGCCGGTCGGTACTTGCCCCATTGTCAGACGGTCTGTGCGTGCACCGGAATGCCTCTACTCATGTCGTATCAGGGCAAGGGGTGACGCCGATTTGGATCTTTGACCTTGCAGATGCTACGCGAGAACGTCAGCCGTGACACGGCCGAGATTGGCATCAAGATGTCTCATCGTCGTTTGAAAAAATGTGTTTAATTGTATATTATTCAAAAAGTACTTGTGTACACAGCAGCCAGGCTGCCAGACTGATGTATTCAAGTTGTTGACATGTCCTGGTGAACATTACATTGATCTCTAGATATACTACCAGATGAAGTTAGTTATATACTCATGGCACAAGCTCGAGGGACGTAAGAATAGTGCAGAGAATGTAAGTCATAGTGCATTGAAGGCCTATCCAATAAGCTTAAGTACTCGAAAATAAACTGCAGATGAACTAGTAAGGGATTGGAGAAGAGGTCTGCAAGGCAAAGAGAGCGGAGGCACGAGAGGCCAGAATTATTCGCGTGGATGATTCTCAGCACACCACATTCAGCTACAAGTTTGAGGGAAAGTCGGCCAGACCAATCATCCTGGAGTGCAAAACCAAGCCAGACGAAGAGAGAATGTAGGAAGTTGCGACCACTCAGTGTATGCAGAGAGATATTTGTTGACTGTAGACTGAGTGCGCATTCTCACATCGCTGCGTAAATATTTCACTGAAAGTCGAGGGCCGCGTTCAAAGTGCCAAGACGGAGAAAAAATATCTGCGACGATCGCATGGATCCTGCTGATAAAACTGAGATATTGCAAAGTAGTGCAGCAACACTGCTGCAAGGTTAGATGTCGATTAGACCGTAGCTCATGGAGGTGGACTCGTAGGTTTTGAATATGCAGCACGCGAAACATGAAGATACGATCGGACGCGACGCATTTGGGACTTGTCAAATTACATAATATGCCGCCAGCTCTTTCGTCGTCTTTTCACGCAAGACTCATTTCTCAACACCTACGGACAAAACAGATATCAATCCAAATGTTTTTAAGGCTTCTGAGTCCGAATATGAGCTCGGAAATACGACACAACGCAGAGGGAAAGAGTACCTGCTGTCCCCAGCGCTTTCTGAGCACAGCTATTGATAGCCTTTATGACCTGCCTCAAGCGAGCAAGGTCAAAGATCCAAATCGGCGTCACCCCTTGTATCAGGGTGAAATGCCCAAAACCCTATGTCTGACTCAATGCTATGTAACTTTGTGAAGGTTAGACATGAATGCGAGATGTGCCAGAGTGAGTGAATACTTGCCTTTCATTGCTTGAACCGCGGGAGGGCCCACTCAAGATGCTTGGTGACTGTTATACTGTCGTATGCGAAGGACTCGAAAGTGATTTTTGACGTGCGTCGGAAAACATGACGACGCGTCTACTCGCGTCGCGATCTGGTGAGGCCGTGATTGCGGGGAATTGGGTGTATATTACCAAATGATTGGGCGGGCTTGGAATGCCTCGGAATAGCTTAGCCGTGTTCGGCGGGGCACAAAATTAAATTAGGTGGTGAACCTTTTGCTTTAGATGACTGAGGAACGTAATGAACCAGGGCGGTCGGGTGTTGTCTGGCACTTCGTCGCTAGCTATATCGGGCACATAGCATGTATTCTTACGATTCAAGTCCATGCCTTCGGTGTACTGGTTAGTAGCAGCTGGTTGTGTAGCACGATGAGCAGGAGCATGCAGTCGTCGGCGACACCGTGTAACCCAGGATGTTGACGACGCTCGACGACGGGCGCTGTTCCCGAACGGGCTGTCGACACCGCTTGATGGGCGGCGTGCTGACTAATCGACGCATTTTCGGTGCTAGAGAGCGCTAAGGTTGGACAGATGGGCCGGGTCGCCCAAGAGTTGCTCGCCTCTTTCTTTGCACAGCTCCCCCACGTTCCCTTCAACTATTTCTACCAACTGTCTCTCCTTCGTTGCTTCTCCACTCGCCCTCACCATACTACAAGCCTCTTTACGAACTTTTACTCTTCTCTAATCCGTTGCGACGATGTTCCGCCTCTCCGCTGCTGTTGCCTTGCTCGCCCTCGCTGCTTCTTCGGCAGCCTACTCCATCTCCCGTCCTGAGGACGGTGCCATCTGGGACCCGAGTCAGCCCCAGATCATTGCTTGGAGCAAGGTCAACACCGACCCTCAGACTTTTGCGATCACTCTCGTCCACCAGGTGAGTTCAATGCGTGTAGCGCTATCTCCCGAAGCAGAGGCTGACTTGGCGCTAGGCGTCGCAGCCCAACACGCGTCAATTGCTTGAGGATTCCGTTGACGGTGGTCAGGGTTCTATTACTGTGAACCCACCCAGCGGCGGATGGCCTTCTGGTACCGCGTACCAGATCAACTTCGTTCAGGACAGCAACCACCTCGACTCCATCCTTGCTCAGTCCCAACAGTTCGACATTAAGGCCAGTACCGGCTCTTCCGGGTCGAGCAGCAGCTCTTCGTCCTCATCGAGCTCTGTCAGCGTCTCCAGCTCCTCGAGCTCTCGCACCGTAAGCTCTTCCGGCACTACTCCGTATGTCTTCCTCGTTGTCTGTATCCGTTTGGTGTTAACTGATCATGGCATTCTTAAGTACATCTCTGACTAACTCTCAAACGACTGGCTCCGGCACTGGCTCTGGTTCCGCTGCTGATCTTAACCCTTCCACCACCGATACCACTGATGCGCCTTCAAACACCAATGCTGCATCTACTCTCGGTGTCCAGGCTGGCGTGTTTGGCTTCGTCGCCATGGTTGGAGCTCTCCTTGCGTAAAGAGACATTTTGATAGAATATACCCTGTAGGGAGCGTGTGCCTTGGGGTAGTAATCTTCCACTGTGGACCCTTTGTCTGGTTGATTAATGGACTACATTTTCCGTAGCGTACAATCCACAGCCCTTCGTTTACCTTACAGTAGATATGTCGATAACTATCGGTGACAGTCTGGTATTTTTTCTACTCATGGATACTGCTGTACTATCGTATGTATGTACAATAGCTCGGCACACCTCGTAGGAAGTACTATGGCTATATGGCGTTTGTCTCAAAAAACACATTATCCGTTTGCGTCACTTGTCCGGAACTTCCATCTACTCCTTCCATGACTTCTGCCTCGACTCGCGATCACTTTGAGCACTTGCTTCCTCCAAGCTGGAGGACCCAAGTATCCGCTTGGCTTGCCGAGGATACACCTTCATTTGACTATGGAGGCTTCGTCGTCGGAGAAGCCCCTCGAGAAGCTTTCCTCCTAGGTAAGGGCAAGCAAACTGCCGTCCTCGCCGGAAAGCCCTTTTTCGACGAAGTGTTTACCCAACTCGGCTGTGAGTAAGTAAATGATCATCTCCTGTTACTTCAACTCTTTGACTGATGACACTTGTGGCGGTTGTTCGCTTCCATGGCAATCCTAAAGAGTAGAATGGCATATGGAGGAAGGAGACACATTCGAACCTGTCAAACATGTCGCAACTGTCCGCGGCAAAGCTCGTCACCTCCTCCTGGGTGAACGGGTTGCCTTGAATATGCTCGCGAGATGTAGTGGCGTAGCTACAAAGTACGTTCCCGTTACCCTTTCCAGTTCACACATGATCCGTCTTTCGTTAGCATTGGCAATGTGTTGACTGTTACTGATTCCATCTTTTTTTTGGCCCCTGTCGATCTGTTGTTACTGTTCTCTACAGGTCTAAGCAAATCAAAGATCAAGCAAGGGGTTACGGGTACAAAGGTATCATCGCCGGGACCCGTAAGACGACTCCTGGTTTCAGATTGGTGGAGAAATATGGCATGCTCGTGGGAGGCATCGATGCACACAGACACGACCTGTCCAGCATGATCATGCTGAAGGACAATCATATATGGTCTTCAGGTAAATTTCCATCATTACTGTTCAATTCGTCCCGAGATTCAAATATGGAACACTAGGTTCTATCACCACCGCGATCAAGCAAGCACGTAAAGTTGGCGGATTCAGCCTTTTGCTTGAAGTCGAAGTCGGTTCCGAACAAGAAGCCAATGAAGCTATCGACGCCGGCGCGGATATCATCATGTTAGATAACATGGAAGGCGACCAGCTTGTCGATGTCGCTCATCGGCTGCGTGATAAGTGGTATGGGAAGCGCAAGTTCCTCTTCGAGAGCAGTGGGAACATCACGGAGAATAATTTGCAAGAACGAGCTATTAATGGTATGCTGCACAGTTCTCCTTGACAAGAGCTGTTGCTGATGGGTTGTGGGTATAGAAATTGACATCCTGAGCACAAGTGTTGTGCATCAGTCTGTACAACACATAGACTTCAGCCTGAAGATTCAGAAACCCAAAGATGTATGACCGGCAGCAAGAAAAAAAGAACTGTGTAAACAAGTATATGTATATCACGGATTGTATATTCAACTTCAATGAAAATCGGCTGTATATTCATTTCTTTAATGAATGATCTCAACTCAACTGTCTATGCACTCTCGAGCCCAAAAACCCTGACAGCATTCCCTCCCCTTACAGCATCCTTCTCAGAATCTCCCCATCCATCCACACCATCTATCGCCTCCAAGTTCTCCACAACACTCTTCCACTGATCACTCTCCTTCAACGGCGGGAAAAACGGATGGTCCGTTCCGAATAGCATTCTTGAGCTTCCAATAACCCTCTTCTCGAAGCCCAGACCTTTAGAAGCATCCGCGGAGGCAGTTGGAGAGCTGAACCTTTCTGCCCGTCCTATGACATCGCTCACAAAGCCCAGCTCCTCCGAGCCATATGCGACTGCGTCAAAGTAGAGCTTGCCTAGGTAGTATCGAGCGTCGTGCTGAAGTCGAGAAGCTACCACAGGATCGTGATCAACACAGGAAGCCAGGCGCGACGAGAGTTGAGGCAGAGTTCCACCAGAGTGGGCTAGGAGTATACGTAAATCTGGGTGTCTGTCGAATACACCGGAAAGAATGAGTCGTGTTGTTGCCTATGCACGCGAATAAACCCACCCACGTCAGTAAAGTAGCGATATAAGTAGAATAGGAAGAAGATGGTCACTTACTGTCGTGGTCTCGAAAGGGAACCCGAGAGCGAGAGGAAGGACATGACCATTATCTTTATCACCCCAAGCACTACTGTCAACTCCATAGTGCGGGTGTAGGAACACGACCAAATTGGCCCTAGCAATCGCAGCCCAAAGGGGTTCCAAGGCATCATCGTCCAGTCCATTCCCAATACCTTTCGTACCCATGATGATACCCTTCAGGTGAGGCAACCTGGAGATCTGGTCCACTATCTCGAGCAATGCAGTTGTAGAGATATTTGGTACGAGGGGAAGAAGACCGAAGCCATAGAGTCGCTTGATGGTAGTGCCAGTCTCTGAGATTGAGGGAGAAGTCGAGCAATAGGATTCGAGATCTTCGTTCAGCTCGCCTGCGAGTTTGTGCGCTGTGGGAGCGGGGAGAAAGTCTAGCCATGGATTGGCAGAACTATAGTTTGTCCTTGAGAAAGAATATATAGATATAGAAACTGCATATATGCGCACCTAATGATAGACACGTTTATACCATGTCTATCCATGAACTTGAGCTTCTCATCCCGATCCCAGTACTACCCGCTAAATTCAGAACTTCAACGCGTCGACGAAGATAAGGGATGAAAGCGAGTATCGAATATGTACCTGAGGACCGATAGGTCTTCCACCGCTCGGTTCATTATCTAGAATTAATAATCGTTCTTCTGTCTTCCCTGTAGGGGTCGTCCTGGAGAATATACGCGGTGCAACATCTCGAGAACGTAAGAACGACGCGTATCGCGGGAGGTAGACATGGGTGTGGATGTCTACAAGGAGCTTTCGTGCAGCCATTTTGAACCAAAGTGCGGGGGCGACCAACTCGTCTCCTCGATTAGAAGTACGAAGGGGAGATTTCCAATGCCAGTAGCAAGTAGAAGTCGATATTCAAGAGGACTTTCGAAATCATTTTCAATTGACTTGTTCTCCTTCCGGACCGACCACATGGCAAGATTGCACCCGCGAACCTCTGCACATCTCTGCACCTCGAGGCCATATATCTTTACAAGCAAGGCGAACGTTTCTCTCGCCTTCATCTTCTCGAATGAATTCCATGACTTCATATCGGTTTAATAGAATGCACCACGGCAGCCCATGAGGGAAGGTCGCACCCAGGAAAGTATGGATGACAACATATGACAAGTGGCAGATGAAGCTGCCTGACTACAATTCCGGCCTATCGTCCTCATCTTGCTTCTATCCACCTGCAGGCCCTCGGAAACGTTGTCTGCGCAGTCTCTTTGTGTCTTTGTTTAACTTGACACTCCAGTCCTTCAACTTAGCATTCGAGTTTGCGTGGTTGGCGACCTCATAGCTTTGGTCGCCATGTCGTCAAACGCGGGGTCAAGTTCTTCATCAGGATCCTCGCGAGATGCTTCTCACATTTCATCCACACATTCGAATATGGCATTTCCTGAATTGATCGCTCTTGGATTCGAGGTTTGACCCTTTGTTTCTTCTCCAGGAATTACTGACAGGAACGCGTGCCAACAGTTTGAACGATTCGCAACGCGACTATCTACGCATCTACGTTCACTCGGGGAAAGGCTTGATGTATGGGACACTCGTGCCAACATTGATCGGGCTCGGATTGATGGTCTTGAACGCAATGCTGCACACGCAGATGCTGTAGAGGCACTCGAGGCTCGCCAACGTGAAGACCACGCTCACATCGAAGTCCTTGAGAGGAAAGTTGAAGCTTTGTCTTCTGAAGTTAGATTCTTGCGACAAGAACGTCTTGGGTCTGTTGGATACGAACAAGCCCGTGTTGAGGAAGATGTGAATCAGCCCGTTGCAAATTCAAGTAGGAGGGAAAGCTTGAATGTTGAATCTCGGGTTGGTTCACATATCTTCCTCTGGCTTGAACTTGGTTTGAATCTTGACCTCTGATCACGCAGAATCACTCTTCTATAGTGAAGCTCCCAGTCTTGGCTGCCTCTTCGAAGGCGGATATCAAGATCGAAGCAGATGACCTGGACTTGCAAACTACACCTAAAGGCAAGGGGAAACAACCTTTGATCGAGGGCTCCATATCTAAGAGATCTTCATTCGCCGGTCGTTCGAGACCATCTGTATTGCCCCTCGTCAAGACTGAGGATGTGGAGACCATTCCGAAAGGGAAAGCGAAACTATCCGTCGCCCAACGAGCTACTTCAACCAAGGCGTCTACGATAGGCTCTTCGGGCTCATCAGGGTCAGGGACAATCAAGCCAATCAAGAAAGAGCCGACAATCGTGGACCTGGTTACTCCAATGAATGAAGGCAAACGACTCAAAGTTGAACGAACGTCTTCATGGGTTGAGCAGACATCCTCTTCGAGTTCTTCTTCCTCGACTCTTGTCACACTCACAAACGATGCTGCTGTCTTGGATGTTGACACAACTCCAAGAGGGAAAGGCAAAGAACGTGCCACAGTCGAACGGAGCACTTCTTGGGATATGGTTCTTACTGACGACGAGGAGTTGGCCGAGTTGAGTGCTCTTTCGCACGAACTTGGTCTCGACAATTCCTTTAGCACGTCTGCCACGAAAGTGAACGAAGAGGAAGATGCAGCAGAGGAGCCGCCAGTGTCGGATTGTGCATCAGATTCTAGTTCTAGTGACGATGAGTTCTTTGAACCAGAGTCCGTGGAGGACAATGAAGTTGGTGAAGTCGACATTGTGTCGTTCCATGATACGTATTGACGCGTTTTCTAGGATGACCAGCCATCTGTATCGACGCCTTTTCAGGCTGAATACAAAGGAATTCATGACCCACCGCACACATCGCCCGTAGCCATTGGTCCTCTGCAGGCCAAGACGATCTTTGCGAAATTGAAACTTCCTCGTCAAGAATTTGTGAGTACAAGGGAGATGTACATTCAATCTTTTCACCTAACCCAATGTATTCGATCCAATAGAAGTTTCTTAGAGAGTGAGTGTATCGATTGGAGTGCTTGAGCAAAACGTTTGATAAGATTGCCTTCAGATTCGTTAGATGCACGGAACCAAGGTTCCATGCATTCTTTCATGAAGATCTTGCGTTCCTTTACAATCCTTTCACAGTTGAACTGGAGGCTTCGTCTGTTATCTGTGGATGGGCCTCCGAGGAGCACATCCAACAAGATACTGAATACATCGAGGATCATGTCAATCCGGAAGGTCGGGTATATCACACCTTTGTGCTATACGGACTAAAGGTGTGGGTTATTGGTATTAGAGGCCCAACGTACGTACTAATTGCGGTTTGGTTCAGAAGGCGTGGTGGTATCTGGGAGCAATGGTATGGAAGCCGAGCGGTTTCAGATGCGATTGGTCTCATCTGCCAGAAGAGGTGAGACCAAAATGCCGTTCAGCTTCCATTGGATACTGAGAACGTTCTAGGATCATCGTCGATTCTACAAAGAGTTGTCCAGGTCGTGGAACAGAGGTTTACGACCGGCTGAAGTTGCCGATGCACTCGAAAGTGGCGAGCTTTACGAATATTGCGTAGAGCTTAGTCGCCCACCGGACGCGAAAGAGGCCTCGATGAACTTTGCGAAGTTCAGACTTAGACATATCAAGCCTGACTGTGAAAACATATGGCGTTGAACGTGAGTCGGCTGCCGTCATGGCTTGAGGCGTTGGATGTTGTAAGCGATATGAGCGTTGATTTTTCGAGATGTCGCTGAAGGTGGTTTGACAGATTCTGCCATTGGAGCGATATGTATACTGCGGGTTAGTTTTGAGTATGTCTAGAGTTGTATACCCCGTACATATGTAGGGCTCTGGAGAGGATGGTTCAAATTGAAGTCGCGTGCAGACCAGCAACCCAGGTCCCACTAGTGCTCCTGCCATATTAAGCTTAGCCCGGGATTCGCCAGGTTCTCGGCCAGAGTCTCGGCTCTTCGTGGTCAACGGTCTTTTATTTCCTTCGACGTTGTCTTCCTCGACCAGCAGCTCTCTCTTGCCATCGTCAACGACTGCGACGCCAGTTTCTCGTCTTTAATCCACCATGCGTTGCTGCCCGGCGTCCGCAGCGCGCATCCTCACGCTCTTTTCCCTCGTCGTCTTAGCATCACATTCTTTTACTCTTGTCAACGCCCAGTCCTCCCCCACCACTTCAGTTAATAGCGAGACGGGGATTCCTTCTCCTCCTATAGTTGTACCGTCTCTTTCCTCATCTCCTTCTTCTTTGCCTACCCCTTCTTCGTCTCCTCCTGCCACTCAGCCTTCTCAGAAGCCTTCTCCGGAGACAATTGTACCACCATCCACTTCTACTGTGACTTCTGACCCTCCTACACCTTCTTCGGCGAGTCCTACGTCCACTTCTGCTACTATCACGTCGCAGTCTACACAGGATATTTTGAGCAGTAGCTCATCCCTTGAGAGCTCTTCATCTGCGTTAGTATCCTCTAGGTATGTTTCACAGGATGTCAGGTGTGCTTGGGTCTGATTGCTTTCAAAAAGCTCATCCTCTTCGTCCTCCGGCATCTCCACGGTATCAAGTAGTTCTTCGAGCACAGCTGTCATTACTCCTTCTCCCACACCGGCCCAGACAACAGGTCCTACCACTGCTTCATACAGGCGTATTTCAAGCACTCATGCTCCAGGTGAACCCACCGATCTCCCCGAGCCTACCGGTGCACTGTCAGAGGCCACATCGAAGGGGTATGACATTTACATCTTGATCTTCGTAGCCATCTTACACGCCACCCTTCCATAGCTTCTTCAGCAATAAGGGTGCCGTCGCCGGAACTTTCACTGTGGTCGCGATCGTCGCTGTCGTCTTGGTGATCGCTGTCATCATGATGTTCAGGCGCCGTCTTGCCCGCAGACGCGATGAGGAAGATGAGGTTTACTTCGAGAAGTACCGGGAGCCTGAGCCTGAAGTTCGAAACGCTCACCCTCTCACTAATCTCGGCGGTCTCGGACAAAGCGCTACCAATCTCGCGTCTCATGCTTCACCCGACTCATATCCTGATCGCAACGTTCACTATGGCCATTCCCCTACCGGAGATCAGGCAGCTTACGACTATGATAACCCGCAAGAGTACGGTATGGAGTATCCTCCTGGTACTGCCTATGCCGCTGCTGTCACTCATCCAGGTCAATACCAATACGGCGTTGGGCCTAATCTTGCGGGCCATGGCGCCGGAGCATATGACAGCATCGGCGGAGGAAATCAGTACGAGCACCAGGGCGGTCAAACCAGGACTTCACCAGGGCCGTTTGCTGACCCTGGCAACTCTGCCAGGCATCCAGCCGCACCACCTGTAAACCAACCCTATGCGGACGCGTACGACGCGTATACGGCGCATGATGGGTATGCTCAACCACGCTGAGAAAGAAACTATCGACTGCAGCAAAAAATAGGACGCTTTTTTGTGTGCGTATAACGTGGAGAGCAGTGGGTCGCATGCATTAGTGGATGTGTTGCCCCCGCCCTGTGAACTTTTTTTCATGACTATATACCCTTATCCTGCCGGCCTTGTTCCCTCAGTATTCCCTTCTTACCCATTTGTGTGTTTGTACATCATCGTCTTTCTTATTTGTTGCACTCCCCAATATTGTCGATGATGAAGTGAACTTGTAATCTGTCTTTCTCTGTCTTGAGTGACGAGATGGAGATGGAGGATTCTGGTTCATTTAGGTTACGTATCTTGTTTGTTTCCAAGGTTCTTGGGTGTGTGTGTTAGTACGTATAATTATTATTACTGGTCATGACTGTTTGTTTTGTATCTTTGTGTCCTCGTTTACCTTCGAGAGAAAGATATAGCAATTGTAATGACTTCTTTCTACACATGTTGTCGCATACGAGCATAGGTGTTCCAGACTCGAGATTGTGTTTGAGTTGGTGAGTTTGGGTCGGTCGCTTCCACGAGCAGCCGCGACATGTCTCTCATGACCTCGTCAATCCGAGATCCGCTCTCGCTCGCGCTACCGACGCGCCATGCCAACTCTTTCGCAACTCCCACCTCGGAAGGCAATACGAATTTGCATATACATAAGGCTTCCGGACTTGAACCTCCAGTGACATGCCTCCGCTAAGACCATCTCTGCGCCATAACGTAGTTTCGTTCCAGTGCAAATATACTCGCACAACCGCACCTCGAGCTATAACGGGAGCCCGTAGGTCACTGCAAACTACATCCGCTTCGACCGAGAGTACAGCAGAAGCGTACTTGTCACAACCGCGTCTGGGGATATCGTTCCTGTCGCTTAATAGACCTAAGGCGAAGAATGCCATTTCGTTGAGACTGCTAAAGGTACGTGTCTGGTTGCAAAGATACCGTGTTTGTAGGATAATCTGAATGAGTGTACATATCGTATCGTATTAGGAATTTCAAGAATGTCTAGATACAATCCAATTCGACAAAGCGTACGTCCATGTTGTCTTTACCGCTTCCGACCAACTCACCCTCAGTTGTCCCCAGAACCCGTGTTCTCATCATCCGTTCATCCACACCAAACGCGTTCTGTGCAGGTGCAGACCTCGCTGAGCGACGTACCATGACCCAAGTCCAAGTAGACAAGTTCCTCTTAGACCTTCGTACTGCTTTGGGCAAGTTAGAGAACTTGCCTATGCCTACTATTGCTGCCATTGACGGCCCTGCGCTTGGCGGAGGCTTGGAGTTGGCTTTGGCTTGTGACCTCAGGGTAGCTGGTAAGCTCATTCCCGTTATGAGAATAGAAAGAAAGTGTAGAATTGTTTGTGCTGATCTATTCGTTGAAACAGGACACAGCGTAACGAAGATTGGGTTGCCAGAGACGAAGTTGGGCATTATACCCGGAGCGGGAGGCACTCAACGATTGACACGTCTCTTGGGTCTTTCGAAAGCGAAGAACCTAATATTTACTGGACGTGCATTAAATGCACAGGATGCATTTGAGTATGGTTCGTGTTCAGTTCAAACTTTCGGAATAACATGTCTAACTCGCGTTGTTTTGTGTACAGGTTTGGTTGACTATGTCTCTCTACCTGAGAGATCGGCCGTAGACCGTGCACTGGAACTCGCAGAAGAGATCGCAGCAAACGGTGGGTTTTACTTGAGCTCGCTTTCTCTTAAAGTTGACTGAAGTCTTTTATTATAGCTCCTTTGGCATTGAGAGCCGCGAAACAGGCCATTTCGCGCGCACCAGAGTTGGCTCTTGAATCAGGTATGCAATAACGAGCAAATGGTATGGTAGTACAGCGATTCTTACTTCGTTGACCTATAGGTTTGGATTTCGAGCGGGCATCGTACGAGCCTCTCCTGAAGAGTAAAGACCGCGTAGAAGCTCTCGAAGCGTTTAAGGAGAAACGAGCCCCAGTGTTCAAAGGAGAATAAGTTATGCATTGTATGTACTATAGAAAGGAACCTGGATATCACAAATGTAAAGCACAGCACAAGGAAACAGGGACGATATCAACGCAACGACATCAATGCACAAAAAACATGCAATGAGCATCAACTTGCTCCGCCAAATGTCCTGGTAGACAGCGACGAGAACCCACCAGGCAAACTAGGCAAACTCGAGGGTAGCTGATCCCTCAAGGGTTCCAAATCCTTCATGATCATGCTCAACCTTCCCATTCCGAACCTATCTTTCAACCCTCTACCACCTGGACCTTCAGTCGTACCATCTTCAGTACTGTTATTGAATCCCTTCTCAGCTTGTCCCCAGTCACTCCGCTGAGCGAGATATGGTCGTAAGAGGGATGAATCGATACGCCCTAGGTAACCTTCTGTAATATAGGACTTGAGGATATCTGGCCGCACAAGGAAGACGTTGCCAAGTTGACGGAGGAACTCGAAACGTTCTAGGAGGGAGGGAATGTTGAATGTGGCGATGATATCTTGGTATGACTTCAGGTCCCTGGGGAATATTGAAGTCAGATAAAGTCTTCACGTGTAGAGAAGCATAACTACGAACTTGGCAAGCATCAACCCTCCTGTTGCACTCACAGGGAACTTCTTAAGGTGATCCAGTAGTAGACTGACGAAAAGGTCAAACCTCAAATCGAGGCGAGGAGAATGGATGACATACCCATGGAACGCTACGCCAACTTCTGTCAAGAAGGCTTCCAAGTTTTTACCACTTAATGACTCCCTCGCTGCGTCCCGTACTTTCTCCAGGAACTCGCAGCAAGCGATACATGGTTCAGTGTTCACGCGTGCGAACGAGAGATCATCGTTTCGAGGTTTGAAGTCTGTCCTCTTTTGCTTCGTGAGCTGCGTCGAGAGCCACGATATAAGAGCTACAATTAGGCAAGCGGAATGGCGTGAACAGTGGACTACCAGGATAGACGGACGAAACTCACTATCCGTCAGACGCTGCATGATCTGATTCGCAGCACCTTCAATCCTACTAACGGTCTGGTTATTGAAAACAACCATTTCTCGTCGGATAGTGACCGATGCACTGGCAAGAGGTAGAAGTGCCATATTGACGTATTGTTGCCAGAGGTGACATATCAAGTCGACTTCGTGCAGAACGGTCAGAGGTTGAAGACTTGGTTCTACCTTTGTATCTGCGCATTCGATGCGTGTGTTGACACTATGAAAGCATCAGATGTAAGACAGAAGATAGCACGAAGGAAGAGACATTTATACGCACGTTTCCAGAGCGATCTCCACATAGGCATTACCGATAGCCGCAGCGAGGACGCGCAAAAGGGAAAAGGCCTGTTTCGGACTGAAATATAGGAAGAGTTAATCCTAGCGTATGATAGAAGAACATAAAAGAAGCAGAAAAACACGCACACATCATTCGCATGACTGAGCTCCACGCATCGTCCAACGGCCTCAGCATGCCATTTCAACATTGTCTCTGCAACGATGATGTTCAGTTGACCATCTTCTTCCCGTATTGGCTCTTCATCCTCTTTAGGTGCGGGTGTTGCACTCAGACCTCCGTACCGAAGAATAGCAGCAGCAGCTTGAGCAGAGGTGGTGGAGGTACCCGAAGTCGAGGTCGTAGCCGCAGCTGCACTGAGTTGGTTGACCATTCGGTCAAAAAGAGTGGATTTGCCCCCTTTTTGGTTCCGTTCCTACAAGCAGAATATGAGGCGCGCCCTCGGAGAGGTAGGAACGGGATAGGATAACTTACATGATACCTCGTGAAGTTCGTTAAGAAACTCGCATAGAGCTCGCTTAAACTCTTGCTCTCCCTCTCAAGGTATCTTTGTCCCTCGGTATACGGAATGAAAAGTTCTTCCATCGCCGTCTCCAGCATAGTACTTATCGAGGTAGCAGTGGCTGCCGTTGGTGCTGATGGAGCTCCGGTCAGAGATCGCTTGAATTCACCACCTTCAATGGGGGATCGTGGAATTGTTGAAGGCAGTTCGTATCCTTTGAGGTCTTCAACCAGGTGTGATGTTTCTCGATGAACCATCTGAAGTATTCGAAGGAAGGAAAGGTCAGAAATCGACAATGCCATATTGACGAGTTGCTCCATCTGCTGCTGGATCTATAAAATGGTTTTTTGATATAGAAAAAACATGAGATAAGATGATCTCACTGATTGCGCGAAAACGCGTTGAAGGAACACTTGCATAACTACTGGAGGATTCGGAAAGACCGCTTGTACAATCTGTGCTTCCTGTCCAACTGTAGTCCGGATTTCTTGGAAGAGCTCAGCTAAACCAGGTTCAGTCGTAGGAGGTTTGAGATCAGGATCCGGTATAGTCTCCCAACTATAGCATAATCTATCAGCAAGAACGCAGAACATACAGAAAGGGAGCTTACATTTCGTTCGCGTCAGCGCTACTGTTTTCCCTTACACGGTTAATGAAGAAATCGTGTTGGTTGACGTAGACTTGGACACATGAAGCTCCACCATTGAACTCAAGGAGGACTTGTGCGCAGTGCTGCATGAGACATTTAGTTATAGTCATTGACAAGAGTTGAACATCGAAAAGCTTACATGCATCACTTTCGGGTCGCCTTTGCGATAAGCTCGGTCGAAGAGGTGTAGCATGTCTTTTTCGAATTTCTCGCAATACTTGTCAATGTTTTCCCGAGTCTTGCATGTCACAGATCAATGAGAGTCAAGTGAAAGTGTGGTTTGCCATGTATGCATACCTTGTCAGCAGTGGGCAAATCGACCTCTTTCGCAACAGTACCCAGACGCCGCAACAGTATTGCGACACGTCGCCTGCCCTCTCGACCTTCCTTCTTCATAGCATCGAGGCGAGCAGTATCGTCCCGAGAAAACTGGTTGTAGAAATCGATGAGGTCATAAGCTGCTTGAGCTCTCTGACGTTGTTGATGAACGGATTCCAGCTGTTCTCCTGTAGAGAAGTATTAGCAATACCAGCAACGAACTCTAACGACATGGACGCACCTATCCTGATGGCTGTACGTCCTACCTCGTTCATCTTGTTCTCCATGCCAGTGAAGGATTGTCCGACGGCCTTGGTGGGGTATTATAAGGTATGGAATTGAGAGCATGTATTCGGACATACCTCGAATCCCTTGTTCAGGTCCGTCATCTTCTTGGAGTATTCTCGTTCTGCGACTCTGACGCTCTTCTCCATCTGTTCAGTTTTGGCCTGGACATCTTTACGAACTGCAATGAGTTTATCGACGGCAGCCTCAAATGTCCTGATAAACGGCTTTGGATCGAATGCTACAATTGACCATGCACTTCAGTCACAACACATTGCTACAACGGCAGACGTACGGCCAGCCTGAGCCTTAGAGTCGGCGATAAGCTTCTCTGACACGGCTCCTACAAAGTCCTTCACGTCAAATTTGCCCTATGACAAGTTCAAAGGATCTCAGGATGATGCATTTCTCATCAAGGAGAATGAAATACTTCGAAAGCTTCCAAGCGAAGGTGCCTGTCCACGGCAGGTTCCAAAGTGTCACCTGGATACATGGCTCAGCAGGATCTTCCAAGCATTAGTTCTCAACTGTTTGGTTCAAATCCCTAGACAAGACTCTAGTAAAGGTATTTTGGTGGTGGTCGTTAATGTCTGCGGTCTGTGCGAAACGAGAGCACCTGCGGGCGGCTAGTTATCCATGTAACGACGCGCCTCGACACGTGGGGTGATCGAAGATCTCAGATCCAAATTTGTGAAAGTTGCCTCGAATTTGCTCGTGAAGTGAAATACAACACACCCCTCGAGTCTTCTATGCTATGGAGAGCGTACACCCCTTGAAGTCACTCTTGCAGTTCCAACTTGCCTCAGATGCCCAGGCTGTGGTACATCTTCCATATATTCTCACCGTCTTGCAGGCCGACGACTTAAGACCCTCCGAAAACATTCACAAATGGACGACCCGTCTAAATGCATTGATTTTCTCAAAAGATGGCGGGGCACGCTGGGCAGGACTCTCCTTAGCTCTACAGACCGCTAGCTTTTCTCAGTCTATCATGCTTGAATATGCGCAGAGTTGGGTTGGAGCTGCGTTACCTATGTTGTCTGTACGTGCAAACCACATACCTCATTCATATGTGGTATATTTATTATATTGATTCTTTTTCTTCGTCAAGAAAAAAGAACCGCTACCTACTCTTAAAGCTGCAATACGGCTGCTCAGACGCATCTTTACAAGTGCGACTGACGTTCCTGAATTCCAAAGACAAGTGTCAACTCCAAACGTACCCAAGTTTAGCCAAGCTTTGATTTCACTAGGAGATAAAACCGAAGATGAAGAGCTCAAGGTAGGCCTTGATTTTGGCTTTCCCTTTTTTTTTTTTTGGATTGTAACGTACTATCGCAGATTCTTTGTCTGGATACTCTTGCACACCTCGTTCCCCTCTATCCCACTCTGCACCGCTCATTACACGCTGCTCTGTCAAGTTCTGCTATCAAGTTCCTGAACGGTGCCACCCCTCAGCCCACATCTTCACGATTGCTCTCTTCCGCTTCACGACTAAACGCATTGCTCCATTATACCGGGGGCAAGGTGGGCGCTGCTACCCAATGGCGGAAAGCCGTGGATGACGCCATTCTTTTTACCTGGGGATCATTCATGAGTATCAGAACTACGTTCCCAGCCCCAGGTATGTCAGTTGTTTTGAGAATGTTCATAATATTTCATGATAATCCAAGGCAATCCGGATGTCTTCGCACCTCAACCTGTTTTCAACCAGGATCCCATTGTGAACATCCCATTGAATGTGGACCGTCTGCGGGCTGCCGTAGTTGTACTGTGTGATCTGATGCAGTGAGTCCATTTGTATTTTTCACATCTGTACTTTAGCTGATGTCGTACAGCACCTCGAATCCTCGAGCTGTCGTGCTGCCAATTGGGCCTCTTGTCCGCCTATGCGTTGCATTGATTCGCTGTACACCCGACGAAAAGGTTGCTACTCTTTGTATCTTTCGATCATGACTCGTCCTGACTTATAATAGATCGAGGGCCATGTCGATCCTGTCATCCACACGATGGAGCTCTCCGCGATTCCTCACATCCAAAAATTAGGTTGCGATCTAGTGCGCGCACTGGCATTCTGGTATTTGATATCTATTCACTTTGCCGGTGCATTGATTCTGACAGCGTCTACTTAGCACCCACCAACATTTGACACCACATATGTCTCAATTGCTCTTTTACTTGGTCCACCAACTTGAAAAACAATATCCTTCGTAAGTCTTTGATTTCCTCATCTCAACTATGACTTGACTATAGCTTGGTATCGAACTGACCACGATATCTCAGTCAAGAACGTCTTCCTTTCCTGCAAGCAACCGCATCCCTGGTACATAACTGCGCACCACCGCACGATCCCCTCCTCCACTCTCGCGTCACAAGAGCCGTCCTTCCATTCATCAATCACCTCTTGGCTACTCAAGCCGAGGTCCAACGTGACACCGACACCACTACCAGCGGGTCCAAGTCGAAGAGGGGTAAGAAGAGAGCGAAGGGTTACGAAGGTGATGAAGTGTTCAGCGTGAACCGCTCGATTATTTGCCCTACCAAGTCTGATGGGGACGTCGTACTTGCGACTCTGGAACGTAAGTGTTGTCTCGTCCCATATGTGTATTCCTCACACTAACCTTTTTGAAGTATTGCAACTCATCCTTCGCAACGGTTTACTCACACCTGCCGTACAGTCCATCGCCACGAGAGTGCTACTGTCGATTTACGTTGGCTTACCTCAAACTCCTCCCGTACACATCTCTCTTGATACCTCGCTTCATGGTAGAATTCTTGAGAAGGTGTCCAGAATATGCGCAGAGTTCGCTGCCGGCACCACGAGTACCATGAGCAAGAGCTTAGGCCTGGTGCTCGGTACATCTCTGCAGAGTCCTACATCATCTGTACGTTCATCCCTTCACACAAAGTACTGCCTACATCATTGACATGTATTCCCATTACATAGGGTGTCACAAGAGAACTCGAGCTCCTTTTACACCCTCGAGCGCCGCCGCTTGTTAGATCACTTCCACACATCGAGACTCTATCTCTCTTCCAAGCGGAAGAAAGTCAAGAGGAGCAAGAGGCGCGTCACACACTACAAATCGGTGTTCCGGGTGAACTAGCAGCGGCGACCCAGGAGCCTGATGTTGCGATGGATATTCAATTGATCTCCAGTTCGCATATCGCACCCCCGACAAATCATGTTGTGCCTGTGACTGTTCCGACCGTTCCATCAGGTCCTTCAATGTCTGTTGTACAGGCCCCTCCCCGAGCTGCTCTTCAAGTCATTCAGCCTGCCGTTCCTGCACCAGCCGTCACTCCCTCGACTGCTTCTTTTCAACCTCCTCCAACCTCAGCGTCAATACCAAAAGCTAATGACTCATCACTAACAAGATCTAGTGCGAATACCTCCACAACAGCCTCGATTGCGCAAGCTACACCACCTGTTTCAAGTAGCAGGATGGTGGTGGATGACGAAGACGAGGATGAACCTATGCCAACCATTGATGTAGAATCCGACTCCGAGCTGGAGTAGATGATGTGAAGGCACATTGCGTTCGAGTCAAGGGTGAAAAAAGTATGGATAGACCTTTATCCCAATCTTACAGAATGTGACGTTTCCTCTCGGCGTATGCGTTTAGTCCGTTGGCCACTGTTGTCAGTTGTGATGGTTTCGCCCTCTTCGTCAGAATCTGGGGTATCTCGGCGGTCATTGCTTTGTTGCTGTGACAGAGACGGGATCTGTTCACATACAAAGCGATAATTAATCACGTGAAGTGTCAATGGGTCGAGATCTACTCACCCTTTCGATCCAACTAGATGCGAACTCATTTTCTGGATCTAGGACCCTCGCCCGTTCGAAGAAGACTTGGGCATCACGAAGCATACTTGCGTTTAATTCGGCTTGACGATCTGAGAGGGTGTTATAGATAGCAAGAGCCTATATGAAGCCAACATACCATCATACTGAATGTCAGAATCTTGTTGCCCCTGAGAGAGATAGAGGCAGAGAAGTCCAGCGTATATGTGTAAGATAGGGTTGTCCTCGTAGGGCGGAGAGGGAAGATACCTGAGTTTGTGGTATAAACACAAAATCGGGAATAAGGCTAAAGAATACGCACAACTCCAGTTCATCAAGTGCTTTCCTATGCTGACCGGATTTGATGAGACGCAATATGAGTTCTTGGAGAACAGACTCTCGCTGTGGTATTGAATCAGCTAAAGAAACAGTGATTAGATTCACCAGGGACGTACATCGTGAGACTTCTGCAGCCGCATCATGGCATAAAGATAGTCTATTCTTCGCCCATTCTCTTGTTCGTGGTCGGGTTCATCGTCGACTCCTCCCAAGAGTAATACGCCTGTCTTCCAAAGTGCTTTCCAGTGCACTTCCTTGCAGCGCACTAGGATCGCCCATGCTTTGCGAGCTCGGACGAAATCCTGTCGCAAGATACAGAGCTGTAAGATATCATAAAGCCTGCGAATGTGAAGTTTTCTTGTTGTCCGAGGTTCCTTTGAGCCAGGTAAGTCGAAAAGGAGAATATCTTCTGCAGAAGACATGCACAATGGTACTAAGCGCCCTATCGAATATTAGGCACTGCAAACCGGCGCGATCGACTTGGCATCCTCATTTCTCCCTCGACTTCACGACATCATTGACTTACCAATGGACGACGACCTTTCATTTGGGGCCTCTGTATGGGGCAGCACCGACTCACCAACAGCAACACCAACGCTTCCGCCAGTTCTCAAACCACCATCATTCTCTCCTGCACTGTCCAGCCCGCAAGATAGCGTCAACGACTTCGATGATTTTGGTACTCCTGCAGAGACAATTGCTGCCTCCGGTGATGAGGGGGATGACGATTTTGGAGATTTTGAGGACTTTGGAGAAGCAGTTGAGGCAGGGCCCAGCTCGGTACCTTCTTTCAATGATGCTTTTTTGGACGAGCCAAGAATACCCGGGGCATCGAAGGATTGGCAACCACTACGCGTAAAGCCTATGCCTTCGCTAGAAGAAATACGACAACAGATGCACGAACTGCTGGGACCACTATGGCCACCAGCAGATCCGTCCCTCTTCCATGACCGGGAGCTACGACAAGTGGGCGGCTTGAATCAAATCCTTATTAGTCCTGAGAGGTAATTCTGTTCGCCTGTGTTAGGTTGTTATGCTGTATCTTAAGTGGCAGATTGTTATAGTCGTCGAATGTATGATTATCTCTGTCCGTCGACACCCCCGGAGATCCAACCAGTCAATTGGACTCGATCACGAATACGTCGACAACACCTCATTGCCCTTGGTATTCCCGTCAACCTTGATGAAGTTCTACCTCCTTCAGGTGGTAAACTGCCCCCACTTCAAATAACAACTCGGCCGACATCCGCTCCACCAGGACCAAGTAGCGCATCAGCTGTGAGAAACCATGCGGCAGCTACGGCAAACAACTCAAGGGCAGGGACACCACGTTCTGGTACACCTCAACCAGGTATTAGGAATAGTTCTCTTGCTGCCGCGCAAATGCGCCTTGGACCTCAACCTGAGCTCGATGAAGCAAAGATTGAGACCCTGCTGAATCTAAAACCAGGTATTTAATTATAGTGAAAGCGTTCGCTCCTCTACTCAATGTATGACTCTTTAGATGACCTTTCGATCATGCCAGTAAGGATGGTTGAATCGCATCTCAAGGCCTTGCAAGATCACACTGTTCAGACATCAGCGTTGCTGACCTATTTGCTGCAGACACGGGATGCTCTGCAGCAGGACTCGGAAACATACAATAAATTGATTGGGGAGCTAGTCGGAGAGGCTCAGAAGATGAATACTGGCAAGAGGTTAGCTGGTAGTAGACGTGGGAGTGCGATGTCATGAGTATGTCCATTGTTTGGCTGAAACGTCGTCTACTACGACATATATCCCGATTGCTTTGCTTTTTTTTCTTGACTGGTGTGTTGAGTTAAACATCATTTCGCTGAGGGATGAAGTCAGCGACGAACCGCTGTCTTACAAATTATGCAATTCATCTTGGTTGCCTAATCGAGCTAAGTATCACAACCGAAGATCAAATAAACGCTCATGAATAACCCCATACCAAATTTTGGTTGTGGCTACCTTCAATCAACGCTTCGTGCTTAACCTCGTTTCTGGGTCTGAGTTTCTCCTTTTCTTTTCTTCTCCTGTGACTGCTTTGGCTTGGACAGACTGCTTGAAAGATCTATTCTCTGGGTGTACACTGCACCAAAATGAATATTACCCGCTCAGTTCCGGCTACTGTCTCAAGTGTCTCGTTCTCGTTTCTTACCACAGAAGATGTTCGACGAATCTCCGTAAAGCAAATCACGAATCCAGTACTCTTGGATGATCTGAACCGGCCAAATCCAGGTGGACTATATGACCCTGCACTCGGACCCAGCGAGAAACAGGACATGTACGCTCTCCGATCATTATTACTCGTTTCTTTCTGATCTTCAGGTTAGCTGCTCAACGTGTCGCCTTACCTATTTCACATGTCCTGGGCACTTTGGTCACATAGAGCTTCCAGCTCCATTATTCCACCCCCTCTTTATGACCAAAATGTACGATATCCTTCGAGGAACATGTCTATTTTGCCATAGATTTAAAGTCAGCCGGATAACAGTGAGTTACATGCCTCTTATTTACTGGATGTATCTAATAAGAGGTTTGTAGCTATGTAAATATGTCGCAAAACTTCGGTTACTCGAACACGGTCTTCTAGTCGCTGCTAACATGCTTGATGACCTTAACGTATCAACGGCGAAGAACGGCGAAGACGACGAGGGGTCAGACGAGCCTTTGGAGAGCTATGAGGACTTTGAGAAAAGAGTCAATGCCTTTGTTGCAGTCAATTTCGCTGCTGCCTCTTCTACGAGCAGAGACAATTATAAAGATGGCCTTGTGTTCCAAGAACGCAAGAATCTCATTTCTCAGTTCATCAAATTGACGCATACCAAGAAGTGCCCGAATCCTTCGTGTGGAGCGTGAGTACTTTACATCTGCATTGCTCTGGTTGTTTCTCAATGTTTGAGACAGGCACGGCTATACATTCCGCAAAGAGGGATTCACGAAAATTGTGGAGTACGATCTTACTCAGAAGCAAAAAGACATACATTCCATGTTGTCACTCAAGCGACCCGATGTCATGATGGATCATGTATACGCTAAGAGGCTTGCGCAGCATCCAAAACTTGCCAAGACTGTACCAAATATCGTGGACGAATCTGATGAGGAAATGTCTGAAGACGAACCCGCTGGTGAAAACGTCTTCTCGGACCAAGAAGACGAAGCCACCCCGGCTTCTGAGTCACATCATCTCGCGAAGTCTGTCAGCGGCAAGGTTAAGGGTGCGCGTGGACGGAACGAACGTGTCATGACGCCAGAAGAATGTCGCGCGCACCTACGAAGACTCTTTGCTAATGAAGCGGTGATTTGTTCTTTACTTTTTGGACGACATGGCCCATTCGCACCCCTGACCGCTCACAGTTTGTCGCTTGCGTCTGCCGACATGTTCTTCCTTGGCGTTCTTCCTGTGACTCCTACACGATTCAGACCACCAGCGAAGATGGGTGAGATGCTTTTCGAACATCCTCAGAATGAACTGCTATCTCGTGTTCTCAATACCTCCTACCGACTTCGTGATCTCAACGAGACACTGCGTGCCGCTTCCGCCAAGGGTGCTGATTCATCGGACCTCGACAAGAGGAAGATCTTGCAAGCATTGTTAGACTCCCTCGTCCAACTACAAGTCGATGTCAATAGCTTCATTGATAGCAGCAAGAATCCGGCACCGGTGCGACAAGGCAAACTTCCTCCAGCCGGCGTGAAGCAGCTTCTGGAGAAGAAGGAGGGTCTTTTCCGTATGCATATGATGGTAAGCTATGGCTACAACCGTCAATGAGTGAACTCTGACGTTTTTATAGGGGAAACGAGTCAATTATGCTGCTCGTTCAGTCATTTCTCCAGATGTCAACATTGAGCCAAATGAAATTGGTGTACCTCCTGTCTTCGCAAGGAAATTGACCTTCCCTGAACCCGTAACACCTGCCAATTTCCACGAAATGCGTACATTGGTTATCGCTGGTCCACATAATTATCCAGGAGCAACTATGGTCGAATATGAGGATGGCCATCTCCAGTTCTTGGTATGTCTCTCTAGCGCTCTATGACAAGAAGCTTTTTGACGTTCATTGGCTTGAAGGAAAAAATGACAGTTGAACAACGGACAGCAATTGCAAACCAACTTTTGACTCCTCAAGAGGGTGACCGAGGGTCATCCAAAACCGGACTGCACACTCGCACACCGGCCATCAACAAAAAAGTATATAGACATCTACGGGACGGTGATTTACTAATTCTTAATCGACAACCTACACTACATAAACCCAGTATGATGGTTCATAAAGCACGGGTGCTACAGGGAGAGAAAACAATTCGAATGCACTATGCGAACTGGTGAGTTCGGTTATATTTTCTTCCGCGATATACCCATTGACAGCGAGTATAATACAGTAACTCTTATAACGGTAAGGACTTTAAGTTCAACACATGGAAAGCGTAACTAATTCCTCTCGCATTGTGTAAAGCTGATTTCGACGGTGATGGTATGACAAGTCCCTTTATCAACTCTCTTCAGTTCTAACTTAATTCTATACAGAGATGAACATCCATTTCCCTCGTAAGTCACATTGTTGCTTATGAATAATGCACTTGATGCCAATTCTATTAACAGAGAATCAGGTAGCTCGAGCCGAAGCCATGTTCATCGCCAACACCGACAACCAGTACCTCGTTCCGACCTCCGGAAAGCCCCTGCGAGGTTTAATTCAGGATCACGTCGTGGCTGGTGTGTGGATGACAGCACAGGATGCATTCTTCACGCGTGAAGAGTACAACCAGCTGCTGTATGGTGCCCTCAGACCTGAGGACGACACTGGTCACTACAGCGGGCGTCTGGTAACTCTCCCACCCACTATCTGGAAGCCGAAACCTTTGTGGACGGGCAAGCAGATCGTGCGTGGTCTTTCCCCATGTTATGTGTCCGGTGTAACCGACATTATTTCCGTCCGTAGATTTCCACTGTTTTAAAGAATATCACGCCGAGTAATGCCGATGGTCTGAACCTTGACGCGAAGGCTAAAGTGCCCGGTCATCTGTGGGGAAAGGATTCTCAAGAAGAGAAGGTAATATTCATGGATGGCGAACTTCTCTGTGGAGTTCTTGACAAATCGGCGTTTGGTGCATCCGACTACGGCTTGGTCCATTCAGTGTATGAATTGTATGGTGCCGATGTAGCTGGTAGACTTCTTGGGATCCTCAGCCGACTATTCACGAAGTTCTTGCAACACCGAGCCTTCACTTGCCGCGTGGACGATCTTACTCTTACACCGGAGGGCAATGCCAAACGGCGGGAGCTTCTGCAAAAAGGCGCGAATCTTGGCACAGAGGGCGCCATCGAGAACTTCCCCTCGCTCAGCACAACTCCACCCGAAGAGAGGTTATCCAAGCTGAGCGACCTCCTGGAGGACGTGTTGCGAGACGACAGTAAGATGGCTGGCTTGGATATGACCGTGAAGGGCAAACTGGCAAGGCTCACCAAGTCAATCGCTGATGCTTGCATGCCGCATGGACTACTGCGCCAGTTCCCCCATAACCACATGCAGGCCATGACTCTATCGGGTGCAAAGGGTAGTGCTGTCAACGCCCAACAAATTTCCTGCGCGCTCGGACAACAAGAGCTAGAAGGTCGGCGTGTCCCCGTTATGGTCAGTGGCAAGACACTACCTTCCTTCAAGCCCTTCGAGACGAAGGCCATAGCCGGCGGATACGTAGCAAGCCGATTCTTAACCGGTGTCAAGCCTCAAGAGTTTTTCTTCCACTGTATGGCTGGTCGGGAGGGTCTTATCGACACTGCTGTCAAGACGTCAAGATCAGGCTATCTGCAGAGATGTCTGATTAAGCATCTGGAAGGCCTTCGCGTTCACTACGATAACACTGTTCGAGGAAGCGACGCTTCAATCTACCAGTTCCATTATGGCGGTGATGCCTTGGATGTAACGAAGCAGAAGCACCTATACCAATTCGAGTTCATGGCACGCAACGAGGTTTCTTTCGTCAATCGGTATAGACCACGGGAGCTTCTTGGAATTATGAACGACAAAGATGCGGTAAAATATATGGAGGGCATACTCAAGGAAATCAGGAAAACGTCTCATACTGATCAGGAGCCTACAATCTCCGTCTATAATCCAAGTCGCTTTTTGGGTAGCACTTCAGAGAAGTTCGCTCAGAATGTCGAGGAGTATGTCAGAAAGAACCCGCATAAACTCTTGAAGTCTAAAGATGATCACGGCCTGCCTATTAAGAGGCGGAAGCCGCTGCTCTCCTCCAAACGATTCCGGCTGCTCATGAACGTCAAATACATGTGTAGCTTGGTGGATCCGGGCGAGGCTGTTGGTCTGCTAGCTTCCCAGGGGTAAGAACGAACAATGTGACTCGTTTGAAGCAGTTTCTGATGTCTTTCTGATATAGTGTTGGGGAACCCTCCACGCAGATGACGCTGAATACGTTCCACTTCGCCGGTGAGTACTTGGGACCTTGTCATGGTAAGAGCGTCGCCTCACCCACTACCCGTCTTTAGGACATGGCGCCGCCAACGTCACCCTAGGCATTCCTCGTCTTCGTGAAATCGTCATGACAGCTTCTACAAAGCCAAAGACCCCTTCTATGACGATGAACGTCCGATCTGCTATTGCCACTTCTGAAATCGATGCCTTCTGCAAGAAAGCTGGCCGTTTGACCATGTCTCAGGTAGTGGACAAAGTGACTGTCAGGGAGAAGCTCGTATCCAATCATGGCTCTCGACTAAAGGAATACCTCGTTGATCTTGCTTTCTATCCCAAGATCGATTACCAGGCAGAATACGACGTACAGCCGTCAGAGATTCTAGCTGCCTTTGCAACACGGTTCCCTCTCATTTTCAAGAGGGAGATTCAAACCGAGCTGAAGAAGCTTGACCAAGACCTAAAGACTCAAATGGCCAATATTGGTAAGGGAAAAGCTGTTCAGCCACGATCCGGAGAATCCGCGCGAGATAATGATGGTGAGGGCGATGCCGAGAATGAGGAGCGTCAGAGGGACAAAGAAGACGACGAAGCCAGCGAGATCGGTGACGGCGATGCATCCACCGTTAAACGTCAACGTCAAACGAAGGAGCAAGTGAGCTATGACGATGACGATGAGGAAACCAAGAGCTTGGGCGAGCTTGATGATGATGCGATCGAGGCGGCATATGCCTCTGTGGGTGAGGATGAGCCCGAGCCAGTTGTCGAGAGCAAAGAAGCATCAGCTTCGAAGGAGTTCTTGGATCAACTTCATGCTACCGAACAACTTTTCATGGAGCACTTCCCACGTGCGAGTTCGTTTACGTTCCAAGAGTCCGGATGTACCATTGGGTTTGAGGTATCTATCGTCTGCACTTTTTTAACTACTGGAATTCGCTTCTCATCATCATTCCTAGCTACCCTCTGACATGCCCAAGCTCCTGCTGGTGGGCATCGTGGAGAGAACATGCCTCAAAGCTGTCATTCGCGAGATACCGGGAATAACGGACTGCTTCAAGAGCAAGGATGATAGCGGTCGCGGTGAAGGTCTATATCGAGTAAGTCGTTCTGCGATCCTTTCTCTGCACACACGCTAAACAATAACAACTAGCTCACCACTAACGGATCCAATATCCCCGGTCTTTGGCATTTCGCCTGTAGCGATGCTGAGAATATAATTGACGAGCGCAGCATCTATTCCAACGATATAGACGCTATTCGCCGCTCGTATGGTGTGGAGGCAGGTCGTGCTACGATCCTTCGCGAAATTGCGGGCGTGTTCGATGTCTACAAGATAGATGTCGATGCCCGTCACCTTGAGCTCATCGCTGACTACATGGTGAGTCCTGTGCCCTATAGGAGCCTGTATGGAGCTGATCGTATTATGCAAAGACGTTCGATGGTGGATACCGGCCGTTCAATCGTACTGGAATTTCTGGTAACCCATCTCCGCTACTCAAAGCTTCGTTTGAAACCACAGCATCGTTCCTATCTGAAGCCACCTTGCACGGAGATTTCGACGATCTGAGGTCCCCGTCAGGTAACATCGTGGTCGGTAGGCTTAACCTGACAGGCACTGGCGTGTTCGATGTTGTACTACCTGTGGATGCGGCCGCCTAGTGGCGAAGTGTAATTTAGGGTAGAGTTTTTTTTTTTGACATGATCGATCTCGCGACTATGGTTGGTCTTCGATCGAGAGACGTGTGTAGATTCCAAGGTTGGCGATCGTGAGAGCTGTAGAATCTATGTTTTGTACTTGCACGTTGTATTGTAAATGCTTTATTTGCTTTGTTGTATCTTGAGGTGGAAAAACCATCGCATAAGCAGAGCCCTTCACAATCGAACTCTGTCTTGAGGGAGGGAATCGAGCGAACCTTCACATCTTGGTTGCCTGAAGACAATAGTATCGATTTCCTGACGTTGACGCCGTCGCGCAAATCGGAAGGCTAGATACAGTGGACGATAGGTAGTTACACGTTCATGGCGCGGCCAGGCCAGGCCACATTTCTTCCTCACCAGTGAGAAAACACCTTGGATGGCTTTATCAAGTATACCGTATAGACATCTTAGTGCTAAACATATCTGGGTCATAGCAGCACCAAACCGAAGCTGCCACACCTCACGGGTTCCTCGACTGCATCATGAACTACGAATCGTGGCAGCGGCATTGGCACGGAAGCATCGGCCCTATACGACCAGCTTAGGACTAGTGCTCAGAAGCTTCATATTGAGGTAATAGGGCAATGCACCGATAACCGCGAATCGAGGATGGGATCTGATCGAGAACTTGGAGTATTCTTCCCCTAGCAGTTTCCGTACGGCTCTGAAGTTCCTGCAGGATTGAGCACACAATGCAAGTTTCACAACCGAGGTGTGTACGCAGGCCTGGTTTGCACATCACGCTCAGCAGCGTCAAGATCACGGACTTAGTTCCCGCAAGGCTCAGATGCTCTTTCTAGTTCCTTTGGAACACCGGGCAAGAAATCGAAGAGACATATTTCTGCAAGTATAAAATCCATCCATGAGCATGCCTTTTCGTCAGCAATCGACTCTCGCCTACCTCAGTAACTTGAAGCAAATTCCTTTCGCATCCACATACATTCTTGAGTACCACAAGCATGTGCAAACGCCGCCAGTAAGTCGTCCGCGGTATTGCTCCCCATGCCCGATTAACCATATTGTCGACTACAGCGTCAGACGCATCTACCAACGGTGAGACCTTTCCATTTCACATATCCCAACCACTCACCATTCTTCACGACTCTTAGTTGCGGCCACGCCGTGAATGATGTAAGTCATCTTTTTGCCTTCAGTGGCTTTCACCACTGCAGTCCTGATCCAACCTTTGCTGCACAACAGCCTGAAACCACGGTGAGCATACCTACCACGCTCGACCATATCCACTCACTAATCCGCGCCCAGGCTGTATGTGAGGCCACGAATTGCATCTTCAGTGTGAACCATCCCGCAAACTGTCCGGATTGCAAGAAGACGTGCTGGCAATAGTGAGTACAGTCTAGCTGCGGTCGACTACACACACTGACTTAGTGCAGCCATCAATATCCTGAGCAGTACAGTTGAGTACGATGAGCAAAAAGGCGCCAAATTTACTCATTGACGTTGACACAGCCGTTCATCCTAACGACTTCTGCCCCGCCTGCAGGCAGCAGCAGTAAGATCGAGGTATCCCGACGTGTTGATGGTTTATCCCTATCCTGGCGGAGAAGGCGAGGACAGACTGTACGATAAGGTTCAATTGCAGGAATCATGTATTCAGGAGGCTGTAAATCATACTGTATGAAGTTTGGAGTATGAAACTGTACTTTTTGTGATCACGAGGCTCGGTCTTGGGAAATTCACAGACAGATACGCTGGGTAAGACGCCCCACGAAGGATGAGATCTGAGAGCCACCGGAGCCTGCTAGCATGACCGATGTTATCATCCGCGAACGTCTTCCGAACCAAGAGACTAAGCCGCGCGTGACACCTGGTACACAAGACAAGAGAGGCGGAATACATGGGAGCAAAACCTTCCAGTTTTGGAGTCTAGCCTGCGCAGCCTCGAGTATGAAAACGTTACGAACATACCAGGGAGCTAGGCATACGTCCGACTGTAGATGTTCTGGACTTCGTTGCAATATTACTGTCTGCCGCCCCGTTGTTTCACAAGTTGAACTATCCAAGCAAGTAAAGTCTGATTAGTACAATATGATACAATACATTACAACATCTGAACGAACTCAGGTGAAAAGAACACGAAAGAGAGTCATTCGATGTGTTCAATCCTCATCCTTGATATCATGCTTCTTCTTGAGCTGAGTGAGCTCCTCCTCTCTGCGAGCAAGGTCGGCCTTTGCAGCAGCAGCATCCTGTTTCGCAGGCATATGATACAAGACAACAATATATCGTTCTTGCAAATGGAAACCATTCAGATGGTCTAGAGCATTTTTGGCCTGCGGAGTCTTATCAGTCATTCATGCCTAGACACAGCAAAAGTCCAGACACTCACATCCATCACATCGTCAAAGACGACGAAAGCTGTCCCTCGACTTTTCTGCTCATTTCCTATGCGTATCTGACGAATACTTCCGTATCGACCGAAAAGGTCGTACAAGTCTTCGCCAGTGATTTGGTAATTGAGGTTTTTCACGAATAGAATCCGGTTTGCACCCGGAGGTAGTTTGGCCTAGTGTGTACACCCAATTAATACCAATTCATGCAAGCATGACACCATACATACCGCTGGTCGAGCTAGAGCCATGATGGTCCTTAACAAAGTGTGTAATGCAGGACACGCTGATGTAAGCGCACAAACTACATACACAAATACTACCAGATATGGAAATCGCTTCTGTCGCTAAAAAGTATAGTCCTACAGTTTACTACGGTCAACGGCTAGTGAAGAAATGAGGCCCAGTTTTTCTCCGCTACAACTTATTGAGACGTTTCCATTTCCATTTATCTTCAGAGAAAATAGCTGATTGCAATGGCGCCCATGAAAACGGTCCAGATGCCACCTACTGGCACCAGCTTCTCAACCGCACTGGCACCTGATGAGGATGAGCCCGTATCGCTCGTAGTAGGGGCTGGTGCAGAACCACTCCCACTCGTCGTACCGGTGGAATCAGAAGGACCTGTGAAGAAGAAGTTTCCAGCAACTGGGCTACCCAAGCCTACAGCTTGACCAAATGCGGTCAGGTTGAAATTGGTTCGGGGAGTTGAAGCATTGACCAAGGTGGACGCCGTTACATTGAAAGTCGGCGGCTGCGTGAACAGAAGAATGACATATCTAGCTCTCGTTCAGAAACGCGCTGCTTGTGTGAATTGGGAGAGGCTAGGCCATACCTGTGGGGATCCGAACCAGCTGGTGGTGTAGGGTTAACAAAGTCCGTTAGCGCAGCACTCGAGTTCACCAGGGCACCGCCACTGCTGGCATTCACATGTAGGTCTCCTGCAAGCATATGACGGAATTGAGAAATCGAGGTGTTCTGCGGAGTTGGAGCGTCTGGATCAACGATGGCGAGGACGAATATCTGCTCAGCCAGACTATCGCTACTATTGGCAGTGACGGCGAACGTAGGCTCCAGCATGGTCTCTATCAACGTGTGAGGTCAGACACAAGGCTTTTCTCACTTTTGGCCGATCACTCACGCTCCATGGTCAAGTTCATCCCAGGAGAAACTGACAGAAGAGCGCCCGTTGCTTGATCCGTGAACGTCACATTTAACAGGGCAGTCGGCTGGAAGGATGGTAAAACTAAACAGAGTCAGAGTGAGTGTTCGTACGTGCAGGTAGCGCCATGCCTTACCATCAGGCACAATCTTGGCGTTCGAGAATGCTTCTTGTACGCTGCTAGTGGTTAAGTTGGTATCATTCTGTGCTGCGATGCAGCGGGTCAAGGCCAGGAAAATGAACACTGCTGAACGTAACATGGTATGCCTTCAAAGAATACGAGGGTACGGCGAAGAGTCTCCTCAATCCGAGGTGAAGGTCGGTGTGTAAGAGTCTCTGTCTCACTGAAGTTGCCAGCGACAAAGGATACCCATGAAGACGCGTGAGTCCACCCGCGTGGCCTCAATGATCCAATCCCGAGCTTACCGAGCAATAGGCGAAGCACCTCTTGTACACACGCCTGCTTCTTGAATCCCATCTCTATGTAAGAAAAGCCAGCGTATACCTCAATCGATGTCATTGTGAAGTCAGAAGTCAGACTTGTACCAGCAAAACTCGTAACAGCAAATTTTCAAACTTGGCTGGGCGATTCACCTTGAGGCTTCCTCCTTCCTACCCCATTTTTTTGGTGCTCATGTCGGCCTATCCTTCAATACTGGAGATGTATGGTGGTGAAGTCTGATGTAAGAACACCAGTCGTGCGTGATGATCCCACGGTGCTTGTGAACGTCTAAAGAAAGGTCCTATGGCCGGCCGGAGTGGGAAATTGAAGTTTGTGTCTTCAACACGAACGGGAACCTGTCGTTCTGAACAACAAGGGCAAAAGGAAGCAGTATTGTGGTGCACACAGGCGCACAACGGAGCATCATCCTCGATCACCCTGCCAGAAAAGCGCAAGAACTTACATTGAGAAGCCTTGAAATCAAAATGACCAGGCCCGATATTGCGCAGAATCAGGAAACCAGGTAGGCAGCTCAAGCCACGAGGTGTTGCGTAATGGAACACTGGCCATTCCCAAGGGCCATCTTGAAGGATTGAAGTTATGAAGCCTGACCATTGGCATGCGGACACACGGAGATTAGCTATATGAGATAGACTCCTTACCCGCCGTGATACACTTGGCATGGTGTCTGATATGCTACCGTCTTCAAAAGTCCTTCTAGTGCTCATGCAGTCAACGGAGGCAAACTCTATAATCACAACTTCAAAAAAGCATCAGCGAAGACAACGTCACGTTCCGTCATTGAACACAAACATGGCGGCGTCATCTATTGAGAATTCACGAGGTTCTTCACTGTGGCCTGCATGCGTGGATCTCCGATCTCGGCGATCTTATTGCGGCGAGTCTAAACCACGTTCTTACAGCGATGTCAGAAGGTCATTGAAGATGTCGCCGAAAGGATGCAATAGATACGGTCATAGTCGGCGAGGCTAGCAATTCCTCTGAAGCATGCTAACCTCAGCATGGCCCTTCGGGTGGAATAAGGGTGGTACACACCAAATGCGTTTGACGCCAAACTGACCGAAGTGGAGAGGAACTTGTAATCGTAATGGCGCCCACGTACTGTAAGTACGGAGGTGGGACATGAGGGCCATGCGCATTACGGGAAGAAACACGTGTGGAACTTATGTCGTTGGAATGTCATGTTCGGAAATAAAGTGAGTGAACTCTGAGTACCGAGCTCCAGCGACTGCATTGCATGACGGTTCATAACCTCCATGAAGAAGGCCGATTGTGAATCAAGCGTTAAGCGTTAAGCAGGTATGCAATTTACGAATGGCACTCCGACTCCTAACGGAGAAACAATACAAGAGAGCGTTCTCCGGCATCAAGGAGACACCATAGTATCATCTCCGCACTGCTATGAATGAAAAGAGTCCTTCAATCGCGTCCAAAAAGATACAATGCTGGTACAATATGAGTCGCTGTTGAGACAATGAGAATACTCGAGGATCGGAGGAGGCGACGTGTTCTAACCTACAGAGTGTTGCTCCGATTGTCCACTCTACTTGCTGTAGAGTCCAGCCAAAAGCTTCACTTCCGAACATTCATGCGCACCGCGTACACAAACAACAGTCGCACCATCCTTGTCTTGTGCATCTGGAACTAGGCATTTGATATCTTGTACATCGGGGCAAGGACATTGTGATGGGTTAGGGACGCAATTGAGTGTACCAGGGCAGAGGTATTCGGAACAAGGGACTGGAAGATCCAAGATTGCATCAGAAATAAACGCATTCCGTCAGCAACCACATCACTTAGTAAAACGCAAAAGGAAAATCTGCGCACCAGCTTCAGCTTGTGCAGCCCATTGTCCGGGGTACTGTGCTTGTCTTTGGCCATGCTGCTGGCCTGGATGAGGCTGCCCGAACATTTGCTCAAAAAATTGGAATTGGGCGAACGCAAACGGAAGGAAGAATAACGACAACCAAAGGTTGAGCAACATGGCTACAAATTATAAGCCTGTTGGAAGTACGTTGGCAAGTTCAACGAATGTGTATAGGACGTCTCGAGCGTTCTTACTTCTCTCAGTGCCGCGGAGTTGAAAGACAACTGCTACGTGTCCAAAGTTGGTAGGTCACCTTGATTAGAGCTAGGTCACCAATGAGTTGTTCTAAGATTTGAATACAGTATGCAGAATCATCATGCATTAGATGGCATAGAACATATGTGTTTGGGTGCTATTTCATGTCGAAATATACAAGAGTATGTGATAACTGGTAATGTAAGGGGATAACAGGTATAGAATAGTCAGATCAATGCTGAAGATATACTACAAACCAAGAAGAAAAATGAGATGATGTGTGGACAGACGCAGTATGTAAGTGATATTGATGCTTTGGACGATAACGTGGAACACATGTAAATGCGCAGTGCGAAGAGATGGAGAGAGATGAGTAGATATACGATAGTCATCAAAAAAAGGAAATCATATCTAAAACGTTAGTGTCGACAGTACGATGAGCGAATGATAAGAATTTGATTCCGACGATGACCTGTCCCCACCCTTGTTCAAAAGCCTCTTCCAGAGCCCTTCAGCAGGTTCGGAATAGAGCTACCCCGTCCATCCAGGACTCGCGGAGACGGCAAGGTGAAAACTAGGGCAGTATCGGATACGCCAGTGAGTTCACGAACCCTTTTAGCACGCGGAGTTCCAGAAACCGGGGTGTTCTGTCCGCTCTTGAGCACCTCCTCGAATGGAGGAAGTAATTCTCCTTTCGAAGAGGCCTCCGTAGAGACGACTAATTTCTGTGTTCGCCTGCGAGGTGGGATGTTTTCCTTATCTGCCTCCTTAGCCCTTTTGGCTTTCTCTGCTGGCAGATCTGATCCATCATCCATGTCGTCTGTCAGTGCGGTGGCGCTTGCTTTAGGAACATAGTCGTATGGATCGAGGTGAACGTCAAATCCAGGATAATGAATGGAATGAGGATCGGGGCGAGCAACCTTACGTGGAATTGTGAGTGGCGGAGATGGACGTGGCGACGGCGCTTTGGCGATGAAAGGACTGAAGCTGTCCTCCATCTTGATGTCGCCAGGCGATGATTTCGACGTGCGATAAGTGGGGTGCCGCGACGAGAACTTGGGTGTGGATGCCTTGGATTTGGAGGCCGCTGCCGAGCGGAGTGGCGTGGTATTACGTGGTGAGCGGCGTGAAAGGACGGACACCTTCATGCCAGACGGAAAAACGCTTTCCACATTCTCCTCTCCTTTCCCGAAGTCCAACTTCTTCACTGGACTATCGGGTCCTTGCAGGAGCAATTCATGAAAGCGTGAGGGCGAAAATCTACCGCTTTTGTTCGAAGAGAAGGGCGAACGGAACGTCGGTGAAACGAGCGACTCTTCGCAAAGAATTCGGCGTTTTACGGGACTACAAGAGCTTGGCACTGCTGGAGAACGAGGTCGCTTGTTGGAGCGAGTAGTGCGTTTGGATGGGGTGACGGTTAGGTTTGAGTCTGGAGGTACTAGAAATTGCTCCAGAGGCAACTCCTGCAGGGCTGCACGAGATGAAGCAGACAACATCCTATTAAGAAACAATGAAAGACAAGAAGGTGTAAGATGGTACGGGCTAGAGATGCTGACTAGAAATATGCGAAGATGAGTAGATTTTCTGAACTGTGTGGTATGAAGCAAACCATGGATATCGATGCTTGCCGAAGGGCTCGGACTCGACAGTCACTTGTCACATTCCTGTCACGATATGTCACTGTGACACTGACTTCCCTGTGACTTTCACTGCCATCCAACTTTACCTCCTAGTTCAGCTTTTGTCTCAGCGGATGTTTGTGAAAGAACTCCAAAGAGGCACTGGTCTAGACTATTGCGTACTGATAAATATTCTCTGAATAGGTTGCCTCCTCGTGTACGCGAATTGCTTCGTGCCACCTAGAATCCATGGGCCTATAAAGGATGATGCCTGACCCAGACCTACGTGAGTAACACTATTGTTCTATTCATGATGTCCGTGGCCATTAAAATGCATGGAGAATGAACGCATCTAGATTCATTTTGGGTCTCGACCTGAATAAGTGCACCTCTCGCAACATTGTTTCGTGAGAGAACCAATGGCTTGGCTTTCTCCTCGGTCTCCTCGAGTATTGGTTCATGACTTCTCAAATTTATCCCCGTTCTACGCTGCTCTTGAGTCTGGATGTCGCTGTAGTTTTTGCGCCTTCCATACGGGAGTTTCTGGGCCGGCACGTATCAGGATGATGCCATTCTAGCCGTAAGCCTTGACCGTCCCGCACAATCTCCCTAGCTTGCCTTTGCGGCTTTTCCCATTTGCATCGAATATCTAGTTAACACTGACGTTCTAGCCCTCATCCCACTTCATGAGATGTGGCCCATGGTTCCTTCAAGCATAGAGTTTCCTATTGATCGACCACTTTGCGTTGGTTTCCGGCAATGATTCTTCTACGTTCCAATGCCAGGACCCATGATTTGGTTTGCTTTTATGTGATGCTGTAGGAACTGTTGTTGTCTACTCTTTCATCCAACCATTGTCGATGTTGCAGTGCGAAATCGACGTTATCAGCATAAATGACAATGTTTTTCAAAAAAAAAACCCCCCCAACACAAGTATAATAGGTACTCAATTCATCATACATACGGCATAACTACCTATAAAGTTCGTACTATGGCATCGACATATTTCAAAGCACAATGAAGAGGGCGGCGGGATTAGAAGAACACTACAAGAACAAATGAAAGAACTATTGTACATGGACGGAACTGCCCAGGAATGGATACGATCAAATGAGTTCTGCTGCGTTGACCGGCATTTCGTCCTAAAAAGTGATCTTGTTAGTTGATATACTCTATGTGAACGAGATGAGGTAGACTGACAATTTGTGTACCGTAGAATTGTTCTAATACAGAGTAAAAAAAGAGTATCAATCGTGTTCTTGCACATGAATAAATGAAGGCTCCAGCTTACCAATATCCCGGAGGATTCGAACATCATCCACGGTGACGAACTAGAAAGTGAGAAGGTGGAGTTAGCACAGGCAAGGATTACCTGATGACAGTCAAACTTACATTGATAGCGACACCCTTGCGACCGAAACGGCCAGAACGACCAATACGGTGGATGTAATTCTCACGGTTCCTAAGCTTCAGGTCAGCACCCCAACATTGAGAAGAAGTGTCCGTCGATAGTTGACTTACGCGGGAAGATCGTAATTAATCACGAGCGATACCTGTTGGACGTCGATACCGCGAGCCCAAACATCGGTGGTAATGAGAACTCGACTAAAGCGGACAATGAGTTCATAAATCGGAGGCAAATGACTAATGAGGAGAGTACTCACGAAGTACCACTACGGAACTCAGCCATGATCGCATCACGCTCCTTTTGAACCATCTCGCCATGCATGGAAGAGACAGTGAAGTTTGCTGCTCGCATCTTTTCCGTCAACCAATCCACCTAAAATGAAAAACGACGGTGAGATGAGGCTGCAATAGGTATTGACCAGAAAGCGCACCTTTCGTCTTGTGTTGCAGAAGATAACAGCTTGGGTTATTGTCAACGTGTCGTACAGATCGCAGAGCGTGTCGAACTTCCAGTCCTCCTTCTCCACGGCTACGAAAAACTGCTTGATACCCTCCAGCGTCAACTCATCACGTCGGACAAGGATACGGATAGGGTCGGTCATGAATTTTGTCGTCATCTCCAGGACATCGTATGGTAGGGTTGCACTAAGCAGCACTACTTGTGTTGCAGGGGGGAGGTAGCGGTAGACGTCGTAGATTTGGTCCTTGAAACCCTTGTTCAACAGCTCATCGGCCTCGTCCAGTACAAGCATCTTGATGTTCCGAGTTCGCAGACTGCGCCGCCTAATCATGTCAAAGACACGTCCAGGAGTGCCGGATACGACGTGTTGACCATATTCTAGTTTTCGGATGTCCTCGCCAATTGACGTACCGCCAATGCAAGCATGACATTGCACGTTCATGTAGTCGCCAAGCGCAAGAACAACAGATTGGATCTGTGTAGCCAACTCGCGAGTGGGTGAGAGCACGAGGGCTTGAGTTTCGCGGACTGTTACGTCAATAGACTGGAGGATGGAAATGGCGAATGTCGCAGTTTTTCCGGTTCCAGACTGTGCTTGTGCAATGACATCCCTGCCCTGGGTTATAGGTAGAATGGCACGCTGCTGGATGGCGGAAGGCTTTTCAAAGTCTGCAACAAGCTGTTTAGCTTACGAAAGAACACGAGGGATAGGTATACGCACTGTAAGCATAGATGCCGCGTAACAAATCCTCCTTCAACCCAAGGTCATCAAACGTCGATACAACTGGTACCGCCTCAGATGATTCGAATATGAGTTTCTATCGCATGGACCGAGTCAGTACTCTCTACAACATTAAAATGCGTGAAATGAAGGTTCACCTCGTCTCCAGGGTTAATTCCAGCCATGTTGAGTAAGGTGGTAGGAGGTAAAGGTGTAATACGTCGGACTTTGAAATTCTTCCCTTTTGGTCACTGCTTAGACGCGACACTCAGCACAAGCAACTCTCTCTTGAACTCTCTCGATCCCTCCGGCTTTTTCGACAAAATGGACTCTGTTATCGAGGTACAACGACAAACTCACGAGGAAATTGAACACTTTGAGCGCGCTCTTTATAGTGTACTCTCCAAGCCTCAACCTACACATGAAAGTCGCCTTCAGACCGAACACAAAGCGGCTCAAATACTAGACCGGATATCTTCTCGCGTAGTGGCATTGAATAACCTTTATCAAGACGAGTCCACACGGAAAGCGGAGATAGAGGCTATCTCTGCTGCAGATCCTGGCAACTTGACTGAGTTCTATTCACGGCTGGGCAAGATACAGGAACACTATGCCAAGTATCCGGAGTCGGTGAATTTGGGCTTCGAACACGAGCTGACCGCATTTATGGACGAGTCTGTACCTCAGGAAGGGGAAGAGCAGTATGAGGAGGATGATCGTACGTTTCTTCACAGTAATATCTTGTGGCGATTAGGCTCAAAATAGTGTCTTTGCAGCCATTGCTCTACTATTCTCTGGCGAAGAACAATATGGCAAATATCTTGACTTGTACGCCAACCATAATACCTATAACAATCTCAAGAACATCGGCAAGCGTCTGGGTTATTTGCAGTATCTCGACGTTCTCCTCGCCGCTCAGTCTACAACAGTTCACTCAGAGCTGCCTAAGGAGTGTCGACTACAACGGGATTATGAACTGTAAGCACCACTTTTCGAATCCGCGCTATGGGCTTCTGACTCTTATAACTACAGGTACATCACGGCATTGCACGCGTATCTCATGTCATTCACAAGGCGTGCTCAGCCACTTGTGGACGTTGAATCACAGCAACGAGAAGCTGAGACCATCTTCAGCAAACAATGGGAAGCGGGCGAGATCGAGGGATGGAATGATATAAAGCAGGAGAAACCCACTGAAAACGGAGAGAGCATCTGGTGTGCTGCATGTAAGTAGTCTTCTACATATTCAAGGGACTCTATTCATCGTTCTTTTGCAAAACAGGTCAAAAGGCATATTCGAAACAGACGGTATATGATGCCCATTTGTCGTCAAAAAAGCACATCAAGGCAACTGCGAAACAAGCAAGCTCAGACCAGCCTCCTTCAAACCCGAATGGGCCTTCACCTCATACACCCGTTGAAAATGGCCACCCACAGCAACCAGCAAAGAACAAACACCGCACAGCCGCCCTCTTAACACACCTTACCACCAAACTGCTTGCATCGTTAGCACCTGTTATTAACGAGACAAAGTCCAACGTGGAGCGTCGCTTTTCACTAACGGCTCGTGAACGTGAGCAGGAATTGTTGGAACAGTCGAAGCCGAAAGTTGCTCCCGCTCCCACCAACGCTTCCGGAGAGGGAGCAGAAGAGGAGGAAGAGGAAGAACGAATATACAATCCTCTCAAATTGCCACTCGGTTGGGATGGCAAGCCAATTCCTTACTGGCTGTATAAGCTACATGGGCTAGGTGTCGAGTATCGTTGCGAGATTTGCTCAGACCATGTATACATGGGCAGGTAAGTCCTTCAATTTTACTGAGCATGCCGCAATCTAAATGCAGTTTATGGTAGGAAAAACTTCGACCGACATTTCCAAGAATCACGGCATGCATTCGGTATGCGTGCACTTGGCCTTCCGAACACGAAGCATTTCCATGAGATCACTAGGATTGAAGACGCCCTTGCTCGTACGTTTCTATTCTCTGTTTATCACAGTGGTATATGCTAATGTCCGCATCTAGTCGCTGAGAAGCTGAAGCGTGAAGGTCGTAATGAGATCTTCGAACAAGAGACCATGGAGGAGCTGGAGGACGAAGAGGGTAACGTTTACAACCGGAAGACATACGAAGACCTGAAGAAACAGGGTCTCATCTAGTTGTACTGTATCCTTGGTCTACTGCTGTATTCTTATCCTTACTTTTCTTGGCCTCTACATCCGATATATAATGTATGGTCCTTATCCTGGAGGAGAATCTTTTGTTGAAGGTTTCCTGGTGCGAGGCGGCGGTGGAGGAGGAGGAGGTCGTCTTACCGCCTGTAGTGGTTGAGGCGCAATAGGAGCCTGCAACGTTAATGCTTGGTAGAGCTCTTCCTCTGACGAAGAGGGAGAAGAGGAAATTGGTGAATCGGTTGGTGAATCGAATGGGTTATATGGTGGGCTCTTGCTTGAGATATACGGCAGCTTCTCTGGGGGAATAACTCCATTTGGGTGATCTGCAAATTGTAAGTGAATATCTGGATATATGAGGAGCACGCCATTACATACCAGGAATATCCCACCATGCAGCATCGTCCGAGCTTGGAGGTGGCACTATATTGATTTCAACATGAGTACGGCTCGACATTTGTAAGTGGATGTCTTACAGTCCTTCGATCCACTGGAGAACGTGAGAGACGCGAGCTTTTCATCCAACTTCTCTCCGGGTCCGGTAGACGTGACATTGTCGAACAACATACGAGAAAGTGCAAATCGTGTTGCATGATCAATAACACGGACTGTTGCTCTGAAAAGTGCAAACACTAGCGAAAAGACGGTGAGTAAAATACCATACCCAGTGCTGAATTTCGTACCTGGCTTGTGGTCTGAACTCTTCAATTCCGCTCGGGAGTAAACGGAAAGATCTAAATCAGCGCCCTTGTACAATATACGATCTATGCATACATGGAGCATTCATCAACGACAGTCTCATCAAAAATCCAGGCAACGTACCAGTCCAAGCAGGAATGCGAAACTTCTCTCCAGTGTCGTAACGATCAGTACCAAGGTCATATTTATATGTTGGACGGAAGAGCAATGGTCCTTCAGAGTACCCCGTGAACGCATCACCGTCATCCATTGCTTGTCGAAGCTGAGACTCGTCAGTTATATCGTATGAATGCATCACATTTACACATACTTGATCTGCAGCCAACAATGCATCATAATCATCGGATTGTGCCAGAGCCCGAACTCGTTCATTCTCCAGTTCGATACGATAATTGGTATCCGCAAGCCAAATGATATTCCTAGCGCATTCATTAGCTGGTCAACCAATGTGTGGAAGCTTGGGAAGTCATACTGATGGCTGTCTATTGTCTTGCCTCTAAGAAAATGCAAACCACTGGCGATGGTACGATAGTCTATGTTCCTCTCTTCTATGTTCGAATGCCCCGCGGCAAGGTGTGCCGTGACAAAACAGAAGTTTGTGTCATGATAGTCTAACCGGATACCGACTGCGCCTTTATTGCCTGCCATGCCTCGCAAACCTGTCTAGAAGGGGATTCTAGGTGAATTTACGTAAAATGAGGAAAAAGAAGACTGCAAACCTTGTGAGAAGCAGCTTCGACATTCCGTATGACAGCAGTCAGCTCTTTGCGCACAAAGACCAAAAGAGCGGTGCCGACAAGCTAAGTGGGACAAAGAGTCAGGTACTAATAACTTATACTAAAATGATTCATACTTGATGGCTTCGGAGCAAAATATACTCCGCCGACTTGTTGGGGCGTTGCGCCAAGGTATTGAGAATTTTGGTCTCCCACATACGCCTAATCATATGAATATTACGGACATCCATGATATAGACCGAACCTACTTTTTCTCTGCATCTGTTTGCACAATTTGTTGTGCACTGAGAGGAACAATCTCCTGGAATCCTAGAGCGATGATATCTGGACTGAGAACAGAGGAAGGCACGCTTTAATGGCGAACATAGAGTACTAATGGGAAACGTACTCTTGAACACCTGTCATGCGACCAGCGTAAGGATTTACCTGAAAGTTAATATTATGATACGTACTGGAACGAGGGAAGAGCCAAGGTAGTAGGAATTCCGAACTTGGTGGCTGCAAAAATATTATTCATAAGGCGAAAATGGGCAAAATTTACCCCACTCACGCGACCGTTCAGATTCCAGGTTCCAACGAAGATGGTACAATGCTTTGTTGTCGAATACTCGTGTAGACTGTGGACGTGTCAGATATAATCGTCCCCTAAAAAAACAAAAAGAAAACAATAACATACCGCTTGTTCAACGCTTCATTCACCAAATCATGAAGAGGATCGAAGATCGTGACCTGTCTTTGCGTGCTCAGATTGCCCTTGATAAGAACTTAGTATCGAAAAACACGAAGGCTAGGATAGTGCCTACCAAAAACATATCGATGGCGATTTGCTTCCCCCTGTCCTGGAAGTTATTGATGTATGCACGAGAAACGCTCTTCGTCGCGTCAGACAACACCCCTTTACCAACATGAATATCAGAATGTCGATTAAGGGTTCGAAGGAAAATACCTGCTAATGTCCGCTTTCCGCTTCGAGTAAAGCTGGTATTAAGAGCCCCAGTTCCTGCATATATGCGGGACAATGCATCACCGTTCTCAGCCCATAGTTCCCGATGGTATGACCAAAGCGTGCCCTGATGAAGCCACTCCTTTCGAATGAGCATTAGGAACTGCTCCAAGGTTGTACGCGACAAGATATCCTGAACGAAATTTGTGCGGTCCAAGCTACAAAAGTATGTTAGCTTGCATTCATGCAGGATAAACTTTGGACCAACCAGTCCAGACAATTTGTCCTGAAGACGCCTTTCTGCAGAGTGATGATTTCATTCGAAGTAGCGTCTGCCATAGTGAAGCCAAACTTGTCCACGTTGTCCGTGATGTTCTCTTGTCTCCTGTGATGGAAATAATGAGCGTTAGCTATAAGTACGTGTTCAGCAGTGGCGAGGCGCAAACCTCAAAGCTTGGATGACGCCTTCATGCCCATATAACTTTACAGCGTTATGGAAGTCGAAGTGAGTGATGCTGACGTTGTGCTCAAAAAGGTCCGGTGCGTTCCTGAGCGACCGGTCGTATGCCATCGTTAAGATAGTCTCGTTCTCTTTGGACCCAAGCAGGTTGATAGCGTGCACGTATCCATATTCTTCGGTGAGCTGAGCAAAATGTCGCTCGAAAGCAGGTTGTGAAGCCTGTGGACGAGTGATTTGTATCCGCTGGCCAAACGTTTGTAGTCCCTGTTGCTCCCAGAACACTAGCAAACGCCGCGCACGAATGAGTAGAATAGATGATATCGGTCATTGTATACGCACAAGGAACACTCCCTCTCACTTGAACACAGCTGAAGCAGTTCTGATCGGTGCTGAATATCGTTTCCGTCTGATTCGACGGTCAGATGGGTCAAAGGTGTGATATTCTACTTGAGTACGCACTTCAACGAAGTTTGCACAATTACCATCATCATCAACGCCGCGTGTATTGAATCGAGTACCTGCGCGCTTCCAACCCAACCGTGATATCAACGAAATAGTAGCGACGGTAGGTGACCCATGAGTCGGCGGTGCCGGCAACGCCAGTGTGAATACGCCAACGTAGCCTTGTATAGCAAGTACCTATCCCGGCGTTATTGATATTGCTTGTACAAACGTTGTAGCCGCAATGTGATGACTCACAATGAACTGACAGCGGTCGAGTTCTTCTCGCTCATGTGCATCCAGACGATCCCGGAAGTCAAGCAAGCTTCGTACGATATACTCATTCCATACGAATCGTTCGTCATATGTACCTAAATCTTTCGCCGTTTGCTCGTCCCGCTCGAGACGACGAGAGAGCCGGGAAGAAAGATCCCAGTACGGTGCTAGTGCGTAGTAGAACGTCCCAGCGGAGACAATCTTGGAAAGTGGACTACACGGATGTTCGACCAAGGACGTGGCTGAAGAATTTGGCTGCGAATATGCATCTCTTAAAATCGCATCGGTTTGATCGGGAAAGCTAGCACTGGGGAGTGCATCATATGCACTAGAGAAGTCATCCCATGTGCTCGAGGTCAGACTGTAGAATGCAACTTCATGGATTTTTGCGACAGATTCAGGTTGTGGACTAGATGGTCGTGTATTGCCGATATCTGTCGCAGAGACAATAACAGCTAAGAACATCTCTAATGACGGCCAGGGTCAACTGAACGCAAAACTTCCACAAAACGAAGCACTGCGCACCTTCATCAACTGAAATGAGACCTAAACATCCCTTAATCATGCGGTTTGTGACCTTTAGTGTACCGGAAAGATCGACCTGATCTTTCCGAAGGAATTCAACTACGGCTTGTGATGATTTGCCTTCTGCGGCACGAAAGACTAGTGCTCGCCGTGGATGACCATGGCGTTCATCGTGTGAGCTTGTCGCTAGGTATAGTGTCCGGGGATTTTGGCTGAGATACAAATGCATTCTGGTCCTTAGCGGAGCAGTTCACATACACCAAGATGGTGTTGAAGTGGGAGCTTGAGCCTGAGGTCAGTTATATGGTATCCGTGCCGGAAGTTTGTCACTGAAATGAGGCTTCGGGTGTGAACAACCACTCGTTGGCGGCGATGCCTGACTTCAGCAGCTTGAAGACACACGATACGTCATGTATCTTTTGGTAATGCAGTCGGTTGTGAGGTAAAAAGTCAAAGAGCAAGTGAATGTTACCTTTCAGGATGGCCCTTCGTTCAACTCCGCACCGACCGATCATCATGCATCAAAGCTAAATTAGGGAACTGCAGAATTAAGACCTCTGTACAACAAGTTCTTGCGAAAATGGAAAGCGAAAGCCGCAGCATGCAATGCATGCGCAGTTGCGGTAGTAGCTACATACAGTCATGATGTGAGTAATAAATACTGTCCCTACGAGTCTTCGTCAAGCCGGAAGCCAGAACTAGACCCTGAACTTGCCGCCCTCCTCATCTCTAATCGTCCATCTACCGTAGATCTTCTTAGAGGAATTCCTGGAGCACTGACCCGTCTTGGAGGCGACCCCAGAACAAAGGGGGACAATGCTTCAGGTGATTGCATACCGTCTCTAGAATTTGGACTCAGATATCCAGAGTATGGAGGAGCTGGAGAGTCTCCTGAAGGCCGACGCCTTGGAGAACCTATGGGTGGATGCAGACTCGCAGCCGAGGGGGTACGACGTAGTGGATTGGGTGATGGTAATGGGGATGATGGTCGTATATTCGGGGACGGCGGTGCAATAATTCCTTGCGTCGAGTCTCGTCTGCGTATTGAACGAAGTCGTGGTATGGAATCGAGTGACAATGCATCGTAAAAAGATTTGAATAAAGAGCCTTTGGGCTTTTGAATCATTGGAGTTGAGACTTTTGTTGGCGTGCTCGGAACATCCGTACTCCCTGTTCATTGAAGGTCAATATAATTATTACTTCGTCGAAGATGGGGGACTGACCAAGGTTCATAGGTAGTGCATTGTCATTTGCACTCAGGCTGAGGAACAGAAATAACGGTGCAAGCCACACACATACACCGAAGAACGTCGCAATATCTGCAAAGCCTGGAACATTGTTTGCTTGCGGTCCGCGGTAGACACTTCTGGATCTTTGCCGAGCTTCCTGAGTGACATGGGCAAAATGAAAAAACCACATGAAATGGTCGATCACCACAACAAAGCACGATGCAATGAAACTCCAAGACGATAGTGAGATGAATGGCCAGCGTGCAGTGAAATTCCGCAGGTATATCAAGTGGCACACGATCGAGAACAGGACGTGCCAGAAGGGCAATGAGTCGAAAAAGTACAACACTATATGAAGGATTATGATGGCCTGTATCATGTCAGAACTTCTAAATCGTGAAATCGAGCTCATGAACGCACATATATGCCCCTTTGACCGACCAATTTTGCAGTCCGTGAGTGTTCCTCAATCAATTCTGATAGCCAAAGCAAGCCACTTGCTACCGGGTGGGGTTAGCAGGTGATATGTTTCACAAAACATCGTAGACAGACATACCAAGGGACAGTGTCACGAATATGAATGCGGCTGCTGCACCGACATAGCTACACCAAGACGTCAGAGGATTTCAGATGCGCGCATTTATGCGCTCACCTGAGATAGTGTAATAGCGACATTATAGGAAGGAAGATTGGTCAAAAGTTCAGCTACCAGAGCATATATGACGAAAGTGGCCGTCGTAATCGAAATACTGGGTTTCGGTGTCGTGGGCCGCCTGAGAAGTGCAGCTGTCACCGGCGCTAACGAAATATTGAATGTATGAATGGAGCGCTTATCGACTGGTACTGTACAAGCACCGCTTTCGACTGTTCCACCATCTCTCGCTTACCCTCTGGCCATCCTCCAAAGACCCAATTCTACGATGAGCAATTTAGAAAGTGAGTGTTTCGTCCTATACTTGCATGTTGACCTAATTCACGTGCAGAGACTCTGTTTCAACTGAAGGCGAGTGATATCACATGTAGTGGCCACTTTCAAGGCGGGATTTGACATTGGCACGTAATAGTTCACGGCAAAGACTCTCAGTCGTCAAGCTAAGAAAGCACAGAAAGACGAGAATGCCGAGAAATCACGCCTGAAGAAGGTAAGTGTTGTGCTATGAAACATTGCCCTCTCAGTTTCATGACCGTCATATAGGCACTTCAGCAGGGTAACACCGATGGCGCAAGGATATATGCTGCGAATTCTATCAGGAAGAAGAGCGAGGCTCTGAATCTGTTACGCCTCTCGAGCCGTGTCGATGCCGTCGCTAGTCGAGTCGAGACTGCTGTTACGATGCGACAAGTTACGGGGAGCATGACTTCGGTAGTCAAAGGAATGGATAAGGCCATGGAGAATATGAACTTGGAGAGGGTGTGTCTGAATTTTTCAAATGGCCATATGTCAGTGCTGAACAAGATGGCAGATATCGCTTGTAATGGACAAATTCGAGTCACAATTCTCCGATCTCGACGTGCAGACGTCGTACATGGAGGAGACGATGTCTAACACGACCGCAGTGTCAACACCACAAGACGAGGTGGACGCACTCATGAAGCGAACTGCAGAGGAGGCGAACATAGAACTGGAGCATGATCTGGCGGCCAAAGATCTTGCCCGTGTTCCAGACCTTACTCAGAAGGAGAAGGTTGGTGAAGAAGATGACAAGTTGGCTGCACGTCTAAGGGCCTTGAGGCCGGCAACTTGAATGCACTCCTTTTTTCGCTGTACATGTAATGTCTTTTCTCGTTACGCTCTGTCTGGATGATGATGATATCACTGTAGATGTATTGATACAATAGGCCGGTCTTTCCATCGTTGGATTATATTGCTACTGTTTTGCTGCAACCCATGCTCATCGGTTCCATGACCTAGCCAGGGTATGTACCCCAGTTCACAGTTGGCGATTGCATTCCTCAAGGTCGGCTCTTCGGTGGCAATGTCTGCCACATGAATTAACTGAAGGTGTAAATTCGACATGCCATTTGACTGTCTTTTTGCCACAACTACTCATCCGAGTGCTTCCACGTCTTTCGCAAACCCGGGCATAGTAGAATCGCTTTCAGTTCAGGCGGGGGAACCGCGCATTATCTCACAGGGTATGGCGAATGTACTTCTAGAATCGCTTACGCCAGCGTTCCACAGTTTCAACTCCGACTTGACTCGTGTATATACAGTAGGTGTGTCCTCCGGTTTTCTCAGTCTAATAGTCTTCATTTGTGTCGACTGCACCGTTCCTGCACGTCATGTTGGTTCACAAGGACCTCGAATGCTGGATTACAGATGCACAGACTAATATCGTACCCGTGCGAGTTTGTGTGAGAAATGACGAGGACGATGAGTATGTGATTCGTGCATCTGTGGATATTGCTGAGAACAAGGTACGATCCACTCTATTCAGTCGGGCTGAAATCAGAGTACAGTGATTCTCCTGACTCTTATAATGAAGCCCTACATCGTATACTGGAAAAACATTGCGGAGACCCCATTGTCTGCATGGTGCGAGGTTAACATTACCGATCCTAGGTCCAATGGAAGATCAAGGCGAGGGGCGGCCTGCGAAATGGACGCTACAAGGGTCACAACTCAAGTGAGAAGCAGTGTCGGTTGGGTAGATGAAGGAAACACTCTGAAAACGGGAAAAGCTGACCAGAATGGTAACTTTCCTTTCCTTGCTATCCTGGGAATCAGCTCATCGCGTCCTCCTCGTTACGAATAGATTCTCTTGGTCGGGTCTCTCTTGAAGTCCGTCGCGTGGCCGGCGAAATTCAGGTCAATTGCCTTGAAGAAATGGATATAAACGAAATATTCTTCGATTTTCTGGACGATCCAGGAGAGGGGATGCCCCCTTACGTCGTTTTCGTCTTCGAGCTTAGGAAGATTTCTCGACGCAAGCCGCAGGCAGGCCAGCCTAGTCGTGGAGTTCCTGAACCAATGAAGCGTAAAAGAGTATACACCGGTAAGCAACTTCTCATGCACAAGCAACGATGGATGTACACCCCAAACCAAACCAAGATACTCCTCCGTCCGGCCGATTACTGCGCTCTCGGAGAAAACAAACGCCACTGCGACGTCCCGAGAGATCGGACAGTGACGATTCAAGCTCCCGTCAAGATTCCCAGCCATTGGATATAGAAACTTTGCTTGCTGAGAATGCAAGATTGGAGGTTCGTTCAAGTCTAGTCTCTTTGAGTTAAGAAAAGCCACCACCATAATCACCGGTGTTTCACACTCAATAGGACGATCTCCAAAATCTTGCGCAGGAGGAACGAGACCTGCGCCTTGTGCTTGAAAAGCGAAACCAGGAGCTGAAGGTACGGTGTTGTACCTGTTGGTTTGGGACACAGCAACTCATTGCATACATCTGTGTAGGAACGGAAGCGTGCCAAAGTGGCATTTTTGTCTGTGATGAGACAACGTATACCAACTGGCCCCTCATCAGGGCCATCTTCCGGTTCGACTTCTAGCCACGTTCGATAGAAGGGCGTGAGCAGCCTTGAGGAAACTACGTTCTACGGGATGCCGTCACTGATTATGCACATCATTTCGACTAGTGCGATATGGCTTGCTTATGTAGCAGAGGTCACTGTACGCAGGGGTGGTTTGGCTTCCAAAAAATAGCGACATTTTGGCTCGCCAAGTGAAGGAGACTGGTGCTCGCTGGGCGAATCATGGTTTGTACTGTGCCTCTGCTCCTTCAGCGCGATGTGGAGCGACTGTCATTTTTGAAATCCGAAGATCTGATTATTGACATTCACTTCTTGGCTCACATGGTGAAGGCATGCTCCGCACTTTAGTGTGGGTTTTAGTCGCCTCCAATTCAGCGAAACTAATACAAATTTGAATGACTCCGAGTCCAAGGTCCACTCCCTACCCTTGACCCACGTACACATACTTTCCTTCTGCCATGTTACAAAAACACATAAACTGCTGGCTTACTACCAAGGATGGGGACGCCATTGTGGAAGAGAGCCCTCGGAACGACCAAGGGAATACGATGGTTGTAGATGTCCGTATGGACGAGGAACAGGTGGGCCTTAAGCAACTGTTCGTTTCAGTGGTTTGCTCATTTCGTGAATAAGGCGTACATTGTACACTGGAAATATGTCGGCGAGGTACCTCTCTCAGCGCGGTGTGAGGTCTATGCTAGGCATGCCCATGGTTCGACCCGACTTCTTGGAGTGCGCCATCTCGATGCTTCGCGCCCAGAGACTCAAGAAGGAGATAGCAGCGGCATTTTCTACCGAGGGGAGATGTTAAGGACAACGAATGCCGACCAACGCAGTGGTCAGTTTGTCCATCACTTGTTGCCAATGTACACCGTTGATTGATATCTTGGGCCTTAAGGGGTCCTTGGTGCGATAATCATAGTGTTTTACCGTACCACAGGTGAGAAGCACATAACGCGCTTGGGTAAAAAGAAATGGGCATTAACCTAGAGATTGCTTTAAGAAAACTCAGATAACACCGATGATATCTATGCCAAGTTCTTGTTCTCCCTCAGGAAGGCTGGCTTTCAGCGTCACCACATATTGGCGAGAGTGCACAATCCAGTAACTGCACGGAAGAGGAAGGCCACTGAGAGTTGTAAGTAATCTGTTTGACTCGATACCATTCAGCAGCTAATGCACGCAGATTCAAACATGTCTCAATCCAATGAGTTATTCTTTCCCAAGCGAAGCCGGGTTGCGACCCGACGATACGAACCTGAGAGGAATAACGTGTCAGGATCTCAAAGTTCTCGCGTGCATAGTCATCGAAACGACCATACGCTTCTGGATCTGGACTCAGAGGCACTTTCGGAGGGTGCATCCGCCCTGGATGAATTAATTGACAATCATAATAGACTGCAGGTAATTAAGTCTGACTTGAAATGCTCTCTCCCCTCATCGTGACGCTGTTTTGAAATCCAACAGAATGAACGCAGAATCATCGAGAAAGAAGAGCATCGTATGCAAATGCAGCTGCAGAAGCAGAACGAAGAACTTAAGGTACAATATTCAAGTCAGTTGTATGTAATGCGAGCTTCCAACTGTTTCGTTGGCAGGAGCAAAATCAAGCGAGGCTAGCTCGTCTGCTTGCATTGAAGAAGCAAGTAGCAAATGGTCCACCAAGTGCAGCCCATTACACTGGAGCTGGCTCTAGTCGCGATCGTTTACGATAAGTCCGGGATGCAGAATGAAGTCAAAGTGTCTTATGTTCAAGCAGTTACAAAGATTGTACAATCAGGTTTCTTGGGATGACAAGCAGTATTATACCGGTATAGAGTGTAGGAATGTGAGGATATGAAAGACGCAAAGAGGGTACAGGGTGAGTGAGAGATCCAAGATGAACTACAAGAAATTCCAAACAGTCCAAGAATACAAGAGTTAGAAATAAAGAATGTGAGTAAGGTGAACATGAGATTGAATGCAAAAGATGTAAGATATGAGTGGGTGCATTAGAACACTACAGTAAATCGGCATGAAGATGACGATAGATGAAGGACGATCAACAACGGAAACATACTAGATGAAACATAAAACAGTAATGCGACGTCAGAAGTCACTGAGTTTCGCGTACGAACCGTACGAACTTATCCATCAGCAGCTGTTTATTCCTCTCGTCCAGGGTATTCGCTTCATCCAGCAAGCGGTGTGCATGGTATATCAATCCATAGGGACCTTCCAGTGGTATTGCATGAGCGTCGAAGCGGTGGACAACTGGTCGATCATAAACATCAGCGATGACGTTCGAGAACTATAATAGAACAGAACGTGCTCACACATCTTGAATATGGAATATGCAGCATCTCCAAGTGCGTCCTTAAATGCATGCGCAACCTCCGATCCAATAGGCTCTGCTCTGGACCCAACTCCAAACTCATGGCGAGCATCCTGATCAACCCATGTACCTCTATACCTTGCTCTTGCTTTGCTCGTACTCGCGCTCACCCCCACATGACTCCTCGGCAACATCGCCTCTTCCCTCACTCTCGATGGCGCCCACGAAAGGCCCAAGCCTAGATCAAGGGAACGGCCTTTAGTTGAAGGACGTTGCGGTAGGGCTTTAGTTGGAGTTGGAGGGTTGCTAAGATTGGATGGACCAGGTCCTCCACGGGCAGCAGATTTCCGCTCATCTGAAGCAGGTGAACCCGGGATCATAGGCACGGCAGGCTCAAATTTGAATGCACCATGCGAACTACGAAGAATCTGTTTTCCTCCGCTCTTGCCCCAGCTAGACGAATGGCCTGATTGAGATGACGTTGGTGATGCTGGATCTGCGTCCGATGGAGTGAAGTGTATCCGAGGACCGGGAGCAGAATGCGAAGCATGAGAGGATCCACCACCAGAATCATTTGTTCCTCGTCTACTAGGTTTAGATGAGGAAGTTGTATGTACATCCAACTGTGGTTTCTTCGTTCTCCCTAAAGAATCGGGTGCAGGTCTGGGCTTAGCCCCAGCGCCACCTGATGAGGATTTGGCATGACCATTCCCGTAACCTGAAGGTGATCGTGGGGTTGCTTTCAGACTGGTGCTTCTCATCATTGGTATCGCGCTAGGTGCACGAGTTTCAGCACCAATCCCCATACCCCTCAGCGCTGTCTTCACACTGAAGTTACCGTCCACCTTAGGGGAAGAAATAGGTCTTTCGAAGTCGAAGCTTCCATGCTTGGTACGTTTCACCTTTGAGACTGAAATTGCATTCGCCGCTACTGATTCTCGCCCGGAGCTTCTGCGACTATTCCCACTTCCACTGGCAACTTTCTCCATTGGAACGGTTCCGATCGCTGATCGAGATTCTCGCTCTCGTTCTCGAAGTATAGGCGAGCCTACTCGACGAGGAGCAGTGATCCTGTCTCTGTCCTTGTCTTTTGCAGTATCGCGACTTCCGTCGCGTTCCCGTCCTTTCGAAGCTCGTTCTCGTTCTCGTTCTTTTTCTTTACCCTTATTTCTGGCGCCAGGTGGTGTAAATCTAGGAGGTAAACATAGTGGCGAACATCGACCGCCGTAGTCACCGGAGTCCGGAGCATCAACGCCGTCTCGTGCGTATTCACCTCGAGGAAAAGGAGGCGAGTTCAAGATATGTACCATCGCAGATGGTCGGGGTTGGGGAGCCAAGAGATGTGTGGGGTTAGCATGGGTATATGATCGCTTTGGGGGTATTGCCGGTAAGTCCTTATCCTTTTGACGTGGTTTGATGGTCGTGTCAGTAGCAGTGGTGGTAGATGACAGCGGGCGGGACTGAGATCGTGTCGAGGGTTTCGACGTTGAGGTCGACGGCGATGGTTCTTCATCTTGCAGACCGGAATGTCGCGTATGCCGGCCAAAGGATCCCGTCTTTACAGGCAACACTGGCAAGTCAGTAACTGGCGGAACATCGAGTGATCGTGATCGTCGTTTCTTGGAACGCGATCGAGACCGCGAACGGCTCAAGAAATTCACGATCTACATAACCACAAGTTGAAAACACGTGAGGAATGCACGTCATTAGCTGTATGTCTTAGGTTGGAGCGCCATATAACATGCATTGAGACATACCCTACTTCCAAGGCTCCTACCCTGTCTCTCATTATTGACTATAGGATTGTCCATTGGGTCGATCACAGAATGTGTAGGATCTGGGCGGTAGCGCTTCGCATAATCCGAATGAACTGAGATATCTATTTCAGACACTTGAACCTAGAGAGGAAGCTCAGTATGGAAAGTGTTCAAGCAACCTATTCGGTTCCGATAAACATTCAAAGGGAAACGTACCTGGGAGGACAACCGAGACTTTGGGTGGCGAGACTTGCTACTAGCACGAAGGAGTGAAGGTAACTGGGTAGTGAAGAATGGTGAAACACGTGTTAGGCACGGAGGCAAGAAGTTAAGTGAGGGAGGCGTGCTGAGAACCTCACATCTTTGGTGAACCTCACACGGGCAGCGTCAATCAAACCCAAACTTCCTCCACGAGCATGCTTGGATGAATTGGAGCGTACAAGGCGTGCGGTACTGGCCCTTGGATGTTCAGAGAAGGAGACAGGCATGGAGAAGGATGTACTGAGAGACGACCGTGAAGCGGTCGACTGAACGCAGTCGGACATAATAAGCACGAGCTGGCCTGTTCGTGAAAGTTATATCTATGCATGCGGTAGCCTGGACGGAGCAGAACCGAATTGAGAAACCAGTGGAAACAAAGTGCAAAACAATTTCTCCTCGTCCAAGCACAAGTCAACCGGCGCGAAACCCTCGGATGTATTTCTTCTATGGGCGTCTACCGGCCTAGAACTTGAAGGCTTAAAAGCTTATGGGTTCGACTCCCCCGATGGGCAAAAGGTTGAGTCTAAATTTCATGGAACTGCTTCGTACAGTTTTGAACATTTGTTATGTGCCAAGAAGCAGTATTCTACCGCCGGATCTCCTGAGACGCGTTCCTCGGGCAAGGGACGCGTCGCTTTGCACGTGATATGCTGACTAATACGCGCGATCGACGCGTCGATTGCGCCTTCTGTCGCCATTTGGGCGCTTCCAAACTCCGTCCCACCCAAAACATTTGTCTATCGTCATGGGTAACATTCCGCATAACCTCGAGGTTCCGCTTCAACGTGGTTTCCTCCGCTCCCTCCCTCCTACGATTGTTTGGTTCTGGCTTTTATCTTAACTCACTTAGCATCATGAATGTCGCTCGACTGGCGCGGAGACCTGTGAAAGTAACGCAATCGTTCACAAAGCAAAGCATTCGATGTCGATCAAGTAGAGCAGCATCAACATGTCCCATGCCCAGTCAGAAAGCAGGTCCTTCATTTCCTTGTGTCGAAGCACACGCCGCACGGGAGTCTCGTATACTGGCTTCTTCAAGTAAATCTACTTTCGCACCTCGACCGCAGCCCACGGCTCCCCCAAACTCTGGTCCAGAGCCGCCATATGCACGTCCAAGCCCAAGCTCGTACAAAGTCTATCATCATAGTGAACCGCTGGCTCTAGTATATGCACCTTCACTACCTGAGTTCGACATTGCTTACGAAACGTGGGGAGAACTAACCCCGGCCAGAGACAATGTCATACTCTTGCATACAGGACTATCTGCCTCCTCGCATGCAGCGTCATCGGAATTAAATCCATCCGAAGGCTGGTGGGAAAAGTTCATTGGACCGGGAAGGGCACTCGACACGAACCAGTTCTTTATCATCTGCACCAACGTCCTTGGTGGATGCTACGGATCGACTGGACCGTCATCTATTGACCCTCTAACTGGCCAACCTTACGCAACGCGTTTCCCTGTGCTATCAATGTTTGACATGGTCCGGGCACAGTTTTGTCTTCTGGATCATCTCGGAATCGAGTCACTCTATGCCAGTGTCGGCTCGTCCATGGGTGCCATGCAAAGCTTAGCGGCTGCCTGGTTGTACCCTGAACGAGTAGGCAAGGTTGTAAGCATCAGCGGAACTGCTCGTAGCAGCCCCAGCGCGATCGCAATGCGGTACGCGCAACGATCCGGTGAGTTTCTCAAGAAGGCTTTGGGAGATAGCCTCCGAGTCAAAATGAACCGTATCTGACTCCCTTTACGTCATATATCCAGTTCTAATGGCAGACCCTAACTGGAACAACGGGTTCTACTATGACGGTCTTCCACCGCATACAGGAATGAAACTCGCACGACGTAAGCGTGGCTTCCACATTGCTCCTGTGCACATCTAATTCTATGGAACAGAGATTGCGACCATAACCTACCGGTCAGGGCCGGAATGGGATTTGCGCTTTGGTAGGAAGCTGCGAGCCGTACCTACCTCCGACTCTGTTGCATATTCTGATCCAAGCGGGCGTAAATTACCTCGCACCCCTGCGCTATGCCCTGATTTCCTCATTGAGACTTATCTCGACTACCAGGTAAGTGATTGGATTTCTGACCGGAGCTTCTTCTCATATTCAAGCATTTGGCAGGGCGAGCAGTTCTGTTTGAAATATGATGCCAATTCCCTCATTTATATATCAAAAGCCATGGACCTCTTTGATATGACCGCATCCTCACTCTCTTCCCTGTACCTCACACCTCCTCCACCTCGAAATTCACTTCCACCTCTTCCTCCTTCAGTCTCCTCGCATCCTCGATCCCCATCACACGCCGCGTACCATTCCCATCTATCACATTCGAAACACCACCCTCCACCTGCGAACCCACCTCCACACTTATCAGAATTGGCTGAAGGTCTGAGTCCATTGTCGAATACCCCAACATTGATATTAGGTGTACAGAGTGATATTCTGTTTCCAGTAGAACAGCAGCGAGAAGTTGCAGATGCATTGAGAATGGCCGGCAACCAGATGGTCAGCTATTATGAGCTCGGGGGCGTGTGGGGACATGATACATTCTTGTGAGTAGAACTTTCTACTCGGGAGAATCTCAGCACAGGTTCTAAACTAATATACACTTATCCAGACTGGACGTCCAGAACGTCGGCGGCGCTATCCGAGGTTTCCTCTCATGAAGGCATTGCAAATTCTTGCCTCTCAATTTAGGAGCGTGGTAAGTGTCGAGTTTATCAATTTATGTGTTAACATGTCACTAACCTGCGTCTTTTTTGGGAGGTTTTCTTAACTACTATAGTTGTACTCAGAGAAATACAATCCATAGGATTAGTGCCTGACGAAAATCTCTGGCAATCTCTCGCGCCCTGCTGTATGAATGCTCTAAAGCGTGAGATTTGATTACAAGCTTGGTTCAAATCATTCAACGATCCAAGCACAAACATTGTGTACGCATTGTAGGTGCACAACTTCATGAGACACGAAATACAACAACTTCCTTTTTAGGCTCGATCACGATCACGTGCATCAAGATCCTTTTGTATTTTCAGTCGAGCCCTGCAAATGTCAACGCCTGTATATGGTTGAACGGCGCGAATTAGTGAAGGTCGCTATGCTACATTGCCGTTCCCAGTGTACCTTTTTGTTTCCCTTGCGTTTGCGTAGGCCTTGGGCAGTCAGTCGCGGTGACGTGCTATCTGCTCTTGTGTTCATATGGTATGTGTTTCGTTGCTTGTACCGTTTACAAGGGTTGATACCGTTTCTAGGTATTCGCTTCAGTCTGTGCGGACATCTTGCGTATTGTCAGCGAGTGCGAGGAGGCAGGTGGGAAAGGAGAGAATGTGCTGTTCTCCCTGTGTCGTTTCTTTTCTACTCTTCCACCTCCTGAGCCTGTGCACTCCTCTCTCACGTCCTCTCCATTCTTTAAACTTCCAGCATCAGAAGACTTGCAACACTGCCCTAGCAACCTGTGCCTTCGCTTACTTTCTGGACAGCTGCTGTCCTCTTCATATACCCCATGCGAGGTTAGCCACCTCACGTTCCCGATCGCCTGTCTGTCTCTCCCTGGCTTGCCCTGCCTCATTCTTTTGTCTCTTGATCTTCGCGCTGAATCTCGCAAATGTGCGCCGTCAAATCGCCCGTCGGTCTGACCCGACTTGCCTTTCCTGACTCACCGAGCCTGTCATGCTCGTCGTGATCGCGAATGCGCGACATGTACCATTGGAAATGACAGGATGGAAGGCCCATGCTCGATGTGCAGGGTGCAGAACTTAGCTGTGAGGGTTGTGTTAAAATCACCCTTGACTCCAGAGTTGTCCCACCCCCAGCTCTCTCCCTCCCTTCATTCAGTGCTCATCCTCCCAAGCATGCCTACCCCCGACCTTCTTCGCGTTGAAGAGCACCCTCTCTTCGGCGTGATAGAACTGCAGCACTACATCTGCGAGCATCTAGACTCAGCGTCTCGTACCCGCCTTGCAGGTGTTGCTGGGGGTTTCGAGGATGTGTCGCTCACACAACTCTATCGGGAGCTCCGTGAACCCTGGGTCTTGCTCAGGTTCATATGCGTTGAGCCCGTCTTACGTGAGGTCGGTGAATGGGACGAGGAACGAGAGACGGGATTCGTGCGTATCGTTTCCCTTTGCATGATCACCGTGGACGAAGCTGACTATGTCGTGTAGAGCGTCATTGACGACGAGGCGTATCACAACCTTACCGATACGTTCGCCCGAATGGAGGCTTACGCCAGTCTCGTCCGCAACGTTGTTTTCGACGAGGGTGCCATCGGTTGTTTGCAATGCACCGTCATGGCGTTCAAAAAGTACACCTCCCTCCGCAACACCGCCTTGCTGCCCAAGGTGTTGACCGCAGAGGTCACCTGTACATCTGATGCAGGGCTAGGACTCTTGTCCTGTCTGTCCGACGACGTTGAGCTGCGTTTGGTTTATGGGCCCAGCGTTAGCCAGGATGCCATTGATCAAGCCGCTCATCGGTTCAAGCGCGCCACCTTTGCTGGACAGTAATTTGTTTAGCAATGTTACCTTCCCCCTTCTCTCTCTTTCCTCGCTCTTTCATTACTTACTCTCGCTCTTCGTACAATGGACTCTGATCACCCCGACTACATACCCCGTTAGGTTTCTGTCCTGAACTTTCTGATTTTATCCCATCTCTGATCTCATCACATATCCATCGGTGCCTGCGTTTCATTTTCAGTCTGTCATCCCGAGCCTTGGTTGTTAGCATTTCATTATATCACGTTTAATAATTTGTATCGATAGCTGTATAGAATGTCATGATTCCTGAACCCCATTCCTTCTCCCCTCCGTCTCGCATTGTTTATCTCTTCAAGCAAGACATGGGCTAAGTAATCTCAATGCCATGATGGCGCCCGGCGCCGCCTCAACATCCAATAAGGCCTTCTCCATCTTTTCTTTTGGCTCGATGGGAGACTGTGGATATTAAGGCACTCAAGCTTTCGTCTGCTCGTTGTGCATTCGTTTAAGGATAACATTGTAAGTAGGAGATCTAGAGAGTGGATGTCGGAGTATATTGGAATTTTGTTGACCCTGACTGCATGATCCTGCATGATCCGTGCAAAAGCGGCGCCTATCATTTTAGGTACTCCGACAAGTTTGACTCGATCTCGGAAGTTGTAGGTAAGTACTGTATGTTTTGTTCACCGTGTCATTAGACTCGGTTTACTGACTCTACTCTCTGAGGAATGATGCCACTGTTCAAATGCTTCACTATCAGTAAGTCACATCCGAGTCTTACTCAGACTCACTGCTACTAGTATCAAGGGAAGGGATCACACTCAGACGGTCACCCTCCTGATGACCTACTACATGACGGCATCCGTCATGCGGCTCAATGCTAGAACTCAACGCTCAACTGACAACACGAGTTTGAGAGAAAAGCCGAGGGCCTATTAGAAACCGCAGGCGAGCCCACATTTCATAATCAAGTGGACCTGAGGAGGATTCTTCCGAGAATATCTTTAAGTCTTCCATGCCTCATGTGCGTATCGGTGCCTACTCTTCCCACTCTATCTTTACAAGACTCTGCAGAGGCTGATCTCGTGTCCTTGAGTTCTACTACATTCCAATGTGTGCGTAATGTCAGAGTGTAGCTCCATGCACTGTGGCTACTATTTGTGGATTCATTGTTTCTCAGGTGTTGGAGTTATAACGGCATCTCAGCTAGCCATACTTTCATATAATATGTATATATAAGCAGAGGACGAGCCCAATCTCTCGCATATCAAGATGATTTTGTACCTCGCCGGCTGCGCTATACTCTTTGTGCTATTCCGATGGCTCAAACGTTCCATCAAGAGCTCTTTACCTCTCCCCCCAGGCCCTAAGGGTTACCCTCTCATTGGTAACATGCTCGATATGCCAGCCGTCGCTCCATGGAAGACTTATCAAGAATGGCATGGAGTTTATGGTTCGCAGCTGCTTAGATTCTGTTGTTAGTGGGAGATTGACCGTGGCGTTTAGGTGGCATCATCTATTTGGATCTTCCTAGGAAGCCGACAATCATTATAGGTTCCGTAAAAGTTGCCTTGGATCTTCTCGAGAAACGCTCGGGTGTGTATTCGGACAGGCAAGTTAATGTGATGGATGAATTGTAAGGATGGTTGAATTACTAGAATGAATCCTTATGACAAAGCTTTTCAGGATGACCTGGGACTTCAACCTTGGCTTGATGCCATATTCTCAGAAATGGAGGAATCACCGTCGAATGTTTCATCAATACTTCAATCAAAATGAAATACACAAGTACCAGGCAGTTCAAATTCGAGAATGCCGAGCGTTCTTGCAGCAAGCATTGGATTCCCCGGAGAACCTAGCTCAGCATGTTCGTCAGTGCGTATTACATCAAATCATGTGCACCTTCATTCCTACCCCGTATATAACATCCTTCCACGGTAGGCTCAATACTGCGATAATTTTGAAGATTGTCTATGATATGGACATCACGGACATGAACTACGATTACGTTGGTGTAGCACAAGAAGCCGTGCGGGGACTAAGTCTAGGGGGAATTCCCGGAGCACACTGGGTGGAATATATGCCCATCCTGAAGTACATCCCGAGTTGGGTTCCTGGAGCGCGCTTCAAGAAGTTGGCAGACTACTTTAGGCCGTTCGTTGAGGCAATGCGCAACAGGCCCTTTGACCAAATCAAACAGGATATCGTGAGTACAGAGGCATCTTCTTGCAGGCCGGACACTGATACTGCGGAGTGCCTAGGTAGATGGAAATGCTTCTCCTTCTATCGCCAGGACCTTGATTAAACGGCTTCAAGATCAATTTGCAGGGACACATTTGGAGGCCGAACAGGAGGAGATCGCCCGAAATGTTACAGGTGTAGCCTATGCGGGTGAGCTGTGATCCTAAGGATCGTCACAGAGCACATCACTGACTTTATCTTGACACAGCCGCAGCTGATACTGTATGTATCTGCGATTATCGTGTCTAATACGCGCTTGAACGTTACCCATTTTCTCCAGACTACGTCCGCTGCACAGTCGTTCTTAATTGCAATGTCCCTATATCCTGACGTTCAACGGAAGGCACAAGTAGAACTTGATCATGTTGTCGGTTCTGAGAGGCTTCCAGATTTCAGCGATCACGACGACTTGGTTTACATTCAGGCCATTGCTTTAGAGAGCATGCGTTGGACTGTGGCACTACCTCTGGGTGTTCCTCATAAAGTGACGCAAGATGACGAGTATAACGGCTTCTTCATTCCGAAGAATACGACTGTGATTGCTGTGAGTGAAGCCTTCCCGTAAATTCTGCTTTACCCATTTGCTGAAACTGGGTGTTCCGATAGAATGCTTGGTAGGCCTTTCACGTCGGGCTCTAACTGGAATGATTCGTTGTAAGCTGAATTTTTAGGGCCATGCTGCATGATCCTGATGACTATCCGGAGCCGGAGCGGTTCGTGCCCGAACGTTTCATGAAAGATGGACGACTGGACCCTAACGTACGCAGTCCTCTGAGTATTGCATTTGGATTTGGTCGACGGTTCGTATTCGTACTACAATCATCCTGGCGCATTTCAAATGCTAACAACAAATGATCACTAGAATTTGCCCAGGACGACACCTGAGTGGGGCATCTTTATTCCTCACGATCGCGTCCGTCCTACATACATTGAACATCCGACCCATTCTTGAGGAAGATGGAAAACCTGTTGACACGTCAGCGATGATGAGTACAGGCTTGGTTTCGTGCGTAGTTGTTCAACGATATCGATCATGGATCAATAATACTCACATGTTGTGTATCATCCTTAGGAGTCCAGAAAGCATTCCCTATATCATTAGTCCTCGATCTACCAAGGCCGAGTGTCTTATTCGTGAATGATGTGTTGTGAATACGAATAGATAGGTGAGTGTTCCGTTCTTATCAACTGACTCTGATTCAAGTTTTACTAATAGCTTCACGGCTTGGATTCTTGTTACAGGACCTGGCGTTTTGAACACTTGGAGCGTGAATGTCTTATCATCGGCCTCGAGGGCTGCTAATCTACGATATGGACATTAAATAGCACTGAAGATCCCTGGAAACGGTGGTTCTAATGGAGTATTCTTGACGTTTCTCACAGTGTTTACCAATTGCGTGCCTTGTTGGTACCTGTTCTTCACTTCCTTCAAGCAAGTGCCCGCCCAGGAAAATCTCATGATGCAGTGCTTCATAAATACGACTATCGATTTGTCAGAATGCTTTCTATATTACGGAACCTTGTTGGAGCTCTATTCCCACTGAATGGAGCGTTGATAGGTATATGTATCAGCCTTGTATGCGACTAAAGGGTGCGTGTTTGCTTGTCACTTGTAAAATGTACTTTGTGCTGGCCGTTTGTGCCCTCTCCACGCTTCTTGTGCGATGGTTCAAGGGATTCATTCGAAAGACTCCACCTCTACCTCCTGGACCGAAAGGCTATCCTTTGATCGGTAACCTTCTGGATATGCCGGGCGTTACTCCGTGAAAGACATTTAAAAAATGGTCAAAGGTTTATGGTTCGTGTCCTATCCGCATTTACTGCTTATATAAATAGATACTCGGCGTCCAGGAGATGTCATCTTCCTAGATCTTCCTCAACAACCCACCGTGGTTCTAGGATCCGCGCAGGCTACCTTGGACCTCATGGAGAAACGCTCAGATATATACTCAGACAAGCTCGTCTTCGTGATGGATGAGCTGTGAGTAGCATATAATATTTGCTAATATGTCTCCTGATCCATTGACAGTATGACTTGGGACTCCAACATGCCATTTATGCCGTATATGCACAAATGGCGGGATCATCGTTGGGTCTTTCACCAGTATTCAAATCAACGCGAAGTTGCCAAGTACAGACCGATTCAAGTCCAAGAGTGTCGTGCTTTTCTCCGACGAATGGTTGATGCCCCAGACAATTTGGCTCAGCATGTCCGCCAGTGCGTGCAATTGCTGGTATCGCTTTCTTTTCTCTTTTCCAGTTCAATATTTTTCCTTATAGAATATTCACCGCCATCATCCTGAAGGTTGTTTATGACATGGATATAAAGGATTTGGACGACGAATACTTGTTTTCAGCACCGGAAGCTGTTCTGCATAGCGTTCAGTCGAGACTCCCAGGCACATATTGAATAGAATTCTTCCCATTCTTTAGACACACTCCTAGCTGGGTTCCTGGAGCTAAGTTCAAACAGACGGCGGAGCATTACAGGCCTTACGTTGAAGCCATGCGTAACAGACCATTTGATGTGGTTAAACAGGCTATTGTAAGTGCTATATTTGATCTTTACTTGTGGTTTATCCATTCATACTCTCCAAGGCCAATGGATCTGCCGCGCCCTCTGCCGCAGCAAGTCTGATCAAAAAGATGCAGGAACGATACAAGAGAACCAATATAAAGTCACAGTAGGAACAAATTGCTCGAAATGTGATGGGTGTTGCATATGCAGGTCAGCTCTTTGGAGCGTGGCCCCGCGGAGCCTATACTGACTGTCTTTTGATTTCACTCTTTCAGCCGGGGCTGATACCGTACGACAACCGTGCAGAGGTCCCAGCCCCAGATCAATCTCATGATTTTTTGCCAGACAACCGCTGTAGCACAGACCTTTCTAATCGCCATGAGCCTGTTTCCGGATGTCCAACGGGAGGCGTAAGCGGAACTCGACCGTGTAGTCCCTGATGATAGACTTCCTGACTTCAGTGATTATGACAAAGTGATCTATGTTCAAGCTGTTGCGCTTGAGAGTATGCGCTGGTTGACTATCTTTCCCCTTGGCCTTCCTCCTCGGGTTACTTGTAATGATGTATACAACGGGTACCTTATCCCTAAGGGTACCATAGTGATGGCTGTAAGCGAATTGTTCGATATTGAAGTATCCACATGAACTAATACCGTTGCACAGAATGCTTGGTGAGTGCTCCAATGCACGACGCATCCGTTGAACCGTCGGTAAAGCGAACCCATTCAGGGCCATGTTAATGGCCCAAAGGACTATCCAGAGCCAGATCAATTCAAGCCGGAACGATTCATCAAAGATGGAAAACTAGATCCTGACGTTCGCAGTCCGGAAACAATCGCATTTGGCTTTGGTCGACGGTAAGGTTCATAGTAATCCTCCTTGTTTGATTATCTTACGTTCGATGTCCCTAGTATTTGCGCGGGATGACATCTAAGCAGCTGGTCCTTGTTCTTGACAATAGCCTCCGTTTTGCACACCTTCAACATTGACCCTACACTGGATGAAAATGGAAAACCATTTGACCCCAACGCCTTGATGAGTATAGGACCTATCTCGTACGCGTTCCGCTCATGAATGACACTCACTGCATGTCCTGATTGTAGTTTGTAGCGCCCCTGAAAGCGTCCCCTGCATCCTTACTCCTCGGTCCGTCAGGGCAGAACGTCTTATTCGTGAATGGTGTGCAACTAGTGAAAATGAGTCAGTGAGTGCTCTGCCTCTCATCTCACACTTCGATTATCCAATATCTGTGAAGATTGGAACATGATGTTCTCAGAGTGAATCTGGAAGGACGTCTGTATACTGGTCTTTTGCTAACACTGTAGTCATATCGCTGGTCTGTGACAATTACTTCGCTCGATCTGATACTATATGGATATTGAATACATGTTGTCCAACTGCTGGATGAATATAACTTCAAATCATCAGATTCTCACCCGCTCCCAAACAAAACACCTAGCCCTCTTTCCTTCCAGGAGCAATGAACTGAAAGATAGTCCGACGAACGTACCTCTTAGCCTTCGACAGTGCACCACCACCAAGCCCGGTAGCAAGTCTGTCGGTACTGGGAATTTCTATGTCGAACGTCGCTGTTGGTTCAAGGAGAGGGGCGGATTCGAGTAAAGGCTCCAAGAACGCATTGAGCTCCTCTATGACGGAAGCTGTAGCTGGCTGCTCGGAACTTGTTACCACAACTTCAAATTCTGTGGCTCCAATATCCGTATCCATGACTTCTTGATGTTTCTCTTCTGGTGCTTGCAGGAATTTTCTGTGGCCAGATGGTTGGGGATCTGCACGCCACTCTTCATCCACAGGGATCGGGAACTCCTCATCAGGAATTGCCAACTCCCAGGACTCCTTGAGCATCTTGATACCGACGTCAACAGTGTCTCTGAACATCCAGTGGCTTCCTATCAAGCCCTCAAAGAAACGTTCCTGTTGGCCCAATGCGAAAGCAATAACCCAATGGGCCCCCGGCTTGGGTCCCTTAATATCCCGAATCGAATTATAGAACGCGTGAAACATTTTGACTCTGTCTTCTTCCAGTATTGGGGTCGGCTCCAATCTCCAGTTGTCTGGCAGCAACCACCGGGGCATTCTAGCGCAAGACCACAGAGGTGCAGTATGAGCGTGCTCCCATCCAGTGATCACAAGTGGTTGTAGAACACCATCTTTGAAGTTAACAAGAATGCGGCCCATTTTCAAGTCTGTGTGGACGATGCCAAAGCCACGTTGATCGGAAAGGAGTGACACAGCTAGTTCATAGGCACCGCCTTTGAAGCGCCTAGGTATGAATTTTCCACCTGTATAGTATGGAATGAGCTGTCGTAAGCGCATCCATGTTTCACGGATTGCAGTCTTCTCTTCGTAGGATAAAGAAACTTTTCCAGGCCAACCTAACGACCAAGGGTTGTTGACCTTGCCTTCGCTAAAAAGCCACAGGATACGGTCTGCGAGAGCCTCAAGATAATCCTGGGTGGTCTTAAGAGCGGGCTGCGGCCACCTATCCAGAAGTGGCACAGCGTCAAATGGGCGAGACAAAAGATAGGCAGGTTCGGGTTCGTCAGGGTCTTCTGAGTAATTGGGAGGTACCACCGTAGTAGTGATCGAAGCAAGCCTGTGGTTGAATAATTTGAGCAGATCCTCTGCAAGCCTTTTCATGACCGCCTTGCGTTGTTCGTCACTCAGCTCAGGCCAGGCAACATCTAGCGACGTTCCGTCTTCCTGGAATAAAGTGAGTGGTAGGACGACGAGTATGGCCAAATGAATGGCAGACCTTGACGTAAAGGATGTACTCAGCGCCGATCTTTTTGTGAAATTCTTCAGCCAAGGCGCATAATCTGGGTACATGGACACCAGCCCTTTGCGCTAACATGGCCATCCCAACCTGAAAGAATGTCAACACATGCATTTGTTTGAGAAGGGTGATGCATACCGCTGCACGACTGGTGGCGTTTGGCCGTCCATGGGGGAAATGCGCTAGTAAGGTTTGATGATGACTGGGAGTCAAAGTAGATTGTAAGACGATTTCAACCATCTGAAAGTAGTATTCTGAGTCTCTAGAGAAACGGGACATAGGATACGAATACTTACCATGTCGCCACCCCAGACAATATCTTTCATCGACGTCACGCTGAACTGACAGTCCGCGTCATCAGTGAGGTCTTTATGCATGCTCGTGTAAGCCTCGACGGCAATTTCGCCAATGACATCGAAATTCTGGAGAGAATAGAGGGAAAGTGATTCGATGTGGCGCCCCAAAACGCGATAGAGACAACACTTACGACGTTTGGGAAGTTCACTGAGCGGAACGAAGACATGTTGATAGCAATAGAAAAGAATACAAGGCGCGCGTAGAGACGGTGGACGTGTCGGTTATGTGTTTATACCACGCCCCAGTGGCCAAAGCAGCGGCCATTTGACGGGATAATTGAACCATAGGCGGGAGTGGCACTCAACTTTTAGACCGGGTATTTGTCCCACGAGGCCCTTGTCAACACGAGACTTAGTGGGATAATTCGTGTACCTGAGCTGCAGACCAGAAGTTCCGAGTATCAATAGAAACACACTGGTACTCCGAGTCGTTACATCTGGTAAAAGATTTAGAGTTGGTCCTCGAAGGCGAACGTTATATGTGCGATGCCATTAGCGCCCATGATCACTCACCTTGTTCATCGTCCACCATCTCACTCACGGCACTGTTCGTTCTAACGACTATAACGATTTACCTTCATATCCTTGTACCAACCACACCACTATGAATCGCATCTTCGGGAGTTCTGCTAGCAAGAAACCCCGTCCGACTCTTCAAGACGCCATCTCCTCGGTCAGTCGATCGTGTCCGTAGTTCTCGGATTAGAGGCTTACTAGGAAACACTGCATAGACAGACACCCGGGTATCCTCAATAGAGGTCAAGATTAGAAAGCTCGATGGCGAGCTTGGGCGATACAAAGACCAAATGAGCAAGCTTCGGAATGGGCCAGGTAAGGTACGTCTCCATGCATATATGGTGGGTTCGACTCGCTCACGCTTCGTCCTTTCACTTGTAGAACGCGATCCAAGAACGGGCCCTACGCACTCTCAAGCAGAAGCGAATGTATGAAGCCCAACTGGCCCAATTGCAACAGCAGACGTTCAATATGGAATCGGCTTCGCTTGCGACTGAGAACCTACGGAATACGATGGCGACTGTTGATGCCATGAAACAGACACAGAAGGAACTTAAGAAACAATACGGGAAGATGGACATTGACAAGATCGAGGTTCGTTCGTCCCTTCTTGCCTTGGTCGACCCATGCTGACCTGAACTACAGAATATCCACTACGAAATGGAAGATCTTCTTGAACAAGTCAATGAGATTCAAGAATCTTTAGGAAGATCCTATGCCGTACCAGACGAGATTGACGAGGCGGATCTTCAAGCTGGTAAGTTGCTCACCAAATCGCTGAAAGATTACTCACTTATTATCCATAGAATTGGATGCTTTGGAACTGGAAGAGGAAGTAGAGGGCCCGTCATATCTTGCTGACCTGAATAAGGTCCCAGACTTCGTTGACGAGGCACCAGTGGAGCTCCCGGAGGTACGACTGCACACCATATCTTGGATGTCCTTCCAGCTTACTCACTTGTTGTCCATAGACTGCTCCGAAAGAACCTGCAGAGGCTGTGAAGTCGGGCGCATAATCATCAATAGAGAAGTTCCGCGGCACTGTATCGACTACTAGCAATTGTACATTATTACTGTAGGCATCACCCCCGATATACGATTTTCAACCTGGGTTCATCGACACAGCAACTGCCGTATGAATTAGAAGGTTCGGAAGCCAAGTTGCATGACAAGCATAGCGGCAATGATAATGGTGGTAATCATGGCCAGCGCTTGGCATCTCCATCTATGCATCTCACCGACTGACAGAGAACAAACGTTAGCACTATCATTTGCTCCAAGTAAGTCACTACGCACAGTTGTCTTCGGCAGGTCGAAATGCGCCGAAATACCACAACGGGAAGAACAACAAACCACCCAAAAAGAGCCATGCATGCAACGGCATATGCTTGGGGTCAACAGGTGGGAGCTTCTCGCCCTTGTAAATCGTCTTCGTGGATGCGAAAGAATCGAAAGGGAACTGTTCCTTGCCCGGTCGCCCCTCTGTCGCTGGCGTAACATCAGACGCCTGTGTGTGCGACAGCTGTAGCAGGTAAGTCCCCGCAAATCAGTCGAAGTGAAAGATACCAGAAGAGACCTACATTTGTCACGACTGAAGGCACACTCTCGATATCCTCGACCTTCTCTCGACTGTGGTACGACTACATCACTAGCTTTTAGTCATGCCGTTGGATTATCACTTCCTGAACAACATACTGAGAACGCAGTCATGACGCGGAGGTGATTATGATTCGAGTTGAATGACAACAGGCACGACAGAGGGGGAGGGGGACTCGATGGGGAGGTGATTGTGGTCCGAGGTCAAGAGCCGACAGCAAAGACTTATGGCAATAGTCCGCCTTGTCAAGCTGTCTCTCCGGATACCATCTCTAGCACGACGCATTCCTCATCGGGAGGGTGGGACGATCGCAAGCCCCCATCTATTCGGCTGCGGCGCGGAAGCAAATACCGAGTGAACTACTTACCGCTCGATTCCGCTTCCGTCGAAACATAGGTTTTGCAACGTTGACGTATATACCGTCGATGAGGGGGGAAGTGCGAGTATAGGAATAAATGTGATCCAAAGAGTGATACAAGCAGTAATACAGAAGACACACAACGTCGGACTCAACCATACCTAGTAGAAGCCTGTTCCTCATCTTCAGCAAACCAATCTTGAGCCTGGCGAGTTTCTTCCACAGTGGCAATGTTGACGATGGTGGACTTGCTTTGCGTATCTATCGATCGTGATCAGATCAAGTCTGTCTAACGCGGATCCAAAAGTACTCACAGGCTTCAAACGCCTCTAGTCCGTTCTCACGTCCGATGCCGCTTTCTTTCATACCACCCCTGAAATAAAATCGTGAGCCAAAAGGAATAGAACTCGGGTAAGCTTGGACATACCAAGGCGAGCTAGGGTCGTTCCTGTGATGTGTGTTCACCCAGACAAGCCCTGCTTCGATCTCAGCGGAGATACGATGGGCTTTGGACAAGTCTCTCGTCCAGATACCGGCACCAAGACCATATTTCGATGCATTAGCCAACTGGAGACCGCGTTTCTCGTCCTACAAAAGTGATCAGTGTTGAGAACGGCATGAACGCGGCGGTGACTTACTGAGAAGCGCTTAACGACGACAACAGGTCCGAAGATCTCTTCCCTCCACAGTTCACTTTCAAGAGAAACGTTCTCGAAGACAGTTGGCGGGAAGAAACTGCCTTTGGAGAAATCAAAGCCGTCCAACTCCGATTTACCCGTCAGGCGCTCGCCTCCAACGAGAAGCTTGCCGTGGCTTTTGGCCTTGCCGCGTTGAACAATACTTTCGATTCGTTGCAGGTGACTTTGAGAGATAACAGTACCCATTGTTGACTTCGGATTCAGAGCTGAGTTGTAAGATTGACGTTAGAGTTGGCTTCTAGTGCAGTAACAGGTATCAAAGACTCACGATTACCCATACGTCTGGTAATACTGTTGACTTTGGCAAGGAAAAGAGACATGAACTCGTCATAGATGCCATCTTGGACAATGAGGCGTGTGCCGGATACGCAGGTTTGACCAGAGGCAACGAAACAAGCGAATGCAGCACCGTTTGCAGCTGAGATCGGATCCGCGTCGTCGAAAACAACAATGGGGGCCTTCGCCCAAGTCAGTTGCAGAGCATGACGTTAATCATGTGTGATGCCTCACCTTGCCACCGAGTTCTGCAGTATAGGCAGCGAGGTTGCCACCGACTAGGCTACCCAACTCTCGACCTGTTGAAGTTCCTGCCTGCCAGCTTCATTAGCAAGACAGGGGGAGATCACTGACAAAGAGACTGACCGTGATGTCCACTTTCCGTATAAGCGGATGAGAGACAATCTCCTTCCCAATCGTCCTGCCGTAACCGGGAAGCACAGAAAGAACACCCGGGGGTACTATTGGAAGACCCATGTTACTCACAATACAGCAGCAAAGTTAAAGTAAGCACATACCTCCAGCCTCTGCAGTCAATTCGGCGAATTCAAGAACTGTCATTGGAGCAAGCTCGGATGGCTTTACCACCACGGAATTTCCGGTGGCTATTGCCGGCGCAATCTTCTTAAGAGCAATCAGGAGTGGATGATTGAAGGGCTTCAATGATTGTCAGCATATTTCAATTTTTTGACTTACAATACAAGGCATACCGTGATCTGCGCAACGACACCCAACGGTACTCGCTGCACATAGTTCAGGAGTGGTCCCTGTGTGGGTGCAACATACGCCGAATGTGTACGAAGCAACGCTGCGTAATAGTCTCTAAGATGCGGTCATGCGATATTACTTCAGAGAAAGCAAAGCCAACCTACAGCCACTCCGGTAGACGTCCTAGTTGAGCAGTCATTTCTCGAATCGTCCTTCCGGTTTGCATGGATTCGATTCTAGCCAGTCGTAAAATATTCTCTTCCAGATGTTGAGCCAATATGGAAAGGACAGCAGCACGTTGGATCGCGGGTGTTTTTGACCATACACCAAGCTTGAAAGCTTGGTGAGCATCATGGATGGCGACACGGACATCGTCAGGCGAAGCTGAGACGACCCTAGATAACAGTTTGAGCACGGATATCAATATATAGCGGAGGAAGATGTCGCTTACGTGGAGAGTTCTTCGCCTGTCGCGGGATTCGTCACCGAAATACTAAAACATGCTAGTGTCATTTTAAAGTTGTGAGAAATCGTGATCAACATACACTTCACGACCTTCATCTGAAGCGATAGGACCTTCCAGCAAGAGATGTGCGGCAAAAGGTCCATAACGAGAGCGGTGCAGAACAGGCTCTAACTGGAAATCGGTTAGCATCTCCGACTTACACCCATACGCTTATGTGTGACTTACCTGGGTGCCCAGACGTTTAACAACACGCATTCTGCTGCGAACTGACCTTCTCTGGAGGAAGAGGGATTGATCGACGATATTGATATGCAAGCGCCCAACGCGCTCACGTGCAGTTCACGTGGAAAAGTTAAATGTTGAAGCGCCCACCGGCCACAAGTTGGATGTTCGTCTTGAACTTTCCTCTTTTCAACCCCTCCCATCCCGACCCTATCTCCAGTGCTCAGGAGTCTACGGGAATATTCCTTTGACAAAAAAGGTGCCTTCTACTCCTCTCCCAAGCTCTTTTACATCCTCTAGCTCTTGAGATCATCGTCGGGCCGTAGCATCAAACGAAGAATTCTCATTTGATCATTATGCCTCCGAGACGTTCAAGTCGCGCTCCTGCCTCAAAGGCAGCTCCTGAGCCTGCTACTAAGCCGGCACCAAAGGCAGCTTCAAAACCCGCCGTGAGAGGTCGCAGTAAAACTACTAAACGGCCCTCATCACCCGAAAATTCACCTCCTCCGCCTGCTAAACGCAGCCGACCGTTGTCCAAACTTCCCTCGAATGGCGTCGTTCCCGAAGCGAAACCCAGAGTCAAGGCTCTTGCTAAGAAAGCCGCCGCTCCCCGCGCTCGCAAGGCTGCGAAGCCTGCAGGTGAGCCGGTGCCGTATTTCAACGCACTTCCAACCCCCGCCGAACATCATCGACCTGCGCCACATTTATTCGTATGGGGTGCGGGGAACTTCGGACAGTTTGGTATGGGCCCAGATATCCTGGCTGAGTTTGATAAGCCAAGAAAGAGCACCTGGGTCGAAAAGAAAATTGAAGAGGGCGCCTTCGGTGAGGAGGGTGCCGGTCTGGAAGCTGTGGCTGCAGGTGGTTTGCACACTCTCTTCGTAGATGAGAAGGGTACAGTAAGTGATATCTCTGTCATCATCGATTTGCTCTCATGGTTACTCTTAGGTCTGGTCTTGCGGCACCAATGATAATGCTGCGCTAGGTCGTGTCACGGCCGACATCCCTGATCCTGAAAAACCAGGAGAGGTCCTCGATGCTGATACCATTACCTCATTCCCATACCCTCTCGATTCTCTTGTTGAAGAGAACTTTCGTGCTGTTCGTGTCGCTGCAGGTGATTCGATATCAGCCGCGATTAGCGATAAGGGCGAATTGCGAGTCTGGGGCTCATTCCGCGTAAGTACTTCGATGATCCGTTCCTTATGCTTAAACTTATGTTTCAAACAACAGGCTGCTGAAGGTGCTCTCGGATTCTCAGAAAGTAGTGCACATCAATTCCTGCCTGCCCCGATACTGGACTTGAAGTCTAAACCGAATAATCCCGAAAAGTTCACTGCGGTCGCCGCAGGTAACAATCACCTTCTCGTTTTGACTACCCATGGCAATGTCTATGCCTGGGGTGCTGGAGAGCAGGGGCAGCTTGGACGCAAGGTCCTTGAACGCCGGAAGATCCACGGCACTGTTCCCGAGAAGATCGTCCTCGGCAGTCGAAGTCGCAAAGCTGTTGTCATTGGTGCTGGTGGCTACACCTCGTTCGCCGTCGACAACCAAGGTTCCGTTTGGGCATGGGGTTTGAACAACATGGGACAAGCGGGTACCGGCTTTACTAGCGCTGCAGCTGACAGTGAGGTGTCACGTCCCCAAAAGGTTGCCAACCTCAGCAAAGCCGAGTTGGGTGACGACGAGACTGTTGTTGAGATTGCTGGTGGTGAACATCACACGCTATTCCTCACGTCGAAGGGCAGGGTGTTTGCCTGCGGTCGGTCAGAGGGCGGACAGCTTGGTCTCGCTGATGACGACGAGGCCTTCGAGGACCGAGAGTTCCCTGGTATGCTCCCTGAGCCAGCCTTGGTGACATTCCCTGATGGGGATGACCCAATTGTCCACATTTCGGCTGGAATTCACAACAACCTAGCCGTATCCAAGGGTGGTGCGTTGTACACCTGGGGTACAGGTCCTCAAGGTGAGCTCGGCGCAGGTGACGAGACAGAGGTGAAGACGCCGAAAATGATCGTGCGCAAAGAGGGTGGTTCGTGGGCTGCGATTGCTGCGTCCTGCGGTGGTCAACATACACTCGGATTGTTGAAGAAGAAGACCTCATAGACTTGACTTGAAAGTTGGCTCATTCTGGATTCCCAAATTGCATTTCTCGTTCTCAATGGACGCAAACCCTGCTATCCTACCCAGCCTCGTCGTGTAATAACATTGCAATATCTTATTCATATATTCATCGCGCTCTGTGGTATACTTTTTTTCTTCTTCCAATCATTCTGTGTGCAAATACGCGTCCCATCAACCAGACCGAAATTTCGCGAGTACCAGCATAACGCGGTGGCGTGACCTGACGCTCCTTCACGTCAAGCGCGTAGGCGCCCAATATAATATTTCCACAGCGCGGCGTCACGGTCTCCTCCCTCCCTTTTAGTTGACCAGAGAATCTTGAAACAACCTAACCACGCGTAACGCTGGTATAATCACGACATGGCAACTCCTAGTGTAGGTGGTAAACAAGAACTGAAATTAGCATTAATGGCTCACCGATTTTTTGCAGTCCGTAATCCCGCCTGGATACAGATTCCTTCGCCCTGGTACCATGATTTCCGACAAAGCCAGAGGATTATTTGATGAGCTTGTGGAGGAACTTGAAAAACGCGACCCAGACGCACATGACATGTACATTTACAATGGTACACGCGTGCTTCGACCACTCAATTGGTTGGGACTGACTATATACTTTGCCCATTCAGACTTCTTTAATTACGCTCAACTCGATCTAATAGATCAGCAGCTCACACATATACACACAGTAATTATCAAGAAGGACTGGAAGGAAGCTTTCCACCTTCTTGAGGCGCTAACCATCTGGCAAGATGGTGACGCTAATTCCTGGCCAAGTAAGTTGCGACTAGCTTTTTTTTTCCTTTTTTTTCCCTTTCTTTCTTTCCCATTCAAACTGAGCTCAACCTTTCGCATAGTGTGTGACGATGGCGAGCGAACTCATCTCACTGCGAGAGTCTTCGGCGCGGAATGGGTGACCGTCGTCCGCGGTCTCAAGGCGCAGGGAATACTCGACACAGAACACTTTCCGAACCTCGAGACACTTCTAGAAATGGCGACTAACTGGGGTGACAGTATGAATGCTCTGGGCGACCAGTGTTCACCCTACCCCGAGGTGCTCCGTGGTATCGGTCGTCGTCTCTTCAAAGACAAACCTGCCGATGTCATCGCTTTAGAGACAGCACGTGAAGAGGAGTGGATCAAGTCCTTACACGTCGCTCAACAGGAGCGCGTACGAGAAAATAAGAAGGAAATGGAAGAAGAGAATGAAGGAGCAAAGCCTTGGTACGAAGAAGGGTCGGCTGATGAGGACTTGAAGGATCGACACTTGACACTTTCCACGAATTACAAGCGGTGGAAGGATTATCTGAAGGATGCCCCTACCATGCCACTTCGAGGACCTCCCACCTGGGACCTCACGGAATGGACCGCAGAGGAGCGTGCCCAATTCTCTTTTGACCAGTCTGATGACTCTGAGTCTGAGATTGACTAGTTCCCTTGTAACTCAAGTTGCTGCGCATATGCGCTTTAGGCTCTCTTGTATATCTTGCTCCATGTTCACATGTAATTGTAGCAATAGTGCATGATAGTTGTACATATCGTATACCTCGATTGTGCCGTTGGAAAAGCCTTTGAGATGCTTGCTTTATAAAATGTCTAGGTCGAGGAGTAAATGATACTTGTCCATACTATCTCGACAGGTACCTAAAAGGTAATCCTCCAGCCTCCAGATGGCGACCGCCCCAGGGGTCTTCGCCGGGCCGCCTTAGATCAAACTCAAGAATGCTCACAACTGGGTCGTCAGGTCGTCGAACACATGGCTACTGAATTATACTACTGCACCTAAGTAGTACCTTGCCAATTAAAGTCCCAAATCTCCGGCCCATTCTTCGCGCTTGCACCGGGATGTTTCGGTGATTACAGATTGCAAGGGGTCTATCCGGACAAAGGATGGAAGGGAATAAGTACTTACTGCTCATGGGCTCGCATTTCCAGCAGAAAGAGAACTTAGAGAACCCACCCCGCCACCGATCACCACCACTGCTATTGGCCCAACCCATCCGCTACTTTCTCATCATTCGCAATGCGTGAATTCCATCAGTAATTCCATGACTGAAAAAAGGCTACATGTGCCACAATAGTACACCACAACAAGAATTCTCCAATGAACGATGATTGTAATGATGTTGCCATCAAGTATATGTCACAGACAAACGACCAACGATATAGTCCTCCGTCGTGACTGGCGGATATTTATTCTCTCCATTCACTCCTAAACACGTCGGCAGACAGGAGATCTTCGCACCCCCATTAGGGTTGCAGAAGAATGCGATTGACTGTCGAGCGGGTGTGATACCCTCAGTCTCACTTAGTTTCTCTACAGGCGGGGCGACGACGCGGTGAAGAGTCGAGCGGAGGATATCATTACTCCAGCGGGCGAGAAGGTCGCCTGCGTTTACGACGATTGTGCCGGGCTATGGGTATGAGGTCAGTCGAGCTGTTCTCTGCGGTGATTGTGAAGTGCTCACGATGGGTGTTCCGGGCTGGAAAGTCTTAGTATGAGGGTTCTGCACTTCGAGACCGCCGACCTACGCGCGATTAGCAGGAGGATCCCCTAAGTAAACTTCCGACAACTACTTACGGAATCCTGGAATAATAGAGTCAAGGTGCCATAATCTGCACTAGAAGTGAGCGCAACGCCTTCACACCAGATGCTAAGACATACCAGAATGAGCACCCGCTCGTGCTTGACCTTCTTGACGAAGTAAATTTGTCCGAATCGAAGGGTAGGATAGCAACCTGAGATTATGGAACTGTTCATTGATTTGGTCGTCAAAGAAATTCTCCTCAAGGTCAAGACCTAACGCAATGGCTCGCATGACAAGCACATGAAGTTCATGACACGTCTGAAAGAATGAAAGCATTGTCGGCTTGAACTGTGGAACGAGTTTCTCCTCCGGCCATCGGTTTTTCCACGTTTTGTCCCAATCCCGTCCGATCTCCATTGATTCCTTGAAGTCGGGAGCCTTCGCTCGAAGTTGCGCAATCTCGTTAGCATCGGCAGATTGGGTAACACGCTCGCGGCCAATCTTGACGTAGCCACGATTCGAGCGAGGGTCTTCCCATTCCAGTTTCGACTATTAGAGAGGTTTCAGAGCAGCATCTACGAGCAAGGCGCGAGACATTCTTACCTTTACTTCTGCGGGTAAGCGAAAGAACTCTGCGCTCTACGTCCTAATCAAATAAAGTAAAAAGAGAGCACTATGGTAAACTCACTTGAGCAAAAGCTTTCTGTACTACACTTTCCGGGATGCCATGCTTATCCAGATAAATGAAGCCAACATTCCTGAAACCGCTGACAATCTCATCGGCGGTGTTCCGCTTCTCAGCTTTGGATCCTGCTTCCAAGAACTTGCTGAAGTCGATAAGTGGTATCTTAAAGCTTGATTCCTTGAGAATAAAGCATTCGCAAGGTCAGAGATAGCAAATCCTTAGGTGCAATTGCAGTGACATTTACCTCCGCAAGGGTAGCAAGAGAACGTATCGCCGGCCTCTGCCATGCAGCGCGACGTAGGCGCAGTGCAGCGGGAAGAAACCTCCTTGTCGCGAGCATGGTTTTGGTCTGGTTGAATGAAAGGAAAAAGAAGGGGTATATAAGGAGGTCAATGCAGCGGAACACGATACGCCACCAGTTCTTTCATATCGCCAGAGATAATACCTTCCGAGATAACGCTGAATGAGGCCGGTCCGGAATTGTCTCGATCACAATCGATCCAGGATCGACGCGAATTCGCCAAACAGCTGCACGCGATTGCATTCGCCTGATAAAAGAAAGCGGCACAAATGATATTGAAGTTAGTTCAATGGTTGGCACGACACGCTGTTGCTGATAAGAAGCATCAAGTAAGCAGTCTGACGTATTCCATGTACTATTCAGCGATTGAAACTCCAGTCCGAACTCGCAAGGTAAAAAGGAGGCTAAATGAAGATGGCTGAGAGACACAAGGTAGACCAAAGACATTTCACTTCTTCCTACAATTATGCATCGATCTGTGCTCCTTCCAGCCATCTTTCAGACACTGCGAGTCGCAAAAGAATGCACGGCCTTTGCATGACCCTAATGAAGCGAAAAGGAATGAATATCAATTTCATCAACGAGCTGAAGCCAGACGAACATACCACCACATTTCTTCCAAGGACCGGCATTTCCACAATTGAAGCATCTCTGCCAAGGGCCCACTCTGGCCGTTCTAGCATCCTCCTCTAGATTCGCATCTTCGAAATGTCCACCAGGAACATCCAGTCTAAGTTGCCACAAATCAGCGTAACTCCGCATAGCATCATCTCGCGGTTCAGGTATAAGTTGTGAGTTGGTATATCCGCCAAACAGGTATACTTTCCCAGTTGCAGGATCTGTGAACAGATGTGCGCCTGCGCGATACGTTGGAAATCCTCTTGTGATGACTTGTTTGAATTTAGGTCTTTCCGATGAGGGCGAAGGAGAAGACGAAGGCGGGATGTAGAGAAATGTATCTCCAAAGTAGGTGAACGAATGACACTTTTTCTGTTCTGGCAGATAAGTTTCGAGAGTCGGACTGTAGCCACCAAAAAGGATGGTCATTCCTAGCTTTTCGTTCTAGAAAAATAGGTCACCTCTGTCAATATACAGTCTTCTTTAAGGACAGAATCAGCTTACAAAGGTGCACCCCATCTCAGATCGAGGACAAGGTGGGTTGCCGTCAATACGCTCTCTTCGCCAAACCTCCTTTCGGATATCCCAACTCCAGAGATCATCATACGCATAACACCCAGATGCGCCATACACCTGTCCACCCTGCTTCGCACTTACTCGGTCGGCATCACCATACAACAGATAAATTTTCTCCCCTCCCGACACTCTCTTGTCCACCCACATCGAAGCGTATCGTCTGGGACCAGGACAGGTATATTCCGCAGTCAGCTTAGGGCCAGGATAACCACTCAGTCGACGCCATCCGTGGGTCTTCAGGTCGAGCTCCAAGAGGGTGTTCTGACCAACCTCACATCTCTCGTACGTTCCACCGAAGACATAAAGCTTCCCGTCGTATGCTACCATTGAGTAATCCTGTAGATCCTCAACAGGCCAGGGACCATGGGGACCATTTAACGAAGCTGGAAACTTAGTTTTGATGGAGGACCATTGCTCGGCGACGAGATCAAAATAGTCGACCACAGGACTACCGTTGAAGATATATGCCTTATTATCGTCGACACAAATACTCCAGTTAGACATTCGTCCGCCCATGGACTTTCGAATAGGATAGGAGGGAAGATGGAAGTGCCAACCAGCCTCCAGGTCCGATAGAACGATATAGCGAATATCCCGGAAGAACGGTCCTCCCATAGACTTCTCGCCACCCGCGACGTAATATCTGCCTATAAGCACGAAGAGACGAGATACGCAATCTGAGTATGAGTACGAAATACTACAGAAAGTGTACGTCCATACCGTTCCACACGAAACTTGCAAAGTCTGATCGACGCTGAATATTCTTATCACTAGGTATTTGGATCTTCAACCAAGAACCCATCGCCTGGAGTTCTTTGCACTGTATATTGAGATTGAGACTGAGTTTCGGATCGGGATGACGCAAAGTCGGTAGACGCTCTAGACAATTTTTCCAATCCATACCCTCGAGACATTTGATATTGAACCCCGGAGGTGACCCAAACACGATCTTGGTACATTCGGCTCGACGGTGTGCACCCATACTCGTGTTTCCTAACTTCAAGAAGACATTAGAAGCAAAAACTAGCGCTTTGATTCGTTCGAGATAGACAAGATCCAGAGGTATATTGATGTCAAACCAGTCTGAATGTGGAGAAACTGCATAAGAGTTGACATAGGCAGCAAGATATGGGACTGACCGAAGAGGACTTCGTTTTTGTCATGAAGATGTGCATTTTTGTAGATTATGGACACCTCCAGAAACCAGCGTAGGGCCTGATCAAACAAGACTCATTAAGTGCGACAAACATAATACGTGACGGGAGAGCACCCACCTCTTCATCGTCGCCCGTCTTCATGAAAAACTGGCCAATGTCATTACAAGCTTGCATAAGAGCGGTCCGCTTGAATAATGGCATCTCCACATATTTTTCTGAGTATAAGCCGCCTCCAGAAACGGTCGGTAAAGGAACCTCAAAGCCATTTCCCACAAGAATCGGTATGGCTTCCTTGTATTTGGTAACGGCAGTCTCAAGCAACCCGCGCTGGGCGAATTGTTTCGCTGCTACCTGGACGGGCACAAATTGGTATAGAAACGCGTTGTCGCCTATATGCATCGGTGAACACCACCGAACTGCACGAAATAATGACCTCAGAGGAAGCGAAGCATGATACCTGGGTCGATTTGAGAGTGAGGAGTGTGTTCGACGGGATTCAACGGTTCGTTCCGTTGAGCCTCAGCTAGTGCATCAGCCACGGCGGTCCAGCCAGGTTTCATTGGCCTGAAGGCACTCGGAGGCATGATTTCAAGAAGTAATGAAAGGTTGTATAGGGGATGGTAATAAAAAAGAAATGGAAACGAGACAACGCCTGAAGAGGTCGGAAGCAAGAATAGAAGCGAAGCTGCACTTGGAAGGCGCCAGAGATCATGATCAATATGCGAAGTATGCAAACATTCAAGTACAGTGATATTGAACAAACACAATGATTGCATTGCTTTGAAAAAACTCAAGTCGTGCATAACAACCCATATTGGTCTACGGTATCGCACAATATATGACAGGTATATAGTAGTTCAATTGTCATTTGAGCCTGGGTATGTATACCCTCAAGGGCATAGCATGCTGTCCGAGGCGCAACATTGTTTAATAGCACTTGGTTCAAAAAGATGCCGCGAAGAGGTGAATGATCCATTGAATTTGGCATGAAGAGGAGGGGGCTACGCCCTGGCGTATGTAGCTGCATTAGGAGAACGCAACCGTCTGAATAGGGCCATCATAGTCTTTCCGCCTTCGGGACCCCATCTGAAAGTGGCAATTGCGTTAGGGCCTGCGATAATAACTACTAATTGAATAATACTCACTCGCCGGCAGCAACTTCTTGGCAGCATTGTTCGAACTCTGGGGACAGGGAAACCTCATCCCATTTCTCAACAACATAATCCTGAGCAATGACCCATTAAGGACACACATTCTGCCTATTCCATCTGAACGACATACCTCTACAAGGCCATGTAACTCATCCCAGGCTGAAGTGGCCAACAGCAAGGCGAAGCTAGATTGAGGAGTAATTGTGGACATCATGTGCTCTAATGAAAGGGCTGCTAATCCTGGCATCGAATATCTATGTGCCACTTGATACATAGAAAGCGCAGAAGCAGGGGGCGGTGTAGGAGTAGGATGAGGATGAGGGTCGGCAATTGCAACAGGCGTTGGACGTGAACGCTGCCGTTGTTGGCGAGGAGAAACAGGATAGTGAGCAGCACCGGGAGGATAATTAGCGTTACTGGTGGTAACCGGGACAGGCACTGTCTTCGCAGAAGAACGAGAAGGAGAGGTTGGAGTATTCATAGTTGCTAATGTGGAATGATTACCAGCGTTAGAAGGCGCACCCGTTGAACGACGTGTCGGTGAAGGAGGTGGTCGAGTAGCACCCGATGTATTTGTAGTTGAAGCTGCTGAGACCCTCAGACCAGTGGCACCTGTTGATTTCAAATTGTCTTGGCTTGGACCAGCTGAAAGTTTGCCTTTGGACCTTCGACTAGCAGCCGGAACGCTTTCTCCACTTGTTGCGCTTCTTGTATCGCTAGTCAACCCAGAATCCTGGAGTAAATCACTGAAACCCGTCTTGCTGAAGGCCTTCCATCCCCACTCATCGGTGGAGTTACTGATAGACTTCGCACTCCACCCTGCCCCGACACCGTCAACAGCTGCCTTCGGGTCGTCTTGTTCCTTAAAAAGCAACCAGTTGGCGTATACCCATTTCAGCAGCCAATAGATGGTAAGGAAATCAGCTTCTTCCACTGCGATAGTATACGTCTTACGCTCTCCAGGCATCCTCGGTTCGAACAGGTTCTCTGCGAACGACGAGTTGAGCATCGTGGCAAAGTACTCTGATCTGCGTGTGAGAATGTCAGAATGGGCATAGATAATACGTTTCCTCGCGACCGGTTGGATGTGCACTACTCCACCCGAGGCAGATGATGATCGTCGACTCCCGGGGACCTCTGTGTTTGGTGAATCGGGGCTTTCCTCAAGTATTTCACTGGAATTTCTACGCTCAAGGCAAATAAATTGTACATCGCCGGTATCTGAATTTCGTCAACGCCTATAAGTCAAAGGTCACTGAATACCCTGCCCGAACTTACTAGAATTATCCAAAGAAGCTTCCAAACCGTCGAGCAGGTCTCGGGGAACATATGCAACTGAGGGCTGTTGTGGAAAGAACGGTCCAACAGGAGAGTGAATCTGCACACAGATTACGAATGAGTTTGTCTCCCGAATCCGCGGGATCTCCAGCAGCACTGATAAAGGAGGCAAAGGACATTCTGGAGAATGGACATAAGAAAGGATGGTGGGCGGGATACATAATGAAATTTACCCCAGACTTCGCTATCCTCCCTAAATACCCAGTCACTCTGCCAGAACTCCCAGGCCCAGTCCGGACGGGCACCTCGCTCACCAACTCGATCATCTTGACATTTGATGCCTGCAAACATGGACGTGTAGATCTCATAGTCCGTATGTGCATACTCAAGCATTACAGATGTAATGTATAAGGATAATGTTGGGGGTTGCGTCCGAATGACTGGTGTCGTTGTACCAGACGCGTCCGGAGCGGGGGATTTCGCTGCAGGATAAGAATATGTAAGTCTTATCCAGACCTTTCCATGAATTGAAGCAGTGGACCTATTTCCAACTTGAATTTGCCGTCCCCGAGCATAGGTGACTCTTTCAGAACTTCGATATCAGCCGATGCTTGACCGCCATCTGAGCTTGCCGCATTCTCATCACTGGTGGTCATCTCATCCTCAACGAATTCCTTGAGTTTGTGAACGTCCTTCACAATCCACTCGAATGCCTGGAGGACATTAGACGCGAGACGTAAGAAATCGCGTGAAGCACATGCTCACAGTGAACGACCAATGCCTCGTATTCTCTTCATTGTGCATCATTGTGGAGGTAGGGTTCATAATGCTCGAATTACGCCTCATCGGTGTCCCGCTTGTAGAGGATAACAGACTGGGACTTGAAGTGGAAGCTCTTAGGTCCCAGCCCTGCGTGCCGGAAGTACCCCCACTAGAGTGCGCAGACACGACTGAAGAAGATGAGCGGTGAGTGTACGTGGAATACGGCCAATGTGGTCTGGACAATGGTGATGGTCGACTTGGAGAAGCAGAAATTGGTGTGATTCGCGGTGACGACTGTCGAGATATGTCAGCCATTTGAGTCGTACTACCACAGGCTATTGAAGGAGTAGTTTGAACAAGGTCTTAGAGATTCAACAACAGTCCAGTCACAACATTGAGAAGCTGAAATCTGGCTGGCTGGCTTTGCAGTACAAGGACTGAGGCAACAGGGCAACCAAGTCTTGTCTGGTAATATTGCTTGATCTGGCGCTCACTGATTTCCGACGCTCTTCTCAGCTCTGCCACAAGGTGTCAAATCTGTAAAGCTACTATACGTACAAACGGCAATGGTTAAATAGCAAGATGACGAAAACACACGCAGAATAATCTCGAAAGTGAGGTCAATGAAGATCGCAATACTGTTGAACAAGACGCCCTCGTCATAATCAAGTTGCGTACAAACGCTGAACCCAGCGCGAACAGTCTTGCACCTCATAGTAACAACCGGGGAAAAGAATGTTAATGCATTGCCTTATATCGTGGAACGTATGTTCATCGTGCAGTCCATGAGAATAGCCCAAATCCAATACCCGTAACGAAGGAGCCCAAGTCGGAAGGACGGCAATATCATGTGGGTCCATTCTCTCATGGAAATCCAACATAACATGCAGTTCCAATAACGTTGGCGCTGCTTGGGCAACGTTAATCAGGAAGTCGGGCCCTGGAACCTCGGGACCAAACTGCCGACAAGCTGGACGAGGATTCAGGCTCAGAGCCCGGATCTTGGGCCAGCTGCTCAGCTTACTCCCAAGGTCCGCCATGGATATTGGGGCTGGGAAGGTGATCGAGAATTGTTGGATGTTGGTGCAACGCAGCAGCGGTGACCAGTCTACCCAGGCAGCTTGCTCGGGAAGACCATGTAGGATGTCAATAGAGACGGTGTTCAATCCGGGACAGGATTCAACTATCAGTTGCAATGCATCTCGCATTTCCGTGGCGCAGGATAGCGCACGGCAGCTAATGCAAAGTTCCTTGATCGTCGGTGAAAACGTATGGACAACGTCAACACATCGAAGGAACGATGCACTGATGCGCAGTGCGCACAGGTGTGGAGCGGGAGTCTGGATTGGTAGACGCGAGGCGTCCTGTGGAACAGTGTGAGCTGGAAGGCAAGCTAAGTGATAGCATGGACCGTACCCTGGACGTAGAAGGATCGATTATAAGGCCACCCTGCTTTTGCATGAAGAGCAACCTCGGCGACGGAACAACGCAGCGCTTTGAGGTGAGGGAGTTTTGTCAGGCCCAGCGACGTGATGAGATCCCTCGTTGACTGGGGAGTGGGGAAGTTTTGGAGGGTAAAGTAAGAGCCTCCTGGGGAGCGAACATGATATATTCGTGTGCATGGGCGTTCGAAGGATTAACTTTTTTTGTTTGGGCAGTTGCGAATGGCTACAAACACATTATGGCAGCCCCGTATGATCATAGATAGAAGTCAATTTAGGTAGCGCGGATAAAAGCGGAATGAAAAACAGCATGATATTCCATAGTAAAGATAAAGAAAGAAGGGCTTACGAATCGCACCGAACGCGATGCTGTGATAGATCGGCAAAACGGCCTTCAAGAGCAGAGGTTCACTGTAGTGACTTCGGCAGTGTATGATCTGCAGCTTTCCAGACATGAGATCAAAAAATGAGGGTATAATGCCAATGAAGGCGCGACGTCGAATCTGAAGATCTGCTGAAACGAAGCATCAAACCATGTCGGTTCACACAAAAGGGCCGAGGCGAATTCGAAGGGGGTATACGGAATGGAAGGTGGCTTTCGCTCCTAAGTCGCTCTTATTGGGCATTTTTCTCAGGGTCTTATGGTACGGCCGTACAGCCCAGGCCAATGAGGGTCAGCAAAAACAAAGCAACAGTGTGTGTTTCAAAACGGTGACATTTGCACCCCGAACGTAAAGTACCGACAGTAGATGGGAAGGGTGCAATGTCCCATCACCGGGGGAAGAAAGGCCACCGCTGATAAAATGACCTGGAGGTGTCCTTATGATCCTGAATCACAACAGAAGGAAGTTGAATGTGGCATTGAGGGCGAAATATCCGCGTTCCATTGCTCGCGTCCAGCCTCTGAGAACTATAACGAAAAGGCACTTCAGCTCCAGACAACAACGAGAAGAACGCTACATAGTTCCCCGTTTGATATCACAAGCGGAGGACCCATTGGCACGGGAACCATTTGCCCAAAGAAAGCGTCAATGGATGGCTCGACCCGCCGAAAAACAAAGAAGACACATACACATCATTACGCAACCTGCAGTATTGCTATTGTAGATAAGGCGGTAAACGTCCTATTTTTTCTCCAGGTAGACTCACCGCTACTTGGCAGAGAACTGGCTACTTTAGGTAGGTCATTGCGCTCCGGGCTTCTTCATCAAAGGGCTTGTCGGAAATGGAGAGTAGTAGGGTCTTATTGTTATAGCTATGTGTTCTTCCTTTAATTGTGAAGCGGGAGACATATGTGAAAAGTTGAAGAACACGGAGACAAGAGTTAGGAGGACGAATAATACAATCAAGTTGGTCTAAGCTTGGACAAGAGACACTAAAATGACTAAGCGCCCATGTCATTCTGAACTGCTAATTGCAGGTCGAGATGGCAGCAACGTACATATGCGTCCATAAGTCGCCGGGAAGGTCAATACTATTTGGAGACAATGCTTGTGCTAACGTACAGTAATGACAAAGGTGTGCTAAGAAATACAACATTGCCAGCCGCGGCAACCATCTCAGGCATGTGCGAAAAATACATCAATACGTCTCCCAGAAGACGTCCGGTAGCACCTGCCTCATTAACACCCAGTGGTGCAGGGCATCCACTTGTTGCCATCCGATCAACGGATTATTGCTATCCGTCAAAACATACTTGCTCTCGTCAACCACGTTTGTATCACCCATAATCATATCGAACGCCACTTCATGCTCAGGTAAGGTGGATAGTACCCTTTCTCTCAGATAGGACGTGAGGTAGTCTTCCTCCTTGGGAGGGCGGAACCTCAAAGGTTTGGATGAATGAGTACAAAAGAACACCTGTGACGAATGGAAGATAAGCACAGAATCGCTACATACACGGAGATTAGAACATACCCAATTTACAAATTCCGTTCGAAGCTGCTCCTCAGTCAACGGCTCCATCGAGTCGTGGAAGGCGCGACATTGTCCGAAAGCCTTCTTCAGGGTAGTAACAATGGCACGAGATGATGAGGAGCCCATTTTGCCGGCAAAGTTCTGCGTATAAGAAGCAAACATCAGGTGTCATATCAATTAAATGACTGTAAGAACAACGGCCTTACCACCGCGACAACGCCGGATGGGCTTATGATCGCCTTCAGATCTTCCCAGAACTGAATAGTGAATATATGCCCGGGAAGTCCACCCCCTGAGAAGCAATCGTGCACAACATAGTCGAACAATGGGAGGGAATCAGACTTGGTAGCCGTATCGCTGGATGCTTCAGGGTTCTTCAACTGGTTTCGTCTCCTGTGTACCCACTCTCGGGCATCCTCGAGGAACAGATGACCTTCCTGCGGTTTTGGCAAAGCGAAGAAATGTTCCGCAGCCTCGTACACAGCAGGATCAATCTCGACGATAGTTGTGGATACGTTGTGATGCATGAAAGCGGATGCTGAGATTCCAGCGCCTAGACCACTGCGACAAGGGAACAGTAAGTACATGTGTTTCCACTTGCAAGGTTATTGGACTAACATGATCAAGGCATTCTTCGGTGTACTTACCTCAGGCATGTCTACCAACCTCACAGCTTCTTGCAAGTTGAAAGTGCCATATATAGAATCCCCAAGTGGAGTCCCATCTCGATCAACAGCCAGAGGTCTCTGACCATCCCGTCTATACACTCTGTTCCCGATCCAGACACCTCCTAGAAGGGAATGTCCAGCACGAAGATACCTAATAGAATGAGGCTCCCTGACGTTGCCCGTCTCGATCGCCTCTGGTGTTGGGGGAAGAACCTCTCCAACTAGAATGACACCCGAATATATCGAACGGACTGAGGAAAGGACTCGGAGGGGAGCAGTAGGATGAGTGAATGGCTCGGGGAGAGGCTTGGGTAGGGTTGGCGGTTTGCCGAAGGTTATGAGGAGTGGGATGATTGGAAGAATCATAACACGCCATGCATGACTCTTCGCTGATTCAGTGGGCTTGTGGGTGTCCTTTGGTTTCGGCGGTTCGTTGGTGACCGCCGTCTTTGCGACAGCGTCTGCTTTAAGACGTTGTTTACGCTCCTTCTTGGTCAAAGACTCAGGTGGATTTGGGGTGGGCTGCTCAGTTGGCACAGTGGCGTTCCCCTGCAGTGTGAAGAATGGCATGAGTAGCCACAGGGTTATAGCGAAGCCACCAATCCATGACAACTGTCCAGCATAGTGTCAATATTTGAGCATGTATGCGTTTGATTTGAGCTTACAGTTAATGTTTCATCTAGAGTGTGAATGTAAGGGACGGCGGACCAAAGCTCTCGCAAGGACGTGAGGGCCATTCCGCAAACCGGCAGACTCATGACTTGAGCTCCTCCAGCACCGACAATGACATTGCCATCAGGGGATTCCTGAGCAGCTCATAAGTATAACATAGACTGTTATGGATTTTGGTTCTAGCCAAGCGGGCAAGGCTTCGTGATACAATTATCGAGAACTCACATGTGATGCCTTAACTATCCCGACGCCCAAGTAGAGAATAGGTGCCAGTACTAGCAAATGAGTCACCACTGGTCCCCAAATAACATCATGATATCGTCCAGTATATGCGGCAACCCAATACGCGGAGGTTGGTAACAAAGCCGCCAATATACCCGCCGCAAGGACAGCGGCGTTTGGCAACGTAGGAGCGAAGCTTCCGAGAATGCACGCAGACCAGATGACCTTGTTCAAATGGTACTCAACAGGAGCTGTTGCATACAGCGGCTCGAGCAGCCGTTGATATTCGAAGATTACGAAGGAAAGAGTGACAAGAGTGAGGATGGATAATGTATTGGCGACAGCACTGGCGAGGACAGACTTCTCTGGCGGTCCTGCGGGGTTTGGCATGATGGATTGGGTCAAGAGAGACTTTGATATGGCATGGATTTCGTGCCCGTTGTATCAGAGCAAAACTTCAAGCGTTCACGGAGAAATAGAGGAGATGTAGAGAAATTGTTACCGAGGATCTCCCATCGCGTCTCTCACGTGCAGCGCGATCGGAGCTCTCAAAACTTAGGGTATGTATCCTTGTTGTCGAGATGTGTGATACCGAACGGCTACAGAGGCATCCTTACATATAGTACATATACGCCGATCCGTTCTAATGTTACATCCACGGAGCACTCGTCTGTTAGACATCCAATCCAATTGGTACATGGTATCATTCCTCAGGCCTTGATCTTCTTCGCAAGATCGTCAATCAGTCCTTGGAGCCTATCCGCTTCATACTTGGCCAAAGTGGTATTATGTTCAATGGTCAATGCTTCAGTGAGCGCAGGGAGTGTTGTAGCACCATATCCTACAACGAACAATAAAATGTAAGCGCGTATGGAATATAAGCGAGACAACGTGCGACTTACCAAGCCACTTTCCTGGGGCAACACCCAAATGGCGGTACCACTCACGATCCCTGATGCCTTCCTCATGTATAAATCCACGCTCAAATGCAACAAGCTTCTGGTTGACTTTCCGGATACGCTTGATAACTTTCTCGAACTTCTTCCTGGGGAATTGCGGCTTGCCATGTCCATGACGATGCTCATGATGCTCCTGAACCCAAGCAGGGAACCGGCCAATGCGAGGTCTGAATTCGCGACCACTCTCGGATTTCATCGTAGGAATCACAGCGCCCTGAAGTTTGGCCTTGTGAGGACATTCACATTTTCTGCCAAAGACTTTCTTGATTTTGCAGAGAGCACGTCGAGCGTTGCGTCTGAAAATTCGCCTCCTAATAACGTGCTTGATGAGATGTCTCAACTCGCGCTCGGCCTTGAACTTTTCCTTGTCGAGGCTTGTGCTCGCAGACTGGAGAGTCTTGATGGACGCTCTGAGTGAAGAGAAGTCCACGTCAAGTGATGCACTGGAGGCGATGGATTCGACACTGCAAAAGAAAGAATTGAGAACACGGCACAAAACAGTGCCATCAGGGATACTGACTTGTCCAAGTAGGCTTGCAACTCGAGAGAATAATGCGTGGTGTTTAGAGGGAGGACCACAGCATCAGCAATGCCAAGGGTGACGAGACCCAGGTGTTTAGCGACGGCGACCTATGGAGAACCATTAGTACGTAGTACATCAACCCTAAGGGAATCGATCATTTACATGACGGAAGAAACCGGGGTCACCGTAAAGTTCCATCCATCTCTCGCTGTCGTATACACTGTGATAGTGATACACAGGATCTTGCAAGGTCGATGAGAAGCCTTCTCCACCGCTGGCAACCTAAGAATTGAAGCCATGTTTATCAGCATATCTAATGCATAGAGATAAAAGCACATACCCCCAAACGCTGCAGGAATACGGTGAAATCACTCCCAGAGCCTAGAGGCTTCACACCGAGGCTGTCAGCGGTTTTGGCGTCAGCTTCATACATCTGGACGACTTCAGCATCAATCTCGTCGCCAGTCAGAACACCGCTATCTTTGGTGGCATCCCATAATGTTAAGCCTGGCTTGGTAGGGTGAGGAATGCGCTGAGCGGTGTTGTGATAGAGGTGAGCGAGAGAAGGGGATGCGCTAGCACTAAATCTAGAGCCAGAAGCAGAACCATCTGTGAATGAAAATCGTCAGTCAGCCATGAACCAGACGTTGCCAGTGAATGAGACACGCACCAAGGTTGAGGTATGCGACAACATGTTCATCAATCCATTCAGCGAAGTCTTCGCCCCATTCCGTACTTCCGATTAGACCATACTGTGAAAAAAGTGAAATCAGGGTATATCCCTCCGATATGAACAGACGAAAAACGCACTTCTTCTCCATCCCAGCTGGCAATAACGATAGTCCTGAGTGGCTTCCATCCCTTCCTAACAAGAGCGCCGAGTCCACGAATGGTCTCGTGGATCGAGGCAGTCCCCGAGGTAGGGTCGGCGGCACCAAGTACCCAAGCTACAAAATGTATCGTTAGGGCGTGTGCATAGAATAATTTACCAGTGTGACGATTTACCATCTCGATGGTTACCAATGACCACAACCTCGTCTTTGATATGACCAGGAATGACACCCAACGTGTTCCAAAGAGGGATGACTCTGTCATCAACTAGAAAGACAGGCACTCAGCTGAAAGTCATGATGATGGTGCATTTGTCTGGTAAAATGTACCATGGTTGACCAGTGAGACTGTTCTATTCTTCCCGCTCTCAATTTCCTCGAGCAAAACCTTTGCGTTGTTCCAAGATAGAGGCAGACTGGGAATCGCAGGGATGTTCACCGAGTCGCTTCGAGTCGAATTCTCATACGAAGGATAACCCGGAGTAGTAGGATCACCAGGGTATAATGACAGATATTGAACGGATCCACGCTGAACAGAAGTTGGGTTGCGGGCAGGCCCGTTCGGATACCTGTGGTGTGGTGAATATCAAAATAGAAGCCAAAAAAGGATGAACGTGTAACATACGGAACATATCCATTCTCGACTGTCACTGTACCATCATCACGAGGGTCAGAATAGATGAGGACACCAGCAGCACCAAGTTCTTCTGCGCCTTTAACCTGTTATCTACCTGAGTCTCCATATCAAGTCACGATAGATTACATGCACACCTTGAGACCACGGAATATTCCTCCGTAGCGGACCAAAACAATAGTACCATTCAAGTTCACGCCTGTTCAATGTTGAGCCGAGATGAAGTACCGACTCAGGCCCGCAAGATACTTACCACTTTCAACAAGGGCCTTGTAATCCTCTTGCCTTCCATAGTGGCCATACACGAGCTTTCCCTTGACTTCACCGCCCTTGCTAAGTCCATGCCATGTCAAAACCTCCTCGAAGTACTTCCCAGCATCAGGATCGGTCTCATCCGCGACTTCCTCAAGTTTAGCTTTCCAAGCAACACTGCCGTCGTCCTCAAGGATTTCGACACTATGGTCCAATGGCGTATTGAGAACCGGGTAATAGGTATCAATCCATGCAGTTGGGGCAGTCAATTTGGGAATAGATAAGGTCGCGTTACGAGAAGCGGTGGTGCCAGCGGAGAAGAGAGGCTCCTCAGAGGGAGGCTTAATACCGAGCTCAGTTTGAAGTAGAGCGAGGAAATCTTTGGCAGTAACCAAATCCTGCGGAGACCCAGCGAGATGGGGTTTGCCTGCATATTTACGAGAGGCTTCAATGGAGCTCGCTTCATTGGGAACTTTCCTGCAGGTCAATTGAATGAGACATGCATCCTATGGTTTCAAACCAAGACACCTACAAGAACAGCTCCTCCGCCAACTTTCCGTTCAGAATCTTATGGCTATGATGACCATGATGGGGATGATCGAGGAGTCCGTAAGGGTTAGACAAGAACTTCTCAGCCTCAGCATTAACTTCCGGTCTAATCACATAAACCCAACGGTGGACAGTCAACACCAACAACGAAAGGGCGACGCAGTGCACCAAGATCTTCCTCAACCAAGACTTCTTCTTTGGGAGAGAGTGTGTAGTCGCTGCGGCTGGAGGCGGGATCCCGGGGAACCCGTCCGAGTCGGTGTGCTTCTCATTGGTAGAGAGCAGCGATCTCTTAGTGTCAGTACCCATAATGCTGTCACCGTACGGCAGGATGTAGTGGTGGTTCAGAAGAAAGAGGACATGAAGAATATAAGGCTCTCAGATCTCCAAAAGTGGTGAGGAATGTCGCAATATTGTGGTGCCTTTCGTGCGAAGAGAACGCTGCGGTCAGCCTGCGAAACTCCATGATCGTGTCCACATGTAAGTGTGAAGCCACTGCGCTGCCGATACATTTACGCTATCTACGGCATGAACAATGTCTTCAAGAAAGTCCAAGATTCCAAACGGTTCGTATAATACATCAGTTGTTACTGTATTTCCACATTTTTCTGTCCATATTGCAGTTCGCCGTATATCACCAATCCCTCCTGGGTTTCTGTTCCAATTCAAGCATAGTCGAAGTCCTCCGAGCAGTCTACACCTTCGCAAGTACGATGCAAGTCCTGGACGGGACATATACCTGCTCAACAAGCATTAAGCAGTGCAACGTGCTTCAGTATAAGAGAACAACTCACATGAGTCCAGTTCTTTCTGTTATTCCATTCCATCGGCGTCGTGAAGAACTTCGAGTTGATATCAATATTATCGAATCCACCAAACCTCTTTTCATCACTTGAAAGCGCGATATGATATTCTCCCGGCTCCTGGACGCCTATTCTGTAATCCAAGAACGAATTTGTAGGATGGAAGTTGAACACAAACACCAACCCCGCGCGCTCGTACACAATCACTTTGTCGACTTCGTTCTTCAAGGAAACGTAGGCTTGGGGCGCTGCAAGCCAGCCATACTTGTCTTCGAGATGGTTCATGGCCTTGTCGAACTCGTTGAGGTACCTGTAGCGAAGAAGTGGGTCGTCGACAACGTTCCATTGTCGGCGGGCGTAGTGGAAGGAGTTTTCATTACCCTCGCGAGGGAAGTCAAGCCACTGATATCAATTCAGTACCACGTAAAGAAGCTGTATATCTTCTCACTGACCTCAGGATGACCGAATTCGTTACCCTCGAAGTTCAGGTAACCTTCTCCGCCCAGGGAATGAACCAGGAGACTGCCGAAAGATAAGTCTCGGACTAAAATGTCAATTATGGACACCTACCGAATCATCTTGTGTAGAGCTATACCCCTAGCAATAACAGGGGTATACTCCGTAAGATCTGACATGTTGGTGTACATCTCCTTGTCCATCAACCAGAACGCCAAGGTTTTGTCACCGACCAAAGCCTGATCATGACTCTCGGCGTAAGCGATACTCTTCTCGCCATGTCGACGATTGGTCAAAGTATGCACGATATTGGACAGATCCCATTCGTCGTCCCGTTTGTGCTTCAGCAGCTTGATCCACATATCCGGAATGGCCATGGAGAGACGATAGTCGAAGCCCACGCCGCCTTTAGAGACTGGGATACAAAGGAGGGGCATGCCAGAAACATCCTCGGCGATGGTGATACATTGTGGATACAGCTCATGCATGGAGTCGTTCGCCTGGCAGATGGATTCAGTCTATACAGTCCCAGACAGGCAAGACTGATACGTACGAGCATGAGGTACACAAGGGCCTCGAGATCAACGGTATCGCCGAAGTACTCGTTGTAGCCACCCGAGAAACCTGTACCGATTCCATGATGCTTGTACATCATACTGGTGACACCGTCGAATCTGAAGCCATCAAACTGATACTCCTCAATCCAATAACGGAGGTTGCTCATCAAAAAGCGCAATACTTCATGGTGGCCGTAGTTGAATAAACGACTGTCCCAGAGTTCGTGGCGACCTCTGCTGCCTTCATGGAAATACTGGTGGTCGGTGCCATCAAATTGGTTCAAACCATCGAGGACGTTGTTGCATGCATGAGAATGCACGATATCAAGTAGGACGGTGATGCCCATGCCATGTGCGGTATCGACAAGTTCCTTCAGATCTTCTGGAGTACCATACCGGGAGCTCGCAGCAAAGAAGCTGGTTACCTGGTATCCAAAAGCTTCAAGCAAAAGGTTATGATTACGATCTAAAGGCTTGGAATTGGGAATGACTTACAAGCATAGTAGGCATGTTCCATAATGGCCATGAGCTGGATCGTATTGTAACCAAGATCCTTGATCCTTGGCAACATATAGGAAGTGAACTCTTTGTACGTTCCAACTCGGTATTCGCTCGTGGAAATGCCGACGTGAGCCTCGTAGATGCGAACACTTCGAGGTTGAGGAGGTTTCGCGTGCTTGAACTTGTGCTTCTCTTCCTCAGGTGGATTCCAGAAGCGAGCGTCGTATACCTCAGAGACAGACAGGTCCTGTGTGACGCGAGTAATCCAAGCAGGAAGACGCTCGATACGTTCACCTGAAGGGGTGACCATGGAGATCTGCGTGAAAAAAGTTGATTAACTTCGCCTCGACGCAGGAATGTCACATACCTTGAGCTTGGAATCGTGAGGGATCGCGACCTTTCCGTCTGAAGTAGGAGGAACAGTAATTGACCAGACGCCAAACTCGTTCCTTTGCATAGGATGCGAATCCCTACTCCATTCGTCTCGAACGAAATGTCAGTATAAAGGAAACGGCAAAGATAAATCACTAAGGCAGAATACATACTGAAATCGCCTGTCAATACGGCCTCTTTGACATTCGGTGCCCACTCTCTATACACTACCGACTTATCCGGCAACACATTCAGACCAAACTTCTTATAACCCTGGGTGAAAGAGTCATATCCGCCCTCAGTTTCCTCCAACTTGTTCTTCCAATTCCTAAACAGGTCGTGGCGGTGAATGATAGCAGCGACATTTTCCTCGAGCCACGGGTCGGTGTCGAGGATGGTCTTCCTATCGAGGGACGCGGTGGACATGGTGGTCAGTGAACTCGTCGTTGAACGTACTATCGATGGGAAGAGGGGTGAGATAGAAGTTAAGGAGAGACTGATTGGGGCATTTATTTAAATTTGTTCGAGGACTTTTGCTGGGCTCGTATGCATTTGGGAACGGCACCGACCGCCAATCGACGCGTCTCGCTAGTGACGTCAGTTCCAGTCTACCGGTAACGTCCGCATCACCGTATAAGGCAGGTATATTAGTTGTTGCTTTCTCCATTCACCTTCAGCTATTGTACATGTACATACTGTGCAGTACTAAGGTCAATAACCACTCCACCTCTAACTCAAATGAATAGAATGAGAGATGTGCCTTCCGCTCGGCGCCGGCCAAAAGGTAGACGCAGAATCTATAGTAGAAGTCAAATTTGCGTGCAGGCTCAGGAGCAAGCTCCAGACATTGCTCTTCCGGGGAAACGCCGCCAACCGGGCCGCGAAGAAAGAACGCAGGAGACAGGCCGCGATGGGCCACAGGCACTGGCCATAATTGTCAATAGCAACGTTAACGATACGTCGCATCTCAATTTGAACGAAACATGCGATACATCAAATAGTACCAGTGATAAGGTTTCTGAATGTCATTATAACGAAGAATATGAAATAGTTGTGGATCTGAAATATGCGCGCAAACAGAATAGAGAGGATGTACAAATCGAAGAAGAAAAGGAAGAAACCTGAAACATGCAGCTACTCTCAGAGATCCTCAACCGCGGATCCATCCACTATTGTCAACAGACTCAGGAGTACACGCTTCCACATTCGTATCAGGACTGACCGTCGTCAGCTGATCCAGAGTAGGTCCAAACGATGCGCTAGGAGCCGCATTGACTTTCTGAACAGGTGGGTCCGCCACCAGTTGATGCTTCGACGCTTCTTTGGAAGTCGGCCAGAACGGACGGCTCGTAGTAGGCTCCGGACTATTACGCGACGACGACGAGCTCGAAGATGCTTGTTTGCTATTGGGGCGTCGATGGCCAAAAGAATCTCTAGAGGTGGATCTCCCACTTCTGAATCCATAACTCCTGCGTGGAGTTCCCTCTAAGCCTGGAGGTGGAGGTCCACGGGGCATAGGTCCTGAGCGTCTGCGTTCAGTTGCAGTAGAACGATGGTCATCCAGAGCCTTAGGATGTGCATTGGAGAAGGGCTTAGAAGAGAAGCAAGCCATGTCGCCTCCTTCTCTCTTCCGCCAGGAGGGGTTGCAGTCTACAGATGATTGCTCCCCCGGGACCGGAGATCGCCTCCATGAGCCAGCATCTGAAGGAATCGTGTCTCGAGAAGAGGAACTAAAGATAAACAGAATACTTCATCAACTAGAAGGAGCGATACTTGTAACGAAGAGGCCCTACCTAGTCTCCTCGCTCGTGTGTTGCTCAGCTGAAGACGTCAGCTCATCAACAGGTGCAAGTGTAGACACCGGGCTGGTCGTCTCACCAGTACCGGCCAAGACTCTGTTCAGACCATGAACTGCGTCTGAAGCAATTTCACCCGCCGCGGTCGCTGGCCTCAACCTCCCGGATATGTTCAGCTCTAAATCGACCTCAAGTAAAGTCTTGTGACGAAGAGCAGGATCATTCATCCTCGCCTCCTGTAAAAGCGCAATGAGAGCGTCCACTTCATTCACGCTAGGGCCCATCCCGTCAGAAGATGCAGGTGGGGACGGCGGCATTGAATAAAATTGGGGTTCTGTGTGTGAACGTGTTGTGTCACCCAGCGTGAGAGCAGGGCAGGAGAGTGCAGATGGTGGGTCTGGGGACCTAGACGATGTGTGACCACCAGATTTCGACGCCTTTGCAGCAGAAGTACGCCGTCCACGGCCCCTTGTCGGACGATCCTGGCGAGAACGCTTCGATCTCTTCTGTGGTGATGGGGCTTCGCCAAGATCGTCCGGTGCCATGGCCCAGTTTGGCTCTGCCTCTGCATGTGGTGCCATCTGTTGTGATGAAAGACCGGTGGATTCGCCAACCTTTGTTGGCTTCCCACCCACAGGTGTAGGGGGAGGCATGGGTAGCGCGAGAATCTGAGAAGCCACCTCGGGATATTTCAACGCAAGCTGTAACGAATGAGATTAGTCTGGATATAAGAGTAAATACTGGCTGTATGCGCGTACATTTGTCGTGTCAGCATAAGTTTTGGGGCGCGGGACGTTCAAGGGCATGATTATGTCGCCCTCGAGCCAGATCTTTTGCGTAGTATCAGTCTTGCCTGCATCTGACTCGCGTGTAGAGTCCGCCTATGGTAAGAGTGAAGATCAGTAAGTGAAGCGTTGAAGAACGAAATGGTTATTCCACATACGCTGCTCGTCGGCTCCGATACTTGACGGCTCGCGTCTGCTGCGACAGCCATCTCGGTGCGCCTGGTATCAACTGCATCGTGTGACTGAGCACCGAGAGGGAGTGTAGGTCTCGCGGCCATGAGTGATGTCCTGAAGGTGATGATGAGAAGTTGAACTTGGAGGCTAGACGCGTTGAGGCGACGGTTAAGACGTCAGCCACTGGGCTGACTTTCCAATGACGGTTCTTGAAACGCGGCATGTCCCGTAGCGGAATTCACTGGATCTATGGTGTTATCTCAAGGTGGCTGACATAGGAGATGTGAAGAATGAAGAATGAAGTAGGTGACCTGCCAAATTGGGGCGTCTTCCTTCTTGATATGGAAGGTGCCAAGTTTTGATCGTCGTTGTTCGTCATTGACGTCACCTTCTCCCCCCTAGCGGAGTTCCTTCAAAGTAAGTTCTGGCGGTTTGAGTTAGGGACTAGCTGAATAAACCATACTACATATTATCACCTAGATCCTACCTATAATACGTTACACAAGAATGCGTTCAGAGTAGCGAGTCCAAAATCAAGCCTTCAAAAATCAAGCCTTCGGTTGTAATGCCTTCAACTTGTTCGCTGCTCGGATGAACAGGACCACAGGGATCACTGAGAGAGATTTTATCAACGTATTTCAATATACCTTCCAAGAAGATAACCTGCCTGTGCTTGCAAGCCATGTTGCAGACCTGAGTGTCAACCCATCAGTCTTCACCCCCTTCAAACATCGCGTGTGTACACACCTTAGGCTTGCTTGCTTTCCATTTCGCCGATTCATGCAGATGTAATTGTATAGCACTCTAAGAGCAATGCTGGAGTAGACGTCAACTTCATGCAAGATCAAGCAAGCTCCGGGGGACGGACGTACAAGGATGCGGATGCGGCATTCAAGAACACGTCGTCCAAGCCGGCTAAGTTAGCTGCGAGCTGTTATCATTGATGTAAGTATGAAATGATCTGCCTTGGAGATACCGACTTACGACTGCACCGATCCATAAAGGAAGAATCTCGAGCGAGTTCTACATATTAAAGGGGTTTACAGGTATCTTTTCGCGCGAAGGATAGACAAACCTTGTATGTTGCCTCCCTTCGCTCTGATTCCTCCGTAGGTGCTGGGCTCACATCGGGATTTTCATATAAGCTATTGATATTTGCTGGGCGATACTGTCTACATCACATAAAGACCTGTCGAATGCCTTCCCGTGAAGGACTCTGCAGAAGCGGCGTACTTGTCGAATCCTATTGCTCTATCAAAAAGTCCCGTCTGTCCGTCCTTCAGTTTGACAGGCATAAGTTGTCAGATGGAAATTACGTACCCTTCTCTTTGCAGACCAGATTCCTACGAAGTAAAGCAGCGGAATGGAGTAGAGAGAAAGTGGTGTATTCCAAATTTTCCTAACTTGTGACATGTTACCTGTTCGAACGATAGTTCACAATGGTTGTTCAAGGGGCTGGGGGCGAGGGTCCAAGAAATCGATGTCGCCGTCACTCCAACAACTTCACTATATAACTTGAACGCTAATGACGTCAATAACGTTATTGGAGTATACCGACCGCCATCCTAACGGGATGCCCCAAAGCGTAGTATGCGCTCAGCGGCTGTCGATCATGGATCGATTAGTGAGAGGAACTTGTTTCCACAATCAAAGGTTAAATTCCCCAAGATGATAAATACCCGATAAATCACATAGTAAGCAACCAAGCGAGCGAGGACGTGCTGGACAACTGCTCCGAATCATCACACTAGTCATTCTTAGTATCATTGCGAATCTCGGGCACAGGACCTTCTTCAGGTCGCCTACCTGAAACCTTGACGAAGTCGTCCATCGCGTAATCACATCCTGATAACTATAACAGAAATCATCAATACCTCCCCTTGTGTATGAGGATCAAGTGAGACTCACCCATTGTGCAAAATCCCTGATAAAGCTTGGCATAACCCACAAGTAGGGAACGAAGTGAGCGTAGAAAGGCAAGTAAATTACCCTGGAATGTTGTTCGTCCAAAGCGGCTATGACTGCCTTCGCTATCGTGATCGGAGCCAGACTAGGTACGAAGAACTTGTACAACCTGGATTGTGAAAGCCGGACAGTGGAGAAAAGAGGTGTGAGGATATGGCCAGCGATAAGCAAGGTTGTGCGGACGCCAGGCGCGTTGTATTGATGATCGAGTTCGTAACGCAGGGATTCATGGAGGGAGATCAGTGCCGCCTTGGAAGCATTGTAGTCAACTGAGACAGGACGTCAGTCATATGTAGAAGGAACAATCTGTGCAATCGTACTCATTTTAGCCATTCCAACCATGCCAGCCACAGAGGACATGTTGATCTGAAGAAAGTTGAGTCCACACTCGAACATGCGTGCAGGCGAATAGCTTACAATGTGACCAGTCTTGTTCTTTATCATCTCGGGGAGGAAAGCTTTGAGAGTCCAGAAGTGCGCAAGCGTATTGACGGAAAGAGTCCTATTAGGCATCTAAGTCTGAAAGGAACACCAGACGCTTGACTGAAAACATACTGTTGAATATCCTCAGGTGTGAGGTCCAAGAGAAGCTTGCCCTGGACAACCCCCGCATTGTTGATGAGGACAGTAGGATGCCCGAGCTCCTCAACAATCTGTTTGGAGATGGCTTCAACCTCCTCCCACTGGGATACATCGCATTTGTAGTAAGTGATATTATCTACAAAAATCAATATGTGCTGAATGCCCCAAACTGTTCGTTTTGTACTCACAATTCTCTGTGACTATGGGGTTGACATCCAGCACGACGACAGTCACGTTTCGGACAGCGAGGGTATTCGCGATAAGTTCACCAATGCCAGATGAACCTGTAATGTAGAGGAATAAGAAAATTTGAGTCACCGTTAATGAGAGTATACGCATACGTACCTCCAGTGATGACCACAATCTGCTCTCCCCAATCAAATGGCCCTGGACCAAACAACAAGCTACCTTGGTTGCGAAACAACCTCGAATACCATTTCACGAACCCTAGAAGATCATCAGCATGTCAATACATCCAGCTCATTAAACAGTCATGGCTGGAACTTACAGAAAAGGGAGGTGGCAGCACAAAAACCAGCAGATAGCACTATGACGGAGTCCGGCCAGCGAGCTCCTTGGAAATAGTAGAAGACTGGAATGAAGAAGGTAAAGAAAGGACCTAGAGAGTTAACTTTGTCAATCCTTGTTCTCTGAGCTGACCGTACGAGGGAAACTGACTGAACGCAGTGTGAGACAGTACTTTGACCACTAAGTCGATATCAAGAGCGTCGAAGATCGGACCAGTTTCGTAGCTTTGTTCATGATCATCCATAGCGGGTTATTGGTACTATCAAAAGTTGGAATCCGTTTAAAGCAGGTCCGAAAGGAAAGAAGAGACAGGCACAGCCTGAGGAAAGATGGTAGAGGGATACAAACGCGACGTGGTAGAAAGTACTGCAAAAGTACTGTGAGGGTGCGCGTCTGGACCCATAACGCGTCTTGACGGCACCAGCCGAGCAGGCAGAACGAAGAATTCATAAATTGCAATTGCAACAGTCGTTATGCACACGATAGTATTCCAAGAAGAACTGACATATATACTGCAAATTACACGTAGAACAGAGCAGAAAATGTTGAGATGTCGGTCTGAACAGTAACCGATGGAGACCAATGGATACCAGGTACATGAAGTAGGATGGGAATCATGGACGACAAAAGGTTCCCACCAATATTGAGCATTGCAAAGTGAAAGAAAAAAAAGCTGCTTCAAAACGCCTACAGGAGCAGTACTTGAGAGTGAGAGGAGAGAGACCGCCATCGCAAGATGAAATAACCTGAGACAGCGTGTAACTATTGACGGTTGTTTCCAACTTCGGGCATGGGTAGCAGAGACGAACAAACGGAGACGTCAAAGTACTTCGTCAGGAAGACTTAGATGTTGCCATGATACCGACAAGCCACCCACATCCATGGACGACTAGAAAGTGTATGCGAGTGAATCGACGCGATGACCGCACAATAATTGGACGTCGGAGGCATTTAGTTGATCCGGGGCATTTGGAATAATCGACTCTCGCTTGAGTTCGCGTAAGTGCGGAACACCTTGGAAAGGCAAAAGTAATCCTGGGAGGACAAAGGAACAATGACAAGACGCCGTGTGGCAAGACCACCGCGCAAACGTCCAAAGTAAGTTATCAATAGAATTGACACTCTCTCATATACCACTCACATATATGCGGTATCACTTCTTTTCACTTCTCTCATAAACTTTTGACTTCCACCAAGCTTCACCTACCATACACATCACTCACCCCGAGTTCTTCATACGATGGCGTGTGCCGTATCACAGATATCCGCACCCGGACCTAGTCGCTATACACACATACCTGCAGTATGGAGATTCGCTGCAACAACGCGTTCAGACACGGTATTACTGTCGGGCGAAGACCACGATGAGGACACGAAGGAAAGGCAGCGACGGACTTCATCTCGACGAATCCGGCCAAGCGCACGTGCAGTACGCGCTCCTCCTTCGATCAATCGAGTTTGTGTGGAATTTGTTCCGCACTATCGTCAACGCCAACGCCCTACCTCTTCGCCACTGACGTCGACTTTGGATACAGACTTGACCAACCCATTTACCAAGGAATTTATATCGTGTGCAAGAGATGGAGAGGTCGCCTTACATTCGGTATGTTCTCAGCTGCGTCTAGTAACCGGGTATCCCTCCGAACGTCCTTACATGGCTTCTTCCAGGGCGATCCACACTCCAATTTCGCAACTCATGAAGCAGGTCAGGGAAAGACCGGGTCGGCCTCTCATTTGCTTCGGAAATTGCAGGATGCCACAGCGTGTGCACAGCCAACATGTGTTCGCGACGAGGTCCCAGAGCGCCCAATAGCCCTTGTGTTCGCAGTATTTGAAGAGGAGGAGCAGGCTTCAGTGAGTTTCTTTCTTACCACCAACACCCATCATACTCGTTAAACGTACAACACCCACAAGCCTATTCAAGATGCCATCTCACACGACATGCTCGCTCTGGTGAGGTTCTTCGCATACATTTCCTTATTTACGGTTTGCCTGACTAACTTCCATTCTTAGAACCCAGCCAAATCCACAGATAGTCGACGTATTCAATTGGGAAGTGTCTTTGCTTCCGATTCTTTAGATATTAGCCCTTACGATAATTGTCTTTCCGAAGAGGTAAGCGTGGTCTATGATCATATAGTCGGGGCCAAAGCTTTAAACCGCCCCATAGGAACTCCTCAGAAGCCTTCGTGTTAACAAACTCAACCTTTTCCTTGAATCCGACCATCCTGAACAATCCCCTCACATTGTCATCAGTCCTCCCGAGTCCCCCGAAGACGGTTACTACGGATACATCTACAATGATGTGGAGTCGCAATGTGGCGCATACCTGTGTGTACCGCCTCGAGTTGAAGGACATGGCGAGATCACCATCTTGCCTCCCGACGACCGACGTTCTGCCTGGAAGAGTGTCCTAGTAGATTCCGGTACTAAGGCTCCTTGCCCATGGCGAACGGATGATTTGGCGCCGCCTGCCACTGAACTAACCGCTGAGCCGTTAGATGGTCCTCATGTTTTCTCACCGTCCAATTACAACGAGGAGGTGCGTCGCAAACGTCTCTGCTTACATGCCTTTGCTGGATCTTCGAGCCTATAGATCGATTTGGCCTCAACAGAGAGGCTCGTGATGTACCACGTTGTGCCTGCCTTACATCGAACTATCTATAAAGTTGCCGTAAGTGGTTTAACCTATTGGAGCGGACTATAACTGAATAGTCAATGTTGTATCGCAGGCGATACAGGCGAGCATACTAGCTGCGGAATTCCGAAGAAACTGGGATTCTCCAGACTTTGCGTGGAGCGTCGAGAAGCCATTTCAATGGACTGACCCTGCGGAGGTAGTGTACAGTCTCTCTGACCTATCCCCCTTTCACGCTGAATTTTACCAACAGCCTCTCCTCGCCTATCACCATCGTCAAACTCGTTCACTTATTCTTGACTCCGCTGAACCATTCCTAGCCCCCCATATCATTATCGAGGAAGCTGAGCCTCAGGATCCCGACGAACCTTATGTCAGCGGTACTCGGAATCCACAAGACTACGCTTTCGGTCAACTTCTGATCGTTCCTGCACGATATGTGAACCTGATCAATGTAAGGCGACTAGGTGAGGACAGCTACGATGAAGACGAGGACGAAGACGAAGATGACGACGAAGATGACGAAATTATCGGCGAGGACGAAGGCGAATATGACGAAGTCATCGATGAAGTCGAGTCCCTCGAAGCTATCCCAGATATGTACCCGGATTCATCGTCTGACTCGGATGGCCCTTCATCGCCTTCATCGCCTCTGGATGCGACCTGGTTGGACTACTCCCAATTTTCCGATGAAGTGATCAGCAAGGACGGGCCAGCCGATCTATTTGATGAACCCGAATATGCAATTGACGAGGACGACGATGAACTACCTCCTTTCGATGACTGGTATGTCAGTGTTGCGCAGCGTTCTATATGATGCCAGGCTGCTGCGTTTGGGGCTTTGAACCCCATTTGGAAAGGAGGTCGTATGTTTGCCTGGTGTTTCGAGCATACCCACATGTTATTCTACGTGATACCTGTAGTTCGTCACATCACCCTCTGGACTTTTGGCTTACATGTATGCTTACTTACTGACTTTTGCCCTTTGAATTGGACAATTTTTACTTCTCCTCGTGATCACTATCAGGCAGGGAAACCGGGTCTAGAATTCTTTCATCTGAAGTTGAAATTGCAGGCGGAAACACAACGATCGTCGCTATTCCTTCTAGGAAGAGCTACAAAGTTGCACCGCAAGCGTCTGACAGGATATGGCAAACGTGCCAAGAGATGCGAAAAGAAGACGCAATCGCCTCCGGGTTCCGATGGGATTCAATGTAAGTGCCCGAGTATCGACAGAACGTGGTGAAAGCCGTTCAATGGCAAACACGCCCGACATCCGCGCATCAGCACAGGCGAGTGCCCAAGCGGTAAACGGGACACTGGAATTGAGAAAGCGGCAGTCATAAGACCTAGAACACCGGTAAACGCCACCGCGTATACCGAATGAGGGATGCGAAAAGGCTAACCTTAGCTAGCTCGAGTCATTAGGCACAAAAACGGACTGACAGTGATGATTCATGACGCCAATGAATTTCCAACTTTATAAGTGTCAGATGCGCAGTTCTGAAGTTACCTCGACCTAACGGCATACAGGCTTATACAGGGCACGGTTATAGAGCGGGTGAGAGGAAGAAGGCAGTTTGAATACTACTATTGATAGATCCATGGATGTCTGTACAGTACCTTCACAGTCCTTTCACAGACCTGATCAATCCAGAGAACAGTTATACAAACCCTTATGGGCTTCAGAAGAACGCGGCGGACACCATGACCCATGACGCGTGACGTCTCGTCAGATCGTGTGGACGTTGATTCATCCGGTAATCAAGCGTATGGCAAGGAGAACGTCTGTCGGCAAAGATCTGCTCAGTAGAGAAGCTAATGTGAACGGGAGAACTCACCTGAAAGAGTATAGATAATTGCACCCGTGTATGTGTAGATAGAGTATCGAAGTTAGCTGCCCACGCTAGTTCATGAGAGTTTCGATTGAACGCGCGAGACTCATATTTTCGCGTGCGAGAGCATCAGAATCAAAGAAGAGGTCTAGACTGCGAATACTGTGGCTCTGTGATACGAACGTGCACAAACTTTCTATGGTAGGAGCATTTCCATACGATACAGAAGAGCGCTGCGTTTGTGGTGTGTATCAACACGATAAGACAGCAGGGTCTCGACCATAAGATGGTAACAGGCATCAAGCATCAAGAGTTAAGCAGATGCAGACTTTCCCTGATAGAGGACCACTGAAGCACACGTCATTGCACAAGAATGAGTGAGAAAGCAAGCTGGGAGATACCGGCGGCTTGATATGTGGACTCACAATTCCAATCAGAAGGTGTGTAGGAAAAGAAGCAGGATATCGTGAATCCCTGGTCACTTGTCCAATACTGAGAAATAAAGAAAAAATCAGACAGAAATTATCGCGAAGAAAGCAGCGTTCTCTGGCCTAGCACTTTCGACACGGGGGGGTTTTTGCAAAGAACCTAGACAACCAAACACCTCTGCGCGCCTAAAGGAGTAGGAACGAAGCAAGCGCTGGTACCCCTGATCGGGCCGAAGCATTTTAGAGAAATTAATTAAAGAGGAAATTGACTCCAGTTAAGGAGGAGGAAAGCGGAAGACCATCAGCTCTCTTCTCTGCACAGGACATCCACCTTGCCCTCGTGTTTCCCCTTTGGCCTCTGCGGTCTATCCTGCCCCCTATACCCAGATTCCACCTCTCATCCGCGGCCTACAGCTACCTGCAAGGTACTCCATCAGGTCTCCACGCCTTATAGTCCTGCTCCATCTGCCAGTCCCACCGTTTATTCTCTCTCTCGCACACTTTCCCTCAGAGACTTGGTAGCATGACGGACAGTGTCACTATTTCTCTTCTTCCTGTGTCACTTTCTATTGTGCATGTACCTCGTTCTCGTATTCACAGTCTATGTCACCCCTTACTGCGACAACTGTTGCTCCCAAACCCTATGTTTCTGAACATTACATGCAACGAGATTGAGCTCAGCCTATTTGCCGAACACCATGTCCTCAAGGAATTCGAGCCCATTGTCAAGAAGGATGCACGACGACTGAGACTTAGGGGGAGAACTAACCACGCTTCCGACGATAAGCTGAAACGTCGGTCGTCGACGGAAGGCTGGGAGGCCGTGGAAATGTCCGCCGAAAGGTGGAATGTCCTTCAGATCGACTCCCACTCAAGTAGTCTGGGTATGTACAGTGCCTTACTTCCATGTACTCTAGACGCTAACACTTTTGATCAATTTTCTCATAGATACTTCTGGAGCCCGCATACATGAGCTTTCAGCACCACTGGCTGCTGCTGGCATATCTATCCTCTACCAGTCCTCGTACATGAGCGACTTCATCTTCGTGAGCACCTTTTCATCAGTTTATTTTCCTCCCCCCATATCTTACACGTAATGTATTTGGATGGAATTCTGTTGACCGCTTGACTCCTGGCTAGGCCATCTTCCAGGCCTTGTATCGCCTTCTTGATGGTCTTGCTCGGTGCCGGGTGATAGACAGATGTCTATGAAATGTCATTCATTTCGGCTTTCATGTCTCCGCCCCCGTTTCCATATTTCCTGACTCTAGATTACTGATAACGGTTGTCTACAGGTCAAACAGCATCGACTTTCTGAAGTGATGTCGCTGCTAGGTTCAGCGGGATTCAACCTGTACTCGTCGGACCCACACAACCTCACATCGCAACTCTCTACCTTGACTTCTCCCATCCTCTCTCCACTGAGCGCCGAAGATTCGTCTTCGATACATCTGCTCGACCTCACTTCGTCGACTACTTCTACCTCAGCTATCTCTCCGGAGAGCGGCGCAGTTCTCAGTCGCTCTCGGAGCAGCACTGATGCTAAGCAACCCAGTCGACGCCCATCTTCCATGCATCTTACGGAGGAAGCGCTGAGGGAAGCAGAGTCGACGCTAGACACCTCAGAGAATACTCTGGATATTGAGCGTCCACTGACGGCTAGATCGCAAAGCCATTCCCCGTCTGGGTGTGATGTCCAGGTACTGGAACCCGACCTAACGTGCATCGGTCTTGCAGACGATTGCGCGGATATGTGGACTCTCAAGATCATGAAGCTGGTCGCTTTCCCAGACTTAATCCCTGGGGTCGCGGCATCCAGCACTTTGAAGTCCCGTCGACATTCTGTTGCTTCCGGTAAGCCAGACTTGGCACCGACCGATGTGCCCGCTAGATCCGCTGTTGAGGATGAGAGTGAAGAGATATCCGTTGGGCTCACTTCAGACAGTGAAACTGAGAGCGGTGGAAGCAGGAGTGATACCACGACGCGAGTAGGTCCAGACTCGCCCAAAGATATCTCCCCCTTGGACTCAGAATCACCCCTTTTCGAATTGGAGCAGGACCTGCCTTACGAGGACGCCGATCGCGAGTTTAGTGCGGAAGATGCGGATTCAAGCGATGATGAGAGTTATCATTCTGCCAGCCTTGGGAGCCCAGCACAGACCTACCCTGATGACAAGGGTACGCACATTTCACGACCTAGACTTGCACATCTGGATACGGGGTCGACTGTCACTTCACCCCGTCGTCGACGCCGTGCAGCATCAGAGGCAGACTCGGCCGCGCGATCGAAACCGGATCCTTTGGTCCCGTTCTTCTCATTCACTAGAACTCCAGAGGGGTCTTCATTGACAGGTTCTGTGGCACTCTTGGCTGCGCTTTTCCCTCCTAGCGAGCGCCATATGGTGATATGTAGCGGCGAGCTTGATATCCAAGATTCTCGTGCAGCGTCACCTCAACGTCTTATGGAACCTCTAGAAACCATTGCCGAAGATGGACTCGAGGTTGGAGAAGGTGATCTACCGGAGCCTGAAGGGACAATGAAGTGTCTACAGATTGACCTTCGAAAATTCGGCCTTGGTACGCCTTCATTCATCTCTATAACAAGTACCAGTTGGGGTCTCACCTTGACCTTCAGATAAACATGGTCTCGTCAGCCGATACTCTCGCGCGTTAGAACAAAACGGCATCAACCACATGTACAGTTCGACGTTCAAAACTGCGAACCTTCTCGTAGACAAAGCACACGCTACCCGTGCACAAGCTGTACTTCGCTCTTGCTGAGCTTTCCCCCTCATTCGATTACCTTGCTTCATAGCTTACTATCTCCATGACTATCGTCATGCTCCTTACGACAAAATGACCCTTACGATTCGAGATCATACCTCCCCATCACTCCTCATCTCGATTGCACATCGCTCGGGATAGACCTATGCTGTTTCTAACACCATCCCCATCTGCCTCCCTGCATCTTACGATACGAATGCCTGCTTAGTACATACCTCATACCGCTCTCATTCTCTACTCATATACCGTATCGGCATGCATCTCCCTCCCCACTTACCTGCCATCCCTCATTCGCCCAACACTCAACCATCCAACATCTGACAGACCTCCCATCCTTACGAATCACACATCCTCCATCTTCAACCCCTGTTAAAACTCCCTCAGATACCCGTCTTCGTTACTTCCCCCCATCTCTCATCTCGCGATCTATGATTATTCTACGGTTCTTGTCATACAACGATGTTCTGCTGTAATACTCTCCCCTAGTTGTATTTCTATCTGGGTTGGTGTATTGATGTATTGGTGTCATCAAATGATTCTATGATCAGTTTCACAAGTCTAGGCTTCTTGGCAAAGGTGCAGTTGTGGGGCACCGGTGCTTAACGCCGAGCCCATACTATAGGCTGGTAGTACGCGTTTCTGATTGGTTAGGACTCTCCGCCGAGGACTCGAAAAATATCCTGCACCTTGGCAATATTGAATCAAGCTACTTTGTCTTTATTGCCTGTAAATCTGAACCCCCACCCCAGGAACGTAGTTACAACCTTCAATTTGTTGCGTGAATTCGAATTTCGAAGACAAGGAGATGTTTCTCGATTTAGGAGGTGTTGCACCGTTATGGAAGGTGCCATTCCCTTTTAGGATATATCACCAGCCAATCAGTTTCGAATGTCATTGTACCCAATCAGAATAAAGACAGTAGTATGTACTCCAATGGGGTGCAAAGACGAGTAAGAACAAGTATATCCACTGACTTGATGTCTCGATTCAGTTTCAGAGCGTTGCTACGTTCGAGTCTGAGTCCGTTCAAGCATTGCCTAGATCTATACGCGGAACTTCCTGTTAGCAAGATACAATAGCGACTGCGATCATTCGGACATCATGTTGAGATGTCTAGGGTGGATATATAGGAAGATTCACGACTCGCAAGTTGTAAATCTTTCTGTGTATTGGTAGTCTAACCCATTGAGAGGTATGTCTGTCCAGTCATCAAATCAAACTTGCGAGCAAGAGGCATGCTTGACGAGCAGCGCACGAGAAAAGCAAGGCATCTAAGCCCATCACCGCGTCCACCTCACCGGACGCTATTTCATTCGGTGTCCGATGACATGGAGTTGCTGCATTTAATCGTTACATCCTAGACAAATCCTGTTGATCAATGAAAGAGGATTGGCAACCGGAGGGGCCGAATCACGGAGAACGTGAAATTGGTTGCCGGATGATGGCTCTTCAAGCTGCGGAATGCAGTTCTGAGGGCTACGGACTCTTCGCATGGTCTGGTTTGAAACTCGTGCAAGTACAAATCCTAAGGTTTGCTTAAGTGCTTACCTGCGAGCATGAGAGAACCTGTGAGAATTGGCACAGGCACAGTCACGGCTGAGAAATGCTCGAGCTCGGGATAACACAGGTGAAGAGTACCTTGGCCTGAGCCATGCATGTCTCTGTCCTCTGTCTCTCTTGAGTCGGCGGATGCATTCGTCAGCCAATATCTTCATGCTCAGGGTGAAGAGCACAGCATACAACTATCTGGCGTAGATGAAAGACTCTGATGGTAGACTTGGATGACGTAGGACTGCGAGTATTCGTGGGTGTCCACTGCTGCGTGTTTTCATCATGTACCTTGGCCATTTCAGATGTATATCAAATGCAGAAAATATCATTTGGAAATGGAGCGTTGCGGTGTTGTTTCCGGCCAAGTTGGCGTCCGGGTTCCATAAACGGTGGGCTGCGATGTTCACTGACACGTAGTGGAGCAGCGAGAATCGCGTTGCCAGGGACGATCACAGCATTACATTCCGCTAAATGGCAGACAATTCAGGGGCTTCTCCGCTGTCTGGCAATGATACCTGGGCACCCCCCAGCGTCGTATAGCAGAAGCCGGACTTGGCTGGGAGCGGAGAGGGCAAAATGAACTTGCTAAGGGCAAGAGCTGAAGGATAGAGTTTGTACGCCGGGGCAGCGCCGGGGGACCGGACAAAGCCGAGACGAAATTGGAGAGTATTGCTGTTTTGGGTTGACGTCAAGGCCCTCGAAGATTCCTCAGTGGTGTCTTGTCTTGTCGCAAAATAGAAAAGAAAAGAAAAGGAAGAACCCATCACCATGCTCCCTGCCAATTGCCCGCTCGCTGTCCTCTCCCCTTCCCCACTTCCTCTTCGTCCACCATGTCCGCCTCCACTCCATACCACAGGCCAAAGCAATTCATGCCTTATGGTCGTCTCGGGCCCTCTGCCTCTACAAGCCCGCTTCTGTCGTCCCCAGGCTCAAGACACATAGAAAGCTTTGCCAGTTCGTCGTCGCTACTATCTGTGTGTTTCTTGTCTCATGATAGTCAAAGCGCCCGGCTAACGCGTCTGATAGTTAGATTCACCATACATGACACCTAGTCGCCCACTGTCACTCGGTGAAAAGGTACGTTGTCAATGTCTGCTTGACATTCGCGCAGGTTATTGACAGGCCTCAGTATGACCTATCTCCCGACCCGCAACGATGGGGCTCGGACCTATCACCGGAACTCAAAGAACCAGACGATGACCTACATACGCCCGACCCGCCAGGCAGTCGCAAGCTCATCGAACGTGACGGACACTACTTCTCACTCCGAGGATTCACCAACCTAGGCTTCCTAATAGTATTCAGTGTCATGCTGGTCACCTTCTTGTGAGTACCTTCGTCATTCTGCCTGTTACTCGTTGCCTCCTCGTGTTTCGATTGGCCTCCTTCGCATGTGGAACATATACATCCTCGATGCGTCCTTCATCTTGCATTGCTTTTCCGCCTCTCGCAATGGCCGTCGTATCTTTTTTTAGATCGAGGAAGCAAAAATGGTCAAGTATGATGTCTATACTTAGATCGGATCCATTTATACATCCACATGCTCTAATTTTACTGAATGATTACTGACTGCCTTGCATAGTGCTGGGTACCCTATAATTACACATTATACCTCACGGCGACAGAGTACGCTTGGAGGCTTTAACTTAGGTGGAATCAATGCGTCAGGTCAGGTGCCTGTAATGCCAGGCAACTTCATGCTCATAGACCCGGACACTCCACGCGATGCATATACTAAACCATCATGGGCAAATCCCTCTGGCAGGGAAATGGAGTTGGTCTTCTCGGACGAGTTCAATGTCGACGGGCGTACATTCTATACCGGGGATGACCCGTATTGGGAGGCCCATGATCTTCATTATTGGGCTACCAATAACTTGGAGTGGTATGACCCTGCTGCTATTACAACCGAAGGCGGCAACTTGGTCATTACGCTGGAGAGGAAGGCTACCCATGACCTTAATTACCAGGGTGGGCTGTTGAGCTCCTGGAACAAGTTCTGTTACACTGGAGGATACATCGAGGCAAACGTGAGTCTGCCTGGTATGAACAATATCGAGGGCTTGTGGCCCGCGATTTGGACGTTGGGAAACTTGGGCCGGGCCGGATATGGCGCGACTCTGGAGGGCATGGTGCGTCCTTCTACGCACGTCCTTCACAGGTTTGCCATCTTGCTCACATCAACATGTCCTGCAGTGGCCTTACACATACGACTCATGTGATGTCGGGACTGTCGCCAACCAGACTGTCAACGGTTTACCGGCAGCTGCGACGGTAAATGGCGACAAAGGCAAAGGCGGTGTTCTATCTTACCTCCCTGGACAACGTCTCTCGCGATGCACATGTCCCGACGTGAACGAGAAGAATGGCGGTTTGCTTATCCATCCAGGTCCTAAGCATTCCGACGGCACTTTCGTGGGTAGAGCCGCTCCTGAAATCGATTTGTTCGAGGCGCAAGTGACGGGACAGCCATTAACGGGTCAGGTGTCTCAGTCGGCTCAATGGGCGGTATGTCAATTCTTTCCCGTTTTCCGTTTGTATGCTCATCTGTCTGAACGCATGTAACAGCCGTTCAATGCAGGTTATGTATGGCAGAACACCTCTGATAACATGTTTGTTACGGACCCAAGTATCTCCGTCCTGAATACCTACATGGGAAGTGTAACACAGCAAGCTACCAGTGTTGTCACGGACACGGATCAGAATTGCTATGAACTTAATACAGGGTGTTTCTCCATCTACGGGTTCGAGTATAAGCCTGGGTTCGACGATGCCGTGAGTACTTCCGGCTTCTTGTCGTTGACTTTGTGTGCTGAAGGTCACACTGGTCAGTATATCACTTGGGTTTCAGACAACAAGATCTCCTGGACGTTGATGGTTGACGGATTGGGAGCCGACCCGGCGGTGGAGATCTCTGCAAGGCCTGTACCTCAGGAACCAATGGTGTGTACCCTTCGCTACGTCTATATCTCTCAATATTGACCTGAATGCTGTGAACGGGGACATAGTATATCATCATGAACCTTGGCATGTCGTTTAACTTCGGTGACGTTGACCTGGAACATATCACATTCCCGACGCGCATGAAGGTCGATTACATTCGTGTATACCAACCTCCGGACCAAAAGAACATTGGGTGTGACCCACCGGACTTCCCCACTGCCGCTTACATCGACCAGTACGTCCCGCTTTCTACTTGCATTGTGCTTGGTGATTCTGATTGTTGACTTGATGCTGTTATAGATACATCGAGGCATATACGAACCCGAACCTGACGACATGGGTGGACGACTTTCATCAAACCTTCCCGCCGAACTCGTTCTTGAGCGAATGTTCGGCATGATGCAGTCTGGCCTTCATCATCGCTCATCTGGTCACCTTCACCGTTTTTCTTCTCCTTTTGCCTGCCGTCTTCATTTCCTCAGGCAAGGGATGGATCAAATTAAAAGCCATCTCTTGATGTAACGATATCCACCGGGAGTCCAGCCTCGCTCTTCTCCTTCTCTTTACCCGTGGCTGGACTCAAAATGGAACTGTAATCATATATCCCCTCAAGCTGTATCTTTATATACCAGTTAGACATTCCCATTCATACACCTTTTTACCCTTTCCAACATTCGAGTTCTTCCATGGACTGCTTGCTGTCTTTCAGACCACTTCTCATTCTCTCGCTTTCTTGCAACTCCGACATAAAGTCGAACCCGCTTTTTCAATTTGTGCACGTACATAGTTTAGTCACACTCATGCTGGACGTGGTTTGTAAGACGAGAATGGTGCTTTGCTGGGCTCACACACCCCTTTCCTCGCTATTATTTTTCCAGCTTCCACCTGTCCTCCTTAGTACCTTCTTGTCTATATTCCCCGTTTGCGTATTTGTCCGTTTCGTTACCACCGCAGGTTGCGATTGGTTGATGGGCATGATTGATGAGTAGTTTATTTGTACATATCTTGGACTGTTATACATTAGTTTCAATCTTATGTGTGTACTTTCTAAATGAGAACCAGAACAAACGCATAACATCGTAATCCTTTGGGTCTTTGTTGGGCTCGCTAGCGATAATCGGAAGACAAGCGTATATAGAGGTCTTTGTGCTCGGCGCCTATGAATCTCGTTGGACTTCTTGTTCACGATCTTTGACTTCCGTTCGGCTCTGTTCAAACTTATCCATGCTTCAAAACTCTTAGCAATGCAGGCAGACACATAGCGTCCAGTTTGGACCGCATTGCCGTTCGCCAGGTACTTTGAGTGGAATCTATCTCAGGCTACCACGGAATACTTATCCACTTCAACACGTTTCTGAGAACGTCCTTTCGGTCCGTGCCATACCCTGTGCGTGTCGTGTACTATGCGATGCCGTACTCCCAGAGATGATGACATCATCTTCCAACTTTCCACCAGGACCAGGATCTCAATTGAAACGAAGTATACAAGTATATCAGGCCATTCAAGTTCCAGAATGTCGAGCCTTTTTATATAGTCCGGCAGTGCGTATTACATCAATCATATACTGTATGCATCTTCAATCTCCCCGAGGACCCTGCCCGATATCTGATGTTCCTCCACGATAGGATCTACATCGCGAGAAGTTTGAACAAAGTCTATATTGAGTACACACGCCATAGACATGGACTACGATTACGTTCATCGCTGTGTCTGCGGAGGATTCGTGAAGTGCACTTCAAAAAGTAGCGGATCGCTCTAGGCCATTCGTTGAGCCAGTACACGACAAAGCTCTTGACCGAATCAAGCAGAAGTTATGAGTTTTAAAGACGTCTTCTTGCAAGCTGAACAGTGATGTTGTGGAATACGTTGGCAAATGGAGATGCTTCTCGTTCCTTCACCGGAACTTTGAGCAAGAGGCTTCTGGACGTGAGTGTATCTCGCTATCTTTCACAATTGCACCTGTTTTGCTTAGTCTAAACGTCTAAGCTACGCTTAAGGAAGATGGTTAATCCACAAGCCTTTCTAACACGATGAGTACAGACTTAGTCTTTTGAATATTTGCATAATAACATCGGAAATGAATCGATGATACTCACGCGTTTTATATCATTTTCCGAAGTTCAAGTAATGTCCATGTATTGCCAATCCCCGCTCCGTTAATGCGGAACATCTTATTCGTGGGTGGTGTCACGAGTGGATAGCTAGGAGTTCTGTCGTTCTCAACTCGCTCCGGTTCAGGTCTTACTAAAGGTAATCCCACGGCATGGAATCTTGGTACCGAACATGGTGTTTTGGACAGTTGGAGTGTAAACCGAGGTACAAATCTGTTATCATCGGCCCCCTCATGATTGACCATCCACGATACAAAGGTCTGGCAGCCGGCATAGAATCGAGCATGGGAATGAGGTATTCGTGTCGTGTCGTTGCCGTCTGTGGTAATGTTCTTGGCTACATTTTTGTTATGCGTGTCAGTACTTGGTATGCTATTGCCTCCGTTGCAGCAAATGCCCAACCACACTGATCTGCTGACTCAGGGCTCCCGTAAACACTGCCGTCGACCTGTCAGAATGCAATCTTCTATATCATGGAACTGCTGGAGCTGTATTCCCACCAAATGGAGCACCGAATGCTATATATTCCAGCCTTGTATGCCACTCAAGGTTGTGTCCTTGCTTCTTACTTCAAGATGTACTTTGTGCTAGCTGTTTGCGCTCTCTCTATCCTTCTTCTGCGATGGTTGTTTGGATCCACTCGAAAGTCTTTACCTCTACCTCCTGGGCCGAAAGGCTATCCTTTAATCGGTAACCTTTTGAATATGCCAAAGGTTACGCCTTGGAAAACATTTCAAGAATGGTCGAAGATCTATGGTTCGTAGCTTATCTGGGTTTACTGTTCAGATAGATAAAATACTCGGCATCCAGGAGATGTTATCTTCTTGGATCTTCCTCAACAACCCACAGTGGTTCTAGGATCCGTGCAAGCTGCCTTGGACCTCATGGAGAAACGTTCACATATATACTCGGACAAGCCCGTCTTCGTGATGGATGAGCTGTGAGTAGCATCAATCTTTGCTAGTATGCCTCCTGATCCATTTGCAGGATGACTTGGGATTTCAACCTAGGATTTATGCCGTATACGCAGAAATGGCGGGACCATCGTCGAGCCTTTCACCAGTATTTCAACCAACGTGAAGTTGCCAAATATGAACCGATTCAAGTGCAAGAGTGTCGTGCTTTTCTTCGACGAATGCTCGATGCCCCGGACGATTTGGCTCAACATGTTCGCCAGTACGTGCAATCGTTGATATCGCTTCCTTTTCCCCCCAGTTCAATATTTCTCTTTACAGAATATTCACTGCTATCATCCTGAAGGCTGTTTACGATATGGATATAAAAGGTTTGGATGACGAGTACCTGCTTTTGGCACAGGAGGCCGTTCTGGGTACCATCCAGTCGAGACTCCCTGGCACATACTGGATAGAATTCTTCCCATTTTTCAAGCATATTCCTAGCTGGGTTCCTGGAGCTAAATTCAAGCAGGCCGCGGAGCATTACAGGCCTTACGTTGAAGCTATGCGTAACAAACCATTCGATGTTGTTAAGCAGGCTGTTGTAAGTGCTATTTTCTTAATCTTTACCCTCTCTGTTCATTCACACTTTGACAAGGCCAATGGATCTGCTTCGCCCTCCATCGCGGCAAGTCTGATCAAAAAGATTGAGGAACGATACAAGGGAACCAATCTAGAGTCGCAGCAGGAAGAAATTGCTCGAAACGTGACGGGTATTGCATTTGCAGGTCGGTCATTTAGCGCATGACCCATGGAGTATATAATGTCATTTTTTTTTGATCTTACTCTTACAGCCGGGGCTGATACTGTACGTCAACCGAGCAGAGGCCCCAGCTCCAGACCAATTTGATGATCATTTATCAGACAACCGCTGCAGCACAGACCTTCCTTATTGCAATGAGTCTATTTCCGGATGTTCAGCGGAATGCGCAAGCGGAGCTCGACCGTGTGGTCTCTGATAATAGACTTCCTGACTTCGGTGATCATGACAAGCTAATCTATGTTCAAGCTGTTACTCTTGAGAGTATGCGCTGGTTGACCACCTTTCCCCTTGGCCTTCCTCATCGTGTCTCTTGTGATGACGTATACAAAGGGTTCCTCATTCCAAAAGGTACCATAGTGACGGCTGTGAGTGAAACCATCTACCCCGTAGGCAGTTGCATAAACTGATGTCTTTGCACAGAATGCTTGGTGGGTTATGCAGTACACTGTGTAGTCGACTATCTCTTGAGGCAAGATCACTTAGGGCTATGCTGCATAACCCTGAGGACTATCCGGATCCGGACCAATTCAAACCAGAGCGGTTCATAAAAAATGGGCAGCTGGATCCTAACGTTCGCAACCCACTGACAATCGCATTTGGCTTTGGCCGACGGTGGGTTCATAGCAATCCTCCTTGTTTCATGATCTCACATTCGATGTTCTCAGCATTTGCGCAGGCCGACATCTAAGTAACGGATCTTTATTCTTAGCCATAGCGTCTATTTTGCACACCTTCAACATCAGCCCTATCCTTGACGATAACGGAGAACCCTTCGATCCTTTGGTCTCGATGAGTACAAGTGTTATCTCGTACGCGTTTCCACCCTAGAAATGCTGTTGTGGCTCGTTATTGATCATGTGCTAATTGTGGTGTTTAGAGTTCCGGACAGTGTTCCGTGCACTCTAACCCCTCGCTCGTCCAAGGCGGAGCGCCTTATTCGTGAATGGTGTATGACAAATGAAAGGGAATGTTGAAGTGGTTGAACGCTTGATGTAGGAGCTGCCCATCTGAATACCATGAAGCGTTTAATGATATAGACTCAGTTTGTGTGCCTTGGATGCCTGGCTCAAGAATTAGAGACTAGTGACACTAGCCGTCAAGTGGGTTTGAGGCAGCATGAGCAGCATGATGCCTGCCGGCCTTGATTTATTCGCTTTGCGCAAATTGTGGCGCACGCTCAATAGCCCGTTTGCTGGGTTTTCTAGCAAAGCTGCAGGTGATAGCCACTGATGTATTTGTGCGTTGACCAGGCGACCTCATATGGCAAAGTGCAGCCTAGTGTGTCGTACGTAACTCCGTTGTATTGATGGCTCCGTTAGCTTACACCAGGTACGGACGGCGCTGACGGCCTGTCGCGTCTAGTCCGGGTCAGACGGTACTAGATTTTCCCGGGCACACTGGCGATCACCAGTAATCCTCATCTCGATTGGAGACCAAATTGCTTCCGCGATGCCGTATAACCCCCATTTTCCCAAGTCGCCAATCGTCCAATCGTGTGTAATCATTTGGTGTGCAATGTATCCTGCTTTGATATGCTTCTGCGGTTCTGCAAAAGCCATTGCATGAATTGCGTTTCGAGAAGTTTGGTACAGCGCGCTCTTCGATCTTTTCAGCTTGCTAGGTAGAAGTTCATCGAGCAAAGCGACGGAGATGGCCAAAATCTTGGTCTCATTTGCAAGCGCTATGCCGTTGATATCTCGTGCCTTTACCAGGCCAGGTCGGTTTACCGAGCTTCTTCTTCATGTTCGATTTTCACAGAGGGAGCGTCCGCGTGTCTCGCTTGTCATAGACGCGCCCTAGCTTGAAGATGGTTAAGAAGGGCCGACTTTGGTCTAATCTCGAGCATCCTTCCCCTTTTTCCTGGCTCACCACCATGGGAATACAGCAGACACTTGCCGACAACCTCCATGTTGTCTTGCCACTTGTCCTCGCGCTTGTTTTCGTTCTTTACAAAATTCGACCCTCCACGGGTTTGAGGAGTCTTCCTCTTCCTCCTGGTCCCAAACCGCACTGGCTCTTGGGTAATGTGCTGGACATGCCAAAGGAATATCCCTGGGTACGCTTCAGGGAATGGACTGACACTTACGGTGAGTATTCTGTCTGTCTACGCATGTGGATCACTACCGACGAGATGTGGCGTAACATATAGGCGATGTGGTTTTCCTCCATTTGCCCATGCAACCTACCATCCTTGTGGGCACCGCTAAAGCTGCATTCGATTTGCTGGAGAAGCGTTCTCATCTGTACTCAGACCGAACGGAAACGGTCATGGACAAACTGTATGTTTCTTATGCCATGCGATCAATATTCCTAATGATCGATCGTCCTGAACAGTATGTACTGGGATTGGGACTTCGGATTTCTTGGATACAATGCGAAATGGCGAAGGCACCGCAAGCTGTTCCACCAGCACTTTGCCCCAACAGTGATCTCCAAGTACCATCCTATCCAGATCCAACAGGCTCGTGGTTACATTCGTCGCATGCTCTCTAACCTGAACCCTACTGCTCCAGTCGATGAAATCCGGCTGTGAGTTCGTTGCTTTCTACCTTTGTGTACTCTGACACACTTGGCTGCACCAGTACTTTCGCTGCCGTTATCCTGAAGGTAACCTATGGCATGAACGTCACCAGTATGAACGATGAGTACATCAAATGGGCTCAAAAGGCATTAGAAGGCATTAGCGAAGCTAAGGTTCCCGGTGCATACTGGATCGAGTTCTTCCCCTGGTTCAAATGGATTCCTAGCTGGGTTCCTGGTGCTTCGTTCCGTAAATTGGCTGATCAATACAGACCTTACACTGAGAAGATGGTTCACTATCCTTTTGAGACCGTCCGAAAGGCAGCGGTGCGCTTCTGCTTTTGCCTTCATCGTCCTGCTTACGCTCATCCTGTTTATCAGGACAACGGCGTTGAGATTCCCTCGGTTGTATATTCCCTCATAAAGGAGGCTCGGGAGACCTTTTCAGATCGTAAAGACCAGGAGGACATGGAACTGGCTGCTCGCGATACCATGGGAGTTGCTTATGCAGGTTTGTGTTGACGGTTCCCTTATACCACACACGTTGACATTATCCTGTCTCCTAGCTGGTTTTGATACGGTAAGTTGTGCATGTGTGCGTGTACGTTTCGAAGGCTAATGTCAGTGCAGACAACTGCTGCTGGCCAGGGCTTCATCCTCGGAATGGCTATGAACCCTGAATTCCAACGCAAGGCTCAAGCAGAACTGGAAGCTGTCGTTGGTCCCAAGCGTCTTCCGGATTTCAGTGACTACGAGTCTCTTCCTTGCTGTCGTGCTATCGTCTTGGAAAGCATGCGTTGGCTGCCTGTCACTCCTTTCGCAATCCCTCACAAGCTCATTCAAGATGATGAGTACAACGGATATCTCATTCCCAAGGGTACCACCGTGATTCCGAACTCCTGGTGTGTTAGATCAGGTTCTTGATATTGTGCAGTGTTTTGACTGGCGTCCTTGTCTCTAGGGCCATGTTGCACAATCCTGAGGATTACCCGGATCCTGAGAGGTTTTTGCCAGAAAGATTTCTCACCAAGGATGGTAAGTTAAACCCGGAGGTTCGTGACCCAACAACGTTTTCCTTCGGTTATGGTCGCCGGTATGGACATTCCTGCTTTTGGGTCTTTCTCAATCTAATCGTTATACTTCCCAGCATCTGCCCAGGTCGTTTCTTGAGTAACGACTCGCTATTCATCGTCGTCGCTTCCACACTTCATTGCTTCAACATTGAGGCTGCCTGTGATAAGGATGGTAAGCCTGCGGACTTGAATGCGGCTTCTCAGATGATGTCCGGTTTCCTTTCGTAAGTTCTTCGGTCTCTGCTCGGCCTTCCGTCCCTCATTCCTTTTTCTTCTTCGTTCCGTTAGCGGTCCTACCGCCGTTCCTTGTGTCTTCAAGCCACGCTCAGAAGCTGCGATCAAACTAGTGCAGGATACTGCGAATGAATCCTGGTAATCAAGATATCTTCAACGCTTCCGCGCTTTTACTTTTCCCTTCATTTATGCCACACTCATTTTACTACCCCAAATCTCGTTCAGCTCTTGATCTTTCAATGTTTGTCAGTATGCTTTGAACTCGGATCGTCTCATGTACATCTACGAATGCTATCGTGTCTGCTTGGATATCCATTTATTTCGTGAGACGTGTGATCCCATAAAATTTCGGTGGAGATGACGACCGCTTACTAGTGAGTTCGGTTGCGATTCGGCGAATAAGCATGAGGTTGGCAGACGGCATGAATCGCATTTGCACTACTACTACTAGGACGCCGTGCCTTTGGCTTGACAGATGATCGCGACGATAGAGAACGCCTGTCGCCGTTGGCATAACAACGTCCAACAGAGGTCATTCAAGATGCCATTGCAGCTTCATACTTAACGCGCGTGCGTTAAAATCGGAGACGTATCCGCGATGATGACGAAACCGCATTCGGCGACTGACACCTGTTCAGACACTGCTTGGCCTTGCAGCTGGTAGGTGGTCACGGCCGGTCACCAATCAACTAGTATGCACAACGAGGCTTTATAATGTCATACTGAAAAGGAGGCTGAATATTTCGACTATTTTGAAGGTCTACCTACTCTGCCTCCCAGTAATAGCAGAAATCGAAAACTCTAGCACAACAAAAATACACACGATCTACGTTCTACAATACTACGGTTGAGCCACCAATACAAGAAATGCAACACAACGCTGGCGCCCAGCAGCGATGCGTACGTTCAGTAACGAACCCTCCTGGAGTACGCATACCTCCCAGATTTGATTAACAGGAGGTATCCAAAGGCATGAGGTCCCGGCATACACAATAACTTATCACGTAAAGACTATGTTGTTTTTTTGAGTTGTGATGTTTCCAGGTCCGTGTTGGAACAAGTGTCCTGCACAACTATGCTTGAACATTGACGCTAAGGTTGTTGAACGAGTCAGTTAGAAAAGGCTTAATGTACGACGATGAGGCTGACCTTTCCTGCCCCACGACGTTGCCGACTGGGTTATACAGGCATACATGATACATCGCAGGCCCTGGTATCTTCCGGAAGATATTATCACAGAGCGCAACACCGCAGCCCAATTCAGTAGTAGACTTCCATATCACTTGCGTCAGATGATTGAAACTGGGATGTTTGGGATCATCTGGAGATGCAAGGATCAACGAAATGCAGGGATCGGCGAGGGGGGTCTCATGAGAATATCTTACAGGCTTCATCGGTAAATTTAGCCACAGCCTTTGCTGCTGTGAAGTCCCCCGTGCCCGCGGTGAGGTTATCACCAAGGGGTCCCAATGCGCCATCCGTGTGTCTGAACTGACATCCCTCTGCCCAAGACCTCGCCTTCGCAGCGAGGTCTTCAGACCAATTGAGAGGATCGGCGCCATGTTCGGCACGAACGCTGTTGTGACCGCTAAGATATGCAGAGATCTCCGTTGGACCTGTAGTGGGTATGGGAACGGGGACATGAGGATATCCCGTATGCGATGGTTTGACGCCGGATATCCTGGATGAGATGGAAGGACTGGAACTTGCTGATATAGATGACATGCTGATCGTTGTAGGACTCGCGCTGATGATGGTGGAATCTCCAGTTGATGGAGTGATAAAACTACTTAATCCAGAAGGCTCTTGAGTGCTAGTCGCAATGGCTGTGCTGTCAGGCGAGGAGGTTGTTTCGGCGGGAAGTTCGGTTACACTTGAGGATTGGGTGGTGCTGAAGCTATCCACGGAAGTCGTAGCTTCAACAGGAATCTTAGTTGTGCTCATAGATGGGGTCGACAGAGGCAGAGGTGCACCGGATGAAGATGAGGATGCATCACCGAAACTTGTCAAGGTGGATGATCCTGATAGGGGTGCACTTACGGATGGTAAGGCTGTGGCGGAGATGGTGAACGAGCCTGAGAACGGGCTCGAGGAAGAAATAGTTGGTTCGAAAACCGAACTCAAGCTGAAAGTGGATGATGGTTCAGCTGATGAAACGGACGAAGTTACCAAGCTCGGTGTAGAGGTCGGCTCAAAAGTTGTCAAAGCCAAGCCCTGGGAGGATGAGCCTATAGACGAGGAGGGGATTGGAGATATATCCGTGGAGGCAGTGAAAGAAGAGGTGAAACCTGGTGATAAAGTGGTCTGAGAAGTACTGTCCGTCGATGGAGTCTTTGAAGAAAAGAGGCTGGAAGATCTCGGAGAAACGCCGAAAGTGAAGGAGGTTGAAGTGGCGCTCTGCCCAGGAGAGCCCATCTCAGAGTTGGTAGACGAGATCTGGCTCAGTGATACCGTGCTCGGCAGAGTCGGCACTGTGAAGCTGCCCGAGAAGGAAACTAATTGTGGCGTTGCCCCGATGCCGAACGATGACAACGTCGTCAATTCATCTGTAAAGGATGTAGAGAACGACTGGGAAGTACTGGAAGGTTTTTCTGCCAGAGTATAAGCTGCCACGCTAGTGGATTGCAAAGTGGCAGCATCGGCTGTCTCGGAATCTCCAGTGGCACCGGGGATGGTAGTTGGTTCAGAGGTTGCATCCTCTATGCCTGAGCTCTGCGCAGATTGTGAGTCCGGGATCAACGTTGGCGCCGCTGACGCTGACACTGAAAATGTGAGGAAAGAAGCCGATTGAGAAATGTTAGTTGCAGCAAGGTTCGCAGTTGAAGAAGACGAGCTTGATGTTGAATTGAGAGTGACCGATGATGCAGCCTCAGTAGCATTAGAACCTACAAGTTATAACACATCATGAGGCATGGTCGTCTTCTACATCGTCGAGCACTCACGAAGTGGGAGAATCGGTACAGAAAACGCGCAGAGTGGGAGCGCCAGGAGAAGAACAGTGTTATACAATGTGAACATAGCGAAACCTGAATAGCATAGAGCAAAAGGAATGACTGGCGGTGAGTCACAAAGCGGACTGACACCCGAGCGAGAGAATGAGTACCCGAAGGTATAACAAGAAAGTAGGTGAAGAAAGAAGTCGAGAAACAGGTAGTCTTTTCATGCTTCCAAGGGAAGTGTGTTCGGATCTATCAGTTGCATGACGACGAAGGATAAAATAAGACTTCAGAAGATCTAGCTTGTTCCAATTGAACTATCTCGTCCTTTCAGCCTGCAAACCGTTGAAATCAGCAGAACAAAGGGTACAGTACAGTAGTTGCACTGGAGATTATGGTGGGACTTGGGAGAATACCGTCATCAAAATCTGATATGATCTAGCCGTAAGCGACAAGCTAAGCGAGTTCACCTGGATTGATCCTGTCCCTTCTCTAACGCAACGACCAGGACGATGGCTTCAGTTAGTTGGGCAAACGTGCCAGGCTTGAATGGGGACCTCAAATTGTTCTCGCCGAGCTGTGATTGTGGTCCTTCTCATTCCTTGAGACGATCGTCGCGGTTGACGCTCTCAATGAAACGATGTTCTATCCGAATAAGGACATCCTTGCCATTTCTTGTTCTGCCTCAGCCATATTCTACTTACGGTGTCGAAGTTCTAGATATGAGACTGCGGTTTCTTCCCTCATGTTAAACTGACCAAATGGGCTGACCCCGTTGGAAGACGAAGAAGCCATGCGGTACCCAGCAGTTGCATGCTGTCCACACACTTGGCACGACTCTTCGATTTACAGGCAGGTGCTTGCGGAAATGAAGTCATTAATTAGCTATCGATGTTCTGGAAGGCCACTACAGCTGCGGATGTGGGCACAACACCAATTTCTGCGCGTACTGCGGATGGAAGACGAAGGACGACTTGTGATTGGGGGGCAAGGTAAGGGTCGGATATGGTGAAAGAAGGCGCTTAACGAGCGTATTAGACTCGTGCTCGAGAATGGCCTGACCCTTGTTTCCCCTTCTTCCTCCCACTTACACCTGCTCACTACCTTCTCTTAACTGCATTATAACAATTCGACATCTCATGGAGAAGAAGAAAAATCGAATATCCGGTGACAAAACACCCAGTAGATGGCGCTCTGTGAAGAAGTTTTTGAATGTCACCCATACTAATAAGGAGGGTGCAAGTAAGTTATCTTCGATTCGTCCAGGTACTCTCCGATTGACGTGGCGATATATAACAGAGTCCTCTCCATTGAAGCCCTCGGCTCAAACTACGATACTCAAAGCGGTATGTCACTGTCTGAGCGGATTTTGCCGAACGAGGATCTTGCGATTGATTACTGTTGTAGGACGTTGCTGCGACTCCGTATAAGATTGATGACATGCGGATCCCTACAGAAAACTCGGCGCATGAAGTACAGATGACTGAAGCTGTTCTAGAGCCTATGCAGGAGGTGATCGTGGACAAAGGCAAGGGCGTCGAGGGTCGGGATGTTCAACAGCATCTAACAACGCAGCACGATGAAGATAGCGCTATGTCAGACGCTTTTACGTCGGGAAATAGTAATGCACCAAGCCACTTACACTGGGAGAATGTTCAAAGCACTCCCGGAAACGCGTTAGGCCAGGGTTCTCCGTTTGGGGTGCTGACCCCCGAGTCGACAAGTATCGATGCGTCTTTCGTCGTTGTTAACGACACATCACTTTCTGCTATTGATGCCCTTTCCAATAATCTCCTATCATTGTCGGAGGGCATGGACATCGACGAGCCTTCCACCAATGCAATGCCCGATACGTCACAGTCAGACATTGCAGATGGCAGGGGTCCTGACGTTGATCATGCACTCAACCAGACTAACAATAATCAAGTACCGAATGGTACTTTCGACATAGCGAAGTCCATTAAAGGAATGTATAGAATCCTGGATTTGGTTAGCGAGCAGGGTAGTGGGGGTCTTGGTACACAACCTTTGCATTCACACTCAACCCAGTCATTGACGTCGGCTTGTAGTGGATAAGATCATTATCTCGCAGGAATCTCTTGGTCATTTCATCAACGCCATACTACCTGGCGCGTATGCGTCGATGACCAAGGTCGATTTCAAAGCACTGGACAGTCTCTCGATAAAACCTTTGGGCATCTATGGCAGTCGTTCTGAAATCGTCAAGTTTCTTCAAGATATCAAAGCCATAGATGATAATCTGTAATTATGTGTTCTCTTTCATTTATCAACATCTGGGCTGATGTTATTATGACACAGTGCAGATACGTTACGACACAGCCGGGACGATGGACGTGCTGGCCCCGGCTTGCGATCAGGTCTATACGCTTTGCGTCCTCACACTGGCTCAATCATATATGTCATCTATTGGCCTGAAGAAACAACCTGGAATGACGACGCGATCTCAGCCGTGCAGCGCAATCGAATCACCTTCATGAGGTGCTTAGTTCAATGTTTTCTGTCGGTTTGATTATTATTAACAAAATACTAGATTCTTGACGAAAATTGCTGACCAGATTATCGCATTAATCTCAGACGAGGACGCCAGTAAGATTGTGTGGCGCGATACGTCGCATGATACACCAGTCGACGCGGACGATGACGAAATCGACCGGCTATTCACTTTTCAAGTAGCGAAAACTAACGAGCAAGAAGAAAACGTTAGCATTAGACCAGGCTTCACCGTAAGTCCATGTGGCTGTCTCACGCGACGTGATTGTTCACGACTGTTCACCCTCTAGCTGGATCTGCCGAAGTCTGAGGAAGTGCAAGGTTTATACGGACAGAATATTGAACCCGTGCTTGTGGCACCCCGGCTGGTTCCTGGAGAAACAGTTACTGGCTTGCTAGACGTCCAGTACATCCCGTCTCATCACAATACACGTACTTTTCGCGAATCCTACTCCTCACGCCGCCTGGAGCAATTTCTGTACGTTTTCAAACCTCGACGGTCTTTTCTCTGCTCTGAACTCATGGTTATTTCTAGTGAACGAGATTCTTTCATCCTGAGCGAGTCTCTCTCGGAGGAGGCGCTCCAAATATTGTTGGGCAAGGGACTAGGCAATAAGCGAAATCAAGATGCAGTGAGCGAATTTCGGAACTCGCGCAGGGTGGCCGATGAGGCTTTTCGTGCGCAAATCAAAGCAAGAGAAGATGAGATCAGACAGAAGCTACAGGATAACAACGCACGCCTGGTTAGGGCATTGCAGCGGGCCCTGGTGAAGTCTGTGTTGATGACATTCAGGTATGCTGCATTTTGTTTAGTTCACAATATCAAGGAACTATCCCATTCATAACCTGTCGTAGCAATGTCGATGGGAAGATGTTAAGTGAGCAATACTCTGACCAAAATGAAGATGAGCTTGAAGGTATCATAGTTATGACTATGTTATAATTTGGCGTTTGATTACTGACTTCATTCCCAGCCTTTCTCGACGACCTCTTTGCACTGCACTCGAAGATAAGGGATCGACTTTCCGAGGTTTGCAAGGATCGAATGTTCCACAAGATCCCGAAGAAGGCATACACGATGAAGAAGGAACAACTGCTCATGCTCGAGCGAATACTCGTCGAGAAGCGTGATTTGCCGGTTGATGAGCAACGAGAGATTGTGGAAAGTGGACTGAAGGAACATTCAGTCAACTCGCAAGGTGTTATTTCTAAAATCGGTTCAGCTTTCGGTTCAGCTGTTACTGGCTGGCTGCCCGCCAATCCCCCGTCTGCTTTCAGTGCCCCTCATGTGGATCAACACTTCACGCAAGACCATCTCAAGATGGCTAAAGTCGATGCTGCCAAGTTTGATGATGCTGACTTTCTGGCTCGCCTACCAAGCATAGTCGACGAGTATCCTGTGCTTGCGGAGGGTGCGGCAGACGTCGCAAAGCTTGCTCAGGAGCACTTGATGGAGTCCATCCATAAACGTACACATGATATCGCAAGATTTGCAGAAGATGTGCAGCTCAGAGATTGCAAGCAACAGATTCAGAATCAGGTAGACACTGACCGGCGAAACCAGGAACGAGAGTCGCGGTGCAAGTTCCTCGCCAGTGTCCGAGATGCCTATCGTGACGGTACTGAAGGGTGCGTTTTGTGGTCAATTCTGGCAGTTTTACATCTGAGATAGAGTGCGGTTCAGGGTTGTGATCATACAGGACGTCCGTTCCGCTTACCGATTTCATCAAGGTAGCTTTTCATTCGTTTATGCTGCATTTGAGTTAATGCGTCCACAGAGAGCTTCCAGGTCTCGGGGATTCGCGAGGACCGCTTGGACGCTTCTCTCAAATACCGTATCCGCACCTTTGAGCTGACAGAGACAGACAAGCATATGCTTCAGCTTGATCAAAGTTTCGTTCCGGCCCCGAAGCTTTACGCAGGCTCAGCCTTCTCATTTGGTATGCCCCTTGGACGTCGTCTTCTGTAAGTTAGAACGTGGATCACATATAGTTCATCGACTCACAAGTAATCCAGTCATCTCCAGTTACTGCAAGATGAACGATGCCTTCTTATAATGGACTGTAAAGAGGAAATCAGGATCTATCTGGATCGCATCGACGTGATTGAGAATGCGGTACTCCATGATAAGTGGAAGAAGAAACTGCATCGATCTAAAATCGGCAATGATTTCATACTGGCATTTGATGAAACCAAGCGTATGCTCGCTATCTGTGCTATGGATAAGGTTGTTTGCATTTAGATTACAATACACTTTTCGAGGTATTGACGATTCTTTTTAGTCCTCATTGAACGTGTTTGTCGCGGATGAGAAGTTCACATCACTACAAGCTCTGGGGTCTCAAGTCGATCTAAGAATCTGGTACCCTGAGAGTCAGACGAAACTGGTCCATGCGGCCTTCTTATGTGGCGCTAGCGAGGAACTGGTCCTTGTCGATGATGGCGGTCATATTCGAGTCTATTCATTGACAACTCAACAGTTTCGGTATGTACGGTCGTGTTATATAAGTGCTTGTATGAAATGCTTAAACCCGTCTAGACCTGCATCCTTGGATATCTTAACACTGCCAGTTAGCATTCATTCGTCTCCTGACGGCTCGTGTCTATTCACGACTGAAGCCGATTCTGAGGGTACCTACCTTCGAGCATATCATTGGTCCAATTTCGGAAGTACAAATGGCATATCTCTTGAGCTTCCGGACTTCCCGCGGGATTCCAGTATCATGACGTCCATTGGCAATCGATCCAAAGTTCATTACATCGGACTTGATTCCGCGCGAGGACAATGCAGGTCGTTTGTGCTGGATATATCACGAAAAGTGACTGAATTCACTTTCCAAGAGCGAGGAGGACAAGCCTCTCGAGCGAACACAGGCAAACTCACATTCTGCAACAGCCTCATCGATTGTCACTCTGACGTGTGGACACGCTTCCCAGTCGTACCTGCTGTCCGAAGAACCACCGCCAATTCGGCATTTTCCAGCACCCCAAGGTCACTGACCTTTGTCTCTCGACTTGCTCCTACTTTGTTCCAAAGCCATTTCTCAGATCTTATTGCCAACTTCGAACGGGTAACACGGAAGCCGACCGAAAGGGAGCTTTCGGGCATCGTCATTCAAGGGGCCACATATGAATCTTTCAGAGAAAGTGATAGCCTCGCTCTGTCTTCTTACACGTGTGGCGAGTGGCTTGTCAACCTGCTATGCCTGATTCCGATTCACATTGCGGTCACACGAGACAATCGATTCATCCCACTGAAAGACGGCGTCTGGTCCTTGGAGTTGGAACGTTCTCTTCTTGGGGCGACTGTGGAACAGATCGTGGACAGTCTCTCATTTGGATGGTATGAATCCATATTTCAATCGTACCTAGCATCAAAGGTAGGTTGATTGCTTGTGATTCGATTTCCCCTTCTAACCTTTGATGTCTCTTTCCGACAGCCTGTACGTGTTGTCTCTTCTATGGGTAAGGTATCATTTATGCCTACAAGTCCTGAACTCACGTGTTTTGCAGGAGAACAATCAGTAGGGAAGAGCTTTGCATTGAATCACCTTGTGGACACTTCTTTCGCGGGATCAGCTATGCGGACGACAGAAGGTGTTTGGATGTCTGTGACACCTACCGATGATGCACTTATAGTTGCTTTGGACTTCGAAGGTGAGTTCATAATGTAGCGAGTGCTTTGAACTATCGGTCTCACCAGAGAAACAAAGGTGTCCATAGTATTGAGCGCTCTGCTCAGGAAGACAGCTTGCTTGTACTATTCAATACCGCTATGTCGAACTTGGTGAGTGTCATAAGACTTGGATGTTGGCTATTCCTCAGTATTATGTTCAGGTCCTGTTCAGGAACAACTTTGCGTTGTCTCGCGACATCACTGGCCTTTTTCAGTCATTCCAGTCCTCTTCCACTGTTTTGGACCCAGCGGCGAACCCGACTCTGTTCAAGTCTACGCTTGTTATCATCATCAAGGTCATACAGATTTGTATCTATGCTCTTTTGATCCTGACGATTTATTCACAGGATGTAGTCGATTCCGACAAGAAGGAGATCACAAAAGAGTATAAACTCACCTACATGGCTTAACGGACCATTGGTTGACACTGAAAAACATTGTTGCAGGTTCAGCTTGAAATTCCAAAAGATCGTCGAACTTGAGCAGGGCTCTAATTTTATCACAAAGTTGCATGGTGGTAATTTGGCCATCATTCCTTGGCCGGTGATTGAGTCGCGTCAGTTCTACAATCTCTTCCCTGCTCTGAAGAAGATGCTCGACAAGCAACAGGTGACACATTCAAAAGCTGGAATTTTTCTGCAGACTATGAAGACCCTCATGGCAAAATTGAAGGCATGTCTCGATTGTATTTAGGGCCGCCTCGTTTATTCACATAATCTACAGGTTAACGATTGGGGTGCCCTTGATCGTAAGCACAGTGTCCCGTGAACTCAACTGACTGCATTAATGCATGTCGTCGTCAGAGAATCTATCATCCCACCGAGCACAGCAGCTCATGTCCCTCCTTCCTCGAGCTCTCATGTACGGTGCCACGGAGATAGAACCCGAAATCGAGCCTTTAAGAGTATGTGTCCTTGGATGCAGATGCTTCGAGAACTCACCGAGTCGTTCATTCCAGGACTTCGATACTGGCCTTACAATAGATAAACCGGACAGTGCCGCAAAGTTTTATTTGGCCGATACGAAGGCTTCAGTACAACTAGCCGAGCAGGAGCACTCCCTGGCTTCGCTTGTGAACACATGGGACCTATTCGGCCAGCGTTTTGATTTGTCTGAGCAGGATTGGGTCGAAGGACTCAGTAACTTCTTGGATGGCTTGGCTAACGATCGCATTGACCACGTCCAAGAGTGGCTGCAAGTAAACACTGCTCGGTTCAAAGGCGATTCTCCTCAATTTGAAGATATTCGCAGACTTTACGATAGTCTGGTGATCAGTTTGCGATCCAATATCCGTCTTTGCACCATGCAATGTTCGGAGTGCCAACTTCTGTGTCTCCATGCCAGGCATCACGAAGGCGAGCACGATTGCCGCACAACGCATCACTGTAGCCATGCGTGTCAGTATGTCGATGAACATGCTGGAAACCTGGAGTCCTGTGGTCTTCCGTGAGTTATGACATGTCGCTAAGTGATGCCATGGGCTGACCTATCTGAAATCCCGACAGCGCCGGACATGCTGGAGGACATATGTTGGTCAATCATGCTATTCAGAATGATGGTGATGCTCATTCTACGAATTCTGCAGCTGCGATATCTCTGCTCACTTATGTGGTCAACCATGTCGTTTGATCGGGAGAGGTGGATGTCTGGAGCGATGTTCAAAGGTGGTTTTCGTTTTCGCCTTCGCTCATCTGTACACTCAGTTTAGTCTGTTGTCATAGGTAGCCAATCATACGGACGACGAGCACGTCTGTCCTGCGTCGCATGAATGTGGAGAGGTAGGCGTTGTCCCACAAACGTCGACCATGCGTTAACCATGAAGTAGCATTGCAGCCTTGTGGACATCAGGCTTTCGGACGGTTCTTTATTTTCCTGTCCTGAATCGTGTCGTAGACCCAGGTAGGTTTTGCCGTCAATATGCTCAGTTTCCGAACCTCATTGTTGTAGCAACGAGCCACACAATACTCATGTATGCGAGAATCGATCTTGCCCCATCCGATGCCAATTGTGCAAGCGTCTTTGCGCTAGTCCGGATCATCTCCATGCATTGGATTCTAATGCAATACATCTTTGCGGGTACGAAATGCACTCTTTTCCCCTAAATTCCGTTATTTAAGCCATCCCTATGATTAGACAAGACCATCCATGTCCAGCGTCGTGTCAGTCGCCGGGCATCTGCCGTATCGAGACTACTCCGCAGTCAATAGAGGCCACCTTCACCGGAAGACACGAAACCTTCCAATACACCAAGGTACATAGTTCAGATCCGTAGATTATTGTCCGACGCCTGACTCACTTTTCATATAGTACACGCAGGGTCTGTGGACTATTCCACACACGCTGACATCTCGCAACCTTTTACTAATGCTGTGTTTTAGCTTCCCGTCGTTTGCCTTGCGTCATTGCAGTTCCTGCAGGGCAGACGGAACATCACGGTAAACACCTTCACAGCCTCGAGAAAAGTGCATTCCATTTTTGTGAGGCCCGGTACGTTGCAAGTCACTAGTTTTGGCGTTCTTTCGGTTTTTAATTTCTTCTAGTTGCGAAGACTGTGGCTATTTCTGTACTTTGCCCCTTGGTATGTTTTCTGCGGCTGTTGCCTTGAATCTCACTGACGTCATTGAAGGCCATACGCAGCAGGAGCATGAAACGAGTCATGGTTCAATGTCCCGGACAAAGTGGGCTATAGATGGACAAGATGGCACAGTCTTGGAGGTGAATGGTCGCAAGTTCGGCGCTACCGACGACGGCGCACCTATGTTGGTGAGTATGTTGCAATTTCACCGCTAGTAGGCTATTGACCATGATTCTAGTGCTCTATGGTCTGCCGTAACATGGGTCGCCATGTCCACATTGACTACTGTCGTTCGGAAAATGCCAACGCATGCTCTGGCGCTGATTTAGAGCATATTTCTGCGAGAATGGTGCCAAATCCAGAGCGTGCCAAAGATTTCATCAGCCATGCCCTTCATTGGAGAAGAACAGGTAACCCTTACACTTTCGATATTCATATCTTACAACTGACATGTATTATAATTCAGGGTTCAAAGGCAAGCTGAGCAGGGTAGTCCAATTACATAGGATGCAATCTCATGTTTTCTAGATCCATATTCGCAAGAAGAAAGGACATCATTCTCCAAGTGGTAAGTTTGATCGCTTCCGGGAAAGAGAAACCGTTGACGTGCTGTTTCCAGTGACTCCATGTGTGGAGGTGCGTCGAGGTCCTACACATCCATGCGTAGATGATAACGTAGTTATATAGGTCCAGAACATCAGGCTGACACCACAGGATCTGCTCAGCCTTCGTACTGCAACCTTGGCCTATTCCATCGCCCTCTTCCGGCAGGACAGGGACCCCCCGGCGGTATAGGTTACATTTCGAGAGATGGGCATCACTTCAGCTGCAGAAATCCTGCTCAAATGCAACAGGCGTTCCACGTGTACGCCTCCTAAATGTGTCCCGCAGAGTGCCGCGTACTGACATTGAAATAGGATCTTCGTCATTGACAGGTAGTGTTTTCAACATCTTGGGATGGTTTCAACGTGATTCGCTGACGAAAATCCAGGTCTGGCTCGATGGGCATTAGTGACCGTCGTCCCCTTGCAAATACACCAATGACAGGTAGGATCGCGGCTCAGCACAATAATCGTGTTGGAGCAGTATACTCTTCCCTGCATGGCTTTTGGCAAGCTCGAGCTTCCGCGATGAACGCTGGCGTCGGAAATGCTCTGAATCGTCGCGATGCTTACAGCGTGGTTTTGTTCGACCATGCCGTCTATAAGTCTGTTGACAATGACTTCACGAGCACACCAGAACAACTCCTTGCAAAGGTACTCGCCTACGGGGCAGGGGGTGGAACAAATTACACAGCTGCTGTGAAGGAAGCTCAAGCGATCATGGAAAAGAATTGGAGTACCGAAAGGTAGTGGTGCTCTCAATGCCATACAACATATATATTTATGTCTGTTTGCAGGATACCAGTCGTGATTTTCCTTTCCGATGGTGAATGTAGTATAGAGGATCAGACGATTCGAGACCTGTGTCGCCGTTCTGTAGCTCTTGGGTTCGTTCTAACTTCTCTTTTTGAACAGCATCCAAGGTTCTCACTCATGAAATGCTTCTAGCCGACCTTTGTCGTTCCACACCGTTGCCTTTGGTCCTTCGAATGCAATCCTTCGCAGAATGGCACAGATAGCCAGTGAGGTTCAAGCGACGGTACCTGCAGACCCAATGCATCCAACTGTTGCCTCCTCCTATACTGAAGCCTTGGATACGGTAAGTAAAACATATTTTGCATAATAATATTGATGTCTAACCGCGCAACGTAGATTCGATTGGCAGAAACCTTCCTTGGTCTCGCTGAGTCCCTTCGCAGGCCCAGAGGTTCTCTTATGCGTGGATGAGATATGAAAACGGTTCCCTAACTTGTTACGTTACCAGGGACGATTTGTTGGTGTATATGATTCTGTGTATTGTGGCTGTGTACTGGATTTGGCATCTAGAATACATCTGAGGTGAAGTGAATCATATCGATACATCATTGGAGACGTATGAGTAGTAAAAGGCAGTCAAGAAAAAGACCCGAGAGGTTCAGTGAATAACACCCGCGCCGCGTAGCCAACGCACACGGTTTACGCGACGAGGAGGACCGCCCTCTCGTACGCCCACGATGTCATCAATCATACGACATCGAGCATAGTGATCGGATAATGCCCGTTGAATTTCGTTTGGTAGAACGGATTGAACGATGATCTGTCCGCAAAGGTAGCAGAAGTGTCTGTGAGACAAAGCTTAGTTGAGTAGCAAGAGAAATGACAGTACATCACGTACGCATTGCATCCTGGAGAGATGCACTGTGACAGACATGAGTGTGGTTAAGGATCGCTATTGCGTAGAAATATCCTATATACTCACCGTCATATGGTTGCAGCCATCGACTTTCTCTGCGGGGGTACGACAACCTGTGCAGAGCGATGAGGATCGGCTGTGTGATGTAGTCCAGCAAAGGGTACATACCGGGACAATATTTCCATCCCCTTTCCGTCATAAGATGGTTCAGCTCATTTGTGCCATCGCATGAATGAGGGGGGTTTCCACTTTCAATGGTGACGCTGCAATTCTTACACCACGCATGGGTGCAACCTGGTAAAGGGCAAACGATGATTTTCTCTTCGTCATATTCACATTTATCAACGAAGACAGCATTCTTGCATCTTACAACGGCGATAAAATTCAGTGAATTTAATCAATGGAAGAAAGAAGACACACTTACTTTCTACAGTGCAGTAGAATTGAAAACGAGGCCATCTCAAGTTCAGTGAATAGTGCGAATTCATCCTCCGAGAGCCCGATCTGTTGAGCTAACATTGAGTTCAATGCTGGAGAAGAACGAATCAGTTCTCGCGAGGAGCATCTGAGAGATGGTATACGTACTGCCAGGATCGGAGGTCTTCTTATCGGCAGTACACGAAGGACATAAGATTGGGAATCGATGTTCCCCCAGTTTCGATTGCAGATAGCTCCTCACACAGTCTCTACAGAAGGCATGACCACAAGGCTCGATGCGAGCAATCATATACTCGGATTCCTCTTCCAGGCATATCCCACATTTGAATACCGCGGGTTGAGGTACAGCTTCCTGAAGTGCCTTCATTTGAGCACGAAGTCTCCTATCCTCTTCCTCGAACTCGCTCTGTTTTTGGATTGCCAGCTTGATGGACGGGTCTTCTGTGGGGTCTTGCATCCACTGAATCTGTAGACGAGTGGCATACGCTTCGTCGTTATCGTCTAGTTCATCTTCAGCTCGCATAACGTACTTCCCCTTCCCCTTTCCCGTACTTTTACTTGAGCGTGGAGGTGAATCTGTATGCTGCTTCTTAGCGGGTGGCGGAGTAGAGGTCTCTTTATCTGTATCTTCCTCCATCCACTCTAACTGAATACGAGTCGCAAACGCGACGTCGTCATCATCTCGTTCCTCGGTAGTTTTCATCACCAACTTGCCTTTACTCTTGCTTGTACTCTGAGAGGAGCCTGATGACGATGACGACAGCTTGACTGATGAACTGGAATGTGAATCACGAAGCGCTCGTGCAGAAGTAGAGGCCAAACTAGCTGAAGCGTTCCATGGATTCGTCCGCCAGGGTTCAGAATGAACATGTGTAGGTGTGACCGAACTCAAAGGCTGGGACGACTTGCGTGCAGATCGCAACGAGTCCAGCAAATGGCCGGTCTGAAGCTCGAGATCTGCAGCCTTATTCTCAAGACGTCGGTTATCCGCTCGAAGTGACTCATTCTGTTGCTTCAGCTCTGCAACCTCCGCCTTCAGAACCAAGACTTCGAGACTCGAGTCAACGACTGCATGCATTAAATCTGTTGGCTCCACCAATGTGCGTTTCGACACAAAGACATGTCCAGAATAGTTGGCAAGCAGCTGCGCTTGCCACTGCATATTGCTATCTGCGAGAAGATGGGGATCGTAGCGGAGTAAGGAGCCCAGGTAGGTCGCCGCATGGTCTAGGGATTGATGGAAGATGAATGCTGCACCATCCGGGTGGGTGTCCCTCGGATGCGAATCGAAGGTTACAAAGACATCTTTGTTGTCGACCGCGATCTTGAGAACGCAGATGATCTCTGGTGGTCGTGTTATAACGATGGCAGCTGAACCAGCCACCCTCATGTGTAGGCGTCTAGAAGCCTGGATGAGGAGCGAGGGGGGTGATTTGCAGAAGAAATACCTACTGGAGTAGACCTTGGAACTCCTTCTTCCCTGGCATCTCATAGTCAGACCAGAGAAGGTCAAGACCATGGTCGAAAAGAGGGGCTTTAAGTATATCGTCAACGTCCAGATGAGCATTACTAGACCAATGTTGACATATCCCCAAAACGTCCTATCATAATCGGGGTATCAACAATGATGGCTAAGCTGATGCATTGGAAGACCTTACCTCGAGTGTCTCTCTTCGCATCATATACCGCAACAACTCCGCGCCTTTTAGCCCACCCATCTCTTTGGCCAAAATGACTCTGGCGCAATTGAGAGCAGCGAGCCCACAAGCAGAAGTTCCGCCTCCATTGAGACTGTACTGACTACGCCCTGCAAAGCTCGATACATGCTGCCTGTTTCGTTCTAACACGTTTCGCACGATCCGGCTGAGATCGCGATCCCTGGCATCATCTGGATGTGACTTCGACGAGGACGATGGAGTTTCAGCGTTCGTCATCTCAAATCTCGTTAGAATAATTCAGAATAGGTCAATGCAAGAGGCGGGTTGTGTTAGGGGGTGAGAAAGAGACGAGAAAGGCGCAGGTGCGACTTGAGGCTCTTAGTCTTGAGCTGCTGCGTTAGAAGCCTCTTAAAGCCCACGAGGCCAATTCAACGACATCAATCATTCTCCAGGAACCTTACGCAACCATAAAAGCAATCAATTTGCATCAGGGTGTACTGAACCTAAAGCGCTGTATGTGGAGGAGGTAAAGAAGTAGGAATAGAGTAGAGACACAGCTCAGTGAGTTCCATGCCTCAATACGTGCTGCAAAGGAAACATCAGAAGGTGCCGTATACACTCTGCATTGGACCAAATTTATAATAACTGCAGTGTTCAGACATGGAAAAAAGAATGATGCATTGGTACCTGGATATCTGCGCATATCAGGGTGATCTGAATGAGCAGGAGAACCATGAAACATACTATACAATGTTAATTAGTACAACCTAAACGATATCTTAAGCGACTGGTCGAATGTTGTATTCCTGTTTGAAAGCCTCGAATTCCACTTCCTTTGTCTTGTATTGCTCCGCAAGCGTTGCGATAACCTTCTGAATCTGCACACATACTGAGGATCAAGTCTCTGTCCAACGCAGACATGCTTACGTTTTCAAGGTTTGTTTTGAGCGCGGGAACGACCTCCTTTACTGTTCGTTCAACCAGAATGCCTCCAATGAGGCGGAAGCATTTCCGATCAGGCTCCTCTGCCAGTGCTTCATCAAGCGTGGTCAGAACCAGTCTGGAAAGGTGATGATATATGAAAAAGTTCTGTTCGAAGACGTTAGAGACGCACGCATGTTCTTCAGCTTCCTGCTCAAGTTCGCCGATCTTACCGGCGAGGGATTGCAGATCATTTTGGTATCTGCTGTATATCTGCTGAATCTCTGGCTAGTCTAAGATTAACGAGGGAATTTGAATGAATGGTAGCACATACCCTGTGTCGTTAATTGCGTCGGTTTTGGAACCGGCGACCTTTTGGTGCTCGTGGACATTTTGGACTTGCAAGGTGCAGACACGGTCGCGCTATCTTGGGCAATGTTGGACATTAGCTGATTCCCGCGCTCTGATTGGCTGACGGGGGGGCTCCGGCAAGTTCCGACCACTCACAGGGCGTCGAGTTGTGCCGGTGAGCGAAGTGACATAGACACTTGCCAGGGAGCGTCGCTCGTCGTCCTCGTCGTCGACCGCTCCTTTCTTCACAACCATGACTATCCTTCGTACACTCATGGGTTCAGGCCCCTCTTCTCGTCTTGTCACTACTCGCTTCGCTAATGCTGGTCCATCTACTCTCATTGCTCGTCGATTGCTTTCGACTACCTCAGCACGGTCAATGCCAACACGAGAGCCTCCAAAAGGTTCTGAGGTCTACGAGACTCCTGATTATCTTAGACCACCCCCCACCCCAAGGTCACCTCCGCTGAGCGCAAAATATGAAGGTGCCGTCGATCCGTACCACGGTGGACCGAGTGCTATCGAGAAAGCGGTTCATATTTTCTTTTTCACGGAGATCATTCGTGGTTCGTACATTCTTCACTGACATTACTGTGCGAGTATTGAAAAGCATTTCACATCCAGGAATGTGGATTGTTTTGGAACAATTCTTCCGTCCACCGTACACGATCATGTATCCCTTTGAGAAAGGGCCGCTGTCACCTCGTTTCCGCGGGGAACATGCGCTGCGCAGATATCCAAGTGGAGAGGAGCGATGCATCGGTGCGCTTCTATTAAATTCCTCGAAGCAACCTGCTTGTATTAAATTGCACGTCGTGTTGATCCAGCTTGCAAGTTGTGCGAAGCCATTTGCCCTGCACAGGCAATCACTATCGAGAGCGAAGCTCGTCTGGATGGTTCAAGACGAACTACTCGATACGGTCCGTGCTTGCCGTTCTTCTTTGACTTCTCGCTGTGATCCGACTATTCACCCGATCGTGAACCTTACAGACATCGACATGACTAAGTGCATCTATTGTGGATTCTGTCAAGAGGCCTGTCCCGTGGACGCGATTGTAGAGAGTGCGTACTTTCTTCCTTCCTTTGGCTTTGTGGCGTTCCTGGTTTTCGTTCGTTGCTTTATTCACTTCCTTCTCACATTCCCACCCACACCTTCCATTCTAATCTAACTTTCGCGTTGTAGCCCAAAACCAGGAATTCTCCACTGAGACTCGTGAGGAGCTCCTCTACAACAAGGAGAAATTATTGGCGAACGGCGATAGGGCTGAGGCCGAGATTGCCGCTAATTTGCACGGTATGTATCCGCTATATCTGGCGCAACGTCATTTTCTCGCTCGAAGCGCATTTAAGCTGATGTATTTGCTTTTCGCAGCGGATCACGTATACCGGTGACGGGGGTCAGTGCCTTGAAGATGGTGATGTTTGTCAAGAAGCTCGCACTCGAGATGAGATGTTATCCGGACCACCGGAATCCTTTCCTCTTCGTGGTGATTGTGCTACTCCGTATCGCGTATACTATAATTTTTTTTCCAAGACTGATAACGGAGAATGCTCAGGGGCTTTGATGTTTAGCTCTTGATATGTCGAGACACTGGCCTGACGATAACTTTGAAAGGTCTATTGAGTTCTGTTCGGACTGCGAACTTTCTTTTGTCAGAACCAGTCGGGGCTCGGTGTGAACGGCTCGGAATGTGGGTTTCCACTTGCCTTCATGAGGTTGCTCTGTCATTCTGCCACCATTCTGCTCTGCAATCGAACAGATCAAGCGACCTGTCTTTCTTTGATGGCCGACCATGCAACTCGAGACCTACGTGCTGATCCTAGCTCAGTTAGCTCGATGTTTATAATGGCTTGCCCCGTTTTGCATCTCGGAAACATTTAACGGATCTTGAGACGAACGGAACAGACATAATTCTGCCACGCGATTCCATCGGACAGAGCTTCTAGCTATGACGATGACACACCTATCGTCAAAATGGCACCTTGAAAGTAAGTCCCATATTCCGTCGGTTGCGCCGTTCCTGCATTGCATTGATTTGTTTACACACCCAAACCTTGTATCACAGAAGTGGTATCCTTGGGCAGTGCTATGGCACAGAAGAGAACTTGTTCAGATGGCGGGCTCTGCGTGCTGTCACAGACGAACGGAGGCAATACAAGTCTTCGTTTCAGATTGTCCGAATGCGCAATGACCAGAAAATGACAATATACCTTTTCGACCCGCCATCCCCACCCGAGGGCTATTTTGATTCCGCTCCTCGGGCAGATGTTGGAGAACTCGGTCCGTGAGGTCTTATGATTCTGACTCAGTGCACCAAGCCTGATATACTTTTAACGCCACAGTCGATGTAAGGGTTCTGCTGATCGCAGCAAGAAGATCGCGGGAGGACTATCACCTGTGCGGTCAACTAATGACTTATCTCGGTGGACAAACACGAGGATACTGACATCCTGTAGATCGGCTGTACTTGGTATCCTGATTACCTGTAAACATCGCCAGCCAACTGTCGTCTATATGCACTGCGGACGCTCGTGACGGCTACGGCCTAACGATAGAGACGGGTACGGATAGCGGCTGACTTTGGAGGCCAATGGGTCTGTCATCCCTCGGTTCGAATTGCAATTCCAGCCGCATATAATGCTGCGCCATTGCTCGCACATGGAGCATTACATTATATCGACCACAACAAGCTACGCGCCACGCTCTACACCTATAATATGACCAACGCGTAAGCAAGCCGCCGATTCCAAATACTTTGTCATGTATGCTCAATACTAGCGGTCAGGGTTGCAACCAATGTGGATTCTAAGGAGATACGTCGGAGCGCACGAGCTCGCCGTCGGACTGCACAACTAGCACCCGCCGACACCGACATTTTCCGACCTTCATCTTATAACACCCCCGACCTCGTTCACGAACCTGCAGGACCAATTGACTACAAACCGAAGCCCAAAACACGCATCAACATTGGCAAACGTAAAGCACAAGCTGCCGACCTTTCCGGGCCTGAACTAGTGGCGAAGCGCCCCCGCCACCAACGCTACCAACAAGTTCAAGCTTCCCAAGATCCGCTTTCGAGTTCTCCTTCCTCATCGAAAAGACATGGTACAACGACCACGTTAGGTTCAGCGTCATCCACGCTAGTGTCGCCACGGCCGTCAGAGGCAAAGGAGATCCTGCGACGTGCGCGGGAGACTATACGCCTCAATTCCAAATCGCCTGGTCACCCACCGTTCCTGATGGACACCGTCTTGAATTCACAAGCCCCCAACACCGCCAACCTAGAAGAACTGCTAACAGAAGCTTTGGACCATAAGCTTGGCCGGTCTTTTCACCCCGACGCTGCGCACTACAGGAACGATTATTGGACGAACGAACCTTATTTATGGCGTGGCGTAGCGGTGGAACCATTGGACCTGTCACCTAGGAAGATCTATCATGTCTCTGCGGAACGATCGACAGCCTCTTGGGATTCAACGTTGGATGGCGAGGACTCGCATGACCGCGTGTTGGAAGGTCGACGATGCACCTACGAATGCGACTGCGGGTATGCGTGTTCCTCTCGGTCTTCTCCGCGAGGTTTCTCCTTGGCCAAATAGGATCGAGGATTTCCCTTGGAAGTCTAGCATTGTTACACTGCTTAACGGGGATGCGGTATGTATTTGTCTTTCGGCCAGGCTCATCGATGGCCCTTGGGGGCTTGTGATTCATGGGTGCACCACCATGTACGGTTTATGTCTATCTCTTCACACCCTGATATGATAATAAATGACATGTATTTGCTTTCGAACTTCCCCTCGATTTGACATTGAATCTTAAGTTTGAGTGAGCATGCCCATCGGCGGCGCGATAATAGGGTCTGGATCAGACATATGTCATGCATGTGCTCAACCGCGACATAACAGACAAAAAGGTCTAAATCAGAATTCAGGTGTTGCTGTGCATATTTTTCCGAGCTTCCTTTGTATGTTCTCAAGAATGGAATAATGATCCTTGGCCGAGTTCACCACAATAGCCAGTTTCTATGAAGGCGATCATAATAGTCTCGTCTATACAGAAACTTCGCACATGAATATATGCATATACATTTATTGACCCTAATACCATAACCATACGATACATGCATTGGAATATAAGAGACGGCCTCCAGGCCTCATGAGATACGAGTAGCGCATATAGTAACACATGTATGTCAAAAAAGGTAATCACAACGACAATCACGAATATTTGAACGATAACAACAAAGCCATTGAGTCTGGGAGAAAAGAAGGTACACTTACAAAATCATGTAGAAGGGACCCTAGTCGGTTAACCAATGGACACGGCCAATTGATCTAGTGCGGGGTATGGTGGAACAACATGCGCAACGACACGTCAGCCACATATGCATACACCCACGCAAAACGCACAGGATAGTTTTCGGGGACCCGCCTAGTCATCCTCATCCATGGAATCATCACGAACCCTAGAAAGCATGGGAGACCTCATCCTTTTGGCCCTATGCTCCATCGAGTCACTCAATCCCGCAGCAACGCTCGATGAATGATGACTCTCCAAAGGACTTCTCAATGATCCTGACCCACTCCCACTGCCTCCTCCACCTCTCTCGCGCTCACTGTCATCCAAATCCATCTCAGCATGTTGACGTTTTCGCCCGGCCCCACCTCCACCTCCGGTCATTTCCACATATCCATGTCCGGAGCCGTGACGTATATGTCTACTGTGACTCTCCCTACTAGAATGAATTTGATCGCCGTAGTCTGGTTCGAGACCAAGGATGTTTGAGTGATGGACAGCTGTGCCATACCTAGCAGTACCGCGTGATTCACGGTCACTTCGTTCATACGATTGACCCGAAGGAGGACGTGAAGATGTATTTTCGTGTCCTGAACCTGAATTTGGGGTGTCAGAACGCGATCGACCATGAGGGATCCCAGGACCCATGAGACCGTGTTCTTGTCTCCATAGACGCATTTCCTCCTCTTCCATAGCCATTTGGTAACGCATGTTTTCTTCACGTTCGCGTTCCCTAGCTCTTTCCAGCTCCCGACCTCTTTGGAGCTCGAGCTCGTACTCGGGATCCCGCGGTGAGTCGCGATGAATATGAGCACCGGGACCAATACGTTGATGACCATGCATACGGGATCCACGGCTATTGGTCGGGGAATGGAGAGACGGCGGCGAAGGTGGTAAATTCGATGTAGAAATTTGAATATGTTGATGGGGATGTCGCGTATCATGAGGATGTCCAATATCATTGAAGTCGTGTCTGTCGTGTCTTCGTCCACTTCCGCCAGTGCTCCTAGGATCCGGTGGAGGAGGTGGGATCTCATTGTGACCAGAGATGCTAGATCTTCGAGAGCCACGTAAGGCTTCCAAGCGTCCACTTCCATGTTGATCTCTGTCACGATCTCTGGTCCTTTCATGCTCACGCTCTCCTTGTAATGAATCTAGATCTGAATGATGACGGCGGTGGTGATGGCCAGAAGACGCATTGCTATGTGACCGATGTTCACGGTGATGATATTCCCGTGAAGCCCATCCACCACTTCCACGTTCCGTGAATCCTCCCTGTTGTGGAGGGGGAGGGGGTGGAGGCGGGATAGACCGTGTGTTCGAAACAGGCGGTTCATCATAAGGGTCGCGTAATCCACTTATAACAGATTGAGCAGGGATGCCTGGTGGAACCGGCGGTGGGTATCTTGGATCTAAGCCAGGTGCCGAGTCATGTCTGAAGCTGTGAACAATGGAGATGCCTGGAGGAGGCGGAGGCGGGACGCTAGTACCAGTCCTGATGTCAGAGGTTGGCAGGTCTTCGATGGCGATGGGTCTCCCATGGTGTCCTTGGACAACACGGGCATTGGGATGGGCGCGCAGGTATTCTGCGATGGCGGCTTCGTTGGCCTCTAATCGGGTGATATCTGTCTGAGGGGCAGGAGGCTGCTGGGAAAACAATGGATCTGACTCCGGAGGTAGGTCTTGCGGATGTCTCCCTGGCGTCGGCGGTACAGCTGCGAGACGTTCATAGAGAATTCTAGAAAGAGAAAAGTGGCAAAAGAGGAATGATTGAATGAGGTATATGCGCGTTTGGGAGTCAAGCCATCACTTACGCTCTTTCCAAGTTCATCCGCCGGATGTTTTTCTTTGCGAGCAACAGCTTCAGGTACAGCTTGTCATTGTCCTACACATACAGCCATAGATTGACAAGAGCCATGGACACAGGTAGTGGGTACAATGAGCACACGAGTACGATCTTGAAAGAGCGTCCCCTCCCCGCCCAAAATGGGAAGGAAGGAAAGCTAGGACTCACCAGTTCGATCTCCTTGACCTTTTTCTTCAACTCTTTATACTTTGTCTGATACTTGGAATCCTCCGCGCCAGCGGTGATACCAGGAGTGTAGCCCTTTGGCAAGGATCTCTGTTTCGTCAAGGCAGACGACGCGGAAGCAGAAGGCGTCAAGGAAGTGCCATGATGGGCATGATGTTCACGACTGGAAGATTGGTGGTGGTATATGTTATGGTTATTGGGTGTAGGCGAGGGCTGGCGCGACATGGTGTTGGGAGGAGATGAGAAAGAAAACGGAGCCCGTGCCTAAAACGGGGCTGAGCGTCGCTTAGCGTTTGAGGCTATTGCATCGCTGTCATGTTTGGCCTGGCGTTGAGTCTTCCCCTCTCCTCAGTTCCCTTATCCAGCAAGCGGCCCTAAGCGGTCCGTCCTCGTATCCTCATCTTCAACGAGGTTTGCACAATGCATGTTCTATGCTTTCATTTCGGTAATTACTTGCTCGTAGAGGTTAACAATAGCATATGTGTATACGAGCGAGTCACTTTCAACACCTGTCCAACCTGCATGCATCTCAATTACCTCGGGCAATCCACATGTCAAGCTGCCAACGCCATTGTTTTCTTAATCTGCTCGAGTCACCGTGCAGATTCTGGCCGAGAGAAGAGATGAACATGCTACAAATCCAACTTAGAATGAACTTGGTGTGGGCTGCTGTTTATTGGAAAGTGATCGACAGCCGGGGATCTCCGACCCTGCAACGCGGAAGCCTGCAGGCAACTGAACGCTTCACCTCCAGCAACATCTCTCTCTCTTGCTTCCGTCTCCTTTGCTCTCTCGGGGACCACCAAACATACATTCCCACAATACTCTTTCGTACCGAGTTCAACCCCACTTTTTCCCACACAAAAAACAACCGTTACAACTAAACGAATAACAAGAGTAAGTCACGCAACAATAAATGCAGACGTCATCTATCTGCATTCCAACCGAAGAAGCATATATGGTTTCGCTGACCAAATCTATGTGCTGGTTTCTCGTATGGCAGTGTCACAGTATAGGCAGTGAGTGTCATTGTTCTCCGCATTCGTCGATATGTTCTCTCATCATACGTCCCCTCCCTGTCCTCATGCCGCCTCATTCACGTAACCGATCCTTCTCTCCACCAATGCTCAATCAATCTATCCTACCTCGTCTTCCCGCCGGTCTCTCCACGCGTCGACGTGTTTATCATCCAATTCATCCCAACTGGTTCAAACTCATCACAATCATTCCTTTGCTTCCCCTCATTGTCCTTTTCGCCAACTTCCACTTCTTCAATGATGCAACGCTACGTGTCCTTGTCTTCCTGTGCCCTTAATTTGTGATCCCCATGTTCTCGTCATTGTTATTGTGACAACCTGACAACTAGGGATATGCCCCCACCGGGTGGGTTCGAGCCTGTCAAGTACAAACGCAACATCCCCCTCCGGGGTCCGAGCGGTGTAGTCATCCTCGGCGGTGTGACGGCCGTATGTGCCTATGGGTTTTATCGCCTTGGGAAGGGCAATCTCGAGAAGAGGTACGTGTCCTTGTTTTTGTGCGTTCTTTCATGTCCGATTTCTCCTTTCGCGTTGTCTTCACTTTTCCGGGAGAGTTAAGGTTCAAACTCCTTCCTTTCATTCCCCCTTTCTTTCTGCCCTTTCCCCCTTGCATTTTCCGAAATATTCCTTGGTGCTCTATTTGTGCCATGTTACCTCCACGGGAAGGCCGAAACGCCCTTTGCCCCGTTACGCGCAATACGCGCGAAACGGGTCCGCTGTCCGTTCCCCGTTTTCCGTTTCCCATTTCCCATTTGAACTTGATAACTCTATTCGAAAGACACATTGCTTTACACGGCAACTCTGTCAGCTAAAGGGTCAGGCGGACCTGTGGAACGTGGAACGTGGACCTTGCAAGGGCCCGCTCGCCGAGAAACGTGGTCATACTACCCTTACTCCACCTCCACCCATGTTCATCATTATCTCGCGCTCTCACTTCACTTTTGTATTGGTTCCGTCTGCTGCGAGATCGTGTTACCGCCGTGGCTCGCGTTTCTTTCGACTTGCTGTGATTTTACGATGAGGTGATGACGGGTCTTGCTCGCTCAGCTTCTGACGCGCTCTGGCAGGCACTTGACTATTGGCTACGGATGGAACTGAGTGATGCCTCTCCTTATCAATGAGTGCCTCTTCCCCTCCGCGCTCCTCTCTTCATTTCGGATCGCGAAGCGTCAAGGGGAGGGTTGCAGTTGGGTGCTTATGTCTGCTTAGAGTTACTGCTGCGCTCGTTTTGGCTAAATGCAGGCCTTGAAGGTCCAAGGGGTTCAGGGGGCTCTCTATTGGAGGATCTGGGCACCCAGGCATTAACTAGCTCTTGGCAGGCGCAGATTGCGGTTTTTGCTGTACGTGATGTACGTGATACACAATCGGGTTGATTTGTGCTCATGCTAGTCTCATTGCTCTTTATTGCACAATTGCAATTTGACTCCTTTGTTGTTTTTGACATATCTAAATACTAATTCCACAACCTAATCACGCATATACTCTGACATTGACACTCGTTGAACGTCGACTGACTGCGTATCGAATTCTAACAGGGAATTGAAGCGTGAGGCGACTTGGTCACGAATCCACCTGGTCCCTCTTCTTCTGGCCGAGGGTGATCGAGATGCGTATCGAAGGCAGAAGGCTGCTTTGGAGAGGGAGAAGGAGATTATGAAGGATGTTCCGGATTGGGAGGTAAGTCATTCGTCTCATTTTGTGCTTTTGTCATTTCTTGCTTTTCTCTTTACGTTGCTTCCATTTTCAAAGTACCAACGCACCATCTGCACATTACTGGGGGGTGTGCATTGGTGCTGTGATTCTTTGGACCTTGATTTGTTTTGTGTTGCGGAACTGGTGAAATGTGTTGCTGACTGGAGCATGTGGTGTCCCCGAACTTTCCCCCTTGTGCCGACCATAACCAAACTTATGACATATGACATGTCTGGTGTTGTCATCTCCGACTCAATTGACTCGCTCGCATGGGACACGGGTTATAGGTGGGCAAGAGCGTATACCATAATGATAAGTATCGGCCTACAGACCCGATCGTGGTGCTCTGATCGTGATTGCGGGGAAGCTGGAGATCAAGGATGTCGACTCGGGGGAACGGAAGTGTGAGGATGGAGGAAGAGTGGGCAGCTTTGATGCATCTGTTCTTGCTATCTCGATGGAGTCGCTAATTAGAGATTGGACGCTGTCGCTGGAAATGATAATGCAACTTGTGGCGACCGGAGAGGATCGATTGAGATTGAGTGGAAGTTCTGGGCATGAGAGATCCATGAGAACGGACTGGTGATGCGCTGGAAGCAGGTGAGGGGATTTTCGAGAGTGCTTGTGAGAGGGACGGACGGAGAGACTGTGCAGCTGAGCAAGCGGCGGCTTGAACTGTATTGCGTCCGGACTAGGATTGGGACGCAGTTGCTTTATCGGGGAGACGCCGAAGGGGCCGGCGGCATTGTTGGGACGATTTGGACAGAACCATCGACCATCGTGAAGCGATTCTCGCTGTTATTCGTCGTCTGCGGCCAGTCATTTCATAGCACAGGGAAACATCGTGAGCGATAACTGAATACCAGTCACGCACGGGCTGGGGGTTGACGTGGAGGCAGTACGGGAAGGCAGTACGGTGAGTTGAATTTGTTTGTTTGGATGAATGAATGAAGGGGGTGGGAGGGGGTTTGCTAACCTCGTGTGTGTCGAGCTTCTGAGATGAGGATCTGGGGATATCTAGCATCTGATTCATGGCAGCTTAGTGGCAGCTGAGTGGCAGCTTCTGTGACTGGTTATCGCGGGATGGAATTGGCAGAGTCGGATGCTTGGCCGGGGAATGTGCCCAGTTTGGATGACCCAACGTTTGGCTGACCCCGTTTGGCTGACTCGATTTCGCATTAGTAGATGGCAGCCGCCCTGGCCACTCGCAGTCTTCTCAAGCGCGTCCCTCTCGATTCCTCTATTAAAGCCCTCCTCTTCCCGCTCATTCCCTCCTCTCCCCTCCCTCCGTTCTCCTATTTCCTTCCCTCCCGTTCCCACATGTCTCTGTTCTCAAGACGCGACAGGGAGAAAGACGCTGTCGCCATTGCCCTTGCTCACTCTGACCTCTCCCTCGCCGATCACTCTCCCTTCATGGCGACTTACGATTCCTACGATACTGCCCACCCTGACTCGGGCCATATGATCTTTGACTTTGACGAGCTTCACACGTACGACTCCAAGTCGTCTCTCGCCGCATGGGACTCCCCCGTCCCCGACTACCCCATGCCCGCCTCCACACCTTCATCGTACCTCGCTTCACCAGAGTCGACTTCTAGCCAGCTGGACTTTGGCTCTCCCCACCATCTCACACCATCCGACCATGGTATCATGGCCGCCTACGGGGATATGTCCTCCGCGTCCCCAGACTTTAACGATTCTATCCTCTACCATCGCAATTATGCCAGCTGGATCGCCGATCCGGACATGTCTCCACTGCACTCTTCGTCCGCGCCAATCGATATCCCTGCGCAAGCATCCCTCAATGACAATTTCGCTGTTGCTTACAGCGACAACTCCTCCATCTTCCCCGATGTTTCCCCTTTCTCCCCAAACACCGCATACGCCGCCCTCCAACCTCTTCCACGCTCGTTCTCGCCGTCGCCTGCGGGCGACACCATTATGACAGATACATTGCGTGGATACAACGAGCCTTCGTCTCTCGACTATCAGATGAGTCCCCCGACATGGGCCACTCAACTCTTTACGGCACCGAGTCCGGCTCAACAGCCACGTCCGGCGCCGCCTCCACTTGAGTCAGTTACGACTGCCCAGGCTATTCCTTTCCAGGCGGATTCCGAGGATGCCTTTGCAACTCAGAGGCCAAGGATGCACCCTCAGAGACGAGACATTGCTTCCGTGTCTCAGGTATTCCAATCGTCTAGTGCGCCTTCCATTTCGCATGCCCGTCCACGCACAATTTCGAGAGGGTACAGTCGACGGGCGGAGTCTATCTCGGAGAGCGACGATCGCGATGCCACTGTGCGTAGAAAGCGACGAAGTCCGACAGAGGACGAAGAGGAACCTCGGGCCGCACCTTCTGACAGAGAGAAAAGTCGTAGGTCTTTCCATTGTTTGTTGCTGTCGATCGCGTTCATTGCTGAATGGTATCACTACTGACAGCTCCGATCAAGTCTACGTTGAAGCCACCGAAGTTGGCGCCGTCGGCGTGGCAGCTTTATTTTACGGATTGGATCCAGCGGCATCAGGCTTCGAGTCACAAGAAGCTGAACGTTGCGCAGGCGGCGAAGGAGGCCGGGCAGGAGTACGCCAGGCTTACTTCCGAACAGAAGGAGGTGCTTCACTTCCCTTCCTTTTTTCAATTCTCGATGATCTCATTTGCTTAACATATTCCAGCCTTATCGCCGGCGCTCCCAGGCAGCCAAAGAAGCGCGCGAACGCGAGTTGGCTGCATATATGCGCACGCTGACTCCTGAAGACATCAAACGCGAGAACGCATTCCGGACTGCTCAGCGAAAGGCGGGCAAGTCACGTCGGGGAAATATCAAGGATCCCAATGCGCCCAAGAAACCGTTAAGCGCGTATTTCATGTTCTTGCAAAGGATTAGGAGTGATCCGGAATTGGTGAAGGAAGTGTTTGGCGATGAGACAGAGACGACAAAGCAGAGCGTGCTTGCGGCGGCTAAGTGGAGAAGCATGACGGATGACGAGCGCAAGGTACGTCTTCTCTTTGGTTTCTTTGACGATTCACATTCGCAATTTCGGATTCGGGGAACGGGGGCGAGACGGGACGCGATGAGGTGAAATTGCGAAGGGGGATGGCATGGATCTCGGGACGAATGTACGAGATTCATCTCCCCCTTAGCGTTCTATCTTGCGCGTCTTGGTGCTGCGTTGGGGTATATGATCCTCGGATTGCACCTAACGTGAAACCTGTCTCGCTTCCTCATGTTGCTTTTGGACTCGGACCCTATGACGCACCGACTCACTTTCACTTTCCCTCCCTCTCTCCTATCAATTTCTAATCGCCCCAATCCCGAACTTTTCCGTGTCCGCTGAACGCTAACGATTATCTTGCATTATTTTAGCCGTTCTTGGCTCAAGCCGAACAAGAGAAACTCGAATACGAGGCAGCGAGGAAACTCTATGAGGAAGGGACGACGGGGTATAGCTCGTCTATTAACTTTAGTATCCTCCCTGGAGGCCCGATCAACGCCATCGCTTTCCCTTCGTTTAAAGCCAGTTCAGGGATAGCTAGGGTCAAACACGAAGGGGCGAGTGAGGAGAGTGAGAGTGATGGTGGATTTTTGACGGATGATAGTGCCAGCCATAGTAGTGGGGCTGAGGGGTTGAATGGTGCGAAGGGGACGGGTCTTTTGAAGATGACGACTCGATCGAGACGGGCGTAGGTGTTGCTGTCGTTCTATGATGCAGTGCGTCGCCGTCGCCTTTTCTTTTATTTTGCTTTTTATTGGTCGCGAAATTTGGCTGCCGGACCTTCTTTTCTTTGTTTGCTTGTCGATTCACTTGATACCTCTCATAGAGGTTACCCTGTTCACATTTACCCCCAAGTCTTCACGACTATCTTTGCGTATATGCGTCTCCTTATGTTGTTTTCTTGACGTTTTCACGTTTCGACGTTCATGTCCTTTTTTGTCTTCGACATTTTTTGTGTATTCGGTATACCATATACCAATGCTTGTTGTCATTGACTCGAGCCACAACACACACCCCTTTATTATAAACTTATGATCTGCCGAGCATCATGGACCCCCTGCTCCTTTCTTTGCTTGTATGTTTATCTCTCTGTATCATGTATACCACCAAAGACTTCCGCTTGTCTCTCGTCTTATCAGCATCTCACCCACTACCACCGCTCCTGCATCACCCCTGTCTCTTCCTTATTATATCCCCCTGCACATTACATCTTCCTGTATTGATAGCTCTTATTTATCCACTACACACGCCCTCCTTTCTTACCCCCTTCATATTGGTTGGGCTCTCAACGTTCAACTCTTAGGCTGGAGGCGTTGTGTTCTAGCTTATAGGTTTTTGGGTACAAATTCTTATACGACATTCGTTCTATCTGGTTTGTTGCTTATGATGATTAGTTTATTGCACTGTGACGACCCCCTTGACGACCTCCCACTCCACCTCTGTATTCTTATAGTTATTTCCTTCTCCTCTGAATTTCTACGTACCAAAAGGAATTGGGTTGTACTGTAGTACGTCGACCGCAAATCATACACGAATACACGAATAGGCGAATATTCCAATACCCCCTTCTTCTAGATCTTGACGCCGCGAACATTCGTTCTAGATGTTGTGCCCCTAGCTGGAATAATTGACACTGGTATCGTTGTTGGACTAGTCGGATATGGGAAGACGGAGGACCATCTTCTGGTGTGGCGCGCCGTCTTCGTCGAATTCTTCACCCTAAAGGAGTAAAATCAACAGTCCAAACGTCAGTAAGGGTTATTTCCATAGTCGATGACGCAGATGAGTCGCAACGGAGACGTCGCGACAGGGGAGACGTCATTAAGATAGCAACGGATAGAGCGAAGGAAAGAGGCGAGAGCGAAGGAAAAGGCGCAAGCGAAGAAAAGAATTCAAATGCGGACATGGGACGCGTGAAGAGTGAAAAAAAGTGAATTGGTAGCCATGGAAGAGCAACAATAGACTGACAGATTTGTCAGGGTTGACAGTGTTTGTGAAGAGCAAGAATCACGGACGGCGGCCAAAGAAACTTGTGTGATCAAAAATATAAATCCTCCGAGACGGGAAGCATGGTGCAGATAGCCGCGAAGCATCATGGAGCCACCCAAGGAACGAGGAACCGTGAACGGAAAGGAACGTGAAGTGGTGGGTACGGCATAAGGTACTGGTAGCGGTTTAGGTGGTGGTCGTGATACTAATGGCGGTGGCAACAACAGACCCAGGGAACGTATTCGGGTTCCTTCGGTTCCTTGATCAGATAGATGATTCGAAAGAATCGGGGAAGATGGGAAGAAAGGTCAAGAGACCCTGTCAAGAGGAAAAGAGGAGGGCGTAATCAGACCGGCTATATCTGTGTTCAATTGAATTTGAACCATGGGTCTGAGTCACTAGTGACTAGCCCTTTTTTCACTTGTGGAGCTGTTACAAGCTTCGCGTCGGAGGAGTACGAATTGGCGGAAGAGTAAGCAGAGCAACGAATAACAGACATGTGCAGGCGTGATCTGCCGGACAGAGTACAGAATGAATTCAAGTGGAGTAAGAAGTCCAGATGGAGAACGTAAGCGTGAGATGTACACTTGTGTCCCCTTCATTTCGGAAGAAAGCAGACTGAATGATAGTAACCAGAAGGAGAATATGAACGCACCTCGGGTTCATATCCGATTCTACACGAAAGCAGCAAGAACGAACAAACACATCGTCATCAGTGCCGTGTCGAACCTACAAAATCCCTCTGCCCAAGCACACCGCGGTGTGGAGCCCACGCAGAAAAAAAACCTTACACTCACTTTTCGTAAAATCCTTTTATGTAGATCTGGGAATGACAGACGACGCGAACGAAACCGTCCTGATCACCCGGCGCGTTATTCCCGTTCGCGCTACCTTCGTTCCTGCTCTTCCTCGCGTCCGTCCGGATATAGTCATGCAAAGCGTTCACGAGCCCGACACCGAAACGATAGTTCCGATAGTCCTTCAACACGGCGAACCGGCTCAGTTTGTAGTAAGTTTCCCTGGTAGAGGGAGAGGTCTGTTTAGTGTAGCGGATCGTGCCAACCGGTTTGCCTGCGTCGGAACCGGAGGTGAGGCGTAGGAGGAAGTGTGTGGCAACGTCTTCTAGGCTGGAGTTATCGTGATAGGGTAAGTCCAAAGGTGAAGAGAGGGAAGCAGGTTACTCGAGTATGAGAGGAGAGAAGTACGAACTTGTCTATCTCGTCTTCGATGGGGAAGCCTTGTTCGTGATGGAAGACATCTATGCGCACACTATAACACTGCTCGCGAAGTTCTTTCCAGTTGTCTGGTGAGCGTATATAAGGCTTGATAACGACAATTTCATGAGGAGGAACTTCCAAAGCTGTTGCGGACATGCCAATGGTATCACTCCGTTCGTGTTTCTATGAATGAATGACTGTTTAAGCAGAAAGCATACGGTGAACAAAATGAGTCAGTGTGCAAAAAGCGAAAGCTGCGGTTGCTCCCATGGATGGTGGTATGCATTTTCCGGCTCATGAACGCGAACCTCCGACTGCAGCAGGAAAGTCGAACGTCAATCAGTTCAGCGAGTCGGGAACGGCCGAGATGCTCTACACGTCGCTAGACGCCCAATCCTCAGCATCCGCCAACTTTTGTATGTCGCGTTCGGGCTCCCTCCCTTTCTCTTTTGTTGCTTGGTTTACTTGCCTGCGCTGCCAGGTATGTTAATATGCACCTGAATAAGAAACGCAGGTTGAAAATATGTTGGTACTTGCAGGCAGCTCAAAACTCGTCGAGGCGAGGTCTGTGATGCTGGAGCCTTTGGCTTCCTCTGTCCTTAGCTCCATAATCTCCACCGGTCGCCCATCATTCTCGGGACAACTTGTTTCTTCTTCCCAGCCTGTGCTGAGGATGGCCACCCGCCAGGTTTTGCCCCATGACTTCTTCACGCCACTTCCGAGATATACCAAGGGCAAGGAACGCGCTTTGCCTGACCAGACCGAGTGCTTGGATGTAGATCAGGATGATGTGAGCGGAAAAGTTGGGAGCAGCTCACAGACAATTCTGGGTGAGTCGTTGTACTGTTAAATAGTAAAAGGTACAGCTCTTTACATGCTTTTGACAGACCGTCACCGCGTGTTCGTCTCGCGAGATGTCCTCACATGTCGTCAGCGATTTCGAAGGTCAACTTGCCAGCGGCTGCATGGAGATGCCTCGCGCTCACGGGTAACACCTCTCCTCCATGTTTGGATGCATAAAGTCGACGGTGCGCAGAGACGACATGTTTCTAGTCATATAGATCCTCCAGATCCGCCGGACCCTCCAATACATTCGGAGACACCTGAAGCCACTCTTTCCAACGCCATTGACATCATTAAGGAGCGGACTGACAGAGTTCCTGACATGGAGGCATCTTGGAATGCGTATCGACATTTCAAGTCTCACGGCCAAGACGATTTACTCGAGACCTCGACCCTTCTTACATTTGCAAGCAAATTCTTAGATGCTATTCCAAGAACGAGACCGCGTGGCCAGGCCAAGGATGAACTTTGGAAACTTAGTGGGACGAGGATGATCAGTCTTCTACTCGACTTGGAGCCTCGGGTACGCTCGTCAACCGAAGAAGATCAGGTCTGGTGGTTGGGTGACATGGCACGAGCGGAAGCCTATGCTGGCAACTTCGACGACGCTATCACACATTCTCGTGAACTTCGCAAGTACGAACTCAACAAGGTGCAGCGGGTCGCACAGTTGAAAATGTACAGCACCATCATCGAGACTATGGACCGCTACTTGCGTCCAGCTGCGCTCGTGGACTTTGTCGCAGAAGAGTGGGACAACATCAGCCCCTGGGTCCTCCACAGACCTCTGCCTGATACGTATAAGAGTATCAATGCTCGCTTGCAGGGAATGCGTGACTTGGTGGCTCGAGTGGTTGCTCGTATCGACAATGGCGCCGTTATCCTGCGCGATATGGAGGACAGGCCAGAGCAGATTAGGTTGCGCGCAGCCGAGTTCCTAATCGAAACTTTGTGTGAACGCGGGTTGGCCGAAGACGCTCTCGCTGTTCTTGAGGAGCTGGAGCGCCAGGGTGTTAAGGCTCCGCAGTATTGCATTCTCACCGTTGTGAAGGGTCTAAGCAAGAAGGACCGGTTCGAGCTTGCGGCTAACCTATACATGTCTTTGGTTGACGAGGAAGGTCACCTACCCGTCTCAAGAGACGTCTACGTTACCGGTCTTCAGATATTTGCGAATCGTGGTGACCATATGCGGGCCGAGAGGCACTTCAAGTTCATTCAGGAGCATGGTTGGCTCACCACGGCTGAAGTCGCCACCTTACTTCACTGCTATGCTGAGCGCGGTGAGCCGACGCGAGCCGTGACTATCTTTGAACGGTTTTTTTCTTCGGACACGCTTGCATACCAGACCGCACCTGCTGGAGGGGCAGCCCCCGCCTCACCCTTGCCACCAACGGAAGCAATGTTTTCAATACCCTCGACTTCGGACACCTCAGAGGCAAGTGTGCCAAGGTCAGACGATACCACTCCCACCAACTCTCCCCCGCCTGTCCCCATGAGACCCAACACTGTCCACTACACTTCTATAATCCGTGCGTGGGCTCGCGTCGGTCACCAGAAAAAAATGAGGAGGTGGCTTAAACGGATGAACGAGGCGGGTTTCCAAGCTGACAGTCACCTCTTTCATAGTATTCTTGACAGCTTCGTCAAGTTCGGGGACATAGAATCGGCAACGACCACTCTAAAGCAAATGCAGCAAGCCAATACTCCGCCGAAGCCTCATTCCTATACCTCATTGATCTCTCTGTTTACGGATAGGCGAGATCCCGACGGTGCTGAGCGCATACTCAAGGAGGCCTTGCGCGAAGGTGTCGAACCTGACCGTGAGATGTTATCCGCCGTCATGTTCGCCCACGTTCAGGCAGGTAACTGGCAGGGGGTCATTCGCTCGTTCGACTACATGAAGGTTTCTGTAGCTCGAGGTATCCGTATGACTATCGAGGTGTACAACAACCTGCTCAAGGCTTATATCCTCATTGGCGCTCCGTTTCGTGTCATCATGCGTGTATTCAACAAGCTGGCAGAGGTTAACGTCCAACCGGATGTACGAACCTATGCTTTGATTATCCAGAGTGCTTGTGACGCGGGAAGGATGGTCACGGCTACACGATTATTCGGGGAAATGCAAGACCTTGCATCTCAGTATCCATCGGATATGGATGTTAACGTCTACGTCTTGACTATCCTCATGGCCGGACATCTTCGTCTCAGGGACAAAGTGCGCGCCAAACATGTCTTGGACAAGATGGAGAACCTTGGTGTCCAACCCACTTCCGTGACGTATGCTCTCATTCTCAAGGCCTACGGTAACCCGAAGGCAAAAGGGAGTATCGAAATTGCGGAAAACTTCTTGAGCGAAATCTTGGAGCTACAAGGCGAGGAGCCGTGGGCGAATGTCAGGGGTGGGCGTGCTGCTGCCCTGGAACATGTATATGGACCTGTCATGACCGCATACACGCAGAAGGCTGAGGTGGAAGATGTTGAACGACTATACAATTCAATGTTACAGGCTGGAGGACGTCCGACCTTAGGTACTCTCACAACCTTGCTGGACGCGTACCGACGGACAGGTAATTTGGAGAAGTTATACCAGACCTGGTCTGATATTGTCCAGCTTGCCAAAGAATCTAACGCCGAGACGGAGGCGATACTCGCTACCATCTCACCCCCAGAATCCGCAAGGCCAGCAGCTCCACGGCCGGGAAACATCCTATGCGTGCCTCTATCCATATATACCGACGCTCTGTCTGCTGCTGGCGATCATCAAGGTATTGCTGACGTGTGGAAGCAGTTGCAAGAAGAAGGGTATACCTTTGACTCGCATAACTGGAACCATCTCTGTGTCGCTCTTCTTCGCGCTGGCGAAGTCGAACGCGCTTTCGAAGTTGTCGACAGGGTCATCCTGCCCAACAGACAGCGAGCTACTGTTGCCGCAGATCGAGAACCACAGCCTGTCGCGACACCTTTCTTTTCGGACGTCGATCCAAAGCTTGACACTACACAAGGCGAAGCTCCTATGCATAAGTCTCAGCGACGAGCTGAGCGTGCAGCCTTTCTCACTATGAAGTCACAACCCTGGATGGAACCCAGGTCGAGAGATTTCCCTCATCCTTTACACATACTTTATCAGATATCCCCTGCATGGAATATCTGGCGTCCTCATAATATCGTTCTAGAATACTTAAGCAGGGTCCTCGATCATCTGCATAACGGCGTCCTCATCAAACCGGTCGAGGCGGGCGAACAGGGACTTGGTTTGTCTAATAAGGAGGACTTGACAAACGTCGAGGAGTTGCGGAAGAGGCAGGAGATGGCTGCGGAGATGCTTGGACGGATTTACGACAATTACCCAGAGACGGTCTCGGTAGTTCACGAGTTCCAGGCGTGGCAGGAGAGGAACCGTGAAAATCCTGTAAAACACGGTGATCGTCGTCGTGTATCGAGGGGGAAGAGTTCGAAGGGGTCGCAGGGTTCAAAGGGCTCTTCACGTGGGTTTGGGTTGAAGGCGAAATACAGTCATTCAAAATGATACACACCGGACATCGGATTTGGACGTGTGAATAAGAGGATGGAAGACCTATGCAGCAACAGCGAACAAGCAAGAACAATAAAAACCAATAGCTGAGAGTATAGGAAAGATACGCCGCAGCAGCGACCTCTGAAAACCAGTCAAGTTCTAGTACGTATCCTAACACTGGTAAGCAAGGATCTAAAGACAACTTTCGGGACCAGCATCCACTATTCGTCCGATTCGTCCCCCGACTCATCGGAGCCGTCGCGTCGACGTTTGCGTCCCTGCTTACTAGACCCGTTACGATTACGCTACACAATGGGGATGAGTAAGGGGGACGGGGAGGGAAGAAAGGAGTCAGGCTTCGGTGGTGATGAACAGAACAGGTGACAAACCAATGGGAGTTTCTGGCCCTGGCTTCCCAGAGCAATGGATAGCGCGGTGGTATCTGTGTAACAAAGTTTCAGTTCTTTGCATATGTTGGATACTCCGGCGGAAATTGGGTGTTTACCTGGAACGCCGGGAAAGCGCTTAGCAGAGTAGACGATAAAAGGTTGTGTAAAGGTCTGGGCGAGAATGGGTGAGGAGTCGGTGTGTACTCGAAATGCTCCCGGTTCTGGAGCGGGTGGCCTGGATGTCATATAATAGTAGTTTGATCGAGGAGCATAGAGTGGAGATATAATTGAACGTTCGAGGGAATTGATCGTGCGTTGTTCAACGGAACAGATGGAAGAGATAGGCAGGATCAAAGAGAAGATACGGGGTTAGCATTGAGTGATGATCATGTGGATCAACCGACTGTGGGGGGAAAGATGAAACTTACGCTCCAATGTTCATGAGACGAAGCCTCAGGCGAAACGTTCCTAAACATGTCCAAAGAGGGAAACAAAGTTAGAGTTCTGTATAGGAATTGCCCAAAAGTAGTTAAGTTCATATCGGGGAAACGATATGTTCCGGCGGTCGAAGGTTGATAAAGTTTCGACTGTGAGAGAACAATAGATGACAAGACATGGAAAAAGGAAGTGTTGATTCCGACGGTGGGATAGTATGAAGTGTACCAAGAATAACAACAATGGGAGAAGAGGAAACATCGAAAGGACGCGACGGGCATGTTTGGCCCAACGAAAGAAAAACCACGATTGTCAAGCGGCGGCTTACCTTCAGTGCGGATAGACAAGTCTTGGAAGAGGAAGAAGATCCCAGGCTTGCGGTGTTCGTCCAACAGGCGGCACGCATTCGCCGACAGTGGTCCGACAAGCGTTCGAGTGTAGGTATGCCTTGGCAAAGGCGGGATTGTCGATCCAGGTGTGTTTTCCTGTGTGGGTTGTTGGGAGTAGCCAGACTGGTGGTGGTAATGAGATTGTGCTTGCTGTTGATGTTGTTGTTGAGCATATTGAGCTGAAGCATACATGGAGGTATCTACAGGGGGCGGGTGAGGAGGATGGTGTGAATGGTGCGAAGTAGTCGGACTATGCTGCGGTGGAGGGCCCTGATTGTATTGGTCCTGAGTATATCTAGATTGTCCGTACGCGTCAGTGTTGTTGGACCAATTGGGACCATGTTCATTAGAACTGGGTGCTGGGGGTCCGCGAAGAGAAGGGTCTATCGAACTTGAGCTCGGAGCAGCGGCATGAGAGCTGTCTATAGAAGAGTAAGACTGCTCTTGAGGCCAAGTACGATACGACTCCGGCTCCTCCCGACTCGAGCCTTGCATATGCCAGTTGCCCTCAGCAGAGGGAGGTGAGGTCGCCGAGTTATAGGCTACGGTGCCTCCGGGTGTAGTGCCCGAGCTACTGGAAGATGAAATGCTATCAGCGAGGAATTGAAATGGTCATTAATACTTGACTTGCTGCTGTGAGGAACGCTCCATAGACGCTTGACCATACCCCCATGTTTGTCCGTCAGATGGAGGTCCATATGGTTGGATTGGTTGAAAACTGTTGGATTCTTGCTGGGGAAAAGGATAACCTTGTCCGCCGTAGTGTGACGCAGAGGGTGACATGAACGGCGTCATGCCGCTAGACTGTACGAACGAAAATAAACATGATCAGTACACGCCTATATACCCGGTGACATCTGCACTCTCCCATACCTGTGGGTACTGAGAAGTAGTGGATGGGGGACCCGACGGCGTGGGACTCTGCCTTCCCGAGCGTTGGCTCGTCGGTCCAGAGGAGGAATTAGTCGTCTTCCGCTTCACCTTAGGTGCGGTAGCGGGAACATAACGATCGGAGGATGTGGGATGTAGGACAAGGTTCATTTCGTGCTTTCCATCTGCCGACCATAGATCGACTGTAACCAGAAAGAAGGAACAATCGACATCGCTAAAAGGGATGTGATCAATTGTGTTGAAATTAAGCCAAGATAGTTGCCAAGAAACTAACTCTGGGTCCACGATGCTGTCATCTTCTCGTTTAACTACCATTTTTGCTACGGCAGCTGGAGCCAATGGTCTTCGATCCTTCATGACGCATATATAAAGTTGGAATGGATAGTCCAGTAAGCCCGAGTGAACGACGCACCTTGTCACCAAAGCCACACATGCGTGCTCTCTGAGGGTCTTGAACAACCTCTAACGTATATAACCTAGTGTAGAGATCGGAACAGTAAGAATAGCCTGCCTAAGTGTTTGAACGACCCGCTTTGAAGACATACTTGCGACCGATCCATCTACCCCAGGTCTCAGGACTTTCATTGGCAGTAGCTTGGCGCGTGGGAGCGGCGGAGGTGCTCCCACCTCGGGTCATTGGATTCGCGATCTTTTGAATCATAGCCTACTAGTGAGATAGATAGAGACTAAAAGCAAAGGTCGAGGTTACTATAGAGGCAGACCAAGAGAGAAAGGAGGAGTCGGAGGGTGAGATCGCGATGGGCGGTTGTAAAGTAAGGATTGCTTGGGAAGGAAAGCAGGGCGGGTTCACACGTCTGGATGGATGGTCGGTAAGGCGTACTGAACGAGACTTCTGTTGTATAAGAGTTGTGGGAGAGATTTAGCCTGCGTAGGAATGAATCCACTGTTCTGGATAGCAATAAAACCGGGGGTCTGACCTGTGCTGAACTTTGCTAGACACGATGCCGCTGAGACGCAGAAAGCTACTACAACGTATAGGCTTGATTGAAGATGTCTACTATGCGTCGATGTCAACGTTCTGGACAGATACAAGCTGGTTTTGCGGCTGGGCTTTGAACGATGAAGACGATCAGGGCAAGCGGCGCTGCGGCGAAGCGAGCGCGTACATAGTAGTCAGGAGTTGTTCGTCACGGTTTTGTCCATAATGTACATGCCGCCGGCCCAAGACCCTCGCCCAACTTCTCCCGTTTGCCTCTCAGTGATTCTCTCCAAAGCGACGCAGATGAACAGCTTTTATTCACGAAATACCATGTGCAGGCTGTTTCTCTGTACAGATCAGTAAAAATCGTAAGGCACTGCTATCCCGAAATACCCTTTTCCCAATTCTGTGAATCGGCTAGCATCATGTACTGCATACGGCATATCACCTTTCACGTTACCCATCTCACACCAAACCAATGGGGCTGTCTCTCCTTCCCCGGGCATTGCTGGTATATTCCCGGGTAACGGGTTCAGAAGCGTTACCGGTTGCCTTGCAAGTCAAGGGTGAAATTCTCCCTGGTCATGTGAGGACGAAGTACCATAACACTGGCTTTGGTGTGGTAGGTATTTGATCCAGTAAGTACGGTACTAAGTAGGTTGACAGGAGCGTAAATTACCGAACTTCCCACCCTCTCTTGTCTTGTTCAAAGCGAAGGCCTGTGGATGACATCGTGCGGTCGGTCTTTGTTTGCTTTTAAAGATTGCCCGGCGAAGGCGTAAGTATATGCCGGAATGTCGCATGGATCCAGACACCGGCCATCAAGCAATCAGTTCAGCATGAGGATTTCCTCGACGTGTCTGTGTATCGTCGACAGTGACTCGAGCCTTGATGGGAAACATCTAGATGGTGCCCATTTAGATAAAGTTGCCTGAAAATGGGGCGCATAGGCTGTCTGTCTGCGCATATTAATCAATTGTAAGCGGAGAAGGAGAACTCAACGAGAATGTGCATACAAATCATTTCCGGTACTGCCGTTTCATTTTGTGGCAGTACAAGCATGTCCACAGTGATTATCGGAGGCATGCTGTGGATTGCTGTCCGGAGGCACGGCTGACATACCGGTATGAATGAAATGAGGATTCACGGTGCTTATACAGGTAGCGAGAAGGCAATTACAGTAGCACATTGTGCAACACGATGCAACCTGCAAGATCTGGTGGACATCATCGTTAAAGGTTTATTGATCGCAGTAAGCATTGTATTCTGCTGTATGCAACAAACCACGGAACGATTAAGTAGAGGAAAGCCCCAAGCAGTTGAAGAAATCTGTCACTTCAATGTTCCGGTCAAGCTGAGAATTGATTGAACTTGCTGAGCCGAATCGAGCAGAGCGATCGAACGCCAAGGAAATGATCACTTGCCTAATCTAGCCTGCGCGTCTGAAACGACTCGCCGAGCTGGCGTGCACAGACTTCCGCTCTTACTCTCAAAGCACCCACTACAGCGGGCTCCTTGGCCTACCTCTCATCATGGATCAGCCGGTTGCGCGGAAGACATTACAAGAACTAATTAAACGGGAAGATTTAGACAACAAACGATGCATCGACTGCAATAATCCAAACCCGCAGTGGGCTTCGCTCAGGTCGGTCCACATTCGTATGCATACAGTTGTTCGTTTGAAGGAACGCTGAAATGTTGGGCTGGTGGTACAGCTTTGCAGTGTTTATGTGTCTACAATGTGCTGGTGTACATAGAGGCTTTGGTGTGCATGTTAGGTATGTTGTGTGTCACGCTTATTTGCTTACGTGCTCTGACGAAAGGCCTCGTTAGTTTCGTACGATCAGTGTCGATGGATACTTGGCAAGAAGAACAAATAAAGCGCATGCAGGTGAGTAGCATATATGACTGTTATTCGAACCTGTGCTCATGGATATTCTAACCAAATAGCTCGGGGGAAACTCACTATTCCGAGACTTCATAAAATCCTACCCAGCAGAAGGCGGGTACACAGAGGGAATGAGTATGCATGATAAATACCACTCATGGGCGGCCTCCCAATACCGCGAGAAAGTGAGTTTCCCAAACATTTGCTTCTCTCTATCCCAACGACATCACAGCTGCTGATGGACAACTTGTGATGGTTCACCTTGTAGCTTGATGCCGAGTTGGCAGGCAAACCATGGTCACCGTCTTCACCACCCGCAGGTGCTGTTGCAGGGACTGCGAGTCCCCCAGGAAGGCCCTCGTCAGCCCAAGGGCTAAGGAAATCTCGGGCTTCAGCTCGGTCAAATACGGGGAGGAGTATGAGGAGTGATTCACCGGCTTCATTCGGCAACAACTCTGGTAGCAACACTCCAGTGACGACGCCAAACCTTAGTCACACACCATCAGACCAGAAAACTGCGAACGAATCGTTCTTTGCGGGTTTGGGGCAGGCTAATGCTACTAGACCAGCGGACTTGCCGCCTTCACAAGGTGGGAAGTATCAGGGGTTCGGGAACACACCCACACCGCCACCTGGCTCTCAACATCCATCTTATGGGCTGTCGTCCGCTGCAGCGCCAAGATTATCAGAATTCCAGGATAACCCCGTCGCAGCGTTCAGCAAAGGCTGGTCCCTCTTATCTGCAGCCGTTGTCGGTGCATCTCGTGTCGTAAGCGAGAACGTTATCCAACCAGGTGTGCAGAAAGTCACGGACCCAAACTTCCAAGCTGGGGTACGCGGATACGTGTCGGAAGCAGGTAAACGTGCGGGAGAAGTAGGGAGCCGCGCGAACATGTGGTCCAAGCAAACTCTAGGTGTGGACGTTGCAGAGCAGGTCGGCGGGGTGGTTGGGACTGTGAGGGATCGAGTCGGCGGTGGACCGTCAAGTAGAGGGTATGGTGTGGTTAGCCAAGGGTATGAGCATGGCGAATCGAGTGCGTTGTACCAGGATCATGAGGATGAGGATGATTTCTTTGGTGAGTTTAGTGGGAACACGCCGAGGACTCAGACTGGTTTTGGCCAAAGCAGTAGCTATAGTAATGCGGCAGCGGGTGGGGCTGGGGCAAAGCCTGCTGGAAGTGCTCAAAAAAGTGATGATTGGGACGAATGGAAGGATTTCTGAGTGGCTGCGTACTTGGGACTATTTATTGCATTCTTGTATTTATGATACCTGCGGCTATTTGGAATCTCTCTTCATTCTCCTGGATAAAACCTATGACCCCAAAGTCGGCAAGGCTGTACTTGTAAACCAAGTAAGCTCCCATATCGAGTCCAGTCTGACATTAAGCGCCCAAGAAAAGGTCCTCGTCATGAACAAGTCATGTTTGTGCCGGTGCAAGGCAGGCCAGAAAGGCCCAGCCACCGCCATCCTGCGTCCTCGGATTCGTCTTCAAAACTCTACAAATACTAGATCCGTTGACCCAGGGACCCTATAACTCTCACCCTGACCACTACCATGCACGGATTCGATGCATTGCCTGTAGAGCTCATCGCAGACATTCTGGGTGAGCTTGACGTCTCCTCTCTTATAACCGTCTCCTACCTCTCCCGCCGCCTGCACACGATTTCCTCTGACAACTCCCTAAACCCATGGCGTCGACCTATCTTGCGTAATCTCCATGCTGCTTATCTATCTCAGGATGCTGCTTCATATGAACCTTGCTTGAAACATCTGAGCGTCAGGACCACGGTGCCGAGGCAGAATTGGGTGGAGATCTTGAGTTTGGCGAAGACGGAATGGTTGCTGTTTCAAGCGACTTTGCCGAATTTGAAGGCGAGTGAATGGGAAGAGGCGTTTAAGAGACGGTTCCTGCCTGGATGGGAGCGTTGGAAGAAGGATACGAGTTGGAAAGAGGTCTTCATGAAGTGAGCCAGTCTTCCATTTTCTATCTAGCTTAGGACATGACTCAAAATAACTACAATTAGGATGCTCCATCGAGTTTGGCATAGAAGTCACTCATCATGCACTTCTGATGAAGCGTGGACGAAGTATGTTCTAACTATAACTGTCTGATGACAAAGCTTATAAGCTCCCAGGTATATCACCATCAATCGCACTGGTACGGCTAACGAGCTGGAGGCTTCCTCCCGTAACTACAATCCGGTGACTATATTCAATGAATTCAAGTGAGTCGGTGGCACACCCTATATGTGATGTTTTATTTACGTTGTGCCCAGGCTGCAGAATAATCTAGCACATATGCAAACTCATATCAGGGTACGTAAGCCTCACCGATACTTAGCGGCTTCTTCTAATCGTTTAGCAGCTTGTCGTTGAGTTCGCGGATGTTCGCATTCTTGCTTTCGGTGTGCTTCATAAGCCGAGGAGCACCTTCAGGATAAACCGTAATGCGCGCATACTCCTCCATCCACCCGGCGTGGAGAAAGATGTTTGCGATGATGACCCTGAGTGCATCGAATGGCGTAGTACACGTAGTACTCAGTCATCCTATTCAAGCGACCATGTGCATGCTGAACAGGTGGTAGCCCCATACACCCAGGGTAGGTAGAGACTCTACATCCTAACTTTAGGCAAGGCTAATGTTCAGTCTCATGTAGCAAATCTCAATCAGATGTACCGGCGACTTGTTCGCCCGTTGCCTGCTGCGTCACATGCCAACTATCCATTTTACACGCCAGGAGGCGGTGATAAACGTTGGTTTGGCATGGGCGAGAACGAAGAGGGAGGGAGGAAATGGATGGGAGGCTTAATGTAAGCAATTCTGAAGATTTTGGGTTATATCAATCGATTGACTGTTTGGCGTAGGCTTACCGCTCAAATCCTCGGACCACATACCAAGGAGCCCTTCACTGACGGACCTCGTCTTCAGGACATGGATCTCGTCATCGGTGCAGGTCGGTCGCAGTACGCGTCCTTCACTTGGGCAGACCTTGATGCAATTGCTCCGTGGTTGGAGTTGACGAAGAGGATTGACGGTCCGGGCTTAGGGCATTAGATTATACTGCGTCCGCAGTTGAAGGCAGACGAAGAGCTTCCGGACAGAATACTTCCACCCATATCTTGTTTGTGAGAACCTTGTTTCTTATTTCTATTGTGTACACTACGTATTCGCTGATTGTCTGTGTATAAGTATGCGTCTCTGTTCCCAGTATGAGTCTCTGATATCCGAGCTTCGGCTGGCTGCTTGACTGCTTGACTGCCTTGTTCTTGATGTGCTACCGTCGTCGGCAAGGCCAGCTCGTTTCGCACTGCTTATTGACAATTGTATCAGAATATGCGTTACAGGGAGTGGGTGAAAGGATTAGCTGGATGCCCATTGTCCTTGACTTCTGGTCATCAGAACAATGGGTTACACGTGTCCATGAGGCTACGAACCCTCTTATGTTGCGTCTTGTGTTGACATCGAGAGATCTGGGTGGCGAAGGTACGTGATTTCCTTTTTCAGAATGTCTCACATTCGCGGAGTTGAACAATTAACTACGTTCGATCGTAGAAGGCGTTATGGACGCCATTATCTTGCGGTGCTAATCAACGGGTATGCGACGGGCAATATAGTCAATTGTTTTGGCCAGATTTTGGAAATGACGGCGATGCTGGGCTCGAGGGAGCATAGCCGTTAACCGAGGACGTGGTTGACTTGCCCATATGAGGAGCAAGGCCTAATTGTCATTAAGTCGTTGCTCATGGAGAGTTGACTCAAATTACAATCAGGATATGTCCTTGTTATAGGGAGCAAGTCGAGATCGACATTCGCAGCCCATCTGATCCATTCCGAAACGATGAGGGCTTATAAGGCTACTCTCGCATCGAATTCCGGGAGCTCGTTGTAACCTTTCCCCCAATCCCTTCTTCCTCTTCGCCCGATCCCGCATAAGTCGGCCGTCGGCGAATATTCACAAGGTGCCACTGGTGGTACTGCAGGCCACGCACCGGAGTCGGAGCCTTAATTTTTACATTCCCTTTTCTTGTATAACGTGGTTCTTGCAGTGCAACTTCCGCTTCCTCTCACCTTTCTTCTTTACTATTTACGTCCTCATCGACGTCCCTCTCAGACATCCCGACGTTTGACGTCCTTACGACGCGTCCTATATCTTAATTCAAACATGCCACGCACCCGTGCCCAAAGTCGCGCCAGTGTGGCCGAAGACAAGAAGTCAAATGTGGTATGCTTTTGTTCTGTTTTTCCCCCTTTGACGTCTGGTTTGGCTCATTGCATACGATTTACGTCACAGAAGAAAGTGACTTGTACAATTGAGGGATGTGACAAAAGCTTCTTACGACGCTCGGACATGCAACGACACCTTAGCACTCATCCCACCCATCCGTGAGTGCATAATGCGTTGTTGGCAAACCCAGTCCCTCACCTTGTCGTCTATAGCAAACACCGAAACTATAAATGTCCAGACTGCGAGCAGGGTTTCAACCAGCGGAGCGCACTTAATTGCCACATAAACGCACAGTAAGTTAACTGTCTCATCACTGCACCCTCTGGCTGTATTGAACTCAGCGTTCTATCATCTCCTACAGCCGAAATCTCAAGCCTTATGGATGCGATATCGGCCCGTGTACGAAGGCGTTTGCGGACCCTTCTTCTAGGGCGCGACACAGGAAGGAGATGCACTCGGGCACCGTCTTCAAATGTCCTGTTGTTAGCTGCAAGTCACAGTATGTATTAAATTGGACTATACGTGCGAATTATCTTTACCCATCCCTCGATTTAGTTACAAGAGAGAATCCATTTTCACGGCACATTTAAAGGTGAAACACAGGATTTCATCCACAAGGGCCCAACGCGATGGGTGGAGAATCCCTGAAGAGGATGTTGAGACTCCTTTGAGGATCAAGCCGAGGGCCACCCGGGCGAAGGCCAAGCCGCCCAAGTATAGTAGCGACTCCGAAGATGAAATTCACGACGCATCCCAGTTGAGCACTCCTTCCGCCACCTATTCAAATCATTCGAGCGGGTCAGAGACCTGTGAGTGATTTTCTACGATCCGCTATGACGTGTTCTAATGGACCTCTGTAGCTTCTGTGCATACCCCTCCTCCCGCGCACTATTCCCCCCAGCATACCCTTTCACCCCAGTACATGCCATCTCAGCCACTCATGGGTGGTCTCGGTGAAGGCTTTTATATGCCGTCGCCCTCATACGACTTCGAGAGCAGCCCATTGATGATGATGCCGGGAGTTCCCACAATGTTGGATCCTTTCTCTGATGTGCACTATGCGTATATTTCGCCATCTCATTCTCCCCTGTCTGGCTCTCCACATATACACTCTTCTCTTTCGCCGCCATCGCAGTCACACTCCCCTGCACACCCTGTGGATGGGAACACGGTGACGTGGGGTACCGATGTCTCGGCACTGGATAATGACTGGACGCAGGGGTCGGTGTTGGGACTCCATGGACTTTCTCCTAATGGATTGGTGTTCTGAACGAACGATTATGCTTGCCTTTCTCTACTTCTTGGTACGAATGACGGATGTCTGTTATGACGAGACACGGACTTTGAACTTTGTTCAACAGTATACCTACTTATACCTTTGTACAGCTGTCTGTATCCATAGCCCACAACTGTACTAATAGCGGTTCTGTACTTTTCTCCGGATTGTATCTTTTCTTGTCTTCATACAGTACAATGGGACTAAATCATTTCTATCTTTTGAGAAAGCGTCAGACTTACCAATGCCTCTCTATTGTTTCGCCACATCACGCTGTGGCCACGAGAGAGCGCGTCGCGACGCGTTGACTGGAAAATAGGTCGCGAAAGAGGCGTGGGAAAGCAGCCAAATAAGAACAAACAGCCAGCCGTATTGGGATGCGATACAGCCGAGTCTCAGCTCCCTCTCCGACCCACTGTCTTTGCTCTCCTCGTCTGCCGCTTTCCCTCCTCCCTAACTCACAGATACCCTGCTCTCCCTCTCTCGGCGCGCGGTTTGGCCACGAAAGGCCGTGTTTGCCACTAAAATGCTAGCTTCTCCGCTTTATCCACCCGCCACTTTTCGCGAAGATCACGATACTACTCAGTATAGACCTGCAAAAGATATAGATGCTTTTAACAAACTCTTGCCACCCCCGGTCGAGTTCGTCGAGGGCTCCTCTACTGGTACTCTTGCTCTTGGAGATGGAAAGTACCTGCCAATCAACGCGCCCTCTCCTGCAAAACCTTCGAAACCCGAAGTAAGTGTGTTCTGTACGCACTCGTTGTCTTTTTTACTGACACGTATTGAAGGGGAAGTCGGCTGATTCAAGTAATGATGCCCAATCTACTCCCCGTTCTGCTCAGTCATCACTGGCAACTGAGAAATCTCTGTATTCCAAGACTATCGAAACCACTTGGCCCCCAAACACGCATATGGGTGTCGGCCTCAACAACACTGGAAACACTTGCTTTTTGAACAGTGCTTTGCAATGTCTTCTCCATACACCACCACTGCTCCGAGTTCTCATAGCCCACAACAAACATGATCCTTGTCTGTCCGCCTCTCGATCCATCCGGTTGCACTGCTAATACTTATTTTCCAGGCCGCGTCAAGAAGGGCGCTTTTTGCATGTCTTGCTCACTTCGGAATCTCATGATTGAGAGTTATAAAAAACAACGCTCATTAACACCATATCAAATTACTACCAACCTTCAACGTACGATGCATCGTCTTTTTTACTTTGCAACTTGTCCTCACCGCTAGATTACAGACATCGCAAAGCATATGCGACGTGGTAGGCAAGAAGACTCTCACGAGTTCCTGCGATATGCCATTGATGCTCTGCAAAAGTCGTGCTTAGCGGGTTATCCACCGTGAGTGTTAATGTTTCATGCAATATAGCCTGCTAGATTGTAGGTTAACCCGTTATTTGCAGGAAAATGGACCATAAGGTTGCTGAGACAACTTGGGTTCACAAGATCTTTGGTGGCAAGCTACGATCAAGAGTAACTTGTCTGTCATGTGGTCACAACAGTGACACATTCGACAGCATTTTAGATCTGAGCGTTGACATCTATGGCATGCACTCACTCACAGAGGCGCTGCGCAAGTTTGTCGCCGTTGATCATCTCAAAGGTTCCGATAAGTACAAATGCGAGAAGTGAGATTACTTTACCTTTCTCGCATTCAACATTCTCATCTCGATCTTCTAGATGCAAGAAGCATGTTAATGCGGATAAGCAATTTACTTTGAATGAAGCCCCTGCGGTACTGAGCATTCATCTCAAACGATTCTCTCCTATGGGTCGCAAACTCAGCCAGCCCATTCGCTACGATGAGAAGATCTCTCTGAAGTCCATCATGAGTGAAGGCTCTTTTGGCCCAATGTATACCCTATACGGGGTGATATCGCACGCAGGCGGCGGCCCGAACTCTGGCCATTACTACGCGCACGTCAAGAATTCGCATGGAGAGTGGTTCGAGATGAACGACGATTATGTGTCCAAGAGCAGTACCCCAACGACGATGAAGAACGCATATATCCTGTTCTACATCCGAGAGAAAGGCCAAGCTTTGGAAGCAGCGGTCTCTTCTGCATCGTCGCAAAGATCCGTTTCAACCCCTCCCCCAGCACCTCCACTAAAGAAGGCCAGTGTCGTTTCAAGCATGAAAAAGCGAAAGATCGTCGAGAGCGAGGACGAGGATATCACCCCTGCTACTCCGTCGTCGAATGTACCATTTATTGGACCACGCTTACCTTCCCCACCGCCCCCCTCGTCATCCATCATTGACCGCTCCACCACACCTCCAGATGCAAAGAAGCAGAAACCCAATGCGCCCGACCCTCAATCCGAGAAGCTCAAGAAAAAGATTGCCGCATACTCGAAGCCTTCGCCTTCGAATGCTCTTTTGAGCCTGTCGCAGTACACGGATGACAGTGACGATGATATGGGGGAGAAAGTTGAACAAGCGCCTGCGGTGCCTTCGAAAGACGAGGAGGGTCCTGCTTCAGAACCATCCTTGCCACCACAGACACCTTCCTCTGCTTCGCAGGAGCCTGCATCCTCTGTCACTAAGAGTAGTCCTGCCGCTCCCGTTACTGTCAATGGATTCACGCCTGTGCCCGCGTCCAGTTTCTATGGATCGGCATCGTCGAAGGGGAAGGGGAAGGACCGGGGTGGCTTCAATGAAAAGAAGCGTAAATCATCAGATGACAGTGATTCTGATGACGAGCGAGTACGCCTGTGGGCGAAAACACCTATTTCACCCGTCCCTTCTTCGACTTCCGGAAGTTACAGGGGTTTGAATCCTTATTCTCGTTTGAAGGGCAGCAATAACCTTTCAGAGAGAAGGGATGGAGATCGTTTTGCTCGTGGGAAAAGGAAGAAGAGCTTCCTCATGTAAATTTGTCGCATTTGCATTTTTCTTGTGCTTTTCACAGAAAGACATCCGTCTTGTGCATAGTTAGATCAGGGTTAGGACTCTCACTTCTGCTCTGTTGTTTTTTTCCCTCAGAATTCTGCATTTTACACTCAGATTGCAGATTGTAATAGCAATACATCAAGTAATCCAAGGACTGGCTAGAAGACTCAATACGCAATCATAGCTTCGCCCGGACACTCTTCTCTTCCTGCTCTTCCGCGGAGAACGTTGCGGCCTGAACCGCCTCCTCTTTACCCTCTTCCCAAAAGACGACTGTACAAGTCACATCGTCCCTGTAATTCCTTGACAGGGGGGCAGGTATGCTGAGCATCTGTCGTAACTTCATTTCGTCTCCTCCACCGAAAGCATTCCTGATGAGGTGTGTGCTGATGTTATCATCGACGAATGCCCATGAGCCAGCATTATCTCGTCGACGTTTGTCTTTGCCCTCGACAGTCGAACCGGAAGCTGTTGGTACGAGTTTGGAAAGACTGGACTTAGAGATGGTGCCTCTGAGACCTGCTAGGAAACCTCCCACCAGGGAGACAACATCTTCCGATGAAAGCTCGTCCCATAGACCGTCTGTTGCTAGAACCAAGAAGCGCAGTGCAGACTTGGATTTGGGAAAACCGTCTTTGTTCGTCGGATCGGGTAGAAAATCGAGTTTGCGGTGGGTGACTTCGGGTCGGGCCGTGACATATGGAGGTGTTTTCAACAAGGGGGGAGTGGAACGCATCGGTACCTTATTTCCTTCCAAGAACACTTTGTTAAGACTTGCGCGGCGCATGAGTGTCTGAACTTAAATTCGGGAGCGAAAAACAAGACTCACATAGCTTGGACTTCCCGAGACCATTTGTACCGTGCATCTCCGAATGCCCGACTTGGTTCCAACCCGCCGAGGACTCGACCTCGCACAATGACTGTTTCTGCTTCATCTGACGGGTGCTCTGACTGCATTCTGCAAATAGCACGATAGCTTAGTTTATGGGTATCAACAAGGCTGCAGTACAAAGTGAACATACCTTTTTAATTCGTTCGGATTGCGGCCGGTTTGGTCATCCGTAAGTACATCCACTCGCCAAGAGCCTTTACCATCTTCGGATTCTTCCCAAACACCAGCGACTGCTCGACTGTCACCGGTGCATGCGACGTACAAGTTGCGATGTGCGGTGTCGATGAGTGCTAAAAGAGCGCAGCTTCCTGATAATCCCGTAAACATCCAAAGGTTTCACAAAGCAATAAATATATTCTCACCCGACAACGCGGGTAGCATTGATGCAAGGGCCATGGTATGTTGACTGAGATCAGGAAGACCCTTCGAATCCTGTTTTTTGGACAATTCTTGAGCCAATAGTCGAAGGGGAGCATCGATTATCTCAGCATCCACGGTCTGGAAAGCCGTCTGGATTGCGGAGGACACGTAGCTCGGATTGGAATCGAACGGTGTTGGTGGTGCAGCGGAGGGTTTCAATCTCAATCTTGAGATTAGATCCTGAAGAAAACTGCCCTTGGGTACAACAGAACTTGGTTCGTTGATTAGGGTCGAGAAACCTAATGCCACAGCAGGGAGGAGAATATGCGAAAGCAGTCGCGACGTATGAAATCCGCCATGTCCATCCATGACAGCGTAAAATAAAAGGTCCCCCGGAGCAGATGGGTCCGTAAGGTCCCTCTCTACGATGTTGCTCGCGTGCGCATCTTCAATGGGAGCATTCGCCGCAAGGTAGGCAGTGTGTTGGTTCCAGATGATACCTCCAGGCCGTTGCGTCCTCACAGTTTCCGCATGCTCCTTCAGTCGTGCTTCAATCTGATCTTTGGGTAACAATGGCATTACACGCTTTTCCCTCGTTGGCTTTCCGTCTGGACCTTGCACTCTAACAGAGAGATCGAAGGTTTCTTTGGTGGATGATTTGGAACGCCGGCAGTAGTAGTAATAGGTCGGAGCTCCCACCAACAGAGCTGCACCTGCGGCTGGCTTCCAAACGCGTCGAAGCATGCCAGCTTCTATGGTAAAAGGGAGTGGGGTATCGTGAGATACGATGGAGCGGTGGAACAGCTTCAGAGCTACCAGCGGCTCAAGGTGAGCGAACGCTGCCTGGCAGACCCGTTACAAGAGATATCCTCTTAAAAACAACAGAGATTATGAATCCGCTATTGTCAGGAAGATTTACGGTGCTGACCTATTGGACTACACACAGTTTTTATCTGATGAGAAGGTTCTAGTCAAACGTAAGTGTTAGCGGAGTCTACCTTTATGGGCGCTTCTGTCGATCGCTTCCTCGCTACTTAATAGTACTACTAGCGTACTAACTTCTACCTAATACCGTTTGCAGAACACCAAGTTTGCGGGGCACCTTCATGTATGCTGCTACGCCGGGTTTGGCAATATGCCAGCGTACCTAGCTTGCGTCCAGCAAGATATCGTCAACTCTCAAGCGTCACTCTTCCAAGTCGTGTGCCAAGAAGAGGCCGTTTCAAACCTCACATAGACAAATTGCGCAGGCAATTTTCGGTCGCAATTGTCCCTAGGGCAGCATTATCCGTACAGCCAGCTCCATCAGCTAATGCAGCCTTTCGCGATCGCACGGCAAGTGTCTCTAAAGCTCTGAAAGCTCTGGACAGTTATGCCGAATGGAAAGCAATGCACGCAGAAGTGACTATGCTTGAAAAGACGTTGGAGGTAAGTCTGTCGATCCACGTGCCAAGATATAGTTGAAAACTTCTCATAGGATGAACAAGTCTGGAACGATTCGGCAGCCGCAATGAAAGTTAATGCTCGGTTGGGTCGTCTCCGCAAGCAACTGAGCACGTATCAGGATCTCACTTCTTCGTTCAAACACCTTTCTGAGTTAGCATGTGAGATCTTTGCCGGCATCCTTCATAACCAAAGACTCATATGGTTGTTTAGCTGTCCCAGAATTTGATCTGGATCCGCAAATGGAGCACGAGCTAATATTAGAATTTGAGGACCTTCAAGCACGTATAAACAAGTATCTCGTTTCGCTCTGGTTATCAAGACCTACGGACAGCAACTCCGCATACATCGATATACGCGCAGGCTCTGGAGGGACAGAAGCTTGCGACTGGGCATCGATGCTTGCACGGATGTATACTAGATGGGCTCAATCACGGAATTTTAATGGTGTGTCTCTACCTACTTATAAGCTATTATAAAGCAGAGGTGAATTTATTGACATGTTTTAGTACAAGTTGTCGATGAATCCCCGGGGGATGTTGCTGGCATAAAAGCAACTACCTTGCTCATTGAAGGCCAGTTTGCTTATGGTTATGCTCAGTATGAGTCAGGGGTGCATCGTCTAGTTCGTATTTCGCCATTTGACAATGCTGGCGCACGTCATACATCATTCGCAAGTGTAAGGGTATCCCCTCATTTTGATGACAACGCCGAGGATATTGGTGTTGAGGTCAAACCGAGTGATTTAAAAATCACTACCATGCGAAGCCAAGGAGCAGGTATGGTATCCTCAAATATAAGCCACGGTATGGGGTGCTGAATATATGTAGGTGGGCAGCATGTGAACAAGACCGAGAGTGCGGTTAGAATTGTTCACATACCCTCAGGTATCACAGTCTTGGTACGCTTCAATGTCGGTATTTTGTATTCAGCCTTTCTCACGACCTATCAGTGTCAACAAGAACGTAGTCAACATCGTAACAAACTACTTGCACTGTCATTGCTTAAATCAAAACTTTACGATATAGAGCACAAGAAGAAGTGATGAACTTTCTATCCTCATTTTTAACCTTTCTCAGCGGGACTGATTTTGCATGGCTTCAGAGCCCAATCCAAGGCCGATGCCCACAATACACTAGCAGAAAATTCTTGGGGTTCTCAAGTCCGTTCTTATGTATTACAGCCTTACCAGCTTGTCAAAGACACGAGAACTGGATTTGAGGTTTCCCGCGGGGCGCAGAAAGTCCTTGATGGTGACTTGGATGGGTGAGTTGCAAGTACCAAAAGAGATACTGCGTCGCTGACTGAATCTGACTTTGACTCTACAGTTTCATGGAAGCTAATTTATGCAAATTCAGAGCAAAATCTTAATCACACGTTACCTTGATCATATCCCATTGGGCTGGAGAGTTCATTTATATGTTTTGTTGATTGATTGTATAGGACAATGGGATTATTCGAGCTACCGGAGCTACGTGAGTGTAGCTCCTAGAAGCCAAGGTGTTATGCACCACGCCCCACACAAAAAAGTACAATGGTATTGTTCAGGAGCAAATACCTGAATTCAAAGCTTCCAATCGATGCTTTCGTAGATCCTGATCCCCCGTTGACTATCCCTACGGTATTGAAGACTTTGAAGTCATCCTCATCCGTGATCGGTCCCAGAGCGAACGGAACAACTCGACGCGTATTGCTATCGAGAAATCCTCAGTTGACTCAGGTTTGATACATGCAACTGGCACAATGTGTCACGTATGATTATTCTGTACATGATCTGTGTAGTCATTAAATCATGACTCTTGCGCGATGTGTACCTTGATATCCTCGCGGCGACCGGCGTGTACACAACGCGTCCACCGCGTGGTCATGTGCTGAGAAATATTTGGGCGCCTATCGGCCACATACTTAAACAAGGCGAGCGAGTCACTCACCAAGAACGGCCAAAGATGCAACGCAGACAATAACTGCCACACCTTATACAAGTTCTTCTTCAGATCCACCCTACTGAACCCGCCCCGAGCTACGTCCTTTATCTCTCAGCATTATATGGAAACAAAGTCAACACGCAGGTCGAAGTCCAAATCGTTGAATCACGTTCAGGACGAGTGGCATGCAGAGAAATTGAAACACGATTGGAAGCAATCGCTTTTTGGCAGAAGAAAAGGCAAACCTTTATCCACCATAGGTCAAAGCAGCTCTTCTGCGCCTGAGACGGCGCAAGAAACATACAGTCAATTTGAGAGGTTGTCGGACAACGTGAGTGTCAATATGCTCGAACAAAGTTGTGCATCAAGTTCCGACCTTGTGAAGCCCCTCGTGGCAAGGCGATGCTCGCCAACCGCATTCTCTCGGGATCTAGAACATCATGTCAAGGATAACCAGAATGTGGAAGGCGCAGACGCCGTTTCTAGGAATAACGCTCTGCTCGCCAAATATGGCATTAAAGTTCGAGATTTTGCATACGAAAGTACGTTGCCACATCTACCTACGGTGTGGCATGTACCAGAGCAGATCATCGTGGGTCCGAAACGTAGAAGACCATATGACGAAGATGACGAAGACGAGGCTCAATATGCGGCACGGAGGCCATATCCTGCCCTGCAAAGTCAACATTCCAACCCCATCATTTCTGGGACTAACGAGCAGGAGGCATGGGTCGACACGCCACCCGTCACCCCCCATGGGACTCTCATGACTATCCCTCCCACTGATGAAGAACACAGTCCGCAATCACGAACTCAGTCTCAGCTGCCAATTGCAGAAAGTGTGGCCCTCACGCAACCCATATTCACGCCAGAGCGAACTGCTCTACGTCGCCCTCCTGCTTCTTCTCTCTCACACTTTCTACGCTCGTCATTTTCTCGCGTTGGTCCCTCGACCTTACAACCTCCCCACACGAGCTCGCCAAACAACTCAGGCGTGGCAAGCTCAACCAAACATAGATCGCCTTCACTGACAAACTTCCTTTGCCCCTACCACTTGCGCAGTAGAGCGAAAGCTCCTGCACCCGCCCCTTCGCGGCCCACTTCTCGAACACGAACTAATCGTTCATTATCTACTCCTCTTCAAGAGATGGCGCATAACAATCGAGCAATAAAGATCAGACGGCGCCCCTCGACTTCAGTCCCACCACGCAGAAGTTCTCGCCTAACACAGAAGTCAAGACAACCATAACCATAACCTTTCTTTTGAATGTAACATATTTATTCGCACATTGTCTCTGTTGTTGTATTCTAGGTATGTGCAAGTATACCCCAAACTTGGATGTGAATCTTGACTTCTTTTTTCATTTAGTGATTGTTGTATTCTGGATAACAGTTACCCCCTATACCCAACCGTCCCTCTTATTGCTGTTTCGCTCTCGAAGTCCACATGCTTTCTCTTTACTCATATTGTTGTGCAACATGTTCTTTTCATTTGTAGCCAGACGTGTATCAGTCTGTACAACATTCCATCCCAACAACAGTTACCTAGGACTAGCCGTACTTCGCATATACGAATTCTGTATGCCACAGCTGTACAAGTAGTACCGTGCAACGTGATGCCTATACTACCCACAATACATACGGACTCCTCAACACAATAAGTTACTGGTATAGAAAATCTGATCATCTAGCCTGAACATGACAAGGGTGAGCATTAGCTCAGCCATCCTCTCTCCATGGCCATTTGCAGCACCTCTGCAGCACTCCGTGGTCCTACCAACGGTGAAGATGCGGCCTTGGCCGCAGTTTGAATCTTGCGACGGCCTTTCTTTGGAATAGGCTGTGGTTTGCACCCCGCTACGGCCTCTGCTAGTGTAGCTTCCAGTTCTGAAAGGCATGCATAACATTCTTGTTCAGTGAAGACAGTGGAAGACGTAGTAGCTTGGGTTTTGCGTGAAGCTGGCGGGGGACGCAAGCGTTTAGACTTCAGAAGTTTTAGTGTTAGATAGTGAAGCCACTATAATAACGTGTCACTCAATGTTTTTCGCCAGCGGAGGGTATCTGAAAGTCATACCATAACATTCGTCAAAGGCTTGTAAGTCTCCCATGAGTTGCCATTGTGCGCCTTCATCATCCGATAAACGTCGAATTGATAGTCTCCCTCGCCTTCAAAAATCTCCTCGTCGAAAGGTGTCCAACGGACGTTGACGCCGTCGCCATCATCCATTCTAGCTAGCCCTAGGTCAATGACCGTGGCTCTAACGCCATGAGCATCGTCGTCCATCGTTAGCCGTTTGCCCTTAGTGGAATGTGATGTCGTGGTTGTGACATTCTTCACTAGAATTTGACCCCAGTGCAAATCTCGGTGCTATACAAAAGAAACCATTAATTCGGTGCGGAACGTAACGCAACAGTCAGAACATGCCTCGAAATGTACCAGGTCCTCTGCATCTGCAAGCGCCCTAGTGATTTGCCAGAAAATACTGCACGCCTGCCTCCAGCCCATCTTCGTGCCAGGGGCAAATGTATAGGCTTCGAGGTCAGGTCCACCATTGGGAAGGACGATGATGGCGTACGTCTGAGATGCAGTGAACGAATCTGAATAATAATGTCAATACCACACAAATGAGAGAAAGAAAAAATCATACCAGGTCGGACACTCTCGCTGCCTTTTCGCTCATTATACTCGTCCCAAAGATCAAGCAATAATGATGGATATCTGCCCCGGACGACATACGTCCGAATGAGCTTGACGAAGCCGCCGCACATCTCGCCCATAGCCCTTGTGACAACGATCTCCTTGAGAACATCTTTCGCGTCACTCGGTGCGGGAGCGTCCAGGTCAGCACTGGTATCCGGAGAACGCTTAGCATCCTCATCGCGGAGGGGTATGATCTTCAGTACGACGTTACCAATGCCGAACACTTCTGAATATGATGCTTCACCGATCTTCTGGAAATTGGGCAGGCCAGCAGAATTGCTGTCGAACTCGGTGCAGTCATGAGAGATATGCACAATGCGGTCTCGCGGGAACATCTCGATGAATGCTGAGAATTCATGAGGAGTCGTCTGTGAGCACTCTGCAAGGAGAGGTTGGAGGTACGCAGGAACGGCAGATCCAAGTTCCCTGAAACTTGCAGCCACTTGTCGACGTGTGCCAGGCGATAGTCCGAGTTCGGCGAGATCGAATGTGAGGTCGAGATCGTCATCTGTCAGTGTAGGAGAAGATGGTGAAGGAAAGGTAGTGCGATCTTGGCGAGCTCGTATTGGGGTGCGGTTTCGTGGCTGATTAGGTAAAACGGGTGAAGTGAAAGCGGGACGGGGAAGGGGCGCGATTTTCTTGAACAACTGTTGCGAAGGTGATGAGAGTGTGTTATCCTTGGTCGGAAATATAGAGGGTGTAACTCGCTGTGGTTTCGGATGAGGTGAGACATCACTTTCTGGGGACGAGAGGACAACTTTCTTCGCGCGGACCCGCTTTCGAGGCTTAGGTAGCTGAGGGGATGGAGACTCTATGGAGTGATTCGGCATGTCCGCTTCATTCTCACTATCTGATGAGAGAATGATGGGGACATGTGGTTTTCTGCCAACAGGCGAGAAGGGGGCCAGAGGGTTCTCCTCGTCGCTGTCGTAGATAATGATACGATGAGACTCAACAGGTGGTCTCGACACTTCTTTGTTTCTCTTGACAACCTTTGGAGGAACAGCAGGCTTCTGCCTTGGCTTAGATACATTCTTCGATGTGGGCTTTGTCTTCGTGGGTTTTATAGATGGTGCGCCCGGCGAGTTAATTTGAACATTAGGTCTAGAGAGTCGCCTTTCCTGACTGAGTCGACGTCCGTTATTATCAAGAACGATGATGTCCACTTTCACAACAGGCGAAGAGGGTGCCAATGGCGTACCCTTGCCCAAAGCCGACTTCGGTTTCATCTTCTTGCGCACTGCAGGTATAGCAGCAGGCGACCCCGGAACATTGCTAGAGAATGCACGTAGAGGATGTCTTACGGACCGTGCTGGTGAGGTCTTAGTAGTCTTTGGTGACCGTTTCGTCTTGGAGACTGCCTTCCTCTTGACAGGCTTCTGTACCGGCGTTGGCGGAGGTGATGGTGAAAGCGGGTGCGCTAGTTTAACTGGGGACGATTTGGATGTCAACAAAGATTTAGGGTATGCTATGTTTTCGACCTCGATAAAGGCGTCGGCACCATAAGGTTTCCGTTGGTCGTGGTCGTCCGAAACATTAACGATACGGTGCCCACGTCTTCCATACGAGAACACCTGTTTAGTGCGTGTTCCTAGCATGACGAAGAGCAGCAAGTGATTCCAAAACAAGTGGAACTCGCCTAAATCCGATTATTTCTGTAAACGAAGAGAGCGGTAAACTGTCTGTTCCACACCAACTTACTGGATCTGAAGCTCGATCGCCTTGACGGTACCTGATGAAGAACTGAGATTCGAACCAAATTGTGGAAAGAAACGTGACCGCGTTCCTTACATAAGCGATGTCGACGCGTCCTCGTTTGCCAGGACGCGTGCATACAGACAGGCCTTCATTCAAGTTTTTCACAACCTTCCCGACGTAAAATGGCTTTGCCTCCCTCCCTTCGTCTTTCAGTAACACCACCAGAGCTCGAGCTAATAGCTTGTGAGCAATTGATAGAGATCATACCACTTGTCGCCATGGAACGAACGGCTTTCATCTCTGTACTATGCGCCTCGCTGCATTCTTGCGATCGCTAGAAATCTGACTCATTCCTCTAGGGCGCGTTCGGCCCTTTGCGCCCTCCAGCGAAATGCAAAGTACCAATATGGATGGCCACGAATTTGAAGCTGAAGAAGAAATGTCATATTGTTCCACCCGACTGGCTGAACGTCGACTTCCTGCAGGATCGTCTCACACACGAGACCTCTCAACCTGAATTTAGCCAATTACCATTCCGATTTGCGGAAGTAGCGAAGGTCTTGCTAGATGTGTAAGCCTGTGAGCTACTCTGTCTGGATTTAAGTTCATCACAATTACTCACAGTGCATCGGATGACTTCGAAAACCCGGAGAGGTTACGTTCGCTTCTTAAAGATATACAAGAGGCGCGACAGGCAAAAAGTCGAGAAGGTCTTTCGAAGATAGACCATAGTGAACTGAGTGTGAGTATAATCCCCTTCTTCGACCAGTGATGTTGCGTAATCCACGGGTTAATAGCTTCCGAATCTATGTTCGATGGAGATCAACGAGATTCGACCAGTCTTCATCAAAGCCATGGGTGTTCTCTCACAACTTGTGAGGGAGCCAGAAGGACGGTTACCTACTTGATCCCTAGAGCCTCATCAGCCAACGTTGTACATTAACACATGAAATTTGTATCAATAGCATTCAGAAAGCATTCGTAGCAAAGCATAAGCAAGACAAACAAGATGAGAAAAGCCAAACGTCTATATCAAACGTCTATAGAAATCGTAACAACACATCACGAAAAAAAGGGATATCCGAAAACGGGATCCGTCACCAACCCTTTAGTAAATTACAGTTCAACGGTTCTTCTCCAAAAGTAGCTTTTTTAACTCTTCAATTTGATTCTTGAGATCCCTGACTTCTCCCAAGATGACAGCTTCACTAGACTTCAATACAAGTATCAGTTCTATCCACGAAACTCTGAAGAAATGGCTGCTCACCTGTGTCGTGTCGGGGAAGACGGAAATGAGCTCCTTGAAGGGCACTCTACTGATCCTTAGGCCGTTCGCAGCATCTTCATCATCGGGTTCAGGATCTTGAGCTTCCGGGTCATCTTCGAAACCTTGATCAGAATGCGAAAGCCAGTTCTTCACCCATTTGTTCTTGGAGGGGTCAAGTTCCGCTTCATAGAGGGCAATGACAGCGAGCGGGATGAAGAAGATAGTGCCCATGACATATTTGTTGATCTACAAGAACCTTCAGCAAACATGAGAGAGGAAAACTTGGGAAGGGGCATACCGTGGCATACGTCCTCGGATGGACAACGTACCTGTGAATGAGCGGACGATGTTAAGAACAACTCATAATATATGAAGAAGCCTCTCACTCAAAGGGCCCAACAACAATCTCGATTAAGTTGAAAGGTGCAGGGTACAAAAACTGGTCCGGAGCTCTAATCATGCCAACTGCCTTATCAGCAAAGTAAGCCAAGTATTCAGCAGCTGCATCCTCGACAACCTATGGAAGTAACATAAATAAAATGCAACGACATAGGATATTTGGGTGCTCACGTCATCATACGCGGAAGAGAACAGAGAAATGAGGATGTTCAACAAGATAACGACGGTTGCAACATTCCATCTAGAACGCAATCCCTTCAATTGTTTAAAGGTGGAGAACGTTGTTTGCAATATACTCACAGATAGAATAGGATGAGGCCAGCGGTACTGTGATTGGGTGAACGGATGAAACGCCAAGACTAGATAACTATAGAGTATCTACGCACCTGATTTCAAACCTATCGTAATTTGGCGCTCTGTATTTTGTGAAAAGTCAGTGAACTCGATTGTGCTTGCGTAGGATCACGACGCACTGAAGTAATGCTTGTATGAGGACGTGGACAACCTAAAATGAAGGTATATCAGTAGCTACACTGCATTGAAGGGCCATAATTACATACTTCAGCGGGGCGATCACCCTGTCCATCTGCTGCGTCCAAAGCATACAAACCTTGCAGGAACCCGACGCCCAACAAAGCCAGGAGCTACGAAAATGAGATAGTTAGCCGAGGTGAAGCTAAGCGAGGGAAATACATACACAAAAGAATATCCCAGACTCTTGCAACATCCGGGCTATACATATCTGCATTGTTCCAACAAACCTAGTCAACGCGTGAGAATTGTCAAGTGATTCATGTAATGGATATGCACTTGTATCCGTCGAAAATTGGGATAACCTCTGCAGATGACCAAGTAAACTCAGAACTGATGAAACCCGATGCGGTTGGAGGGACTCACTCATCCTAATGGAGAGCTATTAGCGCAAAATCCACCATGGATAAAAACACAGTTGTACCAGATCAGCGGTGCAACAAAACTCAAACACTGGAAACTTTTGAGACGTAGATTATAATTTCCAGGGCCCGAGGATGAGATGCCCGCCACGCGTAAACAGAAAGCTGTCATCAATAAAGCATCGATACAGAGCGACACAATGTTCCAAAATCCAATAGCACGCCAGGATACGAAGATAAGTAGCTTGAGAATCTGAGGGAAGAGCTTCAGTTGAATGGACGACGCGCTATCGAACAATATTTATTGACTTTTTGAATGTCTTCATTAAACAGAATAAAAACAGGGTCAGACAGTCGATATTGACAAAGAACGAGATAAATACCTTCAAACGCGAACGCTAGGCCCATAACGTACATGACCACTTCCCATTTATCGAAGTCCGTATAATTTGGGTCAATTTTGTCCAAAGGTTCTCGGACTGCCATCATAATGAGTGTCATCCATGTCATCGACAATCATAAAACTGACCAGCCTGAGAATAGATGAAAAGGAATAACAACCACACGATAATTCGGAAGATATTTTGGTATCTGTCTCAGTTGGTTAGTGTTTTCCCTGTAAAGTACGTCACGGCTGTATTGAGCATACCGCGGGACGGATAGCCGGCTAGTAGAAAGGTGGCTCCAGAAACCGTCATAACCCTCATGCTTGGATGGAACGACTTAATTAATTTAGCATGGCAGAGAAACCTACAAAGGTGGGAATGCTCACATTCGATGCCATGTTCAGTGTCATGCTTTTGTACGAGCCGACCACACCAGAGGTCATTGACGACTTCGAGGGACTTAGCAACATAGAAGACAGGAAGAAAAGATTACCAACCATCTTGCGCTTCACTTGAAGATAGGAATATTGTGCTATGTATGGCTCATCAAATCTGCTGTTGTATGAAGCAAGTTAGATGTCATACATACCAATGTGAATCAATAGCAATCTCAATCGCACTGAGTCTTTCACTTTCATCTCCGTCTACTTCCCTATGTCTAAAGCGACTGGACATCATTGCATGCATTTTGTCGGGTGGTGCAAGGTGAATAACACGACGTGCGAGAACTTCACAGGCAATCGCTGAAGCAACAGTATTAAGTCTGATTTGCATGATGATAGAAAAAGAGAATTGTACCTCTACCAAGGTTTTCGCCATAGTCTGCTGGATTGTGGCCGGCTTCCCACATAAACTCCTTTCTCGCGCGAAGGAGACAGTATGGCAGCTAGTCGTATGATATGAGTATGATTCAAAGGCCATTGCAAACTATTAGAAGACCATACCGCTTCAATGAGGTCTCCAGCTGCAGCAATATATGATGAAACAACCTGATGCGTAATCACACGACTCGTAGGATCTTCCAATCTATCGGGAGAAACCTCCACTGGAAGCAATGCTAATGTGAGAGCCTTGAGGCGTCGGACCAGTTCTACACATTCCAACAGAACAAACATGAGGTACTCGCCAAATGATTCGTATCCCGAAAATTCGGAACTCACTTGACATAGTATCCGGATTAGGATGTATTGACTGTACAGACATCATCGAAGCATGGTCATCTGAATGGGCCAGTAGCCCACTGGCATCCATCATGTTCCCAGACATGCTGCTGCAGTATCCTCAGGGTGTTCAGTCCGTTCCGGGGACTAATGACTAAGAGAAAAACCAGGGTGATACAGAATAAGAGTTTGGTCCTAAGGCTGCGAGCGACTTGAACCTATGGTTTCTCCACACCAGGAGTATGAAGTCAGCTGTTTGCGCGTGTTGTCCGAGGCCCTCTATCCCCCACGTGTAATCCCCATTGTAGACAGTACTGAGGCGCCCCATGTCTGGCAGCAGCCAGCTTGATTGAATACAACCTTCACTATAGACATAGACTATTGCGGAGCACCACTTGTTGGTTGAGACTATCATGCCCGTGAGTATGCTACGTAATATCTCTTTAGATGATGATTAACGCACAATGCATCTAGGCGTATCACTCATCGTTCAACGAGGAACCTGACGTTCGTCTCGTCGGGAACATGTCCGTCCTACCTATTAAGACCAAGATCAGAGGACCAGCACTCATAGGTACAAATACCATCTTTCTGTCCAAAATCTCGAACTTCACTCTAACCAATCCTCCATGCTCCAGCCGACTCTAACACTGCCGACATCATTGACGAAACACTAGACCTTTTCCGCGCCAACTCCCTCTTCCGTAACTTTGAGATCAAGGGCCCCTCCGATCGCCTTCTCATTGTTCTCATCCTCTTTGTATCCGACTGTCTTGCGAAGATTGGCTCCCAGAGGAGCGTGTCCTCACAACTGGAGGCGAATAAGCTGTTGAACACGCTAGCAGTAGATAACTTCCCGATCCCTGGAGACGCTACATTCCCTTTGAATGCTCACTATGCCCCACCCGGGAGCAGAGCTGATGCTGGTGTGTGACGTCTATCTACTCCATATTGCATGTATGCTTATTGATCTTCTCGGACTACAGAATATTTGCGACAGTATTTGACTCAAGTCCGACAAGAATTGGCTGCGCGGTTGATTGAACGTTTGTATGCAGACGGTACAGGCAAGCCAAGCAAGTGGTGGATGTCGTTCCAGAAGAGGAGGTTCATGAACAGGAGCTTGGGAACGCAATGAATGGCAAGGAATCACAGGATATTCAGCTTTGATGTACAGAGAGACCAGGCAGGTCGTATAATACAGCGCATATACCAAAGAACCATAAGCATACTCTACATTCATGAGAGCGAGATCTCTCTGTTTGATACACTCTAGGGATACAGGAACACATGGTCAGTCACTAGTAAGGAATCACTTCCGTCTCTTCCTCTCATTGGGATTCTTCTTCCCATATCCAACAACAGGCATATCACCATCGAAGTTTCTACTTTTCATGCTCCTCCCCTTACCTCCCGCTCCAACACTCAACATCTCGGGTACCCAGTCCGGGTCCATCCAACTGCTCATTACCGCCCCATCTCCACTCCCCTTCCTATTCACAGCCCCATTCAACAATCTCTTCTCTTCTCTTTCTCTCTTCCCGTCCGCCTGTTTCTTTGCACGTATCCATGATGTCTGATCCTCACGTAGAATCAAACCTTCTCCAGGGCCCGTCTTGGCTGAACCGGGCTTTGGTGCTGGAATAGAGTAGATAGTGCCACGAGTTTTGTATTGGAAATTCTTTTTGAGGTGAACTTGAAGCGTTGGTGTGGATGCGGTGGCAGAGGGTGAGGAGAGTGTGACTGAAGCTCGGAGAAGCGTTGGGTTCCCACATGAGGGGCAAAACTTTCGTGAATTGTCTTTACAGATCCTATACAACATCGACATGAGCATGATTGATTGAAGTCGGAGAAAGCGTGACTGACGCACTTAAAGCATGCGTGACACCTCAACACCCAAGTCTTTACCCTCTCAATTCTCTTCCCCTCAACTCCAACAAGGCTAAGACCCATTTTCAACAACACATTCTGCATCGCAAAATCAGCGGTCATACAACCTGCGCCGATCTGCACCCTTTTCTTCCCCTTCTTTGAAGCAGCGTCGTCAGGCACAAGATGAAGCGCCTTTGATTTATGTAGTGCGACGTTCGATGGTGTGATCCATTCACCCTCTTCGTCATCTTCATCCGATGGATCGTCGTAGACAGGAGTGTCGTCTGCTTTGGATTCTGAAGTGGGTGGGATTGACGGAACAGAGGATGAAGAAGTCGGGGGAATTTGTGAAGGTCCCGCGGTGTCGAATTGCGTATCACGTATCGGATGGAGCTCGACGTCCAACTTTTCTTGCTCTTTATTGTCATCTTCGGCTTCGGCACCATTTGGTGGCTGATTGTCATCCTCTCCCTCGGATACTGAATCTGAAGCAGGAGGCTCCTCTGCATCTTCAGATTCGGGTTCGTCTACAAAGTCATACTTGGGTTCTGATGGCGTAGCTTCATCGGGCTTTTTCTCTGGTTCTGGAACTGAGGTTTCCGTTTGTTGAGGCGTTTCATCTTCAGGCTAGATTGCGCGCAATCAGAGTGGATATTTGCATCGTCGGGAACCATGACATACCTCCGTAGAGCTCAGCTTCGCTACAGCCTCCTTTTCCCGCTTGTCAAGACCATACGTCAAAGCGAGGACGCAAAGATCGGCATGCGAGAGGACGGAGTAATCACCCGTCTGTTTGGCGAATTGAATCGCTGGTACAATGAATCTTCTTCAATCACTCTACTACTCATGCCTCAATCAAAAAGTCAATCACATACCATGTGCTAATGATGCAGTATCTGGACTCTGCACTTGTATCCTCACTCCTGCAGAAAGACCCAACTTCTCAAAATGCTCTCGAGCACGTTTATCCTTCAATTCATCGAGAACTTGGGGCACAATGTAGAATGTTTCAGCCAGTCCACGCAGAGGAGACAAAGACAGCAGAGGTCCAGCATCAAGCACCAAGCTTTTGCACGCCGGTTTGTTTTCAATAGTGGTGGCCATGGTAGAAAGTAACTAGGACACTGGAAGTAAAACGGTCCAAAATTTCGTGAAGCGCCTGTGCAGCACGGATGCATGAGGCTCTCGATCGATTGATCTGAGTGGTCGATCTATAGCAAGTCATTTCGGCCGAAGACCTGCTTGTATTTGAAGGGTCTCCTCTCGTCGCACGACTTCCCATCTCCCTGTTTATCGCACATCATGTCCAAAAAGATGTATGTACAATTTGACTCAAGTCCTAACCTATCTAATCTCAACTATACAGCTTCCGCGTTGTCGTTCTCCCCGGTGATGGCATTGGTACGCATCATGATCATAACTATGTAAGGCACGGTCTGATCTAAGGATCTCTAGGCCCCGAAGTCGTTTCGCAAGCTCTGAAAGTACTCGAGGTCGTTGCAGAGGCTGTCGCGGATGTTGAACTCCAATTGGAGACACATGACTTTGGTGGAGGTGCCATTGACAAGCATGGCGTACCTCTCCCTGACTCTACACTCGCGGCATGTCAGAATGCAGACGCTATCCTCATGGGTGTGTTTGATGTCACTGTGTCCTTTTCGCTGAGCCTAATGCCCTTCTGATCAGGCGCGATCGGTGGCCCCAAGTGGGGTGTCAACAGCAAAGTGCGACCCGAATCAGGCCTGCTCGCCCTCCGAAAGGCCTTAGGCCTCTACGCCAACATCCGTCCTGCAAACTTCGCTTCCGACAGCCTCGTCGAAAACTCCCCTCTTAAGCCGACCGTCGCCCAAGGCGTCGACATCATCGTCGTCCGTGAACTCATAGGAGGTGTCTATTTCGGTACTAGGAAAGAATTGGGAACAGCTCCTGAAGAGGACACAGCATGGGATACCATGATTTACAGTGTTCCTGAAGTCCAGAGAATTACAAGGGTTGCGGCTCAGATTGCGTTGGCTGCGAACCCCCCTCTGGCGATTCATTCAATTGACAAGGCGAACGTACTTGCAAGCTCGAGATTATGGAGGAAAGTCGTAACGGAGACTTTGCAAGCTGAATACCCTCAGCTCAGCCTTGACCACCATCTCGTTGACTCGGCGTCCATGCTCATCGTCTCCAACCCCAAAAAATTGAATGGTGTTGTGTTGACCGAGAACCTTTTTGGTGACATGTAAAAATCCTGTTATTCTTGCTCGTTGCTTCCAGCTGACAATATCTACTACAGTCTCTCAGACGAGTCAAGTGTCATTCCAGGATCTCTAGGTCTCCTCCCCTCGGCCTCTTTAGCAGGCGCACCCTCAGTGGCGGACTACAACTCTCAGTCCTTCAAACCTACACCAGGCCTCTACGAGCCCATCCACGGTTCAGCACCCGACATTGCCGGCAAAGGCATCGCCAACCCGATAGGCACAATTCTCAGTGCAGCTATGCTCCTGAGGTACTCTCTGGGACTCGACAAGCCTGCCACAGCGATTGAGACTGCTGTCAGAACGGTGCTCGACGAGCCTGCGAAAGGTGGTCTGGGGCTTAGGACAGCAGATCTTGGAGGAAAGGTGAAGACCGCGGAGATTGGTGAGAAGATCATCGAGACGTTGAAGAAGTTGCTGTAAAAAATGACGCTGGTGCATTGAAATCAACTTGCTTGTGCTTTAGCGTTTGCATATAAATTGCCTCCATTCTCTCATGCTTGTGGATACCCATGTGAATGAGCATGAAAGAGGATACCGATTCTCACTGTATCCATCACACCGATAAAGCAAGACGTCATGTGAAAGTATAAGAATATGTCCATAGCCCTGTGATACGCACGCATATCGCCTTCTCTCCATTCTTCCTCCAATGTTAGTACTGGGAGTGTTGGTGGTTATAGCCACAGTAGCCACGACTGTGGTATCGCAATTACATCCCAGCGAGCCGGCAAAATATCACCAATTACCCACTCTTCGAGAACAAGCGGTCATCTTAGACGGTTGGCGAGACGAAAGGGTAGCTCGCATCCCGCAGCTGTTGAAGAAATATGATATTGATGTCTGGCTCGTAAGTACTAACATATAAACGTCTAGTCATAAGACATCAAAGTGAATTTGACGAGTGACGAACGGTGAATAGATGAGCCAACGTGAATACGCTGAAGACACCATTTGGTGGTCAATCAAAGACGCACTAGAATTCGCATCTCATCGCAGGACCGTCTTACTCTTCCACACAACCTCATCCTCCCTCTCAGGTCAGCCCAACCCATTACGCTGGGTTGACAATACAGGGGATGTATGGCCAGAGCTCCGCCAGATTCTTGAAGACTACAACCCCAAACGGATAGCAGTGAATGTGGATCGGAATATAGCCTTTGGAGGAGGCCTGCACGTCGGCGAATGGGAAGTCCTGCAAGAGCAACTTGGTGCAAAGTGGGTGGAGAGAATGGTGAATGAGCCTATGCTTGGGATTGAGTTTGTGGCTGCGAGGGTACCTGGACAATTAGAGTATTACAAGCAGATGCAAGAGACTACTTGGGCGCTGATTGAAGAAGCATTCAGCGAACGTGTGATTACATCTGGTATCACAACGACTGAGGTACGTACCTATTTCACTGGTGGCAGGAGTCATCTGATCAACCCCGCGCAATCGGTGAACAAATGTAGGACGTCGAATGGTGGTATAGAGAGAAAATGCAAGAACAAAATGTCTCTACCTGGAATCATCCTCGTGTCTCAGTCATCACACCAGAGTCCTTCCCAGGGTGGGAAGGCACCAAGGACATAATCCAGGAAGGCGACCTTTTGCACGTTGACTTTGGCATCACGGCTATGGGCATGAACACAGACACACAACACATGGCCTATGTCCTTCGAACATCTGAAGGAGAGGAGGGCGTCCCAGAGGGTTTAAAGCAAGGCCTGAAGAAAGCTAATCGGATGCAGGATATCTCTTTGGAGAGGATGAAAGCGGGTAAGACTGGGAACCAGGTCTTGAAGGAATGCCTAGACCAGATGAAACTCGAAGGGATCGAGGGTCAGATATACTCTCACGCAATTGGAGATTGGGGGCATTCGGCGGGAGCTGTCATGGGTAGGTTGACCATTATGAAACCTTGTTTTTGGTATCTGAACATGGTATGCGAACAGGATTCACCAACTTGCCCGAATACGTCCCTGTACTAGGTGAATTGGAAATCTTGTCCAACACCTTCTACAGCATTGAGTTATATGCGTATCATTTCGTTCCGGAGAGAAACGAGACTTTGAGGTTCAGGATAGAAGAAGATGCTCATTGGGTCGACGATAAAGGGGGTTGGGAGTTTGTCAGAGGGCGACAAGAGAAATTTCATGTAGTCAATAGCACAACGACTCGCAAGCCTGACATGCTTAGGGTTCAGCTCTGATAAAAGAGATACTGTTAGACCGATATAACATCAGCGCGAGGAATAATACGTCAACGAGAACTGGAACCTACCGCTTATAGGCTTGGACATACGAACGGATGACGACCAACATCCCCTGAACCTGACCACATATGTGCGGGATATCATTACTGTAGCATATAGCTTCGCGAAAGTACACATGATATGTACCGTATCGTCAAGCCCTAATAGAAGCAGGAGAACAGTAAGGTATCCAACGACGTAGTCCATGAGAATGAAAAGCAAATGAATGGAGTGACAGCTGCAGAGAGGAAGAAATCTGAGGTTATCCCTCTAGAACATATTAGCAAGCTTGCTCGCGGCTTCTCGTGCATCCAACTTTGGTCGAGTGGGTTGTACTCGCATAGAGGCACTCATCTTGTGAGGTTTTGCCAGACCCAATGGGTCGAGTTCGTCATCGGTGCGTCCGTTCATGCGTGTAGAGGATGAGTCGAGTGGCGAAGATACAGAATGCCCCAGGGGATTCGGTGGACCAATAGTTGCGGGGGTATGTAATGGCGACTGGAAGCCAGTTGTCTTCGATGGTGTTTGTGAGGACGTAGTAGAGGGAGACGGCGAAAGCGGTGAAGGTGTGTGTTTGACGAACATCGATTTCGTTCCATCTACGAATCGGCCTCCAAGCGGTGGTCCGTCCATAAGTGGAGGAGCAAATGCCGATTGCTGGGGTGTCGGTGAAGAAGGACCAGCACCAGGAGACTGAGGTGGCAGCGGCGCTTGCTTGCTAGGTGGTAAAGTTGCATACATCGATGCCGAGACAGAAGGTGGCGGGAGTCCCGATGAAATGGTGGGGCGGTGTGCAATGGGAGACGGGGGAATGGAACTGGTAGGTGCTGCAAATGCTGACCTCGTACCAACAGAAGAAGGAGCAGATGTCGGTGCAGCAGAAGCTGGTCTCTGGATGGGAGGTTTCACATCATCTTCCAACTTGGGTATTACTGGGGGTCGTGGAACAACCGCTGGCTTGTTCTGGACCACCTTGTCCGCGGCCTTGCTGATATCTGTACGCAAAGCTTCCAGTTCTCGTAGATGCTGCCTCTCATACATTATGGATGATCGAACATGCTCGACGAGGGCAGATGTGATGTCGTCTGCTACGAGCTTCTTGTGCCTATCCAAAGCACAATGCAGGTTTTGTGAGATGCCTTCAGCACGACGAGCAAGAATTTGCTCATAGCGACTCGCCTGAAAAGTTGTAATATTGGATCAAATTGGCACGATATCTGCAAATAATAATACTGACCTCCTCCATATCCCGGATAGCTTCATCGACACGTTCCCCCCTAATGCTTGAACTTGCTTGAAGGCGTTCAATATTGCGCCGTTTGGAGATGGTAGTTTTCACAGCAGCCTGGTATTCTTCAAGGACGCCCGTTCGTTGCTGCAAGGTTTCCTTCGCCGATCGGGCGTTAAGTCCTTGGTATCCTAATGAATCGCCAATGATGACGCATTCACTCATAGCCTGCGCTTGGTCAAGGTCTGACAGACTATGAAAAGCCCTTCCAAGCTTTCGCATGGCATTTCCAAGTGGCGGATGAGCTTCTGTCGTTGCTACATTAACGAGTTTGTTGCCCATCTCGGCTCGAACGTTTGCTAAAACTAGTTCAGGGATAATGATCTGTCAATCGCCGCCAGAAGACTTGAAATGACATATTATCAATCACCTTTTCTTGACTTGGCCAATTTGTCAATAGCCTTTGCAGCGTCAAAGAATTGAGTCTCTAACTTTGTCAGCTCGAAGCGAGCCCTCTGCAACTCTTCATCCTCATCAGGTACGCCACGACGAATGAGGCTAAAACCAGAAGAAGTCTTCTTTCGTGTATTGGGAGTAGGCTGGTACCCGAAGTCGCTCTCAATGAATGAACGGACTTCCTCTTCTGTGATCAGAATCGGGTCTTCGCAAATCCTGGTTAGCCAGCGCTGGAGCATGATCTTGACCAGCCGGTCATCTTCTTCGTCTGTAGGGGCAGATGTTTGCGCGAGAGGTAAAGCAGGTATGATGGTTTGCGGATTATTGTTGATGATGGCTTCGTAGAATTGTTGGAACTCGAAGTATGACCGCGAGACATTGCGATAGGTCGTTCCAGTAAAATTGGACAGGTTCGTCTACGATCTGTAAGCGGAAGCACCGTAAAGCAATGAAGAGCAACTACACACTTGGGCATCAAACTTGACGAGAATGTCTCGTCGATTCCTGTCCAGTCCGGTAATACGCACTCTCAGATACGGCTCCAGTTTCTCAAACTTCGTACCATTTGAGCCAGTGGTAACACGAGGCGAGATGAGACCAGGTTCAGGCTGGCCGTATATTTGTGGCTCCTTTCCATATAGCCCAGAAGTACCAAGTCTATCCGGTGTTTCTGGTCGTGAATTGGAAGGCCGTGGGAGGTTAGGTATGGGGTCGAACGGGGAATGTGGTGTCGTTGGCCATGGAGGTGCAGGCTCTTCGCCAAAAGTTGAGCTAAGTGGATCAAACATGGCTGCTGAGCATGTAGATGTTTAAGCTGAAGATAGAGGTCGATTGCAGAACGTAAGTCGTTGAAGCCTAGAGTCAACGTCGTCCAGGTCGGTCAGAGCTTCTGGTAAGCGCTGGTAGTACCTCAGCGCCTCCTTAAACAAGCAAGGGGGATTTCCAAGCAAGTCGCAAAGTGAATACAACAAGTATACAGATTTAAATTACAACAAATCTTCCTCTGAAAGGAGGGGTAACATATGGCCCATACGCAGAACCTTCGTCCGTAGATATTTGTCTAGATCTTCCCCATACACCGCCCCACCTCCAATCATCGTCGCTCCTACTTCCTTCGAATTTTTTACGACCAACTGGTCGGACTGTCGACATTGCCAACTCCTTGGCAGCATCATCACACGTTCTACTATCCGGATACCCTCCTTCTCTAGTGCCTGAACTTTGTCCGGGTTGTTTGTCAATAAACGAATACCCTCCCCTGTCTTCGTGCCAAGGCCAAGATCTCGGAGAATGGCACCGGCGATCTCATATCCTCTTTCATCCGCCTTATGCCCGAGCATGATATTTGCAGTGACAGTGTCGTGACCCAAGTCTTGCAGATTATATGCGCGGATTTTCGAGAGCAAACCTATACCTCGACCTTCCTGTCGTAGGTAGATGACGGCTCCACGACCCGGAATGGTTGTCGGCGGGGTAGAAATGGATGAGCTGGGTATGGAGATAGGTTGCGATATCTGTCGTATAGCTTCGTCTAGTTGTTCACCACAATCGCAACGCATACTCCCGATTGTCTCTCCCGTGAAACACTCCGAGTGAATCCTGACAAGTGGTGAGGGTATCGCATCGGTGGTGATATTGGTTTGTGGATCCACAGGCGAAGATGATTTTTGTGATGTCGCAGACAACCGTCCAACATATGCACCTCGGGTTATACGCTCCATCTCGGTTTCGTCCTCACTCCATACCGCATCGAGTGAGCGGCTACGTATTGGGGGTGCCAGAGAAGGAGAATCCTCCTGGAATTGAGCAGGATCTACAACGATTGCAAGGTGCTCCTTATTGTCATGGTTGTTGTGGTACAAATGAAGGAATACCGGCCCGTGGGGAGTGGGAACGCGAGTACGAGCCATACACTTGACCTCCAATGGCGCAGTCACCTGAGTGGGAAGACTAGTTGTCGACGTGGATGATGTAGGCGGCGCTGCTTGGGGGGACACATGAGCATCCCTCTGCGCTGCCGGAGGAAGGTTTTCTGCGCGACGTAGAGGATCTGTTACTTCTCGAGCTTTCGTCCCATTCTCCTTCCCCTCCTGCCCCTCCAACCCCAGCTTCTTGAGTCGCTGACTGCGAGGCGCTTGTCGGCTCTCGTACTTCAGCCGAGGTCTACGTTCCTGCCGCTCTGTAGGATCCTCTGGCTTCCAGTTGGTCCAATCGTACGAACTCTCTTTACGGGGATCTTCTACGCCAGGAAAGAAATCGTGAGCGTAGTGATTCCTAGTTATATGCGGAGAAGCCGCAGCGGCTGCGAGCATGAGAGGATCCAAATCCTCATCTCTCCTCCTGTACCTTCCCTTCACGGGCGGAGGCATTGGACCTGTAAGAAGGTCCAATAAAGCAAGATCCGAAAGGGTATCCTCGACACCACCAAGCTCATGGTGGAAAGGCATGGTCCTGCGAGTGTATAGCCCGTGAGGAAGGAATAAATTAGCTTAGGGCGGGGGTACGAAATGGAAAGCTACAGAAACATTAGAGCTCTATATAAGAAAAGATTTGAGAGGCTAGGGTGGGCGAGTGTTTCCAGGAGATTTTCGGTCTGCGGAATCCCCGATGCCCAAACGGAATTGGCGCTCCATGTTTTCTCACGTAATGTTCCTAGTGTCACCGCATCCTCTCATTGGCCAGTATGAGCAGGGCATGAACTCATGATTCCGCTAAGATGGCTATTCGAGTTGCACAATTATCATCGAATTGATATACACAAAGATAGTATCCAAGTACTGAACCACATAATCGAAAGATAGAAAGTGGCGATCCTCAAGCTCGGCCTGGTTCGTCAACCCTACCAAGTTTCAGAATGAACGCGTCCATATTCGTCTTTGTAAGTAACCAGCGGAACGCTCGGGTCTGTCAGCATAGGTCAGCATTTTACGATTAGATGCCTTGTCCGAGCCCGTCGTAGACACAGCAATGACGAGGACTTAAATATGGTCATCGAGTCGACACGGAGAAATTTGGGAAAGAATTGTACGAAAAAGGCAAACGTAGTTTGATAGTTACCAGCGGCAAGTAGATGCTCCCAGAATCCAGATGGGTCCATGGCTGACTTTCTGGTGCATCGAGGAGGAAATATATCGCTGGACAATGCCGTCGTGTGATCAAATGCGTACCTATGAATAGACGAGAGCATAATTCTCTGTTGAACTCAGCGACCGAGCAGAAGTGAGCAAAGGAACATCTCGAAGAGAAGAAATGCTGGGATATCCTGAGACACGAAGGTTGCACTTCTGGCTACGTTGTCTCAGGGAGACTAACAAATACCGTGTATGATGCTGAGCCAGATTATGGAAACCACAAGACGGGTGAGAGGAATGCATGCGACTGCTTGCTCCCAAGTTGAATTTCATTCGTCCGAAACGAACTCTCCTTAGCTCCGTGAGAAGAGGTGAATAAATTTGTCGAAATCGCGAAGTGAGGGAACAGAAGGAGAGAAGAAAGTATCGTGGATTGCCAGGGATTGCCGCTTGGCATAGCGACAAACATAGCACAGCCACGAGAAACGGGTTGCCGAATACCGGCCACAGTTGTCTATCTCCCAGACGCTGCACTGGGGAGTGGATATTTCAAGTTGTCCGCAGTTGTCTTGTCGCTCACCAAGCTCTCTTTCATACCATGACATGACCCAAGACCATTGACCCATATCGTGGAATTGAGCTCGACGACCCGGTCTTTCTTCTTGATTTGCTTCGCGTGGCCTTGCTTATGCATGTACTGGGTGCAGTGTTTGGAGGCCTCTTTGTATTGTTCCGGTGAGCTGGACATTGATTCTGGATTATCTTTACGACTTATGCAGCATATTCTTCGTCAGCTGCGTGCTAGCACAGTCTGCTTCTTCTTTTGACTTCAAGGTAGATGCCGCGAAGGAAACCAGTGATACAACCCAGTCCGATAATGCGGAGAGTACCACTAGTGTCAACCGTGTTAATGGTACCGTCGAACGTGAAGCCGCACCAGACAGCACCACCACCGCGCATTCTATCAACATCCTCCATCCTCCAAACCGTACTCACTCGCATACCCTCACGCATATACATACGGGTTCCCGGACATTGCCAATAACGCATCGACTGCCTCCTCCACCTACGCAGTCAGGTAACCCGTTGGCAGTTCCGAGCTCGACGCCACCCGATCAGCCGCCTTCACATCATCAGTCACCTGTTGCCATCGTGTTTGAATGCCTGGCTGGCCTCGTCGGGTTAATCTTCATCGTGTGGTTTACACGATGTCTCTACCAGTACAAGCGGACACCTCGTCAGGACCGCATTGCGGCATTACTTAGCCGACATGAATTGGAGAGGGAAATGGAGGAGTTAGAGCGCGAACAGTTGCAACGACGACGTCGACGGACATCCTTACTGCGGCCTCCCCCACCTCCCTACCAACCTGCACCTGCGTACGAGTCTGTCGTTACAACTGCGGATGTTTGACGGAGCGGATCTTTTCCATACGGCGGATTGATCTAGCGTGGAAAATTCATGGACATAGTTCTTGGTTTGCATTCTCATACCTTCATATTGACATTCTAGTACGATACCACACTCACTTACATTGGACTCGTTGTAATCCTAGATCGCTGTACGTTCTGCTATCATCACTCGTTCGCCATCTTTTTCAAGACTTCACACCGGAGGCTGCACCCTGTATTTGTGCTATTCTTATCCAGACGTTTGCATCACATCTCATTTCGCTTTTCGCATGCCCAAGGAAATGCGTCCGTCAGTCAACCTTCTGCCAAGCAAGAACAAAGCTGTCACTTCGTCAACTAAATTCCAGTCTGTGATCATGTGCTGCCTATCCTTCCGTTCTTCCAGGACCTTCCCTCCCATTCCTCGACTTTGTATGCTCTCTTGACTGCCTTGAACGTCTTCCAAGGCCCCCAAGGCCCCCAACGGTCCTCGAGCTCATTCGCTAGCTAAGTTTAGCATCTGCTGTGCTTCCGATCCGACGAATGTGATATTGACGTATCGCTGCATAAGCTCGTAAGGTGGGAACAATCAGAAAAATGTCTGTGAAACGAAGAACGATTCAACCACGTATTCTCATCTTGCCTGCATTGGCGTGAGGAACTGATCGTGCACTCTAAACACTTCTCAATCAGTGTGCAAAAGCACTCATAACTAATCCGAAGATTCTATTCTGTTGCTTCCTCTCAGTGGCACAAGCACCTTGCGTTCCAAGTGCTGCAATAGCCCGCTCAAGGTGCGGAATTGAGTATTGCAGCCCACGACTTTATCCCTCTTAGAGCAAATCGAATATCTTGGGTTGATGCGAGACTGTTAATACGAACGGTGCCGGGTTGCTCATAGTTGAAAGTTCTTGTACGGAAGGTGTGCGCGAATCTATCTCCTGGGCTTAGACTGTGGATGTCTCCGATATCCCTTGTTGATCCATTCTCTATCAACCCCTGACACACCCGCCTATACCCCATTCCAAATGTAACGGAAGGGCGGCGAGTGAAACTTAGGTGCGTTTAGAAGCGAGCCTCATGCATGGAATATTCTTAGGTTGGTGCACGGCTGAGCGACGATGTGTGTCGAGGTCGGCAACCCTATGGAAGCCGTGTCCCTTCACAAATCCTGTCGCTCTGCTGGCAAGCACTGTAAAATGGCTAAAGTTGCATTTTTTAATGTATTCCCAGATTCTATCGGTGTATATCCCCCGCACTTGGATACCGCCTCGACGGATTAATCTGCTAGAATGGAAAATTGGATCAAATATGCACTGGATTCAGGCAGTAACAGCGTCATTCGTTGGTCTGGATGTGCTCGGCATGAAAGAACGACTGATACCAGCGGTTAGCCCTGATAGAGGGAGATATAGAAATGGGGCACTCACCGGTTCAATACAAGGCCTTTCAATGCACGTATTTCTCGACGCACTTCTTCTTCTACTGGAGGCAGCGATGCACCAACACCGATACCTGGAAGTCTGAACGTAGGAGGGACAGCGTAGGTCTGAGCGGCGATATAGCCCGTGAAATCGGAGAGTGCTTGTAGTGTGTGTTGGAAGCGATTATGCGGTGAACGAGCCGGGGGGAGTGCTGACCGTAATTCGGATAGAGAAATGAGTACTGGGGGAGACGTAGGAGCCGTAGGAGGCTTGTATGACCATACTCTCACGCCATCCTTCTCTTCTTGTGCGAATAGAGGTACCGTTGTCAATGTATCCCATAACTTCGCCTAAGACAACAAGTTAGCGAACTAACGGATGCACGGGAACTTGTTGCTTGGTACTAACAGCAAAATCAGACCCCTCCTCGGTCTGAAGCCATGTCCATCTGGTCTCCAGCGCACTGAAGATAGCATCGGCGGTTACTGCCTCACTCTTCAGAGCGAGTTCCTCAATAGCACACCGTAACAATGTGATTGGAGGAATATTTTGCACCTCCTCTGTTAAATTGAAGACAGCATCGAGAGAATGACAGTCCTTGTATTGCACGTCCTCTTGATGTAGCTGAGGCCGAGGAAGATCGGCAAATGCCTTCGTCTGACTAGCTTTCAAGTCAGCCAGAGACACAGTGAGCTTTTGGAGCAAGTCCCGTTGTTGCGAATGGAGCGAGAGTCGCGCCTGGAATGACTGTGTAAGACGAGGAAAGATATACCTCTACAAAGGCGAGGTGAGTACGATTTCCGAATGAGATACAGCTTGGTCACGCACAAAATACAGTAGAAGGAAAACAGCCGAGCCTCCAGCCAACCAACTGAAGATTCGAAAGAAGCCAATGAGAAGATTGGGGAGGTTGGATGGAGGTGGTTGCGGATACGTCCGCGGTGGTATTAGTAGAGGTCGAGCAATCTGGACGTAGAGCTTAACAACAGTGTATTACAGAATACGATCAACCTTGTTTTACCGTCTCCTGAAGAAGAGTATCGATCTCTTGGGCATTCAGCCCCTTCTCAATCAAGAACCTCCGCTTTGCCGCGAGATCTTCATTTCGTACTTGAAGTGATTCCAGGAATACCTTAGCCTTCTGTACTAGTTCAGACCTGTCCGCCTGCCGAGTATCAGCAGAAGTGTTTGATGGAGGCGACTTCACGGATGTTCCTGCTTGAAGTTGCGGGTCGGAGTCGTTGGTCATATTCACAGTCCAAGAACTGTCGCTTGCACAGATCTAGTTTGGCGCGTCTCAGGAACAGGCCTTTTCCCTCCGCTTGCCAGTGCCCATCGCGGTAACTTGACGCTCGTAGGACTTGAAGTCGATCCTCTCGATCATCACACCAAAATCATTAACATTTGCAAAGCTCTACTTTACCTCTCTTCAGCACAAGTACCCGTCTTCGCTTGGTTATATATGGCTGAATCTGTGCAGGCTCCCCTTCTTCCACAACCTCCACCTAAGCGTGACGATGCAGACGAATTCCTATCAACTTTCGATTCAGTTCCTCTTTTTATGAAGTCATTGCCCGATGACACCGACAACATAGCAGTAGAAGCTTTGCAGAGTCTTGCATTCGAGGGTACACCTGATGGTCAGCGCTCAAATTTCGTTCCTAATAACGTTTACTCATATTGAATGTAGAGATTGCACAGAACTTCAAGGAACAAGGCAACGATTACTTCAAGGGAAAGCGCTACCGAGAAGCATTGGGATTTTATACACAAGGAGTAGATGCTAAGCCAACAGATCCCATCCTACTGGAAGCTTTGCTGTGCAACCGATCTGCTTGCAATCTTGAACTTAGTGAGAGGATCCTTCATGCCATCCGCCCGACAGGCGTTGACCCCCTGATCCGGAAGAAAATTATGGTTCGGTGCTCAAGGACTGTTCGAAAGCCCTAACTGTCAACCCAAAATCATCAAAGGCGTATTATCGATCTGCCACTGCGTTGATTGCTCTGGACCGCTTGGACGAGGCACTCGACTGTTGTGATCGTTGCTTACAATTTGATGCGGAGAACAAGGGCATACAGACACTTCGTGATCGTGCGTTACAGCTGAAGGAGGCCAAGGAGAAACGCGAGCAGGAAAAGCAAGAGCGTATTTGGAAAGAAAAAGAAGAGAAGCTTCGTATTCAAAAGGCATTGGATGTAAGTCATCCAAAAATTGACACTATGCTTCCTACTTATCTTTAGTAGGCTCGTGGACTCCTCATTCTTGTAAACCCCTCTGGACCATCTGAGAATCCCTACGTACCACATTTTGATCCAGAAGACTCCTCAGGACAAACGCTGATTCTCCCTGTCCTCTTCTTGTACCCGCAATATGCAACGTCGGATATAATCTCGCATTTCGTCGAAGACACACCTTTTTCTGCTCATGTAGAAGCCATGTTCCCGCCGCAAGCACCAGCTCCAGAATGGGACAAGAATGAGGAATACATCGCCGGAAACCTAGTCATATATGCCATGACACACAGGAAGCGGCTTCTGAAAGTGGGCAGAAACATGACTCTCAGAGATGTGTTCAAGCATGGACGAGAGAAACCGGGGGAACCAAAGGATGGGTTAGAGGTGAAAGATGGATGTCTAACGTTCGTAGTCTTGCCTCGGGGAGATGCTGAGAAGAAATGGATAGAAGAATTCAAGAAAACTAGGGACAGCAATTAACTTCGTTGCGCATGATGTCTGAGGTTATCGGCGTGCTTGACACCCGACTCATATGTGTAATAGTGCTTTGGTTCGTCGTCGTACGTAGGATAGCACAAACAAGACCTGGTCACATATCAAGAGGATACACCGGGCAAAATATAAATCCGTATTCTCACGCGCCAAATTAGGAAGCTTGCCACGAGATTGGGCGCTCGTGCCGTCCACAGCTGGCAGAGCCAAAATTACAGCGACCAAAAGCAAGGACGACGGCGACAAGCTCGGTGAGCACGATTTCCTGCCTGATATGATGCTGGTGGATGCTAGGAGGCCGTCCAGATGGTGTGGAGAAAGCAAGAGAGTGAAGGAAATGGCGGATTGGGATGGATGGCTCTTGGTATAGGTGGATGCTGACCCTTCGCTTGCAGGGCCTCAAGAGTCAACATGTCCGTCCAACACAAGATCCTCCGTACCGCCAATGCGCCCACTACTGCCCCCGATGAAATTGAGACCAGCGTCGCTCAGGCCCTGATCGACCTCGAAAACAACGTGCCCGAGCTCAAGACTGAGCTTCGTCCTCTGCAAATCTCCGCTGCCCGGGAGGTTGATGTCCGTGGTGGCAAGAAGGCCATTGTTATTTTCGTCCCAGTTCCCCAATTGAAGGCATTCCACAAGGTTCAGGCGAGGTACGTAGCATATTGCGCTGTAATCTTAAAACAGAAGCAATATAACCTCTGTGGTGCTGCTACTCTACAGACTGACCCGTGAACTCGAGAAGAAATTCTCCGACCGCCATGTTGTTTTCGTTGCTCAGCGACGGATGCTGCGCAAGCCAACCAGGACTTCTCGCGTCAAGCAGAAGCGTCCTCGTAGCCGTACCCTCACTAGCGTCCACGAGAAGATTCTCGAGGATCTTGTCTTCCCCACGGAGATTGTTGGAAAGAGGACGCGTGTTGCTGTCGATGGTTCAAAACTCCTTAAAGTGTACGTGATCCAGATGATTTTTGTGGAGAGGACCAGGCTAATTATTTGCATACCATCAGCTTCCTTGACTCCAAGGATGCGACTTCGCTCGAGTACAAGCTCGATTCCTTCACATCAGTTTACCGTCGCCTGACAGGGAAGGATGTTGTCTTCGAGTTCCCCGTGCAGGCACAGGAGTAGATATTCTCACCGGGTTATCACGCTTATGTCTCTAGTTCCTCCCTCACATGACAATTGTATGCAGCATGCAACTTCTTACGGCGTCTCATACGTTTCATGCTTCGGCGTGATCCAATCCTAACGGGATTCTTTGCACGGGTTTTCAGGAGCGAATTCCGATTATGTGTACGGGGAAGTTGGCGTGGAAGGTTGCTGAGCGTGAATGTATTAATTTCACCTCCACGTTCCCTGAATCGAGTGTCTATAAACGTCTATCAGTTGTAGTTCCCGGAACCGATTGACTTGAAATAGTGAATGCTTGAACGCGTCCCATTTAGATTTCGCAAGCTGTTCAAACGTTCAAACGTTCATGTCGGAAACAGAGCCGGGCTGACTCTGCATACTAAGTGGCCGGCTCAGCCTTGCCGCCGTCATTGAGTGCTGTTGCTTCGACGCGAGAGGCTTTTAGCGCTAGCGCCGACTACCTTCCGCTCGGTCTGCTAGCCTAAGGCTGTCTGCTTTCTTTCTTTCTCTCTCTCTTCCACTTTCAGCCCTTGAGGCACCCCATCCCTAGCCTGGTCCACTACCGATGGCGGCATACCCACGACTGGACCCTTACCTAAAGCCCAGACATGATCAGGGCGTAGATGCAAAGATTGTCATAATGGGCAACACTGGTTCGTGTCATTCGCCTCACGCATGTCTTTAATACTTCGGATATAATGTCTGGAGTTAGCTTCGCTCCAAATGATTGATCTGTGCTATCTCCCTAGGTGTGGGCAAGACCAGTTTGCTGCAACGATATACCCAAAATAAGTTCGATCCCAAGAACACAACCTCCACGACCGGCGCATTGTTTGTAACAAAGAAGGTGTATGTAAATGGAATCAGAGTGCGTCTACAGCTTTGGGATACCGCAGGACAAGAACGATTCCGTAGTATGGTACGTCCCCGGTTCCCGTTGAAAGTGGCACATCCCCTGAGCGTTGTCTCACTTCATGGCAGGCACCCATGTACTATCGCAACGCCAATGCTGCATTACTATTGTATGATATTACAAATGCGTCTACCTTTGAGGATGTGCGTGGGTGGTTGGAGGGTACGTTTTTCCTATACTGGTTACCTCAATTCAACTTATGTCCAATCATTTGTAGAACTTAAGAGGAACTGTTCAGAAGACTTGATCATTTTCATAGTTGGAGCCAAGTCTGACTTGCAAAGCCATCGACAAATTACCCCAGATTTGGCTCGTCTTTCTTTGAACAACTGGTTTCCTCCTCCGCGTCCCCCAAGTCCCCCTACACCACCTCCGCCTCCGCCTTCAACCTTCTCTTACATGCGACCTCGCTTCACGTCCTTCACTAGCATTCGTTCTGTACCCCTTCTTTCTCAGCCTCCGAAATCAAACATATCGCCTGATAGTAGCAACGAGTCTCGTTCATCTGGTTTGTCACGAGCTACAACGACACCTCACTACACTCGTCCAAGAGCAAAAAGCGGCAGTCTTCTCGTTTCAAGCGACGCACATGGGACATCCCAATCTCGACTAGGCTCACGTCTAGGCTGCAATCCAGTCGGATACAATCAAGTAACGGATTCCAGTAGCAATAGCCAGCTGGATGACGACGACGAATTCGACGACATGTTCGGGCACGATGACTGCCAGTCATGGGGACTTGGAAAAGGCATGGAGCTCTTCGAGGTCTCTGCGAAACATGATAGCGGTAGGTTTTGCGATACTCTGTATTCCATAGATGCATCGTTCACGCTTCTCTTGACCCTTAGGCATAGCAGACCTCTTCAATAAGCTTATAGCAGCTATCATTGCTAGAAAGGACGACATCGAACGCCAGAACGAACTCAAGAGACGCGACAGCGTATTCTTGTCTGGGGTCACACCCGCTTGGGCTGCACAAGCTGATGAAGAAGAAGCCCGAGAGAAAGCTCGGATGGCCCGAGGATCATGGAGCTGCTGCCAGACATAGTGCGCAGGACGCCATGTTCTGCCGACAACCATTTTATTCCTCTCTATTCATATCCTTTATTGATATTTCATCAGATTTTCTCTCGTCTTTCATACGCACTCATCTCTGTTTTCTGCACCTACGTTCTCTCCTCCCGTCTGTCGTATCTCATGCCCTCGTGATGATTTCTTGCATGTCTCTTTCCCCCTTCCTTTATGATGTCTTTGTTCTATCGTATTCTTGTCACGCTCACCACGGATTCTTTTGCATACCACATATTAGCCTATGTTTGTCACTTCACTCTGTTGAATTATATCCCCCCTGGTATCCATAGGTTCTACTATACACTATGTTCACATTCACTAGCGTTCATGGTGTTCATGTTTCTCTCAAGGACTCACCACTGCATTTTCGCCTATCTAGATGTTTGTAATATGTATATCGCGAGCTCCACGAAGATCGTGATATTCCTCATTCATCGAAGTATCTATTCCAGCTAGGTAAGTTATACTAGCCTTGCATTAGGACTCTTGGAAATTGACGCGTTTTCGTGTTGACGCCCGACGTAGCGCGTAGCAGTTTTGTCAACGCGTCTCTCTTCACAACTTGCAAGGATCTCGCACTCCTTCACGTTTGACGCGAGGACTGTCCTAGGCATTTCATTCCTTAACAGGTGACTGGCGACCATTGGTGAAAATGGTAATGTCTTCCGTTCAGGGCATAGAGGTACGCCATTCGATCATTGGTTGAGGTCCGCCAATCATCGAGTGAGCATCAATGTGATCATATATATTTGACAACGGCTTTTCGATCGTATTGTTCACTTCCATCGCATCCGAACCACGAGTCCTTTTGACGATTGGTGACTCCTCCCCCTGATTGTCGAGAACCTCGTGGTCTCCGCCACGTTATGATTGTCTCAAGTTTACGTCTTCTAGGCCTATGCGCTTCTTTGTGAACATTATAAATTCAGTCAAGATGTGCCAGCAATTTTCTTAACCCCCTTCACCGAAACCATCCCCCAAATTGACTTACCTCGCCATGTCTGCTGCCCCAGCTCAATCTCCCTCTGAGCCGAATCCCTTGAAGGTCCACATTGAGACCTTGGAGAAGGCTTTCGTGGGACGTGCGCCGTTCTGCAGTGGTTCCATACCTGTTGCACCAGAAGACATTCTACTCTTCTACGGAAAGGACAAGAACGCTAGGTCAGTCTCCAGTTCTCCAACGGAGAATTAATACTTATTACACTCGACGTACTAGACGTCTCGATTTCACCGACGCTTCGGAAGAAGATTTACGCCACCTTGCTGACACTTGTGATCCTGCTTCCTTTGGAGTTGACAACGAGGATGTCATGGATGACTCTTATCGCAAGGCTGGCAAACTAGATATCGCGCACTTTGTGACAACCTTAGACCCAGTCAAATGCGGCTTGGTGGAAGTCATTCGCAATCAATTCTTGGAGGGTCCACAGGTCAAGGCTTCCATTCGTGTGGAACGATACAAACTTAATGTTTATGGTCTGTTCCCGTCACATTCTTTTGAACAACCTCATGTAGTGATTATTGACATACGTTCCCAGGACGAGAAGGTTTCTTTAAAGGCCATAAGGATACGCCTAGGAGCGAGTCAATGTTCGGTTCCCTCGTTGTTGTCCTTCCTACTGATCACGTTGGTGGTGCACTCGTCTTCCGTGAAAACGATCAAGAATGGACGTTCGATTCCGCTCATGCTGTTGCTAGACAACCCGGTGAGACCCTGCGGTTGGGCTACGCTGTGTTCTATAGCGATGTCGAACATGCCGTCACCCCAGTTCAAGCAGGCTACCGTGTCACGTTAACCTACAATCTCTACTTCGAGGATCCCTCTCCGGTTCAAGGCTCCGTCGTGTTGCATGACGCAACTTATGACAAGCTGTATAGCGCACTCCAGGCTGTCCTGAACGATTCAACTTTCATCCCCGAAGGTGGCTTACTTGGGTTCGCACTTCGTCGAGAATATCCGGTCCGGGTCGGCAAGGCTGACCTCGGGACAATTGAACAATTTCTCAAAGGGAGTGATGCGGCTTTGTTACGGGCATGTAAGGCGCTATCCCTCAACGCGTCGTTCAAAGCACTCGTTAGGCAACATGCGACGGACCCCTTCAGCGTAACACCAACATATCCCGTTCTTTGTAATAGGATTCCCGACGTCAAGAGGTTCCCACAGGAAGATTGGGACGATTATGTTTGTCGAAAATTCGGTGGAAAACGAGTAGCGATGAATGTGGAAGGTATCGGTTCATGGGTTCAGCCGGACATTAAGATCCACTGGGTTCTGAGTCCAAGACAGTCCCTGACGACTTCGAAGCAACAGTACATGGCCTTCGGCAACGAGCCCACTCTCACTTATGTGTATGCACATGTCTGTCTGATTATCGATCTTGGTCCTGTTGGCGCGAGAAGCGGTACTAATAACTAGACCAACTGGTGTAGCTTTTGTAACGTGTTTTTTTGAATGTCTTTGCGCATGTATGTAGCTCTTTGTAGCTCTTCCTGTCAGTGTCTTTTTGTGTAATGCCATCCGTCATGACTCCAGACTGATCTCTTGCTTCACTTAAACCTCTCACCTAAATCATTTCCGGCAGATATCCCCTGCGCTCTTATTGGCGCGAACACTTTCTGAGGCGTTTTCATGGCTTGGTGGAAAGATTTTCAAACGAGTTGAATTACTTCCGTTACAACCAATCATCTCGTTCAGTTAGACTCGATCTCAAGTTTGTCCACCAGTACAACCATTCCGCCTCGCGATTGACAACGTCAACCGAATATATAGAGACACAAGTCAGAAGAGGGAGTACGAACTTGAAGCAAAGCTCGAGGAATTAATGTACAAGTCTTGTCTTGCAGTCATTCGAATTCATTCAACACCCACTTATTGCCATCTGCTCTTCCATCTACAGTCCTTCCCGTGTCTTGGTGGACAATGTCCACGTTGAGAGTAGGCAAAACAGCCAACTCTACTTCATTTGGCAAATGAACAGTCCACGTTGCCAGAGGCGTACTTTCAATAAGCCCTAGCTTCAAAAGGCGATATACCTTGCAAGCCATCATATTCCGCAAGGCGATGCCGATGATAGAGAGGCCGCTCTGTACAGGTACAGATGCCGAGGTGAAGATGCTGATAGCCATGGTAATGTTGACCCCGACAGTAGCCCTATGATCGTCTCTTTCAGCAAGTACGGTTGACATTGGTTAAGAGTGTACCAACAAATAATATAGCTGTCCTGTTTGGAGGAGTATTCTCGAGACGTTGCCCAAACCCTTTCCGCTCAGGAGGGCCCGGAATCTTTCCTTCCGTGAAACCGCCATACTGCCAGATAGGACTCGGATGGATATGGCGATGAGGACCAGAGTGTCAAACACCGCTACTGTGACCCACCCTACAGAGTCGTAAGACCGTAACGTGGAAGTTGAGCACATTCGTATGACCTCAATGCTGACAACGTGCGAGGTCAGTGGTACGGTGATTGTTGTAAAGGTAGAAAGCCATAGAAGAGCGAAAACGCCAACGATGACACGCGATTCGCGAAAGACGGCTCTGACACGGAGGAAGAAAAGCAAAGAATTAAAAGGCGGAGCGACTGCTCCGAACCAAACGACGGCTCGAGACTTGAAGTCGCAATCATCGGGAGATGCGTCGACTGCGGCGAACCGTCAGTAGAAGTGGATACCAAGGCGGGAAAAAATGCTTGCCTAATTGAATGAGTATAACAATAAGGAACCCTGCTGTTGACACGCTGCACGATTCATTCAACCGTAAGATACGCCTCGTTATGCTCAACAGAATCGCTTACCGAGCTGCGATGTACGCTACATCGCTCAACGACATACGACGTGCCCCAAACAACGGCACATAATCCAGTAAAGCTATCATGAAGTCCCAAAGCCATATCTGTCAGGGAAAACGAATCGGTTCACAACACGCATACAAAGGCTTCAGGATCACCTACGGCAGTGACACCTGCGGCAAGATAGCCTAACTTCGAAACACTATCCACAAGCTCCACTAACGGGAATCCTTGCGACGACATTGGTGAGAAGTGAGTTAGCACTCCTACACCTGAAAGGAAGGATATATGTATAAAGTACGAAACATTACCCTTGATGAAGAGCTAGAAGATCAGCATGAACCTGCAAACAGTTGAAGTTCTAATACAGCTCTACTTCTCTATGCTGATCTGTACATCATGATGCTCATGATGGACAAGGTGTTCTATTGGTTGAATGCATGACTATAAGAAAAGAGCCAAAAGAAACTTGGCAAATGTTTAGGTTACCCGACATGCATAAATAGAGCGAGTTGGCGAAGGATGGCTCAGATTGAGCATTCCGGTCGACTGGTGGGCCTCAAAGCAAATATATGCTTCGACAAATCTCTCTCGAGGACGTGAACTTAACGTGTTCGTGAAGACTGGACGAAAGATTGGTGGGCGTGATTCGACAGCAGAGTCACAAGTAACCGCTAGACAAAACTGAATTCAAGCCTGCAATGCCCTGCATGCAGTGGATGTTGGATCGAAGAGATACCGCCTTGCGGAAAGATGGAGCTTGTCTTCGAAAAGATTGATTTTGACGCATGTGATGAAAGCGTCAGCTTCGAAGTATCATTTGACCAATCAAGATGATGAAAAGTTACTGTCAGAGAATGACTGGGGTTCGCAGGTCCCGGTCAACGTTTCAACGTCAACAGTCGATGATACACATGCAGGGCATGTACACGAATATACGAAGTAGTTGTTTGGGCGTCTTTTTCCCGAATTTGTCTTCTCTGAACAACTGCAGGAGGAATGGCGCTGCATCATGCCACTCATTCCCGTTCTCTCATCTTAGGACACCGCAGATACTTAGGAGTACGCAGCAATGTCGCTCATCCCTCCGGACCCTGTGTCTGGGGTCGATTCTGGGGATGAGCCTCAAATCTGTGCTCCCGAGCACTGCTTTCATGCCTTCGATGCATTATTCTGTGCTCTCACTTCTAAGAAACCAATCCCGCCGGTGTTCCCAGACGACAAATAGTATGTTCTTTAATACATTCAGAGACCTTGACTCTTACTTTGAGCAAAGTCCCCTTTTTGTGACTTGGAACACACGTTCGTCTCGTCATGGACGAGCACCTCGATTACGGGGATGCATTGGAAACTTTGACCCATTGCCCCTGCATAAGGGTTTGGCAGAGTACGCACTCATCAGTGCTTTCCGCGACACCCGATTTAATAAGATCGAGGAATGGGAATTAGAGAGCCTCGAATGCGGGTATGTCTCCCGACTATCCAATTTCCTAACCACGTTGATTGTTGTGGATCTGCAGCATTTCTCTTCTCACAGACTTTGAGGACGCTTCGTCCTACCTAGACTGGAGTATTGGTGTGCATGGTATCTATATCACATTCCCACATCCTTCATTGCTTGCCGCGCCGTCAGATCGCTCAGAAGCCCCCTCTCCTTTGTCCTCAACCACTTCCATACCCACTCGTTCTTACATTAAGCATTCCTACTCCGCGACGTATCTACCACAGATCGCACCCGAGCAAGGGTGGGACAAGATCGAGACCGTCGATAGCGCCATTCGTAAGGCGGGTTGGAATGGTCGCATCACCGAGGATATACGTCGCAGCGTGAAGTTGCGTAGGTATCAGAGCAGGAAGTGCACTGTTGGGTGGGAAGAATATGTACAGTGGAGAAAGCTCAATGGGGGCAGGATCTAGATTTGCCTACTGTCAGAATGGTGTTCTCCTTCAAACCGCCTGGCATAGATCATCATCAGGAATTGTAATATTAGGGTGTAAATGTATATAAGATCGATAGCAACGCCGCATCACTCCAAGTCCAAGTCCACGTTCAACCTCAACCCCAGCTCTTTCAATCGTCCTCCCCATCCGCCTCCAAATCGTCTGACAAGTCGCATGTATACATCTGCAACGATAGTAAGATCACCCCCACTACACTTCTCGAAGGCGACAAGGATCCAATATAACATCCGCGCGCTTGGCATAGCATCACCAGGTAAACCCATGAAGTCGTTGAAGAGAGCGCCCAAAGCATCCAATGTCCAGCCATTTGCCAGAGCCTCGTCATCCGGGGTGATGCCAGCAGATTGGAAATCCGCTTGTCCGTGGCGAACAAAGCCACAGAAGATAGCCCTGTAGGCGGGCATAAGCCATTTGATACTACTCGTCTCCGGAATTGTCGAAAGCGTTTGAACCATGTCCATGAAGACTTCAAGGGCGTAAACCAAATAGCCATGATACGCGTAAGTTTGCACCAAACCAATGTAGGTGGTCTTGTCTGGCCGGAGACTTGGGACTTCAATACCTTCGGTGGCTTGTAGATACTCAATAGCCATTTGAACGGGCTCGTTATGGGTAGGATCTTCAACACCCGAGTGCTTGAGGATAGTATACATCGCATCTGCGACGTCTTTGCGGCCTAGGCGATTATATGTGAAGAGCAGGGCATTGACTCCTTCGATGCCAAGCTCGAACCCGCTTCGTTGCACTTGGTCGTAAGCCATACGAACAGTTGTCAGGTCGCCCTTGCGACAGTGAAAATTCATCAAACTGAGCAAGGTTGTACGGTTGGGTTTTAATCCGGAAGAGCGGAGAAGAGCCGACGCTTTGCGAATAGATGGTTCGTGCTTGGTGCGGCCGGCAATGTTAAGCAACGTAGTGTACGTGATGATGTCCGGCATTAGAGCGTCGGATGTGTCAGGACGGGTTCCATCCTGAGGAGACGCGACACCGTACATCTCCCTGGACAAACTACTTCCTGGAGGTTTTCCTGAAACCATGTCACAGTAGACATTGAACGCGGTCTGGTAATCTATTTGTCTTGCCTTGCGCCATCCCTTTCCTGCAAAATCTATGAGGGCATTCCACTCCCAAAGTTGTACTCGACCACCTGTCTGATGGAGTATGGCAAGGATAGAAAGAAGGCGGATAAAGAGATGGCGAGTGCGGAGACGATTGTGCGCAATCAGACGTGCGAGGCGGTGAAGGTGGGCTGCAGGGATGGGGTAGGGCATTTGGTCGGTAGGAAAGACAGTGAGTTGGTCGTACGCTTGTATTGCAGCAGCTACGGAGTTTGTGGTGGCGATGACATATAGAAGTTCTTTGCGAGTGGCAAATTGCGGGACGTCCTCTGGACCGTGAGCAGTCCGTAGGCCGGAAACAGGATGCTCGGGGAAGTGTTGGGATATTCGAACAGGAAGAGGCCTGTAAGGTCTCTTCCGAAGAGGACGCACACCTTGTGCGTAACGACCCTTCACTTTCTTTGGTCCGTCCTCCTCGTCCAGCTCTTCGCGGTCTACATTCGGATGAAGTTTTTGCGCGTCCTCCACAGCATATGCATCCACTCCAGTGGTACCATTGACGCGTTTCGTGGTCTCGGCCAGCGGACATCGAGCCTGGGTAGAATTGCAGGCCGTAAGGACTGTAGGTATACGCTTGTGACATGGATATGACGATGAGTGTAATATCTGGAGGTAACATCTGAGTCCCAGAGAGGACGCTCTCAGCATTAATGTCACGAGCAGTCATCCTAAATGCGAGTAAGCTCAGAGTCACAATACGTAGCAAACGACTGGAACGCACCGCGAGGTGCACTCGTCGCGCACAACTTAAGAGGACAGCGTGGGCGCGTCCTGACGTTCCCGAACCCACTCAGACGCGGCAGGAGACGACTGTTGTATAGTTAGGATGCGGGTGCTGGCCGGCTTGGACTGCTTGGACTGCGCGAACTGGAGAACACAAAATGATACTCTCGCTCTCGGGCGCTCATAACTTTTTGGTGGTTGCTGATTGGACAGTATTTGTCAAGCGCTCGTATATAGAAATCCCCTCTCTCCAGTCGAACACGCCCGCATTCCAACGCCCCGACGTGCCAAACACGCTATGTCTGATTTTCGTCCATCCGTGATTAGTACCCGCTTCATTTAGCATTTTTCTGGCCTGCCAAAGCATATGTCCTTCCCATCTCTTACACATCTAAGGGTTTCGTCAAGGAACTTTGGTCCGTGGTCAAGTTTAACAGCCGCCGAAATGGCTTCAACGAGACATGCTTAATGGGTGTTCACGATATTTCAAAGCCTCATGTGTCACGCCAGTTACATCGATCCACGAATGCGATAGAAGCATGGGCATAAGTGACATAAAACCTGGTGTCGTAGGAAAGCGATAACGAGTAGCAAAAATAACGAAGTACAATCATGCTCGGGCCTTGAGCGTTCCCATGAACGCGGCTTTTTCTTCGAAGGTCTGGAAGGCTCCGTGCTGCAGTAATCGGTGGACGATTAATATCAATGAAGACGATGAGACATGCATAATTACTTACACCGAACTTCGAGGAGGTATCGATGAACTTGAGCTGAACCTTCTCGAGATCCCGACGAGAAGTGTGTACCATGAGTGACTTGCGGAGAGTGATAACACGCTTCTTGGTACCAGGAATGGAGCCCTTCAACATGAGGTAATCGTTCTTGACGATACCGTAGTGAGGGAATCCACCCATTGGCGTGATAACCTTCTTGGTGATATCGTGCTCAGTCGAAGCATTACCCTCATCGGAGCCAGAGCCAATGCGGTAGATTTTCTTGTTGAGCTCGGTACGGTGGTGGTAACCGTCTATATTGAATTGTTAGACACCCTTTCACGCAGTTTAAAACTGGATTGAACATACTTTGACCAGCACGTGCAACCGAGAACATGACCTTGGAAGGATGCCATGCACCGATACAGGCGACCTTGCGAAGACCCTTGTGAGTCTTGCGAGGAAGCTTCTTGGTACCCCATCGGTGGGTGACACCCTCGAAACCGTGACCCTTGGTGACCGCAATAACATCGATAACCTCATCCTGCTCGAAGACAGAGGAAACCTCTACTGGCTTCTCGAACAGACCCTGTGCAAACTCGACCTTGTCAGCGATGGAGCCTCCGTTAACTTGGATCTCCATGAGGTGAGCCTTCTTCTGGCTGAGACCAGTCTTGCGGATTTGAGTGTGCGCAAGGACACGGACGACAGTGCAGTATTTGCGAATACGCTCGAGTTCACGCGCAATGGACTTGCCACCATCCTCAGCGTGCTTCTTGGCATAGCGAGTGAACGCCTTCTTCTTGGAGCGGTACCAGTTCTTGTAGAAGCGACGCTTGAGCTCATCAGAAAGATGTGAAGCCCAGACGGTAGTGAGGGTGCGGAGACCACGAGGAGTCTCGACGTAGCCAACAACGCCAACAACGATCATAGGTGGTGTCTCAATAATGGAAACGGCCTCAACAACCTCACGCTTGTGCATCTCTGCAGACAGAGTGAGATGAGATCACGAAAATACGAGTTAGGCAGACGGTACGCACTGGATCCTGGACGGTCGAGATCACGAACGACGTGGGTCATACCGGCCTTGTAGCCCATGACAGCAGTCAAGTGGACGGGCTTCTTGGGGTCATCCTATATAGCAAGAATCCTTTACTTCAGCATTCGCGCTTTCTTGGACATATTTAGAGGGCGCGCACCTTGGGGAAAGCCTTAACCTTTCCACGGTGGCGGGCAGCACGCTTGCGGGGGAGGAAACCAAGCGAACCATGACGGGGGGCTTCGTACTGAGCATAGAATAACTCATAAGTCTTCAATTTTTGGCGATATTTCGCGGGCAATTCCTACCTTACGATGACTGTCAAAACATACTCAATCATACGTTCCCCATGAAATCCAATAACATACTCACCTCATCTTGAACGGTCTTGAGGGGGGCGGCGATGTTGAAGGCAATAATTTCCACCTGCAATTATTGGGCGCCCGGTGGTGGCTGAAGGTACTATGTAGTTCATCCGGAAATGGAAAGATTTTAGACCCCTACACGGAAGATTGGGAACACGCCCATGTGATCGCGCGTGGTGTAATGTATTCGCGCTTCGTCACAGCCAGTCACGCGTCAAGTCACTTGTGACAAACGCGTTGCCTAAGTCGCTCGTTCAGGACACCATCCTCGACCAACCCTACCTCTCCGACAAAAATATTCCCTAGAAACCCCTCAGTTTTTAGCTGGCTGCCTGCAGTTCGCATTCAAGCCATGTCTGACTCATCACCAGCGATCAAGCGTGCTCCTAGGACATATGGACGACCTCGGGCACCGTTAGCGGACACCTCACTCGACGCAGATACATCGTTTGGGAATCCAGGTCTGCTATCTGACACTAGTGGTCAGTTTGGTTCATCTGAAACAGGCGATGTGCCGCCCACTTCGGATTTCGACGCGTCTTATGGTTCAACTCATGATGACGAGGACGACAACGACGCTTCTTTGGATGGGGATATCTTGCCTGCAAACCTCAAAGGATATGTCTCGATACGTGATGCACTTCACATGATTGACCAGGAGATGGACGAGACAGAAGAAATAAATTTAAAAGAGTCAAGCAGTGTTCGCCTCGAGGCGAACAAAGAGCCACTCCGGTCTTTGTCGATAGAGCGGACCGATGAAAGAGTAGCTACTTCACCTCCAAATATTGCAGCACATCCTTCCACATTACTATCCATAAGCAAAGCGTCACACACTCCGCCCTATACCCATGCACCCTCTCCCGCCAACTCTCCCTCTCCCTCTCCATTAATTCCCCGAGTGCGCAAGAAGCGAGTGGTCACAGAATCCGACTCTGAATCAGAACTTGCACGGCAGTCACCTTCCCCACAGACGTCTCCAAGTGCACTCTTTCATATCAATACGCCTGCTGGCCGGTCATCACCGACGCCGCCTACTTCGACGGAGATGGCCCCTCACAAAGGAAAGGGTAAAGAGGCTCTCAAGCCCATACCCGGGCTCGATATAGGGCAAATGCATGATTCCTCTGATGACGAGAAACCTGCACGGAAAAGGCCCAGATCGAAGGGTAAGGGTGAAGAACCGCGGACGAAGGTCTGTTCTTTGTTCACCACCTTTCGCTCATATCCTGAATATATTGTGACCTTAATTCTACAGGCTCCGACAAAGAAAGATGTACTGGAGAGCAAGAAAGCGACTGCTCGTCTGCAAGCACAAAGGACAGTCGCTGTGCCTCGTGTCCAGCAGAAACAATTGCATCTCAGTGACCTGTTGCAAAGAGTTGGGTCAGTTCTTTAATCCACTGATGAGAACCCGAGGCATCTTCTCTTACTCTGGTGTTTGTTCCATTCAGGAAGGCAGTCAAGCACGAGCCTCACCCTCCCTCTTCCGATCCTATCGTGCCGTTTTCACCGGCACCTCCAGAGAGTGGACCATCTCGACCCACTCCCGTTGTTCAATTCTCCAGACATTCGGGTCCTCGTGCGCTCACTCCTCAGCAGGAGCCTTGTGAGGAACACACCAGTGGATTGTCGTTCGAATTGCCTGAACTGTCTGACGATGAGGAACTGCCAGACGCCTCAGAATTGCTATGGAGGAGAGCGCAAGAGGACGAAGCAGCCAAGCGTAAACAAGAGCTACGAGAGCTCAAACTGCGTGCTCTTGAGCGACAGCAACGCGAAGCTGTAACATTAGACCCTCATGATTCCAGTGATCTCGAGATTGAAGAGACCATGGGAGCTGTTGTCAAAGAGGAAGCCCAAGAGCGGAGAAGATCGAAGGCTCTAAATGTCAAGACACCAGTTCGGAAGAGGAAGTCCCAGCTTCCAAGTGGGCTACACCTCGAACAACAACAAGTCGTTCTGACAGCCGCAGCGAGACCCTCATTTGTCAGGGATACTCGATTCGAGAAGGGTAAAGATGGTCAAACCTCCAGAATACGGAAGGACGATCTGAACCGAATGCTGTTGCAAAATATAGACAAGGAGCGGTCAGAGATCATCGAGCGGAAAGAGCGCGAATGGACCAGTAAAGGTGGCAAGATCATGTCAAGACAGAGCGCCGATGAGAGAGGTGAAGAGGTTATGAAAGTGAAGATGGCCGAGCTTGCGGCAAAGGGATTGTCCAGAGTCCAACAGGAGGAAGCCGATGACGATGACATGGAGGGCTCAGAGGATGACGATGACTGGAAACCTCAGGAGGGAGAACCTAACGAACAAGACACCGATCAGTCTGAGCACGAACCTTTCGTCGTTCATCAGTCTCCAGAAAGCAACGAAGACGAAGCGGAGGAGGTACTACATGCTCCAGTACCCAAACTCAAACGCCGACCCACAAAGGTAGTTGATTCTGATGGGGAAGAAGAACGACCTACTGGCCGCATCCTTGTGCCCAACAGTTCGTTAGTCTTGGATTCTCCACCCCGTCTTGAAAGCTCAGACAAGGAAAATGCCAATGACACCGAGATCGAGAACGAAACAGACAAGGAGAACGACGCATCCTTGATGTTTGACCGAGGAGAGGATAAAGAGAACACCGTTATTGCCTCCAGTGAACCACCAATCCCTCGCCCGCTTTTCGACAGGAAATTATCGAGTCCCTTTTCTTCAGAAGGTGATCCTTTCCCTTCTTTGGATATAGGCTTGTCTCCCGCACTTCGCACTCCTTTGAAAATGATTTCGCATAGCGATGACGATGACGATCCCTTCGGCTCAACGGAAAACCGCGTTCAGGATTTGAGACACGTCCGTTCGCCCGATTTCTTCTCGCCGAGTAGACGGATGCCTGACAACAGCCCGGAGGAAGCAGAATCGTCTACCCAAGGCAATAAGGCCTGTTCTTTGGAACCACCTGCCAAGATTAAGGTTGGATTCTCGCAATTCATGGCTACACAGAAGGAGGCTTCAGGATTCTCTCCTATGGCACCACCCGCGTCGAAATCACAGTTTTCACAATTTGTCACTCCTGCAAAGGTATTTTGATCATCTTTTTGTTTGTTACTTGTGCTTAACGTCTATTGCGTAGGCGGCAAAAGGTTTTGAAGCCCTCAGACGCGGTGCAAAGGGCAATGACTTGTCTTTAACGTTAGGTCTTCCTATCATTCAACCGAGTCTGGATGTGACGGACAGCGCCCGCAAGAAAGCTGATGAGATCTTCGATAAAGAGCAACAGTTTATGGTCGAGGAAGCCATCCGACCGCCTGATGGAGAGCCTCAGCTGTACTTGAATGAACATGGGTAAGTGAACGGCTGCAATCGAAGTAGTATTGCACTAACCCAACGTGTCCTTGCAGGTTCTACACGCAAAATCCCGTCGTCAATAATGGTGATTCTAGTCCATTCGTATTAGACTTACCTTCTTCACAGAATACGTTCGCGCATTCCTCTCCTTTGTTGAATTCGGTGCTCAAGTCAAAACACCGTGCGCCGCTCGGGACCATAGACCTTGCAGACGATCTGGACGAGCCGCAAGCCTCTCGCCTAGGACGCCTGAAGAGGAGAACACGTACACCTGATTTGGATGAGACTTTCAACGAAAGTGGTTACCGATCAAGTCCTTCTCCAAGTCCAAAACGACCCAAGGATGCGTTCAACGTCTTGATGCAAAGGCGACCAAAGCTCCCTAAGAATAAGCTGGAAAAGTCTGCCTTCATTGAGGGTGAAGCGGAAGAGTCTGACGAGGATGCGATGTTTGGCTTTGGAGGACCCAAGCTGAAGGCTGACGATGATGAGGAAGATGGAGAGGATCAAGATGCGACTCTTGAAGAATTGATGGACGATAAAGCTATGGATGCTGACACCTTGAATGAGGATAAGGTCCTGGAAAAAGTGAAGTAAGAATATCTTCGTTCATCCTTCGTAGATGCTTTCCCTGACTTGCATCTTCGCAGAGAGCACCAAGAATTGGACGACGCTGAGCTTGAGAGGATTCACCGAGAGGCCGTGGAGGGAAAACTTCGAGCCAAACGTCGCGATAGGGGCGTTGGATTCGAAGACAGCGATAGCGATGACGAGAATGATGAAAACGCGAGGAGGCGTAAAAGGATGGCGAAGAAACGTAGGTTGGATGGTGGTGACAGTTTGGATCAATTGGGTAGGTGTCGCACCAAGGTTGACCTTAGTGGCGTGACCTGACTGTTCTCTGCAGCAAAGGACAAGGAAACTCAAGCTTTCGTTGCGAGTTACAATGCTGGTTTACCAGATGATGATCTCCAAGACTTCGCTCATCTTCAGTATGATGATGGGTCAGTTACTTTACCTGTGGACACTAGGGATGAAGATGAAGGTTCGGACGATGAGGAAAATCATCAACCAGACATAGTGTCCACGAGAGATTTGCAGGCCGAGCTACGGCAAGCTGCACGAGGAGAGATGGTGAGTCCTGCGCACATACATTACATTGTTAACTAATACCTTTTCAGAGCCACAACACTGTCGATCCAGAGGACCTCAGTTGGCTCGAGAACGACCAAGACATGGATGTTGAGGAAGAGCCTATTCGTATCAAGGAAGTCGCCCATACAAATAGGCAATCATCTGCGAAACAGTCAAACAACGACCAATTCGACTATGCCTCAGATGTCCGGGTTAGTATTGTTACTCTCTTCCAATTCAGATATCATACTCACCACGATAACAGTTTACAAAACCATCTGGCGGTTTGACGCAACATACCAAGTGGGCCAGCAAGGCTCGTGCTGAAGGTCTCAATGGGACGGGACGTGCGTCAGCGATTACTGGGCATGCGGTACCGAAGTCAAAAGCAGGTGGTTCTATCCTTGGACGCCATTCGGGTCCTTCAAATAGTCGAACCGGAAAGCAGCCAGCGAAGGTGACGAAGAGTTCGAGCGCATTGTCTGTGGTTTCCAGTCGGCGAGAACGTTTTGGGAGTTAGCTATATGCGGCTACGGCTACGTGATTGGCTCACTCTATGTACGCGGAAAGTCTGGAGTATGCTTCCTCATCTCTATCGCATTTCTCTTCGTTGTATGCAATGCTTTCTATGTCATATGTCGTATGTATCTTGTTTTGTAGCATTGTTTTGCATGTAGCGGTCCTTTGTAAAGTAGCCCTTAGGATTCAAATTAACGGAGTTCGGATGTGATATGTCGAAAGTGGCCCCCGCACGCGTGAGTGTTCACGATCACCTGCGACAATCAAATCCTCGTTCTCGATCTCCCTTGTAGTGTTTCAAGCCTTTACATTCACAACGCCATGGCTTCGTCAAAACAATCGACGTCCACAGCTATCTCTCAGATGAAGAGTTTGTTTCGGCAATTCTTGCGTATCACCACCTCAGATGGACGAATCTTCTTGGGCACTTTTACCGGAACCGACAAACATCTAAACATACTACTTGCCAATGCCGAAGAGTTTCGCTTCGCTCCTCCTGAAGAGATCAATCCTGCAGGTAGATTTGTAGGGCTCATCATGGTTCCCAAACGGTTGATTGTGAAGGTGGAAGCACCTGAGGGTGCAGTGGCAAGTGATGTGGGAGCTAGTGACCAGGACGATGCCATGTATACATAGCTGTTCAATGGCCAGGTGAGTGTACTTATAGTGAATAGTTGTAGACAAATATGCATTGACAGGATCAGCCAGATTTTTTTTGTTTGGGAAAATTGATTTGTGACAACAATGTCCATGTCCCGTATCACACGTCGGCTCTTCGACCTTTCTCCGGCACGAGACCGATTTCTTCGGTTGCGAAAACAGCAACCGAGGAAGAGCGGCGCAGAAGGTTGATAGCGTAGGGGCGACACAGAGGATCAAGCAACTCGGGGGTATAGTGAGGGAATTGTCTCTTGGTTAAGCCAATTAGACGAGGATGGTACAACGAGACAACTGTACATTCGCTAGTTTCTATAGGAAAGTCAGGGAGGGGCATCGGGAGGGCATTATATATAACATAAACAAGGGTGGGGAGCGCATTAAAGATCGTCACTGAAGAAGACCGTGGTGGAACAAAGCAAGAAGTACGATAACTTTAGGGTATCAAAGCCGAACCACGAGTATATTTCCTTCCATAAGCGATCTCAGTCAATAGTAGTGCTTTCCGAGAGCTCGGTGAAATCGTCCCCAGGTCGCGTTGCGATGTGGTCGGGAGGGTGAGACGTGAAATGTCAAGGCTGCTTGACGGGCATGGCTAACGCTACATCGTCGTTTGGTATTTGCTTGGTTTATCTACACGCGACGCGACGTTGGTTGGGAGAACTCGGGAAAGAAGGCACGAGAGAGGTTCACCTTATGTCGCAACATGATAAGCTTCGCCATGCAGGCTGGCGGGCCAGATTCTCGAATGGGGTTTCCTATTGATGACGGAACACGTTCAAAGTAGCACTTGGACAAGAACTAAGTGACCTTACGCGATGCAACCAACGCCAGACCAGCCTCGTGAGCATCGAGGAGTTCATCCCCAGCCATAGAGGCCCAGACTGACGGGAAGAGAAGGCAGCATAGTAGGAGGGCGGCGAAGAGAGAAACGAGAAGCATAATGAGCATCATGCTCCCAGAGCAGAGGGGCCGCAACTGCGCGCGGGAGGACGCTAGAGAACGACAAGGGCCAAAAGAGTGACGAGGAGGACGGGGCTCAATTTATGTCCAACTCGCGAACCGCCCTCGCCATCAACATCCATACTTCCTATGTCGCTGACTAAGCAATCGCCCCCGCGTCTCGAAACCGTCCAACAGATCTCGGCAGTCACTTTTATTCTCACAGACAATACGTTACAGTACACTCTAGTAGCACCGAGGTGCTTTCGTGAAGGCCCCATGGCCCCCATATTTTTACAATTTTACCAGTCAGGATCGTCGCTGTCTTCTTCCCAAATGAAGAAACAAAACCACACCAGAGCTTGATGATCAATGATGAGCCGTCCCGACTATATGATCGACGATGCGACAAGGTCACGCCATGCGGACTCGAGCAAAAGTACAAAGGCCTGCCCTTCCGGGCTGTGAACGCCAGGGGCAGACGGGGTGTTGAACGTCAGCGGGTCTACGGTATTGAGCAACCAGCCATCCGAATCGAGACTCTGCTGAATGAGCTGGAACGCCCTCGTTGCAGGTAAGACGTGGGAGAAATCACGGGTGATGGAAGCCAACCTGAAAGTCGCAGCTGCTAAAAGAGCCGTGGAGGATGAATCTGCGAATGAACGGGGGTCATCCAATACATTCAGAAGTGTGCCGTTTGTTTGCTGAGATGAATAAATGTTAACACAAGATCTAAGGAACCTTTCATGGGATTGACTTGCCTGGTGCTTCCATGCTGAGCCCACAATCTCGTCAATCCACAATGTGAGATTGCCTTTCTGTGCTTCAAATTGAGACGAAACCCTAGAGTGCCGTATGGTCTCCAGTACTCTCAGCATCCCTGCAGCAGCCCACGCATTGCCTGCACAACAACTGAGTATGCCTGGTGGTCAGTGAAAGGTGCGACGACTTACCTGTGCCCCAATGCGTCAAGTCCTGTTCGCCAGACCCGAGGACAATATGCTTCCACAAGCCTGCGTCCGCGTCCCTTAGGATATCTCGATACAACCGACACTGGTCATAGGCTTCCTGTAATAGATCAATGGATTGTGACGTGTCCCCTGTAGATAATGCACCGTAGTAGGCTATGAAGGGAGGCGCCATATATACGAAATCCGCCCTGGCATTCTAGTCAATTTCAGTTGAGCGAAATAAGACTGATATCCACATACCAGAGTTGAACTTGGTCTTCTCGATGTGATATTGCACCATTTGCATTGCGAGGAGCGACATAGAGCAGATGGTTAAGCTGCTGACTGGCGGCAACGGAGAAAGAAGAATCCGAAAGATTTGTCCTCGTCCAATTGGCAAGCAACACAGCGACTCCAAGACCTATGTTCCAAGTCCATCGGCTCAATCTGCAACTCGAGATCGATGTTAAGTTGAGACACTTACTAGCTGGATCCCCCACCGCTCCATCACCGTCTACTAACACCTTGCTATCCACCGGTAAAGCCCTCACTATGCTAGTGATTGAAACGATTGATATAAGATGAGCCAGCCATTATCACCGAAAAGGACAAAGTTGAAACGAACTTTGTCGCTATATTAATCACATCTGAAGCTGAAGCATTTAGACGATCATCTAAACGTGTCGGGGGAGGGAGAGTGAAGGGACTGAAGACCGACAAAGACGATGCGTTAAGTTCCGTTAAGGCCTGAGCAGCAGTTCCCAATTCCCAGCTTCAACAGAGTTTTAGTAACGCAAAACAAACGGTGTGTAGACATTCGAGAGTTCGAACCTGTGAGTGGCAATCTGTAGCAAGTTTGACCTGACTTTGATGGCGGTATGTTCGCTGAGGCCGGGAAGGGCAGGCAGAACGTTGGCTGAGGAGAAGGTAGCAAGCAGTAGGACAGCGAGAGTATATGCGGGGAGCATCTTCAAGAGAAGGGCTTGCGGAAGAAGGCAGCAAGAGCATCTCATCTATCCGCATGTTATATAGGGCTGCGGGGCTAGGTAGACCAAGAGACTATATTAATCAAAGGCCGAACAATGTCATAGAGAAGCAATAAAGCGGCATGATGATGAATCACAAGACGATAACTGCACACACGTTTCTTCAGGTTCCAACACCTTCCGATCGTACCAATCTGGAAGTGAGGGAACTTGGAGAAAAGCTACGACGAATAGAAAGCATGGAATCAAGAGCACCAAACAAGGTGGAGAACCATTTGCCACCGCATGGCATTGCGGCCGTATGGCAAGGACAGAAGTCCGACCTATCCAAACGAAGTGGGAGGCCTTCTATCTCCATACCTAGAGCCTGTCCGCCGCCGTCAGACAAAGGGTGCCTGCATCTTCCCAACAGGTGGTCACTGATTAACACGAAGACAGGATACATGTGCCCTGAAATGCGTCGTGCCGGCATTAATCCTGAGTAGCACTTGGCGAAGGCCAGATCTCAGGAATACGGCAGGAAGAACGATCGGCGCTCCATGAGAGTTGATATAGATGTACGACCATCGCATCATTCTGGAAGCCTCGATGTAGTTCCAGTTGAAGTAGACTCAACAGAAGAGAATGAAGACGGTGCAATAGAAGTGGTAAGTAGTCGAAAGCACAATGTCTAAATTTCAGCAGACAAGGACGGGACCAAACACGGATCAACAACAAAGGGAGGTCGCCACAGCGTCTACGAACTTGCACTCATTCACGCAACATTCACGTTCTCCGAAGCTTTCCTCTCATCACCACTGGCATCAGCCATGGACGTCGTCAAGACCGTCCAAAATTGTATCTTAACTTGGGACAAAGGAGGCTCGACGCAATGGTCGGTCTATTTGAAGTATTTGCTCTTTCATTCACTGGATTGACGACTCTTTGCAGTTTGTCCATTGTAACGTCCCCTCATTCAAATCCTGCCGACTCCGAAGCCACCGACATCTTAACAACGACATATCAAGCTCTGTTGACATCGACGCTGAAGACTTGGCCTACCAATGCGTCATTGTCACTAGATACTTTCGTCCAGTTCGTGCAGTCGGTGCTCGAACGCCTCCCCTCGTCCTCCGCCAATAACCAATCCTCTAATGCAACTCTTTTCGGCGAGCTACTTGTGGACTTGATATGGTCTCTTGACGCAGAGTTGGAAGACGTACTCTCCGATGCACGCCTCGCTGCAAATGCGGAGCAGGGCCAAAGCCCCACTGTGGCGGATGATAAAGACGACAAGGCGGCCGCTGAGCATGCGGCGCGATTGGCGAAAATAATGAAAGCGAAGGAGAATGCGGAGTCTGACAAGGAAACCTTGACGATTATCGTTAAGAAATTGCTCGTACGTGGACATGACTGTTCGAACTGTTCATATCCCTCACATTCTACAAAGTCGGTCGGCGTTCTGGATTCTGACGTCTGTCGGGAGCGACTGGACACAACCTTGATTGCCAATGCTGGACTGATTCCAGACAAGCTGACCTTTGAGAAGAAGGAAATTCGCACTCGAACTGGTCTCTTGTATGTCCCTGTCGCTCCCCTCTTCTTTGTAATAATTTCTCAAATCGTGCTCCCCTGGATATAGCTACAAGCAGAACAAGTTCAACCTTTTGCGAGAGCAATCGGAAGGGTTCAGCAAGTTGACTACCGAGATAACTAGCAGTTTGGGCCCTCCCCACTCACCCGCCACAGGTCTACCGGTGGAGCCCGCGGCCGCTATCGATGCGCGCGCAGCTGCCGCTTGGGACCGAGTTTTGCGACTCATTGGGTATTTCGACCTTGATCCCAATCGAGCCCTGGACGTCATGCTGGACGTTTTCTCAGTTCATCTAGCAACTCATTACCGATTCTTCCTCTCTTTCCTCTTATCCTCTCCGTGGTCGTCCCGCTCGACCAGGCAACCTTCGAAGGACAAGATGGCTATTGAGCCGGACCCCGAGCAGTACAGAGACATGACTCTCGACGAGGTACTGCAACTTGCAGAATTGCAGTCAGGGTACATTGCCCCTTCATCACCATTCTCTCCAAATGGAAGCAATTCCAGAGTTTTAGCACAGGTGCTGGGCTTCAAGTTTACCTACTACCAGGTTTATATCAAAATTACCCTCCATAAAACCTATATACAAAGCTCACATGACCCTTTAGTCTCCGGAAGTTTTGGAACGCACGCCGAAGAACTTATACTTAATGGCTGGATTGCTGATACGGGAGGGGTTCATAACACTTGAGGACCTGTATTCGCATGTGAGTATCGTTTGTTGGGCTCTTCGCTCACTCGAGCTAATATAATATGTGACTCTTTTAGATCACTCCGACCGAAGCAGGAATGAATGACCTACACAAGAAGTATCTCGCTTCAGTTGACAAGCGCATCTCCGATGCGAAGGTCAGCCAGCTTGCAATGGCGGCCCCTCTGGAGTCAAGCGGTAATTCAAAGATACGACCCTCGCCATCAAATGAAGCTAAGAAGGCTTCGGAACCCAAAGAGATCCCAAACCAGAAACTTGGACTCTTGAACGCTCTCTTCTCTCTTGGGGCTTTGAGGCCTGCGATTGCTTTGCTATCGAAATTCCCCTGGATGGTCGATGCACATCCAGAGGTTGCCGATTTGGTGTTGCGCGTTGTGAAACATTCCATGCAATCTTTGTACGACACGACCGTCGGTACCAAGAACGGCTTGTCCAGCTTTACACAACCTCGTGCCCGATACGGCGCATCTGGTGTGGTTTCAGCGCCCGAACGAAGACCACAATTGACCTTGTGGGCTCCCACTCCTCCGAGCACGAGCACAGTTGACTTCACATTCTTCTTCCCTGACTGGACTGATCGAGTTCCTATCTCCTCAAGTTTGAGAGATCTTGTGGACGTGGTCGAACCGCTTCTGAGGTTCATTGGACTGCATATCTCGCGTGACCCTCAGTTCCTCGCCAAGTTTCTGCGGCTTGCACGAGTAGATCTTTTGACCACGGTAAGTCTCCTTCGCAAAGATCTGAACATTGTATGTACTCAGGCTTACGCTCTTTCTCGCATAGGTCGAATTTGATCCCGAGACCAGGAGACCCATTGGTGTTCCTGATCCTGAGCATCCCATCCGACTCTTTTGGTACAAGGTTCTGCGGCTCTATCTATTGCCTGCATTGCCGCTTATCCGAGGGAATGCCGTCTGCACGGTCGAGGTTTGGAATGTCCTTCGACTATATGAGACGACGCAGCGCTGGCGCCTATACGGTGAATGGAAGAATAGCACCTTCAAGTCTCACCCTGAACTTCGAGTACGGCAAGTTCAGGCAGATCGAGAATCCAAAGGTATTCTTCGTCGCTTGTCTCATAACACTATCGACTCTTTGTCTGGTACTGTTGCCAAACTTGCGCACTCGAATCCCTGCATCTTCTTTGCTAACGCCGTCCATCAAATAATGGCGTACGACAACCTTGGAAGTGTCATCGTTCACGCACTTAACTATGTTACTATCATGGGATTCGACGTGCTCTTGTTCATCGTTTTGGATGCTCTGGCAAATCCTAACAAGGATCGGGTGAAAGATGACGGTGTTAACACCTCGGACTGGCTTCAGAGTAAGCATGACACCTTGTATATTGCACTCTAATACTGAAACTCGGTGCTTCACAGGCCTAGCATCCTTCACGGGCATGCTATTCCGAAGGTACAGCGCGGATCTCAATCCAGTCCTGACCTATATTGTACACCAGCTTTACAACGGCCAGACTACGGAACTTCTCGTCCTCAAGGAGTTAATTTGGAAGATGGCTGGCATTGAGCCCCTGCCCACTTTGAACAACTCGCAGATTCTGGCCATGGCTGGTGGACCTAATCTCCGCATCGAAGCAGTCGCATCGACTACCAGAGGCGCGAGACTCGACCCCGGCGATGCGCATTATAAGGGACCACAGAGATTGGGGAGGGCACTCCTGGAGTCGTCACTTGCTCTACCGTTGCTCATACAGGTAGCCCAGCAAAGACAGTCCTGTGTTTTTAAAGCTGCGAATGTCCATTTGAAAGCTCTTGCAAGTCTCTTCGATACCGTGAGTCAAAGTCGTCTCTCTCTCGTCAATTGTGTTATATTTATACTATATTCAGACGCACGGTGTCCTATTACAATTCTTGGAGCTCTTGAATTCCCCCGCAGTGGTTTCGCCTCAAGATTACGCGCAGAAGATCGTACCACCTTTGACTGAACTCAACAAGACATACGGAATCTCTGCTCCCATTTGCATGCAGATCTACAGACCAATCCTTCATAACAAGCTTTTGGTATGACTATTGCCCCTTTGACGTGTAGATGAAGTAATCTAATGATTATGCTGGACATAGACTGCGGCTCTGGAGGCACAAGACAAGGAACGTATCGCAAGCGAGGAGGCTGAAAAGCGACTCAAGGCAACTTTGACCGCCAAACGCGAGCCCGGCTCCGCAAACTCTCGTATCCCTTCTCCTGCCGCTGGCGAGGCTTCTACACCCGGCGAGGCACCATCAGCACAGAACAGGAATGGTGTAGTCGTAGAGAACAACAACTCGGCCGATGGCGTGCCAATGGAAATAATCGAGGTCCCTCAGAACAACTCTCCAGGCGAAGAGGTACGTTGCCTTTGTCCACAATTTCGCCTTCCGTATCTCACACCCAAACGTAGAGCCCGTGGTTGCCTGAACTTTATCCTCTATTTGACGATATCAAAAAGATCGCGCCTGGTAATGCGGCGGATGTTATAGGGTAAGTTTCTTTCAGTGGCAAGCGAAGATACTGTATTGACAGGGTGTACAGTCCGGGCTTCTACTTGACCTTCTGGCAAATGTCAACGTATGACATCTCTCCCCCTTCTGAGCGGTATCAAGACGAGTCCCTGCAGCTACGAGACCTCAGTCATAAAGAGGATATGGCTTATCTCGCAGCAGACCGTTCGTCTGATAGGGCTAAACGACTCATGGCGAGTAACCACAGAGAAAGGCGTAACCGCATCAACACTGTTGTTGCTGCTCTCTCGGAAGAGGCAAAACAACAGACCGTATCTCGCATGTTCACTATCAAACGATTGGCTCGAGAGAAGAGTCACTGGTTCGCACATGGTCAGTAGACTTGAACTGATGCTCTCCTACGTTTTCTTAATCTAACGTCCAATAGGACCTCGAGCTCATGTTCTGGCAACTTCGGTCATTGAGCATTGCCTTCAACCACGATGTCTACTCTCACCCATGGATGCCGATTATTGCTCTCAAATGATCAAAGTTATCCACTTACAGGGCACACCAGGCTTCTCCACGTTGATGTGTTATGATAAGGTACGCTTGATTTGTATGTGTGCTCATCCACAGTCGTCTAATTTATGTCTGTTCAGCTTCTTGGTGAACATGTAAAAGTTGTTATCTTCTCTTGCAGTGAATACGAAGCGCACAACTACGGTAGGAAATATTTGATTGTTCTAATGCAACGGTGTCTGACTTTCACACAGGCCGTTTCCTGCATGGTATCTTGACGGATGTTTTGAAGTGGTACAAGGACGAGCAGCTGTTCATGCAAGACAATCGAACCAAGATTGGAGGAAAGCCTACATACCTGCCGGGCTTCCAAATGAAGTGGACTACGAAGAGTGTCGTTTCGATAGAGGATATAATCAAATGGGCGGATTTCAAGACATTGGTCAAGAAGTGGCATCGCAAGCTCGCCAGAGTACGTGTTTCTTTTCTATTTTCGCTATCAATTGTGGCCTGACCTTGTCTTTAGAACCTCCTGGATTGCATTGAAACGGGAGAATTCATGCACGTGTACAACGCGTTCATTGTGCTAAAGGAGATTCTTGATGTCTTCCCCAAAGCCGACGTCAATGAGATGACTGGCAGCTCTCTCGATATCGCAATCGACCGATTCTTGGAGAAAGAAAAGCGTGGAGATCTCAAGATTCTCGGCAAATCGTAAGTTGGCTCTGAAGGTACAGATGTTATGTATAATCCTGACACCATCGCGGCAGGTATTCCGCCAGTTTGAAAGCGAAGGAAAGCGACTGGAAGGCCCCCGTCAATGCGAAGGTTTGTCTTAAAATTGTTTCTTACTAAATGTTGGATGCTAAACTATAACAGATCGCTACACCCACTCCAACTGTCAAGCCTACACCTACTGCACCTGCTGCACACGAAAGGCCCAAACCTAATGGTCTACCTCCTGCTCCGGCGACACAGACAGAGGCACGTCGTGCCGGTGCAGCGCCATCTACTGCACCTTCTGCACCAAGGGCGCAACTTGCTGCACAGCCAAGTGATAGATCTACGTTATCAACGAAGGCTGCTATGGAAAGGTAAGCTCCCGGTGAAGGCCTCAAGTTGTCTTTACTAATCAATACACCTAGCATCCCGCGACCCGAAGTGGTGAAAAGAGTGAGGCCGGAAGCCAGGACACCTGATGGCATGAAGAACGGAGGGGAAACAGTTGCCTCCCCAAAACCAGACGCCATGGTCGTGGACTCTGTGGCTGCTCGCAGTAGTGCTGGGATTGCGCCTGTTCGTCCCTCAAGTCCTTCCACTTTACCACCACTTCCAAAAGATATCGCCATGCTCAGAGAAGCATCGCGGCCGTCAACGCCCAGTTCACTGTCTGGGCGTTCGCCGGCCAGTCTTGCACAGGCTGCTCAAACTATGCCTCCGCCGTCCATTCCTAGTCAGACTACTTCGGCACAAGAATTGCGAGAAACTGCACGACAAACTAGACCATCTACGGACAAGGAGGAAAAGACGTTACGATCTGTGCCTGAAGGTCGTGGCCAAGTCGCTCAGCCTTCTCCTTCATTGCCGCCTTCCCAGCGTCGCAGTCCCTCGCCGACTAGTCGACCAGGCACTAGGAACCATAGTGCTGAGAGTCGAGCCAGCGGAGGGCGGGCTCGTGAGAGTACTCGTGGATCTGCCGAGGGTGAGGATAGGCGCACCGAGCGTGAAGGTCGAATTGACACCCGACGCGATCATCGTGGGGAACGCAGCGGACGTGCTGCTGCTCGGGAATCCGACAGAGAGAAAGATCTGGACAGAGACCGTGAGCGCCGCGACAGGCATGGCGACAGAGAAAGACGTGACAGGGATAGAGAGCGAGATAGAGACAAAGAGCGAGAACGCGATAGAGACGTCAGAGATAGAGAACGTGATAGAGAACGCGACCGGGATCGCGACCGAGACCGACATCGCAGGGACGACAAGGACCGGGAACGCAAGGATCGTGATGTCACAAGTCGAGGCCCTGCACCTGCGACTGCTCCTGCAATTCCTTCCGACGATCGTGGACTACCCAGTCGTCCGGATGTCTCGAGACATCGTGGCCAGCATGGGGAGGATACTTTAGGCAAGAGGAGAAGACCTACTGATGATGACGTACGTGCTCGAGAAAAATCCATCTGTATACTTAAACTGATCGCATTGCTAGCAGTCCGACAGGGCATCGAAGCGTCCGTCCCGCAAAGAAAGTCATCATGAGGACAGGAGCAGACGGGCTATAGACAAAGATGGACATGACAGGCCATCGGACAGGAGAAGGAAAGACCGTGAGCCTCCTGAGGGCGAAAGCAGAGCGCTATCCATTGACACAAAGGTATGTGTAACTTTTGGAATTCTTGATGCTGTAGCAGCCTGCTTAACTTATTTTCTAGATGCCTGAGAAGCGTATCCCTGAAGGCCCTGCATCCGCAAGGGCTCTGCCACCGACGACGCCTTCTGCACCTCGTGCAATGTCATCTGGCGACCTTTCTCGAGGGCCAAAGTCGGATGCTCCTGGCCGTGAGCGAGAATGGAGACAGCGTGACCAGCCTCCCCGATCTCCGGAAAGCCTTATGAATGCACCTACTGCGCCTCCCTCTTCCGAACCAGGAGGTAGCCTGCGATCACGGATTAGTGACAAGGAACCTTCTCGGTCACTACAACCGGCACCTTCCAGCTACCGAGCTGAGAATGGCGAGCGTGGTAAACCTGATTTAGGGAACAAAGATGACGACCGAGACGGTGGCAAGAAGCGCACCTTGTCAGGTAAGTAAATTCAATGCATCCTGTGAATATGAATATTGATTCGTCATTAGATCGTGAGCGAGATGTACCTGACGCCTTCGCGAATGTCCCCGATATCGTAATACCTCCAAAGCGTCCCAAGATCAACCGCAATCGCTACGTTTCACAGGGTGCTTCAGGCAATGCGCATGGTCTTGCCAAGAAGTTACTACCCATTGATACTGAGAAGGCTCGTTTAGGTCGAAAAGACTGATTGCATTGCTGTCCACGGCATCCCTATTCTGTCCTGTCAATCTATTTGCTTTCGTCGTATATAGCAGCATCGTAATGGATTTGTACTTCTACCTTGCAGCGTGCTATTAATTTGATTTGAATGGGAATACAAGTACTTATTACAGCGTAGCCAAGCTCTAGCAGCCATGGCAAAAGCCGAAGGAAGGTTAATTACCGCTTAATGAGTGTCAAAAACTCTTCACGAGTCTTTTGTTGTGTTCGGAAACAGCCCAGCATGCACGATGTGACCGTAATGGAACCAGGTTTTTGCACCCCACGCATGGTCATACAAAGATGACTGTAAACAAACTTAGTGCAGTCTGATGCCGGTGAATAGGATATAGACCTACGTTGCCTCCATAACTACCGCCACTCCGCGGGGTTTAATCGCTTCTTGAACAGCAAGCGCGATCTGTTTGGTGAGACGTTCCTGCACTTGTAAACGTCGACCGAATGTTTCGGCTATTCTAGCCAGCTTTGACAGCCCGAGGACCAGTTTGTTAGGTATATAGGCTATCGCTATCTAGGGAATGGATCATCCGTCACTGAGAATCATATGAAAGGCGCTCCAGGAACTCACTTTTCCTGTGAATGGAACAAGGTGGTGCTCGCACAAGCTTGAGATGTCTATATCGCGAACAATGACCATTTCGTCGTGATCTTCTGCGAAAACGGCATCGTTTATGATGTCTGCCCGCACCAATGATTGAGAGCAGTCAAAGCGAGCATACACCATCTATGGTACCTGCGAGACGTTCTTCGTACCCACGAGTCATCCACATGAGTGCTTGTGCGTAGCGTTCTGGGGTACGAAGGAGACCCTCTCTGTCTGGGTCTTCGCCGATGCAATCGAGGATTGTCCGAACCGCAGAAGCAAGTTTCTGTTCCCGAGCTGCCCGTTCTTCTGGTGTGGCATTCAGCCGTGAGACGGTGGATTTAGCTAACGACAACCGTCGTCAGGAGAATACAATGTAAAGAGACGAGAATGGAAGACTCACCAGGCCATCCGAGACCGTTAGGGTCAGGCAAAGGGCTATTCATGCCTACTTGCACGGAAGAGATGACCGGTGTGGAGATACCAGAAGCAGGCCGAAAGCCGTACCCTTCACGAACATGAGAATTCCGCGCCAGACGAGAACTACCTACTGAAGACGCTTGCGGATCGTTGGGTGCATGTTCAGTGTCAAAGCCTCGTGCAGGCGACAGGTTGTCTGCAGCGGTTCTATCCGATGATTCGGACGCTTCTGCCTCTTCCTTGAGTTGAAGCTTGCGCAAACTGTGCGAGAGCATCGCACCATGGGTAGCATCGTCTGTTAAACGATGGGACATGGTGAGTAGAGACCCAAACGAGTTTTCAACGAATCTCTTGAATATTTTGCATATGGGCGCCTTGTGGCGCTGAAAGTTTGCTAGCACGTGGAGAGGGAGGAAAATCCAGAAAAGGCAAGGTAAATGAACATGGTGCCAGGATTCCTATTTCCCTCCTCTTTGTCTCCGCATCAGGACAGTTGAAAGGGGATGTGGCTGACATATACATGGGCCATCATATCCATTGACATCTATTCCACTCATTATTGTCTTTCATAGTTCGCGCGCCAGTGTCGTAGGGCCCCGGATCCGATACACTTTCTTGCCAATTTCGTTCTAAGTAAACACAGGCTCGCAGCTGATGAATTTGCTCTTTCTGGTACAGACCTCCCAAAAACTCCATTCCCGCCCATCCGACCCTCCTGACGAAATTTCGGATCTCATCTTACGGAAGGACAGGAGAACAAAAAGCTGCCTGACATGGAATGCGGCTCTGTCTTTTCCCCGACTTCTTAAACAGCCCCTGTGCGAACATGTCCCTCTCTCTATTGTTCTTACATGATGAGCCTGAAGCCTATCCACTGCTATTGGCAGGATCTCTTGCTACCCTTCGCTGAGTGGTCTTATCGTGGTCTTCGCGACTCTTCGTCCAAACGCATCCTAGCTCACCCAGGTTCCTCGCGCTCAATATACGACGTTTGGCTAGATTCAACCACAATCCCTGGTGACTCTATGGGCCGCCTTTTACCTGGCGCTCATCGCTCACTCACTAATAAAAACCTAAAGCTCTCCTTAGAGATTGCCAGTAAATGCATACTCGAATTCTGTGGGTTGATATGGAGTCTGCACCCTTACAGACTGCTTGCCATGATTTCCTCTAATATCTTCCGCGGTATTCTTCCTGCCTTTAGAGGTTATTCTCAGGCAATGATCATTGATGAGGTCGGTGCTGGTGTCTGTTTGTTAATATCTTCTAACAGCATGGCAGATACAATGCCTTTTCTCATCCGGAGACTTTACGTTGACCCGCCTGTTCCACCTGCTGGCATTCGAGATTATTCGAATGGGGTCCGAGAGCGTCCTGGACACACTTGCGTAAGCGACATCAACCGTACATTTGTAATACTTCTCACATCATTACCACAGGACAAACAATGAGCAGACGTTGAACAACTCTATACGCTTTGTGATGGAACACAAGCAAATGGAGCAACGCTTACGCATGGATATTCCAACCATGGAAGATCCTGTGACTCGAGACCTATTCCAGGAAGCAGACCTTTTCGTCCGGTCGTTCAATGGCATGTCTAGCTTTGGATTACTGTCGCCATTCGACGTGATTCGCCTGTTGACTTTGTTCTCGGAGCTTGTTTCTCACATCGTCATCCTATATTCCTTAACACTCAATGACACCCCTGTGTTGCTCTCGACCATTTCTATACTCTCTACGCTCTATCCGCTCCTCATCCCATGGCTAATTCCCAGTCGAACGTATTACGATCAAAATCAAAATCCGCGACAAAGTCGGTTGGCAGAAAAACAAGAGCGAATGCGCTCTTTAGCGCAGAGTGATTCCTACCGTCCGGAGGTGATTGTATTCGGACTGGGTCCTTGGATACTGCGCAATTGGGCGGTCGCACGTAGGGCAACGCTCGGGCTTGGACAACCGCAATCAAGAAGTACAACAGGCCCGTTATCAGCACTGCTTACGCCCGTGGATACTACAGGCCTATTTACAGCTTTGCAAAATGTAATGACGCCAGTAATTCCGAACCGCTATATATCTAATGCCCGAGTTTTTATCAGGTCCCATTGGTACTGGCATTACAGGCGTCATCGGTATCTCTTGGGTCTTTCACGTTGTACCGCAGCTCTCTCCAGAGCCTTGTGTATACATCACGCAATTTCTACAACACCGTTCACATGGCATATCAGAGCATATTTTTGTTGGGTGCATTCACGGCTTCTATGCAAATCAAACCTAGCATGCAACCTAAATCAGAGAAAGTTCTACCGTATGTTCACTCACCGAGAGGCATGAAAATTGAAGCTAGGTATGTTCAACATCATTGACTCACGATACACACTGACGGGTCCCTAGGAATATATGTTTCACCTATCCTGGCAGTACAGTGCCTGCCTTAAACAACGTTTCGTTCAGTCTGGAACCAGGTGAAACCCTAGCCGTTGTCGGGTTTAATGGATCCGGTGCGTTAATCTCGTGACTTTCTTTAACCCGAGCTCATTCTAGTCAGGCAAATCCACGTTGGCGAATATCCTTCTACGTGTGTTTGAATTCGGGAGCGGCAACTTGTTTGTCAATGGCTGCGACATACGCAGAGTTGAGCCTGCAGAATATCACGAACACGTTGCAGCCGTTTTTCAGGGCTTCGCCAAGTTTCATGCTTCTGCGAGAGCGAACATTGGCGTGGGTTACGTAGCTGACATACACAAAACCTCAGCAATAGAGAGAGCTGCAGAACTCGCAGATGCTAGACATCTCCTTGATTCCCTTCCGAAGGGTCTAAATACAAATTTGGAAGCGACGCAAGAGGCACGTACACCATTTGGAATTACGTCTCAACATTGTCAATCCTCCAGTCGCCACGGTTTGTCAGGAGGCGAGGTATCATCATACAAGATCTTCTCTTCTTGTGAATCAGCTGACATTGCCTGGATTTCTCTCAGTGGCAACGAATAGCTATCTCTCGTGCATTCATGCGAGCGCGGCGGCCAGAGGTCGAGCTGTTGTTGTTCGATGAACCCGTATGTCGCTTCATGGAAGGCAGAAGTATATATTCCTACTCAACCCTCATCCCAGACCTCATCTCTCGATGCCCATGCTCAAAATCGAGTCTTTGACACAATCGAAGAACTCTCGACTTCACCCTCAGGTGGTCGATGCAAGACAGTGATCTTCATAACGCACCGCCTTTCCACCGCTCGCCGAGCAGACAAAATTGCTATGATGGAAAATGGTGTATGTCTGGCCTGATGGAGTACTCCGTCCGTTTGTGCTGATCATCCTAATTTTCAGTCTATCACTGAATTCGGAAGTCATCAAGAGCTGTTGGAACGCAACGGCTCCTACGCCTCATTATATCGAGCTTCGGTATAAAACGATTCAACACATCCTGTGGACAGGTCAAATTTTGATTTTTTTCAAGACTGTTCACATTGTTTTTTGCTCTATTGTTATATTATGAGTACATTTGGACCTTAGATTAGTACGTAGTAGGATTAGGCTCGTTTAGAGTGGTCGAAATATGTCAAGATTCCATCTTGAAGCAGTGCGTCTACACCGCTGGCACCCCCAGAAAACACAGTCAGATCATCCGGCCTGCCGAATGCACTGACTAGCAGACCAAAATCCTTTGCCCCTTGAACAAGAGACGGTATCTTTCCCTAATTACTTGTTAGTATGCTTCAGATAATATAGTGGCCGAAAGATGCACTGACCAGTAGGTTTCCATCCAGAAGTAAACCAAGCAAATTATTCATCTTGCACCATTCAACCGCCGCGCCTATACTAGACAGCCTATAGTCATGTGCATCAGCAACTGACAGAGCTGTTGAGCTCGGACAGGCGGCATTCGTTTGGCCGTGTTGTGACGCGAAGAAGACCGGATCTAAGTTGGAGCATTAGAAAAGACGAGCGAAACGCGCAAGAGGGCTCCTCACAGTTTGGCTGCTTCCAATTCAGAGCAGAGCAGATATCGGGTGAGAACGAGGTGAAGATGACGTTCCGACGAGCAATTTGTCCTTCCAGTGATGATGTTGCGTACACCGTCCGTAGAACGGCATCAACAACATCGTTGAGCTTTGGTTGATGACCCAAGCCATGGCGTTCTCTGACTCGCGCAGGAGCATAAGCCACCTCAAGACATATGCCTACGGTTGGGGGAAGAGCCTATCAATCTATGAGTAATCTGTGATCGTCATGTAAAGGTTTGACAAACCCTGAGTAACTCTTCAAGCGATGTCATGGAACGGGCGACCGCGACACGGAAGTCGTCCAAGGTTTTACAATGTCCCAGGGGTCCCAGTCGCCTGCCCAATCGCCCTGCTAGAGCCGAGAACTGCGACAATGTAATATCCGCCACGCCCAAGTCATAGTTCCCCTCTGGCAACGACCATTGTGAATAGGTTACAGGATAACCATCCCGTGTAACTTGAACCGTTACATAAAGGTAACTCCCTGTTACAGACGACTGTGTCAAGGAGTGCGCCCCCAGAGGCGTTGTAGGGCGGTTTGAAGGCGAATTCTGAGCGGATGGCAGCCGTCGGGCAGACGGCATAGATCGCGGAGTAACAGTCTTCAGGGCAGGATTTGGGACCGGATTCGCGATAGACTTCCAGTATGTCTCTACGGCACCACCGATTTCGAGCGTTACACCGTTGAAAGGGTTGATGATATTAACCTCAAACGAGACCTAAATACAGATCAGTCGCGGTGCAGACACTTCGAAGCGGAAACGGACAGCATACCTCACCAACTATATGGAGACGATGGTCTAAGATAGGTAGGGTGAATGCTTGACTATTCTGAATTGATGAGAAAAAACAAGGAAGAGCAATCGCACGTCCAATGGTTTTTGTGCCGAAGTTGGGATAGAGAGAGAACTCCAAAGAAAGTGCATCCGCTGATGGAATTTGGAATGTGAAGATGGTTTTTTCCTCTGTTAAGGGTATCGGAATACTGTATGGAGCCGCAGTCACGACAGCCGTTGGCGTCATGACTAGCTTCAACCGTGGAGAAGTATGAAGGTACCGATCGTTGAAAGATGGGCCTCGAAGTGGAAATCGCAGTTGTACAGCAGATGAAGGTTCGGCGGACGCCTCGCCAAACCTGGAGGAGAGATGACCAACGGAAACTTGCACCAACGAATTTCGATCGAGGTAATTATGACCGTAAACGCGATAAGGCATCATCGGAGGGGGAAGTGACAGAGAGGGAATCGCATCAATATCAAATTCCGATCCCGTCGACATTTGAGTATCGGACATGGGGGACGCAAGAGTCGTTGACTGCACCATGTTGACTTTTGCGGCAGCTTCCATGAGTACAGCGACACAGTCTAGGTGTCCGTACCAGGCAGCGTAGTATACAGCAGAATGGCCGACCTCATCTGTCATGTCAATTTGACTTCCAACACTAAGAAGTATCCGAAGACAATCCACATGGCCGTAGCGAGCGGCATGGAAAAGCGGCGTCCATTCGTTGTATTTGTCAGGTACATCCCATCCCTCGCAGACAGTGAGGACGCGACACACTTCAGCATGACCCTCTTGCGCAGCCAGGTGGATAGGATATTCGCCGTTGGTATTGGGGAGGCTGGGAGCATTGTGCTCAAGCAACAGGAGAACAACTTGCAAGTGTCCTGCGCGCGCAGCAAGAGATAAGGGCATGAAATCGCCATTCAAGGTATTACTGGCGGCAGGAACCCTGCCGTCTTCCAGTAGTACCCGAACGCATTCCACAGAGCCTTTCAGGATAGCGTATATGAGTGGGGTGCAATTGTCAAGATCGACGACATCTGCTGGTAATCCGACCTCGATCAGCCTTTGACATACTCTTGTATGGCCGTACATTGCAGCATAATGCAGAGCTGAGCGGCCATATATGTCGACTTTCTCCTTTTGTACGCCGTGCGCAAGGCATAGGTTCACCAGACGCAATGCACCAACAATGGCGGCTTCGTGGAGGCATGTCCTTCCGTTGATGTCGTCAACGAAGGCATAGTTGAATGGACCTGCGGTGGATTCAAGGATTAGGTCTGCAAGCTCCGTTGGCGCATCGATGACCGCCTTCCACAGAATGCGAGTGACATGCATCTTTGCTTCCGGCGATTGAGAAAGAGAATCCGAGTACCGGACAAGATCCCGAAGAGACTTGCTATCGCCATCTGCAATAGCTTTCCTGAGATTACTCTCGAGGTCACGGAAAGGGCCCATCTGAGTAGATCGGTCGATATTTAACTGTTGATTGAGAATTACGTCGTCAGCTGCAGACGTTTCGTATTTCAATCCTGAGCTCAGATCGGTGAGGTCGAGTAGACAAGTCGCAACGGTATCAGACATCTCAGCAATAAGCTGCGGATTTCATCAGACGACAAACAAGGATTTGCAGTTGTTAAGACACACCTGTCTGTTGAATACTGGCTGTACCTCGACTTGCCGGGCGAGATAAAGCTCCTTTGTAGTTGATTTTGAACGCTTATCCCATTTCTTCAGGATCTTGCGGAAGCCGGTTGCGTTCAGCTCGACAAATTGCTACAAAATAAGTGTGGGCGTGGTGAATGCTAGTGATATCAGCAATGTCAGAGAACGCACTTGTAACTTCCCGAGATCTCGCTCGAGGAGTCGAAAACCTTCTGCAACAGCGCTCCATTCGACATGATTCAGAGTTGTATAGTCGTCCAAAGCATCTGGTAAGATGTGCATTGCAGCAGCACGCCGTTTCGATAGCAAAGTCTCAAGGCGCAATGTCAGCTCGGCCTCTTTCTCCAGATAGAATGCATTGATCTGGGGGCGCATATAAGGACTTGTATGAGAGATATACGAAGGAGAAACATACCTTTTCAAGTTCTCGTTCGAGCCTGAAGAAGAAAGTGGCTCTTTGTGCTTGGAAACTTGTTCCCCTGTCCTCATCCTGACCCAAAGATGCAAAGATAGGCGAGCCCCTTTCGGTTATGCCTTGCAATAGGCGGTCAGAGTACTGTCCAGGTTGCACGCCAACACCAAGAGCTGCAGCTTCTGCCGGTGGTCGAGGCGAATTTAGAGATGATATGATCTTCTTGAGAGCCTTGTAGTCCAAGTAATATAGAGACCACCCGGGAACTTGTTCAGCCTGGATATGCTTTCCGAACTAATAGAACGACCAATTAATGAGATCAAAAGAGTCTCTATGGAGGAGATAATCATAAGAACCTTCATAGCGGATTATTGCAGAAGCAGCAGGGTCGATTTACTTCTGCAAACGAGGGTCAACCGACCAGAACGTTTGGATGGCGTGCAGGAAGGTGCCGGGTAGGGTGTGCTTGGATTTCTTCATTGACGAGGAGGAAGAGTCGCCAAAAGTAAATGGTTCAGCCCAGAAATCTAAGAGAACGTTCACGTGCCGCACGCCATGTCCGCCAATCTGAACTCGTTCAGGCAAGACAGGGATCTGATAGTACGAACGTGCGTTGGATACAGGAGCCACGAAGCGTATCGTTCCTGTCGGCTTGCTTCCGTATCTGCTCAAAAAAGTAACATGTCTGTTCGCTATTGTATAACATCCTTAATTTCCGATATTTGCCCGTCAATAAGCACAGAAGCAGCTTTGAAGCAATATTCCTGTGTTTTACAAACAGTACATACTACGTACAGACTACGTATGCTACATACCAAACAATTGCGTAGCTAATCGTAGTGTACGCATGTGCGCCGGGCAAATAAGCTAGCGGTCGTCGATCGAGGGTAATATCTATAACATCGGCACCGAAGCAGCTGAATTGTACTGTAGAGACATTCCGACCGGGTTCCAACCAAAGTTCCAAGCAATTTCAGGCCAGGACTATCAGGGACTATCACACGAGTATTTTCCTAAGCTGCCAGATCCTGGCAGGGAGGAATGTCACAGGACACTTGCCGTTCTTCTCCACATACTCGTGTGCACATCGGTAGCAGAAAACGTATCCAGACGGCAGCGCTGTAGCATTCGAAATTGCGTTGTTGCACAATCCACACTCTCCATACTTTAACTCCTGTATTCGTATTCCTTGAGGGTGTGGTGGAAGCAGGCGAGGGGGTGGGATTGCTGGGCCCAGAGGTGATGTGGATAGCGCTCGAGCAGGCGATGAAGGCGAATACCACCATTCCAGGAATTTGACGAAGAAGATGGCGGTGGGTAGGAGCACCTTGAGACTGTCCAAGAGAAGTCGTGGCGATGATAACAAGAGGTGTCGTAGGGTCGCTAGAATACCGCGACTTTTCTCTATACGCGGCTTCGGTGTCAATACCTGTCCCGCCGCTCTCTTAAATATGATGAGTACCTCAGATAAACGATGGAATATGTGGACAGCAGCGTACCAAGTCCTCGATACCCAACCTACGCAGGTCGACGCCTATCCAAGACAGCCATGGACGGTAATAAGGTGTCTTATCGAAGAGGTAAGCAATGTTGCAGGCAAGCAACCATACTTCGAAAGTGGTGTTCAGCCATGGATAGAGTCTTTTGAATGCCCTCCGGAACTTTCCTCTGAGAGTCTACAGACAAAGTCGGAATGACTTCACAATACATATAGTGGTAGTTTATGCGCACCTCATCACCTAGTGTACTTCGTTGCCTTCTCAATTCGTCGGCTTCAGCAATTTCAGGGTCAAGGCCGCCGCCTAGTTCCTCAAAGTAGTCCTGGGCCTTAGCACGAAGGTATGGGAGGCCTATCTGTGTATAATTAGGATGAGAGATCACGGATTGTGATTCAATAACGCACCAAGAATAACAATGAACGCCAGATTTCTCGATCACGAAGCTTCTCTTCAGGAGGGACTCCCCCAACGGCAGCATTCGCGCGCTCCGTTTCAAAGAGCGGCTTTCTTCTTCGTTTTAATCCATAGAAATTCTCGGCGAAGGACGCTCCTACACAAAGAGCTTCCAGTTCGTGTAGATCAAATACATTGCAGGTTACTCACCATGTGTACGGAGGTAATGTCTCTCTACAAAGAACATGAGAAGGGCATAGAACTCCTCATGTCGATTGACTAATCTCAGGATGTAACGAGGGTATCTCTGAGCGAAAACCTAAGCAAGTGAAAGACTGAGTCGCATTCCAGGTCGTGACTTTCCTAAATTGCCTTACCGACAAGACATACTTCAACGCGGGTTGGAGGAGATCTCTAAGCTGCTCTTGTGCGACAAGTTCAAATAACGAGGGCTTCAGCAGATCCCCTCCAACGTCGTTGAAGAATTCCATCTACAGTAGTTGTATTGTATTCAGCCAGTTGGAAAGTGGTATGGAGGAAACATGATGACGGGCTTTCATAGACTTCAAAGCAATCACAAGCTCCCCAACTAGAAGTCAACAGGCGCTCTATCGCCGAATGTCTTATGCTCACAAATGTGCTGGGTCGTAACGTCTGACTCTGGTCAATAAAATAAATAGCTGCAGTGAAAGGACGTGGTGCGAAGGGTACAAGAACAAAACTATCTCAGGAAGACCGCACGAAAAAGTTCTACCATGATATTGAACCGACCCAGAGCCTAACTCAGACTCGCATTCTCAGATCCACATGAAGGTGATGCTTTGTTGTCCACTACTCGTAGTGTTCTGTCGTTCTCTCCATCTCCAGATGATTTCATCCTCATTCGAAGAGGGCTGCCGCCGTAGTTTGAACGTATGAAAGTTGCTCGGGCGATGAGATTCTTGATCTGTGGACGACACATGAGAAGTGGGCAAATCATAGGTCCAACTTGATTGAAATACCTCTTGTGAACTCGCCAATCCAGTCAAAAAATCTGTGGGCAAGGAAAGCTACAGGAACAGCATTCGGTATTGGATCTTCTTTTTGTTCTGGTTGTTCAGTTGAATGGCGTTCCTTTTCAAGTGCCTGCATGAAAACAGGCCGAAGTATGGGCAGTTTCAGATCGGTTAATCCAGAGTCGAAGACAGCAAGAGAAACAGTAGAGCCGCTGTGGGGAAATCCAGGGTCTAAAGTATTGACAATATGAACTGCGAGCAAGGGCAAAGATCCTCACGAGGTAGCCAACAACGACGACGCGCAAGACAGAGCTTGTGACACCATAGAGAGATATGAGGAGATGCTGTATAGGATATGACAGGGCTGAAGAAGTAGAACGCTAGCGATGGCACGTACGTAGCATCAGGATTGCCAGCCAGGTATGAAGAAAGTTCGCATAGCACCAGCAGAGACGGAACGGCAGCAAAGGTAGTCTTCCGAGTAAATTCCACCTTGTCCGAATCCTGCGCCTGGTGGAACATAGAGAGCAAGAATGCAAGGTGCGCAGGTGTAGGAGGATATCTAAGTATGCAGAGCCATTTAGTCGAAAGAAGTTGAAGTAAATCGTGAACGCACAATATATCAATGTGCCTAGCTAGGCGACTGCATTTACCTTCTCCACCGTGCTGGTTCAGCCAATCGTCGTTGAGCTTCTTCAGAGCAGCAGTGAACTTCGTTCGAGAGGGCAACAACAGAATAGCTCGTTTTGACCCCGACTGCGCGAGGTGCGATAGACAAAGGTGTATTGGTGCGGATGCATGATAGTTGCCCTCCACTATTAGACTTCGGAAAGCCGGAAGAGCAGGCGAAGATGGTGGGAACAGAGTGGCCATGGAGAGAACATGGCCGTTCAAGAGGATGCCAAATTATAGAGAAGCGCCCGCCGTCCTTGCTCTCTAACCACACTCTGGACGTCACCGGCTGTTTCTCATCCTGGACTTACGAGCCTCCTTTTGCTTTGACTTGCATGCCTACATTGCGATAGGGATATTGTGCTTGCTTAGCGGTTTATCATCTCGTTCTAAGACTCGTTCAACATGCATCCATTCGCTTCCTATGTGCTTCGCAGCTATTACCGTAACACCGGTTGGAACGAAGATAATTTATATGCCAATCTAACACGGTCTTCTAATGGTATGTTCATCTCGTGATAATGTCGCTCTTAAGAGTACTAACCTCAGTCAAGCTATCTTGGACTTTACCGTGCCCAGAGGCATACACTTCTCGATATCCAAATCACCCAACCCGTTGTTCAAGACTTCATATTCTATGAATGCTCTCCCCTCACTTAACGGCTCACTGGGATATATATTCACCTCATGCGACCTTGACGTGAAGAATTCGGGAGATGTTCGTATCAAGGATATGATTGACCGCTTTAAAGTCTATGATCAACCTCGTAGACCCGAGGGCAAGGAAGAAGAATGGCTTGCAGGTGAGCGAGTCGATGCTCGCGGTGAGTGTGATATTAACTTCTGCACACGCAACAGTAACCGGAATATGAAATCTTCTAGATTATCTCCTATACGGTCGTCTATACATCCCTACTGGTCGACTGGACGCGCTCTACTCCACGAGATTATCACCTACTGTCCAGGCCATGGTTGCTGCAATATCCGACCCCCGATCATCATTCAGTTCGAGCGAACGATCCAGAGGAAATAACGGATCGAATAGTAACGTTATGTTTAGCCTTCAACACGATACCGGCAAATGGTGTACAGAATATACGTGGAGTGCTGAGGACGGAATGTGGGGTATTCGATGCTTGCACAATTTCGGAAAATTATGGACTCCCGCAGTAGACTTGACCGAGCATTCCGACAAGCACACTTCGAGAAAATTAAAAAGAGTGGACGAAGAGGAGGCTATGGAAGGCGGCCTTAAAGGTCGAATATCTGCTGGTGCTGAGTTTTATCTCAGTGCTAAAGAGAAAAGTGCCGGAGGTATGTACAGATCAATGATACAATTGTGTATACAATGAGTGCTAATTCAACCATGTAGTATCCGCTGGTATCCGCTTCACAACACTTCCCGATGCTACACCTCCCTCATTCCAGGTCCCATCTTCAGCCTCATCACCTATACATTCCAATCCACATTCTTTCTCTCAACCTCCAACGACTATCACTGCCCTCTTCAACCCAATGCTTGGCCATATCTCGGCCGCATATGCTGCAGGAGTGTCCAAAGATCTCTCACTTTGCTCTCGCTTTGACTTCAATGTCTACAGCTATGAGAGCGAATGGACTGTCGGTGCGGAGTGGTGGACGCGTCGCAGCAAAACAAAACCTACCGTAGACACGGATACAGATGATGTGGATCCGTCCTTGCCAACACCAACGCTATTTGCACCAGTGAATCCCTTGGAATGTCGGGATAATGGTGATATTCAAGGTGTAGTGAAAGCAAGAGCTTCAACAACAACTGTGAGCTATATCAATGGTGTATTCAATATTATTCCTGCTGACGGGTTTGTTTGCAAGGATGTTTCACTCATGTGGGAAGGCCGAATAAGAAACCTCCTTGTGAGCTTAGGCATCGTGTCCAACCTGTCGAGTCGTGCAAAACCAATCAAGGCGATAGGCCTCGAGTTATCATACTTTAGCTCAGGCTAAGAAGTGACCAGACTAACTTTTAGTTTATGTATCATGACATATTATATTAATCGGAACAGATACCAATTCACTTTCACACCTCTCGCCTATGTTTATTCAGCGCACGACAACGGAACGATATATTTTACCCGGTGTTACAAGCCAAACATTATAACAAAGTACAGAATTACGCAACGATTGAGCGGGAAGCGGTGAGGGTATCAGAGCAGAACGACAATATCCGGGTACTAACTAGAGACAGACACGAGCAAAGAAAAAAAAATAACCAAAAGACTACAATGAAGCAGAGAGACAATATACGATGGAGAGGAGATGAGAGGGGCAATGATAACCACAGTAAGTCCAGAATTTAAGTTAAAGCAAGCTAGTCTTTGGCAACAACTACAACAGACGGAGGCTCACGACGAGTAGGCCCGCCTAAGGACCTTGCAAGTCGAGAGAGTGCGTCCCCTGTGAGGACTGGTCTCGTCGTATGATGTGCACGCGTGGCCGCGCCAGGACCTGTCGGTGGTGAAGAATGCGTGCGCGCATGATACGCTTGATCACCTCGTCGAGGACGATCAGAGTCTGACAGATAGCCCGGAAAACTCCCTGATGGTGCAGAGAAAGGTTGCTTGTATCGTCCTACTGTCTGAGAACGGCCATGAGCAGGGTAGAAAGGACCTCCTCTTCCCGCTGGTGGTACTTTGTGAGAGCTGATGAGACTGGGTGCCGACGACGTGGAACTAGGCGCATGCATCGACGCTGCGAGACCACGCTCAGGTGAAGGCTCTTTCGACCGCGCATCAGCGGAAGGCGCGTGTATGGACTCCGCCAAACCTCCCTGAGGCCATTTCGAGAGGTCGAGGGATGGGGTTGGTTTGGGCGGAAGCGAGGGATGTAAAGGTGCCTTGGCTGGTGATCCTGAGTCGACAGGCTTTGACACTTGAGAGTCTGCAGCTTCTTGCTCGGTCTGTGCCTCGTGCCTTTCAGTTGTGGACTGAGCATGCTCGGCAACAGAGCTAAGTTCAGGGGTTGCAGCCTTGGCAGAGCTCTGTTCCATCGGAGTCACTACTTCATTATTAGATGTTGTCATCGCAGGAGGAGTGGAGACATCTACATCCGCAATAGTTGGAAGAGGCTTCAAGGTATTCTCCAAGATCGGGGAGATCACAACCGACTTTTCCGCTTCATCCAATGTACCAGTAGACTTTTCAGGCTCAGGTTCCGTGTTAGAAGGAACACCCCAATCATCAAGGTCCGGTAGACTATCATCGTCCTCACCTGCCCAGTCGATGTGACTTCCAGGGGTATTTGGTCTATCCATGGCGACAGCCCTGACACGTTCTACGAGAGCATCGATGTCGTGTTTGATATCAAAATGTGGCGTATCTGGAGGTGCAAGATGGGGAGGAACGTCTTTTGCAGTGACCGGACGAAGACGACTGGGTGCGGATTCGACAGTCAAAGACGCTTTTCTCGCTGGCGCGGCATGAGTCACAGCTATAGATGGGGTCGCTGGTTTATTCTGTGACTGGGATCGTTTGCGACGACCATTCCCTCTCCCACTGATTGCAGCAGAAGGGGCGCTGGGCGGAGGAGCCTTCTTACCCGAGGCAGAGGATGAATCTCCATTAGGCACTCTGCGTGGACCTTTCTGTTCTGAAGGTTTTCGCGATGGCGGTTTTGGCTTTTGCGATGACTTGCTTGAAGCTGTGCTTTGAGTTGGAGAGGTTGAGGGTGGAGGAGCGAGTTGCTTTGACACACTTGTCGGATTAGATGATGGGTTGGATTTCGACTGGTCGGTGTTTGCTTTGGCTGAACTTTGGTCAGCACGAGTGGAAGGAGCTCCACCTCTACCGCTGGATGCTCTACCGCCTCTACCTCCACGACCACCTCCACCTCCACGTCCTGGACGACCTCTGCTTATGCCGCGAAAAGCAGAGCCAGGATCACCGCCCCTTCCCCAACCTCCTCCTCGAGTTGGAGCTGACGAAGCAGCCCACATTGAGGCATTAACGCCATTGGACGTGGAGGGAGGCAATGGGGAGGAGGCCATCGATGTTATACTTGAATAAAATAGTTCTACACGAGATCAACCTAGTTGAAATCCATAAGCCGGTCAAGATCGCGAAATGATGGCAAAAGCGCACAAATCAAATGATGGAGTTCAAACTGGGAGCGATGGAGGGAAGATTGGATTTCAGAAGAGTGAAAATGAGAAGGTAGTTTGTGGGAGCATGCGCTGGGAGGAGAGGAAGATATAGGAGAAATGCAAAGGGAGCGTGGTACAGGACGAGAGGACACTGCAGGTCCACAAGCGGATGATGACAGCCACGTGGGGCGATCCGCCTTTCCGGGCATCTCCTTCCAGTTCTTGGTCCCTGCTTCAGCCACAACATCTCGTCTCACCCTCCAAGGCCTCTCCAACCACCACACACTCTGTAACCATGTCGAAGGCCTCACAACCAGAACTCAAAAAGGTTCGCAGCTCAGTCCCCAGTTGTTACGCCATCTCTCGAGTATTGACCTCGGTGTGCTTATAGTTCATGGACAAGAAATTGTTCATTCATCTTCAAGGTGGTCGCAAGGTCAGCGGCGTCCTCAGAGGCTATGACCTCTTCTTGAACCTGGTGATCGATGATGCTCTCGAGGAGACCACCCCCGCACAAAAACACCCAATAGGCACTGTCGTACGTCTCATCCACATAGTCTTTTTCACCCTTGGGGTACTTATCGCTTTGGTTCAAGGTCATCCGAGGCAACAGCGTAACATCCATGGAGACTCTTGAAGCGATACGATGATGGAGGGTGTTGGTTGCGTGTCTGCATTGTCTTCCGCCTTTCATGAAAGTCTGTGCTTCTAGCTTGTATCTGTATTACTTCTTTCATTCTGCTCGCTATACCATCCGTCTCATCTCGAACACAATTTTCATGTTGTCATAGTCATTTTGATCTGAACAAAAGGAACTGATAGGAAGTGATGAAATTGTGAAAGAAGTAGAATAGTGTAGAAGACCGCGATATGTACGTCTAACACTATGGCAAACAGTGGTATGGGAAAAACACGGTTCACCTCAAACAGCGACGCCCTGTAAGAGATTATCTACCACAACGTAAATGGCCCCTTTGACATGAGACCAGCAAGTAGAACCGAACACGAAGCTCAAAGAGGCGTAAAGCAATGTTGTGGATAGGGAAAGGACTTCAGCGAGCGAAAATTGCCGTTTTATACTTTGCACCAACGCTTCCACGTGTTCGAGACGGATACCGGCAGCGCGTTCACAGAACTCATTGCTTGCAATAATTGCTCTAGCACTCTCTTACTAACTATCGTTGCTTCATTCACTGAAGGTTTGACTAAAGAGATGCCAGCGACAGACCGTACATCACAGTTCCGCGAAATACTGAAGGAGGTCTCGAATTCACTTCCCGAGGTTAAACGGCGTAAAGTCTCCAAACCATCACATATCCAGCGTGATGTCCTGGGCAAGCAATATCTCGCAGAGGCCTATATTATTGTACGGAAAAGCTTCTCTGAGTCTCACATCGAGTTGCACTCATACACATATTATGCACTACGTAGCTCCACCACATCAACACCCTCGCACGAATGCTTACCCTCATTCGTAAACCGTATCTAAACCTCGATTCTCGCAGTCCACCATTGACACGTCAACAAACGCGAACTATTAACCTCTCGGATGTCGAACAGTCATGGGCGAATATCCGGCATTTGACGGACAAGGAGAGGGATCAGATTGATTTGCAGGCCAGGGTTATTCTGTCACGATGTTCGGATAGGATAAAGGAAATGGAAGCATTAGAGAAACGTCCGTTGTTATGTTATTTGCATATGTCAGTTCAGAACTCATTGGGTCCCTCATGGATATATACAGGACGTCAAGAAATTGCAGCAAGCAAGACAAACCCTCTCACGCGTTTCCTACCCGCTCGACTACGTCAAGACGAAGCTACAGCGGCTTCAGACTTCATAGCAGCCCATCACGCCAGCATAACATGGTATCTCAGTAGAAGACTCACCGAAACAAGTCAAACGCTTAAAGAAATGCAAGAAGAGAGGATGAAGCGTCAACTCGAACGAACACGGACGCTAGGTTCGGGTGCAGCGCGAGAAGCCATGTTCATGACAGAATCGCTACCGTCTTCGTCGTCTTCAGATGACAATGGTGGTGGTGCTAGTGGAAGTGGTTGGCTAGGCGGGGCATCGCATTTGGCTTCGAGTCTCGCTGCGTCCATTGGAACACCTTCACTAGGCGACGCTTCGAGTTCAAGGTCAACACCGCGGACGATGTCGTCTTTGGCTCCGGATGACCTTTTGGACGATACAGAGGACGAGGACGACTTGGAGCTAACGGCGTCACAAATCATGCAATTCGAGACTGAAAACGCCAATATCCTACAGAATGTGCAAGATACCCTGGCATCGGTGCAGCAGGCAGAATCTCGACTGATGGAAATCAGTGCGCTGCAAATGGAGTTGGTCGCCCATTTGACAACACAGACTGAACAGACAGAGCGATTGTACTCGGATGCTATTGCGACGGCTGCTAGTGTGGAGAAGGGTAATGTTCAGCTGAAGGAAGCCAAGAGGAGGGCGAGGGATAGTCGCAAGTGGATACTTTTGTTCCTCATTGGAGCTAGCTTGTCGTTGCTCTTCTTGCATTACTATTGATAAATGATTCCTTGCTATCATTCATCTTTTCTCTTACCTTGCTTTGAGTCGTTCATCTGTATTATTATCCTAGGCATCAGTTTCTGGACGGTTTCTTATTCTCTAGGTGATTAGTATCCTTGGCTACACTATACCGATGCATCCTACTACTACCCCTCATACAATATATACATACAAGATTCCAAACCTGGATGTCCAAATGTCCATATATTGAGGGAAACTCTATGCTGCGGGCGAGGTTGATCTTGACCTCGACGACGCACGAATTGTGCTTTCCTCATCCTCGAGTAGAGATTCAGAAGAAAAGCTCCCCAGCAGAGGAGCACCTTCCTCTGCTTCCTCAACAGCTTCCGCTGCCAACTCGTCTATCTCTGGCGGAATGTTCTTGAGGTGTCGAATGTGCGATTGCATCGCGTGATAAATGATGCTGTGAATGTGGATAAGCATACGACTAATTAGTAGGGAAAGTCTGAATACGAACATGCTCGTCAGAATGACAATTAAAACGCCGCCAGCTATAACAGCGGCATTGATAATCTTCGTTTCTGGATTCACAACGAGGGATTTAGTAGACCATAAAGGTACCAAGCATGAGATGCTTACGCGTGTCCATATGACGCCTTGTCTCTCCATCCGACAAGGATGCGAGACGTGAGCCAATGAAGACGTGCAAAGCGACCTTGGGGAAGACGACAAAGGTAGCAATAACAAATTGCCAGAATGATACGGCTTCGATAGACTTCATCCAAAAGGTTGAGCGAACACTCGGAAAACATATCAATATCAACAAAACGTACCGCGAAGAGGCTGTTGGCGTACACCCATGGCGGGAATGGCGAGGCTCGTATAAGCATGATCAACGGTAGGCCTTTAGCTTCCTATTTTGATAGGTTATTCATCAGACATAGTTTCGGCATCACTGATGTGTGCAAGGAGACATACCACAACGGCTTCCAATGCTTGCCACTTCTGACTTGAAGCAGACCATTTGCGCAGTCGTTGGCTGAAGAGGAATCGCAAGGCCAGGAAAGCTAGCGCGGAACCTAGGAGGGATCCAAAAGCGGCTATCGGGAATCCTCGCATGCCGTATGCGAAGCCGCAAAGTGTGAGTGTTGTGGTATGCCCGACGAATGGCGGGAAAGAGATGACCACTAGAATGAAGTCGAGTTCAATGCATCAGTCAGTGTATAGTCTATTCAATGAAGAGTTCTACGCACCAAGAATGGCAGTGAGGATAAGCCAGCCGAAGCGTAGGTGACTGATCTTCTGAGCGAGATTGTACATTGTCTGTCCGATACGATCGGGACCAATGACAATCAGAAACACGCCCAGTGCCACATAGAATAACGCAAGAGCCCAGAGAAGCAGCTGGATATTCCAAAGTCCAGGTCAACTGAAAGGGTTCATATCACAGATATGCCAAGTACTGACCTTGCCATAGAGCGGAAGCTTCCTGTAACGATGCCACGAGCTCCGAGCATGATATTTTGCTAGCGACCATAGCCAGGGTAGCCAACGTTGTTTCTCAGCTCGTTCTGTGTCCTCCGACGCCATGTCTATGATGGACTGGAGGTGGTTGCACTCTATGAGAACTGCTCACCGAGCAGCCCCGACTCCAGCTGCGCCTCCGCATGAAGTCATGGTGGGTCGATTTCCCCTTTTCCGGAGACTAGGTGGTACCGCCCAGGTCAAGCGCCCACTCTTTAGTGGTAGCGTCGATCGAGGACGTGTTCATGGAGAAATTCTCTGCTTTCCGGGTCAGTATCATAGCAATCTTAATAATATGTGTGCCTACATACTTATCATGCTATAGGACCCTGGTACAGGCATCCAGGTGCGATATATGACGGCTTCCCTTCACCCATAGGCTCTTAACGACATGCTCGACTTAGCCTTTCCTGACACCCGTACCTCCAGTAGGATCCAACATCCTCGCAAATGTCCTTCTTCCGTTTGGTTATGTCGTCGGAATACTAAGAATCACATTGATTCTTGCACTTGCTGCCATTTATGCTATACTTGTGCAAGGAGTTTGTCTCATCCTCGTGAGTTTCTTTCGTTCACCCGTTCCTTCATTGAGTTGACGGTCCTAGACTCCAGTACCACCACTCTACAGAGCGGTTTCTTATGTCATAACTGCCTTGCTTGCTCGATTAGTATTGCTACTTGTCGGACTATGGTGGATCCCTGTGGAACAAGTCACTCGTAAACGCGCGTATGTAATGCACCCAGCCAGTTCACTGTAGCTCGATTACACTTACACAATCTTGGCGATCCAGACGAGGCTCAAAGTTATCGGAATCGTGGAATCCAAAGGCGGGAGACCTCATAGTGCCTAATTGGGCATCATGGATTGAGATCCTTTGGCTGGCTTTCCGGTTCGTGCTCTCGTGTCTGGCTGAGCTCCATATTTCTTATACTTCCATCCGAAGATTCGATCCTATCTTCACCCTTCCTGTATCATCCCCAGTGGACCTCACAACCTCCACTTCACAATCTTCTACCCCAGTGACCAGTACTCCAGGCCGACGCACGGGCACAGGCTCCGCTGCAATCTCTTCCCCAAGCACACGTAAGGCGACACCTCGTGCGTCCATTGTAGGCTTCCGACCTGTATCTCTTCTCTCGATGATACTCGCCACTGGTAACGTCCCGCTTGACTCGGAGTCGTGCAAAGATTACCTTAGCCTGGAGGAAATCCGAAGTAAGGCGGATAGGCCGGTTGTCGTCTTCCCCGAGTGCACGACTAGCAACGGAAGAGGGCTATTGCGATTTGCGGACGTTTTCAAGGGTGTAGACGTGCCAGTGAAGAAATTCAAGGTTTTCCTGATGTGTGTACGGTAAGTCCAATTTCGTCGAGTGCTTTTTCGAGATCCATAGTATCAATATTGATATCCTTGTCTCTCAAGGTACGACCCACCGACAGCATTAGCCCCGACACTCTCCCAGTCAATCCCATCTTCAACACTTAACCCACTAATGCATATATTCAAGCTCACGACTTCCTTTCTCCCACTTACCCTTTCAATTCGCCTCCTCGCGCCTTCCGAATCTCCAAGTTCCGGCTCATTCTTACTGAGCGACTTCCTAACCGGAGGACACTATGAAGATCCTCTATCGGAATGCTGTGCAGCTTTGATTGCGCAGATCGGAAAATTCAAGAGGACTGGTTTGGGCTGGGAGGATAAGGCCGCCTTTCTTGAGTTTTATAGAGACAAGAAGAGATCATAGCACTATTTTATCTGATGATCATATTTTTACTACGCCGAGCTGGTAGACGACATCGGTGAACACCGGACGGTCCTTTTTTCTATGGCACCCTCTTTTTGGGATATAGATGCTTGCAATAAAATGTATGGCGTGAATGGAACAAGACTGAATTCTACTCGTAGCCTCCACACAGTCAGACCGGGCAAAGCTATTGACACCCACTGACGCAAATTCGTCACTATGAGACTGACATTTGATAACAGTTGATTGAGCAAGGCAAGTATTGTGCAGGCACGTACAGGAGGACAAGTTTGAATAATCGTACAACTACACGGAGAGCAATGCAACGGAGATCAACGTACGACAAAAGCAGACTCAAAAGCGACCAGCAAAGCGGCAAAACAAAACAAAACAAAAGCGCGGATCAGCCGTAGTTCCTTCTATCATAATCCCTATACCTATCGTCCGCTGCTTGAGGCCGTTCGGCTTGCTGGTAATGGATTCTGTCATACAGCGACTCTCCAGAACCGACTCTGACAGCTTCTTTCGGAGGATATACTGTTGGACGATTGGGGGAGTAGTTCTCAACGCGCTTGACAGGCGACAAGTTCTGCTCATTCGTGAGAGTGCGTCCTCGAGGAGAGTAAGCAGAATCTACTGTGCTCTGACGAGAACGAGGCTGTGGATAAGGTTGACGACGATGACAATTCTTGGGAGGGATTGGTGCAGGAGAGGCACGTCGGAAGTGATCATATGGGCGGCGAGTTGCCTATATGCTATGAGCTGAAGCTGATAAATGTTGAATGAAGACTATATAACATACGTGAATGTAGAGACTTAAGACTCTGTCGTGGAGTGTCCTTCCGTTCAGTTCCTTCACCGCGCGATCAGCATCTTCTTGAGTGAGGTATTCAATCAGGCTATCCCAAAATACCCATCAATCTATGAATTGGTTACAAGGCTGAAAAACACATACCCTCTTCCGCGATTGATCTTATCCACCTGACAGAAAACCACGGTACCGCCAGCAAGTCGACCAAAGTCCTTCAACTCCTGTTTGACATGAGGTCAACGTCCAACATCATAATGTCCTCGGTCAGTACTCACTTGCCAACATGTCTGCCTGTCGAGGTTATGGACAGTGACGGGATATCGCGTCCTAGCCTGATATTCTGACGAATGACTATCATAGGCAAAGGTGAGTATAGTGTGTGGGTTTCGTATGATATGCGGTTAAACCTACCTGCTGGTAGTACGACTCCGCTCTCTCACGGGCGGAGAACCTTCAGTTCTTGTTGTATTTCTCTCGTCAGACCCGACGGTCTTCCGACGATGTCTCGCGAGTTGAATTGACATCTCTAGCGGAAATCAAATCGAGGAAGGTTGAATGCCGATCTCTGCTATATATAAGGGGATCCTCACCATATCCAAGGAAGAGTTGATTCGCTAAGCTTGCTACTGCATCCTGTAACTACGGTTCAGTTCAGCACCTCCAACCTGTGCAGCTTAGATTCTCGCCTTAGCGTCCTATCAAGCATATAGTCAGCGGGTATGTTATGAATGATGCACCACGACACGTACTGTTTCGGACTCGAACTCGACAAAGCCGTATCCTACGCCGCACATAGAGAGAATAAATCTACGATCTCGTGATTATCCAGAGTATACGAGGCGCACCGGGAAAGATGTGAATGGTATTAATCTTGCCATAGATTGACAAGTGCTACGACGGGTCAGAGAATTCGCATAGGCCACGAACGCGTCAGACATACCCTGCGTATATCGTCCTCTTTGACTGCATCTGGTAGACCTACATAATTTGACTTGAGCTGGACAAAGAAAGGACGAGTGCGGTCAGCTTACCTCCTAGGTATAAGCTGCGACCGGACATGATGAGGGTCTGAAGCAAAGAGTGAGGAAGAAAGGGAGGGAGTTGCATGTCGGAGCATAGCATCGAACCAGGTAATTAAAGAAGTTCACTGTATGCCAGATATCTGGTCCGCATATGGTGATATCATCGAAGCACCATCCTCGTTAGCAGTGCGCATATATTAGCACGTGCATCGGTTTCTATTCCACGAATTGCGTATATCCAACGTTACAGTGTTCCGAGCTTGCTGTCAACCCAAAATGAAGCATTTCAATCTGAAGATATCGTCTACAACTTTGCGCGAACTTGCAAGATCTCCTGGAACGCCCTTGTCAAATCTGCCTTCAAGTCCTGCAGAAACCAAGTCAGAAACGATTATCCAGATATTTCAGAAGATGAACGACAGACCTCGAAGTCTTCTACGCCAACGCTGATACGCACGAGACGTGGATCTGCGCCCGCGTCAGACGCAACACGCTGTTCGATCAAAGATTCGACACCCCCAAGACTGGTAGCAGGCTACAGACCGCAACAGTTATAGTAAAGGTTGATAGTCGATACAACAGGAAAACTGACGATGAAATACTTGAGATTGTGTGGGAGGAGAGACGCATATTCTGTGCTGGTCATCTAAGAATCAATGTCTTCAGCGATGAGCTATGTTCTAGAGACGAACATCACCCACCAGAATTCCAAAGGTTGCATTCCATCCACCTTCCATTTGTTGGCTGGGTTCCCATCCTCTAGCATCCTTACCTTGCAAGCTTGAATGCCAGACAGTATCAATGAGTCCGGCAGGTATGCCTTCTGCGGCCTTACCCTGTTGCTGGTCAAGGACCAGCCACAAACCTGAATAGCAAAAGACATACATTGGAGGCCTTGTGAAGCCAGTGGGCAAGCTTAGTCGCGGTCTCTGATTGACGAGGGACTCGAAGATGGAGGGTACGCAGAGAGCGCAGAAGCAACCAAGCTTCCAAAGAACCCATCATTGACCCCAAGAATGTGCGCATATACCATATCTACAGGAAAGACGCAGCAGTCAGACGAAGTGAAAACAGGAGAAACAAACAGAGCACAGACTTGGTTCCATTCCTCCCGCGTCTTCGTGACCAAGACACCACAGAGCAGATCAGAGTGTCCACCAAAGTACTTGGTACCTACGGAACAAAGCCGTCAATGCGTGTTGTACAAGACGTATGGTACAGGACGAACCGCTGTGCATGATAAGATCCGCACCCCATTTGAAGGGGTACTGCAAAGGAGGTGGACCAAAAGTAGCGTCAACGAAGAGTTTGCCTCCAACGGCATGGATCTTTCCGAGATGAACAATCATCAATAATTCACACTAGGTAGCTTCACCATCGACGAATACTCACTCTATCAGCATAATATTGGATACTCCTGCAAGTAATGTTAAGCAGTGTAAAACCACTGAATGGAAATTCTGGCACTACACACTTAGATTCTCCCTTTGGATTCTCGGGAGTTTCAATCCAGCAGACATCACCCGGTTGGAACTCATCGTCAATGCCGATGAGAGGTATAGTTTCATTCCGGCTGCGCTGGTACATTTCGATGACCATGTGGCATCCATGATAGCCTCCTGTGATAGCGATACGCTTCGGGTTCAGGAACACCAGTCCCTGCCAATAGATCGCAACATTTAGATGGAGCACATCATTTATGTACAATGGTACTTACCGCATATGCAGAAGCCAACCCTGAAGCATACGTAAGAGCATAACCTTGCTGCATCGTACAATGTCAACCCTTCCAAGTTGTAAGACGAACAGCCACACATACATTGATCTTGCTCAGAATCCTCTCCACCCTCGTACTCACGTCCTGCGTATAGCGTGAATATACATGCCTGTCAGGGTTCCAAGGATCCATATCCTTCAGTCCGTCGTTCTCAGACCATGGCCTCGGTGCTCTGAACGCTATGAGGCGATCGCCATGAGTCCGCGGGAAAAAGACTTAAAAAGCACTGTTGCCTTACTAGTAGTCACAGAAATGGACGGCGACACTTCTAAACCCTTGGGAACGTCCTCATCTGCGTGCAGCAGGTCCGTTCCCGACAGGGTCGGTTTTTTCGTTTCTTTTAGAGACATGGTTTGCCCTTATACTTGGGATAGGATGTGCACTAACGATAGAAAGACCTGAGGAGAGAACCGAACAAGTTCTGACAAAGCTTCAACGAAGCAGGATGTATTAATATTATTGAAGCCGCAAGAAGGCCGATATCTGACTCATTGAGATTGCGACAAGTGCTCATATTTGCGTCAAAACGGGAATTTACAGCACGATTTTGTCACCGTCACACCCACGTGGAGTGACGGGTCGCGTTTAGCTGTTGCTCTTCGTTGAAGTTCAACCTTGCTTCAAGCCAACCTCAACCCTCTCCTTTCTCTCAACCGTTTTCTCCTCCCCCATCTTCCTGCCCTCAGGCCGGCCTGTCTTTACTGTACCCTACTGTTGATTGTCTCCTAGTCTACGTATATTTCCCCGACTAGTCTACAGAGTCAAAGCAGGACAACAAGATGCCTAGTCTCACACTCAAAAGCACCCTCGCGTTCTTCGTCGCCGCTCTTTTTACCTGGACTTCTCTCGTGTCGGAGGCCTCAGCTCTTGACTTGCGCTCTTTTCATGATTCCCTAGAAGCACGCTATTCTCGGGCTCACTCTCTTGGCGACGACTATCAGTTTGACCCTCGCGATGGCTGGCAAGTCGTCAACGCTTCGAACTTGGATTATAAATATTCTCGAAATGGCGATGAATCCTTCATGGACAAGCGTATGGATGAAGACTCTATTGACGACGACGGTGAAGACACATTAGGATCCGATTCTCACTACACCAATAGTTCTCTTGCAATCCGAGCAACCAAAAAGAAGGCAAAGGATAAACCAAAGCCGACGAACCCGAAGAAGAAAACCTCGAAAATAGCTTCTAAGGCTTCAAAGGGTATGACCTCGGCTCTGAGTAAAGTCCTCGACAGTTTCAAGGGCATTGGAAAGGCTGAACCGGTCACTATCACTTGGTATGTTTGCGAATGTTATCATTCTGAACAGAACTCTTATGCTGAGCACATAAAGGTACACCGGACATGATCTCGAGAATCCAAGCTGCTGGCCAAATCCAGAGTGGCAACCTTCGGTGAGTTGTCAAGCTCTCAGTTGAAATGCATATACCAACATGCTTTGTACCAGGACGCTTCGTTTGCTTGTGCACTTACACTGGCGGGCTGGACAACGCGACCAAAATGCTTCAAATTCCTTGAACGTCAGTACACATCCTTTATATTATACCGGTTTGTGTTGACTCTTTACATAGTGTGTAACACACCGAAGAAATGTGTCTTCGTCCGCGTAGTGGACTCATGTGCTGGATGTGCAAAGGGCTCCAAGCATGTTGACTTGACGCAGGCCGCGTTCAAGCAACTTGCAACCTTGGAGGAGGGACTATTGCAAGTTCAAATGAGGCAGGCCACTGATCCTGATGGATGGTAAGCTAATATTCTTTCGGCCATCGTCGTTGGTAATGATTCTAACAGATTCTTACCCACAGGCTAGAGAACCTGTGGGGACCAAAAGCTTGAGGCACTCACAAGTGCATGGCCGGAACCACGCACGTACTGTACGTACTATATACCACATCTCTTTGACGGGCGCACCACGGACTATGGACGCATACCCACTGTATTACCACTGGAAATGTAGCATACTGTACTTTTCAATCAGACTCTAGATCTGGGACTGGATTCTATGCCTTGATGTTGACTCGTTTCCGCTTCTTGCCTTCTGCAATACGTTCTCTGATTTTGTCCTCGTCCATCTCCTCCTCGAAGAACTCCGCTGTAAGTTGAGCGTCACTCTGCCTCTTGATATATCGGAGTGCGGCGAGATTGTAAGTGAGGGTATCTTTCTGCTTACGAAGAGCGTCACGAAGATGTTTGCGAAGAGGGATGAGTGCGGTACGCATGACGCGATTGGCGACGATTTGGTGGTGATGCGTCTTCAGTAGGAAGAAGATAATACGGGATGTCAAGACCAAGTTCCACTCCTAAGATATGATATGAGTAACGAAAAAAAAAGTTTACGCGAAACATCGGCTTAGGCTTACCTTCTGTGCCCAATAGTTCAGAAACTTCATGAATACCAGGACTTTGCCAAAAGGCAACACCAGAAGTGCATCGTAAAGAGCAGTCCCGCTGATCCTCTCGACAACCATAAGCACATACTGCTCCGGTTCAACATCGTAAGCAGCCAACACGGGGTTCCTCGGTGGAGGCGCGATCTGTTCGCCCAAACCACCCTTGGTCTTCATCTCTTCATATTCGCGGAACGTCTCAAGTTCACCCTCGGCGAGATCCAAAGCTTCAATGATACGTTCACCAGCCATTAGGGTTTCGGTAGTCTGCTTTGTGACCGCGCCAACTTCAGCCGCGTTGGCGTCCGTAGGTTGTGCGCCGTCTACACCGCTACCGATGGCTGCTTCGGGACGATTCATGGCATCTGCAATGCCGGTTTCGTACAGTTGCTCGAGTTCGTGTTCACGTTCTTCTTCAAGGAAAAGCTGGGCAGGAAGGTAAGAATAAATGCTATGAATGACGAGGACTATGGGACGTACTGGTTCATCCAGTTTCTCCCAAACACGGATGGACTTGTCGTGTGAACCTGTGACTACGAACTTGCCAGCATTACTGACAGCCAAGGCCCAGATCTCGCCATGGTGTCCGTCTAGCTTTTGGATGTTCTCGAACTACACGTCAAGTTTGAGATTAGCTCCAGGTGACAGGCCGTAGAATAGAAAGGTATCAACGTACCTTATCGCCGTCCCAGTACTTCAGTAGTTTATCCTTGCCCACTGTCCAGAAATAATGTGTAGGCTTGGCTCCCAATTCCCGAACGTCATTCTTCTCGAAAGCCACTTGCATGACGCTCTCGTCATGGGCGAATATCGACCTGTGGCAGTCACCGAAGTCGAGACCCCAGATCTTCACGTTCTTGTCCGCAGAACATGTGACAATGAGCTTGGAGTCGGCTGAAATGTCCATGGAGAGGACAGGAAGCTGCATTTAACGTGAGCAACGGAACATACTAGAGATGCTGGAGAGAATACCTTATGACCGTACAGCGAGAGGAAGAACTTCAACGTATCTTGATAGAAGACTTTGACGGTAGAATCGAGCAACGCAACCGCGAGAAGCTTTCCATTAGGGCTGTACCGTACGGAAAGAACGTCGTCGGTCATCTTCAACGTTCGGACATGGACCAATGTGAGTAATCTGGCGGCATGAGGCTAAAGGATAAACAGTTAGCTGAAGTTATAGGGCAGCACAGACAGGACGTACGTTCTCACTGTCGGCTGCCTTCTGTTCCAGCTCCCAGAATTTGACATCCTTGTCCGCACTACCACTGACCAGAGCCTGTCCGTCCGCTCGGACGTGAATCGACCACACAGTTGATTCATGTGCTTTGATCGTCTCGACGAGCGTAGATGAAGCAACGTCGTATATCAGGATTTCCCCATCCTTGGTACCCACGGCAATCTGAAGATAGTTCAGTATTGGGAACGTTGAGGAGGGAAAGTATCACACACTTGTCTGTCACCGGGGAGGAATGTACTACATATCGGAAAGCTGCATTCCATTGTCCGTATGCACGCTGTAGTTTTCATGTTCCACACTTTCAGGGAGCCTATGAGGGGAATGTTAGTCTCGTGAGGGAATAAGTGTGTCAGTTACACACCATTAGATGCTGACGCCAAAAGAATGTCGTCCGAGCTTAAACAAAGTGTCCGGACGTCCGATCTATGACCAGGAAGATCTACAGAGAGAACACGGTTGGCTTCCGGAGTTTCATCCTTCGACTTGGCTGGTGGGGGTATATTATACACCTCGAGAGCATTGGTAGAGAGAGCCATGAACAGCTGTACATTCCCCTTGCCGCCGTGTTCCTCATCAGCGAAGTCGAAGGACCTAATTTTGCCACTGGCACGAGCAACGACATATGGCGTGAACAAGTCAACCAATTTGATCTCATCGGATTCCTCATCCTGCTCATCGACGTTATCTTCTTCCTGACTTTTGTTCTTTCCTTTGGTTTTAGCTTGCTCCTTCTTTTCCTTGGCTCTCTTTTTGCGCCTAGCTAGCTTCTTACGGGCTTCCTCTTCCGTACGTATCCTAAAGATCTCGACCGAGCGGTCATGAGATTGGACAGCGAGGTAAGGTTTAGTGGGATGGAAGGTAATTTGGGAGACGCGGTGGCGAGAAGACAGCGGAAGTGTCGTGATTGGGTGTATCATTTTGGACACCTAAAGGCTCGCGATTAATCATTGATCCAATTATTCCTATATAAATGTGTTTGGTTACCTCGCCAGACTCAGTCTCGTGCAACCCGGAAGCCATAACGTCATGGTCCAACTTCCAAGCTTTCATTTCACCTTCACCACTTCCGGTGAATACAAGTGTCTGATCTGGGTCAACAGCCAACGTCCAAATTTCTGACCTATGCGCAACCACAGTTTGCACACAATGTTGAGTGGATAGGTCCCATAGCTTCAGGAAGGTATCTTTAGATGATGTGATGAGGAAACCAGTAGAGGAACCGGTTGACGTCGAAGGAGCCGAAGAAGATACTACTTCAATAAATTGGATTGCAGTAATCTGGTCTCGGTGACCACGTAATCTGCACATATAATAAGCAAACGCAAGCGACCACAACGTTAATCATAAACATACCGGAATAGACCAGCTTCAGCAACCACATCCCATAAAATCAAGTCAGTGTCCTGAGATCCTGAAGCGAGTCTTGCGCCTGCTTGATCGAAAGCAAGCGCAGAAATAGACTTTTTGTGGCCATTGAATGTCGCAATGACAGAAGATGATGATGCACTCCAGAGCCTGACAGAGCCATCCGCATAACCAACAGCAAAGGTATCCTTCTGTGGTGAACGAGCAATGCAAGTTACTTCAGCTCGGTGACCTGTTTCGTGCCACATGGACAACTAGTTCACATAAGTAGGTGCACTCGAGATTTATGAAGAGAGCAGACGCACCATTTGTCCCTTCTTCACGTCCCAGACCAAGACATCTTCCAAAGCAGGCACGTAGGCGAGTTTACCGTCATAGTACGAATTTGAAGACGCGCTACAAATGAGACCGAAGGCCTGCAATAATATTCAGTGTAGTTCTAGTATATATTGATTATATGTGTACCTCTGTAGGGCCGTGTCTTAAGTAGCTTTGGACCATGGTGGTACGCAGAGAAAGGGATGCAGACGCTTCAGCGCTTCAGCAGCCAATCAGAGCCAGACTTTGCAGAATTTTCGGTGTTCCCACGGGTGCTAAAGAGCTTCCATGGTCGCGTTGCAGCATGCAGTGTGCAGGCGAGCCCCTCTCATCAGTGGCTTCAAAGCGACGCGCCTCTCCTGTCGTTCTCTTCAAACCATGATGATTCGCAATACCGGCCCTGAGGCAGCCAATAGGTTTCTCAGCTTTGTTAATGCATCTCCAACACCCTTTCATGCAGTTCAACAGGCCACTGTCCGTTTAGAGAAAGCTGGCTTTCTCAGAGTGAGTCTCCAAGTCAAAAGTTCCTTGCGTCAGACTAGAGACTGTGGATTACAGGTCAAGGAATCAGACGACTGGGAGAAAGACCTGAAGGATGGCGGAAGGTATTATTTCACGCGGTATGTCTATCCACGGTCTCGATCAATCCGAATTGTGGTTCTGAACGCGTAAGATAGCAATCAGAGTGCTTTACTTGCTTTCACCATCCCTCAAAAATGGAAGCAAGGCGCTGGGCTCTCAATAGTAGCGACACACATTGACAGTCCAAATCTAAGGGTGAGCCACTCAAATTCGTCTACAAGGTATGCCAGCTGATCGAAATATGTTCACAGGTGCGACCGGTTTCAAAGAAATCAAAAGTCGGCTATTTGCAAGTTGGTGTGGAAACTTATGGAGGTGGCATTTGGCATTCATGGCTCGATCGCGACTTGTCACTGGCAGGGAGAGTGGTACTTGCGGACAAGAATGGTGGGTTCAGTGCCAAGCTGGTCAAGATCGAGAAACCAATTCTTAGAATCCCAACCCTTGCTATTCACTGTAAGACTTGCCAATATTTCCGTGATAAGGGTTCGCTTACAGGTATCTTCTCAAGTGGACAGGAATGTCAATGCGGAGTTCCGCTTCAACCAGGAAACCGAGTTTGTTCCTATCGTTGGGTTGATTCAGTCAGAACTCAATGCAACGCCGGAGAAAGAGGAGAAGGAAAAGTCTGAAGAAAAGAAGGCCTCAAGCATTCAGGACAACCATCATCCTGCTATTCTGTCGCTCTTGGCTTCAGAACTCTCTGTGGCACCAGAAGAAATCCATGATTTTGAACTGTAATGAGCTTCCTGGTTGAACTTCTCGGGAAAGTTACTGATTTGTCTCTGTATGCTAGTCATCTCTACGATACCCAGTTATCCACTTTGGGTGGATTGAACGATGAGTTCATTTTCAGTCCTCGTATGGACAACCAGCTTTCCTCGTAAGTACTTCCAGGTCAAAAATGTGTCGCGTTTTACTGAAAATGTATCCCAGCTTTGCTGCTGTAGAAGCAATCGCCAGTCTGGGGACGTCTCAACTATTCCCCACACTCGAGGGGAATGTGAACGTGATCGCATTGTTCAACCACGAAGAGATTGGATCCGTCTCAACCACCGGAGCAGAATCCTCTCTCATTCCCACCCTTCTCCATCGACTCTCACCCACACCCGCAACTCTCGCACAGTCTATCTCTCGTTCATTCCTCGTTAGTTCTGACATGGGTCATGCCATCCACCCGAACTATCCGGGCAAGCACGAGGAGAATCATGCTCCTAAGATGAATGAAGGTATCATCATCAAGACCAACGCTAAGCAGCGATATGCTAGCGATTCCATCGGTAGTTTCATCGTGAAAAAGCTAGTCGAGAGGAAAGGTGGTAAGGTACAAGAATACGAAGTGCGAAATGATATGTAAGTTCCTCTTTAGTCGGGCTTCCAATATTCACAATGATCCTGACTGAACGTCTTGCATAGGGCTTGTGGATCGACGGTCGGACCGTTCCTCTCAAAGACTGGTATCCGAACAGTCGACGTCGGCTGCGCGATGCTTTCGATGCATTCAATCCGAGAAACAGCAGGGTCACACGATGTTCAGAATGCCATCGACTTGTTCTCTTCGTTCTTCGAGGGCTTTGCAGAGTTGGATCGTAGTCTGAACGTGGAATAGGAATTATAATGTACAGATGTATCGGAACTGTATAGCAAAACCCCAAGGAAGATGTACAAACGGAACGAAAGGGCGAGTCGCCCTAGGAAAGAAATTGAGGCTGCAAGCCAGCTCGAGAAGCCTCTCACAACAGAATCTGGTGCCCCCAATAACGGAAGTTGACGGGTAGCAGGACCTACCGACGAGTTCGCTTCTTGGCTGATTCTCCTGTATCTTCCGAATTCGAAGATCGTGCGTTGGAATCGGTGAGCATGCTTCGCTTCTTTGCTGTTCTTGAATAATGCGAAAGAACCCATTCACGTTCGGCCTCGGCTTGTTCAATTGTTCCTTGTCGAATCTCGTAGGCTAAGTGTGCCGTTAATAAGTGTTTCATGATAACTGCATTCCAGAATTTACTTACGCTTCATCTCGAACCGTGGTCCAACCTCAGCCAATTGCACTTGTTTCGGACCTGTCTTGATAAACACATGATGTCTGGTAGACAGCGGTCAGATACATTCGATGAAAAACCATAGAGTAGCTTACCGGAATGAGATGAAGTCGTCCTCATTTGAGAACGTCATGACTCTTTTGCTCTCCTCTTTTGGTACGGGGAAGAGATATTTTAAGATATCCTGTACTCGCCCACCCAGTTGTGAGCTAAAGTTTTCAAATATAAGGTGAGGGTATTGTTCGGAGACGGTGGAGGATTTGTAGGAATCGATGTCGTGTCGAAGGGTAACGTTGTGGAGAGTGAAGAATATTGTGGGACCGTGAGGGAAGTGTGAAACAATCATAGCATCTGTCATGGCATGAGCAGTGTGAAGTAAGCATTCATCAAAGCATTGTACGGACCAGGTTTCCCTCTGTGTTCATGTAGGATGACAAGGTCGGTGATATCATTAGCCCTGCAAGCTTCTGCTAACTCCTTCACGACATAGTTTCCTCGGTTTATCCGATGTGAGTTTGGAAACACCAGACGTATTTCCTGCAGAACCATCATTAGCAAACTACCACGGTGTGAAAGCAACAAAACGGAGACGCACCTTGGCAAACTGTAGTAGTTTGGAGCTTGGGTCTCGCGAGGTTGTAACAACGATCTTAGGATCCAAGATCCCCGCCCGAGAGTATTCGTTATCAATATGCGTTGTGGGGTCTAATCTGTCATTTAGCAATTGCTCATGAACGCGACAAACGACATAGCATACCTGCCTGTGCCTCATCAAACGCAAGGTCCTTTCCAAGGGCAGATGCATCCTTTCTCAGCTCTGTAGGCAGAGATTTTCCGGCAGCAAGTGCATCCTTCAACTGTCGCTTCCGCTCGTATGTTTGTCGTTCTTGCGATTCTTGCGACTTAGCATATATGTATTGGCGGCGCTCGCGAGCCTGTCTTCGAATCTAACAAGCATTCAGCGTTGTGAACTTAGAAAACTGAGCACGAGCATACCATGGCGAACTACGGAAAAAATTGTGTTGTTTGAGCTTTGCCTGCTATAAACTCAGAGTGGAGTGACCTTGGAAGCAGTGGAAGACGTTAATCGCGCTCACTCTCAAAATTTTGATCTTATCTTATCTGTAACGATAGACGCCCATTGAAAGGGCAGTGAATGGAAATCCCATCCACGTCCATTCCGATTATCTGCAAACCCCGAACACGAGTCAAGTTACACAATGAAAGGAATTAAAGAGATATACTGCAGGCTCCAAATGTACTACAGTGTATGTATACGTCCAGTCATGTCCATATTCCATCTTCGCTTTGCTTTAAATACAACACGGACAGGCGAATGAATGCCCAAACCAGCCCAACGGCGCAATATATACTGGTTAGCATGAGTGGTAGGAATTCCAGGCCTGAGGCTGATCCGCTGGTAACATCCGCACCTACAACTCCGCATGGGGATGCACCATCTGTCCCACAATGGACAGTCTTGTTAACAGTGTCGGCATATGTAGTTGATACAGCCGACCGCTGAGTAAAGAGGGGAAACAAGGTGACGAATATTTGCAGGACAACAAAGCCTGCAAGATACACCTTCTCCAACACGTCGATGATAACGAATGGAAGCGATGTCGGAAACCTACATGGCGGTTTAGCACATTAAATATGCAACAAACAAATCTTACTCACTCATACACTTTCCTCTGTAGTGGTTCGAAGACCAAGAGAGCCCAAAGGATGGAGTAGACGATCTTGACAAGTGTTTCTAGAACAAACGCTGTAGAGCAGCATCACGACGACGGCGGGTTGACTCACCAGCTGGTGTAAATAATAGAGGGAATAGAGAGAATATACCAGCGACCGAAGCGATCATGAAGGTCCTGAAGAATGCGTTGTTTTCGGCCGCCAACAGGCTAATTTACATGTATCAAGTAAATGCTAGACTCGCTTTTAGAGAAGAATTTAAGGACTAACCTGAGAGGGACAAGGACAAGGAGAATTGCCTTCTCGTGTACGTGCCACCCAAACATGAAAGATGTATATCCACACAAGGTCAATGCGGTAACAAAGGACTTGTAGCTCGGTAGACGCCATAATTTGGTTAGGAATATCTAGGAACATTGTCAAACGTCAAAGCACAAAGCATCAAGAGGAACTTACAGCTTGGAAGACAATAGTAATGATGAACGTGTGTATAGGCTTCACATTGGGGATGACCGCGAACACCGTATCGCCGACTAGACCTCGGGAGGTCGAAGCAACACCTGCTTCGTTGATAGCGAGTACTTCAATTCCAAACCGCTGAGCGACTGCAACCAATTAGTTTGAGCCCTTTAGTATTCCATATCCAGCGCAAATCATACCTTTCAAAAGGACCCTATCAGCAGCGGTGACTAAAGCCCACGCATTTGGAGCCCAGTATGCATGATTCAAACCGCGAGTGAATGGAAAAAGTCGACTGAGCAGTTGTGGTAGCTGTCCCATTAGGATAAATGGACCCAAAGAGGCGAGGAAAACAATTATGACAGCGTTTGCCAGAGAAAGGAACTTAGTGGGTTGAAGTGCGCCAGTAGGGGAAAGGCAGAAGGAGCGTAAAAGGTAAACAAAATATGCAGGCTTACAGCAAGCGTCAGTGTACGTTTACTACGTCTCAGAGAGGTCAATAACCCACAGCGAGATACATATAAATATGTTTGAAATTGAGCAATATGGCGAAGAGGAATCCGCTTGCCAGTTTGTTGCCCTGTAGTCGCGATTATGCAAAATGATCGCACAGTATCTTGTTGTCCACTCACATTTCGAGCCATAAGAATCGACCAAAGAAGGATGCCAAACATAAATCCATTGTATTGGAAATGTATGTGGTCTACTATGAGGAGGCCTGGATGCAAAAACAAGGACACCGATATGATCCTCTGGACACTCGGATCTGCAGCTTCTCGTATGAACCTATTCGTCGTGAGTATGGCTCTGCCTTGGAGAGAAGCGAAGTACCTTTGGAGAACAATGGCAAGCACTAGTTCTGTCACAATTACTGTTATGCGCTGGTATACAACCACAGACCAAGCATCGTAGTTTAGGTTCTGGAGATCCACGATCTTGGAGTCTATGAAATAAGCAGGTATTGAGAGTAGTTTTTCGAAATAAGCGAAAAATGGTGGGTAGTCCAAGGCTTAGCGAAGGACGTCAATAATAGCAAACGTTACAATTGGTCGGAAACTCTTACTCCACTCCGATGTAGTCTGAGTATTTGTTAGCATCTTGCACCTACCCTATACTGTGCATACTTACATCATAGTACCAGCGAGAAATCGGTAATGAATGTGTTATTGCTAGCCAATTGCGATGCACCTCGAAGTCGGTAGAACGGCTACAGTTGACATTGAATTGACGCATCTGAACAATACAATGTTGCGACATACTAAGCAGGAAAGAGTAGCAATTTGAGACACGTCGACAATACAAGAATATCCCAATCCGCAGATGCGACGTCGAGTTGTAGCAAAGTTCTCCAGCGGAATATCCGAACAGGTTCAGCAGCCTCCCCTTCCTGCTTCGACGCAGGGATTGGTTCCTTTTGAGGAAAAGGTTCAAGCAACGAGTGCGTCTCGTTCATGGAAGTAGAGAGTTGAGATCGAATTGAGGCAGATTGGGTGGGTCCGGCGGAGGATAGACCTCCTGGCAAGCCCGAAGACATCTTGTAGCTTCAAACAATATTAATGTAAGGTGTACGCTGAACCTCCGGCGATTGCACTCTCAGAACGTAAGAGATTAAGATAGGTTCAGACTATCTGGAGCTGCCCGTTGCAGAGAATCCCAGCAAGAAAATCGAAATAACGCGTTCTATGGTGATACAGCTGGAGTCGGTGGGAAAGCAAGGTGGTGGTCGGTGTGATCGAGTCGTATCTATTCATAGGCGCACATATGTTGACCTTGTCTTAAAACGATTGGTTGCCTCCTAACCAGAAACTCCAGTTAGAAACATCTTCTTCCATACGTCTTAGGGAAAACCGTCAGCGTGCGATATCTGAGAGGCAAATATGAGCGCACAAGCTGCTGTCTCGAAACAGACCACTCAAGTCGCTCAGCAAAGGTGCGTAATGTAGTCTCTCCATTTATTGCAGCATTTACTAACTAGTGCATCAGCGGGGTGCTGGCGAAGCTGATAATGTTTAGCGTAACTCTAGCAGTAGCCCCACTGTCGTCGTACTTCCTGTCTGAGAAATATCTCTGGAATGGTATGTCCTCAAGTTTGGCCCGTTTCAAACACTCACGCTCTTGTCTGATCAGGAAACTCGACTTATGCTGCCATTACTGCCATTGTGGCTGCGAACTTAGTTCTCGTCCTTTATATCATCATGTCCGTCATGGAAGAGAGGGCAGCAACCCCTACACCAATCACACCATCTGCTCCACCACCAGAGTCGAAGAAGACTCGATGACGATGCTCGCCATCCTGCACGCACAAAATACTCAGTACTGTTCCGTTGAGGAATATGACTTCGGTATGTGGGATAATACATTGATAGGATTCATTATTGTATATTGTAATTACAGATGATAATACAAGTCCGCCAGAGAGTAATGTTAGGTTCTATAGAAACAGCAAGGGTTATAACGAAACAGATGTGTGTAGATCATAATGGCCACGTCGAAGCAGTGTGTTGATACATTTAGAAGTCCTCTTCGAGCGTGCTGCAGGCATTATCAGTAACGAGCCGAGCCACGCGAAGATAAAAGGGCTCACAATGCTCTCGAGACATTAGTCTCGCTCTTCGTGTTCTGAGCGGATGCGTTGACACCAGCCTTGGAGTAATCGGACACACGCTTCTCGAAGAAGTTGGTCTTGCCCTGGAGCGAGATCATGTCCATGAAGTCGAAAGGATTGGTCACATTGTAAACCTTGGGGCTCCCCAAGGCGACAAGGAGACGGTCAGCGACGAACTCGATGTACTGACGCATCAGTACCGCGTTCATGCCAATGAGAGCGACGGGCAAAGCATCTTCGGGGATCAAGTCAATCAACGGCATTTAACCAAGCTACGACGCGACATACCAGTCAGGAACTCTTGCTCGATCTCGACAGCTTCAGTGATGATCTTCTTGACTGTGTCAGGATGAGGGCGCCTCCTCAAGTGGCTGAAGAGCAAACAAGCGAAGTCGGTGTGCATGCCCTCGTCACGGCTGATAAGCTCGTTGGAGAACGTCAAGCCAGGCATGAGACCACGCTTCTTGAGCCAGAAGATGGAAGCGAAAGATCCGGAGAAGAAAATACCCTCAACAGCGGCGAAGGCAATAAGACGTTCAGAAAACGCCGATCGTTTGTCCGAGATCCATCGCAGAGCCCAGTCGGCCTTCTTCTTAATACAGGGGATGGTGTCGATAGCGTCGAAGAGGTATTCACGTTGCACTGGGTCCTTAATGTAAGTGTCAATGAGAAGCGAATAAGTCTCAGAGTGGATGTTCTCCATCATGATTTGGAAGCCATAGAAGCATCGGGCCTCCGCTGCTTGCACCTCGTTGGAGAATCGTTCGAGTAGGTTCTCGTTGACAATACCATCGGAGGCGGCGAAGAAGGCGAGGACGTGTGAAATGAAGTGACGTTCATTGTCATTGAGGCGGTTCTGCCAATCGTGGAGATCCTTAGACAGGTCCATCTCTTCGGCCGTCCAGAACGACGCCTCAGCCTTCTTATACATTTGCCAGATCTAGAAGACGTGTCAATACGATGACGCGACGCTACTAAAATAAAATAAAAAAGCTGCTGGCTAACCTCATGATACTGAATAGGGAAAAGGACGAAGCGACGTTTGGACTCGATCAGGAGAGGCTCTTGATCTGAGGTAGAGGTATAAATATCAGTAAACCCGAGGCAATGTACTGAGGGCTTACCTTCAGTAAGGTGGATATCGCCAACCCATTTCTTCTTCAGCTGCTCCTCTGATTCGGGTGCGAAAGGATCAGACTCGTCGCAAACGGAGTCGGGAGACATTGAACGCTTCTTGTCGTCAATGAGTTGAAGAGGCTCGATCTTGGTCTTCTTGGAAGGGGAGGAAAGGGAAAGTTCATCCAACGCTGCTGCAGCCTGCACAACAGATCCCAGATTAGAGCATGTAGATCGGAAACATGAGTGTACCCACTCTCTTACTAGGAGTTCTGCTAGGTGTGGCTGCTACAGTGGGCAGAGGAGACGCAGCGCGAGGAGGAGTCATAACACCAGAGACAGACATCGTGGAAGACAATATTTAGTTTGTGAGTAGGCGGTGAGGGGATATAGGCGGGAGGGATGCAGGTACGGGGAGAAGCTAGGTGGCAGGAGGCTTGTCCTTATATACCCCTCGTCGCGTCGACGCGTGCAATTTACGCTCAACATTCAACGCGTCGCGTTTGTTTGGCGCTATTGACGCGTTCACGCGTCTTCGATCTTATGCTTTCGGCCGAACATAGGCCGACTCAACTCTGCAACTGACCACATACAACTCTTTCTACGCAATCTTTTCTCTAAACCTCTATTGCTATCTTATTGTCTCCTGTCGCCTATGTGGTGGTTACTGTCCGTTGTGAAAAGTTCAAGGCGATATAAGTGAGTTCTACCCCTCACCGGCTAGCACGGATCTGTGTCAATGGCAGCCAAATATGCCCTTAATGAGGACCGCGCATGCAATGACTGAATTTTTTTTGGCTTGGAGTTGACATTGTTTTCTTCTAGACATGGTGGTATTTGGGGCACCGAAGCGCACTGGTAATTGGGTCTCACCCAGCCATAGCGTAGCTGAGAGGGCCAGACGTTTCCAGATTCTGTCGTCCGCCCCTCCCCCCCTGCTTCGCTTCCTGTACGTTCGCGCCTACTAATTCCACTAACCTCTTGAAACGTATTCTCGTCCAACAGTGTGTTTCTTGCAGTCATGGACGGATTTTCGACGTTCTCCAGCGCGGTTGCATTGCTCGACCTTCTCTGCAAAGTTGGCTCTGCGATCTCCCAGCGTTATTCAGACTAAGGATGCGGAAGCATCTCTTCGAGCCTTTACGGAGGAAATTGATGCCAACGTGCAGACTCTCCAAAATCTAATCGCACTCGTCAAGCGACTTAATCAGCATTCGTCGCCTAAGGCAATCGACCGCCTTAAGGCCTTGTCTCCGTTGCTGAAGGAGAACACGACTCAGCGCTCCTTGGTGGAGGATCTGGAAAAGTTGTTGGAATGGTTGAATAATCAGAACTCTGCGAATGGGAAGATGGCGTTCAGACAGAAACTGAGCTGGTCGCTGAAGGGCAAGAAGAAGGTCGAGAAGCTCTTGCTCCGCTTAGCCCGTCATAGAGACCATTTCACCCTTGCGCTCTCGATTGAATCTTGGTATGTACTGTCTTTCTCAACTGAAGCCAATTGTTAGTTTCTGATTCTTGATTTCAGTCACATAGGAAACGAGCTTGATAAGAGCGTGCAGACGCTATCGAACCATCAGGACAGTAAGTTTTCCAAGTTGTCATTATGCTAACTACGCCAGATCATTGATTCTTTCAAAAGTGAAGGATACTATTGAATGGCTGATGCCAACTGACTACGTTGCGAGGCATACGGCCATATCAGGTTGTGTGAAAGCAGGAGCTTACTCGTGGCTTCTCGAGGATCCCAAATTCGTGGCATGGCGCAGGTCTGAGGCAAGCGGCATTCTTCGTCTCTGTAGCAAGCGTAAGTTTATGATGTGGTAAAATTACTTTCGCGTCCCATCTAATAAATTGTCCCTTAGTTGGAAATGACACGACCGCTTTGAGGTGTGTGAGTTTTCGTTTACTTGTATCACGGCCTCACTCAATTCTGCATAGTTACACTGTAATGGAAGAACTTGAAAAGACCCCAAAGCAATCGGGGCAACTTGTTCTTTATCACTATTTCGACGCAGACGATCCGAAAACCCTCAGTGCGGCTTCCTTCGTTCGGACGCTTCTCGTTCAACTCATCCCCGCCGATCGCTCTGGTGTCGTCGCACACAATCTTGGAAAGAAACGACTAGAGCAACATGCTATACTTACCGACCTTGACGAACTATTTGAGTTTCTTGCAACTGCAATGCAAATTCTCGTTTCGCCCCCTGTCATTGTGGTCGATAGGCTGGACAAATGCACCACCGAGGAAATACTACTATACATCCAGGGCCTGATGGAACGTGTCCCCGAAACCTGCATGTTTCTGACCAGCTGCGAGGATGTAGCGCTATTTGGCGCGCAGTCAAAGTTTCCTTGTATCTACACGCCCGACCATATCGAGGACTCTTCGAATAACGCTGCCAATTGCACCAAAGCAACTACATTGAAACCAGCCGTCGGTGTTTATGAAGTCAAGTTGAGGTTCTCTCAAGTTACAGTGTCTGCCAACGTATGGTAAGTTGCAGATTGAATACAAGCAGCCCCTTACATGGATGATAACAAAGCTAACGACTACTATCACACAGTCTATTTCAAAAGACTATTGCAGAACACAAAAAACATTCATCATCTTCAAGCAGATTATTGAACGTGGATCATAAGGATGATGTGCCTACTAGACTACGAATAGATACATCCCAGCGCCATTTTTTTTTGTCGCTGAGTGATATCGGTCTACCAGATGGCCGACCACGATGAGACTTGTAGACGCGCCTCCGATCGCGTTTGTGACATTGACTCCGATCATTATAACGGTCACATCTCCATTCTCTCTCAGTTCCGCCTGCTGGTCTCCTATTCTGTATTCTGATCTCTCCGTCCATCTCAGACACTGCTTCATCTGCTTTTCCTCTATGGTTCACCCTAGTGAGTTCTTTGAAATTATTGCCTCCTCCAATGAACTTTGTTCCTCGGAATGCGGCACGGAATGCCATGGTGTACATTCGTTAAGGACCACCGAAAATGAAAGGGTAGGATCTAAAGTAAACGCTCCTATGAACGACAAACCCTTCTCTGAGAGATATGTTGGCGAAGTGGACCTACCAGAAGGTAAACATATACATTCCAGCATTCAGCATCGGCTTTCGTTAACATGAACCTGTGGTCCTGTAGATATGGAACCGTTGCTGGGGGAGTCCAAGCGGCGCCTGGTGCTCTTCCCCATACAATATCCTGAGGTATGTATCGTCGTATGACATGCACATTCCATCATAACTCGCTCCCTAGATTTGGCAGATGTATAAGAAAGCTGAGGCCTCCTTCTGGACAGCAGAAGAGATTGACCTCTCCCACGACCCAATGGACTGGAACCATCGCCTGAACGACGACGAGCGACATTTCGTCTCCCACGTACTCGCCTTCTTCGCAGCTTCAGACGGCATAGTCAATGAGAACCTTGTTGAACGCTTCTCCGCGGAAGTACAAGCTGCAGAAGCCCGATGTTTCTATGGGTTTCAAATCATGACTGAGAACATCCACGCCGAAACTTACAGTCTCCTAATCGATACATACATCAAGGATATTAACCAACGAGAGTACTTGTTTGACGCTATCGAAACCATACCATGTATCAAGAAGAAGGCAGATTGGGCCCTTCGTTGGATCTCAGACAAGGACTCTTCATTTGCCGAACGACTAGTCGCCTTCGCTGCCGTCGAGGGCATATTCTTCTCTGGATGCTTTGCGGCCATTTTCTGGTTGAGAAAGCGTGGTTTGATGCCTGGATTGACATACTCGAATGAACTTATTAGTCGGGACGAAGGTCTCCATACCGATTTTGCTTGCTTGCTATTCCAACATCTCAGGAGGCAGCCACATCCTAACATCATACTGAAAATCATCACTGAGGCTGTCAATATTGAACAAGAGTTTTTATCAGGTAGGATAATCCACTTGTTCACTGTTGCAGCTAGGCTAATAATTGATTCGTAGATGCATTGCCTGTGGGCCTCATAGGCATGAATTCTACCTTGATGTGCGAATATATCGAGTTTGTCGCAGATCATCTTCTGGTCTGCCTCGGGAATCCAAAACATTACAACTCAGCCAACCCGTTCGACTTCATGGAGCTAATCTCCATGCAAGGCAAAACCAACTTCTTCGAGAAGCGTGTGTCTGAGTACTCCAAGGCGCACTTGAGCCGATCGGCCTCTCCAAGAGTAGGAACACCATTGGCGCCAACGCCTTTACGGGCCTTGTGAGTGTCCCTTTCAGTTGAACATAACATGTCGCTTACTGGTCCGTTAGCAATCTAAATGAAGAATTCTAGTCCCAGTTACTGCCGACTTGCTTCACTGTATCATTGCCCCACACGCATACTCACTGTATCAATATCACGGACTCACTTAGTGGGACCATCGCCTCCTATACTTCTGTACTGCTGAACTATAAAACAGCACTCCTATACTACATGTAATATACAGAGAAAGCTTCACATGGCCGTGAACTTTTACTTCTTTGAAATATGAACGACTATAAGATACATTGGTTGTCAATATCATGCTGGAAAAAGCGTGAACAATATGGATACGTACCATCCTCGTCTTCTAGCACATGCTCCAAGCCAACTTTCTGGCCTCTTGTGTGTTTCGCACTAGCACCCCATACGACAGCGCTTCAAAGCAATAATCAGTAATCCACGTTCGCAACCCGTGCACGATGAGAGCGATACTTACTATTTCAGTTGCTTGGCAATTTCTTTGTGAATGGAATTACAGAAATCCTCTATCGTGCACTTCCCTCTTCGCAGAACGACGGGCTGAGAATAATCGGGTGCCTGTCCTCGTGGTTTCGTGTACACTCGGACAAGATTTAACGTCTCCCACATCTTCTCGACCAGTTCGTCGACGTTCAGCCATTCTTTTGAGGAAATGGGGACGCTCATGGGGATCTTATAAAGCAAGTCGAGTTCTTCAATCGAGATGGCATCGATCTAAACGGGGTTTGTCAGTATCACGGACAAGATCAACGTTGAATCTGCTACAGACTTTGTTCAGGACATAGATCGCCGGAATATAAACGCTATATGACAGTGTCAGGTGAAGCCAATGGTCGGACAAAAGCCTGAAAGCGTACCGATTGCCTTCGACTACGTCGACAAGATCATCCGCGGTAGCATTTGGCTGACGAATAGCTACATCAGCATTGTTCATCTTGTACTCGCTAAGGACGGCCTTGATTTCTTCATGGTCGATGTTGGTTAACGGCACAGTGTTCGTAATGGCGATTCCACCCTTGTCCTTCCTGCGAACTGTGATATTTGGAGGTTTCTTGTTCAGTCGGATTCCAAATCCTTCCAACTCGGACTCGATGAGCTTCTTGTCACCTAAAGGCTTGAGTACATCAAGGACAATAAAGATGAGGTTGCATGTCCGTGCGACTAGGGGAGATGAGTGAATGTTGCATGACGTCTTCAGAAATTTGCATACCAGCAATGACTAAGAAAAGATATTTTAGAGAAACAGTTGACTGCGAGAGCGCGAGAGTGCATGTAACATACCTTGACGACCTCGCCCTCGACCGTCGTTGGCACCTTCAATGATACCAGCTAAGATGATCATGAATAAGCACGATATTGCTTGAACTTGAGAAGATTCAAAGCGTACGTAGATCGAGAATCTGTATTGGTGCACCATGTACCTTGACGGTTCCCGGTACGGTCGTAAGGGTTGTGAAGTCAATTTCCGAGGTTTCCGAATGTGTACCAGTCAATTTGGACATTAGTGTAGACTGATTGATTGTGAGGGCGCCGAATCGAAAGAATAGCGAGGACAGCACACACCTTGCCCACTGAAGGGAAGCCCACGAAGCCGACCGACGCTATACCCGTTCTCGCAACATCGAAGCCGAGGCCACCACCTCCGCCGCCTCCGGTAGAAGGAGAGATGAGCTCTCGTCTGAGTTTTGCGAGCTTGGCCTTGAGCTGTCCTAAGTGATAGGACGTGGCCTTGTTCTTTTGCGCTGGATGTCATGCTAGTCAAGACAAATGTCAAGGTGTGGGACAGAGAACATACTCCTGGCCTGAAGGCTATGGTGAATAATACACGGTGGTTCACGACCTATGGCTACTTACCATCTCATCTTCGACTTCCTGCGCATTGTTTGGCGGTAAGCAAGCGTTCAGGATGTTGTAGGACAATACCGTACCTTTATTTTCTGGACGGTAGTCATTTTTGCAAGTTATTTGACGGGGGCTATTGTGGCTGTAAATGGAGAAGAATGGATAATAGACGCCTGGTAGGAGAGATGGCAACGCGGGGATGGCTGCTTTCAGTCACCCACGGCCACCACATTCGCTTGTCCTCTGCTCCGTTTCAACTCGTCGCTACTACCAGCCCCAGTGGTGCGCTCTCTCTCTTGCCACCACTAGCTGCCCTATAGCTTCGCCTACTCTCCTTCATCCAGTCGTTCGTTGCCCACCATTGCTTCCCCGCTGGCTGGCCAGGACCCTGCCTCCCTTTTCGCAGTCCTTTCAAGGCGCCACTCATTCGCCTTAACACCCTGACAATACCGCTAAACAGCCCCCCTCTTCCCACCTTTCTCGTGACACTATGTGCTCCGGTGGAACATGGAAGCGTGAGGTCGTCCCCGACCACAAGGTAACGTTGCTTCCAATTGGCCCGCTTCCTCTCCGCTCACGAGAGCCCAATATGGGACCACTAGTTTGACTTCGTCGATACTCGAGAGTTTACGGACAACAGCTTTGGCATGCGCTTCAAGTATGTTCGCTTTCTTTCATGTTAGCCACTTTATAGCCGCACTACCCGCGCGAGATCGAGATCTTATACCTCCACAACTCTAGGGAAACAATACTGACGTTGAACACCACAGGTATCTATGGCTCTACATAATTATTCTCAAAGATTTCCTTGTCTATGTCTCCGATATCTTCACCGCAGTTACCATGTTGTCCTCTGACGCGTGGTCCAATGCCATCTTCCAGAGTTGTCCGCCTGACCAGGCCAACGGATGTGTCTATATTCCCTTCAAAATTGGAAAATGGCTGTTCTTTGGCTGTATTTGCTTCTCCTTCCTGCTAGTATGTGTCACTCTCCTAATAACTTTTATATGTGCTTGACGCTTTTCGCAGCTCGCCTACGAGGGTTACAAGGCGAAGAAGATCATTGCGAGTCGAGACATCTCGTACGCCTTCACAAATGTAATGGCTAACAATTATTATTCCCTCAGTAAGTCCGTACGACGTCTTTGTACCCTTTTAATTGTTGATGTTGTGTTTGAACAGGATCTTACGATCATTTCTGCTTCTTCAGCCACATCTCGAATTCGACAAAGCGGATGGACGATTTTGCTTTCTTCGTCTTCTTCACATTTAAGAGTGCGTGGTCTCCTCGTGTTGAATATCGCTCCACTCATGTTTGTTACAGGTTGGAAACGGTTGTTGCTTGCTGATGGTCCTCGTCAGTCAATCAACGCGCTGACGTTGTATGGGTTCTATCTCTCGAAAGAGGACAAAGGCGCTTGGTATGACATCTCAAAGTACTTCGAGCATGACGATCTTGTCACAAACGCCCTTACCGTTTCCACCGCATTCACTGTTCTCGTCTTCGCCGGTTCTCTCCTGCTGCTCGTCGCGGCTGCTCTCTGCTATGTTCCGCTTCTGTGCCATATTCGTGGTAACCTCAAGGAGTACTGTTGCCACAAAGTTGACAAGGTCCATCTCCATTCTCTGTACATGCCTTTACCACACCTCATACTCACACTGTTTATAGCGTATCACGGAAATCATCAAGCGCAGGAACAAGCAAAGACTTGCAAAGGCTGCTGCTCTTGCCAAGAAAGAAGCTGCCGGCGACTTCTCGCACCTGAAGAACAAAAAGGGTGAAATGGCACAACCTTTGCCCCAACCAACTCTTCCAAACGTCTCCATTGAGGATGAGTTCGACGATACATCGTCGATGCGCACCAGGGGACCTCCACCCAGCACTTACACAGCTCAGAGTGACTATTACTACGGTGATCGCAAAGACTATCCTGCCAGCGATTATCCTCCCATGCCCGCATACAATCAGCCTTACGGTATTAACTATCCTCAAGGCTACAACAACCAGTTTAACCCATCCATGGGGACTCTACCCGATGAGCCAACGCTTTACGATGATGACTATGGTAGCACAGCGCACCTTGCACTCGCTGCGGCTCCCTATGCCGGAGACGACACTGGCGCATATCAGAATCACCACGGATACTCTAATCGACAACATTCAGCCTACCCATCGCAAGCGGCACCGTCGCGTAACCAGGCATTTGCAGCTGACAGCCAAATTGCCTATGACGATGCGCCAGCGTATCCTGCTAACCCGCAGCAACGACCACATGCGAATGATCCTTATGGATACCAGCATGGTCCACAACGGCGGAGTGACACAAGTGATGGGTATGACTATGGTGCAGGGCATACGCATGCGATGTAGTCTCTCGTTACAGACTTTCCCTTCTTTGTGCATATTACTGTCGTCTCTCATCTTCGCCTCACGCATTTCCATCTTATTCCTTTTTCACCGTACTGCAGAGCAATCCTTTATTTTTGGCGCATCAGTAGAATCGCTTGTATACATAGCTTCCCTTCCTCGGACAGAATGCGGGACTCGGGTTCAACGTATCATTGGACGATCATGATGACCGGTAAAAGTATACGGTACTTTATATATACTTTACTATGTACTTGAGCTCGCAACCTGGACACGGGCCCTGCGCCGTTCTTCCCTCTCGACTTCGGCTTTCTGGGCACGCCAGGCAGGGCCTCGTTGAGCTTTGGGATTTGGGAGAGTAGGTTTTCGTAGCGGTCCAATGCGATTCCATGGCCAGACGATGAATGTCAACTTCGAATCAATGAGAGCTAGTGGGATCTGGATAGAGATCTTCAAACAAGGCTATTGTGGGTAGTTGTACTTGAACATACTGGACCGAAGTGATTACTGTCTTCTGACTTGAACGGCTCGTCGCCTTCCACCCACGCGTACCCCTCTGGGATTTTGACTTCGGGATCTGGGTATGGTGGTAAAGTCTTGACCTAATAAACGCAGATCATTGTCTACAAAATTGAGATATTGGAGACGTAATTCTTGTGCACCTTGTCTCCTTGCAGTGCAACGATTCGTTTAACAAGAAGCTTCGAATCATATGGTGATCTGTAAATAATACAGTAGTTCAGCGATTATGGAACATATTAGTTCAACCGTGAAGTACTTTATAGCGACAACGTCTCCTCTATTATAGTCCCGCGAGGCCTTCACAGACCATCGGTCGAAGAGCACTATATCATGCCAAACAGAGGAGTCAGGATTGAGTGTAGGCTAGCTGGCCATAAACATTCATTCACACATGTCACTTAGAGTGAAAAGTAAGATCTAACCTGCATGCTCCTGCCCGTCACGGACTTGACGGTATACAGCAATTCTGTGAAGCATATGCCCATTGGGAGCCAGAATAGTGTCGAGAATGTCCATTTCAGTGCCGGTCTTGATGTCATTTCTCTCCATCTTGTACGCAGCATTGCCAATGAGGATCGAAGGGCAGCCATTCTGTTCTTACCGGGTCGAAGACGTATAAAGCATCACAGTGGCAGAAGAATGAAAATACGCTAAGCAACCGGTGAAGCGCGCGCCGATCATTAGGCTCATTCACAGAGGACCCCTGCTAATCCCCCCAAAGGTCTTATGCCAAGAGTGGTCAATTTCGGGCATGGGGGTTTGGGCCGTTTTGACCACTTTTCGGGCATCCGGCCTGTAGGGTTTCCAAATATTGTCAGTTTTCGGGCCTGCCGCGCATAAGACATCCTAGGCGCTTAACGGGTGCTCTCCATTCCGCTGCCCATTTTCGGCGGTTGTGCCAATCAAAACCACTTTTCCTACATAGTTTTGGCGTTTCCAGGAGGATCCCCATCATTTTTTCCCTTCGATACCCAATCATAGCCCACGACGTCACGAAGAGCATCAGAAACCCTCGAAATTCGGGCATCCCACCTCAAAGTTTACCGCAGAACCTTCACATTTCGGGCATCAATGGCACATAGGATCGGAGGTCAAAGTGACGAAATTTCGGGCATCCGGCCTGAGAGACCCCTCACCAAAGTCGCAAAATTCGGGCGTGCCAGCCTAAGACCTTGAGGGGGATTAACAGGGGTCCTATTCACAGAAGCTGCATCACTGAGTAATGTTTGATGAGCACGATCCGACGTATGTTATCAGTATTGACAGAGCAAACGGTGCCCCGGGGTATCCCCACTGAACGTGACCGACGAAGAGGATATTACAACTTGAGACAAGACGTGCTACCGACTGAGAGATGCTACATTCCAGCTTCAATTTTTTTTTTTGAAATTAAGTTTGAATCCGGACTACTATGTTGTGTCAAATATCAACGATCGAGATGCGAACTTGAAGGGGTGAACACCGGAAGAGTTACCTATACAAAGAGGGAGGAGCGAGCGCGAAACCCAGATAAAAGTGCACTATTAGACGGAACTACAAGCGCGGGGCGAAACGAGGGGACTTAGTATGTTGAAATGAATGTGAGGAAAGGGTTGAAGGGGCGCAGGCAAAAAATAGGGAAGATTACGAGCTAGTAAGTAAAGGGCGTTATGAATAAGAGGCAAATCAGAACTCGAATGAGAATACAAAGGGAGATGAGAGACGAGGATGAGAGACGAAGGAGATAGGTGACATAGAGGCTGAAGGTGAGAGGGTTGGACTGGCGTGAGTGTACTTGTGATCCAGCCGGGAGAAGGTGTCCTTGAATCGACGCGTAGCAGTGAAGTATGTGAAGAGGACCGCTCGCGCTGTCTGACTGAGTTTCGGGTTTAAGAAGTCAAATTGACTCAACTTATAGACTCTTTGTGACAACGATAGTGCTACCAGAATGGAGAAGATCAGGCTAGTACAATAACTAATGTGGGAAATGCATGTGTCCCTCTCTGCGTCTTACCCAGACCTTCAGCGGTTCGGTGAATATCGTAAAGATACTACAGGGGTTCAGAATGCGGCAAGACCACCAGGCGATTTATCGGTGCGCACAGCACTTATCAACTCATCTAGTCAGAAACCCCGCTCCCTGAAGCTTTTCAAAGCATCGATCGCGCATTCGCTTAAGCCTCGGAACTCCTTCAATTTCAGGTCCTTCTTCGCCTTCGTCGCATCGCAGAATGGACCTGGAAAGCTAAATTTGGGAGCATCGGGATCACCGTAAGGTACCCCACTTGCGTCGGGATCGGCGGAGTGTATGGCATCAACTGTTTAGATGTAGCATGGTTGTTATCAGTAAGCGAAGCTATAACCAACGGAAAACTGGACTTGCAAAGATTCTGATACGTGAATGCCCCTACATAAATCGTGAGATACCCGTAAGGCATTGACATGATAAGGTCCATACCTGCATCCAAAATGAACCGTTCTCCACCGGCTTCCTCGGTCCTGAGTGCAGCAACAAACGCATCCGCAGCGTCACGTACGTCTATAAACTCAGATGCATAGTCGTTCACCTTGTCCTTCTCGCGCTCTGTTGTCAAAAATTGGTAGAAGATCTTAGCAGATAGATTTAGGTTATCGACCGAGTTGCACTGTTGAAATTACAAGTCAACATAAAGCCGCGGGATCAGGACATCCACATACATCATGAATGATAGGCTATTATGTGCGGAAGTGTCAGCAAGAGCCATATTGAACTCTTCAAAAGTAAAGGCGATTCGTACCCCAAACATCTGAAAGAAGAACACGTTAATGATACTCCAAAAGATATTATAATTACATACCCATACGGGAACAATGCGAGTAGCATCCCAGCCAATTTGTCCCTTATGCTTTTCGGTAAAGTCGATGATTGCACGTTCGGCCAGAACCTTGCTGGCGGCATACAAAACTTGCCCGTCAGCCTGGCTTCCCTTTTCCTTGGCCTCGGCCACTGCGTTATCATTCCAATCGTCCTATATGGAAAACTTATGAATAGAGATATAATATGCCTTCGAAGAGATGCAATGTACTTCTGTGTAGATATGAGTGAGTGGTTTGCCAAGCATGGCTTGAGCAGATGACATGTAGATGAAACGTTTGACATTGGTGCTAGATAGGGAGATGTTCAGCATGGATAACACACAAGTAAGAACCACGTACCCGTATTTGAGAAGTGTCTGTAATAAATCCACAACACTGTCCGTATTGGGGCCGAAGATTGCTAAACGACGCTGATCCATAAATATGTATCTCAATTGGCGAACGAAATAGCTGGCCCTACCAGCTTGATCAACGGAAGGGGCGAAGTGTGCCACTCCGGCCTGTCATACCATCATTGGCGATGATAGTATAGAGCAGAATCGCTACATACGACATGCACGACAGCAGATACTTCGTCGTTCACCACCTTGTCAAAGGCTCCGAGCTAAGAGAATGTAGAATACATTAACGAGTGTGGTAGCGTTATCGTTACGATCTGTTACCTTGGAAGTATCCTCAATGATCACAGCCTTGAATCGATCATCGTAGGACTTGAACAAATTGTTCAGGTATTGCGCTTTAGCCAGGGAGCGCACAGTTCCATGCACCGAGTATCCCGCGTCAAGAAAGGCACGGACGATCCATGCACCACTGAAACCTGAAGCTCCGGTGACTAACACAATGGAGGGTGGTTGGACGGCGGGCATGTCGATAGGTCGATGAGTTTCGCAGTAGCAGCGAAACGATATAAAGCCTGTTGACAGGAAGAACGAAGTATGGAGCTGAAAGAACAACCTGGCATATAAAGGGAAGTCGAGCAACCAGTTCTTCTGTATCACACACCCCATGAAGGCTTAGCTATAGGATCCGAACATTACTTCCACAGTCGCGGAAGATGACGTTAGGAAGACATAGCTGTTGAACAATCAGATATCTGAACCCTGAACCTAGTACGCTGTGAGAACAGACAGTTCCCGAACATCAGGGACGTGAGTGAAGACGAAATGTCCCATGTGCCCATCAGAGGATGATCAGAAAGGGTCCTAGTCTACCATGATGAAGAAGTCAACGCGCAGCAGATTGAAACGAAAGCAAGACGTGAAATTGTGGCGTCCGTTGCCTATATAAGGACAACAGCAAGATAGAGGTCGTTGATCATTCGAACGGCATACCATTAGGTTGCCGAGATGTAACCGAGAGCGCTAAAGCTTTTCACTGCAGATGATCGTATCTTGAAAGATTTGAAGCGTACATATAGTTTGCGAATTGTAGCAGCGGTTACTATACGTGGCTTCGGATATTTTAGCGGAGGTAGCTGTTACTCGATCTCAACTTCGGCTTTCTAGGCACGCCAGGCAGGGCCTCGTTGAGCTTTGGGATTTGGAAGAGAAGGTTTTCGTAGAGGACCAATGCGGTTCCATGGCCAGACGATGAATGTCAACTTCGAATCAATCAGAGCTAGTGGGATCTGGATAGAGGTCTTCAAACAAGGGCTATCACGGGTGGTTGTACTTGAACATACTGGACCAAAGTGATTACTGTCTTCTGACTTGAATGGCTCGTCGCCTTCTACCCATGCGTACCCCTCTGGAATTTTCACTTCGGGATCTGGGTATGACGGTAAGGTCTTGATCTAAGAACACAGATCATTATCTACAGAATTCAAATATTGGAGACGTAGTTCTTGTGCACCTTGTCTCCGTGGAGTGCGACGATTCGTTTAACAAGAAGCTTTGAATCATAGGGCGATCTGTAATAAACACAGTAGTTCAGCGATTCTGGAACATATTAGTTCAACCATGAACTACTTTATAGCGACAACATCTCCTCTATTATACTCTCGCAAAGCCTTCACAGACCATGGGTCGAAGAGCACTATATCATGCCAAACAGAGGAGTCAGGATTGAGCGTAGGCTAGCTGGCCATAAACATACATTCGCACATGACACTTAGAATGGAAAATAGGATCTAACCTGCATGCTCCTGCCCGTCACGGACTTGACGGTATACAGCAATTCTGTGAAGCATATGCCCATTGGGAGCCAGAATAGTGTCGAGAATGTCCATTTCAGCGCGGGTCTTGAGGTCACTTCTCTCCATCTTGTACGCAGCGTTGCACATGAGGATCGAAGGGCTGGCATTCTGTTCTTACTGGGTTGAAGACGTATAAAGCATCACAGTGGCAGAAGAATGAAAGTAAGCCAAGCAACTGGTGGAGCGCTTGACCGAACTAGCCGATCGCTACTATGATCGAATGCCAGTTCACTACCGTTGCAGTGTGAAGTTTGAAGACAGTTGAAGCGAACGAGATTCTACTCTACAATAGTACATATTGATACATATTTGCGAAAAGACATCACTATATCTCTAAGAGATGACCAGAAGCCCATAGTGTAGACTACAACACATACGCGAGGTAGAAAATGACTTCCTTCGCGAGCGGTAGACCTAAGCCATGAACAACAGTCTTGACAGCGCGTCGAACTGCTGGTCGACTCCATTCAGAAGAGGACTGCCGAAATATTTTAGCAGCTAAGCGACAAAGTGAATCACTTTACGTACGGTAATAGGTTTGACTATAGCCATCTCATCCCTCACAGAGTCCAGCAACTGAATTTCTTGCAGATCAGCTAAGGGGATGTCGGGATCTGGGGCTAGGAAGAAGACTTAATTGCGAATCACTGATACGCAGATATCCACTTACAAGACCCTTCATAAATTCCAGCAATTGAATGTTCTGGGTGCGAGAAGCAGGCAAATCTGTACTTGTCTAGCAATGGCCTGCACTTCTCCAGCGGATGCCAAGTGTAGTCTTCCGGGTCGGCAAGGTATGAAGGGGAGTAGTCGCCTTTGTAGCGCATCTTTTGGCATGTATGGATATAGAACCCTGGGTCCAAGGGATGTAAATAACCAGGATGACTCCGTATCAACCAAACATACCCATGTACAGGAATTGCATGTCAGGGGCACCTGCATCATGTATCTCCTTTGCCAGCGTAACTTCTCGAAGTGCACTTAGCTGTTACGCGAAAATTAGCTGACACTGATTGAATATGCGAGCCTGTCTGACTGCTTACCTTGCCAAGCGAGAAGTGTTCCCACTTCTTGTTATACATGAAATATACGCTCGATACACAATGCGGAAGGATATCGATGATACCCATACCGATCAATTCACCGTCTAATCTGTAGAGCTGGTGATAGGAACCATACTCTTCGGGTAAATGCGCTGGCCTATCACTAGGGTAAGGAATTGGTTCACGCTAGACAGTCCGAATTCTGTCTTCTGCCGGAAAGTTGCCAAAACATATTTGTGCACTTACGACCAATGGCGATTCAACAAGAAATCCGATAAAGCCTTTTGGCTTCTTCTTCTCGTTTTCGTGATGTATCTCTTTCTGATACGATTGATAGAGATTGAATTTCTCTTCTGTATACGAAGAAGGTTCTAGGGTGACCTATCCACGGGAACCGTCAGTTACGCAATGCATGAAAACATCAGATGTACCTCAAATTTATGTTTCGCATCTTCATCTTGTAGAAAAGCCACCTCGGACGCGTGCAGTGCAGTCTTGAGAGAGAATTCAGCCTGTTTCTTGGTCTTACCCTTCTGAGGTTGGGTACTGCATTAGAGACCAAGTTCAGCACTCATCTGAAATGCGTTGTACCAGTTCGACCAACCCACGGTGAGCTGTCTTTGCTCCGGGAGAATCAACCTCCATCGAATCATCGCCATCCCCCTGCAAAACGAAACGGTTGAAGCTATGTGGCGGTTTGTCACTTTGTCCCCGACATGTCAGTCAAGCGGCCTACCGGTTCACCAATTTACGCTGGCTCTTAGAAGGCTTGTACTGTAGAGCATCCAGCCTATAATGACGCATGTGGTCACAAAGCCAGCCTCGCAGGTTTGCAACACATAGGGTATTCCATACGCACTTGATCGTGTACTGCGGGCAACATGATCGTTTGAGGTCCGGCTTATAACAATATGTACCAGACCGCCTCCAGCCACGGTCAATCATTTGTTGGTAAGTCTAGGGGTTAATAGTCAAGCCGCTATGAGCACATCAACAAGGCAAAAGAGCGGCACCATGCAGGAAAGCTGAGTTGGCTGAAGTTCAGCTGCATGACAGTTCGTCCTCGCGACGCTGCGCTGGCCAGGGGGACCGCAGTAGCCACACGTACCGTCGTGCGGCGTAAGAGGAGAGATTATCGAGAGTACGCTAGACATTGTGGAAGCAACTTAGGTATAAAGTTGCCCATGAACTTGAAAGTCAAAGTCAAGTAGTTGAAGGCCGAGCGCCCACTCTGATCGACACGGTTATATACGATCGCGATTTTGCAAGAGTAACGGTGAATGTATTAGAATAAGTACAAGTACATAATATGGCCGATGATGCAAGTGTATACAGGTGCAAATGCATGAGTGGAGAACAAAAAAGCAAAACGAATCCGAAGTCGTCACGATACCGTAAGGAATGTCCCAATGAGTAGAGTAATCTAAATCATGAAAATCGTATATCAGCCCCAGCCATCCCACCGACCGTATCTCCGGTACTCCCTCAGGGTGCATTCTCGACTCTCCTTGCTATCGTTCTCCCTCTCCTTGCCTTTGTCGAGGCGACTAGAGTGGGAAGATGAGCTACCTGATCTCGGCCTTGGACCAGCAAATCCTTTCAGGCTAGGTGGTGAAGACGGCAGGGGAGACAATGTGTGGCCTGCAGTGCTTGATGCGTTAGATGGAGTCCCCGACCGAGGCAAAGAAAGTCGATACCACCCTCCGGTATATGTCAATGCGATGAGTTGGTACTCAGGAGGACCTTCCTCGTCGTCCAAAGGACCTTGGATCCAACCAACAACACATTTCTCCTCATCCACAACATCAGCAGTAGGAGACTTCGATGGAGATGCCGACATTGAGATATGGGCCGTCTGAGCCGGGATTCGATACTGAGCATAAGACCACTCCGAGCCAAAGTACTTTGGCAAAGGTATGTATGGAGTCAACGGGGAGAACGTGGAATGGCGGTTGCTAAGTCCACTTCCGCCCACTAGGGCAAATATGTGAACAGTGCCCTTGTCGCTCCAGACGCAAAGCTCCTTCTCGTCCGGTCGAAAGGCTACTCCGTAAATCTCGGCCTTATCTGTGCCTCGTCGGAGTTCACGAACAAGCTTGCCTGTGAATGCATCCCATACCCGAATTAAGGTACCTCTAGATGAGGCCGTAGCTAGCAGACGCCCCGATGGAGGGACAGACAAGGTCGTAAGTGCACTCTCATGTGCTGCGATAATGGACACAGGGTGGTGTGTCGGAGGGGGTGGAGGACGCGAAGGGAGGGAGGATGGAGGTGGTCCGAGCGGTTCCGGTGGCGTACATGGAGGTAAATGTATCAGTTGTACATGTCCCATTTGCCGGCCTGGGATAGCTAATAGTGTAGAATACGCCGCTGTGGCAAGTGTAAGTAGACCTAACGAAGAGTATGTGCTCAGTTTCTCCCCCAACTCGATCTCTACCACGACACTGTCGGACAAGCTCACCTCTTGGGTTATCACAGGTGTCCCATTCCGCATATCTGGATACTACAGTATCCAGCTTAAACACAACTACTCTTCGCCGGAGTGCAACCGCCAGCCAACCTCGCCTGCATGCAAGCCCTCGTACCCGCTCTCTGAACTCGAGTTCCGCCACTTCCTTACCCTGAGCGTCGTCCCACAGTACGACCTTGTTAGGTGGGTATCTTGGGCTACGACCACCTCCTAGCAGGAACAACAGCGACGATGAATGTAATGGGACAGCAGCAGCCAAAGTGCCACCGGTGATCTCTAATTCTCAAGTCAATACACATGGAATGCGTCCACAATGATCCATATCACATGTACCTCGTTTCCGGAGTAACTTCAATGGTCGTGCTCGATATACGGCGAACCCTGTTGGAGTACATGTAGTGAAAAGTTGACAGTCTGCGTCGAAACGGGAGTCGAATATGAGAACTGGAGCAGTTGAGCTGATTGAATGTCGCGCGAGGTTCATCCAGGAGATGTCAGGTAGAGGTCAGAGGCAAGCCGCACTCCACGAGTTTGCAACTGCGGTGTCGCGATTCTATATATGCAGATACGCAAGAAATGAATCAAATTCGGAATCCTGACCGGGACTGAGCAAGAGTATAGACAATGAGGCTCAAGGAGCCATGGAGGCATTCCAAGTACAGATATGGTACCAACGGAGATATCGGTACTATTTGTAGGGTACGCCTGGGTGCGCTCGGCTCAGGCTTAGTAGTGAATGCAATATTCGTCGCCAGACATGACGGAATCGTCAAAAGATAGTCATTTGCAACAATACAGAAAATACATATTCAACCTGATGGACCTAAAGATACTTGAGATACTTCCTACATATGCTAGGAATCCAGTGTGCTTAAGTATCTGCTACAAATGATGCCCTATGGAAACAGTGAGAGTTACGAAGTCGAGACAGAGAGAGGGAATCTTTGGATACAGTCAGGTATTGTGTCAATAGTACAGTTAACCTCTGGAAGGTGAGGTCAAGCCATAAGGCGAAGCATACGAGGTATGGGAATAATTCTGAGACTGGGACTGAGTCGCCTGTGATCGTGGAGTAGCATTAACGCTCCCGGTCCAAGACTTTGGCGGATGCAAACCAACGTGTGCAAGTTGTTGTCGAGCAGCCTTGAACTCGAGTTCCTCCATCTGGTTTTGGGCAGCTTGAGCGGCCTTGATTTCTGCCTGTCGCTGTAATTCCGCTTCCGATTCATCAGAAAGGTAATCCGTGAACCCACCGTCCGAAATGACGGTAGTTTCAGAATTACTGCCACTGCTATCGCTCGAAGCACTCGATATGCGCACTGCAGCCATCGAGTTTTCGAGCGAGCGGCGGGAGGGCGTATTCAGGCTCTGGCGCTCCAAAGGGCGAGAGACGGGAGGAGAAGGCGGCTTAGAGGAAGCAATAGGAGGAGTGCTAGGTGCAGCACCAACGCGACGACGGGCTGGTTGTGCATCAATGTTAACCTTTGAGAGGTACATGGATGGCATGGCAGCAGAAATGGATGGACGACGCGTGATGGCAACGGGTCCAGAACCGGAGCCTTTTCGCGAAAGAGAACCGCCTAACTCAGCGTACTTGCGACCAGGGGACATCTTTGCTTCATAGGGGGCTTCGCCGCGCTTATCGGTGCGAGCGTCAATAGTGGTGGAACGGCGATGCAGAAACAGCTGATCCAGAGTGGACGTATTGGGCAGGGAAGACGAAGTGGTATCACCGCCATCGTCTCGTGAGGTATCGCTCGTCAAAGATGAAGCCAGCTGCTGAGGACTCCCACCGGATCTGGCAAAGGGAATAGTCATGGGAGCAGTCCGTGTGGTCAAAGTGTCATTCCGGGTGGGAGTACCAGCGTTATAGGTAGCTCTACGAATGGCTGGGGGTGTAGAGGACTGAGTCGGGTTCCCCCGGAGGCTTCCAGAGGGAAATGGAGGGGATGTGCTGCCTCTGGGGGGCGCTGGGGTTGAAATGCTGTCTAACAGAGCCTTTATATCGGGTGGAATGGGTACACGATGGACAAGACTAACGGCCGGCCAGTCTGCTGCGCCGACGAATCTGTGCTCTTCAGGCGTTGGAGGTCGGCAGCAACCGGGCCAACCATTGTTGTTGTAGGATCCTGCCTTTGCAGGGTTGAGTCTCGCCCACTGTACCGAGTTGGTTATCAACAAAATCGGGAAAGATGAAAGGCTTAAAACACACCTTGCAATAACCGCAGCCGCTGAAGAGTTGCACTAATGCATCAGTGGAGGCCATGATGAGTGATCCGTTGTGCTTGGAAAGTCGCAAAAGCGGTTGCTCACCCTCAGGGTTCTTCAAATAGACGACATCGTGTTTAGGATGCAATGCCCTGTTCCGACAGACCTCCCTCTTATGTGGACACCTGAAACAAAAGGTTCCAGTTGTGTGATAGAAATGACGTGGGATATGCAAAGTACCTCGAGGCGCTAGGTTTGAAGACCTTGCACATTGGGCATACCGCAATAGCTTGATCACGCGAACCGTACGCACAACACATAGCGAGAGAGCGGCCCAGAGGATGCAGCAGAAGAGCAATAGGGGCTGCGAAGGTCTCAGAGGCAAGGGAGACAAGAGCTAAAGCGGGGTATATAGGTGATTGCACTGAGAGATTCTGGAAGAACGCATATGCATGCGGTCCCTTTTCTCGTTGCTGATCAAGTTCATTTAGGCGATTTGTGGCTTTGAACGGACAGACGCAGGCAAGCAGGAGGGAGAGGGCACTTTTGCAGTGGTATTCAGCTGGTAAAGATTGTTTACACAGGCTCTCTTAAAAAAGTGCTTCGTTTCGACGTCCTCGCTGCCTCGAGGCAGCAGCGTGCAGGCGGAAACGATCAGCTAACTCTTATCGGCATATAAATATTCACAATTGGGGTTGTCGGCTGGTCTATGTTACGGCAGGGTGAACCCTGCAGGAAGAGTACTCGATGTTCTGTATGTTGATAGACCAGAGGCTCTGTTCACCGGGGCTCTGCGCTGGACGAAGAGCAGCAAGCGACTAGAGGCTCGGCGTCCCATATTAATGTTTTTGGATTAGTTTTGAGTATTAGACGCGAAAGCAGATTAGATAAGTGGCTTGTAGTAAGTTTGTATGACGCGCTGAACGATACTACACCGCCTCCAAATCCTTGGCGCTGCCAAATCCAAAGTACTCCCTTCACAGCCAAGTACCCTTCTCAACTCATTTCCCAACCAATGGGTAACAAACAGTCAAAGTTGTCCCCTGAACAGCTCGCAGACCTCCAGAAACATACCTATTGTGGGTGCTGCTTTGCATAAACGTTTTCGCATGACTTATTCGATCACTCATAGTTGACAAGCGCGAGTTGCAGCAATGGTGTGTTCACACATTCCTACCCTTCCACATTCCGTGCTCACTTATGTCATGTTTTAGGTACAAGGGCTTCTTGAAGGACTGCCCGTCAGGCCAGCTCGATAAGACAGAGTTCAGCCGGATATACAAACAGTTCTTCCCCTTTGGTGACCCTGGAGATTTCGCAGACTATGTCTTCAACGTTTTTGACGAGAACAAGAACGGCACTATCGATTTCAAAGAATTCATCTGTGCACTCAGCGTAACAAGCAGAGGACGGCTAGATGAGAAGCTCAAATGTAAGTATTGCGCCTTTGTTGCGACTGTGGCGCACCTAATACGTTAGCGTCAAGGGGCATTCCAGTTATACGACATTGACGGTGACGGCACCATCACGTATGTGGAAATGCTCCAGATTGTTCAGTCAATATACAAGATGACTGGACAGATGGTCAAGCTGCCGCCGGACGAGGATACCCCAGAGAAGGTGTGTCAGCATATACACCCATCAGGCAGTCGATTGACTATCGTGTTGTGGGGTTAGAGAGTGGACAAGATCTTCAAGAATATGGACCGAGACAAGGATGCCAAACTTACGTTCGATGAGTTTGTGGACGGTAGCAAACAGGACCCGACCATCGTGCAGGTATGAGGGGAACATTCGAAACCAAAAGCTCTTGCTGACAAAGTTGCATCTGCAGGCACTATCATTATACGACGGTCTGGTATAGTCGTATCCTTTTTGCTCACCTTTTTTCTTAGCTTTCTTGTAAGGACAATCTGCTCGTTGTAGAAGTCGTCGCCAAGCTGAACCATAATCATTCCAGGGACATTTGGGCCTCTCCCTTCGGCGACACCTGCGGACAGCCCGTCTTTTCTATATATAGCTCCTGCTCGATGGCCTTCTTTCTTTTCTTTTGCAGTCGCGCTCTGCTTCCTGGAGGTACAATACCACCACTGTATAACCTTAATGTACCGCACTTAGCGTGTAGATGGTAGATGTACCTATGATGTTTCAGTAGGTTTCCATTGTAGCAACACTTGGAGATGCATCTGCATTCTCTACATAAATACATACCCACCGTACCCTCTACACTATGAGGTTGGAATGGGTCTTCCGTACTTCTGAAGTATACGAGTATCTGCATCCTTTGCCACCCAGGAATGCAATCCTTCCGAGAATTCCAAGTTGTCTCGTTCCGCTTTAAATAGCTTGTTGTAGTCTTGCGCCTGTCCAGGTTGAGGAGCGGCAGCAGCCGCGAATGGCGTGCTCATGTCTCGCGAGGAATCAGCAGCTATCGGGACAAGAAGCATGTCAGTACATTGGCTGTTAGTAACGTAGAGAAGTTCCGCACCATTTTCGTTACCGAGAATGAGCCGGTATAGACCGTTCAACCCGAAGAAATTCAAGAAGTACCAAGATAACGAGGATACCCAACGGACGTCCATGTCAGGTGTTTCTATACCACGTTGCAGCATTGATTTAAACCCCAAGGTCAAGGGGAATGGCAACTTAACTATGAGACGCATGTTAGTTCCGTAGGATAGGAGGCACTGCGGAAGGATCCTCACTGAGGACGAAGCCTTGGAAAAAGAAGTTGATCCAGCCCATAATGACCATCTGCGGAACCATCATGACCATTTGAGTTTTCATTCCAGCCATCATACCGTCCATAGCAGCAGGGTCGGTCAAAGGGTTTGGAGGTGTAGTGGGTGCGTCGCCTTGTGGTGGTCCATCCTTGAGATAGGTCCCATCTGCGAACGCTTGCGAGAGATACTGTGATATAGATTTGTAGTAAGTTGGGGGTATGGGCGAGCTGCTTGCTGTCGCGCGGAGGATTTGAGAGCGAACGAGGGCACGTCTGGAGGAAAACGTGGGTTCATTGGTGTGATATACGTTGACAGCAGACCTACTGTTCACGAATGACTTCCTTTGGTTGTTTCTTAGGTGCGGACTGGAGAAGTAATACTATGTAGTGTCGTAGTACACCAACCAATATCTGCCCAATGCATTATATGTGGAATTATAGGTGAACACAGAGAGAAAGACTGACCATAACAAGGGTAATGGGAAACAACACCCAGTCCCGGATCTGGGAGTCGAGGTACAGCGATACCCTGTTTGCCAAATATTCATGTCATCTTCCGCCGAACCAGAGTAGACTGAAAACATACGTGTCGCCCGACATGACAACCCGAATGACCTTCCCGGCGAGGTCGATAAAACGTTGTGGTGGCAGAAATGAGAGCGCACGCGTGTAGAAATGATCGACGGCAGGCACCGAGCTCTCGACTGACGCGATCACGGTCCCGACATGATGTAGCTTCAATACCTTGACTCTGTCCTGCACCATTCAAAAGATCCAGAGTGCTTTCCGCATCTTTACCACAGTTTGCATCTCTGAAGTCAATCAAGCTCTCCGTCTCGGCATTCAGCTGCTTTCCTACATTGTCCTGATTTCACAGTGTCGCGACTCGCAATGTCTGGATTCGCAAAACATTTGGATGTCTTGACCCGATCGCAGGACGATTCGGCTGATCGGGACAGAGGCATCCTCGAGGAATGGACCAAGTAATCATCATCATGTTTATTGAGCACTCGACATGACCTCACGCTAACAATATTCCATAGGTTTGCTTCCGACATCCGGGCATCAGGTTCGCTCACCACAGGCGAGCCCGCGCGCACCGGTGTCTGGCGCACCCAAGGTACAGAGACCAGTCCGGATTTTGAACTAACCGAAAGCGAAGACGAATGGGAGTCCGTCTTGGATGTATATCAGAGGGCTGGACCTCTTGTCGAGGAGATTAACGCCACACTTTCTAAATTGCTCTCGTACGTTTCGTGAATACATGCATTTGGTGATGCACGCTAATATTGCTATCAGTAAACCGGACATTGAGCCGATTCTCCAGCCGCTTCATAGTATTCTTTCCTCAAATGCTCCAGACGAACGCATTTCCGAGGAGCTAGTAGAAATGATCGGATTTGACGAGATTGAATTAGCCATGGACCTTCTTAAGGAAAGGCGGCACATTGCGCAGGAAGTGAGTGAGCTACAAGAAATATCTGACTTATTTACTAGCCTGTTTCTAGATTTCTGAGTATCTGCAGAAGAAGGGCTCTCAGCTGCCACAACCACCGCCACAGAAGGGCCCCAGAGCCGATGCACCTGTCGTGTTCGATTTAAAAACTGCTCGAAAACGCAGAGAAGAGACTCTCCGAGCAAATGCGAATCGTCCATTATTTTCTGGCACTGCCGTGAGTCCCACTTAGCGTTGATATGAAGTCACAGGTTACATATAGAACTTACAGGAAGAAGCCCCAGAAGTCCTTCCTCATGTCTACACATCATCGTCTGTGGTGGGAGGAAGCATTCTATCCCAATTTGGTGCCAAGTATGTGTTGCCACTTGGAACAACTCGAGAGTATCGTGAGGTAAGTGGTTCAGGTGCACATAACGATGTGAGATTGATGTCAATATGGTAGGAATACGAAGAAGTCACAATTCCACCAGCAAGGCCTGTTCCTCCTCGTGTCACTGAGCGATTGATTCCAGTATCAGAGCTAGATCCCCTTGCTAAGGGATCGTTTCCGGTAGGCTTCATGCTATAGTAGTATCCGGTTTGCGATATTCATGGATGCGTTGGAGCTAGGGATACACGAGTTTGAACAGGATCCAGTCAATCGTTTATCCGACTGCATATCGGTCTAACGAGAACATGTTAGTTTCCGGTACGTTTCATCACTTACTGTTTACTTTTCAGTAGCTTAACTAATCTGTTGTTAGCCCCCACTGGTGCCGTATGTTCTTTCCCTTGTTTGATTCCACGTAGGATCTAACTTGTGGGACTGCCTTACAGGGTAAGACAGACGTTGCAATGCTAGCCGTGCTCCGCGTCTTGGATCAGCATCGGTCGACCTCAGATACGGTTGTGCCCTTAGCTGGGACCATACGTCGTGATGATTTCAAGATCATCTACGTGTAAGTGAATGACTTAGTTTGACCAATGCATTGGGCTCATTTGACTTCAGCGCACCGATGAAGGCTCTTGCGTCGGAAATCGTCCGAAAACTTGGCAAGCGGTTGCGATGGCTATCCATTAATGTTCGAGAACTCACTGGTATGAGCTTTCGAATTTCATGTTTACTCCGTTCGTGATTGACACTTCCAAGGTGATATGCAGCTCACCAAGGCCGAAATCGCGGAGACCCAAATGATTGTCACGACGCCTGAGAAATGGGATGTAGTCACGAGAAAACCCACCGGTGAAGGCGAACTTGCTTCAGTAGGTATCCATTCCTAAGATTTTTATAACTGGGGCAACTGACATTTTGTCCCTAGAAAGTGAAGCTGCTCATCATCGATGAAGTTCATCTGTTGAATGATGACCGAGGTGCTGTTATCGAAACAATCGTTGCTCGAACGCTCAGACAGGTGCATACCTATTCCAGATAGCATCCTATCAATATTATTGAGTTATCGCTGCAGGTCGAGTCCAGTCAATCTGTAATTCGTATTGTTGGTCTCAGTGCAACACTGCCAAATTATCTCGATGTTGCAGACTTCTTAAGGTGAGACAGTTACACATGTTCTCCATTTGCGTTGGATTCATTACTGCTTTGTTAGTGTTAACCGTCACACTGGTCTTTTCTACTTCGACTCTTCGTTCCGACCGGTACCTCTTGAACAGCATTTTCTCGGCATCAAAGGCAAAGCAGGCAGTCCGCAATCGCGGAAGAATCTGGACAAGGTAGCATATGAGAAAGTCGCGGAGCTTGTACGAGAGGGTCATCAAATCATGGTATTCGTACATGCTCGCAAAGAAACAGTAAAAACCGCACTGGCGTTGAAAGAGTCAGCCATGGTTGATGGTTTATTGGACGAATTCAGCTGTGAAGACCACCCTTCGTTTTCATTGTTCCAGAGAGATATCTCGCAATCTAGGAACAAGGAGATGAAGCAATTATTCGACCATGGCTTTGGAATTCACCATGCAGGTATGTTGAGGCAAGATCGAAATATGATGGAGCGGATGTTCGAGGCCAGAGCGATCAAGGTCATTGTGTTACTTTGTGAAGATTTGCATTATGTTGATTGTCTGTACAGGTCCTGTGCTGCACTGCTACTTTGGCTTGGGGTGTTAACTTACCTGCGCATGCCGGTTAGTGACTTGTTCTAGTCGCATGACCACTGCTCAAACTTAGACCGTAGTGATCATCAAGGGTACCCAAGTATACGACAGCGCCAAAGGTTCGTTCACGGACCTGTCGGTCCTGGATGTTCTACAAGTGTTTGGTAGAGCTGGGCGACCTGGCATGGAGACCAGCGGTGTTGGATATATCTGCACTACGGAAGACAAGCTCACTCACTACCTCGATGCGGTTACTTCCCAAGTAAGTTGCAGTTCTATTCGCTTTACGTTCAGTTCTTAATCGAGTTACTCTAGAATCCCATCGAATCAAGGTACGGTGTCAATCTTAGAATCTTGAATCAACTGCTTACATATGTGCAGGTTTACGACTGGCATGATCGATGCTCTGAATGCAGAGATAGCCTTGGGTACCGTCGCAAACGTTAGGGATGCGGTTCAATGGCTTGGCTACACGTACCTCTATGTGCGCATACGCAAAAACCCATTCCAATATGGTAAGCATGAGTCCGCCTACATTTTTAACCTGAATAGTTCTTAACAATAATGAACGAATGATAGGCCTTACAAGAGAACAAGTTATGGAGGACCCGTACTTGGGCACCAAGCGTACGCAGCTCGTCACAGAGGCCGCAATGAGATTGGCAGATGCTCGCATGATTGCTTTCGATCGTGGTACAGGGTCCTTTGTGATCACTGATCTTGGCCGGATTGCTGCGAAATACTACATTCGGCATGCATCAATTGAGATATTCAACAAGGAGTTCAGACCTCGAATGTCGGAGGCCGATGTCCTGGCTATGCTAAGCATGAGCACGGAGGTTGGTTTTAATTTCTACGGTGGTCGATCACTCTCACCAACGTCATATAGTTCGATCAAATCCAAGTGAGAGAGACGGAGGTCAAGGAGCTTGAGCAAATTATGGAAGTCGTTCCTTGCACGGTGAAGGTCAGTGCTTGAAGTATGCGTGCATATCCTTATCTCATTGAGCAACAGGGAGGGACGGATACCAGTCAAGGCAAAGTCAACACATTGCTCCAGGGATATATCTCTGGACTGCGTCCAGAGGACTTCGCATTAGTTTCTGACCAGGCTTACGCTGCTCAAAACGGTGGACGTATAATCAGGGCTCTTCTTGAGATCGCAATCACTCGGAAGTGGGCCAATGCGAGTGCCGTGCTAATGGGCATGAGCAAAGCAATTGAAAAACGACTTTGGCCATTTGACCAGCCTCTCAAGCAATTTCCCCTCAAGGCCGAGGTGTTCTATAACCTTGAACGTTATGCCGATGAATATACGGTCGCCGAACTTGCCTCCATGACTGCTGCGGAGCTTGGAGAACTGGTCCACTTAAATGAGCGTCATGGAGGTGCAATTCTCGATGCGGCCAAACAATTTCCAACGGTAGCAATCACATATGAGCTACGACCAATAGGCTATGATGTTCTCAAAATAGCTGTCCGCGTTAGTCGAAGATTTAACTGGAGTTCGAAGGTGCATGGATCTGTTGAGCCGTTCTGGCTGTGGATAGAGGATCACGAGGCCCTCACAATCCTCCAGCTATCTCACTTAATTTTCCGACAAACTACAGATACATTGGACGTCGAGTTTGTTATTTCCATTCCGGAGGGCAAACCGCCGCCTTCGGTTACAATACGATTTGTGTCTGATAGATGGATGGGTGCCGAGGATGAAGTCGCTGTGCCTTTCGATTCCTTGGTTATGCCGACTGCCTCTGAGTCTCATACACCCCGATTGGATATCCCGTTCCTGCCCCTCTCTGTTTTACAAGATTCCATTCTCGAGGACTTCTTTGGCCGACATGTGAATAGTCTCAATGCTATCCAATCGCAAATATTCTGGAGCTTGGTGAACACACGCCAACACTCTCTGGTATGCGCTCCGACTGGTTGTGGCAAATCCCTTATTGGACAATTTACTATCTGGTACGCCATTTTACTAGACTCATGGTACACCCACGTATTCACCGGCCTTCATGTAGGCGGACGCTAGACCAATCGAAATCAGATTCATGGGTACTAGTCGTCGTTCCTCGACGCAGTTTAGCGACAGACCTTATGGCCGATCTTCATCCTGTAGCGAGGGTGAAGGGAGTTTCTGTGGAATCCCCTTCTCCAGAAGTAAACCTGCGCTCTCCTAAGGGAAAAACTGTCCGATTAACAACCGCAGCGTCTTTATTGGCTGCCATGTCCCGACTCGGACACGATGCGAGTAAAAGGGGCATTTTCCGAGGACTGCAGCTGGTGGTTTGTGAAGACCTGGAAGTACTCAATGCAACTTACGAACTCGCGGTGTCTATGTTAATGCATGCAACTCAAACACAAACAACACGATTCGTGGGACTGTCCAATTCACTAAACGACCCCGCCGATCTTGCAGCATGGCTCGATGTGGATCCATTTGGGCTTCATAGCTTCCGATCAAGTGATAGGGATCAATCGCTTTCAATGTCCACACAGACATTCACTATACCTCAGTCAGCGGCATTGTTTAAAGCAATGGCGAAGCCAGCTCATACAGCAATCCGCACGACTCCCGGAGAGAAGGCCATAGTTTTTGTCCCTTCACATGGTCAATGTCTTCCTGTCGCAAGGGACTTGCTCACGCAATGTGCGCTCGAGTCGGGAACAACCAATGGTTATCTTTCCGACTCAGTGGACCTGCAACATCTTGACTATCTGGTCTCCAGGTTTGAAAATGCTGGCCTTGTTGAATTCGCAAGGGGTGGAATAGGCTTCTACTACGAAAGTCTGAGCAAATCGGATCGAACAAGGGTACTCGAGATGTACGCAGATGGCATCATTGGTGTCCTAATTGTGCCACACGACTCATGCTGGACGTTGCCCGTGCGTGCTGGTACGGTGGTCGTGATGGGTACCCAATATCTGCATATCCTACCGGGAGGTGAAGAGCGGCAATTACGTGATTACCCACTGGAGGAGCTTGTACGTATGCAGGGCAGAGCGGTAAGACATCATGGTATCGGTGGCCGTTTCTGCCTGTTCTGTCAAGCTGAGGCAAAGGACACAATTACTCGGTTCTTGCACGATGGTCTTCCATTGGAATCTCAGCTGTTGGAGGCCAAAGAGCTGAAGAGATGGTACAAAGATCGCAAGGAAGCAGGCGACATCAGAAGCAAGCAAGATGGCGTGGACGCACTCTCCTTCACTTTCCTCGCACGCCGGGTGGTAAGCAATCCCGTCTATTACGGTGCATCTACTACAGGCTCGAGGGACGACGTACTTTCGCGAATTGTAGATAGGTTGGAATCGGATGATATATAGTAATACGTTTAACTTCTACGTGGACCATAGAAGGAACCCCGGATCATGGATGGACGATGTACTTGCGTAGGCTTTCCAGGCGCTGCGCCGCATGCTTAAGTGTCTCGATGTCTTTGCAAAAGCCAAATCGAGCATATTGCTCCCCAATGTTGACGTGTTCCTCGCAATAGAACTTCGCGACAACGCATAAGTGTATGAATGATTTGCAACCAAGGATAACTCTCACCTCGCTGACGGGAATAGACGAAACACCTATCTCCATTGCAATGAACCAACATGCTCTGCGTCGTTCATGAGCACCCAAAAGAGAAAGAGTAGCATCTAGAACAGAACGTACTTGAAATCTCGACCTCTGCCTTCTACACTCTCAGGGAAAGGAAAGTTCTCAGGCCATTGAATGTTAGAGATGTCCTGTCCAACAATCTGAACTTAGCCCCCATATCGCTGGTCCTTCTAAAGAGACTTACGAGAAGAATGAAGTAGGTTCCTTCAGGGTGTGTGTATCTCAATCCGACCTTGTCAAAGCAAGCCGTGAGGATGTTTCGGCGTTCCTCGTACTCGCCCCGTTGAGTCTCGAAGAATTTTCGGTCAACAGCTTCCTCTATACCAGCAGCAGCAGCCTCTTGTAATGGCGAATTGGAACAAAAAACAATACGAGTGGTAGCAGCTAGGGTGGGTTTGATGATGCTCTCTGGACCGATAAGCCAACCTACACGCCAGCCAGTGGCAGCGAACATCTCTGAAAGTCACCGTTTGTTGGTATTCATGACCAATCTGTCAGCGTTAGGGAACACTCACTTCCTGCTGAACCGACTGTAACCGTACGATCCCACATTCCTGGGAGGGTGGCAAAGCGAACGTGCTGCTTGCCGTCATATACCAGAGTTTCATACTGTGGACAGACAATGAGAAGTGCGATACGATGTTGTCAACAAAGCGGAACCTACCACTTCGTCAGACATCACCAAAAGATTGAATTCTTCTGCAAGCGCTGCAATGCCTTCCAACTCTTCTCGAGTGAAGACTTTACCCACAGGATTGTGGGGGGTGTTTATGATAATCATTTTGGTGCGGGGTGTGATAGCCCGACTTTAGGAGTGAATAGCTTCATTAATTGCATTTCACAGGGTCATGCTGGTATCACACTTACCGTAATTCCTCGAAGTCAATTGTCCAATCATTGCTGCTAATTTTCTCCTTGGATTGCTTGGGGTGCAGCGGTACATAGACAGGCTTCCCGCCATTGAAGGTCACAGATGGAAGATACTGGTCGAAGAAAGGCTCGAACATGATAACCTCATCGCCGTCCTCTAGGAAGGCCACAAATACGGAGTACTGTCCTATTCGAAGTTCAGTCTGGCTTGTTCTGTCAAGTGAACCACAGTGGCTTACCTTCGTTGGCCCCACTAGTGACAAGAATTTCTTTCTCGACATCAAGATCTCTGCCAAACAAAGGACTATAATAGTTCTTCAGAGCTTGACGCAGGCGTGGCCTGCCCTTCGGATGCGAGTAGTGGTTAGCAGCGATAGTACCGAGTGCTTCCCCAGCAGCATCTCTGATCCATTTTGGAGGAGCAAAGTTCATGTACCCTTGACCTAGATTGATACAATCGGCTGGAAGATTCGCAGCACTGTATGCAGAGGATATGAGTCATTACGGGTCATACGAGTGCAACTAGAGTTGTATTACTTGAAGATAGACCAAACGTCCTGGGCCAAAGCTCTTCCCTCCTTCAGTCGAGATGAGAACGGTATCAGGTTCGAGCGATCTTTTTGCTTTCCATTGACTTGACCGTTGGTTTGTGCAGACATGGTGGTATAGGGAGAAAATTGAGAGCCAATGGAACTGCGTGTTAAAGGTCCCGAGGAGAGCAGGAACGAAGCTAGAGACAATCCCCTGGATTGAGACCAAGTGCCGTTTACAAGTCGCAGAAGAGGAGACCGTAACCGAGTCAGACCGTTTATCGACATCCAAGGATTCCCGTCTTTGCCCAATGCAGTTTCAAGTAGTCGATCGCTTTGATCGCATCATCCCCCGCCTAAATGACCTAATTCTGAACTCATCCTGCTCGCCGTTCTCCATGTTCTGAAATACACTTCAGCTTAAGTACTCGTTGAATCAGTGGCATACTTAGCAGACATACCGTCGTCATTACAGAGATACATGGCCTCAGCAGACCAAACCAGCTGGACACGAAGGTTATCAGATAAGATATCCCCCGTAGGCGAGTATTTCACGAAGCAACTCCGTTCTTCCCCAAGGTTGGGGGCTCTGCACCTCCAAGATGCGGGCTGCACACGGTCGGTCTGATGAGTCCCCTTATCGTTAGGCAAAGCCACTTTGAGCTTGTTGGCAAGCGCTCCCACACCTCATTCTACCAACGCCGTTCCTTGTGCAGCCCACACGGTAACGGCCAGAATCCGTTCGGGAGACTCAGTAAGTAACAGATGGGCCGTGGTGTTGCATGACTACTGTACTTTCATCCCCCCCTTCCCGTATCAGATGAATATCATCTTAACAACACATGATCGTGACTGCGTATCCCTCGACGATGGTAAGCTATTTCTGGGGCCTGCGCTGATTTTTTTTCCTATCACCATCTGCTCTTCAATGTAACTTCGCGACACCAGCATGCTTGTTGCTCGTGACACTGCCGAAGACTTTGAAATTGTGTGGAGACCTAGAACTTCTTGGTACTGTCAATCGAGACAACATGGCGCAATCGGTGAGTGAGTTGAAGGCTGCCAATGGTGAATCATATTCAAGATATAGTCAGCTACACAGTCCCTGTACCTCAGTGAGCTGCCGCTCAGCCACTCTCGGCAATTCTCATGAAGTCATCGATGGCTTGGATGTTCGAATTCGACTACCCGAAACTTAACCGTTCTCATACCGAAGCATACCCGTCGGCAGCGTCGATGCTTCCTCGAAGGAGATAGTTCGAATGTTGCTTCTATCGTGTTCCCCACTCTGCGTCAGTTTCAACCCCACATGCTTTGAATTGTACCGAACATGCGGTTCCCGTTTCCCCGCATCTGCGTCACGACTGCTACTCTTTCTCGACATGGGCTTTTACTCCCTTCTGTCCCGCACGGTTGCTGAAGAACCTAGTCCTTGTGCTTTCAAATCGGGTACGGAAATCTGTCCTCGGCGTTGTTACTTGCGAAATCCAATTGAGATATTCTTAACATGCAGAACAGCCGGTACGATATGGCTCTGGAGCCAATGCGGACACGGATATAAAGCTTTCATGGGGACTGTTGGGTTCCATAGCTAGCAGCTCTTTCGGCTCTTCCTGATGGCCTGGACGTTGAACTCTCTGCTTTTCGTGTCTCGAGAATTCACGCCCTCAACCGCGGACAAAGCGCTAAAGAACGAACAGCAATCCGAGTATGTGAAGCAACTATGGACGTTCCTTGCTAGCGTTGTTGCTCTCCTTACTCTAATTCGCTTCGCTCGCCTCGGTTTGTCTTTGGTCTTAAAGCCCAAGTTGTCTTCCGATTTCCCATCGTCGACGACGAAGAAGGCAGACTTGGAACGCATCCAACCTGGCCACAACGGCAAGGTATCTTGGCGGCGTTTACCCACTGCCTTTAGCTCTGCATTTTGCATTGTCGCCTTTCGTTTCAACGTTCAAATTGGACCCCGAGCTTATGCTTCGATTGCGGAGCTTGCCTTTATTTTCGGATATATCATCGCTGTTATTGTCTGGTTACTGATTGATAGTGAGCATTTTCATCGTCATAATCATGCTTTCTATTTATCAGCTGTCTGTCACAGCCGAGGATTTGAACTCCTGGTTTTTCGAAGACAGAGCTGCTCACTTCGCATCATGTCAACTACCACTGATCGTAGCGTTGGCCGGCAAGAACAACGTGATTTCCTGTAGGTAGTACTGCTCTTCTATGTTTATTTCCGTCTAAAGCCACATTTAGTCCTCACGGGAGTATCTCACGAAAAAGTGCGTGTGCCACTTGAAACATGGTTGGTTCTATGCTGACTTTTACCCAGTTGAATGTTTTACATCGAGCAGCTGCAAGAACATGTCTCATACTACTCTGGATGCATGCCATTTGTCGAGCCGTTGGAGGGTAAATATCCTCAATATATGTCTCGTAATTTATTGTTTGATCAATGACTGAACCCGCAGATTATCTGGGAAGTTTGACTTCACACATGGATGGATGCAGTGTGGCGCAACTGGCCTCGCTGCGTTCACGCTGGCGAAGATTCTATCCATACGACCAATTCGTAACGCCTTCTTCGAGTTTTTTCTTGTATCTCATATCATCCTTATAGCGTGCGTATCTCATCTTTTCTACTGGTTGTATTTGGATGCTAATCAAGACGCTTGTCGTAGTATCTTCCTGGTGGCAGGTTACGTCCACGCTCGTGACCCTGGGTTTGTTCCTCACATGTATCACTTTTATGCTACCGCTGATGTTCATGCAGGTACGGCGATTACATCTGGCCTGCTCTTGTAGTGTGGGCTTTTGATCGAGTCCTACGTTTGGCGCGACTCCTGTGGAATAATCGTGTGGGCCGCTCTTCCGAGCAACATCATTCTACTGCCACCGTTGAGCTTTTATCCGAGGACACAGTTCGTCTTACTCTTCGCCGACAGTTCAACTGGAAGCCAGGTCAGCACGCATATGTGATCCTGCCCACAGTAAGCGATTTGCCGTTCGAGGCGCATCCCTTCACAATTGCCAGCATTCCCGACGCACTCGATGGGACAACTGGATCGAGGGAGAAAGAAGTGGTTTTCATTATCCGGGGAAGAAACGGCTTCACTGGTCGTCTGAGGGATCACGCGTGTGATAACAACGGACATTCTACTGTCCCTGCTCTTGTTGATGGTCCATACGGTTGCCCACCCGATCTTACACAATACACTACGTGCGTCTTGATTGCAGGTAGACCTCTATCGTCCTTTATGCTTTGACCGGTGTTTTCTCAAATTTTATCCGATAGGCGGGTCAGGTGTCAGTTACACTTTGCCCTTGTTGTTAAATCTCGTACAGTGAGTGGCTTCGTCAGTGGAGCGTAGAGTTATTCACGACTCGCTATCTCCAGCAAAGCACGTGCAAGGAAGTCGTTGACTCGACGGGTTATTTTTGTATGGGCTGTTCGTAATCCAGGTGCATTCCACTCCACCTTTGCATTTCTTCGTATTCAATTCTGACCACACTTTACAGAACATCTAAAGTGGATCTCGAAGCTTCTCTCGGAAGCTCTTCAAGCTGCTCGAACTTCGACGCTGGTGATAGACCCTCGAGTTTACATCACTGGGCCAAGTTGTCCCATTCCAGAGATACCGCCTATATCGAACGACAAGGATTCCTCCGACGGCAGCATGACGCCTACTTCGGTGAACTCAGAAGAGAAGTCCGAACTTCCAACGTATTCGACTTTGAAAATAACGCATGGTCGCCCAAGTATCTCTCGCATCCTTCGCGATGAGATTTACACGTCGCCCGGGCCAGTGTCTGTTGATGGTAAGTCGTAAAATATCACCGTGCGTTCGTTGATTCACCTAAAATTTCTCAGTTGCAGGGCCTTCTACTCTCTCCCATTCCGTGGCTCGTGTCTTATCATCCGGTCCCTCTAGTCCGATGGGCATACTCAAGGGTGCACCCTCGGTAACTCTTCATGTGGAGACCTTTGGTATGGCGCATTGACACCATAACAACATAGTAATCAGTTATGACTATTTGTGTATCGATACTGCAGTATCCCACCAACTTAGAATATATATCTATATCCTCGACCCTCATCTACGTTGTTTTCCCATTATCATGTGATGCCTGACGGATTGACAATTGCTGGCAAATTGGCAATGATGCGCACGCCAACGCATCGAAGTCGCGTTCCAAATTACGTCCACGTGACTGGACTGAGAGTAATGTTTCGCAGACGGAATCTCTTGTGCCACTGTCCACATTAGCGGCTGTTCGTATCAGTCTTTTCCCTCCCTCTTCAACATCTGGACGTCTGGTGAATCATGTCGACAAGTGACGAGGAGTCGTTTCACTATCAAGAACTGGGGACGATTGAAGAGTACGCAGTCCTCAGCTGTTTAAACTTGGACTTATCTTGCTCACAATATACTCCGTGCACTGCAGGACAAATTCACCTGTCCCAACCCAGTCTCCAGACAATGACTCAGATGAAGAGGAGTTTGTTTATCCTAGCGTATCTTCCAAGCCAGTACATGAAGCTGCCCGGACACCTGAGCCCGTCTTACAGCAGGACGTAATACCCACACAAGACGTCCTGGAGGTGTCACCCAGTTCAGACAGGTTATCACATTCTCCAAATGTCTCTCCCCCACAAGAGCAGCCAGTTCTAGATGTCGTACCTTCACCTATCATTCCGAAAATTCATCCTTCTCCTGCTCAACTGGAGGCTTTGCAATCGGCCGCTGCTGCAGGCGACCTCAAGCTGCTTCAAAGTCTTTTCCGAAATACGTTGCAACCTGGAGATGTGGAGCCCTTTGCGTTGGCCAATGATGCTTCGACACGCACGGGTCTTACTGCATTGCATGCAGCTGCAAGTAGAGGACATCTTGACATTGTTAAGTGGCGTAAGTGTACATAGCTGTCATCTGGTGCGCCGCTTATACGAATGTACAGTGATTGAGGACTGCGGCGCGATACCCGATATAGAGGATAAAGAAGGCGAGGTATGTTATCTGACAGTGCATTGTAATGTGACAGTAATTAATAGGTATAATAGACCGCACTGCACAAAGCGGCTCTCAACGGTCACTTGCGTATCGTCGCATACCTGCTTCCGGACAAGGCTGATGTTCATGCTCAAGATGCGGATGGGTGGACGGCTCTTCATAACGCATGTTCTAAGGTATGTTGGGTATTGTACCACTCATTTGTTTGTATTAATGGTCTACAGGGTTATCTAGATATTGTGAGATTCTTATGCGAGCAAGGAGGTGCCGCTTCTGAGATCGACGGCGTGCGTGGAGTTGATATCCGCAGTAAAGGTGGTTGGACACCGTTGAGTATGCAAATTCTATTTCATGCACGTGGTAAAGAGTCTAATTTCGACCAGTGAATGCCTCATCCAAGGGTCATCTTCCCATAGTTCTCTATTTATTGAGCAAACAGTCCGCCGATCCTTTGATTAGGAACAACTGGGGCGAAACTGCATATGACGCTGCAGCTGCTGTCTTCGAAGTTTGGATATGTGAGGTACGGGGGTGTTCAGTCATTCCCGTGATTGCGTTCTAATGCATCCTTGACCTTGAAGGTCTTACAAAAAGCAGAGAGCGAAAAATGGCGCAGCGCGCCGGTCCCCTACAATCCGCTAGCGGTGCACACGACAGTACCTGTTTTGCTCTATGAGAATCAGCGACTTGACATGCGGCTGAAGACGTTGGCCATGTCTGGTGGGAAGCCTAAGTTCTCCGCTTCTGGGCTAGGACGACGGGGTCGTCACGCTCCGTTTGAGCTTAGACTTCTTCAGCCTAGTGAGGATGGTAAGAAAGAAGTCCCTGCCTGGCGAAGCGATGTGCAACTTCCTTTACATGAGGAACCTTTTGTTTTACCACTTCCCGGCGACTCGGCTTCTAGGGAAGGTTTAGAACGAAGTCATTTTTGGCTGTAGGTGTAGTGTTATTTACACGTTCCTCGTTGCAAACTGAGTACCTCTATAGGTCAGACTGGACTCTTGACGTGACCCATCCAGGTGTTGACGCCGAACTTGGCTGGCAGTATGCACGTTCATTCGACGATCCGGACGATCAATGGACTTCTGAACCACCAGCTCAGCTCGAACGCCTTCTCAGCGGAAGCGGAGCGATGACGGCTGGCCTGAGTGGTAGCTCGTCGAGAAGCAGTAGTAGCAGCAGCAGCCGCGCAGGTCCCAGCTCTCGCTCTAATTCAGTTTCTGCTCAAAGCTGGGTCAGGCGCCGACGTTGGGTCCGCGTAATGCGCCGTAGGCTAGATATACCACCTCTTCCATTCCTTCAACCCGATGGCCAGAACTATCATTTGGACATGGATGGCCATTTAGTTCCGTGTGTGGAGAACGACGGCAGCGACTTCGGTGATAATGACGGACAGGAACTCGGATTTATGCCAACAACGGGGCTTTCTGCTGCGCAAGATTATGTAGCCCGCGCACGTTATCTAGCAGGGAATCAGTCTGGAGAAACCCAAGGTACAAACGGCCAACCCTCTGCTCTGGAGGCTCGCCGTGCTATTGCGAAGCTAGAGCGTGCTACCACGGAATTGCGTCAAGGCATCCTTGGTAAGTTGCGGTCTGATACTCAGCCTCTCAGTTTATCTAATCGAAAACCCACAGATGATGATGATGTTGAACGGAGAACACAGGCGGAGGTTCTCCTCAATGCGTACAGTCGAGAGCTTGAGCGTAGACGACTCGCGGCTGGCGCCCAAGGGATCCTCATATCTGATAACGGTATGTATTCGTGTGTCTCTAAAGCGCCTTTGCTGATATGTTATAGATGGTGACGAAGTCTACGATGATGACTCGGATGAAGAATCATTTCACTATCCTGGTTCTTCTACGGATACTGCTCGACCTCCTTCGATTCGCTCCACCGCTACCGACTACTTCTCTAGGTCTTCTGGATCACGCGGACCCACTGACCTCACACCTCATTTGTCACAATCTCCGGAATTCCGTGTACCTACTCATGAAGCCCCGCAGAAGATACTGACACCTCGATGGACTCCTCCAACACCGCATCAAGTTCATGCTCAGTGGGAACGAGATGAGACCGTGCAGCAGTGCCGCGAATGCAGACGCAGGTTCAATTTCATAACTCGTCGCGTATGTCCTTTCCATCGTTACCATTCGTTCGTTGGCTGACTTTTTTCCTCCTTTAGCATGTGAGTTGTAATCCAAACTTTCGTTCTGCGTTCACTCAGTCCTATGTCCCCTTAGCATTGTCGTAGATGCGGGCGCATCTTCTGCGACCGCTGTTCTTCGTTTAGGGCGCTACTTGACCCTTCTGACATCGTTCAAGACCCTGCCGCTCTTGAGCTATCGTCAAGGCCATCATCACAACGAGTTTGTCAAAGTTGCTATGAGGAAGTGACTGCCACAGTTCCTGTTGGCTTGCATGCTTCAAGAACAAACGCGATGGAACGGATAGTCATTGACCAAAGACGCCTTTCTATCCCCAGTCCAACGAATGGCGATACAAGTTCACAAATCAGCGACCTGGCCGAGTACGTGTTCACGTTTTCATTGATGTTACATTTTGGCTGCTGAACATTTATCTCAGATGCCCTGTATGTAATACAAGCCTATCTGACCTGGGTCCTGCATTCGTACAAGAAGCACATGTGAAGAATTGCTTGGAGGGAGGAAGTGGCTCTTCTCCTCAGACGGCGAAGTACTTGGTCTACAAGTTACCTGGAGAAAGTGCCTTGATTGGAACTGAATGTATGTTGAGTTCACTTTGCCATTGACTTCAGTCATTCATTGTTTTATTTTATTACTCGTAGGTGTGATCTGTCTTGAGGAGTTCGTCAAGGGATCGACCGTTGCCCGACTGAGCTGCCTATGCAGCTTCCATAATGGTCTGTCTTCTTTTGTTGTCTTTGCCTTAGACTAACCAACACCGACGCATACAGCCTGTTTATCGTCTTGGCTCCAACGAGGCAAGAGTTGCCCTGTGCATGCGCGTTGACGAACATATGTCATCTATCCCCCTATCACGAGTATTATGTTTTCATGAGGTTTAAGGTTGATATTGACTATGGTACATATAGTAGCTACGAGCACTAGCCATACAACTACATTGTGATATACCCGTCTACGGAGTAATATTTGGCTAATCGTCGTCTTTAGGCTCATAGAATATACTGCGAGGTATACGAGTTTCGTCGATTCGAATGACATTGGACAGGTCTTCGTAATCATCGGGCTCTACTATGTCTTGTCCTTTACGACCATCCTCTTGGTCATCTTCGAACCAAGTTGCCGGATCGGAATCGTCTTCAAGATCGTCGTCATCCTCCAGGTCTGATTCGGTGGGCTTGTATGTCCTGCGTAAGAAGTCGGTTCAGCATGGGAAAGGAAACAGATGAGAAGAGAACATACATGAAGGCCCATATTCGCGCCTCCCTCTCTTCTCGTGTGAGGACTTCCCCCTTAATTGGTAGACCCATTCGACGCTTCTTCTCTTCCAAATGCTGCTTGCGGCGCATGTCTAGAGCATGAGTTTCTTGCTCTATACGGACGGCCTCGTCGAATGAGAATGAACCTGTGTCGCTATGTGTGGGATGTATCTGTGCCGACTGAAGACGGACTAATGAGTGAGACATTACTCAATATACGTGGAATTACTTACATATCTTGCGAGAATGCGACGTTTGGTATCGATTGCTCGACTGGGGGAGACAGCAGGCGTGTCTTCGATCTTCATCTGAGTATCACCTTCATCGTTGATGTTGGTTCGTTGCATCATAGTCTGTATCTTATCCACTCCAAGCTCGACTAGACGTGCTTCAATAGCGGCCTGTTCAGCAGAGAGCCGTTGAACATACGTAGAGGTTGAGGGCGCCCTGAATCATGAAAGAAGAGGGAACGCAATATCAGTATTGACAAACAAGGTATATCATCGAATGCGCACGGTTTGGACAGGATATCCGCATTTCGGCCGTGCTGTTCCTGTAGTTCTTGTATAGACATATCCTTGATCGGTTGCTTCTTTGGTCTGGATGATGGTAGGAATCCAGGGGGTACCGTTGGCTTACGATGTCTTGTTGGTGATGAAGGTGACATTGCGACTGCTGTGAACGAGATCGAGGCAAATAGCTAGGATCCTGTGTAGAGGGGGCTGACTGCGATTCCGACTTATATTGTGCCACTAGTCGAAGTGGTTCCCTGACTTATCTAAAAGAGGAAGGTGTTGAGATTTGTTGACGGTCTCACGTCGTAATTGATGCTCGCAGTTGAGTTTGTCGAGAAAAAACCGTACAATGCACGGGTATGTGATTCTGTCGGTCCTCAGACCTCACGCAAAACGAACTACTCGACAATAGTGTACAGTATCACTAGTTACAAACTCATGCTACGTCCCCATCCTACTTGCCACTTCCACTTCACAGGAACATATCGTTATTCTGTGAATTCGCATTTCATTAGTAGCAGATCAGAAAAACTGAAACAATTCGCACTTACCCCTCCTGGTGGCATGAATTCATCATTGTCCGGCTCATTCATATTACCCCCTCCTGGCAATCCTCGGCCTATTCCCCCTCGACCTACCCCTCCTCGAGGCACCCCTCCTGGGCCACGTCTCCCCGGTAAGGGTCCACCAGGGTGGGGACCCAATCCGGGACCGACAGGATCAAACCTGGCGCCCGGGGGGGCACCCATTGGAGGCAGGTATCCATCACCACCCCATGGTCCTTGGCCAGTTGGTCCTCGGCCCCTCATTCCAGGACCAAATATTGGGTGCTCTGGTCCGACATACATCCCATTACCTTCATCTTCCCGGAAGAGGGACGGTGGTGCAAATGGATTCCTTGGGAAGGGAGGCTCCAAGTCACTCCTCCCGATCTCTAGAGGATTGCGAGGTTGTTCAGCCCATGGACCTGTCTGAGGGGGAGCAAACGGTGGGGGAACTGGCTCAGGACGTGAAGGTTCAGGTTCGGGTCCAGGTGCAGGTGCAGGTCGTGAACCCGAAGCTGACGAGATATCAGTGATGCTCTCTGTATAACCTTCCTTTCTTAAACCGGGTACGAGCTTCTGAATTATGGCGAGTTTGAACTCCGAGACAAGATCTGCGACGCGATTGGATGAGATGAATCCGTGCACAAGAGGTGCTGCGTCAGGGGCAGACAAATCGTGAGGGAAGAAAGATGGGGATACGAAATCGTTGGTTGCAATATCAAGAGAAGCAATTCTGTCGCTCTACATAGATCACCACATGAGGATATAGGAATAGGAACCGGGGAATGAAAGCGCACTTCAACGGCGATTGCATGTACGAGAGTACGACTGCCTAGTTTGCAGACCTTAATGATGAATTCAAGGCTGCTCTGATCATGCCTGTATCTGAAGGTGTAAGTGCCTGGCGCATGCAAAGCCCATTCGTCAGGCAAAACGCCATCGGATATCTCTCGGGCGGGTGAGTTTTCATCAACACCAATCAAACGAAAGCCCAGCACAAAGAGTATGGTGTGGAAGAGTGCAGCTAAGGCATCGTGGGGTGTTTCAAGCTTCTTTTTGGACGGTGGAAGCAGACTAGGCAAAGTGGAAAGAAGAGATGAAGGATCCAGGATGTTGCGACTCATTGTAGTAGTACTTGAATAGCAGGTTGTGGTGGAATGAAAGAAAGCGGCAAGTGTGCTCGATGACAGATCGAGTCTAGGGACAAGTGCTGACAAGTGTGTAACTGTGCGTAATTACTTAAATAAGTAACCAATTATGGGATGACAAACACGCACACACAAAGGCCGCTTCTTCCCTCTCCTCCATCTTGCTCTATCCTACCTCCTGCTCTTTACTCCCATCTACCACGCTTCAATGGCACGACGAGACAGGTCGTATTCACCGGATGCTCCTAATAAGAGGGTAAGACCTTCTCACCGCTCTTCACCGCGGTCACCGTCGCCGACGAGGCGCAATATCCAAAGACCCCCCAGATCGAGGTACGACGACGACAGGGACCGCGACCGAGATAGGGACCGAGATAGAGACGGTCATAGATATCGTGACGACCGCTACAGAGACGACCGCAGGCGGGATTACCGTGATGATAGACGAGACGACAGAAGACGTTCAAGGTCCAGAGAGCGCGGCACCCGCGATAGACAACCACCTACCCCTCCTCGCTCCCGTCCAGAGTCTCGCCCTGAGCCAGAATCCGCTGCGGCGACTCCTCCCGTTGAAGATGAGAAGCTGAAAGCCAAGCGTGCGAAGCTGGAAGCCTGGAAGAAGGAGCGAGAGGCGAAGAAGGCATTAGATGAAGCCAAGGCGAAGGCAATGGCACTTGCTGGAAAAACTGCACCAAGTGAGTTTTTTTGTTTTGCATCAGCTCTTTCATGATTTCACACCACTTGATCATTGCATTTAGTTACTACCACGCAAGCTAAACCTGCGGCCCAACTCAATCGTGCCGCGTTGAGCGGTCTGGGCCTGAAGGGCTTGCCGTTGAAACCTGACGTGCTTAAGGCTACCAAATCTGCGGCAGTCATGGACGATTCCGTAGAGACGAAGCGCAAGCTTGAGAGACTTGATCTGCCCGAAGTGGATATGTCTATGATTGACGGACAAACCAGTGTCGGAGATCTCGAAGTAGATGATGAAGAAGACGAGTCGGAAAAGGTCGCCCCAACCAAGCCTGCTGAGGCAATGGAGGAGGAAGACGAGGTTGACCCTCTCGATGCTTTCATGAGCGGTGTAAAGGAGGAGGTGAAGAAGGTCACGTTAGAGGATCTGAAGAAACTAAGCGCGGGTGGTAATGGTCGGGTACGCTTGGATGATCGAATGGCTGAGGATGGCATGGAAGAGGAGGAGGGGCCTACTATAGATGAACTTGATGCCACCGAGCTGAATCCTGAAGACATCCTTGCTCTCGCAGCAAAGAAAGCAAAGAAAAAGGATCTTGCTGCCATTGATCATTCTCGAGTCGCGTACGAGCCATTCCGCAAAGAATTCTACATCCCTCCTCCGGACATCGCTGATATGACTGACGAGGAGGCAGATCTCCTGCGTCTTGAATTGGATGGCATCAAGATTCGTGGCGTCGACTGCCCAAGGCCAGTCACTAAATGGAGTCATTTTGGTCTTCCTGCTAGCTGGTACGTACCTTTACTGTCTACATCCGAAACACTTATACTTATGTCGGATATAGCTTGGAGGTTATTAAGAAGTTGAATTACACTGCTCCAACACCCATTCAAGCGCAAGCCATTCCGGCGATCATGTCTGGCCGTGATGTGATTGGTGTCGCCAAAACCGGTTCGGGGAAGACTATTGCCTTCTTGCTCCCCATGTTCCGTCACATCAAGGACCAGCGACCTCTTGAGCAAATGGAAGGACCTGTCGCCGTTGTCATGACCCCAACTCGTGAACTTGCTGTTCAAATTCATAGGGAATGCAAACCTTTCTTGCGGGTATTAGGATTAAGAGTCAGTTTTTTCCTTAGCTTTACATTCGACATAAATGACTAATTCCTCTTTCACAGGCGGTCTGTGCATATGGTGGCTCTCCAATTAAGGACCAAATTGCGGAAATGAAGAAGGGTGCCGAAATCATTGTTTGCACACCAGGCCGCATGATTGACCTACTCACGGCAAATTCTGGACGTGTCACCAATCTGAAGCGTGTCACTTATCTGGTTCTCGACGAGGCCGATCGCATGTTCGATATGGGTTTCGAGCCTCAAGTGATGAAGATCGTGAATAACATACGACCCGACCGCCAGACTGTACTATTCTCTGCTACGTTTCCTCGACAGATGGACTCGCTTGCTCGAAAGATTCTTCACAAACCTCTCGAAATCACCGTTGGCGGTCGTTCAGTCGTCGCACCAGAGATTGAACAGATCGTTGAAGTTCGCGATGAAGATTCCAAGTTTAACCGTCTACTGGAGATTCTTGGGCAGACTTACAACGAGGACCCGGAAAGCCGCACTCTCATATTTGTCGATCGGCAAGAAGCCGCGGATAATCTTCTACGAGAGCTGATGCGGAAAGGTTACCTGTGTATGTCGCTTCATGGTGGCAAGGATCAGGTTGACCGAGACTCTACTATTGCTGATTTCAAGGCCGGTGTTGTCCCCATTGTAATTGCCACGTCTGTCGCCGCAAGAGGGCTCGATGTCAAACAGCTCAAGTTAGTTATCAACTACGACGCTCCAAATCACATGGAAGATTACGTCCACCGAGCTGGTCGTACAGGTCGTGCTGGGAACAAAGGAACTTGTGTTACCTTTATTACTCCTGAGCAAGATAGGTATTCAGTTGATATCTACAGAGCTCTCAAGGCCAGTAATGCTGCAGTACCCAAAGATTTGGAGGAGCTTGCCAATGGTACGTGAAACTTTCTTGTATGCTCTTATCTTCAAATGATACTGACTACTTTCTCAGGCTTCTTGGATAAAGTCAAGTCTGGCAAAGCCAAAGTTGCTGGTTCCGGTTTCGGCGGCAAGGGTCTTGATCGTCTCGATCAGGAGCGCGACGCCAAAGAGAAGGCTGAACGCAAAGCTTATGGCGAGCCTGAAGAAGAGAAACCGGCAGCCGTAACAGAAGAGCCAACAAAGGCTGCTGCTGCTGCAACCGATGACATGACCTTTGGTGCCTTCAAGGTCGAAGTCAAGCGCGGCCCAGCGCCGGATTCCTCTAAAGGACAACTTGGTGTCGCTGGCGCGGCTGCTGCGGCTAGACGTCTCGCACAAGCCAAGGAAGAAGAGAAAATTCAGAATTCTCTTCGCGAGGCCGAGGCAGCTGCTGCTCGTGCAGGGAAAGATACTGCTGCACAGAAGCAGGCTCTCAGCGTCGTGGCCAAGCTCAATGCGCAATTGCGTGCACACAAACTGGTCGCACAGTCCCAGTTACAGCTACTCCACGAAGATCCTTCGAAGAAGGCGACCACCGACGCAACCGAGTTCCATGCTATCATTCCCATTAACGACTATCCGCAGAAGGCTAGGTGGAGAGTTACTAATAAGGAGACTATGGTTCAGGTAAGAATATTCATTGTCGCGCTTATACATCATTTACTGATCCAGACCCTCCACAGCTCATCGATATGACTGGGGCCTCCGTCACCAACAAGGGTATTTACTATGAGCCTGGTAAAGAACCACCTCCGGAAGGACCACCCAAGCTTCATCTACTCATTGAGTCGAATGAAGAGTGGAGGGTAAGTCGTTCATTTACTCTGACATGTGAACAGAGCTGATCATATTATTCATAGGTTGAGCAAGCCGTCCGCGAGATCAAACGACTCCTCATTGAGGCTTCTGCGGCTGCTTTGCAGGCCGAGATGCGTAATCCAACTGCGACAGCTGGAAGATACAGTGTTGTGTAGAGACAGTTGCTATCGGTGTGCTCTTCTTTTTGATTCTTTCATAGCAAGATCCATAGGGTTGTCCTCTTGCAGACACACGTCGGCCCCATGCCGTAGACTACCGCATCATCTCACTTGCTTTACTTTATTTCCGTTGTGTCGTAAGTCCAGTATCTCCATCCCGAGAAATACAGACATCATTTGATCGTACTGACTGAATTCTTCCCCCTTGAGTGAATGTTCACAATTCTGTGGGTATGACATCGATGTTCGTTTTCCATTGGTTCCTTTATTTCTCACCTGAGATGTGCTGCAGCAACCCATGTACAAGATTCATACGAGAAGAAAGAAAGGTAAAGTGACAAGAAACAAGATCATGGGTTTTGTTTATCTACCCAAACCGTATCCACGCGATTTAAATCCACCTGCTTGTCCTCCACTCTCGCTGGCTCCTCGTACTCTTCGCTCAACGTCGCCAAGTTTGCTCTCAACTTCCTTGACTGCACCATCTATCCACTGTAGACTCTCCAGATGGCTACTCAATATCTGCGCAATCTGACCAACTGGGTCTTCGGTCGCAGTGGTATCCGTGCCCGAAGACGTGGACAGTGCATTCACTGACTCGATCATCTCGACCAGTGAATTTGAAAGATCATCAAGATGACCATGCAATTCCGTGGCAAGCATGTAACTGCGAAGATCAAGGATTAGCCACTTGAAACTGGACTCGATAACAAAGATGTACTTCTTGTCGCGCTCCGTATCTGCAGGACCAGTGTCCAGCGCTCGTAGGCTTCCGCCCTGGCCGCCAATAATCTCTTCTGTAACTTTCTCGTATGCCTCCAATGTTGATGAAAGATCTTTTTGTTGTTGTTCTATATGGTCGAGAGATTGGTCGATGTCATTTTGCTCTCGGTCTGCTGCTAGAACGACGGAATATAGAGCAGCCAACTACAAATCAGGTGGCGTTAATTACACAGTGGGACAGAGAAAGGAGAAAATAAGCCCACATTGTTACCGTTCTCAATCAACGCACGATCCCACACTGCTACCTCGCCAGCGAACTTGTTAAACTCCCTTACGTGAGTTTCGAGTTCTGAAGACCATCGGTTTACGATCTCTTCTATTGTTTTACCCCTGAGCATGGAGGGAGGTGGAACGGATACAGCTGGAGTAGTTGTTGCAGGTGCAGGTGTCGCTGTACGCAAGTTAAGGTCGCGATGAGAGCGTGAAAGTTATTCAATACATACCAGGTTTTGTAGCACCAATACCGCCTAATGTAAAAGCAGAAGCTACAAATGAATAAAAGTACATCACAGTCCGCATGGTATGACAAGTATCACTGCGGCCTACCTGCAGTTGTACCATCTTTTTTGGCGCCGAATAGGCTGAACGCCGGTGCAGGGGCTGCTGCACCATCTTTCTTTTCCTCAAGCTTGCCCGTATCCTTGCTTAAAGGCTGGCCAAACAGACCGGTAGTAGCTATTATCGACGGAAGTCAGTACACAAGGTTATGCAAGCTTCATCAGATCGCCAATGGTTACCTGGCGCCGCGCCATCTTTCGATGTATCCTTAGTTCCGCCCAAGCTGAATGATGGGAGTGTCGGCCCTGTAGATGGACCCGTAGTTGTTGTTGGTGCAGGAGTTGCTGGCTTTTGACCAAACAAGCCTCCGAACAGTCCTCCAGCAGGGGTTGAGGTGCTAGCGGCTGGAGTGGTAGCTGCTCCCTCCGCCGGCTTCGGTAGGTTTCCAAAGAGGCCGCCGGAGGGTGCGGTGGTGGTTGCTGCATTGAATAGCTTAGCTGCTGTAAAGGCTGGGGTAATTACGAACACATACCAGACGTTGCAGCTGCGCCAGTTGAGGCTGGTTGGCCAAATACTACATAGTCACATCAGTGTCAGTCTTCAAAACGCGACACCATATGAGAGTAAACGCACTGCTTGGGGTAGCAGGTTTAGGAATTGACGAGCCGGCTTGATCTATGGGCTTCTGACCGAAGATACCTCCCCCAAAGATGTTTGTAGTCCCTGAGGCGGGGGCACTTGAAGACTGAGCTGTGTTGGAGCCCCCAAAGAGCGAGGTAGACCCAGCACTGGGGGTAGCACCAGTACCAGAAGGTGCGGTACTGCCTGCGCCTCCAAAGAGCGAGCCGGTGCCTGTGCCAGATGTGCTGCCTGAGGTTGCTGGTTTCGATCCTCCGAATAATGAACTAGCACCAGGGGTAGTCGTCGCGCCGGATCCTCCAAATACAGATCCTCCTCCTGTTGGAGCGTTGGTACCTGAAGCTGCTGGTGCTGTTGATCCAAAGAGTCCACCACCAGTTGAAGGCGTAGTTGAACTAGTGTTGCCGCCACCTAAGATACTGCCTCCAGTCCCCGTCGAAGGCGTGCTACCAAAGACGCTTCCTCCTGTATTTCCTGAGCTACCTGGTGCATTGGATGTGTTAGCGAATAGACTGCCCCCGGTAGATGGGGGAGCTGTGGATAACAATGAGTGCAATTGACGAGGCGCCGCGAGTTGTACTGACCTCCGAAGTTTGAACCTCCAAAGATATTCGTCGTGCCGGAAGAGCTTCCACTGCCTTGGGTGTTACCAAAGAGCCCTCCACCGGACGTCGAACCTGTGTTGGTATTCGTGTTAGGGAAGAGTGACATGTTAGGCTTAGGGAGGAGGAACGTTGAGGACAAGCCACAGGCGCGCGAAACTGGTCCTTGTCCTCTCGCTACACGTGATCCACGCGTATCCTTCTCTCTTCTCTGCTTTCATCTGCTCTCGCTTGTACTTACTCTACTTTACTTGCTTGGGTTCCCTTTTCTTCTGCTCTGCTTGCGAAGTCTACTGCGCTCTTGCTGCCATCATTTGACCTGTACTGAACAGACTGCTGTAAAACTCGACCTACTTCATCTTTGCTTAGGTTATCCTAAGTGAACATTCAGTAGTATTACTATGCAAGACGGGAGGGCACCTCGGTGAGTTCACTTTCCCCTAGACGAGTGCTCTTAACTCAATTCTACCTAAAGGATCAAGAACCGAGCTCCAGCGGCGATCCAGGTTTGTACTACCCACGCGTATTATATCAGACCTGACACTGACCTTCTTCCTAGGTCACCGCGGAGCAACTACTACGAGATGTATGTTTTTTTTTTGCCCTTCGCTACTGAATGATGACTCAATTACATGCGATGTAGGCTCAAGAGCGTCAAGAATCTCAATTCCGAGCACCGAAGCAAAGGGTAGAGGACTTTGAGGAACTCCATGAATATCGCGGTCGCAAGCGAGAAGAGTTCGAGAAACGTATTAGACAAACAAGGGGTAGTATGTGAGTAACTATTTATTGTTTCCAATATCGCAGTCGTTGATCGCTGACAAACATCTAGCAAGGAGTGGTTGCAGTATGCGAACTGGGAGGTACGTAGTCGCAACTACTTATCACAAGCTTACACCTCAACCTGTGTGATATAGGCTAGTCAGGGTGAATATGCTCGCTCACGTTCCGTATTCGAGCGTGCACTGGATGTCGACCCTCGCAGCATCCAACTATGGCTCAGTTACACCGAAATGGAACTGAAGGGACGCAATGTCCAGCATTCACGTAATCTCTTTGATCGAGCTGTTACACTTCTTCCTCGGGTGGATCAACTCTGGTACAAGTACGTCTACCTTGAAGAGCTGCTCCAAAATGTTCCAGGTGCCCGCCAAGTGTTCGAACGATGGATGCAGTGGGAACCGGATGACAAGGCATGGCAGGCCTACATCAAGATGGAGCAAAGATACAACGAGCTGGATCGAGCGAGTGCTATCTATGAACGATGGGTTGCCATTCGACCAGAGCCGCGTGTATGGGTCAAATGGGGCAAGTTTGAGGAGGAGAGGGGAAAGCTTGACAAAGCAAGAGAAGTTTTCCAAACAGCTTTAGGATTCTTTGGAGATGATGAAGAGCAGATTGAGAAGGCACAGGCGGTCTTTAGTGCTTTTGCAAAAATGGAAACGAGGCTGAAAGAGTATGAACGAGCTCGAGTAATCTACAAGGTATGCATCATTTGCCAAGTAATCTTTGATCCTCGTTAACCGATAATTCTACAGTTTGCCCTGTCTAAACTTCCGCGCACTAAATCGGCCTCACTCTATACTGCGTATACAAAGTTCGAGAAACAACATGGAACCCGATCAACTCTGGAAAACACAGTTCTCGGTAAACGACGTATTCAGTACGAAGATGAACTATCTCAAGATGGTCGAAATTACGACGTTTGGTTTGACTACGCCCGTCTAGAAGAAGGCGCATTAAAGGATCTTCGAGAGGAGGGTGTAAGTACCGAGGATGAAGAACAAGCAATCGGGCGAGTGCGAGAGGTGTACGAACGTGCGGTTGCGCAAGTTCCTCCAGGAGGCGAAAAGCGACACTGGAGACGCTACATATTCTTATGGCTATATTATGCTTTATTTGAGGAGATCGAAACAAAGGTATGTGTTCGACTATTGCGACATTGTTTCAATCAGGCACTAAATTTGGGCTTCAGGATTTCGAACGAGCGCGGCAGATTTACCAGACAGCAATCCAGCTTGTACCACATAAGCGCTTCACATTTGCGAAGCTTTGGATACAGTTTGCGCGCTTTGAGCTCCGACGATTGGATCTTCCAGCTGCTCGTAAAATCATGGGTACAGCCATTGGGATGTGTCCGAAGGAGGCACTATTCAAAGGCTACATTCAGCTCGAGTTCGATGTACGTGATTAGACCCTCAATCATTACTGTGGTACTAAAATTACTTGATAGCTCCGAGAATTCGATAGGGTTCGGAAGTTGTATGAGAAATACTTGGAGGTATGTTGTATTCACATTGAAGCATTTATAGCGTTACATTGACACTTTATATGCCAGTTCGATCCAACAAACTCTGCAGCATGGATCAAGTATGCCGAACTGGAGACTCAGTTGGAAGACTTCAGTCGCACTCGTGGTATCTTCGAACTCGGCGTTGCCCAGCCGCAGCTCTCGATGCCGGAAATCCTCTGGAAGGGTTATATCGACTTTGAGACTGAGGAAGGAGAGAGAGAGCGGGTCCGTGCACTTTATGAGCGCCTGATCAACCTCAGTGGTCATGTCAAGGTCTGGATATCGTATGCCTTGTTCGAAGTGGAAGCGATTCCTCTTCCTCGTTCCGAGAGGGAAGAAGAGGACGAGGAGGAAGAGGAAGTCAAAATGGTGGAAGGTGATGCTGACCGGGCAAGACAAGTCTTCCAGCGAGGTTACGATGACCTCAAAGGCAAAGGTCTCAAAAGCGAGGTACGCCCACACTCTGCGAGACTCTTATTCAAACGCTCATTGTGGTACCCATTTTTAGCGCGTTGCCTTACTCGAAGTCTGGAAGTCATTCGAGGAAAAGAATGGTACAGCGGACGATATCACGAAGGTTCAAGGCATGTTCCCCATTGTCAGTAAGAAGCGGCGTGTCGACGAGGAGACTGGTCAAGTCGTTGAAGGTAAATTCAATCATACTCGGGCTCTAACGTTGTGGTTGCTGACTGCGTTATCACTAGACTGGGACATGGTCTTCGCTGACGATGAGCGCGAGGCCCATCCTACGACATTCAAATTCCTCCAGATGGCACATGCATGGTCTCAAGCGAAGAAGTCTGGCCAAACGGTACCACCATCGGCGCTTCTCTCCGGGGTTCCGCAAGCTCAGCGACCATCCACGAGCCCTGAAAAGGTTAGTGCCGCTGCACACGACGATGGCGATGACGCTAGCAGTGTGGCTAGTTCCAATGGTGGAGATTGATTATTTATCTACGGTTTTGTATCTGATCCCGCGTGTATCTGTATATGTACAGCTCAAGAAAAAGCAATTTGATCGTTTTGATGCAGATCATGCATCAGAGGGATGAAGCCTGAGAGCGTTCGCAACTCTGTGAGAGGAATCGTACGTCCATTCAGCGTCTGTATCAAACTTGCTGTCATGAACTTTCAAACCTTTAAGTATGCCGATTCCTACCCCCACCCGGTAGAGTAACCAAATGAAAGATAACTGGATTCATAAGCTGATGTGCTGCCTGTCAGGATTTCTTTGAACCCTTCACATCGTGGCCTTCCCAACGGGTGGTGTACGTATATACATCCTCAAGGCTGGGTCTACTTTCGAAACGAATTTCACCGTGTGATCACTGACGAGGACATTTGTACCCCAAAAATCCTGGCAAAATTGGAAAAATGTTGCGAGCGATTGGGGACTCCTCTTTTGGAGGAGCAGGACATTTATGTTGTGACCCCCGCGGACCCGCCATTTGTGATTTTCATAAACCACAACCACGCTATAGCGTCATTCGAGAGAGGTTCGGTGAGTGCTGAAGCGGTACGGCAGATGAGTATATCGACCTGCATGTAGCTCTTTCTTAGTACTGTCAATGCCATTATTTGACGCTTTTCAACAGTGATTCGCTGTCGTCGACTATACTATACATTTTTGCAACATCACTGCGCACACATACCTAGCCCCAGAGATGCCCTGCATGAAGCAGTCGATGCACTCATGTCTTATCGTTTGGGTAAACTTTCAGAGTGGCTATAGAACCTGATACAAGGAATTACTCACACTCACTTCTCCGTCTCAGACTATTTAATTAATGGAACATCGTGCATCGCACCCTTCTCAAAGGAAGAATGCGAAAACCTTCTGAAGGTTCTGGATTCATTACGAGGTATGTATATGCTTACCAAAATTGCCTGAAGCAACATTAAAGGTGGGAAAGACGGCTTCTATGAGAATTCCGCAGGCACAACCACTTTTCTAGCCTGGGTTCTGAAAAGCATATGTATGTCATTCTACGAGGCCCCTTGCTCGACCCCCCACTCACCAAAATTGCCAGATAGATTCCGGTTGGTTGAAACTGACAAGAAGACAACACACCGAGTTCCGAGACTCACAGTCTCGTACAAACATCGGCCACACCCAGCCTCCTGAATTTGTGCGAATTTTGCTTTCTTTGATAATCAAATTCCCGTTCTTCGGTATCCCTGAGACATACTTGGCCCATACCAAGGACGCAAGCGAATTCCGTGGCCGTCTCGTCGACTTACAGGAACGTTGGGAAGCTTATACACGCCAATTGATTCGGGAATACTCAGATTTCATCCTAGCTGTGAGTTTGATTATCTTCATTTTCACTCCCCATCTGGCTGAACTGATAAGTATAAAGGCCACGGTTCTAATGTCGTAAGTCCCAAAGTCAAACACGTCTCATGAAGCATACTCACATGATGAGTACTACTCCAGTGCGACTATGGGTTTTCTAGCAGTTCCTGACCTCGAACAAGTAGCCAAAGCTCTCGGGATAATTCCTGTCTTTGCTGCTTTGAGTAGCATCATCATTGGGGTATTCTTTGTCTGGCGACACCACAGACCCCCACCATCGAAGAATAGTGTAAGTATACCTGAAAGCGTTAGCAACAGATACTCTATGCTGACATGTCCGGGCTAGATGGCATACATTCACAATGCTCGAAACAACCCGCTCGGTTTGCCAGGCCATGCTGTCTTGCTCAGTCTTCCCCCAGTTTTCTTGGTGTGGTCTATTATATCCTTTGCTGCAGGAGTAGTTGCGTATACAGTTCAACATGCCAACGCCCAAAGTGCGTCAATATGGACCGTTGTCAGCTTCTTTGCTGTATTCTGCTTGCTGTTGTTGGTAGGGCTGTTTACCTTCTCAAGGATTTGGGTGTGGAAGAAGTAGGGCAGGAATTATACCTTAAGATGTACTCGGCTTTGAACGCGAATATACCATTGGAAGCTAAAGACACGATAGCAGGTAGTTAGAAAATAAACCAAATACTAAGCACAACATCGGTTAAGATTTGTAGGTTTCGTGCAACGCAGGCGGTCTTCCGAGGCTCATATCCAGCCTCTCAGCCAACCTTTGAATGTCCGTTTCAAGACGACTGATTTTCGAACGCCTGATAAAACGAGATTGAGGATAAGCATCTCGACAAACTGGTCAAATACATACTCGGCATTGGATCGCTCTCCAAACTCGAAAGCTTGTGACACTCCAAGGCTTTGATGAAACTCCGCGAGTTTCTTCTTCAGTCTTTCTTCCTTCTCATGCAGTTCTCGCAGATTTGGCAGCAATCGATTTAGGTCCCGTCGAAGCTGTATACAGAATGAGAGAATACCCATGTATGATGATCGCATCAATACGTACCAAGGCTGTCCTAGCCTCCAAGGAATCTGCGTCGTACCGCCCAGCGCCGATTACCTCCTCTTGCAATCTCTTCAGTTCTTGGAACCATTTCGTTTCATGCTCACTCAGCTCCGGAGATGCCGTCTTCGTCAACAACCGTAAAATTCTTTCTTCCTTCCTGAGAAGGTCCTTTTGCGCTTCCTGCGTGTCCGCCACCTTCGCCCTAGTGGTTGCTTGACGTGAGGTATGCAGCCTATCAATAAGTTCCAACATCTCCTTGCAGGTCTCTTGCTGTCGCTTGAATTCCTGCCTCTGCAACTCTGCACGCCTCTGAGCAGCCTTATATGCCAACTGGACTTCCCGAATTTGATTCATGAAGCGCTCGAAGGTAGTCCCGAGATACCGAAGAGTATCAGGTGTGAGTTGAAGTTCTGACTTCGCGTCTTGAGGTGCAGGAGGAAGTGCTAGTATCGGATTTGAGGGGAGTCCGTTCTGCCGAGCCAGAACGGCTGGGAGTTCGAAAGGTTCAGTAAGTAGGGAGACGTATGCCGGAGGGCCGTCTAGTGGTGTTGAAACGCTTTGCGATAGTGACTTGGCAAAATCGTCCTTGGTCTGAGAGACGGCAAGTAGTGCAGGTTCGTTGGCGGAGTCGAGCTCTGAACGAAGTGTGAGTGGGAAGCATACAACTCTCATCGCAGACGTCAAGATGAAGATGCTGTAAGTCAGATATACGTCATTCGGAATGGCCACGCCAATGACAGGGTTGGAACACCTATTTCATGTCCCATCAGCAGCGGTACATCCAATGATTATACGAGCATGCTTACTTCCGTTCGACGGAAAATGTCGTTAGTATTGGTAAAACGGTGGTGCCACCTGATTTCTCGACGGCACTGGTCAAGTCATCGTCGCCGGCATTACTACTGTCATCCCGCAATGCAGCCGCCAGTGTTTGCAATAGACCACCTAGTTGCAGAGCGTGAACACCGAATGCATGATAGACGTAGACAGTTTCCTCCTGAATGGGGTCCCGTAGGAACACTGGATGGTTGCCATCTACGAGGTCAAGGATGGACGGGCCCGAAGGGGTTGAGGTAACCTTCTTAAGCATCGAGATGACACCCAGATCAATCGTTTCGTAAACCGCTAGCATGGGAAGGTCGTTATTCTTGTGCTGGTACATCAAGTGAATGTGAGCTACACTGATAGTCTGGAAAGAACAACATACCTGTCTGTGTTCCCATTTAGCTTCAACCTTCTCAACGTCCAAGCAAACGTCGACTTTGCCGTCACGGTATGTAATGAGGACGACACCGAGACGTTCTGTTTTGCCTTCATCCTCCTCGTCTGCCGAAGGTGTCCCAAATGTCAAGTAAACGAGATCAGTTGCGTCGCCACCTTCGCTACCATCCAGCAGCTTCGGCGAGGGTTGTAGGAGGAATGGCCCCTGGCGAATAGGGCTGCCTTTGATTGTAGTGGGCGGATGCAGGACGAAGAATTGTGAACTGGCAGGGAAAGCGGTCCCCGATGGAAGCTGTTTAAGGAGAGCGGACACATATTTGTGTTGGTAGTCATACAGGTTAGACAAGCTAGTCGAAGCGTTTATGACAGAGTGTGATAAGAATTCTTGTTTGGCATGGACAAAGCATTCAAGCGCGTGGATGTAAGAGGAAGGTATTGAGCTAATAAAACAAATGAGTGAAGGGGTCTCCAGCAATTGAGAAATCTGCACGCACGCATTCTTGGGCATGTATGGGCATATTGCATATATGTCCCCGCTTCTCATCAAGGCGTATACACTGAGAGGACCCCAGTCCGCATGCCCCTTTCCAAGAGTGAAGGAAGCGACCTCGCGCTCCGAAGCATCCTCAGCAATGAACGAGTTCATTCTCTTTTCTGGAACAAACGAAAGGACTTGTTGGGGTTCCTCCGTGTCCACCGAAATGTCATATTCTCTATTGCGCCGAATCAGTACGGTCACAGAGCAGTCCTTGTGCAACCTACCGTAGCTTGCCATCTGTGGTCATGACTAGTAGTGTTGTACCTCCTTCACCCCAAGGATGCCATTCCACCTTGGCAATCGGAGCTGCCGAGTTTGAGGCGTGATTATATTGGCCGATCTGTATCGACCTGCAATGGGCAGGTAAGTGTCGGGGCAGCATAGTGAAACACTTGAGTGACATACTTGCAATCAACCACCTGAGGTACTAGCTTCATGAAGCCTGGCCGAGGCAAGACAATAACTGCAACTTGGAATGCGCCCGCCACAACAAGCAACTTCGCATTTGGGTTCAAGGCAATGGAGTGAATCTCGAAGGTAATATTTGGTGTGTGCAAAGTCTATGTTCGGTACGTGGGTTCAGCATATTCTCTAAATAGTATTCCTAAGGACATACACACTTTGTATGACTTTGGACTATCTTTGTGTAACTTGGAGTCTCCTAGCGAAGCTATGCGTATTTCACTGCCTGCTGCGACAATGAGATCTGCATCCTTAATGACCATGACCTGACGTCTTCCCGATGGTGTAGGCGCATCTTCTGAAGGATCCAAATCTGTGAAATGATGTAGTGTGTTGATAGAGAGCTCTAGGGAGTTGTTCCCTTTCCCTGTCGGGCCTGAGACACTCTTGGGCAAAGAGAAGATAGGGTGGTCCCGAAGGAAAGCATTCCAGTCCTCGTCGTTGTCCATGGCTAACTAAATAGCTTGAGAGACAATAGGAGTATCTGAAGAGTGGTGGCGTATGAACACACAACTCGAAGTTCGCGTTGAGGTCAGACCTGGTCAGACGCGTTCCCGATCGAGGAGGTCATTCCCACGCTGGCGCGTCTTGCGCTGGGCGTGGCTTGCGCGTTCGGTATGCAGCTTCAGTCCTTCGTCCACCAGAACATATCTTTTCCTCAGCTTGATTCCCTTGTACGCTAGACTTTTACCATGACTTCCATCGGCACTGGCTATGATCTATCTGCAAGTACTTACTCACCGGACGGCCGTATCTTCCAAGTACGTTCATGATGTCAAGCCTTGGTCTTCATTAGCCTCTTATGCGATCGTGTGTAGGTAGAATACGCGAACAAGACCGTGGAGAACTCTGGGTATGCTTTCCGAATCAGCTTTGTCTCTGGCTGTGAGATCGCTAACATATATATGTTAGAACTGTTATTGGATTGCGCGTGAAGGACGGCATTATTCTCGCCGTGGAGAAGCTAGTCCATTCAAAGCTCTTGGTACCAGAATCCAATAGACGGATACTAACAGTTGATAGACATATTGGAATGGTTCGTCCGCATGTCCTGCCTTCTGCCACCATGAGGAATGTCTGATTTCCATGCTTTGTAGGCAACGTCTGGTCTACTCGCAGACGGCAGACACTTAGCAAACCGTGCGAGAGATGAGGCGTACAACTACCGAGAGATGTACCGCGAATCCCCACCATTGAAGGTTTGCCTCTCTTTTTCCTTTCCCAATTATGTCGTGATCTAAAGCGAATGGCACTATAGGAAGTTGTCCAGCGATTGGGACTCTATGTTCAAGCGTATACCCTATATTCCTCCGTCCGTCCATTTGGTGTTAGCACAATCTTTGGTGCTGTAGACAAGACTGGCCCTGCACTGTTCATTGTTGAGCCAAGCGGTATTTCTTACGTTCGTCTCACCGAAGTCATATCATGCTTCCCAGTATGCTAATAAATATGCAGGGTTACCATGGTGCAGCCATAGGTAAAGGCCGACAGATTGCCAAGACTGAACTGGAAAAGCTCAAGCTCGCCGAACTCTCGATGCGCGAAGCAGTTTTCGAAGCGGCTAGGATGTACGCGTCATTTATATACTGTCATACATTGTTCATCCCAATATTAATGTCTTTCCCCAACTCAGCATCCATCTTGTGCACGACGATTCAAAGGAGAAAGAGTTCCAACTTGAGCTCTCCTGGATCGGCGAGGAGACGAAAGGGCTGCACTTGCCTGTGCCGAAGGATCTGTGTGAGGAGGCAGATCGAAAAGCAAGAGAGGCGTTGGAGACGTTCGAGTAGTGGACTAGTGATGTATCGCATATATTCTGTAATTCGTACTGGATTTCATCTCTAATATCTGGTATGGTTCTCAACCGACGCGAATGCGACCTCGCAACTTAAGAAGACCGGTATGTGATAACGGGCAGGGAAACTAATAGGACTCTACAGTCTAACACTACACAATCTGCTCTAGTTCACGTGCATATTGAAGATTGGCTTGGATGAGCTTCTCTCTTGGGATCTCTACCTTCTCCTCACCCTTCTTCGCGAATGTAATAGTACCTTCGGTCAAATTCACTTGCCAGCCTCGCTGAAGGATTCAATAACGTTAGTAGCATGTCAGTAATATTAATTCATCAAGTGAGCGAACCTGCTGTGCGAATGTCACAAGCTCAGATTGGCTGTTGAAGAAGAGCAGAGTGCCAGCATCCTTGATAGGCAGACTATCATATGCAGTTTCTTCGCAGCTCGCGATTTCATTCCTATCATACTCGCTTCATCAGAAATATTTCTCCGGTTACGCATGAGCATACCACCCACCTGATGGTGCCCATGAGTGAATCCACGAAGAACTTGTACTCCTCCGCAGGCGCCTCCTCACGCGCATTCCACACCTTGCTATAGCTTCCCTCCATGAGCCATCTTTCGAGGTTGATCGGGTGGCTAATGAATGGATTGGATGTCAGAGAGTCGGCGGGCAGTGGCAGGGATTCAAGTGTTGTGTGGAAGTCGGCAATGCGGTTTTGCGTGAGGAGACGAATGAGGTTCAGGCCGCGTAGAGGGAATTCACGAGGAGATGGAGGAAGTACTGAGCTGTAAAAAAGATAAAGATTGGAGTCAATTGAACCGATGCCATCGACCTTTCAGAAGGCAGATGAGTACCTGAAGTCATTGTAGAATGTTTGAAGTTGGGAGAAATAACGGTCAAAAGATGGGATGTCTTTCGTACGAATACTCCAGAATGCACCAATTTCAAGGATTTCACCTGCAATACATTTAGCACTTAATTGGACCACCATCAGGCGGACTAGTAACGTACGCGCAACCACCAGGTCCTCCAGAAGAGCGTCTGGTTGTGGAACCAGCAGGCCCGCCGATATCAGGCCAATCTGGAATATGCATGACATGAATACATGGGCATTAAAATATAACAAGCGTATGATGATATACCTTCAGCTTGCTCAGAAGGACACCGCACTTCTTGAGGTCAGCTGGCCGTGCGCTGAATGATTGTACCAAGTCCTTATAGAGCACACCGAGTTCCGTCGTCGCCATCAGCGTTGTGTTGTTTATGTGTGTCTGGAGAAGTGACTGAGAGTGTGTGCGTAGCAGGAACTGAGAGGAAGTGGTCGGTGCTAAAGTGAAATGAGCCCGACGCGCGTCGACGCGTCACCTTCCAGCTTCAGCCACCTCATTCTGTCCTCCTACCACTACTTTCGCTAGCTCTCTCATTCTTTTTCCTCATCTTTGCAGCTCAACATGCAGACCGTGGACATGCAACAACTCAAGTCCGGCGAGGTCAACCTCGGTGTAGGTTTCAACTCGTTTCGCTTTGAAGCGTTGTGCTGAATTGTCGGCGAATGTGATAGACCTCGATCATGGCCGTTCAATTCAGGGACGGTGTTGTAGTGGGTGCTGATTCACGGACCACTACTGGCAGCTATATCGTATGTTCCTGCGGTATATTCTATCCAGGAATCATGCTGATGGAATGGCGTAGGCGAATCGAGTAACGGACAAACTCACTCATATCCATGACCGTATCTACTGTTGCCGATCTGGTTCAGCTGCAGACACTCAAGCCATCGCCGATATTGTTCACTACCACTTGCAAATGCTCACGTATGCTACTTCTGTCTTGCCCTTGCTTGTTTCGGATGCTTATAATATGGGGTGCTTGTATTTTACAGACAACAAAGCGGCGAAAGACCAACAGTGCACATTGCAGGGAACGTATTCCAGAAACTTTGTTATGAAAATAAGGATGCGCTATCTGCTGGTATCATCGTTGCTGGGTGGGACAAGGACGCTGGCCCAAGCGTATACAACATTCCTCTTGGTGGAGGTTTATTCCGCCAACCGTGGGCCATTGGAGGTTGGTTCCTCTTCGGTCGATATTGACGCAAATGTTTTAACTTTGAATTCAGGCTCTGGTTCCACATATGTGTATGGTTATTGCGATGCTACATACCAAGAAGGCTGGGGAAGGGACGAAACCGTCAATTTCGTCAAGAACAGTGAGTACCAATCGGTTCAGTTCGTATCTAATGCTTATTGGGCTATTCGATTCCAGCTCTTTCACTGGCTATGTCAAGAGATGGTTCGTCAGGAGGTGTCATCCGTATGTGTGTAATCACCGAAGACAAGGTTGAGCGACTCTTTGTTCCTGGAAACGAATTGCCCAAGTTCTGGGAGGGCGAAGAGGTGCTTAAGCTTATCGCTCCGGTGAAGAAGCGTCATGAATTTACAGATGATATGGCCGTCGAAGTGTAGTAGATCCCATTGTACTTTTATATCCACATTCCAGATCGTGTCTTGCCTTCACATTCTATATGTCAGAGACCCGAAAGCTGCACATACAGAGACCACTGAGAACATATTGGTAATGTACATGCATACTACCTGCGATGTATTCTAGGGAGTATAAATTTCCATGGCTCCTTCCACCCAGCCCCTTCCCACATTCTCAATCGCCAAAGAGCGATAGCGAGCGGCACTGCATCCGCACGCAACATTGTTGCAGCATCTGAGCATAAAAGATAGGCATGGCTGGCTTTGCGGTCACTTGGATAATCCGAGGAGAGTGGTTCAGCAATATCGGTTTCGCCCGAATTCTCATCAGATTTATTGACATTGGACGCAGATGTTTTTTGCAGTTGTCGCCACCGCGCTCGACGCTCCGCAAAAAGAAGACTGTTGAGCTGCTTATGCAGAGCAGCTCGCATCCCCCTAGAAGGGAAGAGAGCAAGACCGTTGTATAATGGTACGCGCGGGTTTGGCAAAGTGACATGAAGACTTAGGTCAGTTCCGTCATCTGGTTCTTGATGAGAGACCGGATGAAGGACCGACAAAGGTGGTAATGGTTTCAATACCTTGTCCGGACGGACAGTTTCCTCAACATCAGGGGGGAGTGGAGATGCATCGGGCTCCGGTCTCTTCTTCGTGATGGGGTTCTTGTTCACTGGAGGTACAACAAGGATGGCGACAGCACCTTCATATGGTATAACACCAGTATTGCGGACATCATTCCATTCTGCGCGGGTTAACCGTCGAAGAAGTGGCTTTTCGGCAGCTCCTCGGGGTCGCATGCGCACCATTTCAGCCAGCCACTCTATTTCCTGGAGGATTCGCAATCGTAGCAGATGTGTTACTTGGTCCAGGAAGCATTTGTGTACTTGAGACCCATGCCATGTCCCTATGTTTATCTATTTAGACGAATACAGTCAACAAGGAGACGACGACAGGAGCGTACCCTTTCTGAAGAACTCGGCGACAGCTTCTTTCCTGCAAATAACGTAGTAACCGAAACCAGACCGGCGAGTACGCCACTTTGGGTGTTCGAGACCGTCGGGTATGGCGATGGTGGTAGGTCGTCCAGATCTTGGTCCTTCAACTTTTGCACGACACATGCGAATTAAGAAGTCTACAGCGAGTTTTCAATACTCTGAGAATGAGGAATTATACAGGATGTGCATACCTGAGGGCAGGTGGGAATCTGTATATTCGCACAATCGTACGGTGCTGCTCAGCATCCGCACTGATGCCGTTGCAATGTGTTCAGTGATCCCATGCATTACTTAGGTGTGAGGAACATACGATATGGGTCTGACGACCACTGTCTCTCTTGCACGCTCATCCTTCTTGGCTTGTCCTTGTCTCCAGGCCGAGCTCTGACATATTGCTTTACTCTGACCACTGGAGGTAAAGACTTATGTCGTCGGTATATTCGCTTGTTGATGACAGGATTCAGAGGATCCAGAAGAAATGATTTCTTTCGTCCCTTGATCGAGAAATCCGGCGGAGGAGGGGCAGGACGCCATTGAGATTTGGCTTTTGGCTTTTGTGTAGGAAGTGAAAGTGAAGGTGCTTCAGTGGGTTTCAAAATGGCGGCATCGCGAAGAGCTTGTACAAGACGTGGTATGAGACGAGGCATACAGTGTCCTCGGTCTATTTTCGGCGTTTGGTCCAGGCTTGCTCTGTGTACCTTTCAACCAGAACCATGTTGCTCTCTTCCTCCATCTTTTCTTCAGTGCTACTCAGATCGTACTATATCATACTTAGCTCTACTTGTCTGCGGTCACTATATACTGGCATTGCCTTCAATCACGGATTTATAGGCAGCACAATCCGACGCATCTGGTTGGCTGCGATCATCCATTACATCCAGTCTAAGAGCTAATAGCATCCATCCTGCGCTCTAGTCGAGAGACACGCCATATTTCTCAGACAGGAATATACTACACGACGTGTGCACGCTGCATCAATAGGCACTGTTCCTAATATACTTAATCTATTCCGGTCATATGCTCCTCGCCGAACGATTGAGCTGAAAGATATCGGACCGTCATGCCCCTGGTGAGCAATGCTAAGAACCTCTGGCGGAAGTCCATACACCTCCACGATCCTTTCAACAACCATAACATGGGTCAAGACGTTGCTGCACGCCATACTGACCCCGTAACTTTGGTTATCATAGGATGTGGGCAGCGCGGAAAGGTACGTTATTCAAGATACTTGAATGTTCTCACTCCCTTACACAATTACCGCTTAGAAATATGCTGCTTACGCTCTAGACGAGCCGACGAAATGCAAGGTTGTCGCTATAGCGGAGCCCCGTCCTAAGACCCGCAAAAGCTTTGCCGATGCCCATCATGTTGATCAGACGTTGGTCTTTAATACTTGGCAAGATCTACACCAGGCTTCTGCAGATACTATAAAGACTGTAGGCAAGCGACTTGCGGATGCAGTGATTATAGCGGTACAGGATCATATGCATCTTGAGGTCGCGTTGGCATTCGCGGAGCAAGGATATCATATCCTCTGTGAGAAACCTATGTCCACTAATCTCGATGATTGCCTGAAGATGGAGGCTGCTGTCAAGAAGGCTGGGATTATCTTCGGCATGGGCCATGGTATGTGTTGTGATATTCGGGCAACCTTTCTGAAGAACCAGAATGTCTCACCGCTATTCACCAGTCTTGCGATATTCGCCTTATAGCAAAGCCCTTACTGAGGTTGTGCGCTCGGGAACTCTGGGTCAACTTATCAATGTAGTTCATATAGAACCTGTGGGTTATTATCACTTTGCCCATTCGTACGTTCGCGGCAATTGGGCGAGAGAAGAAGAAAGTTGTTTCTCCCTCATGACGAAGAGTTGCCAGTAAGTGTGCTCCCAATTATGTTCGAGCTCATCTAGATATTTTCTCCTAGCGATATTGATATCCTCTGTCATTGGTTATCACCTGGCACTCCTACCCGAGTATCCTCTTTCGGTTCCCTACAGCATTTCCGCAAGATATCCAAACCACCAGCTGCGGGTTCAGCTACCCGATGTTTTGACTGTGCGCATGAAAAGGAATGTCCTTACAGCGCCAGAAAGAGTAGGTCATCTCTGGAAGAAAAATCCGTCATCGTAACTGAAGATGACGCTATCTGAAATATAGTATACTTAGACCCTGTGTCACAGGGCAATACCCACTGGCCAGCGAGTACCATCGTAGACGGTGTTCCTGACATAGAGAATATTACATCGGCATTGAAGCACGGACCTTACGGTCGTTGTGTATACGAATGTGACAACGACGTTTGCGATAATCAAGTAAGCATTATGTCACATTTCCTTTATTTGAACGGCCTTTCGATTGCGATTATAGGTCGTCAACCTGGAATTCTCCAATGGAGCGACCGCAACTTTCACCATGATTGCTCATACATCCCTAATTTGCGAACGACAAACACGACTGCATTTCTCTCATGGCGAAATCGTAGGCGATATGAACACCTTCACTGTCACAAACTTCCGTACAGGACAAACGAAGAAACATGTTCCAAAGAACGAAGGCGGCGGACACGGTGGAGGTGATACCGGATTAATTCGCACGTTCGTGGAAGCTGTGAGGACAGGCAGGCAGAGCGTACTTGGAACGGACGTGAGTCAAGTGCTGAAGAGTCATCTGACGGTATTTGCTGCCGAGAGCAGTCGGAGGGAGGGCAAGGTGGTCGATTGCTTTGAGTTTGAGAAAGAGGCTAGGAAGAAAGTTATAATATAGAGCCCTATAGAGTCTCAGCCTAGGTTTGTTTGTGCCTTTTTAATGTACCTGTACATGTTTGGGGCCGTTGTACAGTACACTGCCGGCCAGTAGATCGGAATTTCTAATATGTCACATCGTTGAAGTCAAGCTGTTCGGCGAGTGTCGGTATGAACTTGAAATGGTCTGTCTAGATCTACAACTATACAAACGATAAGGTACCACTCTCATTCAGTTTCAAAGTAGTATCTCCGTGTCTTCTTCTGACCTTTATGTAGGTGTGTGCCTGCTCTTGTACACAGCAACCTCGGCGTGGCTCAGAGTCCCCAATGGTGCTGCGTCCCAGGCCTGACTGTGCCCTTACTGCGCCAGTGCATGCCCGAGACTTTTCTTGGCACAATTAGTGGACGACAGACATGTCGATCATAAGCGTGCCTTGGAATCTTGAACAGTTCATATATAACTGACCGAGGGGTACTTAGAAACGCACTTCAAACCATCATGACTGACAAAGAAGAATACCTAGAGCTTCCCGGAGGGCGTACGCTGGCCTACGCCCATGGCGGAAATCCATCCAGTAAACAAGTTGTGATTTTCCTTCACGGCGTGTTTGGCGTTGGAAGAGTCACCCGTTTACCACCGGTATTCGTAGAGAAGGGTGTTCACTTCATTGCACCTACTCTGCCAGGATGGGGGAACTCATCCTTGCCACGTAAATCAACGACATTCCACGATTACCTCTACCAGGCAACGACTGCACTCATCACTCACCTCCATCCCGATACGAATGGGCTCAAACTTTACATTGGAGGAGGCTCGTATGGTACTATTGCCGCGCAAATGCTGTATGGTGCATCATACCACGTCTTTCCATTGGGCAGGCACATCGCCGGCCTTCTCCTCCTGGCCGCGTTCTCCCCTCCTCGCGTTCATAGGACATACGCCAAGTGTCTTTCATGGTCCAACTACATAGCCATCGGTCCACCATCTCGATATCTTCCTACCTTACAACTTGGAAAACTCATGATGAAGAATAAGGTGAACACCCCAGAACGTGCAGTAGCTTTTATACATGACTTTGGTTTCAAGAAGATGACCCCCAAGGAAAGGGAAGCATACGAACGCTTCATGCAGACGAAAGGGTTGGAGGAAGGTCAGATGGAGAAAGAAATCGGAGAGAATGCCTATCGTAGCGTAGCCAATACCTGGGAAGGATTTTTGACAGTCGCCGACGTATTCCAATCTGACTGGGGAGGATATGACCCTACTCGGCTGGACGAGGAACACGCACGAAAGCCTGTCCTTGTTGTCATGACGAAGGAGGATTTAGACAATACTCGCATGGGGGAATGGTTAGTGAAGAACATGCCCAATGCTCATGGCAGATATGAAGAGGGCGGTCATATGGCTGCGTTGTTCGTGTTGGACGATATTTGGGTGGACTTCCTGAACAGGTGTTCATGACAGCAGCAGCAGCACCAAGATACCTCATATCATTGTACACTCATCATTGCGATAGCGGGAGCTCATGTTTAAAAATATATGCAGACTTACAAGATGGCGAAGTACATGTTCTAAGATCCAACATCGACAAGCAGCACAATAAGCGTAACCACAACGACAGTCAGTCGTGCAGTTCCAGCTCTCTGCGAATCCTCTCGCGCACTTCGCGTAAACCTCCAGCTTCTCGCTTCACAGTCTTCGGACTTCTCGTCCTGAGCTCTTCAGCGCTTTCGTCCTTTCGCCGGACGCGACCGGGACTACTGGGCATCTTTCGAGGGCTTGCGCTAGCTAAAGGCTCCGCAACATTGGTCGTAGTAGGCGCAGGCATCTCCAACCACTCTTCGCCACCCACGTTTATAGAACGCAAGAAGAACGGACAGAGTGAGGTCAACAATTTCAGAGATTCTTGAGCATCTGCCATCGAAATTGGTACAGGTGATGACTTCAGAATTACAGATGCAATCTCCGAAGCTGGAAGCGTGCGCCGTTTGCGAATAGTAGGAGTAGCGGCCGAGCCAGAGGGATTTGAGAACAACCTGGAAAACATAATAAGAATCAATGCTATCAATATGTAATGATTTCGTCCGACTTACATCCAGACACTTTCCGCGACGCCAGCGAGGCGCCCCAATAAGCACTTTCTACGCGTTTCTTCTTGACTCAACTTCATCAATTGGTCTTTAGTCATTCGAGGTGTTTTGCCACCCATTCCTGGAGTGTGCTTAGATGGAGTAGATTGAAGTGATCGCTGCCGTACGCGTTCATACAAAGCTTCACGCCTTGAACTAGTGGGTGTTTGTGGTACAGTGACAGCATCTGAGCCTCGTTGATGAACAGGCGTGGAAGGTACAGAAAATGAAGATGACGAAGAAGGTGTATTAGTTAGGGATGGCGTTGAAGGACGAGACGTCGAAGGGGTTCTAAAGCCAGATGTTGAGGGAGTTCGGGAGCCAGACGTTGAAGGGGTAAGCAGACTAGCTGCCAGATCCAAACGTCCATGTCGGGAGGGGGTCTGAGGGAACAAGATAGAGTTCTTGGAAGGGGTCGCAGTTCTACTGGAAGGGGTAACAGGAAAAGGAATAGCGAAGTCACGTCGTTTAGTGGGTGACTTCGTAGGTGATCGAGAAGATGAAGGGGTAGGAGACCCAGGTGTCGCGAGTATCTTAGAGGAGGAGGGAGATTTAGGCGACGATGAAGCAAGTAGTCGGGTGAGGGTAGAAGGTTTCGCAGGAGTTGGAAGAGGAGGAAGGTCCGCAAGGGGTAGGTTGTGAATAGGCTCGTGACCAGCATGCAGCTGTAAAAATCTCAGCATAAGGACAACGAATTAGAGAGCAGGGGGAAGCCTCACCTTTACCCATCGGTTGAGTTTTGAGCGCACTTCGTTCCGACGAGCCTCGCTTGCAGCTGTCCATCTTGCTACAGCAGCCATTCCCTCGCCCATATCTTTGTCAATATCCATTTCGACTTCGATGCCTATGCCATAAGCGGGCACACGAGTACCAGTAGACTTTGAGAAGTGCGTGGTTTGGCTGACGACAAATCCCATCGCCCTACGCATCCAATCTTTCGGATTCGGAGGCGCGGGCTTTCTCTCCAAAAAGGGATTATCATCCTCGGAGGATTTCTTAGCTATAGGTTTGTCATCCAAGAACGGGTTGTCATCATCCTCAGAGGGTTTTGGAAGAGGTGCAGGGTCATCATCGAGGAACGGGTTCTTATCGCCATCGTCACTGGAAGCGATGGTCTTAAGTTTGGAAGCTGGAGACGGTAACTTTTCACCATCCCACTCCCATAGCCAGCATAATCGTTTCAAGTCGTCAATTTCGAATTTAGTGGTTAAGCCCGAGTACGAGCTGAGTGAATGATGATTTAGGACATTGCGGACAATGCCGGTATCTGAAGTTGGTGATATTGCACAAGTCGCGAGTGCATGTGAAAGAGCGTGTTGGAGTGCTGTCTGAAGTGTATGCAGACGTGCTAAATGGGATGGTAAGGGTGTCGCAGCGGGTTTGGCCTTGACCGTCCTCCGCGTCACTGTCGCAGGAGGGGTAGGCGGGCTACGCGTCAAAAGCAAACATGAGCATATAGTCAAAGTAAAGACCTTCATAGAAGACTACTGACGCGTGTCTAAGCCTCTTGGGAGTCAGGACGTTGTCATCATCCTCTGGCAGAGTACGCTTCTTCCTGGGTGATAAACGGAGGGCCGTATAGAGATCGGACATAGTGAAGGTCTTTACACGTGTAATATGCAGTAAGAAACGCGTCTCAAATAGCCAGAGGGGTGAGGGACTCGAGGCAGATGAAGGGGTCGCGAAAGGAGGGGGGGTGAGTTCAATCTTCCAAACATCGAGCTCATTAGCGCGACCAATTAGCATTTTCCCACGGTAGCTCAACAGGCGCCCATAGTACCTGCGAGGTCAGGCTGGGAAGAGTTTAAGTCCAAGCCTCAAAGCTTCAATTTTCAGTTAGATGCGATTTTTCGTCCATTGGAATGACGCTTTACGTGATATTTTCCTAGATAAATGCTACACTAGCCTGTGTAATCATTGTTTGTCATTTCTGTGACCATCGTCATTCTTTAATTCCCCGGGAGAATTACCCTCACGGCGTGAGAGATCGAGGCCCAAGATTTCGTCAGCTTCGGGGGTACCTGCTAGAGGTACGTCCTTGCGCAAGGATACTTTGACGGGTGATACACCTTCATTGTACGCCAAAGCGAAAACAACGTCCATATCTGTAAAACCCAATCAGCTCATGGCGAGGACGAGAGGCAAAACCAAGATTAACATGCCTTCCAGCGAACGCCCGGACGTCTCGGGGAAGAAGAAGTATACGACCGGAATGATGAAGGCATTCAACGCCGCAAATACTATGAGAGATCATCTGATGTCAATACAAATTCTTTGCTCAACCCAATGCAAGAATATACCAATGTATGTGCCCCAGCTGATGTTGTTGAACGACGGACCAGTTACCATTACGACCATGAAGTTGAATATCCAGTTTGAGGCGGTGCTGAATGCGTTTGCGGGAGCCCTTATACGAAGACCGACGATCTCTGCGGGCTAATAAACAACCGATGATTAGAATAAGAGATACCTATCGAAAACATCATGGAACACATACGTATAGCCAAGTCATGCCTAGCCATCCCACGGCGAAGAAGGAATTAAAGACAAACAGCAGGACAGCCGACACAATTTGAGTGGCCGAGGTATCGATGCTTCCAAGAATCGCGAGTAGGATCATGGTAAGGCATTGTCCGATAGCGCCGAACAACATGAGCTTGCGACGACCGACACGGTCAATTAAGAAGATAGCGATAATACTTGCAAGGAAATATTCTGTCCCATTGCATGCTGCAATAATTCGCGCCTTGACATCGTCGATTCCCAGCCGTTCGAAGAGCAACGTCTTCGTAACCAACCATTACAACAAGCCGAAACATGCAATGAGGTCAAACGTACTGCATAGCTAGACATCTGGGTCAGCATTCGAAGTATTAAGGCCCAGAGCATGCAAGAACTTACTATGTTATCAAATTTATGCCAGTTATCTGTTGGAAGCATTGATTGACAACGCCAAGAAAAGCACGCCGGAAGTTCTGTGATCGACCGCCGGAGAAAATCTCTCGCAAAGGAGAGCGTTCACTCCCTGAGTGTGATTCGACGGCAACGGCCTCACGAATACCAAGGTACGTCTGGCGAACAGAGGGGTCGTCATGCGGTTTGCCTTCCAAAGCGGCAATTACCGCTAAAGCTTCAATATTCCTACCTTCCTTCGCAAGCCTGATAGGTACCCGGTCAGCGTTGACCAGAAAAGAACAATGATAACAAGTGCCACCATCTAGGAGACTCGGGGAGCTATCGAGATCAAAACAGTTCAACAATGTCACAAATATAGCTGCATACGTAGTACTCACAAACGTTATTCCTGCTATCATTATAATAGCGAAAATAATTTGCAAAGCGATGGGGACGCGCCCTTGCGCGGATGATCCAGATGCCCAGAAGCTGGAATGACAATTAGCCAAAAAGTTACAAGGGTCATCAGATTAACGCACCAAGCAAAGTCTATCCACTAATAGTATAGCCCTTCGTCAACAGCATCATGATGTGATGGAGTCAACTCAACTCACGTATCTGAAAGGATGTGAGAAGAATTTCGGCAATACAAAGGACTTCGAACATACGAAATCATGATGCCAAACGTGATGAGACTCCCTTCAATCATGATGAAACTTCCTCTTTTCGATGCCGGCGAACATTCCGCGTGATATGATGGAACTGTGGACGTCTGGAAATTCAGTAGATAGAAATAAGCACAATTCAAACCTTACTGAGAAATGAGGATCGGCCATATACTAACGTTGAGACCGTTTCCCAATCCAGTGATGATACGAGCTACTACCATTTGAGCATAACCAAATGATGTGGCCTGAAGAATAGCACCGATGATCATTATGACACCGCCCAAGACGATCGTTTTCCGACGACCGAGTCGATCACCAATCCATAGATTTGACAGAGCGCCGACTAAACACCCAATTTCCTGTGTACTAGTTGAGATTCCTAGACAACAACCACGCCAACCATACTCACATAGATGGCAACAACAAAGCTCTGCAGAGTTGCGTGGTTTGGATGGTCACCGTCTATGATCACTTGCGGGAAGACTCGAGTAAATTGCTTCGCGGAGAGTAATGCAGACATAACACCCTGGTCATACCTGAGTGATGCGACGCATGAGCATATCGTCTCGGCAGCGCATGTATCTAATTAAAGAGCGGCCTGACCCGAAGAGTGTGAAACCAGTCCCTGCAACAAAAGCGAGGGCTGCAGTGAGCCGACGTCCCTGCAACATCGGAGCCGCATTGCGGATTTGTTCATCATACTCCGAAACAAGGATATCCTCTTGATGTTTCTGTCGGTTTTCATCTTCAGATGAGAAGCTACGACGTGTTCCAGGAAGAGAGGTCATGTTGGGAAATTAACAGAATAAAGAGATCAAGGAAATCAGGGTACTGAGGAAGTTCGAAAGTGCGTGTCCGCCATATTTATATAAGTACCTCCATACCAAGGTGAGCGCCATGGATCCCTACCCTGGAATTTTGAGATATGGTATCGGAGGTACTGATTCTACACATTTGCGAGCGCAGGGTAGGGCACCACCTTGCCGCCGCCGGCCGAATAGAACATCACGAGACGCTTGAATCTCTTCCTGTGACCAATCTCGTGATGAGTTTCTGGTGAGAGAAAATATCGCTGAGAAACCAAAAGGTCGCATGAAAGAGAATTGCAAAGCGGATGAAGGTATTCTTTGAGCGTTGAGGTCGCAGGACGATCACGAACTAAGTACGAGGCGCACTTGTCTCAAATGGGACGCAACGATCACAGTGATCGATAATTTCCCACGTGGCAGAATTACCTCGAATCCCTTTTCAATTTCCAGCGGACCAGACCTGGACTCCGAAACTTTGCGTGAGCGCAACTCACCGCAGCTCACCTCGGGAAACCCTCATTGGTGCCCTTCATCCAGGAATCCGTTGATGGGGACAACATTGCCTTTCTTGATACCATGATGTCCTCATTGCGCACGTGGAATTGCCGTGACGACGTACTAGGGATAACCATTCGCTTGTACGTATTCTCTAACCCAGAATCTTCACGCAGCTCGATGTTATGTTCAGATGTCAAAGTCACCTATTCCGAACTCACCCTCGCCAGCGTCCAGTTATTGATCATTGGATGATGCGGATGGATGCCGTCAATACCCGCATCTCCTCATCTCAATTATTTCCGTGCTTGACGGCCCTTCATTCGTCCTTCAGACCTCTGGCGGGTTGAGCGCGTATATACAACGCATATACATGTATGCGCGATCATATGAACCCTTCCGTTGTTCTATGGGGCACATGAATAAGGGTCAGTGCGGAGTTTCAAGTCATTCTTGATGAACTGACCAGTACAACAGGGGATTCTAAGAACGGAAGATCTTCGTGTTTTGATCACCTGATGGTATATCGTGTTGCCAATTTCAGGCATTGTATTAGGGTTCAGGACCTTGTCTGCTGTGTGACCTCGGAACGTGTTGCCTCCACGACTCTTTGTTAACAGATAAAAGCACCTCTGCGCGGTTGTCGTCCATTGAGACTTGACCATAGCATAGCTTCAATACGGTGCACATCGCCCCATGTTGAAGGATCCACGTATGGTAGATAACAATTCTGCTTCAGAGTATTTGCTGTACGGCGTTCCTACTATCTTCATCTGGCGTGCTGAGTGACAACGTTATAACAGTGATAAATGCCTGAAGACGATACAGAGTACGTACGGCCTGTGTGGAGATATGAGCGTCCTAATTCTAATATCGTTGATAGACGAAGTGAAAAACTTAACATTGAATTTGAACGAAGAGCAAACGCGTCGCATCCAGGAGCTTGAGGCCGAACTGCAGAAGGCCAAATCTGTGATTGATTTCTTTCAAGGCAAATTAGAAAGCGTAAAGGACTCACATGCCAAAGAGAAAGAGGAATTGAACGAAGAACTAGCTAGAGAAAAGGAGCAATGTACGAAAGAAATGCAGTTGATACAAGTGCGTGCTGAAGTCTCTCGAGCAACAACATTCATACTAACGATACATCATTCAGGGCTTAGATCGTCGTGTGATTTGTCTGATTGACGGTGATGGTGCCATATTCTCACTCGTTCAAGTAGCGAAAGGTCAAGCCGGTGGGCAGACTGCTGCTGCCAAGTTGACTGAGTCGATTCGTCAATACCTGCCCTCCGATCACTATCAGCTGAGCGTTTGGGTATTCTTGAACAAAGGCGGGCTTCTCGAGACCCTGAGGAAATGCGGGAAAGAAGATGCTCGTCGGAATCTTGAAGACTTCATCAAAGGATTTAATCAAGCTGCCGACAGGTTCCTCATGGTTGACGTTGGAAGCGGCAAGGAAGCCGTAGATGCTAAGATAAAGGGTATAGTTTTTTTTTGACATGCAAGTTGAATGTGTTCTGATATTTTGTAAACATAGCGTATCTGGAAGATGAGGCAAAAGCTTTACAGACTATCAAAGTAGTATTCGGAGGTATGTGTCTATTTGTGACAGTGACGGAGACCGTAATGAGCATCATGTAGGATGTCACGATAACGGATACTTAACAACATTGAGATCCCTCATCACGGCAGGTTATGCGGCCAAGGTAGTCCTTCTTCAGGGCTATATTGAAATGGCCGCAGGGTTTCGCACACTCGAATTGCCCTGTCTCAAGGTCCCTGACCTCTTCGAACCAGAGAAGTTATGTCCTAGTGCAAATGTTTCACCTGTTATTTCGGCCGCGACTCCTGCAGTGCCACCCGGACTCAATCGCGAGACTGTCAGATCCAACAGTGCAACCTTCGTCTCGATTCCGTCTAGTAGTGCCCCCATAAGCCTGAGAACGCCGTTGCTCCCAATTCAGACGACTTCACAGGGTGTTGTATGGCGCAAGTAAATCACCTTCTTATTGACTGGATTCGTTGCACTTATCAGACGACGCTAGTGTAACTAGTCCTTCACCTCCTCATCGATCGCGACACATCGATCCCAACAAGGTGAGTAATTGCATGCCAGAGAATTCAATTGAATTTCATTTTGAGACTATTTCCGCAGTCGTTGTCGAAACGTGAGTGAATATTCCCGCTCATCTTTCAGAAGCCATAGAACCAATGCCCTGACGGATTCTTTTAGAAGAGCCGCCACCATGCAACGTTTTTTATCTCACCGGCGGTTGCAAATTCGGGGCTTCCTGCACATTTGCCCATGACTATCTATTGACGGCGGAACATATTGAGACCATGCGAGACAATGCAAAGAAGTCTCCGTGCGCAACACTCAACCGAGGTACGTATGCATCTGCGAGAATCGGATCTTGTTGTTTCTCAAGTAACCTCCCAGGGGAAGCATGCGTGTTTGGCGACACCTGTTGCTACGGCCACAAGTGTCAGTTTGGGTCAAAGTGTCATTTCTACAAGATGGGAATGTGCAAGTTCATCGCTGGTGAGCTGTTGTTTATCATCGAGTTGTGGCATTGCCCTGATGGTCAAGGAAGTGGGAATGCACGCGGACTAGTACCCTTGATTGATTGATCGCCCGCGGCGATCCTGCGCAGTGGCGTCTACTTGATTGTGCGTCTTACCTTGTAATTGTAGCTTATGACTCTGGGGGCTATGGAGCTGTGTATCTCACTGGCACACGAATGGAACGTCTGCATGGCCTTGGCGGTAAGTTGAAGGAATACTAGTAGGAGGAAGGCTTCGTGGCGCTAGACTCCAAGTACAGATGAACCTTGTTGTGTGCCGTGCTGGCCACCGATTGGGAAGGTTGTTCCCGGGAAACGTGATTTGGGCGCGTAGAAGTCATTCCCCGCCGGCTCGAAAATGTCAATCTCGGACAGAGAGGAACAAATCTCGCGTCCGTGCTATCCTCAGAGTTTTTCGTGGGATTTTAGAAGTTGACAGAGTTCGTACACATTTCCATTTCGTGCCTATCTGCACCAGAAGCAGTTCGGAGAATCTGGCCAACTTCATCGCCGCAGCCTGACTGGCAGCAAGAACCATGTTCTCGGCGGTTATATAAATTCCATCCTTCATTCCTCTTTCCTCCCTCCCTTCTCTATCTTCCTCAATACTCTCTTGCTTTTTCTTGAGCAAATAATGGCCTCAACGTCGGTGACGGGCGAGGTTCAAAATAAGCAGCTCTGGTAACCCCTCCTCGTTGTCATTCCCATTTTCGATTCTCACCATTCTTCGTTTCTGCCAGGGATGAGGCACTTACGCGGCTCCTAGGTATTTCCTCGGCAATGGATTGTCGAATATGGCGTTTGACTCACCCTTTCCTTCCAGACTTGTCCACTGTCACCATCAAGCGTAGTGTCGATCTGGAGGCTCGAGTCGCTGAGCTCGAACTCGAACTCTCCGTTTGGAAACAAGCACACTCTAATGTGGTCGATATGGTTGAACGCGATAAAAAAGCTCATAACGTACAGGTCGCCACGCTTAACAAGCAGCTTTCCTCTCTTGAGACTATCAAAGTCTGTTTCTCTCCTAACGCCACCGGACGTATGGACTGACATATATTGTGCTGGCGTCTTAGAATCCCTTTATTCTGTGTGCTATCGATGCCAATACCAACGTTTTCAACCAGGCGCTGTGGGCCCAAGGTCACCAAGGTGGTCGGCACGCTGCTCAAAAACTCACCCAGGGGATTGCCGAGTACCTCTCCCAGGAAGATGTCCAAGTATTCGGCCGACTATCATTCTGGATTATCATGTTTGTAGATCGTGAACGCCTCCTCGCGACCCTACTCGGGAGCAACATTTGCACTGTTGAGCAGTTCAAATCATTCTTCGTTGGCTTTAGCGAGTCGTCTCCTCGCTTCCTTGTTGTTGAGACTGGCCCTGGACAAAATGCTGTGGACGCGAAACTCAAAGGTAAGCCTTAACGATTGACCTCACTGCCAGCTCTGAGACTAAAGCGCTCCTTCGTAGAGTACATAGAAACCTATACAAGATACCCTCAGACCCTGCGGCTCATTCTCGGGGGTATGGAAGTTCTTCAACGTGTATCTTTGTTAAGCTGATTTCATCTTTAGGCGGATATGACTCCGAGTACTTGGCCACATTCAACTCACTCAACGAAGAGGAACTTATGGGAAAACTGGCTCTACTGAAGGGACCAAATGATCCTGCAGACGATATACAGCAGTTGGCTTTGCCAGTCATCGCTGTCGAAGATCTGTTCGAGCTCCATAAATTACCCAGTGCCGATAAACGGCCTGGACCAATTTCGTTGCCTCCGCCAGGTATGGGGAGTATTACCACTAATGGCGGACTGATTAGTCCTCAGTCTGAATCGCACTTTTCTCGGGCATCTGACCCTTCTAAGACAACGAGGAACCTGAAGCTTATCGATGCGACGAAGGTGAGAGGTCATTTAATTTTCCTTGTTTCGGGATGCTGAGAAGACCTCTCCAGCCTTTGCATAAACGTTAGTACCTCGCTTGACATCTTGGATCCATGTTCTGAATAATTTTAAGAGTCTCCACCACCATGCAACGAGCATTACCTCATGACGTGTTCTAAAGGGGTACGCCTGTTCTCGTTCATCTTTGGCAGAACCTTATTCATTGCTTTCACACCAGTCTACATGCAAGTACTCTCATGAGTGGGATCTCACTCCCGAGCAGTTGGATACTCTGGCCAAGAACGCAAAGAAAGCGCCCTGCAACTACTTGAAGAATGGTGAGCGTTTGCTTTATGTGATTGCCCAGGCCTATGAACGCATCGATGACAGGTCTTGGATGTCCATATGGCGATAGATGCTGCTGGGGTCACGTTTGCCCAAGCGGCTCGCGCTGCTTTCATTTGAGCAAGGGAAAATGCTGGTTTAAAGGCGGTGAGTAGGCCTGGACTCTTGAAGCTTATCGTTCCCTGACTGGCTGGTAGCAACTATGCATCCTCCCGTTGGTCAGGATGATAGTGTTTGCTCAGGATGAGATTATTTTTATTGGCCTTAGAGCGGCTTCGTCTACAGTACACGTTTCATGCCTTCTATGCACGCGCGACACTCTCTTGACCCCTTCGTTCTTGCCTTATACTTATATGACCGCCACTCCGGATCAGGATTGGGTTCCACATGCTTCTTCTATCCTTATGGATCTGACCCTGGCCGACTTGCTATTAACTGACTGGCGATGTATTTGACTTGCCAGTGGCTGAAAAGTTCTCGTATATCTGTGTATTATTTAGGATGGTTACTGTGATGTGTAATGATTATTCATACGCGAACCTTGCGTTTTCGCAGTGTTCGCCACGGTCTTTTCCGACGTTGACATTGAAGTGCCAAGGTCACAAAATGTATCGACCAGCGCTAGTCGACTCTGTACGTCAATATCGGCAGAGCACAATAACATGCGTGAGAAAATCGATCGATAATAGTGTTGCACTGCACTGTCTCAACCTGCATAACCTTGCATTCTGCATACAAGTTGACCACGATTGCCAAACAACATTATGTCTGGGGTCAGTATCTCCCCTATATCTTGCTTTGCAATGTTTCTGAGATCGCCCAAATCCAGCAACACGATGAGGACGACTTTGCGCCAACCACCACTCCCGGTATGTCCAGGAAATGCTTCCGCGACCGATCATCCTTATTGAATCCCTGCAGGTTACAAGATCGGTGCTGCAAAGTCGGTCGACGAGTATGCCAAGTTAGATGCAGAAGATGAGAGTTTAGCTCGGTGGAAGGCCAGTCTTGGTATCGTGCCGGGCGCAGCTTCTGGTCCTGCAACTGGACCTCAGGTGCGCTCAATGATCATGGTAACCGTGTCATTAAGTCATGATGAACAATATCATTAGGTGTCTGTCTTGACCCTCGAGCTTGCTTCTCCTACTCTGCCGGCTGGTAAGAAGCTCGCAATGAACATTAACGACCCCGCGGCGCTCGCAGAAATCAAGAAGCATCCGTTCGTTATCAAGGAGGGCGTCGAATACAAGTGCGTCTATACTTTCGCTCGCTGTTACTTCGCTTTCTTATACGGCCTTCAGTGTCCGAATCACATTCAAAGTGAACCATGGCATCTGTTCGGTTAGTCGTCTCGATTCTGGTCATTTCAGGCGCATTCTGAAAGGTTACTTATAGGGCGTCCGCTATTTGCAAGTGGTGAAGCGAGCCGGCGTGAAGAGTGAGCGCCGATTTTAATCACACGACCTACCTTATCTAAAGTTGTCCCTCTGCAGTGGATAAGATGGAGCAGATGTTGGGCTCTTACGGTCCTCATCCTCAGGGAGAGGCCTACACCAAGAACTTCGAACCTGAGGAATCTCCATCTGGCATGCTCGCTCGATCTGGTACTTATAATGTCCGCAGCCGGGTTGTGGACGACGACGGTCAGGTATATGCAGGTAATATATTCTAACTCGGGTGCTATTGGGTTTGAATGTTAATTCGCTATCCGCACAGACTGGGAGTGGTCGTTCAAGCTTGGAAAAGACTGGTCTTGATCTGGGACATTTGCATACCCCCTCAAGTCTTCTTCTGCATTCATCGGTTGCTTTTATGCATTTATGTTTCATTGGATATGTCAGATTGCGCAGCGTATATATCTTCAACAAATCAGCATGGTCGGAATAGAATGGAATACATCATCTCTACATATAATGTTTTGCTGCATGCTGAGTACTCAATTATGACTGCAACTTGCACTCCCGATTCAGGCAGCCAACTGCAGAGCCGGCAAATCCCGACTTTCTCTTGTCCATCGCGAACCCATGCGTATCATCCTCGACGCGTCGTACATTCCTCTATCGCGAATACACGTCTCTTCGCAGCTGCGAAGAGTGCCGTTTGCTCTTACATATCGTAAAACAGGCCTTAATGGACCGTACTTCACGTGTAATACGCGGATACTGTCAACCCAATCCGCCACACGATCACCTACAACCACACCACCAACATGGATTGACCGTGCGCCAGTCAAAATTCAGCCGTATCTACATCTAACGCGACTGGATAAACCTATTGGAACTATCTTATTATACTATCCTTGTGGTTCGTTTTGAATATCGTTCTTTATGATGCTAGTTCTCAGCGACACGGTTTGGTCATTAGCTTGGTCTATCACAATGGCTTCTTTCGCCCTTGACACGCCGCTCACGACTCCAATAAAGTACCTTGCTCTATTTGGAGTCGGTGCGCTCATTATGCGTGGTGCTGGATGTACCATCAATGACATGTGGGACCGGAACCTTGATAAAGCGGTCGGTGAGTGAAAGTAGCTTGCTTGAATCCACGTTCGGGTGATATAGAAAGTTGCGAGTGAAGCCAGAACGAAGGACAGACCATTAGCGAAAGGGGATGTCACGGCGAAACAGGCTTTCGGGTTCTTAGGTCTGCAGTTGACGGCTGGATTAGCGGTGCTCACCCAACTAAATTGGTATAGGTGGGTGAAATCTAGGCCGCTATCACTTGATTCGTTAACTTAGGAAATGTCCACTCAGCATCTTGTTGGGTGCATCTTCGCTCTCAGTGGTCACCATCTATCCCTTCATGAAACGAGTCACTTACTGGCCTCAAGCCGTTCTCGGTAATCTTCGCTATTCCTTTTCGCCATGGGTATGGGCACCTAACCACTTATGTTCGTAGGACTTGCTTTTAACTGGGGTGCACTCCTCGGCTGGTCTGCTGTAGCGGGTTCTGTGAACTGGAGTGTCTGTCTCCCTCTCTATGCAGGAGGCATATGCTGGACACTTGTCTACGACAGTATCTACGCTCACCAGGTACATGAACGTATATCCTCTGACACTTGAAATGTCTCCCTAAACCTTAGACTTGTTGCCTTTGTCTAGGACAAAACGGATGACGTGACGGTTGGCATCCGATCTACAGCACTCCTCTTTGGACAAAACACCCTTCCCATCCTAAGCGCACTTTCCGCTTCTTCCATCTCTTTCATCACTGTTGCAGGATACATGAATTCTCAAACCCTCCCTTTCTATGCTGGCGTCACACTTGCAGCTGTCCAATTAGCCAGGGTGTTGAAGAACACAGACTTCGACAGTAGACCCAGCTGTTGGAAGGGATTTGTGGGATGTGGTTGGGCTGGATTCTGGGTATGGATGGGAGCATTGACAGATTATGTGTTGTTGGCTTCTGGTGTTACTCTGCCTGTTCTCGTGTAAGAATACATGCACGAGTTCCCGCTAGCTTGAACGTTCGAAGATATGATAATACTTTTATTCGGTAAGGACTTTGGCACTAACGGATGCTTCGTACAAAGTTCATTTCCTACACAAGCATCACGGAGGACAATCATGGAAATGGGGTCATAGGATCGACAAAAGACGATCTGTGAAGCGTGAAGCAAAGGACGTGGGCGTAAACATGTCATGTCCACCGAAATAAGGTGACAGGGGAAGTCATCAGGAGAAAAGGGGAGAGGAAAGGGGGGACGCACATACCCTAGAGGAAGAATGAAAAAAGGATATCCGAAATTAGGCGGATAGGTAGAAGTAAAAAGTGACAACACTGGAAAAGTTGTTGTTACTAGCAATACAATATAAAGTGAACAATAGTTGGTGGGTAACAAGACAACAACAACAGCAGGGATAAGCAATAGAGTGATGAGGAAAGGGGATATAGTAACAACGGGCAAACTGGGAATGGGAAAGCGAGGCTTTTAGATTACGGACGATGCGAGGTTGCGCGTTGTCGAATGATGAATAGGAGAAATGCATAGAAAACCGTTCACCCAAAAGAAGAAGGTTCATTCATTCATTGGACACATGCTGGTAGCGGGATGCGTGGATTGGGAAACTCTGCGTCGAAGCATGACGAGGATAAGAGCTCTAGATAGAAATGTGGATTATGCTTCGACGACTTCCGTTCAAGTGGAACTGTGGAACTTGACGGCAGCATGTGTATGACTCTTCAACCATCCCTTGAAAGCGACAATCCCCAACGTCCAACAGAATGCCAGACAAGTCATAGCAACAGCGACGTTCAAGAACATCATCATGTCATCATGACCTTGTCTCATCGCCGCTATCGTCACCTCCTCTGTGGAAAACATAAACACCAAACCACCACAGGCGAGGAAGAACGATGCAAGAGCTTCGGTTGGAGGACGTGAGGGAAGGATCGATCGTGGAGGGCCGAGCCAGAGGAAGAAATAAGTCAGGCATCGGAGAATGGCGAATGCGCTCAGAAGAATGCCCCAAAGCGTGTGTATCTGAACTTGAAAGAGGTATGTTTGGAAATGAGCACTCATGGCTGCGCCGGTGATACCAATACACAATGCAGGGAATGGGTTGAAGCTGGCGATATACGTTGGTGGCTCAGCGACTGCTTCTGAGTTGCGTACAGATGCGGGCAAAGCGGCGGTGGCACCGGATGCGAGCCAGCGACGGAATGTTTTCGACTCAATGCCCATGCCGATCAAACCGGCAAACCAGAACATGACAGCAATGGAGATATGTTGAACTTGCTTGGTGGTATAGGGATCGCCGGCATGAGCGCCGAATCGTTCCATCCAGGTGTTGGAAATACCATATAGGAAGATGACCAAACATTCGACGAACTCGGCGGAAGGGTATTGACGGGTAGGAGCACGGTTCCATGCCCAACCCAACTCAGCGAACGTTCCGAGGAAACGAGCAAAAGTCACAAGACCATAACACCAGAAAATAGCACCCTCTGTTAAGAGATGTCGTTGACGTCAGAAATCCGGTGATACGCTATGGATTGAAGGCTGTTTTTACTCACTGATCAGGTGAGCGAGACAGCCATTGACCCATTTACCGCGGCAGCCGCCAGTGTAGTCTACGATACCAGTAAGCACTTGCATGAGACCGGCGAACACGAGTACGCGTTCTGTGGTAGCAAACGTGCCACGACCGATGCGCCTGAGCAAAGGCGCCTTGGGGACACTCTTCCAGTACGAGTTGTCCTGCAACGTCTCGTCGGAGTGAAGTGACCCTCTTGGTGAGCGAGGTCCAAACAAGGTACGTTCCGAAGTGGCTGACTGAGGAAAGACGTTGTTGGCCCACTGTGCGGTCTCATGATGTTCGTCAACGGCAGAGGCGGAGGTGTCGATGGGTTCAACGAAATGTGCACGACGGATATGGAGAGGTTCTGCCTGCTCGGCCGCACCTTCAATTTCCCTCGATTTCAGCTCAGCGGCATCAAACTCCTCTGGATCTTCATGCACCAGATTGAGATACTCCGCAGCGTTGCCAGCGGCACGGTCTTCTCGATCAAGCACGATAGTGTTCCAACACGATTTAAAAGAAAAGTGTTCCTGGCCGGAACGCACAGCACGTATGTAAGAGATTGAACGACCGACGAGAGCAATTATGTCGAAAAGAGAGACAAGAGAGGCCAGGAAGAGGACAAGATATCCTTGCAGAGCGTGCTTGTTTCCTTCATACCTGCAAGATCGGGTTAGGGGATCTGGCCCAATGCAGCGATGACGTCGACATACATGTTGGGTGTGAGTTTGTTGTAGAGCGCACTTGACGCTAGACCCAGCACAACGAACGTCCAGTACAGTATCACCGCAAACCCATGCCAGGCATGTTTCACAGAGCGCAGTGCGATACCTGGCCCAGGCCCGAGGGGTTAATGTGAGTCAAAGGCGATAGAGACAGACGTGCTAACCTATTGGCAAGGCACCAAAGAATGCGAGCCCCATGAATAGTATGTGCAGTCCCATCAGACCTGGATAGCGGCCCTGGGAAGGATCATGCTCGACAAAGTCAATCGTCCAGTACGACGGTGGAGTGGGTGCGTGGTGCATTAGGACTTCGGTTTCGTTAAGTTCGACGAGTGGCTGAGCATGATGGTTATGTCCGTGTCCGTGAGCATGATCATCCCGCGATACTAGAACCTGATTCGAAGAGTGTTCGGCAAGTGCCAAGGCTGCGTCATTGGTAGATCGGGGCGCAGCACTAACGAATGCAACGGCAAGAGCGGGAATGAGGAGGGTAATAGCCCTCCAGTTGGAACGCATAACGGACAGGGGCAGCGGGAGGTAAGGAGGATGGGATGAAGGAGAGAAGAGAGGGAAAGGGGCGGGCAGGCTTGGCTGATATAAGAGGGACAGGAGACTCAGTCGAACTGGGACTTCCGGGGAGACTCGGACGATGAGGAGACAGCAGAAGGCGGATGCGGACGACGCCCGCAGATGGTCCACACGCGTTCCCTACTTATTCTGACTAATTTTGCTGCGGCGAAGATTAGCAACCAGAGCTTACATTTCTCTCCCGCAGGCTGGATCAGTCCTCGACCATCCATAGAAAACAAAGGAAACATACCGAAGAACTGTTCGTGCGCATCATCTCCGAAACTCGCTCAACAGTTCTCGATCCCCATCTGCCACTGCACGTAAGCTGAGGCATCTCTATCAGATATTCTACGCGGTAAATATCGTTCCAAGCAGCATGAATTGCGTGCATGGTGGACAAGGCGTTGTACACACCCACTAAATGCCGAAGAGCTGACACAACCCCCTGCCGTCATCGGAAGATCGGAAGCGCTAACTTTTCCAGGTAGGTTCGACAGTAGCGACGCGTCGGTCCTGTCTTGGGCCTTGCTCCGCCTGTCTTGGCATCCAAAACCCCTTTTATTGCTCATCGAGTGCTTTCCAGACTGTGTTATCTGTTCTAGATTCATTCCAGTAGCTCTCTAGCGATATGTGTTTCCAAACTGTTCATGTTCTCCCTGTTGGAAAGATGAGCGTCGGCGTCGATTGGGATCGATACACGGTCGATCGAGTGGATGCCGGATAATTCAATTTCGGCATGACCGAGCCTATGACGCAGGACCTTTGCGCACCGGTCGGGTCCGTCCGCGCTCTTTTGATGTCGTCGTTTGGACTTTTTGTCTTGTGGACGTTGGGAAGGTGCTCACCGTCGTTCGACTCGATGAGCTCGCCCGTTTCAACACGGTTGCTATGTTGTAAATATTTTGTCTCTGTCTAGACTCCCCTCCCGGCATGCGCTTTCGTCGTGTCCCGGAAGAAGGCTCGGGCTATCGTCTCATGATCAAGAGCTGTCAATTTTCTTACATACAGATCCATCACATCTTGAACAACAACGTCCGAAAGCCGAACACATCCTTCCCGAAAAGCACCGTGGTGTTCCCAGCTCCCCTTACAGGGTATACACAAAGACTGGGATAATATGTATGGTATGTCGGGCAGGTTGCCATTACTTCCAAATGATGCTGGATCGTTACTACGTCGCAGTTGAGACTCCGATACTTGCACACTGTAGAACCCATACATGGCACATAACCCTCCACAACACTTGTTGTCCGACGGCTTCGGGATACCTGGCGCTTCAATTTCGTCGAAGAAAACCAGTTACGAGAGTACTTCCAAACCTTATACTTTTGAAATGAACCTCGCAGCGCCGCCCAGAACAATTGGACCCCAACTTGCATCTGGTTTACCAGGAACCAGCCTGTACATGCGCATAACACGACTCCCGAAGCCGCCGGCCTCCTTTGCATACATGGTCTGCTGGTCACCCCTGGACCAGATGCTACTTATTTTGTTACTGGGAATACGCCAGACTGATCTGTATCGGTCTCCGGCTTTCAGTGAGACGCGCGCAGTGACTCGGCCTTGGTCCACAAGGTATCAATGGTCTTCGTTGTCATTTAGTTCGCCTAGGGTCCTCTGTATTATGAGCATCTGATCATGTTGCGTATATGCGTGCGATACAGTCAAGGGTGCCCAACGAATTTAGAAGTTGGGGCGTGTCACTTGTGAGATGATATTCCTCGCGTGATTATGATTCCACATGCCGTTATTCGCCCTTCCGTGGATGTCTACTGTCTGTCTGTCCGGGGTATATTGGGGATCCCACAGGTTGATGAACAGTTCTAAACGTCGTATATGTGGCATGTGCGCGTGATTTGTATGTGTCATAAACGCAGCAGACTGATGGATTTGGGGAGCATATAGGGATTCTTGCACAGATAACTGTCAGTGCAACTTAGCTCACAAGTGCCAAGAGCATTCTCATGTCGGATCGGCCACGCTCATTTGGTTGGTATCCCCGGTAAGCTGCGGGGATGGCCAAGCTTGGGCTTGACCCATCGCTGTCGTTGAAACGTTCAAGCTCAAGCTCAAGGACGACACATTCCAAAACGAGTCTTCGGTGTCGATGATCGCACAACAAGCGCCCATACACGCTTGAAACACCGTCGGTTTGGGTCTGTTGAACCTGCAATTGTCGTCACTTGCTAACGCAGGTATTTCGAAGTATTTTGTCTTGCCGTAAACAACGTACTTGGTGCTTACGCTTACTTCTAACAAACGAACCCTTTCTATGCGATTAATAGCATTCGAAAATGCACCATGAATCGGTGGATGTATCACCGGCAACTTAAGGTAATTGACGTTCTCAAGCCAAGCGCACTACGCGAATATGAAGCCGACATTAGCACCAAGAAGGTCTGAATGTTGTTTGACTTCCTGCGTTCTCGAAGACTTCAAAACAACCGAGAAGGCCGCCATATCCTTCCTTGATGTCCTCGGAGTGGTTCAGTTTCACCGTCCGAATAGGAGGCCTGAAGCTTATTCGTTTCATACCATCTCGCCTCCGTTTCTCCAACTCCTCTCTATCCTCCTGATAAATCGTACATTGGGATTTTCGACCTCCACGATACGTTTACCACCAATACGATGGAGTTACAGATCGCTGTGGCCACCATTCTCTTCCTGTTATGTGTCTATATCTACAGCCGAAGACCTAAGAGGAATCTTCCGCCTGGACCACCACCCGTGCCTTTGATAGGGAACATCCTTCAATTACCCAAGGAAGAGGCATGGTTCCAGTTCACCGAATGGGGCAGAATTTATGGTACGTTTTGTAACAGAGTTCGCTAGTGTGAAGTGAACTCACTATATGTGTGGTCACTCTTGGGTTCAGGCGATGTCATTACACTGTTCATCCTGAACAAACCTTTCCTCGTCTTGAACTCTGCTCAGTCTATCATCGACCTGTTCGATAATCGGTCCGCTATATATTCAAGTCGTCCTCACCTCGTCATGGCCGATGAACTGTGTGTTTCTGTATCGCTTCTCTATTCTCACTCTCACTAACCATTATTCTCACTCTCACTAACCATGGTCGCCACTGAATTTATTCATTACATCATCGTAGAATGGGATTCGGAGATGCACTAGTCTTCGCGCCTTATGGAGAGCGCTTCAAAAATATGCGTAAACTTCTCAAAGTCGGCTTAGGACCCACTGCTTCACGAGCATTCTGGCCTTTAATTGAGAAGGAAATTGGACTATCGCTCTCTCGTCTGCTGGATAACCCAGATGACTTTGCGCAGAACTTCCGTCAGTGCGTTTCAGATATGGGCTTTCAACTCAATGCCGTTGATTCTCACAGTTAAATGCCATTTTTGTTGTTGTAGAACGGCCGGTGCAACAGCGTTGAAGACTGCTTATGGCTTTCAGGATGAAGAGGAGTTCAGGATGTTGACGAAGGACACCGAGGATATGATGTATATGTTTTCCTTGGCGGCACGTCCTGATGCCTTCCTGGTCGACACCTTACCTTTTCGTACGTTCTGGCTTTTATACATTACATTGTTCCAATGACTGACCAAGTGTCCCCTTTCAGTGAAATATGTACCATCTTGGTTCCCTGGTGCAGGATTCCAAAAACTTGCATTAAAATCAAAAGCGGCGATTCGGCAAGTTGTCGATTCGCCTTTTGAGTCTGTCAAACGCAAAATGGTCGGTGACATCCGTTCTAGTCCTTACCTATTGCTAGGAAAATTGACATTGGCATTATAGGCCTCTGGGACTGCTCCTCCGTCTTATACCGCAACGTTACTTGGTGCAGGTCCCGAAGAACGCATCGACGATTTGGATATCAAGTGGACTGCTGCAGGAGTGTATGCGGGTAAGTCTGTATCAAACCTTTATATTGCTGCTGGTTCTGAGTATATGATCTAGGTCAAGCTGATACAGTACGCAATTCATGTTTGCTATAGTCTAAGTCGCTTCTTAGACCGTGACGGCTCTTTCAAATTTCTATCTCTGCATGATAATATTTCCTGAGATACAAGAAAAGGCTCAGGCCGAAGTTGACAGAGTAGTCGGTCCGAACCGCTTACCATCTATCAAGGATAGAGAATCACTGCCTTACGTTTGTGCCATACTTAAGGAAGTGCTCCGGTGGAGGCCAGTTGCTCGCATAGGTCGGCCTTCTACTCAATCTCTTTACCTTGTGATATTGACAAAAGATCGCACTCTGTCATATTCAGTGACTCATTCTGTCATCCAAGATGATACCTATCGAGGATATTTCATTCCGTCTGGATCGGCAGTTGTAGCCAATGTATGGTGAGTCTTAGAGGTCACACGGCTTGCGGTGCGATCAGGGCGGCCGTACTAACGATGTTGCCCTTTACAGGGCTGCATGCCATGATGAATCCGTCTACAAGGATCCAGCCGAGTTCAGGCCGGAACGATTCCTTCCTCCTGAATCTGCTCCAGACAGTTCGAAATTCGCCTTTGGATTCGGGCGTCGGTGAGTTTGCGTTGAATCGTTCAAACGTCCGTGAAGAGTGCAATCTGATGTGTGGAGATATTAGCGCGTGTCCCGGAGAGGCAGTTGCTCAAGCATCATTGTTCTGCACAATGGCATGTACGTTTGCGACTTTGAAGCTCTCAAAGGCAAAGGATGAGAACGGGAATGTCATTGAACCTGTCTTGCGCTGGACTTCTGGCGTAACAAGGTGGGTATAGAAGTACTCTATATCGACCCTCAAAGCTGAATGCCTGCATAGCTTTCCGCACCCGTTCAAATGTGACATCAAACCTCGCTCTGCCAAAGCGGTTGAGTTGATTCGCAACCATGCTGCTCGCATTGGCACCGCGGGTTGAGTATTGAGTGCCGGCTATCGGTCTGGCACGTGGATAAGGATCGATCGATTGAAAATTTGGATTCCATATCACGGTCGTTCCACTGAGCGGCGCGTTGGTCATCTTGCATTCTCCAATGACTCCATTCACCACTTTCTCTTTCTCAATATCTCATGATCTTGTTTTCTTACATCTTTCTGTAAATCTGTAGTTGTCATTGCATATTCATCTCTTTTTCGGTTCCCGGGCAAAACGCGACCGACCGGTGACAGGTCCCCACTCCCCACTCCTCGTGCTATTCTTGGTTGGCGCGAACAAAGTTGGAGTCAGACGACCATGAATACCCTCGCGAAGCTACGTCGCTTTGTATGGGGAGAAGTCCCACAAAGCAAGACTGAGAGGAGGCTGTTGCTGAAGATAGATTGGTTTATATTGTCTTATTGCTGTCTTATGGCGCGTTGTCTCTTCTGAATCGGCGTTATTGACAGTGATTGACATTTGCCCTTAGTATTTCACGAATTGTACGTGACTCACGGAAACACGTCTCTGCGCTATGTGCTCATGGACTATTACCTCCGTCAGATCTTGACCGGTCCAATGTATCAAACGCTTATGTGTCTGGAATGAAAGAAGAATTAAATATGTTTGGAACTCAGTTTAATGTTCGCATGCACCACTATTAGCATTTAAATCCATCAACATACTCATGTCGGGTCGAATAACAGAAAATCAATACGATATTCACTTGTGGCTATATTGTTGGAATGATTCCCAGTAAGTCTCGCTTTTTGACCGTTCCTGAAACAAGGCTAACATGCAAAAGATAATCTAATGCTCCAATGGGTTTCTCCTCGGATCTGGTTCCCGTCAATGCAGATCATCTGGGGAACATTGACTTTCTGGTTGGTGATTATATCTCTACCTGATCTCAGCGCACTTACGCTTGTATTTGTCAGTACGGCTGCAGTGACAAGAGTTGAACAGGTATCATACTACATATTGATATGCAGTCGCAAACCAGTCTGCTTACACGCAATGACGTAGATATATGCAATCAGGTTCTTCCAGGGTATGGCAGAATCATCCACTTTCGTAGGCACGCACTACATTTTAGGCTCGTCAGTCTTAGTTTTCTCGAGTTCATCGGCAGTGTATTCATACGGGCATTATAGGTGGTACAAACCAGGCGAGCTCGGAAAACGTTCTGGTATATTCACAAGTTCAGGACTTATCGGGACACTGTATGCTGCAATGAGAGCTGATAGGTTACGGGAGATGTGCTGACCATTTTGCTTAGGTTTTCTGGCGTTCTGCAAGCTGCTGTGTACAAGTGCGTGTTATGGTATTCGTCATAAATGGCGCAACTGAGTGCATCCCTCAGACATCTGAATGGAGTATCAGGTCGCAGTGGCTGGCGTTGGCTGTACGCTACATACATCAATTCGTGTGTTCAATTCTGATTGGACATGTAGGTTCATCATCGACGGTGTCATCACTATGCCCATTGCCTTGTACGGCTTTCTTATTTTCCCGGATGTCCCTGCTACGACCAAAGCATTCTATCTCAATGAAGAGGTATGTGTTTCTTCATCAAACGCCCAAAGTTTCATTCAAATTTAGTCTTCCACTCTAGGAACGTCTTCTCTCCTCGGATCGTTTGGAGAAAGGAAAGGACATCACACATGAACGGCCTACATGGAACCTACTGAAGAGGGTTCTTGGTCGATGGCGATGGTACGCCTGCAGTCTTTTGGTACGTATCATAATATCCAAAGGTACCTGAATGTCATATTCTGACTATATATATAGTTTGCTATATCCGGAGAAACAGAAAGTTTCGGTTCGAATAACCTAATGGGTCAATGGCTCAAAGCCATTGACGGCTACAGCATTGAACAAGTCGGTACGTTTTTCAAAGTGAAACTCATGTGCTATCTGTAACCTCTAATTTCTCTTCATCTTTCGTAGATTATTACCCATCTGGCATGACCGCTTTTGCCATAGTATCCACACTTGTGTGCGCAACCTGGACGGATTCGACACGTACACAAGCACGATGGCCTGTCCTAATATACATGTCAATCTGTTGTATCATAGCCAGCATTTGTATTCTAGTATGGAGCAGTCCCACTGGACTCAAGTTCTTCGCATATTGTGAGTTGATTAACTTTTCGAACCATCGCACGAGGTCTGATCATGTCTCGTAGATCTGGCAGGGGCAAGTTATGCAGGACAAGCTACAACCTTTGCGTGCGGAATTTTGTCATTATATTGATTTCATGTGACTCACAGTCCTCGTTCGATTGCTAAATAGATGGGCAAACCAAATCTGTGCAGACGACGATCAAGAACGAGGAGTGGTTCTTGCTTCCATGAAGTATGTTGCCCTTCTCTATCCCCGCGTATCTTTCATACTCTCAATCGCCTCAAAATCAATGTCTCATTCTTTTTCTTTTCTTTTAGTATGTGGAACAATGTGATAAACGCTTGGTGGCCTCTCGTGTTCTACCCTGCTACGGATGCCCCCAAGTTCACAAAGGGTATGTGGGCTATGATCGGGGTATCGATTGCCACACTTGGTGTCACTTGGTTATTGTGGTATTTAGAGCGGCGAGAAAAGAGACAGATCGCTCAGAGTGTCGAGAGTCTGACAGTTGAAGATAAGAATGTAGATGAGAAGACGCCGCATGACTAGGAGACGATTGCCAATTGAGACTGTACCCTCTACGTTGTAGAATGTGACATATCTTATAATGAATCTCTTCAGTGAATTGGGGTGGAGTGATGTTGGCGGTTGCAAAGCATATCCTATGGACAAGATACAGTATTGCGACAAAATGACTGCCTTCAATCATCTATCGCGAGGGCGAAAGCGACCTCCCAAAGCGGACCAGCCAACGCGGAAGGGGTGGGGCATAAAGTACATGACGGTGACATAAGGATCTTTGAATGCACGAACATGCAGTGGACGGCGTAACGGGACAGCCCTCAAGCATTCATAACCTATTATGTTATTTGTTGATCAGGTAGTAGATGCGCTCGAAAGAGAGACTCTCGTACCTTCAGAAGCTTCTTGGCATTGTGGTGATGATGGTGATGCTTGCGGTTGGGACTCTTTGGACTGTCAGGGCTCTTAGGCGAACTTGGATCACGGGAGAACGAGGATCGAGAAGAGACCGAGGAGTGAGGGGAGCTCGACTCGTGTTCATAACCACCGTATTGAACAGGAGGATCGCTCAACTGCACACCTCTGCCATGATAGGGCGCTGCAGGATGAGGGCTAACACCAGGCGCATAGTGATCAGCCGGATGGTCGAATGGCGATCGCAGAGGTACTTGGTGTTGAGGATCCTGGAATGGATCGGGAAGCTGAGGAGGTGCTGTCTGGTTGTATCCTCCATGAGCCACTTCTGGTTGACCATAGGTAGGCTGATATGACGCTCCGTGATCATATGCTGCGTACTCATGTTGAGCGTGGTAGGATTGTTGTTCCATTCCACCATAAGCAGGATGTGATACACCTTGGTCAAGCGGTACCTCTCGCATTTCATCGTGGTCATCGCCAGCTTGTTCGATATCACCGGGACCGACCATGCCCTCCGGAGGGAATGCTTCAATAACGCTCCGGTCCTCCCAATCATCGTTCTTCCTACGAATCGCGTATACCACGATCAAAATAATGAGAAGGAGAACCAGGACAACGCAGGCCACAATGCCAGCGATAGCAGCTGGGCTCAATCCATGTTCCTCATCCTTCTTGTCTGCATCCTTATCAGAGCCTGCTGTAGCAGAAGCCGCTGCTGCCGATACCGATGATGCAATTCCTGCAACTCCAGCAGAAATGGAAGCAAGCGCTTCTTGAAGTGGGGCAGGACCGTTATTTGAGGCGGGAGGAGCTGGCTGGGCGGCCCGCTGAGGAGGAGGTTGCGCGACAGCAGGAGGTAATTGAGGGGCCTGAGCAGGAGGTGGTTGAAGAGCAGCAGGGGGTGGCTGAGGAGCAGCAGTAGTAAAAGCGGGTTGCGCTGGACGGAACGAGAACGAAGGGGTAGATATGAACGAGCTGCTCGGACTAATGGATTAAGAACAACTTATGAGAACCACATATCATATGAATTTCAAAGGCAACTAGAGACTTACACTGCGAATGAGTGGCTTATGGACGGGAACGCGACCGATGAGCTCTGGGGGAAGACGAAGGAAGGTCGAGGAGGGGCCACTTGTGGTTGTTGCACTGGGACAGCACCAAGCGGACGGGCATTCGCGTTTGCATTAGCTTGAGCCTGCTGAGACCCCGGCCTTACAAATGCACGATCATGCCTGCGAAGGGTGAGCTATGGTATACATATGAATAGGGACACAGAAAGACTTACAATGTTCTGCTGACGACTATCAGTTTCAAACGGATGAGGTCAATATTTAACAAACGCAATAAGACACGTGAACAAGGACACACACACTCATCAACGTCGGCAGCAATTTCCCGCCTGAGCAATTCTTCGAAATCTGAATAGGCTTGCCTCCTATGCAACTCTTCGACGGTAGCACGTATAAAAAGAGCATGAGGATCCATGATGTCAGTTCGTAAATAGTCACGTATAATCTGTTTGCTTCGTAAAGAATGTCGATTGTTGGTCCAAGCCTTCAAGTTGGAATTATTCTCTTTCGTCTACCAGCGACTGCAGAGAGGGAAGTTGAACCAGTCAACGAAGCAAAAATACCCCACCCTCGTAAGACACAAGGCCGTGAGTAGTCGTAAGAGATGGAAGAAAGACGACAGTCAGACCCGCCGACCAGAAACGCCTGGAGCGAGTATATAATTGTGAGGCGATGAACTGTTTTGATGGCGGAACTCATCATCATCCATGTTGAAGGTTGAGGGATCGTTGGCATCGAGACGGGAGCGGAACGAATAGCTTGGACGCCTGTAGAAAGATGAAATGAATGGTATTTTCCCGAACATACAAAAAACATCGTGCGAAGAAGTCCAAAGTCAGTTGCAGATTTTAGAATACACACATCTACCAGACGCCAAATGAGGATACAGCAAGCAAGGGAACCAGGAGAAGAAAGCAAGCAAAGCTACAGAGAAATTAGTGATACGAGTTTCATTCATATGCCTGGTCAGCATTTCGCTCCATGATTTCGCGTAGAGGTCCAAGAAGCCGAGTGAAGGCATGAGCATCAAGAGCGGCAACCTTCAGCTTTGATTGCGCAGGGTCTGTGCGGTTGATGGCACTAACGGTGGCTGCTCGAGGCTCAAGTCGAAGCAGCGACAGTTCTAAAATCGAGAGGCAAAAGTAAGAAATAAGCATCGACTCGCACTTCAATGATACATATTCAATGACACATACCTCCGAAGTAATCACCCTTACGAAGGTGGCCAACTTTGAACTCCCGTAGTTGTCCGTTTTCATCGGTGTATGACTTCGTGACAATCGCCTCCCCATCCTCGATGAAGAAGAACGTATCTCCCATTTCGCCCTGCTTGACAACCGCCTCTCCATCGCCATACGCTTTGCTCACGAGCGCGTCTGCGATCTTGCTTCGCTCCTCGGGACCGAGGGAAGTCAAGAGAGGAACCGAAGAGAGGAATTGTTCGTACATTGTACGCCTTCTGTGTGCGGCCTTCAAGATGATGGTGCGGAAAGTGATACGGTCGAGAGACCATAACGTGCATGGCTCAATCGCGAGGACTGTAGCAGCACGAGGGTGACCATACATAAGAGCAAGCTCTCCGAAAGAGCTTCCTTCTTTGCACTCGGCCACCTTCTTACCGAACTCTGGGTGATATCCAGGAGCCAGAAATTTCTCCGAGCTAGAAGACGGTGGGCCACCGAAGGCAGGAGGCAGGGGATCGGACCGGATGTAACAATGAAGTAGTCCCTTCTCCACAATGTAGAAGTACTCTCCAACGTCGCCTTGGCGAATGACGACCTCGTTTGGTCTGACTTCAACCTCCTGCATAGCGTTTAATGCACCCAGCTCCTGCTCTTCATCTAGGTCGCGGAAAATGAAATTCTTTGAAATTGAGGCTCGAATTCGACGCAATTGCTCGAGCGTCTTGGGGAATACTGGGAGCAGTTCATCGACATCACTGTCCATGGGTATAGATTCTGCGCTCACAGAAGTGCGCCTTGCGAATATAGTGGAGGAAGGAGGGTGGAGATAATCTCCAGGACTGGGGGATATTGATCCATTCGCGAAAGAAGCAAAGGGATTGGGCGCATCGGTTGGCGAGGATGGTGGCATATTTGCACCGTCGAGTCTGAATGTTGGAGGACTCATAGAAACCGGGGTAGACATACTATCATTTGGTAGCAACGCGTTTCCAGCTACATTCAGAGTACCGAATGGACGACTGAGAAACGTATTGTAATGTTGTCTCAGAAAGGGTGGTGCGAGTACGGCATTTGGGTCAGTTTCGAGGCTAGCTGTAGGACTTAGAGGGATATCGAGGATGTGGTCACTTGGCACACCTCCAACGGATAGGTCTTGGGGATGATAGAGTACGTCGCGCATACGCACTCGTTGCTCTTCCAAACGCGACTGGAACCAGTTGGCACAGAACTGGAGGGTATCTTTTGGTTGTACGCGGCGCACGTCCCGAGTGAGGTCCTCCACGAGAGATTCAAAGGTAGACATGGCTGTAGGTCCACACTAGAACCACTTGACAAGGGACGTTCTTATATACCCTATGTCAGGGCTGTGCGATCGCAGTGAAAGAGTGGCTTTCTTTCTTCCTTTGTCTCTCCTTTGGGACCAGATATGGAGGTATTAAGGCCTGCGGTATGAATATGGAAGGCAAGGACAACAATTGCAGGTCAGTGGCTGAAGATGAGGACAACAAAGAGCATTCGGAACCAATATCCTTGCCACGTGCATCGTCCATTATGGCAATTTCCGTTAATCCCGCATTTCATGCTCGATTTCTATAGAGGTTTGGAGGTCATTGAAAACGAGTCAACCGCGAGAAAACTCAAGACTCTGTAATCACAAAAGGAATTCTAATATTACAACACGTAATGACTGCTAATTGTATCCGTGCCATCCTCAAGTTAGTCCTTCAGGGTATTGTACAAACGATCACCCTGAACCCGAATTGCTTCAATGCTAGACCGACGAGGAGAGACATGAGATTCACTCACAGTGTCGCCGAGACCGGGCGAAATAAGTCCGTTCTTAGTTAGGAGCGGATCAACAGCCGCCACCCAAATCTGTAGCAGAACAATGAAGGGCGGTAGTCCAGCGGGAGATAGTGATGACATACCTCTAATCCGGGGTATTCAGCTTGAACGTGCTTGAGACCATCTTGTGAGGCAAGCACACAAAGTAACTTGATATGCTTGACTGAAAGAACAAGAGATGAGTCCAATCCTGCTACCGGCGGGCGAGATGACTTTACTTGGAATGCCCCACTCAAGGACCATGTTCATGGCTGCGCATGCGGTGCCACCGGTCGCGATCAGAGGATCAAGCAGGAACACCAAATCTATCGGCGGGACTGGGGGTAGCTTGGAATAGTCTAGGAACGACAATACGTGTGAGCAAGGCAAGAATGGTATGAGGACGAGACGTACATTCAACAGGTTGAAGTGTGGTCTTCTCCCTGAAGATACCCAGGTGGTAGACGGGTGCTGAGCTGTCCAAAATATGTCAGAAATCTGGACAATATAGTCAAACAGAGCAACTTACGGGAACAACTCCAATAGCGCGTCCGTCATGCCCATACCAGCACGCAGAATAGGTGTGAGGCCGATCCTTGGCTTGATATGCGACCCAGTGAAAGGTCCTACGGGGGTTTGCTATCGACCACAATCATGTTACTGGAGCTGTATGGTGATACTAACGAACTTACGCCTTCGTAGGATTCCTGTTCTAGATCGCGACTTGCTTCGATTCCCAGGATGAGACTAATGTCATGGATACCCTACGCGTTGTGTTAGTCTAAGCACATTTTTATGACAGCAAGGTCCTACACCTCTCGGAACTCCTTCGCAGGTGTGCTCATCTCTCGTAACTTGGATAGCCGTGCATTGATGAGCGGGTGTGAGAGAACTGTGACCTTGTTCGGCGTCGACATGTCTTCACGATGATGCTTGCAAGGAGGACAAGAGTAGGCTGGACCAGATAGAGGTGAGGAAAGAGAGAGATACGGTTTAGGTGGCGGATGTTACATACTTATGCATGTTCGCCGTTAGGTCATGGTCATGCACTTATCGGCGGACCGGGCACAGATATCGAGCGGCATTATATTTGCCCACATTTCTTTGACCCTCCTCTCGCCGATATCCTCTTCACTTATCTTCGTTCATTGCACATGCATCTATCACGGAAAGCGATGAGATACTCTCTGGATAACCACTTGATGAGTGTGCTTGCGAGGAGGATCATCTGGACGCGTCTTTAAATTTGACGCGACGAGATCTCGCTTCGCCGAACGAGGTGAACACGCGAAAGAGGTATGTACATGCCCACAACTGGTGTTCATATTCGAAATCTGCCATGAATTCTGATTGACAGATGAAACTTTGACAGACCTCTTCTATAAAATCGACGCGCAGTGCGTGTAGAAGTGCCTCAGAGCACACCGGAACGCGCAGTTTGCTTGAAGTTCGTTGCAAAATGTGCTCCAGTTGGCTGACTGGCTATGTAGTATACGCTTCATAGACACCTTTAGCGCGTCCATCATGCCCATAAGTTCACGATCACGATAGTGAAGGCGTGTTGGCATTGTGCCCCCACGAGATGTCTATACTCGCGCCTGGACATCGGCAGAATTCGAGAAGGCCATTACAGAATTCGCTTGCAGTTCAAGGGCTGTCTTGGAGCCCTTGTACGGAAATAGGTATAATGTGCATGCTTGCAGCATGTTTCCTCGCTGTGAGCCCATATATGTATATATACTGTACATCGATGCAGGTCGCTTACTTCCCATACTCTTTCTGTTAACTCACTCGTTCGTTAGCTTGGTCTCAACAAACTGACAGATAAAGTTTACGCTCTAAATTGCAAAAATTAGATACCATGCCAGCTCCAGTGAATGGAAAACAGAAGACTAAATCCATTATAAACGGTATACTTCCGGTATCACACCCATCGACAACAAATGGCTCGAGGACGGTGAGTAGAGTAGTCTCCTCTCTCTGAATGTCCTTCTCATGTGTAGATCTGAATTTTTAGGTTGGTCCTGCTCTCGTAAGCATGATGAGGGCCGCAATATTACCACTTTTACCCATAGGTATACTTTAGGAAGAGCTGCAGTTGTTGAATCATACCGCCCTGGAGTCGCGAGATAGGACAGACCATGAATTGCAAACTGCTCCCATATTAACAAGAGGAGCATACTTAGCAGCTGGCTTCTACGGCAAGTCCTCGCAGTATGGCGTTCTGGGAAGCGTTCTGGGCATATAGTGAGCGTAACAGATACGTCTCTGTATAATCCGAGGCTTAATCTCGTCACAGCGATCAAAACAACAAGGATGTTCCTGATGATCCGCGTGTTTATGTCAACACCGTACGTCAAGTCTCATGGAACATGTTCAAAAAGCTAACAGGCAACTTCAGAACGCTCCCTTTTCTGCGTTGGTCTGCGGTGTGCAGGGGTCGGGCAAGTCACACACTGTCTCTGTCATGCTAGAGAATATGTTCATCCCCAAGTTTCCTGCGATTGGCTCACTCGAGAAACCATTGTCAGGGCTTGTACTTCATTTTGGTGAAGGTGGCCCAAGTGCAAGACCCTGCGAGGCCGCTTGGGTGGGCGTATCCACGTATGCGGGTGCTGACGCTCCTCCCATTAGAGTATACGTCTCTAGGTCTTCCCTGCAGACCATGAGAGGCGTGTACTCCGCATTGGGACCGAACGTGGTGGTTGAGCCATTAGTGTTCTCCGAATTCGAGCTGGATGCAGAGGCATTCTTGTCTATGATGGCTGTTGGTTCATCCGAGTCTGCACCACTCTATGTGCAGATCATCCTGGTTAGTGCATGGCTTGAACATTGTGGTCACTAGATTCGCTAATCTAATACTACTAATACTACAGTCTATCCTGCGCGAAATGGGGGAGAACTACAGCTATGCTGCGTTCCAGGGAGAACTGGAGGAACACAAGAAGAACTTCAATCCTGCCCAATTGGCAGGATTGGAGCAACGCATGGCCCTCCTGCATTCATTCATGGATCGGGACAACTACACGGACCATGAGAGATTTTCTCCGGGCCAGCTGACGATTATCGACCTCTCAGATCCATTCATCGACCCCGCCGCTGCCTGTGGTTTATTCGAAATTCTAACGCGTCTGTTCGTCCGCGCCGATGTTGATACTGGTAAAGTCCTTGTTGTAGACGAGGCACACAAAGTTGGCAACATTCCTTTCTCATGCCATACGTTGACTGACGACCATGTTATGCATAGTACCTCTCTGCGAACAAGGGCAATTCTGGTCTGACGAAGGCCTTGTTGTCACTCATTCGGCAACAACGACATCTGGCCATGAGGGTCATCATTAGTACGCAAGGTATATTCAATCATAACAGAGACAAAAGGTCTTTTTAGGATTGACTTGTCTTATAGAACCGACCGTTGTTCCACCCGTTCTGCTCGATTTGTGCAGCGTAGCTATTCTTCATCGTTTCGCTTCACCCGCATGGTGGGAACACATCTCTCAACACGTTTCTGCTCGTCTTTCGGCCGACGAGGCCTTCAACCACGTTGTTACCCTGCAGGTTTGTGTCGTTTTAGATTTTCCATTCACAAATGCTGATTATCATCATCATCCTCCAAGACGGGTGAAGCCATAGTGTTAGCGCCATCTGGGTTGGGCATGGTTCGAGATATTGTCGAGGCTGTGTCCACAGGCAGTCATCCCAGGGTACTCAGCCAGTTGGGTCGACGCTATATCTTGATGAAGACCCGCAAACGTGTGACCGCAGATGGGGGTGCCTCGATCATGGTTCTTTGAATCCATCATTTCTTGTTGTTTCATTTTCAAAGACATGTATTTCTACTACTGCTTCGTTTCTTTTGATGATTTCCCTCCTTTTTTTCCTGTATCATCCTGCTTTCCGCATCTACAGAATGATTATGTTGACGATATTGAAAGACCAGATTGCCTTTCTTCCTCCAATCACTTCACTTCTCCCTCTGTGCCAATCGTTTCGTATCATTCTGCATTCACGATGGCTTGAACAAATGCTGCCCATTGGGTCGGGAAAGAATCGTAGGGATTGAGGCCATTTGCCTGGGAATCATCCGTGATGTACAACGCACGAATATGATCTGTGTGCACCAACGTATTGATCAAGCCGGTCGGAGGGCTAGCAGGAGCATCGGTAAGAATCACAGCTTGCTTGGACGCTGGAGTCGTTGGTCCAATGACGAGAGACGAAGGGCTGCACAAACATTTCTTGAGTAATCATCGCAGATGTGTACAAGTCAGAACCTACTTGAATAATGTGAAGAAGTTCTCGGCTGTTACGAGCAGGTCGGCGATGTTGTAGAACGCAGCAGCCGGGGTTGTACCATGATTGAGAACAGTGGTCTAAAATTCACCATTCACATGCCACATATTCCGTGAAATCAAAATAACTTACCACACCGGCTCCACCTCCAAATGACTGTGCCGCAAGGCTCGTATATTGACTATACAATGATACGTCCCCCGCAGAAGATGAAGCCTGATCGAAAAATATTCCATCGGGCCTATAAGCACTGGCCCATCCAGCATACGTATTCACGTCCGCGACAACACCGCTAGATTTAGTCGTATCGCCAAACCAAGTAGCGACGTAGCCCAGAACAGCGACATTGGGGGCTTTCAGTCTAGCGATGCAAGCCTGGTAACTTGGGTCGACGGGTAGAGGGCCGGGACCGCTGGCCGGATTGATGATGGGGTAGAAAGGGATGTTAGGGTTCTGTGCGATACTGGGATTATAATGAGGCTTGAGGCTGATTCATCAGTGAAGGGAACACGTACGAGTTAACGAGAGGGGCCCAGGAGGAGCATGATGGTGGAGCTGAAGGAAAGATGTATAATGGAAAGATGATGCCTGACGTTAGAAGAGCCTTTGGGACGATCATTTTATATGAAGTCAGATACGAACAGCGACTAGGTCGGGGGTAATGCAAGAATAATGTTTGGGTTTTATACCGCTCAGAACAAGCAGTCGCTCTAGGCGGCGAGTCCTAAGACCACACCTCGAGCGTTGAAAGACAAACTCATGACCTACGTGCCTGTCTTGAGGTGACAGATCGGAGAGACTGGATGCATCTTCAGGAGAAGGGAAGATGCCAATATGCTTCCTTGCACACAATTTGTAATGTAGCATATGTGCGCAGATGGAACGATGAACAAATTGCTGTGCGGTGAGAAGAATTCAAAGGTGGGTCGCCGAGCCGCACGCAGGAGGCTCGATCTAGACAGCGAGCACGCAAGTCAAGGAGTGACTCAAGGCAAACGTGCCCATACTGAATATAAGAAAGAAGCAAAGAATGAGCTTGGCTATCTTCATCAGGGTCGGATTTGCACTCACCCAACAAACACGTCTAGACAACGTCGAACGTGCCAACATGATTCAATAAAACACATACCCGCGTCTTCTGCGATTTCGCAGACCAAGAAACTCATAGCGACCCGCTTGCCTGGTGAGTTCAAAAAAAGGCATGTGACTGCAACGATATAGTACATACATCCGAATCCAAACCACATAGGTCGAAAAGAACATTTATGCATCGTCTATCCACTCCGTATTCTGCACCCTCTGGATATATTCCCGCACCCATCGCGGTCGGCGCTCGTGTCGTGCGATCATGGTCAATCGCGTCTGCGCACGCAAAGCCGCCGCCTGAGAATCATCACCTTCGTCCGGTGGCGGAGCTTCACGAACATCGCCCTCCGTTCTGATTCGACCCTCCCGTTTCCGCAAGACAGTCCGTCGTCGGTCCCAGACAGCAGGATGTAATGTGGTGATGAGAAGAGAGATGAAGGTCTTAACGCGATGCGTCAAGCTCGGAGGAGATATGTCTCGAGGATCCCTATTCAACATTGCATCCTCTGAAGAAAGGTTGAGACTAGAAAGTTTATCCAACAAGCTTTCGACTTGGGATCGTCTGGGAGCCTGATTGGATCCAGCGACCCCAACTTGTATACCTCCAGCTTGGGCCTGAGGTCCTCGGGGTGCATTTTGTCCCTGTCCGGCAGGTGCTCCGTTCCCACCTTCCCGGGCTTGAGCCACGCCAGCAGGATGATCCCCGTTGCCTATGACGGCACGAATAGCACCCCAAGCTTCGTATAGAATCCATGCACTCAAGAGAATCCCGAATAAAGGTCTCTTTGAAGGTGAGAAGAAGTACATGATAAGAAGGGTGCGGAAGGTGAGCATCATCAAGGGGACCATCAGTGCGCGCAGGGGAATGGCACGGATTTCAGCCCCCGCTAGTGGATTGTTGGGATCGTTAGGATTCTGGTTTGCATTTCCATTCGGAACCACACGTAAAGGAGGTAGTCCGACTTGTTGGAGGTGATGGTTGAGATTGGTAACGGGGGTGTGAGAGTAGTGTGTGGATTGAGGAGGCAGCATCATTGGTGCAGAATCGGGAGAGGGAATAGAAAGAAGAGGGAATGTGAAAGTCAACACTCTGAGAGCATGTATCTGAAGCGAATTGGGTGTCGCATCGGGCGTCATAAGCTGAAGGAATGGTTGATTCCTGTTATCGTCAATCAGCTTTGCATGATATAGTGAAAGCAAGTGGTACATACTCTAGAAGAACACGCTCATATCGGACACCTGTATTGGCATCATCTGCAGGAGGGTACTCCTCATCAAGGAGGGGAGGCCAAATCCACCCCTGCGAGTGCAGAGTCGAGATAGCCAGCGAGCGTTGCGGGGCCAGTTGAGACGGTTCCGGAGGATTAGAAGGTAGCTTTCCGTGAGTAAGTACATGTACGGCCTTATTATGTAGGTGGACAACATGGGCAAGCGGAGAACCAGCTGGGGGAGGAACAAGAGATCGATATGTGAGCTGTGCAGACGATTGGGGCGTTGGTAACGGCATTGTTGGTGTAGGAGGATATATAAGTTGCGGAGTCTGAGTTGGTGTCACAGGTGGGGGAGTCTGATTCTGAAGTGCTGTCGAAGGGGGAGATCCCGACCAAGCAGAAGGATGAACAGATAGATGCAGCACACGGGAGTCACTGGGGGACTGAGGCGGAGTGAGTTGGATATATAACCGAAGGGTATGTGTACGCACTGTCCAAATGTCCTGGAGCTTCTCATTATCACTTAGGAAACGGCCTCTGCATATAACCCGCTGCCCTTCAACTCGTGGCGCACCCGGACATGTTCTCTGGATCTCTTGCTTGACGTCTGATATCGATGAAGACTGAGGAACTTGAATTTGAAAGGAGTGAGAGAAAGCAGGCAATTCGATGCGTAGGTCAACCAAAGACATGGACGAAAAGGAGAAGAAAACGAAGAGGAGGACGAATCCAACTGTCCGAGAGACAAGGAGAGTACGCAGAGTGGCGACTGTGACACACTCAGCAGACGTGGAAGTGGCCACGTGGAACCTTCCATAAAAGGCAGGTCTATTTGTTCACGCAGTGCCTCCGAGTCCTCTTTCTTCCAGCTGGTGGTCTTGATTCAGGATTCATATCGCATCCTTCGTTTCTTGTCATGCAGCTTATGCTCACAGGCAGTGTCGTGCACACAACGCATGTCTCAGCGGCAGAATTCTCTCTAAGCTCTCAGGGATAGCTCCGAGACACTAGTACTGCCATCAAATGGCGTTAGAAACCTAGCAATTTGTTCAAGGCTCTGCTCGTATTTTATAACTGTCACTTCTTACTCACCTTGCGACCGTGAAACCTCTCCCGGCAATCCATCGCAATTCCGCATTTACTAAGCCGACTGATCGATGTGGATGAAAAGCTGATTGTCATTGATCATTGTCAAGTTGCCTTTCCTTCAACCTGAGCACAATTCCTCTAGTCCTGTGCATGATCCTGTTCGGAGATGATCTTGGCACCCTGCTAGTAACATAATACGGTCACCACCTGTTGATGGCGTCTGATTCGTATAAGTACATCTCAAGCTCGAGATGGGACCCTACATCTTGATTCCTCTCTCAGACCACTAGTTCTACTCCCAAAATGTCCTACCCACCCTATAACGCAGCTCCCTATCCCCCTCAAGGAGGAGCACCATCCTACCCATCCTATCCAGGACAACCTCCTTACCAAGCAGGCTACCAGCCATCATCGAGCCCGTACCCACCTCAGGGTCCTCCTGCACCAGGAGCACCACCTCCACAGGGGTATCAGGCGAGTTATGGTCAACCACAACAACCATCGTACGGTAAGTTTCAAACATCGTCCCACATCTACCTTTACCATTTGATTGACATTCTCTTTCAGGCGGCTACCCTGGCCAGCCTCATTCTGGCTACCAACAACCGCCCGCTGCGGGAGGATACACACCTAACTATGCGCCAGCTTACAATTCAGGCTATCAGCCCCCTCGTTCTCCTCAACCACCAACAGCTCTATCTCCACAAGGCTATCCCGGACAGCCAGGCCCTCAACCTCCAACAGGTCATTCTCCGGGCTACCCCGGGCAGTCTGGGTATGGTTCACCTTACCCTGCTCATACACCCGCCGCACCAGGATATGGACAACAGGCTCCCGTACATGGGTATGGACAAGCACCTGTTCCCGGATACGCACCTGCTGGCGGGGCGTTTCCCCCTCAACAAGCAGCACCTGTGTCTCAAACGCCTGTTCGTTTCCAATTCAGACAGGATAATGGATTCGACTCTTCGGGTACCATTACGGACGAGAACAATCAGACGTTGTATAAATTGAAAGATGCTTCGGATAAACATACCTGGTCGAAATATCTGAAGTCGAGGGTATGTGTTTTTGTTGTTTATTTGATTGTGTCCTTTGATGATCAATCTATTGATGATGATATTGCATTTTCATAGCCTCTTAATATCTTACGTGGAGATGGCTCCAAGGTTGCATCTTTTGACTGGAAAGATGGACCGTCTGAAGCCAAGCTCGAGGCATATGCTGTTTGGTCAAGGGGTGAGAAGGTCAAGCTACGAGTTGAAGGTGATATTCTCGACCAAGAGTAAGTCTGAACTTTTCTCGTTTTCTTCGTTCACTTATGAGAACACTTTTTTTGGGCAGCTGGAAGTTCAAGTTACCTAACGGTCGTGCTTACGAATGGGAGGGTCCTGGAGACGACCAAATATTTGTGCGCACATTATTCACCTCTTTCAGCTCCCACTGATCGACTGATTTTATCGTCGTTTATCTCTTCTTGTAGAACCTCCTCGATCATCAGCAAGTCACTGGTGAAGGCTTCGACGCCGAAGCCAAGTCTATCGCTCGATATGAGATGCATTCCGACAATCGCGATGCGACACTAGACATCCTGCCCGAAGCACTCGCCGTTCCCGATCTGTTGGATGCCGCCGTGATCACGTATGTACCACTTCCTCCGTATTTTCGTCGTCGTCGTGGGGGTTTTAACGTTGGCTCTGTCTTCTTGTTACAGATCTTTCTATCTCGAGTTCTATATGTTCATGGAGTCACAGGAGGCACAATAAATAGTCCGCTGTCAGGTTATTCATTTCGCATGAGCTATCGCTTTCTCGTCGCGGAGTCGTTCTGATCACGTGCTCAGATGTTTTTAAAAGTTTAATCGTGGATGTATTTATAAACTGTAGATTTGTTTGCATACACAATCACTATGGTATTCGACTTGCGCACGAATCACTCGCTCAGACCGAGGTCTACGATGCATGGTGCACGAAAACAAGAAAACTCTTGGATATCTCTAAAATGCAAGCGTACAAGTACATCGAAGAAGCTTCATCTTTTCTAACTCATTGAATTCCTTTTCAATCTTTGTCGTGTGTCAAACGTCAATGCACCTAAGCACGGGTAGGAACGACCAGCGTCCTGCCCTCTTTCGTACTCTGGTGCGCCAACTCGATGATCTCAATGACATCAGCAGATTCTGTCCACTTGACTGCAGGGTTCTTTCCCTCACGAATAGACGCAGCAACGTCCTTGAACAGACCAGCGTAATCACCCTTCTCCGTCGAAGGCCAACTACAAAACCAAAAAAAAAGCATCAGCAAAGTGCGTCCTCCCAAGTCAACTAGTAATCAGGCTATCAGTCAGGGACTTACACCGATTTGACAACCTGACCATTCCGCAAATTCTCCACGGTACCCCATAAAGTCTCAGGTTCTTTTCCGTAAGCAGTATTCTGAGGGTCAACGATCTCAGCAGGCGACTTGATCGCCCTCAATTGATCTTCCTGAGGGTCAACACCGAACTTGGTGAAAGTACCTCCGGTACCTCTTACGACGTAACGAGGTTGAGGAGATCGGACGGAGAGTGTGGTTCCTCGGAGGATGGCGGTGAATGATGTGGGGGTTACGGAGGCGGAGGTCTTTGGTGGGAGGGAGGGATAGTGGAGGAAAATGGTGAACTGGGGGAGGAAAATGGGGTAAGCGAAATAAAGAAAGAGGTGAGGTGAAGAAAATGCGTACCCTATCATCGACTTCCTTGTTTCCAAGCCCACGTAGGTTCTCAATATGTGCGGTAACTTTGGCTGGACGACCAAAGAGAACAAGGGCTTGGTCGATCAGATGGGCGCCGAGGTCGTAGGTTTGACCTGCCCCGGGCAGGGGAAGGTCTTTCCAGGTACCTTTAAGGGCATCACGGAAACGGTCGAATCTAGGAATTGAGAGATGAATATTTGTATTGCAGGATTTATGTAGGACTAGCGTACCGTGATTCGAACTCGAACAAGTTTCCGAGGGATTGAGGGTCATCGGCAGGCAATGAAAGGAGGGAACGGAGGGCTAAGAAGTCAGAGTCCCAACGACGGTTCTGGTAGGGATAGAACACAAGGTTCTTTGACTGCGCTAGCTTGCCGAGCTCAACTGCTTCAGCGTAGTTGGCGGTGATAGGTTTGTCGACCAATACTGAAGAAGAAATTACGAGTATGATTTGCAGATCAAAATACGTAGGATTATCGCTCACCATGTTTGCCTGCCTCTAGGACCTTCTTGGCAAAATCGTAATGGGTCTCGTTGGGAGTACCAACAATGGCGAGCTCAATCTCACGATCAGCTAGGACAGCGTCAAGGGTGTTGTAGATCTTGACGTCCTTGGCTACGTCGGCTCCAAAGCGTTCTTGGAGCTTGCCTCCTGGACCCGCAGGTTTGCGCTCAAGGACAGCATGAAGTTTGAACAGGTCAGGGAGTGCAAGGACGAAGGGGACATGGAACGTCAGGCCTGCGAGACCGACACCTGAAAATAGAAAGTGCGTATGAATGAATCCGCGGTTCCAGAGGTGTACCCACCGAGAACGCAAGTCTTAATGGGAGCTGCCATTTCAATGGTGGATATGGGATATGAGTATGATGGTGTCTACGGTTCTAGGATACCTGCTCTTTATACTGCGAACACGGTGGTGTATATTCCCTTAACGCTCGATGGCAAAATGAACGTGCAAGTTGCGTTTGGTAAGCCATTAATGAATCATTGGCATGGAGTCCTTGACGGAGGGGCACGGTCCGGCTCAAACGCAAGCTCCATGGCAGTTGTGCACATGCAACTGTCCAAAATTTCAGTAAAGGCACCTTTGGCTTATCGATCAGGCCTTGGAGTCCAGGATTCGTCAGGCGCAGAGATTGCTTGAATTGACTCGACTACGGTGCAGGCACCCGGGCCCAATGATGCAGAAGGTCTCACTGACACCAATTTGTTTGCGATTTGTTTGCGATTTCGATCGAGGGTGGAAAGAGCTAGTCTCTCTTTGGAAACATGTATGACGTCAGCGCGTCCTTCTGCCAGATTGGGAAACCAAGTTCGAGTTTGAACTTGGTCTAATATTAAGCGGTGAGAGACTTATCCGCTACCAATTAATTGCGTTTTTTTTTGCTTCCTCCTCTACAACATCGTCAACGACGCCTTCAACACGACCACGGCAACGATAGACACGACTGACCTATACCCACGTTACCCCAGTACCCTTATGCACACATAACGCATCATGCACGCTGTTAGACTGCTTTCGACACTGTTCGTCACATTCGTGTACTTTTCAACTTCGCTAGCCCAATTGCCGCTTCCTAACTCGACATATCTCCCTCCGAACGCGTCTTTTGGCGTACAACATGTAAATGACTCACAGAAGTCTTCCGTAGACCCACACTGGTCTAGCTTGCTCGGTAACTTGCTCTGGTTTTATGAAGCCCAGAGGAGCGGTAAACTTCCGAGTAATAAACGTGTACCTTGGAGGAATGACAGTGCGGTGGAAGATGGACGAGACGCCGGGCTTGACCTCAGCGGAGGTTATTACGACGCTGGAGGTGAGTGTGCAGTGTCAAGTTCAGGGGTCACTGTTGCAATAATCTCACGTTCTGCGGCGCTGTGTAGACTATGTCAAATATACCTATCCTCTCGTACGAAGGCAATACATCACTTGTCATCTATTGTACTGATATATGTCTCGTAGTCCTTTTCCCTCATGTCTATATGCTGGGGAGCCGTAGATTTTGGAGGAGGTTGGTACACTGTTTTCTCAAATCTTGCCTTTACTGATAATTATGCTAGGATATGACTCTGCAAACCAAACCGCATATCTTGATGATATGCTTCGTTGGGGTCTTGACTGGCTCATTAAAGTGCGTTGAATACCTTTGCGTCGTTACTGCACACCCACCCATAGCGGCGTACCCTTAGGCTCATCCATCCCCTAATACCCTTTTCGTCCAAGTCGGTGATGGAGACGTAGACAACGCCTACTGGGGCGGCGACCTAGGTATACCCACTCCCAGAACCTCGTACCAGATCAACGAAACTAGGTAAGTTACATTCTGCCTCCAGTTTGAAAATCGCTCGATGGATGCTGAGGATATCCATAGCCCAGGAACAGACGCCGCTGCTCAAGCATCTGCTGCGTTCTCTGCTTGCTCGGCTCTCTACGCCAACCATTCACTTTCATCTGTCTCAAATCCCGCCTCACTTACGAATATCTCGTACGCTTCAACCCTTCTCTCACACGCTCAACAACTCTATACCTTCGCCACGAACACTACAGAGAGGACGTACCAAACCTCCGTCCCAGTCTCAGGTCAAGCATACGCTTCCTCAGGATTTACAGATGAATTGACCCTGGCGTCATTATTCCTCTCCCTGGCATCCAATTCCTCTCAGCTATATTCTCAGGCGGTGTCTGATTATCAGAATTTCCACCTTGATGAGCAAATAAGACCCGGTTCAGAATCAGTATTCAATTGGGACGGAAAGTCCCCTGGCATTGTCGTCCTGGGAGCTCAGATTGCCAAGATGTACCCTAACTTGGCTTCATCCTCGACGTCGGTAAACTGGACTTTGGAAGCTGAGGATTACCTGGACGGTATTGTCAAGGGCCGTGGAAGGACTTTTCTTACAGACGGTATGTCGCATTCCTCATAAAAATCATCAAGCATTCCATGTAAGATCTCACCTTCTTCAAATTCACAGGCGGCCTTCTCTGGTATCCCGGAGACTCAAACGACGCATCCCTCAACCCGGCTCTAAACGCAGCCTTACTCCTCACCCGTTACGCAACATCCAACCTCCCACCCTCCTCACAACGTAATTCCTACCTCACTTTCGCTCAATCCCAACTCAACTACACTCTCGGCGCAAACCCAATGAACGTGCCCTACATCGTAGGCACACACCCAAACTCGCCTCAAAACCCACATAGCGCTATAGCAACCGGTGCCTCGCCATACGATATCGCGAATATCGATACGGTGCCAGAACACGAACGATATGTGTTATATGGGGCAGTTGTAGGAGGCCCGGATACGAGGGATCGGTTTTGGGATTTGAGGAGTGATTGGGTGCAAGGTGAAGTTGCGTTGGATTATAATGCGCCTTTACTCAGTTTGGTGGCGTATACGATTATGAACCAAACTACTGCAACGCAAGAACCGGTGTTTGTGTCGATTGAGGAAGGGTCGTATGTGAAGCCGAAGAATTCGCCCTGTGACGATGCTGTCAAGACAGGTTGTGGAATTCATCCGTGGCCCAAGGGCGCGAAGATCGCGTTCGCTGTTGTGATTACTATCGTTGGGTTGATCATTTTGGGTTTTGGGACGTATTGGATTGTGTTGGCTACACGTAATTCTACAAAGGTGGGATAACGTTAATTTCTCACTTAGCTTATGTAGTGTTATTTGTGGAGCTCATTTTTTGGGGGGTCCTTCATGGTTCATATTCTTTCATGCTATCATGTATTCCAGTGTAACTATACGACCCCAGGAACAATGTTGACACGATTTCTGCACTTGCGTAAATGATTCTAAACCCAGTGAGCAGATCACTTAGTACACCTGTTGAAGGAAAGATGTTAATATCATAACATGACCCACAGAAAACAGAACAACGCACCTCCAAAACATATCGCTCCTCCTCCTTCAACTCCTCTAGGAAGGTAGCAGCATGCTCAGTTTCTAGCCCCTCAAACTCCCCAAGAGCCCCAACCAAGGCTTCATGTACATCCGGTACAGGCCACGTCGGTCCGCACAGATAAAACACACCCTTCTCCCTTAACAACAACCTCGCAAGGTCCTTACCATCTTCATGCATCTTGTGCTGAATATATATCTTCTTCCGGGTATCTCGCGAGAAGGCTAAACCCGCGCGTGTGATTGTACCGTCCAGGATGAAGGCTTCAATCTCTTCGCCATAGAGGTATTCTTGAGCGCGGTGACGAGAACCAAAGTAGTAGAAGGTCGGTCCGACGGGGATGTTTTGCTGTGCGAGCCAGGCACGATGTTGTAGGAATGCGCGGAAGGGCGCGACACCTGTACCGAGACCTGCCATAATGATGGGTTGGGTGTGTTCGGGAGGGAGCTAGAGAGACGAGATAAGTTCAAAGACATTGAATAAGCAGGTTAAGAGGGTACGCACCTTCATTACGCTGGGTCGAATCGAAACAGTCACTTTCTGCCCGACTTTCAATCCAGCGAGGTATCGAGTACATTGACCATAGCGTGGCGTCCCTGTGGGGGAATAAATCAGCAAACGCATAAAGCCACGGCTCATCAAAATTAACATACCACTTGGCGTAATCCAGTCAACGGTAACGACAAGCAAGTCGACACGATCACCCACCACAGCTTGCGAACTGGCAATACTATAATGCCTGGGTTTAATATCCCCAATCAGCTCACACAATCTCTCAATCCCCGGTCGGGCACTATCATATCGCCTCAAGATATCCGCAAAGGTCACGGTATCCTTCTCCGACAACTTCTTGAATGTCGAAGAACCCTCAGGAGAACCAATAAACTGTAACGCGTACTTGTCCGTCTGGCGTGTCGCATAGGCGGCCAAATCAGAGTAGAAAGTTTTGGTGGGTTTGCCAAAGAGATCGATCTGTTGTTGGAGCGCTTGAAAAACGGTTCGAGTATGCACCTTGCTGCCGTCGCTCCCTGGAACGGGGATACTAATGACACGGTTGGGGTCGACGCCGTAGAAGGAGCAGAAGTCAAGCACTTCGTCTGTATCATTCCAACCATGGATCCCCAATGCTTCACCAATGTCATACTTGAGTCCAGTTCCCGTCGTATCAAACTCGAGGTGGAAGACGTTACGGTCGTATTCGGTAGGGGTTAAACGACGATTGACGGTACATGTGACAAGGAAAGTGCGTTCAGGAACTTCGGGACGCAACGCGACGTTTGGTGGAAGGTCTGATTCAACAGCATCGTCGACGGTGGGAGGCGTGAAAGCGGACGGGAATAGGATGTGTTTCGCCGCGTCATGCCAGGAGCCTAACTTGGCACCATTGACCACTGTGTCACCTTCGTCTGTCTCAACGGCAATAGCGTTGAACTCGAAGTGTTTGAGAGCAACTGGTTTGGCTTCCTCTGCATCCGCAGGTTCCTCAGGAACCTGAACCTCTACGAGACCATCCCAGACGCGAGAGGCGAGCTCCTTCAAGTTCACATCCTGGAAAGCGTCACTTAAAGATCGCTGCGCGAGCCTGAAAACGACCTCTGGCGTTGCGCCCTTGCCCAAATAAAGGCGAAGGAATGCCAGGTGAACGACAGCACTCTGAATGGACTCTCCTCTGATTTGGGACGCGACAGCTTCCGCGTCAAGCACGCACAAACGGAGTTGTCTTTGACGAATGACAACCAACGTCTCCGAAGCAACGGTAGAAATCAATTCTGCAGGAGACCAGTCGCTCACGACAAGAATAAGGGACCCTTCCTTTGCATGCGTTGCTAGTGAATGCGATTTGAGGAGGTTGTGGTCCAACACCACAAGGACATCTGAGGCTCCGGGACTGCTAGGGCTTATGGGGAGTGCCAAAGAAGATGGAATGTAAGTTTCCGATGTACTCTTGGCGGAAAGGACAAGGCGATTGGCCTCGACACCGCCAGGCTTTGATAGGACATCATAGTCTGTCAAGAGGCGAGAAGTTATACTAGCCTGGCTTGCAAACGTCTGTTCTATCAAACGAGGGACGGAAGAGAGAGCAGATTTGGGTGCACCGAAGAAGAGGACCTTCTTCGAAGTGGGTCCATAGACCGACACAGTCTGTTCCGAAATGGGAAGGAAACTGAGGAGGAACCTCGTGAACGACAACGGGGACGCAACGAACTGTTGTGTGCGGGCTGGAGTGATCCTCTGGGACTTTACCACAGGACCAGGCTGAAGAGGGTTCAACAACGAAGAGTAAACATCTATGTAGAGGCTGCCTTGAGCATACTCTGCGGGCACGTCGTCTAAAACATGGATGTGCTTTGCTGAAGCGGGTATAATGGCGCGGAAGGTATCTTCGTCCCAAGGCCGTAGGACACGAACAGACACAACGCCCAAACCTGGTACCTCGGCAGCGATAGCCTTGGCAAGTTGGGTAAGAGGCCCGTTGAGAGCGACAATTACAGTGTGGGCTTCACTATCACCTGTGTAATCGAAGTATTGGTATCCTGCCTGGGAGAGTCCCTCCCTCAATTCGACACTCTCAGAGGCATCCGGCAATGAAGGTGTATTCAGAGCGCCGATCTCTCGTGCGGAGCTGAAATGATCGAAAATGTGGACGACGTGTGCGTTGGAGAGTTTGTACGACAACGTCGCGAGATCAACTGCTTCCTGTGGGGTAGCAGAGAGCAGGACAGTGAAGTGCTCTGGCAAGAGTGATAGAATAGGCGTAAGAGGAGCCAAGGTGGGGGACAATGCAAACTTGTCCCCGACGGGTGTGACGGTCGGTACCTGTATAATGAGTCTGCTGTTTTGAGAGGGTGCTGGCAGATAGGATAGCGACTGTATCATCGCTGCAAGGCCTGTTGGAGTGTTGTATGCGGTGAGTACTGCTCCGTGTGTAGAGTCTTTACTGGATCCCTGAGAAAGTCTGCCGACCAAACTTAAGCCTGCACCTGATCTAGTCTGCAGGCTCACGACGGGAGCAGTACCGTCTGCGCCAGACCATGCTTTAGTAAGGGATCCAAAGCCAACTTGCTCGGCAAGGTCGTATACAAAGAGAGTTGAAGTTGAGGATGATCGGGACGCTATTTGTTCTATAATCACTGAAGCTGAAAGCAGTGAGCTTTTTGGAAGTAACTTGATGGAGTTTGCTGTGGATCCGAGGTCGGGAGAAGTGGGAACAGAGAGCGTCGACGTCGTCGACAATGGAGTCGAAACGCCAGACGACATGTCGGAGTAGTGAGGCGGACGTCGAGGACGGTGACAAAAGCACCAAGACAGGCGGCATTTCGTATTTTTGAAGACACGGAATCGGAGACGCGAGAATGGTGGACCGCAAAGACATGGTGCCATGATGGCGACATCATCTCTCGATCACGATCGGTTTGGTTCGGTTCGCCCGCGTTGTGACCTCGACCATATCCGTTGAGGCTGGCCCAGCTGGTTCAACTGTCGCACTGTGCAACGCCCGCCGCATTGACTTTGCGACTCGCCAAGTGACAAGTCGTACGCTCATTGATATATATTCCCTTAGGGCATGTACATTTTTTCTAGTTACAGCATGTACTGACACATTCTTTACATAGATGGCTTGCGAAAGTGAAGGGTAGGAATACCCTTCCGACATGATATGAACCAGGAGCTTCACGCTTACTCTTAATTGCAGGGCGATTGCAGAGGAGCGCAAGGTCCTGCGAAGTCGTATTGCAGACTTAGAAAAAGAACTCAACGCGCTCGAGCGTGGTCCAAGAGCCCGGGGGAACCGGCTCAGGAAAAGAGAGATTCAAGGCAATCTCCTCCAGTTGCAAACGAAGTTCAACTCGTTTGCACCAATATCCCGACTCCCTGTTGAACTGTTTACTATGATCCTCATGATCTGCCGATCTTTCTCTTCGGAAACCGAAGAATATCCGTACCTTCGGGAGCGAGACTATGGCCACGAGACCGTGATCCACATTACACACACTTGTCGCGCCTGGCGGAATCTGGCGCTGTCCTACCCAAGTGTATGGACAGTCATCCACTCGGACAACCCTGCCTACATAAAGGCTTGCATCAAGCGTTCAGGAAAGCTCCCGCTTTCAGTAGATTATGACTCTCACCCGCACACCTCTCGAGAGTTTTGGAATCCCACCGTGATCGAACGGGCATTGCGTGTGGTGTCGAAAGGGCTGCCTCGTATTTGCCGCTTGAAGATTTCATGTCTTTCCGACTGGTGTTTCGACGTCTTTGACCTTGAAGAACAAACGAAGTTGTCGCTACCCCTTCTGGAATCATTGGAGCTGAATTTACCAAACGACACACCATATTGGATCTCATCATACTCGCTCACTCGGTGGTTTCTCTCCCATACTCTTCCTAGTTTGAAGCGTCTATATGTCGCGGACTTGGGATTCGAGTGGTGGAAGCCCCAAGGCATTCCTGTCCACCTCACGGACCTAACGATTAAAATGCACGACTACGAACAAGGCAGCGCACATGACCGCTGTTCAATGGCGGAAGTGCTTGCATCTCTTCGTCAACTTCCAGCTCTCCAACACCTCGATCTCGAACAGGCGCTACCGGATTACCCGCAAGGTGACGATTGGCCGGAGCTGAAAGTCCCTGAGGAATCACAACGAGTACTTCTGCCCCATCTAAAAGCACTGAGGTTGGTGTCCATTCTACTGGGCTCCGTCCACCTCCTTAATCATCTCAAAATCCCGTCAACAGCAGTAGTCTCACTTATGGGTGAGGTGGAGGAAGCATGGATGGAACCTACTATCATCTCTCCGTATCTCATGCCCGTACTCACAGGAAAGAGCACGATTGAGATGCATGCCCCTATTCTCGCATTTGGAATCGAACCATGTCGTGAAGGTCCGACGGAAGTATCCTTCAACGCCCATAGGACCCTTCTTCCCTTGGAGACTCTTCGCGAGTTTACTACGCTGCAGAACTTTGATCTCACCGTCTGGCCTGTGAGCAAAGTCTTGCCCAGCATAATGCAATTTTGTTACGGTTTTCACGATGCGTTGAGAACCGTGCAGACATTATGGCTTGGAAGTGTCCATCCGTTGACCGTGGAGGATTTTCTCACAATGTTCCGACATCTCAAGGACCTGAGGACGCTGGAACTCAATGAATTCAACGTGAAGATACTTCCTGAACTCTTGATGTCTCCAGACACCAACAGCACCTCCGATAAGGGTAACCTTGTTTTCCCTCATTTGACGACAGTGGAAATATCTTGGTTCACGTTCAAGGGGCAGGATCATGGAGGCATAGCAGAAGACGCTTTCTGGAAGGAGCTCATCGATGCACTCAAACGTCGTAAAGAGCGTGGATTTGGCATTCGGAAGCTTATCTTTCGCGATTGCACGAACATCGGGGAGGGCGACGGAAAGTTTGTGCAATCTTTGTTTCCGTCAATCGTGGAGGATGCCCGGATAGAGTGGTCGGGTAAAGTCGATTCCGTTGCACATCTTCTAGGGGATTGGGAAGAATCAGATTGTTATACCTCTGACTCTGACGAGTTTATGAGTCTTTCAGACGAGGATCTTGACGACTCGGATGTCGAGGATGACAGCGAAGATGATATTCTCGAGGCCCAAAATCCCGACCCGTAGTTCGCAACACTGGCAATGTGAGGATTAGGCATAGGGAATCTGCTTTCGGCGTGGATCTACGAACTTGTAGACGACTTCCTAAGGTTGTTGAAATTTGCGTGCTCTTACATTTGCTCTCCTTAAAGCGAGCTGTCGAACTTTGTATTTGTCAAATCGGAAGGGAAGGCGTAACTTACAAGCAGAGCTCGAGACGAGACACTCGCATTGTACAATCTCACGAATTACTCTCTACTAGAAGTCCGCCTATGTTTAACGGGCAAGCATCTCATGAACAGTTCGCCACGGTGATATCTTGGAAAACTCCACCTAACAAGGCAGTCATACAGGTCAATTTAATGTACAGTATGTCGGACATCTGAGGTTGGAATGGTATTCATCATGATCAGAGGAAGCAAGATTTTACATGAATGCATCTATGTTCACCTGCAAGCAAAAGACCCTAGGCCAATGTCCTTAAGCAAGTTGGCGCCCTGCCACACTCCTCCGCATCCAACATCACTAATCTTCCGAGTCAAGTGAAACATCAGAGCCGCATATTACTACGGGTCCGCGAATGAAGGGTTCCTCATAGTCACCCAACACATCATCCATGTAATCCACAATATCTTCTTCATCCTCACATCCACAACCACAAGACCGGAAGTACCCCTCCTCAATCAAGCCTTCAGATTTCAAAGCTTCGATATCTGCCTTGCTTACATTTAAACAGTCACGGAAAACCAAATATTTGAGCCCCATCCCACATACACGACGCCTTCTTAACCCTGCAACAAGACTTTGCCACATCAGATCAGCAGCGATCCCGCCTTTATTCTTGCCCTTGAAGGTGAAAGAACCGAATTCCAACGTGTCCAAGCTGGGGAATACAAGATCATTGCTGTCATGAGTATCAGCCCGATTGCTTGTAACCGTTAACACTTGTGCCATAAATATCGCTGTTGCCTTATCTGAGGCCAGCGTCCGGAGATGTTCCAAATGTGAGAATAGGCTTAGGAATTGTTCAACGGGGATGTGCCCCATTTCTGATATCCAAAGGAACTCCACATCAGTGATGACTTCCTTGAACTGGGTGCACACGGACGGCATGATCGTAAAATAACCCCCATACGGGCCGGATACGGTAAGATGGAAATCAGTTGGCGCAGTAAGAAGAAGCATATCGTCGGATCGATGGACCTTCGTGAAACCGGTGAAAGCCATGTAGCTTCCGTAATCGTCGTCTGGGCCGAATAGAATTGCGCGCAAAGGAACTCGAGGGCCGATCATATGTTCTCCTGCAAGGCGGCGCGCATAATTCGGCAAAGCCAAAGGAATGTCTTTTCCCCAATCATCCGTGTTCCCCCAGGTTTTGATTGACGTCGTAGACGGTATGACCAGACGATTCGCAAAGTATGCACCTTCGGGGAGAAGTGACTCCACTGTCAACTTTTGTAGCCTCGGCAGTACAACAGTTTCCTCCCCGGCAACCATAGCCAACGATGCGAACTCTTGTAAGACGGGGAGAGCATCTTTGAGTTCCAGTTCCTCCAACGAAGAGAGACGTCGCAGGCATGCGAAGATGTCCGCCATAGAGCACCGCTCGTGGGCCCACTCATTTGCATCCACCATCTTTATGGTTAGATGAGTGATATTTGGTGGGATATACTTGGAACTCCACCATTCAAAGCCCATATCGGAAGTACTGAGGCGCCTTAGCCGCGGAACGGAACGAGACAAGAAATAGTCCGTGGTGGAATACTTGGGAATCCAACCCATACATCCGCTGGGTAAATCAAGTCCGAGAGACTCCAGGTGAGGTAGGATCGGCTTCACCCGGTCGACACCCTCACATATCTTGCGGTAGTTCTCAACTGCAGTTCTAAGCTTCAGCTGTTGACAACGATGCAACTCCTGGAGAATGATGCGTTGAAGGATGTTAGTAACCTTGGAGGACACATAGTCGTCATGGGGATGTGTATTTAGATCGATTGACAAGGGCACTTCTCCTGCGCGTTGGAGAGTGCCTCTGAGAAATCCTGGGTGCGTTGAGCGTATGATGGCCCAGAGACCAGGAAACGCCAGAGCAATTTCGCGCCAGCGATGACAGGTTTGTGACATGAACAGCACTGCGTTGTGCGCAAATGTTCGATACCGTTGCAACTGATAGTCGTACTCGTCTGGAATTGATCGGCAAGTCATGAGAATGGAAGTGAGCAGTTCGTTCGGTAGCCGAAATATGAAGGATAGATCATTGCGCTGTCTCTTGAGGAGGACGAGCTTATTCATTAGTTCCCTGGTATCTCCATGTTCACTTTTCCGTCGCGACCTAGTGGACTTCTGCATGAGCTCTTTCTCTAATGACAATATACGTTGCATCAACGGGTCGATTTCAGAAGGACAGCTGCAGAGGCGAAGATTCCATTACGATTGAGCTGATGGACAAACTGAAATAGTACCTTGTGTCTTGTGATGAAAACCGTTTCATGTTGACACGGTCAGCAATGACTCCTGAATGGCCACGAGATCTGAAACCACTAGGCAGTCTTGGAAAGTTGAATATCAAGAAAGCAGGAAAATGAGCTTGAAGTTACGATGATGAAGTCAACCAGAAATTGATGAATGAATACACTGTCAACCAACCGTGAGAACTTTGTGAACACGCGTAGGACTTTGATACGGGTCGTCCCTCTCCAATAGACCAGTAGTGACAGCGAGACTAGGGATTTATGGATTCAAATGTGACTCAAGCTAATGTATATAGTATAGGAAATTCGGCCTATTGCTCTAAGATGACTCAGTAATACAGAGGTTCCCTTCAACGGCGTTTGTATTCACAAGGCTTTAGCAAACTCCCTTGTCCCTCAATTTTCTCCCAGTCCTTTTCGGACTTGTGCTGCCTCGGCACCTTGACAAACTCAAAAAGCGTGAAATGGGTATTGTTGTCGTCCTGGGAGATAATCACTTAAGTGACACATCGAAACAAAATGGTGACAAGGCTCGTACCTTCGAACGAAGCTTGAATCCTACTGATGTGACGAGAGAAATGAAAGCATCGATATCTGTGAATCGACTAGCAACCTCCGCAATTTTCAATTCTCCCCTGCAAAAGAAATCCACATTAGATCGCAAGGGAAAAGATACATGTGAGTACATGTAACTCACCCGTTCCTCAGTACACGCCATACTTCTCGAATGCAGGTCGGCCAATTGATGCCCATTAAACTCAAAGCGCAAACAACGACGTCCACAATTTGGGCGCCATCTTCTTCGCTATCTTGCTCGCTTCCAGGCAAAGGGATCTTCGAACAGATATCTGCTTCTACGACGTAACTCCCGTCGGAAACAAGATCGAATGAAAGGACATTCAATCCCTTAGGGACAAGTCCTCGTGCAAGTGTAGCATCCCCACACCCCAGGTCCGCAATAACCGTCTTAGGAGGGTAACTTGACAGGACCGAGATATAATGTCCAACAGGGTTGCTCGGCCAAGACTGAACCTGATGTCTGAACCCGGTGTGATACTAGAGAGACAGAAAATCAGTTACATAAATCGAATTACCCTTGCAAATGCGCATACCTCTGAGAATACGTTCGGATTCTCTCGCATCATTTCATGTGCATGCTGACTGTCAGACTTATATAGCGTCTCATTGATCCATCTAGTCGGCTTAGCACGAAGATAACTATATAGAACACTTGAAGACATACCTGAAGCGAGCCCCATCCAAGCTATGCTTCATATTGGCTTGCATCGCAGTGAGCCCACTCTGTGTATCCAATTTAGTCTTCTTAGTCTCTGGTGCAACTTTTGGTGTAGTTTGCGATCCTTCAGTTTTGCGATTTTTCTTGGACTGGTTTATGGATTTCTTTCCTGAAGATGAAGAGGAGGCCGCCACCTCCACCCGTTTTGAGTCTTCATGCTGCACGACTTTCGCTCCTTTCGCCTTGGAGCTGGGACTGGGCTGGTTCCTGGAAGCAGAACCGTGCTCTTTCGCCTTCTGCTTTCCCTTCGTTTTCTGTTTCTTCTTTGGTGTATCTGTGTGTCCCTGTCCTGTTCCAATTTTCGCAATCAACTGCTCAACGTTCACTTCTGCAGCGGACACTTTATCCGTATCAGGTGCCCCGCGTTTGCGCTTCCTGGATGCGGAAGGCAAAGGAGCGGATGGTACAGTCCACCCTGGAACTTCGAAGAGAGCCATGACCTCGAATGGTATACGATGGTGGGGTATGTAGGTGACTGGGAAGTTCACAAGAAATTCAAGTAAGAAAGTTCAGGTCGATCCGATCGCGCGCTAAGCTGAACTGGGCAGGCGTCTCGATGTTCCCAAGAAAGAATCGACTGTCTTTTTCCAATGGATAACTACGTGCAACCAAGATGGTGACTAATCTACAAATAAGAGGAATTCATGGGTAATGATACAGCATGCGCGACAACAATATTATGTTTTTGACCCAAAAGATGTCAGCCGAAAGTCCAAGTATTCAGAGGAGGGTGCGATTTATTCAGACTGTCCTTACAGCTCCTTTTCTTGACGACAACAAGACAACCAAGCGAACCACATCATACTTCGAAGCTGCAACACATCTTCTTTCCAAGCCATAGACTGGTTCTGTTCTCGGAACTCCCGAGTAAGCATCTCGCATCGCCCGATGTTCTCGGGGCTAACAAAATCGCAAGCGACCTTGATGGAATCGGCAAGGTTGCAGACCTTCCAAGTCCGCGTTAGCTGATTGCAACATTCACGGACTGTAAAAAAAAATAAACAAGTACCTGATGTGCACAACCGGCGGGAATGAATACAGCCTCACCGGGCTTTTGGTATACCCTATGACTTTTCACGCCATAGTCGTTGAACAGTTCCCGCCGAAGGTTGGCGTCGAGATAGAATTGTTGAGAATGTATGGGGTCGTGCTGATATTGACCCTTGAACTTCTTCCTCAGGAATTTGCGCAACTTAGAGGAATCTTCAGACCTGTATAAGTCCCAAGCAGCCGAGCCCGGTCGGCCATCAGGAGTTGGGGAAGCATATAACATGATGTTGACCGCATCAGCCATATCCATGTGAAGTCTGGTAGTTCCCTTGCTACCTTGCGACTCGTATGACGCCATCGCATTGTACATTTTAGGACCTACACGGACTCAGGCAGGCCTTCCAGGCAATGTAACGAACAACTTACCTAGGTCTGGAGCAACGGTGTTGCTTGGGAAATGGGATGCGACGTTCAATACGCCGTCACGTCTAACGTAGTTTGGTACTGGAGTGGCCCTGTTGAAGTCATCGTACAGCTCCGGGAATGCTGTCTTGAAGTCCATTGATGGAGGCCAATCCTAATTATTATGACCGTGCGTGAGTAAAGAAATCGTGCAACCAAGGATATTTTTCGAACCTTGAGTTTCCAACAATCTCGTCGACCCTCGTAGTCCCCGAACCAAGAGAAGAACTCTCCAACGGTGACTCGTTTATTCTGATCCGATTGACACTCCAGGATCAAGCAGTTCTGAGACCCATATTTCGTCCTGAAGTATTCAGGTGTCCATTGAAGCTGGAACTTTGGAAAAAGACCGGTGACCACCAAAGGTTGCCCATTTACCCAGACGTGACGGAATACATCATCAGTGAGCTCGGCGTCGGCGAAAACCTTAGTCTCATGCGTAGGAACAGGCGCATCACTTGGTAAAGGCGTCGAAATCGCTGGCGGAGGAACGGATACAGTTGAGGACGCAACCGTAGTTGTTTCAGATACAGCGCTGGAGGCACTCTCAGACGTTGCCGAGGTTGGCTGGTCACTTACTTGACCATTGGAAACTTGAGGGGTGGCTGTTGACTGGACAGGTTCTCCGTTAACGACGTCATCTGGGCCAGGTTGAGCCAATAGTGACTCCATGTCGCTGATAGCCTGGGACAGCTCATCCTTGCTAAACCTGGACATGGGTGAAAAATCTCGTGCACGATGCTCACTCCTGCGAGTGCATGAGAGAAAAAAGGGGTTGATATGGGCATGCTTCTCCCTTTTAGCCTGCAAGGCGGCAATTTCTGCCTCGTTCGCGCCTGCCCGATCCTCCGTGAGGTCACTGACCTGTTCAAAACATTCTGCACAAGCTTCGCGGCCGCAGTTTCGACACATCCAACTGCATGAGAAAATCGATGTCATGCAGGTGTCTAATTAGCAATTGACAATGCTAGTCAGAGCGCTGAAACCCGCGAAGGTATTAAGCAACTAACCACACGTGGCTCTAACTTCACTCTCCCGAGGTCTGCGAATGACTTCAGGTCTATTTAGGTGTTCACGCTCTGCTCGAAGGATAGGAAGTAGGGCCTTTGCAACCGTACGCTATACAGATATCGTATTCAAGACCCCATCGTCGACAAACAACGTATTTCACATACCTTGACGCGCACGATGTGTGACTGAATCAGAGGTACGTTCCACTGAAGAGGGAAATTCATCGAGGGACCATCAGGTTTTTGACTTTCGACAAAGCTAATGCCAACAATATTTCGATTCTCGTCTTTGAGGAAGAACCTGATACCTTGGAATCGACATGTATCGCCGGCCCATCGGCGGGTACATGAGACACATCTTGGAAATTCTTCTGAGCGATATCGATTTGACATGCATCGTGCGAATTGCAATTCTGGATGATACTTAGGCATCCCTTCGCCAGTGGACACAGCTGAAGGGATCGGGCGTTAAAAATAGCGAGCTTATCGATATGAGTTTTACGACCTTCAGATACCGTGTCACTACCATTCTCTCCAGATGTCGGTTTGAATGCGACCATTGAACCGAGAGCTGTGATGTGTGAGTATTTTGTGTCTTTTCTGGTAGAATACATTGCTCTACCATTTTGTGCAGCAATCTGTGCCGCTTCATTGCGCTTTTTGGCATTATAACCCCGCCTAGAATATGTTGCTATGGAAATAATGAGTACACTGGTACAGTTGCCTAACGTAACACGCACAGTTTGTATCCCCGTTCGCCTTTTTCGCCCTGGATTTTTTCTTGGGCACAGGCTCCTCTTCGGGTGTTTGCTCCAAAGGTCGCTTTGGAGCAGGGACAGACGCTATAGGTTGAAGCGCTACAAACGCGACAGCTGGCGTCCCATAATACGCATGCGGAGGGGGCTGGCCACGGTGCTGTGCTTGGGCCATTCCTGGATGAGGGGGAGGTAAAGAGCCACGCGCTGCAAGTCGAACAGAAGCCCTTTCAGCGGTTTGAAAAACTGGTCAGAGAGAAGTTAGAGCCACACAATTCGGGTTTGTCATAAAGACAGGAAGATAACCGTTTGTGGGGTAACCTTGATGGACGTATTCCTGATGTTCATACTGTGGAGACGCGTAGTCTAACAATATATAGCACATATTAGATTGTGGTGGGAAAATATACAAGGAAATGACACGAACTTTTGGGCACAGCGTCATTGGACGTGCCTGGCATGGCATTGAATGTCCAAGTGCCATTCATCGGGGCAGAGTTCGACTCACCACCATTGCGTTCATCGGAATAGGTGGGTGGCATTACGCCATGACCACTATACTGCACATTGGGTGCATCCTGAGAATTAGACCAAGGTTGTACATCCATGTTAGAATAGTTAGTGGGTGGCTCAGACTCGATGGGTCTCTGATGTCTGGGATAGGATTGTTCAGGATAAGACGGGTGGGAATGAACAGAAGATGGGCCCGGCTGAAAGCGACAAGAAGTCGAGTTATCGAGGTCGTGATGTCTGCCAGGCATACGCTCGTCGACGCCGTGATCCCAGCTTGCAGCAGAGAGTCTAAAAGAGCCGGGTTGTTGGTGCATGGAGGGAGGGTAGGAAGGCGGGGCGGATACGTGCTGCTGATGGTTGGGGGGTAGATATGCCACGTTCGGAGGTGTCAAGTTTGGAAGCTGATTAGAAGCGTACACCGACCGGGAGTCGAGAGGGGCAGCAGCAGCCTGAGAACCGACTGGGTTCAGTAGCTGGTCTATGGACGTCCGCTTGTTGTGGGCCTGTTCGTGGATGTTCATCGTCGCTGTCGTCTTGCAGGACGTTCACTGCCAGTATCAGAGTGCAAGGCAGAGAGGCAAGAGACAGAAGAACGCGAGGCTCCCGGGTCTCTCTATCCAAGTCCGCATTCAACCACGCCCATTTAGAATTCAAACTTTCGACCTCCGACTTCTAGGCGCAGAAATCCATCATCACGTGGAATTACCCTTAATGAACCCTCTTCTTGCCAGAGCCTGCCAGCTCTCTACCGGGGCCTTTAGTAATGATAGACACGATATAGACATGCCATAGATACGATACACTATCGCGGCAGAAGAGACTCACTTTCTGCATGCAGCCCATTCAATCCATGAACTGCACAAATCGGAAACAAAGGTACAGCCATATCGAGACAAACGCCCAAAGTCCGATCAGCTATTCCGCCGTGCCGGTGGCTGCACTCTCCCGCGAAAGGATCCGCGATGCTTATAACCGTCCATTTATCCCAGGGACTGCCCTCCTCTAGCGCGATCCTAGACAATTGACAGGGAACGTTGATGCTGAACCTTGCTCGACGATAAGAACGCAGATGCATCCCAGTCAAATTTGAGGCATTAACGAGAACATAACACTAGACTAAAAATATATCAATCGTGTATGTGATATATTGTATATCTACGGTGGATGCGACATTCAACGAGCCCGGAAAGCACACAGCTATGACTACAACTTCGACGAGGAGATAGAGAGAGGATGAAAGAGTGGAGGAAATAATGCGTGCATGAGATGAGAAGCAGAGCAAGAACAGAAGAGAGAGGTATGTTAGAGTATAGTGGATCGATACACTTCTGCGAAACGTGAATAACAGTAGATGCAAACGGTGACTGTCAGTAAAAGCCCCAAGACCCAAGAAGTGAAAAACCGTCCATATGCCCCAAACATGCAATGCAAGATGAGTGGTTGAGGTGAAGGAACCCATAAAACCCGAAATCAAAATAACTTGCGGAAGAACCCGGCGACCCTTGGGATCAAGGGTAACAGGAGTGGAAGTGCTAGCCAGGCAAGCATCCCAAAGGTCGCCCCAAACCGTCATTGTGGTTCAGGTGGATCTTGCTTAGAGTCCTTATCAGACGGTGGAGGACCAGAAGGTGCTTCTTCGAATGCAGGGGCCAGATCTGTCGACGTCGCCTCAAACTGAGCAGCAACACTAGGCTTTGGCGTTATCTCATCCGAAGTATCATCACCTACTGACAATGTCAGCTTGAATATGTTACTGAGCGTAAGTACGGTAACGTACTAGGTCCTGGCGCCGCCGTGGAGGCGTCTGGTTGTGCAGTCTTCACATCCTCAATCGGATCTTTGCCTACAAGGAATGAGCGTTAGATTCATGGATCTAAAAAACTTTACTCACCAGCTGTTTCGGCCAAAGAACTAGTCGGAACGGCAGGAGACTCATCAGAAGGTGGAGTGACGACAGTGGAGATTTTCTCAGCCGCAGCAAGCCCTCTGACCATCCTCGGAGTTTCAGGGCCAACCGTCCTCTGCGAAGCTGACGTCGAACGGCTGCGCATCCCAGTCGGAGTACATTTGCCCTCTGGTACATGAAGCCGACGAGCCACATGTCGGGCCTGTGCATCCTGACCCGTCGAGATGCTCTTCACCACTTCAGGTCGAATATCTGCCCACATCTGCAAAGCCTTGATCGAACCCCATTCGATGATCTTGCTGTTCAACCATTGCAGTGACACGGGTTTCGTCAGGAAATCATTGCAACCCGCTGCGAGTGCAGCTACTCGATCAGTTTGAAGAGACGATGCTGTCAATGCGACGATAATGACAGAAGATCGATAGGGTGTCATGGTAGAACGGGAATCCGAAGTCGAGGTATCTGAGGGTGTCTGTTGGCCGTCCGATTGTGGTGTAGTGGGGAATCCAACAGCGCCGTTCTGCTTTTCTATCCGCCTGATCTCTTTCGTGGCTTGAATGCCATCCATGACAGGCATTTGGATATCCATCTGACCGAACACTACCATGAACACAAGGCGAAGCAAGAGATAAGAATTATAGCTCACCAGAATCAGGTGGAAGGCGCCAGACTTCCACTTTTGTACGGCCTCTTCACCGTTCTTCGCGACATCGTATTTGATCTTTTTCTTCTTCATGAACGTTGAAAGAATGGTCTGGTTGATGGGATTATCTACGTGCAAGGTGAGCAGAAATTCGTACGAGACTGTCATGGATAATTACCGTCGACGATGAGTACGCTAATAGGGGGGACGATATTCCCTTCCCCAGCTCCTTTCTTTTTCTCTGTCGCACGACTATCAGGGTGAGGCTTTCTCGAAAGTCTTCTCGACAAAGCTGTTTGTCCTCCAGGCGAGCGACCCTGCGGGGAACTCGGCGGACTAGTCTGACTTGACCGTCTATGAAGCCGAGAGTTACTCTGATCGATTGCTTGCTCTGAAGCCGCAATGCTCTGGTCACTGCTAGCAGACGGCAAGCCATCGCTAGCAGCAGCAGACACCTGTATAGACTTTCCTTTCAGTGTCCCCGAGGATGCTGACTCGCCGCTATCTGGCGTATTGACGGTAGGTCTGGGACTAGGTCGTGTCATATCTGCTATTCCCTGCGCAAAACTAAAACCACTCTTGTTCTCTTCAGACGGTAAGCGGAATGAAGCGTTACGGTTACGATTGGCATCATTCTGTGAATCTCGCTCCATGCGGGGACTAGGAGTAGTCATTGTTGACGAAATACCCCTAGCTTTAGGATGGAAGAAAATGCCCGCGGGCTGACCGTCAGGACTCTGAATCATTAGTCCTGTGGATGGTGAAGCGCCCAGCTTGGCTACAGCATCCGAGAAATATTCCATGCCGTCATGATTAGCTAGCGGCGATGAAGGTCCATGGGGATGAGCTTCTGGATGCTCTTTCGGAGACCTTGTAGATCTATCGGAAGCGGTTCGTGGGCTCCCAGACGACCGACCACTTGGAGACCTTGGAGCGTTTGTCACGTTGAACAGTGGGGATATACCATGCACACCCGGGCTGAGAGGGGATGTGGCGATGGGAACGAAGAACGGGTCAACAACTGGTTTAGTCACTGCTGTGTGAAGAGCAGTCAAGAATCGTCGGGGACCAGCAGGTTTGGGTATCACGATGACTTCCGGCATCCTTGAAGCTATTCCATTCGTGTATGCTAACGACGATTGCAGAGCATCTTTCACCAACTTGAAGTTGGCCAGGCTGGTGAAGTGCACAATGACCACATGTGCAGGGGGAAGAGAAGAGGCAGGAGCTAAGCCCATGACGCGAGCTACTTGGGGAGAGGATCGTGGACGATGGTTTGTAGCAAGTGAGGGACGTTTCCGACCTTGTAGATGGAGAGGGTAACCTTGTTCTGTTCTAATCTTTTCCAGACGACTTCGCAGGACCTTCACGTCATCATCAATTAGAATGAACGTGAATGGATTCGAGGAGCGAGTGCTAGTTCCAGTGGATGTGGTGGATGCACTTGAGTCTTGATTGCTCGTACTCCCAGAGGTCATGGCAGAAGGATCGATAATGACCTCAGTGCGTTCCTGCGGCTGGTCCTCCGCGTCGGTTTCTGGAGACATATGGCTCACATCCATCCCCCATGCAGTGAGATAACTGGACAGATGATGTGCAAACGAACCCCTGGAACTGGCGTGAAGGGTGACTTTCTTGCCTCTCAATGACTCCGTGAATTGATTGAGCTCCTCCAAGGTAGGTTCTTGAGCAATCCGATATTCAGGATAACCCACAAGTGCAGCTTCCTCCGGAGTGATCAATCCTGGAGGATTCAGCACTGTCAACTCGCCAGGTTCAAGGACGATGGACATTTCGTATGAACGCCCGACGAAAGTATCTCGAGGATTTGCCTCAACATCCAAGACCGCTCCTCCGATGTGTCGCAGTAGACGTCGTAGAATCAGACTGCTGAAATGTGGCTGCGTTCTGTTTGCGGTGATATCGCCACTTTGACCCGTGCCGAACTTGTGAGCGATGTAGAATATACAGCGAAGGTAGCCGCCAGGATCTGGAGAAGGTGTAGATCGAACAGCTTCAGGGTCCTGATCCTCGCGGACGGACTCAATGAAAAGTCCGAGTTCGATCACGTCACTGGGTTGGCATGTAGCGATGACTTGTCGTACAACCTATTCGAGAAAATCAACAAGATCATTATTTCTGGTTCTATTGAGAGCTCACATGCGCTAGCGTATACGATATGCCACTCTCATCCCCTCTGACAGCGACATGCTTCATTCCAACGTCACCATGAAATAGCACCAGGTCGATGCCAGCTTGAGCCGCAACACCACTTAACGCGTCCCCAACGCTTTGTAGCATTTCCCCAACGTCAAAATCATGCTGAGCTTGGACAGACGCGTTGGCTCTCATAGCGTCCGCAAGAGGTGTCTCAGGATCTGTTGTAAAGGCAGACATGTTCGCGGACATGTAATTCAGGTTCTTCATGGAAGTAAACATTGCGGATATAGAAGGGGTTGGAATGGAGAGAGAACAAGCGGAGAACTGCTCCTTGGCGGGATCGAGAACCTGCGGTGGGGAGAGCTGAAGTAGCGTCTGGATGACCATCTGCACTGAGTCTGCCAGTTCCAGAGATAGATCCTGAAAGTGTCCAAGCTCTGGTGGCACTTCAGATACCGAAGGTGTGTCTGACTCAGAAGAGGGGGGTGTCCTCCCTGGATGCTGCAGGGACCCTAGCTGAGAAGGCAACGGCATGGAGAAAGCTCGAGACAACCTGGGGAGAGGAGGCGGCTGAGGAGGGACATCATCCATTGGGTTGTGGTCATCCAAATGGTTTGTTGGAGTTGCAAAATCAGCGTCAGAATTACTCAGTCGCGAGGCCCTCCTTGTTGGAATGTCATGCTCCTCCTCATGCTCGTCCTCAGAGACTTCGGCCTCACCTTCAGAAGAGCTCAGAGTGACAGGACGCTCCGCCAAGGGTAGCGATACGTGTGCAGACGATTCTGCTGGCCATGCGATTGCAAACTTGCTTGAGGAGGGGAGTTCAACTACGATGGACTCTTGAGAGACATCCTGAGAACCACTCTGACCAGCAATGACTGACGGGATTCGGACAGCAGGCAGTCTCGTCCCAGACATTGACCTGGGGTAGGTTAGGGGCCAAGTGCCCAAAGGACGTGGGCAAAGAAGAGAAAGAGAGCAATGAATAGAATGGCAGAGGGGCCTTTGGGACCAGCCACTGGCGGTACCGCGCAAAGCAGCTACTGCAAAATACTCCGGCCTCGCATTTTCGGCAGAAGCGCTTGCACAGCCCAAGCAGGTAATTGCCCGCCCCCTCTCTACCCCCGGCTCAACTTTCATTCCTACTCACAGCCATGCAGCACCAGCACACACGTGAAAGAATTTGAAAGACATGTATATCGTGCCCCAACACGTACAATAATCATATTATCTCATACATAGCTCCAAAACAAGATGAAATAGTACAAGCTCAGTATGTCAACTCGACGTCGCCTTCTGCAACGAGGTCCATGTCGTGGTAGCTAACCTTCTTCCCAGCCGCCGCCCTTGGGTCTTCCTTCGCATCGGGCGGTGGAGGTGGTGGCGGACCAGCCACACCCCCACCGTTGCGACTACCCCGCCTGCCACCAGGTCCAGGTTCCAGTGTCGCGACAGGTTTCGCAGGCAAGCCTGCAGAAGCTGGGACAGCAGGAATCTCTGTAGGTTGCTCGTAACCTGGCGCAAATCCACTGATGCGATCACTAAGCCGTCTCGCTGTGACCGCTTCGTCCCGACGAGGTGGTGGGTACGGGGCAGGATAATATGGGTATGCATATGTCTCGTGATAGCCCGCTCCATTCGGAGGGTATGGTGGAGGATACGCTCCATATGAACCATGGTAGGGCGGTCGACCATAATCTGCAGGTGGTGGTAAAAAAGCCGGGCCTTGCAAACCATACGCTTGAGGAGGAGGAGGTTGACTATTGCCAACCGGCTGTGGAGGATGGGAGAACGGTTGGATATGATGGGGATCCAAAGCGAAATTGTTGAAGTATGGTATCTAATAGAGCCAGTATCAGAATCAGTGGAAAGACGTCGAGCACAAGCGAACGTTACCTCTTCCAAATGCTTCACCAGTTCAGAATGTTTATTGGCTATATGTTTCTCCACAAACGAGGTTGCCTTGAAAAGTTTCTGACAGGTCTTACACCTAAACTTCCCCTCGTCCTCTTGCTTGATGTAAGGTTCAGCAGCCTTCGACAGTTCTCTTTCAATGATGTAAGTAAAGTTCAATCTTAAGATATATGCAACATACTCCTCATAACTTTTGCCCCCATAATCGCGAGGGTCGACACCCTTCCGATTGATGAGCAGTGCAATCTTAGAGTCAAGCCAATCAAGCCATCGCTCATCTGGAAACAAACTTCAGCCAGAATCCATCAAGGCAGGAACAGACAACTAACCATTACGCTTCCAGTCACGAGCCTCACTCGCCTTGTCCTTGCTGAAAGTTTCTTTTGCCTTCTCCTTCTCCTTCTCTTCGTCCTCTTTGGTGACTTCGCCTTCAGCCTTCTCTCTTTGCTCAGGCTTTGATGCATCGGAAGCTTTCACCTCCTGCGAAGCCTTAGTTACAGGCTTCCTCACATGCTTCACACATTTCCGTTGTAATTCTTCTAGATGATCCGTTACAACAGCGCAGTAGTAGCATGTGTGGAATGCTGCACGAAGATACGCAAGGTACAGGTCCAGAGCAACAACCGTCTAGAATCCACATCAGCTTAGATCAATAAGGGGTGTTTAGAGCCTCGTGTCTTACCCGTTTTGCTTCTACTTCTTGGTCATCCAGTCCTTCAAGCAATCCTTGGTCTTTCATCTCCGTCATTACCTTCTCGATACGCCTCTCAACCGCATCGCTGCCACGCTCTCTAGGCTCTGGGTCTTCATCTTGGTCATTTCCGGTGTCCGCCATCATCACATCATTGCTACCGTCCTTCGTTTCAACACCATTCTCAGTACCTTGGGCTTTGGCCTCGGCATGTGCTTTCCGCAAAGCAGCATATTCGTCTTCTAGCACTGAAGCCAATATCTTGGCATTCGCAAGATCCTTTGCCAGCCTATCGGGCCTACTCGCCACTTCAGGAGCGTAGCGAACTCTACTGGTGAAAGGTTTGACTATATGCGCCACATGCAATTTGAAACCCTCGATCTGCAATACCATCATGGTCAATACAAACAATGCGTACGGGTAGAAAAGATACATACCTTCTTTTCAGAAAGCTCTGCCATAACGGTTGACATATCCGCGTCGTCTCTGAAGCGAAGCCAACCAGCGCGGTAGTAATTGCGTTTCTGCAGAGGATCCCCGAGCGCAAGGTAGACAAAACCGGGCATTCTGCTACATGCCTGAAAAACGAAGCAATAAGTCGCCAGAAACGTCCTCAAGCAGTCGTACGAACCTCTTCCAACTTCACACGACCGATGTCGGGTGGAATGGTACGGATCATCACTTGATTACCCTCAGGCGGGACAGAGACCTCGTCGCCAACTTTGGCACGCCTAGTGTCATCAGTTTGCTTGCTACCGCCACCACGATTAGCATCCTGGTCAGGCTCGTCTTCAGCTTCAACATTGAATTGCATCTCCTCGTCAGCTGCTGCAGGAGTCGCTTTGGGTTCTTCAGCAGGAATAGTAGATGTGGTGCCACCTTCAGTGCCATTGGTAGCATTTTCGCCGTTTGCAGCCAGTTCTTTCATAGGAGAAGCAGGTTCGGGCTCTGGTTCAGGAGGGTTCAAATCAGGATCGAATTTTCCAGCCTCCAAGTCCAGCAAGAAGGTATCCATACGACCACGCCAACCCACTCTGCGGACACGCGTACGTAGGTCAGCAAACTCAGGGGCAGGGTCATATTTCTCAGCAAACCAGGGCGATTTGCGATGGTGGTCGAACATCCGTTGTAACTGCAAGTAGAAAGAAAACTCAGTACCCGAACGTACCATGACAAAGGCTCAAGCAGACGGTACATACTTGTTGAGCTGAAAACTCCTTGCGGTATTTCTCCCAACGCGAACGTATGCCATTACGAGGCTTCGAACCGTCGCCGGCTTCTTGTTCCGCGGCTTTGTCCGCATTATCTTCCTCCATAGCCTGTTGTGGGAAGTAGTATCGGAACCACTCCGCATATTGCTTAAGAGTTGCTGGATAGTCTAAATTGTGAGGGTCAGGTGGGGCGCGTCGGGAAGAGCCACCGTAGGGTGGTGGAGGATAAGGGCCGCGGTGCGGTGACGTGTATCCGTGGGAGCGCGTATGAGTATCTGTATGAAGGCGTATAGTCAAGCAGCTAGACAAATGCAAAGCATTTGGACATACCGTAATCATCGCCATAACGAGGTCGAGGTTCATAGCGGTCCCGCTCCCAGGGTGACAATGAACGCCGACGCTTGCGACCAGCTGCAATTCCGTCAGTCGCTGTGTCAGAAAGAGCTACAAGCCAACTCACCTTCCTCTGGAGGAGGACTCCGACTCCGGCCACGTCGACTATATTCGTATGCCGCACGTTCACGTTCGTAATTAGCCCATGCCCTATCCCGATCATACGCCTCCCAGTCTCTGAGTTCTTGAGGATACGCCGGGTCAGGATAAGGCCTTTGAGGCGGGTAAGAGCTGCCGCCGCGATACGGGGAGCGAGAGCGAGAGCGTCCTCGAGGAGGAGGAGGATAAGCAGAGCCAGACCAAGACGACATGTTCAAGAGAGTGAAGCTGAGAGAGAGAAAAGAGAAGAGTTATACGAAGGCTGATCATTAGAGCCTGTGAGAGATAGTAGGCGAGCATGATGGAAGCACAGACCTCTTAGGATCGCGGACGATGGTGGACACGACGTGCTCGCTGTCGCTGAAACACGCTCGATATGTTCGCGATGCAGAACAAATTCAGCCAACTACGCACCTGTAAGCTCACTTTCAGGCGGAGCCTCAATTTCATCGCGCTTACTCACGCTTTGGTTCCAAATTCGATTCCGGCTCTGGCTCATCTTATGATTGCAGTCCAAATTGCTCGATGATATTCAGAAGATACTCTTGAGAACACTATTGAGTTGCTGAGAATCACCTCCTGTCCCTTCAGGCTTTTCTCTCTCCTTTTGCTTCCACTCAGATTTCCTGGTTCCATCTGACTCACTCTTACGCTGCTTGGGCGGACGCTCCTGCTGCACTCCCTCATCTCCTGCCTTTCTCTTCCGCTCTGCTCGCTTGTCCAAGACGCGAGCCAACTCCACGTTCTTGAGATACTCTTGCTGCTCCTTTCTGGATTGGGAGAGTTCGACCCGCAGCCGGGCAGCATGAATCGCCGCTTCATGAGCTGCAACATTAGAACATGAGTCAGAGTGATATTGAAACATAAATATGACACATACCAATTTGCTCAGTCAACATGTGCCATTTGAACTTTGGAAGATACTTCATGGTCCATACATCGTCTCTCCATCGTGTGCCTTTCTTGCCCCCAATAGACTGAGCGTTGAGCATTTCGGCAACCGAGCGTGCAACCTTCTTGTTCTTGAACTCGACCCATCCTTCGGTGAAATGTACCTTCTTGGTAGAGGTGTACTTCTTACGCAGGAAAGCACGTTTGGGGTCTGATAGTGTAGTGCGCAGTGAGTATTGAAGCATTGGAGACAACAAAATAGCAGACGAACCTTCTGGCTGAAGATACACTCTGCCAATTTCGCCATATGCGCTCATAAGATGTCTAACCTTGGTAGGCCGCATTCCAGGGGGTATCCGTGAGATGTAAACGACGCCTGTCTTCTCTTGAGCAGCCTTGTATGCCGCAAGATCTTCTGGATTGAGAGGTTTTACGACCTTTGCAGACGGACCAGCAAAGCCATCCTCGTCCATTCCCTCCAGCAGTTCATCGTATGTCTCCTCTTCTGCATCGGAACCGGAGTACTCAGAACGCAGCTCATCCTCATGAGGTGACGGGTCGCGCGAATGGGATGGTCCTGCCTCCGGCCCACCCCCGAAGCGGGTATCTGTTACAAAGCGACTGTCAGACATGATGCGAGCACTCTCAGGTGAATGTATGAAGCGTAGCAAGTATTGCGGGAGAGGCTTGCAACAAACTTGAAAAAGTCGATCAACACGCACACCATCAAAATATCTCGATCATTGAGCGCCCATGATCTTTCCGTCACCAGTCAGTCACTGAACATCGTCTCGATGGTCACTAGTTCATAGGCAGACAGAGACATAAATATTGAGGCACGAACACTGAATATCTATCTACTGTTTCTAGACTAGCCGCAAGAGACTAACCCGACCCGATACTTTAATATTCACTTTGCAAGGATTAGAACTTGGACAGTGGGTGTTTAACCTTTAATGCCGCCTGAACCTTTGAAGGCCGCAGTTCATGGAAGTTCCCAAATGATGACGTGCAATAGAGGTTCTGCTTCCAGAATAGGTACCGAACAGTTAGAAGCAATATGGTATACATGAATCTGATTCAGGAGTTCAAACAAGGAAGAATACACGGACTCCAGCAAGATGACAACAGGTGTGACTTCAAGAGTCGTTCGACAAGAAAACATCAACCTTCCTGAGTCCCGGCAAAGATTTCGCACGACGCAGGGGCAAAGTAAATGAACAAACATTACGGTCCTGGTAACAAGAATAATTTTCAGTAGGGGGCCTTCAGCAGTTGGAGGTTCCAAATGAAAACGAACCGGACGATAACGAGCGAGGTAGTCCAGCCGTCCTTTGGCCAGCTGAACGTTCGCAGCGTATCCCAGTTCCTTGATAGCAGCGTGATTATTTTCATGGGCCGTGAATTACAAAACTCCAGAGACTGACCTCTTGCCACATTCGCACATAGTCACTCAACGCGATCATCTCCGTGTCGATTTCAGCCATTCGTTTCGAGTATCGCAAGAAACTGAAGGTACGTTCAATTCGTCTGCGTTCTTCCAACCGTTCAAGGTTGTTATGCCATTTCAGCCATCGGCGGAATGCTTGCTCTTCAAGACTTGGATGCAGCGATCCTCGATGCATCTTGGCCCAAGACAATGGACTCTGGTGAGTCGCAGAAAGTAAAATAAGCAGGCTATATGCGCATGAATCCATCACCGACCTTTGAGAACTCCCCGCTTGAAAGGTCTTCAAAGCTCACTTCATGTCGTGAAGTACGACTGAGCTCAAGGGTGTATTCCAAGCCGAACCATTCGTCGGAGTCATCATCGGGTTCTGAATCCTCCGGCTTGTGAGCAGTATCTTTGGTTGGTGTATGAGGTGAAGCTGGGTCCCAGTCGTGACTGATGCCTGCGAGAAGCGTGTCATACGGCTGCCAGGTGCAAGTGAGGTGATTAAAACAAACGTCGAGGAAGAGGGACTCACAAGGTCGCGTTGGGGTCGTTTCCCTTCGCGGATACGTTCGGATTCTTGCCTAGTTCGCGTCGGTGTTTCACTAGGACCAAGTGCGCTGCAAGCCACTTTTGCAACGTCTACGAGTTCCGCCAAGAAGCCATTGGAATGCTGGGAGCTAGCAGGAGACAGCGAGTCCGGGGTCAAAGGTGGTGTCGATTCCGAGACATATGCAATAGTGGGAACGGCTGAAGACACTGTATGCGCTCGACGTCGGGTTATATGCGGTTTATCTGGCACCTCAGAGAAAGAGTTTGAGCTAGCTGTGGAGCCTGAGCGCGATCGATGGGTATGTTGAGCGATATTTGAAATAACACGCTTGACATCCGCAAGACTTGAAGATACGCTGCGCGAGTGGCCAGAGCGACGCGTTGTAGATGGAGAAGGTACTGAGTTGGTCGAAGCAGAATTGCATGGAGCTGAGCTTGAGAACATTTTCTGTGCAGATACAGGGGAGACTTTGTCTGTTACGCTTGAAGCACGGGTGTATATCGTCAATAATGATCCTACAGGTGATTTGGAGAGTGCTCCATGGATATAGGATAGTAGCGATGGGTCGGCTGGCGAAGATTCCTGGTATTCATTTCCATCATCTTCCTCAAAGTAACATTGGGGTTCATTCTCCATTGCGCTAGATCACCAGGTGGGACGATAGTGGTAACTCTAGAAGCAAGCCTGAGAGTCTTGAATGGATGGAGTATCGAACGAGTCCTTGGCAGGCTGAGTCGGCTGGTTCTTGTAAATGTAATATCCGTTTGAATAGTATGCAAGTTGGTGGCTGAAGTAAAGAAATGGTCTTGGTGCAGGGAGGAGGAGCGGTCGTCGACTTGGGATGATGTATAGATGGTGGAGCAGTTAAGAAGCATTTTGCCACGTGACCCCGTTTTGAATTTGAGAGTGAAGCCCGTTCGTTGGCACATACCTCTACAACAATAGACAAGCAACGCAGTGTAATAGTATTAATATCTGCATCAAACATCGACATATGTTACAGTAGAGGTGCGGAGGTCCAGAATATGTCGTAGATTCAGCAGATCGGCCGAGAAGAAAACGCAAGACAATGAACCCCAGGGGAAGTCGCAGAAAGACGAGAGACACAGATTCAACCGCGAGCAGATACACAAGATTAGGACTGTACTCCATTGTCAGCCGGAGGAGCAAAGGAGGTGACAGGACCACGGTCAGAGTTGGAATTTTCCTCTGCAACTTGCTGTCGTCTCATCGAGATATAAGCAGAAGCCTTTTGCCGCTCGCGATCCTGCTATAACAAAGGAGACGGGTAAGGGATTTCAGACGACTATAGATGAAGGGCCATAGAGACATACGTCATTTGCGGCCTTCACGCGGTAGCTTTCAGACATCTGCTCCTGAACCTTTTCCACATCCTGGAACCTCAGCGACTCATGGTGCCGCTTTTCCTAACATGGCGTAAGTCGGAAGGATGTAGCAGCACAAAGGGTATGAAAGTACCTGGTACGTGTCCTCGACTTTCCTCAAAGTCTCTGCAGCTTTCGTTTGCTTCTTGTGTGCACTTTCCAGATCTTTGGATGTAGTTGCCTGCTGCTTCAGCGTTTTCTGCAGCTCATCACGAGCCTTCGCCGTATCCTGACATTACAACTCCCGTTAGAAGTCTGTAGACAAGGTCGAAGAAACAGATCTACATACTTTCTTACTCTTGTTGTACGCTTTCTCGACCTTTGCTAAGTCTTGCCTTGCTCGCTGGAGATTCTTCTCGTCGTGCTTAGCTTGGCGAGCTAGGACCTTCTTCAGTCCTTTAATATCAGAGTCGGACATATTGAGAGATAGGATATGATTGGGAGAGGTATTGAAAGACAATATGTATTGGCTTCAGCCCACGCAGGAAGGAAAACGGCTGCTAATGAGGCTGACCGCATTCTAGATAGGTCGGTCGACATTGCAATGAAAAGAGTTACCAAGACGGTATTGTGAGTGGGGACTGGCTTCCGACGCAGTGAGCCAAGCCTCCTGTTTGGTTGTGTTTGGCTTTGTCCCAAACATACCCATTCCTTCTTCAGAGCTTCAAAGATCACACCTCTCGATCTTGTTGACACCCTCCAGGCAACAAAAATGCAAGATTATCATCTAAATATATACATAATGTAGCGAATCTAATTCGCACCGAGCGATTTCCACAGAATGGACAATACAAGCCACCGAGGAAGCCACCTCAGCAAATACATCTTCCACGAAGCCCCTCCAGCGGACCAGTAACTCGGAGGTTTGGGTTTCAAAGCTCGCTTTACTGTCTCCACAGCAAATCTTTCGGAGGTCCAAGTTCCCGGCATTGTCGTAGCGAAGTACAAACGATCCAAAACCTTCTGCTCGTAGGGCTTGTACAGCGAGTTGGCCGGAAGGCGGGAGTTATTTGCCGTATTGTCGATGATGTTGCTTGAAACAGTCCCTGGGGCAATAAGCATGACATCCACACCCAGAGGGCGAGCCTCCATAGCAAGGACGTCTGTTAAAGAATGGAGCGCTGCTTTGGATGCATCGTAGAAGCCGCTGAACGGTGTTGCACTGTGGAACAGAGGTCAGTGTTTGCATGCATGGTTAGGTACGAATAATACATCTGTCCATCCAGTGACCCAATATTGATTATGAGACCTTTCTTTCGTGCAGCCATGTGTGGCAAGACAGCCTTCGTCGTGCGGAGGAAAGATAAGACGTTGGTATCAAATATCGTCTTTGCTTGTTCGACTGTGTGGTCGACTAGAGGTGCTGTAACGTGCGCTGTGTCAGTATGAAGTTGCTTTTTTTTAATTTTACTGACATCTACGTACCAACTACCCAGATACCAGCATTATTGACGACAATATCAATCTTCCCTTCCCTCTTGACGATCTCCTCAATCGTGGACTGCACGGATTCATCAGATGTGACATCCATGGCTAAAGTCCGAACCTGAGGGTTCGTGAAGTCCATGGTCTCGACTCTTCGCGAAGTTGCATATACTATGCAACCATTCTTGCCAAATTCGTCCGCACTTGCTCCCATTATCAAACATCGGAAGCCTTTGTACGTGAAGGCTGCACTTACATGTGATAGCCAATGCCGCCTGTGGTACAACCCGTGACGAGGACAACTTTTGAGTTTACGGACATGGTCACTAGACGGGAGGGCAAGGAAGAGGCGTATTCGAAGTGGTCATCAACTTCTCAGTTAACTGGGCGGCTTTAAGCTGACGACGCACGCTCATAGATGCCCCCTCTTATTAGGTTGGGTTACGTGGGGCCCGGCATCTTTGTTAGAGCATCAACTTTCTTGATCATCCTGCGGAAGCCCATCTGGACGAGATAGGGGGAGCAATCTGGTTTTCTCAGCTCATCAATCTCATAGTAACACCCTCTTTCTGACCTTCGCATTCAAGCGGGAAGGAGATATGTTTGCTTCCCTCGGATGTCAAGCATGTCAAGCCTTGGATGAGAACTGATGCGCTCAATTCTTGTTGAAAACTTGGCAGGAACACTACACACATATCGCATTCCGAATAACTCGGAGCTGAATTGATGCCGGGATCGTCGATGGATCTGTTGTCCACCTTGTGATTATATCTCTAAGCGCCCCGTGAAACCGGATTGTGGAAGCGCTGACGTGCAAGCTATCTGAAATTCAAATCTGACCACTCCAGGTTCATCGTATGTTCGTGGATTACATATGTGTGCTTTGCACTTCATGATCTGCGGATGGCCGTAAAGGTACGTTATAAATTTTGCATCCCACAATGCATTTACGACTTATATTTCTCTCAAGGATGCAGAAGCGAGCACAGCGATATATCATCATGATTTTGTTCGCCCCACTTACTCAACTTGTTGGGGCAGTGCTGAATATATATGCCCTTCCCGCTTGAGACTCTTCCAACACTGACAGAAACGATACCATTATGGAGTCCTCCCTGTACAAAGACATCACAACCTCACGAGGGCTGAAATATCACTATTATGTCTCGCCGTCGAGCGACTCAAAGCCGACTTTGCTATTCCTCCATGGATTCCCTTCAACCTCTTACGACTGGCGCAAGCAAGTCTCCTTCTTTAAAGACAAAGGCTATGGACTCATCGTCCCGGACCTGCTCGGCTACGGAGGCACCGACAAGCCGTCCGACCTCGAGCTTTATAAGTACAGCGCGATGGTCCTCGACATCATCGACATTCTAAATGCCGAGAAAGTCGATAAGGTCATTCCTATTGGCCATGACTGGTATGTTATGGTCTCTCGTTGTCAGTGCAAATCGCCATCTTACAATGGCAATGGTATTAGGGGAAGCTTCGTTGCTGCGCGTCTTGCGTCGTATTTCCCAGATCGCTTCGTAGCATTTGGATTCTTGGCTGTGAATTACAACCCTCCGCAACCCGACTTTGACTTGAACACGATGCTTGCGTATACCAAACAAGTCTTTGGATACGAACTTTTCGGATACTGGCTGTGAGTTTTGTCTTCTTGCAATAAAGGCCATTCTCTCATAGTCTTGTATCAGTTTCTTTGCCGAAGAGGGCTCCGATAAGATCATAGAGGAGCATGTATGTTCATTTCTCAGCGACCCCTACCCGACGCATGTTATACTGATTTCCGCCAAAGTTAGAGTCTGCTTTGAGCATCATCTTTCCTGCCGACCCGAGCCTTTGGACGCAACACCTGGCACCATTAGGTGCAGTCAAGGCTTGGGTTACATCTGACCAGAAAACTCAGGTGGCACCTTACATCACGAAGGAGGTACGCATGTCTCGTTCACTTAACATCACTTATAGGACTTATCCTGTCTTCAATCTATAGGAATTCGAAGAGTACGGGAGGATCGCCAAAAGCAACGGATTCGCTGGGCCCCTTAACTGGTATAAGCTCATGGTTTCTGGCCTGGGCCCTCAGGATGACAAGAGTATGCACCATATTCTCTTCCTTCTACGTTCAATTTTGCTAAACAGCCGTCTTGTAGACATTCCTCCCCAGAACATCATCGTGCAGCAACCCGTTTTCTACGCCGCTTGCAAGCTTGATGCAGTCTGTCCCGCTGCGCTTGGCGTGCAGACAACGCAACAAACTTGTCCGAAGGCAACCATCAAGGAATACGATTCCGACCATTGGATTCAGCTGTCTCACCCTGAGGAGCTGAACAATGATTTATTGGCGTGGTTGGAGGCTATTTCAGTCTGAGGCGTATCGGAACTTGACTTTGACGGAAATGAAAACAACTTAGAATGTATCCATGCCATTGTACAGTATGTATACTCCCCTGTGATCGACACTGTTGCCTGTTTTTATCGTTATCCACACAAAGAAGTTGTTCAGAAGATGTTTGGTGTGACTCCATGCACAGCCCGACCTTCAAGCACACCGATTAACTACCCACCGCGACCAAGAACAAGACCAGGACCGAGTAATGCATGGCCCTCTGTATATTGTTCAAATCTGAAACTCGTCTTCACCCACAAATCATATGTTGTTCTGAGGCAATTTATAACAAGTAACTCCAGAAAAGTAAATCAAGTTGTTCAACGTCGTTTTGTGCATAGCTTGTCTAAGCGTACACCTCCGCAATCCAAGACAACACTCGGTTGGCAGAAGGGCCAGGCTGATCTCCACAAGCAAACTCCACCAACGCCTCGTTGTGACAAGCGTTATCCTGAACGTACAACTCTACCTTCGCATCCCTTCCAGCCCCCATCTCCATTTTCTTTTCCGTCACCACGATGTCATCAAGCATGCCCTCGGCACCTCCAGCAGACAATAAAACGTTGTTCGCCACCTTGTCCAAACCCGTCCACCACTCAGGAGGAGCTGTCGCAGGTTCGAAGTAATATCCATCATCCCTACGAGTCCTGGACTTTTGGAAGAGACTGGACCAAGCAACGAGAGCGGGGAGGGGCATGACGTCGTTGGCTGCGTGACGTTTGAAGGAAGGCGTGTCGGTAGAGTAGGCGAGCCAGGGCGAAAGAGCGGCAACTCCACCAAGGGGCTTGGAGAGCTTGATGGGATCTGCTGAAGGGTGTGGGTGTAGGAGATGGGCGAGAAGGAAAACGGCCACATGACCGCCGACAGAGTCACCAACGAAGGTGATGTTAGCAGGATCGTAGCCTTGTTTCAGAAGGTGGCTTAGAGCAGCGGCTACCTGAGTGAGCTGAGCCGGCCATGGTTTGAAATTGACAAGACCTGCGGGAAGCATGAGATCAGTGATCACGCGTCTCAGAGGAGATTTGGAGATACACACTGTATTCCAAAACAGCTACGCTGAAATCGATACCGTACCGCATTTTGGCTTCTTTGCGCCACCAGTCAATCATGTAGAAGTGACCGTCAACAGCAGGAAGAACAAAACCTCCACCTACAACAACCATAGTTATCACAGAGAAAGAATGTCGAGAATACAGACGTACCATGAATGAAGACCATAACTTTTGAATTGGTCTTGGGACCGACCCAGTGCAGAGAACCACCATCGGCACCGATCGTCTCATGAACAATGGGTGGCTTGTTGGGTAAGCTCTTCATGTACGTTTCGTACAGGGAACCAGTATTCGGAGATACCCATTGCATTTGACGGATTGTACTGTTCGGACATATGGTTTGCACGAAAGTACGCCAGAGAACACGCTTCAACGTAAAGTGCGTTGTGCTGAAGGGATACAAGAAGGCCTTGATTACGAGGTTGATGGCTACCCAGTACACTTGCGTGTGAGGATGTCATCTCGTAGGAATCGAAGAGGGCTTACCAAGTCCAATGAACCGGAAGGCAAGAGGGATCAGTTCAAAAAAGGTGATCTCGCCATAGTGCGGTGGAGGAGCGTAGGTGGCCATCTTGACAGAGAGGACGGACTTGCGAGTAGGGTGGTCATTCTGATCGTGCGTCAAGTCTTATGTTGGTCTGCTAACGCTGAAGCCCCAGGCACTCAGGCATATTGGGGTGACTATGATAGTCAAATGTGTCATCAAATGGGGGCGGTGGGAATGCCCCGAGATATTCTGAGGCGAGGAGAAGCGCCAAACCGGAGGAGATACTAATTGCGGGTGATTGGAAGATCTGTCTCGGAGGATGGCTGCGTCACCTCACGCAAGATAAGCAAGTGCATGCCGAATGTAAGCCATTAGAAGGTTGCATTTGTCATCATTGTTTCATTGAAGGAAAGTTCGAGCGTAGGGTTGAGGGCAGTTCATAGGAACTCTACCTGGATAGGTCACATCAAGAGGTCGTTGCATTCCTCTTGCTGCTCGCCAGGGTGAATTGAACATACAAAGGGCATGCTGAGTTATATGGGCTACTCCTGCTGTATGCAGTTTTGATTGCTAGACCGCAGACCGAGGTGGCAAGCCCGAAGGTAGGTGCCACAACAACACTCCGAGAAAATCGGAAATCGGACAAGCGCGAGGGAAACGTCTAGAAGCCGTCTGGAAACCATTCATATGTAAAACACCAGCCAATCAGGTTGCGCCCCGAGACAAACGGAAATCACACGTGTTGTGATTATTGCCTGATAAGGAAGGTCCGGGAGTTTCGGGGTTGGAATGCAAATGTTTTGCAGGGCAGCAGGCAGTGGCATCAATCATCCCTCACACAGAATACAAAAGATGCCCACGCACACACGCCCTCTTCCCCTCGCCCCTCATTCTACCCCTACCTCCCCCCAATCATGTCCTCCCCTGAGCCTAGCTCAGCCGAATCCCAAGCAGTCGCGGGCACAAAGCCTCACAAGGGCACCGCGTTCTGGCTTTCCTACATTGCTGTTGTCGTTTCCGTCTTCCTTAGTGCGCTTGACTTGACTGGTGTTGCCACCGCTCTTCCCACTATTACCGCTGACCTTCATGGCGGAGACGAGTTCGTTTGGGTCGGTTCTGCTTACGCGTTGTCGAGTACTGCTATCCTCCCTCTTTCGGGATCTCTCGCAGACATTTTCGGACGAAGGCCGATTATGCTGATCAGTATCGCCTTTTTTGCTGTCGGTAGTGCAATTTCTGGAGCGGCTCAGAACATGAATATGTTAATCGCTGGACGAAGTAAGCGTCATACCTAAGACATTGGCAGTATGTAACTCATCTCCCACCCCCAGCTATCCAAGGTATCGGCGGCGGCGGGATCATCAATCTTACAGAGATCATCGTTTCCGACCTTGTTCCACTCGCGGAACGTGGACTGTACCAAGGCATTCTCGTCCTCACTTGGTCGTTCGCTGCGGGTATTGGCCCCCCGATTGTAAGTTTCTTTACTGGTAGTGGTTCAAAATAACTGACCAATTCTGACTTCGCACCAGGGAGGTTCTCTCGCTCAAGATGCCTCTTGGAGATGGTTATATTGTACGTTCAGACAGCTTCCGTGTCCGAGATGATGTTGTGACAGTTGCATAGACATTAATCTTCCTGTGACCGGTGTTGCCTTTGGTCTTGTGTTACTTTTCCTGCGCGTCCGTACTCCCGCTGGATCGATACGGGAAAAACTGAAGCGTGTCGACTGGCTGTAAGTGTCATGACTGGTTGATAAGCACGCATGTCACTCACGCGTCACTTACAGCGGAAACTTCATTGTCATCGCTGGCACCACTCTTGCTATCGTCGGTCTAACCTTTGCCGGTGTCAGGTTCCCGTGGGCATCTGCTCAAGTGTTGGCACCTTTGATCATTGGGATGGTACTCGTCGGGGTGTTTATTTTCTACGAGGCGAAAGTTCCCAGGGAGCCGACGTTGCCTTGGGAAGTCCTGGCGCAGCGGACGTCGCTCAGTGGGTAAGTGCCTTAGAATGACCATTCCGCTCGCGACTGATGAGCAATAGGTATGCATCAACCTTGATTCATGGCATAACGAGTATCTCCATCATCTGTCAGTATGCTTCACATACCCCATGCAATAAATCACTCACGAGCATTTGTGCAGACTACATGCCTGTATTTTTCCAGGCATGTCTTGGCGCGTCTCCGATTCGGTCTGGTGTCGATATGTTAGCAACGGCCTTGGTAATTGCACCTTTCGCTTTGTTTGCCGGTATCATCGTCCAAGTGCAGAACAAGTACCGCCCTGCTAACTACATTGGGTGGATCATCACGATTGTCGGTTTCGGCATCTTGACCTTGCTCAGAGCTGATAGTAACACTGGTGAATGGGTTGGCTTCCAAATCGTTGCCGCTGCGGGCTCTGGCATGATTGTGAGTTGCGAATACTTCTCATACGAAAGATAGGGCTGATTTGCACGTCCATAGTACGCGGCAACCATCTTCCCTGTCTTAGCGCCACATCCTGTCCAACGAACAGCATCTGCCCTAGCATTTTACGCGTTCGTCCGAGCATTCGCACAGACATGGGGTATCACGATTGCCAGCACCATCCTTCAGAACGAGTTGAAGAAGAACCTGCCTGAAGCATTCGTCAGCCAGTTCCCTGAAGGCTCTGAGATCGCATACGCTGCTATCCCAATCATTGGAAACCTAGAAGAACCTCTGCGTTCGGATGTGCGAAAGGCCTTTGCACTGAGTATGGCGACCATTTGGAAGGCCATGATCGGTATCTCCGGAGCGGGCATCCTCACGCTTCCCTTCTTGCAGGAGATACCAATGCAACAGCACACGGACGAGAGCTTCGGCTTGACTGAAGAGCAGATGGCAGAGCGACGGCGTCAGCAGGACGAGGAAAAGACTATTGCAGCCGTAACTGGCGCGAATACCCCACTCGACTCTGACAAACAGTAGTTTGTATACTTGCTATCTTTCGGACGCTGTAGATATGTCAAATTCCGCCTACCGTATGATAAAGCGTAGCTTCTAGCATAGTAATCCGTACAATCTCCATCAACACGATTCTTCTGCAGTTCTTCTGTGTGATCGGCAGTTACACTACAAACATGTACATACAAAGTGTCAAACATAGTATGCGTTCCGATTTGGTCGGATTCTGCTCAGCTCCTTCTGTACTTCTCAATAACTCCGGAGACCCTTAACCTTTGAATCTCACGCATGCTCTGTCGCGGCGTTGATAGTTCTATCAGCCGCTCATGAGAAAAAAAATATCAACGCAGTCTTATTGTGATGCGCGATAATTAGCGTCGTTGGTGCCCTGAAGGTTGCAGGGTCGGGGCCGCTGCTGTGGGACCAACACCATCACAATCTGGGGGGGAAACGAAGTCTGCGTTCCTTGGCCGGGGAGGAGCGCGACGGTGTTCTCACCGAATTTTTGGTGACGTGATTCTTTTCCGACTAGCCGCTCCCGGTATCAGAGTCAAGCGGCACGAAATCTACCCCTCTACCCCCATTCACCCATTCAACGTGGCTGTACTTACAGGATATCTGCTTCGCAGACGCGAAAGGCAACGCTACCTTGCGTCCTCCTCCCACTGACTTTCTGACTTTCCCTTCTAACCGTTACTATCATGGGTGGCTACTTCTCGAAGACTTTCAATCCTGCGACAGACATCTCGAACCTCTCCAAACGAGTCTTCATAGTAACAGGTGGCAAGTGAGTAATTTGCGCCAGAGTGACAGCCCCATGTTGCTGTCGTTTCTTCGAAGTGTCATGTTCTTGGTACTGATAACTGGAATTCCTAGTGCTGGAATTGGGTATGCTACTGTTCAACACCTTGCCAGACATGGTGCGAAAGTGTATCTCGCGGCACGGAACGAGAAGAAGGCTTTAGCTGCTATTCAGCAAATCCGTCAGGAGGGTTTGAACCCGGGCAATGGCGAAGTTGTTTACCTACCTCTGGACCTAAGCGACGTTCGAAATGCGAAGAAGGCTGCTCAGGACTTCGTCGAAAAAGAAACCCGGTTGGATGTCTTGAGTACGTATCATCTGAACTCGTGTCGATCCTCATGTCCCTAACTGTTGGATTCCAAAAGTCAACAATGCCGGCCAGTAAGTGGTTAACGCCATGTCCAGTCGGAACATTCCTGATGTGATCCTGATCGTGTGGTTTTTAGGATGATTGTTCCTTCGGCTAGGTCGAAACATGGTAAGTGAGCATCTACTCATGGCGATATTACCACTAAGTGCGTTTTCAGACCTTCAGGATATCATGGTGGTCAAGTACGGATTGATCTTTCCAATGTTGTTCCTCCCTATGTCTGATTGAGTTTCTTGCAGCCATTTCAGTCTTTTCGTCTTCACAACAACACTTCTTCCGCTTCTGAAGAAGACTGCGAAGGAACCCAATTCTGATGTTCGCATCGTCAACGTAAAGATTCAGATCCTTCTTGGCATGGAGAGAATGACTTACGTTCTTATCACAGGTTGCATCTGAAGGAATGGGATCCGTTAAGGACATTCGCTTCCGGAACAAAGATGACTTCAACGATGAGCATGCTAGTGCTCTTTGGCCAGCCTTCGCTCGATATGGTACGCTTTTCTTGGTCATGCTGTTCATCAACCCACTGATATCATTGGTTAACACGTGTAGGTAGGAGTAAGGCGGCCAACATGTTGTTCACTAAGGAATTGCAGAGACGTCTTGATGCCGAGGGAGTCCCTATCTTGGCTATGGCAATCCACCCAGGAAATGTTGACTCAGGTAAACTGAAGTTATCAGACCTATGGAAATCACGATCCTGACTCCATCTTCATCACAGAGGGCATCCAATCAATCGTCGCAAACTCCCCCTTCGTGCTCAAACCTCTCCTTCATCTCCTTCGTGGTGCACTCTTCGTGGCCCCTGAAAAGGGAGCCTACGCATCCGTCTTTGCTGCCGCGGCCCCCGTAGTGAGAGCAGAATCGCAAAAGTACAAAGCTGCGTATATTGCTGGTCCTACGGCAACCATCACTCCACCGCATTTCAAGGATGCGGACGATCCCATGCTGGCGAAGGAACTTTGGGAGACAACGGAGAGCATCCTTAAGGATATTGGCGTATGAAGTCCGTCGTCATAAAGACAGCTATCGTTCGTATTTCCTAGATTTCGTAACTTTTTGTAATCTCGTTGGGTGGTCTAATGTCGATGACTGGGATTTTTTTTTTTGCATAACCTGTGAATTGAATAATCTTCGGTAGATTCACGCGACTCGCGAGAGCTCGCCACTCTCGAAGAGGAATTGAGATCATCGGTGATTGCCGAGCCACTGAGCTGGACTCTCCACTCCAACGTCGAGCGATAAGTACGACATGTGCGTCAACGTTGGCGTTGTCGAATACGTTCTTCTCGATCCTTTTCATCAACATCCGTCCCAATGGAGATTGATCCTATTATGTATTTTAGGTAGTCTGATGACTAACGCGTTCTCTAGGAAGCCGCTGCATTGGGATTCACAGTCTCTGGATGCCTCAGGGAACACACACAGTCTCGTGTACTTGTTACCCGTTTACCGTAGTAATCCCAAGGAGAAATAGTATTCAGACCCCAGTTCTACCTATCAGCGGTGAGTGAAAGTTGAACAAAAATACATGCGTATGATATCGAGAGCCTAAATCTATTGCTGCTTCGCTTTTGTCCCAGGCCGAAGGCCACTGAGTCTCCAGGCGAACCCGTTGTTGACAAGACTCGTCCTGCCCATCAACCACCAGATGATATTGCGTGCCGTACGTGCAAACACGCTTTGCAACCCTGTCATCCAAGTCAATAGCTTCGTCATCTTAATCACCTCTATCGCCATCGACCTGCGCTCATCCGAAAAAGCACCCAAACGCTCAGCGATATAAGCTCTCTTTGCAGAGACTGTCGCATCGGTGTTATCGAATCGCGTGATGTCCGCCAGGATCTCCCCCAGTCTGACTGCATCACGGAGACCAAGGTTCATACCCTGTCCCCCCGCCGGTGAATGAACATGAGCTGCATCTCCGACCAACGCCACGACGCCCCCGGCCAGGCGCTGGAAAAATTTGTCCGCTACAGCGGACTTAACTCGGAAAGTTGATGACCAGAGGATCGTATCAATTATCGGGGTTTGCTCGTCAGGAAGTCCAATTGATGCCTTGAGGACCTGCTGAAGTCGCGCTTTGGTGATCTCTTTGGCGCCGGGCTCAGCAGCGCATGACAAACGAAAGATGGTTCGTCCCTCTGGATCATCGAGTGCAGCTGGCAAGGGGGCAACCAACAGGTAACCGTATTGACTCATGAAGGTGTTGAGATCAGTCAGACTGACTGATGGGGGTATGTGCCCAGCAAGATAGACGTCGGCAATGATTAACGGCGCGAAGGAGTTAAACCCATATGGCTCGGTAGTTTCTACTTGAGATTGACCGTGAGGGTCCTTTCCTGTGGAGGGATCACGGAATGGGATGTTGGCTAACTTTCTGATCTAGAAACGAGGACGAGATTCAAAACATATCTATTGCGACCAGCACAGGACGTACCGTGGATCGTGACCCGTCAGCACCAACGACAAAGCGTGCTCTCATCACCTCACCTCCCTCGAAAGCGACTCGAAGACCATCATCCGAGCCATGCATGTCTGTCACCTTGCATGGTCTGTGTATGACAACCCCTTGCTTCTTTAGTTTCTCGAGCAAGAGTTGTTCTGTATCCGCTTGCGAAATCAATAGCGCATACGGGAACTGAGTGTAAGACTCGAGACTTGGGAAGTTGGCGCGTGCCAGAACCGTCGTCTGCGCTTGGATTCTCATGTATTTGGAGTGAAAACCTCGAGCGACAATTGGCTCTGCTGCACCGATGGAAGCAAGGTCCTGTATGATGGTTTGAGATGTTTCTTGCCATGCTGTTAATGGGCAATAACTCACCTCTAACGTCTGTGCATGTATGACGATTGCTCGTGACAAATTGAGACCCGCCGGTTGTGCATCGACGACGGTGATGTCTGCTGGCTTCACACCATGCGCAAGGAGAGACACTGCACAACAAAGGCCTGCAGGACCTGCGCCGACGATCAAAACGGTGGTGGATTCAGGCAGCATTGTGATTCAATGAGGTTGGATCAGATCAGGGTGAAGTTCACAGTGCACTGATAGGTTGAGGGATGTTTGTATGTCTGTTGGGAGGTCTGGGGTACGTGCCTCATACCTTGGGGCTAGCTTGGAAGGGCGGGACTCATCTTTCGCTTCGGTCGAAATTCCCCCGAAGATCATGTTCGAAAGATCCCATTCCCACCATTCTATCTTCTTGTGTTCGCAGCCAATTGCTAATTTCAAATCGGCGCTCGGCATATCTGTATCTGTCATCTAGACGAGATGGACGCACTGCAGTAAACACAAGGGGATCTTCCGAGACGCATGCATTGATGCCAACTCTAGTCTGTGCAGACACCCGATTCAGCACGTCATCGACATCTCCAACTTCCGTCTATCACGGAAAAACGATTTCTAGATGCGCTTATGACCTCGGACCGAGCTCTTGAGTGAAGGTGAGGGACCGTGAAGCTGAACGTCCAACTCCATACCAGATGTATACTGGAATAATGGATTGGAGTGAACTGCCCAGGCCACCCAGATCCACATAATTCAACTTACCGTAACATTCCACGCTGGAGAGTTACATAACACCGATCGGGCATTTCAGCAATGCCTAACTTTGCAATTTGTCGATATGTATATGCACTCTATCTGGCCTGCCGTGGAGGTAAGGGCAATTCCTTCCCTTTTGCATTCCAACATGCTGATAGCAGGTGCGCCACTTAGGACACCCAATAATTGAATGCTGTTCGTGCGAATGTCGTCCCAGTGTGCGGTTCCGTTAATTCACATTGGCTGTCATGCATTCAATAATACATTATCGCCAATACAACTTCTGCTCCCGCTGTACATTTGGTTATATTCGCAATTTTGACCATCAGATTCTCAGATGTCAGGCAGCAGCAGGCAGCCTTGTAGCTCCGCCGGCCTAGCCACCCATCTCACATTCCAGGGTACTCCCGTTCTTAATCTTTTGAGAATGATTTCAGAAGCAGAAGGGGCCCCAATACGTCTGCGAAACCAATTTAGATTCGGGATGAACTAATGATTGTTTGTAAATGGTGCCTTGCTAGGATGCGCGAGCATGCAGTTCACAACCATTTGTTATCCCTTATTTCAGGTTTCATATCTGATTGTGTTGGAGACTTGATAACGTCTATCGTCTCCAAACCCGCTGACTGGGTATTGTGGGGTAATGATATCGGGAGATTGTCGTAGATGGTCTTCTTACCGCAAGGCACCCGCTCGCTTCAGCATTATGTTCAGAGAGTTTGCCCGTACCCGAATTACTGATATGGCACTGAGATGCCTAGGCAGTATAGCGGGATCATGGCTTCGCAAACAAAAGACGTACTCAATGCAGTAGTGCATCAGTAACAAACTGAGCGACATGGTGCTGTCAATCTGTCAAGGGTTTTTTAAATCTGTTGTAGCGTGGTACACTATGTCAGATATTAACGAGCGGGATGCGGACTTGGGGGTGTTGTCAAGGGTTTGATAGTTCTATGTTGCACCTTGGTTGCATCAGTGAAGCTACAACAATGACGTCGTCTTGGCATTTCAAGGAGTAAATATACAAATCATTGTATGCACACTTTATACGTCATCCGTTTCAATACCGTACATCTTGAGACACTACAGCACATACACCAGAAACTGAGAAATCTAATCAGCCAATTTAAGAGTCGTATACCAAGTGCACCTTTAGTGGCGACGATGAGCGACCACCCTAAGAGGGTACTCAAAGATGGTGGTCCTCATGTTTAGAATTCCCTTCTGGAACGCATCGTTGTCGAAATCAGGGGAGAGCTTCAAGTCATAAGTGAGGAGCATCTTGGCAGTCACGATCCGCATCTCTTGAATAGCCAAAGTCCTTCCCAGACATCCGTAGGGACCTAGCAGTTCGTGTGAGGAGAGTATAAGGCCTACGAAAGGACACTAGACGTACCGAAAGAGAAGGACATGATAGCCGATCTGCGGCATCGTGAGCCAGGACCCAAACCTTCAGGCAACCAACGCTCAGGCTTGTAGGCGAGGGGCTCCGGCCAGAAGTTCTCCGCATCAACCTCTTGTGAGTAGGCTGGCACACCAACTATCGTTTCGCCGGGAAGGTAGACGTTATCGACAACGGCGCCTTCCTTCGGAACGACTCGCGGAAGACCCGGGAAGGGTGTACCAAGACGCAGGGACTCGTGAACGACGCCGTCAAGATAAGCGAGACTGTTAAGAAGTTCAAGGTTGAAAGGCACATCAGGATCTGGGAATGCTTGGTCAAGCTCTTCCTGAAGGCGCTTGTAAGCCTCCGGGTTGGTAAGAAGAAAATAGAATACGAAGGAGAGGACCCCAGAAGTCGTGTCAGATCCTGGCAAAGCGATCAGAACCGTCAAGAAGCAGAGCCGGTTCCGAATGCCGCTTACCAGCTTGGATAGCGAACAAAGCATCCATTCGAAGATCATCCTGGGTTAACTTCGGAAGAGTGGTGTCATGCTCTCCCAACTGCAAAGCCGTAATGAGTGAGCGACAAGAAGTCTGATTAGAGGAAGCTCCTACCAGATGAGACGCAATATCAGTGCTACTTCCTTTCCCGCTCTTTTGGCGAACCATAATCAATTTTGCAGCCAGGTTGTCCAGCAGAGTGATTGTCTTGGTTACAGGGAAATACCAAACAATGTCGAACAAGGCAGGAACTTCTCCCAAGCTACAAAGAGCGCCGTCAATGACACGGACGCAACGTTAAATGTTTGCACGTACAATTCGAAAACGACAGTAGCCAATTGACCACTCTCCACGTAGCGTCCGACATCGCGTTCATTCATCAGTTCCTGTGGCATTATGTCAATATCGTGCAAATCGACTAAGACTGGAATTCGCGAACCAAGCGGTTAGCACCACCGAATGTCAAGTCACCCATGACATCGTAAGACCAGTGCTGGATGACTTCAGCAAGGTTGACCGCACCATGGGGACCTTCACGACGCTCAGCAATACAATCCATCATTTGATTGGTACGCTTCTCGATGGCTGGCTTGTACGTAACAAGCGCAGAGGGAGTGAAGGCTGGCGCCCAATGCTTACGACGAGCGTTGTGTACGTCTCGAGGTCGAATGAAGAATAAGCCGGAACCATGAATCTTTCCGGGGATGTAAGCATTACTCTTAGCGAAAGCGTTAGCAGCGCCGTAGATAGGGGAGACAGCAGCGTGAGAGTTGAATGACAATGTGTTAGGGCCTTAATCAAGCGCGTGTAAGTGTTCGGTCGGAAAAGTACAAATGTCAAGGTACCGACCTGTGCGAACGACCTTTCCATATTTCTGGTGGAGCCCATAAATCACTAAGTGTCGTTTACCGGTCCAAACAATATATGCAAGTTTAAGACTGGTGATCTTATTGATGATGGGACTAAGAAACAGTGAGCATACTGGCTCTAGCGTAGAATGATGCAATATAATACTTACCCAGGGAACTTCGCCAGAGGATGGAAAGGCGAAATACGCCATAACACGGTGATCAGAGCCAAGGAGAGATATTGATACGCGATCATGCTGATGGCGAACAGTAAGGCAGAGCCTGCAGTCGCGCCTTGGACGCTCCGCTGGTAAGCGTAGATAACGCCACCAAGGGCAACTTCCAAAAGCAACCCTACATCTCCGCGCATAGGAAACTTATGCACGTAGAAGCAAATGGCCTGCAAACGACCGAGTTAGCAATGCGAAGTGAACATGGAAGAGTCGAACGTACTGCGCCGGACGCGAGTGCCAGAACGCGAGGGTCGGCCTCAGCGAGGGGTTGAAGGAGAGAAGAGGTCGACATAATGACTATGGTGAAGCATGAGAAGGCATGAACTCTATCCTTATAGTGATGTGTCCCCGCATGTTTCCACTTCCCCAACGATACTTTCGCATTGGGTCACTGACTCATTTGCTTCTTCCGATTCTTGATATGAAGATGGCGCCGCGACCCACTCCAGGCTCACATCCTGAGTATATCGGTGCCTGAGACGCGGTAGTAAGTGATCTGATGGAGAATGGTTGGCGTTCCCGAGTGAAGCTTCGATACCACAACGCTGGACGCCGATGGCGATATCAAGTTACGATACACGAGTATTTCATATCACTAACCAAGTTAGGCGGCCTCGGAAATGCGAGAGAGTTCCGACAAAGTCGGGGAACTGGGAGCAGGTTGGTCAGTCCCCGAGTTCAGGTTCGCTGTGTACTAGTGCAGAACACCCAAAGTTTGCGAGAAATACCTGTTTGGCCGATATGTAATGTTTGGCCTCGTGTTATGATTGTTTCTTGCATTCGCTATGCTGAGGTTTGGGTCGAAAATGTAGACCTGGCAGTAGCATACCCAGAATGGAAGGAGGAAAGTTAGATCAAAGTTCGATCACCGCGCAGTGCTCCGCTTCAAGCCTATTCAGCCGGCAACTTGGAATCCCAACTTGTGGACGCCACCAACATTTGTAGCTGTGCAGCTATATTCAAGTCATCTTTTTCCGACTCAATTTGCCCAATCTGCCAGTGTACACGACAGAATCTCCTGGCCTTGGCATGAACTGCTTAATATCACACCTAGATGCGCCCTACAACTAGATGCACCCTATAACTCTCGTGAGACCGTCAATGGATTGATAACAATGTGCTGACAACGCCGCAGCTGGGTATAAATTACTCGCTGTAAACGCCGTCGTAAAGATAGTCATATTTGGAACACAAGATACTATCGTATCGTCGGCAGTTGAAAATTGGGAGCTTATGTGGATTGATGCTAACAGAACTCAGAAATACAGGTTCTTCCAATGATGGACCTGAACCGGGTTGGTATGGTGGTAGATTATCTCAAAGCGTTCCCGTCCGGATTGCAACCACGTAAAGCAAATCCACTACGGAATACGGTCCCAGGTTTGAGTTTGTCCGATTTGTCGGATCCTCCACTGTCGCTGATAACCATTGTGCATGACAGATGCAGCTACTTGATGAGGTGTAATGTTAATCTGTTGGCCGGAAAAGCAAGTCATTGTTGACCTATAGGTCAGTGCAATTCACCTTCCCATGCAGGTCAAAGATATATCGCTAAGAATGGTGTCAATACTAACATCATGGTGTGGACATCTTGGGCCTAGTGTCGCTTCGACCTTTCACCGATATCATGCAGCGGGCTTGAGTGTGAACTTTGCAAATTACAACAATCCATGCAGATTTTTCCAGGAGGACCTTTGACACTTCGAATCCTCGTCAAGGGCGCGAAAGCCCATTCTAGATAACGTCGTTGTTCATTCTGCAAGTTGTTTAACATATCTTACGCCATAGAACCTTTCACCCCAATTGCGGGAGTCACCCGCTCATGCATGTGGTCATCGGATTAATCCACCCAGCACTCGGTTCGTCTCCCCGGTCCAACATGCTACTCTAAGATAATACATCGAGGCTGACTTCTATTCTAAGATAATTTGTACTTGTACCCGTCACCATGATGCCGCGTTGATGCCATCCGTGAGTTTACGACACCATTCCAGCCCTGAGATACGCTGTTCCTCGAATTCAGCCATGTCCCAGCCTTTGCTATCTTTCCAGCCCCCTTCCAAGAATCGCCGAAGTTCCCCATTGGCCTGCATGGCGGCGGACCGCGTCCAGTTGGACCTGTCAGCTCCAAATCCACACGCGGCCAGAGCCACAGCAGGTGGTACTGTCAAACGTCCGAGTTTGAAACAATAGCGTGATATGGCGACGCAGTGCAAGACGGTTCCGTCTGCACGAGTTCTACGAGGCTTATGTTTGGGAATATCAAGAGTAAGTTCAGCCGCGGTCTCTGTAGCTGACTCGACTTTCTTGGCAGTGCGAGAGGAACCTGGCCTTGTGATGAACTCGGAGTGCAGATAGATCTGTTGTGGTATTGATGAGATCTAGCCGACGTCAAAATGACAGTTGTTAATCTCACCCATTTATTGTCCCAACCTGCAACCTTTGCGCGTACCTCGTAATGGGAAAACAGAGGTATCTCAGAAATGAAAGCGTAATCTGCACCTGATGAATGGTCAGATTGTGCACCCGTAGGTATGGTAACTCATACCTGCGAGAGGCATCCATCCGCCTTCCAACATGAACGGACGCAGATTGGTGATGCAAACCTTCATTCTGGCAATATCCAGGTTCTGGGGGCGAAATGAGAGACCAACCAAGAAAGAAGCACATTAAGACACCCATACCTTTGCATACGCCGAGTTCGAGAGATGACCAAGGAAATCACAATCATCAGGACCAGCCCAATATTTGTGAGTGATCACCGTCTTGAAGGGATCTTGAGCTACAGGAGACGTCTTCTCCACAAAGCGAAGTTTGTCACGACTGCAAAACCTGCGAAGGTTCCATGAAACCATATGACGAAGAACGCGGACTATTTCTCCCTTTTTAATGACGCATGCCCGGAATTGAATGAATTGCGCTCACCATGCCAGACGAGGGGGAAGCTACGGACATTGATGAGCAGCAGAGCGGCCACCAAGTAGCCTAGAATTCGAAGGCGAGGGGATTGCAACGAATGTTGAACAAGGCCGACAAGAATGCGAGAGACTTGAGAGGACTGTCTTCTGTCCGACATGATTCACAATCGGTCGCTACATTGGGGATCTAAAGACCCTTGATATATTTCCGTTTGAGTCGGGATTCTCATGATGCTCCTTTCAACTACAACTTCCAAATCAGGGGTATGGTAATATTGTGCTCCTCGGCGGTATCTTGCTTGATAAGAAGTTTTAAGAACCGACGTGCATCTGAAATGGAATCTAGATCTCAAAGACTTCATGAGCGCATGTCGCCGGCGAGAGCGCTTGCCATATGCAAAGGGGAAAACTTACCGACGGATTCTTCATGGAAGAACTCCCGTCCGTAAGTGCCTGATTCACTGTTGCTTCTCTCACGACTCTCAAAGCCGCTTGACGCGCATGGCTGATGAATGAGTGGATTGCAGATGGAGCATTGCGATAGGCTGGCTGTGATGTTGGTACCGCACATAATTGGTTGACAGTTCAGCGTTGCACTGTGACCCTTCAGATGAATATGCTGGGAACGCATCCCGATATGCCGGAGAGGGCCCTACATCGGAAAGAAACGACGGTTCCGGGGTCTTGGTCTGGAGTCCAAATGGATCAGTACAAGTACAGCACCTACAACAACCCTTGAGCAGCACTGCTCGAAAGTCATCTTGAAGTCATGGAGAACATGTACCCTTCGGCCACCTCCCCTGTTACTCTATCACTTGCTGCCTCGCCTCTCTTCCAGCGAGCAAACCCTATCCTAAGTCTCGATGAACGCACAGAACTCACCTATCAGCGTGCAAGGGCCATTGCAAAAGCATATGGTATGGTGGTTCGTTGTCGTATTGTCCCACAAGCAGTTGATTCTATTGCCTCTGTCAGCCTTGACACCCCAAGATGTGGTGTTCCTTCGACCAAAGTTCTGGCAGCTACATACTGACCAGATCGCACCAATGGACGGTGCAGCCACAACGCTGTTAACCATTCAGTACAACTTGGCGGCTGGCACACTGGCACCGTTTGCTTTCAAACGTCCTGAGCTTCAGCCAATCCTGAAGAAAATTATGGACTTCGACGTCTCGTAAGTCTCCTTGCCTGCACATGTCTTCCATCATTCACACAAACCTTATTTTTCAGCGCTCAGTTCCTCTTGTCTGAAGTTGGCCACGGTTTGGACTCTCCTAACCTGGAGACCACCGCTACGCTGCTTCCCACTGGAGAGTTTGATCTCCACACACCTAATCCATCTGCGGCTAAGTAAGGGTAACGTTGTGTTACATCGAGCAATAACTTACGTTCCTATTTACAGATGGATGCCTCCTACCGCACCGAAGGGCAACATGCCCAGGGTCGCGGTAGTAATTGCGAGGCTCATCGTCGATGGTGAGAACCGTGGCGTACGACCTTTCGTTGTCGCACTGGGGGATGGCCACCAGATGTGCAGGGGCATCACCTCCAAGTACGTATCTGTTATGATGATGACGAAAGTCCTCGAGTCCCTGACAAGGATTGCAGAGTTCTCCCTCAAAGGGCAGGATCAAAGCCTGTCGATCATGCATTGACTTACTTCAATCACGTCCGTCTTCCGGCCGCCGCACTCCTAGGATCCCCTGAGAAGCCGAAGGACCTGCGACAAAACTTTCTTTCTGTCATTTGGCGTGTAGGGGTGGGCTCCTTAGCGCTCTCTACACTGTCGATTACGGCGCTCAAAGCATCAGTTTACGTCGCGGGTCGTTATAGTCTTCGTCGAACAGTGACTGGAGCCAATGGAGCACCTATGCCTATAATTGCTTTCCGTACTCAACAACTCCCAATCTTCCACACGCTCGCCCAGGTGTTCGTCCTGGAAGCTTATGCCCAGGATGCGGCAGAACAATTCGTGAGCCCTGACTTGGACCCTCGCGTTCGCCACGGTATCGCAGCAACTTTGAAAGCTGTGATGCTGCAGCACTGCCAAAGTAGCTTGTACACCCTCGCCGAGCGCTGCGGAGCGCAGGGGTTATTCGAGCACAATCAAATCATCGAATCACAGGTGAGTGTGAACGCAGTCCAATCCCGGCGACAACTGAAGACAGTCATGTGGTCAGCTCGAAATGCGAGGTGTTGCAATTGCCGAAGGTGACGTCCTAGCATTGTGCATACGTAAGTAATTATGACGATTGGTTTATGGTTTATGATAGTAACCGTACTCCGTGATCATAGGCCTTGCATCCGAGCTGCTTATTGGCCGATACGATATGCCTCCTCCACGGGACCCTACTGGTTTATTGGCCCGACATGAAGCTGGCTTATTCGAAGAAGCTCGGCAGGTCGTAGCCAACCTTGGCGCGAGTCATAGGAGCGAGGGCTTCAACCGTCTCATTCTTCCTCTTTGTCAACCACTGATCGAGGCCATCGGACACCGTATGGCATACGAGGCAGCGACGAAGGCCAAAGTTCACCCCGATCTGCTCGCACTCTACCTCGCCGGGGTCGTGAAGTACGACTCCAGCTGGTACGTAGAGCATATGGGGCTCGGACGGAGAGCACAGCACGAGATGGAGGACCGAGCGTTGACATCGGCATTGCCACATCTGGAGCTATTCCTGGAGCAGACCGGTGCCAGGCCATATTGCATTGCTCCAATTGCGTCCGACGAGTCGTGGAATAAGTTCGTCAATAGCCTTCCTCACTTCGACGGTGAGGCCGTTCTCGACCTCATTCCTGAGACAAGGGGGAGTTTGAGTGGGGCTACTATTGGGTTTGATACCACCGCAGCGCGGCTCTAGACTGGCGGTCATTTAATGTACTACATGGACTTGGTTGTGAATATTGAAGCTGTACTCCTCAAGTTCGTCAGGTTTTTCTTACATCGCTAGAGAATGTTGTATGCACTTCGCACTTGCGTTTCTTGGAGTCAACCGATAGACGTGAATAAAGCACGCTGGCATGGCTAAGACTGAAGGAGATGGCAGCAGTCACGCTGTTGGACTCACTTCCTGCTTCCGAAGCGCCTTTGGGCAAACAATTGAATGATCGGATAATCCCGATTGGCTATAACAATATCTTAGTCGGGTCGCGTAAGACTGAGGCTATGTAATAAGGTACACGACCATAAGCACATGGCTTAACTATCGAGATATCAAGCGGAAATATGCATCGTCACTGCCAGTAGCAACTGTAACTGCAAGTTGAATCATGCCAAATATGAAGCAGAAACCTCCACCACCCTACGGGGACACGCATATCTTTTGGAATATATCAAAGCAGCCTTGGATATGCTGTGGAAACTAGAAGATGCAACGCAATTGGCGCACCATTCGCAGGCTGGCGTTAATCATGCAAGCTAATGTTTCTCACTCCATGCTTCCTTCGAGGGTTCCCCGTGCGAGACTTGCTCACGGTATTGCACAGATTTCAACGTCTTTTCTTCCACCCGTTCATTCACTCTTTCGTAAAGCAATGCAGCTGGAGATTGGATTTTGAGCCGAATTCGTAGCGTTGTGTGAAAAACCACTTCTATTTCGTGCCGCCATCCGCCGGCAAGCAACATTTTCAAACTTACCAAAGTATGGTTTTGTACTTACCATACATGACTTAAGCTGAAAGAAACTTCGCTTCTTCGCTTACAAACGACTCCTGTACAGAACTCCAGATGGAGCTATGTTTATACATCCCTTTTTACAAGGACAGTGGCAAGAATATAACACGAATCTCCAAATATTACACATCGAGCGGCGAACAGTGGCAATTAGTGCGGCGTTCCCTCGTCAGTCTCAAAAATGCCGAAGAAGTCTGCTACCTCTGATGGAATTGAGCCAGACACGCTCGGGTTATCCGCTGAAAGGCTCATGGCATCATAATACTCCGGGATGCTGAACGGAGTATCAGAGGTTTCGCTGGAATTGTCCTTGTCCTGGGATCCCGCCGCAGTATGGAGGGACGGAAATACTACATTGCCGCCCTCATTGTTCAGGTCTATCGCATTGCCTGAGTGTTTAGGTATAGACGCCGCTTCGATTTGGCATTGTGATTGCATCGGCGAGATAAGTCGTTGAACTGGTGCAGGAAGCGAACGTAATTCCGGTGGGGTCACACAATGATTGTGTTCCGTTGTATATTGTGATGCCCATTCTCTGGAATCGCCAGGACCTGGGTACCGCTTGTGATATGCCAAGTTCATTGGCTTCGTCAAAAGCTCATCGTCAGATTCGGGCTCTGTAGCAGAACCATCATCGGAGGTAGCTTCATCCCTTGGAGACCTGTCACCTAATGGTAACCCCTTCTCTCGTGCGTAATCCATAGTCCTCTGGTGGATAAATTTGTTTCGATTGGTCGGTTCCGGGGTATAGTCTGATTCGGGATCGGTGACAGAGTCGATGTCGTCTACATCAATGAATCCCATATCGCTCTCTATTACTGACCCTGCATTCTCGAGCTTCGCGCTCATCAGAGCCGGCAGAAGGGAGGCCAGGGGTGGGGCAGTAGCGTTCTCATCCACAACGTTTCCCATACGTTCAGGTGTACGCTCCCAAGACTGTTTCGATAAGTCGATTTGTGAAAAAGAATCAGTTGATGACAAAGAAGGCCCAGTCGGACGCCATCTTTCAGAGTCGGCGGACTCAGCACAACTGGGGTTGCAACCGTGCGATCTCTGAAATGAAGTTTGTGGGAAGTCGCTGGGTCTGCTGGCGAAGTATAGGTTAGTTTGCACAACACGGCTGGTCACGGGAACACTAACCGCTTCTGAGAAGGCGTTTGTGTCTCCGGGATTGTGTAGGCTTCTGGAGTCGCATGCCGTGCTCTATGAATAACTTTCAACGGAAGAGGACGGTCATTCCCCCTCTCAGTATCTTTAGAGGGCTCTAAAGCTAGAGGACCGGGAGTCGCATCAGTGGATATTGCAGGAGCGTTCGATAGGTAGGACCGGTCCATGATCCTGTGCTTTGATGGTAGTACCCTTCGTGGCGTGGACAAATCATCGTCGTATGTTAATCCAAAAACGTCTCTTGGCAAAGCGCCCTCCGCAAGCGCAGATCCCTCAATACTCGCGACACTTAAGCTAGACAGAACAAGCTCCTCCTCTTCTAATTGAGAGGTAGGAATCACTTGGCGTCCTGGTGAAGTTAAAAATTCTGCAAGATCCTGGGTCTGTGAGGAAAAAACAACCCCGCCTTCTGACTTGTCGTATATGGATGACGCCCGCAATGACGGTGACGGCAGTGCAAGACGCGTATCAGCTTGATGGTTAGTCAATCTGAGAGGTGGAATGCCAATTGGACTGGATGGTTCTGACGCGTTCGTGCATGGCCGCCGTTGTCGCCCATAGAGTGGAGGAGCCAACTCAGGCGTTTGGGATGAAGGAACCCAGTGGCTTTCCCCGCTGTCAACGTCGTGGGCATCAATATTCAACAAATTCGAGCGTTTGATATTGTTTGGAGAACTATCGGAAACCGGTGATGGAGACGACGTCAACGTCCTGCCAAAAACTAGGGAGCATACGGGGCGATTCTGGTGCCGCGTAGGCGTCCTTGGTGTTGGCAATTGATGACTGTAATCGTGCGTGGTAGCAAAAGGCGTTACATTCGGAGATGCTAAATATGGGTCCGTCGGACGCTGGACCTGCTCATGTTTACTCACTGTGCGCTTTCGAACTGGAAGATAGGTTGCGGGAGGGGTAGGAAGAGCGGCATAACCGTGACTTGGCTCTCGATTGCCAATAGCGTTTTCAGGCGTCGACGCTGCTATTCTCAGACTGCCATGCAGTCCAGGTGTATGAGCAATGAATGACTCACAATGCCCGGTGAGACTGACAGGGCTCTGATGTGAAGGGTCGACCGCCCGTGAGTCTATTCCTGGCAGCACGCCACGCCCTCTTTTCACCAAAGATTGGGATTTTACAGAAGGCAGATGGGAGGAGTTCGAAGGAGCGGCGGAGACCTTCGACCAATGTGGGTCTTCCGTTGTGGACGTGTCTGTGGCCAGGATATCTCCCTTCAGCTTCGCTTTGCCCCTCTTCGGGGATCGGGCTGCCCTAACTTCAGAGGATTCATCTTGCTTTCGCTTCCTGGATCGCTGAATCTTACTGGAGCTAGAAGGGCCACTCGTCGTAGCAAAGAATGCAGTAAGCGGTAACTGGCCACCCAAGCCTTTCGGCATTCCTGCATACTCTATGTCAGAGAAGCACTTCAAGACTGCATAGTATCAATGCCCACTGTATGTACGAGTTCGCTATTGTTGTTGCCAGCCAAAGTGACAAAGGTGACCCGTACTTACACTCAAAGCGCGTCGCAAGCTTAAGCATGTGACCGTGTAATCTCCGCCTGTCATATTTGATCCCCGCTCTTGCAGCCACAGACGCGTCTCGCGATTGCCTCCTTACTCTCAAACCTCATGTCTAACTCTCCTCAACTGAAGAAACGCAAAATGTCCTCAGAGAACGATGTTGAACACTCCTCTATTGCGCCTGTGTCAAAACTTCTCATTAAACGTCTCTCTGAGAAGGCGAAACTTCCCACAAAAGGCTCACCTCTGTCTGCTGGCTATGATCTATACAGGTACGCGATTATACGCGACTTGACTGTTCTTAGACCTGACACTCCGAAGTGCTGAGAAGAAGGTCATTCCCGCTCATGGGAAAGCATTAGTTGATACCCAACTATCAATCGCGGTACCGGTCGGTACGTACGGACGCGTCGCGCCTCGAAGTGGACTTGGTAGGTCTCTACACAGTCTCCGATGACAAGAAAGTTCATATTCTACAGCCTCAAAGTTCATGATTGATACTGGTGCGGGTGTCATTGATGCTGACTACCGCGGCGTCGTCTTTGTTCTCCTTTTCAATCTCTCTGATACCGATTTCCAAGGTAAGCATGCAATAAAGATTATAAATTCATGCTGAGAGCTCGGTTTGGACTTCTAGTTGAAGAAGGTGATCGTATAGCGCAGCTGATCCTTGAAAAAATCGAGTCTCCGGACGTGATGGAGGTCGACGTAAGTTACTGGACTAGGTTTATTGGCGTACTGTTTCATCTCAAGTTTTCTTTCTAGGATCTCAACGAGACCCTTCGAGGAACAGGTGGTTTTGGTTCTACTGGCGGCCACGTTGCTCTGTGAAGTTCCCAAAACACTCACCTCATCCATTGATATATCTTGCTATATTTGTATACACATTTGACTGTAATGTCTCATTGAACGATTTCATTCAGCAGTTCGTAACCTGATTTTACATCGGGTACATTTTAAGGAATTTAGATGGAAATGCTGCGGTAAGTGCGGAGCTGGGAGGCAAAACGAGTGACTTGTCCAGCGGTGAACTCGTCCATGCAACTGCGAATGAAGCATAATCAGCCACATAACCAGGTGCACTCGCTGTCAAGACTTACGGGTCATCGGAGTAGTCCATGTAGTTGTGAATAGGGTCGACACCTCCACCGCTGCAGGTGTCACGACCGGTGGGGCAGCCAGAAGCAGGGGAAGCTTCGGGGGGAGTATCGCTGACTGAATCACCAGTGCCGCTGCAACCGCCCTGGAACGTGTGGTAAAGACCAACCCAGTGTCCAGCTTCATGAGTCAAAGTCTATCGTCGATTACGACCCTCGTGAGTGGCTATGTCACAAAGATGAAACATGTCAACGCACCCTGCCGAGGTTGTAGTTCTGAGTGGATCCGCCAGGGAGCGAAGAGAACAGGATAACAACGCCATCGTCCTTGGGGTCGCTCGCGTAGTCAGAGGGGAAAGTAGCGTAACCGAGGAGACCAGCACCAGAGCCAGAGGCGAAACTGTATGAATATGCCGAATTCAGCATCGTGTCAGTTAAGCAACAAGCTCTACTAACCCAACAGTGTAGACATTGAGAGCGTTAGCACCACCTTGGCGAAGCTGGTTCTTCATCGTGGTCTGCAGCGAGGAATCGGGGCCAACTTGGTTGAACCACTGCGAGTTGACAGTACGAGTTGTCGCGGCCAAGCTGAAAGACAAGCCAGAGCCAGCGTAGTCCTCGTTCAGGACGGTGATCTGGTCCGCGATTTGAGAATCACTGCAAAGTTAAATATCGTTGGAATATGCACTCGATTGAAGTATTATTATGGACTTACGGGACATTGCCACCGGCGAGGGTGGAGTCCTAAATTTATGCGTGTTGTTAGCTTACCGTAAGCGTGTAACATTTCGTCAACAACCAACCTTGCTGATAACGTGGAAGTAAACAGGAACGGTAGCCGCGGCAATAGTGAAATCAGCCTTTGGCACAGCGTTGGCTGCGAAGTGCACCTCAGCAGCGACAAGCTTCTCCTCAGAGATCGTGGTTCCACATAGCCTGTGTGGGTGGTGGGATTAGTAAACATGGATGAAGAGGCAGGCTATACGATATCTGTACCTTCCAGCAAGCGTGCTGTTCACGGGAGAACCGAGAACGAGCGAGGCACTGAGGACAATGGCAGCGATGACAGAGTGAAGCATGGCGAAGGTGGCTGAAAAGTGAGCTAGGAGGACTAGGACACAAAGCTGAACTTGAACCGCTGATAGATTGAAATACTGGAAGCTATTATTTATACCAAAGAGAAAGCAATGCCAAGGAAAGGTGACATATGCGGTAGTCGTATGCTATCGAACTTCTCCACATGCGTTCAGTTTCATTTAGCTTGGCATGAACGTCAATAAAGGTGGATGAGCCTGGGCAAGTATCCAGGAGCAAATGGCACACGAGGTTCTCCTCGCATCTTGTGATGCAGTATTCAGATAAAGCGTGAGGTGAATTAATTCATGACAGTATCATATCGTGGGCAAGGCTGCCTTGTGGGCAGCTGCCTCGAGACAGAGGGCAGCAAGGAGATAGATACAGGGAACGCAGGTATGCTAGCAAGCAGTTATCAGCCCTTCGCGATGGGAGCCGTGTGGAAGGTGGTCACGCACAAGAGATTCAAGCATGGGTCTTGCCATATTCGGATCAGCAGGAATCCTCATCAAATTTTTGCAGAACCAAGGCAAACAGCGATAGGTTGTACCCAGTGCACGGAAACATTTGGGAGTATATCGATGTACGACGTTCCTGGAAGATGCATCCGCGGTACCTTGCAACAAACCAAGTCTTTACCTATTAGCCGTTCGTCAGCCATGATTATACATTGATAGTCATTGAGATTGGAAGGACAAACTTTTTCCGCCTGTCAGTGTCCACAACATACATGCCGTTCTCCGTCCTGGCCGCATGGTTCAGCAAGACTCGACCTGATGGAGACTCCGTCTCCGAAACCGAGACCTCCCCACTTAAGTCTATGCCTGTTCCCTCTGCCCAAATACGCCCGTCAGGTACAGACTCGCTCTTCGATAATCTGGTCTTGTCAACACCACTTGTGTCAACCAGCTTCACTGCCTCCACAAGTTTCACGAGGTTTTCCATTTCAGCTGAGAGTTGCTTATGCTCCTCTGTTCCCTCAGCAGGAGGAACAAGTGCCGATAAGACATGGAGACGCTCGAGGGTGGATGGGCTGATGGTGGGCTTTGGATACGATGTCAAAAGCTGGTTCACCGACCATGTGGGTCGAACGGGTATGCCATGAGCATCAGTATCAACTGGTGACTTGGTGGTTGAGTGGAGGCGGTGTGGAAAGTTCGGGCAACGTCGATTATTGAGAGCTTTATAACGAGGTTTAATGTAGTAGAAACATCGCTGCATCGACATGAGAGTGCAACACTTCGAAAGGTCTCTACCAGTGCCCGATAGTTGAGAGCGGGAGCCAACTTGGAGGAGGCAATTGATTTTGAGAGTCGATATGGGCGCCCCACAGACGGCATTTGCCGCCAGGTCATCGAGCTCGATTCGACTTTGCCTTGCTCATTGCTCAAACGTCTTCACGCTCAACCAACACACTTCTAGGCAACCTCTAGCAGTGCAGACGTCCCACAATGGCATCTACAAGCCTGGCATCGGCGCTGCAAAAGTTGCTTCCGTCGAAGCTGCCTTCAACCTTATCCTCACGACCCGGCAACCTCTACCAAGTCTTGTCCCGATATCCTAAAGATGGAATTGGACAGAAAGTACACCAAACACGCTGGGATATGAAGAATATTGAAGGCTGCTACTGGGAGGTTACCAGGACAAAGCTGAAGCAGGAGGGGAATCATGGAAAGGTTTGGGGCAAGCTTTATTGGCGAGGTCAGTTCAATCCATGACATTCGCAATTGACTGTGATACCACGTTGTTTTTTTTCCAGGGAAATGTGTCAGCGAATACGACGAGAAAATACCAGGCGGACTTAAATACAGTTGGACTACCGGTGTCTCTCGACCAGCCTCACAACCACGAACACAGTCATGACCCATGCCATCCCCATACATCCCCGTTTGCATCCTATATTCTCCCCATCGTTCCGCCATATAGCTTTCAGCCTACCTCTCTTCTCTATTGTATTAATGCTACGCTGAGCTGCTAATATAAGAGCGTGAGGTTGCAAGGACCATATTTTGTTGGATGCCTCTTGGATGCCCCGATCAATAACTTGAGAATGAATTGCCATATTCGGCCCCCTCCTGCTGCTTGAGTTGCTGCCACCGTCTGCTGTCTGACTTCAAGTTCACTGGCGCACCTAGCACGAAGCTCAAGGAGTCGGGACTCGTCGTAACTAACTTGGTTGCTCACCATTTCTCGCATTGTACTATCTTAGCTACTCCTCGGAAAGCAGCCTTCCTTTTGAGATGGATCCTCGCCAGTTGGTCGACACTCAGTTCGACCGTGCAGTGCAAATTGTTCAGAGTCTACCGAAGACCGGTCCAATACAGACCGGATATGAAGAGAAGTTGACGATGTACAGGTGCGCAAAATTCTAGTTTTGGAGAGCTGCGCGAACAATGACACTGTTATCCATTTAGCTTGTATAAACAAGGTGCACCGTCTCCTCTCATGTTACATGCACCACAAAACATACATCTAATCTCCTTGATATATCATAGCTACTGTGGGCAACGTGCAACCTCCACGACCGAATGTTTGGGACATGCTGGGAAGGGCGAAATGGTATTACGTTGTCTTTGAGCTCCATGATATCACATGCTGACGCGGACGGACTGTAGGGACGCTTGGGCGAAACACAAAGACTTGGATTCATACGAGGCGAAATGGATGTATGTCGATGCGTTATTGAAGGTGTGCCTGATTCATCGCGTATGGAACGAACTACTTAAACTTGTTCATAGGTGCTTCGAAAGTATTCCGACAAGACTGTGGCTATGGACTTAGTGCGGGAGCTGGAGTCATACCAGCCTGATAATCCAGATCCCAACATCGGTCGTATGTTGCACACATTGCTATCTTTGTTTATGAAATTAACGTGTCTATGTAGGTTCAAGGGCGAGGTCTGGTTCCGAGAGTTCCTCTGGCTCGTCTGTGTCCGAACTAGGCTTATCCGGCTCCCGCATATCGTCGACTATGCCAACGCATCTTCGACCGAGTCAACAGCAAGTTAGCGCACAGCTTATACCTCGTACACCCAGTGCAGCACATGAACCCGAGGCGTCGACTTCAGAAGAGGAAGAAAGAGATGATGAAGTTGGCGTCGAGCCTGCTCCTTTGCCAGTGGGATATGCCCAAAGTCAGCTAAATCGACCCCAATCTTCACTTTCCTCACATCGCTACCGCACACCCATGGCATCTATGCTCATGACTCCTCCTGCACACAACATGCATGTACCCTCCGCTCAACCCATGCCATCTTTCGAAACCCCATCGGCGTTTGAAGGTCGCTTAGACTCACCATCAATACCCTCCTCAGCGTACCCCACCCCCACTGTCTCATACCCTGGAAATCTTTCTCACTCTTCAAGAACAGACCTTATGTCACCACCGAACCCGTATCCTGCACATCCTGGTTACAGACCACCATTTGTTGGACGGCCCTATTCATTACAATCTGGTGCAGTCCCACGTCCGGCTTCGAGGCCAGTCCTCGAGAGGGCCATCGAAAGTGTTCAAGTGCATCTTGCTGCCCTAACCGAACGGATAGAGATTTTAGAGGGGTTGGCGCATAGATCCACTGCGTCCTTATCTAGCCACGCTAGTGCACGATCGCCTGGCAGGGCAGGAGATCGTGGCAGTCCAGCTGGAGGAACCGACAATGATAATCCTTGGGACTTTGATGATATGGGTATGTGGGCATTCGTTCTCAAACCACTGTCCAGAATTCTAGCCATGTTTGAGCAATTGAGAGGTTTCCTTGCTCGAAACGAGAATCGCTCGCCTACCCTTGTGGTGATACGCCGCTTATTCTTAGATATTTCTTTCCTTCTCTGTGTCCTTGCCATCGCCAAGTTGGCGTGGAGGAGAAGTGGAATGCGAAGGAAAGAGGTATATGCTGCATTAGGCGGCTTGTGGCGTGCAATACTTGGGCATAGGAGGCCGCGAGTGCTGGTTGACAAGGCAGTATGACCCCTCTGGTTTCCATTATCTCTGACATAGGTTATTCGCTGTAGATAGTTCATTGATAATTGCTATTTGATACAATGCTTTGAATATACGTTCGGCACAAACACTCTCATTCTTCCAATAAAACCGATGCAGACATCTCAAGACATATCGACAACGCAACGGATGCAGTCACCAGACTGCACACCAACATTTAGTTCATTGCCGGCAATGCAAGACACAGACCACTCACATGCATGTCGTGGAAGCCCTCGCCGATCTCGCTGAACTTGCGCGTATGGGTAACGTACTCATCGATCTTCACATTACCTTGGAGATAGTCTGGATCGAAGAAGTCAAACCTACGTATAGTTCAATGTAAACGGTGACGTACCCTCGACGAGCCCAGGAAGTTCAGTTCGACCCTTGACACCACCGAACGCGGATCCTCGCCAGACACGGCCAGTCACCTGCATACGTGAGTATTTAACATTATCCTGGATTCTCGCGAATGATACAAACTCACGAGTTGGAATCTAAGTGAGGAGAATGTGAGCGGGTTAGATGCTTTCGTTGATATTCCAAACACACTCACGGTCTGGTAGAGATTTCCTGGCCAGCAGCGGCGACACCGATGATGGTGCTGATACCCCAACCCTTGTGGCAACACTCAAGGGCTGCCCGCATAACGTGAACCTATGAAATAAAATCATCAGACATGGAGTAGAAGATGGTCACTTTAGAATGGCGCACATTGCCGGTAGCGTCAAACGTGTAGTCAAGACCGCCATCAGTCAATTCAACCAAGTATTCCTGAATGCGAGTGCCCTCGGGTAGTTTGGCAGGGTTCACGAAGTCTGAAGCACCAAACTTGCGAGCCCAGGCTTCCTTGTTTGGGTTGGTGTCGACGGCGATGATCCTCGAAGCCCCGACCATTGAAGACGTAGCGATAAGTCCAAGACCGATGGCGCCGCAACCGAAGACGGCGACACTAGAACCCTCTGAAGTGGCGTTGTAAGGCTGGAAGAACCATCCCATAAGTTAAGAACTCACTGATTCCGGGTTGTTTTACAACTGCTCCCCAAGCGGTGGTGATACCACAGCCGAGCAGACAGACTTTATCTAACGGTGCCTTCGGGTTGACGGCAACAACAGAGACATCGGCAACTACAGTGTATTGAGAGAACGTGGATGTTCCCATCTATCGAGCGAAATGAGACCTTCCTGAAATTCAGTGGTGAACGGTTACTCACAAAGTGGTGGATATCCTGACCCTTGCATCGGAATCGGCTGGTGCTGTCTGGCATCAAACCCTTGCCTTGGGTGGCTCGGACTACGTGCAGAGAGTGAGTATGTTACAACGCTCTTTACAGGTGATATACGCACCTGATCCGCAAAGGTTGGTCTTGCCGCTCTTGCAGAATTTGCACTCGCGACATTCTGTAGAGTATTATCAACGTGTGACCTGATATAATCGCAGTCTTGGCATACCAGCGGTATAGAGAGGAATAACATGGTCGCCCTATCGTTACCATTTCAACGAGGATCCGGCGCACAATAATAGAAGATACGTACAACGGCAACACTGGTAACACCTTCACCAACAGATTCGACCTGAGGAAGAGTTAGCGGTGCGCCTGAGATGGGTGTTTCGAAGTCGAACGTACAATTCCTCCACCTTCGTGACCGAGAACGACAGGGAAGACGCCCTGCAATAATCAGATAATGAGTACCACCCGACGAGCCTATTGAGCAGCATTCGCGCTTGCCTCAGGGTCCTTGCCACTACGAGTGTACTCATCGGTATGGCAGATGCCTACGTAATTTCAATCAGAATGATGAAATATGCACCTTTCACTGAATTCTTACCGGTGTACAGGATATGGATACGGACTTCGTGAGCCCGAGGAGGAAGAACTTCGATATCCTCGATTTTGAGGGGTTCACCGGCTGCCCAGCAAATAGCCGCCTTGCACTGAATCGTCTTTCCTGCGGTGTCCGACATATTCACGATAGTAGAAAAACAAAAGGAGTGAGTCGGCTTAGCAGTGTTAGGAGACCTTTATATCTGACTTCCAGAGACTTCCATCTCCATTTCTCCTTTGTCTTCGTCATCCATCTGACTATCATCGCCTGATCAGTTTGTCCCTCTACGGTGACCCGTTCATCCGTAACATCATTCTACTTCTGCACAAAAGCAGTGTGAATGTTAGACCACAAGACTGATAACACCTCTTGGGCTCTCACACATACATTCACCTGCTCCAAATGTCCTTCACCAACCTATACTACAAGCGTGTATGTCTTCGACTTTCATGACTTGCTGCAACTGCCAATCATCATGCTTGATTAGGCAGTGGGAACACCAAAGGCTTGCTTTGTCTGTTATAAACCCACCACGACCGTTCTCGCCACGATCAACACCGTGGATTTCATCTATACTTGTGACAATCATCTGACCGACCCTGGCTTCGCTAGTCAAGTTGGTGAGAGTCAGGACGGGGTTGACAGTGGAGCAAAGAAGCTTGGGCTTAGTGCAGAGGAGATTGCGAAAGTGAAAGAAGAATGGGAGGAACGCCAGAGACGCAAGAAAGAGAAGGAGAAGGAGAAGGAACAAGGCAAGGAGAAGGAGAAGAGCAACAACTCTAGCAAGGAAGATATAGCTAAGAACTCAGCACCCTCGCAGTCACCACCTCCAGCTGCGGCAACTCCAAGTACTCCTTCGACGCCTTCTCATCAACGATACACACTTCATCGTGACATATTCGCTATACGTCTTGCAGAACATCGCAAGCGCAAGCAGATAGCTCAAGCAAAGGCATTACTCCCCCGGCTCCCTGGTGCCCCTCGAGGACCTCTTCCCTCGTATTGACATGACAATCGTAATGTTTCGTTCGCGATAGAAGGTGACAGGTGAGTGATTATGGTCCAGAACATCGCGATAGTGCCAATTCATTCCCGAGGCTTTTCATCTAACAGACCCACTAACAGACGTCATTCGGCGGATCTTCATGATCATCAGACGTTCAAATCTTGCGTGCTGTTCCAAGAGACCCCTTCTTGTGCTTTGATACCATGGTCATTGTATATATCTTCATGTATTGCGCGGTAATGTTTACATCACCTGCCTGTTGCTTCAGAACGCCAATGATAAGGCTCACAGGAATTTCTGCTCGAATCAACCAATATGGTTAGAACGTAGGTATAATTAAATAGGTCCGAGATATACATCCACACGTGAATGGGACAGCTTCCATTAGCCATTGAAGGGACCACTGCCGAGGAAACCATTTTCCTGCCAAGTCAGTCCAGAATATCCAGCATTGTCCTCCGCGGGAGAGACCTGACGATGCTGACATGTCTACTGCAAAGGCTGTTAGGCCGAAGTGTGAGGATATCAAAATATGTTGCCTAGATACCTGCGTCAGGAAAGAAAAATCGGGACTACGGACAAAGACATACTCTCTAATTTCGGAACGGATTGCAGTCACAGACAGCAGCTCTAACCGCGAAACTTGCAAAGCTTCCTACAAAAAGCCCTCCAATCAAGCAGAAACTTGCCACCGTCGCAGCAACATCAACATCTTCCACTCTACCCTTCAACCGAGGATTGTGTTGGACAGAAGGCGCCGCCATCATGCAAAGACTTGAAATCCAGCCATTGCTCAATCCCAATAAGAGAAGAATGAACATGTAGAGGATATCAGAGCTAATGATAGCCGAGTGGGAAGTTTGCACGGATGGCCGTTGAATATTGCACATTAGGAATATCGGGATGAAGAGGGTGCGGCACAGTGAGAGCGTGAGCAGACGATTGGCGGACCAGATTGTAAGCCTAGGGAAAGCACACATGTAGCGACCGAAAAAGTCGCCCACGCTGAACACAAGGAAGTGAACGGCGCTGAAAACAAGTGGATGCGTCGACGGGTTCGTGGGTAGGATTGAAAGGGTGATTGAAGGGAAGACCGCCTAAAATACAGTTAGTATGGGGCCATGTAATTGCTTTGAAGCACACAAACCAGTGTAATAATGAAGACATAGGCGACCGCGAAGTTGTAGACCCCGTTTTCTTTCGCAACGCGTATTATCTGATCACGACGTTCCAAACTGCTAGCGGCCGCGGTCTGATGAATGAGATTTGAAGTTTCTGCGCCGTCGTCCACATCACCATGCACGACATGCTTGATATGCTTGAACTGGCCGACGATGGCTTTGTATGCAGGGAGCCTCACCAGCCACGTTTGTGCTCCTGCGCTGATAAGGAGAAATATTGTGGAAAGGCCGAAGAAGAAGAATGCTGATCGTTCCTCGGGTTCTGCCTCCAACACGTAAGCCTCCGATGGTGCTTGGCCACGCACAGACGCATATGCACTGATAGCCTGTACGAGACTAACCGCAACGGCTACAGCAGCCTGACCAGACATCACTGCCTGCATGGCGGTTGGCCCAAACAGTGAAGCAACTGCAACGACGGCGGTCTGCAGATACGACCCTGCCGCAGCCTGAGCAATACCATTTAGCAGCACAAAGCCAAAGAATAGCCCAGCTGGGATGTGGACAAACGTGCTGAGAGTAAGCATTGCGACCATTATGGCGGTAAAGAGAATTGAAACTAATATGCGACGCTCATTTGAGGACTGGGACGCACAAGAACATTAGAACAAGTAATGCAGAGAAAATTAACTTGAAGCATTCGGACCTGCTTTGATGTCATAGTGGCATGGGCAAGAAAGCCAAAGTTGGCTAATGTGAATGTTGTTGTAAGATATGAACTGAATGTGCTCTTGAACGGAGATCCTGAAAGTCTAGCCAAGAAATAAGGAGTCGCAGTAATCATGACTATATATCCGTCAGTCAATTGTTACCATCTGGTTGGAGGAACATACCGTTCCATGGCAATAGGACTGCGCAGCCCAAAATGAAGTGTATCCACTGAATGCGACTGTCAGCACTGACAGAGGCCTCCTGGGAAACAAACTCTTCGGCAAGGACTTCCTCATCTTCAACTTGCAATTCATTTCCTGTTGTGTGGACTTCCTCTGGTGGTACTTGTGGTAATCTCTGGTATACAGAGTCGAGACCCTCGCCGGACCTAGGACGCGCCATCAGGTAACTTCAGCTTATTAGCTTCGGAAATACAGCGTTTAAGGAATATAAAGTCGGGTAAAGGCCGTTACAACGTAGTTCTGGGCAAAGGCAGTAATAGACTTAGTGCTGCATGGCTGCAGCTGGCAAAGGGTGATTCCTGAGGCATCCTCATTTCGCGACCAAGCGTACTACACAGTACGATCGAGCGACGAGACGAATAAGGCAGGTAGGTAAGTATACGGTACATACGGTAGAATGCCGGACCTGTCACTCAATTGATAGGGCACGCCGGTTTCCTTTATGATCTATGATACTTACAGGACATGCCGGATACTCAATGTAGGAAGGGTTCACATTTCTTGTGCTGTATTCCACAAGAAGATCACAACTGACTACATGATACAATTATCGTGCAATATTTCTTACACGATGTTCTTATTACAATCCAGGATCAGGATGAGCTCAGAGACTCAGTTCAATTCGGTTACGATACCTGACCACAACGTCAGAATTACTCTCCGAATGTATGAGGCCATGTGATACGCACCGGCTCCTATTGTCTCTCCTCCACGACGAATGAGAATCCTCCCCATTTCCTTGTTGACAGAGAATGGCTCTAAGGGGATCGGTTGTGCTCGGGCTGTAGGGCCAGAAACGGTTGTGCTGCGAAGTGTAATTTGCACCTCGGCCGACATGCTTTTCGCCAGAACTCTGAGCAAACAATTGTGAGGACTATGTTTGTAACGATCGTGGAGGATAATCGAAAGTCGTACCGAGGATTCTTTCGTAGCACTGTACCAGATGCTCGATCCAGCGTTGCAAGAAGCTTGGATATTGAAGCGGGAACATCCCGAGAATGATGGAAAAGCTCCACCTAGCAGAGCATTAGAATATAGTCTCCTTACAGGTGCACTAAGACATACCGATGTCCCTGCAGTTATCGGCACTTGGATATCAAAGACGATGATGCGAGCAGTGAAGCTGGTGACCAAAGGTACCACGTCGGTTGGGGGACATAACACACTGCCAATGGTAATATGCCTTGGATCAACAGCTGTCAGATGCAAAGTTACGTTTGATCCCGCAGCAGCCCATTCGAGCCTCTCCTCTTCCGACTCAATAGCTGAGAAAGGTCAGTCAATAAGTCTTTCAAAACGAATTCATGAAGATCAAACCTTTCACCACAGCAGTTTCATCACCAGGAACAATTCTGAGTCGCTCGCCGACTTGCACCAAGCCACCGCAGACTCGACCAGATACTGCAATGACCGAAGAAGGTGTTCTGAAAACATTCGCTACCGGAAAGCGTAAAGGTGCATCGAGATCTCGCGTAGGAGGTTCCAGCTCATCTGATGCGTACCAATGAACTAAATGCAATCCTTATAAAAAGAGGGACGTACCTAACAGGTCGCACAAAGTGGGACCGCTGTACCAAGCATTCAGAGCTTGCGCTTCATCACCGTCCCGAGCGACCAGATTGACGCCAGCCATTGCACCTACAGGAACAAACTTGGTCTTCGAGGGATGGAAGCCCGATTGGATTAAGAAAGGCCTTAGGAGTTTACATATCTCCTTGTAACGAGCTTGCGACCATTGTACCTTGAGATGTATGTCAGTCAAAATATAAGACTCCGAATTGATGTATTACCTGGTCTAATTTGTTGATCGCAATGACAACTTGACTGACACCGAGACTCCGGACAAGAAGTAAGTGCTCCCTCGTTTGACCACCCCGTTCAAATCCAGCTTCGAACTCGCCAACGGCGGCGTCCACTACGAGTAGCGCACAGTCCGCCTGAGATGCTCCTGAAATCATGTTAGGAATGAAGTCTCTATGACCTGGTGCGTCCAAGATTGTGATCTGACGCCGAGGTGTGGCGAATGACTGAAGTGCGATGTCCATGGTTATCCCTCTATATTTTGATAGGTAAGACATCAAACGACACTGGACGACTTGCTTACCTTTCTCGCTCCTCAGTTGTACCATCAAGCTCCCAGGCCCAGCTAAAGCTGCTCTTGCCTATCTTGCTGCTTGCTCTTTCGTGGGCTTTGCGAGTCTTGTCGTCCACTCTCCCGAGCTCATAGAGCAACCTGCCCATTAGAGTGGATTTACCAGCATCAACATGGCCTACAGTCTCATCATTAAAACGAGATTCGCGAAAGGAAGAGAGCGGCGCCTTACCGATAACGACAAGACTGACGGTCTTCTTGTCCGCATTTCCTTCTAATTGTTTGCGCGCCTCCTCTAGGACCTTTTCTCTAGCCACTGTAATCTTGGGCGGAGGCTCGTCAATGGGGAGTACTGTTTCATCATCTAGATTGAGACCGGCGAGATCCAATTGCCTGATATCTGTGCTTCGCACAGGTGTCGAGGCACCAGACAGTTTCGCGCCGGTGGCTTTTTTGGGTTTTGCTGGTGGTAGCTTGGCAGACGCTTCTGCGGCTTTCTTCTGTTGCGCCAACTTCTCAGCTTTTTCTCGTTCTTTGGCAGCTATATTATATTTGAAACACAGTAGTCAGTACATTGATCTCAGTTAACCAGAAGCCTTGACAGAAGAACGAAGTTTAGAAGGACGAGGAGAAACGGTGGACGTGGAGGACGACGTAGATTTGGATGTGGATGTGGATGAAGAGGTGGATGACGAGGACGTGGTAGTGGATGTGGAAGACGAATGGCGCGAAGCGGTTGTTGAGGAACGCGGTGCGAGTGAGGTTCCCTGGCGAGCCCTGAACACGATGTCATCCGGACTGGGGATGTCAAACGCGAAGCCTTGTAAGGGTGAAAGTGGTACAGTAGGATCGACAGAGGGGCGTGTGCGATGTCGATGAGTTCCACCATTAGCCTGACGTTCCCTCCCTTTGCTCTCCTTTCGTTTATGCTTAGACTCTTTATCTTGTGAAAGTGATGAAAGTTGGTCATCGATGAGTATAGCAGCGAATGCTGAAGGCGACGCACGAGAGCGAGGTGACGCAGCCGCAAATATTGTCAACTCAGGAACTGGTTCCACCATTTCTGATTCAGGTTCCAGTTCTGCTCTCATGTGAGCCTTCTTACTCTTCATCGCCAGCTTAGACTGCTTCGGCTCCTTGGTGGCAGCATGCCGAGGTGATTCCGAAGGGCGTACATGTGGAGGAAATGAGGGTGGCAGACGGGGTAGTCTGGAGAGATCAGAAAGGGATCGATAAGACGTGGTGATGGCAGTGGTTGCAGTTGGACCGTTGGCAATAGGAGTTAAGTATTCTGTCCGGGCCTCTCGCAAAGTTATTCCGACCTGGGGTGCTGGTGGTTTCTTCGGTTTAGGCATCCAATAGCTCTGTGCTTTCGTTTGTGCGAGCATCGCCAACTTAGATGGTTGGCGACCAGTCGGAGCTGAAGACGGCTGCATGGACGGAACATTGACTGCAGGGGGTGTAGAGGGAGAATCCTCTGGGACAGGTGCAGATGGCCGCGTGGGCGTCTGAGAAGGGGACGAACTTGAATCCTTCACTTCGCCGGGGATAACCTTGTCCATTGCCTCCATCTCAATGGCCGTCTGGATTGCATGACGCACATGCCTGGCTAAGGATGAGGTGCTTGTATTGCTAGACTCTGCATCGGCATTCGAAGACACCATAGATTCAGATGAGGGTCGCAAAGAAGGATAGGTGATCACGGATGCGCTGTCGTCTGTAAAAGATCTCGAGCTCTTGGTGCTTGTGCTGAGTCGTGAGCTGGCAAGCTCAGAAAGCTTCGACCGGGGTTTTGTCGGGGGCTTCGATCCAGGATTTATCCCTCTTGCGCGTTCTGTAGACTGGGATGACGATTTCTTCAATAACAGCGATCCCTGCGCAGGTTGCCGACTTGACTTCGAGTTATAATCGGGAATGTCGGGCAAAGATTCTAGACGGGGATTCACTCCTCTGGCCGCAACAGGTGCTGTAGGTGTAGGTGTCTGACTTCCAGAAGTAGAAGCTGAAGGGGGGGATTGCACGATGGATAGACGACGTAAAGCAGACTCCGGCGGTGAAGGGGGAATCTCATTTGGATCTAGTGGCCGCTCTGTTTCCTATCTTTAGCACAGTTCAAAGACTCAGTTAAGAGACATACCGACAACATTGCCATAGTCCGTCGACGAGGACCATATCGACGGGTTACGTGAGACAGTGGTAGCTGGTTGGGAACCCCACTTCACGCTTTCCTCGGTACGTTCCGACACCTCCTGGATAGTTGAAAGCTTATCCCCCATGATAGAGGAATTATTTTCTTCGTCCTCTTCGTCCACTTCGTAGAAAAAATCCCCCTCATCTGGAGGGGGTGATAGAGCAATGATTTGGTCCGGATTCTGGTGCAGCCTGATGAGCGGCCCATTCGGACGCCTGTACGCTGTTCCAGGTTCGGCGAGAGCATGTAGTTGCGCAAGCTGGCGAGGAGACGCTATGCTAAGCTCTGCATCGTCCTTAGGGGGTTCGGGTAGAGGTTTGTCACCTGCAAGCAGCGATGAATATTACTCCGTAGACAAACACTGAGGGGCCGGGAAGAACGAGCACCTTCTCGCATTTGAGCCGCTCAAGATAGAGACGTAGAATCAGGAGGGGGGAGGGGGAGGGGGAGATAGAAGGACATAGGCACAACATGTGCCGCTACATAAATTGTATCAATCACGCTCACCTTTGCGTTCTCGCGCTGCGATTTTCCGTGTTTGTGCCTCTGCTCAACGAAATAAGGGGATGATCAAAATTGTCTAAGGCTATACTCACCGAGTAGGTAGTTTATGCTCTGCTCGACATTGAAGAAATAGTGGTACAAGGTATCCTTGATCTCTTTATCGGATAGCCCAGATTGTTCCTGGGAGCCAACGGTTGCGCGAATGTGGTCGAGGCCGGACATGAGTTGTTCTTAACAGAGAATAAGATTAATTTCAAGGCAACATAATCGCGACATACCGTATTCCTGGGGCGAGAGATCCTCTTCGCCGCCGTCCGAGACAGCACCGTCGTCCAATTCATCTGAATGCGAATGTGAAATTAGCCGCGTTTCATTCCCAAGGGCTTGAAACATCTTACCCGCTACATTAATATTCCGTACATCTCTATGTCGAGACATGTTGAAAGATACACACTACTAGAAATACAAGAGTTGAAGCCGCTAAAAAGGTGAAGTGAGGAGGTGAAGAGGTGTTCGGTTAGGTTGAGCGTCTATTTGTGATGCAACCTTAGGCGCTTCCGTTTTCCCCTCAAAAGTTGAACCAACTCCCAAAAGTGCAGGCTTTTCGTTCTAGAGAACCTGTACTTTGCTTCAACCTATAGTCATGTTCTCTCTCGCAAGACGTGCTGCTGCTTCTCGTGCATCCACTAGGGTATGAAACAGCCTACTTTCACCTTTTTACGTCGTCTCAACATTAGATACAGACCTTTACATCCTCCAGTGTTCGCGCTTCTGATCTTGCGAAATTAATCCTCGTTGGTCGTCTTGGAAAGGATCCGGAAGTTAGAAAAACCAGGAGTGATAAGGAGTACATCTCGTGCGTGTTATCTCCATCCAAATCAACGTCACACTGAACTTTTGCCAGGTATACCGTTGCGACCGCCAACTATCCTCCTCCGCCTCCCAATCCCGACGGCAGTACGTTGTTGTGCCTTCTGTATACGTCAGAATCTCATTCGCTTTTGCAGCGAGACCAGAAGCGAAGTCTACGTGGCACACCATTCTTTCGTTCAACCCAAGCTCGAACAATTACCTCCGCACTCTTCACAAAGGTTCTCAGGTCTATGTTGAGGCTAACTACGAGCTGAGGGAGCCCGACCCGACTGCCGACCCCGATACCCCTCAAGGACAACGCCAGATTTTCCTGCGTCACGGTATGATGATATTCTTTTTACATGTCAATGTATTCTTATTGAGATGACGGTTGTCCAGAAAACATCAGAGTCCTCAGGTCTGCCCCTAACCGGTCTTCATCAGAGGATGAGTCGGTGTAATTAGACTACGCTGGCGTTGCGGTTAATATTATTGTATCGTATGCCTATGCTGTGCTATTACTGGTCATAATCCCTACGGTCATGTTCGGTTTCGTGGCTGTAGTCGTCACGACCGTGCATCAACGAGCTGGCTGCCGGTTCGCGCATCCACATCTAAGAAGGCAACCTCAGCTACGTGTGCAAAAAGTCGACATTTGGGCTTACGGCGCTATCTCTGTCTGTGGAGGGTGCTGGCATTGGTACGGCGGTTGATGTCGATGGAGGAGGTGGCGGATTACTATCTCTCGCCATTTTCTTGAGGTAGTCCCGAATTGAGTTGACCACAAGCTAACATTGCAGCCTCCATCAGACAAGAACACCTTGCAGAATGACAACACTTACGTGGTGGTCATCTGCGCTTGATCCTGAGTAGCATGCTATAACTGCAATCGGACAACATGGTGCGTTCTAGCGCGACATCAGGTAAACGGCAGTCTCGAACGAATCTGATTTACCTCAAGCCAGACTGGGAATGCTGCATGGACGAGGAGGAACGAAGTCGCGTTTAATGCAATGTCAGATGTTAAATCAAACATACCTCCACCATTGATTCGATAATCCCCTGGTATGCCCAGTTGCTTTGGCGTTTTGCCCATGGCACCCATGCCTTTCTCGACGTAATAGCTTGAATGACCCGTGCGTCGTACAACAGCTATCATTCCCTACGCGTAAATATCTTAGGATTCGTCTTCAGTAAATTCAACTCTGCACGGTAGTCAACTTACATCCAAACATGTCCAACTGTCTAGACTCACATCTCCTACACCAGAGATGCCACCTAGATCACCGACTGTGCATGCAAAAAGTGTATGTCCTGCAATAGTTTGTATAGAAATAACGAGGCCTTTGCCTTTGGCATGTCGTGTGGATGCGCGGAAACGTTTCCGCAGTGAAAGACCTAATGTTACAGCATCATTCGCGGAGAATGAGGGGAAGCGATAGCTAGACTCTTCATTCAAAGTTTGTGTAGCAAGCTCCGCGTCGCTTGGAGGTATGGGAGAATGAAAGCCGTTGAACATGGAAGGCAAACCGCAGGTAGTTGGTGAAATACGAATGAAAGCTCCCGAGGGAGTCGATATGTACCGTAGAATCCACTTCCACCTTACGCCGGGGTGATAGATATATAATGGAGCAGCGTGGTCCACGAGGAGAGGAGCGCGGTTGGCGCAACGCAGGAACACGAGGCGAAGATCTGAACGGTAGCTAACCGCTAATGTTGCCGAAGACAACACGGTAAAGGCATGTTGATTCTGGGAACTTACATGCAAGACACATTCCTACATGAAAGACTAAGAGAGACATGGACCACTGCCAGAATTAAATAGTGCAGTATTGTTTAGATGTCATGTCGATAGTGCTACTAGTGGGTAGGAGAGCTTCAGCGCTACCGTAGTACGATCATTGATCGAACTAGGTTTGGAAGAGGATGTTACGTTGACTCAGTAGTAATAAAGTACAACATTACAGGAATTGTCCTAAGGTCTACAACGGTATCATCATTATGTAGCGTTCTAGGAAATATAAAAGGTAGGAAAGGCTCCCTTGGGTATGAAACCTATCTCAGACTGGAGTACTGGTATTTTCTTCACGGTCTCTGCTAACTTCCCTGGAAGCCAAACGCGAGTGAGCTCGTGGTATTCGAGGACTTCCGCGCGCAGACCCAATCCTGGATTCATTTCCCAACCAGCTTACAGCTCGTCGACGCGTAAATGTATCTGGTGAGTGCATTGGAGAAGTACGATTACTTTCGATGTCTGGGGATAACGGTCGGATGAATGTGTCATGGGGTGGTGTGTGGACTATCAGAGCACGCTATAACCAACGGCTCAATCAGGTAGCAACACGAATCGTAAGCAAATAAGGCTGACCTGCGCAGAAGACAGACCAATCATACTGACTATGCTCTGCTTGCGAGCTAGGCTAGGTGAAGTAGATGCTCGCGTCGCACCCTCTGGGACCACTAAAATGGCGCGATTGTGACGCGATATGCTACCCAATCGAACATTTCGTGGGTCTGTCATTGTATCACTTGTTGAGGCCGCAGTCTCTTCTTCGTCCTCTAAGTCTTCGAGTTCCTCTTCTTTTGACGAAGCGGATCTTGGTGTCCATGTGATAAGGAATACGCCAAGGAAAGTCGCTCCACAGCCGTAGAGAAATGTCACAATTTGATGGAAAGTCGCCTTCTCGAAGTCACCATAGAGGATAGCAGAGCCTAAAATGGCTGACAGGTTGAACAAGACAAATTGGGTTGGAACAACAATCTATTTACAAATTTTCATGTGAGATGTCTATGATAACGAGACAGTGTAAGGCATACCTTGCTGTCGAATCGCATAAGGGCACGATTGAGATATCGTATTTGACCAATACCGGTACCAATTAACACCTGGAACGCATTATGGTTACATTTGGAATTGTGGGGAAAGACGGGAAAGACTCACTGAGAGGACAGGATAAGTGATCCACTCCGTAAATATTTCGAACCATTCCAAAGTGAGTAGGGTTGATATCGCCTTCGTTGATAAGACAGTGAACCCACCTAATCCGCAGACATTAGTTTACAGCAGGTACTTTGAGCTATATGCGCACCAAAGAACGCGCAGAGGCCAATGTCAACGTAAACCCATCGCTTTCCAATGGAACTCTCAGACAACCCGGAGAGTATTACAATGCCCGCAATATAAACGGTAGCATAGACGACAAATGCGGGTCTGGATATTGCCTCAATGAGGCCTGCGGGGTCAAGCCGGGTTTCAGATGGGTTGGCTGAGAGAACGACAGTCACAGCACCAAGGATGGCAATGATGATACCAAAGAAATCAAGCTAGAGCGAGGGCGTAATTCGTTTGAGATCCAGTCAATACTTTTGAACAATACCAGTCTGACCGACCTTGTGAAGCCGTTCCCCGAGCATTAATGGGGCGAACACGCAATTGGCAATCAAGGCAAACTGGATTGGACTTGGAAAAACAATATCACAGAAGTGATTGTATTACTCACAGTTCCTAGGGGAGCAACCACAGAGGCAGGAGCGAAGGCATAGGAGATGAAATTACCCACTTCTCCCACATTCATCAACAGGAAGCCCATCCACCTGATACATAGTTGCAGCAGTGACGCAGACATAGCAAGAATTGACATACCAGAGTTTCGATTTCAAATAATCGCTTTCGTTTCCTGCATGAGCATCTTCCAACTCGCCTGATTTGAAGTTATCACCATCAGAGTTGGATGTGCCGTTAAACCTGACCACGTCCACCGGCATTACAGCATGTATAGCACCAACGTGTGTACGGTCTGCAGAGCGTGTAGCGCTTGTAGCGCGACCCCATACTGTAGACAGGAGAGGACGCCTATGAACAGAACCGCGTTTGACGCTATTTTGTTTGGACGCAGGAGACCCTAGTAGAGGCTCCGTTTCTGTACTTGTGAGTTCAGCTCCATTCGGTCGTATAGCGAAATGACTATCGTCCGAGCCTCTGTCGGTACTGCTTGCACGCGGATGATCGCCTAGAGCATCAACCGCTTCCCTCTTTGCTTCTCGCTCGCGCTCCATACGCAGATGCGCCAGTTTCTGACAGTTTAGAGCCAACGATATAAGAACATTTCCCGCGATTGCGACTGAGATCCCTGTGGCTGTTGCCTTGCTAAGCTGCGGTAGCTTCACGTCAATGGTATCGCCGTTGTGGCTGGAATTAGGCCAATGCATGATCATCTCTGAGATTGGCATTGCGAAAGCAGTGGAAAGAAGGGGTATCATGCAAATTAGAAGAAAGTTGGAACAGTAGAGAGCATAGTGCTACCTGCAGTTGTGGGCGTTGCAGCGATAGATAATATTAGGCGAATCTGCTGCTGCTTTGAGCGTTATGCGAAACAGAGAGGAACTCATTTTCCCACGATTCATGGCTGCTATATGCATATGATTGAAGCTGCCAGTGGTTACTCAGTCTGCACCACCTACGCTCCTCAATCAACACACCTATTCACTCTTTCTGTCTCAGTCTTTGCACTTTGCAGAATTAGTCTCTACTCCAGATACATCATTACTGTCTATCGCGTGAAGACACAGGACATACTTCCGTACACTAAGATGCGGACGAAGCATGCTGCACACCCACTACCCACGTTCCCTGTGTATTCGTGCGCATTCGTGTCTCCTACGGAGGTAGTATTAGGAGGGGGAGGGGGTCAGTCGAGAAGTGGTATCAAGAACAAGCTGGTGCGCTCAATGACACGTCGATGGTTGTACCTTTATATGACGTCGCGTCGCAACTACAGAGGCTCTACCGCGTCGATAATGAGAAATCAGTAGAACTTCTGGACGAATTCGAACTTGACAAAGGAGAAGATGCCCCAATGAGTATGGCTGCTCATGCTGAGAGCCGAAAGATCATATGTGGAGTCAACAGCTCCGAAGAATACCTTCAAAATGGCCACAATCAGAACTGTCGTATGTTTAAGATCAAGGAGGGCAAGTATGTCACGTTAGCAATTGTATCCTTGAGTTTATTCTAAGTGACTCTTCTTAGGCTGTCACTGGTGGAAACGCGAAATACTCTGAACTTGAAGGCCGGAGATGACGATTTCCAAGTTAGTGGTTTCCCAAACGCTGATGCACCGGGCTAATGCTTGCATAGAAAGTGACTACGCTTTCTCCCGACGGCTCCTTACTCGCTGTCTCAGGCAATCGTGATGTGAGTCAGTTGATAAATTTAGAAGACGTCTGCTCAAAGCGTCATCATACAGCTATCTCTCATCAGCTTTCCGTCCTTGAAACCGGCTACATCCCCGCTGAGTCCCTTCAAGGAAGACATCTATGATGCCACTTTCTCGACTGAGACAGTACGATAGCCTGTTGGTTTGTACATTCACCTGAATGCTCATGGAACATCTAGCTTGTCGTTGCAACCACAATCCACCTATTCGTTTATAACCTTCCTTCTGCGGTCGATGGAAATGCAGAATCAAAGAAAACTGGGAAACAAAAGGCGCCTTTTCTTACTGACCTGGAACTACTCAAAACTATCGACCGTCCTGCTCTACCTGGAAAGGACGCTGGAAGCAGTTTCCGCGCTGCACGCTTCCACCCAACCGATTCCAAAGTGCTTTATACCGTCATCAACACAATCCCTCCTCGCACACGTACCAAATCATCTCCGAGACGCGCTTTCGTTTGTAGATTCGATACGCAGACTTGGCAAGTCACCAAGTTGCGCAAGATAAGCGATCAAGGTGTGACATGTTTTGACGTGAGGTAGGATATTGCATCTTCTGTATGAGCCTATTACTTCAACTGATAGACTTGTAGCCCGAACGGGAAGTTCTTAGCGTTTGGTTCTGCTGATTACACTGTTGGTATCCTCGATGCCCACACGTTCGCGGTGAGCTATCAACTCTTTATATAAACGACGCACGGCTAATATCTAGGTGCAGCCGTTAGTTACCATTCTGAAAGCCCATGACTTCCCGCCCACCACATTACGCTTCAATCCTGAGTCAAATCTCCTGATTTCTGGCAGTGTCGATAACTCAATCCGTGTAGTCAGTGTGCCGGAGACACTGGCAGAATCAAGTACGTTAATCCACCTCACTTGTTTCTTATCTACCCTCACACTCATCTTCCAGCCTGGAGTTGGAGTTCCTGGATTATCATCATTGTCACGCTGCTTGTTCTTCTGTTTGCTTTCATCGCTCAGCAGATGCACCACAGCTATTCATAGCGAGGCATATGTTCCTGCTCTTATCATTCTGTCACAGTCTTGGACTTTTGGGGTATTGGATTATCATTATGTTTCATACATATGTAGACAGCGTGCTGGATTAGTACTTTTCATACGGTTTATTATATCCCTATAAATACCAGTCCCACCAACCTCAAGTCACTCAGTCATAATCCTCATCCAGTTTTCTCTTAATCCCATTGACGGCCGCATCGGGGGCTGGAACTGCAACATCCATCTGTTCGTTTCCGCTTTCCTCCTCTTCGTCACCCCCTGCGAACAGTCCGTCCTCCTCAACTTCACTTCCTTCTTCCTCCTGTAGACCTCCCCCTGATGTTATCATATCAACGTCAGAGGCAGTTTGAATAGCACCCATAGGAGCAGGCGGTGGTCTTTGCTCCTGTGTTGGTTGACTGGGGACGGTTTCGGCGGAGGAACTCGGTATAGCTGCTGGTTCCATGTCCTCCTCGTCTTCCTCCTCAGATTCCTCTACTTCTTCTACTTCTTCATCATACAGCTTCACTCCCGGCGGCGGCTGGTTCGGCACCAGGTCAAAGTCTACAGCAGTCAGACATTCTGAGGCTGATGGTAGTCGCACACCAAAGACTTCTGGGACCGGGGGTAGTGGTACGTTATTTGTTTGTGATGCGAGTGATAGTATATACTGCATCCCCAAGGACAGCGATTGCATAGAATACACAGCAAGAGTACATATGAAAAGACAAGAGAATATGTGAGCACCGACTAGATGCAAGAAATGCTGCATGAAACACAGACCTCTTTAGGTACTCTTCCACCAAATTCCCACCCAACACGGGCTTGAACTGCCAGCACGATGTCGTCCATCTCCATCTTTCCTGGTCTGCCTGCATGTTCCGCGTACACAAGCGCGTCTGAGAGGACTTGGGTCGTATACCGGTGAGAGAATTCCAGCAGTTGATGCAATACGCCTGGTTGGGCGTCCTGCACTGTAGGAGTAGATGCCAAAAGTAGGGCTATTGAACGTGCGGTCGGGGGAAGGGCATCTGCCTGAGCTGAACGACTCATCCTAGAGAATATGTGGAGGTAAGCTGTGAATAAGTGAACAGAGTGCGACAATTGGATTATGCGGCTGAGGGCCGCGGCAACCTATTTGTGCATGTATGGCAAGAGCCTCCAAGAGATTACCCAATTTGGATGCTCGTAATTGGGGTGAGTTTTCTGACACCCTCGTTACAGCATACACACCCACACAGCAAGACGTTAGGGCAACTGAAGGTGATCGTCTGTATAAGAAGGATATATATCCAAGAAGCAAGGTATAGATATGCATAAGATGGATCCACATAGACAAATCGATGATCTCCAACAGAACCTCCAGAACACCGGCCGGTTATCTAGTTCAATTTCGCTCCAAAGTCAGCTCTGGCCTCAAATTCTTGCGCTAACGAGTCCAAAGGAGCAGCCATATCTGTCAGAGATGTGGGTGTTTCAACACCACTGACAGCCTTTGCTGGGACTGCTGCCGCTGCAATTCCCGCCTGCTTCACTCTTTGCTTCTGAATGCTCCTCAGCATCCTGATACCACCAGCATAGAAGAAGACCAATCCACCGAACACCATAAAATGGCCGTACCACCAAACACGGCTCCATGCTATGAGTGATTTCTCTAGCGTGAGTAGCATGAATGCGCCGGCCATGTAGTTCATCATTGTGACAGCGCAGAACATGCCGATGACGTCGTATATGCGTTTCATGAATGTCTGTGAAGGCGGAGGAGCGGTACGGGAAGATACGTAGTCGGCGGGCAGGAACAGAGGTCGGAGGTAATTGCGGCAGAGTCGGCCAACAGTTTGGGTGAATGCGCCACAAAGGAAAGCGATGTAATATCCTCCGGCGACACCGTGCTACAAGGGTTTATTCAGGATGTGATCATGATGATTCAATTCGTCAAACGTACCCAGAACGCGCTCGTAGTGAAGGTGATTAGGCTACTTCTGAAACCCGGCTTCTTGCCCTTCGGCGTAACACGCTTATAGACGCATTCTCGAAGCCAGACGTTTGTTTTCATGTTCCATGAATCGAGCAGAACCTTGATGTTAGGAGCAAACTCGATTCCGCTGATGGTGATATTGGCGGCACCATCCCAACGAGTCTCGCCAGATGGACCAAGACCAGTAAAGCCAAAGCCAGTGAGGATCGATGCGCCCTATCGAGAACTCAATATAAGCTGGTCAAAAGCATAGAAAATAGAACGCACCTCAGTAAGCGTCCAGATGGCGTAGTATTTTGTTCGTTCGACGAACCCGAAAAACTGATAGAATGCAAAACTGCGCAGGCGTCAATGGATGCGCTACTCTGGCATATCACTACAACAAATCTTACCGGTTGAAGATATTCATTCTAGCGAAATCATCTTTTACGGCAGCTCCGAAGGTGTAATTGTCGCCGAACAGGACGAATACGCCTAAGAAACCCAGACCAATGACCATCTTGCGGTATGCAACCCGCTTTCTACCTTTGGGAATCAACCTTCTGGCAGGGATATATGCATTATTCTGTTCTTCCGCAGTCAAAGTTGATTTGAACACGGTTCCATCAATAAGGTTCATATAGTCAGCGAACTCAAGGTAAGGTCCGACGAGCATTCCTGGGAAGAAGAAACTATGAACGATTGACAGGTATTCCAGAACCAACACCGCATGGAAAACTCACACATATCCAAGGAACTCCAGTATAGAGGGGTGCTGAACGATGCATTTCTCTTTCTGCCACTTGTCCAGGTCCTGAAAAAGAGGACGTCTCAGTCACGTACTGTGAGAATGATAGAGCAATTCATCACCTCAACAGGCCTCCGACCGTCCCAGACATTCCAGGCAAATGTCGTAAGTTTCATTGTCAATACCATTTGAGGACCGGTAATTTCGAATGTTTCATAACTGAAATTATAGATGGCGCGTACTATGTGGCTGGGAGTGGAATGTTACGGCGACCCATATTCGGCAGATGGAGGCACGTACTTGATGGTAAGGTGTCCCATCACAAAGCTATGTGTACAGCGCATAAGAATGCAGGTAAGGTCTACATCCAATTGAATACTCACGCGAACACGATCCATGGCATTTTAGAGCTTTTGATGACAGCAGAGAGATAGTATGTTCCGAGAGCACTAGCAATCAACTGTAAGGAACCCGACCAGAGATTGAGCACAGGTATTAGGTAGATGAGAGATATCGAGATGTTGAAAAGGTGTTTTAGGTCAGGTCGATGATGAGGTATGCGAATGAATACGCTGCCTAGAGGGTATGACACGAGGAGGCATGTGATGAGCTATGACGGGGATGCATCAGCTAGATTAAATGAAACAAGGCGGCACTACACACTTTTAGTTGGTCTATTGAAGCACCTGTGGCAGACGCCAACGGGAAGAACACCACGTCCATGAGCGATGAAGTGTCAGCCCAACCAAAGAGACTTCTCTGGTGAAAATAGGTGAAATATTATATATTTGAGAGCTATGCGTAGAAAAGGTGGGCTGCTTACAGTACTTCTTTTATTCTCAGAAAATATTGAGGTGAATGGAAGTCAGTGCAGTCGTCCCTGCCTCTGACTGCAATGATGAACAAAGGCAGAGTAGTAAAGCCACTTCACCCCCGCATGACGGGCGCATTGAAATAATATTGACGTATAAATCGCCGGCCCGGGCGTCCCCTGATCATAACGCTCAAATTGGGATCTGTAATTCTATCATTTTCAAGGCCACTCCCGGAGGATTATATGTATCAATGCCTCTTTTGCATCGCTCCGCTGCCAGTCTCTATCTACAGTTCCGGTGATCCTATGTTCACGAATTATTACCATCCCCGTGCTGTGTTCAATCAACGTCAAGACTGCCTCGTGTCGGTCCTGTCAATGTCCAACAGCATCAGTTGCTCTAAGTAGTGTGGGAGGAAGTACATTGGTCTGACCCAGAGGCAACCGTCAATGCTACGATGTAGACCACCTACACCGACAGAGGGAAGTCATCAGTAGGACCGCATGTTTACTCACTCATGACTAGAGACGGAACTTATGATTACACGTGACTGGCTAGCCCAGTTCCAAGTCACATTAAAAGGACCATATTCATAGGTAGAAAATCGTGCTAAGTCTGGGAAGGCTGCACAATCTATCCAATGTACCATTGCCATGGTCAGTTCCCTCAGATCTTCCTATCACTAGCGTTGAATCGCCTTGGGCGGTTGTGGCGCAATCCATATACACTTTAACAGGTGAACAGTGTCCGACAAGCGAAGCTGTAGATCAACAGCCCCGAACCAGGGGTACCTAGAAGTATCGAGTATGTTGTGAGTCGTGGCTGAATGACTCGGAGGTTTTCGGTTGAGAGGAAGACACAGCCAGTGTCAAAAGTATTTATTAGCTTCCGTACACATATGGGGTGGGTTCGTGGTGTGTGCATTTCCCTCTGGTCTATTTCACCCGTCCTCTACGTATACTTTCATGGCCAACACGCGTCAAGCTGGGGTTGGTTGCATCGTATGCTGTCTTGTGGTGATTAATTCTGTTATTTTCTGGGTTTACTTCGGAGTGCTGATTTGTGTATAGCTATGGGTCATACTTAACGGCTGCGATGCAGTATGGTTGTACTTCTGTGAGTGGCGACACCAAATTTAGCGGAAGCTTTTCCCACCTTACGATTCAACAGATATCAAAGCATGCACCGATCCTAATCCTCGTACTGCCGTAAACCGGACTCATTCCGGTTTCGAAGGCTATGAAGCCATGATGTTCTTCTTTGGCTTTATATGGGGCGTCATCAACCTTGGAGTCATGGCTGGATATTTCGGCTTGGTGTTCAGCGAGAGCCGCTACTCTCCACGCAATCGACCAACGTGGTTCATTACTCTCAAAGTACTCTTCAATCTCTTCATCATGCTGCCCATTGCTCTTTTCCTGGTGATCATGCCTTTCTTTGGCGGATGGATTGTCCTTCCGTTGGAGCAGATCGTACGTATTCTATGTCCCTCATGAAAGCCACCGACTCATCAATCTCCGTGTTTTTCAGCACGCTTGGAACCATCGATGTGATGGCTATCCCATGAACGTAGTCTTGGACGGAAAGGGCTATCATGGAGCTCGCTTTGCTCCCGATGTTGCCAGGTTCTACCAGACTGGTAATGCCCAGTCATTCTATACTTATGATATCAGTAATTCCGGCGACACAGACTTCTGGTCCTTCCATCTCCGAACTTGGGATGTCGACCAAAGCGAGATTCCGCTCAACATGTACCCTACTCTTCAGCAGATCTCATACAACTTTATCAATAACACCGTTACCGGAAACTGCACCATTCCAGTTGCTCCAGGAGCTTCCAACACGACCATTGGCGCATGTGTTGGTGGATCCCTCGACCTAGGAGAACCGCTTTCATTCAATCTCACCTCCGCTGTCCCTCTCAACAACACCGCTAACCCCAGCTCTACCCCTTCCACTACGACTCTTCTCCGGACGGTGGATAAACAATGGAGTTTCGGAGATGACGCCCCATCACTCATTCTCCGTGATGTAAACCCTGCCAACAACCAGCTCATGGACACCGTGTTACGCACAGCCGTGACGAAGAAAGGTGATTGCACCCAGTTGAAGGTCTGTCTTGCGGGACTGCCGGGTGAACAGGGTTCTGTCGTTGGAGGACCGGTCATGGTGCCCTTGGGTCTCATGCTGATGAGGCAGGCTGACTATGCGATCGCGTGCACGACACCTAGTGATGATTGAATGACTTTTGGATGACCCGAACTACCTTGTATGACTCGTGTACCATTGAATACTCGTATTGTTGTACCTTTACTCGCCTGTTTGTACCATACGAGATGTATATATATAAACCTTTGTGCGATGCGGAACCAAATTATACATGCGAACAACAGGCAAATCGGAAGGTATTGAGTGTCAGTATATAGAATATATCGAAGCATGAGCAACCAATATATAGGTCGAATACCTAATTCAGTCAAAGATGCGTGCTAACAAGACTACAAATCCCCAGCTGAAACACCTCGAATACCGCAAGGAGAAGCTGAATAAAATGTCCCAAGACGTCCACATACAATGTGCATGATCATGCAATCCCCATTCTACGCCTTCATCAAGCTGGTTGAGGATATGACTGCGGGGGAAGGGTATTCGGCGTCCCCACGTACGGAGAACTCTGTGGGACAGTCTGGGGATAATATGTCTGCTGAGGAACTGGTACGTTCTGTGTCGATGGTCCAGTCATTGGGTCCTTAGGTTCGTAAACTCCAGGCGTCCCCGCTGGAGAGGTCACGCTTGTTGCAAACTGGGCATCCTTGACACTGTAATGCCAAACGTCTCTGCCATTGTTATGAGACACCAGAGAGAGCACGGCGAGTCCTACGGAGTAGAAGAATACTGAAAGGGGCTGAGAATGCAAGTACATGAATGAAATTGCATCGACTTACGCAAGAGCCAGTTTAGGTGTCCAAACGCCTGAATAGCTTGGGCTTCTCTGCAGCCAACGATGATGACAGTAAAGTTGCGCCAGCATGTAAGTGTCGAGTTGGCGTAGACTTGTGACGTTACGGCCGCAGATGCGAGCCAAAGAATGGCGAGCGTTCCTGTCATGTTATGGTTAGAACACCGTATGCGCTAGAGTCTAAAAGAGCGGGTTTTACCGATCCAGGACAGCTCAAAGATGATTTTAGAGGTGAAAGCACCCTTTCTTATATGATCAATGATCAACCTGATAATGACAAGGTGTGTGAATAATGGGGTAAGATATCGCACAAATGGGGCGAACTGACATTGCGGGTAAGGTCAACAGAGAGAGCAAAGATACAGCAAGTGCAAACGCCGCATATGGATCATAGAACGGACTGACGAACTTCGTCTCCGTAGTAGCGATCCAATGTGCGCTCAACGCCAGGATGATAACTGAGAACAAGGATACAGTTCCTGTATACAACTCTTGTCAGTACATACTTCTGCATGCAATTGTTTCCATAATTACCAAATGCTACTAGTCTGGCCAGCTCAAGATGCTTCGACTCGATACGCATGGCGATGTAATAGCTGGGGAGGTAAGAACGGGGGGAAGGAGCAACCCTAATTCCTTCTCCAGTCGTGAACACTTTTCTATCATGAGGGCGTCTGAATAAAAGACCCGAGCAAACTATTAATGACAGTTGGGGTCAGGTTGCGGCGATGTCGCGGTGCAACCGAACTTAGCGGAGGCCAAGCCAGGGCGATAATGCAACCTAACACGCTTCGCCTATGATTCCTGACATTTCTGGTTGTCATGTGCCTGATTTGTGTAAATGATCTTCTCACTCTTCAGCCATGGACATCTACCAGATAAATCCAGCATTGAAAGTACCAGGACGACTATATAGGACAACTACATACCTGCTTTCAGAGCATAAGGTTTGAAACATCGACAGTGCTGAACTTCAAGTTCCAATATCTGTAGGAGCGGTGAGCGACTGACATTGAGCAGGGATGCTTACCTGAATATCAGAATCTTGATATTGCCCGCCACGTAAGGCAGCTCTTATAGTTCAGTCAGGGACATCTGCTTGATACGTCAAAAAGTGCCTTAAGTCGGCTCTATAGATTGCAAATGTGGACTGTAAAGCAAGCATGCAATGCGAACGGAGTGCAATGTTAACAAGAAAATGTTCTAACTAGTGTAGCCAAACTTCTGAATACTGTAACAGATAAATAATGCAATAGACAAATGTGCCAGAAAGCCAAACATCGCAGAACACCGAAAGAACACCTCCATTAACAAGCACTCCTCAAAGCGAAAACAGAAACCAATGTAAAGAAAACACAGCCCAGAGATCCGGAGCATAATTCGTGATGAACGTGTAGATGCGTGACAACAAATGAGACGAAGCACTTCCTTATGAAGCTTGCTTGACCTCCCTGTCTTCATCGTCCTCCACGACAATGAAGTGGGCACTACGTTTGCCCTCTGTGATCGGGACGGGAGCCCACATGGCATGCAGATTGAACCATCCTCCGAGGGAAGGAGTGGCAGCGCGATCAACTGATTCAGTCTCAGGAGCGTTGCTGGAATGAGGGATAGGCACGACGGGAATATTGAGGGCAACCATGTCGTTGTCAGGACCCAAACCGAACTCGAGATGAGCGTGCCCTGTAATCATGCTATGCATAACCAAATGGCAAACCATAATGAACAGTAAGATGGCGAAAACAACGGCGGTGCGTGCTTTCGCCTTGACCGACCAAGAGGAAGGCTGACTCACGAACCCTTCTTGGCAAGGGGTTTGGGGTAAATGTATCTTCGAAGGAAGTCGTGCCTGTAAGGAAGGGAAAACAGGCATTCGGGGCAGGTGAGATGCTATTCGCTCTCTCAAGGAAGGCTTAGGAGGAGGAGCCAAGAAAGCGATAGCAAAGTCTTTCTCGCCTGACGGCGAGGATGGTGTCACGATAATGGCTGGTAGAGGAGCCTTTTCATCGACCAAAGGGAGCGCAAGATCTACGTAGGCGGGTCAGATAGGACACATATACCGATGGTTGAAATAGAGTACCTAGGGGCGCGGGGATCAGGGTATAGTCCAGACGCTGTGGGAAACGGTTGAGACGAGGTGCTGTTAAACCAGGTCTTGAGATGCTGAGAAAAGCTAGACGCAAAGGCGACATACCTCCGGGACGACGCATTGCTGAAGTCTAGAATATGAAGTAGGATAGCGAAAACGACGAAGTAGTAATGCTTGAGATGTCAAATCCTGTGGATCACAAGTATCGACCTTGGGGGTGATATTGCGATGGGGCGAAACGAATGTGGTTTGAAAGGAAAGTGGGAAGCACGAATAGAATTCGGCGAGCAAGACAAACACGAACCCCCAAGGTAACTCGGGCAACGGTTTGGACGATGGTCGGATGGAGGAGGACGAAAAGGAATGAGCAGTGTTCGCAGCTCGCCAGCCGTTGCCATCCAGCGAGATTGCCGCTGACATAATCTGTGCAGCATTAAAAAGGCAAGTCCTTTGGACCATCTCTTTCTGGAAACTCTCCACATCCTCTCCTAAAGACAAATATTGTAGAAATGGCTCTTGTAGACTCTCCTTCACTGACTACGTCCTCCAGGCCGCTTAAAACAGGCTCTCTTCCTGCAGAAGCCTATGTTCTATCATTGGCTTCATTACCGTCTCATTATGCCGCAGCTGCTTCTTTCCCGATCAATACTATTCATCTCTTCGATAAAGCAACCCTTAGAAAAGTCTTGGAACTACCGGGCCACCATAATTCGCTTTCATGCTTGAAATCAGTGAGAAACATTGGCGGGTCAGGGCGTGAAGCACTGCTCTCTTGTGGCAAGGATGGGATCGTCAAGGTCTGGGATGAACGATCAGGGTCTGTCGCTTTGGAGAGTAAGTTGATGTTTGATGTTGATGTGACATTTGAAGCTGAACTCAAGGAGTCTATGCCATTGAATAGTGCATGCATATCCGTCCAATACAAGAAGAGCTTTGTTATCTTGCGACCTTTCTGCCGATGGGCTCACTCTCGCTGCCGGAACCGATCTACAAGGCGAAGATGCACTATTGCTTTACTGGTACGGATCTTCTCTGGGTACCTCCTCTTTGACTATGCGCCAATATAACTTCTCAGGGATACTCGTAATCCAGCTGCACCAAGACGTATGCATTCATGCACCCACTCAGACGATATCACAGCTGTACATTTCCTCAAAAGCCATGCTGGCAGGAGTTATCCAAATATTCTACTCTCTGCATCAACCGACGGCCTTCTTTGCACATCAAATCCTGACGAAGATGATGAGGATGAGGCAGGCTTACACGTAGGCAACTGGGGTTGTAGTGTCGCTCAAGCAGGCTGGATTTACGGAAAGACTGGATCACCTGGCATATGGTCATCGAGTGATATGGAAACCTTTGGTGTTTGGTCTTCTGAAGTATATACTTCCCACAATTTTGACAATGCTTGCATACTGATATTCTATCTTATCCAAGCTCGATCGAATACAGGATGTTGACATTCGTCAGCCTTCTCTGCACAGGCAAGACTTCACATGGGTCACAGATTACCTCATAGGTTGCCACAATACTACTAATGTCCTGCCAGACCACGACAATGAACTCGATGTATTCGTTGGGTCTAATGAGTATGTCGTGTCGTCGCCTTCCTATGTTATATTTCAGTAACCGTCGCGTTCCAGGGGCGACATCGCATTGCTGACGCGTTCAGATTTTTCGGATCCCCAGTCTCCTTGGCTCCTTCACCGGACCTGGACAACAGGCCATGTTGGTGTTGTCCGTTCCTTCTTATGGGATGAGTCTGTAAGTTATTGCTACGCATATACCATACGGTCGTTCACCTCTTAACCGGTCTTTATACAGAATAATGTCTTGTTGACTGGTGGAGAGGATTCGAAGATCAATGTTTGGTCAAGTCCGCCTCTAGCTGCACCATGTGACACGCCAACAGGGAGCAAGCGGGACAACGATTCTGATGCTATGGAGGTAGACGAAGGAAGCCCGGTCCACAAGAAAAGACGAGCTTTACCTCACTTGCATCTTCCATTTCCTGGGGTATAAAAGTATCAATACATTATCTGTACATTGCCATGTATGACATTCCAAATCTATTCTACATCCTGAATACTCCGAATCCTTTTCCATCTCCGTCCCATGTTGTTTGCGCAGAGCGACCAGCACGCCCATAACGGTGTTCTCTTGCTGACAACGCAAGAGCCAGGCCCACGGTGTCGCGGGTATCTGTTGGGCGAATAATACCGTCATCCCATAGTCGTGCCGTAGCGTACAACGCCGTGGATTGCTCTTCAATCTCGGATTTGAGAGACGAATGTTTCGTTGGGTCCCTAATTAAACGTTGAGCTGTCACGTCAGTTCGGACGACGAAAGACGCACTTCGACACAGAGGTCATTACTTGCGATAGTTGACCGGGACCCATGACCGAGACCTTCGCATTCTGTTACCAGTTTGATGAGAAACATGAAAGACCTGAGCCAAAAAATGATACGCACCGGCCACATCCAAAGGAATCTTGGTGAGTACTGTGAGGTTGATTAGTGGTTATTTCCAGTCAACGTGGTGCAACTTACCGCTCGTCCACACATGCCTAGAAATTTCCGTCAGCAGAAGTAATGAATTGAGCAAGGGGACTCCTTACCGTAGTTACCCGCACCATAACTTCCACCCACAATGACAGTTAGCTTCGGTACATCGGAACACGCTACAGCTCGAACCATCTTTGCTCCGTCCTTGGCAATGCCTCCCTTCTCTGCTTTGGAACCTACCATGTAACCCGTGACATTGACCAGGAAAAGGAGCGGTATCTGTCGTTGAGAACATAGTTCGATGAAATGTGTAGCTTTGAGAGCAGACTGGGAGAAGAGAATGCCGTTATTTGCGACAATGCCAACAGGGTAACCATGGATGTTCGCAAATCCCTGGTGACATGGTCAATCACAGTATGTACTACGAGGGACCAAACTTACGGTGACAACGGTTGGGCCATATTCTTTCTTGAACTCACGGAAACGACTACCATCGACTATTCTGGCGATAACGTCCCTCATGTCAAATGCTTGCCTGAGGTCGGTACCAACAATGCCGTGGAGTTCATGCGCAGGATAGACAGGATCTTGTGGAGGAACTGGTGGCTACGATTAATAGAGATGAGCTGGAACCACGTTAAACTCTTAGTCGACGTACTGGAACTTCGCGTCCGCCAGCCTTGCCAAGGTCGCTAACGATACCTCTCGCAATGGCAATGGCATGCTCATCATCTCTGGCGAGATGATCTGTAACTCCGCTTTCGGAAGAGTGCATTTGACCGCCCCCGAGGGTTTCCTCATCTACTTCCTCACCAGTCGCTGCTTTCACAAGCGGAGGGCCAGCTAGGAAGATACGACCTTGCTCTCGGACAATGATATTCTCATCCGCCATCGCAGGGACATACGCGCCGCCTATTGAATGTGTCAATTACAGCTACAGCAAGTGTAGACGTGACCCGGACCTGCAACAGAGATGCCGTGTACTATGGCAATTTGAGGAATGCCTAACGCAGACATTTGGGCCTACCAAACGTGAGTTGGTATTTCATAGGTGGAAACTGGACCATACCATATTGTAAAATATCCTGCCAAAGTGTTCTTTATCCGGGAACACCTACATCCACGCGCAAGTATTAGTCCACCAATCGATAAACAGGATGAAAGAGGCTAACATTAGCTTGGTGAGGTAGTGCAGCACCTCCGGACTCAACTGCGCCACAATTAGCGGGAATAGGCAGACTGTGGGATGCAATGCGCACCAACGTAGACGCATGGCAAGCCATGTTCCCGAGCAATCTCTTGTGCGCGAAGGTGCTTCTTCACCTAAATATCTAGGAGAATAAGCCGTAATGTGCAATGCGCATGTAATAAGAACGGACCGTAAGAGGGTAGTATGAGCCTCCTTTGACGGTTGCATCATTGACAACTGCAACGCATTCTCGTCCTGAAATACGTCCAATACCAGTGATGATTCCAGCTCCTGGAACCAAATCAGGGTAAACGTCATGAGCAGCAAGCTGAGACAGTTCAAGGAATGGGGTATGAGCATCTAACAAGAGTGAAAGCCTAATACATGTTAAGATCAATTCAGGGAAGACATGCTCCGTGCTCACCTCTCCCGAGGGAGTTTCTTTCCCTTGCTCCTCATCCGTTCCGCAGCTTTTGCACCACCTCCTAACCTCGCAGTCGTGGTCTTTGCTTCAAAATCAGCCACAAGTTCATCCATGGCTTCTGCCTTTGCCACGAAATCAGGCGAGGTAGTTGAGATGCGTGATGGAAGCACAGATGGATGGTATGCTCTACGACCATTGACCACGCGACGACCGAGCGAACGGCGCACCGTCGCGTACATCTTAAGGTGCTATTGTAGCTGGAAAGGTTATGAGATGAGAGAAGAGATAGTTTTGGTCGTATTCATTCAATGCGGGGTTAGCATCCCAAATTAATGCGGGGAAAGGTCCGCCCGATCCCCACGTGAGATGATCGAAATACTGGGTAGAACCATCTCGCACTTGTGGTTCTGAAAGCTTGTGAATGAACTTTACGGAGTCTCAGGCTCACCGTCCAGAAGAGAGTAGCTTCCATACCAAGACAGGTCAAGGACCATATAGTACAATACGAGGAGAGAGTAACTAAAGTATAGACGTAACAGCATGATATCATAAATCTGAGAAGAGTTGTTTAGTAGACATAACGGACTGGTTCGCAAGTTCCACAAATTCAGACACTGCATATTATGAGTAGAAGAATGAACTCACAGTCAGGATTCTCTTTGTCAGTGAGGTCGTCGAATGCATGTTTGTGCGCCAAACGCTCATCCTGCGAAACATGTTAGGAACGGTTTAGGGCCGAGCGAATTGGCAACAAACCCTATCTTCTCCGTTTGCTTGGGATTCACGAAGACCTTGTGCACGTCTCTTGAGAACGTTAAGACGCATCAACCGAAGACGGAGGAATACGATAATCGCTAACTGTACTCCGTAGACGACAATGTGCGCGACGAAGGCCTTGATGTATCTTGGGGAATCGTTTGAGCGGAAGACTGCCCAGATGCAGGTCAATTACCAATGCAAGTCTTGCACATCATGCCTTTACCTTGTGGTCCTACCGCATTGCCCACTGCCCAAGCGCTATGCAAACAGTCAGCATCTCGACTGCAGAAAACTGAAATTGAAACACCGACATGAACACCAGAGAAGAGGCGATGACCTGCTTCGTGCGACCAGCGACATTGTTCGACATGACCGCGAGGTTAAGGACGGCGACAGCTCCGAAGCCCTGAGTGCAGCTGCATGATGTCAATCGCGCACAATGAAAACGAGGATAAAAGCATAACGTACTAGAATGCAATCAAGAGCCCGACTTTGGTATGTGCATTGGTCGGGACAGCTGAAATTAGTAGTCAGCTCAGAGTTATGAAAGCAGGAAGACATGTCGTGCGTACTAAGGAAGACGATAGTGCCAGCGATGTTAGGAAGAGTATACAACTACAACCAGAGTTCAAATACACAGTTGCTGAGTAAGACGCAATGCAGGCACTCACGAAAGCAAAGACCAACTTGTTGTTATAGTGCTTCGAAAGCCAAGCACCGCTGAACAAGAAGGTCATGATGATAGCGCCTTGAGCAATCGCAAGCAGGTAAGTCTGCAATTGAGTGAAGCCCTATGACGGGCGGTTGAGAAGTCTGCACAGGCAATCTGGACGGAGAATGACACACGAAAGCTTGCAGGATAATGTTTGAGAATGCGCCCAATCCACCGGTTGGCAGCGCATTAGTGAGAGATATGAGCGTGACAGCCCAAACAGTAGGATCTGTGAGGGCTTCAACTGCAAGGCCAATGTTCAGAATATATGTGGTATGTCCGAGTCAATACTATTCACCAACTTGGTACATCTATTCATCGAAAACGTTAAGGACAATGGACCGATGTCATTGATGAGTGACGTACTTTAAATTGTCGATTCTGAATACCTGTCTCGTTCTTCCGAACGCGTTCAGCAATTAACAGGCGGTCCTCCTTCGACCAACACTTTGCACGCATCGGACTGTCCGGAAGCCAAAAGAAAACAAAGATACCCCAAACAACGGTCACGCAACCGAGTATCTGTAGAGAAGTCGGTTAAGATGCGATTGGAACGATGCATGTATAATGAATACCTACCGTAAACAGGATTTGCCAGTTCTTAAGAGTGGCGTGATGTATTTGGGCGATACCGTATGCAATCAGACCTCCGACACATTGTTGGAAGCCATTCATGGAATAAAATGCACCAATGACGAGAGCTTGCTCCTCTCGAGTGTACCACATAGTAGAACTGGTTAATAATAATATCAGGCAAAGCACAGGGCACATATATGGCTGTATCTCAACTCACAGGAAAACAAAGGCAGGCTGACAGACACACTCAAAGATACCGAGCAGGGTCCGGACAATGATGAGACCTGTAAAGTTAGAACATGCAGCAGTACAAGCCAGCACAGCACCCCAAGCCGTTATACTATCATACATACGTCAACATTCAAATCTGCACGCAATAAAGCGGCAGATCGCTCACTTGAAGGCCAGATACTTCGCAACGGGAAGACGTTGGATGAGTCGATTCGTAGGAAATTCCCAAGCAAGGCTGGTCAAACCATGTCAGCCCGGATGACAGACTGTAATGAAGATATATAAAAGTCACATTGCTATATAAACTGTACATGAAAAGAGTGAGTCTCGTCAATAAGGTGAACCAATGCAGAACCTACCACACGTCGTCAACCAGGCATATTGCTGACCATGTAGATGATTGTCCTCCACAATACCCATGATGGACGCGAAGTTGATCGTACTGGCATATGGGTTTCGTTGGGTATCCGATATTAAATGGTGCCAGGAAGATGAACGCACCCCTTATCCAGAGTCTGAGCGAAATACGTAACGACCATCACAACAAGTACACGTTTATGAACCATCCAACGAAGACGGCGATTTGTCGCGTCGTCGATGACCACACCCTCAGGAATGACCGCGGACTCATCAGCAAAGAACCTGGCAACTTCAGCATCGATACCGGCTGGAGCTGGTTGGACACAAGATTGAGTTTGTGAGGAACGGGCGGATATAAGAAGAGACGCATGCCTTCGTTCAGAGTACCACTGCTGACAGAGTAGAGGTCCTTCTCTGTGTCTTCCATCATGACAGGGCTCTCCATAACGTCCTTTTGAACTGACGACGAAGACATGGTATAAATGGCGTCGTGGCAAGCCGACGGAGACTTCGAAGTACTCAAGGGCGAAGCTCTCGGGGAATTATCCATCTCATTGCAGACAATTTATGCGTAACAGCTCCGATGTATCGTAGCTGTCACACAACCAAACAACGAACTACCCGAACCTCGTGAACATCTTGTTAGCCACAGCATCACAGACGGTCCGGAGATATTGCCCCACGGGGTACATTTGTCGTACGCGCCTCACCTTTTTCGATTGTGTTTGAGCATGATGTTCTGAAGAATAGTTCGATCACCGATCGCGTGAGGAACAGCGGGCCGGCTGTGCCTGGGCAGTATGAATACCTACCGTCGGACATCGAGCAGAGAGAACAAGCCGTCCGTCGCGCACCCCTCACCTCACACCATGTCTGCCAGGAACATCAACCCTCAGAAAGTCTCCTTGCTAAAGACCATCCGAAGTCTGATCAACTGTCTGGTCAACATCAAGGATGAAACTGGTCAATTTCTCATGACTTTGGAAGACGGGCGGGTCATTGATACCAAAGGATGGAATGACTGGGAGGTAAGATCATAAAGTAATGTATTGCCTGAGCCCTACTTACAAGGAGTAGTGGACCCACGGAATAGGTTAGAGCATCATGATACCATGCACGAACCACTGGCTTAACGTTCGTTAGGACTTTATGGCTTGTTGAAATTTCATGAGATCACCGGAGACGAAGAAGCTCTTCGCATTGCGCTCTCATGGTTCAAAGATCGTTTTGAAATCGGCACTACAAAGAACGTCAATACCATGTCACCTTTACTGACTGCAGCGTATCTCCACGAAGCCAAAGAAGCCAACTACCTTGCTCATCTTGATTCATGGGCAGAGTGGGTCATGTATGACATGCCCAGGACAGAGGAAGGAGGTTTGCAGCACATTACGTACCTAGTCGACAACTATCAACAATTGTGGGATGATACCTTAATGATGAGTGTCCTGCCATTGGCGAAGATCGGCTTGGTGCTGGATCGTGCGGAGTACGTGGAGGAAGCAAAACGACAGTTCATGCTACACATCAAGTACCTCGCCGATCCAAGCACTGGCCTTTGGTTCCACGGTAGGTGTTTAACTCCGTCCTATGAAGCGATGGATATTGACGGTACTGCATAGGTTGGACATTCGACGGTCGTCATCACTTCGGTCGTGCCCTCTGGGGGAGAGGAAACTGTTGGATCACGGTGTCCATACCTGACTTCGTTGAGCTTCTGAAGCTCCCACCGTCCGATGGTCTCCGTCTATTCCTCGTCTCCACGCTCAAGGCGCAGATAGACGCACTGGTACGCCTCCAAGATCTTGATACAGGGTTATGGCATACAATCCTAGATGATCCAACATCATATCTCGAAGCTTCCGCGACAGCAGGTTTTGCATACGGAATCCTGAAGTCCCTCAGACTTCGCCTTATTCCGAAGGAGGAGCGCTATGTTACCGCGGCGAAGAAGGCTATAGACGGAGTTCTGAAGAATATATCCGAAACTGGGGAGCTGCAGCAAGTATCGTTTGGGACCCCAGTGTTTGACACGAAGGAAGAGTACAAGAAGATACCGTTGACGAGTATGCCGTACGGGCAAAGTTTAGCCCTCCTCGCGTTGACCGAGTACCTTAGAACATTTCTATAATTGTTCACAACTTCCAGGCAAGAATGAATAGTGGATTCGAGTGTCTTAAAGCAGCCTAAGACTCGACCAAGTCAATTGTCCAAGTTGGCACGATCGTGGTCGAAGAGGGAAGGTGAAGTTGGGCTGCAGGGCGCTTACTACTCATTAGATCTCATTCAGCGCCTATTTCTCTGAACACCTTGCTTCTTGCCTCCTACTACCTGCAGCCACCAATCTATATACCACTCCATACCCAGGATCTATTGATACTCTCTGGTTCTCCAAGCTTATCAGCAGAACTTAAGCGAACTTTTACTCAAAATGAACGGACTTGCCGATGAACTCCTAGCCGATCTCGAGGGTCTTTCTGAAGGCGAGCAAGAGTATGAAGACGAGAACCCGCCTGAGGCGAATGAAGCCGGACCTAGCAATGGCTTGAAACGCAAAGCGCCAGAGGATGAGGAGATGTCAGATATAGAAGCCGAGGGAGACGAACAAGAACAGAAGGCAATAGGTGGACTCATACTCGAAGGAGGTATCAAGCCTGCGGAGGAATTGGATGTTGAGGAAGTTCAGCGGATGGAATTGGGCGGTATTGAGGACGTTCGCAAAATTGCTAAGCTTGAGGGGAGCAAACGCATGAATGACATCTTGAAGGTCGGTTGATTCGCCTCTAGGATTTTGACCATGTGCTGACTTTTCGATTTGTATGAATTGTAGGAAATAGAGAAGTACCAGGCGAAACCCAGTACTCCTGAAGAGATGGCGAGACCAGCACACTCAAATCCAGAATATAGTCTCATTGTCCAGGCAAACAACTTGTCTGTAGACGTCGACAATGAAATTATGGTTGTTCACAAGGTATGTTATACCGCCGTAATCCTTGATGACGTCAAGTCTTGACTTTCATTATAGTTCATTCGAGATCACTATGCACCCAAATTCCCGGAATTGGAACAACTGGTGGCAGATCCTCCAATGTATATTCGTTCAGTCCGTGCGTTGGGTAATGCTGAGGTACGCAGCTCACTTGTCGTATTATTGTCACTAATAGAACTAAACGCACTGTTCTCTAGGATCCGACCAAGGTCGACCTGCAAGGGGTTCTTCCACCCGCCATCATCATGTCCGTCCTCGTTACTGCCACCACAACGTCCGGACAAACTTTACCAGAGCACGAATGGCAAGCTGTCCAAAGAGCTTGCGACCTCGCTGATAGACTAGAGGAAGCACGTAAAAAGGTGAGCCTTCCCGCTTTTCCGTGGCTCTACTAGAAATCAGGATGCTGATTTGCAAGCAGATATTCATGTATGTGAGCTCGCGAATGAATGTTCTTGCACCCAACCTATCCGCTATCGTTGGTACAACTACAGCTGCGAAATTACTTGGTGTTGCTGGAGGATTGAGTGGCCTCGCCAAGATGCCTGCGTGTAACGTCCACGTACGTTATTACTTTCGTAGTTAATTGATCTATCTGCTGACTATGCTTCTACAGCTCCTCGGCGCACAGAGGAAGATCGCTGCAGGTTTCTCCTCCATCATGCAAAAGAGACATACCGGTTTCGTGTACCAGTCCGAACTTGTACAGCAGACTCCGCCCGAATACCAGCTCAAGGTACAGCGCACTATCGGAGCCAAATGTGCACTTGCTGCTCGTATGGACCTTGAACGAAGACGACGAGATGGTGCGTCTATAGCAATTATCGCTCCATGTGTGTGGTCCTAGCTTAAATGACGTTTTACAGGCAGTTATGGTGAAGAGCTAAAGGAGAAGATCGAGAAACACATCGACCGTCTCGCCGCTCCACCACCAAGTAAGATCGTGAAGGCTTTGCCGATACCCAACGACGGACCCAAGAAGCGACGAGGTGGAAAACGGTGAGTTTTCTCAAGAAGCGTTCTTACTACTACGGTAACTATCTGACGCCGATGTACACAGAGCTCGCAAAGCCAAAGAAGCATATGCACAGACAGAATTGCGTAAGATGCAGAACCGTATGGCGTTCGGCGAAGCGGAACAGGAGGTGGGCGCTTTCGACCAGACCAAGGGACTCGGCATGATTGGCACTGGGAAAGTCAGAGCCAATGTCGGCGAGGCGAAGAGTCGAGGTGAGTCATCATTGGAATCTAGCACGGATATGGTTGGACTCATGAGTATCTGCAGCCAAATTGTCTAAGGCCAACAAGCTTCGGACGGCAGCCCTGGCGAGAGCAGGGCAGGCGGCAGGCGGCACACAAACCTCTGGAACTGCAACCTCACTTACTGTTACCCCCGTGCAAGGTTCGTTGATTCTTTATCTTTATGTTGATCGTGCTCATTTGTTTGCTGCAGGTTTCGAGTTGACGAATCGGGCAGTGGCAGCTCAGAGGGTGAAGGAAGCCAACGACCGATGGTTCGCGGGTGGCACTTTCTCATTCATGGGCCAGAAGGGTGCTTAACGTCCGCTTGGCACCACCCTGTACAATTACACTCATGATAATGCTTGTATATACATATGTATGTTATGATGACCTGTTTTCATTGTTCCACACAACAAACACGAACAGCAGCTACAGCAATTAGATGAACTACTACCTCTTACACAACGAAAACAACGATGGAAGAAAAGAAAGAGCATGAAGAGAAAGCAACAAATGGTATGCAAGAAACTCAGAAAACTCCAACCCTGATTATGATGCCGGCGGATGCGCGGTAGCGACGGTTTCTCCCGTCGCTGCGCTTTGTGAAACGTCAATGTAGCCTGCTTTCTTGGGGTCGGAGAGCTTGCTTCGCTTTGTTCGATAATCACGAATCGCAGAGCGAATGGCATCTTCGGCCAACACTGAAGACCACGATGTTCAGAAATGCACGTAGTAAATACGGGGTAAGAGCAACTTACTTGAGCAGTGGAGCTTAACGGGCGGCAAGCACAGCTCTTTCGCAATTTCAGTGTTCTTAATTTTCTCAGCATCCTCCAGGGACAGTCCCTTCACTCGCTCGGTCATATACGAGCTTGAAGCAATCGCACTACCACATCCAAACGTCTTGAACTTGACATCAGAGATAACTCCATTCTCGTCGACACGAATCTGCAGTTTCATAACATCGCCGCAACTATTGGGGGATGCTTAGTCAGACGACGACGAATGAGAAGAGAGCCATTATACTTACGCAGGAGCACCCACAAGACCGGTACCAACGTCAATGTCATTCTTGGGGAGGGAGCCGACCTAGATGAAAGGAGGAGTTATCAGATAATGTGCGAGGGTCTGGGCTGACCAAGACGCACATTTCTAGGCTTTTCATAATGCGAGATCACTTTTTCATGGTACCCGCGAGCGAGAAGAGGTCGTGCGGTAACGCGAGAAGCGCGAGGTGCAGCGTTGAGGACAGTTTTAGAGATCGCAGAGCGGAACATGGTGAATGGGGATGGTGGGTAGATGAGAAAGGCGTAGACGTTGTCGGCCGGCTTCTGCGAATGTCAACGAAGGCGGCTGCTAAAGCGGAGCCCTGATCTAAGATACACGCACGTGATCCACTTACATAACCTGCGTCATCGCCAAGGGTGCTCGATTTGGACGTTTCGAATCTGCCACAACGAAACTTGAGGCCAAACCGTGTTCACTCTCTCTTTGTCCTCGACAGGCCATCATGGCTACCTTAGACAACTCACGTCCTCCCACTCCTCCTAATAATGGTACAGAAACACCACCCACCGGACTAGGTTACTTCTCTGTTCCGTTCGAGAGATTCGTGCGCGACGAGATCTCCGACTGGAGTGGCTTTACACTCTTAGGTAGGTGTACACCAACCCGTGGCCAATATCTATGAGGGCTGACGCGAAATCCGTAGACACGATGGAGACCTACTTTGATTCGCGTCTCGATCTCCTCCAGCGTCAACTGTCGAAACACAGCGATAGACTAAAGACAAAGGCCGAGGAAACATTCAACGATGTCTTTAAGAAAGATGTTCTCAAGAAAATCAAATCACCTTCAGGCGACAATCTAGACCGGGAGATGCAGAAGTTCAAGCTGAAGGTGTGATGCAACTTATACTTTCTTTCTGGATGTCATCGTAACCGTCTTTCCCAGATGACACAAAGGATGACCTCCCTTTCAGCATCCTGGCAGTCTGCTAAGATTGTCCGGACGCGAGAAAAGGTTACCTTCTTCACCGGCGTGATGATTCTGCTCTTTACCGCCCTCGTATTCGGCATGGCTCCTCAGTACGTCCCAAGTGTCTCCCTCACATTCTGTTCTCCATCTCATAATACATTCAAGATGGATACATGTCCTATATACCGTACTCGGATTATACCTCCTTCCCATGCGTGCCTACCAATACAAGAAACGGTCCTGGCATTATTTCCTCTTCGACCTATGCTATTATTGCACTATCCTCAACTTTGTCTTCATCTGGGTCTTGCCAACCAATCCTGGGTTATTCGTTGCATGTTATTGTCTGTCGCATGGCTCATTAGCTAGCGCAGTGATAACTTGGCGGAATAGTCTCGTTTTCCACGACTCGGATAAAGTCACCTCCTTATTCGTTCATATCTATGCACCTCTCACTTTCACCGTTATCCGGTGAGTGCTTATATTGCTCTCTAAGCAGCACTGATTGTGACGGTTCTTCACAGGCATTTCTATCCAAATGCACAAGATCGCTTCCCTGCACTGAAGGAAGTGCATCACCTCCCACCTTTCCGTGCATTGCTCCTCAGTAGTATCATCTGTAAGTCGTTGGCTTCCGTCACCTACGTCATAGTGCAAGGCTTTGAATCAGACGTAATCACTCAGATACCATCTGGCAATTGCTCTATTGGAAGGTTCGTCAGCTAGGCACCAAATGACATTTTACGTATTGAATGACATGAACAGTTTGTCTTGATCAACCGAAGAAAGAAGATCGAATCTGGACAACGGACAACGTCTTTCTCCTACTTGCTGAATGACAAGAGAGGTATCATTGGGCGCGCATTGTCAACTGTCCCTATCCAGTATCGCGAGGTCTCGTTCATGCTCGGCCAGTTAGGTGAGTACACTCATCGATGGGGTGATGCTACAGGCTCTGACAGAGATCTTTTCAGTGTATTCGATCCTTACTGAGCTGCCAGCCGTCTTCGTACTCTATGACTCTCCATTCTGGAGTGGCGCATACCTTCTATTGCTCTTTTCAGTGAGTGTATGGAATGGTGGTGGATTTTACATTGAAGTATTCGGCCGGAAGTCAGTCGACATTTTATCGTGTTAATGATTCCCTTGCTCACAATACGTCTACTCTAGGTTTGAACGAGAACTTGAAGCCTTGCGGAAGGAACTCGCTGAAGCGACTACAAATGCACGATCGACACAGTCCAGTCCAACCCTGGGACCACAAAGCGACGATGAATTGTCGACCATTGCTGGTACACCATATATTAGCGGCAAAGTCCTCTCTCCCTACGCTTCTTGCCCGGATCTACCCTCAGAGACTATTCCGACTGAAGAGAAGAAAGACCAATAAACCACACCGATTTCCCATAGATTCCCCAATTTCCTCGAATGCTAACGATTCTTGTGACCTTGATGACCCCTAATGATATACTCCTTTCTCGCTCTTGGACTGTAGGATAGAAGATTCTCCATCATGACCATCATCGCTGTATGTCTGTTGCTTCAATATTGTATTTCTTGCTACCCTCTGTAATCTCAGCTCTGGCACAACACTATCCACTTTTATGCCCCCTCTTACGATGTTACCTCGCTTTTACCAATATAGATCTACTTTACTCTTCGCTTTTGGTTTTTGAATCTCAAGTTGTGGTGCTTGACATGCAAAGCGTGTTTTCCCTGCAATTGCTGCCGAGTTGTGGATCCAAGCGCGATCGGGACACGATCGAGTAGAAAGGGGCTTCAAAGTCTGTCATGGTTCAAACGTTCAACCACTGACTGACCAGGTATGCACCCCCGGAGAATGTATCACAATGTATTACTTTAAGAAATGATGCCACAAGGGGGTCACGAAGCCTGGCACACACCCAGAAAGACCCCCCAGCCGATCATTCTACGAAATAGAGTAACGGATGGGGCTCCTCAGGAACACGAAGCAGCATCATGATTAACCGTACATCGATTAGGGATTCCATGGAAGGATATTCAGGCAATTCCCTGAAAACATCTCTGCAGACGAGCTGCTTTATCATCATCGCAGTATATAGCAAACATGATAGGAGGCGAATCCATGCGAGAGTTGACTCACACGGCAGTTACCAGAAGCGTACTTCATGGAATGATGCATGTGCCAAAAATCGCGAAAGTGAACGACAAGCCTGGCTTGCGCGCCGTTACACAGCATCAAAGAAGCAGGGAAGTCGCAGTTGCCGTGGGCGATCCATGCCATGCCATGCCAAGTTTCAAGGAACCTCCCGTCCATGTAAAAAGATCCAGAGCTGAAAAAAGAACCTCGCAGTCTGATGCGAAGAGCCATCCTAGGACCGCTCCTACTCCTTCCAGCAATCTTCCCGACCCTGCGACCGAGGACATCTACGGCTAAGTAACGGCAAGCAACCGTCCATTCCAAACAAGGTTGGTGACTCCTGTCGCCCGAACCGGAAATTCCATCAGTTACCTGAAGAACTCGAGGCAAGGAAGTTGACCATCGCCTATTTCTTCAAATAGGTCGTGCCCCAGACTTCTTCTCATCTTGCCACCACCACACCCAACACCTCGTCCATCCAAAATGCGTGTTCTGACAGGATCCGCTATAGCCATGTACGCCGATGCGTCCGAACGCGAGGTTGAACAAGTCCTCGACGTCAAGGAGATCGAAGCAGATTATGATGTGTATTTGTTCTGGTATTCGAGTCAGTCGCGGGTTATGGGGAAAGAGGATGATGGCAGTGATGAGGTACGTGGTACAAGGAATGTTCCATTATCTCTCTCCTAAGCAAAGGCTCGCGTTAGGTGTCCTCAGTATCGAGCAGTTCCTATATCCCAACACCACATGACACTGAAAGTTGTTTCTTTCCAAATGCCACGGAGGAGACACTGGAGCAAATTGGATATAGCAGGTGCTTTAGGTCCGGATTCTTCATAACAGTGAGCCCCATCTCCGAAGTCGTTCTCAAGGCTTCAACCGCTCCTTTGAACAACATTACCTACAGCGAGTTTCTCGACGCTTTGACGGACTGTTGCGCCGTCTGAAGGCCGCGCTTGCCTCGACTGAACGAAGGTCTACTCGGTCCTCCTGAGTAACGGCATCCCCAAAATGAAGCCCGGATCTCCTTGTTCCGTAATCGGATCTCAACGCAGCCAATGACCTGCCCCGAGTTTTACCTCATCCACACCTCACTTTCGAAAGTAGTGTATTCTATCAATCTGCCATAGTCAATTAGAGTCTAGAACGCCGTCGCAAAGTTGTTTACGTATACCTTTCTCCCTGCTAGCCTCAGTATTAGATCTGTTTATCAGAAACCGCTGAAGAATCTTCGTCCAGCAGCGGCTCTCGCGGAATGCCGTCGAAGTCAAAGCTTTCCCATTGCGACCCTGTCTTGATCCAACCAGCAAACGGGCCGTTAGGTCCCTGGAGAACTGCCTTGGCTGCTTGATAGTCAGCCATCGACTGTTTCGTCTCGCGGTACGTGAGTGTATCGCTATATGGCTCATGAGTAGTCTTGTTCGGATGCATCTATCAGACACTCACAACTGAGAGTTGGTATGAATGCTTGCCGCTATTCGACGGTAGAGATTGAACAGCGACAGCTTGCAGAGTCGAGGTCTAAACTTTGGATTGTGACGATGTTTGGGTGGAACGCCGCGCTTTAAACCGTTTATAAGTACTTCGTGGGTTGGAGTAGAATCAGCTGTCCAACAGAGGGCTAAAAGCAGGTCACAACTAAGCAAAGATATGTTACATTGATTTGTCTGAACCTACAGTCATTGCAGGAACTCGACAATCCAAGCGACAACGAAGAATGCACAAATCTGACCATCGTGAAAGACACTGTAGGCCTTCGCAATGAGAATCTGGTGGGTAGCTGGGTGACTGTGCAGTAGCTTAGACAATATGCTCGAGCAACCAGACAATCTCGACATTACCATCCAACCCTTCCAATCGTCGCCAGAAGGCTCTTTCACAGTCTTCATGCACAACACTTTGCAGAGAATCATCGACATCACCGATCACGATATGATCAAGGTATAAAGGCTCCAAAATACGCGACGCCAAAGCTCCTTGGAAACCCAGGACATTCCAACTCGCGATCTTGTCGCTGCATGACATGCATCGTGTCGGAGGAGAGTCTGCACGACCGGGCTTCGTACGGAGGACGCCAAACAACGAGTAGTTGTCCCGTCCTCTGGATGCGACGTTTGGTGGCAAAACCGGAAACTGGGAAGAGTCCTTTAGTGCGGCCATTTCAGCGTCCTGGAATGATGCCAAGTAGCGCATCGACGCGTCACCACCTGCGAAAACATCAGAAAATAGACGAGATGATATCGAGAGAGAGTTACATGGTACTGTAGAGACATATAGTACGACCTGTACGTTTGACCTCAGAGCAAACCTCTCAGAACGTGGTCGGTCGATCCAGTCGGAAGGTGAGGTATGAGATCGGTCTACTTCTTCAAGAAACCACCGAATGGCACTTCTTCTAGCCAGCACCTCTGCATGACTATCATGGAGGACATCCCCCTCTTCGCAAAGACGTATCTCTGGCAGACATTTTGATCCAGTCGCGAGTGATATGATTTTGAGTTCATCAGAGGACGTGTTCCATAGAAGAAAAGCAGCAAGAATGGTAAATTTATCTCCTGGAGGTTTAAAGGCCAATGTAGAATAGACGTTCAGAACGACTCGAGCAACTTCATCAGGATCGTAGACGTGCATTCGACATGGACGTCGTTCGCGACTTGTGAAGTCGGCGCTACAAGGTGATCGAAACCGCTCGGCAGTTTCCGGGGGCTCAGAATCTTGTCAAACGGTCGAGGTGTCCACGACAGTTGCGCTCACCGTTCAAGACGGTGAAGACCAAGTCAATATGCCACGACTGCCTCCTCAGCTGGCCCGAGCCATCGCGCGTGGTCCTTCATTACCAAGCACTTCGTCAATATCAGTGCGGAACTCAATACAACGACCGACACTCTCATTCTTGAAGCCTTCTCTCAGTCCCATTCTCTCACTCGCTCGTCTTCCATTCAACTCCTCCTCAATCACACTTCCATGGAGTCTGCCATCACTATTTACACCTCAAGCGCAGCAGACGCGCTTTGGCTCACGAGGAGCTGAGTATCAACCGTCACAGAGGAAGCGAAAGCGCAAGCACGGTTTCCTTGCCAGAATGAAGACCGCTGGAGGTCGAAAAGTTATTGCAAGGCGAAGGGAAAGGGGTCGTAAATTTTTGACTCATTGATGTTAGAGGTGCGCATGATCTTTTTTGATCCAGTACCAAGGCTGACTTCCACCTGGCAGAAGTGGAGCATTATTGGGTAGATGACCCAGTCGGGTCTCTGGACTGCCCATAGACCTCATTTGACACATTTTTGCAAATGCAACTACTTCGTTTTTGGCGCTTGTCTTACAATCGAACCATCAGGTGTGAATGGCCTGACCATCTTGAGTAAGAGGCACTTTCTGCCAAGTCGCCGCTGAGCCTGTTCTTCAAAAAAAGAAAAAAGAAAAAAAAAACAAAGAGCACGCTGTTACCTTGCATGTGATACATTATGGCAACCTCGTCACGACCTGGTAATTGTTCATACATTCAGGTACGAGTCTAGAGTAATGTACCTATTCACTCCATACCTTAACCCTGTCCATCATGCTCATACTCTGTCGACGCAATGAGGCTGTGGATGGAGCTGGTATGCTCTCCTGCGTATAAAAAGGCTCTGGAGAGCTTGGGGATATCTGACAATCACATCCACAATCAGAACCATAACATCACGTCTTCCATACCCTATACCAAAACAGAAACATCATGCCTCTTTTCGGATCCAAACGTCGTTCCCATACAACTTCTGCTTCTACCTCCCGCTCTGGACGCTCTCGATGGCCACGTTTCGGAAGGAGAGACCCAGACCGTGTAGCTGGTGGATACAGTGAGTACCTGCTTCTTCCGGCTGCGCCGCGGATCTCATGGCGATTTTTGCTCGATAGAGGCTGCTCTGGCGAACCCAAACACGACCCGGACTGGACGTAAACATGCAAAAGCCGAATTACAGGCTATGGTAAGTCGTCTGCTACTTACCTATTCAATTGGGTGGTATTCACATGTATCCTCAGGGTCGAGGCCGAGAAGCTAAGCTTCCACTCATGACCAGAATCAAACGTGCTCTCGGTATGCGTAGTACACCTCGCCGAGAAAGGGTGCAGACCACTCGGAGGATCTAAGTCGGTCGACGGAGGTTCTGAAGGTCCTCGCTGCTACAGTATCATAAGCCCTCTACCGTTCACGGAACATACATAATTTTGTTACTTTCATCCCCAGATATTTTATCCTACCACGCTCCTAGTCAAATGATACCTATAGACGGACTATCGTACATAGTAGCTGCCGTATGGGACTTATACAAATACCAACATAACATCACAATTCACCATCCGTAAAACTGCCTATTGACTAGAAATGAACATCATGAGATCATATTCCATTGAGACGTGGGCAAATATATACTATAGTACATGATAATACTATGCAAAGCAGGATACAGAGTAGTTGTTACGAGAATAAAGCAATGATAGTACATTATGTCACAGCAAAGCGAGTTACTCACGCCACGATAATCATACAAAGATTACGCCTTAGGTTCAGGGGCACTTAGGAAGTAGTACATATTTTCCGTTGCAGGCTGATCGTCCATAGCGAGCTGCAGGAACGAGGTAGTGGCTCATTCAGCTCGTGGAGAGAACAGGCTGCCACACGCCAGGTGAGTTCTCCTCCAAATGGTATAGCATGACACGGTCCCATGAGATGGGGATCATGTTTGCCTGCAACGAGAGAATCAAAAACATGCACCAGTGAAGAGTTAGAAGAAGGAAGGAGTGCAGGACATGTGCTTACCTGAAGGAAGTGGACACATGCACGGGCTATTCGACGCGCCACAGTTTGCAGTTGTACACGCCCCTCATAGCCATCCACGGGGATCTCATAAGTCATGGACGTGTAGCCTGTCCACTAAAAAGGGAAATTATCAGTAAGTTCATGCATCATGGAGAGACAGTAAGAATGGTAAAGCTCACCCTGATCTTGAGGAGCATACGCCCTCGATGATCCACACCGAGGTCGTGGTAGGAATACTGATCATTTGAAGACAACCGAACATTCGACATGGCTTCACCGAGAGTGATGCCACTGCGAAATCCACCCTTTCGCTTGAACTTGATAATAGTAGAACCGTATCGACGAGCGTAATGATCCAATCGTGGGCGGGAGCGATGAGACATCGACGAATATCGTCGCTGTCTCATGCCCTGAGGTGCGTATGGGGTGGCATACCCAGCATCTGCGTGGTAGGGGTCGAGGTCATCGTAATCTGCAGAACAAGTAAGAGTGAGATATGGCGATATGTCGTACAGAGAATATGACGCACGATGACTGGCGTATTGGCTTAGTGTCCGTTGTGGGGTGTAGATCGGGTACTGTGGCTGAGGGTAGTTCTGCAACTCGTACTTAGTCAAACTGCCAACCGACGGATCTTTAAACATAACATACCTCGCCGTATGCCCCGGCCATTAAAGGATCATGATAAGCGTGGTCACCAGCGTAGGTACTATATTGACGGGGGAATGCAACTTGACTATTGTAAGTGTCGTAGGCGGGATATGCCATGGTGAGTGAGCAACAGCAACTGTTGAGATGTGCTGTGTGGCGGGGAGAATGGGGGACGAGGGTGTCGCGAAGAGGAGAGGGAGATGTAAGAGTATTTGTATATATATGTGCCCTAAATTCAAGGGTGTGGTTCGCGGAATCACGTAGGCGAGAAAGAATAGAGCACCACGAGGCTCGCACTGTTCGGAAGGCACAATTGAATACTGTTTCGCAAATAGAGCGAAGCGAACGTATTGTGCATGTTGGTTTCCATGAGCAAAAATGACGCTATCCCAAGGGTTATCCCCTGGACCCAATATGCTTGCAAGACGATCCGGGTCTCCCCTATTCCGAGGCAAATATAGAGGATTCCTGATGAACCTTGAGAGAGTGAGAGCATTCTGGCTTAGCGAGTGCTGCGAACAGTTTGCATGTGTCAAGCCGCGGCGCCAGGAAGGCCGGGAAAGCACCAATAGCTTGAAGTTAAGCCACCAGAGTCGTAGTCGTGTTCGTCGGAGATGAGCCCGGCGGTGTAACAAGGTGATAGAGAACATCGTATAAGTTTGGGCGTGACACCTTGCCTCGAGGAGAACACGTTGAAGCCAAAATAGAACCCAAAGACACAGAAAAGTGGTAAAGGCACGGCGATCCATCGGAAAAGTATATCGGGCACCGGTTGCGACAGATGTAGCAAGATCCTAAGATGCCGGGAAAGGGCGAGGGCGAGAAGATATTCAATATGAAATTCCCTGTGATAGCCTGAGACAGCTACATTGAGAAAAAGGAGTATAAGTTGTGGCAATTGGGTGAGAGTTCTGAGAGGTTGGAGACACCCATATATTTGGCAGAAGCTTGTACCCTGAACTTAAAGCATGTTACGTCAAGAGCCAGATCACAATGTAGTTGGCAAGCCTGCAGGCTTACTGTGGTGACATACACAACCTAACTACGAAGGCATCATATGCTGCTTCTCCGGGCCTAGCGGGCAGACGCAGCGGGTGATAGGCTGAGGTTGCGAATTCCACCGGTCCCATCATGAAGGAGACTTCGCACTGTGAGAACGAAGCCGAACACACCTTTACATATGAAAGCTATGATGCCACATCGTCAAACTCTTATCTACGTCAACTTCTTGCATGAAGATAAGTCAACATAAGGAATAACATCATCATGAGCTGAGTCACTCACTGCTTTATTTCGGGATCTGCATATTGGATATAGATAGTGATTGCACGACCTAGGATCGTCAGGAGCATTCTGAGACGAGAAAGGCGAAATCAAAAGCACTGCTATGACAGAAGGGTATCTCTTCTATGAACAGCGATGACCGGATCGGCAGAATGTGAGACTGCAGAGCTTCTTGTATCTTATGCCTCTCATTCAGGCATGAAAGTCAACCCTGGAATGCGTTCCAATTAGATAGCACGACATGAAGGTTGTGAAGCAAGTTCAACATACCAAATATTTGCCGCGATCGTTCATCGCGATCACAATGATGCGCTATTGCGTAATTGAGGAAGACCCAAATCGAGCAACCTCGACTCTCACTGAGCTTGGGTCTGTCCATGCGGTTGAACTTATTCCCCTACACCCACCTTATCAACATGCCCGTCTTTTACAAACCCGTTCCCACCAGCGAGCACGACGACGAGGAGAGTCAGAACCTCACCAAGTCGCGCAGTGCCAGGATCAAGACCACCTTATTCTACTTCGTCGCTACTATCGCAGTGATGTACGTCGCTTACCTCGCGACCAGGAGTATTATTCGGTCTGTTCCCAAGCATGGCATGCACGGCCGTCCTGGGTGCCATCATCGTAATTTGACCACTTTACCGAGTCATCATATCCTGCCTTCGGGCGACAAGATACCCTCTGTTGCACTTGGTATCGTGAATATGTCTCGGTGTTGGGTGCTTTAATTATTGAATTGTTTAATTGATCATAGGAGTTTGGCAGGCTGGAAAAGGTGAAGTTGGTGCTGCTGTGCAGACTGCGCTCAAGACAGGATACAGACATATCGATGGTGCTTGGATTTATGGCGTACGATGGTCCATTGCTTAGGGGCATCGTATCAATGACTTACTTCGTACGATAGAACGAGGAAGAAGTCGGGAAGGCCATCAGTGCAAGTGGTGTACCTCGTGACCAGCTCTGGTTGACCTCTAAGGTAGGTTCTGGTTCCCTTGTTATCAACACTACGAATCTTTACTGCGATAAAGCTTTGGAACAATTTCCACGCACCTGAGGATATCGAGCCCGCTCTCGATGAGACCCTCACGCGGCTTAACACTGAGTACCTTGATCTCTACCTCATTCACTGGTAAATGAAACTCATATGTTTCCCTTGCATATACTGACCTTATACCTCAGGCCCATCGCTTTCAAGAAGGGCTCGAACAATGTTCTCGATAAGGAACTCACTGCTAACCCGTACCCAACTTGGCAGAAATTGGAGGAGCTCGTTGACAAGGGCAAGATTCGTAACATCGGTATCAGCAAGTAGGTTTTCTTCTGTTGATCCCATGGGAAAACCTTTCTTATATGCCTCGCTTAGCTTCAACATTGCTAGGTAATATCGCGGTACCGTGTGTAATATCCACACGAACTGATGTGTTGGACAGAATCAAGAACTTGACTGCTAATCCTCTGAAGCACAAACCTGCCGTCAACCAAGTCGAACTCAACTATTTCAACCCCCAGCCTGAACTCCTGAAGGTCAGTTTGTGTTTCCTATACCAACGTTAGACCCCATAATAATATTGGTTCTCAGTGGTCGAAGGAGAACGGCCTGCTCCTTGAGGCATATTCACCTCTAGGAAGCACTAAACAAGTCAAAGAAGCGCTCAGTGTTCCGGAAGTAAAGGAAATCGCTAAGAAACTTGATATCACACCTGCGCAAGCTTTGATTTCGTGGCATGTCCAACGAGGGGTTTGTTTCTACATATCTTTCATCATATATGTTGAAGCTTACTTGATCCTTGTGCAGACTATCGTTCTTCCCAAGAGCGTCACCCCTTCACGTGTTCAGGAGAATTTCCAAGGTTTGTTTCACATTTTTCTTACGTATGGAATGGCCATGGAATGTGCTAAACTCATGTGGCGTTTGATAGTTGTTACTCTTCCGGACGATCTCTTCGACAAGCTTGAGAAAGCAGCCACTTCTCACCCTCCACAGCGTGTCGTCAATCCTTCCAAGAATTGGGGACTTGACTTTGACGTGTTTGATGAGAACTGGCCTTTGTAGAGTATCCGTACCAACGCCTTGTGGTGTGGTAATTGACAATCCAGATACAAGACAAAGGAATGAATTAAAAATATGACCCTAAAACCAACAAAAGTGGAACAAGTAAACGACGTGTATAGTATTTACTTCTGCGAGCCAATAAGCTAACAACTGTCATACTATAGTTAAAAAAGAGTCATCTGGGGACATCAGGGATTCGTTATATCATACATTACAATCATTGTCAGGCCCAATGTCACCTCACGCGGACGCAGTAGCGGGACTAGGTGCGGCGACGCTAGGTGCTGGGTTATCACTAGCGGAACCAGGTGTGGCGGCGCTAGGCGCTGGTTTATCACTAGCTTCTGCGTCGGCCGGTCCAGGAACTGGAGCTGGCTCAGTAACCGGTGAGCCCATGTCGAGAGAGCCAGCTCGCGAAGCAGCCTGCGCATGAATTTGCGAGAGTTTCAACTCGCGTTGTTGCTAATCAAGCGACGTTAGACCAGGGTTGAACAAGCAAAGACGATTGATAACATACATCGTTCTGCTCCTTACGATGCTGGAACTCGTCGACGGTGGTCCGCCGCTGTTGAAGATCCTGTGCCAACTTGTCCTCGTGCTTCTGCTTCAACTGGAGAGCATTAAGATGTGGTCAGACCGTATCGGCATTCTGGAAGACTTTGGTACGTACGCTGACATTCTTCTCTGCTGTTCGCTGGTTCTCGATGGCTTCTTCATGGTGATGCTGAGCCTTGTTCAGACCTGTGGCTGCTTTGTGTTCCTGCTTGACTGCCTTGTCAAGGTTATGCTGGGCCTTGTCGGCATTCTAGCATTGTCACAAGTCAGTTAATATCTAAGTAGAGTAATGTCAGAGAAACGTTGTACCTTGATACTCTTGTGATGGGTCTTTTCTGCAGCGTTGAGGTCCTTGATGGTGTGATCAAGATTCTTCTGGTCTTCGCGAGTCTCGCTCGCGATACGTTTCTCGAATTGTCGGATAGTAGGGTCAGTGGACATGCTGTCTGAACGTTTTGAGAAGAAGGGCATTGGTGATCGTTCAAGTCGATGGTGGGGGTGAAGGCAAGGGGTGCTGTATATGTACAAGTTGATGACAGAGTTTCGTCAGTGGCTAGAGTCACCCACTAGCTTGGCAGCTCCCCTGCCTTTTTTGGCAGGATCCTGTTTCTGTCAGATTCTGACGTCATGCTGCCTTTTCGGGGCGATTTGCTGGCGGGATTTGGACGTTTGTGGGAAAAGGGTAATGCCGAGGTCTAGATTGTTATGGAAAAATTGGGACCGTCGAGAGTACTGGGCTCGAGCATTGTCTTCGCCGTCGTCCATTTGCTTGTCGTTGCTCTCCACGTCTCTTCGGTCTCTTCGTCTTTTGCTTTCATCTCTCGTATCAACGCCCGTCCACAGCCGTCCACAGTGCTCAAACCCCTACACGTGTTGGACGTGATAAGGGAGCTCCAAAGCAGGGAATAATCATTCATTAGCCCCGCTGATATCATTATCCAGGTCGCCATGGCCAGGAAAGAAGCTCCGGGAAACGAAGAGTCTCAGTCCTCCACATCACCCGCCCCCCATAGCCGGCCTCGAAATCTCGATCTCTTCAATATCGAGGACGTTGAGAACCCTCTGCCGTCGCCCCCTTACAAGCGTGTTCCATCCTCATCTCAATTTCTTCTCGAGGAATTCCCCGAACAGTCGCCCGCCTATCGGTCCCGCTCCAACCTTGATCTTTCTTCCAGCATGTTAATAGATCGTCCGCAAGACAGAAAGCACGATGGTCTCGATGACGACCGCGACCGTGACCGCGACCCAAGGCTAAAATCTGTTCATTATCACGACGACGAAGCGCAGAGTTCTATGCCACCCAGCGCACGTCCTGCCTTTACTCGCCTCGACTCAAATTTATCATTGGGCGGAGGCTCTAGGACGCCTTCAATCGCTGGTACCGAGACCGATGATGACGATGAGGACTACGATTGGAGCGGAGAAGACGACTTGGTTGACGAGGAAGCTAGGTTCGAGCAGCAGATGGGTGTCAAGAAGAATGCCAGTACATGGCGTTTCAAGAGGTGCGTCAACTTTAGTATGACTTTCTTGCCGTAAGGCACGCATATGTTTTGTTTGCCGTTCGGCCTTATGCGTTCTATGTTATGTCTGCATTTGATCGCAGGTGCTTATGCCGGCGTTACCATACAGGTTCATAACACTGCTCTTCTCATCACTTATCGGCTCGACATTCCTGTCCGGCGTCATTATAACCCCTGCCCTGCTCATCCATTTCTTCTGGTACAAACCGCATCCGACCGATCACCGAAAGTATGTCAAAGACAATGTTCAAGCGTGGCTATTTTGGGCTGCCGCCAATATTACCATTTCGTGGTACCTTGCGCTTCTCGTTGACCTCTTTCCTACCTTTGTCGGCTACTTCGTCTCTCTGGCTTGGGGTCATGTGAGTGAGGCGATCAAGGGCAAACTGGAGCTTTATAATAGCGTGAAGGACAATATCAAGCCATTGTTCTATGCTGCAAGTGCTTGGGTCAGTTGGGTCATCCTGTTTGCGTCTATCTACAATCTGTACAATACAGATGACGAGGACAGCAGCCGAGCATCGTATACGCCCAGGGTAAGTGCCATATTCTTTGCTCAGGTGTTTCTTGATGACCGATGAGCAGTAGGTTTTCCAAGCAATCGAGTTCTTGTTCTTCTTTGCCTTGGTTATATGCGTTCAACGGATGCTTTCGCATGCTATTGGTGAGTTCATGCGCCGCTCCATAGCTGCCATAGTCTAATGTGCATATAGCCTTTTCATTCCATCGTATTGCATACAGGGAGCGTCTCGAATCAGTAACTAACTCTCTCAACGTTATTGAGAAGCTTCGACAGTACCGCCCAAAGCGCACACACTACGCAAAGTCATCATTTGGCTTTGGTCGCTCCACTCCCATGTTATCTGCCATCTCGACGTTATCGCCTTTCGGTGACAAGAGCGCTTCTCGTCCAGGTTCTCCTAGAGGTTCTCCTCGAGGCTCGCCCGTCCAATCGCGATCCACTACTCCTACTCCCGATCGCTTTCAAGAAATCCTGTCGGGGAATGAAGGTGACGGGGAAGATCTTGATGTGACCTTGATGAAGAAGAAGAGCAAGGGGAAGCAGCGTTATGGTTGGTTGGGCAAACACCGTGCTGTTGAAGAACCCGAGTCTGTCACTAAGCGTGACGCGGACCCTCATGCTTACCCTCCCCCTGTTGTGACTTACCCTCCCTCTGCTGTGACATCTCCCCCTCGCAGTGGTGCTACGACTCCCAAGAGGTTTTTGGAGTCAGACGCTGAAGAAGACACTACTGCAGTGGTAACACAGGCCGCGACACAAGCTGCCAAGGCTATCAAATCCGCTGTATTGCACGATGCACGGAATATCCGGGGCAAGTCTGACGATGACTTGAGTGGTTTGGTGTGGACTGTCACTTCGGCGCGTGAGGCGAAACGGCTAGCCAGATCGATATACATGACGTTCAAGAGTCGGCATCGTGTTGATTTATTTCCATCTGATTTTTTCCCTGCGTTTAAGACCCACGAAGAGGCCGAGGCAGCATTCCGCGTTTTCGACAAGGACAATAACGGCGATCTCTCGAGGGCTGAAATCAAGACGACGTTATTGAAAGTGTACAAAGAACGTCGATTCTTGAGCCGCAGTATGCGTGATATTGGCCAGGCCCTGAAGACTTTGGATCACATCCTTCTGTTCTTCGCCCTCGTCGTTTTGTTCTTCATTTCCTTGAGCGTGTTCGATGTAGACGTGGGAGACTCCTTGACAAGTGTATACTCTCTCGGCATCGCGGCTAGCTTCATCTTCAAGAGTGCGGCCAGCAATGCGTTTGATGCTATCATGTTCTTGTTTGTCACGCAGTACGCTCCTGGTTTTCGCGTTTTGATTGAGTTTCCTGTTTGCTGACCCTGTCTCAATGCAGTCCTTTCGATACTGGTGACCGTTGCTTCATTGATGGTACGTCAGTTGGATTTGTTCTAGGTGGACATGGATCTCATTCCTCTCATTCACAGATGATAACCTTGTTGTCAGGAAGATGGGCCTCTTTGCTGTGGGTTTTGTCTACGGGGATCCGTTGATGTCATACTGATTCTCATCGCTTGAACAGACTATTTTCGCTCGGGCTGATGGAACGGAGACGTACTATTCCAACAGCTTGTTGTTTACTAAGTTCATGTACGTCGTGATCATGCGTCTCTAATTCCCCCTACTGATGTTGTGATGCTTCTTACAGCACAAATGCACGACGTAGCGCTGTAAGTCTATTTCATTGCCAAACCTTTGCCACCGTACTAAATATTGACGTCAGAAAACTGCGGAGAACTTGACAATGCAAGTCGCATGGCGAACACCTCTGGAGAAGCTCGATGCTCTGGAGGAATGCCTCAATGAGTGGTTGTCTACCGAGCAGAATCGGTGGTTCGAGTCGAGCACTGGTGTGACATTGCAGAAAATCAACTTCCAACGGCATTTGGAGCTCACCATTATTATCCCTTATAACGGGTATGTCTTCTACTACATCACATTTCCAGTATGTCGTCTGACCCAGATTTCTGTCTCAGGAACTGGCAGTAAGTAATCATTGTTTTTCAGAAGCGATCGAAACAGTTCTCATAAATCCTGCTGCGTTTCGTGTGATGTAATTTCACAGGGTAAGTCTCTTTTCACAGCTCTATCATCACGATGTTGACATTGTGGGATAGGACTGGGGACTGCGGTTAGCACGCAAGACTGCCTTCCATGCAGCAGTACAGTACTACTGCCGTCAACTCGGGATCGTCGCACATGAGGCTCCCATGCCTATTGCATACGCGGATCCAGACACGATGGACTATCTTCCTTCATCACCTGGTTCTTATGATGATGAAGTGGAGCCTGTCAGCGAGGAGCCGGAAATCCCGCCACCACCAAAACAAGGACATAACCAGATCGTGTTGGGCTTCCAACCGCCACCGGATAGGCCTGTGGCTGGAGTCCGTGCTCGCAAGTCGAAGAGCAGAAAGGCCGTCCTACGCTCGATGGGTGCCGATGGTTAGGTTTTTGGATGCCATGATCATGATAATGAATTTCAGGGGACACTGCTTCTTTCTTTGGGGACATTGTTGTGTGCCGTGCCCAAAGATTTCTTGCTTCTTGTAGTTGTGATATACGGAGGTCCTGCTTGGGTTGTTGCATTTTTGTTCGTAGTTAGCTTTAAGTCACCCTCATCTGACCTGGAAATACTTCATGGCATGCTAGAGCCATCCATCCATCTTGCATTTTGTCCTAGATACTGTACAATAGAGTCCGACTTGCTATCCTTTATAGTCATCGTATCGTCCCATAGATCTATATTACTAGCATTCGTACACGCACCAAGTAGTCAAATATGAAAACTCGTAACAGCGTTGCCTTACATATTGCATTACGTAGATTATCATCATGTCGTGAGTCTCATCATGCAACTTCAAGCATGGCTCAAGCAGGAGCAGAAGAAATGGCAAATCACTTAATGAGTACCATGTCTGGGTCGCGCGGTATAGGGGAAGAACGACAATCAAGGACAGCAGTACTGCTTATCTAGTCGAGACTTAGGGTCTTTCATCGAAAGCGGTGTTAAATGCAGGCTTGACTATGTTCAGAGTCTTCGCGGCCTAGACTGCATTATTCGTTCCAGGTCACCGCCGAGGGAGGGATGCTTGGAGAACAAGTTACCTGCGAAAAAGTTGTCCGGAAGAGTGGGACCATCATGTTCCATAGGAGTGTGGATATGCTGGCAATTCTAGTGATATTCTCAGGCTCTGAGGGGTTCCGGTTGCCAGGGCATTAGTGCCTCTCACTGCGACCAATGATAGCGTGGTCAAGCGAGAAATGTCAGGTTATAGCACGTCCTTTGAAGTCCAAGGACTATTCTTCATGATGTTATCTCTGGCAACTTGAATCTGAAGATTCGGAAGGGAAGAGAGACGACCGGAAACGGTCGTGATGTTGATCGAGCGTTCAGTATGATCTTTCCTAATTTCCATTCCAGGAGATTGAGTCATGCAGTGATCGTCGATCGTCCAAGATAGCTAGCCTGGCTGTGGCATAACATGATAGACCATTCCACTGGTATTTAATCTCTTATCGGTGTCCTCTTCAAATCCTAACCCATCCCCTGCGATAGCCAAACGATCTCTAAGCCACAATGCCTGGTCGTCTGCAGGATAAAGTTTGTCTAAACCGATATTGGATATGCTCACACTGACCCATAGAACAGGCAGCTTTGATCACAGGGGCCGGCTCGTATGTCCTAAGAACTCGCCATCCGTTACCTGTCTGACGCATCTTATTTGCAGTGGAATCGGTCTGGAGTCATCGATCCTCTTCGCCCAGGAAGGCGCAAACGTCTTGCTTGTGGACGTGAACCTACCCGCGGCTGAAAAGGTTCAGAAGCTCATCGCCGATCGATTCCCTAATGTGAAGTCTGCCGCCTTCAAAGCGGATGTCGGAAAGGAGGAGGACGTCAAGGCAGCTGTCGATAAGGCTGTCGAGCTCTTCGGTCGTCTGGATGTTATGGTACGTTCATTAATGCTCGGGTACTACACTGACAATATTAATATGTCATAGTTTAACAATGCGGGTCAGTCACTGGTCACACGACGCTGAATCCTGCTTATATGTGTGTTCCAGGCATCATGCACCCCGCCGACGACAATGCGCTCAATACCGAGGAGAAAATCTGGGACTTGACTCACACGATTAACGTCAAGGGTGTGTGGTGGGGCTGCAAGTACGCCATCCTCGCTATGCGCAACAACCCTGTAGACGAGGCCAAGGGTCTTCACACCGGTGGAAGTATCATCAATACCGCTAGCTTTGTAGCCATTATGGGTGCTGCTACGCCACAGTTAGCTTGTGGGTGTCCTTCGCTTGAGGCTTAGAGATTTCCTCAACGTTTACTCGTAGACACTGCATCGAAGGGTGCCGTGCTTGCCATGACCCGTGAACTTGCAATGGTACACGCCCGAGAGGGAATCCGCTTCAACTCTATCTGCCCGTAAGTCGCATTAATATTCGTTGTCATTCTGGTTTACTTACCAGATCGTAGCGGTCCCTTGAAGACTCGTGAGTATAATATCTTTTGACATACTTATAAGAATAATTAACCTTACTACGTGCCTTAGCTCTTCTCATGGACTTCCTGAATACCCCAGAGAAGCGAGATCGCCGTTTGGTTCACCTCCCAATGGGTCGTTTCGGCGAAGCAGTGGAAGTTGCCAAGGGTGCTTTGTTTTGTAAGTATATACATGTGCCAAAGGTCGCACGTCCCTTTCTGAACTGTTGTATGTCAATCATCAGTGGCCAGCGACGACAGCAGTTACATGACGGTATGTTGTTCGTATTTGTGACCCGCAGCATTGTCTTACTAGGAATACCTCACAGGGTACTGACTTCAAGGTGGACGGTGGTTTGACTTCGGCATATGTAACCCCAATCGGCGAACCCGCCCTACCACCTCCATCCAGCCTTGTCTAGATGTCGGGTTAGCTTTGGGGAATGTGGGGACGCTGGGGATTTACCGCAATCTATGGACCATTTACCGCCACCAATTTATGAGGATCTGTTGTTTACGTTCGGACCGCCTGTTGTACAAACCACTAGAGTACATATACAATACATATCCTTTTGCGAAATAGGAGGGGGGATGAGTGACACAACACAAGAATGGAAACTAGATTCCGAAGTCTTTGCAACCCTACCACGAGGTTAGAGTTCTTGCTCTTCTTTAAGCTCTTCATCAAGCTCATCCGCACGTTTCTTGTCACCTTCGGCCTTTTTGATTCGCGCGATCTCTTGTCCAATATCATTATGCAAGGCCTTCTGAAACTCCGGACGATATCCAAGCCTGAATAGGAGTTCCACATGTACAAAGAAGGGAGCTAGAACAAGGGCTGTACAAAGATAGAAGAACCGAAGTTGATGAGCATCGTCAGATGAAACAGATGCCACGCAGCTAACGACACACCTCCTACAATATTGTCGAGTAAGGCAGGAGCTCGTTTCTCGGCGACGCCGTGGCCAACGAATTGAGCGAGCCAAGCTGCTATATGAAGGGCAATCACGTATCGTAGTGCTTCAGGTCGATGAGATACCGAAATTGCAGTCAGAAGTGATAGGAAGAACTGAGGAACGTAGAGGAACTGCAATAGAAATGTGAGCTTGTGAATGAGTGTGAGGTGAAATGAGGGAACACACAGCAGCAACAGGTTCAAGGATATGGTAGTACACGATATAGAATATCCAAATAAATGTAGCCCAGTTAAATTGGAATTCAAGGTAGTCGTTGAACTTGTATTCGATCGGGGGAATGAAGGACGGTCGTGGAAGGTACTGCAACATTACCATGTACGTCCTGGAGGAATCCTTTAACATGTTTGCTGCTTGAGTTGAAGGGGGACATACCATAGAATGATCGGGACACATGTCAGATGAATCCGCACATTAGTCGGATTATTGTGGTATGCGCCGTAGAAAGTAAGCTGTACATAGGTTACTTTCGGAGTTTGGGCATACGACGCTGCGACTGACCTGTTTGCGGACGTCGAAGAGCATGTTGTGGTTGTGAGGAGACCCTGAGGAAGTCCAGGCTAACAGGGGACCATGCTACTTATAATGGTCGCCGAACCGGTGACGGAATGAATACAAGCGTCTACCCCGTATTATTCAAAGCGCCCATACACGTAGTTATCCTCTTGCTACCGTTGGCCAGACTCCGCTCTCTTTCGTTCTACACTCTCCTCGACCATTTCCAGCCACTTGTTAGCTCGCGAATATGGTGAAATCAACAATAGTTGTCAGGGCCACTGATGCTCTTCCTCTGGCTGCTACAGTAGATGATGAACAGGTGAAGGAGTTTATGTTTCAATCCTTTCGAATTGGGAACGTCTAAATTGATGTGGCTTAGACAGAACAAGCACTTCAGGAGCACAAACAACAAGCAAAGCTCATCTTCAGGCGAATAACTCCTAACGTTGAGCCGAGGTGTTCTATTGAAAGCGGACCATACACCTTGCAGTACGTTCACATGTTACACTTGTCACGTACCAATCTCAGCTTCTATTTACAGTTATCTTCTTGCCGACAATGTCGTCTATCTTGTTTTTACTGACAAGTCATATCCACGGAAACTTGCCTTCTCATACCTCGACGAGATCTCGAAGGAGTTTGCGACGTCATATGGTGCAAAGGTTGACTCTGTCAGGAAGCCATACGCGTTTGTAGGATTTGGTATGGTCACCTTACGTCCAAATCCGAAGTTTGCTGAAGCCTTTGCGTTTCTAGACACATTCATGGCCAAAACTGCCAGGCTCTACCAAGACACTCGACAGGCAGGGGCAGGGTCTTCGAATCTGGACAAGCTGAATGATGAGTTGCATGATGTTACGAGAATTATGACCAAGAACATGGAGGAGCTTCTGTGGCGAGGCGATTCGCTTGACAGTGCGTCTGTTTTGCTTATCCTTATCCTCTACACTCTGACTTCGGATTAGGGATGTCCCACCTCTCAACATCCTTGCGGTCCGAATCAGAAAAATATCGCAAAGCTGCACGTAACGTTAACGTACAAGCTATGATTCGACAATATGCACCAGTGGCCGCCATCGTCTTCATCATCATTCTTCTACTATGGTGGCGGCTGTTCTAGCGTCTCTTTTCACATACCCTTCACCTCTAGGTTCATGTCTATATATTATACTTCTGTTGTTTTGGATTCTCATCTTAGGTTCAGCGCGTATAACGACCAAGAGTGTCAATGAATAAGTATAGTAAGTATGCATATCTTGGGCCTCATGTCACGCTCCTCAAGCTGTACAGTATCGGAATCTCGCTGCCGGCATCCTTCCATTTGACACGACGAATTGATTTAAGATAGAGAACATGCTTTTGTCTCCCACCACCACCAACTGCTTCATTTCGAACGTTTGCCAGCCCTGACGATTCTCAGAGTGCTTCAGTGAACTAATTTGAGGTCATGACTTCGTACGGTGTTCCTTTGTCCGGTCGTGCCTCTCCGTTGCCTCAGTACGCTCAGCCTATTGGGGTTCAACAACCGCAATACCCTGCTGTCAATCCCCAGGGCGCACAGATTAACCCTGGCACAATCACTTATACGACGACGACAGGACCTGATGGTCAAGTAATCTATCATCCTTTCAGGTATGTACCGTAGACTGTGGTCCACCTCGATGTTGAGTGGTATGTAGTGGCTGTTTCGCTAACTTTTGCAATATGTGTTTGCAAATAGAGCTGTTCCAGCAAGGTGTGTTTCTGTTGCTATCGAGTCCGACCAAGTTGATCGTGACACTGAGATCGTTCGATCGTGCTCTTCAGCTACCAGACAGCCTCAGGTATCGTTAGTGGGATACAATGGGTTCCTGCAGAGGCAACCTCGGTGTTGCCCACTGGTGCAATGCCTGCTACTGGCGTGCGCATGATTATCCCGTATTTACTTCATGGCTACTTATACAACATTGCATTATGTAGGATGTTCTCGCCTCCGTCGATCGCGTGGCGGGGGGAGATCGTTCACGCGATTGGTGCGTCGGTCTCTGCAACCACATATTATACTTTAGAGAGTTCATTCAACTCCTTCTAGGCAACGAGACGATGATCGCTACCGTGATAATAACTACCGCCGCAGGGACGATCGGGACCGGAGCTCTAGGGCGTGGGATCGCCGTGACGGCGGCCCTGATGATTACCGACGTGATGAAGATGACTATCGACGACGTGAAGACAGAGATCTACGACGAGCCCAGGAACGCGATGAACGTGAAAGACAACGACTGAAGGAACATAGGATGAGCCAGGCTGGTAGTATGTATGGATCTGGAGGTTACGACCGCAAATATAACGATGGAGTGTCTGAGCTCGAACAACGCTTCCAGGATCTCGATGTAGACCGCGATCGTAGCCGTCGGGATCGCGACTATGAACGAGATAGCAGAGCGGCCAGATCTCGCAGAGGTTCCATGTATGGTGGAGTTCCCGGTGGGAGCCCTTACTCAAACAGTGCCACCCCGGCCCTTGGGTATCAGACGGCAAGCACAGCTGGATATGGCTCCTCACCCTATAGCACATCGACTAACACCGCGGGGTATCCGCCCACCAATAACATTTACTCTGGACAGCGCGATGATGGTTCTGGCATCCGGAGACCAGTCTCACCTTACCAGCAAGGTGTAACTACATCACCTTATCAAACCGGTTCTGCCATATCTCGTCCTGTGTCGCCTTATCGAGGTATACCTCCGCTCCCTTCATCGTACGCACAACAAGGGAGTGGTCAAGCGAGGCCAGTTTCACCCTATCGCGGTGTTCCTCCCGTCCAACGTGCAGCATCACCTTACCATGCAGGCGGCGTTCTTCCTCCCGCTTCGCCTTACCATGGTGGCGGCGCTCTTCCTCGTTCTTCCTCCCCATACCATGGAGCCGTTAGCGCGCCTCGCCCCGTATCACCCATGCCAGTATACCCTCCAGGACACATCATGGCTGGGAAACCTATGACAAGGTCTAGTATTTCCCGCGTGCCTTCTCCTGCACCAGGCGGCGGAACTTACGGGGATGTCAGGAACTCAGTGGCTGGTTATGGTTCTCAGAATCAAGGATATGGCAGTTCTCCACACATACCATCTCAGACTGTGGATGAGCAACGCATGCTGCCTCCCCCAGAGGGCTTCTCACGTCCGCCCAACCTAGCCCAACCGTACACCGCATTTGAGACTCTGAGGATCCAGGACATGGATGAGTTCTTCGAGAATATACCCCGGATGCCGTTGGTTCTTGTCACCCACGATGTATATCATGAAGATTGGATTCGTTTCATGACAGTACGTCTTCACACTGGCTCTATGCAGTAAATGGCTGAATTCTCTTCTAGGACCTCTCATTAGCATGGGGCGGTAAGCTGCCTGTGCCGGAGTATGCTCGAGACGGCGGTCCTCTTAGGAGGACCATTCTAACAGCCGATCTCATTGATCTCTGGAATGCCTCTTTCTTTATCAAACGCGGTGTCGAGGCCGTACTTTACAAAGGAAGAGAACGTAAGTCGGGCCCCAACGTCGGCGTATTCGATGCACATCTTCCTGGATTCGAAGGTCGCCCAGGGTACTCTGAGTCCGACGAGGATGAAACCGATGATAGTGAAGATGAAGACGACCTTGACGATCGTCATCGTGGCTACGGCGCGTATGGAGGAGTCTATGGGAGACAAGTGGACAGTCAGATGGCTGAATACCAGGAAGCGAGACGCATTCGTCGGGAGCGAAAGAGAGCGGAGAAGAAAAGACGTCGTCAAGAGAGGAGACACAGGCGCAAGTTGAGGGAGGCTGAGAGGAAGTATGCGCTGTATATCACTTGCGTACCACCTCGTGATGTCGGGGTTGGGATGTAAGAGTGTTTGAAGTGTAAGATATTAGACAGTGGTCTAACGTGGAATGGACGACGTGGGTCGATGTCTGGGTTTGTCTCTTCTGTTGTAGTTGTAACATCATTTTGTGTTTTCTATGGCTGACCCCATCAGTGTTGCACTAGAATGTAACCGAGGATGTAGTATGAACAAGTTGAATGTAAAATATGCGTGCATACCTATGTACAATACAGCCAAAGTGGTCAATGAATATGAGACTAGTCTACATAAAGATATGAAATGGTCAGATCAAAACTCCGCACAACGTGCAAAGAATCAATAGCGTGCTCCTCTCCCTCTTCCCCTGCTAGATCCAACATATCCGCCACCTCTAGGCGCACCGTACGACCCACCTCCGTATCCTTGTCCTTGAGCACCCCCGTATCCCTGTCCTTGAGCACCTCCGTAGCCCTGACTTTGAGCTCCGCCGTACCCACCACGACCATATCCTCCTTGCCCTCCTTGTCCATAGCTGCCTTGATATCCACCCTGGCTGTAACCACCACGAGGGCTCCCGTAGGACGGGGTACCGCCTCTCGGAGGGCCACCACGACCACGAGAAGGTGCGTTGTATGAGCTATATCCACTGCTATAGTTCTGCTGCGGTGGACCTCTAGGTGCGCCCCCTCCATATTGACTGTACGAGGGTTGCTGATGAGACTGTTGCCCGTGGTATGAGGGCTGACCATATGATGAGGATTGCGAGTACGACGATTGTGAGTACGACACTTGTGATTGTCTTTGTGAGTATGAATCTTGGCTGTAGCCACCTCTCTGCCAATCGCCGCCACCTCGAGAGTAGTCCCGGCCGTTGGAGCCGTATGGCTGTTGACCGCCATACGAGTAGCCGTTGCGACCACGATCTGAGCCAGGTGGACCACCGCGACCTCGTCCTCGGCCACCGCGTCTCGCATTTTCCCGGTCATCCTCAGTGAGAATCGGTCGAGGCCGCCTGACACCAGGTAGCAAAACAGATCTGTGGGGTGTGATCTGCTTTGGGAAGAAATACAGTGCTGACAGAGAGCGATCGTGATTAATATCCGGCAAATCGACACTAGTCAGAGGACTGTAGAAGGTCGATCCAGGAAGACAATCAGGATTAGGTAGCAAGCTTCCGTTGAGGCCTTTGCTTAGCTTGACATTGATAGCTACAGGCTGAAAAGCGACGGGATCAGCCATGGAAAGTAGAACAAAAGAAAAAAATATGACAAACATCTTGACTCTTCCGCTTGCCATACAGCGCTTCAAGAGTGGGATAGAACGGATGCTCTTCCGCAACATATATCACGTTGTCTCCCCAACCATTTCGTCGCCTCTCCTCATCAGTAAGCTTGTGATAGTGAGGGGCCATAGCTTCCAAAAGACGTTTCTCGTCAATGAAAGGTAATAGAGCAACACCTTGCCAAGCCATTCGTTTCCCATTCATGTCGATCTGGAATGTGCGAGGGTAAAAGTCGATGATAGATGACCCTTCGTCTATCATGAGATGGTGGAAAGGCTCTGGAATATGTTGTCGACTACGAGAGAATAAGTAAAGATATCTGCGGGTGAAGAGGGAGTAAACATACCTGGCAGCGGGGAACACACCCATCAGTTGCTCGAAAGGCTTGAAAGGCTGTCCGATTTCAAAATTGAGCTCCATCATATTGACCTCGTCAAAGTCGGCAGCAAAAGGGGCAAAGTGATACGGATAGTACCATTGCCATGAAGGTGTCTACATGGGGGAAAATACTGAATTTCTGAGTTTGCAGATGCGAGTCAATACTTACGCCTTGATAATAATATTGTAGCACCCATGCCATACCCTCAATGTATCGCTGGGTGATTCTGGATAATTATAGCTTAGAAGATGACTATCATAAAATTGAGAATCGGACGTACTCTTTCTTGAATTTCTCGTCACGGTAGTCCACATCGAACTTCTGACGGTAATACCTTTCCTTGTAACCAGGTTCCCATAGCCTGCGGAATCAAAACAAGATGAGACAGTAACTCAACAAGCTTGACAGCTTTATGCTTACTTGACCGTGTCTTCCTGTTCAACAGTACCATCTGAGTTGACCTTGAAAGTGTAATTGGTTGCAATGTCTTCATCCGGAGCTGCTTCATCATCGTCAGAAACGACGACTACATCAGTTACCTCTTCGTCGGCTTCAGCATCTGCTTTCTCGACTTCCTCATGCTTGCGCTTATGTCCATGCGGTGAAGTAGGGATAGAAGTCCCATTCATGGCATCATCGTGGACGACAGTCGTAATGGAACTCGTCTCCGTAATAGACTCCGTAACGCTAATTGCGGTAGCCTGGAAACTGAGGCCGGGAATCGAAGTGTCGTCCTCCACTGTCGCTTCCGGGGTGGAGGCCTCTGCCTCTGGCTCAGGTACAGGGGCGGGCGCAGCGTTTTTGGACGGTTTGAGCGGTGTCAGACCAGCAAGCTCTGCCTTCAGCATCTCCGCGGCACTCATGTTGGCCATTCGAATAGCGCGACGGTTAGCTACTACATCGCTATTCGAGCCTGCAAGAGCTTGTGCCGCTGTAGGTGCATTTTGTACAGTTTCTTGGGACTTCGGACCACCCAGCCCCATGCTGTCGGCATTATAAGCAAAGCTAGTCGTCTGCGGTCGTGCAGGCAATGAAGGATGTGCAGAAGGAGCAGCAGTAACAGAAGGGGCGGCCGTGAGATTGAGGGATGGTGAAGGGCCAGTCCCGTTGGCCGCCATATCTTTCTCTATCTTACGACGCTTCGTGTTCTGGTCTTGACGTTCCTCGGCTGTGACAAATATCAATATCTCGGTCACAAGTGTAGGGGCAAGTTGGGCACACCTTCACGGCGCCGTCTGAAAATCTCGTCCTCACGTCTCGCAAGTCCCTCAAGAATGATCTGGGCTCTTGACAATTCAAGTTGTCCATGATTGGTCATGTAGCCGCCCATACGAGGAAGCTCATCTCGCCAAATCTTGAGTAGGGTGTCAATAGCTCCCTCTCTAATCTCAAGTGATGGCAAATGGGGCAAGAAATCATTTCCGACGAAGAATATGAGGAGCACCCAGTCATCAATTGCTTGCTCAAGATTAAAAGGGAAAGATGTGTTTGGCACCCTCAATTCGGCTTCGAGATACTCGCGCAGGATAGCGACATCGAGGAAAATAAACGGTTTCTTTTCCGGTGGAGTTTTCTTAATTTCAGCCTTCGTTCCAGTACATTGTGCAGCATAGTGCCCTTCTTCACCGCATATGCGACATGCAGTGCGACTACCTTCCTGGAAGAAGACATCCTCACGAAGCACACGAAAATGCGGTTCGTGAGTCGCCAACGAAAGCATAATCAAGTCGGCATCCTGACAAGCTGTCAGACGGAAGGTTACTTAAATGTAGAAGCATGATATGCTTACCAGACCATATATCACATGTCGGGTGTTAGGGTCGTGACCAGGATTGGAGCGTTGTCGCCTAATAAAATCCATAATTTTGTGTTCACCTTCGCCAGGTACACTTGCATCGGAAATGATGACCTCCATCTACAAGTCTCGTCAGTCTATAGCCCACAAGCCAACATCGAAAACAATACCTGTTTCCACCCAGGATCTGTGTTGAGTTTTTGAGCTACCCAATACCTGAGAGAAGAAGCAAGAAGATCCATGAATGGAGTTCCCGGTGTGATGGCGTTGGAATCCCAGGACTTCTTGTTCTTGTCATCATCGCTCACGGTTTTACCCATTGCTAAAGAGAATGCGTTAGGAACACCAGACATGGTAGTTCGACCACGGGCCGTTCGCACCTTCCCACATAGCCACGGCCTCCATGTGCGCTTCCTCCTTTTCCTTAGCTTCCATTGACGAGCGGAAACGGCGGGAACGTTGCTGGTTCATTTTAGCGCGAGGAGCGACACCATCTGCTCAACGGTAAGTTGCAATATTTCCCGCGCAGGAGACGTATCCTCACCTATAGCCATGAAGAGCAGTTTGCGAGGACGAATCATGTTCACAACACGTTCTGTGTACTTGAAGACCTCCACCATCATTTCCTCCTCAGTCTCAGGAGCGGGCTAGAGAATTCCACACGTTATGTCTCGACGTCTTAGTAGACACTGAGTTGACTAACCTTTCCCTCAGGATGCGTACATGGATGAACCTACGAGCGTTGACTAAGCATGAACGCGCGGACAGAAAGCATGCAACTCACAATTCCGTTCATATCAAGGTAAAGATTGTCGAATTCCTCGCCATTGGGGTTGGGCCCCGAGATGTTGAGGGGAATAGCAATATCGGTTCCAGATTCATCTGGGACTTTGACCTCTTCTTCTTCAACAACTGGAAGAACTGCACACTGGTTTCAGCCGAGCAAAGATACTCGAGGAAAGATAATGTACTCACTAATCTTAGGATACTTTTTGCTGAGCCATCGAAAGAGTGCGGGAACACCCTGTGAAGGAAGTCAACCTATAGCGTCACACTTTCCGAGTAAGCCGACTTACCATGACAAATTAGATAAATAGATGGTACCGTGTCCTTGGTATATGTACGAGTTGGCCAAAAGACACTACTAAAGCAAAGACGATGAAAATGACAGCCAGAGTAATTGGCTGCAGTGGTCGGCGTTGAGAACGACGAGGCTGGCGCTATTTCCATGAAAAGACTGATCACGTAAGCAGCAGGTCTCCCACGCGACACCCTTTCCGTGGACGCCCAAGATTTCAGAGAGATCTTGCATACATCCATGACTCGACCTCCATTTACAGATAACTCTATTGATTCTCCCCTCAACTTCAAACTTCTGTCTTGAATCCTATAGCCTATAGATTCCAGATTACTTATCTCAAGTCAACCATGGCTCCCGCGCCATCCCTTCCCATTCATCCTCCAAACGGTCCAGTCAACGGAGATGCTTCAAAGCAACCCCCTCAAGGCAGGTCGTCTCAGAAGAGCATGACAAAAGCCGAACGGAGGGAACTCCAGGAGAAACAACGAGCTGCTAAGGCTGCTGCAAAGGCTGGTGGACCTGTCAATGGAGCTCCCTCTAAGCAAGCTGCGAAGCCAACCCCTCAAGCTACTGCCGCCGCCACACCGAAGAGGCCAACTAAGAGCAATGAGGCCCCTGCGCCTACTGCTTCTGCCTTGAGAACTCAGACTGCTGCAAGGGCTCGCGCTGCTTCCGTCAGTGTCCCTACACCGGCAAATGCTCGTGGTCTACGGATATTTTCACATTTCGGTCTGCCGAAACCTGTCAGTGTGGCGAAAGGGGACATCCATCCTACCATTCTACGACTTGCCCTCCAATTTTCGGAATTCAAAATCACCGGTGCGAATGCACGCTGTATTGCTACCTTGTCCGCGTTCAAAACTGTGCGTTCACGTTCACATTCAATTGCGCGCACACGACCATAGCTTCATGTACTAATAGGTCATTCAAGACTATGCTACCCCGCCTAACAATACCCTTTCACGGCATCTCATGACCTATCTCTCACCTCAAATCAGTCATCTTGTTGCTGCACGCCCTATGTCCGTGACCATGGGTAACGCCATTCGACAGCTGAAATTGGAGATTAGTGGCTCTGATATTGACTTGCCCGAACAAGACGTGAGTCATGGAATGCTTGAGACTCGAATGGTGTGTCTTTGTTTCTGACGCTTGATACTTGCCTTGTAGGCGAAAGACGCACTTTGTCAAAAGATTGACAATTATATTCGGGACCGGATCATTATTGCTGACCAGGTCATTGAAGAAACCGCCGGTAACAAAATTAAGGATGGGGACGTAATCCTTACCTACGCAAGGTGTGTTGTCCTCGTGCAAGCATAAATATTTCGGAGGTTAATCGCTTCTCAGATCTTCTGTGGTCCAGAAGGTACTGCTCGGTGCACATGCCGAAGGCAGACAATTCTCCGTGATCGTCGTCGATTCAAGACCGATGCTCGAAGGTCAGCTCGTTAGGCAATTATCGATAACCTTTTCTTACGCTGACTTTGTACTATTTACAGGCAAACGGTTATTGTCTGTTCTAGCATCCGCTGGCATTCAATGCACATACATCCTCCTTCCTGCTCTCGGTGCCATCATCACCGAAGTAACGTTAGTCCTTGTCGGCGCACATTCAATTCACTCAAATGGTGCAGTATACTCAAGAGCAGGGACGGCTCTTGTGGCCATGATGGCTAAGCTACACTCGGTCCCCGTTGTTGTATGTTGCGAAACGTACAAATATTCGGAGACCGTTCAACTAGACAGCTTTACGAAGAACGAGCTAGGTATGCATATTCCACTGGATCGGTTTATTCCGTTGAATTCAACATATGCGTTTGTAGCACCTCAAGGAGACCTGTTCTCATCGTTCCCCTCTGTCAAGGCACGCGATTCCCTCACACTTGAGAACGACGAGCATCTTGAAATCCTAAACCCACTTTACGATCTCACCCCACCTAATTGCATCACTGCTGTCGTCACGGAAGTTGGTGTCATCCCACCCAATTCCATTGGCTCCATTCCGGTGGCTCTTGGACGACTTCTCTGAGTTCTTGTCTTTGCTCATGGGCACTCCGTCTATTCGTATTTCGTTCGGACACCAATTGGCATGTTACGGCCTACTTCTTTTTATAGTTGCTTCGGATCCTGCATCTCATTCGCTCTCCCAGTCAATTGTTTTATCTTTTGCATGCATTATCTGTATCTCATACATTATACGCTTACTCATGGACGCTGGGGGTGGACGCGAACCGCATAGTTGATGAAGCAGCCGACCAGTTATGTATGACAATAGAAATTCTAATGTGCACCAGCCTTGCTTAACATGCATTAATATTGTGGGGGTCGCAGAAGGACGTTGTGATGCTATTCAACGAGGTATCGTTCTAATTTCTATTTGGTAACATTGGTACTAGTGAGTAGTGTAAGATAAATCGAGAAGCACGAGCGTAGAGATTACTACGTCATGGCTCAGTCTTCTTCTCCGACTGTTGCTCTATGAGTTTCTTCTCTATCCACTCGAAAGCGAAATCCGTAGCATGTTCGACTGGCTTGTCGTATAGGTATGGCAGAACTGGAACAATGGATAGACCAGTTATCGTCGGGCCCCATATCCTGACACGAGTATTCTTGACATTCACGAAGGCCTTCTTGGCTTGCTTTACTGCCGTATGAATAGTGAGAGCAGGGAGGGCCCTAGAAACAAAAGACTTTCATCAGTACAGAGTATGCAAGGTAAGGAATGCATACACACATAGATGCTATTGACTGGAACACAGCACGCTTTACAGCGATCATGGAAATACGGGTTGGCTCGGCGAAATGAGCGGCTTCCAGCGGTGAAGGGCCTCTCCTGTGAGCTTTATAGGATTCGTATCCCACATCACTAATTGGAAGAAAAAAGTAGTTTAAGTATGTGACGTCAGTTCATACTTTATGAACGTGCATACCCGGCCAAATACAACCACGAGATCCCATAAGCTGCTGTAACGACTGCAGGGGGAACGACAGGACGGAAGGCTTCTCCCACATCACTGGTCTAGGTGTAATCTATCGCTGGCCATGAGAAGAAACAAAAGAGTCTCGTACATAGGCAATGTATCTCTGTCCCGCACGGAGGGCCGTCCTTAGACGTGCACCATAGGCCATATAACGGACCTCAGATTCTGTTGAGTCGGCATTCTTGTCAGCCAAAGTGTTGAGCTCTTTGGTGGCTTTCTGCGTCACTGGGTCAGGCATGAGAGAAATACGAGGAAGAGTGAGGACGCCAATTGTCAAAGACTCGGAGACGATAGGCACCGGCATACGCAGCGGAGGCCGACTGTTTACGAAATTGCTTGCCGGGTCCACGTGGGATTCTCAGAAAGGCAGGTGGGCGCTTGGGGACGCACTAGTGACTTGTCGGGGATGGTCTGAGCTCTGCAGGCTTACTGCAACCCTTTCATGCCCATTCACCCATCCGCTCTCGCTAGCACTCATGGCCACCCTCATCCACTCTCTCGCCGCCGTCACCTCTCAAGACGAGCAGATCGCTATGTCCAACCCAGTCCCGGACAAGATCAGCGCATACTACAGCCTCGTCTTTCCTAACTTTACATACTACATTCAGACTCTCAATGTCATTATCGGCCGGAGATGCATCCCTGCTTCCGCTGCCTCCTCTTCAGACAACCCACAGGTCGACGTGGACCTTGGCTCGCTGAAGAGTGTGTCGCGTCTTCATGCCAAGATTGAGTATGAAGAAGAGGAAGAGCGCTTTGTTTTGCATGTTTTCGGCCGCAATGGGGCTTGGGTGGATGGAGTCTGGTCTGGAAGTGGTAGTAAAGTCCCGTTAGGAGACAGGTTAGTTGCTTTTGCCTCGCTTCTTTCTATCTGTCTGATGGCTTGTCAGGTCTCAAATCCAGATTGCCTCTCGTACATTTCACTTCGTACTTCCGCCTACACCTGACGGCCCAGAAGACTCTTCAACTCCTAGCTCACCATCCTCATCCGCAAACCGCCCTCGTTCACCTTCAGTGGACATTACATCATTCTCGCCGCCATCTTCTATACCTTCATGTTCGCCACCTCCTGTCCGTGTCGCCCCGCTGCCACCGAAGATACCTCCACTACCCGAGACACAGCCGCAGCTGCCGAATTCCAATTCGATTAATAGAGTCAAGACTAACCCAAAGAAACGCAAGAAGTCCGATGTGGATGCACCACCGCTACCTAGGCCCGAAGTTATACCACCAAAGCCCCAGTTGACTTATGCCCAAATGTGTTATCGCGCTATCAAAGGTCTCTCAGGCAGAGGTTCCTTGCAGGATATATGCCACTGGATCCAAGAGAACTTTGAATACTACAAGTATTCTGATAAGGATTGGGAGGTACGTATGACCACGCATATGTTCACATTACTATTTTTGACAATACATGTGCTTTCTTCAGAGTTCCGTGAGACATAACCTATCGTCAAATCGCGCTTTCAAGAAAGCCGAGCGTGGTCCCGACGAAAGGGGAAAGGGGGCACTGTGGACATTAGATCCACAGTATGAGCATACGTTCGAAGAACAGGAAGCCAAACGACAAACGTTGGCTGCGCTCGGAACAAGCGGTACGAAGGATGCCAAAGCGCCGGGTAAGAAAGGCAAATCTGGACTGCCACTGGATCCCCCCTTCAGGCGGACTGCTCTGAAAGGAGGACCGTTGCCTCCACCACTCACGTCGGCACCTCTCATTCCCAAGACAAGTCTGAATGCAACGACACTCCATTCGTCCACGTCACTACCACCATCCGTACCTACCATCAAATCCGAACCCACCAATTCGTCCATTTCCCCATCTCCTTATCCGCCTGTGGCATCCCTATCAACAACAGCTGCCTCAACTCCGGCCCCGCCTGCGTCAAGTGGTAGTACCATTCCTGCACCACAACCTTCTGCTTCGTCATCGACTCATACACCAGCGGCCTTTCCACCTATTCCAGCATCCGTTCGAATTCCTATCATTATCGGTCCGGCACCGTCCTCTAATACTGGAGAGCAAACAGCGTCTCCCAAGCCGATTGTGTTGCAAGACAATACTCTTATCCTCAATCCTCAGATATTCTCTCACCTGACACCGAAGCATCTCCAGGAACTCGAAGCATTGGGTGCACAAAAGGCTTTGGAGATCCTACAAGGCTACATTGTAAACTTCTACAAGGAGAAGTTACGAGCGGAAGGTGCAAGAGGCCGAGGGCGTGGAAAGCCGAAGCGTGGCAGAGGTGCACCTGGTTCAACCAGAGGCGCTGCTCCGGGTACAGGACGGGGAGAAGGTGCCAGTACGGGCCTGTTTACCACGTCGCCTTTACCGCCTCGGACAATTCAGCCTTATCAGCCTCAACTCCCGACACCAGCAGCATCACCGCCGGCTCCAACTTATAGCGCAATGAAAGAACCGCCTATGGCCTCTCTTCAACCTCAGCCTCTTCATCATAATGAAGATACTGACGACGTCATTGTGGTCGACGATGATCCTTCGGATGATGCTCGGGTATCGAAGAAGATGCGTCTAGACACGCCAGACCTATCTTCGTCGTCAGCCATTCGGTAGTATTTACCATTAGACTTCGCCTTGTGGTGCCTCTTCCTCTTCCTCGCTTTGGACACGCATCGTGGCTCTAGACCTCCGACTCACGTGTATAATTAATCGATAACAGCATCTCTCTCGCCTTTCCTCATTCCTCATGACACTGCTACATTCCTCCCTCGACTCGTGGCTTGTGTCGAGCATACATACCCTTTTTCATTGGACCATCGACGAACATTCTTGTGGAGACGCCGGAATGTATCGTCTCGATTGTATGTCTCGTTTTGACGCTCCTATTCTACTCGTTCGCATGACCTTTATCACACTATTATTACGACCTAACTTACTGTTATTCTGACCTCGCAGTAATACGTTACGAATGTCGATGACTGGTTTCTGTTTAACCGAGAATGAACCATATGAAGCGCTGACTGTGGCGTTGCATACGCGCCTGGCGTCCTTGCTCTTAACCTTCACCTGAGTCCGATTTACACCTCTCCGCGATCTTTCAGGCGTCGTTTCCTCACTGACGATACATGGACAGTTGGATAAATATTTTGCATATGAAGCAGAAAAGGTGATGTACAATGAAGGATCAATAAATAATAAGAAACGTGTCCGTTGTTCTCCTTCATCTTGCTCAGCAACAAAGACGGTGAGCTATAACTTTGCCTCGCTAATCCTCTTCTCCCAGACCATTACAATCTCCTTCGCCTTCTCTCTAAGCTCGCGAACAGCAACAAACCACTCGTTATGAGTGTCATCCTGCGCGAAGCGCTTCATCACGCCCAAAATACCCGTGGTCTGTAATTCAGAATCGGTCAGCTTCTCGTCTCCTACAAATCGACGCACGTTCATCCTTACCGTTATGACCCAAGGCGAGATGAGGGCCTTTCCACTGTCCATAATTTCAATAGCGTCTTTGGCTTCCTTCAACGCCACCTTGCAGTCTTTCATCGCTTGTTGACTTTCAGGGGTCCCCCTGCTGTTCTTCACCCTTTCCAAGGCACGTTCCAAGCTCTCGATCGCTCCCATCCATTCCAGCCCAAGTCGGTCGTTGATATTCGTAGAAGGCCCGTGTCCCACAGGCTTTGCGTACTTGTCAGTTGGGTAGAAAAGACGCTTGTCGTTTTTCCGACGTTTCGGAGCGCCCTGACCTGGAGTTAGAGCTGGAGACGGGACTCTCTGCGTTGCAGTCCATTTCGCGTGTCTCCTCGCGACGGTAAGACATGAAGGCGCCGAAGAGAAGTGAGTGCCGTTTGAGCCCTGGAGTATGACGGCGGGACGCTTGCGGTGGTTTGGTACGAGAAGGGAGGCCGCTGAGGCCTTGTGTCGAATGTCGGATGCGGAAAGTGGTGTAGGCGGAATATTTGGTAGAATGGGTGGAGTAGGTTTGGGCGGCTGAGCCTGAGGGGGTGTCTCGGGAAGCGTTGGAGTGCTTGGAAGGGTATTCTCAGGTGGGGCGCCCGCCGGCAAGTTGGGCATGACATTGGCAGTGTTGTTAGGCTTCTGAGAAACTATATCAACCTCTTTGCCAATGGTATCTGAGGTTGCTTCCTCCTCCACATCCTGTCTATCCCTATCACCAACTTGGTTGTCCACCTGCATTTGTTCATCATCCTGTTCCTCCACGGAAGCCTCTGGAATGTCAAGAAGGGCTTCAACAGCTTCATGCTCATCTCCACTATCACTGAATATAGCAGATTCAGCAATCTTAGGGTATCCTGCCCTGCGACATGCAAAGTTTATCAATAAGCGGTCTTGCATGGATTGTTTCATTGTCATCCAGGTTTGTTGGGGAACTTTGGATGAAGATGAATGGTTGTACATAGAGGATGTGTTGATGGATGTAGGTGAAGAGGAGGAGAGAGTGATGAGAGAAGGACTTTGGATGTTCAATATGTTCTGTGTCCTGCCGGCAGTATTATGCAGAACTTTTTCACTCAAGGAGTGCTTGAATGCAGGTTTGTGCAGTGAATCCAGCTCACTGTGATCTATAGGGTCATCATGAGCAAGACTGGTAATGGTGAAAACAGAATGCACTGCTAGCAAACCTGAAGAAATGGAGGTAACAGGTTGCCAATTATCAAAAGACTTGATAGTTGAAAGGCTCCATCTAACCTGCTTCTTGCCTAAGTGAGACTTGTGAGGTGACTTTGACTTGCCTTTCACATGATCACTTTGAGGAAACAAGTCCTTGTCATTTGCCAACTGATCAATCTCTTCATCATCATCAGAGACAGAGTCATGCATTGAACTATCAACAGACAAAGAATGACTGTTGTTATTTGACAAAAACTGTGCTGATTGAAGAGTGGTCCATTGAGGAAGACCTGGTGAAGAAAGGGCCAATTTAGTTACTGTCTGTGATAGAGCAGTCTTGGCAAGTTGTGAGGAATTTTGCATTGTAGGGGTATTTGGATGTTCTAAAAGTATGGGCAAAAGTATGGGCATTATGATCGAGGAAGAAAGGGGCATTATTTGAAGTTGAGAGAGGTATTTATGTAACCAGAAATAGGAGACTATCAGATGAGAAAGTGACTCAGCAATATTTCCTTATTAAGATATCTTGGCAATCTTGTGATCTAATTTGCAAGATAAAGATGCACAGCTTTTGTTCTAGACCATTCTAGACTGTGTCACATCTATTTTCACAGTTCTAGAAAGTTCTTCTTACTCACACCAGCTGGTGCACAAATTATCTATATTTACACAACCTCCAAATTGCCTCCCAATATTTCTATACAAGTTTCCACTTCAAACAAATTAGTGGTAACTACTATTTATGTCTGATTCTAGTCAGAGCAATATTAGATTTTGAACTTGACCTGATATAAAGAAACTGGAGTAAACCTAAGAAACACCTGAAAAGAACAAGTTGAATACAGATTCTGACCTACACTTGAAGTTGCAGTTTAACAATAGGAGTCTCAAAAAAAATTGGCTTGAGACTTAGTTGTTAATATTTAGACCAAGCATATAGAAAAGCAACTCCCGGAAAAGCCACAATATGCGATGGAAAGCAAGAAACAAACTGGATACCAAGTTGCATCAGTTCGGCAAGATGCGAAGCACGGTATCTGTTTGATGGGCACCCTATAACGTCAAAAGAATACATGCTCACATGCACAGGTGATCTAGACACAACGCTGAGCAACTGCGTCAGATTACATGGTTAGAACCGATAAGGAAAGCATGAGCAGTATTCAGCATACTGAGTCCGTACCTGGCCCTTCATACGACGTAAGTAATCCCGTTCAATCAGCCGAGTAAAATCAGGAGATAAGCTAGTTTAGGATGATTGCCGCAGGCAAAGTATGGGCAAATGTCGCAAGGGGGACACACATGCCTTTTCTCATTCGTTGCCTGGGTTTAAACTTTAGGGAAATACGTCAATTGGACCAGCGAAGACGGAGGAAATTCCGATGCGAAGATCTCATGGGAGCGTGCAAGAGATAGTCAAACGTGCGTTCCGTGTGTATGATTGAGCGCATCAGAGTGGCCAGGCATCAGAAAGGTGGATAAAGCAAGGATATTTACTATTGGAGTGAAGCTATATCGGCGGCGAAGATGGAGACGAAAGCAGCGACGAGGAGAAGAGAGCGTCGGGCGGGAAAGAGGACGTCGGTGGAGAGGGGATGGTAAAAGGTTATTCGGTGGGCGGCGCTTAGTCAGCACCCACGTTGATGGATATCGTCAGAGATGCTTGAGTCTGAGTCTGCAACTTGCTCACAGCCAACGGCTCTGTCCCGCCCATCATCTCCTTCACCCCTGCCATCCGTCATTTCAAAAAATAAAACTCATCTTTCAGAGGGCTCTGCGCTCCCAGTTTGGCCAGAAACGTTGCTTACACGGTCGCCCCATCTTTCGACGGTCATAGCAGTATCAACAGTATATAGGATCCGTACTTACATCACCCGCCTCTTTCTTCCCGTACCACCTGCACCAGAGAGCCGAGCGTATCCCTGCTCTCCCCGATATCTGTGGTCTGAACATTGTTTATGGGACCTCCCTCCGAACCTTCTCGCTCAGAGCGACAAACCTATCGCTTTCCCTCGTCCTCACAACCCGCTACTTCTTCGCCTTCTCGATCTTCCTTTGACTCTCTGTCCCCCAGGGATCCACAGGCCTCGCCAGCAGGCCCTCGTCGTACCACATCCAACAAGCTTTATCCCATCAAGTGGACCACCACTTTTCAGTCCGGGTCCGATGGCTCCGACACCGAGACTAAAGACAGCCCTGTATCTCCTCACAAGTCGCGCAAGCGACAGCCCCAGCGCAAGGTTGACAGGTCACTAACTCTCCCCTCGTCACGGACGAAACCCCCCGAGCTACTCTTATCCCCCTCCCGAGTGACTCGACCCCTGTCTCGGCGGTCGTCTTCTGCTTCGTCCTCATCTTCCTCTTCTAGCCCAAAGCGTACGGCCCCTCCACAGTCTGCAGGGATTGGTCGTAAGGTTGCAGCTTCTCTCGATTTGTTCAAGGAGTCCGTGTCCACCCCTTCGAAAGAGGAGCAAAGTCCGTTTGAGTATGTACGTCCGCTTTCATCTTCGTCAAAGCGCAAAGCGGGTGCTTCGCACGTGGAAGCCGTTGCAGAACCTCAGTTTGAGTTCGTCAAGCGTTCAGATTGGCCGGACAGAGAAGTAGCTGCCGTTCGTCGAGAAAGGAGCGCTACAACTCTCGAGCGTGTTCGTACGAGGGAAAGTACTGGCTCTAATGTCAGCATGAGAGGAGGCGAGGATCGACGAAGAAAAGAAAGGCAGATGTCCGCGCGCGAAGCTGTCCTCAATGATTTACTTCAGTGGCGCGACGCCGTGCTGTCTGGTGAAGTCGGTTCGCGAGGTAGGCGTCGTGAACGTCCTCCATGGAATGATGAAGTCTCCCAGGATACCGTGGCGGGTTCGCCTACGTCCGATGCATCGACTGCCTCTATTGACACTGTCCACCGTGCGTTACGAAGTGCACCTCTTGAACGTCGTCCGTCTTCTCCCTCGACCCTCCGTTCCCTCTACCATAAGGCTCCGCCTGAATCCCCCGTTCGTGCTCCTCAAGCACCCGCTATTCCTTCTGAACACCCACCATTGTCCGCAAAGCATCGCGAACGTCTTCAGTCCCCAACACCTGCGCAAGCAATCCCGCCTGTACCTCCAGCACCATCTTATGTTCTCCCTAACGCTCCAGACTACTCACCTTGGTCAACTGACGAGGAAGATTCTGCATGGGAAACCGCTTCCATCACCTCCACTTCTACCACTTCTGCATCATCGCCATTTCTGCTGTCACCTGCGAGGACAAGCCCCCAACCGCAACCCATCGTACGACAGGCAAGTGACGAGGATGAAGAGCAGCATCATCGTTCAATTTTGTCACGATACGATGACCTGGAGCTAGGACGTGCTGATTCTCAGGATGGCGACACTGGTAGCCTCATGTCGGGGCCATTTAGTCTCTCACAGGAGAGTTTGCCGCATATACCATTGCGTCCCTTTCGTAACCAAGTTGGTGGCCATAGTGCGATATACAAGTTCACGAAGAGGGCCGTCTGCAAGGTATGAATCATCTTTTTTTGTAACAATTTGAGGTAAAAGCTGAACTTGTCGCAGCCTCTTGTGTCTAGGGAAAACCTCTTTTACGAAGCAGTAGAACGAGAAGCACCACCCTTGCTAGAATTCATTCCACGTTATCTGGGCGTGATGCTGGTGAGCTATAGGAAGGTTCAGCGTGCAACGGCTGTACAAAGCGGCGGTTCTGTTTCGCTCCCTTCCATCGACTCAACACTAGCCCATCGTCCGCCTTTACATAAGGCAGTTTCTGAATTACCTGTCCCGCCTTCATTCTCTCGACGTGATTCCAGTGAAGAGCCTTATGCTGATCTTGAAGCTGCAGGTGCCACAGAATCTGGAGAGGCAGAGCTACCTGAAGTTGCACTTGCGTACAACCGTCATATCATTCCAGAGTGGTTGTTGCAGGGTGGTCGCAATAGAGCATGGTCACATTCCGGAGCTAGTTCCCTTCCAGTCAATCGCCATCTTCGCCGTCCGCACTTGAATGGTTACACTGCTTCTAGTCCAGACCTTGGACTAACTTCCGGTCGTGCCGCCTCATTCAGTGGGGGTCAGAGGCCTAGTCCGTTGTCGCAGACACAAACCGGTCGATTCGCTACAGCTCCACCTCCACCTACGAACACACCAGCCATCCCCTACCATATGCGGCGTTCTCGACTGAGGTTTCCATCTGCGGGTGATCAGGATGAGGAATCGAGGCCATCGAGTGCCCCAATATCCCCAACATCGCAATTCGCCAATCTGTCCTTTGGTGGTACAGGCTCCACTATGGTAAACACCAGGTTCAAGGACCACGTCTTCAGTACTATTCTGCGGCGACTCTGCAGACCAAAAGGGCAACCTTCTGTGAGTGATGTGCGGACTGAAGACGAGGGTGAGATGGCGGATGGAGAGGAGGAAGGTGTGCCAAGCGCCCTTACTCGGAAGGGGAGACGAAGGACTTCGCGACGTGTTGAACCACAGCCTCAGGAAGAGGAGGAAATTGTCCTAGGACAAACCCTTCGGCGCTCCCGAAGCGAGGAGTACCTAGCAGAGCGAAGCATTGAGCTGCAGCCTGACATCTTCCAATTCGAGGAGCCTCTGGAAGCGAAGGTTGAGGAATCTACAACGCAGCCTCAAGCAGAGGCATTCCTTTCCCGCGCTCACGAGCGCAGTCGGTCCCGATCATTGGACCGGCCGCCTTTCTGTGTATTCCAACCCCTGCGCCCTGACGACCATCTGTCTACACCTCTCAGAACACAGCTTCAAGTTGACTCTTCAGTGACACGCCAGAACCATTTCATCCTCATGGAAGATTTGACAGGACGACTGAAGTATTCCTGTGTACTTGATCTAAAGATGGGAACCCGGCAGTACGGCATGGACGCCACTCCTGCAAAGAAAAAGAGTCAGCGTAAGAAGTGCGATCGCACGACTAGCAGGACCCTTGGTGTGAGAGTTTGCGGGATGCAGGTAAGCTATCATTTTTCTGTCACGCTCTCCCAAAAGAGGTCGTCTTCGGTGTTGTCTTCTTGTATATTAGTATATTTTGGTGCATCAAACATGTTTGCTAACGCTGTGTCTTTGAAAGGTATGGAACCATGTCACGCAGTCCTACATCACGCAGGATAAATACAAAGGTCGCGAAGTTCAGACAGAGGAGTTTCCCGCTGTCCTTGCCTCGTTCCTCCACGACGGCGAGCGCCTCCTGGCCTATCAGATCCCCATCATCCTGCGCAAACTCTACACCCTCGCACGTATCGTCAACCGACTGAAGGGATACCGCTTCTATGGATGTAGCTTGCTCATGATTTACGACGGTGACCGAGAAGCACAGGAGATATTCCGCTCTTCGGTCCTTGAAACCCCCTCCCCCAGAAGCAAACGGGGCGAGTCTCTCGAGCGCCATCTCAAGGTCTCAACCCCTATAGAGCCTAAGCAATCTCGACCAACGTTGCGACGGTCACACAGTGAAGACTTGATGGTTGGACCAGTCGCTGCTCGTAGCAGCCGTCGACGCAAACGCGGGGAGGTTCAGATTCGTCTGGTGGACTTCGCCCACACTACTACAGGTCAAGATTGGCTGCCATATCCCCCGCCCGAGCAACGCGAGACGGACGGCATCACGAGTGGAAAGGGCTACCAGGCCGATGTGGACCCAGAGACAGGTCTCCTCTATGCACGCTTTCCCCCTCACTATCCTGAGCAGCCTGACCGCGGTTTCCTGTTTGGCTTAATGAACCTTGCCGAAACGTTGGAGAAGATCTGGAACGAGGAACGCATCCGACGCATTAAGGCCTCTCGGGACGACCCATCTGCCAGTATTGACCAGCTGCCGCCGTTGTCTACGGAAGGAAAGGAAATCTTCGAGAATATCTTCGGTTCAGCGGAAGTGGGGTTGGATCTGGGCATGATTTCGACATGAAAAATCGACGACTCGTTACGTGATTTTCTTTTTTAATTTTTTCACCACTCTTGTTGCTTCATCATGATTCTTGAGAATATCTTCTTCATGGCCATCACTCATCGGGTTAGCGTTCTCTTTATCTTGTTGCATTCTATTTTCTTCATTTTCTTAACTGCATATTTCTCCCCTCTTACATATTTCTGTGTTCCTGCATTGAACATAGACTTATTTATTCAGATGTATCATACACAAAGTATCATACGCGTGCTGTAATGTGAATTATGATCTTGAGACCTCTTTCAGAACTGAAGTGACGTGGAAGTCTACTTGTCCTCATTGCATCGACACCACCTGGTAGGACCGGGGCACGCGTGATGTTCGAACGTCCCAGTACCAGGTTTACAACTCGATTCGCAAAGTCGTTGTATGCCGCTGAACGGACTTCGTGAGGAGCACATACAGCAGTTGGCCTTACATGACCATCTCGCATTCGAACATACAAACTGTGCTCAAGGAGTTATATCTCATCCTCAATGGCTAACGTACAACGGCACGCCGAGCTAACATATATCGACTATAAGTGATGATGCAACGAGTATGGCTTCAAGCATGGATTAGGCGTCGCACGGTGTCGAGTCTAGGATTTTGAATTGCAGAGTGCTTTATTACTCCTCCTGGATGTATTTATCCCGGATATCCTTCCATTGTTTCTGGAAAGGAAAGAGTCGTGTATCAGCGAGGGACGAGATTCGAAGCTCAAACCACGCACCCCTTGGTTCCACCGATCCCAGAACGAAGTGACAGCTACGTCAAAGCCAACGCCGAAGGCAAATGCGCCGGCAAAGATGGAGGCAACATATACACCTATCGTTCATATATAAGTACGAGGTCGTATCGCGGGGTGCGGTAGTGTTTCCTGAAGGTGATGTCACGAAGGGTGTGTTACTCACTGTTGCGCTTCACAAAGGTGTTGTAGAAAGTGTTGGCGAGCTATATTCGGTTCTTGACGTTAGTTGCAACGTCGAGAGCCACCAAACTAACTTACACCAGCCATGGCGAGGACGCAAGGTGAAAAGAGATGATGCTGAGGAAAGAGGAGAGTGGTTGTTGGGTGTCCGTTCACGTCCGTTGAGCGCCTACCGAAAACACTTCGGAATTGTCCGGTAGCCAATAATTTCAATGCAAGTTGTGAGCAGGCTGCTCACTGCACCCTGTTATGAGTCTCCTCAGATTTATTCGCACATCACCAGCATGCGCTCTTTACAGGTCCTCCAGGGTAGCATGCATGTCCTCTCTGCCTGGTCTAGGCACACCCGATAATGCTGCGTCATTATTCTCAGAGTCGTCTGTCGAACAACCTGCCGCTTCGTCTGCCCAGTCCAGCAGCGAAGTACCGGACTTCTTCAGCAACCTTTCATTACCACCGCGTCCTTCACAACCTGAAGACTCAGGGCCGCCTGTCGGAAGGGCGTATCCACCACCCAGGACCGATAGCAATCCCATGCGTGCTAAAGGAAAGGAGAGGTTGAAATACAATCTATATGTTACAGCAAGTCGTAACAACACGATTGCTACATTCACGCGACCAAATGGAAATCAACTTTGTACCTTCAGCGGAGGCAAGGTCGGATTTAAAGGCGTGAAGAGGGCCAGCTATGAAGCAGGTTATCAGTGCGCCGTTACGATATTCCAGCGCATCTTGAAGGAGAAGGAACAGGCAGGTTCGAGCATGTGCTTGGAACTGCTCTTCAGCGGGTTTGGACAGGGTCGGGATGCGATGTACAGAGCACTGATGTCGGAAGAGGGTGCTGCGGTTAGAGACATGGTCTTCCGAATAACGGACTTTACACCTATCAAAATCGGAGGTACAAGGGCGAAGAAAACGCGTCGGTTGTAGGCCCTTGAAGGTCAGCATATGTTTCATTATTTTGTGCTGCTACACCTCCTGACTTGACGCAGCTTTTTGTTACTCTCCGGATGCATTGTCTTTTATCAGTATTCTTGTATAATCTACACCGAAACTCGACGAGTTTCTTGCGCTTCTCGAATGCAGGCTTCAAGCAAACCGGCGTCCCCTCAATAGTCCGTGTGTGGGTCTAGTTGCAGTGCTTCAAGAGCTTTTCGGACATATCCACCTAATTGCCTCAGTGTGCGCGTTCGACTGCTCTTATTGCCATCTACTAATTCCGTTCTATGCACCTTCTTTCAATGTCGTTTTATCCGTTTCGGTGAATTGTAACGATAAGTGATCGTGGGAAAGCGGAAGTGATCTTGCTTACGTGTGCCTTGTCCTTGCTGACGTCCAGGTCGCGGCATGCGGCTTGGACAGCTTTATGAAGGGTTTCACTGCAGGCCGCTCTTGTTCACCATCCACTACCTTCCCGGTCTTTCATCATTTCTAGGCTCGTTCGAATACCTCGCTTTTTTCTCAGCTCAGACCTTATGGCATCGTCTGCAGCTTCATCTGCATCTTCACTGTCGAATGCCATACCCACCCTGCCACCGGCCCGCGAAATCCCATCCACATTTGCTGCAAGTGTGAAGAGCTGGTGAGTGGTGGTCATATTTTCATTTGGGAATATTGCTCAAATGGCTCGTAGGTGGTCCGCTGGGGATAAGGAAGGTGCTGCGAGTGAGGAACGACTACTCAGGTTGGTTGTGTATGTTGCAAACGTATTTATAAAGCTCATTTGTCTCAGGAAACTCCCATATTTCCGGCCTGCGGGCTCGCCGACTACGTCTCCCGATGGTGCTTCGCCGGTTGTGGCTCGTAGTTCCCGGATAGACTTGTCCGATCCCAAGAAGTACATCAATACCTTCGCAATAGAATCAACGACCCCATCACCCCAGGCTCCACCGCCTGCAATTGTTCTTCATGGTTACGGTGCTGGCCTCGGTTTCTTTTTCCAGAACTTTCCAGCACTTGGTCGTTGGGCTGGCAGTCGTGGAACATCGCTATACGCTTTAGATTGGTTGGGCATGGGCCGTTCTGCACGAATACCCTTTCGCGTGAAGGCAAAACGCGATAATATTTCAGGCCGAGTAACAGAAGCAGAATCGTTCTTTATTGATTCATTAGAAGAATGGCGGGAGAAGATGGGCCTAGAAAAGATGACACTCATCGGACACTCATTAGGTGGTTATCTAAGTATTGCTTATGCCCTGAAATATCCCACGCGTGTATCCAAGCTTATCCTGCTCTCCCCGGCTGGCGTACCTCGGGATCCCAATACAACGACAGAATACTCCCGCGAAGTCGCCGATGACCCAGTCTCCGGCGCGTCGGATGCTGACCATGCCGAAGTTGCGTCGATGAAATCCGTGGAGTCCATGCGAGCAGGGCAACGTGCGGAAAAGCGGAAGGAAAGTCGGTCCAGGAGGTTTTTCACATACCTTTGGGAAGAGGGATTCAGTCCATTTCAGGTTGTTCGATCTTCGACGTTCCTGAGTCCCTGGCTCGTTGGGAAGTACTCCAGTCGGCGGTTCATTGGGTTGGGAGCAGATGATACAAAGGCCATGCATGAGTATATCCTGAACATCACACTTGCGAAAGGTTCCGGAGAGTACTGCATATGTAAGTATCGTAACGCATCAAGCTTCTGCGCTTCGTTCGTCTCACAGTTTTTCTTTATCTAGCTCACCTATTGGCTCCTGGTGCCCATGCACATCTACCGATGGTAGACCGTATAGCCGCTTTGAAGATCCCAGTCACATTTATCTGTGAGTATGCTAAAGTGCTTCTTACGCTGCGCGATGCTAATTGGCCGTCGACAGATGGAGATAGTGATTGGATGGACCCTGAAGGTGGTACGGCCTCCGTTGAGAACCTGCGTCAAGCTGGCAACGGACACGGCCGCATGTACATCGTTCCTCATGCTGGACATCACTGTGAGTGCTGCACTTCATAGCTCACTCCCATGCACAATGAATTATCTCACAAAAACTTCTCAGTATACCTGGACAATCCGAAGGCCACTAACGAGTTGTTGATCAAGGAACTAGACCGTCGTCATGTTTAGAGGCTTTGTGAATTCTATCGATGTTTTTCTAATTCATTCAAACATCCATTAATATGCATACATTCAATAATTCTATTCCAGAATTTCCCGTCACCGGGTGTAGGTCCTAGATACAGTGTACATTTTCACTGCACTTCCGCGTCCTCGAGGACATAGACAGTTCTACATGCAAATGGCAATAGTACAATGGGTATCTATACTACAAAAGTGGCGGCCTAGTACTATACAGAAGTTTTGAGAAGTAAAAGGATCGCAAGAATTGAACATCTCAAAAGGAACGTGGTTCCGGGAACTGTTCCAGGATAAAATGCAACACCTCGATGAGAAAGAGACGAAAGACCTAAAGGGAAAGTATATCCCAGTCGCGGCGTGGGGTCACATGGGAAGGACAACGGTCTGAAAAGGGGCTCGAAATTCACACATTCTAGAGGCTGCCGGTGGTAGACCTGTCGAACTTCGAATGATAGGGCTCAATAGCAACATCTGCAAATTCATCAACTGAGGGATCATGATGGTCTTCGATGTCTTTTGTAATGTTCACAGCGATAGGTCGCATGGGCATAGACCCGATGGTGGCGACCTGAGGCTCCGTACCGTGGCCTGTGCCATGCGAGTGCGATATACCTCCTCGGCTTGTGTCCAACGCACCAGACATGCGAAGAGTTATGCGAATGGTGATAGCAGTGAATGTGATGCCCTGCACGAGACGATGCGTAAACTGTGGTTAACGGAAAATATGAGTTCGGACATACCACTAGCGGGGTAACAATCTCTAGCAAGATATACTGTGCGTTGTAATTGGCACAGTAAAGAGCCAGAAGAATGGCCTCCACAATGAATTGCAGAGATGCTGACTCGATGAGGATTCGAAGGATCGGCATCAGATTCCCTGACGCAGTTCGATATGCAGACGATCGCCGATCGGTGTGCCAGATACGGTATGCCATGAGCCCCGTCGTCATTGCTGATTGTACTACGGCGACGGCGTAGAAGATGGTAATCCAGCGGGCAAGGCGAGGGTCAAAGACTGTGCTACCAGCGACTTGTGATGGGTACAGGCCGCAAACCATGTAACCGGAGACTATAGGAAGCTCCATGTCAAAACGATAAATAAATGAATCACTGAACTTCGCGTACCCATGCTGACAATGAATAGCACCGTCGGAAGCAATATGATTCTCCAGTCACGACTCCAAATCACCCAGCAACGATAAATCTAGGAAGCAGTTTAGTTGCCACGCCATTCCTTTCGAAAAAGAGATGAATGGAACTAACCGCTACACCATCGCCTAAAATCTCTTGTGTTGCGTACAGCGTGTCCTTGAAAACGTGGTCCCAGGGAGCGAGAGCACCAATATACCCAACTGCGCCTCCGGGGTCATTGACGTGGTCGACGAAACCACGAATCATGCGGAAACAGTTCATTCCTAGTCGAATTCAACGCATCAGGAAACAATGCATCATTCAGAAAGAATACACTGACCAAGATGCATCGTTGCAATGATAAAAAAGACGATGCCGACAAAAAACATTGCCTAATTCCGCATCAGATATTCCATTGCCTTCCGTGTCCGGAAGAATTAGAGAAAACCTACTCTGCTGTGGCCATCTTGCGACTTGCGCAATGTGAAGTTAACGTACAGAGAGGCACAAAACAGACATAAAAAGAAACCTAGAAATTCTCGCAGGTGAGACAATTTTCCAACGGAGGCATCTCGTTATGGCATTTACCATATACCAGGGCCTGCAACAATCTGCCAGTCAGATGCAAACAGTAATGAAAGTCTATCAGTGACAGACATACCTCTAGCCACAAGGAGACAATGAACGTCTTGTCAAGAGGGAATTGCTTCATGATGGTAGTAGCAGGTGGGCAAGGGCGTCGCACGAGTCTGGTTGAATTCTATCTTTATTTGAGTCGCATGAGACGAGGCTGGGTAGTGCCTATAGCGCGGGGAAGTCGGTATTAGAAAGAAGCACCGTCACATGCGACGTTGGGAGCTAAAGTGATACAAGGAAGCACTATCGTGGTATCTCGGCCGGAGTTTGACGCAAATGTCAGAATGGTTAGCTGCGAACAAGCCAGGCTGGCCATTCGTACCGATATAAACTAGGAGCATTCGATCGCGTTCGCAGCTGGTGAGGGTATCTCTGGGAATAAAACGGTAACTACGTCTTTCGGCAACAACTCCATGTGCAGGTCTCGTGCAGTCTGCGAGAACAACGAACTTCCCTGTCTCAAGTGTTAATTTAGTGTTAACCTTGGATCATCCGGCATGGTAGTACGGTTGAGCATTCACAGGTGAAGAAGAGATGCTATTCCAAAGGGGGCGTACAGGCCACACGAAAGATACCGACACTTGGCAGAAGTATACCAGGCTGTCGCGAGTGGCTCTCACTGTCGTCGGTTACGAGCAAACGCGATTCATTTTTCCGAATGGCTTCTGGTAACCAAACAGGTCGACGGCGAGAGTTAGTAGTCTAATATGGTAATCTTCTGGTCGAAGTGTCAACTCACTTTGTGGGAACTCCGAAAGATTTACTGTTCTCACTTACTCTCCGAAATCTTCATTTGCCTCCGAGCATTCGGCGAATAATCCTGATATCAGGCGATAAGGTGAGCGAACAGGTAGCACCCTCGCGGCAGTCTGCCAACGTCCGTCGTAAAGGTGCTATTGGATTTACGGATACAAGGACGCCTATCTGTCGGTCAGGAGATCATGCCTAATGGTCGGAAGGAGGCGTATGTGTTAACTAACACGACTGCCATATTGGGTGCTTTAGTTATGTAAGCACTACCCAATATGGATGCAAGTTTGTACGTACAAATTTGGCCAGTAACTTCAGAGTTGGTCGCCATTCATATCTTCGAATCTCATTCCCCAGCAACGAATCCTCTCGTTTCTCATGCACCTCTCAACTCAATGTCGCCTAGCACAGTTTTAGGGTTGCCGAACAGCGTTGTGCCCCGGATGTAATATTTCGAAGCCTCCAAAGCCGTAGCATCAATGATCTGAATGTCTTCATGGCAGACGCGTACCTATCTCTAAACCAATTGCAGGTCAGGGTTCTGCTACCCATGACTACTTGTGTAGCATTTGTCTCTAGGCCATCTGTGCACATGCGGCACTCGGAGCGTGTTGATTAGCGTTCAAATATAAGAGCGCGGAAGGAGGTAGTACCTCTACAATCACCCCGTCCAACATGCAGCCCATCACAACTAGCCTCACCAAATTGCTCAGTATGCCGTCTCTTTGACATTGCCTCCTTTGATTGTAAGTGCAGACTTTTGATTTGCAGACATCAAGACCCCCATCCTGGCGGCGCCCATGGCCTTCGCCTCCACGGCGGAGCTTACTGTCGCTGTCAGTGGAAGTGGGGCCTTTGGTTTCTTTGGAGCAGGCGTGTACTCTCAACTATTTCTCCGAGACATTGACTTATGAATGATACACAGGATTTGACACTTCAGCTCAGCTGAAGGAGACAATCCAAACTGTTCGCACGAAGCTAAACCTGCCTAAAGGTGTTCCCGTCCCCATGGGCTTCGGGTTCATCGGATGGATTCTGGAGATGACGGAATCGTCTGACGATCCCCGACTCGCCACCATTCTCGATGAGCTCCCCGTTGCCATTTGGTTCGCGTTCGGCGTCGACCTTGGCAAATATGTTGCTCAGGTGCGCGCTCACGATGCGAAACGAGATCACAAAACCGTAGTCTTCGTCATCGTGAACTCCGCTACTGATGCCGTGCGAGCTGCAAATGAGTGGGGAGTTGATGTCATCGTGGCGCAAGGTGCTTACCTTGGACACTCACTTTAAGTGTTTTCTAACCGATATCTTGGTAGGAAACGAAGCAGGTGGTCATGGCGGTTCTATTTCCCCTCCTCTGTTTGATCTCTTGCCTGATGTGCTTGCTGCCCTTCCCAATGGGCCTCCGGTTGTCGCTGCAGGCGGTGTTGCTACCGGCGCTCAGGTTGCTTCATTGTTGGCTTTGGGAGTATCGGGCGTCGTCCTGGGCACGCGCTTCCTCTTCACCAACGAATGTCGGTACACCGACCAGATTAAATCTGTCCTCGTCGACGCAGACCTCAGAGCAACTCAACGTAGCTTGTGCTTTGACGAAGTCAATCGCACCAACTACTGGCCTCCTCTTCACGACGGTCGCGCCATCGCTAATCAGATATGGGACGACTTCACCTCCGGGCTTTCTCTTGAGGAGCGGTTGAAGAAGCACGACGAAAGCAATGCGAAGGGCGAGAAGGACCGGCTTGTCATCTGGGCTGGAGTCGGCGCGGGACTCACAAAAACGATCAGTCCTGCAGCAGTAAGTCTAATTATGGTCTACTATGCAAGAAGCAATGGGTGACATCTATTTCAGGATGTCGTGAAGGAATTACACGAGGGCACTCTCAAGGCCATCAAGGCCACCTCGGCTCTGCTTGGGTGAATCTGCGTTCCTGTGCCACTCACCTTCATTTGTTATTATATCATCTTTTCGATAGAATGGTCTTTTCAAGCGTAATTTACAAATGAATCTATTCATAGGCGGGACGATCTGCTAGCTAATGCGTCTGGACTGATGGTTTGAAAGATGATCATTGTGTCATGTCAGTATGGCCAGACGTACAGGTCAGGTTAAATGCGCCAACGCCGGGGTGCAATCACTGAGATGGACTTGTATGTGTATGCGTGGGATGTTCAATCACGATCCGCGGCGGACGAGGATAGTACATACATGGGGTGGTGATACAATGAGTAAGCTTACAACAACATGATGTTTCACGAACACATGTTACAAATAAATAAGAGTAGCATCAGCCCTCCAATCCAATCAGAACGCCAAAGTGATTTCTTCCTCGGTTTCCAAAATAGAATGAACGCGGTCGTGGCGTGCAGAGAGCTTGAGTCGGTAAGGAAGCGGGGTTCTTCCAGAAAGACCTTCGTATTCATCGAGGCAGATAGGCTCGCCCGGGATCTCTTCAAATTTGTACGCCCATAGGAGCCTGGAAATGGCCAGCCACAATTCGCGTTCCGCAATATGAAGTCCAGGACAAATCCGACGTCTGGAGAGGCAAAAATGTAAATGTTGCATCACTACTATTGGCATAATTGACGTACCCAGCTCCGAACGTCCAGTGGTCGCGTTGCATAACGTCTGCTAGCTTGGCCGACTCCGCACAGCTCAAATTGTCACCAAGATACCGGTCAGGGTTGAAGGTGAATCTAGACACAAACAATGAGATTTGATGACATCATTCCGAAAGACATGACTTACGAATCTGGATACCGTTCCTCATTGTGATGCAGAGTGAAACAGTTGAGAACCAACACGGTGTCCTTCGGGATAAAGAGACCATTGTAGACGAAATCTTCGGTGGAGCAATGCGGAGTGGCCATCCAGAACGGAGCGTGCACACGTTGTACCTGGATCATGTTTAGCTGATGCTCACTCTACTTGGAAGATGGCACTCACCTCCTTGATGATGGCGCGAATATATGGCAGACGCTCTTCATCCTCGGCCGTCGGCCAGTGGTCCCTCCCCACCACTCGATCAAGTTCTTCATGTGCCCGAGCTTGAATTTCAGGGTGCGAAGGAATCAAAGCAAGGAACCATTGAATGATGCCGGAAGTCTGCCAAGATCAGCGTGTCAGGAGATTTGTTGGTTGATTGACAAACTGATCTGTCATACCGAGTGGACACCTCCGAGTGTGAAAACCGCAGCAAGCATGCAAAGATCTTCCCAGTCGAGTTTCTCTTCTTCTTGGGTCTCAATTAATGTCTTCGCCAAACAGTCGGGAACGTTCTCCCCGGCGTCCATGCGTGCCTTCACCCTATGTATCATAGCACCATAAACTTCAATTAGGTCATCATGCAGCTTGCGTCCTCGTGCACGGATGCGGGTCGGCAACCATTGCAACGGCTCAATGAAATCAACGGCATTTGACCAAGGCCCTGTGAGTGCTGATTAAATGACCGGCCCGCAGAAATGAAGAGTGAGACTTGCCAGTGAGATCCATGAATTCCATCGCCATCGCGAGAGCCCGCTCTACTAGAGGGTCCGATGTCGAATCCGTTCGGGTGCCGAAGGATATTGACAGCATGTTACTGAAGAAGATCAGCAACAGCAGGCTGTCACCATAACAATAATCTCACTTCAGTGCATAACGCCCCGCATAATGGGCTGGGTTAATCGGAAGTTTGCCCTGCAATGATTCATTATAGAGAGAGCGCATGAGGATATGGGCTTCGTAATCGAAAAATTCTGCATATCCTTGAAGCGCTTTAGGTGTGAGCATTACAGATGCGATTCTCCGATGCTGTCTCCTGAAACAACCCGAAGGGTAAACAAGGTGGTAATGCACAATAGCCGGTGGACGCACCACGTATCATCATAAGCAGAGGCGGTGATAGCACGTCCGGCAAGGATGGTCTGGTTCTTCATGAAGTATTTCTTACGACTGGAAAAGATAGCTCCGTGGTTGACGAGCAGCTCTCGAGCAACGTGAGCATCGGAGATGACGACAAATAGCTGGCTGCCCATCCAGATAGAGAACAATGAGCCATATGTTTTTGCCCAGGCGGCGAGGGCGCGTTCGGGGTATTTGCGGAGGAAGGCATAACGGAAGAGAGGACCAGGAGGCAAGGGGTGTCCATCCTTGTCTACAAGATTCTTGCGAAGAATGTAGGGAAGGACCAAGTAGAGGAAAGCGATTCCAAGTGCTGTCACGGCAAGCTTGCTTGAAACAACCTACACACATGAAATTAGAAGAGAGTCATTGTTGAGGGAGAAGACGTACTGGGAAGAGCAGTTGGAACCCCGAGTCTGTTCTGACGGACATGTTGGAAGGAGTGGAGGGGAATACGGATCTCCTGCCATCTGAAAACTATTAAATAGACCTCAGCTCTAACCCCTAGTTGTGGTGTATTGATCCTCTATCGGGGTAACGAGTCGAAGGGGCTGTGGTCAGCATCAAAGGCTAGTCCTCCATGAGGCATTCATCCGGAAGCTTCGCTTGATGATGAAGCTGAGATCGATAGAAATTCGGAAAACTTGGACACATCAGAAACGCACGCCGTTTGCACCTGCTGTCCAAGACTCAAACATATCTTGCCGGGAAGAAGGACGCCGACAGAATACGGCCACAATAACGTTACTTTTCCCACCCGTGTCGCACGTCCATGCAAATCATTCAATTTGCAGGCACTCAAGAGTGAAACTCATGCGTAAGCACTTGTGTAGTGTAGCAGCCAACATGATGGGCTGCACATGACCTGGTAACGGGCGTATCATTGAAATAGAGTGTTCCTTGGGGCCAGCAGTGCTCGAAAAGATGCGAAGTAACATTATTTCAGTACAAGAGGTGTTTCAGCTCTCAACATTATGCGGAAACTACAATATGCATACCTCTCTCGCTTGTGACCTTGAGTCACGATTCCCAAGAGTGTCAAGAAAAAAGACAGATCTTGTGTAATTTCCCGCGAGTCTTAGCATCAAGCTTGCATTGTTCTTATTGTAGACACAGACAGGTGAAAGTTGTCTCCTCGACCAGCAACGTCAAAGATATCGACATGGTACCAACAGCTGAAATCAGAGCACGACCATCGGGTCGAGTCGTGCTAAGAATTACGGAATGGAGTTGACAGCTGACACATTCTAAGCGATGCGATAACGTGAAAGTGAAAGTGACCAAGGAGTCCAATGGTCGGCAACGTAAAGTTTCGCCGCCAGCCCCGCCCTTGTGACAGTTTGTTGCGCTAGAACTCAGCCGTTAATGGAGGTTCACCTAAAAGAAAAGAAACTTGACGCTTGAGCTCCAACTTCCGAGAAGTATTCTGAGGACGCCAGAGTACGATGATGATTATTACGCATTGTTGCGGGAATGCATCACCATGCGGTAAACCGGCGGGTATGCGGCCTTCCGATGAGAAAAAAAAATAGAGTGGCAAGCACCCATGCTTGGAGGGCCAGCAGATGAAAGTAGTAGGGAATCTATGGGAAACACCAGCTTAACCGATGTCAGCGTCTGATCGACATTCACGTTGATCACCAATTCAAGCGCCGATTCAGATCATACAGGGTCTAGGGAGCTAGAGATAACAATGGTATGGTCTGGCTGAGGCGGGGGCCAGGTTATGTCGACTGTTGATGGTCCATTTCGCCCTAGTGCTTATTTTGACGCAAAGAATTTTTGAAGAATAATAGGTCCATGGGGCTCATCGGAACTACTTGTCATCTTTTCATGATACTTAGACTACTTACTTATGCTGTGGCAGGTGACATCTTCCATGGCTCGCGCCTGTTTGCTTGCAGGTTCGAGATACAGTCCGATCATCATGCATTAGTCACAGTTCTATTCCGGTATGGACTTCTTTGTACCTCAGAGACAGCCTGTCCACGCGATCGCTCGATACTAACATCCGCGAGAAGTGTAGTGGATGAGCAGCTTGATTGATCCCAACTTGAGCCATTAGGCACCTGCTATGGATGCGGCAATGGACGCCTGACATATCAAAGAACTGGAGCTAACAGCCTACGATCATTCATCGCGCTGCGCGTTGGACGATAGCCGCAGCATCCGGTGCCGAATTTCGTGAACAGAACGTTCTGTTTAGGTGCGTGTGCGTGGATCAGTTCTTATTGCTGAAGAGTGAATTGATGCAAGTTTTTGCCTCATGTCAATTGTTTTCCTTTTCTCCATCATTTCTATCATCATAGGTAATATCTCCTGGGCTCTCAGATGCCAGTCGACTGCTCGGTCTGCTTGGTAAATAATAGCCGATGCTATCATATGGCTATTGACTATTCGTAAGCGTATTCCCGCAATAGGGTCATGATCAAATTTGTTTATTGCACGTTGTCACGTTCGCTCTATTAGAAGGGTCGTCAGTCATATGGATCTCGCTCTTCCAGGGATTCCCCCGAGCGAATCGCTCTGTGGCTCCACTGATTCCTTTGTGTTCCAACCAGAAGAACATTTGCTGAGAAATGGAATCGTTGCAGTCAACATTTCCAGCTAGAAGGATTCATATCTGCGTATTCCACCCGTCAGAGCAAGCTCGATACGCAGGTGGATCTTGATTCCGCCGGCTCGAGAATTCAACGGATTTAAGTACGTCACATAACAATACACTACCGGGATTCATCTGCGAACACCGGTGACCTAGAGACTTCGGCTGTCATGGGACTTGGAAAATCTGACAGCCATCCGCAATCGCTTCGGCATTGAGAATGTATCTCATATGAGAAACCATTGAAAAAAAAATATCATGATGTTCGGAACATTGTAGGCTTCCTTCCTACTAGCTGTGGTACTTTGGGCGAGCCCAGTAAAGTCGGCTACCCAACTGTCTTACGACGTATCGTTATTATCGGCGGTTTCCTACAGATGACAGGGAGATTAGAGAGGAGCGGATGTTGTCCCGCCGGCGCGAATCAGAGCAGAGGGTGTTTCACAGTGTCAATGTTACATTACTAACCTATGTATGACCAGGATTCATCTTGAATCATCAAATCTTAATCGACAGGTATTTGAAGATGTCTGTATATATACTTTCGAGATGTCATGTGTTTTTTTTCTATACAAAGGACGTACTCACACTCTTCCTAGCGGCCGCGCGCTCCAACCGCACAGTAAATTTGTAATACTCACCGCCCCAAGGAATTCATGCCTAAGTAAGGCCTAGATAATCTGTCATAGGTCGATTCGATGTACTTACTTTGTTTCGCTTTGTTGTCAAAACCATGTCAATCGCGGATCGATTAGATCAAGTTGATCACACGTACCAACACAATACCTGCCATTTTGGGACGGTCATCCCTTGGAGCGAGTATCCTATCGACACGCGTACCTGGAATTAAGCAGTACTGCTTACATGCCATTTGACTCGTTGATTTCCTGATCAAGCCGTATTCAGATCTTTGAATGAAAACGTTTCAAGAGTGTTTTCTGCCTAGCAGAAATTTGGTATGTAAACAACCAGCTGGTTATGGATACGCACTGTGGTTGTGCTGTCGAGAATGCGTTACAACTGATCCTGTGTTAGATGCCATAGGATGCCTGTTATTACCAAATATTTAGCGATCGAGAACCCATGGCCAGGAGACAGCAATTCGAAAGCCCGCAGAAACTCAGTGGCATTCTTCAATCTCTTGGGAGCATGGGTTTCTCATATGATCAAAAGAGCGTCAGCAGTGGAAATGGTTCTCCACAGGAACACGGTACGTCGGTACTCACTATACTGTCTCATGAACGTAAGGTTCAACGTGCTGTGATCTTGCTCAGCGCCACGAAGTGATTGTGAAACTTGCAAAGAAAGTTGATATTGAAGAGATCATTGGAGCCCACTATTGGAGAAAATTTTGTATACTGGATAAGCGATCGACCGCGGTGTCCTATGTATTTGAATATGATCTAGCCAGGTTTGGTAAACCGGAAATGCGTACGTCTGTATTCTTAAACATGTATATATCTTTCATTCATGCTATCCTGATCGATTTGGGCTCAGATCAATGGACAGAAAACTATGTAAGTCCTTACACAGGGGATATCCAGAATATCATGCTCGTGAATGAGTATCCGACCTCAAGCTATGTTTCACTGGTGGGTAGGGATGTAGCCGATCTAGTACGAAAGCCACCACAGAGGAAAGCACACACGCCGACCCCTCCGCCATCACCATCACCCCCGCCCCCGGTTGTTTGTATATTTCATGTTTCTCCATTCGGCAACTTATTCATGCAGTTTGTATCACTCTGTTCACAGAATCTCTTCACGCCGTATGAAACGCCTGCACATATAACATTCACCACCGCGGGTGATGATGAACCTGATGAACGGCTTGATGCAATGATCAAGGAGGAACACATTGAAGGTACTGGATAATGTCTGGTTTCACACTGACGACGGCCTCACGGTTTATTGTGTGACAAGATGGAATGAAAATCGCTTCGAAGATTGATCCATATGAGGAAGGTGAGAGACTTGAATATGAGATTCTGCACCTAGTTAACTCGGACACAATCATAGAAGAGGCGGCGCTGCAGGCCCTAAAGTCGGAACCAGTGGAGACTGCGGTGTTCAGCAAAGTGAAACAAGAACCTGGGATTAAAGAAGAACCAATTGGTGAGAAGAGATGTTGATCAGTTACTAACGTGCCTGAACAAGTCGGATGTCAGATTATCTTCATCAAGCTGAAAAGGAAGCAAGATTGAACGAGGCCAGCCGGATATACGAGGAGTCTACATCTCGCTCCAACGCGGACCAGGAAATCGATGACCACACATTGAGTAATTCGTCTCTTGTTATTGACGCGCAGGAAGCTCTATTAATTTCGTTCTCAGCTCTGCAGCAAGCTGTTGTTGCGGACGCCAATGCGATTCAGCAGAATGGTTACCGCCTCCGTGTGGCACCTATGGCAAGTGTGACACCGGGTGAGTGAGAATATTAATGGCTGTTGGCCCAAGTCTTAACTATTTGTCAAGAAATGCGCGATGCGATCACACAACTGCAATCCGTAGACTTACAAAGTCGGTCACTGTTGTTCCGGAATCTCGAATTCACAATCTGATATGTATACAGGCCGACAAGTATCGCGTCAACCGACGTGGAGTCCAGGTCAGTCATCATGCAGGTGGCCGGAATATTTGGCGTCACCTGAGAACATTCGATATACGATACACAGGTATCCCTGATGCTCAACAACCCATTCTTATCAAGAAGGAATGTCAACGTTCAGCCACGATTGATCCGCGCAAACGTGCAGGAAGACATGTGACACCGTCTACCGCACCTCCAATTACAGTCAAGTCAGAGGCTCAAGATATCCGCATTGGTTAGCGACTTACGCTTCATCTATCGGACGCGCCTAACTTAATTTCATGACCAATGTTTCAGGGTCCATGTCGACAGCTCGAACTCCTTCCGATCGCGGACGGCCTGAGCTCACGACTCAGAGGTACAGCCATGGAGCGCAGATCAAGCAAGAGCCTGTTGAAGAAGCTTGGAATCCCGCTTTCGCATCCACTCCGGCGAATTTGCAGAGATACATCAATACCCGTAAGTTTTCTATGACTTCTGTGATGGGGGAAAAACGCCGCTGAAGTCTCCCTCTCTCAGGGTCCGCCGTGAAGCCAGAACCTGTGGAGGCAGAGCTACCGTTGCAAGCATCATTCATCCCTGGTAAGATGCTCAGAGTTCGACTGATTACCGCCTGGTAAGCACTCAAATGATGGGATTTTATCATAGGCACTACAGTGAAATCTGAACCTACGGAAGAAAGTATCTTGCCGGCGCGATGTATGTGAACGATCGAGTGGACCAACATGATAGCTCATAAACCTGCCAGATGCCAATGAGGCAACGCTTCCAAGACCTGCACCAACTGGTATGCCATCTATTCAAATGTTCAGCTAATCACAATGATGATCAGGCTTTCTGTCGGAAGACGGTCGTCCATCTGCGACTGAGCCCGGACTAGTGAAGACGCGGGATCCTAGGCTGGCTCATAGAGAAGGTTCGTCATATCCTTTCTTGAACCCGATCTGTCACCCTAAACTTCTCTGTTGTACTAGCGATGGCCAAGAGATCCGACCGAGAACCGGACGTTGGCAATTGTAAGTTCTTAGTCTGGTGATATCCAGCCAACAGTACTAATATTGCTGGATTCAGCCTCTGTGAAACGATTGCGAAGATAGAGAAGCAAAGTTGACCCTTGTCTGGGATTTACAAAAGATATGCTGTTCTACTTGCTTCCAGATGTATCAGCATAATGTAATTATATTAAATTCATGTCTTGAAATGTTCCGGGCAGAAATCAGCGAGGGTACAGATTTCAGTCCTTAATCACAGCCTTCAACACGAAGGCATGCTTCATCAGTGTTAATAACCAACTCAATATAATGAAGCAAAGGTCAGCAACGAGGGGGGTTGAATCTTCACGTTCCCTTCTACATGTATTTAGATTCTCTTCAATATCTCATCCAACACCTCTGTGGTCTTTGCGTGGCCACCAAGGTCAGGAGTCAAAACTCTTCCCTCTCTAATCACCTCATCAACAGCTTTGTCGAGCCTGTCTGCACCCTTAGCGTAACCAAGTCGTCGGAGCATGAGCGCAGCAGATCGAATGGAAGCAATTGGGTTGGCAATGCCTTGACCGGCAATGTCAGGGGCAGATCCATGAACACTAGCAATGATGACTGAGATGAGAAAGAAAAATCTGAACAGAAGGTTCCAACGTACGGTTCGCCCATCACGAAGTCGTCTCCCGCGTTGATGGATGGCACAAGACCGAGTGAACCGACCAACGCAGCGGCAGCGTCGCTATAGGGGGCTTGTTAACAGATGAACACAGCGAGAAATTCACGGGTGAAGACGTACGAGATAATATCACCATAGAGGTTGGGCGCGACCATGACGTCATATATCCTGTTGAGTATTTTGTCAAACCGCGTTCAAAAGCTTTCTGTGACGATTGAAAAATTCTCACTGAGGTTCGCGGAACAAGCTGATATGATCATTGCTGGTATCAGTATAGATTATAATAAGGTAATCTCCACATACCGGTAGACAGCACTATCAACAAGCTGTTCGGCGATTGTGATTCCGTCAAATCGTCCATTCACTTCTGGCAGTTGGGGAACTGCACGAACAGTTTCTCGAAAAAGACCGTCGGTGATGGAGAGAACATTAGATTTATGAATGATTGTTACGTGCTATTTTGAAAGCATGATTACGACGAAGTTCGTCAGGATTGTCAACTATTAAAAAAAAAGAGAACATGCCACAAACCTTGCGAGGGCGATCCAAGGCGAGCTCGAATGCCATCTTGCCTATCCGGCGAGAAGCACGTTCAGTGATGAGACGGGTAGCACGAGCTTCACGGCCATTTTCCGTTGTTGTGATGGTCTCTTGCTTGACATACTATACAAAGAAAACATGAATCGCGTTCCGCGAACGTGCAGATGGGAGAAATGTGTACAAGGCATTCAGTGTTTTCGCGCACAACGACGAGGTCAACGTCGGGTTTGTCTGCGGGATTAGCAGCAACCTTAAACAGAGGTTAGAAAAATTTCTATGCATTTAACAGCCATTGCGTACAGAAATGACCGGACGAATGTTTGCGTAGAGATCGAGGATCTTGCGAAGCGCAACGATCGGTGACGAGTAGCCAGTCACTCTCCTGGAAGGCGAGCTATGTACAGGCGACGCGTTATTAATTTATGAGGAGTTGAGTGGTGGTCTATTACCTGACAGCACCAAAGAGTGCACAGTCGCATTCCTTCAACGCACTGTCAAACCACGTCAACAGTTGTAAGGGATACTGGCTAGAGCCGAAGGAGATGGATGCTCACGAAACGGTCTCTTCTGGAAGCGCCTCGCCGTGTCGGGTGAAGTACTCGAAGCCTGCAAGGAGAGGGACAAACTCAGGCTTCGGAATATCCGAGCCAAGTGCCTCAATGGCTTTTTGGGCTGCTGGAATGACCTCCTTTCCAATGCCATCGGCAGGAATAAGACCAATTTTGAGCGAGCTGCGTGTAGCAGTCGAAAGAGCACGGAAAGGTGCTCTGAGTGGAGTCCTGAGCATTGTGAAGCAATGGAATGGAATATACAGAACTCGGATTTAGTCGGACAGAAAGCATACATGAGAAAATGATGTCGATCGATCACTCTCGGTCACGTGCAAAGTGCATATCAATATTGCATTCGCGTTGCGTGTCTGTTGTCTACTTTTCCTGCCAGCATAGAGTACTAACTCTGGTCACTAATGGTCTCTACCCTTGATTCTCCGATGGAAATAGACAACGAAACCTCTTCTGGGCGACTCGCTCTCAATAATCGTACAAATATCTTTAACGACGATGAAGTAAATTGCCTCACTGGGACGGACAAGAAACGTCCTGGCTCTGAGGACACGCAGAAAGGCGCGAGAAAACGCGTCAAAGTAGAAGACATTAAGCAAGCAGAAGCTGCAGTCTCAGACGACGAGCAAGAATTTGTCCCTGTCCAGTCGCGTTCTCGCTATTCCTCGATGTACGCGTTGCGGTTTGCTGCGATGTCATCTTCTCCCCGCGTTTTCTCCCGTTTACCACATTGTAAGTAAGCTCAAATGCATGAAAGCAATGCGTGAAAAGCCGTTTATTTATTTGTTTCCCATAGTCTCAACGCATTCACTCCTCCGATCTTTCGTTTCCTCAAATAAATCTGACGTGTACAAATGCCACTCAATCGATGCCAACAGCTTCATGACTCTTCCTTACGCTTGTGAATATTCGCATGAAGCGAAACGTGGTGGTTTATCACTTCTTGCTGTCTCAACAGAACAAGGCACCGTGCATATTCTCAATACGGCCAAACGGCGTGATTGGGATGTCGGTCAGTAACAGTATCCATTTCTTTCTCCATTATCCTCACTAATGGTATCTATATTCTAGAACCACAACGGACGATGTTCCAACCCTACGCGAACGCTATATTTGACGTACAATGGTCGCATTCAGACACATATCTTGCTACAGCATCAGCAGGCTCGTCAATTCAAATATCCACCCTCGACGCAACCCGCTGCGACGCCAAAACAACACGAGTGATGCGTGGGCACTCCGGTACTGTCAAATGTCTTGCATGGGATCCAAATTACGACGGGACGATGTTATGTTCTGGTGGACGGGATGGTGCAATTTGCCTCTGGGACCTTCGACAAGATTCAAGTGGACCCGTCGTGACCATATCTGATGCACACGAGAACACTATGAAAGTTTCGCGACCTAAACCGAGGAAAGGAAAACTTGCACCTGCTGTTCCTTTGAGGAGTATCACGAGTTTGATTTATTCTGAGTGCGAACCGCATGGCATTATCAGCGCAGGGTCTCTAGACGGGTAAGTACATTCGGACTGTCGCACCCAAGATTAGCAATTTCAAACACTGTCCTGCAGCATTCTACGACATTGGGATCTCCGCCTGCCTAAAAAGTCCAAGTCAACGAAGACACGGATTCAGCCAACCCACTCCTCACCAATAGATCCAACAACGTATCAAGGCACACGCCGTGCTCGGGGTATAACGAGTCTCACGCCAGGTTCCGGGCCTACGGCGGGTCTGTTGTTTGCACTTGGAAACGACTCCCGCATGCATACATACTACCTTTCGTCCCTTGTTCCTCTTTCGGGAAACACCACGAACCAAGAAGATGGTGAGTACTCTTACTCCCACCCCAACATGCGCACAGAGTCGTTCTATGTGCGTTCATCGCTTTCGCCATGTGGGCGGTGGCTTGCCAGCGGGGGTGCGGACAACGGAAGTGTATATCTCTTTGATGTCAGTAATGCTGGCAGGGCATCGGGTGGATACGATACCAGAGGCGTGGAGTTGAAAGGCCAGAAGGGTGAAGTGGGAGCTGTGGATTGGGCGAGTGACATGGTGGCCAGTTGTGCGGACGATGGCACGGTTAGGGTATGGAGGCCAGATATTGATATTTACAGGCAATGTCAAGCGGAAAGCGAGGAGATGAAATGGGACTGGAGTTGGTCAGTGGATCCCTTGTAAAGTGTACCTCTATTTATCTCGACCATGGACGTTGTATATACTGTTCTTGGACTTCCCATGAGAATGATACCAAGAGGAATGAGGGGAGATCTAAAGGCTCATAATAGAGATCAGCGATAATAATGAATGGTACAAGGGTATGTATGTGTATAATGCAGCAGAACAATTAAATAGGTGTCCGATACGTTTGCAGGGGATGCGACAGCGGATAGATGAGGCCGACCAAGAAACAGAAAGAAAAACACAAGGAAGTGCCATTTACTTCTTTTGTATGGCATTCACCAGCCTATGTACACAGAAGTCAGTAATGAAATCGAGGAAGCGGTCGGGGAGACAACATACCAATCCAAACCCTCCTCCAAACCTTCTCCCTTGGTCGCACAACTACCCCGTACACTCCAGTCTCGGCCCTTCTCCCCACCTGCCAAGCCCAGTTGTTCACTAATCTCTTCTGGCTTCATTGCACCTTCCATGTCTTGTTTATTGCAGAACACCAGAAGTGGAACTCCTGCAAGCTCTTCTTCTGAGAGCATAGTGAGCAGTTCCGAGCGGGATGTTGGCAGACGGGCAGTATCAGAGGAGTCAATCACGTAGATGATTGCTGAAGTATTTGGGAAGTAACAACGCCAGTATGGTCTAAGATAGAGACCATGGAAACTCAGTCGAAGTTGGGGACCGTGGGCTACCAGACGTACCGGATACTTGATTGACCTCCCAAGTCCCATACTTGGAATTTAATGTTCTTGTACTAAACGGATAGGTGAGACCGGAGTCCATGGGAATTTTCAATCGTAAAACACACCTGTACAGTCTCGACATTAAAGCCGATTGCTATATAAGTAATGAGATGTTTTGCCGGTAATTTCCAGCAGAAAACAAAGACGTACTTGGAATGGTAGAGACAACTTCTCCGATCTATATCATGTGTGACTCTCCAAGTACGCATTTAAGCACACAGTCAAAACACACCTGTAACCTATACAGAATCGTCGTCTACAGCATAAGAAAGTCATAAGCCCATCCAACCTTCCATTTCGGTACAAGCGAAGAACGTACCTTGCCAGCCGAATCCAATCCAAGCATCAATATCCGGACATCCTTGTCCTTACTCCAACGAACCAGAGAGGTTATCGAGCTAAAGAGTGTGGATATTGACAGACCCATGGCAAGACGAGCTGAGAGAGTGAGAGAATGAAGTGGCAGCACCGTACGTGTGTCAGCTATTTCCCCTCGGCGCGCGCTTGGCAAATGCGAATTGGTCGATCGGCTTTCCAGTGCCTGACCCGATTTGGTTTCTGTGTTCACTACGCTCCTCGTTTTTCCTCCTTACGCACAATATCAATGTCTACCCACTCTGATGATTCCAGACCCTCAAGAAAGTTAAAGTCCAAAACGAAGGAGAACGACGATGGGGACCATATCATCAAGAAATGCTCCAAGAAACCCAAAGACACTATCTCCGTTTCCGACGGGAATGTCGAGGTAGAGGGCAAGAAGAAACGCAAAAGGAAACCCGACGAGAACGCTGCAGTGACCGAGTCGACGGACAACAGGAAAAAAAAGAAACATTCTAAATATTCTGGTGACGCAGCACCCGAGCAGGAGGCTCAGGATGTGGACATGAAAGATGGTACAATGACCAAGGAGAAGAAGGGTAAAAGGAAGGGGAAGGAAGAGGCTCGTGCGGATGCAGAGGAAGATTTTGACGACGTCGCTGGAGGTGTGGTCTCTGACACAGAGCGTTCAACGTCTCGGAAGGAAAAGAAGCACAGGAAATCCGAGAAATTGGAAGCCCAGGAAGACAATCAAGATACCAGCGTGGTCGACGATACTGCGCAAAAACCGAGGAAAAAGAAGAAGGACAAAAAGGTTGTACGGGAGGATGAGGACCCAAAGTCGGAAAAGTCGAAAGAGAAGAAGCGAAAACATAACGAATCTTCTGACGATCCTGAGGACGACGAGTCCCTCACAGACCAAGCACGAAAAGGTATGTATCTTAATTCTGGCTTTGGAAGACACGCCCTAACTTACCTTTGCGCCCCCTTTTCCCATAGCTTTGAGCTATGTCTATATCTATTCGACCAATCGTTCCGCATGGAAATTCAACAAAGCCCGACAAAACTGGCTCATACGCAACGTATGGTCAAGCGAACTGGTACGTAACTAACTCATCACTGTACTGCTTGAGTTTGTGTCCATACTGATCGTGCGTATCACCCAGGTTCCAGACAAGTATGTCCCTCTGGTGAACAAGTACCTGCAAAGTGTCCAAGGAGGTGTACGAGAGGTCGATGTCCATTCGTTTTTCATGCATGTGTTTGAAACACTGACACATTGAATTTATATCTTAAGAATCTCATCAAGTCTTGTCGAGAGGCGATCGCTGGTGTCCCTGCCGACACTCCATCAAAAGCTGTAGACGAATCTGAAAACCCCGTTGAACCTGCAAGCGTCCACGCTAATAACGAGAATCCGGCCCAAGCTGATACAGTGAGACGGACTCGAGCAAGCGATTTACTAGCTGTATTACTTAGTGACGATTCGTAGTGTACTTGTTCAGGCCGGTCAGGCTCGGATACTTAAGCGACACCACGTCTTCAAGTTGCATTGCCTACACGAACGAACACAACACTGAGTACAACTACCTTGCTTAACCTTGGCTACATCACTGCATAACGCACAAGAGCATGACCACAACAAATGACGAGTAAAAAGCAAAGGGGAGAAGAACACTAGCGCATCTCAAGCAGCTACAGCAACGGGAGTGGGAGCATGAACCGAAGCAGACGGGGTCATGGGGTAAACCTCCTTGTGACCAGCCTGCTTATGACCAACGGTGCTCGCAACAGTGTCAACCGGACCAAGAAGGTCATTGAACTTCTCGCGAGTGATCCTAACAGCCCGAGTATCGATGATGCGTTTTTGACCAGCCCTCAACAACTTTGGTGCAGTACCCGAAGCCAAACCAAGGTGCTCATCCGTCCAGATAGGCTGAACCGGCTTAGCATCAGGCATACCCACACCAGCATGTCCACCCAATGCCTTCCAATCCGAAGTACGCTTGATACCAAGCTCCGTGAAAGTCTGATCGACAACTTTAGCAAGACGAGTGATCTGGTCGAGGTTGTGGCCGGGGGTGACGGTGAAGCGGAGACGTTCCTCGCCGCGAGCGACGGTGGGGTAGTTGATGGACTGAACGTAGACACCGTGGTTGGCGAGAAGAGCATCTGAGGCAGCTTTAGCAAGAGCCGCGTCACCAACGAGGACGGGAACGATATGAGAAGGACCGGGGATTACAGGAACGTCAAGAGCTTCGAAGCGAGACTTGAGCTCTTTGACGTTAAGTTGTTTCAACTGACGGTCACCGAGGTACTCGCGTTGGTAGGAAATACTTGCACGAGCACCAGCGACATTAACAGGAGGGAGGGAAGTCGTGAAGATGAATCCGGCAGCATAGGAGCGAATAGTGTCGACGAAATCCGTAGAACCAGCGATATATCCGCCGATAGCACCATATGCCTTGCCAAGAGTACCTACAGATACAAGTAATTAATGAAGTGGAATACAAATGAGCAAGCAGACTAGGGTGACGTACCAGTGATGATGTCAATACGGTCCATGACCGAACCCTTGATGGGCTCAGGACTGTTTCCAGCACGCACTTGGGCATCCCAGTCGAGATGCTCAGCAACACCGGCGCCGTGAGGTCCGTACAGGCCAACGGCGTGCACTTCGTCCAAGAAAGTGAGCGCGCCATACTGCTTCGCGAGGTCACATATCTCTGCAATGGGTCCGATACTACCGCACATGGAGTAAACGCTCTCGAAAGCAATGATCTTCGGGGTCTCCTTGGGATACTGAGCCAACTTGGCTTCCAAATCCTCCAAGTCGTTGTGCTTGAATATGACGCGCTTTGCGCCGGAGTGTCTCATGCCTTGAATCATGGAAGCATGATTCATGGCGTCAGAAAAGTAGACACAACCGGGTAGCTTGGAGCCAAGAGTGGCAAGCGTAGCGTCATTAGCAACGTAGCACGACGAAAAGACAAGAGCAGCAGGTTTCCTGTGTAACTGCGCTAGCTCTTCCTCGAGAGCAAGATGCATGCCAGTGTTGCCCGCAATGTTACGAGTTCCCCCAGCACCATGACCGTACGTGTCTAACGTGCGACTGGAGGAAAAAAAGGTTAACGAGTGTGCAAAAAAAAGGAAGGAAAGAAAAGGGAAGAGAAACTCACTGCATGGTCTCGAGGACGACTGGGTTATTACCCATACCGAGGTAGTCATTAGCACACCAAACCTCAACTTCGTGCTTGGGGTCCCCCGTATGAGCAATGGGGAACTTGGTAGCGAGACGGTTAATGTTGTTGAAGTAACGGTAGGAGGCATCCTTATGCTTCTTCTCGAGCTCAGTAGTATACCACTGGTCGTAGTTGAAACCTCCAGCAGTTGCTGTAGCCTTCGCAGCCTCGGCGGTAACGTCGGAGGCATGGAATGGGCAACCAGCAGCAGCCGCTTTGGAGGTAGAAGGCTTGGCAGAGGCAGCAGCGGCCGCCTTTGCGTCCTTCTCCTTCTTGGCCCTAGCAAGGTCCTCTGCCATGCGAGCGGCAGCAAGCGCCTTGGATGCATGAGGACACATTTCGATATTTCCACCAGTAGGGTGGGGGAAAACGCCCTTGTGGTGGTGAATACTATTGACCTCGGCGCTGCCGGCTACGCTAGCATAACCAGCGACGAGCTGGCCGGAACGGACCTGGAGAGCGGGACCCATGACGGGGCAACGGGTGGCTTTCTCGGTGAGCTTTGACAGCGAGGGATAGCGGGAGGACGCCGAAGTGCATAGGGTACGAAGAGTGGATGTCTTTGTGCGACCCAAGAAGGGGCAGGAGGCAGTATATTTTGCGAGGGAAGAGAGCTTGTCCATCGTGTTGAACGGCGACGAGCGAGAGAGGGGGGATGGAAACGAGAAATTGGACGAGGAGGATTGGGCGACGACCCCCGTCTTATGAACTGCCTCTTATGGGTGCTTACATAAGCTGACACAACTCATACGACACGTTGTGGCAGGCAATCGGGCGACGGGGATTGGCTGCGCGGAGATGCCCTGGATTCGAAGCAGAGTCTATCTTGCAATAGCTCTTGCAATACACTACACAGGCACTGCTTCGACGCTATTTCCATTCCCCACCCTCCCCAGTAGCACAAGGCTTCTCACCACGTCGCTTCTTCTCACGACTCGCTTGCAATGTTCGCCAGGCAGCTCTCAAGCACATCCACTGCCAAATCCACCTCTTCCCGTCCCACATTCAAGCTGGGAACAAGTCGCACCGCGTCCTTGCCCGCACTCAGTATAAGCACTCCTCGCTCCCTGGCCATCTCCACCAATCGTCCCGGGTGCGCTACATTCTTGAATCCAAGCCCGCGAATGAACCCCCGGCCTCGGATGCTCGGAAGAAGCACATCGGGGAACCACTGGGGCAACAAACTTAGTCGCTCTTCCAAGTACCCGCTCGTCTCCTCGATGTGGCGCACAAACGCTCGTTCAGACAGGCGCGACAGGACATAGTGGCCCAGCGCACAGGCTAACGGCGATCCGCCGAACGTGGTCCCATGAGTACCTGCATTGCCGTCCCACAATTTTGATTCATTCCACGCTCACAGTCAAAGTCCGAAATCACCATACTCACCAGCTGTCATAGGCTCTGCAATGCTATCCCGCAATAACACGGCGCCTATAGGGTATCCGTTCGCCAAAGGCTTTGCCATCGTGATTACGTCGGGATGACAATCCACGGGATACGCAGAATGTGCCCACAAGGTGCCAGTCCTGAAAAGTCCACACTACAATTCCAGACCAGTCAGTATCCATTGCACAACAACCCACCGGAGACTCATCCATACTAACAAGTCCCGACCGGGGAAAAGTCAAGATGATGATGGTACTAACCTGAATTTCATCAAAGATGAGAACGGCTCCGGTCTCGTCGCATCTCTTTCGCAGCTTTCGGAGCCAATCGATATCCGCTACATTAATGCCCCCTTCACCTTGTATAGGTTCCAAAATAACCGCTGCAGTCTTCTCAGTGACCAGCTTGTCCAGATCCTCGGATACATTCAGTTTGCCGACTTTCACTCCGGGGAGCAAAGGCTCGAATGGCTTCTGATACTTTGGATTCATGGTCACGCTCAAGGAACCCATAGAACGACCGTGAAAGGCGTGCTCAAAACAGACAAGTTCGTATTTGTCACACGAGGGATCATCCCACGTCTTGCCCGACGTCTTTGCGGCCCACCTTTCTTTCCCCACAAACCGTGCGATCTTGAGTGCGCCTTCGTTGGCCTCTGTTCCTGAGTTGGAGAAGAATACTTTTGCACCGTGTGTTGTTGTTGTACCGTTTGGAGGGTTCAGAGGAGTGCCAGTCTCCCAACCTAAGCCGCCCTCTTGTTGTGTCAATGTTACCAGAAGCTCGGCGAGTTTAGGACTCCATTGGTGGTGGAATGCATTACTTGTGTGTAGCAGCTTCTTCGCTTCGGTAGCCATGACCTATAATAAAAAAAGCAACACACACGACCGAGTAAATGGATACCCAATAGTGAAGGAAGAATTTCATCAGCATCTCGTTGCTCCACGTATGTCCTGTCATAAATAAATAAAAACCGGTGGTCACTCCCACAGAACGGGGATTAATGAGAAGCGTGTGTAATAACAACTCAAAGTCATAGAGAACAAATAGAGAACCCTAGCCCAAAATACCAATTGAGAAATTCTCACCTCCGCAAGACCCTCATCCCCATGTCCAAACGCATTCACAGCAATACCAGCACTGAAATCTAGATATTTTCGGCCCTGGGTATCCCAAACATAGGCCCCTTTACCATGTGACAAAATGAACGGAGGCCTAGCATACACCGGTAGCACATATGCATTTGCACGATCTAGTAATGCTTTGACAGATGCTGGAACACTGGACGCGTCCTCTGGGTGGCTTACAGTCGTGTAGCGTGTGGATGGGGCAGTCCGAAGGGAAGCTGATGGACGAGACGTCGACTAGAGGAGCACGAGTATATAAGTCCGTTATATGCGTATGCGTCATAGAAATGATGGACGGGTTATATACCTCTGAAACGGTAGACGAATACCTCAGGGACCGTCCTGCTCGTCCGCGGAGGAGAACGCGACCCAGGTTACGATGCATATCCAAGACACCTTTCAGAATACCCAAGCTCGAGGTGAGATGGAGGAGGAAGTTGGGTACCGTCAGGCAAGGATTCCTGCCTTCGGGTGTACACGCTTGCGAGTCATGGCCGCGGTGGTACTCAAAAAAACAAAGCAAAATCTTGCAATAACAATCACATGACTCAATATATCTGATGTTTCTCTGCCGACCGAGTTTTCCGATATTGAATATGGAGCAACGCAAAAGACACAATACATGAAGGGAATACAGAATGAAAAGGCAACAAAAGCGAAGAATGGAAAAGTTGGGTAACTAAAGCAACAAGAAAATAGAAGCTATAACGTCCCTTAACTCCGACTACGGCTACGGCTTCCACTCGATGATCTACTACTGACAGACATAGATGAATCACTTTCAGTTGAAGGTGATCGGCCTCGCCGTGATCCCCTCTCGCCGCGTGGTGGAGGTGAAGGAGACCGAGTATGACCACGTCCACGTCGGTCTATTCGCACAGGTGATCGCACAGGTGACCGAGACGGTGAGCGTGAAGGAGACCTTCCACGACGATCGCGACCGCGCGGGGACCTTGAGCGTGGCTTCACTTTATCAAGGTCGCGAGTACTCTTCGGATGAGGGGGCGGAGATCCAGATATTCCACTCTCTCCCCGTGAAGGAGGTTCAACGGAACCGGAGCGGCGGTATCGAGGGGGTGATCGTGAGTCGAAACGACGACGTACACGCGGTAAAGGCGAAGGCGATCGGGAGGGACGACGATGACTATCGCGCGGCGGTGGCGAAGGTGAGCGGGAGCTTGGTCGTTTCCTGTAATCGTCTCGATCGCGCGGTGGTCCTCGACGGTCAGGGCTTCTACTTCGACGGCCTCTGTCACGATCAACACCCCTGTCTCCTCGATGATATACAGGAACCGGGGGTGGCGGCATCCTTTCTCTTCGCTTCATTTCCTCTTCTCTCTCCTTTCGTCTCCTGTCCTCCTCACGTCTCCGCAACCTATCCCTCTCCTTCCGCTCAGCTTCCCACTTCTCCTTCTGAGCCTGCATACGTGTGCGCTCCTCTTCCCTCTGCCTTTCCCGCTCTCCGCGCTCCTCCATACGCCGTCTCCTGATCTCCTCCTGCTTCTCCTTGTCAAAGGCATCACCCTCGGTATAATCTTTACGGGTGCCCAAAGCGCGTGCCATTCGATCGAGCTCATCCTTTTTGGCGGCAGCTATGCCATGGGTATCTGATGGTTTGAGGCTTTTTGCGTTAGTTTGCATGCTGCTGAGATTGGCTAGCAATTTTGTGCGAAGAGTTTGAACTTGGCCGTCAATATCTGCCTCGTCCAGCCTACAATAATCCGTTAGAGAAATGAACGAAGTTGATTAGTAAGAAGAGACATACCCATTATCCTCGAGTTCCAACTGCAACTCCAGACATTGTACTTCAACTTTTCGTTTCTTCTCATGCTCGAGGATCTCGCCGTCCGGTTCGCGGTGTTTTGGCGGAGGGGCATTCCAGGATTGAGCCCGTTCTACTGCAGTTTCATGGCTACGCAGGACGGAAAGGTTACGGACGACATAACCGTTTGTACCACTGTAATCGGGGTGTTAGTTTGTGCAATACACCGCTGTGTGAATGCTATGTACCTTCCTCGAGGAGTTGTAAGTCCAATACCGTTATACATGTTGTCTGACCGGTGTTGTTCGCAACAGAGATGCAAGCTCGACTTGGCTCTGGAGTCCTTCCCTTAAGCGACTGAAGCGGAGCTTCAAGTCTACCACCACGTGGCAGTTTAGACGCCCATCAAGACACTCGGCGCTTGGTCGTCGATCTCCTCCTCCCAGTCTGTTGATGAATGTAAACTTTACTGTAAAGTCCGTAACCGTGTGGTATAATATAGGGCATGATGCGTCTCTATCTCTACAATACATCTGCTTTCTCTATCCTGGCGTTGCATGCATCAGGGCAAAAGACTGAAATGAAGATCGGACTTGTACTTTTCGTATTCTGGCCGTGCCAATGATTTCAATGCTACTCGCTTGTCCGTCTCTATGTCTTCTATCAGTCCTTCTATACAACACTCCCGGCTTAGTATGTATTGTGGTGCACGAAGTGGCAAGAGCATACCTCTAGAAGTGTAGTTTAATTCAGGACGTATGTAACCTAGTACAATGGCTCTCATTTCATGTCCATAGAAATCTGACTTGAAGTTATGCATTATATGGATTTCCTGTAATGCTACTTAGCAGGGTACAAGAATAATCGATGTATGTGTTGCATACCGCCGTTAGTTGCTGGTTCTTGTAGAAAGGATTGTAACCGAGGCTCATGACCATCGGTAATACAACGGTGTCATCCTCCGATAGCACTTTTTGACCTTCCTTATTGTACGGAGAGACTTGAGCGTATCCGTAGTACACGCCAGTCTGTGTAACATTGCTCATCGGAGGTAATGACTCGTCAGGTAGATTTGCTAAAGACGGTTGATCTGCATTTCGGCTTATATCGCATGAAGAGCATGCACGTACCTGTAGGGCACCCTAGATCCTTCCCCCCTCTTCCAAATCCCTTCCGTACCGCACCTGAGAGAGAGATGGGAAAGGGAGGCTCTGGACAATCAGGACCAACGACTTCCGGCCTCGATTGGCGAAACTTCTCTGTTCGCAAAGGAGCCGGTGGGCGTTCGTGTGTAGCGAGTTCAGCAGCGGTTTCAAGCATAGTCATCTTAGATTAAAGCAAGGTGGTGTAAGATTATAGCAGAGGAGATTACGCAAGGTGATTGAATCGCTTGACTCGAACATGGGAATTCTCCACAGGTGTCGCAAGACGCACATCCTGACTGTGGCCAGTGTAGCGCTCCGATCGGGTTATTATAACTCTATTCCATACCACCATGTCCCATTATCCCTCGCAGGCGTACGGTTCATATCAGTCGCCATATCCTAACTACCCCCCGCAAACACAGTATCCTTCCCAGTTCCCTGGACAGGCAGCTGCCCCATACAATGCATATCCACCAGTGAAACCGACCTCACCACCACCAGAACCTATTACTGCTCCAGACCTACCTGCTATCACACCAGATATTGCTTCTCGTGTCCTTCAACGACTGATTTCCGCCGAACTTCGCCATGCAGGATTCGATACCGCCCAGCCGGCTGCAGTTGAAAGGCTCGAGCTTGAAGTTGTAGCTTGTCCGTCTTGCCGCATATTCTGCTTCTTACCGTTATCCTAAATCCGACTGGTAGTCGTAGAGAATGTCTTTCGATATGCACACGATTGTGCAAATCATGCCAATCGCTCTGGCCCCATTGCTACCGATTTATTGGCAGCCTGCCAACACCATGAACTGGAGCCAAAAGACTTGCATAAAGTCGTGCTGGCTGCGAAGAAAAGAATAGAAGGTGTGTTTGGTTTGTTAGTTATTGTCAAGACCCTAATTTAGTTTTCGGAAGACAATGAGAAACTCGAGATACCAGCGATGTTACCTCCACCCTCCCGTTCGCCGTCGCCAGAACTCCTGAGCTCAGATGATGAGGACGCGGCGACTGTTATACCAGCAACTCTTAGGGCCCTTCCTCTGAATTACCTTCCTGCTCTCCCTCCAAAACATACTTACCTCCGAACGCCAGTAGGTTGTACTTTCAGTATTTTACGTCTGGTTCTCAATATTTTGATAAAGGCCTCGCCTCCGAAGAAGGCAGCTTTACCCTCGCTAGAGAAGAAGCTGAAGAACGCCGGTCTGGTGCAAGATTCTCTCAAGAACCTTTTGCTTGCAACTGAGGACAGTGCAGACCAAGATGGAGAACTTCTTGGTGCGATTGTCAATTGGGAATCCACCACACACCCGCGCAAACGGTGGAGGCTGAGCCCATAGGCTTGCATAGTTCGCCTGTTTTCCGCTATATTACTTTGTACTTGTATTCACGGGTGTCAATGGATTTGTATCATATTCCACATCAATCTCCTGCTGTCTTTCCCGCCAGACGAGCTGACTTTCGCGCAGGTACCGGAATTGAGGTATTCTCTGCCACACTTCGTCCTCCTCCCCTACCCCTTCCTCTACCTCTCCCTCTAAATGATAGCGTGGTATTGGATTGTCCATCAGGAGCTACACCACCTGGAGGGTTAATACCAGCATTTTCGGCGACCTCCGTCGCATTCGGTTCAGGAGGCACCGTCGTTGCTGATGTTTGCAACCCTGAGGTATTATCAGGTTGTTTGTCCTCAGTTCCTGCAGCCTGCCGTGTGTCAATGACATCTTTGACTTGGTCGTAGTGTGCTTGTGCAGTTGGGAGATCCGAAGATTCCTCAGGGACACTTGTCTTTTTGCCTTCTCGCTTGTTTGTTCGGCGTTTCTTTGCAGGTGGCTCTTCAGTATTTGCCTGCGACTTATTGGTAGCAGCCTTCCGACGGGTAGGCTGAGAGGATCTAGGGGTTGTTGGTGGACCCGTTGAAGACGACGGAGCTTCTCCCGTCTCTTGAGTGCCTGATGTCGCCGTTCTGGTAGCCCGTTTGCGGCGTGGTTTAGGTCTTGCTTTAGCAACATTGTCTGTTGCCTCATCCCGCTGTTGCGAAGTACCTGGTTGTTGCACTCGCGTAGTGCCTTCGTCGAAGACGATGCGGACTGTGTCGGCCGCGCCATTAGCCGGTGGAGGTGATAGCTGAGAACTGGGATGAAACCGTATCTGGAGTGGGTGTTCCGATGCCTGTACTTCAGCTGGTGCGGGAGAATCAGAGGGCACTTCTCTTTGCTTTCGCTTCGCTAAGACGTGATATCTGCCTCGACACTACCAAATGTATTAGCATCACTTCTCTGATCCATCGTGAATAGAACGAACCATGTTGTCTGTGCGCCCATTCCCAATAACGCGACTAATCTCTTTCCATTTACCCTCACCGACCTTGTCGACCGCAGCCAGCAGTGCTTCATCCTCTTCTTCGCTCCATCTACCTTTCGCCAGGTGCGGAGATAGCTTCTCCTGCCAACGTTCACGGCATTGCTCGCTGCTACGATTTGGAATGAACTCGCAAACTTCAGACCATGCGGTGCCGTAAACCCCAACGGCGCTGCGAAGCCGTTCATCCTCGTCGTTGCTCCAAGGAAGTCTACTGATGGTTGGATCCAGAGTACGCATGTATCGACTTTGACATTGAGTAGCAGTGGCATCCTCTGACACCATGCGAGCGACTGGAATAATAACGGTTAAGCAGGATATCGATAACATCACTGAATAACTTGCCTTGCAACCAACTCACGGTGCCGTATATCTGGATGGCCTCTATAAGTCGGCGATCGCTCTCAGGAGTCCAAGCGTGGGTCCTCCTAGTAATTGCATGTCGGAGACAGTCTACCGGGGTGCGGTTTGTCTACAGAACGAAATCAGAATCATCTATTGCAATTAATATGACAACCTACTCCAAGCTTTGATGCGACGTCCACCCAATCAACCTCGCCTTCCTTATGTCCGTCAACAAGGTCTTTGACCTGGGATATTTCTGCTTGCGTCCAGGCCGACTGATTAATCTTCGGGTGACTAGATCCTAACCATTTTATCTCACACTCTCTGGCTGTACGTTTAAAACCGGAAGATGAGGCAGCATTCGACACCTATACGCTCAGCGTAAGTTGCAAAGGCCACAGTTAACTAATGGATATTGTCACACCTTCGTCGCCACACGTTCCCAATTAATGCCCGCCGTATTCTCATAGTGGCTAGGAGGGGGACCAAATGGTTGCTGTCCCCTGTAGAACACTTAAGAACATGACATTCATCATAGTGAAGGACAACACTCACCGCTGTTGTAACTCCAGTGCATGCAAACGATAGTTTTCAGTATAGACAGCATCTGCTAACGTTTCTATTTCGACGGCTCGCACTGCCAGAGTATTGTCAGTCTGTGTAATACCCGGTTGGACTTCACATACTCGGATGAACGTCTGTGCATCTCAAATAACGATTCCTCTTCTCCGCGTCGTCTTTGAAAGAAGACTACGGAAAGACAAAAAGTCTGAATCAAGATAATCCTCCGCGAAGCATTCAAGTAAGAGATACCTCTAGAGAGACTTCTGCTGGGATTGGACCAGTGGCTTTGACAGCATTTGGAATGACGATGGTGCCGCCAGCGTCGACATCTAGTTCGTCATCCGATTGCTCCGCAATGGACTATAGTATAATGTGGGTCGATGATGAGAACACACTAAACACGCTACATACCAACAATCTTTCTACAGACTCTAGTTCTGATTCAAGACGCTCGGTGTAAACCTTCAAAGCATATTGGTGGTCTTTGTTGGCCTGTATTACCTTCTGAGTTTGCTCTTGGACGCTCATTGCGAAAAGGAGTCTTGATACTAGGGTGCCATTTGATAAACCAGTCGCTAGCCGACGGTAAGGGACGAAAGTGCTATGATCGTCTGGTGACCAGAGGTTTTCTAATACCGAGTGAAACGTTTAAGTGATCGTAAGCGCCAGACGCATCGGTCGAAACATTAAACTTGCATTGATGAGAAAGTCGAACACCTTGAAGCTTCACGGATGCACATCAGCTGAACTCGTTCTTACTGCTCAGAAAATAGTCATTCCAAAAATAAACTCGGCCAGTTACAACAACGAAAGCAGCAGCCGGATTTGGCAGAAATCTATGGATGAAGCCTGAGAAATACCACGATGCCTATATACCCAACTGTTCGTTGCTGAGGAAGTGAGAGCCACCCGCGCAGCAATAACCCGACGACTGCTTGATCCAACGGTATCCTACTGGGCAAACACCCATCTCGCGAATCTTGGTCTGCACTCGGACTTCTTCCTTCCGCCTCTGCTCTTCCTCCCGTCGTTGTTGCTCCAAAGCAGCCTGAATTCGGGCACGTTCCTCTCTTATGGCTATCTCTCGAAGACGGGCTTGCTCTCGCTGACGCATTAACTCAGCCCGTCCTTCTGCGTCTTTAGCTTGTGCCTTCGCCAGTCGTTCGGCGAGCACGTGCGCCTCTTCCTCCCGTTTAGCTGCGTCTCGCACCTGCTGTTCCTTCCGAATGACTTCTTCTTCCAACTGCTTTTCGAGCTCCTCTGCTGCCTTCTTGTCAGCCTGTAGCTGATGCCAGACCTGATCAGATACGCCGGGGTCTCTCTTGGAAGCTTCCACGGGCGCAAGGGTTGGAACTTGTTGGGAACCAGGCTGTGCTGGTGTATGTCGCACTGTCTCTATTCGCTGTGTCGTGGGGGGAGGAGCAGAATGCCAAGGTGCGTCCAGTTGCATCTGGGGATTGAAGACCTGCTTTGGCTTGGGCACATTGGAGCACCTTTCTCTGCGATCTGTGAGCATTTCTTGCATGCAAGCCACCACATCATCGGCAGGAAGTACCGAGATGGTAGCTGAAGCATCGTCGGCATCATTTTGGGACATGGTCGACGTCAGAGCTACTGTCACCAACTTCTTCGCTAGAGTCATCACATCACGGGCATTACCCCATGATGGTAGCGTTGAAAGTGATGAGATGATGCTCGCCATCCTGGCATAGTCTGCATCAGACGGATTCTCCAATGCGTCAATCTGGATGTCATGCTTTTGAAGTTCCTTCTTGAGGATCTGCAAGCAATGTTGCGGAGACATGTTGCGAAAGATGACTTCATTCGGGAAACGACTGGACAATCCTGTGTTCACAGCCAGTAACTCGTTCATTTCCTGATCGTACCCAGCGAGGATGACCACCAATTTTCCGCGGAATGCTTCTTGGGTCAGAATACCAACAAGCTCATCCATGGCTTCTTTGGCGAAGTGCCCTTCGCTTAAGCGGTAAGCCTCGTCGACGAATAGGACTCTTCCGAGGGCCTTCTCAAACAATTTCTTGGTCTTCGGGCCTGTGTGTCCAACGTATTGTCCCACGAGGTCGGAAGCAGAACATTCCACTACCTCGGTTGACGACAGGAAACCCATGTCGTAGTAGACTTTCCCCATTTTGCGAGCAGTCGTAGTCTTTCCAGTTCCTTGTGTACACAGTATATTGAGATGAAAGCAATTGCAACAAAGTTCGGTTGACTCACCTGGAGGACCTTTGAAGACGAAGTTTGTGGGTATAATATCTCTAGGGTCTTTCCCCTGCTTCTTCAAACGCTTCGCCATCTGCTGATATTGAGCCAATTTGCTGATTATCTCGTCGCAGCCGACAGTGTCCTCAAACAACTCTGCAAGATTAGCTGTGGCATGCTCGTGGCGATCGTACTGTGGGTCGAAGTCTTGCGGCTCGAAAGGTGCATCCGCCCTCCTCTCGCTTACAGGAAGGGTTGCTTGACGCTGCTGATATCTGACCTTGGCCTGTCCCAAGATATTCTCAACCTCTCCGATGTTTCCAAAATTGGGTCGATTGCGCAAGCGGCTTAGTACTTCAATAGCAACTCTTTTTGCGGACTCCGTTGCTGAGAGGTCGCCGTCCTTCAGCTTCCACTCCAATGCTTGCAAGAGCTCAGAATCTGAGTAATCGTCAAATTGAAAAGCATTCTCTATGGCGAATCGGCGAGCAAGTCCCGGATTGACGTTCTGAAAAATGACGGTATGAGATAAAGTCGCAGAGGTCAACTCGCAAAATCAGTAAATGGAAAACTAACCTGGAACATTTCTTCGATTTGCTGCTTGTATCCCAGAAGGAGGACGCACCGGTCTTCGCCAGGGACGCTCTGTACTTCCGCCACAATTGTATCGATGACCGCTGTTTTGTAGGGATCCTGGCTACCTTTGCCTTCGCCAGAGCCGCCATAGAGCATGTAAGCCTGGAGCCAGTTTAATGAGACACGGTGGCAGATGACCTGAACAGACTCACCTCATCGATGATGAGCACCTTCCCGACGGTGTTTGCTAAGATGGCCTTGGTCTGGCTCTCCGATTGTCCGAGGGCACTGCCTATGAAGTCTGCTGGGTTCTTGATGACGACTGTAATAGAAAGGTAAGACAGGTGTATGACAGCAGTATGGACTTCAAATCACCTTCCCCGTTACTGATCAATCCCAACTCCGTCAGTATCTGACCATACAACTTGGCTACCGTTGTTTTCCCAGTTCCCGGCGATCCAATGAATACGCGATTAAGAGATACCTGGTGTGGAGCCTTCTCGAGGAGCTCGCGTTCATAGTTCCTTTTCACCATGTCAAACAGATTTGCAACAGACTGCTTCACAGCTTTGAGTCCAATGAGTCCTTGCAACTTCTTCCACGCAGGACTTTCAACCATGACCTGTGCAGGATCCGGCCCTATCAGGTCCTCCTTCACCAATAGCAAATCATCTGGTTTCAGCCCATCGCGGCGCTGACGAGTAAGTCGCTCAGACTGGCGCTCACGAATCTTTGCAAATAGGTTCTGCAAGGCTCGCGCATTACCAAAGCCTTCTCGTCCTCGACCGCGGCCCAGACGGCGTACTGTGATTCGACCGAAAAGCCCCCTTATGCCGTCCGTATCCTCGACTTTCATTCGACCATTCCAAGTCTTGTGGATCAGATTCTCCAGCATATCCAGTAGTTCGGGGTCTTCATAATCTGTGAATTGCAGCTTATAAGGAACACGGCTCGTGAGACCTGGATTATGCTCGAAGAATTTCTCCATCTCCCGATTATAACCTGCAAAAATGAAGACAACTTTTCCGACCTGATTTTCCATCTCGGCGAGCAGACAATCGAGGACTTGTCCGCCTTGGAAGTTATGCTGACTTGTAAGTTGATAGGCTTCGTCGACAAAAATTGCTCCTCCACCAGCATTGATGATGTCCTCTAGATGTTTCTTCACTGCCGGGACCCCGTCGTTGGCAAGACGAGACCCAGTGGTCTCAATGAACATGTTACCTGGAAGCACTTGAACTGACGCTAGAAACTTAGCATAGTGCCTTGCAACGGTAGTTTTACCTGAGAGAGAGGCGTCAGTAGACTTCCCAAATGAACTGTTCCCTAAACAAACCAGTTCCTGGATTGCCAAGCATTGCAACATTGAAACGTTCGCCCTTGAGGGAGGTACCTTGCCGCTGAGCGGTATCGACCTTTGCTTTGATTCTCAGTACCTGTTCTTTCACCTGTTCAAGCCCAGACATCTCCATAATAGCGTCAATAGCGTCATTGACGGCTCCTTCCATAGTCTTCTGTCGTTCCCATTCATCCCGAGATCCTGACTTAGGCGAAGGCTTTGGGGGAGCCGGCGATTGTGGGTGGGCTGGGTGATTCGATTTCGATGAACTGGTGGCAGTGGGAACCTCACTCGACGGAACGCTTGATGTGACCTTCGGCGGCTTTTCAGACTGTTCACTCTGTGAGGGTACCGGTGGGGGTACCTGAGGATCAGACCGAGCCCGTGCCATGTTAGCCACATCTTCCAGGTCCTTCCTCCTTTGTTCCAAAGCTGCTCGTCTTTCTTCAGCAAGTTGAATTCCTCGAAGGGTATCCCTGTGGAGAGCTATCTCCGCATCAATCGCAGCAAGCTTCTCGTCATGCAATCGTTGTTCTACATCGAGTTTCTCCTGGCGAGCAAAGTCCGCTTGTCGTTGCTTCTCAGCAAGCTTCGCTTCACGTTCGCACTTGCAACAGGTTAATGGAGGGCCCTTATGGCACTTCCATTGTTGGGAATGGCCTTTCGTACAGTTGGAGAACATCACAACCTCGCAAGACATCTTGGAATGGTCCGAAAGCTGATGACACTTCGAAGGGCAACGATGCACGTTGCAACTCAGCATGGTTGTACTATATGAAAAGGTATAAGATCAACACACGAATACATCTGAATCACTGAATATTAAACTCACCAAGGTTCTGAACATCCGCCGTCGGGACATTCCTTGTCGAAGTCTGCCGCATTCCTGAGCAGTGCGCGCCGATCGGGATGCCTTTCGCATTGCACTGGAAACCCGTCATAGAGATGCCCGGCGTTCTTTAGAATACCAAATAGCCTCGTCCAGACTTCGCCACCTTTGCGTGCATGCATGAAAGTATCCGTGTTGCCGATCATGATCAATGCATCGCGAGCTCTCGAGAGCAAAACCGTGAGCCGCTCGTTGGAAGACATGAATCCTATGTCATGAGTGTCGTTACTTCTCGTTAACGAAACAATCACGATGTCTGATTCTTCGCCTTGGTAATTGTCTAAACGCGACAGGACATATGAGCATTTGGAAAGAAGAATTTGTTTAAGGAATGACATACCGACCGTAGCCAGATGAATCGGCTTTCTGGTGAGTTTCGCTGCGGAGTCACTGACAAGGCCAGCGCGAACGAGGTCGTATGAATCCAGATCATTGAGTATAGGATCATTGTGTTCTTGTAAGGCCTTTTGGATTTCACGAAGTTGTCCAAGATAAGGCGTTAGGATCACAATCCTGTCAGTGCCATAACCCTGCTGGGCGAGATACCGGACAATCTTGAGGACCATCTCTACTTCGAATCTTTGAAACGTGATAGAAGGCAATCAAGTAAGTATAACACATTGATACAAGGGCTCATAATAGTGACTGACGTATTGCGCTTGGAAGATTTGACGGTCACATCTTTCCGTTCCTCCAGTTCGCTCGCGTCGTCCTCTGGTGTGCTGTGGTTGACGAATACGACATTGTCGCGGACACCTCGTAGGGATGGCCGATTCTGAGTGTTAGGAGCATCAATAAGATCAGGGTAGGTGAGCTGCCGAACAAGTGATGATATTTCAGGACGCATTCGATGCTGCGCGCTGAGCGTTGTATGTGGGTATCCCTTCAGTACCAATCGTTCGAACAAAGAGCGGTTGAGGTCGTATCCTTCTCCCTTCTCGACGGTCAAGAGGTAATTGTTTACTTTAGGTCGTAGCTGCCTATTAAATTCAAGTCAGTAAATGCCACATTCAGTTAGTACCTGGTGAACAAACGGACTTATGATCACCGATGAGGATCAGTTGCTTGGTACTGGGGCATAGTGAGGTTATGATATGGCTTTCCAAAATCTCGCCAGCCTCCTCGACGAGCAATATTCCTGGGCGCGCAGCTTGAACATCCTCTCGATACTTTGCAGCGGCCGTGGTAGTGCAGCCGATGATGCGTTTACTTTGCAGTAAGGCACTGGAGCTCAGTCCGTATTTGCGATCAATGTCAAGCAGGCAAGCATTGTATCTCCGAGAGACAGATGCGAACGCCTCCGCGTACTCCTTCAACAGGGCTTCCTTCCATTTGAAGAGTTGATCTCTCCGAAACTCCAAGGGAGCATTCCATATGTTTGCGGTCTGACGAACGTGTTCTGACGATTGGAACATCCCAGCATTCTTTCCAGTGGACCAACGGTGAATCAGGTAATCGGCCTTTACATCTTTCCCCTTTTGGCCAACGCGTTGCATACCATCCAGTAATTGTGGGACCTGAAATGCATCGTAATATTCCGGATCTTCAAACTCCAAGTACTGCAAATATTCGTCGTACTGCGGGTTCGACTTGCGTAGTGTATCAAAAGCCTTAGACATGTTCTTACTAAGCATGTCGCTTTCCTGCTTCAAAGCATCGATTTGGGTCCAGTCCGATCTGCTGAATTTGAAGCCCTGGTTACGAGCTTGGAGCATTTTGAACAGGGACAGCGGTTCCGTTCGGGCTGTCGATTTCCCTCCCAATCGCACAACACTTGAGCTGGGGATGCCAATGTCAAGCAGGTCCTCCAGGAACTGGTCGAGGGCATGGTTCGTGTAACACACCACCAAGATCTTCTCGCTAGTATGGTCATGCAAAAGCTTTGCCAGTATAGCACCAATGAAGGACTTTCCAGTACCTATTGTAAGATGAGAATCGGTAAATCACGTTCGATTTAATATTAAGACACACCAGGTGGTCCCTGTATCAGAGAAAGTCTCTGAGTCAGACCTTGCAGAAGAGATTGAGCCTGCGCGTGATCAAGGCGGATGGACTTGGACGCTCCGAGTATTCTTTGTAGATTTTGACTTGGGTTCATCCTGATCGCATCCACTACGCCATTAGGCAGGTGTGGGGTAAGCTCTAAAGTACTCCCCGGCGCCCAAAGCATGAGTTCTGGCGACAGAGACAACTTCTGGGTCGCCTGCAACGCGGCTAGGATGGGTTCATATGCAAATATGGCAGTATCAATCTGGTAAAGACTGATGTTATCTGGCCTCGCCATGGCCAATTTCAACATGGTCGCAGTAACGTCTTTCTGGCCTTCGAGCTGCAGGACAATTTCCGGAGGTTTCTTTGATAGGCGATCCTCGTCACGATACACTGTCATGAAAGCAGTAATTTGGCCGTCGATGAGAAGACATGTAAAGGATTGGTGCTTGAAAATGTTGCGATGATCGCCTAAGAACTTCTTGCGTTCTTTATCCTTCACCTTCTTCAACTGCCACAAATCATGAGCGCAACGGAAGACAAGACCCCATCGACACTTCTTCCCCCCAGACTCGTTGTGAATACTGAGGAGGGACAGGCCCTTGAACGATACTCCTCTGTACTTCCCTGATTTCTTTCCGAAAGCGAGGTGAAGGTCATCCCGCATCTCATACAACATGTCCTCTCGACCCACAGGTGCGTCGCCAGGCGAAGATCAGCATCGATCTCGTCTACAGCATTACTTGTACGAAGAAATGCGGGCTTCTCGCTGAGGATCTCATCTCCCGTAGGCAAGATGGCGATATCATGATAATCGACAAAATCGTTGTCGTGTCGACCACCTGGCCCGAAATGCGTGGGTATAACCCCAGCACTACGAGTCGCGATAATGTTTTTGATTTCGTACGCCAAGGCCCTCGTCTCGTGAGATGTCGTTGAGAGAAGGGTCTCCGAAATAGTAGTATTCGCTATAAGGTCTCGATAAGGATCCGCCTGTTCTCCCGGCAGCTGAATTAGCTGGAGGAGAAGCCACGCAAAACAGCGTTGCGCCCTCTCGTCCAGCTCACTAGCTTGGAACGCACGATGGAATGCGGACCAGAAAATTGGGGGCTCGACGATCGCCTTAACGACCTTGACCAGTGGAACGCCGCCGCCGATCCCAGAGAGATCGGGAGCAGAAAGGTACTGCAGAAGGGACGTGGCAGAGCCATTCAAGAACTTGGGCGTAAGGTCAAATCGCATAGCGTTTTGAACGCTAGCAAGACCGTTGGCACTGGTGATGACCTTATCGATGCAAGACACTGCATCTTCTTGAAGAGAAATGGCCTCGATGAAGAGGTTACTGTTCTGAGGGGAAAGACGCGTCTTTCCGTGTATGATGGAGTTAAAAAGCTTTTGAAGCCTGAGAGCCCTTGCATTATCGTGAGCAGGATCAGAGTTCATGGTAGTAGTCGCTCTGAGAGTCTGCGCAATCAGCGCCAAGGACGAAGGTAGGAGGAGTCCTCATGTTGCCAAAGGTTGGGGTTGGAGAAGCGCAGAAGGTGTATTGCCAACTGTGATGCAGGCTTGTCAAACGGGGTTCAGCGTCAGTTATGATAACAACTTCGCACCTATGACATAGCTTTTACAGCATAAGTGTACTTTAAAGCTAGGTCATAGCTACCCTGAATTGGGAAACAAGTTCGACAAGCTTGGCTCTCAAAGTTAAGCTCTATAGATGCAGGCAGAGTTCGCTGGAATGAGTTGTATGAGTTCCGGCGTCTACATCCATCGTCGGGAAGACGTCGGCGTCTCCCGTTGATCTTCCAACTCTCAAGGAACTCTTAAGTCTTTATTATGGCGAATGCTTCAGCTAAAAGAGTAGGTGTGTATACGCTGTCAAATTGAATACGAGCGTCAGATACTCATGCAGACTACAGCTTCTCAAAATGCCGCAACGATCAAAAGCTTACGAATTGGACTTATCCTAGTTTGTGTACTCTCCTTGCTGTTTCGCTTCCTGCTCCGTTGTGGCACTCTTTCACCGAGACGATTTTCGTTCTGGATATATGTGTTCTCAATGGTCCCCTCGGTCTTCCTATCGCAATACCTTATCAGGATCGGTTCTCCAAGGCATGACCCAACAACTGGAACATTAATTTCCGCCGGTGAGGATTTGAGCAGGCCGGGAATAATCGAATGGTGCTTTGATGTCGTTTATATCACTTGTGAGCAACCTTCATGCTGTGAAAGCTCATGATCTCCTCATCCTGAGTCTCTAGGGGTCTGTCAAATAGGAAGCGGCGCATTTGGTCAATGGTTCTGGTGGTTATACTCCATCGTGAGTGTGCGTCATCGATGTGTCAACCATATATCTGAGCATGTTGTACATCGCAGATTCCAGCCTATGCCATGTATAAACTATGGAACTCGGCTTTATCTCCACTTCTCCTTGGACGCTCTGCTTCTGCTGACACCACTGAGGAAGGTGACGGGAAACAACCTCTTAGCAAGAGGCAAGAGAAGCTTCGCAAACGAGGAGAGCGTGGAGATCCTCGTATACGAGCGCAGCCGCTTCACTAGCACTGCCAGCCCAACGTTCGGTGATGGAATATTTCATCATTACCTGATGATTTAAACTTCAGTTACAGCGGCTGCTTTATCTGGACCACTTCTGACCGCTTGTATACCTAGATTTGTATGTACCTTGGTCCGATGCCGGCGCTATACATATCATGACTATTGGGACTCATGCATAGGGCTTGTAACGTTCACCGGTACGTGCGTTGCATAGTAATGATCGAGTGTGAATGGAAGCAACGAGTGAACCAAACAACGCGTCAACAACGCGCTTATATGATTATTCTCTTGCCAACTGCTTGCTCAGTCAAAACCGTCACATTACAGCAATCTAACAGCTTCCACCTTTCTAACAGACATACTTGACCTTCATCATGTCTTACCTGCCACCTGTGAGTTACAGGGACTTGTCCTTTGTTACTACTAGGATTGACGATCATCGTCTCTGCGCAGGTTTACCCACCAATGTTTGACGAGTCATTCAGTAAGCAGGCTTAGGAATGGACATACAGTCCTGTACTGATATACTGCATCACTTTGAAGGCAGACCACCCAGCAATACTCAGCCCCAAGCGGCGGACGGCTGCATACATTACGATACAAGCAACGGCGATCTCGCTGCCGCAGACGTTGTTACGAATGTGCACCAGGATGATGCTGAAATGGTCTCTATGGTAGCTGTGCACAAAATGTCAATATAGTGATCTCACTAACGCGATGTCGTCTTTCCCAGAACTCTGTTAACCAACTTGACCTCACTATATGCGCTTTGCAGGCTAGCGAAACTTCTTCTGACAGCACAAACCGTGATACCGGGAGTCCTATTCATATACCCTCTTCACCCACCAAGGGGGATTTAACTTCCTATATGAATGTCGCACCGCCTATCCTGGTTCTTTCTGGACCAAACGAGCTTGGTTGTGCACCTTCCGAAGTACCCCCTTGTCTGGAGGTTGATCTGACATCTCTCTCTGAACCTCGTGGTCCTGTCCTTGCTGGAAGTGTACCTGAAGCCTTGGCACTATCGACGACCGATCCTGTTCAAGAAGCTGTTGAACCATCCACCCTTTCTAATTCCGCCCTAACTTCCCTCCTCTGTGCAATCGGTGTTGATCAACTTTTACCGGACCTCTTCCAACGAACTACGGAAGACACACTGAGGGCAACAGACAAAGCTCTCTTACCGATAGGTCACGGACACAAAGAATATTCCGAGAAACATACTGAAGATATCAATAACAATGCTTGTTCTCCACTCCCTGCTCCTGTTATTCCGATTCTCGATGCTACTATCGCTGATTCTATCTCGACTGACGACAATACTGAACTTCTTGACGAATCTGCAACTATTACTAAACTTGCTCAAACTGATTTCGAAGCAAACTTCAGCTTAGGGCAATCCCAACCCGTACCCTATATTGTTGAAGATAACCTGCCGCTAGATACCGAACTAGATGCTTCTTCGGTTGACTGCACCCCAGCCAGTGATGCTCCTTTGGAATTTGAAGGATATAAAACATACGAACTGCATGACCTATTTCCTGAACTGCCTGCCGAGGCACTTCCGATTTCAAGTATCGGCACCGAGAACTCGCAGAACAAGTACCCGATTGAACTCGGCGTTGATCTACCTCCCGCCGCAAACGAACCCGTTCTGCCGGACGCCATTGCTTTTCAAGAGGACGAAAACATGGAGCCTGTTTCCCCGTCACCGTCATACTCATCATTGCCATCTTCAAGCCCTCCTGGGCTATTTTCATCGTCTCCACCTCCGGACGACCTAGCTACGCCTCCTTCCTCATCGCCCCCTCCTGTACGCTCTTCTCAGGCTGATGAGAAACGAGATGCAGTGGGTTATGAAATTGATGACTCTTCGATGCCGCTTCAACATTCGGATTATCTAACCAATACCTTGGAAGAAGACAGTTCCATGGCTTCACGGATGAAGCCTGAACTTGACGAAGAACCTTCTGACAATAACGTCTCAGACAATAACACCTCGATTGCAGATTCGGGACCACAGGAAATATCCATCGCGACCGTTAGTTTTATTCTATTCGTTCAGTGATTTCTCTGATTCTATGTGTTGTCTATAGGATATGCAGATGAACGCGGCTTCGCATCAGCCTCCGAATCCCAAACGACCTACATTTGCTTCTCAGGAGAAGCAGTACCGAAAGTTGGCGAGGCCCTTCCGTTCCCCTGTCATCAATAACGACAGTCCTTTGATGATGGGGAAAGGAGTGTATGTTGGAGGCAAGGTTGAGAAACCCTCGGTCCTGGTAAACGATGAGAGTCCCGTACCAACGGCGACGGTCATAACTGAACCGTTCAAGGATCATACAAAGAACGCAGCTAAACAGTTCAAATCGCCACTTTCCCAGACTGTCACTGGACCTAGTCCGTCATTGGTGACCACGAACGCATCCGGCAGATACTCCGATGCACAATCATTGTTTTCTATTCAACAGTTGCAGGCGAAGGTACAGAAACTCAAACAAGCCATCAAAATTAAACAGGATGGGAATGGAGAAGAGGAAGAACAATTGGCGAAGCTTGTCTCGAAATGGCGAACAGCTGGTCGAGACGTGGCTTGGGAAGTATGGGATACGGTCAAGGATCTTGCACCTGGGGAAGGGCCAATGATAGGGCCACTTCGTGGCGGTTGGGATGAAGGGGAAAAGCCATTTGGTCAAACACAGGGAGGAAAACGACGACGGGACGGATGGGGTTATGATGACGATCGGGGCGGAAAGAAGGCTAAAGTCGAGGGCTTTGAGAGCAGCTGGGGCTGGAATAATGACCAGAAGAACGCGGAGATTGGGGCAGTTCCGGATGAGGATTCGGCGATGGAGGTTGAGGACGAAGAGGTGGATACACCTCAGCACGCCCTCGGAACCATGCTCAGGTTCATGGGTATTGCGCCGGAAACATTGGGATGGAACGAAGATGAAGGGGACTTCGTAGGTGATGCGTAGATGATTATTCTTAGGCCATTGGGAACGTCTTATCAGTAGGTAGGCGCCGACATCACATTCCCTTAGATCCAAATAATGTGTTGACCGTGTACTGCATGGACCGACGACTTTCAGTACTAGCAAGAATTTCCCCCTGTTCATACACTTCTGTAGACTCGTCGAAGTATTTCTTGGGCGTATCCTGCGGCTCAATGTGCTCACAGTCGCGTTCGTGTTCTAACATCTTCGTATACGATGAACAAAGAATTTGTATTCGTGTGCCAAAGAAAAACTTATTGAACAGAGCGTCTTGTTGCACTGGAGGTAACATATCATATGAGGTGAATGCATGTGGCGATCACAGAACAAATACCACGCACCAATTTTCGACCTCTCAGTGCCTATGAAGAGCATATCTCACTACACGACTTTACGACCAGGGCAGAGCAACTACCGATGCACGATTCGAGATCTGAACCTTGGAATAGTGTCTTCATCCCCGAGCGGCCCACTGAAAGGATGCTACCAAGTGGCATCGTGTTTCGCATACTTCTTGATGGCAGTCAGCTAGACACTCTTCTATGTTTGCAGTGTATCCACCAATAGCCATGAAAAATAGAGGAGAAGAGGATCATGGAGGTGAAGCTGTCAGTTGTCGATGATAGGCCAATTGGGCTCCTGTTTGGGTAACCAGAGACGGAGATATCTAGTGTGCGTTGCTGCGAGAGGAGCGGGTGAAAAGAGCGAGCAGGCGTGAGGCTGGCAATAAAATCGGGACATGAAGACGCAGACTCGCAGAGTGAAGAGGGAGCCTAGAGCGAAGAGGCTAACGGAGTGGCCATGGCTGCTGAATTTGAATGTGGTCGGAGCGAGTTGGCGGATGCTCCTGATTTCGGCTCATCCTTGCGGTCGTTCTTCATGTCTTTCATGATATCCATGATATCCTGCATCGCAAAAGTCGCTGATGAGAGCTGTCCCTTCCTTGGGAGTCTTGCTGAGGTAGCTCAACCGGTTCTCAAAGTGGGATCCACGAACATATCCTCCGAATCTTGCTGCTTGATGATGTTGGGTACTTCCACACTCACTCCCTTCTCATTGTTCTTCTGCAGTACTCTCTCTGCACTGTCGACACTCAAGGCTGCACGGACCGACTTGGAGATCTTGTACAACTTGTGCTTGCAGCTCTTGATGTCAGTCTTGAAGCTTGACGCACAATCCAGACACCATCATCACCTCCAGGACTTCGAAGTTGGAAGCTTCAGCCATGGCCCCGTTGTCTCGCATCTACATCCGCTAGGAATCGCTATCCAATGGATGAAATGACTCGGAAGCGACCGATAGTAACCAAGGTTGAGACTTCCACAACGTTGTCACTGCTGAGTCCCACCTTTTTGAACATATCTGGTACCTTCTCCGCTCAGGGATTTTCTTCCGGATTTGCGGCATCCGAAGAGGACAAAGCCAATAACTTGAACTCGATCCATTGACGAAGCAATCGTCAAAGTGGATCTTGCCTGGGACATCGTTTTCCGGCCCTCTACCCAGCAATAAAATAATCAAATCCACCACACGGTATGTTTTTCTCCACCCCGCCTATAAAATATTCCACACATCTCGTCTTTCCTCCCCGTCCCTACTTGCTAGCCTATCACGTTTGTCACATGTCACTGAGGTGTAGTCACGCTCGTGACATGTGCAACAAAGTGAAGTGCCGCAGAAGAGACGGGCACGAAACAAATGGAATATATTGTCGAAAGTGGAAAAAGATTCCATATGTATCCAATGGATGGACGTACCTATGTCCCTCGTCAGGATTGGGCAACATATCGCCTCTCATGTGTCAACGTATATGTTGGACGAGGGGCGTGCTCGTTGTTCACGAGCTTCGAGTATTGGTAATGACTACGGGGTTACTTGCTGTAGATGTCATGGTCTATCCACCAGACATTACTGTATATTCTGGATTGAGAGCTTGTGATTGATTGCACAGTTGGAAAGGGTCAGATGGAATGTCTTGCATTGTGTTCAGACAATGCCGCTCAGAAGTCGAGCTCTGTGGACCTCCTCGTTTCTTCGAAAGCTTGGGGAGTCGGAGATGTGCTGTGGCTACCAGATAGTAGGAGGTTGCATATGCTGTGAAAGACGTTTGTCCGTTAAGAACCGTGTCGTGAGGGCTGTTGTCGATTCAGAAGGCTACCTTCGCCCACTAGTCTTCATACAAGGTCTTCATATAGTGCCGACGACGTCTTCCTGTTGATTGAGGCTCGCTGCGGGAATCATCAGCTCGTTCCATCACTCGTGGACACTTGTCGAAGTGGTAGGAATTGACGTTGGTGAACCCAAGTCCTACTTGTCGCGTTGCAGAGCATTCTCTACTCACTCTCTCAATGGCGGTGCTTCAGAACAACTGTCTAAGGCTCCTTGCATCCTCCTACCACCTCACCTATCTTCGAAGTTCCCGCCCATTCGGACAGGATCTTGCAAATATTCTAGAGCATGGCCGAGAACGAGGTCAGAGTAAGTCCGCGCATGCGAAAATCGGACGCGGCGGGCCTTACACGCCCCACTTAGCTGGTCGCTTGTCCTATCTGACTTTGTTGCGTAAACGAGCTCGCTAGGGATTCCCCTCGCTCCCGTCGATATTTAATGGAAATGGCTCTCCCTGCCGACCCCGCATCTTCTCCTCTCAGTTCATCAGCAACCCACTCCTCTCGCCCTTCCTGCCACGAAAAGGCAGCAGCCACGCACCAGTATGCGCGACATTGTCCAAGAGGAACAAATTCACCCTCTTGGTCTCACGGGTTCTGATGACTACGACTACGACTACGAAGTGTACTACTTCTGGCCCTCAATTTCGCCACACGTTGTGTCTGCTGATGATATCGAGGCTTTCGACTTGGTTGAGGTTCGTATCTGCACTCTGCGTGACGTGTCAGAACCACAACTAAAGATCGGGCACTTACACAGTGGCCAGCAACCACCCAGTGGTCCCTACTCAACGACAACCATCCTGCCCGTCCAATTTCTCCCGTAAGAACGCTCTGCAACGCCTTTGGCAATTCTGAACAACTAAAGTCAATATTTGCGGATTGTAGGTTATATCACTCTCGTACACAACGACAACGGAATTCGCCTTTCCGACTGTTGAAGATGAGGCCGGGCTTTCAGGCTATAGCCGTTTCTTCAGATCCGGCTTTCGATGTGCAGTGAGTTAACTTCTTTCAGAGCTTGCATTCGTTGCTGATGTTGCATTCTTGTTTTTTTTTTTTTTTTTCATCTTCGTGTTGCTTGTACTTGCAGTCACACCGATTGACACGACGGTTTGACAATGTCTTGCATGCACTTCAGAAGCGTCTTCGCGCCACCAAACGCAAGTTAGTGTTCAGACGTTGAACCCGCTGGTATCTTGTCTGGCGCCTTGATCGGACGTTCTTGATCACAATGCTTGATCACACCTAAAAACTGCACGCTTTGGAGGACAATCTTGGATGATGTACATATTGGTTCGTGTATATCGAACGCCTCCTTTCTTGGTCTTGATTTCTTGTAGAATTCTGCGTCGCTGCACTTGCTATCTTGTTTTCTTGGTTTTGTGTTTCTTGGTCGCACACAAGTAGCATACGTTCATCATAATGCTGTTTCTTGCTCATTCAGCCACATTCATATCGTGTCATATAATTTGATCAATTGCAATGTAAATAGTCACTCGAAGAAAGGTCCGCTAAAGCAGAACCAGCAGTCACCGAGTCCGCGATTGGACGCTTTGACTATACACAAGTCGACACAAGTGATCAGCATCCGGTGATCGGTGATCGACAATCGTCACGTACCAGAGGCGTTGTCGACTGCGAAAGCTGAGCGACTCGAGGAGGGCTTTTTGTCGCTGAGGAGAGGCAAGTTACGCGGACCTGGCAGACAGCGAGGTGATGGGAAGAGGGCAACATTCCAACGCACGTTTTGCGTCGGCGCCAAACAAATGAATCACGCTACACGTGATCTGACAGTCACGCGTTTTGATGAGATCTTTCGAGTCAGAATACCAAAACAGAACATCGACTCCAGCTGCCTTTTAATTTGTTCAGAAGACTCTGAAGTACCAAGCGAGCCCGAAGGAGAATGACTCTGATTGACTCATACAGGTATTTCGTAAAAGGATGCTTCTCAAGACCTCGAACTAGAGCCCAGAGAAGAGCATAATGGAAGAAAACAACCCGTGTTCATTGGGAGACTTTACGCAGATTTAGGCCTCGTGGCTTGAACCGAAGCTGTTCCCTCAAGTGATTGCTAGACGCTAACAGTGTTTCTCCTGCATACGACTTGGAGCAGCCACGACCTATCATATACTCGCTCCTCCACTGGTCATATACAGTCGCACATTCAATCTGTCCAGTGAATGAAGACGCTCGTGGTAACCTGTATCGGTATGGCACGCTGCGAATCTGGCTGTGCGAATTACTTGTCATGAAAGGCACCCCACAACTGCAAGTTGACGCTCCAAGGATGGCCCACGAACTCGTGTTCCCTCTCTTCCCTTTGTTACACGACCACACCTCTTACGATTTACGATGACGATTCTCGAATACTTGCTGTTACTTGTGTTTTTACCTGCGGTGCTTGCAGCACATCGTTCTACTTTACACCAACAGGAATCCCGGCAGATATCTACCACTTCGAAAGCTGGGCTAGCCTGGCCTAATGGCCCTTCGGCGGAGTTAAACCAGTACCGTTCAACTGGAAAAGTTCAATGGTAAGCATCTCCCATCATTAAGGACTAGTTTCCTGAGGTGTGGCGTCAAACTTAGGTACTACACCTGGGGATCTTCTTCTATCAATACCGATTTGGAGTTTGTTCCTATGTTATGGGGGCAAAACCAGGTCGAGCAGTGGAAACATACCATTCAACAAATAATCAAGCAACGGCATGTCACTCACGTACTCGGTTTCAACGAGCCTCAACAGCCAGGACAGTCGAATATCTCAGCTACGGATGCAGTTTTCCTGTGGCAAGATCAGCTGGAGCCGTTGAAAGCGCAGGGGATCCGCCTGGGAAGTCCGGCTCCTAGTTCTGCACCGTCCGGAAGGCAATGGCTGCTAGATTGGCTTGGCGCATGTCAAGGAGGATGTACCGTTGACTTTATCGCCCTGCATTGGTACGACATCAACTCGACGGCTTTCATTCGGTACTTGAATGACTTCCACGACACGTTTCAGAGGCCTATCTGGGTGACGGAGTGGGCTTGTCAGGTATGGATTGTGTGAAGGATTTTATTTCGGCGTAGTGACTAATCTCTGTGTTAATGCAGAATTTCAATCATGCTGATCAACAATGTTCTCCCCAAGATGTTGTGGATTTCATGAACGCTACTCAGGCGTTCATGGATAATACTGATTGGGTCGAGCGTTACTCCTGGTTTGGGGCAATGAGAGACATGTCGGGAGTCAATCAAGTCGGTGCTCTCTAATTCATGACATTGCGCGTGCTGACCTCTTTTCTTTCATAAGGATGACGCTCTTATGGATAATTCTGGTCGAATCAACATGCTTGGTCAACAGTATATCGGGGCAGTAATCCCGAACGTTAGTGTCGATTACCAACCTGGTGTTGTTCACGGTGGCTACGGCAGCGGACCTTCACCCTCTATTGGTGGAGGATGTGCTCCACTTCGACCATTTCGCACCCTGCCACGTCTTTCTTTGATGAGTCTCCTTTCCCTCACCGTCTCGCTATTGGTTTGATAGAAGAAGAGACCCTGAGGGACCATGATCCCCGTACTACTTGATACCGGATTTGTACTAATACTAGACGCGTATACCATGTTGCTATCTCTATACCCGTATTCATATGGAGGTGGTATAAGGCCGTTTTGCCGAGAACCGTAGACCATCAAAGTTTGTCAGGATGAGGTCCATCTGAAGCCATTATTGTACTCACGAGCAGGTACAGTGAGAGGATAGCATTGCACCATACCCACGAAAAGCTTTGTCACGCATCATATTCGTGTTCCTACGCTTACCAATCCTTGTAGTGCTACTAATCATAGATTCATATGCATTGAAATATTGAAGTTGGGTTCTCCTTGGCTAGTTTCGCATTTCGATGACATCAGATGACCCCCACAGGCCTGCTCCGAGCGACATATAAGGAGGTGGTATTCAATGGCTTGAGAGCTCATTGCAGGTCTTCCCTCCTTCCTACTGCACACCCCTCCCTTCACAGATTTAGTGAAACAAACGTTCTTCAGAAATCGTTCTATAATATGGCCTCCGCGAGCAAGCCTATCGTTCTCTATGGTTGGCCCACCCCCAACGCTCGGAAAGTCACCACTTTCCTAGAAGAGCTGAAGGTTGCGTACGGTCTCGACTACGAGTAAGTGTTCGTTCCGAATCTTGGACCGGAAGTTACTATGAAACTGACGTGCAATGCCTATTCTAGTATCGAAGGTATTGATATTGGCAAGAACGTCCAGAAGCAACCGGCCTTCCTCAAGATTAATCCGAACGGCAGAGTTCCCGCTATCGTGGACCGAGCGAGAAATAACTTCAATGTCTTCGAGTCCGCTGCCATTCTGCTCTACCTTCAGCAGCATTATGACAAGGAGAACAAGTTTGGCTTCGATCCCAAAGCAGATCCGGATGAATACAGCATCCTTCTTCAGTGGATATTCTTCGTCGTAGGTTTAAATCATTGACCTAGTCATGCTTTAGACTGAAAATCATTCATAGCACGGTGGCCTAGGTCCTATTCAAGGGCAAGCCAACCACTTCAACAAGTATGCTCCAGAAAAGATACCCTACGCGATTAACCGTCAGTACCGTGTTCGTTATGTTTCATTGTTGGGATATTCACTCCGATGAACAGGCTACATCGAGGAGACCAAGCGTGTATACAGCGTCTTGGACACTCGCCTTACAGAGAGAGACTGGTTGGCAGGACCTGGTCGTGGAATATTCACCATTGCTGACGCAAATGCTATACCCTGGGTGCGTGGGCACGCCTTCGCTGGCATTGAGACTCTCGACGAATGGCCGAACGTCAAGGTATGTTGGTAATCCTTGTCTATCTCACGTTGAACTAATCCCTCTTCACCGTAGGCCTGGGTGGCTCGAGCAGAGGCACGGCCGGCGTTCAAAGCGGGACTTGATGTTGCATATTCAAAGTGAGATGACAATGAGAATAGTACATGTACACGTAATTCCAAGACGTCTACGACGGCCGTACATGTATACAATTTTTGATATGTGACTTTCGTTTGAATTGCAGATGTTATGAGCGTCCTATGGAGGTATGAAAGAAAAAGAACAAACCCAGCACATGCGTTCAATTCGGAAGGGAGCGAAGCTTCGCGGGCATCGGTCGACTATCAGTCGACCAAAGAACTTGCGGCTCGGCGCTTACTCAACTTTCTGGGAAGACCTCTCCTAGCTTCGCTTCGTACTAATTCCTCTACCACCATGCCGTCCGAAGATAAGCTTAGACTTGTAGCATCATCCACTTTGAATACTCTTTTCTCTACCGGGAAGGCTGACGCACCTATCTCCTCGTTTGATCTTCTTACTCGCGTCATATCAAACGGCCCTCCCTCCGGTGTTCTCCCTGGCAATGAACGACCTCCTAACTTCCGCTTGACACAATTGGCTCTTTTTGAACACATCTTAGACGATATCTCAGACAGCTGGGAATATGGACGAATCAAGGTTTCTCGTGATATTGACACTGGAGAACTCACCGTCCTCGACGTTCGCCTTGGCGAGAGCCACACTGGTCAGAGACGTGTTGACGCCTCGCACGGTCGCAAGAGGAAACGAGTAGTAGACGAGGATGCCGATTCAGCTGCTGGCGACGAGGATGAAGAAGAAGAAGAAGAGCGAAGTGAAGTCGCTCACAGAGGACCACCACCGAGTACCTTGGATAGCCTCAGCAAAGAAATGAAGGAGGTATATTCTTTGCTACAACGAGGTACCGCAAGAGGTCGTCTACTTGCAGAACAGGTATGCAATACACTTTCTCTGTACGCTCTCATGCGTCGAGCAAAGTATACTCCCATAGTTCCATTCAACCAACGGTAGCTTTGAACCTATATGCCCACATATCACCAAGGATGACTGCGCCAAGGCGCGTAAGGCACTAAATATCTCTACCAGTGCAGGTAGCATTTGTGATCGCGTACATTTCCGCCGTCTCATACGACCGCATACGGACCCAACATTGGGCCATTGTTCCTACTTGAATACTTGCTATTCAGAACCGACCTATGCTCAGTCACCTTCAATTCCTCCTCCTCCATCTCATCGGCATACAGGATTTGGTCAGCAGGGTGGTCAAGGACAGGTTAGTCTTCCAAGCGGGCTTGGAGCAGGTGGCCGTGGAAAGGAGAAGGCTCCCTGTCGATATTTGCACTTCGAGGTCGATTGGGACGGCGGTGACGGCTCAGGGCAGCAGGACCATCGACAAGAGGTGAAGAACAAGCCCTTTAAATCAGGTATTGGACTAGGACCTAGTCGAAAGGAAGCACCTCTTGTGAGTATCTATATGGTTACACCTTACACGCCTGCTAATACAGATGTTCTCAAGCTTCCCCCTCAGTGGATTAATTGCGACGTACGACGGTTTGACTATTCCGTATTGGGCAAATTCCATGTAATTATGGCCGACCCTCCATGGGACATTCACATGAGCGTAAGTGTCTCATACGCACGGTATCATCCAGTGTAAGCTGATCATATATTTTAGCTACCGTATGGCACCATGACTGACGATGAGATGCGAGCTATGCCAATACCCACACTTCAAGATGAAGGAATGTTGTTTCTATGGGTGACAGGCCGTGCAATGGAGGTTGGTCGAGAATGTCTTCGGGTCTGGGGTTACACTCGTGTTGACGAGGTTGTATGGGTGAAGACTAATCAAGTGAATTGCTTCTTTGCATCTTTTTACGGGAACTCGGGGTCTAATCCTTTACATCTCAGCTTCAACGGGTTATCCGAACTGGACGAACCGGTCACTGGCTGAATCACACCAAAGAGCATATGCTCGTTGGAGTGAAGACTGTGACGGATGAAAATGGCAATCTCAAGTTCCCCTCGTGGGCTAACCGTGGTCTTGATACCGACATCATTGTCTCCGAAGTCAGAGAGACGAGTCGGAAACCAGATGAAGTGTACGGGATGATTGAGAGGATGTGTCCAGGTGGACGCAAGATCGAAATCTTCGGCAGAAAACACAATATCCGCCCAGGGTATTTAACTTTGCATTGTTTCTCTCTGGCATGATGACTGAATAAAATTTAGATGGCTCACATTGGGAAACCAGCTCGGTCCTGACCAAATTCACGAAGAAGATATGGCAGCGCGGATTAGAGCAAGGTACGTCCTCACAGGCATTGAAACTAAGCTATTACTGATAAATTGACAGATATCCTGAACGAATCATGAATGTTGGTCCTTCATGAGACGACATACCCAGTCAGTCCTTCGAAGTGTGCATGGTATGAGCTCAAGGACAGGGATGGTAGATAATTAAACAACAGGCGTGATTCGGATGGTGTACGTTGGTCAGCATCATGCGTAATGTCAATCATTGTTCTCTAGTTGGCCGTTTTATCGTTGATACTTGTCAGACTCAGGTTTTCCGAGTCGGTGTGAGTATCTACGTCTGGCTATCCAGCAAGCCTCATGAACGATAAACGAAGTAATCATACTTCCCGGCTCAAAGAAGCAATGGCTGACCTATTCTGAATTGAGACCTGCCCCAGAACTGGTACGGTGAGGCGTGGTCAGCTTTGACAAATGCTGATCCCGATATCGTATTCCGATTCGGTACCTTCTTCCATGACTTTGCCTCTATGTTGGAACAGGGTGCACTTTCCATATTCTGCACCTTCAAGCACGGCGCGGTCAGATGCGCGGTTATGTGAATGGTGTACATCGCAGTTGCTGTTAGCGTTGGACATGAACCTTCGGCATTCAAGTTTTCTTGCGCGCCTTAATATATAGGTATGAATGGAACGGCTGCGGCATCTTTTTGTTGTAATGATCATGATGATGAGCTACAAACAGCATGCCGGCGCGTGGCAGTTTCATCGCCTTTACGGCGGTGACACTGTTGTCAACGAGGCAGCGACTGAAGTATGCAGGGCTGTTCGCTGCTGAAGGACGGTTTCCTATAACTACCTTCGTCAGTGTTGTGAGACTGTCATCGTCTTGGTTTTCCCTCAGCTATGTTTCTTCCATGGCTTGCCATTATCTCCGCGCTGCATACAGGTCTCGTACTCGCCGTGAGGTTTCCGGTTGAGCGCGTTCGCAGGGATGTTCCTCGATCCACCTCGATGCAACTCTCCGCAAGCAGCACATCTGACGATGTATTCGACTTCGAAAATATTCAAGGCAAATTGTATACGACTACAATACACATTAATGGTCAGTCATTCAAGGTACGTAGAGGCTCTTTCCGTATTCCTACGATGACTATGTTTAACGCACTGACCTCTTAATATAGGTGGACATGGATACTGGGTCCAGTGACCTGTGGATTGACACCAAGGGGGCGAATCTTACCGGAACTACGGATACCGGTATTCTTGGGGCCATTGTCTACGAGTGCGATTGAAGTTTCTACTCTGAGCAGAATGCTGCGTACTGAACTGTTCACAGGGACCTTTCATCCGCTGTTGGCAACTTGACTCTTGCTGACATAACCTGGGGTAATTTCACAGTGAAAGACCAAGTGTTCAGTAAGTTTACTGCACCCTTTATCCTGAACTCGACTGAGCAGTATCATAGTCAGTGCACCCGGTACCAACGCAACATTAGGCTTGCGAGACGGTTTGCTGGGCTTGGGGCCGTGAGTGTTATTTGAAGGCCATGATCTTCGACTCTTTGACGCCGTTTCGCTCCCGCAGGCAGACACTTTCAAATATATCCCATACTCTTCACCTTGCGAACTCTTCTGTGAATGGTGCTACTCTCCTCGATAATGTAAGGAATACACACGCGCTTTACCCTAACTAGAACTCAGATCTCGACAGATTTTCAGTCTCTATCCTGATGAGCCCAATCACATCACATTCCTGCTTACTCGAGATATTTCTGGCATAGTGGATGGCGGTGATTTCACAATAGGTGTGTAATGTTGTATTCCCAAGATCCCACTGATTTTCACCCCTTGGATATATCCGAAAACAGGCGAGATCGTGGATGGTTTTGAAGCTATCTCCGCCGCCCCCAAGCTACCCGTTGTATCAAACCGATGGCTCACATTTGTGGATGCCATGATTGTTAACGAAAAACGGGTGACAGCTCCCTCGGCTGGGTATGTTCCTTATTTACTTGATTCTTATGAATCCACACCTGAGTCTTCTGTGTCTATCAAGGTTCCCAAATGTTGAAGTACCCAAGGGTAAACTCACAGCAATATTTGACACGGGTATCTCTCTAGGTAAGGATCATCTCAGCTACTTCGTCGGTAATGTCGCTCATTCTCGTTGGAAGATATCGCCCCCAAAACCTTCGTAGATGCGATGTTCAAGGATGTTCCTGGTGCTTTCTTTGATGAAGACAGTCGTCTATATGTTGTTCCCTGCGATACGAAGCTTAATGTCAGCTTAGTGGCTGGGTAAGTCGAGAGATTCGTCCACAATATTCACCGTGTTGACAATATTTGTGAAGGGACATTGAATATCCCATTCACCCTGTGGACCTTGTCTCTCCGATCGCATTGAATGGTAGTGACCCGCTATGCGTCGGTGGCTTCATGGCAACTGACGAGAACACGGCCATTGGTGGTAAGCAAGGCCATGTTGTCCTCCCATTACGATGAACTCAGCGTCGCGATACTTTGGACAGACTTCCAATTTGGTGACGTCGTCCTGCGCAATCTCTACACATTGTTCGACTATGGGAATTGGTCCAGAGCTGGCGATGGGCAACCATTTATCCAGATACTGAGCGTGAGTCCATTCCATTTAAATGCACCAATTGTACTGACTGCTCCTCCTTGTCCTAGCTTACCGATGCTGATAAGGCGTTCGCGGAGTTCGACACTATGCAGTCTGCGCGTGTGGAGCAGTTCCTTGCTGCGAACTCAGATGACTCTTCTACTTCTGCCAGCTCTGTGTCTACCTCAACAAGTAGCGAAACTGCTGTGGATACATCCTCCGCAACAACGACAGCCTCCAGTCTGAGTCCTGCGAGTCCTGTGGCAACCAGTACCATCCCTCTAACTTCCGTAGCCTCAACGAGCGTTCCACCCACCACTGTATCTGCTCTCGCGACATCGACAGGTGTTGGCAATAGCAAAGACTTCGCAGCAGGAGCAGTTTCAGACAATAACAGCATCAGCTCGACTGACTTGAACAACTTGATTCGGAACTCTTATATTGTTATTGGGCTGCTGGGGTTCGCTATCGTCCTACTCATTGGTGTAGTCGTTATGACGTCGATGAGGATGATGGCACCTCGGGGAGGGCGGTACAAACCTATCATTCCTCCAGTCGATGATCATGCTAGCACACCGTACAGATATTCTGACTAGATGTTGCTTGACTACCGCCCGCTCGCATGTTGTAGAATATGTATATTTATGGACTACGTGCTGTAGATACCATTGCCATCCACTAATGCAACTTCTGTACCAAACAAGGTTCATGCAATACCGTTAAATCCAACTGCGTATCTCGGAGCACAGCTGTATGTTACATGGGGTTGTCCGGGAGCAGCGTGACTTACAGTCAAGGATTACGCTGACTTTGCGAGTGATACTCGCAGCGGTAACTCAGACCTCTCGCTCGCTCGGTCCGCCGTAGGATACTGTACGCCAGCGTGGTTCCAATAAATCACCTTGTCCGGCAAGTCAAAGTGGAAATGCTGGATCAGCACCGAGAGTACAACCTCTGTTAAAAGTGGTTCATATGAAATTCAAGCAAGGTGAATAAAGCTGGACAACGTACTCATCTCGAGCTGTGAGAATTTGAAACCACTGCTCACTTGATTAGTCAAAGTACCGATAGTACAAGGTGAAAACAACCCACATGCATGCTCGACCACCGCCCAAGAACGTCATACTAAGAAATAGAGTCAGAATTTCTGGCCTACCAAGGAGGACATACTGAGTGCTCACAGATTGGAGTATACACCAGGTACATGAGCTTCCGTCAGTGACTCTGGTAGAGCTGACAACCATCTCTCCGGTTTGAAGATTTCTGCGTCCTCGCCCCATATAGCTGGGTTGATGTTGGAGCCCAATACACCAATGAACAGATCTGTGCCTTTGTCTAGTGGAATGTCCGTGATCGTCCTTCCGTCTCTGCCGAGAACCGGCGTCGAAAGAGGCATCACTATGTCTTGTGTCGTTCTGTATTGGTATACGTTAAACATGGGATCAGACAAAGATGATATGAGTCTCACTTTCGGTTGAGCGTTGTAACAGGTGAGTAGCTGAGAGGTGTCAGATGAAAATTCCTCAGTGGACAAGCTATATATGATGAGTCCACGTACAGACGCAAAGTCTCTCGACAGACAGCCTCCATGTAGGGTAACGAAACAAGTTCGTCATAAGGTATGTTCGCCCTGTCTCCACGCGCGGTGGTTATCTCTTGGCGAAGCTTGGCTTGAATGTCCTGACGTTCTGAAAGCTTATGGAGGATACGAGCCAGGGCCCCACTGGTGGTTTCCATGCCAGCAAAAATAAATGTCCTAAGTAGGGTGAGGAATAGACCTTACGTTGCAAAATGAGTGTCTTAACGTACGACATATGTGCTAGAATTTCATTATCTGGCATCTTGTCTTCTTCCGATGCATTCATTTGCGCCTTTACTGTAAAACAAGTGAAGTTCTGAATAACCGAAAGACTCGAATATAACCTTCTTACTCACGCAAGACACTAATGATATCTTTTCCTTCGCCTATCTGTTCAGATACTGCCTCATCTCCTGCAGCAAGCGCAGCCCGTTTCGCTCTAAGGATCTCTTTCGATGTTTGATCTAGCGCATCGCTGATGGCTAAGGCCCGCCGTACTAGTTTGTTTGGAAACATCTCGATCACTCGTCGACGGAAGGCTGGCGACCCAATGCGAGAGGCGAATGGTATAAATCTCACGAGAAGGAACAACGGCGCAACTGTTGGCCTGAAGATTAAGAATGTGCGCGTCAGTCGTGGAATCCACATAAGGACATTCGTACTAACACAAGGTCCTTTACGTGCTCAGCAAGTGGATTGAGTTCTGGCTTCTCCAACGTGTCAAATGACCAGCCGAGTCCACCCTGCCCTATGAGTTCCAATGCGGTTCGCGTCATCCAATTCAGCATGTCGATCTCTTCAGGACCCTCTTTGAGTTGCCATGCAATAGCATCTCGAAGCTATGGCGATAGGTAAGGACAAGTATGCATGAACTGATCTGACACGTACTTTATCCGTAATTCGATAGAAAATCGGTGTCATGTGTCTCATATGGTTGATATTGAAGACTAAAAGTCATGTTTCAGCTAAACGAGACATGATCCAAGTAGAAACTTACCAGGATTGAGAATCTTCCGCTGGTGACGATGTTTCTCGCCTACAAAAGGTAAGTTCACCACTCTGAACATGTGAGCAATCCCTCACCTAACGATGACAAAAGTCCCTCTCCAAAGAATATGCCGTTGAATCTGCAATATACTCAGTGGCGCCATGTAGGGGACGATGAACAGATACGCACTGTAAGAACAGCGGCGACTCTTCGTAAATGTACTGATCCTTAACCACGATGTTATGCAACGCTGTCGGGTCAAAAACATATAGCACCTTTTTCTGCATTCGGACCAGTGAGGTCAGTAGATTGACATCTTAATAAGTAGAAAACCATACTCCGAATATGCCGCTCACTGCGGTGACCGGCCCATAGTGACGAATGATGTCTTTGTGAAAATCCCAAGCATGGCGACTGAAGAGCTGTGGCAAGTTACCTACCAACGGGGTCCTCTGATCATGAACGTTTGAGATTGAGGATATCATAAATTCATACCGAATAAATAACTCTTCCTAGGAGGACTCGGGAGGTTGTCTAGACAGGATTTAGCAGTAAGACGACGATAGACGGATCTGATTATCCAAATCACTGCTCCGAGAAGGGCCAACTGCAGGACTGAAACAATCGCCATGAGGGAGGAAGAACGATCTCTAGTTTGGACGCGGGGTAGAGATTGTTAAGTACATTCTGAGCGTTCATCCTGAGATGGCGTATGGTTACCGACTGTGATACCGCGCGCCATCTCACGAGTCTACAAGAGGATGCGAACACTCTCACGAAACCAGATGATATTTGAAAACGTGATACCCCGGCACCGAACAAGGGCAGAAAGAGCAGGGAAATGGTAATGAAAGTTTACTCATCACAGGACTTGTCCTCCGAGTACAGCAAAATGATTTTGTACAGATAGATGTAGATGACAGTGAGCCTGCCAGCGTCGCGCTACCTTACAAGTTGAACTTGTACTTTGACTGTGAAGTGGCTGTGTGCGCTTGAGTATCAAGCGGCTATTGGCACCACGTTCCCATTTAGGCTAAGTTCATCATGAGTTCGCCGGTGCTATGAGGGAGATGTGTATCGCCGGCCGATTCTAGGACATATTGATGGAGATAAAATTGTATCAAGCAATGATGCATATGAATACCCTAAATGTGCAGATAAAACATCGGTGAGCCAATATAACATTACAAAAGTCGGAGGGACCATGCTACCTACTTGCTCCCTGTGTCGCTAGCCAATGCTGTTTCCGTTAGGCCTGGAATTAGTCTGCAATAGCTGATGGGTCAAATTTCAATGGCATAGATGATAGCAATATCCATGAAATTTCATGTTCCACGCAGTTCCACAGTGCGACGTGCAGTATGCGAGTGAGCAAATTAACAATTTATTTGAAAGATGAAACCTTGTTTGTGGCTCAATGGTCTAGAGGTAAGATACTTGCTTTGGGCTCTGATCTTCTATCTGATTGCAAGGGATCCTGGGTTCGAATCCCAGTTGGGCCCGCTTTTTGGTTCCCTCCAAGCCGTGACAGTTGTCGGTGGCCTCGGTGTAGACATTCATATACTGCACGTAGGAAGGTACTCCCCTAGAACACATTGAAGGCTGAAACCGAGCATAGGGACTCGGCATTTTTTTAGGCGTTCGTATCAGCACTGACTGAGGTCCGACTCGTGCATACTTCAGTATCGCCCATGCAAAGTGATAATGCTTAATTGCACATCGTGGATGTAGCCCGAATGCATTCTGGGGTTCTGAAATGGGATATTTGCATCAGTTTTATCACCTCAGTCTGTTGTCTATTACATACGTTAGAAACTGTCCACGGAAAGTACATCTCCAGTGGCCAGCATTCACCCCTCGGAATCTGACTTGAGGCTTGACTATAACTTAACATTCGACACTCGATCGATGCCTTCCGTTTGGCTTGCCTTCCAAGCAAGCGGCAAGGGTTCGACTCCCTTCGGCGTATGCATTTTCAAGTTCTTTGCCTCGATGTCAATTGCGTTGATGAATAATGGAACGAATATATCACCAAGAAAGCAGCAACTATTGCCGGCCAAATAAGCGAAATGAACTACTCGCTCGGAGCAATGTACAATAACCAGAAAGCAGCAAGAAAGACCTGAGAATAAAAGAACCGAGAATCAAAACATCCCACCGCTCGGGGGAGTGGATATCTTGGGAACCGGAGGAACTCGTTCCTTTCCAACCATAGCCTCCACCCGCCTGACGAACCGATCCCTCATGTTCCCGCTACGCTCCCCATCCAATATACTTGCTCGACTCTTTGCACTCCATATACTGTACCGGTCACCTTGACCGCTAGCGCCGTCATCAACGTCGAAATACAATGATGACCGTGCATCATCTTCAGAGGGCGGGACGAGAGTGCTCGTTTGGTCGAGATCCTTCTTATGAGCACGAAGCATCGAGATGACATCATCCACAACAGGATGAGTGTCGGTTGGCGATCGTATGTTATCATGTTCGATTTCGTTGTATTCACTCCAAGATCGACGGCCACCCCGTTTGTCCGGAGAATGGTCTCTCACATCCATAGCCGAAGCAGACCTCGGTTGCCAATGGGCGTCCAACCTTGACTGCTCAAACTCTCTCGCAGGCCGGTTTCCATATGAACCGGTTGCATCGGCCGAAAAGGGTGGCCTGCGAATACCATTTCTTGATACAGAAGTCCTGCGGACCAGCTCCGCCGATTCCTCGCGTGGAAGTACGGGTCTGGAGGGGAAAGGTGGTTCGCGCCCACGTTGAGTTGACCCTGCACGATGTAAGAACAAAGATGGACTGGCGGTTTGTGAACGAGCATAAAGGGGTGTTGCTGGAGGTGGAAGCGGTGAAGATGGCATTGTGGCTGCACCCTGCGCAGGCGTCTTCCGAACAGGTGAAAAAGAGGGTCTGTCTGAAGCACCTTCTGTAGTGCCCGATCCACTGCCATCCCTATTGTGAAGCATGGCATTCTGCGCCTTAGCAAATGGACTCGTGGGCGCCTCACCTGGAACGCTCGGTAGTGGGCCTGACGGAGGTGGACTTGGAGGCGGTAGATCATAATAAGCCAGAACATGGGGTCGTGACAGCGTCTGAGTACTAGGGTTGGGACTAGGGGATCTGGAAGGGAGGGGTGAGGGAGGTGCAGTGGACAAGTTGTCTGTGAAAGTGGTCGGTGTGTGAGGGACGTCAGCGGATCGGTCCTGTACAGCTGAAGGGTCAAAAGGTGATTTCTGAGATCCTTGTATCCTAGACGGAGAGGAAGAGAAAGAACGATCAGCCGGAGAAGAAGGTAATGCAGGTCTATGAGGCGAAAGCAAAGCGACGGGTGTAGGCGGGGTAATAGTCAACGGAACGGGGGTATTGGAAGTTCTAGCGGCTAATGCGCTAGTATTAGGAGCACTTATATGAGGCGGGGTATGCTTCATTGATTGGTTCTTCTTAGACTTAGGCAAAGCGATGGTTGGCACGGTAGGGATCTTGAATGCATGTTGCGAAGATTCGGGAGAAGCGGTCTGCTCTAATTGCATCTGAGCGAAGCTTTGGCTCAGAGGTGAGGGGGATCCTGCCCCCGGGGAGCGTCCGTCGATGGACTGGCCTGGCAGTACCCCGCGACGGTGGAAAGTGGCAAGCACGTCTATACTGGGTGAACGCACCGACTCGGCATCTTTGAACGGATTCGCTAGTGACTTGAGTGACCCGAGAGGCACGCTAGTGGAGGACTCATTCGACGGGCGGAAATCATCGCTCATGCGATCTGTGAGCGTGTGCTCGCTGAGCGCAGGAGTCGCCGTCCGCATGGAATTGGGAGTAACGCTTCTTGAAGCAAACCTGTCTGCAATAGGAAGAGACATTGGGGGGAGCTGAGGTACGGGTGGTATAATTTCCGGCAGTGAAGTGTCGCCTGAATCCTGTTTCTTGCGGAAACGGAAGAAGCGTTTCTTCTTCGTCGACGCTTCAGACATGTATGCTCCGTCGGACTCGTCACCCGTTTGAGGGTCACCTGGTGCAGAAGACTTCTTGGACGGCTTCTTCTTGCTTCCAAACGACCGACTGATATATCCGCCGTCCGATTCGTAGTCGGTTCCAGGGTATTCGGTGGTCTTTGGCTTATCTTTCTTGCTCTTCTTGTCCTTTTTCTTCTTGGACGAGAAGTCGGAGAGATAGCCACCATCGCTCTCATACTCGGTTTGATTGCCATCTGCCTTGCTCTTCTTCTTGCCCTTCTTGTCCTTCTTCGGTTTAGAGCTGTCGCTCATGTAACCGCCATCACTATCATATCCACCCGGTCGTGGTTTCCGCAATTTCGACTGCTTCTGTGGGGAAGGTAGAGGAGAAACGGCACGAGGCTCGGGTGTTGCACTGAGGTCGAACTGGACGGTACGTTGGGCAGAAATGTCTTTGCCAGTCAAACCTCCCTCCGGCGAATACCCGACACGCTCGGGGCTGAAAGGTTTCCTCGCTGAAGAACCTAAATGAGATGCTCCAGCGCCAGGCTGGCTGCGAGAATAGGGCGAGTTTGAGAACGATGATTCCTCCGACGTTGCAGTGGAACCATAGGTCAGACTCGGAGAAAGGATGCTCTGTGCGGTACATCAGTTGGGACAGAACCTTCATACAAACAAGAGAACGCACATCGGCGTCTTCGTCTACTTCCTCCACAGGGTTAAAAATCCAATTGGCGACTGTATTATTCGTACCGACACCGAGCTCCAACGCGGTGTCTAGAATAGAAGCTCGTAGGAGGGAATCGCGCTGGTCGAGTTGGCGTTCGCGGGGCCTCCTGGGGCTCGCGGTAGGTGATATGGTATTCATTGCAATCTACTCTGCCAATGCCGCGCTTCAGAGTTAGCCGGGAGAAGGAAAAGGAGTGTAGTGTTGACCCAGTTTCAAGAACTGGCAATGGAGAAGCAAAGAACAAGGCGCATTGGAAGTAAAAGAGTGAAATAGGGGAAATTGGAGAGATGTTTCTCACCAAGCGTAAGTACAAGTCCTGGGCCTCGTTATTTCATATTTGATACATACTGTACTCTCCGGACATGCCGACCGTCGCCGGCCAGCTTCTCGCCGCCGGAGAAAGATGTTTGTAGTTCGACGCCGACATATATTACGCCGTTAGCTGGATGCAAACCTTTATATGCTACTTACATGTTGTTACACATATACGCTATCCGAAGAATATTTTCCTAAACGACATAATCTGCCGCAATACTCGTTCAAATCGACAGACCTGCCACAGTTATGTCATCGCCGCAGCAAAGATGGTGTTGTCGTCGACCGTTGCCATGACTCTGCGATTGAGAAGTTCAGAACGTGCCAAATACCTGACCGGACAGATCTCTATGGACCGCGGGCTAACACAGAGTATGAATAGTTCGATGCAAAGACAATGTTGGTATGTCCATTTCTATATGATGCGTGGCAATTCACCATTCCTGAGCACAGCAGATTGTAATATCAATGCAATGCACTTGAAATATGTGAACGTTTTTGGAACTTCTCATCGATGCTTCGGTGACGATGACATCCTGTAGTCTCAAACTCGGTGTGTCGAGGGAGGTCACACTGTAATCGGAAGCGGTAGCTATGAACATCTGAAGAGGCTGGTGTGGACCGCACTTCTAACAGCGGGCAAAGCTGGCTGTGCCCTTGCAGCAAGAAAAGGGTCCTGATCCATTCAGATAGATTATGCTGAATTCCCCTGGGCTTCCATGGATGACCCGAAAACGAACAGGTCTGCATTCGTTATGAGTCAACTGCGGACATTGCATACATGATTCATATCATCCATAGCGGTCTACTGATGCACATACGGGGTTGCGAATAGCTCCAAGTGTACGCCGTCGTATCATGTCCAACTATGCCGAACGGAGGTCTTGTATTCGCGCTCACCACTCCCATCCTGTGCAGCGATAGTCCAACTCCTCAAGAGTCGATATGAAGTGGGGCTGTCAAGACAGGTGGCAGTAACCTAACTCCGTTCAAGTCAACGCCGAGCCTTTGGACCCGCATAAGGCCACGGAGAGATTCATCCCACTGAATGCAGCAACCCTTCCCAAAGCCGACGCGTTCCTTGCTTCTCGGGTCGGTGATAGCCCTCCATCCATGCAAAGATAATATGAGTTCTGAGAAGGATTAATGTCGTCATGGACTGATCCGTTATCGATCTAGCTTACGGATTCAGATCAAGCATATAAAGAATTCGACACCATGCAACTCATGTGAGTTCAGGAGGATCTTGCAGAAAACTCCAAACACAACCTCAAACTCGTCGAGCACCACTTCGAACGGCCCACCATTGAGCGGCGTCTCTCGGGCTTTTATTGTAAATGCAGCGGGCGATGATCCTCCCACCTTGCTGCCCCTATTTCCACCTCGACACGCGGTACCCAATCATTCGTCTCGCCTCCTTCAACATCCGACGACATCGTCGCTGGTGCACTTTCCGATGACACAATTCCACTTCTGTCGACCTGAGAGGACGACTTGAAGCTCTCATACTATCGTCGGCTTGCTTGGGTTAACTGTACCTATGGCCAACGGCAGCGAATGATCCTTAGCATTTGGATCGTAGTAAATCACTCACTAGGAATTATTCTGACTATGTTCGGCTGCTTATCATTCTTATCAGAGCAGTAACTTATACATTTCAACGATGGTCTTGCGAGGAGTATTTGTAAACTAAATACTGTACACTGTTAAGCATAATTGAACTCTAATCATTTCACGAGCTGCATACATTAAGGTTATAAGACACAAGAATGGGAAATAGCTACCAGAACGAGCTACGGATCTCGAAATCCTGAGGGCCTAAAGGTTTTTGACGACTCGTAGTAAGTACAGTATGTATAGCCTGCTTATTCCACGCGTGCTAAAATGGGACAGCGATCAAAGGCTTCCGATCACTGTTCAGGTGATTGCTCTACGGGACTGGCGTGTCTGAAGGCTGGTTTCTTCTACCGCCAGTCGGACTTTCCAAACACTAAGACAAACATTGAAGCCCCACGTCTTTGGCTTTTTATGCTACGATGTTCCCCGGTAACTTCTCCCTTTCAAATCGCTTATAGTTTCAGTTCTAAATGACATCACCGATCCACAGCCGAAAAACACATCATCAAGACCTTCAACAAACTCGTTGAACTTCTCTCTGAAGTAGATCGTAACAAAGTAAGCTTATAATATACTTCAATGGTAAAGTGGACTTACGATGTAAAGTAGCCCCAAGTCGCTTTGCTTGCAGGTTCCGCGACACCGTATAGAAATGATACCGACCGTGAGATGCCCTTCCGTCAGGTCTGTTCACGTTGGATCTATAAGGCTCCCGATGACTTACCCTGCAGAGTTTCTAGGAATCAAATTTCTACTATTTGACCGGATGTAACATTCCTTCATCATATCTCCTGGTCACTTTCCAAACCGGGACAGGGCTGGCTCAGATGCCATCGTCCCAATTATTTGTTCCTCCAATCGAACTTGCGGATATTATGTGGTCTGTTCCGCCACCAACCAAGGAAGTGGCTGCACAAATTCATGATGTCACCCATGTTGAGCACACGGCTGCGCTTCCGGATGCCATTCACGAGATTTTGAAGGCGTTCCCCTCCGCGATCTTCCACACATTACCTCGGACCTCACTGTTTCCAGAGCTTCCAGAGAAATACATCGGACTGGCTGCAACTAGGAATGAACCTGTCACGGATGAATACCTTTTGACTGCGTTGCATCGGGCTCGACTGACGAAAGGCGATGCTGAAATCGCTTTGATACAGAAAGCGAACGAGATCAGCTCTCGTGCTCATGAAACCGTTATGCGAGTCCTCGGTCAAGGTGTCATCGGGGCTATCAAGAAAGCCAAGGGCGCTGGAACCGAGCGACCTTTGCTCCCGAGTGAATGGTTAATCGAGAAGGAAGCTGAGGCCGAAGCCCTTTTCGTTGCTTCTTGTCGAAGAGAAGGGTAAGTGATCCGTTCATCGGTTGGCTTGTCATATCTGCTCATCACTGTATGCAGGGCTGTACATCAAGCCTATCTGCCCATTGTTGCTGGTGCAAGCCGCGCCGCGACATTGCATTACTGCTGCAATGATAAGGAATTTGCGTGGGGTCCCGTCGGAGAGCATGACCATCTGAATCACAATGAGCTGGAGCACAATGAAGCGAGAGATCTGCATCCCCAAGTCCTGCTGATTGATGCCGGTTGTGAATGGGACTGCTACGCTGCCGATAGTAAAGTATCATTCATTACACTTCTGGTAGTGGTCTGACATTATGATTTCGCAGTCACCCGAACGATGCCTGTTGGAAACGGAGGCAAGTTCACACCGGAAGCGCGAGCGATTTACGAGCTTGTCCTTGAAATGCAGAAGGTTTATCCTATTTCGTTATTCTTCCGGCCCTTGAACACTAACGTGTTTTTCCAGCTGTCCCTGGAGGTGTTGGAACCTGGTCTTCACTGGGACGCCGTTCAGCTACTCTGTCACCGAACCCTGGTCCGAGGGTTCCAAAAGCTTGGTATCTTCAAGTCTACAACCTCTCCCAACTCGGGCTCATGGAACTCCGAGGAGGCTATCGTTGCTTCTGGAATCAGTACGGCCTTTTTTCCGCACGGTGTAGGACACTCTCTGGGCATGGATGTGCATGATGTTCCAAGCGCGAGCAAACCTGAAGTCAATGATACCATCGGCAAAGGGGTGGAACTTGGACACCCTGAATTCTATACTTACTTGCGTCTCAGACTTCCTCTTGAGGAGGGTATGGTAGTGGTAAGTTTTTGTTCTTGAAAGCCGATGACACTGTTTCTCAACTGACACCTTGCAGACTGTCGAGCCAGGCATCTACTTTAACCCGCACCTATTGGCTCCTGTGCGAGATTCGAAGCACATTAATCAAGAAGTACTCAAGCGATATGAAGCAGTCGGCGGTGTGCGGATTGAAGACGTTGTAGTGATCATTAAGGATGGGCACATCAACCTTACGACGGTGCGTAGTGATGTGGAATGGATAGAGGGTGTATGTTCAGGTGTCCTGTGAATTGTACGCGAAAGATGTATGTGCGGTATGTACTTGTAGCCATGAGTGTAAAACCTGTGTGTGGGTGCTCCGCAATAGCGAAAGCTCGGACATAAGCCTTATGGGAATCGTCCACTGGGTGAATGATATCTGGAACGGGCAATTCGGAGCATGCGTTTAGATACGCTTGATTATTGCAAGAGTAACCAAACGAATGCGGTTCAAATGGTTCCTGTAATATAAGATGAATATCAAAGCTCATGCAAGATATACCGATCAAGGTTGGCCTAGTACACTAAGCATAGGTACTTTATTAACCGACAGTAACCAGTGCTATTCAAGCAACATTCCTGCGATAGCTCAGTTATTTGAGAACTTGACCTGTCTCCTGGACGTTTTGAGTAGGTGACAAGTGACTTGTTGTCGAGGCAAAGGGCTCCCGAGACAACAGATTGCGAAGCAGTAAAACAACAAGGTCGATATGTCATTAAAATATAGAACACCGTGACAATGGCGTGTGGTGTGAGGGATAATGAGTAGGCGAGACCGTTGCACTATTCAAGGATGTCTTCTTCCATAGGCAATTTGCTGGGACCTTCCTCAACGATGAACTTCACATGTGAATAACAATTGTGACAGATACTGAGGTGGCTGTGAAAGGCGACAGGAGTGGTTTAATAAACCGAATAAGACGGTTTAGATACTCACGTCACAACATCTTCGACGCAGCAATTGCGACAGAGCTTCCTACCACAACCTGGCAGCGTACAACTTGTTGGTGAAATGTCACCTGAGGCAAGGTTGTCATGATCATCGTCGCGTGGACGTCTCCGGCTAGGTTTTGGAATGGCGGATGTTTGTTCGGCGCCATTGACTGCAGTTAAGCTGAGTGGAAGTCTCGTAGGCACCGTTGTTGCATCAGAGCGCTGTGAGTGTAACGGCTCTAGATGCTCGGAGCTGGAAGACCATCCTTCGCAGGTTCTAGAGCATACAAGACATGTATATTGTTCACATCTGCTGTGAGATGATAGATTAAATTGTGCTTTGAACCTAGTAGTAGCGATACGGACCTGGGGCAAAATATATATGTAGTCGAAGTCTGAAGAGATGACCGATGGCAGGAGCAACACGCTATAGGTCTGGATTGCAGATGTCCCAAGGCAGTCGTATGAAGATCGTTGTACGAGGTGACATTTTGTGAGTGTTGTGCCACGAGTTTCCGTCGTTTAGACTGCAGGTTTACGCGTCGTCCATCACGATTGGTGTAAGGCATGGAGAGAAGGTGGAAGGAAACGAACTGTGGAACAGCGCACGCACTGGCAAGGAGAAAGGATAGTGTTATTATTAAGGCCACAGCCTGAGCGTGCGTGTGGTAGACGCGTGAATAGCGTGGGTCAACAAAAGAGTGTAAGGAAACCTTGTTACACCGAACGGGAATCGAACCCGTGCCGCTTGCTTGGAAGGCAAGCATGATAACCACTTCACCATCGGTGTGATAAAACAGAATAAAAACATAAATTGTTGTTGTGATTGATTTTCTTAGGCGTAACGAGTTGGCCATGGCCGGCTCGACGTTGTCATTCGACCACTCGTCCAACTCGAAGTAACCGTTCACCTTTCACTCCCAACACTTTACTATTGTGTTGTTCTCTTTTACTGTTTTCACTCGTCTGATAGTTTCCCAAAGCCCAAAGCCACACAATTCGAGCGCCATTCTCGGTTTGCCGTGACTGCGCACCCCCATCCTCACTTCAAGCTGACTGCATTCCGCCAGGATGTCCACAATGCAACACTTCGGCAAGGGCATCGTCCGTGTTGCAAAGAACTACACGAAGGGCTATTCGGACGTACAAGCTAAGGTCCGAGACGCCACATCGAATGACCCATGGGGGCCTTCGGGCACACAGATGAACGAGATAGCTCAAATGACATACAACCAGTGAGCGCCTCGGCTCGTGCAGAATTCGCTTCTGATATTGATGGTGTATCGCCAGGAACGATTTTGTAGAGATTATGGAAATGTTGGACAAACGTTTAAACGATAAGGGCAAGAATTGGCGGCACGTCTTCAAGGCATGTCTACACCCTGTTCACCATCGCCTGCGCCATTGACCTTATATTCCGCAGTCGCTAACTGTTCTTGACTACCTCCTGCATGCCGGGTCAGAAAACGTCGTCATCTACTTCAGGGACAACCTATATGTCATCAAGACTCTCAAGGAGTTTCAGTACATCGACGAGTACGGGAAGGATCAGGGAGCCAATGTACGACAAAAGGCAAAGGATATCAGTAACCTGTTGTCAGATGAAGGTCGCCTACGCCAGGAGCGTCGCTCAAGAGCCCACATGCGCGATCGGATGGTTCGCGGGGCTGGCATACCGGAGGAAGACGAGAACGAGAACATCCGCAGGAGGAGTCAAAGTCTCCCATCACGCCGAATAAACGGCGACGACGATGAACTTAAACGTGCCATCGAGGAGAGCAAGCGATCTCTTGCCGAGGAACAGGCTAAGAATAACCTCACAGCCGAGGAAAGAGACTTGCAGGCAGCCATCAAGCTCAGTGAAGAGGAGGAGAAGAAACGTGCCCAGGCTATCGAAGAATCGAACCGCTCCGCCCTCTTCGATGACCAAAATCAACTGTGAGTATAGTTCAGTTTCACCATGTGCCTTGTTGACAATTCACCACCAATGTGTCCTAGCATTCCTACTGCTACGTCAACAAATCCCTTCCCGCTTGTTGATGCAGGACTTCAGCCACAGTTCACGCAAGCTCTCCAACCTCAATACACATCAATACAACCTCAGTTTACGTCTTTCAATCCCTATCAGCAGCAGGCGCAACAGGAAGCTGCACAGGTGTGTCATGTAAAGGAGTCTCCATTTCAGCTCGCTCATCTCAATCTCCCTTAGGCCGAATACTTGCGTCAGCAGCAGGAGTGGCAAGCAGCTCAGCAGCAGCAGCAGCAGCAGCAGCAACAACAACAACTTTTTTTGCAGCAACAGCAACAAGAACAGTGGCTACAGCAACAACAAATGGCGCAACTCCAGCAGCAGCAGATGCAGGTCCCACAGCAGCCTCTGATGGCGCAACCAACTGGCTTTGGGTGAGTATGAATAAAGCACGTGATCTTGATTATCCTAAAGTCGTGTGGCAACTAGGTCGAACAATCCGTTTGCTCCTTCCCCATCCAATTTCTCTCAGGCGTCTTCTCCTGGCCCGCAGGCCTCAGCACCTGTCTCGTTCAATTTGCAGGGAACGTATTCAAATGTCAACGTGCCGTCTCTAAGTGTATCTCCACCGCCAGCCTCTCAGTCTGCACCACCTTTGAGTAGCGGCCAAGGCGCGCAAAGACCTACAAGGGCAGATCAAGAACATGCCCACCTTGCGAACCTGTTTGCGAACCGAGATGACGGTACTGATACGTTCGGAAACATTGGTCCCTTGCGGTACGTACAAGTCCAGTGGACACGATGCTGCGGTGCTCATGATTTCCTCAGATATGGTCAGCAAGCCGGGAAGTATGTTCACAGCCAACCAACAGGCTCAAGTTCAGGCTACAATCCATTTGCACATCAGCAACAACAGCAACAGAACAACAATGAACAACCGTTTTTCTCTATCTAAACCTCCGACCCATCTGCCTTGTCCTACATTGGATTTTCTGGCGTTCCTGTCTCTCCTTACTTGGCGACCACATATGTACTAATCGGACGCAAGCGATACCCTGTCCCTCCTTTTTTCTCCCGCTTATCCGCTTCTCTCTTCCGTTCCTTACTTGCTCGCTACTTTCTTGTATGAATGTTATTCCGTTTTCGTAGGCCCATCTCTTAATTGTCTTGTTTCTTGTCGCCCTGAATCGGGCGCCGCAACTGCCGGAAAGGTGGTGAACACTACCAGATGACAAAAGCAATTTGTAACATCCATAGTCAATTCTCAGTCTCCAGTTGGTTCCTCAATGGTTTGTTGACGCATCACGGACTACTGTATAGCTGCGATGGGCCGATAGATGATCAGACCACTACCGTCGCAACGTCAGGAACGTTCATGCTGCCTAAGCGAACGTTGGCCATGGTGGATGGAATTCTGTTTGCCAGTAAGTTGTTCAACAATGTTCTACCGTATGCAGCTCACGAAAGATCGATCTGTAGATCAGGCATGTGCAGGAAATGAATAGCTGAGTCGATACCATCTTCCGTCATTTGTCAATCCCAAGGTCTGCTCGTCGCTCATGACCGAATGGAAGAAGCTTTGCATACTCTGCATTCTCGTGGAGCAACTGTCGATTTGAGAATACTCAAGGGCTGACCATATGGTACGTCTTCTCAAGCTTGTTCTCCTGACCCAAACTCGCTTTATCAGGATTCAGGTGTCCCATGATAGCTGTCATTGAATATGTCGATATTTTCTGATATTTCCTGTAGCTCTATATTGCGATGCCAAGTACACTTCATGATAGGATGTTTAACCTGGAAGCTTTTCCTATCTTGATAAGTTGTGAATCGCGCATGGTTGCGATGTTCATCCATATGCGCACGTTGACCGTACCTTCGCTGCACTGAGCGCCCAGCCTTGTGGCGCAACGCACGCGTCCAACGTGATTGCTGCCCACCAAGCCCTCCCTAGTGTATGGTTAACTGACAAGCAGTGGACCTGATGCCTTTATAAACCCGGTCGCTCAAGGTGGACAGTAGCTGTGCGCCCGCGTCCAGTTACCCCTTGTCCTTCTCTTCGAGTGGATCCCCGCCGACGTCGAAACTCCACCGATAGTTGTCATGATGTTCGCTTCCTTGAGTGCTATTATCCTGCTTCTATTGCCTGCGGTGCTGGGTGCTCCCGTCTTCCAGTCGCTGTCAAGCAGGGCTTTACCCACTCCCATTGCAGCTTCGACTGCTCGGACGTACCTCGGCCAATGTGGGATCGAAGTTTACCTTCGTTCCTGCGAATGCTGCGCTGACTTCTATCATGAAATTAGTGACGGTCGCTGCTGACTCTAATTCACCAGCGTACGACAGGGCCAGGTTCAAGCATTGGGATATCAGTATGTTCTCTCAATGAAGAACGCTGAATTAGCGCTAACCAGTCTGCTCTTTTAGTTTCCGGCTCTTGCGATACTCGGGAGACGGTGCTCAAGCGAGATGGCACGAGCGTGGTCACGGATAGCAGCTGTGGTGTTACATCAGGACATTGGGTCTCGCCGTATGACGGAGTAGCCACAGACTTAGCCGGCGATTTGGACATTGTGAGTTGACTATATCGTTCCGCATACTTTCTGTGCCTTAACCATAAATTTTCAAGGATCACGTCGTGCCGCTCAAAGAGGTCAGGTTTTGCATGAAATTTGGTGTTGACTGCCTGAACTGATGAATGGGACACAGGCTTGGATCTCCGGTGCCAGAAGTTGGACTGATGCCCAACGCGAGGCTTTCGCCAATGACCTCACTCGTCCTCAGTTGGCTGCGGTCACCGATAACCTCAACCAGTCAAAGGGTCAGTCATGTGATCGTACCTTTCTATTCTCAAACTCAATGAGCATATGCTTCACAGGCGATAAAGATGTTACGAACTGGTTACCGCCTTTGGCATCTTACAAATGCACTTACGCTCGCGCCTGGGTGCAAGTGAAACACTATTACGGCTTAACTATTGACTCGGCGGAGAAGACGACTTTGACGAACCTTTTGAGCGGTTGCTAGATTTTCTTGAATGGAGGTCGTAGATGAATGGGGCTAGTTCAAGGGGTAGAATTGTTACAGTGTTACGGTGTTACAGCAACGTCAATGCAATGTGCATGGAGATGCTTTAGTGGTACTGAGGAAAGTTCGAATGGCAAACGCTCGATTTCGTCAGGTAAACGTGGGATACTTATGCGTTAAACGTGCACGTCAGTTTCAGGAATACTTGAATGCCGATGCGGGGTCTAATGCATGGCGTACGGAATGGATGCCTGTATGTCTCAACCTAAGCGAACGATCGATCTGGCGTGGTGAGAGTTGTGCCCGTGCTCGAGAAACAGGTACACTACAAGGTACAGCCAGATTGTTGCGCAGTCCAAATTGCGTGCCCATGACGTAGTCCAATGAAGCAAAACCCAGATAAGATAATGATAGACAATGTCAGAGTATGTTTGGAGTATGTGAAGAGAAGTGCAGCCGGCGGCGATAACAAAAGTTTGAGAGTGACGTCGTGATATTTCCATAGTTCGATGATAGAATCTCCTCCCCGTCTATAGTATTCAATCCGAAACCAATCTTGCGTGATCTTCATGTCATGAGTCCTTCGCCTGGCCAAAACGTACCCACAAGCCGCCCTAAAAAACAGGACAAGTCAACGTTACTGTATGATGAATGCTAGCTCACCAGTTACGTACCTTCACATAGAGCGTCAGAGCAAAACAAGGACGCAGCTTCTCGATAGCTGTCCTGCCCTTTCCCGATTTCCAATCATCTGGCGGTAGAGAGCCCGGCGGTTGAAATTCTGGTGCGAGCGTGAACGTATCAAATCGTTGCAGCAGGCGAACAAGGAAGTAAGATGCTTCATTCAGAGCGTAGTTCTGACCAATGCACTGTTTGGAAACCCAGTCGTCTGGTCAGCACACCGCCCGAACTGATTTCTCTCACGCAGGGAAGCACTCCGGCAGGGGAGAAAGACTCACTATCCTAGGCCCAGCACTGAAAGGCGTGTACATCACGGGATTGTTGACTTGTATGGCTTTCCGACCATCGAGCCAGCGGTCAGGGTCAAAGATATCAGCATCAGATCCCCAGAGGGCAGGATTGCGGTGAGTTAGGATAGTGGTGAAGAGTAACGGTGTATTTGGTGGCACATAGAAGGGTTGGTCTGCATTTGAGAGGTATGTGCGGTCAGATTTGGGGAAGACCGTGGGTTTATCGCGGCACTCGCGTTGATTTTGTGGAACGGGTGGGAAAAGGCGTAAGGTTTCATTTATGACAGCACGTACTGAGGCATGAAACAGAGATGGAGTGAGTGAGAACGTCGGGATAACACCAGGATGCAATATACATACGGTATCGCATGTTTTTAATATGGTCAAACGTCGGGGGACAATGGGGTCCGACGTGCTCTAGTATTTCAGCACGCAGCCGGTGCGCGACATCTGGGTGGAGCGCCAGGAAATATATCACAAACGTAAGTAGGCAGGATGTAGTGTCTCTGCTGGCCAATAAGACGCTCAGGAGCTGGTCACGGATGATTTTAGGGTCTATTTGCAAAGTCAAGAGCCAAAGTATGAGTGAAGGCGTATTAGTACATTGAGTCACTTGACATACCTTCCGTATTATCAGCGAGGTATTCTAGGAACGTGCTATGTTCAACAGTTGAGGTCATACCGGCCTTTCTCATCTGTTGCTTATTCTCCAGTACTCGCGTGATCATCGGTTCTAGGAAAGTGTCGATGACTTTCGCATGGGGCTCCACATCGTCTTTGAATAGTTGAAATGCTGGCCAGAAGTACCCGCGCCGTGTACGTTCAACGATGATCTCTTGCGAGACTTCGAAAGCTTGAGCAAATGAACCAAATTCGTCCATTGGTGTACAACTCTTCCCACTGAGACTACTTGATTGCCCAGGTTGGGGAAGCGCGCCATGCAAGGTGTCGAGTCTCTGGCCAAACAGGGATTCGGATGCGGTATCAAGTGTGAAGCGTGCATAGAGATCTTGGACATCTACCGCGGAATGACTAGATATCCGAGATGAGATGATATTGAGTGTGCTCTCGGTGTATCTTTCGAATAGCTCGAAATCCGCGATTCGATCTCGAGCGAAGAACGGTCGAGCCATTGCGCGATGCTATAGCTGAATTAGTCTCAAATAACGAGTGTTTTGGATTCAAAAACCCACTAGTTTCCATTGCTGGCAGAGAAAAGTCAGCGACATGGTCGTTGAGACCGGTAGAGGGCAACATACCTCATCGTCACGATTGAAAATACCATTGCCGAGAAAGACTTCCCTGTGAGCTCATGACTTAGTATCGGCGAAGACGTACCAACTAATCGACATACATGCGCTCCTTTTGCCGACGTCCTCTCCAAAATTTGTCAAAGCCGGTTGCCATGAGATACTTGATATGCTCCTCATCCATGGTAACATACTGATGCAGCTCATCAGCATTGCTCTGCGTCAGGTTAACAAAAGCTGCTCCGCTGGAACGCACATGAGCGCCCATATGAATGGGGCATGCGGGCGTTCCAGTGAAGCCCGAGTCGAGGAGCTCCGAATGATTAAACCCACCAGATTAGCACCCAACATCCTTAAATTAACGATTGTGCTCTGATGCTCCTCAAATAGTTGTAAGAAGAAATCTCCGAGATATTCCGAAGCAGTCGCTTGTTTGAATTTGAGAAGAATATCCAGATTCCCTGGCCACTTGCCCTTGACAGTCGGGACTACCCTTGCGTTCATCTGCTGAGCCGCACGACAATCCTGGAAGTCGTAGTACCAATTCCGGACGCACGCTGCGACCGCGATGAACGCGACATGACAAGGAACAGCAAGAAGCCCAAGGCGAACATGGGTGATCCAAAGAAGCCCAGAGAAGCAAACAGAAGGAAGTACGAGAATACGAACAACATCCTTGAAGAATCGAAGGCGATAGCGACTGAACGGATGGGGCATGACGAGACGACAAGCAGGGTCTCGCTCGAGGATGTTGAGAGGTATGTATCAGATGCCCGGCTCAGCTCTCTTGAGTAGGGTTGGGACATCTATCAAGATGTCAAGTCAGTATATGTAGTCCCACGAAAATGAAACATTTCTGATGCTTGTGCGTGGGGGAATAGAGGCGCCCGAGAGTCGAAAATGGTATGCGACAGCATGGTGTGCACCACTGACAGCGAAGGAACAGCTGGGTGGAGAAAGGCACGACGGATGCTACTATCCGGAATAGTCGGTCGCTTCAAACCACCGAGTTAGAGACGCGCCGGCCCGGCCATGCTTCGATCACACTCTCGATCCTCCAATCCGTTCTGACAAGAACGAATTTGGCCAGTGCGACGGTTCTGCACCGTTCCAGTCCCTTCTGCCCTCGAGACCCGCCTGCCTCAATGAAAACACGTCCAGACAATCGCAAGTAGTTGAGATACTCCACAGAGCGATTTACCGGCCCAAGCACTACCCAAAGCGGGTCGGACATGTCCAAAGAGCGAGCCGGCTCAACTCTCGGTGCGTCGGCGAAGCATGGCTGTTGTAAATATCTTGGCCACTCACCACATCGCGCAGAATGCACCCTGGTGAGACCGAGGCGCCGACAACGCAGACTATTCGGGCTTATTCACGTCCCTCTCTTCATAACGAATTCGAAGCATCGGTACCATGATGGTGGCCGCCGTGAATTTGGCAGCGGTCCTGCAGCGCTTGAAAATTTGGAGAATAGTGACGGACCTTTGTCATTTGCTTGGAACCTGCTGCGTCACAGAGAACCAATGATGCGATATACAAAATGCTCTGTAAGCATACAGTTTTGTCGGGGAATGGTCAGATGTAGCCAAACTGCGAGCAATGAAAGACCTATCAGCACATTCCGAGCTTTCCGGAGAGCCTTTATGCGTCCTGAGAATATGTCACAGTGCGCGCTAGGATGCTTCAGATCCTGGGGAATAGTGTATTCCATACCACAGGCACACATCTTAGTGTCTTTGGGTAGACGTGGCACATGAGAAACCTGTCACTAATTAGACACCAATGCACAATGGGCAGCAGAGTTGATGCGTGAGGCGTCATTTTGGCTGGGTCACACATCACTTCGATAGGATAGTTCCAAATCAAGAGACATATGAGATCACCTGCCGGGATAAATAAGCAAGCAAGCAGGAATTGAGGGGGACGAAAGTAGAAAATGCATTTGAACGCTTCCATTGCGATTGTGCAGAAGATCTGTGGTCCCTTCTCCACGGCTACGCTCAGATCGCTCCTCCGACGGGTCGGTGAGCATATTGAATCATTCATAAGGTCGCAGCAACTCGACGTAGGTAATACAATCTACCACACCTTTAAACACAGAGAGTGATGAATCACGCACTGTACACTAATCTGGCGTTTCGTCTGAGCCACCGGAAGATCTATGCCCGGGTCCGAGGAACCTCTTCAGCTGGAAGATTATTTTCTGCAATTTGGAATGCAGCTTATCCACAAAGCGTTCTCTTTCGTGAGCTATACAACATGGAGTAGTGATGATAGGCCAAAGCATACTGTCGAGAGTCTTTCGACATTCAGATTGAGTCAGGGCATTCCCCCGAGAGCGGTCATCAACTGCGTACCAAATGAATGCAGTGCTATTCATCTCGGACAGCTGACACAGTGAGCTCGGGACTCGCAATGCATTCATATTGGTCGCGTGCAAGGCCATAGAGTGTGCGTGGCCGAGTCGTACTAAGTTTTAATGGCAAGAAAGGAACTGCAATGGACTTCATTCACTGCTTGGATATAAGCGCCCATTATGTAGATTGAATTGATCGCCGCCGCTAAGTTAAGCTCAGCCTGAACTCCACCCACTATTATTTCATTTCATTATGACTTCTTCACGAATTCCGGACAGGTCTATACGTATCTGCGCGGACAGAGGAGGAACTTTCTGCGATGTACACGCATCATACCCCGACCCAGAGAATTCAAAGGAGAGGAAGGAGATAGTCGTGAAACTCTGTCAGCAATTTCCCAAACTTCTTGTTATGATCGTTTCTGAAATGCGCATTTCACACCTTCTTCGGCTCTATGTAGTATCTCAGGATCCTAACAACTACAGAGATGCCCCTACGGAGGGTATCCGACGCGTCTTGGAGATTGTGACTGGGGCGCATATACCCAGAGGAGATATCCTCTCAACAGATAAGATCGGTGTGCTTCCAATGATTATTTCTACGTTTTTCTTCTCCATCTGATCGTGTACCGTTCTTAGACTATATCCGCCTATCAACAACGGTGGCGACAAATGCATTGCTTGAACGAAAGGGCCACAAACACGCACTCCTCATTACCAAAGGCTTCAGGGACCTGCTTCTAATCGGGAACCAGTCTCGCCCAAAGATCTTTGATCTGAACATTAGACGAGCCCCACCGCTATATTCTGCTGTCCTCGAGGTGGACGAGCGTGTCACTCTAGTTGGGTATACGTCTGACCCGAAGGCAGAGGAACATGCCGTGCAATTCGATGCAGACGGTAACGTCACGCGTGGATACAGAGGTGCAGGATGGAATGGCGAAGGTCTTGCCGAAGGGCCTGGAAAGATCGTGCAAGGTATTTCAGGGGAAGCCGTTAGGATTATGAAGACACCAGGTTGGTTATCGTCATCTCTCACTCGGAGGAATCTCAGCTCCGTACTAATAATCACCCCACTTCAGATCCTGACGCAGTGAAGAAGGATCTACAGGAACTCTATGATTCCGGTTATCGCTCCCTGGCCATCGTCTTTGCACATTCATACACGTTCCCAGAGCATGAACTGCAAGTGGGAAAACTTGCCCGTTCGATAGGGTTCACTCATGTATCTGCATCATCTCAATTGCTACCGATGATCAAGATGGTGCCCAGAGGAGTATCGTCCACAGCCGACGCCTACCTGACTCCAATTCTTCGTCAGTACCTTGATGGGTTCTTCAGCGGTTTCGATGAGAAACTCAAGGACGGAAGAGTGAAAAGTCCGAGGGTTGAGTTCATGGGGAGTGACGGTGGTCTCCTCGATTTGAACAACTTTTCTGGCCTTAAGAGTATTCTCAGCGGGCCGGCTGGTGGTGTCGTAGGATACGCGCTGACAAGCTGGGATGAGACGAAGAGATATCCTATCATCGGGTAGGTCATACACACTCCATGCTTGTCGTAATTCTTGGTATATCTGACACTATTTCCATAGTTTGGATGTAGGCGGTACCTCCACCGACGTCTCGCGGTTTGATGGGCGCTACGAAGTAGTATACGAGACGACCACAGCAGGGGTAACTATTCAATCGCCGCAGCTTGACATAAACACTGTTGCTGCCGGCGGCGGATCCTGTCTAACTTTTCGAAACGGACTCTTCCTGGCTGGTCCGGAGAGTGCGGGTGCTGAACCAGGTCCTGCGTGTTATCGGTGAGAACCGACGTTACGGTGTACCCTCTGCCAGGTTCTGATCTGAACATGTTTTGCAGAAAGGGTGGCCCGCTGGCTGTCACAGATGCGAACCTGCTACTTGGCAGGCTGATACCGGACTATTTCCCTAAAATCTTCGGCAAGTCGGAGAAAGAATCTTTGGATGTTCAGGCGTCGCGCTCTGCGTTCCAGGGTCTAGCCCAAGAGATCAACGCCAGTCAAGCAAAGCAATTGAGTCTTGATGATATAGTTTATGGGTAAGTTGCCGTGACATAATGACTAGGGGAAATCTTGTTCATGACCTCGATCTGACTCCAGATTCATCAAAGTTGCCAATGAGACTATGTGCAGACCGATACGGGCGCTCACGGAAGCACGAGGATATGCGACTTCAAAGCATATGTATGAGGCATTTACTCCATTATGTGGATGCGCCTGCTAACACCGATGTTGTCTTATCGATAGTTTGGCCAGTTTTGGGGGAGCCGGCGGTCAACATGCTTGTGAAATTGCTCACCTGTTGGGAATCAAAACCATCCTGATTCACAGATACAGCTCCATTCTTTCCGCCTACGGACTTGCTTTGGCTGATCGGTGCGTCATCTCCACCGTGTATTCCATGCGTCTCATTTTCTCATCCGACTGACATTGATTGGTTTACAGCGCGTATGAACTCCAAGAGCCCTCCTCAACATTTTACACGATGCAGAACCGTTCATCGTTGAAGGCACGACTGGACAGATTGGATTCCGAGGTCCGCGCCGAACTGAAGCGTCAAGGCTTCGAAGATGAGCGTATCCACACGGAGCGAATGCTAAATATGCGATTTGAAGGCACGGACACAGCGCTGATGGTTCTCCCGTCCGACAAGGACGGCGATGGCCACGAGGACTTTGAAGCCGCGTTCAAAAGAGTGTATAAGGCGGAATTTGGGTTCTTGCTTGAGACGAAGACCATCATTGTTGACGACGTGAAGGTGAGGACGCTCAGTTACATTCATCCCACGTCGTTGAGGCATGGTATGGAAAATCTGACTGACATTTTTGACTTTTAGGTTCGTGGTATTGGGAAAACATTTGATTCGCTCGGTGAAAGCGTGTTTTCCGAAGTTACCAAGCTGGAGAAGCGACCCGTAGATCGCAGAAAGGCGGATTCCACGCACAGCGTTTACTTCAACGATATTGGTCGCGTCAAAGATACCCCCGTGTTCTTGTTCCGAGCGTTGGAAGTGGGAGATGAATTGGAAGGTCCTGCGATGATCATTGATAATACACAGACCATTGTGTTGATACCTGGTGCGAAGGCCATCCTAACGAGCAAACATTTGTTCATCACCTTAGAATAATGCTGGACACGAAGCGCTTGGCCCTGTGGATTTAGAATGTAATATAGAGGAGTATCGGAGCTTCTGGAGGAATGTAGCACAAGCATGAATATATTATGTTTTGAATGGTTCGTGACAAACAAAACACTTGTTTCTGCACTTCGCGTGTCCCGATCACCGATGATGAAGCCATTCTTCAGTCTCAGGGACTGCATACGCGGAGCCGCATAAGAGCCACATAGTATCGTTGTGAGCATCCGACGCGTTTACTCATCGTCGTAACCTTGCACCGGCCTCCGGGGTCGATTCGGGACTAGACATGAGGCGGGAACACATAAGAACAAAAGGCATCCGGAGGATTTAAGTGAACTCACTAGGATACGAAGTAGGGATTTCCTCCGGCTTTCTCCAACCAAACTTCTTCCGAATGGGAGGCACTACAACGACCATGACGGGTCCTATCACTCCGAGTACACAGGAGTAGAAGATCACGGGCTGTTCATGTGCTTGTTTTTGCTATGATGATACGCGACAAATGAATTGAGTCCTTGTCCATGTCCCGAGGTTAAGTGCTAGAAACCTCACCAAGTAGCGATATGTCTGCCTTAACGGCGAGAAGAGCTTGCCAGTGAGAGTCGCCATGGTTGACGAGAGAGCTGCGAGGCGCCCGTGTGATTCAATACTGTAACCGTGAGAAAATAACGATAATATAGTGCACACTATGGCAAGTACAAGGCTAAGCGACTGGTTCTACGGCCTTCATGGAATATCTTCCGTCGGAGACGGTGAGCAGGCTAGTCACGGAATTGCAATAAGTAAGATCGATAATTGATTTATGAATGCTAAGATCTTTTCAGTACTACTGTCTGGATATGCGTCTGTTTGACGTCTAGCCTAGATTTCCACTGCAGGACTATCCTCTTTACCACTGGTGGCCATTTTACAACCTTCAAGTTGAGTGAAATGAGTCATAAAAATGTCTGTCCGTCCCCAAAGATGCAAGCAGCAAGTCCTACTCAAGAAAAACTGCATATCAGAGTGGCCTCAGTGGCTGCACTGGGTCTGATTCTGGATCGATCGGTCCCGATTGCAGTGATCCCGACCAACGAGTGGAATGTTCCACATTGACAAGAACTTCTTCAATCTTATCCACCTCGAAGCAGCAGTCAGCTCGTGTAAACTGATCTCATTCATGTTTTCTTTGCATATAGTGGTTACTATCGTGGCTGATTCCACGCAAAATGAGTCCGACGTATATCGGATTCAAGAGATATCCACATGACTTGTTCGGGAGATATACCGCCATCATGCTGCACTAAACTCTAAAGCCACGTACTGATGACCTACCGTTGCACGCGATAACCTGAAAATCAGATAAGGGGGCGTATCTTCGTTGTGAGCTTCGTTTCTTGGAGCCCAGACTCTAGTCAGTGCCTACCTCAATCTCAACCTTAAAATGGTTTCGGGCCCTTATATCTTGCTGCATGTAAAGATATACCTAGTATTATCTGTCGCCTACTGCAATCACCTTCTCTATATACGTCCCAACTCACCCGCTAGTGAGCAGGAACGACAAGATCATGATAGGCGTAGGAGGCATCTGAATTTCCTCTCAAATCTTGGGCTCTCGCTTACGACACTTTGGGTGGTACGTCGTAGTATGACCTCAGGATCATGGCATGATTCACTTACATTGTTCTTTGGTAGGCCGCTGTCTATTTTGTGGCCCTATGCGATGTCTATATCACGTCGTGCCAATTACTCCCAGCCCTCATTATTCCGCCTGTGTATTCTTCTATTACATCCGGGACCGGTGTAGTTCGGCTGACACCTACCTTCTTGATCGGATGCGCCATGGTATACGCTGGAACATACCTCCGACTCTTGTGTTTCCGGACGCTAGGCAAATTCTTTACCTTCGAACTCGCCATTCGCAAAGATCACAAGCTCTGTACGAGTGGCCCATACGCCGTCGTCAGACATCCAAGCTACACAGCCATTTTGGGCGTATCTGCCGGGCTCTCGATATGCTATTTTTCCGACGGGTCTGTTTGGGCTGCGCGTAAAGTTGGAGAGACTTCGGTCGGAAGGGCGGTGGAGTATTTCTGGATCGCGGTGCAGATTTTGACAGTCCCTACAATGTTCACCAGGATGAAGAGTGAGGATATGGTCTTGAAGGAGAATTTCGGAGATGAGTGGGTTATGTGGTGTAAGAAAACGCCTTATAAATTAATCCCGGATGTGTACTGACGAGGCACTGAGTGTAAGTAACTGAGAAGTATGGGAATAGAAAAGATAATTGAGTCTTGAACGACGTTAATATGGTTTGACATGATTCGAAGGCATGGCCCATGAGAAAGGTAGCAGAAGATATCGTTCCTTAGAACACATATCTTCCGCCCTGGTGTCCCTTTATAGGCCCTCTTATTTCTCGCTTTCTGACTGCATGAAATTAACCCCCAGGCTATGGTCAGGAATATTGATTCTTGCGACTGTATGATACAATCGGAGGTTTATCCAAGAGAAGTATTCGAATTCAGCTCTCTTGAAGTACTGCTATCTGATCAGTCTATTGACCGCGGACAACTTGTCCTCCTCCTCAAACTTCAATTCACTTACAGTCCCAAAACCAATCGCTTTGAACACGTTATTTACTCAACACCATTAACACAATGGCTGATCAATTGGTGCGTGGTTTGTGTCATTGATGAATGGACGGAACGCTGAGTTGTCATGCCCTACGTGTTCTCAGACTGAAGGTATAATATAGCAAAAGCGCTGCCTTTTGTGACGCTCTTGTGTACTTAAATGGAGTTTACGTTTCTGAACAGAACAAATTTCCGGTATATAAACTTGTTGCATAATTGACCTCGTACTGACACCAAGTTCAGAGTTCAGGGAGGCGTTCTCGCTATTCGACAAGGGTATCTTGTTGCTTCCTTTGCATATACCCGCATATACTGAATTTCTACTCCATCTGATAGACGGCGATGGCACTATCAACGTCGAAGAGATCGGAATCGTCATGCGTTCGCTAGGCCAAAACCCTTCTGAAACTGAGCTCAGAGACATGATCAACGAGGTCGACGCAGACGGAGACGGGACGATCGACTTTGACGAGTTTCTAATCATGATGTCGCGCAAGTCGGACGCAGACGAGGAGATTAAGGAAGCTTTCAAAGTCTTTGACAAAGATGGTAGCGGAACCATCAACCCGGATGAGTTGAAACAAGTTATGGCAAGCCTCGGTATATATATCTTTGTATTGTCTCGATGGCGGTCTTGAGAGAAGGCTGATGTATATGCTGTCTTTGCAGGCGAGAAGCTCTCTGACACCGAAGTCGACGAGATGATGAGGGAAGCAGACATCGATGGTAGTGGAACGATCAGCTACGAGGGTACGTCCTCAATTTATTTATCCGTATCAATTCTTCATTCATACCTCATCTGCAGAGTTTGCCAAGGTAACCTCTTAGTGACCTTTCTGCCCTTCGAGCCCACTAATTTTTTCTTGTTATGTTCGATCAGATGATGCTTTCAAAGTGATTGCCAGCTTTAGCACCGTTAGGGTGTGTTTTCATATTATGCCTGGGTCTCGTTGTTTTATCGATTTTCTCGTCGGTTGTACATATGCATATCGGATATCTCTCTACTTGTTGCATCCCTAAAGCAGTAAGTACGAGGCCAGAGACAAATCCATGAGACGTACGAGACGATGTCTCTGGTAGCACGAACTTGCAAGGAGTTATTATTCTACATCCCAAACTTCGTAGCGTCCTTGGCCATTGTCATTCCGGAATGGGTGGGGGGTGAGATCTTGAGAAGGTGTTCCCTAGCGTAGCGAATATACAACGTCGGTGCATACATTGTGAATTCAGGTCATATAACGCAGGGCAGGTTCTTCGAGATACAGAAGCGCAGATAGGTCCTCATAGACCCCCCATACGTAAAGGCGTGAGTGCCAATAGAGACACAACCAACGTGAAGAGAGGGAATCCATGGACATCGCGACCGCTCAGATGCGCCCAAGGATCGTTACAACATCGTCATTAATTTGGTGGCATTCAACAGAAAAAGGAGAAATGAAGCAGTACATATTGTCCCCCCCAAAAATCACACCTTAAACCAACCGGCCCTGGCCATTTCTTCCGCAAGTCCGTCCCATCCCCTTCTCCGGGCTTTACGGCCTGCCAATTCGGTAGCAAACCTACAAGAAGATCATATGGTCATCCCGACGAAATACAACGGGCCAAAAATCACCTTAGGCATTCTTCCAACCTCCATCGTCCACGGTCGTTATCCACAACAATACCGTTCCCATTAGCTTTACCCTTATCTGCACCCGCAACACCAGTCACAGCTCCGTCACGATCCTTGTGCACAGCAGAAGGTGTGTATGGTTCTCCAGGTAGCATACGCCTACTTAAAGCATACATCATACCCGCGATGAAAGCATCCGATGCACCCACTTCATCTACGATGGGGTTGGGCATCGGTGTAGAAGATGCATTAGATCGCGAGTTACTACTATTCAAACCAGTACTTCCATTCGATCCTCGCCCTGCCAGGCCGGCGATCTGCGTATCGTCTGAATCGGTAGAAGAATCACTTGCACCACGCTGATGTCGTCCTGACGGACGTCGCTTCTCCATTTGTCGTCGAGAAGGCATTGCAGGCGTGTACGACGAAGGTCCGGAACTAGAGGAGAGTTGACGCTGGATACCCGACGAGGCCGTCCAGTCACCTGAAGATTCTGTATAATGTCCTGCCCAGAATCCACTCCCACTACGAACACTGACCATCTCTTCTACTGGTTCAATGGGGTCGTCTTGGACTGACGTAGCGGACGATTGGGCTGTGGGCATCGGATGAATCTGCTCGGCCCAACCGGAACTTTGGAAGTATTCCTTTGTAGGTACTGAGAGGACTGCAGCTCCATCTGATCCCCAGTGAGCTACTAACAAAGCATGTGGAGGGGCTAAATGAGTGAGGGAAAGTAAAAATGCCCTTGGTGACTCTGCGTAGTCGCGGGAATGCGCCATGGCATATTGCTTATTGAGGAAGATCACATCCGCGTGAGGTATCAGCTATAAGAAAGCGGCATAGGCTTTAGTGAGGTCGAAGGGTTTGAAGGAAAGTAAAGATTCACACCGCCTCTACGCCTTGTCGTGTACGCTTTCCCACGTCGACGCTGAACACACAATGGCTCCGCCATTTCTTCTCTTTTGCGAGACCGTCCAAGCCAGAGATGTTGTTAAGTGTTGTCTTGACGGATCGACCTTCAAAATGGATCCATTCGAATGGTGCTGGACTGTTTGGGTTTGGATTGGAAGTCGAGGGACGAGGGTTGGTGGAGGATAACTGTTGAGTAGTCGAAGGAGGCGAGCCAGGGTTCGAGTTCGAGGGATTATTCAAATATGCGTAGTTCTCAGGTGCAAGGATGGGCCCAAGAAGGGAAACGAATTCTTCGTGAGTTATGTCCGGTAGCGGGTTGTTGTTGATCACAGTCTTAGAATCCGTATTATCTGCAGTGTAGAATTAAAGTCATCACAGGCGGCCCTTTACAATGCATTGTGCGAAAAGTGTGACAAATCTGCGCATCGGTGATCAAGGCACTTCGATATGACATACAAATCAACCAATGGATATAAACGCGCCATTACGATGTTGTTCTAATATCATAAACAATGCTTCGTGACACGGCCAACGATTCATCACGGAGTCTGTCTTAAACGTTGGACTCACCGGCATGAAGTACCCAGGCACTGGGGACACCAGTGTTCTCCCAAATTTTACAGAACCTAGTGCTGACGCGTTCAGACTCGAGATCTCGAATGATCATCTGTCCTTCTTCGTTTCCCCCAAGCGGCGCGACAAGCATGGCGTCGACATTGGGAAACTGTGCTAGGATAGAAAGACATGTGCTCGCAGAACCTCCTCTAGTGCGAAAGACCGAATGTGCGCGTGTAACAGATGATGGTTCCGGGTATGAAGGTAGAGTAAGGGTATGAGTTAGAAACAGAGTTCCAGATGCCACAACACGGAGTGGTCTCTGGAACGGAGGAGTGAGAGTTTCCTGGGTATCCCGTCTGAGGCGCGTCATTCGCGACATAAGACAATTAATATGCGGAGGGGTATGTTTCGGTCATGGATATCAAAGGACAAGGAGCACAACCAGCCATGCTCCTCGATGTTCAACTTATCTCCAGGCTTTCATTCTCTTCGGCTACGTCTCAATTCGTCCACCACGTGGTTATCTAATCACTTCCACGATCACTTTGCGACCTCAAGAGACTTACCCTTTCTTCACGTTCAGCTAATCCATTATAATCAAAGTTGACGGCTGTACACTTTCTTTCTGGCCGTTGGCGCGTGCTATTAGCGACCCAAATGTCGGGCTATTACCCTAACTCGCAGCAGTCCATGTTTCCTGCACGCCAGAGCAACCTGTCGTATATTCCGCACTACGGTTTTGTTGACACCAGTTCTCGCCAATCATCCAGCAGGGCGCGACAAAACATATATAGGGACCACGAACACTACTCTACCGACCAAGAAGTCCATTCGGAAGGTGACTACTGGCAGCGTCCACCACCACCACCTTCGCCTCCTCGGCGTGCTCCCAAGGAACCCAAGGCCTACCGAGAACATGACGATCGACCCGTGACACCACCTCCGTCCCAGAAACCTTCCAAAGAGTATCTTTCCATCGCCTCTCAACCCCCGAGTACATTCTCTGACTCTGATCCACTACCTCGAAAGCTACTCATCCTAGATCTGAATGGAACCCTGCTTCATCGATCCTCAGCTACGCCTCCGAATAGACATAAGCAAAGGACAACTCCATGGACGGATGATCGGCCGCGGGATTCGTCTGGACGCGTTCTACCTCGTCTTAGACCCGTGCATCCGAGACCTTATATGCCTTCTTTCCGAAACTACCTCTTCGCGCCTGAAACGAAGAAATGGCTTGATGCTATGATTTGGAGCTCTGCGCAGCCTCATAGTGTCAATGACATGGTTGACAAGACCTTCGGGGATACTAAGGATGAATTGCTGACAATATGGGCGAGGGACACCCTTGGATTATCTGATGAACATTATGGTTCGTGCTTAATTCTATTGACTCCCTTTCAACGCATCTGAAATTGTGCAGCTCGCAAGGTTCAGACTTTCAAAGACCTCACGAAGCCCTGGGCTGGACTACCCTCGTTACTAAGTCCATCTGAATTGAGACGGTCACCTTCACCTGCCTCCTCGATAGCCTCAACACAGCATGGTTCCCCTCCCCCGTCTTCCCCTCTCCGTTCTTCTTCTCCGTCTATAGAACTAGCAAGACAAGACCATTCCGCACTTACCACTCTTCTTCTGGACGACTCGCCCCGGAAAGCAGAACTACAGCCATACAATCATATTTGCATACCTGAATACGACGGTGCGCGACGAGCCAAAGATTTGCAGCTTCTTGAAGCACAACGGGAAATATCACGGGAACACGAAGAGGAAGCTGAAACACAACAAGACGTGGAGGAAGCGGCTGAGTCCGCATCTGCGCAGCTTGATGCTGTGGCATTAGAAGACACGACGGCGGGGGTTGAGGATGACACTCGTAAACGCAAACGCAAACATAAGAAGAAGAAACGACGTACAGCTTTTCTTGCGACAGGGAGGGATCCAGGAAGTCTGGAGAGCGGATACGACCCAACTCTATTGGCCGTCATCGGTGTGTTAGACGAGGTGAAGAGACAGGCGAACGTGGCTGCTTGGATACATTCGGGTGGCCTCTGGGGTCCTCCGGAGCTGAATTTACGGGAACAGGTGTATAGGCCAGCACAGACAGGAGAGGAGGTGGACACCAGTCTGGACAGCTTAGAATCCTCAAACAGTGAGGTGTCTTCTGGAAGTGATCTTTCTGTTAAAGAGGAGGGTCCGTATGAACGGAAGGAGAAGAAGCGGCAGAAGAAACGCTCTCCTTTCAGGCCTGCTCAAGCCGAAGGTGTCGACCATGAGGGCTCTAGTTCACCTTCAGCACCTCCTAAACACGTTGGAGAGGGTTCGGGTGCAAATCAAGAACCGACTGACGAGGCAACTGCTGCCGCTGGCTCGAGAAGCCCGCCTGCAATGTGGTTTGAACATATGCCGACGTTGTTGTACTGGGCTGCGCGAGGGAAGGAAGTATTGGAGAAGATGGGGATCCCTATTGAGCATGGGATTGAGAAGTGACACTGCGGTGTTTCCTTGCCCTGGTTACTTGCGCTGCTTATGTCGGATATTCCTGCTACGCTGATGCTAGCTACATTGACCCATGCCAGACACACATGACTCATGAACAAATTCTTCGTATGTGATTCCACGCTGTAGGGCATCTTATTTCTTATTTAGGTGAGTCTTCTGCTATAGTCAGTGTTGTCACCCGACCTTTCACTCATGCCTTGGTGGCGCAGAAGACTCATTGAGTTCCCACATGACACATTCCTTCCGTGCTAAGGGTTCTCTCCCTAATTCTATCCCGAACCTTCCAACTCAAGTTAGGCTATGATTTACGTGAACCTAATAGTGTCCTGTTGCTTTTCGCCATTGCCAAAGATACACCGGCTTCGGGAAATACTATATATGCTGTTATTCGGAGCGATAGGTGGGGCTACCATCACTCTTCTGTCTATAGAATCGGCTGGCGTTCGTAAACTTCTTTGCTCTGCCAAGTTTACTAAGATGATCAGCCATAATCAGCCCACCTCTTGACTACCCTCAACGATGGGCAATATTCGGTTCTGGCATGGCCTGCTGTTTGGCGATGTCGTTAAGGGCAAACCTAGCGTTTGGTGAAAATATCCTTCCGTCCACTGAGCATCCAGGTATTCAGATTATACCGAGCGGATAATTCATGTGGAGCGAACTGTGTCGCCGAAATTACATGACTAAGGTCTCATGAACAAGATCCTCCGTATTCCGCGGATATAAAAGTTGAGCCACTGGTGGAATGAAGAGCCATCGCAATCCGTCGACATTGCGAGCTCATCTTTCGAACATGCAGGTTCTGGTGTTTGCTTTCTTTACTTTATCTGCTGTTTTAGGTCTGGTCCAGGCTCAAACTGCTGGCACGACAACGACGACATGGGATTGGTGAGTCAAGTAATGGGTCTTGTATGTCATCGCTGTTCATACTGGAGATGAAGCTGTGAACCCGCCTGTGGCTATACTTCCAACCTCTCACCGGGTATGTATGCGGTATCACCTATCAGTGTTGTTCATGCTAATACTTTGCCAATTGAGGTGCTACTGGTCCCGTCAAGTCGTGCAACCAGAACAATGGGGCTGCATCGTCCGGAGCACAGAACGCTTGTTTTAGCTCAGGCGGAGATCTGGCCTTCTCGTGCTCAACTTACCAACCCATCATCGTAAATGGCACGCTTTCCTATGGCTTTGCTGGGCACGGAAATACCGCTACAGCTTCCTGTATATGCTGGTTTTCTTTACAGTGTGAATTCGCCATGTTGACATTGAGAGTTCAGGCTGTAAGTGCTACAAATTCACTTGGACTTCGGGGGCTGCGTCCGGAAAGTCTATGATCGTTCAGGCTATCAATGCGGGAGGCATCACCGACAATGATTTTGATATATATGTGAGTCATTCTCCCGTGTCTCTGTTAGATAGCTATTTCTAAAAGCCATGTTATAGACTCCTGGCGGAGGTGTCGGAGGTGAGATGTGCGAATCATACATGTTTAAAAACATAATCGTATGCGAATCCCTACAGATTATAATGCCTGCACGGCTCAGTATGGTGCTCCGTCCGGTGGATGGGGCCGTCAATATGGAGGTAATTAAGACGGTTTGCCGCAAGAATCGTCATTGACGGACATTTAAACTTTAGGCGTTTCATCCGATGCCGAGTGTTCACAGCTACCATCGAACCTTCAAGCAGGATGCCATTGGAGATGGCAATGGTAATTATTCTCGATAATAGTTTTCACATTTCATCGAACCCTCATAAATTTTTGTAGGGCTGGCGGTGATGTTAACACCTGGCAAATCACATATAACCAGGTAAACTGCCCATCGCAGTTGACGAGCATCTCAGGATGTACTCCAGCTGGTATCTGACCGCTTTCGTAATTGTATCCCAATGATAGCCAATTGGTAGCAATTTACATATCAGAATTTTGTCGAAAATTACAAGAGACCATCTGTATGTTGGTAGAAGCAGAAGCAGAATTGACACTGCGTACTGAAGTCCCACCTCAGGCGACAGTGCATCCTAAAATGGGACTTTTGATGGGGCGCTTGCCAAACAGACGTCAACACTTTATGTTCAATCCTTCTCAACGTCAGGGATCTTTTCAGTGATACGTTACGAAGGCTGCTTGCTATTGCTATGCGCATTATTAGAAGGGTATTTTAGGCATGATCGGCTTTCCCCAAATCGGCCTCTCGGCCGGGCTTTCAGTCTCTTTCTCCAGTCGCTTATTTGCACTGTAATATCGGCTAAGGTACTAATGCTTATAATGGTGCCATTCTGTATGTACGAAATAGCCCGCAAGTTTGTGTACAAATTGACTGCACTACACACCCAGGATTTGAGTAGGTTCCTCTGTCTCTACCTGCAATCAACACAAGTTAAGGCCGCCATTAATACACTAGTCTCTAACAGGACGTCCATAACGAACATCGTTGTCTTAAAACATGTCGATCAAGGCGGGCCGCCGACGAGAACGTTAAGATCAAGCTCGCCTTACTCTCCGGGTTTGTATACTGCGGTTGTGAATCAGCGCGTGGTGTTAGTTGTTATCTATCCTGTGTTGTCGGCCCTCACTTTCCAGCCCCCTTCCAAATTCGCGAAATAGGCACTGAAGGACTGTCGCCTCACCGTCATGCCTCCAATTCAGCGTTGTGCATGCGTTTTCATACACCACGATTTCTGTTTATTTGCAATTTTGCGTCAGTCCATCCGGAGATTCTGAATTGCGGGGTTGCCTTTCGCGGGGCTGCGCATCAGTCAAAAATTCCCCTCTCAGGTCCCTGAAAGACGCTAGCACTATCTCTGACTTGTAACTTATAACTCGTAAGCCATACATGCTAGTCATTTATCAACAGGCTTGGTGCAGGGAAAATTGAATCATAGTTGCTTTAAAGAGCTAGCCTCTAATGTGCTTGATTGCGCTGTTGTATTGGCTACTTATGTTTCCATTCCGTTGTTGAGATCCACAAGCAAGTGTAATGCAGCTTTACAAGTTTCTGATGAAATATTATCCGACCGTTATTCTCGGTAACAACCCGCTTGGCGCTCATCAAGAATGATTGCTTTGGTATGATACGCCAACGGTCTGCCGCCATAACTCCGTGACACGCTCCTTCACTTTGAATCTGTCTTCCACTTTGTATCGGCCTCTGGACACTCTCATTTACGCCGGCCTATTTCTTTAACACCAGTTTTACTGGGTGTATGGACGGTCACCACCATTCTCACTCCGGAGGCTCTAATTCATCTGCTATCGACCTGACGAGAACGCCTTCTGGAATTGCAAGCTCTGGTCCTTCCTCGCCATCTTTGAACGCTTCAGAGAGTAGGAGTAGCTTCGCGCGTAGGCGAACAAGTTGGGGGAAGGTGGATAGTGATAGTGTACAGGATCCATTGCGTTTCGATCTGGAGTCAACGGGTATTGTGGACCCACGAACAAGTACCCCACGTCAGGAACGCTCTGGCTGGACCTTGAGCGAGGATCCTTTTGCTTCGCCAGTTGACGATGACTTGCACTTTTCGTATCGCACGAATACACGCGCTGCATCGTATACTTCACAACCAGGGCCATCCTCTGCTTCACTCATTGGCTCCGCCTATGCTGGCGCCGACTCGGATTCTCAACGCGAAGACGACGAAGCGCACTTGACGAGCAATATGTCTCGTACGGGAAGCAGTGGTGTATGGGGGCAGAGAGATGAGATAGACCCCGAACGATCTGCCACGACTTCAAGAAGTGGGAAAATGACGGGACGGTATAGTACTTCACCGTCACCTCTGAAGAAGACAGGTACACGACTTATGGCTGTCTCTCGCTCTATTCGACGAGCGTCACTGCGTGTGGTCAACCTTGCTGGTGCTGGTCTAGAGGACCATGTGAGGCTGGATGACCAGGACGAACAAAAGTCGCCACAAGACGAAGACGAAGATACCAGGCCAGAGGAAACACTTCCTGATTTGGCATCAACCTTGCCTATACGTGGTCGTACCCTGGGCTTTCTTGGGCCGACGAGTAAAGTCCGGCTTGCAATGTATCGTTTGCTCGTATACCAGTCAGTATAACAGTTCTTCTCGAATCGGATCGAATACTGAGATACATGCTCATTAGCTGGACCGAGCCATGTATTTTGCTTTTGATTATTCTCAATGCTGTAATTTTAACCATTCAAGCCGCCTTTTCCCTTGCCCTCCCTGAGGATGGCTCTGGCAGTCCGCCTCAGATTACGGGCTATTTCCATAGTTGGGAGGATTATGCTTTGTTCACTCTTTTTATATTGTTCACGTAGGTTGACTGTTAAAGATCGGTTCACTACGTCTAGCTGATGAAAACCTAGCTTGGAAGCCTTCGCTCGAATAGCCGTGACAGGTTTTCTCTTGGATCCAGAAATTCCAGTCTCGTCTATCTTCACTTCTCTATTTTCTGAGCCGGAAGTCCCGATACCCGCATCCTCATCAGTAGACCCAAACGGGTCACTTGCTCGACATGGTTCCTTGACACGTTCTGCTTCTACTCGTGGATTGACTTTGAAGGGTCTGACGATACACGAACGCTTTCAACGGTTCCGGTACAACATCACGCGACCCTTCGCACTACGGCAAAATACTTCATCTATGCCTCCCCTTGAACACCCGTCTACGCCAGCCACCGGTAAGAGCACCAGGCGGCGTTCAGACACGGCACAATCCAGGACACCTATGATGGAAAAGATGGAACAGGCACATTCTCATGCACGGAATCCTTCACACCCTACATTCCTGAAGACGGCATTCAAAAGTGATAATGACGATGTATTGTCCCTGCCATTTCGCTTGAGCATTCAGCGTTCTCATATGGGCACGGAGCGCAATCTGCCATACTTGCGACAAAGCTGGAACAGAATAGATTTCATAGCCGTCTTGAGCTTCTGGGTAACATTCGCTTTGTCCATGGCTGGGGTCGAAAGAGGGAAATATCATATCGGTATCTTTCGCGCCTTGAGCGTCTTGCGTACTTCCCGACTCTTGGCTATCACTTCGGGTACCACGGTCAGTCGTTACTTCAGCTTGAAGCCTTCTTTACTTTTAATTTTCACTGAACTCGGTCCCGTCACAGACAATCATGCAATCTTTGAAGACTGCGAGACCGTTGTTGGCCAGTGTCGCGTACTTCGTGCTGTTCGCAATGATACTCTTCTCGTGAGTGATTTCCTGAACACAGGTTCTACCAAGTGCTGAAGTATTCCAAAGTATCATCGGGATACAATCTTTCAAAGGGTCATTCCGGCGGTCTTGTCATCTGCTACCTACATTGGGTGAAGATGAGATCCAATTGGAAGGTCAGGCTTGCGGCGCATATATAGACTCTGACACGTTCAACGTCACCGGATACGTCATGCGAGATGGTTCCAATGCATCGCCGAAGGGTTTTGTTTGCCCTCTGGGACAGATCTGTAGAGTATGTTTCTGGGATTTTTTTGCGTGATGTTATCCTAATGGGCTTGGTGTGAATAGGAAGATGATGAGAACCCAAATTCGGACCTCGAAAGCTTTGACACCATTTATTATGCGGCATTGCAGGTGTTCATCGCTTCATCTGCTAACGGGGTAAACTTTCTTCTTGCTTTCTGATGTGTTAGGGTGCTGAATCGCTCAATGCAATAGTGGACACCGGTGATGTACCAAATGATGGATTCTGAGTTTTATATCTCTGCGCTATTCTTCATCGTCTGCGTCGTCGTGCTGAACTTCTGGCTCATCAATCTCTTCGTCGCGGTCATTACGAACACGTTTTCCGCCATTCGTAAGGATACAAAGAAAAGTGCCTTCGGCGCTGCTCCGTGAGTACTTTTTCCCGCCAGGTCGCTGCGTATTGTTCAACCCATTTTTCAGATTGGCTCCATCCTTGGACGAGAACGATGAAGGCTGGGCAATCATTGATGGAAGGCGCGTCTCCAAAAGCAACAGGGTCAAAGAGATCTATGAGAATATTCGTTGGTGTTGGGTCGCTCTCGCTTTGGCATCTCTTGTCCTACAAGCCACCCGCACAGTCGATATTGGACCTATGCATCAGGAAATCATTGATAAAGGCGAACTTGTGCTAACGATTGTCTTCGACATCGAGATTTTCGTACGCGTCTTGGCTCATCTGCCGGATTGGCGCAGCTTCTTTTACTGGGGTCAGAACTGGCTGGACCTTGTTCTTGCTATCGGATCTACCGTTATTCAGATTCCGGTGATCCACAATTCTCCTGCTTACCCCTGGTTGACTATCTTTCAATTGACGCGGTTCTACCGAGTCATATTGGAGATTCCGAGGATGAAACCCCTTCTGGTGAGCATTGTTTTCCACTTTGTTTGAACAGCTCTCATGTCTCTTGTATAGCTTGCGGTCTTCGGCAACATGTATGGTCTAGCTAACATGTCTTTGTTCCTTATCTTGATCAACTTCCTCACTGCTCTGGTTGCTGTTCAACTTCTTCGAGGCGATGTTCCACGTGGAGAGTTCATCGACTGGGGAGATATCTTCAATGCCTTCCTTGCTATCTACCAAGTCTTCTCATCTGAGAATTGGACGGATGTTCTTTACGGCGCCGCAGAGCCTCAAGTTCCGCTGAGACAATCGGCTATCGTTGTATTGTTCATCTCTGGCTGGATGTTCTTCGCGAACTGTGAGTAGTACTGCCTGACCATTACCCCAGAGGCTAATTCATGATCTTTTGCGCAGTCATCGTGTTACAAATGTTCATTGCCGTCATTAATGAGAACTTCGACGTTGCGGAGGAATCGAAGCGCAGTCGTCAGGCCTCTCATTACTGGGCATCTCATCGACCGCAGAAAGCTCGAGCAGCATGGGTGCGACGATTGAATCCTTATCGATGGTTTCAAGCAAAACCCAAAGCGATCGCTGTTGAGCAGCTACCCTCAAATCTTGTGCTTCCAATGCAAAAGTCATTGATTCAGGACAGCTCGTTGCCACGCCGGGATCGTTCACGAGTGCGTATATACAAAGACGGTAGACGGTAGTGCAACGACTCCTGACTCAGAGTGTTTGCTTTGTTAGATATCTGGAAAGCCGGGGGGTGGTCGACATATTCCTAGCAAATCCCTGAACATGCTGCAGCAGTTGTTCACTGGTGAGAATGGTACTACGGATGTTCCTTTGGCGACGATCCGGACAAACCGACGGGATTCTGTTGTTCCACACGATGCCGTTGACGAGGAGACCGAGCGACATCTGTGAGTCATCTCATAGATTTTTTTTACAATGACTTCGCAATGACAATGTCTGTCATAGCGAAGTTCTGGCTGCATTGACCTCGGAGACAGCTGCGGTCGAAGATATGAACGACATCCTGAATGAACGTCGCGCTCAGAAAGCGGACTTCATACGCGAGCATCCGACTTACGATAAAACCTTTTGGATCTTTTCGCAGAAAAACCCATTACGACATCTTTGCCAGAAAATGGTGGCTCCAGCAAGCGGGGAAAGGATATTCGGCTCCCCTCCATCTCCAATCGCTCATCCGATCTTCCAGCTCATCCTCTTACTCACTGTCATCGGTGGTATCGTTGTCGAGAGCTTTGCCACTCCTTTGTACAGGCACAATTTCTATCTAGAGCACGGCCGTATTCGAGGTTCCTGGTTCGATATCGCTGAAGCATCTTTTGGACTGATGCTCCTTGTGGAGTTCATCATCAAGATTATTGCTGACGGCCTCTTCTTCACTCCCAATGCATACATTCGCAGTATCTGGAATATCCTTGATCTCTTCATCTTGGTCGGCATCCTCATCAATGTCACGACGGGTCTTGTCTTTGTTGGAGGTCTCAGTCGCTTGACTAGGTCCCTGAAGGCATTACGAGCTCTGCGGTTGATCACGCTCATTGAGAAGATGCGATCCACCTTCGAATCGCTTATCATATCTGGTGCTGCTCGAATACTGGACGCTGCGCTCCTCGCTATCTTGTACATGATTCCCTACGCCGTCTGGGGTCTCAACATCTTCGCTGGTCTCATGAATGAATGTAATGATTCGGACGTCGAGAATATTGCAGGATGCACAAACGAGTACACCAACACTGTCGTAGGCGATTCCTTCGGTTTCCTGGTACCGAGAGTGTGGGATAACCCCCAACCGTCGACAATTTTCTCATTTGATTCTTTCCGTTCATCCTTACTCATTCTCTTTGAGATTGTGTCACTGGAGGGATGGATCGATGTGATGGCTATCGCCGTCAGTATCACTGGGCAAGGTCAACAGCCACAGCAGAACGTCTCTCAGGCGAACGCAATATTCTTCGTGATCTACAACCTGTTGGGTGGTGTCGTTATCCTGACGCTTTTCATAAGGTTGGTAATGTGATGGATCTAGGATGGACTTGAAACTCACTTACTGCATATCTATAGTATCATCATTGGGAACTTCACTGCGAAAACTGGCAGCGCACTTTTGACTCAGCCACAGAGGGAATGGATCGATCTTCAGAAGTTGATAAAGCGACAGCGCCCTTCGAAGAGACCAAAGCGCAGGCCTACATGGCCTATTCGGGCATGGTGCTATGACCGCGCTTCCCATAAGCATGGTTGGTGGTATCGGACTATGACAGGGCTTTTCGTCATTCATGTGATCGCTCTGATGTAAGTTTTGACATGTGTGTCTAACATATACGTGCGCTCATGGTGATTTTGCAGGACACAGACATTCTCGGCGCAGCCTATATTTGACGAAGTTCGCAGTATGTTAACTTTATACCTCGAGATGCCGTTCAGCTCACGAAAAGACTACAGATGATTTCTTTATCCTTGTGACGGTGATATACCTACTTGATATCTTGGTGCGGTTCTATGGGCTGGGCTGGAGCAGCTACAGCGCAAATGGATGGAACATTTTTGACATCATCGTTGCTATGGGCAGTCTGATTACAACCCTGCTAGTCAGGACTGATGCTGGTGCCTTCGCTATTGAGCAACTCCAGAAGCTCTTCATCACGAGCATCGCATTCAAGTTGGTGCAAAGGACCAACAGCTTAAACAAGCTTTTCAAAACTGCCGTGTTAGTATCATCTTCCATTTAATCCCACAAGTTGTCGCTGAACAAAGGCATTCCAGGGCAAGCCTGCCTACCATTCTCAGTCTTCTCAGTCTTTGGGTTATTCTCTTCCTTTTCTTCGCCATTCTCTACCTGGAGGTTTTCAGCATGACTAAATGGAACACCGGAGAAAATCGACATCAAAATTATTCCACATTATCAAATGCCTTGATAATGCTAGCTTTCATGACTACTGGGTAAGCTTTGCTGCCCCTTGTATAGTGATTGCCTTCAAACCCGAGTCTACAGGGAAGGTTGGAATCAATATATGCATGACTAGTGAGTCTGAAATGTGCATGGTGATTGTCTTTGGCTAAGTCGTTTGTCAGTGCTATTGTGTATCCCAGGTGTACTAACTCCTTTGGCCTCCTCGCCGATTCGGACTGCGGTAGTGTTGGCTGGGCTTTCACCCTATTCATTGCATGGAACATTCTCAGCATGGTGAGTCAAGATGCGAATATATGAACTCACGCTTACATTATATACAGTATATCTTCGCAAATTTGTTCATTGGTCAGTAACACCTGTCTGTTGCTGATATCCGACTCACCTTGTTCAATAGGTGTGGTTGTTGAGAGTTTCTACTACGTCTTCCAAATGACTGGTGGCGCAAAGTCGATCACTCGTGAAGAGATCCGATCTTTCAAAAAGGTATGGGCCGAATTCGCAAATCCTAAAACGGGATACTTGGAACGCAGCAACTTTGTGCGATTCTTCGGCGTGAGTCTTACTGATGACCTGTACTCGTTCAATTCTGTAATATTCACACATGCACAGAGATTGACTGGGATTTTCGAAGTTCGGATATATCCTGCGGAGTTCAGCATCCCAAGACTCATTGCAAGGGCCAAGGTCGATCCTCAGAAAGAGGTCCCATGGCAATCTCGAGTTGTTGATGAATTCGACCTTGACATCCTCAACGCTGATCTCAACAACATAGATCGTGCGACTATCAAGAGGAGAAAGGAGCTATACAATAGACTATACCATGAAGCTCGAATCTCGCACGAGCCGGGCAAAGGGATATCATTCACTAACATGCTCCTCCTGCTTGCTCACCACAAGCTCATTGTGGATCGGGAGGCCCTCGTGTGAGTGAAATCAAGTCGTGCCCGCATCCTGCGAAACTAAACGCCGCTATAGGTTGAAAGATCTTGTCGTGAGAACAGAAACTATCAAACTAGTCACTGATTTGGTCGACTTCGATCGAGTCCAATCGTTGCTGCTCATGATATCTCATCGTCGCCGATATCTTGCTTTGAAGGAGGAGAGAAGAGTACAGAAAATGCTCCGACAAGGTGGGCTGAGGTGTTTTTCATCCCCACTGTTGCAGTGTCTAATGGTTATGACCAGACATTCCCGCCATCGTGGTGGATGATACACCGTCCACACCCCCTTCAATAACAACTCGAGACATCACCTCTCCCAGGCACGATATGGCGCTCGACGTGGATTCTCCATCACCTCGGTCTCGCCTGCACTCTCCAGAAGTATCTTTCACCTTAGATTCTCATGCTGGCTCCGGCCTGCATAGAAGTCGCAGACATAGTGATGTCAGCATGTTGTCCACTGACATCGGCTTCAAGTCTTCGTAAGTATTCTCCGGAGAGTCTATCAATGGAAACTAACTGGTGCCTTGCATAGATTTGACAGTTCCAGAGATTCACGGATAGAGGAGGATCCCGAAAATGTATTATCATCAATTCAAAACTCCATGTGGCGAGGTAAGTCTTTTGTTCTCTCAACACTCAGCTGGTTCTGAATGATTGTTGTAGATATGATGCTAGAGGCAGAAGAGGAAGAGAAGTAATGTAATGTAGTAGTACCACCACCACATTCGCTCATTCAGGGACTTCGTATCATAGAATTACTTACCGTGGGACTTTAGGCCGCTATATCGTAGCATAGACTTACATGCATCATTACATCTTTGCAATAGTACTGTAAAGTACCAATGTTCTCAACATAATAACTTATTCTGAGGACTAAAAGTGCAAAGTAGAAGTACGATTCATAGCAAGGTAAGAGGACATGGTGTAGACTGAAAAAAAAACCGAATTACAACGCTCTACCCCTGCCCCTCGTGGGTCGCCACACGTTCTTAGCAGGGACCTTCTGGAAGCCATCGTCCTCAGCGGGAGTTTCCTCCCTCGGAGCCGGCCTCGAAACAGGTGTTTCGGGGCGCGAAGGAACGTCTCCTCCGCCCTCTTTCCTGGCAGCCTCCCTCGCTCGCCATCCAGCACCAGCGGCAGCGGCAGGTCGGAACTTGGGTACGGGAGCAGGACTTTCGGACCTGGCAGGAGGCAGTACGGCAGCGGCACGAGTAGGCGTAGGAGGAGCGACGTCTCTTGCTGAAGGTCGCCTCCACACCTCTCCGTCGGTGGTTCGGCCAAAGCCATTGGCGCGAGGTTGAGTTTGCTGCAACTTCTCCTTCTCGCGTTCTGCAGCACGTGCCAAACGACGAGCCTCTGCTTCTTCTTCGCGTTGCTGCTGGAGACGAGCTTTCTCGAGAGCGGCTTGGCGTTCTTCCTCGCGCTGCTTTCGTAGGAGAGCAACTTTCTCTTCTTCCTCCCGTTTCTTTGCTTCTGCAGCCAAACGTACCTCCTCTTCCTCGTGCGCACGACGTTCCTCTTCTGCTCGGATTTCTAAAGAGGACAATTAGAGATCTGCATATGAAAAAAAAAAACACGAAACGCAGATGACCTACCCTCTTCGAGTCTCCTCTCCTCTTCTTCCTGCTCTCTTCGAACTCGTTCCTCTTCCTCGAGCCGTCGCCTCTCCTCTTCGCGCTCCTTCAGGATTGCCTTTCTCCTCTTGGTCTTCTCCTCCTCGATCTTCCTCTGGGCTGCCTCCTTCCTTTTCGCGAACTCTTCTGAGCGCTTGCTGATGAGGACTTCGCGGTGAGTGTAATAGAAGTCCAACATTCTTGAGAGACGCTTCTTCGTCTCCAAGTCCTGCTGATGAGACAACCGAGCAGATTCGATACGCGTTTTCTGAGCAGCTTCATGAGCGGTCTTGTCCTCTGCTTGCTGTTGCTCGTAGTCCTTGGCGAGAAGAGGTCGTTCCTCTTTGCGGTAGGCACGCTCGATATGGTCGATGCGCTTTGAAACAATACGCGTCTTCTCGGCGAGCTCCCGCTTCTCCTTCTCGAGTTGCTCAACTTGCAAGCGCATGATGTTGTCAGTGCTAAGGTTCTCCATCTCCTGCGCAGATGTTAGCCATATACTCAGTACACAAGGAACAACGTGACACTTACGGTGATATCAACCTTGAGACTACCCTTTTCCTTAAGACTTTGCGCAAGCTTGCGAGCCTCCTCAGTGCGGATCTTCTCGATCTCATTCTTGGCCCTCTCCACATCTCGCCGTCTGGCCTCTTCAGCCTGTCGGCGAGACGCTTCTTCTTTTTCACGACGATTGAACTCAGCGCGTCGGCTAGCCTCTTCCCTCTCTTTTCGAACGGAAAGCTCAGAGAGAAGCTCGCGACGACGAGCAACAATTGAACGACGAAGTTGCAATGCCTTACGTTCGGCTTTGGCAGCCTCGACAAGGGCGGCAAACCTCTCCTGTTGTTGCTCCTCAGTAAGCTGAGCCAGAGGGTATAACGTAACGATGGAATTGTGTAAGCAGGTGGCAAGGGCGCTGAGACGGGTACGGACAAGGTCCGATGTTGAAGGCTGGATGGCGCCGATATTAGCCATAGAGGATGAACTGGGGTCCTCAATAGCGGCGAAGGCATCATCGGCAAAGGTAATGTTGCCAGCGGCGTGGTTGACGCGGATGTGAAGCTCACGACGACGAGCGCAACCCATAATGTACGCCTCAACCTGTTCATCGCCGAAAGCATTGGAACCCTCGATGGCAGTGTCCTTCAAAGGAGCGACCAGCTCGAGAAGTTGAGCGATGTTGAGCGACGAGTATACTTGAGAAAGCTGGGAGAGTAGACGGGAGAGAAGAGCACGTTGGAGAAGAGGGAGGTATTGGGCATAGCTTGCGTCAGAGGCAAGAGTCGTAAAAATAGGTGCGATGGAGGAGCAGAGCGAAAGTGGATCAAATGTCACTTCCAGAGTGTTGTACAACTCCCGGATGGACTCCGGGCAAAGTTTGAGGACGTTGCGGGAAAGCTGAGAAATCGCACAGTCAGTGCCAAGAATGGGTTACAAATATCAATTGAACTCACCGCATCTTCGAGTAACGCCCTACGTGTGGGAGCCTTGGGGAGACCAAGGAGAACCGTTAGCCTAGAATTCTTAACCTTGCCATCCTCAGGATCCTGAGTCTGGGAACCAACAGGTACCGCCAGAGCGCTGACGAGGACTTGGCCTGCCAAACGACGCAGCTCCTCCTGGGACTTGCCGCCCATTGCGGTGATGACAGCATAGTAGCGTCCCCAGGCTGCAGCATGATACAGGGCGTTGCCACTCATGAGGAAAATCCTCGTAAGCTTTTCGTAGTAATTGGCCATCATAGCAGGTCGTGGGGCCTTCTTGGCCATCGTAAGCAGATTGTGTACATCTTCGACCGAACGGAAAGCTTCCTGCCAAAGCTCAAGTTCGACGGAAGTATTGAGCTGAGCAAAGCGAGTGTCGAGGTGGTGTTGAAGAGTCTCAGGGTCGCCGAGGTTGATGGAATGAGTCTGGTGGGCGTATTTCGCTACATTGGACAAGTGTAGACGAAGCGTCTCGCAGAGACGGCGGAATTCGACTTTGCGCTGGTGCTTCAGGCAGAACTTGAAAGCTTGCTGCGCAACTTGCTGGAGGCAGAGTTAGGTTAAAGGTCGAAATAGAGCTTAGAGAGACCGAACCTGATATATTGTCTCTAACCTCGCGTTATTCTTCAATGTCTCCAGAGCCGTGCGGTAGCTCTCCCACAGGAATTTGAGCCATGGCGTGACGAGGGCCCTGTCAGTCCTGTCCTTGGTTTGGTCACCACTGACCGCACCGAGGAGGATGCTTTCCGGTGTCTCGCTGGCTTCGAGATCATCGACGTCCAAAGCAATCGCCTTGTCCGCCTTCTCCTGCGCTTCCTGAACCTTTGCGTCCGCAAGTTGGATGAAACGGTTAATCACAGTCTCTATTGACTGGACGTTGGAATTCTGAGCGATATTCTTGTATTGCATCAGACCTTCCTTTGCAGTCCGTCCTTTACGCATCTCGACACAGAGCTCGATGAATCGGAGCATGATAGGCTCGAGCGACGCAAGCGGGGTCGAGCGGAACTTTTTTGACGAGAACATCTCGGTCAAAGACTGGAGAGCAGCGTGGGTCTGCCCGACGGAGACGAGGCCCTCTGCCTGCTTGAGGACGGTCTCCGGTTTTGAGAATGGAGCCATGATTGTTTCTACCGTAGCGAATTAGTCTCAAGACACATTCCTCGATGCTTTGAAAGACTCACTGTCAAAGATATGTTACGTTCTCCTTCCTCCTGGCGAAGGAATCTTGTAAGTGTCTTGTGGGTTGAGGGTAGAGACAAGAACACCTTCCGCGACGAGCAGCTCAGTGAGGATGAAAAAAAGTGCGGTGACGAAGGTACACACTGAATGATTAGGCTACCGAGAACTTCGATCTCCGACTTCGGCATCAGGTCTTCAGCCACAGTGCCCTCGCTATGTAGACTCACTCCCAACTTGTCATATTCAGTCTCCGTTTCAATATTATTACCATTTTGGAAAGAACGAGTGGCTGAAGTCCTGCAACCCCTTGCCCTCTATCCTTCAATATTCATTCCACCATGAATCCAGAAAGCTCATCTACACCCACTCAACGCCTTATTTCAAGGGCTACGCTGGTGTCTCAAGGTGCCGAAGCAGCAAGTCCGCTCGTGTATATGTCTCGGATACGCTAACACTGAGCAACTTTCGGCGTGTCCTTCTTCAGAAAGTATACAAGGGTGAACTTCATCCTCCTCCAATATACCCGGTTCCTTCAGGCAATAGAGACCATGACTCAGAGCCTGTCTTGATTAAATACCGCTTCCACAAGCAGTATCGACACCCAACGCTTGATGCCTCATTGACAAAGTCCAGGGTTGCTGGAGAAGCGCGTGCGATCGGGAGATGCTTGAGGTATGCATATCGAAGTTATGGGTTTGTGAACCAGCCGACATGATCTCAAAGGGCTGGTGTAAACGTACCTGGCATACGAATGGTCGATCTTCAAGAGGGCGTCCTCGCTATCGAATGGATAAACGGGAAGAGTGTTAGATTCTTGCTCGGTGGTGGTGCTGAGGGTGAGGAAGAAGTTGACGAAGTGCATGGTGATGTTGTTGAAAGCGAGGAAACCGATGAAGCGGAAGAGGATCCATTGAAGGGCTACAATATTACGCAAGGTGAGCTTGGACCCTACGCTGGACTATACTCCTAACTGAAGTGGCCTGTAGATGATATCATGCAGCTCATCGGTACTGAAATTGCCAAGATGCATGAAGCAGATATCATTCATGGAGACCTTACCACGTCGAATATGATGCTACGCCCTCCATCAGCTCCGGACAAATCCTCCGAGCTTGTACGATTCATGCCATCCATCCTTTGCCTTTGTCTTAAATAAGTCCATTTATTCTAGGTCCTTATCGATTTTGGCCTTGCATATACTTCGACCCTAGTAGAAGATAAAGCTGTAGACCTTTACGTGTTAGAACGTGCATTCGCTTCCACTCATCCTGCTTCCGAACCTCTCTTTGCGTCTGTGCTCAAGGCATATGAGAGGCAGGCAGGGAAAGACTGGAAAGCGATCAGTCGCAGGTTGGATGATGGTAAGTTGTTTCTGAGTTAGACCTCACGAAGAGAGCTGACACCGCCTCTAGTTCGTTTGCGCGGTCGTAAGCGTAGCATGGTCGGTTAGATGAGACTAGCTTTGGGTCCTTAAAAGAGCAAATGTACTAATATCATACACACCATTATTTCTTCCAAGCTCGACAAACAGATAAGATGTTGACGTTTGTGTATGCTCGCCAAATGCTGGATGCGCTTTTTGCAATGTCATGGAGAATACAGTAGCAGATGCACAGTCACAAGCCAACTGAAGTATGATCATCTTCGCTATTGAACCTCTATATTCCTCCCAGCGAAATCCTCCTTGAGTCGCTCCTCAACAATCTTATCCAACTCTTTTGCTTTGATGACCGCCACATCCACAACTCTCAGAATCTCATCAGGATCCAGCGGTACACCACCAGCTTTTTGAACGACGCAAAGTTCTCTTTGGGCATTAAGAGCGACAGATAGCAATCCTGCACTGAGACGTTGTTCCAGATGAGTAGGGTCAAGTACGGGTGGAGTTGATGTGTCTGGGAAGTATGCGAAGGTCAAGCAGAATGGCGTGTGGTGCATCGAAAGTGGGACTGGTGCGCGTTCTGATGGATGGTGCTAAAAAGGACAGATCGTTCAGAATTCATAGACTTTAAGCAAATAAACTAGACACTGACGATTGTGACTTCATCACCGACGACCTCAACCTCCGGTCTTCTGAAATGCTTGAAAGCAACGATTCCTGCAAGACATGCACAATCTAGTAAATTGCCTGCATCCGCCAAACAATGGATTGTTAGACGAAGATGCCAGACCTAAACAAAACGAAAGCTCTGTCAGTGTAACCATAAGGTCCAATATAGCAGAAACACGCACTCTCTGCCCCGCCTGGATACAAAGTGATTCCTTGTCTACCGCATCACTTCTTCGAATGACCTTGTCAAGCATACGCGTCATCGTGACTTCCTCATCCGAAGGACTTCACAAAGGTACTTTTCAGTAAGAAGTAAAGCATGGGCAACGCCTAACGACCTACCGACCTGGCTCATATTCCGTCGATGCCATAGGCGAGATTTCTGAGTGAATCGTGATGAGACCCTCTAGCGGACGTTCCGGCGGAGGCTTCACCATCTTCCCATCTACTTGTGCGATAACTCTGAGATACACAATTAGATGAATCTCATGAATACAAATGAGGTTACATACATACCTAGTCTTTCCAAGTGAGCATTCTACCCATCCTAGGTCCGGTCCAAATGTCAAGGTCGGCGTCCTCATTTCAAGTGCCTGTCGGCCATCCAGTCGTAGCGATTGCTTCAATGCATTGAACAGAAACTCTTTCTCCGGAATTGAAGGTGAAGGCGGACGAGGCATTGCCTTTTATCTACCGAACGAACTTCTGAGAGAAAACCTTTCGATGAAACTCGCACAAGTTTCTGTACAGTGTACTCAAGGATGACGCATATACGATGGTCGATGAATTGATGAAGTTCCTTGAATCTATAGTCGCACCGAAAGCATGCAAAAGTGTGAGAATCCCGGCAAGCGCCCGAGGCCTTAAGGTACTGAACGCCTTCGGATTCTCAGAAAGGAAGTTCCGCTTCTTAGCCTGACACCTGTATGTGATTCTAATGTTTATTCGAAACCTTAAGGGAGCTGTTGCAGTCGTCTGCTCCCTGTTTCTAGAATTAATTCTTTGTTGCTCTATTCTCTGAAGGTCGGGGCATGGACACCTGACTCGGACAGGAATACTTAGGCACTCTGAGGACCCTCTGACAGAACACTGTGGTCTCCGCTCACGTAGCTGTTTTATTAGGTATTTCTTCCCCTAGTCCTGACCCCTTTATATGCGGGGCGCTTCCACCTTCCTGCATAGCTCTTTCTGTCTCAGACGACCCATGCAGTGACCATGTTATTGTTGACATGCACGCCAGATCAATCAAGTGAACCTGCGATCTAACATAACCCCCAGGAATTCCCAATACTCACACTGCATGAAGGTTTCTTACTAAAAGGGGGCGCACCACCCAATACCTCAGCAGTTATCGAAACTGTTCAACCCTCGAACCCCCACTGCACTTATATCCGTCATAGTAGTCGCCATCTATGACCCCTCCTCCTATAAGCCGGCTTGCTTCAGATGCATTGAAGTTACACTCACATCCTGCTATAGGTCTCAGCCTTCCCAGAGCCCAGTGAAACCGTTGTTGCAGACGGTGTCCACAAAGCGAAGACCTGGGGACAACACTTGTATTCTCTTATTGCATGTGTAAGCTTCATTATGAAGGTGAGTGGATCCATGATGAATGTTGATGATTCCACTGTCGAACTCAATGCCAAGGGGATCACTATCATGCTGTCGGACCGAGGCCTTAGTACGGCGTTAGGGCGCACTAATATGTCTCGCACTTGAATTTGACTGCCGTAACCTGGTCAAGAAAAACTATTGCCTATATTCACCGCGCGTCTAGAAGTTCCCTCATTATGGACCGAACCTATCAGAGACGGCGCTCCAGGCTCGAAGGAATCAAAAAACGGATCTCATCTGATCTTGGCATGGTTTACTGCGCCTCGGTGTACTAGAACACACAGTATGGCTACCATCATTTCTCTTCACGACTCCTGTCTCCTATTCTCCTCATTCATTTGCTTTAAAATCGACTCTGAATAGGCCACCATTCCAATGACGGAGGTCACCCGAAACAGTATACCATATTGCTTCATGTCCGGCATTGCCAAGAACGACGCTTGCGAAGTTCCTCCGAGTCACTTTGATTGATCACGAGTCCTAGAATTCCCTTCCTCTTCGGTCGTCCTGTCATGAAGCAGCGCTGGAATCGAACTGCCTATAAGTCGGACGTTTCGTTTCTCACAGCCCTCTCTACATTTCCCCATCTTTCCCGCCCTAGCAAATTTATCGCTATTCTTCGAGCGGTAAAGGCGTCCAGACAGGTTTATTTGACATTTCTTAGAATCAACTTGGTCTAAGGTAGATTGTCCAAGATGATGTGGGATTTGAGCGGCGGGGCTGCGTATGCCCCAAATACAAATGGATATAATCAGGCACCTGTCTATTCTGGAGGATCATCGTAAGTGTGTTTCAAAATCAGTATGTATGAAAGTCTCGAAATTCACGATGGACGTAGGTTTCCCATGCCGTACGGACTTATAAATCTGGAAGCCCCAATTCGTGATGCTCACATTTCTGAATTTTAGTGAGCCAGCGCCGACACCGGTACCTTTCATGCCCATTGGTGCCCCAGGTACTCCACTAGGATCTCCGTAAGCTCTCCTCATGATTCGAATAACTTACCCATCCTTACGCGACACCTTACTACAGCATTTACTCACCGTAAGTGCACTTTGACAACTCACTCATTCCCAATATTTCATCATACCGCAACAGTGCCCCAGCTTGGGCTTACGCAAACCCACCCTTTTATGCCGAACGTTCAGCAGCTGCAGATTATGCAAAGCAGTACCAAAGTTCCCCTAACTCACATTCGCACCAGACATCGCATACGAGTCATAGGCACAGGCCACACTCTTCTAAATCACATAGTAAGTTTTCTACCATGATGCCCAAGCATAATTCATAGAGCTCACATTTGAATGTCCAGGACATAGACCTCCTTCGACTCCCGGGGAAGCATCACATCATCCTCATACGAGTCACGCTACCGGAGGTCACGCCGACAGTTATTTCCAGTATTCGAAGTGTACGGGCAGACGAAAGGCGCTTTGTGTATGTCGTTCTCGCATGGTGAATAATCCTCATACAGGTTCTGCATATTCATTCTGTGGACTTAGATCGGCATTAATTATCGCGGCCAGCCGTTTGAATTGTACGGCTGTGTGAACGACGCAAACAACGTTCGTCGTTTCCTCACCCGTACGTTTCGTATATGACGTCTTCTTTTATTGTCATTGCACTCGTTGACATCCAGTCCGCAGGATATTACCACTACAAAGACGAGGATATAGTACTGTTGACTGATGACTCCACCAATCCTAGAGCGCTCCCAACTAAAGCAAATATCATCGATGCTATGAAATGGCTTGTCTGTGACGCTCAGCCAAACGATTCTCTATTCTTTCACTGTAGGTCAACTTTTCACATAGAACGGTTTATGCAGGCCGATCGTCACTGACTTCTGCGCTCTGCAGACTCTGGTCATGGAGGTCAGGTTAAAGACATTGATGGTGATGAGGTAGACGGCTATGATGAAGGTACGCATCAGTGATTCGCTTAACCGATAGAGCTAATCCATCCATCCACAGTCATATTCCCGTTGGACTATAAGAATGCAGGTTACATTTTAGACGATGTGAGTTAGACAAATAGTCACTTGATGCCGGTAACTTGATCTGCTATGCCGTATAGCTCATGAATAGCACCATGGTATGCAACATGAACTTTCAAAATGTGAGTGAGATACTCATGATATCCAGGTATCACCTCTTCCTGCCGGATGTCGACTTACGGCATTATTCGATGTGAATACGATTTCCCTTCTCCACCAGGTTAATTGCTAATTTATTTCAGTCATGTCACTCAGGCTCGATGTTAGGTAAGTGTTTAATGAAGACCGTCATATACTCGACCTTGATTGACCCAAAAGTATGTCGGATCAGATCTTCCTTACCTAGTGCGTGACTTCATCTCATCTTATTATGTGCAAGTTTATATTGGGATCTAGTATCATACCGATGGACGTGTAAAGGGCGGTCAAGTCAGCCCCAGTCATGTGAAACGAAAAGGATCTCATGCCGACGTGGTCAGTCTTAGGGCTTTACATCTCATTTACTTCATCTCACAGACGACAGATTTCTTGGGGTGGATGTATGGACTCCCAAACCAGCGCCGATACATTCGAATCTGGTGCTGCGGCAGGGGCGATGAGTTATGTATGTTGTTTATCTTGCAGACACTGTGTTATTATCCTGACAGAAGTTTATGCAGGCGTTTATGACTGTACTGAGTATGTGTCCATGGTGACATTCATCTATAGCTTTCTAACTCGGCCACTTTGTTTCAGAACATAATCCGAATCAATCATATCAAGAATTCCTGAGATCCCTTCGGTATGCAGCTTGATTACAGCCCGACTTTTCAAACTAAGACTTTCTGAAGTGCTATCCTCAAGAAGAAGTATAGCCAAAAGCCACAGCTATCCAGCTCCCACCGCATCGTGAGTGTTTTCTTTAATATACTCAACATCCGTTAATGTTTCGACAGGACTCGAACCTGCAATTCATCATGTAAACTGAACCAACTATTCTATACCATGTCCTATTTTATTGTGCCTGCATTGATGTCGTGGCCAAGCGGCGGCTTTCAGATCATGTATATATATATATCCACTAGTTTCTTATAATTAACATCAGCATGTGATGGATCGATCCAGCGAGTTCAGTCCCTGACGCTACGCTTGTGACACTCCAGGATGCAACTTGAAATATGGTATATTAGTCAAAGTCCTAAGATTGGTTATCCTCATTTCTACGCAACCTTTTATTAAAATTGAAACTCACGTATGACTGTGACAGGCCATCTCCACGACCATTTCATGATGTTCCAGTGGTCGCAAACTGTAGTGAATTCCCGATACCTTGAGATCGCAATGTGCACTCGCTCTCTCCTGGGCCGCTTTGGATGAGACCGAGTTTCAGAAGTCGGTATACGCGGCATGCCATGGCATTTGTCAAGGCAAGGTTGGACATGGATGACATTGCACGCCAGTATTTGTCCACACCCGGATCGACGATGACCATTAGAACAAAGAGGTTGGACCCAACGGTGACCCTGAAGGGTGAAAATCCAAAGGGTCAACTGAGGTCTGTAGAGGATTCAAAGATTGCTCACAAATAGTACAGTTGGACAGTTCGCAACAGCGATCTCGACACATGGCCTACTCCTTTTCCAGAAATGAAGGAGCTTAACCTTTCTTTCCAAGTCTCGGCCAAACCAAAGGACACAGTTCGGAAAGATATAGCAATGAACACTAAGGTATCATAGAATACCATATAGAACCATCCAGTCGAACTGTATGATCTCACTTCCACAACGGAGCACCAAGATCTTCCTGGCTGAAGGTTCATTGCTTGAACGCCAAACGGGACGGTAAGGGCAGCACCAACGGTAGTCAGCCACAGAATACCGAATCCTGCAGTAACCAACGGCGACATGAGGAAGACCGCCCTAATGCGTATAAAGAACAGCATGCTGTTGCATGGCAGCGCGAGGACTAAGAACCAGGAAGATATCGTGGAGAGTGTGTGACAATCCTCCACTTTCGCAGCTAGAATTGATCAGATGGAAGCCAAATATCGACGATACAGTTGGAGCGTACTAGTGAAAACCAGCGATAAAATGATGAAACCACCAGTTGTGATGCTATGCGCCAAGATCTTTACATAAGGGTAGACCTTTTGCAATATACGACGGGACCTACCGAGAGAGAATATATACAAAGTCTGGAAGTGCGACAGACTTCTTTGTGTACATGCGCACCTCATCTGGTATCGCACTCCAATTTTCGCACAGCTATGCCTATTCAAATGTATTCAGCTCTAGCAACGGGCGAGGAGCATAAGAACAAACCGTTACCACTACAAACACGAAGTAATGTGATGCCTCGGGCTGGAATTCTTTGGGAGACCGAAGGATAGTGGAGAGATGGGGCAGTTCTGCCATTGAAGATAAGGGCCCAATAAAGACCGGAAGGGCTTTATATATGACTAAGTCTGACCTTGGCGGGTAAGGCAGTTGTCTCTTTTGGGCATTTGTATGATGACAGAAGACTATAGTGGAGAGCCCAGTGCAATGTTATCATTCAATCTGTCAAGAATATTGCTGAAGGGATCTGGGAAGCGACTTGAGATGCTCTGTATCATTGGAAGCTATCAGATATACCGCAAGCCTCTACACGTCATGCTTCGTCGGGCAGAAGCTGCAGCATAATATCGTCGCCTCCAGGTTAAGATGTCTGAAAACTATTGGCTAGGGTACTTTGATAACATTCGTCAATGCGAATGATAGAGTTGACATCGCGCGTTAGAGTCTCTTGACCATGATTACTATCACAACGATGCTGGCCCCAACAGCAGCCCTATAGCCTGGTAGCGAAACGAGGGAACGGTTAGCAGATATCTATGGCAGTCCAATAGATTGTTCACAAACGGGAAATTTGGCTAGCTCGCAGGGTTTGATATACGACCGACACTTTTTCTGGAAATGAAGGAGCTAAACCTCTCTTTCCCGTCTCACCTAGACCAAGGACACGGCTTGCAGGGATATGGCGATGCTGATGTGAGCCACTGCCGTACGATGCCTTCAGTCATCTATCACGTCAAACGTCATCCGTGCGGGGTTTCGAGATCTGTTGAACAAGTTGTATCAGGTCGATGCCCTGCCGTTCCTCGGGACGATGGATATCAAAGCAAAGGATCTAACAATAAACAACTGCAACAAACTTTAGAGAGAGAAAACAAATGCCGCCTGATACGTATAGTTGTCCTGACATCGTCCTGGTATATAGTATACTTATTGGCGTGGATGGTCCGCTTCGTTCAAAGTTCTTCAAAGGCGCTTGAGTCCATTTCTGGAAATCATCCTCACCACCGATCACTAGTGACGGTCTCTAGATCGGGAACCTTAATTAGTACTCCTTCAAAAACGCATCCACTATGGTCCGGCTAATAACACACAACATTCTCGCATGCCACGCAAAGGGATGCACACAGAACAATTTCCCCTTACAATTCAAAGATGCATCGATTGAGTTGAAGGAGCAAGAGTTTAACCCTGACTTTCTCAGAAATTTCTTGTCGAGATTGGAGTGGAAGGCCTTGGTTGATACAGCAAGAGAGGTAAGTATTTCTGGTGAAAACTGTTTAAGCTGCCCTTGAATGATATCGTCAAGTAGCTAGGTGACACTTCGCTTCCGTTGGAGATGCCCGAGATGATCGACGATGAGTTCTTGAAGAACTTACATCATGTACTCCTGGAGGTGCGTTCTTTACCGTTAGACTTTTACGAAAGGTGTTAATATGAGTATATCTCTAGATTCATGTTGAAGAGGGTGCTATGATCTGCCCAAATTGCGGACATTCATATCCTATTTCGAATGGCATCCCCAACATGGTGCGTTACGGCGGGTTGCATTTCTTTGCCGATCATTCTGATGATGTTCGCGAACAGCTTCTTGCTGAACATGAAATCGGCTAAGTACAACCAACCCATTCCATGTTCAAACGCGAGAAGACGTTGAGTAAAGATCACTGGCCATCAAGTTTTACTTAGAGCCACTATGGACGCAACGTTCACAATTAATACTTATGATGGTCGGAAGAGTCAACTCGATAGCACAATGATTTTGAGTAGGGGTTCCAAAAAGTATACGAACGTATGGCAATATACGTGAACGTTGTATGTACAATCTACTCTGCAAAAGAGATGTAACAAGGTTACCTCTAAAGCAAAGGACCTAAGTATACCGATTCTGTCAGTATCAATATCTGTCTAAGTCTCTACGTCTAAGTTCTACATATGAAGCGCGAGTGGATGGTTGAATTTCGAAAACAGAAACCAAGAAATGAAGAAAAACACAATCATCAACATGAAATGAACACAACCACGGCCAACAACAACATCAAGCAAACGCAATGCGAAAGTTATTCGTACTCGGCGGCTTCATAGACACTTAGGCGGTCACTGTAGAGACAGACAGAGTCACAAGGGCGAGACACCGACAGAGGGGGAGAAGATCAGCCAGGTGAATCAGTCGACGCGAGCGCGCTTCCTCGCACCGTCCATGCCATGACCATTGGTCTTGCTATTTGGGTTGGCAGACGAGAAGTACTCGAGCGATGCCTTGGGATCAGCCTTGATGGTCTTGCCGCCCTCCTTCCAGTTGGCAGGGCAAACTTCACCATACTTCTCCTATTTCACAAAACGTCAATGTCGATTTGAATGACGCGATAAAGAACTATCGGGCATTACGTACAGTGAACTGGAACGCTTTGATAAGACGAATGGTCTCGTCAACGGAACGACCAACAGGGAGATCGTTGACGGTGATTTGACGGAGGGTACCCTTCGGGTCGATGATGAAGAGACCACGTAGAGCAACACCCTCCTCCTCGATGAGGACACCGTAGTCGCGAGAGATGCTCATGCTCCTGTCGGCAATGAGAGGCAGCTTGAGGTCAGGGCCGAGACCACCCTGGTTACGGGGCTGTGAGGCCCAGGCGAAGTGAGAGTACTGGGAATCAGTGGAAACGCCTAGAATGATTGTGTGTTATCAACGGTTGACTAACACATGGCACGATAAACGTACCCAGGACGACAGTGTCGAGCTCCTTGAACTGGGGAAGTGCGTCGTTGAAGGCAAGGATCTCAGTGGGACAAACGAAAGTGAAGTCCCTGTGACGCGTCAATGTCAGAGGGGTGCTTAGAATGACAGATGTAGGCGAACTCACATCGGGTAAAAGAAGAGGACGACCCTATGACACGTACATTCAGGACCTCCTAAGCTTCATACATCTCATACAAAATACTCCTCTCACCATTTTCCAAGGTAATCAGACAGAGAGACCTCTTTGAAGAGACCCTCTTCAACGGCCTGAGCCTTAAAAGCAGGAGCGGGTTTCTGAACTTGAGCAACCATAGTTAAGATGTGAGAGTTGGGCGAGATTAGATGGAGAAATGAAAGAGAGAGAGAAGAGGCAGATATCGGGTGAGGAACAAGTCAGGTCATTTAGGCGCAGCTTTATCGGAAATTCTCGCGTTCTTTGGCCTTATTTGGCTCCCTGCCTGGGATGTCGGCATGCTCGACTGACTACGACTGACAAGGTCGCTCCTCGCTGCGCCTGACGGTGACAACGACTTACTAAACGTCTTCAAGCGACGAACGTGACCGTACGTGACCTGCTTGCAAAGCGGGGAAGCTCATACATGGGCCTATGACGGAATATCAGTACTCTCGTCGGCCGACTTGTTTTATTCACGCGGGTCCAAGCCGATCATCGTCACGCTGAGAAAAATCGAAATCTTGACTGGAACCTGACGGAAGGAATTAGAAACCCAAGCATATGCATTCGTCATAGGGATAAGTGAAGGGCGAGCATCGGATGGAGGAAGTGTAAGACACTGTAAGTAGGAAAAAAGGATGTAGATAGAGCGTATGGAAATCCGTGAAGAAGGAAAGCAAAGCGATAGCACCTATGTACGGTCCCGGATAAGAAGTATAAACAACGTACTAAAATGATACTATAGACAATTATGCCACAAGGCGAAATAAATACTTTCTACACACCACATATGTACCACAGATACCCCACTTCACTCTCTAACGGTTCTAAGGTGGGTAAACAGTGTCGCCCCCACGGTGTCCCCTATACCCAGACCGATCTTCCATTCCGCGCAAGAGAGGAAAACAACCACTTTTAGCGAAGGGCATTGTTTCGCCCATGCTGCCAGATGTGTCCTTTCGTGGGCTCGCGAGAGCGGTACATCCAACGAAACTCGCTTTGTAGTACTGGCTCTGCTTCGAGTGGACAGCGGCGGAGCAGGTGGTGAGTAAGACGACTGCGTGAAGACAGTGAGGAATTGTGCCGTTGGCGATGATGGGGGACTGGGACTAGGAATGGGGAAGGGAGGAGGTGGAGTTCGCGGAGGTGGGGGAGGGGAATGACGATGTAGCCGCAGCGTGTGTAAAACCTTAAAGCGTGGAAGTACGGACAATATAAGCTTGTACAACACCTTGAAAAAAGAATCAGTTGTCGTCACTATGTCTCAGGGTGACTCTCACGCTTACTTCGTCTTCCAAAACCCATTCAATCTCGAGAATCTCAAGGTAAGAACCTAACTCCGCGCCTGCGGACATGAGCACGCGCTCCAATGTGCGCGAGTCCACCTTGAGGTTTACGTTCGTTCCTATGGTCAAACGTTTTATAGGCCCACTTGAAGTGGCCAGGGATTGCATCAATGCAGACGGCCTCAAACCATCGTATAGGGTGGTGTGAACGTTCAAAAAGAGTGTTCGTACAGGCCGGCCTGGTACGAGAGCTGAAGCTAGTGATGTGGGAGCTTGGAGATACGACAAATTGGGAAGAAGTCGTCTACTGATAGCAGTGGTATCATCTGAATTGTGGGGTATCGATGTTCCATTAAGGATACATGCTTGCGTGAGATTGAGATTATTGAAATTCTGCAGTACGAGATTGGGCAAGGATAAGGAAATGAGTGTGGGCTGGCTGGCTAGCCATGAAACCAGCTGTTGAACTTCGTCCTCCTGCATTGACTCGCTAAGCAAGGTGAGAGTTTTGAGTCGGAAAGTCGAGTGGTGGAGCATATGCGCGGAGAAGTGCGGGAGTGTGAGAGTATGGAGTTGATGCATGAATGTAAACGCAATAGCAAATGTAACGGTCATGAATGATGAAGAACCGCCCGACGGTGTGGAGAATTCCCGACAAGCGAATGTCCGGACAAGCGATGCCATATCTCGATTTGCAGCCAATAGCGAGACACACTTCTCGACTTGCGAAGGTGCCTTGACATGACGCATATCAAGGTTGCTATACAACGCGGTCCTAGCGGGTTGTAGGAAGAGGGAACAGACACGTGCGAGGGAAGGCAAATCTCTTCGATTCATGTATGAGAACATGAACTGAAGAAGGGCGAGGGGAATGCGAGAGAAGTCAAAGGGGAGGGGAGGCAGGGCTATTTCCGACTCGGCATCGGATTGCGATATTACTTCCCAGCGTAACAGCTCGAAATCGAGAGGTGGCAAAGTAAGGTCTGGGGCACTAATACTCACTCTGCGATCACCATTCACTGATGGACGACTGCGAGGGAATACATGAGTAGATTGTTCATCCACATCCGAAACGCTCTCCCGACGACCCAAACCGCTCGGACGGCGAATTGTCAACGACAGCGAGGGTGAAGGAGACCGGCTTCGAGTGTAAACGCCAGAATGCATCGCAGTGAAACCGATAGCCCCCGATGTTTCTCTCGACTCCCCTCCATGGGCAGTTCGCGGACGCCTGCCACCTGTGAGGGAAGCCAAACTGGACAAACGACGTCTTAAATTTGCCGTGGTGCTCAAGTTCGATTTGTCTGTCGAAGATACAGCCCGCCAGGTACTGGAGTGTTTAAGTTTAACGCTCTTCATACTCGAATTCGAGCTGTCCACTGGCCGAACTGCAAGATTAACTTCATCATACCGTTTTTGCGACTTGGGGCGACCGAGGAAAGACATTGTGGGATGAAAAGGAGACTAGAAAGCAGCCAGGGTAAAGAAAAGACCGGTGAGAGCTGGACAGGGATTCAAATCATGAGCGGGGAAATAGGTAAAGGTGGTCGCCTTTTGACGGATAATGGCTGCACTCGGATATGCAGTCTGGGCGCTCCAAGGAAGCACTAGGTTACCTCTTTAGCCGATCGTGTTTTGAAACCCGCGGGAAATGTCTGCCTCCATCCTCGTACCGGGCTTGTCGCCCATTGCAGTCTCACTTAAATTCATTTCTCGCAGAGAAGCGGTACAGAAGCCTTGCTGAGTTGCTGGAGTACGTCGAGATCAGGCACACTGGTAGAAACTTTTCTTTCCTTTCGTAAACCATATTAAAAGCACCGATGTGTTGCTAGCAACGCACGCTTGAGTCTGCTCAACTTCACACAACCATCAATGTTTCAATGCTAGTAACTCTCATTGATGGACGCCACGAAGACCACGGTAGCGTACCTCATTGGTTGGTTCTTAAGTTTAATGAACTTAATTATGGCTATGAGCGAACAAATAATTTATTGACCAAGCTAAATACACCCTTTACAAGAAAGCTACACCTACAATTACAGCCACATTCAGAACGATAGGCCCCAGCAAAAAAATCAGGCTCAGGATCGGCTAACGCAACGGTGATGATGAGGGCTAGCGAACCTATGCCGGGGGAGGAATGCAGTGCTGGTCAGTCATGCCGCCCTCTTCCGCCTCTGGGCTCTTCATTAGCGAGACAACACCGACGGTACCGACCCTTACCGACCCGAATGTAATTTCTGAGGAGGGGCCTATCGTTTTGAATGTGGCTGTAATCCATCAGACAAACATTCAACCCGCTGGCTGACCCCTCGTCAACTGCAAAGCAGCACGAACGCGAAGAAAACCAAACGTCCTCGAGACCCAGAGCCAAAAGCTACAGGTCATGTTCTCGGTATGACGGGTGAATGCGATTATCATCGGCTGGATTTGAAAGGTGTGGCATGTGTAAACATGCGAGACTCGAGTTAGAAACTATAAAATAGATCCTAGCTGAGTATGTTCTAAGGAAACAAGAACGTCGGGAGGCGCCCTATATACTGAGGATGTTTAGGGCCGGTAATAGGTCTAGGGCAAGCAGCCGTTCGGCATCATGCCAACCTTCCACACTACAAGTCACTACGCAGGTGAATTGTACACACCATAAGGTACAAGTATTCCTAGGGCTTTGTCTAGACCTCAGACTGTAGTATAGATTGGTAAGTGGAAGTCAATACGGAACATCAGGAAACGCAGCTTTGTCCACCTCATAACTAAGCAGGACTCTTCCTTCCGCCAGGAGGCTCTCACCGTCGGTGACTTATCTTCCGTCTTTCGGACTCATAAGTAAGCATGCTCATCAGAACAAGTACTTAGTATATAGTCCACTATGTATGTGCTGCTTCTTCATTCCCTTCCCATCATTCTCTGAAGACCTCCAGACTTAGTATCTGTGGAACGGAAATGCGCCCTGAAGCTTATAAGGATACGACCACTGGCCGTGGCCTGAAATACCATTACTACGCCGTCCCTGCTAAGGAACCGAAGCCCACAATCATCTTCTGTCATGGATTCCCATCTACGTCTCAAGACTGGCGACTTATCGTCCCTCACTTCGAGCAACAAGGATACGGCATCATCGTTCCTGACATGTTAGGCTTTGGTGGAACAGATAAACCCACCGATCCGTCCTTCTACAGGGCAACACTGATAGCCAAGGATATTGTTGATATACTCAATGCAGAAAAAATCGACAAAGTCATAGGCGTTGGTCATGATTGGTTAGTGTTTGGGGTCCTAAGATATGATTATGACACTGAGGGACATAAATATTAGGGGTGCTTTCATCCTTGCACGTTTGGCCAACGTTGCGCCAGAACGTTTCTACGCTTACGCATTCTTTGCTGTGTCCTACACCCTTCCCGATCCCAACTTCAACATTCAGGATGCCTTAAAGTTCACAAAGCAACATTTTGGTTATGAGCTCTTTGGGTACTGGATGGCCCTCTCCGAAGAGGGTTCTGAAAAACTTTTAGAACAGCATGTACGTGTTTTTTTTCTATTCGACAGCCTATAGCGGCTTACCTCACAGGATGGACTGTAGTGGGATACATGCTTTGGCCTGATCTGGCCGCATGATCCTGAATTGTGGAAAACCCATATGGCACCTCTGGGTGTCTTGAAATCGACTCTTCTCTCAGACCAGAGGTTCCCTCTTCCTTCCTATCTCACCGAAGATGATAAGAAGACCATGTCAGATGTGTTGCTCAAAGGTGGCATGGCTGGTCCTGTCTGCTACTACAAAGTGCGCGTGAATGGCCAGAGCTCTTATGACGACAGCAGTATGTTCATTTCACAGCATATGAAAACATCGTTACTCACGACTTTCGTGAAGCCATTCCCAAAGATAGGTGCATTCCACCCGCCTCTAGCCCCATTTTCTTCGGTGCCGCTTTGAAGGATTATGTATGCATTGCCGAAGCGGGCAAACAAACGTTAACCAGTCCGGCCTTCAAAGATCATAAAGTCACGATTCGAGACTTCGACGCAGATCACTGGCTCATTTTGTCTGTTCCCGACGAGATCAATCGGGAGCTCGGGGCTTGGATTGAGAGTGTATCTGCTACGATCCCGAATGCTCACTTATAGGCAGATGATGTGATCGACACAGTACCCATGAAAGAACAACTGAATTGTATAGTATGCATGGCTCCGAAAATTTTATTCTGGGATCCATTCGTTGTCGGTGCCTCGTCCTAGCCCTGTCGTCGAGCTTTGTTGCTGTACCACAGCTTCAATGAAGGTCTTTCGCACCTCAAGGAATAACCCATGCAACGGCCTGTTATCAAGTAACCGCACGCCATATGTAAGCCTCATCGCAATACTTCCGATGGTAACCTTCCAGCTATAGGATCGGCCATACCCACGTTATTGACTTTCGGGACATGCAAATGACCATTCAGTTTTCGAGACGCCCACTATAGATCGGCTCAGCCCATCTTTCCATCTGTAAGCTGTCATTCATTCTGATTCGCATAGCATAGATGATATCTAACATGTTTCCACCTTGTGTGTTGCGGTCAACTTTAGAAGTGTCCTTTCTGCAAGGGGTTGAACTCCGACTTGAGGAAACACCCTCAATTAAATTACAGCGAGTAGAAAAAATATAAGGATGTTTGTATGCGACCTTGAACTGCGGGCTCATCATTGGTTGCGTCGCCACCTTGACCATTAGGGGATCCAATACGTCGCACGCTGTCTTGTCAGCGTCCCAATGGACATCTTGGAACGAAGCCACACGAAGCGAGGTTCGTCATCAACCAATGACGGTCAGGACGGAGAACAGTTACAGAAACTGCGTGATCGCCACCGCCATGCCTGATCCAGATACTCCTCGATGTCCTTCAATCTCTTTGACTTGCCTGGATACCAACCTTCCCCAACCCCCATTGCGAGCTTTATCCTTCGAGCCATTGCCTCGTAGGCACACTGCACATCAAACAAAGAGTCCACGCTGCATCATATTGGCGTCAACAGACTGGTCTAGGCAGCATGTTGTGGAATGTGACCGTAAGCCATCTCAGCCCGATGTTAACCTATCAGCCGAGAGCGGAATGGTGGGAGGATACCGTGCAGCATGATCAATTCCTGGTACGTCTTCCGTTGAAATAAAATCCCTCATGTGCTTATAGACGCACACGCATCGTCTTGTTTGTAGGAAGGGTATTCGACTAAGACGTGTCATTCGACTAGTTCGAGCCACCACGGTTCGGCAAGCATCACTTTGCAGTGGTTCGGAGAAGGAAGTACGTGCACGATTTCCTCTTTGGAACTTCACACCTAGAATGCTTATGTATTTCATCCACAGGTGTATGGTGAGCTTTGCATTGTGTAGAGAATTCGTCTGGTGATTCCAACATGTCGTTCCCAGGGTGTATGGCGGATACAGACAACGGCTTGGAGAATACCAGGTGGTCCTGGATACCGCGATTTACACCCAACAGGGTTACCACGATGGTGATCAAGAGCAACCGCAGTTCCTCTTATTCAATCGAAGCGATCTTCCGTCTGGTCATCACCAACTGCAACTGGTCAACACGAGTCAGGATCCTAATCATCCTGTATTAGATCTTGATTATGTATGTATTCAATTTCAGCCAGATGCTGAAGGTATTGACTTGCTTTTTTCGTTGCAGATTGTTTTTCAGACCCCGGCAGAAGACTCAACAGTGGTTGACGACGCTTCGCATAGTATATCGTGGCGTCCAGATCCGTCAAACAGCCAGGAGCCAGTGTGGCAACAGGACTCGTCATCACAGTATGTGTCACTACGACCAAAACTTTATTTATGCTTATGACGTGTGAGAGAAGTTTTACTGAAGATGTCTCTGGTTGGATGGAGCTGAATTTCACTGTACGTCTCTCCAAGTTTACTGACACCAAACACAGCCAACTGACTATTGGATATTCTTAGGGTAATGATCAATCTTATCGCTATGCTTCTGGAATGTGATTTATCTCCTTTTTCTTAGGTACCGGCGTAGAGGTTTGGGGACCGGTCAGCTCATCGGATGCACCCTTCAGTGTTTCTCTGGATGGTTGGAAGACAGTGACGTTGACGCCAAACACTCTAGCACCATTCGATATCACCGAATCACAGCTGCTCTATTTCAAGTACGACCTGACCTACGAGACGCATACGCTAAGTATCGCCAACAACCCATCGTCAACCATGGACGAGAAGATGAGATTGAGTATCGACAAAGTGATGGTGTACCAGTCGACCACCAATGCTCACGGGTACGAGTGGTTATATTTCATATATACTGCCAGCTTATTGTGAATAGGAACGTAAATCCCGATTCTACTTCACACCATAGCTCCTCAAAGTCGAAGTGAGTGATTCGTCCTTGTTTGCTCGTGCATCATGCTTATCCCCTTGTTTTTATTCAGAGTCGCCATTGCAGTCGGCGTATCAGTCGGTGCACTCGTGCTCAGCATCACCGTATTTGTTCTGTGGCGGTGTTGGCGAAGTCAACGCAAACACTACTTGGAGAAATTCGAGCTCTTCCGAATAAAACCATATCGTCGTGCGCCGCAACATTCTCGAGGACCTTCACAAGAAATGTCCACCGTAGACTTCGCTTCTGTCCATTCCCAAACAGATAGTCGCCGACTGCTTCCATCGTCGAAGCGAATATCCAGGGCCGAAGCGTCCTCGGAGGAACTGCTGGTTCACGGCCTAAATCAAAGTTCAACCGATAACACAATATATGACTCTATAATGGCAGAGCCACCTGATTCACCGACACCAGCCACGATCGTCGCAGACGATTTCGATATGCCTCCAACCCCAATGACACCGTACGGGGACCCACGTTCGACGCGTTCATCCACGGTTCTCCCGCGTTCATCCAGTCGTCTGTCACGATGGTCATTCACGCCAGGTTCGTCGACGAAGTCTACTGGTGACACTGGGCGGAACAGACAAGCATCGGCTTCATCTACTAGGAGACCATCCATTCCTAGAATACCTTCGACAATACCGAGGATACCTCCACCTCTCCGATTGAGCTTGAAGCCTAGCGGACCGAGGGAAGTGTCACCGAAACCCCCACATCCGCGAAGAACGGAAACTGAGGACGAGAGTCAGAGCATCGATCCAGATGCATCATTTTTGAGGATGTCGTATTCCACTGGCAACTCGTCGAGTACAGGCCGCACTGGTACCAAGATTGCTTCGTAGTGCATGCGCAGGTCGCAGTGAGGAGTTTGTTGTCACTGTCACGCCATTAGACATTCAGAGTCAGGAATGAAGCGTTCTCCCCTGATTTGGCTGTTTTGCATTCTTGGATCATTTCATAATATAACGTATCGTGTTGATAGACGTAGAAATATAAAAGACTATATGTATATCGATATCATGGAGTGCAAATATCTTTCATACAAGTTTGTTGATGTTGACTCGGGGGAGAACACCTGCTAAAATGAACAAGCTACATACAACCACGAACCAAGGACGAATCTTAAGCACATCTACAACATAATCGGTATACGTCACCGCGATAGCTGTTGCGATGATGAAGAGGAAAACAGCGTATCCGGACATACGGTGGTACTTATACTGGGAGATATGTGAGTTGCGACCGTTCGACTCAGTCATTGATAAATCTTACAATTGTTTTTGCTTTAACTTCACCTCCAATGAGACTAGGGAAGTAGAACTGGACCATACCAACCGTAGCCTGGATGAGAATCAGAATGTAGGTGATGAGTCCCAAGATGGCATGGGCAGAATCGAAATGTTTGCCTAAGATGCACAGTCAGGAATACCAAAATACATTCTGAACCTGGAAACTGACCACCATGATGCAACTTGTTCACAACCATAACGACAAATGCGGAGTACATCAGAACGAATGCCGTACTATTCAAGATTGAGTGCATGATGGCACCCTTGCGTTTCTGCTTCGGGGTCTGTGTGGGCTGGAGTAACAAGGTTGATTCCAGAAGAAGAGCAACTCCTAGAGAGTTCAGGAGCTATACTCAAGGTAAGATCTCACTCAGTTGGTACAAACCAGTTGTTAACGTACCGGATGAGCAGTGAAGAGCATGTAGGGCTGGGAGAGGTTGCTTGCCCATACAGCGACTACAAAGACCACTCCCCCTATTTGTGCAAGAAACGCAGAACCTGTAATCAGGTTCATGGCGAGGCTCCAGCCCACCGCCTCGTTGTCATGAATAGGCGGCGGCGGGCGTTGCCCCAATAACGGCTCCTGTTCGCTACCTCCATTGATCTGCGTGTGTGGAGGGGGAAGGGGATCAGATATTGCAGACATATTGAGGATGAAAGCTAGAGACAAGGTTAGGCAGTGGGAACGATCATGGCACACCCTTATATGTGGTCGGAAACGCTAACAGGGAGCTACTATTCACTTACATGGCGATCGGGCGGCGGAATGACGTGAGCGGAGGCATCTTGTATCGCGCCCGGCCGGAGACGTTTCCTCTTCCGCGATGGCTCCGACCGAGACTCCAGAAGGAGTAATACACAGGGAGCAAATCAAATGCGTTGTATTATACATGGCGAAGTAAACCTAGCAATGGTCTCAACAAGTCTGCCCAGGCAAGTATAAGCTCTACTTACCTTTCTACTTTTGGTTCCTATGCCCAGCTCGAGCGACCTCTCGCACCATAACCTCCAAACCCGCTCGCAAATGCATCAGTGAATGCCAGAAGATTGTCCGCAATGGATGCGCATTCTGGGGTGGCAGCTCTTATTGCATACGCCTCAGGCAGCATCTCCTCGAGCAACTAACGCGAGACGATATCTCATGAGAAAATAAATAACAACATCAAAGTCATCGTTACTCACTCTGACACGTTGTTCCGACGAGGGATGGGTATACAAGAAGCTAACACCCATTCTTCCCTGAGATTTCTCGAGTTCGCCGAGCCGAGTAAACATACTGGTTAGACAGCGGTAAGAAACATGCATGGATAGAAGGACAAATAAAGCAACTCACGCTGGTGCAGCCCCCGGGTCGAAACAGGCCCTGCTCGAAAGCTTCAACCCGATTCTATCCGCTGGTTACAAACATTCAATCACTTATTCGCAGTTCAGGCGACAACGGCATACCTTCGAGCTCCTGTGTACGGGAGTTAGGCAGTTCTAGGAGTAGAGTCGAAATGAGCCGGGCAAAGCCAAAGTCAAGCCCCAATAATGACAACAGTGAGGCAACTGCGATCAGGATCTTGGCGGAAGAATATCGCTCGGAGTTATGCCGTGCGACTGAGCAGTCAGAATAAGTTCATGAACAGCAGGGAGGACGGGGTACATCATACCTACATGACCAATCTCTGCAGGAATCACGTCAGTCAGACGCAACATGAAAAATAGGCACATCTGGGGCGTACCATGCCCAAGAATCGCTGCCAGTCCTTGTTCGTCTTTGGCTATGGGCAGGATTCCAGTGAATACCACGACGTTGCCTTCAAGCAAACGAGATTAAGCTTCATTGTCGACGGCAGAAGGACTGGATATGACGAACCATAGCTTGCAGCAGCATTTACAATTTTATCATCGTTAACAACCATTAACTCCCATTCTCGTCCTCCAGCCCCTGGAGCAACAGCCTCTGTTCTACCTATTTCGATATCCGCGCCCCATACTTCCCCTGGTATCTCTATGACATGAGATCGAGGCGATGACGACTTCAGTGTACCTAGGTTGTTTGCCTCGAGAATGCGCGTAACAACACGCCGAACGTGTCGTGTGATTGGGTGGTCTGCTGGTAGGATTTTTCCCTGGAACTCTTCTACCAGCAAATCGCGTGCAACACCCGCTAACTAATGAGAAAAATCAAGTGTTGGAGGACACCTAGGGAAGACAATGAAAATGAAGATGTGCATACCTGCGTTTCATATTGAGGGTTCACATCCATAAAACGCCATCTTCCGGTCTCAGGCACTTGCTCCAAGCTATAAGGGAGTAATGGTATCCATTAGACACTGAAATAAAACACAAAGCAAAGGAAGTCAACAAGATGCGACTGAGACGTACTGTACGACATAGTACACACCACCACCCAACGTCATCCCTACAAGAATTTTCGTACCCATGTCCCATTCTCGCACATCCAGCGGCCTCTCCCGATTGAAACGAAGGTATCGTGCATAGCGACGAGTAGAAGAAGAGAACAGACGTGATGTAGATGCAAATTGTGATGGTCGGCTTCGAACAGGGACTTTAGGAATTGCTCTTAAAGGGAGAATTGGTCTGATGCCAGACGCTGTCCAGCGAAGGCCCGAGCTGAGCGAGCTGAGACTCCGAAAAGACATGTCGCACGGCGAGAGGAGAGATTAGAAAGGAGATAACTGAGTACTGTTGAGACTCGTTTAAAGGGAGCCCATGCCCCATGGTTCGGCCTGGTTCGGCTGCTTTCGCGTACGACTGTGTGATCGAGATTGCGTTGATCGCGTGGTCTTTTCTGGGAAGTGTAGTATTCGACAAGATAAAACATTGCATAACCATAAAACGACACAAATCATACGTATGATACATCATAGCTTGAAAGAAGAGTACATGTATGCCGCATACAATAAAGAAAGAAACTGAGACATAAAGCCGATCCCCTGCCAAGGTAACGATACAGGACTCAACTTGAGCCAACTTGTACTTAAATACTTCAAGGTTTACATGCGCTTCAGTCAGAAGCCTCGTCATGCATTCCCGCTACCAAATTACGTAGTCAGCCTGTGAGTATGGCCGCTACGTAAGAAGACATTGCTGCCTACCCAATTTGAACTTGCAGTAGCCTTTCTTCTTGAAGTGACAATTCGGACCTCGCGGGCACCTATGGCTATAAATGCATTGCTCGCCCATGGAACATTCCTTAGCTGCAGCCATAGGGTGAGAGTCATATACAAGTAAAGTGAGGGTTAATATGTCACACACTGGAAATTAATGTATGGCACGGTGCGTTCTTCGCCAACTTGCTAAGTGTTGCAAGCAGCTGAGGTGAGAGGACCCAACTGTGACTATACGAGCAGGCCGTATTCTCGCAGTTTTTCAAAAGATAGAACGAATTGCACGGCGCAGGCCGAACTGTGATAAATCACGTTGGACGGCGCAGGAAGGCATGAGTATGCAAGGTACTCACGTTTATTTAAAGGCTACAGAGTCGAGGCATATCATATCAGAGATCTGGGAAAAAAGAGTAGCCTCGTGAAAGACGCACCACGTTGACGGGTGGACTCCTCCCCTGACTAACATCGGTGTCGGACGTTATAGACGCAGTTCGTTGAGACGGGCTGGACTCAGGCGAGACAGAACTATCGCTAACCTCCGAGAGGGATGTCGACGAGCGGCGTACAGAAGCTGCTCGGGAACGCGACCGAGTAGCTGGCGTGAAGTATCCTGCATCCGAGCCTCGTCGTGTAGCAGCACGAGAAGGAGCTGGTAGAGGGCTGGATTGCACACTGGTAGTGCCTGCACGAGAAGGGGTAGCGCGAGGCGAGGCCCAAAGATTGATCTTCTGGTCTAGGAATAGGCCAGGAATTAGAAGGGAAGGCAACCCCAATTGTTTGATCCCGAATGCAATCTCAGAGTAGCCAGGTAAGAGCACTAATTTCTCGCTCTGACCGTGAGCAATTAAGGAGCGTAATTCAGGGACATAGCCATTGTCATGCGATGCTGAACCAGAAGTTCAATCGGCGTGCAATTCAAGAAGTAGACGAGGAACTCACCACCAAGGAAAATCTTCCAGGTAGAGGGTGACCGAACGTGATCCGCTAAGAACGCTAAATGAAATGGTCTTTAGTCAAGGTCGTGCTTTGAACCAGGAAACATGAATCATTTCGTACCCCTTAACTTTGAATCAGCGTTCTCTTTTCCAGCACCAACATCGACCATGAGAAACCTGTGACCGGCCTGATTGAACCCGGCTATAAACTCGTCGAAAAGCGCACTTGCTTCCCCATATCCAGCCTTCCCCAGTGTTTCTGCGAGTCCTTTCTTATGCAGGAAGCAATATATGGTGAGCTCGTAAGAGGAAGAGGAAACCGACTCTGCTTGTAACAGATAGTCACGGATATGCTCGACCAAGGCCTGAGCAGCATTGTGTCCGCCAATCTGACCTTGGGCTAGATATGACGGCGAAAAGATTGTTCCGTCACCGTCAATTAAGCAGACCACACGTCGATCTGAATCCTTCAGGACGTCTCAGTGTGATCTTATTGTTAAGAAGTCGGCTTGAAAGGTACCTTTAAAGCGGATATATGCCCCTCATACACCTTTTTCTCTATCTTCCAATTGTCCCTCTCTTGCACAAAATCTTCTTTAAGAGCACGAAACCCTCTTCGCTCAATTTCAAGCTGCTCTCTCAGTTCTGTTGCCTCGGCTTCAGCCTGCTGTTGCCTGGCTCGGAGAGCGGATAATCCGGCTACCAGATAACTCGGACGTTACATGAGGAACAGCATCACATTCTGCATTGAACTCACAAAGCAGTTCTTTGATATGATAGTCACTAAGATATCAATGAGAGATGTGAAATCAGCTTCGGGAGTCTGCTTTTGTAGCGATGAAGCTGACACTTACATCTCCAACTCAGTCCCATCGTGGGACCCGGAATCTGAAGCCATATGTAGAGACGGGAAGAAAGTTGATTAAGTTGAATACTGGCCGTGGAGTATTTCTACCGTCGGTTCATGTGGATGCGTGAGGTTCAAGGGCTCGTACACACGAGGTGAGCGTACAACGCTGATGTCGCGTGGATATGGCTTCGGACCTCAACGTGTCGCTGATTGGGGTAGCAGCATGGGATTGGGGCTTTGTCCAGCCCTATCAAGAATATCAGGCTGATTCGAAGCGAGGGATTGGTATCTCGCTGCAGTACCGACGACCTCCGAGTCCCTGGTCCCAAGGCTCTAAGATCTAAGTGAACGTTCAACTTGGACGTTCTTGCGAGACTCCCTCTTTAGGAAGATATGAAACTTCACCGGAGTTGATCCGAATCACTGTATCAATTGACGTCTTTGGTCAGTGTACTTTTCTCAGCTCAGTTTCCTTCACTTCCTGTTTGAAGCCTGGCCATGAAAGCGGGTAGAGATAAGACCAAACAAAGCAAAGCAAGAACGCATAGCAGTTACAACATCTGAGGAAACTAAGATACTCTTCAACAGCAGCAAACACAACCGGATCCCAACGGCTTATCTGCCGAACTCTCGCAGTGGAAACTATGTAGTCGACTTGTTACTATGAACCTCATCGTTCGTGACACTCACTTCCATCGCGAACGCCTACATCTTGTGCATGCCAGCTGTAACAAAGTCAATACTTGGCAACCTGGAAACACAGACTCTAAGATACTTGCCAGCGATGAATTTACATTTTCCCTTCTTCTTCAGGAAACAACGTGCCCCATAAGGACAGATGTGTCCCCATATACATTGATTGCCCTTCAAGCAGGGTTTATCTATACCATTGTCATCATCATGATAACTAACTCGGAGATCGCAGTTGGACATACTTTCATTCAGGAACTTGCACGGTAATCCTTTAGCCAACTTGGCAACTTCGTCGAGATGCTGAGGTGTCAGTATCCAATGATGTGCAAACGTACAATTACGATGGTGACAGCTACGCGAGAGATAGTGCGCGTGACAGGGAGGAGGGATCACTAGATGTTATGATCAGCAAGGAAGCCCCTCCTCATCGTCGTACTGGAGCACGTACATGATTTCAAAGGCTATGCACAAGGAATGTGTCTCAGTATATTGAAAGCATAGTGCTGAAGGATACAAATGCCCACAATATTTGGAGGAGGTTCTCGAGGCTGTCTCGATACACCTGGAAGAGCCACTTGCGTAGAGATACTGATTGCGCCACTAGAAGAAGCACCTGCGTGTGATGGTGTTCCGCTCGGTGTGATAGAGGCAAAGTTGTTGAATGCGAAAGGCGGACTCAAAGGTGAAAGTCCTTGAGAAGGTAGAGCGGGGCTGCCGGGGACTGATACAGTCGGTAAACTCCTGGGGCTTGGGTCCAAAGCCTTTGAGTTTGTGAGTCGAGGAGAAGTTGGAGGGAGCTTCTCCAAAATGAACAGACCCGGTACAACCAAGGTAGGCAATTGCAACTTGCGAATATCTGCTGCGATTTCAGAATAACCCGGAAGAAGAACAAGCTTGTCCTTCTGTCCACCCGTTATCACATCCTTCAAAATGGGAACATAACCGTTGTCGTGCGACACTGTCAGATTAATTTAGCCAACGACAGATCTCGGGATGTACAGCGAGGCGACACGAACCTCCGATGAAAATCTTTCGTGTATATGGTGATCTCGCATGATCGGTAAGGAAGGCTAAAGAGGTGATCAGTGAGTTTCTGAGAATACTACGTGAATTGAATGTATCATTACCTCGTAACTTTGCATCGGCATTCTCCTTCCCCGCGCCAACATCAACCATCAAAAACCTTTCGCCTGCTTGGTTGAATCCAGCAAGGAACTCATCGAACCGTGACTTCTCCGTATGATACCCGGCTCTACCCAGGGTTTCTGTTAAACCTCTCTTGTGCAGGAAGCAGATGATCGAAAGCTCGAAGTTGGAAAACGAAACTGCGTCTTCGTCACGCAAATACACTCGAATATTTTGGGCTAGTGTCTGGGCGGCATCTTGCCCTCCCTCATGCCCTTTGCTTAGATATTCGCGAGAAAACAATGTACCATCACCATCAATGAGACAAACAACACGACGCTCAGAATCCTACATCAGGATGTGTTCAGTGAAGGAGAACTCAAAAGACCGCCGGAGTAGCCTGAGAACTGGCATCGGCACTTACTTTCAGGGTTGCAACTTGACCTTCAAGCTCCCGCTTCTCTTTCTCCCATTGAATAGAATGTTGGTCAAACTCCTCCTTTCGAGACTTAGATCCTCTCCGTTCGACATCAAGTCGATCTTCCAAGTCGCCTATACGCTCTTTAGCTTGTGCTAATTCCAAACGAAGTTCCCGAACACCGGCTTTCACATTCGTTAATATTCAAGTGAACGGATTAACTGAATAATTCTATATGATACTCACTAGAAAGTTCTTTCAGATAGAAAGTACTGTGGATGTTGGTTAGAACGTTGGTTAGAACGCAGCACCAAGTATAAGCATAAGTATAGCAAACGTACAGATTATCACCATGGTCTGCACCATTTGACCCGGAGTCGGGCTTGGAGCTCATACTGTTATGGCACTCCAAGAGGTCCAATATTGACCAACAACAACACTCGGCTCTACAACGTGGAATCTGAAGGAAGGCTGCAGAGGTCCAGCATAAGGACAGAAGGCAAGTTGATACTGGACGACATATCAAGTTGCGCGTTCAAAGTTCCTGCCAGCAGCCAAGGCGCGGCACAGCCCTGAATGTAAAGAATCTCCATTTACGGCGGTTTCCTAGGAACCCGACTTCCAAACAAAGATTCTTCAACGGGCCAGACTTCAATGATAAGTGAAAACTTGTTCTGTACGCATGGTAAACATAGACCGGTACGACTCAATGTATGTAGTCAGAGGGGAGTTGTTTGGTATGAGCAAGTTTGTAGAATATGTGAGGGGTATGTCATAGAATTAGATACAAATGTAGTGTAAGAAAGCTATTTATGCAGTGTATAAGCTGTACTCTGTCGAAAGGCCGCCAAAATCTTCTCGACAAAGTTAGGGGTAACCAATGCCAGGAATATTACACAACCACAAGGCATTGATTTGCTTCGGTGACAGTGTAACATGCCTGACCGTAAAGGGCCTGAACAAGACTCACACATGTCTATCCACCTCTCGCCATCCGCTCCACAGCACCCATCCCGATACAGCATAGGTCCTGGAAGACAAGCAATGCCGCCAAACCCATCTATTGCCTCTGTAACCTTAGCTTGAACCTGTCCGGTGGTTTCTCATCGACTTACCTCCTAGTAGTGGAACCAGTAGGTAATCGGCGCCTTGGGGAGCCACGGTACAACCTAGATATTATAATGGTGGAGTCAACTACACGAGGGTCGATAGCTCATGTACAAAAGCGAATCACTGGATAACGCTGTAGAAGAAGGCATTGCAGCAGCAGGGAATGGTAAATGGAACCAATGGTGATTGCCGCCACTATACAAATATCCTCTCAAAGTAACGTGTTTTATGAATTATAGTGGTCTCCCGAGTGCATTCGAGGAGTATGGGGGGCATGAGCTCCTGCACGGGAAACATCTTGCGAGCGAGAAGTGACAGCGCCAGAAGGGTAATCAAGGGGCGAAGTCGGCCTTGAAACTAGTACAGTCATTGTCCGAGGTGTCTTCGGCATCTTCAGAAGGGTTCGGAGCCTACATGTTGAGGAATGTGTGATATTTCGCCCCAGTATCGGGATCAGGGATTCTATGGTGAAGGTGTAAAGCAAAGCGCCTTCCCAATTGGGTGAACATCATGGGCCGAGCCTGCAGCAACACGTTTCGGTCGCTGGACATCAACGCATATCACGACGGACCGTTAACGGTTTGCATTCATATACAAAGCGCGATGTAAAATGTGAATCTGAAGTATGCTTCAGGTATGTTTGGGAAATGTGATAAGTAGCCGGCCGAAGCTTCACAGATGCTAATACTACTATTGATCAATGCATCCAGGTACTAGTCTACTTACTCCAGGCCAACTAATAACTCGAGAACGCATAAATTCCATCCGTCTCTGAAAGCTCGTCGTATTCCGTCCCGTTTCTTCTGCATCGCTGCGAACACCCTATCTGAGCAGTGGTGCTCGTTTTCCGCTCGAAACAAACATAGAAGCAAATGTTTCCTCGCACGCTCTTCCAATGCTTCCGAGGATCAACACATGATACGTAAATGTTGTGCCCCGTTCTCCTTAAAGCCTGTATATCTCTCATGCTAGATTTCGCATGACGTGCTGCAGATTCTCCGCGTTCACACAGGTCGAGCGTAGGTAGCCAGGGCTGACCTTGACCTGCATCTGCCTGCGCCCTCGATTATTCTGAGACAGATGGCGTGCCAATGTGACCAGATAAAATTTAGACTATGTGATCGGCGAAGGCAGAACGCTTTACTGCCTCGAAACAACCCGAAGTTCTTCGCTGAGAGCAAAACTCCAGGCGAAGTATTTGCCTCCATAATATTGACCGGAGGTCTGTGTTTCAGATTGAACATGTTAGACCTTCAGGACGTGAATGCCCGAGTCGTGGTTCCCTATATAGTAGACATGTAACATTCTCAGCAATGCAACATATCATATTGCTTTAAACTATCTAGACGCTCACCGGTGGTAGAAAGTAACAAAGAACAACCTCCGAGCTCCAACTTGGCTCCAACCTGGACCAAGAGATGGTTTCGACAAACTTTCTGTGATCTAGCCCTTATGTACCTTTGTACCCTTTGCGCTTGTCGAACTGCGTATGATTGGTCGCATATATCAACACGTGCGGATCTAGTATCACTATCGCCTTCAGGGCCCATGTCCTCGCACATTCCAAAATTCAGATCACAGTGGTCCAGAACGCGGGGGCATTCCCTCCATGTTCTTCGCCACATCCGAAGTCACCCTGATTCGCGTTCGGAACGGGGGAATTACCAGCAAGCGGCTCGAGATCCGGGCATTTGGCAACGTAGCTCCATTCTGGTGGCACTGAGAGTCTACGTTTTGAGTATAAGATGAAGATCATGTAGAGGGTGTGCAGGAACAACTCTTCAGAAGGTCTTCTTACAATTGAGTCGTAATAGTAGTACAATCCTCTTCCCCTCCCGGCCAACTTTCGTGCTAGCGCTCGTGAGTGATCGAAACCTAGTGCCAACGCGTCCACGCCCGACTTGCTCATTTCGTTCTTCATTTTCTTCCATCTCTTCTCTTGTCTGATTTCTCTACCATGTCTGCTTTCCTACGTCGTTTCGCTACTTCGGCCGTGTTGGCAAATGCTAAGCCAATGTAAGCAGGCTAGCAATTGAGAAACGACTTTACTCATTTTTGTTCAGGCCGAAGTTATCAAAAGGGCCCAATGTCTTCGTATGTCTTTGTTCTACCGGTGTACTAGAAGGCTTCTGAACTTCAGACAGTTTGACATTACCATGGACTCAAAACCCGCTGGTCGGATAACCTTCAAGCTCTTTGACGAGATTGTCCCCAAGACAGCAAAGAATTTCCGCGAGCTGGCAACTGGCCAGCACGGGTTTGGATTTGCGGGAAGCAGCTTCCACAGGATCATTCCAGGGGTTCGTCATCGAATCATATAAGTCCCGTTTAAAATATCTGACCTGTCTTACCAACTCGGATAGTTCATGCTCCAGGGTGGTGACTTCACCCGTCACAATGGTGTGTTTTTGCCTTAACGTGGCTTCAAGACTATTCCTTGACATTCTTGTAGGCACCGGCGGAAGGTCGATTTACGGCGAGAAGTTTGAAGGTACGTTTCAAGCGTGGTCGTCTGCCATATCATTACTCAAGTGACATCCATAGACGAAAACTTCAAGCTTCGCCACGACAAGCCGGGCCTTCTGTCCATGGCGAATGCCGGATCCAATACCAATGGTTCTCAGGTATGTCCCAGCCACCATTGCATGGTGGTAGTGCGTATCTAGTTATTGACTGATATTGTTCTTGTAGTTCTTCATCACCACTGTTGTGACATCGTGGCTGGATGGCAGGCATGTCGTTTTCGGTGAAGTTGTTGACGGTATGGATCTTGTAAAAACGATCGAGGGTGTCGGCAGCCCATCAGGCCGCCCTTCCTCCAAGGTCACAATCGCTGCGTCTGGTGTCACTGAGGAATCGAAGGAAGCTCAATAGATTTTCAGCCAGATCCTGACTCACTATGCATTATACTCAGCTAATAGAGACTATTTCCACCCCACTCCCCTCATTCGCATGGATTCCGAAGTATGTGCACCAAAAACCAGAAGGGGTTGGACCAACATAATTATTGCGGAACAACATGTGTGAACGCAGCATGGGTTACAATGCAGAAAGGAAATGGACAAGTGAACGAGTAAGTTATCCGGTTCACGGCCGGTACCGTTGGTATACGGGAATCAGGCAACAGAAATAAAACAAACAGAACACGTATGATTAACAGGGAGCGACGGAAGAATGAAAACACAATCAAAAGTCCCAGGACTGAACTGAACCATAGTACCTACCGAATGATCAGCAGGAGAAGATGTGGGTTTGATGGAGAGTATATCACTAGATAGTAGAAAGCATGTTGAGTGACCTTGAACCTATCTCAAGACGTATGCCTCAGAACGTGCAGTTGTAAAATTGTTTACAGCTCCTCCTCTTCCTCTTCCTCCAACACATTATGCAGAGGAGCCCCATGCACGTAACGAGGGGGAGTGATAATGCCCGAATTTGTAGCAGGACGTACAGGTTGTGGAAGAATCGCTTCAAGTTCTTCGTGGATTCCCGGCGGGCTTGGTGACGGCGAAGTTCTACCAACAGGCTCGGCCGGAGGTTGCAGCGAGGCTCCGGTGCGAACGGGCAAGCGGGAAGGAGGTATTGATGTTGGGCTAGAGGTTGTGCCACGCTCGCGTTCACGATACAACTCAATCAAAGACGCAGTCTTGCTTGGCATTGTCTTCGAGACCAGAGGATCTGCGGGCTTGGAGACCACCTTAGGAGGTGTAGCGAGAGGCGACGCTGCCCGAACTTGATCAAGAATTGGCGGGATAACGGGAAGATCACGCTTCGAGGCAGAAACGACATCGAGATCTTTCGGTGGCACGGGTGGTGAGGAGCGATCTTTGTCGAGATCGTGCACTTCCCCGTGTCCGGAATCAGACTGACTATCAAGGGAATGTCTCTTAAACGCTTCTCTAGGATCTTCCAACACCGATTGTTGTTCGAAGTGGTCATGCGCATCATCGTATGACGGTTGCTCGAGTTGTCGCAAAGGTGACTGAGAACGAGAGTGAAGGCTGGCATTCTTTCGTTCAGGATGAAGATCAAAATACCCCATTCTCTTCTTCATGAGAGGGCGAGGAGGTTCGTCTTCCTCGTCTTCTTCCTCAATTTCTACGCGTGGACCTGGTATAGTATCTCTGTCTGTGTCATCATCGACAACGGAATCACGAGGGTGAACATCATCTTCGTCGTCTTCATCGTCCCCATCGCGATGTACAGGCTCCATGTCGTCGTCATCGTCCGACTGAACTTGCGAGAGCGAAGCAAGTACTTCAGATACTTCCTGACTTGCCAGCTCCGGGTCCGATCGTCCACCCTTCAGGCCATTGCGGACTTCTGCGTCCTGGGAGGTCAGCCTTCGACTGCTGTTGGCAACCAAAATATCTACCCAAGCATCATCTCTAGATTCTCCGCGAGCGTGTTTGGTAGGACCGCCATGGGGAAGGTCGTCATCTGAGAAACTAGCTAAGCGGGCTTCGAAGTCAACGTTCTCGTATTCTGAAGGGGGAAGTCCAGCGGTACGACCACCGGGGCTAACAGCTAATCTAAAACGGGACGATCTCCTGTGAGGGTGGCCGGACGTTGAGTTGCTTGGCGATTCATTATCGCTCTGACGACTCGACGGTCTTTGCATGGGTGATTCTGCTCGTGTCACTGGACTCAGAAATAAAGAAGGCTTTCCACTTGCAAAAGGAGAACCAATTGTCGAAGCTGGAGAGGTCACAGCCGGGCTTGTGATTGTGGGTGCTCGTCTTTCTGGAGTCTTCAGGGAGAGGATCTTTGTAGCGCTTCCATTAGACCGTAGCAATCCTTCAAATTCTACCTCTCTGTAGGACGGACTTCGAGGGACGTGTCCAATAACGTATGGTCTTCCATTGAGGGTCGTCGCGGGTTTCCATTGCTTTTTGGAGTTTCCAAACAGAGAGGGTAATCGACGACGACTATTGCCAGATTCGGCAAGCTGTTGTCTGTACTCCAATGGCACAAATTCCTCGAACAGAATGAGAGTTGTGGAAGTCCGCGGGTCGCCTGGACCAGAAACAGTGTTCGATTTGGCTAATGGAAGGGATTTGAACTCGACCTATTCAGGTCGGCAATGTCAGATCCTGCTCTTCAAGCAAAGGTCATGATGCGCCTACCAGAGCCCAATTGCAATCTCTCTGTAGATCTTCGGCTCGTTCGGAATCCATCCACCCACCACCATAGACCAAGTCACAGAAAACATCTATGAACGCTTCTTCGATGACTTCCTCACCACCCATGATCGGTTCTGTATCCCATCCGAAGGGTGGCAGGGACTTTTGTGTCTTCTTCAGCTTCCGGTGAATCTCGGCGGACTGAGATGGCCATGCGTTGACAGCATTGGCAACTGGGGGGCTGAATTGAAGAGTGGCGCTTAGAGGGGCATCGTTCCGTGAAAAGCCCGTTGTAGAGAAGTCCTGCCAAGTAAGAGTAGCACGTTTCGCTGCACGAGCCTAGAGACGCGTATGCGGTGGAGTTAATTAGTTTTGCTCTTTCTTCACGACCCTCACCGGCAGCCATATAGCGAAGACTTACTGCTCTTGCACCCTCGGTCAGGTCAAATTGCAACTTCTTCTCATCCGACCCAGTGTCTCCAAAGCCCATTGCCTCGAATTCTCCCCATTTCAAGTCAGTCAAGCTTCGGAACCTGTCTTCTCCAGGCTTCTTTGTCAATAGACCGATTTCTTTGTCGTCAAACATAGACGATGTAGTGGACGTTGTCGAAATAGAAGCAGAAAGTGAGGGTGCACTAAGTGAAGAAGAGGTCGAGCCCGCACCCGTATCCGGATGGAAATTTGGAGCCAGATCCATTCGCTTCTTATATGCATCCGAATAACGAGGCGGCAACTTGAGAGTAGGCGGCGATATGCGATCCCATTCCTTTGAACCAGCAAAGGAACGATCAGTGGCAGAAGAAGTTGCTCCACGGGGTCGTTGTGCCCAACTTGCGGCAGTCTTGACGAGGTCGGGACTGTACATCCTAACATTCCGTCGGACGCTGACCATACGAACGGTCCGCGCTCCCCGGCGTGGTTGCGGCCGCTCGTTCTTCTTGGTTAGAGGAAGCATCGCTGGATAGCCCTGAATCCAAGCCTTCAGGCGGGTAGGAACGCCCAAGGCGGTGGCGCTGGATCCCGCCCGACCTGGCGCGTCCTGCCAACGTATCAAAGAAAGAATGAGGTGCTCCGTCGCTGTTGCTGCACGGAGATAATGAACATATACATGATGAAAAGCTAGAGTCGAAGGTCCAAGTCCAAACAGCAATGGCCCAAAAAGTGGAGAAAGCGTCGGTGGTGTATGCCCAGACGAGGAAGAGTGAGCGGTGAAACGTGTGAGTAAGGTAAGTAATCCGACCAGAAGCGAACGAAGCAATTGCGGAAGAGGTTCGATAAATGCGCCAAAATGTGTAGCAGGGTAATTCAGTGCTAAGAAGTTGATCAGCTATGGGTGGACGGTAGAATCGCTATGTCGGTCGCACCTGCCTCAGCTTCACGCCATTGCATGTACCAATCATAGGACACCAAGCCTCGTACCTCTTGCCCACCAACAACCCTCACCACACGTGCAAGACCCCATCGCAAACACATTCCTAGCTCGTGGGGCCCTGCAAATCTGGCTTCTTCTCGCCAAAGTCGATCTGCTTCATGGGAAGGCTTACCGCACGTTCTCAGAAATGCTTGAATTAGTCTCTTTAGGGAATGCGAGGATACATCCAGGGCAAGGGTTGAGAATATGAAAGGCGTGGTGAGACCACGCGTTCCAAGCTCGTCGCCCACCACGTCTACCAGGCGAGCGACCTCTTCTAACCCTAGCACGACATGCCGCTGGTAGGAAAGATAACCATAGTCTAGGAAATTCCTATGTTCTTGAGAGGGTTCTTCTCCAGGTTCATAATGTGGAGGTTCGAGATTCAGAGGAAGAAAGCTGCCATCAGGTAGGGTGTATTCGGACGGATCGGGCTCAGCAGGAGAGCTGATGGTCCTTGCACGGCTCTTGTCTTTGGCATCTTTCTTCTTCTCCTTTCTTATGGACGATGGTGCTAGTGAGGCAGAAGATTTCGGGCCTTTGGCAGAGCCCCTGCTGGTGACTCTGCCGAATTCGTCGTAGACAGCGTCGAGAGTGGTTTTCTTTGGAGTTGAAGGCGTACGTGAACGAGAGAATATACTCGGCATCAAGAAACAGAAATAAGAGAGTGGAGGACGGTCAGCACAGCGACAACGGTTGAGAGGTTACACCGGGATACAGGAGGGGGAGAAGGGGACGATGACCGCAAATACTTGAAGCCAAGAGTGAGAGAGACAAGGGAAAGCCTGCCACGTGCATGACAACCACCAGGCGCGCACTCAAATCTCTTTCGAGCAAAACACTTTCCTGCGAACAAATCCGACATTTCCAGGCTCAGAGCAGAATAACGACTACTCGAAACGACTTCTCTCTCGGAAGACACACTCTGGAACACCGGGATTACGGGAAATCTTCACATCGAATGTCATCACTCGACAGCGTCAAATTCATCTTCACAGGATTTCTATACCAGAGTCCTAGGCATACAAAAAAATCCAATACACGCCGCAAAGGCTATATTACAGTGGGAATTAATAAAGAGTAGCACTGTGGCATGTACAGGTTACTTAGACAAGAAAGTCCAATAACAATGCAGTACACGGTAGAGAGCCTATGCCTTGTCGGGCGGAGGTCCAGCAGGTGGAGCATAGTACTGGGGCGGTGAGCCCATAGGCTGCAGAGAACCAGACGTCTTCAGAATCAAGGAAGGCATTCGATAGGCATCTAGTGGACTTACCGGGGCATATCCAGTCGCGGGGTCATATCCTGGATAAGGCGTGTAAGCCTGCGGGGGATACTGAGGGCCATTAGGATCATAGCCGCCCGGCGGTGGGTAGCCCTGTGGATAGCCAGGGTAATAGTGTGCCTGGTTATTCTGGACGGGATTGTGGACGTAGGCGAGGTTCGCCTTCTGCGCCTGCGCTCTTCGTCTCCGGATACCGACCATAACCATAATACCGACAAGAGCGGCAAGAGCAACTGTAGATGGTGATACGTTAGCGACGTAAAGGGTATCCAAGGACGAGAACGCACTTAGTCCGAACGCAATTCCGATGCGAGCCCCTGTACCCATGGTACAACGTTCAAATCCGAAACTGCACACCTAGCATAAGCAATAACAAAGACCCGCGCGCATAATGACATACCTATCAATATAGCAGTATGCTTGGGCCGTTGGTAGCAGCGACGAAGCCCACAGGGCAGCCGCAACCTCCAGCCAAAGGTTTCGATTGATCAACGTGCCTTAGTATATGTCGGATTAAGATAAGTCAAACGATCAAGTTTTGAATCCGTTGCACACCTACCCATCAAAGTCAGACCTCGTAAAACAAACTATAGAGCGTAGACCAAGAAAAGGTATCCGAGAGGGAGAAGGATGGATGTGAGTGAATAGCAAGTGAGGAGCACAGCATCGTCGTAGCTGCGCTTTGGACTGCTTTGGTGTCTTGGAGAGCCTGGAAACAGACCGAACGTCGGGCTTACATAATACAGCACTTTTCCTAAAAGGGAACTCCACACATCGAATTCGAAATCATCGGAGACGAGTTTGCCAGTGAATCTGCGCGCTAGAATCACGATATTATGCAGATCGCCAAAGCCAGCTAGGAGAGATGACGTTCTCAAGGGTGACGCAGTCAGGGTTCATTACGTCAACAACAACTTGAGGGTAGTGGAACCCGTTAAGGATGAGCTTTATAACAGAAAGAGTATCCACCCAATATTGGCCGCATGCTCGTTGAGAGGACCGTCCTTTCGGATACTACAGAACGTCGCCAGGAAGTCCTGTTCAACGACAACGAGAGGACTTGGCTACGCAAACACTACGTGTGTTGTGCTAGGCAACCGCAGACGCTGCAAGTTCATCTGGAAAAATACACACCGTGTATGGGCCACATATCGTGTACATATAACCGTAATACACATCCCCCAGGGATACAATGATTCGTACCCTCCATGTTAGAACATATGATGCTATGCAGCGATATCGACCAATCTGTGTGAAATGCATATGATCACCCAGATTACTAGTAACAAACCTTTTTTACTACGCTCGCTTCCAGCCTCTAGATACTGTCGGAGGACAATCGTTCCTTCGTACATAGACTTTTTTTTACACCTGACAGATTAGTACACATCCCTTTGCTACAAAATAAAGACACAGGAAGGAAACTACTATGTAATATTACACAGACATGATGATTTCGTAAAAAGCCATATATCATTCAGATACCTGCAACTACGTTTCCAGAGACTTTACCAAATCGTGGGGCTGGAATGGCTAGTCAGGATCGAAGATGATACTTAAATTTCACTGAACGTACCCAAAAGTAGCGTTTGGAGCGAGCTTGTAGAAGGCTTCTGCTTCTGCATCCAACGTATTGACGTAAACATTGTTTCCCCACCACTTTGCAATTGAATTCTCCCCAATGGCGCCACCAAGGGGGTATTGCAGACAGAAGAAGATGAGGACACTAGAGACAGCCACTCCCGCGTCCAGAGCAGCAGAAAGAACATCTTAACACCAAATTTAGCCACCAGAATTTCTACAGAGGGAGCAATGGCAACTCACAATTGTACTTCGACCACCAATCGAAATGGCGACGACGTATAGCATAGTTGAAGATGAAGCCGACGATGGTCCAAGGCACGTAGTTGACCGCAGTCGCGGGAGGGATCATACCGAGGCCACTAAATATGACGGGGAAATTGACATACTTGATGATGGAGTCCGGCCACTTCAGATGGATTATGTATGCGACTGCAGGTGCAACGGCACCAACAAGGAAGAAGAAAAGAAGGCCACTGCAGACAGATGGTTGAGCGGCGAGATCATCCGGAAGGCAACAGCAACTTACTAGTAGATCTGACCATGCGAGAACTGCCTAGCCGGACCAATGACGCCCCAAATGATAGAGGCGGTACCGAATACCTGCGTTCCGGGGCAAATAAATCGGTCTTTCTGGTGAGGGGTGCAAATGTCTTGAATGTTCGTGAACATCCATGCTTGGACACCTAGTTGTACGGTACCAGCGATGACAGCAGCAATCACTTGCGCGGTGAACATCGCACGTGGCCTACAAGGTATTAAACGACACACTGGGAATAAACAAATCGCCACACATACGGAATCTTCATGTAATGACCAAGTTTGAAGTCATTCGTGAATTGCAATGCCTGCGTCATGGTAATGTAACCCCATGTCTTAAACATCATCATGGCCACGGGCTTTCCTGGAAGGGCGTATCCAATGATGAGTTCGGTAATAACATTCAGTCCGACCTGTTGGTTAGTGATAGCCTGGATCATGCCAACAGGAATGGTGTAGAAGAAGCCGATGGCCTGCATAATGAATCATTTAGAATATCATTTGATGAACGAGCAGAGTCGGTACACGAACCAGGGCAAATACAAACGCCCATACCGGCATTTCCGTATCCCACATTTCAATGGACACAACGCCGAAAATGAACATCACAGCTATACACAACCTTGTTCAGCGTCAACGGCTTAGAATGGAGACACCACGCACCGAAAATAATTGCATACCACCATTCTGGGACTTGGGGGTATCTGGACATCAAGCGGGCGTGGATGTCTGCTTGTTCGTGCAGCGATCGCCGAGCTTGAATCCATATTTGCTTGCGGAAATACAAAAACGTGTGAGTTAAAGTGGCGGTGATGGATGCGAAGGATATCCCATATGACAAGGCGAACGTAGTAGATAAGAACAGAGGGGAGTATGCTTCGTACTTCGCAACATCCAGGGTAGCCTGTGGTGTAACGATCCGCGAGACGTCGTATGTGTTCCCGGTATTGTCGAACGACGTGCGGGATGAAATTGGCATATACTTGGAGTACCAAGTATTTGTGTAGTACAAAACGGGGACGAGGAACCCTGTCGGTATTGATCCATGAATCATCCGACGGTACAACCAGAAAGCATACTCACAGTAGAAGAACACAAACCCAGTAGCCACATTTGCAATAGCCCACCAAGGAGTGGCCAGTGGCGATCCGATGTATGCAATTTGAGCCCAATCGAACGTGATTGTAGACATGCCCAAACCGGAAATATAACCGAATAACTGATTGACGACAAGATTATTCGGCGCAATCCAGCACACCCACGAGAACGTGCTCAGAGCGGTGAAGAGGTACCCCGGGAGCACATACCAACACCCTCCTCCAATGAATACGTACAGGAAGAATCGCTCGCGAGATATACCACCGCGGGTACCCATGCCTGCGTACTGCTGGGCATGGAGTGTATTGAAAAGGGCGCAGTTGACTAACGAGTTAGGCCAAATCATAGAAGGCGGGGCAACTAGGAAACGACGAGCGATACCTCCAATGGAGAAGCCGATCTTCAGAAAGACTCGTTAGCAAATATCATAAAACATACAATCCTGCAAATTGACCGTACTAATTGAGTGCTCATCACAACCATCCATTGGTAACTAAAGTTGAAGTTTTGGTTGTAGTATACCCGTTGGACTGCGATGATGTCCGTCTGCGTTGACGTAAGTATAAAATTAAGAAAACATCATAAGGACGAATGGACAAACTAACCGCGTACGCCGATTGCCACCCAACGGTCGCCATTATCGTAATAAGGACATGCTCTTTCACGTTGAAGGGCCCCGGATTCAGAGATATGCCGAAGACCTTGACATTGGGAACAACCCGAGCCCAGAGTCGCCCAATCGGGAACGCTAGTAGTTGCGCGACAACCTATCATCGTGCAAGAACGGTAAAACATTAGAACGGATGGTATTAACAAGGGACTTACAGCGGAGACAGAAACGGAGGGATATCTGAAGAAGAAGAACTGATTCAAGCCGGGAATTATGATCGCCCAGATGATGCCGATGACCCATGCACGTAGAGAATTGACGGGAATAGACGGGTCGTCCGTGTTAGCTACGGCGGATCGTACCTCGGGATAAGGCGAATCGTCCTCTACAAATGCCAAGCCATTATGAGCATGATGACAGGGAAATCATGAGGTTACAACTTACCGAGTATAAGAGCGTCTTTGTCGAGATTGGGGTCATCGAACTCGGCAATAGCTATAGCAGGTGGAGCTAGAGAAATCTAAACATCGCGTGAAGCCAAAACGGAAGGGTAGGGGCTCACCTGCCTGCTTCTCAGCATCGTACTCAGGCTTCTCGTCCAGGGAGCTCTTCTCAGTGGCCGACATGGTTCGGAAGGGTGCGAAAGACGGAAAGCAGATGTTAGAAATTGTCGTGTGCTATATAGTACCACGGCTAAATCTTGGCTCTAAGATAACGGCAGGAGCAGTGGTGTACTTCTGAGCCAAGGCAGCGCAATCCCTGACCGCAGGGCGGCTCCATATTGTGCAACAGACGGTATCATCAGGACAGGCGGCAGGAACTTTGATAAGAAGTGGAAACGTAAGGCCACCGGTCCATGCATCTCCAGGAGCACATGCTGACTTTAGACATGGCGTCAGAACATAGCAGGTGCATGCAAGTTGAATACATACAAACTGGGCTCGGCGATCGTACATCAAGGAACTGATGAAACTGGGCTCGACCCTTATCACTGAAACCAACGGATGGTGATCTCGGAGTCGATATCCCAACCAGGTTGTAGAACGCACCAGAGAGGATCATGTTGAATTGGAATCGCTTGCATCCCATGGTGAAACCCAGGTGGCAAAACTTCAGCATCACGTAGAAAGTTGATCCCGGAGGTCGGCTGTAGCACATGGCCACCTAGATCATGGCTCAGTAAGGCAAATGAGGATGCACTAGAAGTACGTTCACAAATTCGCATTAACAATTTTCCTCGTTGCGAGCAGAAAAGACTGCTAAGCACCGGACTTCCCGTCTTGCAACACAAATGGCCACATGGGACAGGGCAATAGCTGACGTAGACAAGTGAAATCGCACAAGCTAGAAACAAAAGTCCTGTTACGATGCGAATGTTCTCATGCCAAGATGAAGAAACCTTACCGATAAATCTGCAGGTAGTTAAGGAGTGGGAACGATACGCCCATTTCTAATCCGGTCCCCGCAAGGGAAACGCGAGCGTGGAGAATGCAAGTTGGTCTTTGTGTTGCCTCGTGCCGTTCTACTTGACTATACTGACCTACACTATATATCACGTGTCGACTGCTAATCGTGAACCTTCAACAGAGGTATAACGTTATAAAATTACGAGACCCCACATTTCAATGTGAGAATGGCATCACAGTGAAGGAAAACTTTCCTGCAGTTGCGAACAATGAGATATACGAACTTTTCCTAAGAATTCACTGGTGAGTTGCGGAGGGCAAATACACCCACAACAAGCCTTTCAAGGTTGGACATTGACCATAATGCCAAACCATCAGACCCAATGTACATCTATATATTTTAGAACACTGCCAAGTCAATATGAGAGTATCAAACTTACCTCTTTGCAAGGATAGCATATCCGACTCGGACTTGGAGCCGAACCTTCAAAACACAGTAATACATGTGCTATTTTCCGGGAATCGAGAGACAGCAGGGGGCCACAGACAAATAAAAATGTTCCGGGTATCAAGGATAAGTACTAATGCTGAGGCCTGAGGACTGAACAAGTCAGGTTCGTCAAGACGCCTTTGGGCGCTTGGCGCTGCTGCGAACCTGCGCGTCGGCACAGCCGCGACACGTCTACCGTCAACACGTTTACGTTCAAACGTTAACGTTCAAGCTCAAGCCTCGACATCAACGACCACCGTTCTGACCGTGTATTGCATGTCGCTCGAGCTTAGCTCACCTTAATCTATAGCGGCGGAGAAAGACATATAGATCAACGGCGCTCAAGACCGTGTGGAGTATGGTACGTTTGGTCGCTTTGTCTATAGATATCTTAGACTGAGTGCGTCTTTAGTCTGCTCTTTTCAATTTTCAATCCCTCCTACTCGTCATTCTTCTTACTATCTGCACTTGCACGTATGTGCGCGCCGTTGCACCACGACTAATAGACAGGAACAAGGAAGGGTCAGTTATTCGGTGTTTCTCGTTGGACCAGCTCCTGATATGCTATGAACAGGTTTTTAGGTCTATTCTGGATGTCAGCACGTATCGGTGAGTTCGGTGGGCCCCATTCTTGTATTCCTAGTTTAATCCGCCTTTAGGAGAACGTTTGTCACCTTACGTTGCACTCGCATGTATTGCCATGGCTATTACTATTCTGGTTCAATAAACACGTATACCGGGGAAGCCAGTGGGATTTCGATTCTGAGCCTCGGCCTCGACAGTGACAATCCCATGATCAGTATGCGATAGTGGCTTCTCGACCTTTATGTTCCGCTGATCTACTACATGGAGCATTCGAGATGGGTGCAAGGATGAGTCAACTGGAAATAATGGTTCCGTATGATGCTCGGTTAAATGATAACTTAGCAGGCGGTTCTTATGGTCCTTGTGAACCTTGGTAGTACATACGGATGTTTGCTGCAAAGGCGGAGTGGACAGCAATACAGCCACAGGAGGGACGTTATGCAACGTGGCGGGAGAACGGATGAAGACAACGTCGAGGTAGTACTAGCGACTCGGTCAAGGTAGCGATTGTCGAGATACGGGGCTCGAGAAACCTTGTCCAGGGAATTATGCTTTTATTTGCATCAGCGCCGCCGACATACTTATTATGTCACTGGGAAGACATGCTGTGTTTCAGGAACGGCAGCAAGTAAGTAATGAAGAAAAATTCTTTTACGAGTTTTGACACCCATTCCATTGCATAATCTATTGTATTGATACAGACACAAATTCTATCAATATAACGATGAAAGTAGCGAGAGAGACAAGCATAATAGAACATACGGATCACCTGCAAGTACACAGAAACTAACTATGATTAATCCCTCTATGATACAGCCCTCCGTCGTGCACGACTGTCATTGTCGTTCTCCTTTTCATACAGCGAGCTAGTACTTCGTTGAGCGGTTCGCTCCACGACGGAAGTTCCATCTCTGAAGCGCGTTCGGAATAGAACATTGGCGTTGGTGAACAAGCCTTCCTTCAAGCTAACAACAATAAACTGTGAGCCTTTGAAGCGCGTTCGGAAGAGCTGTCCAATATGTTGGGTATGAGAGAGATCCAGCGCCGCATCAATCTCATCCAGAATGTACATGGGCGCCGGTTTGAACTGGAGGAGGGACATGATCAAAGACAATGCGATAAGAGAGCTAGCAAGGGGATGCCGGCGGAGTCAGCGATAGGGCACCACAGAGATATCCGAGATATGTACCGTTGTCCGCCACTGAGCTCCGTCAAACTCTGTTTCCACACGGAGCCAAGCTGAACTTTGACCTCGAGACCTTGTGTGAGGTCTTGGCCTTCAGGTGGTTGCAGCTTGGCAAAGTTGCCCGGTAGCAATTCAGCGAAGATTCCACCGAAGTCCCTGTGATATGGCGTCACTGACTCAGCCCCTGACGACCGAGGAAGAACAGGATAGCGTACCCGTTGACCTTCGACCATGTCTTCTCAAGAGCATCAAGCTTGTATCGATCCAGCTCGTCGATCGTCTGTTCGATCTTCTCCTTATCTTTCAAAACGGTGGCCAGCATCTTCTTCAGCGAGGCCTCTTTCTTTTCGACGCTGAATGGAATGAACGGAGTCAAAGGAGCAGCTTGTTTGTGGATCATTATTGAGCATACCTATCGATCATATTGATGACCTTGGGGTTGATCTTCTTCTTCATACCCTTTTGTTGCGCTTCAAGTTCGCGTGCCTTCTCCTTAAGACGACCAACATCCACTAAGCTAAAGTCGTACTGTCCTCCAGGTTGTCCAAACGACCTGTTTATGTGATAAGTAAAGGCTTCAGGATGTGACAATTTGGCACGTACTCATGCTCTTCGACAATCCAATCGTACTGCTTCTCCAAACTAGCTATGAAGTTTACGGCGGCCGTCTGCTCTTTGCTAAGGCTTTGAACGTCATGCTCCAGTTGCTTGATGTGCAGGTCCGCATCAGAAATAGCCTGTTTCTTGTCTTTGATCGCACGTTCCAATTCCTTGAGCTCGTTGTCGAATCGTGTAAGAGTAGCACGCTCCTCAGCTAGTTTCTGTTCGGCTTTTGCGAATTCATTCTGAAGGAGGCATATGATAAATTGGGATTGAATGGTGAGGCTGGCTTTGAAACATACCTCTTTGGAGACCATGTGTTCCTCGAGCTTGTTCAACTCCTTTTGAAGTTTTTCAATTCCGGCATTAGCTGAAGCAAGGGTGCCCTTCGTAGACTCGATATCTTTGTCCATTTGCTCTAATGGTTGCTGCCGCATGAGCCACCATCAAACATGTATTTTTGGAAGTTGGACGCACCCAGTTCAAGAGTTGCGGTATGGACCTCTTTCTGCTGTGTCTTGACTAGAACAGAGTGCTTCTGGAGTGCAGCCTTTTGCTTCATGACATCGGCCTATAGGCAAGAATGACGTGAATTTCTATGTCTGGATGACGACGTTAGGCTTACCTTGAGTTCATCAATCTTGCCTTCTTTGTTGTTCTTAAACTCGTCCATGTCCTTCTCGAGCTTTTTGCACTCCTCCTTCGCGGCCTTCTGCTTGTCCTTGGCATTCTGCACAGCTGTTTTGAGGTCTTCGATGGTCTGCTTCATGGCTTCGACTTCGGCACCGATCTAGTAAACAACGTCAAAGGTCCGTTTTCTGATTCCAAAAGCAAGCTACCTACGCGAGCTGCATTGCTTCCTCCTACTTGCTCCTCCAAGAGTTTCATTTCGTGCTCTTTGATGTCAAGCTCCTTCGCCATCTTCTTCCACCTCTCCCTACCTTCGCGTTCTGTTTCGTAATTTCTTTCGAGGACCTCAAGACGTCCGCGAGCCTCGCCTAACCGCCCCTCGACCTCCAGAATCTCCTGCACTTTGACAAGAACGCCATTACTGCTTGGCGCAGAACCGCCGCTGAGCGTACCAGATGGGTCATACACATCTCCATCCAAAGTTACGGACTTCGCTCCCACTTGTGGAGCAAACGTAACAAGCTTGGCGGATTCGGCGTCGTCACAGATGAGAGTTTCTCCAAAGACGTATGTCATAGCGTTCGCTACTTCCTGCGGGTACCCGACAAGGGAAAGCGCAAGGTGCACTTTTCCGGGAGCGAGTCGTTGAGCAGCTTGCAGTTTCTGCGTAATAGTTATGAGCATATGATTAGATTCAGTATCACGGTAGTTTAATGCGCACCTGAGGAGCCATTTTTGAAGCATTAATCTTGTTGAGAGGAATGATGGTAACTCGTTTCTTCAGACGGCCATTCTGAAGGAGCTCCTTGCCGACGAGTTCATTCTCTACAACGACATTGTACAGCCTGCCACCAGCTGTGATTTCAAGTGCAGTGGATTTGTTATAATTTGGCTGATCGAGTGAAATCAGCGAGGCCACAAGCCCTTTCACCTTTGTCCTATCGAAGCTGGGAGATGGTGTTGAATAGTTGAAATCAAGGAAAGAGAGGCGTTGTTTCACGCCATCGCGTTGCTGGAAGAGTAATCAGTACAAAAGAACTGAACATGACGACCAAACCAATCCTTACCTCCGTTAAGTGGCGAACTTCCGCCCTGGCATTTCGGAGTGCAGTTTCAATGTCTTGCTCTTTTTCAGCACTCCATCCACTTTCGGAGATCTTCTTCCTGAACTTGGCGACCTCTGCCTGCATTACATCTAGTTGTCTTCGACCTTCGCCAGCTTCCCGTTCCACTTCTTTCCACCTCGCCTGTAATGCTTTAAGCTCCCTTTCGCTCATGCCTAGCTTCACTCGGCTTTGCTCTTCCTCTGCGGTACCTTGGGCCAAACGAGCTTTGGCTTCAGCCAATTGACCCATGTAACCCCCGCCAGTCTGACCGTCCTTCCGAGATGAAAGTCCAGTGAGTAGAGTCTGCAGGAGCTCCTCAGATGAGTTAAGAGCGGTCTGAAGTTCTGCATGTTTCTCCTTGACGGCAGCATGGGAGGCGGTGAGCTCGTTGACCTGTATGCGTTTGTCTGCCAGAAGACCATCTGTCTGAGGAAATGTTAGTAACGGAAGCAAAAGTTAGGGTAAAGAGGTACCTCTTTCAGTTCATCTTCGAGTTCTTGAGTCTTCTTCACCTCGTCTTCGATCGTGCTTTTCTTTAGGTCGACCTGTGTCTTGATCTTGACCACAGCCTTCTCCAGCTCGCCCACGTCTTCTTCCAATTTCTTGTACTTCCCGCCCTTTTTCAGTTCCTTGTCTCGTTGAGTTACCACAGATTCTGCATCCCTCTCGGCAGCCTCAATCTCTTTCAGGCACTTTGCCTTACCCTTCCGAGCCCTGTTGACTTCTTTCTCCTTCTCTTCCACCTCGGCCTTCTTCTGGTCAACCCGCTCCTGAGCCTCTGTCCATTCCCAGGCTCGAAGAACGCGTCCGATACGTTCCAGCTCAGAGCAAGATTTCTGCCATTGAAGAAAGGCGCGCTTCTCTTCACGGAGGGTGTCGAGTTTTGGAGTAATCTCCTCAACAAGGAGTGAGGTAATCTCCTGGACGCGTTTATCCTTCTTCCCCATCGTCTTCTTCGCCTTGTCTTTCCTTTCCTCAAACATGCGAGTACCGGCGGCTTCCTCCACCATACCCAAAATCTCTTGGGGCCTCATGTTCAATACCTGAAGATCAGATTCTCTTTCAGAGTGCGTACTAAAACAGCCCGTCCAGGGCTTACCTTCGTGATTCGCCCTTGCATGATCAAAAAGTTGGGATTGTTGATATTCAACTGAACACTTTGGAAGAGAGTTTGAATCGTATGTTGAGTGGATTTATGACCATTGAGTAGGTATTTCGATATGTTCGGCAGGGCGATCTGTGCGGATGTGCCTTCATGATGTGTGTGAATGCCTCATTTTACAACACTCACCTGTCGAGTCACTGTAATTTGTTTACAATTTTCCAACCCAACAGGACTGGTAGATCTATCTGAATTGTCGAACACTATCGTCACGCTTGCTTTCGTCACACCAGCCTGCCCCCTCTTGTATATGAGATCCTGTTGGTTCTGGGCACGCATCTACAAAGAGCGCATAAGTGCAGTGCATAAACGATTATGTGTGTCTCACGTACGGACGACATGTTCGTAATTCCAAGCACGAAACATATCGCGTCAAGGATATTTGACTTGCCAGAGCCATTGAGGCCCGTTATGGCGTTGAATGAGGGATCCCAGCCCGTTATCTGGGTGCGAACCGGGTATGACTTAAATCCTAGTATCAATGCATTTCAGTATCGATAGCAAGGCTGCTCGGCCGACCTCACCTTCGAGGACGAGTTCTTCGATCCGCATTGTTTGTGGCAAGACGCGTCGCGTCGCGCTCGCAACGAGGGAATGGCTCACATGATGTAGACGCCCAATCCGGCTGTACGCCGTCAAGCCTCGTCAAGCTCCGCTTGATTGTTCTACGCAGGGTACAGTACTTAAAAGTCCTTCCAATTATCGAGACGAGATACATACCGGCGCGTTTTGCGAACGATTCTTCTTTCTCCTTACATCTAATTCCTCTCTTTTCTTTTCTCTGGCCAACCGTGTACTTACCCGTCTCTCTGATGTCGTCGTTGTCCGATTTTGAGTCGGATCTTACCGACTTGGAGTCATCGGAGGATGAGTATAGACCAGCCCCCGGCGCTGTCAAACAACCTTCGAAGAGAAAGCCACCGAAACAGGAATATCGAGTGAGTGTATAGAACTCTATCTTCGCCCCCGAATCGCGCTCAATAACTTTCTTTCAGTTGAATAACACGCTCTCCCCTCCCCGCAACACCTCGTATCCTGCAATGGCTTTGTATAGTGCGTAGATCACGTAGCTTTCTATCACACTCTATCTCACGAGAGGCTTTTGTCCAGACCAACTGAAGAATGGTTTAATCAATCTTGATCCTGAATATCAAAGAGGTTTGTCGCCGTTTTCCTAACGTTCATAGCACGCGTCTCTAGTCCCAAGTATCGATAAAGTTGGTTCGCAAATGCCATTGCGTCGGACGTCTTGGTTCTCCACTATCCAAATTTTGTGTCCTCCGACAATGCGTTGCCAGTACTGGCAGTAGAGTACCGCAGTATACACGATCCTTCATGGCCCCCTATATGCAGCCGAAGCGATACCAGAATTGGGATTGATGTCGCAAAGCTTTTAGCCTGCCAAATTCGAGCCTTTAGATCCATGCTCATGTCATGCATTCTAGGCGTGGTGTGGGCCGACAGTAAGCAATCGTACCTGATTGATTCGCTCTTCCGCAACTACTACATTCCACCTATCATTTTCGGTATGTTCTCTCTTTTCAAGCACCTAGGTATTATAAACTAAAAGACTGTCTCTCCTACAGCTGTCACACGCACTTCGGACGGGCTTGAGACGCGAGTGTGCATAGATGGGAAGCAACGATTGACATCCATAATGAAGTGAGTAGACCGCAAGGTAATCAAGACAGCGATATTGATGCTCATATTATAGGTTTATGGAGGGAGAGGTCAGTATCTCTACAACCATGAAACTTCATTCTCATCTGAACACTCTTCTGGTGGTGTCTCGTAGATCTGCCGTAAGTCAAATACATGCTCCGCTCTCTGAGCACAATCTGACATCTCCTCTTGTTTCCTGCAGATAAAGACTCGTGAGCATCCTCTTCCACATGTTACAGATATAAGACTGGCGTCTTACTCGTCCTCATCACGTAGGTACACAGGAGAAAGACTTTGGTTCAAACAGCCCAGCAGCACGAAGAAGCCTCTTCTGCCGAAGCAGTACATCTTGCAGTTCGAGAATAAACAAATACCATGTGTAGAGTATGACACATTGAACGATGACCAAGAGCGAGAGATTTTTCAGGTATGAGAGGCGTCATCTCTTGTATCGTGATCCTATTGTACTGATTAGACATCAGCGCGTTCAAATGGGTGTTGCTCTAACACCCGCGGGTAAGCCTAACTTGTTCGTCTGCCAATGGATTGTATATGCTGATCGCTTGCCTTTGTTTCACAACAGAACGCATGCAGGCACTTACTGGTCAATATCCTGACCTTGCACGAGATATCCAAAAGATGATTTCTGGAGATGAAGGCTTCAGTGACAGTCTCGAATGGAGGGACAGCCGAGGACGCGACTTCCAGTGCATTGCGTCTATGATCTACCTCGTAGATTCAAAGTCCAATGTGAAGTTTCCAGGTGCCCCGACCTTGGACAAGTGGCTCCAGGAAAACAGGGAGGTCGACAACAACTTCCGATCAAGCATACTCAATACATTCAACACTTATATTACCCTTGCAAAAGACGCCCGATATAATGCGTGCTTTCAATCGCGTAAAGTCTCGCCTGTGGAATTCACAATGGCTGCGGTACTCATCCATCGCTACAAGTCCACTTTCTCAATGGATCGGCTCTCAGCTTCCATCAAAAGTATGCGAGAACATGTGCGGAATGAGCATGAAGATATCAGGGCAAATGCGAAGGTGGCCCTAACGATCACAAACTTCATCGATAACGATCTGAAGAAGATAAAGCCACAAAAGGGCGAGATAACTGCGACCGAATTCATGAAAAAGCTGGGTGCAACAGCAAAGGCATCGAAGTCCTCGAAACGAAAACGTGTGGAGTCCACAGACGATGAAGGTGACGAAGTACTTCGAAAACCGCCAAAGTCGTCAACAGCTGGCACAAAGAGATCGGTGACTCTCAAGATTCCTGCAAAATCAACTGCGAAGCCAACAACATCCTCTTCAATGTCGTCAGGTGTTGCAAGGCAGGTTGCTAAACGAAGTCAACCAGTAGGCCAATCCTCACCATCAGTAACAACTGCATCAAAGTCTCGAGTCGGATCTGGCACCACAGTGCAGACTGTGTCGGTGAAGAAGGAAAAGGTTGCCTCTTCCGGCGGCAAAGTCACAAGTACGACACAGCGTCAAAAGGAGTCGACTTCTCGGACGCAGGAAATAGCTCGACCCAAACCGAGCAGCTCCAAAAATCCTACACCTGGCGATGAGGGTCCCGATGCAGCTTCTTATACAACACGGGCACGTCCGCCAACTCCACGCAAAGAACATGTTCGCCCATCCGCTGCTGGATCCGGTCATATTGCGTCTACATCACGCGCGAGTCCCCTCCAACCGAAACAGTCTTCTTCTGCAACGCCGCCCATCCCAGGACCATCTCCTGAAGTAAAGTCATTCGCACCGACATCGTCCGTCTCTGCTGTTGCAAATGGGGTGATGAAGAATGAGCCTTCCCGTAAAGTTTCGCCAATTACAACGTCTGCAGATGGCAAACCTGATAGGTTGGCCGCCATTCGGCGTGCGAAGGAAGAGCAACAGCAACGGCGGATGTCTAGTGATGCTGGAAAGGCGGGTTCCAGTCGGCAGGGTAGCACGTCTTTACCAGCAACTCCGGTCACACCTTTTCAACCACCACCCTTCTCGCAACAACCTCTTACTCAATCTCCAGTAACCGATCAGAATCACTCAAAACAGTTACCCCAGCAAATGATACCACAGGCGAACACATCTCCCGCGTTGCTTCCTGCCGCACCCAAGCCGTCAGACATCTTTGTACTACCCAGCGGGGAGAAACTGGACTATCAATACGTAGTTGACGTGCTCGCGAGCTTGTCCCAGTCTCCTCAGGCCGCGACAGCACAGGCGCCAAATCTTGTTCCTGCAGCTGCAGATCCACGGCTTGCCAGACAATCCCCAAGTGTAACTTCACCCAGCCTCTCGCGTAATCGAACTGCACAAGAAGACGAAGACATGGAAATCGATACCCCACCTCCCCAGCAATTGCCGCCAATTAGTCCGAAGTCCAACGTGCAACCTGCTCCTGTGCCTGAGGCTCCTGCAAGTCAACTCACACCCGCACCGGCATCCGCACCCGCACCAGCTCCCCAGCCGGCACCTCAGAATCAACAATCCACCAATCCGTTGTCTTTTTTAAGACAGTCTCCTGTGGTCAGTGTCCTAATTCCCTCTTCTGTGCAGCAGCGTCCAAACCATTCCATCTCCACAGCTGCTGCACAGCCGTCTTTCATAGATTTGTATATCCCCTCCCCATCTTTGCAGGCGTTCTCTGAGGGACCTTTCTTGCAAAGAAATGAAGACGAAAAGCAAAGCGAAGAGAAAAATGGAAAATCTGTCGATACGCAACTTGAGGATCACTCACCTAGGCTACTTCGGAAGCGTAATAGTGAGATGGAGTCGAGAACCGAAGAACATGAGAATATCTTATCACAACCTACCAATTCTTCTAGCACCGCGGACGTTGGGCTGGACCCGCCCGGCGACACTGCTTGTCCCCAGAGGCCCCGATTGCCGTCGCCCAGTGCATCAGGTTTTGCAGAACGTCGAGAGCATGATTTGCAGTTGCAGCTCAGCTCCAAGGCGAAGGGAGCAAACCAACCTGAGGTACAGCGTAGGGCATCGACCACCAGCACTCATGGCGCTGAACTGCCAAAGAAACCAGACTTGTGTCCACCTGTTGCTCTATCAGCAGGACGCCAAACGACATCACTTCTTGCCACGCCCGTCACGAGAGAACGCTCAGGAACCCTGAGCTCACTGCAGCCGTCAAGATGGGGGCCGCTTAATCATGATCCAGGGCCAAGCAATGGGTCCGCGGAGTCGACATCCTGGGGAGCAGTCAATTCTTACTCCATCGACGAGCGGCCTTCGAGGGGAACAGACCAGAGATGGCGCAGTGGGTATCGCGGGAGGTGGAATGAGCGAGGTAGAGGCAGAGGCAGCAGAGGCAGAGGGTACAACGGAGATCGTCTTTCCCCTTACAGAAGTAGAGGTCGAAGATACAATTCACAAGGGGGGTCAGACAGCAGGGTCCCAAGAGGTCCAGGTCATCACCGTCCGCAAAGAGGATATGACCACTACAGCCCGCATCATTGAAGCTTCATTAAAAGGACTGCCACCAAGTGCACTTGGCAGAGACCGCCACATTCTTGGAGTGAGGGGACAAGTCTTATGGGGGTTGAGGCTGCGCTGATCCGACCAAGGGACCCGCTATGTTTTGGAACCTAGACGCGTCGATAGCGCTTTGTTGTGCCATTCCTGCATGCATGTTTCCCTTCATATGAGACTCCGAGCGCCGCTCCGCATTCTTGGTACGTTCCTTACTTCTTGTCCAAAGTTTCTGCTTTCTTCACGGCCGCATTTCAAACTTCAACTTCAACTGTATATATATATATATATATATGTGCTCGCACTGACAATCGCCCTGCAACTTCGTACCTATTTTTGTCAATTATGTTAATGCCTTTATAGTAATGTATTCTCTTCTATGTGTATTACGTATGATGAATTAGGACTTAATACGTACGTTTCTTGCATTCGATTTCTACTGCACTGAGCTTGCGCCGTTGGTTTGAGCAATAGTATGTCCGCAAGCCAAATACGGCGAAGCGTCGATCACTTCGCTGTCGATTCCAGGCGTACCTCATCTTTCTACTCGCTTATTCGCTGAGACTCTTACATTTCTCTTTTTTGAGCTTGCTGATATCATGCATCTTGATTCCCAGAACAAAGTCTTCCATGATTTTTTTCATGTAATGAGGCTTGCGTACGGCGTTTCCACGGAAGCAGATGCCAGAAATAGCAGCCAAGCATGCGACGACGGGCGTTGTCTCCGTCTGGGTACTGAGTCGTACGCTCAGCCGCACTCTTCGCAGTGAAGTTCTCGTCCCAGGCTGTCGTGATGTACTCCTGCTTATAGTTCTCGCGCTACAGCTGTTTTCTGTCGTACTGCTTTCCCCCGTTTTCGTGTTCTTCATATCCTACATCCCCACATCCTACTCCGCGGCTCCACAAAACATGGCCAGGCAACGGTTTGGCTCCCTATTCGCGTTCCTGCTCTATTCCCTCGTGTTTCCCTTTGTCAATTCACAAGCACTTACCAATGATCAAATAGACCAAGTGAAAACTCGCCTTGCTGAGGGTGCGAGACAGAGCTGGGAACTAGGCACGCGTGCACAAGCTCTCATCGAGTACGACGTGCCATTCTACTCGGTCTTGAATGACACGTCTCTACCACCTCCCCAAGATGGCCCAGCTGGCCAGCTTTCGGAAGTCTTCAGTATTGTCCAGGATGTCGTCGGCAATCGCTCCCGATCGAATGACGATATTCAGGGTCCTCAGCCGTTCATGCAGGATGGCTCTGCAGCTGATCCTGCAAGTCTCGGAGTGGCTGTTCTTCTCGCCAATTGGACGGGTCTTTCATCTTCGGACGGACTTGATTATGCTGGAGCAGCTCAAGACCAGCTTAATTACCTCCTAAACGAAGTCCCTCGAACTAGTGATGGTGCCATAAGCCACCGAGTGTCTCAGGTACAGCTCTGGTCGGACTTTGTGTACATGGTTCCGCCATTCCTGGCGTACTATGGTGTCCTTACCGATAACCAGACCTTAGTTCGAGAGGCGTACAACCAGATCAAGCTGTACAGGGACTACTTGCGAGATGATGGCGCCAATGGGCTATGGAAGCATGTGCTCCTTGGGTCATCTGGAAACGATGAAGGACATTGGTCTACGGGTGAGTTTATCCAACACAGCTCTATATGCACTTGATTTATGAACCCACTTTACAGGGAATGCATGGGCAGCGGCAGGAATGTTACGTGTCCTTGGTACCATCCAGCATTCACCATTCCCTAAAAGTTTCAAGAACGAGCAGAAAGACTTACAGAAATGGGTGACGGAGATCATGGATGGAATGTATCCTTGGCTGGTAAGTTTATGTCTATCCTATGCATTTTGATCCTACTTGCTCATTTCGCTCACCGGTTGACATTCTTCTTTTTATTTTAGCAACCCAGTGGCTTATTTAGGAACTACGCCGACAACAATTCGACTTTCGAAGATGCTTCATCTACAGCTCTCCTTACAAGTGCTGTTTACCGACACTCCCTCCTATCAGGTGTTCATAGACACCTTCCTGATGCCGAGAGATCTCGACAAGCGCTCTCTGCTCCAGCCAATTCTTCCAACCCGCCTGCGCCTAACAACTCGAATTCGTCTCTAGTCCACTTCACATCGAACATGTGGCTCACTCCTGTCGTTAATCCCCACTCATACGGCGTCCAGGGCAGGGAGAGTCCAGAAGGTCAAGCATTTGTCGTCGAGATGCAGGCTGCATGGAGGGATTGGGTGAATGATGGAAGCAAGGGTGCGAATGGTGCTCTTAAAACTGGCGGAAGTCCAAACGCCATTGCTGTTGCGGTGGCTGCGATACTGGCATTACGACTCTGGTAGATGGACAGCGGTGTTCTCGTCTTGGATGCTTCATGACTGGACATGTTGTCGATCTACTTATTCTAGATGTTGCTTACCCACATCGTAGATATTATTTTTGCTTCATTTGTTTGAACTGAACTGTTGTACACTTGGATTACTATGTAAATGTAGATTAGTTGTCTTCGCTTACTTACTCTCACATCTCTGCAGATCATACTAATGTTTTTAGTATACAAGAGGTTGACATATCTTTTGTCTTGGTTCTGTCGAATTTGCTATGAAGTTTAGGCCTATAGGTTAGATCAACAATCGTTATAGTGATTGGATGAATTTCACTGGGATGTTAGGACAGTCGACGTAAAGCCGAGTTCGATTTGCTTTGTGAGTATGAAGTAGTTGTCATCGGAGAAAAGAAGGATACGAGAATGAGAAGCACATACGGTACATAGATGCGCTAAGGTTCGCCGAGGTTCGCAAAACGGCTGCAGTTAAGAATGAATGCAGCCTGAGTGGCGTTCAATCTCCATCCGACAACGTTGTACGCTCTACCCTGAGTCCTGACTGCGTCAAGTCATTCTATAGATGATAGTAATGAAACTGATCTGCCAAAAACACCTGGCTTGGCATAAGGTCCGATGGGACCAACTACCTGCGGGTTCATGGCAATAACAAGCCATTGCCACTTCAAACTAATTGGCAGCTGTAGTAAGGCCGCGGCCGGTGTAGATCTCGCTGTCCGATGAAGACGGCATTCGCTGGTCGGTCAGACCGACTCAGATGAGATCCCAACCTTGGTTCAAAGACAACAAAAACATGTGCTGGTCGCCGTCAAGGGCGACACACAAGCTCTCTACATTGTCATGAACACAGAGAGTTTCGTGTATATATCATGTGGCTCGTCTAAAGAAGGCCAATCGTTTCCGCAAATAGTTGGATGACTGCGTCATAGGATCGTCACTGCCCCAAAATAAGTTGAGAGACAGCGATATTGTCCTCAATATTACTTGGTATGGAGGATCATCGGAGAGGCACTGACGTTTGGAAGTCTGCAGCTGTAGATTATTGAATAGATGTCGTCAAAGCCGACTTTCTTTGGAACCTATCGAACTGACCACTGGGTGCCAACTTCGACAACTTGGTTCGCAACCACGATCTGATGCTAGTAATGAGGCCTGAAGCCTGAATAAACGATAAGGCTGGATGGAACGGGGTCTCTCTTATTTGTCTCCAAAACGGCTTATCGGGAGGCGAACAAACGACCAGATGTTCAAAATTGACTTGAAGGGCGATTTCAAGCAGCTCCTTTCGAACCCCCTACCTGGCAGACGGACAAGGTGCCAGAGCCTTTTTTTTGGAGTCTGTCGGACAGAGATATCCCGAGGCATGAAGGTTTGTGTCTCCGTCTACTCTGCCTTAGGGAGACTAGAGCAGAGGTGAGATGGAGATGATGGTGAGACAGTTGCCGGATGTCAGTGCGATCAATTTCGTGCCTCAGCCATCCACGTCTAGTGTCCTCTAGCACCCTCTTTATCGGGCAACACTGCATGTTGTTACCTCAACCTCTTGCACAATTCTATGTGCATCCCGTCATTCGTGTCATCTTCGGACACTCCGCAGCAGTATCATCATGACCTTCTCCTCGACGTCTGGCTCCTTGATCTTCGTTGCACGTCGACGTCACGTGTGCCTTTCACGACGACTTGTTACGTCGCAGGAAAGAACAGGAGTTACTGTCGTCTTGTTCTTCCAACTCGCCGCGATACCGGTGTTGTAGCGGCGACGAGGGGCCTGACGATGCCAGGCAAGGCAACAATCGTTCAAGACGCCTGAGACCTTTTCCTCCTGCGTGTTACTCTTGGAACAGGTTCTAGATAAGGGTTTTATACCCTCATCGCAAAAAAAAACGTAGCAATGATAAGCTGAGGTGAGTTGCCCTACTTGATTGTCAAAAATCACCACCCGCAAGGTTGCTGCTGAGGCACCGTCATGATCGAGGAATACATCTGTTGACGAGTGACTGTGTTGTTGTCGCATTGGAGATGTTTCACTGCTGACAGCTGGGAATATTGTCCATCCCATCCATGTCGGATTTGGATACAGTTTGGAGACCTTGCGTATCGGCTTCGTCGTCCTAAGCCATTGGAATATCGGTTGCATTAATTTCACTTCTGCATGTTCGGTATTCCAAGCGATGGAGGTTAACCGGATGGAATGACATACGCTATGTATTTCTTTCTGGGTTCGTAACAGGAATACACAGTGTGTAAGGTGGGGTGGAGATGGACAAGGATCCACGTGATGCTGTTGGCTTGAAACATTCAGAAGTCTCCGGTGGACGTTGAGCTTCAAAGACAAGCTTGCAGGTCCCACTGCGAGGAATCATGCATACAGGGAATGCTAAGTAGCCTAAAGGGCGGCGATCAAGAACAAGGGTTACCTTTCCCTTGTTTGCATTACCTTGTACTTCAAGCCTGACAAAGGCGTAACGATGCGTCCATTCATTGTGCAGTCATGCCATCCCTTCAGGACGTCAATCACACCTGTGAAGCCATCGGATGATCAATTCAGGCTCAGAATCATACTTGACTCACCGTCGACATATATAGATACACTGACATGATGCATATTCTGCTATCATCTGCATCTTGTCCTGGTTCAATCTCTGGTCCTGTTTAAGTTGCTGCCGCGCTATATCGTATGCTGAAGCTTGCGGATGGGAATACGTCTCGGTGTTCGGCCAACCGCGATGATTGACTTCGCGCGCTCGGTCTCTTCCCCTGGCAAATTGCTCACTATCCTGCTTGCAGGCAATAATCAGCTGGTTTTCTCAGCCCGACATCGTGCTCTACAAGTCCGACGTCCAAGTTTACGCTCCTGGTACCTTCCTACGTCCTTGAATCACTGCGTTCTCTTGCTGTTGTCCGACTCACGATCATTTCGACCTCATCTCTCGCTACGTCTCCTACGCCCTAAGATTACCTCACCCATGTCTATGAGTAATAATTCCGACAACGTTTTCTCTACATACCCAATGCGCCTTCCGAGTTACAGAACTTCTCATCTAGGAAGATTCCACCCGTATGGTAGAAAGGCAGCACGTACGCGTCATCAGGAAGTGGAAGCGGACTTCATGGTACAGGCTTGCAATTCTTTCGAACCATTCCAGTTGACTTATCTCAAGCTTCATAAGAGGACCATCGACAGCACATTCGATGTTGCTATACCTCAAAGGCCAAGTCTCACTTTGGTGAGTTTTCAGCTTGCTGGCGTTGCATTCCTTGTCTGCCAACTTACTGCGATCTTCGTTTGACATGACAGTCGGTCATCACCGAGGAGAGCGTCAGCGAAATGTTGGAGTCAGGTTACTCTGCGCACGATGCTACACCTTTCTCGAGAGTGGAAGAACTTGTCGTTGCAAGTAATCAAGCTCAAGCCGAGAAAACTGCAGGTCTCATGGAACTGATCGTTGTTGGTCAATTTCTGTCACTTTTCTATACGAGAATTGATCTGTTCCCTGCCGTAGGACTTTGCCCATGCTATGATTCGTCGCCTCCGTCTCAGCAAGGGCTCATAAATAATTCTTCACACTCAACACTTACGAAGGATGCTTCCGGATGAATAATTGTATAATAGACTATATTTACCAGGATGACCGGCTCGTTTCTCGGCGGAGAACTGCGTTCTCGGTTATGCTACCCTAAGTAACTAATCTGAATTGTACCATACGGATTTCTTGGTTGAATACAACGCTCAAGCATACGATCATAACAGGTTATTCAAGCGAGCTTTGGCGTCAAAAATGATCGTGGGTTTGGTCTCGCTTGTCGATGTTTGAGTACGTTCAATTGACGGTGACCACGTGTATTGTCCACTTCCACCATTAGTCCGTGCATTATCTTGAACTATGGATGCTGAACTCAGCGATGGCGACCCCGAGTTCTCTCAGGACTTGGTCCGTATCCTGACCAAGGAGTTGAAGCTAGCAAGGAAACAGTTGCGAGAATCAGATCAAAAGCAGAGGAGGGTATGAGCATTGAAAATATCAGGCTTCATCTGTTCTTATACTGCGCCAACCAGACAGGAACTGTAGACTCTGCGATGGAGCACACAGCTGTTGAGCAACGCCTCAAGGACGAGAATGCCCAGCTACAAGAGGAGAATGCCCATCTGCGAACTGAACTGGATCAACAACGTGTTCTCATGCGTGCTCTTCAGGAGAATCCAGATGACAAGGGTGGAATCGTCCAACCCGCGGTTAGTAGCGTCTTTCAGTCCTGTCTGTGCTAATGTGCTCGTGCGCTTGCAGCAGGAGGATCATTTGCGTTCGCAAGTAGCCAGTTTAGAGAAAAGCCTAAATATAATGACTCGGGAGCGTGACAAAATGCTCACGGAACACGAGGAGAATGTGCGTATGCCATAGTTTTATCGTCTTACTGATCATTCGACTTCTTTTTCTTCAGTCCGCCAATGTTGAGAGGGCTAATAAGTACAAGGACAAATATAGATCGTTTAAAGAAGAATCGTTGAAGGTGAATGAAGATTGTTGTCAACGAGGGCCGTCATTCACATGTATTACTCGTAGTCATTGGATGCTTTACGAGGGAATGTTGCTAAGGTGGAAGCTCAGCGTGATGCTGCTCTTTCCGAAGCACAACAATTGACGGAATCGGTTGCCAAATTCAATCCCAAGGCATTTATTGAAGGGGCGTTCAATGATGATGCCTATCCACAAGATGCTACCACACGCAGGGCCTTTTTGAAAAGTAAGGAAATGAAACTTCCAAAGGTGCAGCTTCCTTTAGAATGGAGGATACTCTCATAATACTGACATGTAATGCGATAATACCAGAATGTGGTCAAGTTCTTGTACGCAGGACTGTCTTTGTATCCACGGATTTTTTCGGCTTACCAGTGTTGTGCATCAGGACATACGAAGTCCCACTTCAATTCCATAACACCCATGGTGTGTGGATTGGACCTTCAAGCACTCATTTCCTGGCAGTCAGTCCTGTGTATGTATATGATCCAAAGGCGTTCGGTCGGAGCGAGGGTGGCTTTAGGCCTTTCGAACAAGACAACAATCGTGAAGAACATGTTAACCGATCTAGGGATCTCTTTTACTGCAAGGACAGGCATTGGCGGTACCATGGCATATATGAGTACCTTGGTTCAAAGGACCTTACCCTGAAAGATGTTCGAAACCTGAACCGTTTACATTCCGTGAGCATTGTATCAACGTTCATCAATTCCTTGATGATTGGCGGTTCACTTTTCATCTCATTCTAGGCTACAGGCGACATTCATATTCGTTCCATTCGTTCTCCCGACATGGTCGCTCCCAATATCAAGAAGATGATTAAACATATGTATAGCGATGGTGTTTTGACCATTCGATGCTCAGGATTCCGCCGAATAGGATTCAACAAGGGGCTTTCTGAGGCTCTGCATGAATCAAGCACGATGCCTATCCCGATTCCGGGTGAAGGTTCCTCGCAGCAACCGAAGCGCAAGAAGCCCTCGACAGACGAGCAGGAATCTCGCCCAGTCAAGAAAAAGAAGTAGTTGTCGGTTGCCGTTTTATGTTGAGACATTATCATAACTCCTAGAGGGTGCCTTATGAAACTCAGGTTGGCAGACTGCAGCCTTGGAGTACGGAGGATTTGGAAGGATATAATACTTGTGCTACCCCATTTGGAAGTAGTCTTACCCGTTCCGGTATCTTGATGCCTTGATATGGCAAAGTCTTCCACTGAGGGTGATCCTTATTTTCTGATGCAAGATGTGCACTGCCTAGTCAGGGTATTTAAGGCCTAGACGCATCTCCAAACAAGGTCTTTGCATGTGCATGGCATATTTACTTGTTGAATTGATGAACTAGCAAAGGATACCACCCGATTTTCTCGCAAATTCCATTGGTCTATCAAATGTTCATACAGTATGTGCAGCGGTGCTGTTCGACCTCTTACGTAGGAGCTCGGATCTAGTCATCTTCTGTCACTACAGGCGGCTTTCGATAGTGACCTTCTGGAGAAGTTTCGCGATCATACGCACCGGTCAGTTAGTCACAATGAAGTGACGTAGCAATATGTGCTTACGACATTCTTTGTGAAATCAAGGAGTTCTTGGAAATCCACACCGTTTTGGCCCCGTTCTAAAGCGGCAATGAGGATACTACGCTCGAGTCTCAACCTGACGTTCTCCTTCTGAAGTCGGTCTCGTTCCGCGGTCGCAGCTTGCAAGAGAGCTTCCGCTTTGACCTAGGAGAACATAAGGCATACGTGAAGTTTGGTCAACGAGGACAATAACAGGATTCCGACCTTTGCAATCTGAAGCTCCTCTCTCGCGATTCGGATCCAGTTGTGTGCCACCTGCTCGAGCTCCTTAACGACAGCCGCATGTGTCTCTTCCTTTTCAGCCTGACTGAGCATAATGAGATTGAGCCTGAGGGTATATGGAGAGGGGTGGAGAGGATGAGATGACAGCATATATTAGTGTGACGGAGTATGAGCTGAATTTGAAGTTGATTCATTCAGATTGATGGCATGTTGAAGTATCGCAGGAGCTCCTGCACCAAAGCCACGCAGTCCTTTATCAACTCGTCAGACATATATTGAAGAACCATGGAAGTTTCTATACAAGATACTTATTTAGACCTACACAGGACAACGAATGAGCTCCAATCTTTAACCAGAGCTGCCATGACATCTATACCACGAATCGCGTTGCTGCGAACTCCTCGTTCCTTGAGAGTATTAGTTCATCCAGAGATACAGGCGTGTATACGTTCGCCATTGAGCACGTCCGTGGTTACAAAGGTATATTGATCGGAGAGAATACGTACATATATATATACATACATAGGTTGGTTTGAGCCAGCGGCGACCTATCTTTTGGCCATGGTGCATGGGATTGAATTTTGATCCAACAGTTCGGGCATATCAACTGAACAACACGGCCGCAAAAACACGCAGCAAGACAAAAATCGTTTTTCGCGTCTCCGCTGGCTAGATAACTTCAACCAGCTTGACCGGTGCTCTGCGCCGGTAGGCCGTTTCGTAGCGTTTCATTGCACCATCTATTTGACGGACAGTGATTGAATAGGCTATCCAAGAGCACAAGGACAGTAAAACCTGGAATGCAGATGTGGCCGACTTGTTCCTACAATGAGCGTCCCACGATCAACCGACCTAGCACGATGAGTGAAAGGACGGAGGAACATGTTTCTGGCCAAACAAGAAGGACGGTCAGGGTGGTCTCCTGATGAAGACAAATTTGTGATATCCGATCGGGGGTTTCGATTAGGGGGTGACGAGATATTGCCGTGAAAGAATGAAGAACGAGATATGTAACAGTGGGTAGGGTTGAGGCGAAGTGCAGCCAGATGCAATGCTCCCATTTTCCCTGCTTTCCATGCGAAAGCTAGTCACCAGGACAGGGAGAGAAAAACGTATTGGCCGTCAGATTTCTCGGGTTGCCAGAAGACTTCTTGGCGGTTCAGTCGCTCGGCTCGGAAGAGGCGAAGATGACGTTGCGTTGAAGAGACGTAGGAGACAGGCTGCGACCCGGTGTCTCCGACGGAAAAGTGGAGGTAAAGAGCAGACAAAGTGGAGTAGATATTAGCAGATGGGTTTTGTAGGTAGAGGCGGATGGTTTTCTCTATCAGAAAACAGTTGTCTAGAAGGTATGTTTATGGAGCGAAGAGACTAGGAGAAAAACTCCAAGATGCGGAAGACGTGAGTGGAGACTCACCCGTACATAGTAGATTGAAGCCGTATTCCTAAATTCCCATCCTTCACTGTTCAAACGTTCAAAGGGGACCACCGCGATAACCACCATGAAGGGGAAGGCCTTGAAACCAGATATATCGAGTAAAATATGAGGAGGCACTTTAGAGTCGAAATGCATGTGGCCAGATGCAATGGGTCCTCATGCACACGCACAAGTGCTGTCGAACGGATGTGGTGGCGGCAATGGAGGCCGAGGCGAGTGGGTGATGGCTGTCAAATTTCGTTGTCTGCCCAGAGGACCTGTCAACATTGGACAGACGAGTGTTCCTCAGCTTGCAAAAGGTGGCGGGGCTGACAGAAGGCTAGAACGATAGAGACGACGTTGAGAGCTGAAGTGGTCAAGAAGGAAAAGGTGGTATGAGAGAGTATAGGCTAGCGGCTGGAGCGAGTGGGCCAACGTGATCTCCTCTTCACTTTCATGCGGCCACTGCGACTCACCTGCTTCCTCTCACATCTGCCACTCTCCGTTTCTTCTCTCAACCCAAACGACAGATCAATACCCGGTCGACACACTTGTTTTGCCGCGTCAGAATCTTGCTTCCTCCCACTTTTCTTGAGTGGCACTGGACGACATACGCAAAATCCGTACACAGAACTTGCGGCCAAATCCGCACACGGAATTTGCGGTCAAATCTCAACACAGTCTCGGTCTTGCTGCCTTCAAGGTTGCTGCTAAACTTGTGGAACTGGTCTCATCTTGTTGGCTTGGTGCACAACTGCCAGAGGCTCACGACCTGAACCCGCCATGGATCTTCCTTGGTTCTCATCACCGATATGTTTGTCGTCGGACAATGTTCGATCGCGAACACTTGAGCTTAAGATAACGACGCTAGGAGCTGGTCGTCGCCTCCCAACTCTGGTTCTTGAAGCACGCCAGGTGAGTTTTCCCTTCATGTTGACTTGATTTCTTTGGGGGGTTCGGACGATGTTGAGAGTTCTCTTCTTGAGATTACACACGGTCGAATAATGAGGCCACCGGCCACTATTAGTGTGACATGTGCCAAAGGCACATACTCTCAGAATTTTTGTGTTTTGGACTTCGTCGTTATCGTCGACGGCGGCGACGACGACTTGATGGAGGGGCGTGACGCGCCTACGTGACTGTCACATTTGGGTGACAGATGGAATGCGTCTTGTAGTGGTTGGATGGGACCAATGTACATGAATGGCATGCTGGATATTGTACATCCTACTGTTCAGCACAGTGCTGGACTTTTCTCCTAGCAAATACATCAATTTGGGGGTTGGGGTGGTGGAGGACGCACCTGCTAGTTGTGTGACAGGCTCGTCACGGCTAAAGCTCTGACGTTCCTGCGCACGCAGGCTCCTCTGGAGGAGGGGGGGAAAGCTGGGTTGCATACGACTCAGTGTGCGACTGAGAGTCAGACATACCTCGCCCGTTCTTAGGGAGCTGCTTGTTCCTGCTTCTGCGATATTCGTGTCACACGGTGCTTGTTGGGTGGTGATTGGTCCGTCGCACCTTGCCCGACGTTGCCTAGTCACTGGGTATAATGGCCAGACGTGGGCCAGTGACAGATCGGGAATCGTGATTCTGACGTCTTTTGCGCGTTGGGAATCACCCTGGAGCTGTAAGGAATGCCGGGCAAGCTACTGTTCTCTCTTCCTGGCGGCATATGCAGTTAAGTGCTACATTTGCATCATGCATACGCGTAGTGAGAGCTGGCACGAATAGTGCGACGCTGTTGAGATCATTTTGAACGAGTTTGCGTTTGTGCGAGACAATGCGCCGATTATCGATAATTGTGATATTTCTGTTAGAGAAGGCCTCGCTCACGCATACCATTCTTCAGGTGCTTCGTTCTGGTTTTCTTTTGAGCCTTGAGGCAATCATCGCGCACCACAAAAGCAAGCAGAAGGAAACAGTGACTTCGAAGCATACCCGTCATGGCGGCGGAAAGAGACAAAGTATCGTGATGCGCCGATGAGAAAAAGCACGACGGGCATATCCCATCAATCCGCTATCGCGCTTCTCCCAGGTCCGAGCCTCCTTCCCTCCTTCAAGAGGCGACGCAGCACCACTTGGTGTTGCTCTTTTCTCAGTCTTCTTCTTTCATCTAGGGGTGTTGCCACCTTTTCTCGCCCTCTCTTGTATTCATCCTTTCTCGTTTTTAAGTCTCTACTCCTTCCACACTGTTCGCTTTTGCCTGCTCCCTAGTTCCATCGCTCGTTACATCACAATTCTTCATTACCAAAAATACCATCTACATTGGCACGCCATGTCAGTGGAAGTCGCCTCAAATGCTGTCGCGTCTCAGCACGAGTCTATTTCATCCGTCTCGAAGCCGTACCTCGGCGACCTTCGTCTCCCTGCATATCGTGTCACTCATTTGGGCAGGTACCATCCTTATGGGCGTAAGGTAGCCTATCATGCCACGAGTCAACCAGTGGACTTGATGGTATGTATGGTTCTCCGTCTTTTTATGATAAACCATCTCTTTGTTGACAATATTCTGCTTGTTAGCAAACCCAAGATCACCGGTTTACTGACTATGCTGGCAGACCCAGTTTGTCATTAGTGAGTTCGTCCGTATTAATTCAGTGATAGCGTTGGACTCAGTGTGCGCTATTCCTGAGCATAGTCTATTATTTCTGAAGAAGATGAGGATGACATAGCCAGGGTGGAACACGGCATCTATCCTGTCATTCCACCGATCGAACGACTTGTTGTCATTGGCGGACATCCGGAGAAAACAGTTGGTTTCATGGAAATCATAATCGTGCGTATACATTCCCCAGTGTCGCTCGACTGCGCATGAATTTATTACCGTTCTTTCCAGGATTTCGCTCTTGCCATGCGCAGGAGGTTCCGAAGGTTGGCCACGAAGCGTGGTTGAAAGACGTTCCATCAAATCTCAGACAACATCACACTGATCTATGTTACTTCACTGACTCGTTCCAAAGCCAATTTTCTTGAATCTTGCACTTCTTGGATTATCGAACCTACCGTACTTGACAAGCTGCTCTTGCGATATTATCATTGTATTATAGTTGATTTCTTGGCTATTTTTGTACCATAGTTCTCTTGGCTGCGTCGATATGACGTCCTGTATATACTACTCCTGGCAATGTCTATGTCAAAATCTGGTGGAACCTTGACCGTTGAAACGTACGAGTGCGATTGAGATGAGATTGATACAAATTCAAGATATGCTAGCTAGAGTCGAGGTGATAAACCTCGCAGAGCCCCTAGGTACGCAAGGAAACAGCTGCTGGGGTGCCATCGAGTTTGGATAGAACATAGAAGTTCATTATATTCCGGGATCAGCCTGGCGACGATCTCCAAAGGAGGAAGTTGTGGGTAGGTTGTGGTGAAGGTGAAGGTTTAGCAGAGGGAATCGATCGATTGACATGTGCGCGGAAGTAAAATCAATGGATGACCCAGGGGCTGAGCCGGCTCCCCCGGATGCACTTCGTCCAATCATCGTGGCTCATGGGACCATCGACTCATCCACCATCCTCAGCCAGCTTATATGTTCGTAGCCAACGTGAATGTCGCCGTCCAAGGTAACCGAGTAGGTGGGCTGATGATGGCGCTGGTGTACTCCTCTCTTCAGGGTACTGTACTGTTCAAAATTATAACAACCTACCGTGACGCCGTGACGCTAACAACCTGGTAGGCTCCATAACAATTTGGCGTGAGCGCGACGTGACCATTACAACATTGTTAAGAGCGTGACGGTGTGCATACAAAAAGGTAATCCCGACGGTTGCCCCAACTCATATCAATGTTGTCCGGATAGATACTTAACCAGTTGATCGGAGCTCTCAGTACATATGGTAGACCATTGAGTAGATTTGTATACTGTTGGAACTTCTCTATATATTTACTTTATCAGCTTCATCACTATGGACATCCAGAATCATTTCAAGAAATAGCCCCAGAGGGATATGAGGAGCAGCGAAGCGAAGTTTTTGCTTCAGTAATGTGCACAGTTCCTGAACTTCATACAGTTTACTTGCGTGACGACTTGGTTTTCACATTACAATCAGACCCTTTGCGTGACGTTACATTACATTTTTTTAACATTACAACCTCAGTCCGTGACGTGACTAATTGTTATAATTTTGAACGATACAGTATATTGTAGGTTGCCATCATGATCGTCTACATCGGCTTCCTGCACGACCAATCGTTCTTCTGGCTGTTTCCTTCGTCGATTCTGTTTCGACGTCGCCCGTTGTGCGGTCTCTCGGGAGTGGTTTAGGACACTTATCCTCATCGGCGACGTTAGATTCGAGGCAGCATCAAGTACGACGTTTTCGCTTTCGTCTTCAAGCCTCTGAGGATCGTAGTCTGCTTCCCTGACTTTCGAACCATGGCACGAGTGCGTGGTGAGTCTCTTCTTCATTCCGTTCCAGTCCTTGACGCTTCCTTGCGTGGAGAGACGCGTCGATGCTCCTTGTTCACGTCGCTTCACCATTACGCGTGCTCTCAAGGAGCAATGTAGATATATGACTGGTTGAATCTTTACGAGAGAAGAAACACTTCGATCTTCAGTTTCGGTTGGATGGATGATGATTGGAAATGAACGTACCTTGTTCTAAGAATGTTTTAACATTCAAAGCACGGTCAGATTGTCACACACGGGCTTCTGCTGGTCTGAAGGACTTCATCGTCACAGAGTCGGTTGCATCATTATGTTTGGATCACTGCCTGTGTGCTCTCGTAGTAATGATTCCTGGGACAGTGGTCCTGCCAATATATTGATTGCATGTGGGGGTGGGGTTGGGAGGCGGAAGTGACTGATGGCAATGGAATGGCTGAAATATTGTTTGTTGAGGAATTTTTGTTAAGCCAGGAGTGACGATGCTCTTCACCCAGTCATTTTGCGTTGCTTCTCAGGATGGAGAGTATTACCCTGGCCGGGATGATACTCATGACGAGGAAGAGGCTCGGGGGCTTGAAAGCCCCCAGGGCCATCTCAGTGTTCATGGGACGCAACGTATGAATCTGAGGAGGTACTATCTGGCGCATGTTCTGCATTATGTGTCGACTCCGCAGATGAGAAGGATCGTACCTTGTTCCCATAATTCGGAACCTGAGTATGCTCTGAGAAGACATTCACAATGCATTGCAGGCCAATTTATTCCAGACGCGTCGTTGGGAGTAACTTTCACACCTTCGTCCCGCTGTTGAGGGCAGCTGAAGAGGGGAACAGTCCAAGCCATTCTATGATGGGCCTTGAGCGAGTCCCGTGGCAGTTATCCGGTCCTTGTGCAGAGAAAGTAGGCCTCACGCGGCGATGCGGGGAGCAATGGTGGCTTGGGTAACTGACGCACCACAGAGGCGATCTTCTTGCTCCAGCGGCCTCCTATAAGGACTGTATAAGACCAGTGCTGCGTCTTCGGTGGAAGGCATCACTGGGAATGGCACACATTTGCAGACTTGGAAAGGACGATTCGATCGCCCATAAGAGGGGACGTCGCCAAATATGATTTCGGGCAATTGCGAAGCTGAACACCTATAGCCTCCGCGCTTTTCTTGTTCTTTCCCCGACACCGTGAGGAAGGTCACAACAAGCTATACCTGTGCTTGTCCTAGTGGGCTTTCCTTGCTGTCCTCTCAAACGTCCATTCATTTAGATACGGAGTACATCAGTGCCTCAGATCCCAACAAAGCAACTGCAATAGTTGGCACAGTCTTCATGCCTTCGACTACTTTCGAACATCCCGGCGCCGTCGCCATTCCTTCTTCGATGAAAACCTATCCGCTCCGCCTACCCAGCTATCGTGCCTCATACCTGGGCAGATATCATCCTTACAGCAGAAAGTCAAACAAGCCCGTAGACCTGATGGTGAGTCCTGTCTCCTCAAGCCGTGTATTCCCATCAGAGTGATCTTTACGTCTGAATGACATAATTGCAGAAAAGAATTGACCTACCATTTGAGCAGTCAGGGCGACTCAGCTCCGCATTGGTAAGATCCAGTAGCACGCGTCCTACATGCACTGTGATGCATCAACTGAAACTATGACTAGTCGGTAGTTTCGGAGGAAGATGAATATGAAGAAGCAATTATCGAGCCGCCTGCAAATTCCTATGAACAACCCAAGCTCATCATCATAGAACGCCAGCCTGCTACGTACACCAACTTGGTCCGGCGGATGAATGTGCGATTGCCATTGTTTAATTTGTTGTCGTGGGCTTTGTACTCAACGATCTATTTTAGGCTTTTGCTATAGCTCTGGTTCGTCACATTCGGAGGAGAAGCACGATGAAACCCGAAGTGTAACCATCTCGCGCTTAGTGCTCATCCTCTGTAGTGAGTCTTCTTGATTATATTTCTTAGTCCCCAACACCCGTCGCGCCGCTAATGTAGATACGACTTGTACTTTACCATGGACCTATATTGCTTCTCGGACATACATTCGCATAGTCACCCTGCTCACTTGTATATACCTAGAGTTTGAATGAAAAAAAATATGGCTACGTATTGGTTGGCTTAAATTCCTCGAACTCGATTTGAGTGGCGGCAAGCCGGGTCACGCTGTCACAGCGTCGGTGCGTGACAGCGCGTCGCGCCGTCCTCATGTATGTTCTTAGGTAGCACCCATACGCATGTTTTGCAACATTTCAATCAACTGCGACGATCTGAACTCTCCTCTAAACCGGTGAGTATATATATGTGGGGTGAACAATGAATGTTGGAATCACATTGAATCGAACTTTACAGTCATCCTAAGGCCGCTTTAGCTTCCTCCTAGCAATATCTCTTACGCGTCGCATCAATCGATCCTGTACTTGCATCGCCCGAGATCCTTTCTGACGTCAAATTCTCGTATCAGACGGTCGAAGTTTAAAACGGCCCATCGAACAAGTAGTATGAGCGGCGGCTCTCCCACCAGATCACCATTGTCCCCGCCACCTTTCGCTGTGGAAATAAAAGTACCTACTAAACAATCAATCGAAGGTCTGCCATCCGTCTGATCTCCTATATTCTGATCTGACATCCGAGACGCTTACAGAACTCCCAGAAGCCACCTCTAGATGGCACGCATCCAGCAGGAGCAACTCAAGGGCAAGAACGCCTCGACGTCCATCCGACATAAACGAATACATAGCGAATGACTCAGAAGGCTCTGAATGGGATGCCCCAACTACGAGCGGCAAACCATCTCCCAGAACATACAAGTCCTCATCAAATGCTCGCCTTGCCAAGTCTGACTTGCAAGCTTCAGTTACAAGGATTGCAAAGTCGAGAGTAGGGCCCAGAACACCACAAAGGAGGGGCAGGTTAGAAAGGATCATATTTACTGATGACGACGATTCCGGTAGGATCTTCATCCTTTACTTTCACGACAATGAATATATCATTTTTGCGTCATACAGTTCAAAACGATGCCGCTGGTGCCTCCGGTAATGCTGCACAGTATGTCAAGAGGCAAGCAGCTTCCAGCGCTGAGGAAAATCCTGTCAAAATTGGTCCACCTCGTAAACGGCAGAAGCAATTTAAAGCTCGTTCGCCATCCAAAGCGACAACGCGTTCGACTAAGACTCTCCACTCTATCTCAACATCGAAGAAGTCATCATTTTACATATCTCATAAACGACCTCGTTCTCGCTCAACTTCGGAGTCGTCCTTGTCATCACGAGGTGATGATACTGGTGTTGATATCCCGCCCGTGACGTCTTCTAAAAGCTTGCAAACCTCTATTGGGTCTTCTACCAAGAGGGCTTCTGATAGCTCTGCCTCTAATTTGCCTGCAGTTCTATCCGATACCGCAAGAGGAAAGCAACCCGAAGCGCACCAGACGGCGAGCACAGCACCCCCTAGCTCAGTATCTCAACATTTCAGCACAAGTAGCGACGCGGAGGATATTCCTCGTGATGATGGGCCTAGAGAACTTGACGCACCTACGTGGACGTATCTGGAGAAGGCACCAGTGACTCCTCCTGAAGACGTATCACCACATGCATCTTCATCGATGCATACTTCACGACCCGCCATTCTACCCGGAACGGTTATACGATGCGCATGCAGAAGAAAATTCCGAGTAGATGCAGCGAAACGCACGTTCTGCGAACATTGCTTATACAAAACTCTCATGCGCTCGGGGCAGGCCGGGCGAGCGAAAGCATTGTTTCCTAACGGACCTCCCGGTGGGGAAGCCTCTGATGTGGATGAGCTGAGAGATGAAATGGACGAGCAGGAAGTAGAGGCTGCGACTGTTATAAGGCATACTTCTCCCCAGAGTCATCAGACCATATCCCATGGCTTTGAAGACCATATGTCGCTGGCTGATGGCGCTGAATGGGCAGATGACGATGTGAATTTGAAGTATCAAGTTGAAGATCGCGACGTTGGCCCAAACTCCAATGTACACAAGGTTTCACCATCTTCTGGCCCAGTCGACATTCGAGACAGTCCATCGGTCTCAAAGAAACACACTCGTGCTGTGTCAGTTGATATTGACGCTACTGTAACAAACCAAACCACCAGGCGTCAAAGTCCTGTTCTTTCCAGAGTTGAAATCAAGACGAGACGTTCCGCCAAGCCAACATCTGCCATCGAATATCAGCATCTCAATGATCTCCTCTACAGTCTTGCAGGCATCACGAATGGCATCCATGCCGCAAAGACATCCAAGCAGGCTGCATCTCAGATTCGCTTCAAAGGATTCGCGCTTCGCGTCATCGATGTAAGAAAGTGGCCGTTGTTCCCACTCGTGAATGAGAGACTCCTAAATGAGATCGCGTCCGAGGTAAAGGCAAAAGCGTTTCTTCCCTTCATGTGAGCCTTTTGCTGTGTATTTTGTATGAATGTTGTTGCTAATGCACTGACATTATAGTTTGCCTCGCAAACAATTTGACGCTCTCGATGGTCAACGTCGTGGCGTCCTGTACCTTTGCCAGTGTCTGGAGAATTCGCCTGGCCAGCAGTGTTGCGGAAAACTCCAGATTACTTTGACTAGCATTGAAGCTGAGCATGGAATGTCGGCAGTCAGCATCCATGTAGCACTCGATCACTAGACCTTTCCCTAGTAAGTACTTCATTTTTGATCAGGGTATCAACATATTGCGCCATTTGTTTTCTTTTCCTTAATGCTTTCGCTTGAATCTCTAGCTCTTAACACATCATCTTCTGTTACCCTTGCTCTGTTTCATCATCTCGCCTTTGTGCCCTTGTACATGATCTTGCAACAATATCACATACAGTATGTCTTGCTATAGGTCCATCGCTTCGTTGGGTGCCCTCTCAGTTGGCGTACTCAATGTCTGTTTTTTTGGGGGGGGAATGTCTGGAAGGGATCATCCTGGCTCTGAATCGCATGGTGAGTGTCATTCTTTACATCGAGATCAACATGGCCCAAAAACTTGTGTTAACCTCTCATAGAGGAAATTGTGCTCTATCATCCGTTCAAGGTTCCGAAGCTGGCTTCAGTTCATACAAACCATGACATCTTCCCCACTGAGAATGAAGCAGCGGACGGTGATGTATGTGGTCGGTCTTGATCCGACGGGTTTCTGGTCTTCATTTCCTCCTTGCACACTTTGAATCTAACATTCGGGCGTGTCGTCTTAGTGAGCATTAGTCCGAGATGAAGAAGCGATTGTATTTGTGTAAGTACTCCGCTTGTCCTAACCTTGGTGATTGTCGCTCACCTTCATCAATCGTACGACGTTTTGAGCAGTTTCAGCTATTCGAGAGGCGTCGAGTTGACGCTATCGGATGTACCTTGGCTGATTGCATTAACATTGCGGCGCCCGAGCGGTTCGGAGTTAGACTAGAGCCAGCGACTACAACTCTGCAATGAAGAGGTGGGGAGTAGACTTATGAGTTCATTTTGAGTTGCTGGCGCCGCATCCACTATATTCTGTTTGACATGCCCCAGGTGACCCTTGAGAATATCACCGCCTTTGATGAGATATAATGGGGCAAGGTTTCAGGCCGTCCTACGCCCTCAACCCCTTCCCAGGTGCTCAGGATGCCGCTTATCATGATAGTCTCATTCATCCTCCTATGTAGTCTGGTATGGATACTATTCAAGGTCGGGGCAAGAGAAAAAGGCCTTCCACCAGGTCCTCCGACAATGCCTGTTCTTGGCAATCTGCACCAATTACCGACACGATATACTCGCATCCAGTAACGTTCTTAAAGCCCACTTCACCGCTAGCTCGCTATTGATGACAGTATCTAGGTTCACCTCATGGGCAGAACAATACGGGGGCATATTTTCTGTACGTGACTTTTGCCCAGATCAAGGGTATGCTTATTTTGTAATGTCTAGCTCAAAATTGCCCACGGTACCACAATTGTTATCACAAGTCCAAGAATCATTCGAGAATTTATGGATAAACGTAGCGCGTCCACCGCGGATCGCCCTCCCTTCAAGCTAGGTGAAATCATCATGGATGGACTCAATGTCGCGTTGGCGGGAGCCGGTCAGTAACACGGTTATGCTCTATCGAATCTTCTGACCGCTGCAATCACGCAGGGAATACCTGGAAGAACATGCGTAGGGCTATGCATATGTTCCTAACGCGAGAGGCGTGTTCGAGGCACTTATCAATTCAGCATGCCGAAGGTATTCAGCTGATGTACGACCTTTTGAAACAGCCTGAGGTGCGTCTCGCGTTGGGCGAAGTCTTTCAGTAGTCATGACACGTGATCAAACAGGCAGTCTCTACCCATGTCCAGCGACAGACCATCTCCATTATTTTGTCCACTGTCTTCGGTATCCGAACTCCGCGGTTCCAGAACAGTGTAGCGTCAGAATTTGCTGACATGGAACATATTCTGGAAGAAATATTCGAACCAGGGGCGATTCCACCGGTGGATCTCCTTCCTGTATTACAATACATCCCGGAAATTTGGGCTCCGTGGAAGAGGACCTGCCGAGAGCTTCGACAAAAGTATCAAAAGATATTCTCTGGCTTGCGAGACATGTGTGAAACACGGATGAAGATGAATAGGCGCAATGGTTGCTTCCTAGAAGATGTCTTTAATCAGCAAGAGAAGCTTGGGTTAACAAAACCCATGATCGCGTAAGTCTAGAGTCCATAGCAGACTGCTAGAAAGTATATTCTGACATTTACGCAGGGCTGTTGGTGCAGCTTGTCTGGAAGCGGGCGCCGTTACCACTACGTCATTCTTCCAAACATTTATTTTATGTCTAGTCCATCATCCGCATGTACAACGCAAAGCGCAAGCGGTGATAGACGACATCGTGGGCACAGACAGACTGCCGACTATGGATGATTTCGACCAGCTCCCGTATCTGCAGGCCGTTGTGCACGAGGTGGGTCCATCTCGCTTCAGTCGACGTTCCCATCCATTAATAATACGTCAGGTTCACCGTTTCTTCCCTCCTATACCCCTCGGTATCCCTCATAGGTCAACAACGGACGAGACCGTGAGTGATGTTTCGACCATTATTACACGTATGACGTTATGACATTCGTCAGGTTGAAGGATACTTAATTCCGAAGGGATCGACAATATTCATGAATTACTGTATGTTGTCGTCTCATCCTTTGCAGCCATTCTGAACGAGCCCGTTCAGATGGAATCTATCATGATCCGAAGTTATTCGATCGTCCAGAATCATTCTATCCTGAACGCTACCTCCTTTCAGAATTTGGTACAAAACCAGGTGTTGATGCGACCGGTTTTCGGTACGATCTACACTTTGGGAGCGGCAGAGTAAGGTTTTCATCTCATGCACTGGTATACATACTCACTTAGCCCTGTATTGCAGCGGATTTGTCCTGGTATTCATTTTGCGGGTAATGCCATAGTACGTCATTAATCACACTGCTACCGACGGCATCGCTGAACTTGAAGAGTAACAGAAAATGAATGTAATAAACTTGTTATGGGCGTTCGATTTTCATACTACCGATGCTTCGCCTCGAGATGAAGAATGTCCCATTCGGGTCGACGACTTCCTGCCTGTAAGCCATTTAGAGTCCTGAAAATCCACAGTTTATACTCATCGGTGCTTTAGGGGATTGCCACTGGACCAAAGCCTTTCTCTTGTGTCGCACGGCCTCGAAGTGAAGCACACGCGGAGCTGATACGATCTGAGTATACTAAGGCTCGTCCGATATTCAGCAAGTTTGAGCAGGAGCTTTCTCCCGAAGAGGCTGCTTTTATCGAGAGCTGGTGATTGATGAACAGTTCGAGATATCCACGACCATGCACGCATAGATTTTTCCGGATAGGCGGTTGTCATACGCAGCAATCCACAAGAATGCTTTCGATTTCCTTGTCAGATATTTCATGCCTTTTTTCACCAACGTCCGACGAAATGAAATGCGTTCGTATGCAATCCAGAAGCTTGTTCTCATTGACCGTCTGTTCCAAACTTTACAAGATAGTAATTCACCTAATAGCTGTCTGTGGTAACAATATATCTTAAATTCCATCTCAAATCAAACAATCATCGTACAGTATAAACGTACATCAAGTAAAAGTCACTCAATAAATAGTCAGCAAGAATGTTCAACAAAAAGGCTGATAATTTTGACTCTAGTCATTGCGGTTTTTCAATCCGCCGAAGACCTTCTTCTGTTCTTCGTTATTACGATCGCTGTTAGACTGAATGCTGGCGTTCGGAGAGCCTTTGGTCCATGTATTGCCATCTACCCCGTTTTCAGGGGCTGGTTTGTGCATCTCACTTCCTGAGACGGGTCCATAGTACGCAGACCCAAGTGCCTTGATAAAGCCCCTAAGGTTCGCAGTCGTTCAGAACATCATGATTCTGCGCTGCTCGAGCTCTCACGTACCGTTGCGTTGCATCGACGTACTCTTCTCTGTTGGCCAGGCGAGTCCTTCTTTTCACAGACATCCCCTTCTCAGAGATATTCACGCCCCTCTTCTGAAGCCTAAGAGCGAAAATCGTAAGCAAAAATGAGCAGTAGAAGCTTCATTGGCGCCCACCTCTCCTTCGACCATTCTTTGGCATTCATTATTTGTCTGTAAACAAACAGTGCGGCATACGCAATGAGAACTACCAATAGAAATGTCTTGAAAACGATATTTGAATACGTCATATGCACACGGACAATAGTATAAGGAAGTGGACGCACGAGAGCCAGCGACAAGTAATCAGTCCTATTGACACCCGTCAACTTCAGAAAAATAGGCAAAAGCTTGACTCGCATGAGATGTACCCACCAGGTCGCCATGATGTTGAAGGTCTAACAAAAGGGGACAATGTTGAAGCCACTGCTTCGAAAACTTGGAATGTGGCAGGCGTGGAGAATACTTTCAACTGTCCGAACTAGACTAAGAATTTACAGGGTAGTTGACCTGTCAGTGAATAGATGGTGAGGAAGGTTGTCCGAGATGGAGGATGGGTAAGGCACAGCGATGTAGGTGGTAAAGCTAAAGCCGCAGTCAATTGAGTCCTAGCTTAGGCTATCTTCCCGTTCAGTACTTCGATCACAATGACGGCGCCGATCATCCCACGCGGCATTCCACGTTTGGTATCCCCGTCTCTCCCTTTCACCCAATATTTTATCAACTGAACTTGGATCTCGCACTTTGAATGAAATTTGAATCTGAGTTGGGCGCTATGAGCATTACAGCCACATTCAAAACGATAGGCCCCTCCTCAGAAATTACATTCGGGTCGGTAAGGGTCGGTACCGTCGGTGTTGTCTCGCTAATGAAGAGCCCAGAGGCGGAAGAGGGCGGCATGACTGACCAGCACTGCATTCCTCCCCCGGCATAGGTTCGCTAGCCCTCATCATCACCGTTGCGTTAGCCGATCCTGAGCCTGATTTTTTTGCTGGGGCCTATCGTTCTGAATGTGGCTGTAATAGGCGAACAGAGTAGAATATGGTCATGACATTCGAGCATGCTCCAAGAACGCCCTAGCTTCCTCCCAGTCCATTCGTTCCCGCTCTTTCCCCAGTTTCTCACCTCTCCTAATCTCCTCCTCGTCAATCATCTTCCAGTCACGATAATCAGTTACATCACCAGACGCCATAGCCTTGTTCACTTCCTCCGGGATACCTTCCAGGTCAACTTTATTGGCCAGAACCTCCGAAAGCTCGCCCAGCGACCCGTCCCCTGCTGCAGAGGCCAAAGCATCATTTTCTCTCCGAATCTGATCTGGGAACGAATCAGCAAGTATAGTATCTGCGACAGCATACGCATCAATCATAGTGCTCGCAAGTACACCTCTCGCGCCCATGGCCGCCCAGCCGCTTGCGTACACGCCCTTCACAGTCCGTCCAGTCTCATCCACAACGCGACCGCCCACGGTCCGGACATGTCGCAAATCTGGATCATACCAAGGTATCGACGGCTCGGCCTGGTGTCCAAGAGACGTAACAACCATGGATGTCCGCAAAGTTGACGTTTCGCCTGTAGGAATTGCCTTCTTATCAGCAGAAAGCGTGTTATGAGCCAGTGACAAGGTATATGGGCGTGTCAATGAACTAGAGGCAGAGTTGGGAGGTGCCAGGCCGGTGGGTGAACGGAAGAAATCCAGTGACCAGGATTTGGGAGTCGTTCCTGGTTTATTGCGGGATCCTTTCTGAAGGAGTTGCATTGTGCGACTCTGCTGTCTAGTCAATTTGGCACCTTCTGGGACAACAAGAAGGCTAGGGTCGATGGGTTCCATAGAAGCGTCTTCCAGGTTCATCATCTCTCTCAGTTCCTTGGTAGTGAACGCTGCTTCGAGAGGTCCGCGTCGACCAATAATCGATACATGCTTCACAGCAGAACGTCTAAGAACGTCTAGCACTGGCTCAGGGATATCGTACTTTTCCAATGTGGATGGCGGGGTAAGCAACATTCGAGCGACATCTAAAGAGACATTTCCTTGGCCGATGATACTTATGTGTTCTAGTTTTTCGAGTGGTGGAGGAGGCTTGTGTGCGACAGATGGATGTCGTGTGTACCAATGCACTAGTGAAAGCGCAGGCACACAGTGGTCGGAAGGTGGGAGGGCAGGATGGAGCAATGGAAGACTACATCCCGAAGATAGGAGCAAATGTGTGTAGTTTGAGAAAAGTGTACTCAGCGGTAGCTCGGTAGATTGTGGAAGAGGCACAACCGGCGGTGAAGCGACAACATTCACGTTTCCAAAGAAACGTAACCGCGGATCAGTTGCTGCAGCGTCGAACTTGTGTACACAATTCTAAGTTGTTTCTCTCGTTCAGAGAATTCTCTTAATTCTATATCATGGAAGCACTCACTTTCACCTCAGGGTGATCTGGCGCAACGCCATATCGTACTAGCCCATGCGGGGCCCAAAGTCGGTCATACATGTGTATTCGCAAGGCTGAGTGATATGGACTTGAAGGAGGTAGTGAAGCCAATAGACGGGAGGCAACATAGAATGACGAAGGTCCTGCACCGATGATGGCTAGTTTGATAGGTGCCATTGCCTTCGTACGTCACGCGAGCTAAGGTGAGATAGCGTTGTAGGAAATAAAGTCACTTGAGTAACCTAGATACCAGTACACTCAAGCGTGAACGCACTATAAGCCTAGGTGCAATGTGTAATTCTCAATCTCCGTCCTTCAACTGAATGTTGAGCTTTGGTTGAGCTACAGAATATGTCGAGAGACTTGGGAAATTCTTCACCTGCCTTAAGGTTGAGAGCCAGTAGCCTGAAGCACCGAGCTGAGTTATTTTGAGGCTAAATGGCGAGTTAAAAGTCAACGTCGACATGACTGCAGATGACTGAACTTACAAACATTCACTGAGCGCCAAGGCCTATTTGTCACTTGCACCTATGACCCTCATTTACGACGAAAAAAAAAGTAGTTATTGAGGAAGCTTTATTCGAGCACTGCAAGTGCTGTATGTACTACGCAGATCAAGAAAGCAGGATACAGGTGTATACATGTCTACTGTTATTGATTAGTCCCAAGATATGGTATGAAGTTCAAACACGCTAAAGCAGCCGAAAGCAAATGAGAACACTCTACTGCAACACGTATACAGTCGGTCTAATGTATCACCTTCACCGTGAACTTATCGGCAAAGATGGACCCCGAGTTTACAGGACCAGAAACTTTACGCGTCACTAACACGACTCTGCCGCCGCACTGTGAAGTCTGAGAGGTGGCATTGGCAGGATTATCTGCACATAAACATTGATATATGGAGTGGTGCGTTTGGTATCCTGGGAATGCGCTTGGCGGGAGATCTGATCTGTGCAAAGAGTCAGAATACTGCCCTTCAACGAAAGAGGTTGATCTTACCGAATAGGCAAGGCAGCCTTCTGAACCAATTCCTGAACTACCAACTGCGAATTGGATTCGAAGGAGGTCGTCGTAGAGCCTGCGACGACAGAATACGATCCGGCAAAATTGGTGACCTGTCTATAGGAGAGCCGTCTCAGGTTCGCAACGTGCGACCTGAGAGCAACACAGAGCGCATCCAAATCCAGATATTGCTGATCCTCTTCCATGTCGTCAACCCTCGACCGTTTCTTCGCTGCACTAGACCAAGGCTCTGCCTTGCGTTTTCCCAACGTCGGTTCGGAAACGTCGAACCTCGCGTCATAGCACTTCAATTTTCCAGCAATACGCAACTTGCTCATCCATAGCTTCAGGCCTTCATTGATAACAGGCGAGGGACCCGGGACATCTTTGTAAGGAAAAACTGCACTCGGGCCAGCCGCAGAGTCTCTGTAATCGGACGCAAGAGCGGGAAGGGGATGGGGAGGAAAGTATGGGACAAATCTGGGGTCCGTTTGCCAGTAATTGGATGGCGAGGGTGCTACTGGAGTTGACGCCATGGGATGTAGGCCCTGCGGCCAATGGCCCGGCACGAAATTTGTCGCAGCGTATGGTAGCAGAGTAACAGCAGCATTGTGCGCGGCAGTAGGCATTTGTCTCGATGGCAGGGCGACTGGTATTGTAGCAATGTCTGGCAAGTTGGGCGAATCGGGCGAATTATCCACCGGTGGCCCTTGCACTGATGTATGGGAAGATACTGCTGAACCACTAGGGATAGCGGATTCAGCTGTTCCTGCAACCGTATCCGTTTTGACCTTCTGGCGGCGATGGAACTCGCGTGCATACGCCCTACATGCATCGCACATGCGAAATTTAGAGTCCTGCGGTAATTTCTTGTAGCAAGACTTGCGAGAACACATTCGGCTGTCTCCATTCAAAGTGGATGCCGGAACTTCCAGGCTACCTAGAATAATGACTGACGTTTCTGTCAACTCCAATTCCTCTACGTCCGAAGTCGGAATGACCTCCGAGGAGCGAACAGGTGATGCTTGTTTTCTAGCTGATGTATGCTTTGGTTTGGGCAGATACACTACAGGTTTGAGTCTGCGCTTAAAACTTGTTGGTGTACGCGAGGACTCGACGCCCGAGATAGGTGCAACAGGCAATGACTTCTTGGGTCTCGCTTCAGCAACAATGGTGTTTGCAACCGAAGATGGACCGGCCGAAGACGCAGTGAAGTTAGGCATAGCCAACTTCCGTACTATGTTAGTTTCGCCTAATACGGCAGATACAGAAGCTGTACGCGATGTCGACGATGTAGAATTCGTGTTTGGTTTTTTGAAAGTACCAAAGGTCGAACGTCGCGCTGAAGACTTTGAAGTGGAAGCCTTGCCCGCAGCGAAGAGAGGAGTCATGTCAAAGATCGGTCGGGTGACCGTGGCTTTAGCAGCAGATGTGACTTTGTGTTTGGGTGTGGAAGAAGGCGTGGTGACACAAGAACTGTACAAAACCGGACTTGCATTTTGTGGAGTTCGAGATGTCGAAGCCGATGGCTTAGACTTTGGTATACTATTGCCAGTGGAGGGTGCACTGAGAGACTTCGCAGCCTTCTCCCGGGTAGTTGAAGTATGCCACTCGACAACTGGGCGTACACTACTGGAACCGAGTGATGGTCGGCCAGTACGAATTGCTCGCAATGGTTCGGGAAGTTTCTGCTTTGAGCTTGATGCAGCAGGCAAGTCCACGTTGTTCACGACGGGCATTTTGAAACGAAGACGTAGGTAGCTCTGTGTAAGCAATAACACTATCAGCAACTGTGTTACAAGACGGCGGCGTCTAGCACGTAGTAGAAAACAAAGTTGGCGTGAGTAGCCTGGATTAATGAACGTCGATATCGTTATTCGAACAGAATGGTGGGCACGCCATAGGACTTCTCGGCGTAAAGCTACACCTCCAACGGGCCTACGAGCAACATTGCCGCAGGTGCAATCAAATGCATTGCAGCCTCACCGCGTCAATTTGAACACGACTCACGTTATTGAATGACAGTCAACACGCGTTCGCTTGAAAGTACGTCCTACTGTAGAGAATGTCGCAGCATAAGTCAATTGGAGAACAGACGTTAGATGTGTAAGTAGTACCTAATGCTGGTGGTTAAGCCGCGGCCGTCAGGAATACAGGGGTGGTATACCTCCGGCAAGACGGCCCGCAATACCGTGACGGTGTCCAGCTCAAATCCTGCATGCCTCAGACTCTAAATATACTGCCTGTGGGAGACTAGGAAAGTTAAGAGCAGTATGAAGTAGATAGTACAACGTTGCAGAGCACCGAAGATCATAATTTCGCAAAAGATACATGGAATATAGCACAATACTTTGAGCAGACCAAACCCCAACCTCTCACATCAACCACAAAAAATGCAACATAGCTAAGCAACTTTCCATGCCCAGAAGGGACCTGAAAAAGATTCCAAAGTAAGCGGAGAAGTCATTCTTCATGCCCGAAAATTATCTTACCAAGTGGGTCTCCTTTTGCATGTTCGGCACCGGTCCACATACCGAGGACACCCATTACGGAGCCAACTTGAACACCTTCAGTTACCCACTCATTTGGACCGTCTTCAGCAGCGGATGAATACTGTTCGACAGCGTGTTGAAATTTTTACGGCAAGTCAATAACATCTTGGGACATACCAGTGTCCATCGTATATTTCCATCCGCAATCATCATTACCGAACCTCGAATCTTCCGAAGGGTAGTAGTCCCAGCTGGACCAGCGGTTTCGCCATCAAGGTGAATTGTAGGTCTATGGGCATATTTCGGAATCGTAGCAGGCGTGTAATATGCAGGACGAAGTCGCATTGGGACAATTCTGGTAGCTTCTTCGAGAGTTGGATCGTTGAAACCGTTTGAAAGCTAGTACAAGCTTAGTGTTGGTCGATACTACAGATAAAATGTCCTCACGTTATCACCTGCAGGAACAGTGTAAGCACATGCCATAAACTGCATGATAAGATCGTAGACGGACGCTCACGAATCAGGTCACGATAGTCCATCCAGCAGACACATCGTCTCCAGATTCCGTCAACACCAGCCCAGTCCCAACCTTCTATTTCATTCTCATGCATAGCCCGTTGCTTACCTTTTCCTTTGTCAGCATATAGGGGATCTTCATCGAATCCTTTCGGGACACCGCCGCGACGTAACCCTTCCAACCACAAAAGCCCGCTTAGTTCATCAGGACCAATGGTTGCTCGTAAATTCTCTTCAACTACGACGCGCACAGCGCCGAGATACGCCCAATCAGCATGCATTTGCGACGGAGATGGGGGCCCGGGTACTGCTAGATCATCGTCACTGTCACTGTTACTAGCACCGTTGCCCTGACCCGGATGTCCATCTTCATGCGCCACACAGGTAGTAAACATTAGATCAGGCGAAGCTGCAGGAGATCGAATGCTTCTGCACGAAGAAGGAAGCAGGAAAGGTCCCCAATGTCGTTCTCGAGCCAGATAATTCATATTATATACACGCATACGTGCCAGGCGACGTGCACGGGTCTTCTGAGCTGCAATGCTCATGTTCAGAGGCACCGTAGCTATGGCGTCGGTCTGGACACCTTCTTCGCGAGTAGAAGATTCGCTTTCGGATGGGGCAGTGTTGCCAGAGTTGCTTTGAGTTTCGTTGACGTTCTCGCTGGCAACCCTAGTGGTAGGAAGTCGCAACATGTCAGTTGCATAAGTCGGCAGTGTCGCGATTTGATCAATTCCGCTACAGCTGAGAGGAATGGGCTTGAACCCAACGAACGCAGTTATCCTTCCGAGAGCCCTCATCATGCTACTCTCAATCTCGGCGGGCCATATGGCTAACGGTCCACCAGAAAGATTGACACTAGACAACCTCGCACTGAGCGACAGTGGGAGACCGTTGGATAGCACTTCGTCAAACCATCTTATATTGAGCGATGGAGAGTAAGTATATGGGGTTCCGTCAGCCTGTGTATCTGGGTTGGAACCAGAGGCCGCGGGACCACCAGACCTGGACTCCGGAAGGTATGCACTAGGCGGTGGAGGGAATATAGGATGGGCACGGGAAGATATAGCAGCATCAGCATGTGGTTGAGACGAGTTCTCAGGCAATAGAAAGGGCACAACAATCGTGGAAGGAAACGGCGCGGCAGTGTGAACCGCAGAGAGTAATGCTTCCAGCGCGTTGAGGTCCGCAGCCATATTCTGAATCGAACCCAAAGGAGGTAACGGTGTACGGCATGGACCCTTCGTGCACCTCTGAATGTAATTCTTTGCCCACACGCGTCGACTGAACTCTGCACCCCAGTCGAAGTCAGTATCTGCGTCACGGCCACGGATCTGATCAGGTCCCCCATCCTGTCTATCAGCATCTAATGCGAGCCTCGCATCGTCGAAAACCATTAGGTATAGCTCTCGCCAGAGATGTTGATCGGAAGCACCATAGATCAATGTACGCATGTCGCGACATGTCTGAGCTACCGCTGCAATGGCTTCAGGGAATCCGAGGGAAGCTGTGAAGACCAGAGTGTGTTCTACTAGCTCGGATGGAAGATTGACAAGCCGGGACTCGGGCTGATTATGCTGGGGCACCATATTCACAGGTGCCTATAGAGGGTTTTTAGTGACACCGTAAATTATATCTCGTGTCAGGAATAGCGCCAACCTAACGTGGAAAGAAGCTTTGACATTAGACAACTTTGGGAAGGATGCCAAATCGTTAAGAGCATACACGTGTTTGGGTAGACGCAAAGAAGCGGAATACAAAATCGATGAGGAGGAAGACGTTATAGATACCTTACAATAGAGTCCTTCCACGAGTTCCGGTCCAGTCGTCCCCTTGATTTGACTGTACGTATTCTTTGCCATAGCATGAGATCTCACGATTCGCAACGTCCCAGCACTTAGAATGCATGGTACTCACGAGGAAGTGTGCGAGCGTGTGAGCGATGTAATTGGAAGTATATCGGTTGAATCGGGAACATCCAGTTTTTGAACTGAATGTACTTCCTATATAGCTATGTTTTTAGTGGTGGCGATCAGAGTGTAGCGGTGACTACCACTGGCACTGGAACGATTGACACTAATTTCCACTCAGAGACAATAACGAAACTTCCTTCCGGCATAGGAAACATCAGTAAGCTTCTTTGCTCTACGCGATCGAAGGACGTACGGGTGGATGAGGGGATTGTAGAAGGAGGGCAAGTACTGATCGAAGGTATTGACCAATTCCCAGGTACAATGCATTGAAAGGCATGTTCCGGTAGTTCGGCCCGGCGCGAGGAAGCCTGAACTTTAAGAGGACCCCCGCTAAACCCTATAGATGTCCGATCCCCAAATTGGCGATTTTGGCCTGTTTCGGGCTGGGGGACTTTGGCCATTTTGACCACTTTCGGGCTGGCTGCATGAAGCATCTTGGAAAACCTTCAATTTTCGGGCCTGCGACGCATGTATCATCCCGGGCGCCAAGACACCATTGCCGGCGCTTCCATCATCATCCGGACAAAAATCAATGGAGAGTCCATCGTTTGTGCCCTTTTCCACCCGAATAAACCTGTTTTACAAGCCATATAAACCTCCCAGCCAATCATTACCCAGAATGAGTCTCTAATCTTTACGAACTGGGATAATTCGGGCAGTCGGCATCAAGGATGCCCTCGAACGTCCCAAGTTTCGGGCTGGCGTGGCATCGGGGATCGATCCAAATTTGGTGGGATTTTCGGGCTGGCCGCCCTGAGAGATCGCCTCCTACGGACCCAGTTTTCGGGCTGACCGGGATCGGACAAATATAGGAATTAGCGGGGGTCCTACTTTAAGTAACGTGGGTATCATCGATGGATATCATAATACTTAGAAGACACACAACAATCCCTTTAGTTTCGACGGTCGTTATCAGTACATAGTCAGTACATAGTCAGTACATGCGTCAACACCGTTGCTTTTGTAGCCGGCGGCACCCAATCATTTGACGCGATTGCAAGGGGGGAAAGACGCTCAGAAAGAAACCAGTGCGTGGCATTGAGCATCTCGACGGTACGTACATACACCCGCTAGACATACATTTGAATGGTCTCTCTAATTGTCGTATTTCGCCCCTAAGGTCAAGTGTGTCTGACACTGTCAAATAAGTATTGTTTCCGCACGGACTCCCGTAGCATCTCGTTGGTATTTCCCTTGGAAAGCCAGGCAGCAAAACCATGCCTCCGCGCCGCTTTCGCTTGTCTCTGTAGAATCATAGATCGGACCTCCAGTGCGAGAGGAGCAACACTTGTGATCTCAGTGAGTTCCTTCACGGAGCATGCTGTCAGATGCTGTCAGGCCCACGTACTGAGGGGTATATCCCGAAAGAGGCAGTTTGATATCCTGCTCAGTCTCTCCACTTTGCGTGTTCACAAGAAAGTCTGCTTATGCCAGCTCTACACACCTGCGTTGAGTCGGTACTAAGCGACTGCCAAGGTGAATATTCTCCTGGCAAGTCAAACCAAGGGGTTATCGCTTCAAGTTTCAAGCTTCAAGTAGGGCCAGGGCCGGGATGGTGCGATATGCAGCCCCGAACAGGGATGGCGACGGAATGAGCGATGCTCGAATTGCCAAGCCGCTTGAGGCTCTAAATTTGCGCCTCCAAGGAAACGAGTCAATACGATCACTGTACGATTCATTAGACCTGCCTTACTTGGACTCCTCGATCACGATCACGTTGCAGGTGAATGGCAACATCTGGCAGAATCTGCTGCTCGCATTGCGCAAACGGTGCTAACTGAAAAGATAAACATCGTGAGCTCATTCGACCTCGGAATTAGTGGAAGGTGCCTGATTGCCTTGCTGATTGCACTAAATTGCACTCTTCTATCTTTTCCCGTCCTTTAGTAGCTATTTAAGATGTCCTCCCAGTGCCCGATGGTTTTTCGTGCACTCACCTCTGCCCGCCGTTCCTTCACAGTCCAACCGTCAAGATGTCCGACTTGAAGCGTGAGACTACGCACGAATCGTCTTCCCATTCTCTGGACCAGGAGAAGGGTGGTCATGCCGAAACGGCTGAGGCGTTACTGGCACAGTACGATCCCAAGGAGATCGAAAGGATATGGAAAAAGGTTGACTGGCATGTAATGCCCGTCGCGATGATGCTTTATCTGGCTTCCTACATTGATCGGTACGTTCCATTTGATGTATTTCTTGTAGTGATGTTGACGTGTCACTTCAGTGCGAATATCGGAAACGCCAAAGTGCTTGGGCTACAGAAGTCCCTGCAACTCACGAATAATCAATACAACCTGGCCTTGTCAATCTTCTTCGTTGGTTACGTCATTTACGAAACGCCCTCAAACATCCTCTTGAAGAAGATCAGTCCGAGATGGTATATTCCTGCCATGACTGTCAGTATTTCGCTTCCATAGTGCAAAATTATGTACTCACTTCTATCTTTAGGTTATCTGGGGCCTTATTTGCGCGCTCTTTGCTTGCATCCAAACCCCGGCAGGTCTGATTGCGATACGTTTCTTCCTCGGTTTTGCAGAGGCTGGATTCCTTCCCGGCATTATCTATTGGAGTGAGTTGCGTCTGGTTTGATTGTTCAATTCAGCCCCTTATTTGAATATAGTGGGCTGCTGGTACCCCCGTTCTATGCAAGGTCGACGGTTTGGTATATTGTACTGCACCGTCTCACTGACCGGTGCCTTCGGTGGACTTCTCGCCACTGCTATTCACACTCTTGATGGCGCTCATGGAATTGACGGGTGGAGGTACGCAATGGCTTCAACCTTGAACCAAATCGTGCTTGACACCCTCTCTTCGTAGATGGATCTTTATCGTCGAAGGCTGCATCACCGCGGGCTTGGGCATTTTATCACTCTTCGTCATGTCTGCCTATCCCGCAACCGCTTCGTTTCTCTCTGAAGAAGAGCGAAGGGTCATTATCCTCGTCAACGAAGCTGACCGCGCTCTCAAAGCCAAGGAAGCCTTCTCCGGTAGGCAGATCCGATCGGCATTCACGGACTGGCGTACCTACTGCTGGGCTATCATGTATATTTGCACCTACATTCCGGTGTACAGCGTCGTTCTTTCCCTCCCTACGGTCGTCACCGGACTTGGATACTCTGGAACTATTGCGACTTTAATGGCATGCCCACCTTATGGACTTGGGTTCTTCGCGGTACTCGGCGTTGGCTTCACTGTCGATCGTTATGGCAATCGATTCTGGCACTACGTCGGGGGTATCTCCATTACCATGATCGCGCTGATCATCCTCATGGCCGTGGAGAACCTCGTCGTCCGTTATGTGATGTTCTTCTTCATCATGTTCATGTAGGTTCTCCTCTTCCGCGGTCCAGCTGGGAGAACTCACCGGCTTTTTTCTTTCTTTTGCAGGTTCGTTCCAATCTCTGTGATGTGGGCATGGATGTCGTCGAATATTGCCGGTTCCAACAAGCGTGCCGCTGCAAGCGGTTTCATCTTTTCCTTCGGAAACATTGGCGGAGCCATCTCTGGTCAAATCTACCGTGCAGAGTGGGCTCCTCGTTACGTCCAGGGTCATGCCATTAACTTGGGATGTTACGTTCTTGCGCTTGCTGCCGGCACTCTTCTGTGGTGGAGTTACCGTAGTGACAACATCAAAAGGGAAGCTGCTGCTGGCCAGGTAGAACATCATGCGGACATGTTGGGAGATGATCTGGGAGAACATGGAGACAGGTATGTCACTTCTCGCATACTCCATTGGTATTTTCATACTGAACCCAACCTTTGTAGACATCCCAACTTCAGATACTATCTATAAAAGTATTCAACTGTTGTCGGAATCCTGGTGATGTTATAAGCAAGTGCTCGTACTGTATTATTAGAGGGGATTGGGATATAGAGCAATAGCTTACTACTAGGAGTATGCTTGACGAATGTTACGACAATATCATATAGCAAGCAACAGTGATTCGTCCGTGAATAGTACTAAGGTGACAGAATGTACACTGTTAATGAAAGAAAAGGACTGCCACAGCCAACTATGTAGGTCTGATCATTCAGAGGCATTACAGCGAGGGCAGTACGGCTGTTGCATGAGTCGGTTGGGGCCGACTTCACCATAATTCTCGAAGTCATCAAAAGGATCGTCCTCGCTGACATCAACAGCCTCCGTTGCAGTCATGTCCCTTAAACTCTGGACAATCCCGAAAGGCAGCGCGAGCGTGCGGGACAATTGAAGAGATTTGATGGGTGTGCCAAGCTTCTGGCGGGTTGCCACTGCTTGGGATAAAAGATCATATTTGGCGTTCATCTTGCTGACAGTCAAGATCGAAAGATGAGGCCAAACTCTGGGTTTGAGGACGTATAGTCCTCCACGATCCAGGAAGCTCCCATTCGTTGCGATCAAGTTCAAGATCGAAAGATGAGGCCAAACTCTGGGTTTGAGGACGTATAGTCCTCCACGATCCAGGAAGCTCCCATTCGTTGCGATCAAGTTCAAGAATGGACCGGCTTCTGACTGATGCAGGTCCAGATGCGTAAGGGCGGGAAATGCATCACCTAGAGTCGTCGATACCATGTTGACGTCCATTTTCATGATGGCTAAGCGGGTGACTTTAGGGAAGACCATTGATTGTCCTCGCACGGGTATTTGCTGAAGAAGCTCCTCCCACCGGGTCTGTGACAAGGCGTACAATTCGAGCGAAACCAGCTGCGGAAACTGGATGTTAGACAGTATGTCAAGGGAGTGCTCAACCTCATCTAGCGATAGATGGCGAAGAGCAGGCGCACAGAGAGGAGGCGCGGCCCCATCTGTTGCGTTTCGCAAGAAAGGCGTACATCCCAAGGTTAGTTTCTGAAGTGCGGGAGACGCGCTGAAGAGACTTTGGAGATCAGTGTGGCTGAGGGGCCTCTGCGTTGCCGCGAAGGAGATATACAGCTCGCGCAGTCCGATTGTGATTGAAAATGGATAGGGTAAGACAACGTTTGTCGTGCGTAAATGCGTCAGGGTGGGAGCGGCAAGGATGAAAGTGGGGTGTGCATTGTCGCCCGCTCGTCTATCCAACGGGTTGACTGCCTTGCATATCTGGAGATATTCCAGGCGAGGAGCAGGGACGTTATGAAGAAATCCCACGACTCCTTGGATGACCTCTGAATGGCACGTAAAAATGGCCAGTCCCTGCAATCTATGAACCTGCGGGAATATGAGCTCTAGATATGGTCTCCAGTTGAGCCATTCTGTCGTCCTATATTCACTCCAGAGTCTGTCGTTGGCGTACTCATAGAAGTTGAGGACGACCGTAAAGGGACGAGATTGAGACCTTTGCAAGTATGCTTTGACATAATCTAGACCCTCATCACCCATCAGGCAAATGCGGGACCACAACGCTGATGTCTCGAGAGCTAAGATGCGCCACCGCCGACAGACGTGAGATATCTCCACGGCAGTATTTGGAGTACACAAGTAGCGCGGAGCCCCTATGGCATGGACGAAGATCATCGTCAATATCTCGTCAGGGAGATAGTGTATAGCGGAGCATTCTGCGATCTGTATGCTGATCCCTTGAAGATATGCGTCTATGCCCGAAATTTGTTCAATGAGCTTAGTCTTCTTCCCCCATAGGTTATTCCATTGCTTCAGAAGTGCATCACGTCGTGCTTTGCGTCAGAAGGATCCGCCATGACGATGTTCCTATAGCTGATTATAAGTAAATTGAAACTACAAGTGGGGTAAGGCACCTGGATTGCGAACTCACAAGCCACCGGTTAACGGTCAGTTTCTGTCACCCTCTTCTGCGATACACTGCCGAGATATTGAAGCAAAATGAGAGCCAAATGTGGATCCAATGTTTCTGGTCGGTGTGCTAAATACTGTAACCTATTTACTCGCACGCCGGTAGAGATGTCAAGCAAAATGTAACAGTCACAGCGCATGACCGTGACAAGTCGTGGAGGAACTTGCAAAACTAGGACGTGATAAAAGCATGATAATTCTCAGTCAAAAGTTCATGTAGGGAGAGTTCGCAGCTACAATATGCATGAAGGTGACTGTAAATCTATTAATCGACACCTTTCACCGACCGCTCGAATATGACCCGCGCCTGTCATTGCGACTCTGCCAACCATTATCTAAGAATGGTTGCGAAGGATTATATCCTGGAGGTTGACCACCACTCGAATTGGGGCCGTACCCAGCTGAAGGCTGGTACGCATAATGTGGCGGTAGGGATCTCCCATATCCGTTCGGCCCAGTTGCAAATCGAGGGTGAGGAGCTTCCTGAGCAACGCCGCCGACCCGAGCCAACAGCGAGTTGACTACTGCTTCGTTATGACTATCAGGAGGAGAATGATACTGTGACATTCTAAGATCCCTTGGTCCTGAGGGTAATAGCTGAGATGATTGCTGATGCGGTAGCACTGATCGTGGGCCTGCTTCTTTAGCAAGACGAATAGCAGCTAACCTGTCGGCGCTTGTTGAAGATGTTGAAGGGGCGTTCCACATTTTGGGAGAATTACTCTGATTCGGAGTGGGTGGTCGCGAACGTGAGCCGGATGCAGAAGGTGGACGCATGGAGGACGCTGAAAGGACAAGTGGTGGTTGCGTCATGTGAGGCATATGTCGTGGTTCAGAAGCATCGTTGGGGAAGGGGTTTGGTAAAGGCTCGTTGGGATATTGCCGATAGGAAGTATGGTATGACTGAAGACGTTGCACTTGAGGAGGGGGAGCGCTTGACATGGGTCGCTGAGGTGGCGATGGAGGTCGTGTGGGAGGACGAGAAGGAAGAGGGTGAGGTGTGGTGAACGGTTGAGGTTGAGGGGTGGAAGACGAAGGTTGCGAGAACTGGGAAGAAGCTGCAGGTACATTGTGTGAGGAAGGTTGTACAGTTTGAGGCGCAGGTGGAGGTTGCGATGTTGATAAGGGTGGCGTCGGTGAAGGTTTCGCAGGCGGCCTGGGTTTCGTTGTCTTCTTTGGCGGCTTGTTCTGGATTGCATCCTCCTCCGATGTTCCTCCCTTGTCTGAAGATAAACTCTCGGAGTTCGCTCTTTTCCTTTTAAGAGAAGGAGCAGGAATGCGCTTCGCAGCTACCAGGGATCCTCGATCGGAGGTGAGCTGCGAGATCTGGAGCTTATCAATGAAGCTATTTAAGTGCTTCATCACTCGGCCATTCGTTCGAATATCAGTTTCCACCTCTCGAATATGTTGGCGCATCTTCCCGATCGCCTCAGACAGCTGCGCCAACGTCATCTTGCCCTTGAACCGAGAGATAAGCCCCGTGATGAACATGAACTCGACAGGTGCCACTTTCTTGACACCTTTCAGTTTGAACACAGAGTTGAGTTTGCTGGTTTTGGCTAGCTCCAAGAAGATAGAGAAAGTTTGGCTAACATCCTCTTTGAAGTCAGTATCAAAATCTATGGGCTGCGATAACCACTTAGTCAGAATGACAAGTGAGGGAGGATTCGTGGTGGGCCAGTTATCAATGCAATATACTGCTGAGGCAACTCCACGGAAATCCGCTGCACGACTGGTGTCCCAGTCCAGATAGGTGCCCAGCCCATTTTGGACAAACTTTGCGGAGAGCTCGCGGATAAAAGTTGCGCGCTTTGTGTTAATTGCCTGCATTTTCTCTATAACGGGTGTTAACATTGATACTGGTGTAACTTTCAGAAGGGGCAGCAAAACGTACCTGCAGGTGTCAGGGCCATTCCCAACTGTACACGCTGTGGAGAAGTCAGTTCTGACATCACTCGATAGGAAGCAATATGTATGGACCTGGAATATCTCCCGTTCGTCGTCTCCAGAGAGACGATCGTACTCAATGCAAACCTATTCTGAGTGAGTGACGACAATGTGAAAGTCTGCATTCGACTTACGAGTGTCTTCATGCGAAAGATATTCTTGTATTTCTCGGGGAGGACTCTGCCAACCTTCTTGGCCGCAGTGTCCCTGAAATAGAACTTTTCACCAGTGGCTCTGCCAGTACCTTCGTATCAGAGCCTATTCTAAGTTCAGACACGTGAGAACTCACGGATTCTTGTCTGCAGGATAGTCGCAATGAGACAGTTAGCACATCACTGAATTAAGGGAAATCGTCAACAATTTACATGGTATCTGCATTATACATCAGTACATGCAAGGATTAATCACATCAAGACTATACGCACATGGCCCTCCATAAATCTACGATCTCCAAAGATCAAATTAACATGAAGGAAAAGGACTCCGTCAACTGATTGACGCACCGCCAGATAGACGTCAGTCGCTGTTTGCCATCGATACAAACTCGTTTTTGAGAGCCGTCTGTCTCTTGCTTGAGGGCTGAAGGAGCGGAAGCAACTTAGAACGGAGAATCACAAAACTAAACAGCCCATACCGAATATTATAGGTGGAATATAATAGTTGCGGAATAGGGAGTCTACGACACCTAGGAGGTGGCTGAGAGTTTGAATCTGTCATGCATAAGTGGCACTAACCAATCTGCTTAGCATCGGGCCATACGACATCTCAAAGAAACGGGATGAGCAAGGACAGCAATTACAGAGCAGAATAGACAGACATACCGCGTTGATAATCTGCGTCTAAGTTGATATCATCCGAGACCATTTGAGCTATGCATCCAAAATTATGCTTCAGAATAACGTCTGACATCAAGCACCTGATCCCTCACAGTACAGCGATTCCGTAGAGTAGTTTGCAGACCGGGGCATGTGAAGAGCTCCAGTAATGAGTGTCGCATCGACCCTGTCCGTCGTCTTCTTGCCTTTCTGCTTTGGAGATACTTGAGACAGAGGAACGTCGGGCTCGTCATCAATGTCGGTGAGATCGGAGTAGTCGTCGGACATGGTGTCTTAAGCGAATGTAAATATAAAGAGCCGGCAGAGACAGTGGAAGTGGAAGAATTTACAAGGGAACTGGTCGTTGAGGCGAAACGCGAGTGGTGGTCGAATGTAAAGCTGGCTTCGAGCACGCGTCGATGTCCAGAGGAAGGGTTAGGGTTAGACCATCTCAGATAATACAGGCACTCCCGCTCGTACCGTATAACTTACTCTCCTCGACCGTTTTTATGCCTTTATACCGACATTCATGGATAATGACGAGTTCTCCACGCCAGTATCCGCATCTCGTAGCTCTGTACCATGGTCGACCTCTGTGAAGCGAGATTCGTTGGCAGCAGATCTAGAACGAGGTTCGTGTCGTTCACGGGACTCTTTTGTTCTCCGGATTTTATGCATGATTCCACGCCTCTCATTTCTCATCTCTTTACTACATGCACTGACTAATGCTATGAATTAACTGTGGCAGACCCTCAGCTATCCACTGCGAAACGCAAGCAACGAACACAGGCGTTCCATTCACAAATGACGTTTGCCTCACTTGAGAGGCAAGTCGCTTCTCTACAGACATCCAAAGCCGAGTTGGAGGCAAAAATACGCGAAAAGGATGCAGTCATTGATAGACTGGAAGGAGACAGGCGGTGGTTGTCAGACCGGGAGAAAGAGGAGCGCGAGGAGAAGGAGCGCGAAAGGAAGGAGCGAGAGGAAGAGAAGGTATGCATTATGCAAAGCTGGCCGTGTCCTCCTTCCTGTGGAATTATTGGTTTCCTTCATGTCTGCTAACATGTTGTTGAGTAGCGCAAACTCAGTAGTGACCTTCGAGCTCTCCGAAATTCCTTTCAAGCGTTACGCGGAGAGCATGACGACTTGCAAGACGAATATTCGAATCTCAAACGACAGTCCTCACAGACCATTGCCACTCAAAAGGCAGATACCACCACGCTTTCTCGTCAAGTTGCGCTTCTTCAAGACGAATTAGCATCCGTCCAAGCCATAGCCGAACAACGCAGTAATGCTCTAGAAGAACTTCAACTGCAGTTTGATGAGTTGAGCGAAGCCCAGGCTAACACCTCTCGTTTATCGAGCGGTGGCGGTACCGAGGAGGACGAGAATTGGTCCATCGTGAGGGAAGAACTACATCGCCAGGCCAATCATTTACGGACTGTCGAAACCGCGAATGCGAAGATGAACTCTGAGCTCATTATGCTGCGACACCGCAACACTAGTCTAGAAGTACTCAAGGAGCAAAAGCGCGAGTTGGAAAAGAAGGTTAGTGGAGTCGAGCAACTGAAGGAAAAAGTGGTCAGATTGGAAGCGGAGCTGGACGCAGCAAGACAGGAAAGAGAAGACTGGTATGTTGTCATGCAAATTCTATATTTTTGGAATCTTATAGTGTCGTAGGGCTTCCAAGTCAGCGTCAACTCCCTCAGTTGCAGTCACGCAAAGTCTCTCAGATCTTCGTCTCAAGTATGCAACTTTGCTCGAAGAGAATGGTTCCAACGTCGCTCTCCTACACCGCCGCGAGAAGGAACTTGAGGATGCGCAGGAGCGTGAGAACGCGTTTGGGAAAAGGATTGAGGATCTGGAAGCTGAGATCGAGTTGCTGAAAGAGGGTTTGACACGGGCTGAGCAAAGGGCCTCCCTGGCGGAAAGAGAGGTTGGATTCCAGCAGGCTATGTTGGTATGTTTCTGCATTGACATCGTATTTTCCACTTACTGACCCATCCACCAGGCGAGCTTTACAGCTGAGGAAACTCACGACGGCGTGAACACATCGAGGTTGGACGACGTCGCAAAGCAACGAGTCAGTCAGCTAGAATCTCTCCTCGCCGACTACAAAGCGACTATCGCGAAGCTAGAATCCGAGATCAATGATTTGACCGGCGACCTTTCGAGTACTGGAGGAGATCGTCGACCACGAGTAGAAATCATCAAAGACCTTGAAAGCGAACGACACAAGCGAGAGGCCGCGGAATCTGGTAAGGATATTCCTTTACTCCCACTGATCTGTAACATGACGCTCTCTCATTAGCTTTGCGAGAACTGGAGTCTACGACTGAATCTCAGGTGGAACAGATCGACAAACTAGAGCAGACGCTGTTCGAGCTACAAGGCGAGATAGGAGGTGGACGCCATATTCCTCCGGGCGTCCGCGTTCTGTCACTTAGGGACAATCCGGCGTCCCAGTGGGAAGACTTAAGCCGGAAAGCGTTGGAGCGTGTGAAGGACGAGAATGAAGCTCTTCTCAAGAGGTTGAAAGAGCTCGAGGAGAGCGGCGTCAGGGGACGTGGTGGAAACGGCGGTCAGACAGGCGAGGATGAAGAACTTGTGCCTCGGAAGAGTTGGGAGGCGGCAATCCAGGAGAAGGAGGAGCTCGAAGAAGCATTGAAACAGAAGGAAAAGCGTCTGATACGCTTGAAACAGGTACATTCGTACGTTTCCTGCCTTACGCCATATTCAATTTTTACTTGTTCCAGGTATTTTCTGCCAAGACCGATGAATTCAAGGAAGCTATAGCCTCCATTCTTGGCGTCAAACTCGCTTTCTATCCCAACGGTCAAGTGCGCGTTACTTCGCAATTCGACTTGAATGCTGCCTTCGTGTTCCAACCAACGAAGCCTCCATCGGCGTCTTCGCTGGGCAAGAGTAATTCAGAAGCCATGACCATGAAACTGGTAGCCAAGGGCGAAGGCGGTCCTGAGGAATTACCGCAGCTCATGCGATACTGGGTCGAGCAGGAGCAATGCATACCTTGTTTCCTGGCCAGCGTCACTCTGGAGTGCTACGAGAAGATGAAGAGGGAGGGTCTTAGGCCGGCCGTGTAACATGTGAACAGCTGAGAGCTGGTATCGTATTGTAAGTTATGTACTGGAACGCTTCGCGGATGTATAATATTGGGCGTTCTCATGTGTACGCATTCCGACGAACTAGGTCGACGCTTGAGCGGTGGAGTGAAGATACTCATGCATGAGAGAATGCCTCTGAGCGAAGGTAGCAGCTTGCCGGTCCGGATTGTATCTCATCATCCTTCGCCACAATCTGTTGGTTCACACCCGTCCTCGCATTCCAAACAATCTGCTTACACGATGGCGGGAAAGTACTGACGACGATACAGTTAAATACCACAGGTCTCTTAAGTGTAGCCATAGCATCCCCTTGCGGTCTATATCTCATACGTCAACTGTATCATCGCTGAACCATGTCAACTCGTACGTTGCGATTGCTTATTCTCCTCAGCCACATGCCGTCTATTGACTACAATTCTTCCATCACAGCAAACCTTGGACTCTTCGTGCCTCTCACGGCAAAGCCTGATCAAGCTCAGGCCGTTCACGACTTCCTGCTCAAGGGCTATGAGATTGTCCAAGAGCATGAACCCGAAACTTTGCAGTGGTTCGCCGTCAGGGCTTCTGAGTCGGATAGCAAGTTCATTATCTTCGACACTTTCGCGGCCGAGTCCGGGCGTCAGGCGCACCTCCAGGGGCAGGTAGCGGAGGCTTTGATGAAGAACAAGGACACTCTTTTGGTCGATGGCGCGAAGGGTGTCAACATTCGTTTGGTTGAAATCTTAGCTAGCAAGGTTGTAAAGACGGGCGGCGGGGGTCTGACGAAGGGACTTCAGTATGGTTTGAGTGTGTTGGTCACCGCAAAAGCTGAGCAGGTCGATGTGGTGAAGAAGTTCTTGACAGTAAGAATTCTTTTATTGAGTCAAGCCACCCTAGAGCTGACGAAACAGGGAGCGCTCGACGTTGTCAATGAGGAAGAATTCACACCTGTCTGGTATGCGATCCACTTCAGTGGAACCAGTGAATTTGCCATTGTCGACTTTTTTGAAAATGAGGAGAGTAGGGAGAAACATCTCGGAGGAAAGGTAGCCGCTGCCTTGCTGTCAAGCGCCCCTGAGCTACTTGACGGGGCGGTCAACATTTCTAAGGTGTCAGTTCTTGCTGCAAAGATATGAGCTTGTGCTGGATGTTTCAGATGTAGCAAGCAGTATGTAGAATTCATGTTTATGAGGTGAAATGGTTGCATTATCGAGCCACGAAGTCCTTGCATCTGACAGCGCTAGTTGTGTGAGTATCATTGTGGTGAGCTGGCAAGTCTGAACCTTGCATGGCGAAGGAAAAGATGATTTGGTGGGTCTAGTTGATAAGTAAATGGTATCTTGAATGAATCTACATGAATACTAAGAAAGCATGAAAACAAATAAAGCGAAAAAAGCGAAGAAAAGCAATGTCAATCAATGCACAAGATGAGTAATAGTAATATGAGAGTACTATGATTTCTACATTGTCTCCTGCTCATGCCCGGAATCTGGGTGATCCACTGGGTCCTGCACCCATACTCCTGAGCCATCCAACAGTCCTGCAAGTTCCAGCTGCTCATACTTGGCAGTAAAGATACTGTACCCCATGGTGGGGATGGGAGGGGGGCTTGGAGGTGGGGAAATGCTGGCTGGAGGAAGAGGAGCATGGCAGGAGAGGCTAGTGTCTTTGTCCAGAGGATTTGTGGGTTGGATGATGTACTGAGTGAAGGGGGTGCTGAGATAGGGTTCAATAGGAGCAACAGTGGTGTGGAGTGGTTCTTCCTCTTCATCCTCCTCTGGCATCTCTGTGACATGTTGCATGTGCTTCCAGATGTGCCGCTTGCCCTGTGAAGCAGTTGGCTGAGATTGCGAGGGAGTGTATTTGCAGTTAGGATTCACAAGAGGGCTGGTGACCTTCCAGGAGGGGATGGAACTGGGCAGAGGTGGTTGAGGATGTTGGAGAAAAGAGGCAGGGGAAGGAAGGGATGTGGGTGCAAGTAGCAGGAATTGCAAGTTGTTGGATTTAAGATGGACATTGTTGAAATGGTCAACGAGTGCCTTCTCTGAGGATATACTGCTCCAGCATCCTATAAAAATGAACCTGTTAGTGTCAAAGATAAGATGCAAAGATGCGAACTTACCAGACACTGGGCATGGAAGCCTTGCCTGGGCAAGATGTGCAGTCTCCATATGATCTTGAAGGTCATGCAGAGAAAGATAATCATATGATGAACAATGCTCCATCTGGCAATAAAAGTGGCCAGTGTCCTGTGCATGTCATCAGTTGCTGTTCAAGTTATATATAGTGGCAAATTTACTGGATTCACAGATCTTTTGCAGTGGTCGAGCAGGTGCTGGTGTTATAGAGTAATGAAGAAGATTTTTATTAGAGATACAAATATCAGAATATCAAGTAAAAATGACAAACCTGTCTTCGAACATGCCAGCTATTCAGATGAGTATTACACTGTATCCAGCCACAGTAGAACTCTGTCAACATTTGCTTGCTGTGCTTTGTGATCCATTCTTGTGAGAAATTGGGTTGAACATGCCAGGTCATAAGATGAGAATGAAAGAAAGTAAGAAAGAAGAAAGGAAAGTGTGAGAAAGTGAAGTTCAGCTTGCAGAACTTATATACAGATATATCAAACATGTGATCTGTGATGACATAAGCAAAAATAATGTCATCTTGATATCATAATAAGTTTGATTCATGTGACTTACAACTACTTATACTCACACCCACAATAAGTAACTGGTGCTAGATGCCCTGCATATCGCTGTAAGGTATACATATGGTGCACACCCTACAGAGGATCAATACAATACACACTATGACTCAAGACACTTAAGACACACACTGCTTCGAGTTCTATCAATTTTGACAACTCCATTTCTTCTTTTGACTATTTTATTTCTCTCTTCTCTACTCTCACTCTTGACTATATTTCTACAAAAGTTCTACAATAATTCATCTTAGATATCATCTCTCTACTTTACATCATTTATCTCTATCATTTATTCATCTTTTTTTCTGCTTCCTGTTTTATTCTCTCATATTTTTCTTATACTCTTCTTAGTCAAAATTAACAAAATCATATCAAAAAAATGACAAACAATGTATCTTGACAATCTTCAAGATCTCCTATCAGCCTCTCAAGATATCTTGACTCAACTTAAGGTCCTTTGCAGCAAGATTCAAAATATTTGTATAGTGAAAGAAAGGGAGAAATAATTTAGGATATTTCTACTGAACTCATATAGAATATGCCAAAGACATGGTATACTCTATATGCCAGACACCAAGTACAACTGGGCATTGAGCCAGATTCAAGTCTTGACAGGCTATTATTATGGGAAGCCCTTAACTTAGATTCAGAATCAAGGAGTAGAGGTAAGGGTAGATTGCCTAGGTCAGGTTGAGGATTCTAAGTACATATATGGGGTTTATATACCTAGGTAGAGAAAGAGATCATCCAATGAGAAAAAGAGAAAAGGTATGATACAATATAAGAACTCAGCCAATAGGAGAAGAGTAGTATCAGTAAGCGAGTCTGAAGTATCGGGAATTGCTAAGTAATACTGACTACCAGGATATAACTAAGAGGTCATGTGATCATTGTCTATAAAGAGTAAGAAAAGCATATAGAAGACAAGTGAAATGTAATAGAAAAGGTTATTAGTGTAAAAGAAAAGAAAAAGTATAAGTCCATATGATGAGTTGTCACATTACCCCCTTTTGAGGCATTTAGTAGCTCCTAGCTACTGAGTCTAGTAATCCCCTACTGGTTTATCAGTGACATTGAAGGCTTCTACATCATCTAAGTTCCCGTAGTCTTCGAAAGCCTCTCTGATTTAATCTTCTTCTTTTCATCTCAGAATTTCATCTCTCTGCCAGAGATGAGGGCCCCAGTTGCGACATTCTTTAGTGATATGAATTCTTTCTTTCCTTTCTTCTTCAACATTGGCATTGTGGTGCACTCTCCAGTCTTCTTCACTACCTCCTGGGATTCCCAGAGCTGTACCAGCATGAGTGAGAGGGGCGATGGTAATGGTAGTATCACAGCAGTTGCAGCATTATTGGCGAATTTGGCCAGAAGGGATTCTATTGGTAAGACATAGTCTTTCAGGGCTGGTGAGGTGATTGGATGAGGGGTTACTGGAGAATAAGAAGTCAGATAATGGTGGTTCATTGGGAGGTGTTTCGCCAGGTGGGTATCAGTGAGTAGGGATCAGTGGATAGACAGGTCGCAGAGCTGGTATGAGTGTTGGGGGAATAGATACAAGTGATGGCATTGGAGGAGAGTCAGGTTGCTGAGGAGGTGGAATGAGAAGGGTGTCAGCAGTTGGGCTGATGTAGTTGTCAGAAGGATTGATGACAGGTTGAGCGAGAGGTGACAAGATGAGTGGAGGGTGAGTGGTTTCTTCTTCGAGGGCATTGAAGGTGGCAAGAAACTCGCATTGAAGGGTTTCAGCTTGGGCAAGGAGTTCTTTGAGGTCAGCATTGACTCGATTGACTCAGGCCTGAGTGTTGCAGATTCAGATATGAAAGTCAAGGGCAAATCGGCAGAGTCGATTGATGCATTTGGTGACAGTGCCATCAGTGTTGTTGAGAATGATGATGGTGCAGAAGCGGGAGTCTCCAGACATGACAGCAAAGATAAATTGGACAATTTGACTGAAGCAAGTTGTGAGAAAGATGCAGATGAGTGTATGGAGTAAGTGTCTGAGGGCTGATTCCATTCTGCTTTATTCAATCGAGATGATGCCTCTTCTTATAGGCTTGCAAGATAGTCTTGGTATAAGTCAGGTGGCTCTCAGGCTCTAGGAAGTTCTCCGATGTTGGGTATCCTTTTCATTTCACAAGATACTTCCATCATCCTGCAACCTTGCAGTGTGTGATGATCACTTCTACTTCATATTTCTTATTGTCTTTGGTAAGGTCAGGAGGCAATTGGAGATAGTTTGGTCTATGTGCTTCAGTCTCATGATAGAAAGTTAGAAGGAAAGCATGGGGAATATTGTGGGTTTGCCAATGTCTCAGTAGTTTTAGACAGTATCTAAGAGGTTCTAGAACTTCAGAGATTTCAAAGGGTCCTTTCCTTTTTGGTTTTAATTTCCAATGTTCATATCTGAGCTTAAGATTCTTTTCTTCTAACCATACTTTGTCCCCTTTCTTGAACAGTGTGAACTTTCTCATGATGCACTCTGCCATCTTTCTCATAAATAATTTATATGCTACACATGGTTCATCCCAGATCTTCTGCAAGTGTTATACATACTCTTGCACTGATGAAATGTTCATCTTGGGGTAAGCAATGAGAATTGCCTTTAGGTGATATTCCATCATAATGTAAAATGGCAACCTTTCTTGAGTTTCATGAACACATTCATTGTGTAGAAACCCTGCACCAGCTAGAAGCTTCAGCCAAGTTTTTGGTTTGTTTCTGCAGAAGATTCAAAGGTAGCCTTCTAGCTTCTGGTTGACTTATTCTATCTCTTCATCAGTCTGAGGATGATAAGCCATGCTCAGCTTCAATTTGGTTCTCAGAATCTTGAGAAGCTCCTGAAATGCTTTTGATATAAACTGCAGTTCTCTATCCAATATCAGAGAGTTTATAGGTCTAAATCACTTGTATACATGCTGATGTAGAATTCATCCAGTGCCCTCATGATCAATTATTTTAGTACACACAGTAAAAATTGCTCTCTTCAAAAGGCCTTGGTCTACCATGACCATGATATAGTAGAATCAAAGCCACTGGGAGTAGGAGGTAGGTCCATGATGAAGTCAGTGCTGTAGTCAGCAAATGGACAGTTGGATTTGAATGAAATTGGTTGAAGCAGTGGAACTGTAGAGTGTATATTGACCTTATTCTATTAATAGATACTGCAGCTGAGTATATAATTAGTAACAAATGCATGCATTCCAGGCCACCAGTAATCTCTACTGACAAGTTTGCAGGTTTTCATCATGCTGGGATGTCTCATAACTGGCAGGTCATAGTGGTTGCAAACAATGTATCAGTGGAGGGATTTATTCAAAGAAATGTAATATCTGTATTTAAGAAACACAAGGGCATTGCATATTTTCCAATCAGAAAGATCAGAGCAGAGAGTATGCAGTCTAGCATGCTGGAGAGCAGTGACAGCTTCTCAGACAATGAGATCGAGATTGGTGGCATGGAGAATATTGTTGTGCAGTGTTGTATTAATGGAGTAAACAAAAAGTGAGCCAAGCAGCATGAGGGAG